CCTCTTTCAATTCCGCCTCTCCCCTTGGCCCCGCCACCAGATCAGACAGCCGGCCGTCCCATTGCCTCATCCTCCTGGCCCGGCTCTCAAATAACCGACAAAGTACAAACCCGCCGCGCCTGCTTCATGACTATGAAAAAATGAGCTGCCTAACTCTGTTTCCAACACTGAGTCTAGTCGAGCCTGCTTTGTGTGTTGTTTTTAGACTTTTAGGCACATCGCCTCCAAGTTTATGATTTCGATCTGCTGCAAGGCAGCTTCACCATCTCTCTACCTTTTCACCACCACAACAAAAGCTCTTCTGGCTCTCAACCTATTTTTTTTTTCCTTTTCTTTTTTGGACATCATTTGAGGCAGGCCAAGCCCCCCCAGAGCTTCGATTTTCGAAGCTTCCGGCCACCTTTGTGCGACATAACGAGGGGTGAGACTTTATCATCGCCACATAGGGCACATAGTTGAGAACGTAAACGTTTGGAAGGGGGGATGGGCGTTCGAGAAGATAGAGGTAGTTAAGAGGATTTTTACCGATACCCGGCCGTCCCATTGATCGATCGTCTCTGATTGAAAGATAACAAAGTTCGAAAATGTCAAACAACATGAGCGCCAACAGACATGGGGCGTAGGTGTTAATAATTTGCGAGGGCGGAGAGGAAGGAGCCCGAAGGCTGAGGGGAAGGAGCTAGAAGGAGGCTGTGAAAGGAGGCTATGAAGGGGCTAGAAGGTTCCTTACATGTCAACATGGGACTAGAATTATTGGACCTGGCCGGCGGTCTGTTCTTTGCAATCGTAAGACAGGAAGAAATTAAAGAAAATGAAAAAGAGAGTTGAACATTTGTTGCAATGAAATAGTTAACTGAACAAACGATGGGTTTGATTGCAAAAAGAAGCAGGGGTTCTCGAGAGATTGTAATAACTTTCACTCAGTCCATGGAGCTGAACAGAAGGAGAATGAATGGCAGGAAAAGGAGGAGGAAGGGGGCAGAATGGATCTGCTTTAAACTTCTTGGGGCATAAATGAGAAACGAAAAAAAAGCGTCAGACAGGGCTTAGCAAATTTTGTTGGAGCAATGCAAGGCATGGAATGACCACACGAGCACTATCCTCCTCTTTTCTTGCATTTGCAACCTTCCATTATTATTGGTTTGTGTTTTGGAGAAGGAGATGGGTTGAAGGGGAGAGTGAGAAAGAGGTAAGGTGTGTATGTGCTTTTCAGTGTAGGAAAGCTGCAATAGACTTTGTTCATATATGCGCGTATGTTATACATCCAACATATCGTGACACGTCGTTATCGACGTAGTCTTGTGTGTACCGTAGGCAGACATGTACACCATAACCTACAGGACGCGTCTCTTTCCTTACCCCTTCTACGATGCAATCAGAAACATGTCTATTTAGTGTTCCTCATCAATGCAAGATGCGTCTCTCCTTTCTGCTTTTGTCTTTTTTTGCCAATCCTTCCAATTAGCAAATAACTCATAATATTATTCTCCGCGCGACTCTTTTTTAGGTCTTGGCGTAAACATACCAGGCAAACCGCCCTGCATCTCCTCTCCCTTGGGTCAATCCATCCAATTCATCAAATAACAAGAAGGAGATGGAATGGCGGAGATGCACGTGTACTGCCCTTTACCTTGCTTTGTACTCACACCCTAATTCCGGTTTCGTGCTTCGCTGAGGCGGTGTGGAGGTGGGCAAAAGAAAGGGGTAAGTTTTTTTCTTCTTCTTTGATCGATACCCCATTGAGAGTATGCCCAAGACGAAGTGTTGTTATTCTTGGCTTGGCGTAAAAGGGAAATGGGACAGAGCGGGAACAGGGTAGACTTGGCTGGCTTTGATATACATGCCTTGTCAACATCAAAAACCATAACGGTACTCTCTCCCGCAGCGCTGCGGGCTTGAAGATCCATCTTTGAAGCAAAGCCACCCGGAGAGTTTTTTTTTTTTCATCTCTTGATAGGCCATGCAGTGCGCTCGCCCACTTCAAAAAGCAATTGAGTATGACTGCCCCTCCTTCTGTTCCCCTGTTTCTGTTCTCCCCCTTCTTTCACCTATCTCCTTCACTACGTGATGCTTCCAGTCAATCCGCAATCGTTTATTGCAAGGAAATAACGATCAATAGGGGTCCTCCCTCTCCGTTCCAGTTACAAACTTTACGAAAGAAAAAATATATGATCCGCAGCTCCACTGAGATGTACGTCTTCACCCTTTTGTCACTTGTTCGGCAAGCTCACCAAACCCCGCCTCTGACTATGAAGAACAGTAGTCTACTTGGTGCCATTGCCGACGATTTTATCATGATTCATGATTATCATCACACAACATACGCGGGAGAGTAGACTCAGTAGAGTAGATGTATCCTTCGGCGCAACTTGTTTATTATTAGCTTTTCTGTCTGTCATTCGCCCACCCGTCCTTCCAACATTTGATTTCTCTGTTATTGATTTTTCTTTGTGCCACATGCCACAGAAAGAACACCTCTCCTTCTATCCACCGCAATCAAAAAATGTCTGTTGGAGCGAGTGGGTGAATGAGGGAGTGACTGTTGTCATCCACAAAGAGATCTCGTTGTTCTTGCCACTTGTTGCCTCCAAACCACGAACGAACATGCCCATCCCCACTCCCTCATTCCCTCCTTTTCTTACTATTCTCCTGAAGGTGTGGGTTATGTTATGTTCCTTAACCTGACGCATCGACTCATCTTTTCTTTCTATCTCCCCCCCTTTTATGTATTGTCCCTGCTTCAATTGACTCGTCCACGGAGTAAGACGGAAACCATCAACAATGTTGATGGTCGACTCAGCCCTTGACTCGTTTCTTTGAATGTAATTTCTTTGTCACTCGTTCCTAAACGTGAACGTGAGGTAACCATGCTGACGGAGAATTCTTTGAACATGGGTTGGAGCAAAAAAAAAAAAAACTACCTAACTCCATTGGAAACAATCTCGATGTCGCCACCCACCCCCCTTCCCCTCCTCCCTCTTTTCCCCGCTCGGGCAAAGAAACCGTTTGGACAGATGCAAAGAATAGGAGAGTAAACAAATGGAAGTTTCGATTCTTCCCCCCGCAGTTTTTTTTTTGTAAGGAGTCGATATATGTATTGGAGACATTGAATGAGCACTCTTGTGATAGTGACGCCAAACATGACAAAGAGGAAAGGGGAGATCTTCTCCAAGATTAAGGACAGATGTTGCACGTATTTTGTTTGAATCTTTAAGATGGGTGGGATGCGGGTTTGGTGGCGCGAGAACCCCATCCAAAAAAAAAAAAAAAAAAAAAAAAAAAAAAAAAAGCGCGCAATCAAGGTAATGAGATTTTGATTCCCGGATAAAAGGTGTAAACGGGAGAACAAGGGGTAGTGAGACAGGGTTGTGCGTTCTTTTTAGAGGCGTAAATGTTCAACCAAAGTAAAGAGAAATGAAAGAGAGGGGGTTTATTCCAAGAAGAGAAGGGGAGTAAAAGATTGGATACAGAACCTCAACGATGCGACTACTCTGTTCTACTTTGTCGAGATTCATATCGTGAAGAACCTTTCTTCACAAGGAGCTTACGCCCGCTTCTTCACTCGCATATGCAATGAGTCTTCTTTCTTCCTCATGCTCCACGAAGTTCGTTTGCTTGACTCCAAAAATGGTGCACAAACCAACCATCCCATTAGAGCAAAATAAGAGAGCTGCCCCAGACCTGCATCAAGGTGGAAAGGGTGCTTGCTGCATCATCTTCGGCAAGGTGCCATTAGATAAAAGTGAGAGAAATGCGCACTAAAATAAGAAAGATGTCAGCGTGTCCTCGCTTTGCGTGTCCTCCACTCCTTTCGGCAGGGGCAAGAGGGAGGGAGCCAAGTCAGGGTGAGAGCATGATGAAAAAGAAATGAGAAACCAAACAAACAAATAGACCAAGCTCAACCTTGTTTTTTTTGCAAAAAATTCTCCGGTGGAGTATGACGATTGCACAGTAACCATGCAAGGCAAAGTAAGGAAAGAAAAAGGGGTTGGAGGGCGTCAATTGATCGTGGACGGAGCTGTTACAATTGCACTTGCGTTGTTGAGGGTTGGAGAAGGAAGGTAGGCTTGGTAAGGAAAAAAAAGACTTTCGTGGCGAAGGTATTACGGGAAATGAGTCGCGGATGTGAGCTAGGTGACTGAGGATGATACAAAGGGAGAAGAGGGGAGCAAAGGGAAAGACATAAAGAAGGAGATGTCCTTTGTTCTTGATGCGTAGGGGCGAGGGGTCATTTGAGCAATCGAAAACAAAGGAGAAAAACAAAAGAAGATTGACATATGGGAGGGTGTGCATTGTCCATCGGCAGAGAGCAAGAGAGACAGAGTGAGTCCAGTCAGTCCGGTCCAGTCAACCACGCAGTCAGTCAGTCAGTCAGGCAGTCAGTTAGTCATTACCCCTCCCCCCTCTCGCCATTCAATTTTTTTTTGATTTCTTGGCCATTTCTTGGCTCGTTCACTTTTCGTTTCCGTTCTTGTCAATCTCGCAGCACATTACCCATCGTTGTTTCCAGTCAGAGTAACCCATTGTATTTCGTTTTCGATTGACGCTATTCAGTCGCGCATAGTATAAATACTGATTTCAAGATGGAGATCGTCGCCCTCTTTTCTTTTTCTTCTTCTTCTTCGTTTCCACTTCTCGCCTCCACTTCTACTCTTGCCTCTCCTCTCTTTTGGATTTTCATCTTCATTGTCACCAGCATCTTCATCATTGCATTATTGTTCTTTCTGTATTTCATACCACTGTTATCTTCTTTGTTCGTTTCTATCATCCACATCATCGCGTTCTTCTCCTTTCCTCTTTTAACTGCATCCAACAACCTTCAAAGACACCTTCGTCACCAATTCTCCACATTTCATTTTCCTCGGCTTCACTTCCCTCCTTTTCCTTCCTCTATTTCTTTAACTCTTCCACCGCCTCCTCCATACTCTGCATCTACAACAGCAATTTCCCTCCCTATCGACAACAATAACAGCCGCAACATCCAGCATACCGATACCACAATGGGACGACACAGCAACAACTCGCATGACGGATGGCTCACTATCCAGCTCAACGACCCATACATCACCATCCCAGACTCTTCTTCCTCCTCAGCTTCAAGCAACATCCCGCTATCAGATGCAGAGCAAGGTCTACTCACCGGCACAGTCCTGGTCCGCGTTTCAAAACCAACCAAGGTCAAATCGCTATCCTTAACATTCGCTGGCGTTGCAAGGACTGCCTTCTACTTTGATTCCTCAAGAATCCCAGGTGCACGGACATGTGTTCATAGTGGTGAGTGCTTTTTTCATTGCTTAACTTCCTTGCTACTTCACCCCCCACACCCGCAGTAAATTCTCCTACCTGTCAAACCGTGAAATGTGAGATCCACTCCCCTTTACTGCGTCTCTGATTTTTTTGTTACCTTGTCGAGCCACACCACCAGTTCTAAAACGCTTCTTTGGATAAGATTGCTGTGCCGGTTCGATGTGCCCTCTTTTCTCCTCTATTCTTTCGCCTTATTCGCCGCCCTCTTCACGTTCTTCCCGCCTCCCTTCATTGTTTTGTGACAAACAGAGTGCACTTTCTTCCTTCCTATCATCCTGTCGAAAATGTGGTTACTTCTTCCCTCCATCACCACAGCAACAGCGTTTTTGTCGGCATGGAAAAAAAGGCTGAAACACCGCTCTATCTCCTACTCCTTTTTCAACTCCACCCATTCCTCCCACGCCTTTCTCCCTTTTCCTACAAACGTGGTGACCCTGATCCCTGCTCTTGAACTCAGACAAAGAGATATAAGCCTTGAGTACATTATGTCCCGATCGACAGCGCACCGTGAGGGGATTTCTTACAAGTGACATCATCTGCACTCATCTTGTCCAAATGGGGAGTCGGGGTCAATTAGTTCTTGTGCGCTTTGAGCACCATTTTGCAATGTGGAACCGTTCTACTCAACCCTATTTGCTCAAGGCCAAGGGACCCTTCTATTGAGAACAATTTGGATGGAACAGTCAATTTAGCGCGATATTTTTGTTGTTGTATGCATGGCGAACATGAGCTTGTCTGGATGGTGACTATATTTGTCCTCGACAATTGACAGGGGAATGGAATGAAGGAGATTAAGCAAGGAGGCGATGACAGGGGCAAGGGGGTTATTTACCGTACACCAGCTTTTTCAACTCCAGCTATGTTTATGAGAGGAGATGCACAAACGCCATTTTTTTTGTTTCTCCCTCCTCCTCTCCTCTTGAAACCCCGTTGAAGAGAGGCACCCTCCTGTCAGGGCGCATTGACACAATCGAGAAACGGGTCCCTGCGGGATGATAATGTGTGCTTGGTGCCCTGTTTCGTTTCGCGTGGCGTGTTAGTGACAGAACAAAAAAATACCTATTCCTGGACTTACTCCCCCTTCCCATTCTTCTCTTCTTGCAAACATATTGAGATTGACCTTGAACCTTCTTATTCTTCTCCTTTGTGCTTGCCAATTAGATAAACACCAGTACGAATGTACACTCATCGAACAGACAGAACACTTTCTGTCACCGACTACAACCGCTGCCCATACCAACAACAATAACAACAGCCACCCACATGTCCTCCCGGCAGGCACTCATAGGTTCGCCTTTAAGTTTACCCTCCACGATCGACTCCCCCCCGTCATCTCCTCAAGGGCCATCAACATCCAGTACCGCCTCACCGCTTCTATCCACACGGCCTCCTTCCTTCCTTTCTCATCGCCTCATATCGTTTCAAGGCCCGTCGTGCTTTTGCAAAGAGATGAGTTGCCATCGGATGATCTCTTCAACACTGCGGTCCTTAGAGTCGCCACACAAAAATCAAGTCGGTTGTCGGGTCATGTCAGTATCCCATGTTCTGTCATTCCTCAGTCTGGAACGATCCCTTTGGTGGTCAACCTGGGACTCAAAGGAAATGCTTCGTCGGTTAGCAAAATCACGATCGAGTTACTGGAACGCATCCTTGCCGTCGATGATGCTGAGGACCAGGAGGATGTGTTGCTTCACGAGCGGTTAGTGACTCGACAGAACTGCCCGATTCAGGACTGGCCTGGCTCGACGATGGATGAGCCAGTGATGATCGCCAAGCGACTCATGTTCAAGGTCCCTCAATTGCCTCTTTCCGCCTGGTCCTCAGTCGAGAGCGAGGAGGTCACCTCATTGACAAGTTATCGAGCTGGTCTCGAAAAAGGCCATATCCACGCCTCTGGAGACTACCGGCTAGGATCCTTGTCCAACAACAACACCGCAACCGATAACGGTGACAATGGCGACACGAGGCACATCCGCATCCGACACTTGATCCGGTTCACTTTCCAGATCCGTGGTCTCACCGACCCATCCACCTCCTCTGACGCAGAAACCATCGAAACGGAATCGTTCCAAAAGGACACCGATGTCTGGATCGTCGGCAATCAAGAGTACCGCGAGGACGACACTCTCCCACCCAGCTATTACCGGTCCTTCTCCACTACCCTCGTCGACAGCGACAAGATCCACGAGATAGACCAACGTGCAATCGAAGCTCTCCAGGATGACATCCCTGACCTTATTTTTCCACCTTGTTACGAGGACTGTCTCACTCGCCTCACACACACCGTCTCGTCTTCGTCAACGGTCGCAGGAAGCTCTGGAGAAGGATCACGTTCGAGTTCTGTGTCGAGTTCTCCAACACTGGCGTCTTGGCGTCCTTCTGTCGAGAGTCAGAGGAGTGGGATGATGATGGATGTGAATGTGTCACATTTCAGTCTTGCGGAGAGCCATGGTAGTCAGGATACTTTTGCATATGACTTGCAGGCGTATACGAATCGATACTCGCAAGCCAGCCCTGTTGTCGTCCTTGCAACGTAGTCAACTTTTTTTTTTTTTTTTTTTTTTAATTTCTTTTGTTAATTATTACTTTCTGTTCATAGAGAATAAAAAATAAAAAAAGAAAGAAACACTTTGCCTATGCATTTGATCCATGTACCTTATGCACTTCTCCAGACGGGTAGATTTTTTTCTTTTTAATTTTCTGCTTATCACACATATTTTGGATTTTGTTATACAAATGCGCGTCCCGTCTATGGCTCTCCTAGCCTTTTCACCGCTTACCGTTCTTCACATCATGAATCTTGAAGTTCCTGGGGGGGGGGGTTTTTTTTGCCTGGAGCCAGGAAAGAGGCAGAGAAAGAGATCCAGTTCCGTATGAAAAAAAGGTGCAGAAGAGGGGTGGGGGGACACAACCACTCTTTATGGGGCCAAGGAATAGAGAGACGGAAGAGTGGGGATAGTGCTTACGTCCTTGACGGGCAGCACCGCCTGGCGGGGGAGAGTGACCTTTGGTTGGCGCGTGGACTGAGCAGCGCAAGTCACAGTAAAAAAAAGTCGAATGGGGGGGTGACTCCGCCCGAGTGAATAAAATGGTGTGCATCAACTCTGCATCCGCCACCAACGCACGCCATGGGTGCCAAGTCCAACAGAGTCAAGCAGCTGAAAGAGGCTAGAGACAGGAAGAAACGCAAGTTGGACGATACAATTGACCCAACACCGAACGCCAAGCCAATGAAGAGGCGTGTACGCTAGAGATGGAACTGCTGAGAACGGATGCAAAGACGCTTGACAAGGAGTGGGAGGATGTATTTGAGGAGGAGGATAGTACCGATGAGGAAGGCTGGATATGCTATATGGGAAACAGAATAAGGCTACTGGATGGGAAGAACTACAGAAAAAAATACACTTGAAGTGTCCGAAATCAAGACATACCTCGGCAACTCGGAAAAACGTGGCATTCAGAGATGCGGCTAAGGGTTGTTTGCCTTTGAAGCAACTTGGGTTTTCACCGTTGTCGATTGTTCGCAGCTTGTTGTTTATGTTTAATGATTAGCTGTGAATTCTAGATGCCGACTCTGACTCTAACAGCGATCCTGAGAGCGAGATCAACGACATTCAGAGGAATACGGTCATCATGGTAGACGAGGTCGGTCGGTACGTGAGTGCTCGAACCAAGGACGGCTCACTCAGCAAATCAGGACAGGAAAACCTCGAGGCAGTTCAATAATACCTCCGCCTTTGCATCAGAGGCTTCAAGGAGCACAGCGCCGCCAAACAAATAGTTGTTATACGTGGGAGGAAAGTTGGATACTCGCATTGGCGATGCCCAATTGATTGCTGCTCTAGTTCTTTTTGAACGGCTGCTGGTGCTAACTTGACGTATTACTTGGTTGTCCGCTCGCCCTTCTTCGAAAATGAAGGCTGGGAAAGTGGAACCCGCATTGTGATCTGGAACGAAACAACGGATACGAAAAAAAAAGGCGAAGCAGCGCAGGTCTGCCATGGCTGCAGATCATAACTCCTCCTCACTCACTCACATACTCAGCATTTACTCTAAAAAAATGTTGCTCAAAACCCATTATTTATCTGTGTTCTTTTCTTAATCTCATCCAGCTATCTATGGCAAAGTATTATTCGCCTTCCACATCTCCCCACCATCAGTCCCATCAGGTCCCCCATTCGTATACACCTCCTTCTTCCAGATGGGCACCTGGACCTTCAACTCATCAATCAACCAATGCACGGCTTCAAGTCCCTGGACACGATGACCTGACGAGACCGCAATAACGACACTCGTCTCTCCGACGGGACAATCACCAATCTTGTGAACAATCGCGACATGGATCAGATCGTCCCATTTCTGTCGGGCGGCAGTGATCAGGGATTGGATGGACTTTTCGGCCATGGGGATGTAGGCTTCATAGGCTAGGGTCTTGACTTCTTTGTCTGTTGTTTTTTTTAGTGGAGATAGGAAGAGAGGAGGAGAGGAATGAGGAAGGATGGTGAGTTTTTGAGTGCTCGTGTTTTGTTTTCGTTCCTGTTCCCCAATTGAGCCATGCGTAGTTCGTCTCGACTCAAAGCAACCTTCCATCTCCACTTTTCCTACTCTATCAACGGAGAAAGTGAGATTGCGCAGGAAATAAAAAAAAACCCCACTTTAAACATAAAACGCATGCATACCTTCAAAGTTATCGCGTGTGGTGCCAGAGAAGGTCGAAATGGCTCCCGCTTTTGGGTCCGCCACAGCCTTTGCAATCTCGTCCAGGCTAATGATGTCGGCCGTGATCTTGACAATGTCTTTCATTGCTTGTGGTTGTTTGGGGGTGGGGAGGGTGTGAGTTGATGAATTGTTGGTGGGTGTAACAGTCTCGCGCTTGTCTTTTTGGGAGTCCTGCAAGGTGTTCTTGGTTGGTTGAGTTGTCGAGAAGGTGTGATGGAGAGTAGAATGAAAAGAGAAGAAATGAAGGATAGGAGAAGTGCATGCAGCTGTGAACGAGCAAATAAAGTTCCCGCAAGTGAAAAAAAAAATGGGTCACACTTTGTGCTGGAGGGAGACGAGGGAAATGTGGAGACTGTTTGGTCCTGACACACCATTCACCCACAAACGTACAGTGTATATTCAAGTCAATTGACACGCCTAAGAACTACAGATAAATGGCAAGGGGTACGCGAAGGAAGCAGGATAGATGCAAAAAAGGGTTTGATGTCGATATCGACCAGGCCTTTTTTTACGACAGAAAGTCTCCTCCTGGTTCCACTCTTCCTGTACACCCCTGGCTTGGTTATTTTATTTCTTCCCAAATATTTTGGATATAAATCCCGTTTTCTTTTTCTCGCTCCCGGACCCTGATCCTGCAATGGGCTGGCTCGAAGGAGTAGAGTTGTTGGAGTTGGATTTGTTGGTGGCAGCCGGGGCGATGGCTTTATTAGGCGGTTTCTTTGTCCCGAATCCCTGTTTCCTCTTTTTGTAGCTACAAGGTGCAAACCAAAAAAGAGCTGGGTGTTAGAGACGCAGAGCAAACTTAGAGTTTTGTTTTGTGTGCGCGCGCTGTTATCACGTTCCGCAGAAGAACGTTATCCTTGGTACTGATGGCATGATGAGATGACCCCGATTCTGAGCAAATTGTAAAAGTTTGTCCTGTTACTTCTATCCCGTTCCCAATGGCTCGTTGCTTAAAACCGTACCTGTCAAGAAATGCGAGCTGGATGCGATTGAGCGCACCTCGTCTGACTTTGCGGATATATGTAATGGCGTCCTATTGAAAAGGAATGAAAAAAGAAAAAAGGTTAATAAAAACATCTTCTTGACAGCTACATTGGATCCAATGCCTCCAATTGATTTCGATCCGCAAAGCCCAGAATGAACTCCAACAGTAAGAAATATCCATTTCGAGACGTCAAAGGGCCCTGTCCCTGTCGTAAGCGCAGCGTTTCCTATGTCCTTACCAATGGATCCATGCCTCCTTCCACAAGCGCGATAGCCACGAGAACCTAACATGACATCAGCAAATAGAAAATGGACAAACGAATTAGCCATAACGAAAGTATGATAAAATGTTTGTTTTTTCTGCGCCAAGTCGCCAAGCATAATTCCCAAAAAGAGCGAGTAAGCCCTGTTAGTGTTGGTACAGGAAAGAAACCAAAAGGGTTTACGTACAGGTGCTCTTCCGATGCCAGAGACACAGTGGACGGCAATACAGCGATCCTTGTTGGGTGAATTGAAAAAGACGTCGTCGTTGAGATCTAACCAGCGCGCAACGACGTCCTTTGCGGGTGCAGTTCCGTCCTGGAATTTCCTATAGGGCGATACAAAAGCAAGATACGAGTTAGCTGATAATGCAGGAAGTATTGAGGTCGGGGCTGATAATATCCCATTGTCGGTACGAAGGGCTGTTGGGCGTTACTGTCCTTGCCAATTCGAACTGTTGGCGGCAAAAATGACTGGAAAAGAGAAACAGTTTTTTCCTCTTTCCTATTGCCATGACATCACCATAGAACAAAGAGGAGCGCTTACATGTTGTCATGGACAGCGATGCCAATGTCGCTGAGGGGTGTTGGGTCGTAGGGGCTTCCTTCACAGATGCGGACGAGGTCGGTGACGTTGTGTTCTTCGAGGACGGGGATGTAGGCCGGTAAGGTTGTGTCTGATGGACAGTCAAGGATCAGGAAGTTGAGAGGCCCGACCTGGATAGGGCTGATGCTGACTCGAGGCATTACGAATCAGTTGATGGTAGCAGGAAGTTACTTGTGAGTGTGGAGGTGTGTGTGAGTATGTGTAGGTGTAAGTGTAGGTGTAAGTGTAAGTGTGTGTGTGTGTGTGTGGGTGTGAGTAAGAGAGGATGCTGTGGATGCAAGGAGGAGCAGGTGGAGTAAAGGGAGAAGAAAGAGGAGTAAAGAATAAAAGAGAGGGAAAACTGAGTCAAAATATTAAAAATCCTATGCCCATATTATAATATGTTCTGCTATTATTGCCTCCATTGCTTTGTTCAGTAATTGCCCTTCAAAAGAGAGGGAGTGGTTGTTAGCCCGAGATTTGTTTTTCTTTTTTCCTTCCTCGGCGACCGTTATTTTATTGGAGGGTGAAAGAGAGAGGCGCCGCCATTGTTCTTGAGCGTCCAAGTTCTTAATAAGAAAGTATGATATCACTTTTGATTGTGTCCAGCTCCACAACGAGCTGGGTTGCAGTGGACAGCACGAAGGAGGGAGGGAATACCGGTTGTTACTACGGGTAACCATGATCATGTCTATTACGCGTAGTAAGGCATGTTGACATGCTATGAAATGAGTATGATGCCATTTGTTTTCTTACTTGTGTCCCCGCTGACATTGAATCAGGCTGTTGTCAGTTCTGTCTGTCACTCAGCAAGCCTGCCTCGTGAGGTACAAAATAATGCCTTTCTGCACCTTCTCTTCTGATCACCCTCACCCACATATAACTGAGTCCGCTCTCTTTCCTTTTCTCTCTTTCCTTTTCTCTCCTTGTCTCTGCTCCCTCCCCTCCTCTCTCCTTTTCATTCATTCCACATTCAAAACTCATTTCAACACTCCTCACTTCACTCGCATTCACACTCGAAACAAGAATGTACCAACGACACTCGCAGACCCAGACCCAGGCGCTGAACCTCCACAGAAATGCCACCACAACTGGTGCACCAGAAGCACCACGAGGGTATCAACACCGTCAACAACAGCAGCCCATGGAGCAACCTTCAATAGCCTCTGCACCACTACCACTACTCCAAGAACAACGAAGACACAGCTACCAGCAACAGCAGACACCCACATCAACACCAACACCACAACCACACCCACCACCACCGCAAAAGGCAGAACACTATCCACCTCAACAGGCAGAGCACGACCCTTCTCAAACGACCCAACAGCATTACCCAGCGCAACCATACCAACACCAGCAGCGGCAGCAGCAACAGGAGCAGGAGCCAGCTAGCCCTCCAGTGGCTCGCGAGTTCACTATTGTTGCCCTGGGGAAAAGTGGAGAAGGTATGATAGCTATCACCTATATTTGGTGGCACCACGGCACTCTCCAGAACTATTTTCCGTCAAAGCGAAGCCCAATCGAAAGAAAGCCTTCCTACCTCCAACCAACCGCCTTTCGCTCTATATGGCCATGTCACACACACTCACTCTTCCTCTCACACCTTTTCTTTTTTCTGCTGTACCTTCTCATAGGAAAGAGCACACTGCTGAATTCGATCCTCGGCCGAGAAATCTTCCTGGCAAAGGCTTCGGTCAGTGAGGTGACCCAGCATGTGGACAAGGCAACCAACCACTTCCTCAACATCCCTTCCAACCCAGTCATGCACTGTATTGACACTCCTTCCTTCAATGGCAAGCTGCATGATCCCCACCGTGTCAACGAGCTTGGTGCTCTTCTTACTAAGGTTGCCGCCGGTGTTGATGCCTTCCTCTTCACCGTCAAGTGTACACGCTATCGGTAAAAGAGCCTCTTTTTAGTTCCTTCTTTTCTTCGATAAGTTTATTTTTACAACTCACACCACACCGAGGCGTTATTGTTATGATCTCATCTCTGGAGGATCTGCGGCAATGGATTTGCGGAGTGGCTGTAATGCGATGATATGAAGAGCGCCGCAATGCCATTTCTTCTTTATTTTCAATTCATCTTCCTACCCCCTTACCCCTTCACCTGCATGAAATGCGAACATTTTTGTTTTTTGTCAATCTTGGCTATACTTGACATCATCACACTGAGCCTAACTAAACTTCTATTCATATCACCCCGACATAGCTTCGATTCAACGTTCTATCAAACCCTGTTGACCTACCAAAGCCTCCTCACCCCGGCCTTCTGGTCAAAGCTCATCCTCGTTTTCACCCACGCAACCCCGGAACTCCTCCCCTCCACCAACCCCGAATCCCGACTCCCGCTCATGGCCTGGGCTCGCGAAATTCAAGAAAAGTTTAAGCTCCCCGCGGCCCCCAAAGTCATTTTCGCAATGGATTTCGCCCGGTTCCCATACCCTTCAGGAGGAGCACAGGATTTCTGGGAGAAATTGATGGAATTGGATGCGAATACGGAACCCTATTGTCATCGGCCGTTCTTGGAGAGTTTTGGGAATGGGATTGCGGTGGAGGGGTACGTGCAAAGGATTAAAGGGCATCTGGCGGTGTTTGAGCCGAGGTTCTTTGAGAACCAGGCTGAGGGGCAGTATCAGGAGCATAAGCAGGCGTTATTGAAGAAGCGGGGGACGGAGGGAGGTCGTGTAGGGGGAGAGAGAGGAGGTGGAATTAGTAGTGGATGGAGGTTTGGTTTGTTCCGAAAGTCTACTCAGGCCACCGCTCGTCCCGGCATGATTTGAGTTCCTACTCGTGTTTTTACCTTGTGCATCTCAGGTAAACTTTTGTTGAGGGCAAACAAAAAGAATCAACAACCTAGACAAAAAGCAACATTCTTTTTCCTTTCTTCCTTCTCCCACTTTTCTTTTCCTGCACATTGCACAGCACATAAAAATATTATCAAACATAATAATCCCATTGCGGACGAAATTAGTCGAGAGGGGGGGGGGGAAGTTTTTTTTTGAGATGACAAGTCTTGTAACCCGCCTCGCGTTGAGGAAAAACTGTCAAGCAATTACATATGCATTTTTTTTTTTTTTTTAGTTTGTTGAAAAATGCGTTGTGGTGAATAAAAAAAAGGCGATCTAATAGTAGTAGGGAAGGGAAGGGAAGGGGTCGTACTGGGAACTGGTTGGTTATTTTTTTTACAGGAGCGAGGACTCGTAGAAGGCAGTCTCTTCATCATCAGCGCCATGTCTCTGCTGCTGTCTCTGCTGCTGATGGTACTGCTGTTGCTGCTGCTGTTGTTGAGGTGGAGGACGAGCACCCAACCGAGCAGGTGGAGAAGGATGACCTCCACTATTGCTGGGAACTCCAGCGGGCGCGATACGGGGCGAGGGGGCGCCAAAGACCGCCTGCTCTACGTGAACAGGAGAAAGCTGCTTCAATTGCTGGGCCTGTGGTGGCGAGTTATGCTGCTGATGCCGAGGGGACGTTGGTGAGGAGGCCTGGTAAGAATGGTTGTCGACGGCTGCGAGGACGTCATCGAAAAAGTTGTCGCTTTGGGATGTAGAGGAGGCTTGAGGGGGAGGAGGAGGAGGAGCCACAAATCCGCGAGAGGGCGATCCGGCATGGACGGGGCTCTGTTGAGACTGTTGTTGGTAGTGGCTCGAGGGAGAGTTATAAGCCTGGGTTGGAGAGCGGATAGGCGAGAGGGTAGATTCTCCGGCAGCACGGGAAGCAGCGGTAGGGCTGGACGTGTTGATCATGGCGAGGCGAGAGTGAGCAGAGGAAGGAGAGGGAACTTCGGTCTCCATGAGTCGTAATTTGATGTCTTCCTCCTCGGCCTCTTCGTATTCGTAGTCTTCGTCTTCTTCGTCTTCGTCGTCGCCGCTGTGGTACATCTGCTGTTGGGCCTTTTGATGTTGGTGAGTGGGGGCGGTGGTGGTGCCGGGGACGACGATAGGGCCGGAAATTGGGACGCCAGTGAACTTGACAGACTTCTTGCGCTCAATCTTGGGACCTCCAGTGCTGGCAGGGGCTTCTTCCTTGCCCTGCTGCTGCTGAACCTGTGTGGCGCCGACGGAGGCTGGGATAGTAGGAACGGGAGTTCTTCTGTCATCATCCGATTCAGACTCGTCATCTTCATCATCGCCAGGAGTATGGACATAGGCACCAAAGATGGTGTCGCGGTATCCGTTGTAGACAGGGACACCATCGTCATCGACCTCGGTCTTGTCATCATACAGTGTGGGGTTGAAGGGGTGGGCTCCTGGTGCGGGGTCAGCGGCGGGGGCAGAGGAGGTCGTGGCAGCGATAGCCTGAGGAGGAGGAACGGCCTGGTGTTGGACCTGAAGAGGTTGAACTGGCGAAAGAGGTTGCTGTTGTTGTTGTTGCTGTTGCTGTTGCTGTTGCTGTTGCTGTTGCTGTTGTTCTTGCAGGAGCTTCTGCTGTTGTTGACGCTGGAGAGCACGCTGCTGCTGTTCATACTGGTGCTGCTGAACATCCAAGGGCTGCATCTCAATAGCACGGATCATGGGGCTTTGGTTGCGGGGGGAAGGGCTCATCTGGTTCTGGTTCGGCAACTGGCGATGGGCCATTGAGGGCGAGTTCGATCCACCATGGTGGGCATGAGCCGCCGCAATACCTCCAGCCGCCGCTGCCATCAACTCACGATCCTGGAAGGGATTACCCTGTTGCTGTTGAAGAGGAGACCCGGGCAAGTTGTTCTGGCGAGGACCATTACTGTTCAAGGACCGAGACGAAGACGAGTGGTGAAGAGGTCCTCCTCCTCCCTGCATCATTGCATTCGAGTTGTTGCGCTGAACCGGTCCATTACCGCCGCCATAGTTGTTGTGTCCTTGCATCATACGAGCCTGCTGGTTAGGATCATAAGCCGACTCGAGCTCAGATTCAAAAGAGTCGCGGTTGTTATGCTCGAAGGGGCTCTGGCTACGCTGCTGCTGCATTCCAGGATGACCGTTGGGCATTCCGTAGGGCTGTTGTTGACGAAGAGGAGGTCCCTGGTTGAGTTGAGGGGGCGAGTAAGCCTGGTGCTGGTCGCGAGGGGAGAGGGATCGCGCCATTCCGGGGGAATTAGGTCCACCGGGAGATCCTCTCATCATTGTCGAACCCTCAGACCCACCCTCAAAGGGGTTCCTGCCATTGTTGTTGTTAGGACCACCGGGGCTGCCAAGATGTTGCATCTGGTGTTGAGACCGAGGGCTTCCAAACTCGTTGCTATGGTTACGCTGGAATTCATTCGAACGCGGAACAGGGCCGCCCAAAGGGATAGGAATCATTCCTCCATCATGTCCATGTCCAGGAGGTCCAGAAGGAGGAGGCCCAGAACGAGCAACAGGACCAGACCCACCCTGGGGTTCATGCATGCTCTCTTTGGTATCATCCAACCGAGTATGCTGGCTGCGTTCACGGGCCAGACGGCGGTGTCTAAAGAAGAAAATTGCGGCGATGAGGAGGAAGAAGGCGACGACGCCTCCAATGATCCCGCCCAAGGCTCCACTCGAAAGCCCACCACTTCCTTCTCCCTTGCTCTCCCCGTTAGAGCCGGAGGTGCCTGTTGTGGATGGGAGGGTGACGGAAGTCCCGGTGGAGGTGGGGGCGCGTGTTGCTGCGGTGGTGGTGGTGACTATACCACCGGAGATGTTGAATTGTCCTGAGCTGATGCCCTTCAATTCGTCCTTTCCGTTATAGTCGCAGAGGTAACTATGCTGTTTCGCCACGAAAAAGAAGACATCGCCCGTTAATAAACCGCGTAAAATACGTAACCTTCACTCTCTCTGCATCTAAACTTTCCTCTGTTCATTTCTAGTCCAACTCACCAATCCACCAGTAGCGACAGTAGGCACATTAACCCGAACGGTCAAGAGTGTCTGCGAGACATTCGCCTGGACAAGGTACGTTTGTCCCGTCAGGGCACGGAGGACCAAGTTAAAGGGGGCAGTGTTATTAATAGTGCCCACAGGCGGGTCCACAATGCTCCAGTTGAGGGTCATGGGGTCACCAGGATTGACACTGGGTAGTTGAGTCTTGGCGAATACGATGTTGGCAGAGGCGGTGTTGGTCCAGGAGAGGGCCGACATGGTGGCCAGCACGGCTACTGTGGCCAGCTTATTTGAGGTGAGGGGGTGCATCGTGTGTGTGTGTATGCTGTTTGTGGGTGAGGGAGATGGGTTCAAGATTGTCACTCCTTTTCTACTCGGGTTCTAGGGCGGTCTGTTTGGATAGGAAATTGAGATAGAGGTTAGAGGGGATTTTGGTACATAGTCACAAACACGTTCACTTGCTCCACTCAAAAGGACGCTCTTTGTCCTCTTCTCTCGCTGTTAGGCTTGCTCTGAGCTCTCAACAGAACCACTCCAACGGAAAAATCGCAACCACCAACAGAAGAGTTGAAAAAAAAGGATATGAGCATCGATAGGGGATCGATGGTGAAAACAAACGAACCAAGAGATGGAGGTGTCAACCGTTGCAGTAGGAAACATGCTGTGGTGGGGTGGACCTTCCTTCCTCTCAACAGGTGATGGGAAGAGATACAAATTAAACGAGACATCCATTCGCGATTGGTTCTTTTCTTTCAGGGACAGGGAAGGCCCCTGTGTCCTTCTCGCCCTTCGATATAACTCATTCTCTGTCCTCCCCTTCATGTATTATCCCCACTTTGTCTCGCATGGTGCTAAAAACCAATTTGACGGTCTGGCACTCTCACTTCTTCATCATATGGCCCAGAGATGAAAGGATTGCGCCAGCCAGAAGTAAAGCAATGTGTGTATCTATTGCCCAACATTAATGGAGAGCATTGTATGTGGTCGGGTTGGGTATGTGGCCGTTGTGTCTGCCGATGTGTTTTTTTTTTTGTTGCTGATATTATTGTAGTTTATCAACCGTGGAGGTCGAGGAGTCTATCTGAACACCCGCAACGTCTTTTCTCTCGAGATGAACGTTGGTGGGAGGTCGCTACTGTTGCTGAGGTTCATCACCGACCGCCTTTGCTCTCTCTCCCATCTTCCATTCCCCTCGTGTCAACTTTGTTCCTTACCAAGAGGGTGAAGGCACACAGTCCAAAATAAATGAACGCTCTTTTTTTTTCCCCCGCTAGTGCTAATTATCCTTGATGTTTGTAGTTGCCTTGATGGTGAAAGTGAAGGAAGGAAGGGGTACCTTAGGCTGTTTTAATGTGCCCCTTGTTTGGTGTGTCGTTGCAACGGAAAGAGGGTGAGGTGTTGTCGCTTGCTGAAGGGAAGTGGGTGCCGAGGGTAAGTGGAGAGTAAGGAGGGAGAGTGATGGATGATGGTGCAGTTGATGCTTGTGAAGGAGTTCTTGCTGGATAGAAGGAGAAGAGAAGAGTGTCCAAGCAATAATGATGGTAAGGCGTGTGTCCAGGAAGGAAGGGAAGGGGGAGTGATGGGTGAGGAGGAAAGGGAAAGGGAAAGGGGAAAAAAGGAAAAAAAGAAAAGAGAGGAAGAGGAAGAGGAAGAAAGAAAGAAAAGGAGCGATGAAGTGTTAGAGAGGATAAACCTACAAGGCTTCTTGTTGTTATGTTGTCAACTTGTCATACCAAAGCAGCTGAAATGAATCTCCAGGGGGAACCTTGCTTTTTTTTTTTACCTGTCTTTCTGCTTTCAATTATTTCCCTCGGTCTATCTGGCTACCATGTCTTTCTACGATGTCGTGTGTGTGAGCAAGCAGGTAATCCATCTACTCGCTCTCTTTGCTCCCAAAGAAAGAAAAAAAGGTTCATCCTTAGTAGACTACATGGTAGTCTAGTTTCTGGTTCCTATCCAGAAGGACCTGACTCCGAGTCTCTAAAATATCCGGCAATATTACTAGACCCGTCTAGCTTCAGTGTTTGTTTCGAATCCAAGGAACATCCATCTCTTCCTCAACCTCTCACAACCTAGAATCGCAAGCGCGCTTTCGTTATTGCATCGACAACAACAATAACACAACAACAACAACAACAACATACCCTTCGTCCTATCTCGCTCTTCCCTTTGTCCAACTTCCACTGTGGCTAAATTCCTGGGCAAGCGCCAGTCCAGTCCATTTTACCCTGCCTCTCTACAACCTGCGGGGCGTTTGCCTAATAAAACAAAATATTTATTTCATTTTCCACAGCCGAACAAGTCAAGGCTGTTGCTGTCGTCTCCCTCTTGTCCATTAAGTCTGTGCGACGAGGGAGGAAGAGAGAACTATTACATACTTTCATGGGTCTTGGGCTGGGCGCACAATCAAATCAATGGTTGTACAATTCATATCTTCATTTATTATTTTGTGGGCGTCGAGTAAGGATACACTTCACGCGGTACTTTTGACTGTACCTTTTCTTCTTCTCTTTGTTGTCTTCTCTGAGTGTCAACAATAATTGTGCTCACTACTTACACCACATACCTCTATCGCTGCCCCTGCCGGTCGTTATTTATCTACATTCCTCTCTCTCTTCCTGTACCCTTTATATATGTATATTCTTGCCAGTCAAGTTAGAGAAGGCCCTTGGAATAGGGTTCCACAGGAGCTGATGACATAGATGAGACACACAACAACACGAGGCTAACAAACGAGCAAAGAAAGCAAAGAAAGACGTCAGAGATGGATGAGCCCATTAGTACAAGTGAAAGCTACAGAGGATATGAACAAAAGAAGAGCATTTTCCAGGTCCCCGGGAAGGACTGATGTTCGAGAGGATGGAGGTGGTGATGTATGCAGCACCCCTCATACGATGGGGCGAGTGAGTAGTAAATTAACATTATTGTGTATGCACCCCCGAAATGATTTGCTGTGATTCATTTTCATCAAACCCAGATCCTATTTCTGATCGCAGTACGTGAGATGGACAGATGGTTTAAAAAAAGACAGGGGTGGGGCAAGGACAACATCTTCTTCTTGGGCTGCTGGACAACCACCGTACGGTGAAGCACCATGATTTGCTCACCATGTAGATGACGATGGTAACTGTCAAAAGACATAAAGGCTAGGGCAAGTGGTTCGCTCTTTGCTCATCCACTCAGGGGCTGTCTGCGACAGGAGATCCCTGCAACGCCCAAACGTCTATTTATTTCATACTCGGGAGAGTACCCTTCTTTTTTACGCCCAACATTTCAAAGGAAAGGGCATGCACCATGCAGTACGCTGATCATCACATCACATCACCTCTTCCTCTCTCGACCAAACTCCCACGAAGACAAACAGTTTATTAAGGGACACACATCTGACGCGTGTTGTAGGATCTTGCTTCTCTTTTTTTTTTTTGGCGGCCACTATCCCGTCATGGCGTGGGACCACAGCTGTCAATAATAATGGGCTTCTGGCCCCAACTCCTTGCTTTTGTCAACATGTAGGATGTTGATGACCGATTTCATCCATCATCCCTTGTTACCTCACTCCACCCAACATCGCTTTCTTTTCACGCCTTCGCTTTCTTTTGTGTCCCTCTATGCACGCTCTTTAAGATGTCTGGGTTGGCCTTTGGTGTCACAGGGATCTTCATATTTCCTTTCTCCCTTCTTTCCCATTCAAAATACGTGTTTCCTGTTACTGGATGGTGATTGTATGAGACTTTTGGCAAAGTTCGACATGATAAAAGACATGAAAAGGGTTGTGTACAGTACATATATAAACCAACATCCAACCACTCCCCATCTCTCATACACTCTTTAACACATACACACCAGCTCCCTCTGTCTCTCTTCCCAACGTAACAACATCCACCTCAACCATGAAGCTCGCGTAACCGTCCTCCATGATCGTCTTACTTGCCATCTGCGCCATCGTTGTGGCTGTTCCTACTCCTGCTCCATCCTCCTGATAAACAAATGTCGCGCCTCCATCATGCAAGTACCACAGGCACAAATCAATTCTTCTTCTATTTCTTCTATCACTGTCCTTCCGCGGTGGATGCACCATTCACCCATGATGAGGCAGTGCCAATGTTCCATGGTAATGATTCACTGCCACACGTTTTCTTCTTTGTTATTTTCCTCACACCAACAACTTGCATCTCTTTTGACTTGCATCTCTTCTCCTCCTATTACTCTCATCCCCTGCCGTCATCACCAATTCACATTCTTCCACTCCTCGATCTCCAGCTCATTCCTTTACGCGTTACTAACGGAACAAATTCACGTCAGAACGCCAACAACAGGTACGCGCCTTTACCTCTATTACCTCTCACAACAGCGCGTCGTGTACCCTAACAAACACTAATACACTCTCATACTCAACTTAGGCGCCTGACCTTTACCAAGTGAGACTTCACCGGCCTCATATCTCCGCTCCACGTATAACAACTACTACTCCTCGGTATGTTCAATCTAGGCTATTTGGGCGTGTGATTCGATGCCTCTGTCTTTGGACTCCTTCTTCTAACGAAGATACCTTCTTCCCCCTATAGTCTCTGCAAATATGACGACGACTTCGAAACCGCTTCCGTCAGCCCCCAAGGTCGACGGTCAATCCCCACAGGCCATTTCACTGTATTTCACAGAGAATATCGCTGCTCCCTTGTTGCCGTTTGCACTGCCACCGTCTGGCCTGTCCCGTCTCGAGACTACCACACAGCTGGCATACTGCAACAATTTACTCCGCGCTCATCTGACCTCTCCCTCGTCCCTCGCATCCCTGACCGCCTCCCAGCAAGCATCGGTGGACGTCATCCTTCAGGATGAGGAGGAGCAGAACCAAATCCGGTGGTTGACTACCAGGGTCGTCGAGGAGTTCGCGGCAGATGTACTCAAGACCTCGGCCAAGATCTCGGAGGTCTTGCTTCTGGGACCGTACCTCGACCAGGAGTACCACCGCAAGCTGCTAAACGTTTTTATCGACGAGTTCGAGAATGCAACCTTGGTGGACGTTGATGTACTCCAGGGTATAGTGCAGCTTGTACAGTGTGCTGCGTCTGATTACCTCCTTCCTGATGACCTTGTCAAGATCCTGGGGATTCTTCGAACACACCTCCAGGATATCCACAAGCAGACGACCGAGCATCCATACCATTTGACTCTGGCCCTCTCTGGTCTCCTCGATGCTATGGTCGAAGGCAAGGTCAGGGATCTGAGTCGTGTTGTGGACCAAGAACCCCTGGCAGTGCTCCTGGGCGGATTGTCGAGCAGCTCGGACCTCTATCTCAAGCACCAGGCAGCCTACGCCATGCAAGGACTGCTCTATGTTCCAAATGACGAGACGCGTCGACAGCTTGTGTTGCGACATGCTGGAAACATTGCCATGGGTCTTCTTGGCGTCGCGAGCGTTTACAATCTTGATGTTGGGGGATTTGCAGACGGCCTTGGACAGCTCAAAGACGCCGCCAAGAGCGCATTCGAGGTCGGGTCCCAGGTTGTTGGTGGCGCACAGGCAGTATTCAAGAGTGGACAGGGACTTTTTGACAGTTTGAAAGGTGGCGCGGAGTCTGGAGGAAAGAAGCTGTGGTACCCTGCGTTGCGCGAGGCTCAGGAACATGTCAGGAACGGCCGCCTGGCAAACTTCAATCGTTTGGTTTTGGAGGCTCCTTGCTGTCGCGATGTCGAGTTCCAATGGGGTGTGTGTCAGCTACTGGGTGAGATTACCATTGATCTTCTCTGGGATGTTGCTACCCGTCAAAACGCCGTCGACTTTCTTGGGGAACTGTACAGAAACGATACTATCCGTAACCCAGATGGGGATGTCGACAGGTGGATTTTGAATATCCTCCGCCAGGTCGTAGCTTTGCCCGACGCTGCAGTTTCGGAACACGCTCAGTCACTACTTCGATGCCTGGAAAAGGAAGGCAACGTTAACAAGCAAGCCGTCTACCGCGATATTCTGGCAGGTCCTCTCAGCCCATACCCTCTTAAGGTCCAGCTCTTGCCATCGCCATCGTCACCACTACTCAAGAGAGTCCAGGCCGCCCCCGCTGTCAACCACGACATTTACGTCTTGAAGCTCCAGCGACTGAGCGAGCGAACCAATGCTGTCTACATTCCACCGCAGGCCAAGCCCGCCCTCAAATCCGACGACGACACTCTTTTCCCGCTCATGGAGAGGGTGCAGGAGTTCCTGGCCAGTCACCGAACGGTTATGCTGTTGCTTGGAGATTCCGGAGCGGGGAAATCGACATTCAACTTGCAACTGGAGCGAACTCTCTGGAATAGCTACAAGGCCTTTGGACCCATCCCGCTCTACATCAACCTCCCGACCATCGAAAACCCAACCTACGACCTTATCGAGAAGCAGTTGACCTACTACAACTTTACGGAGGACCAGATTCTGGAGCTCAAGTTGCATCGAGAGCTCATTCTCATCTGTGACGGATACGATGAGAGTCAGCTCAAGACCAACCTGCACACCACCAACCAATTCAACCAGCCAGGACAGTGGAAAGTCAAGGTTGTGATCAGCTGTCGTAGCCAGTATCTGGGCGCCGACTATCGGTCCCGGTTCCAGCCCCAACCAACCGACCGCTATGCTCGTTCCACACCCGATCTAATGGTGGAGGCTGTCATAGCGCCGTTCTCGAGGTTCCAGATCGAGCAGTACGTCGAGGAGTATGTCAAGAGCCAGCCGGCAGCGCCAGTCACTGTCCAGGACAGATCGGCATGGACAAAGGACGACTACATGCAGACGCTGATCAATGTCCCTAAGCTGATCGAATTGGTCACGAACCCCTTCCTTCTGACCCTGTCTTTGGACGCCCTTCCAGAAGTCATTGATCCCAAGAAAAACCTGTCGACCATTCGAATTACGCGTGTGCAGCTTTATGACGGGTTTGTCAAGCAGTGGCTCAGAGTTAATCAGGCACGATTGATGAGCAGCCCATTGACCGCAGCCGACCAGGAAGCATTGGACCTGCTGGTGGAAGATGACTTTTTCTATCACGGTATCGAGTTCCAAAAGAACCTTGCGGCGGCAATCTTCAAGCAGCAGAAGAGAAAACCAGTCGTCCAGTATACCCACCTCCGTGACGGCAAGACATGGAAGGCCGAGTTCTTCCATCCCAGCGACAGTCAGATTAAGCTGCTGAGAGAGTCGAGTGCGATTAACCGGACTGGCAACCTTTTCCGGTTCATCCACAAGTCGCTTCTGGAGTACTTTTATTCAAGAGTCGTCTATGATCCGCTTGACTATGACGCCAATCCCGATGCCGATGCCGATACCTATGCCGATGCCGATGGACAACCGTCACCTAACGACTACAAAGACAGGCTGTCACGCGGGGATATTATCAAGGAACCATCGGTCATGCAGTTTCTGGCGGAGCGCGTGGACGCGAACCCGCTTTTCAAGAAACAGCTTTTCGATACCATCGAGGACTCCAAGACGGATGAGATGGCGAACCAGGCGGCGGCGAATGCGATCTCGATCTTGGTCAGGGCTGGAGTTCGGTTCAATGGCGCGGACCTGAAGGGCGTCAGGATTCCCGGGGCCGATCTTCGTGGGGCGCAGTTTGATAGTGCGGATTTGCGGGAGGCGGATCTGACAGATGTTAACTTTAGCAAGGCGTGGCTTCGACATGCGAACCTCAGCAAGGCGCAAATAGAGAGGGTGCAGTGCGGAGAGCTCCCGTTTCTGGAGGTAGGCATGCTGGTTTCGAAATGCGAGTTCACGTCCGACGGGACTCTCCTTGCCGTGTCGACAGAGGATGACACGATTTGTATTTATGAGACTGATGAGTGGAAACTGGTTGCTGAGTATCCTGGAAGGTCTGCTATTGCTGTCTCGCCGATCGCTCGAGAGCTAGCTAGGGGGAGTTTTGGTGGTACGGTTGAGGTGGGTGACATTCTCACGAGTCTAACCCGGTTGACCTTACGTGGCCACAATGCCGTTGTCACTTGTATCTCGTACTCGTGCGATGGGTCCCTGATCGCTACCGGGAGTGACGACGCCACGATCCGGATCTGGTCGGTCGAGACTGGCGAGACCTTGCGTGTGTTGAGAGAGCATCAGGACGTTGTGCACTGTGTACGTTTCTCACCCCATGGCAATCGGCTTTTATCCGCCAGCAAGGACTTTACGGTGCAGAGTTGGGACGTCAAGACTGGAGAGCACCTCGGGATTATCGGACGCCATGTCGAGCCTATGCGGACAGTGGCCTATTCTTCTGACGGCTGCCAGTTTGCCACCAGTGGTGACGAGTTCCACATTCGACTCTGGGACGCCGACACAAGGGAATGGCTCCGCACGCTCATGGGACACCGTATGACAGTTCTCGACTTGTCATATTCGCCTGACAGCAACCAGCTCGCCTCTTGTGACATGAACAGTATCGTCCGTTTGTGGAATGTCCACACTGGCGAGTGTCTGAGCACGCTTTCGGGACATCGATACAGAGTCAGCACTATTGCGTATTCACCTATTGGCGACTTTATTGCCTCAGGGGCCTGGGACGGGACGGTGCGGCTTTGGAAGGCTGGCGAGGCGGCGGTATCCGATGCCATTTCGGACGGGCAGTTTGATAGTGCGGTCTGTGTCGATATCTCGCAGGATGGCAGGACGATCGTTACGGGTCATGACGACAGGACGGTGCAGTTTAGGGATATTATGACAGGGGAACCAAAAGTGATCCTGAAGGGTCATTTGTCTCCACTTGTCGATGTTCTGTATTCACCGTGCTTCAAGTGGATTGCTTCTGCCGGCCACGACTGTGCCGTGCGACTCTGGTCGGCCAGGACAGGAGAGTCTCTGCACGTCCTTGAGGGCCACACTCGGACCATTTGGGTCCTTGCTTTCTCTCCTGACAGCGCCTGGATCGCATCAGGGAGTAAAGACGCGACTGTTCGAGTCTGGGCTACTGAGACTGGCGAACTCAAGTTCCTTCTCGATGGCCACACGAACGAGGTCGGAGACGTCACATTCTCCCCCGACGGCGATCGGATCGCTACCTGCAGCGACGATAATACCGCTCGCGTTTGGTGCCTCAAGACTGGAACCCAACTCCTTTCACTCCAACACGAAAGCATTGTCGTACAACTATTTTACTCCCCGAACGGACAGGACCTCTACACTTTCCAAGAAGGAGAATTGAGCCTCCGGTGCTGGAACCCTCTGACGGCCGAACGGATCCCGATCTCTCCTCGATTCGACCAGATAACCAAGGGAGGCACTGTCTGGGCAATGTCGCCTGATGGACGGTTCCTGGCGGGGTCGCGGCCAGATGGCGTGATGGGACTGTGGGTCTGTTGGTCAGGGACGTTTTATGAAGTGCTTCGGACTTTTATCGGACTGGTACTCAAGATCCGGTGGAGACAGACAACTGATGGCGACGGTTGGTTGTACTTGTCGACGCGATGTGTGGGCGCGTTAAAGTTCTGGAAGGTGGTCGACAAGGGAAAGTCGATCGAGTTGCAGTTGGTTTCGAGTGTGGGGTTCAACGTGCTTTCGTTGGAGGAGACCGATTTGTCGGATGCTGTTGGATTGAGTTCTCTCAACCGCGATTTGGTCAAACAGCGGGGAAAGACAGTCTTCTAATGTTCCAAGGGCAGAAAATATATCCTTTTTTTCTTTGGTTTATGTTATGTGTCTTTGTCATGCTTATATCGACATATAAAGAAAATGAAAGATGAAACTCCTCACTTCACCTCTATTTGCACAAAGTTTATGAAGAGATACTCATTTAATGCAAAGCAAGGTTGAGAATCTACGCCCCTGCATTGTCGTGACTATGGTGTGACTTGGTGTACAGAGAAAAAAGCAGTCAAGTCTCACTTTTTTTTCTTCGGCGACGTCACCTTTTCAAATGCGTCTCGGGAGAAAAAGTCGTATTCTGTTCTCTCCGGATCTCATTTGTGCCAAATCCTTCACTCCTGCACTCTTTTCTGCCGAAAAATTATCTCGCCACTACATATATCCACCACCACAGGTCAGACTGGAGGGAGAGGGCGCTTGTTAATTGTTTGCTCTCACACAATCTGTCTATCATACACATTCACACACACACACACACACACACACACACACACACACACACACACACACACACACACACACACACACACACACACACACACACACACACACACACACACACACACACACACACACACATACACACACACATACACACACACATACACACATACACACACACATACACACACACATACACACACACATACACACGCCCTCCAAAACAGCATTAGCAAAGCTAATAACCAGATGTGACTCGAACCATACAGATCCTCTCCTTTGCGTCTCGTTCTTCATGGATACATCCTCTTAATACAACCTCGCGTTTCTCTGCAAACAGAGGGGCGTGATAAAAGAAGGTGTAACTGTGGGAGCAATACCTGCACGTATCGCTCTGCCTACAATCTGAATAAAGTGCCGGCTGTCGGATCGCGCCTTCCCGACGATGGTCGCGCTTCATTTTCGTTTCTCCCCATCCGAGATATGTGCCTTGATATTGAGTGAGACCGCGGAAATGGTTCAAGGACCAAACATCCTGCTTACGCGACTTGCCTTGAGCAGTGGCGTGAAGCAGTGTGAAAGTTACTTTCCGTAGGCCCCTACCAAAAGATTCACACTCCTCTTTCTATGCTCTCTACTATTGCGAGCCGGTTGATCGTCGCGCTCTTATGTCTCAGCGCCACACCTCGTCCAAGTCCAAACCCGCGTCCAAATTGGTAGCCCTCAATGCAAAGTCCCTGTCAAGAGCCGGCTCGGACTTTCTACCATTCTCAGGCTAACCTCTTTCCATTCCCTATCCAAGAAATCACCCGACTCGGGTTTAACTTGAAGTGGCGCCAAATGGACTTATTAGACTTCGTGTTATTCAGCACGAGGAGCTCAAACAAATGTTACACGGGTTTAAAATCCAAGGGGTGAAGGGCGCCACACACGCACCCAACCTTCTCTTGTCAATTGCACTTTGATTTCTTCCTCTCTGTCTCCCTTTTCAAAACGCCAAACTACTCACTGTTGTGGTTTGTTAAATTTGTTGGTGTTATCCGATTCACGAGGGGGAGGAACTTGTCTCCAATGCAAAGAACCATGGCGCCAACTATGGGCCTCCTTCTATCATGTAAGGGGAATAAAAAGAGAGAAAAGAGTACGATGAAGAAAGGGGAAGAAGAGGAGTGTATGTACGTCTTATTTTCGTTTGGGTCTTGAACATGATTTGCATGTTTGTTGTGCAGGAACATTGTTGAATAGCATGGAGGAGAGAGAGAGAGAGAGGAAGATGTGCGTGTGGCAGCATGGATATGAATTAGATTTTGCATGGTCGAGTAAAACGTCAAGGAGTCATCGAGGGAGAGAGAGAGGAAGATGTGCGTGTGGCAGCGTGGATGTGAATTAGATTTTACATGGTTGAGTAAAAAAGTCAAGGAGTCATCGAGGAACAGAGACGGGGCAGTAAGTGTGTGTGTCGGTGTGGTGTGTAGACAATGATGGTATGCTGCATATTGAATGTAATAATTCAGCCCATTTGCCTTCCTCCTGATGTTCCTCCATCTTTCGCCAACTCTCCATCGCGTTACTGCTCCCTTCCTTCCATAGGTCCTGTAATGGTTTCTGTTCATTGTTTTGTTCGGACAAAAAACAAAACATAAGAGTATTGTAAGGTTAGGCCGTTAATCTTGGCCAAGCTGCATGCATTGCATGAAATTTCTTTTTCCTTTATTTTGAATGTCGTTTTTTTTCTCGACCCCTGAATCACAACAATAAGAGATCCCATTTGTTTGCACATGCACAGTAGCAGTACATGTCTCCAGCTCATGGAATGTCGATGGTGCTCCTCTATGGGGGGGGGGGGGATTTACCACCACTTTCTCTCGCTCTCCTGCTCACACTCACCTTTAACCTCTCCCTTGGTCACAATTGACCCTCTTCCCTCTTTCTCTTCCTCTCTCTCTCTGTTATGCTCACTCTTTTTCTTTTTGAGTTCTTTCTTTCCCTTTCTCTCTTCTTCCTAATTGCACGCTCCTTCATCCATCTTACCCCTGTCGTTTTCATATATCTCACTCCCTTACTCTCTCCCCCCACTCTTGTCTCTTATCTCCTACCCCACTCTCATCCTCACTCTCACCCTCACTCTCACCTTCACTCTCACCCTCACTCTCATTTCTCACTGTCTCACCCTCTTTGGCCCTTTCCCTCCTTCACCCTCGATCCACAATCACATCCAACAACAGCATTCTCAATACCATACCTCCTTTTCCATACACTCATATACAACAACAGCTCCTTCTTCCAAAAGGCATGCTTTAAAGACACACTTCAGGATGACTGTCGCTTCACCGTTCTCCGACTTTCGATACCTCTCCTCCAACACCATCCGACCCTTGACCCTCCTTGCTGCATACTCCTCAAAATCTGCTCTTGCTGTCTCTGCATTAGTCAACGCCAACAGCAATTGCAATAACCATAGCAATAACAATAATAACAGTAGCAGCAACCACTCTACCGTTACCTCTCACCCTCCCCTTCCTCTTTCTTCTTCAGCTTCATCTGTCTCTACTCCGCCCACATTCTCCACACACACCCCACCTCCAACATCACCTGTCTCGGAATCAAATCGACCACAGACCACCATCAACAACAACAGCAACAACGGCAAACCCTCCTCGACATCATCTTCGACTACATCCTTTGATCCATTAATACTCCTCCAGGATCGAGAATGCGATCTGGCCTTTTATCAAAAGTACTTTCTGAATCAACGTAAAGTCGACTGAACGGGACAAAATGAAGGAGCTTTTGCTTTCGTGAGCACAGCAAAGACCATACTGACCCTGTCAACTCTGAACCATCGTTACTAATGACCCCTCTCCTTTTCTTTTCATCCTGTTCTATTTATTCATCTTTTACCCTTCATCCTTCACCCTGGATTATACCTAATCATGCTGCATATCGCCGTTATACCGCCCACTCTCCTTTTTATTCTTTTCGATCTCCATCCGTGACACTCTATATTCCTTGGACTTGATGTAGCCCATAGCAACTTTGTCGCCGCTCAGTCTGCACAGGGCCCAATTGTGGTCTCGATTGCTATTGACCGGAAAGGCTGTGTCAGGATTCTGATCAGGACAACTCAGGTGAGCAAAGAGAGTTGCCCCCTCTCCCTTCCTTTTCCTTCTTTCTCCTCATCCACCCCCTACAAATCGTTGCTATTCTGTCTTGTTTGGTTGTTGGAAACAATTTTTGCCACGGAACAAAATCAAACGTTCGCACAGGCTCAAAGAACACTAAAAAAAACCAATTCATGCAAAATCAAATATGGAAAATAGGGAAGCGAAAGGATCGAGCACCCATCATCGACGCACTCGATCCCCTGGTACAGAAAATTCTTCCTAGGAGGTTTCCTCTTCAACAACAGCAACAGTCCGTCGTACCATCTCTCAATTCTGAGCCAACTCTGTCCTGCAATCCCCATCGAGTCATTGGAACCATGTCACCATCGCGACTTGCCGCGCGAACTGGAGAGGATGGAGGAGCGACAGGTGATTAGGTCTTACAAGTTCGGTGTCGTCATGCTCCTGCCAGGGCAGACTCTGGAGTATCAAGGCCTGACGAATACGAAAGGTATGAGTTCAAGCCCCCCTTCAGCTCTCATGCATACAAACGCAGGAGCAATACTAAGGAGGAATCGATAAAAGAAAAAAAGGAGTAGGAGAAAAAAGGTTAAGAAGGGTAGGAAATGGCAAGAACCAATCGCGTGCCAAGCGAAAGAAACAGGGGGCTAGGAATAGGGAGAGAAAAGGAAAGGGAGCGGTTAGAGATGCATGAAGGAGTTCTTTTTTTTTAGGCGGGAAAGAAAGGCGTGGAAAGTGTTCCTGTTCGCTGTTTGTGGAGAGGGCGCATATTCGTTAGAAGGAGTGTTCTTTTCAATTGGTCTTCGATGTTGATAATAGATGATCTATGCACTCGCGGTCTAACAAAAAAGATAATCCCGTCGCAACTTAGAATCATGCACGCCTGAATTCTTGGACTTTTTGACCTGGTTGGGAGAACCAGTCCAACTTCAGGGATGGAAGGGATACAGGGCAGGATTGGATGTCATCGGTAAGGCGAATTGAGCTATGCATATTCTTTTCGCTCGTTATGCTTCAGTTGTGAGACCCATTGGACAACATGTGAACCAGCTGGAAGTTTGTATGCATGGATTCATGCACACATGCATGCTCTCCTACAAGTACCTGGCTCCTGGTAAGATACTTATATAATTTTGCTTACCGATATGAATTCCATCTATTAACTATTAGGGGACACCACAGGAGAGAAGTCCGTTTACACAAACTGGAATGGATACCAAATCATGTACCATTGTGCGCCCTTGATGCCGTTCAATCCCAAGGACCGACACCAAGTCGAACGTCGCCGATTCATCGGGAACGATATCGTGAGTTTCGTCTTCTTTCATGGAACACTGTGGAATTTCGTTGTGTTCATTTAACGATTTGGTGCGCTAACCACTCTTTTCATCCCTTTTGTCGTTTCTACACCCCTTTTTTTTATTTCCTTTGGAACACTTAGGTGGTCATTGTGTTCAAGGAGGACGACGATGACGAACAGTTTGACCTCTCTAGCGTTGGATCGCGACAGAACCGTAAGTTCACCCTCCGTTTCTCTCCTGAAGTGCTACCAGAGGGTATCTTATCACTAAGGAGTCAAGAGTTCCCTTTCTATGTATATTCCCCCCCCCCCCCCCCCCAAAAAAAAAAAAAAAAAAAAAAAAAAAAAACATTATTGACTGAATGTACTTTTCTTCATGCGCGTGCTCTCTTTCCTCTACAGATATCATTTGCATTGTGCGACCAATTCCAAGAGAATCACCAGCACACCCAAAGTCGTATCGAGTACAAGTGGCAGTCAAGGACGGGATCCGCAACTTTTCACCACTCCATTTTCCTACGGTTTTGCAGCGAGACGACGCATCAAGGGATCTCTTCCTACTCAAATGTAAGTGCGACAATGAGCACGAGTTGTCCTCGTCCTTACCAAGTCGGGTCGGAGGAGGAGGAGGAGGAGGGTGCAAACAAAAAAAGCTATTGTTGATATTGTTGTGATTGTTGATGTAGAGCGTCGTTGAGTTCCCTTTATTTTATATTTGTGTGCATTGACATTGCGCAAGGCGACCCGAAAAAAAAAAAAAGCGACTTATGAGTTTACTCTATCGTCTACATCTTTTCCCTTCGTCGTAGTGATCTGTGGAGAACGGGCAGCGTACAGGGCCAAGGCGTTTGCAACGCAGCTGTCAAGGACACGAGAGTCGTTACTTCGGGATGTCATTGAAACACACCAATAACAGCAAGCGGACGCTTTATGAGGATATTTCGTCAGTTCACATCAACACAACACCAACATCAACACAACCATATACCAACGTCTTTCCCCAGGTCTTTCCCCTTTCCCTTTACCTACTATGTATACCAACCACTAAACATCTAACGCTAATGCCCATCTCTGTACAATGTAACAATAAAAAGTAGCACCTACGATAACAGAAAATAGAAACAAGAAGAGATGTAATAACGATACGGAAAAAGGGATGAAAAATATGTCTCTTTAGAGTGTAAATTGAGAATAACCCATCATTGTTTTTTTGGTGCACCAAGTTGTGTGTGTGTGTGTGGTTTGGTTTGGTTCATGTACACAAGCGGACATAGGACAAGTGCGTGTGAAATGGATGGGATGATGGGTTGGATGATTGATGCCGAAGACAACAAAAAGAGGAAAAAAATATGGTCTGTCCGTTTTTAGACTTTGGAAGAAGATGTGGAGTAAAGCGAGACATCGAGAGAAGAGTGGAGGAGGGGATGGAAAGAGTAGCATGGAGAACAGCCCTGCGTGTATATTTTCATTTGTTTACTTGCTTAGCGGGGCAAGACGGGTGCATGATGTTTTGGGCAGGGGTCAGTTAGGGTGGGGGGGGGAGGTTTTTTTTTTCTTGTTTAGTGTCTAATGTTTGTTTTCCTTGGGTTGCTATTTGAATTAATCATGACAAAACATACAAAGTAAGCAAAAGATGGATGGGATGGGGTGATGTTTGAAGTCAAGAGGGAAAAGGAAAAGTGGAAAACAATTGTCCAATTGGCAGGTGGGCATTAACGAATAACTTATTGTTCAATGCTATTACCAGGTCGGTAGCATGTGTCAAATATGCAAGCAGGACTTCATGATTGCTATCATAGGAAGGAGCACTCATAGCTCTTAGTTGAGGAAAAGGAGGAGACGGAGTATTACGATGTGCGCCGTTTTTAGGAGAGGCAAAGTGTCCGAGAGACACATGTCCAAGGAGGAAGAAAGCAACTAAACTTTCATTTGAAAGAGGAAGGAAGGACGCTGGATGAATTATGAACAAACGGTGCAAGGCAGGCAGAGGGACGGGGTCAGATGTACGAAACTTGCAAATGGGCGTTGTGTATGTATTTGTGTGGGGCGGGATGACCATAAAAACAAGTATCCAAACGGTCTCTCTCTGAAAGAAAAAGGGTACATACACATAGCATACATGGCATGTGTTGACTGATACGGAGATGCGCCAAAAGTGAACAGCCAATTGCGGCACACCACACCAGGAGGGACAAGAGGTGCAGGTTTGCTCAGTCGATGTTGTGCGCTTCGCATTTGCGTTTTTGAATTCTGTTGTCGACAATAGTCGATGCGAGTGTAAGAAGAGTAGGAGCCGGGAGAAGGGAGAAGAGAGTCCGCGGACATGCAGGCTGATGGATATGAGTGAAGGAATCATACGTTTGTCAGGCAATGTAGGTGTGCGAGTGGCGAAAAGGCGGAGCACAATTAAATCGATGCTCATCTTTTTTTGTGTTCTTTCTTTCCTTCCTTTCTCTCTTCTCCTTCTTTCTTCTTCTCTTCTATTCATCCCTTCATCCTTTCATCTCTTCATCCTCCTCCTCTTTTTGCTTATCCTCTCCTTTCACCTTCATCGTCTTCTTCTTCCTTTTCCTTCTACACATCGACACTGCTTCCTCTCGTACTCACACTCCTTAGACAAATTGTACACACGCGACCGTTGGAATTCGACTCTCACTTTCTTTCTTTTCCACTTTGGAACCATTATATTGACTCCGCCTTTCTTTGTCGTCTTTACTCCACACCTTTTCGACTTACTCAGCAACACCCCGCACACATACACACATTCTCTCTTGATCCTCGATCTTGCTCAAGTGCTTCTTTAAGTGTGCAAGCAACCGGAGTCGCTCCTTTTTCATAAAGAAGAATCCTTTTGGTTTTAGTTAGGTTAGTGGCGAAACTTACTCCACAGAACACGTCCCAACTGATAAATAGAAAGGTCACCTGCCGACTCATCTTCCCTGTACCTGAAATCACTTCACCACTCGGTCGTCGGTGTCGAATGGAAGACACATTCAGAAACAAAAGTCAATGCTAATGACGATGCTGACAGATTACGTCCTTCCATGACCTGTCTCTCGCCCTATAGAATACTTTCCACCAAGAGAACAGTGCGACAGTGGCGGACTCCAAAAAAAATATACACGGACCCCGACCATCCAGGAGGAAAAGAACACACAACCGACACACCCTTTTCCGCACCCAACATCGACCTTCTTTTCCTTCTTTGCTGAAACAAGAGAACAGCTGTGAGCAGGGTTCGGTCTATCAAACACAATCCTACTTTCTTGTTTCGGCTCGCGTAAACCCAAAGGAAACAAATACCCATCGCTCAATTATTACCGCGAAGACAAGAGCAACGAACGGAAACCAGCCCGCGCAAAATCTAGAAAAGTCGAGAGAATTAAGTTGATTGGAACCAAATAACGAATGTAAGTGTTTGGGAAGGTCTATATCTAGCTGGTATTGTTTTGTTGGTTGTGCCCCCACAAAGTACAACGAAGAGTACGTGGCCAATATCCACAAGTGCCAATTGTGCTCACCAAAAAACTGCACCTAACATTCCTGTTTGTGTTCTCCCTTTTCCGTCCATCTTTTCTTCTTTAGATTGAGCTCTCAACAGCCACAACCACCACCACCAGGATCCATTTCCCCCTCAGCCATCGCGTCCAGAACTTGCGCACTTTATCCAATAACGAACAACGCCCACTTTAACGACAAAGCAACAACACATCATCACCATGGCCAAGGAAAAGAAATCACGTCAGCAACCTGAGCCTGCCAAGGATGCGACACACAACCCCGACAGTTATGCAATTCCAGTCGACACCACAGCGTCGTATTTTCCCGCCTCGGATGCAGCAAGTCACTACTCCAAGGAAACAACCACATCTGACCACAGGAAGAGTAAGAGCTGGACAAAGTCGCTGAAAAAGGCCACCAACTCGATCCTCTACATGGCCATGCCCCCAACAAGCGTCGACCATGTCCCTATGATTGTGGCCCAAACTCCCATGTCGCCCGACCGTCTGATCCCGACAGTGCACTCGCCCATCTTACAGTCGACCGCATCTTCTATCATGACCATCGCCCCTACTTCCTCAAGTACAACCTCTGTACCTATATCAACATCGACGACAGCAGCACCATTCAGACCCATATCAGAGACAGCTGCATCCTCAACTGCCTCGGTCACAACGACTTCCATTGCCTCGTCATTATCATCAAGTCAACGGCGTCACCACCACGACACTAATGTCGGTCTCTGGGACGCAACTGCTACTACCGGAGCCCTGCCAGGACAGCCAGAGTCAAGTGGGATCGCAGCACCATACACGAACAATCACCACCCTACCCAGTACACTTCCTCCTCGACGACTTCCTCAACCTCAACTCTAACACGGATGGCGGGCAAAGGCAAGGAGCGAGCAGAACCTTTGCACTCGGGCGCCTTTTACGATGGCATCGAAGCAGAGGCGTATGCGACTTCCCTCGATTATGACAATTCCGAGCGTACCTCCTTGGTCTCACCTCCTTCCTCTCCTCCCAACCAAACCAACCACAGCGGCAGTAGGACGAACGGACACCACTCTCTGACAACGTTTGTTATTGAAGCTGCAACTGCTGTCCAACCAGAACATGAGGACAGCCAGGAGGCGCTCCCTTCGCCCCCACCATCACCCATCAACGTTCTGCAGAAGCAGGAGAAAGTCAAGCCTGTGTCGCGCAGGGAGTTTCAGAAAGAATATGGGTACCAGCCGGAGGTTTTGGAGGTGCAGGACGTCATTCAGGCGCGATCGATTTCACACTCTACCACAAGCATCAGCGCCTCTACCGAGCCCCAGAAAGCAGAAATCGTGACCGTCGAGACGCGAGAGTTCAACCAAGAGCTCCTTCCCGCGATCCCCAACAATATCTCCCGGTTCAGTTTTGCAGTGGATCCTGAGTCAGAGTCAAGCCACTCTACCACCGCATTTTCGACATCTGAGATCGATACAACATCCAAGGTTGCCGCCGAGGTTCCAACTGTTCCAGTGGTTGAAACTCGACAGGATATTGTCTTTGTCAGCTACGAGGAGGAGCCTGAACCATTGCCGCCCGTTCGCACAGCACCTTTACCCCCCATCCCACAGCAATCTCAGCCCCAAGCTCCGCCTCAGCGTCTCCAAATGTCCGTCTCTGCACCGGTTCCACAAGCATATTCAACTACCACCAATGCCCGTGACGCTGCTCGCAAGGAACTCACCATCGATGTTAGCGCGCCCTTGCCTCCTTCTATATCCTCTTCATCTATCAACGCCGCTGCCAACACCACGAGGAGGCAAAAGAGCAAGAGCATGGTCGTGGACGCAGCAGGATTCCCCATGGTCTCTCCACGCGCCTTAGCCCTCACACGGTCGCTGTCCAACAGGAATAATGCCAAGCCCCAGCCTGTCAAGAAGGCCCCATGGCTCTGGCACCAGGATGGGGTCCACCAGCAGCGTCTTGAGTCTCATCAGATCTTGACCAAGGAGCAGGTCTTTGAGCAATACCGTCTCGATCTGGAGACCGAAGGCCCTAACGGTTTCTTCCTGTTCAAACTGGTGAAGAAATTCAGGCGTCAGGACCCTTCATTGGAGGCCATCTCGTCGACCTTGTTGGATGCCGAGATCACTTCTTCTCCTGTCTCGAACTCTCCCTCCAGCCCCACACCAACCTCGATCCTTGACAACCTTGACGCCAGCTCCGTCTCCCAGAAGCTCAAGCGCCAGTTGTTGTTACAGAAGCGCAAGAAGCAGCGCGGCAGCAAGAATTCGGGTGACGGCGAGGAGGAGGATCTCAACTTGGAAGCACTGCTGAAGATGTCGAACAACAACACCAGTCTCCAGAACCTGAACTCATCCCTCCAGGAAGTCATTGATGCCGTTGACAGTCTGAAGGAGTCTCAGGAATGGACCAGCTTGTTGGATCGACCCCAGGACTATGCCCATCAACGATCCCAGAAGCCTGTCTTCCCCGACAGTGATGGAGAGTACACATCCAAGGACAAGGATCCCGCTCAAATCGATGCTCTCGAGAGAAGAAAGGGTGTGTATTCAACTGGTCGAACAGATGGCACCAACTTGATCTCAAAGAAGAAGCAGAGGGCCTTGCAGCGACGCTCCTCAGTCACGACATCTGCAGCAGGAGCAGCACCAGGAGGCGGATCTCGGAAGGGAAGCAATTCACTTTCGTCAAGTGGTCCTGTCGACTTGGAGTCTGGTTCTGTGGAAGGTCCCTCTGGTAACAATGATCGCCGTGGATCTGAAGCGGCGGTGGCGGCCGACGGAGGATCACAATTCAAGAAGCAGGCAATTGCGCAGCTTCACATCTACAGTCGCAACGGTCTCAAGTTCAAGTTTGATGTGATGCAAGACAACGAGCTCCACTTTGTCGAGGCCTCCAAGAAGTACACATTCATGGACCCACTTGCAGCCCACCGTCAGCCCAACTTGGAACGGTCTGGCAGTGGCAGGACAACCCTTTCGCCTCTCAACTCGCCTACCTCTGCCAACCCACCTCCTCTCCCGCCACACCATCCCAATGGCAGCAGGAGCAATGGACGTCGCGCCAGTTCGGCTACCGCGGTCTCGACAGTCTCGGATCACAGCCGTGTTACGATCTCCCCTGGCAGCGCTCCTCATCGCTCTAGCAGCACAAGAAGCAAGAGCACTGTTGGATCTACGTCTGGTGGTCGGAGAGTGTTTGTGACCCGGCTTGGTCGACACACCCTGTTGACATATCCCGAGTACAAGGTGTTGGCCAAGTCTGCCAGTGGATTCACCCTTGGTGCCAAGCTGCTGCTTCAACGATCCATCGCCGTCGCGACTCCCAGCTTCCACGGCAAGGACTCTTCACCCACCCTGCAGCAGCAGCAGCAACAAAACAATGGATACGACGCTGGCACACCCATCAGCCCCACCAAGAACTATTCTGCCACACCCACTCCAAGCAGCACCACCACCAATGGAACAGGCGAGTCGGACTATTTCAGTCTCAAAAAGAAACCCCGTGCCATTAGTGGGTTTGCTTCCAAGGCTGTTGCGGCTATCAAGGCACCCTCAACTCCTGGCGCCTCATCCAACTCCAAGGCGACGACCCCTAGACCCATCGTCACCCCTTACAACCCCGCCGAGTACAAGAACAAGTCACTGGCTGTCTCTGCGAATGCACCTGTGGTGACTGCCATGGCCGAGGAACCCCCATCGTTGAATGGAACGAATTATACCCAAGGAGTCGATATACCCCGGCCATCCGACTCCTCATACCCGATGCTGCCCACGTCGCCCTCTCCTCTGGACTTGTCGTCTCCTCCCACACCAGCCAACCTGTCATCATCGCCCCCTCCCATGGCCATCCCTTCGTCGTCGTCTTCGTCAAACCCTTACAGCTCGACCATTAAGCGCCAGGGTAACCAAGCAGGCCTCAAGTTCCAGCATCTGTTCATTACAGTCCACCAGCGGCTCCAAAAGCTCGAGTTGGACGGTGGTCCCTCGCTCTATTCTTCGCCCCTGGTTCAATGGACGGTCATTGAGGACCCTGCAGAATTGCGCTGGTGGCGTGACAAGATTGGTATCCAGATGATTGGTCGTCTCGAGGGTGATGAGTTGCTGAATGGCGGCTCGTCGTTTTCATATTCTCTCGGTGGTCCCAAAACTCGGCAGCAAGGAACCATATCAGCCCTTACGTCGGCCATCAGTGTTCGATCGTCATATATGTCTGCCCAGAGCACCATCTCGGATGCGTCCTCGTCGCTGTCATCGTCCACCTATAAGAGCCAGGTCTCGGTCGAGCGGTTGGGGTACCGGTTCTTAAGAGTCTCGGGTCACATGGGTACCTTGAAGGTCACTGTCTCGGAGCAGGTTGAGGCACGTGCGGTGGCATTGGCAGTGCAAGCCGAGATGCTTCGCCAGAAGAGAGTGGCTCGTATTCAACAAATGCAGCAGCAAGGTCGCCGCCCTTCGTTGGGAAATGACCTGTTAACCGATCAGACTTGGGTCGAGCTAGCTGATACGTTCGAGACTTTAGATGCCGACTATGTTGATGAGGAGGATGAGAGTTTTGAGGAGGATAGCGAGATTGACGGTAGCAGTGGGGATGAAGAAGCCCGCCGTCTTCGCCATCGCCAACAAAAGCTGCAGAGGAAGAGGCAGCAGCGACAACAGCAGGAGAAGTTGCAGAGGAGTAATAGTGGTGGTGGAGGAGGATTTTATGACATGTACGAGTATGATGAGTTTACGGGCCGGACACACTTGAAGAAGGACCCGAGCGTGGACCGGTTTTCGAGGCGGAAGAGACATGACCAGGCGGCGGCCATGGAAAAGAAGACTAAGCAGCAGCAACCCTTGATTGAGAGGATGACGATGATTGTTGGGCAGGCCAAGGTGTTCAAGGGCGACTGGTACATGAAGAACGTCTACAAGTTCCATCTATAGTCCTTTCTTTCTCGATAGCTCCTACCCCCTTATCAATAATGATCATTTCGCGTTTTTTGGTACACTCAAGACGTGACGCAGGAAATGCGACCATTTGCGGTGACACTGTGACGTCAGAAATGGACAAGTCGACCCGTGGCCAGTCACTCTGCCATTCGCGATCGACTTGCACGGTCAGGCCCATGTAACTCTGTCAGACATTCTCACTCATTCACGCTCCACACCTCCTCACCTTCACCCCTTCCTCCTCTCCTCTCCTCTCCTCTCCTCTCTCCTTCCTCATACCTCTTCACGAATAACAACAGAAATTAACATGGCCACCCTACCACCCATCGCTTCCGACTACTGTCCCCCTTTTGCGCCCTTCTTTGGCCTTATGGGCGTCGCCAGTGCCGTACGTTTTCTGTCTATTCTTGACGTCTATGCAACGCTCTCTATGAAAAAAACATAGTATCGACGGCTCTTGTAACCTATATGACGCTCACGCTCGCTGCTATTCTTTGTTTTTTTTTCTCTTCTGGTCTTCCTTGCTAATAGATGGTCTTCAGCAGTACGTGAACAACTACTTGTGGTGGAGTTTCGAGTTGTTTTTTTTGGTTCCATTGGAAGTGACAAGCGACACAAAGAGCTCAGAGAACGCACCACATACAACATACGACCAGCATTCAACCAGCCTACAGCCGACGTGTAGAACAGAGACGGAACCAAGCAACGCAGGCGGCGATAGTATTTCTGTTTAGTTCGACCCAACAACATATCTCACGCTGCACTACACGACACGACACGGCATCAATTCGATCAATCATCCTCTGCACACTACCCCTATCAGAATGGACAGACTGATACTTTCAGGAACAGCTGACCGCCTCAACATAACAAACGATTATGGCGATCCACCCCAACTGACAAAAAGACATACAGACATGATTACCCTGGCTGAACGACTGAAGGAGTCCAGGACTTTTCAATTGCTCAGGACGTTGGTGGACAGAAGTGCTTACTATGTTCTTTCATCACTATGACTTCTTGACCATCAATTTAGGCATGGGAGCAGGATATGGTACATTCAAGTCGGGAATCGGTATTGCCGGTATGGGAACTTTCCGCCCTGAGCTGATGATGAAGGTACGGAAAGGGAATTGCCGACGCAATGTGATTTGTTGCGAACTGGATCGACAGGTGTTTTTATTTTCGTGGCGATAGATGGGATCGACGATTTAACCACAACAATTCTCATTAACAACTTGGGACGTTTCCTGTCTGACTCATGTTGTATCTATGTAGGCGCTCATCCCCGTCGTCATGGCCGGTATTATCTCTGTCTACGGACTGGTCATCTCTGTCCTGATTGCAGGAGCATGTATGTTGTCCATTTTTTTTCTTTCTTTGAAACTCGCGACAAAGAACGATTAATGTTATCATGTCATTCCATCGCGATTCGACGAGGCACTCACCACATCGACCTTCATCATCTTTTTGAAACTAATGACGGATAATATAGTACTCCCTTCAGGATACTCACTCTACACGTAAGGAAACATTCTCGTTAGCTGTGCAATCGACAGCCAATATGCAGCCTATTTATCATCAATTGAATTATCCTAGAGTCGTTACTAAATTTATCTTTAATGCTGGGAATGCAATAGTGGATTCGTCCACCTCGGCGCAGGTCTGTCTGTCGGTCTTACAGGATTAGCTGCTGGATATGCCATTGGCATCGTAGGCGACGTGGTAGGTTAAATATTTCCATTCACTTTTTTTCCATTGGGACCCGTGCATACTTCCCCTCGTGCTTTCTTTTGCTGAATGAGTTCCATCGATCAGTCTCTCTTTTTTCTGGGCAAGCCAAGCCATTCAGGCGCGCGTTTTTATGCATAATCGTTACACGCATATCCAGTTTTTGCACTTGTCCAGACCTTTTTTCATTCTTTTTTTCTTTTGCACATGTGTATGTTTTTGTTGTGTTTTTTGTCAATATTATTGTTGAGAAATAACTCGGTTATTATTTGTTTGCTCACAACTTTATTGACCTCAATATTTTCTTTCTCTTTGTCCTCCTTCTTACCTTCGTCTCCCGTTGCCCTGCCTCTGCCTGCTGTCTTCTGTCATCACTTTTGCCTCCATTATATTTAGTGCGTCCGTGGGTATGCATACCAGCCAAGACTGTTTGTGGCGATGGTGTTGGTCCTCATTTTCGCAGAAGTCTTGGGACTCTACGGATTGATTGTTGGACTTATCTTGAACACTAGGACCAACAACCAGTGCTAGATTGAGATCATTTACCCATTGTTCTATCTTCCCGGTTGCTGGCGTGATTGATTGACGCCGGTGAAGACAGAGAGGCGAGAACTGTGGTGTGATGGTTGACAGGTGGGCAGGGACTGATGGACACGGACTGAATGATGGGTGGACGAGATTAAGACGCTGGTCTACACATTTTAGTTACATGAACCTCAGGAAAAACACATGGTAGACAGACTCACTTTTTTCACCAACAAAATACAAATTGCAAAACAAAAAGCAACACAAACATAACACGAACGGTGCACACTCAAATGGATAAATCCAAACAAGCCCGAGCTCAGGCCCCATGCCAAGTCTAGTGAAGAAGAACAAGGCAAAGGCAAAAAAAAAAAAAGCAAGAGCTCTCTTTTTTTATCGTTGACGAATGACAATTGAGTTGGAAGTGAGAAGTGTAAGACATGCAGAGCAAAGGAGCGAGCAAAATGAATGTTTTGTCTTGTAGTCTGTAGTGTAGAAAATCGATTGTTCGATACAATTTCGATAATCGCACATCAAGAAATTACTGCCGCGGTTACTAGCGAGAGAGGTGGTTCTATTTCCCAGGGAAAAAAAGAAAAAAAGAAAAAAAAAAGAAAAGTAGTGTGAGACAGCTCTAGACTAATGAACGATAGGGGGACCAGAGGTCATTCCGTTTCTGGGAATCAAACTAGCATCCCACACCCACACCACTAACACCCACACCACTAACACCCACACCCCGGATTAGGGGGCGACAAGGAGGTCCGGGGCCAGGCCAAGGCAAAAGCAAAAGCAAGAAGAAAAAAAAAAGTGCACCAAGCGTGTTTTGGGTTAGAGCACTTTTCTTTGCTTTGTCAAAACAGTATTTTTGTGCACGAGTGTGTGAATGTGTATCTGGATGTAAAGTGGATGAGAGTGCGAGTGTGAGCACTTACGGTAGCTCGAGTTTTCTTTTTACTAGTGGTGGTGGAAATTACTTGATGTGTGTGTGTGTTGGTTTGTTTTGGTTTTTGGTGGTTGTTTTGCTTTAATGTGAAGAGCCCGTTCTTGTCATGTCCTGTCCTGTCTATCTGTCGAGGTGGTAGTCTAAATGGAGGGACGGAGGGGGATAAGGAGAAACAGAGAGGAGAGAGATGCATGCAATTGCGAGAGCTGCACAACTGACAAAACAAACAACGACTGACAAGCAGGAACGAGTCAGACAGACAGGGGAGAGATGAGCAACGAGGGAAGGAGGGGAGGAGGGAAGAGGAGATGCTATTTTTCGCTCAATTAGGGAGAAGGGGTTTCTAGTGGTATGAAAGCGACAGGGAAATGCCCCGATTGCTAAAAACAGTGAATGGAAGAGAGGAGGGGAGAGAGAAGAAGGAGGACGATGTCTATTCATAAGGATGGCGCATTTCGAGAAATTAAACGAGGGAAGGAGGAGTATGGTCCAATGGACCCTTTCAGGAAGACAGGAACAGGAAAGAGAAAAGAGAGAAATGTACGATCGCGATCGATGGCAATGTTGATGGCATTGGTATTGGGTAAGATCGATTAGAGGAACGTACCCGCGTGTGCCTGGTTGGAAAGGCATGCGCGTGCCAGCATGAATATTTTGATGGACGCAGTGATGAACAGAGAGAACAAATAAAAACGAGTACGAGGGGACGAGTACACGAGAATAATAAACAGCAGGACAAGGAATAACAAGAGCGTATTCCTTGTGGCCATCCATGGTAACTCCCTTGTATTCCCTCCCCTGGAAGTGGAAGTGGAAGGGTACCGTACCGTACCATTAATTGGTATTACAGTATGTGGATGGTGTTCAACCTTGTTTTCCCTATCCGCTGTCTGACCCTCGTCCGCTGTTCGTTGTCCGTTGGGAGATTGAATTCCTGTCTCGGGGTACCTCTTTTACTTCTTTCCTCTTTCCTTCTCTCCTTCTCTCTTTCCCTTTTCCTCTTCTTACTTCTTCTTCTTCGTCTTTGTCACTCCTTCACCTTTCGTCCATCCCCCATCCCCATCCTCTCTCTCACCCTATTAACGACCCCTTCCCACCTCGGATATAACCGCTTGTCCAACACTCCCTTCTCCTTCCATCCCCTCCCTCTTCGTATACCCCTCCCCTTATACCCTCTCGTACCACCTCCTCCCTCTCTTCCCTCCTTTTCCACTTGCATTCACTCCTTCTACTCGCCTTCTTTTCTACATCAAGTAGTCGAATGAACATTACCTGCTGAAAAAGACTCCGAGCAAAAGAGAAATGTCATCCTACCAAACTTACTCATCCCACTACTCAAACAACAACAACTCCTCATCACAACACCCATACTCCAGTCGCTCAACATCCCCCGCGACAACACTCTCACCTCCCTCACCAACCATCGGTAACCGTGGAGGCACCAGTGCCACCACCTCTGCCGCCATTAATATCGACTCCCAAACACCCATCTACACCATTGACTACAGCCACTCAAATACATCAGGATCAGTAGGGGCACAACGAAGCGGTTCGCCTTCGTTACCACCCCTCGGAAGCCCCACCAGCACCCTCCACAGCAGTGACAGTCGAAGCAATACCTTCAATTCACAAAAGCGCACCGCGTCTCCGACCATGGCCTTTTCTAATACCCCTTTGCCGGAACCGACGCGGTGGAAGCGGGTCCGGTTGACGGTCATGAAGCTTGCGACTGTTGAACGGTTGCAGTTGCTCTGGGGTCTGCTTGCAGTCCTGGGTACCGTGTCCTGGATTGCCCTCTTGCCAGCCTATTCCTTCAGGTATTGGCTAGTTGCTGTTTTTTATTCCTTTAAGTCGTCTCTCTCTTTTTTTATTTACGCCCTAAAACAAAATCCCATTGATATGAAAAATTGTGAGCGATGAAATAGAGCGACTAAGCATATGAAAGAGTCACCAATGGGTTCTCCTCTTGGTTATCTGTCGATAGCAACTGTTCTGTCCATTCAAGTCGATACTCACCCCTGGCGTCTTTCTCTTCACGTTTCATTTTCATTTTAGAAGTGGCCTTGGGCGCGGCACCTTCAGTGACCCTTCCTACAGTCTTTGTAAGCCATCCCTTTCATTGCTCCTCTGCAGATCGTCCTCCCCCTTTATTTTATTTTTCTAATCTCGTCGACCAAGGTCGCTCACAAGGTTCATCCTCTAACCATTGCCAACTCTATCTTTACACCTTTGCGAAAACTAAAATAGTCTTGGTTGCAACTGTCGGAACGTCGTTTTCAGCCATCTGGCAATCCCTTTGTCCATTCCTCATCCGCCAAAGTCAACGGGCCCTCCTCCCCCGCATCATCAACCACCCCTCTACCCAAACTGCCACCATCGTCGTTTCCGTCGTCCTGACCGTCCTCAACTTCTTTAGCTGGATCATCTTGGCCGCTGGAGGCGATACCGGTGCGCATACCAACTGTATGACGGGCCCCTTGGCCGATAGACCTGGATACATCTCGCAATGCCGGGGCGTCAATGTTGCGATTGCGGTCGATGCCATTGTGTTCTTGCTCTGGATCCCCATCTCGGTCGTCATTGTCTGTGGAACGGTCGAGCGTGGTCTGTGGTGGTGGGGCGAGGATGATGGCTGGGCACAAGGAGAGGGCCTGGTTGGAGGATCGAACATGATGTCTGAGGAAGAGTTTGATATGAAGATTGGTGTTGGCGGAAGCAAGCGTATCAAGAGACGTCAGACTGTCTTCCCGACCGAGGAGGAGCAGGCTGAGCATCCAGGAATGGTCATGATCCAACAACCTAAGCCAGCGTTTGTCACACCCATTGCTTCCCAGTTCCGGTCGTCTTCAGGTGGAGCCGACGACGACCTCGAGAACGGAGACGATGATGATTTCGGCAATTTCACACCTTCGAGTTACAGGCGGCATCACCAACAACGTCAACAACAACAGAGGCAACGATTGCAGCGCAAGGCGTCGACGAATTCATTGTCGAGTCGGTTGTCGACTTTCTTTGGCGCCGGTTGGGGGGCGGATGCTATGCCCCCTTCATCTTCTTCGTCACCCACAGAACCTGTCCCTGCGCTCCCACCCATGCCTATGATGCCTTCCCAGTACGCACAGGAGAATGCTCGCAATGCCGCCGCTGTTGCCGCCAAAACGAACGGCGGCGACACCGTCACAGCTTCGACCAGAAAGAAGAAGAATGAAGAGAAGAAGAAGGAAGAGGATGAAAAGGAAGCAGAGGAGGATATTCCGTTGCATGGAGATAGCTATGAATCTCAATGGCATTCCCGCTGGTCTTGAGTACTGGACTATGACCGACCGTTTGATAGTTCCTACATAGACACGTTCTCTATTATTCTTAAACTTCCTTCTCGCTCCTCTAAAACGATAATGCCCTTTGTTATATCTTGTATGTACTGTACATGGTCGTAGCTGATTTGTGCTGTTTGAAAAATTGCAAGGGGGCTATGGACATTGTGCTGCATGCACCGTCTTGATTTCAGGCGACCTCGCCCCGTCACCCTATCTTCCCGAATAATACATTTGCATTCGGGTCATAATGTACTACATTGCAACGGCCTCTTTCCCTCCTCTTCCCTGATCCCTCCAAGAGCCTTCTCTTTTTAGTTTTAGTTTTGGTTTTGGTTTTTAATAAGTCTCCTCACCCTTTCACCCCTTCTCCGTTCCCCTTGACCTTCTATCATTTGAAGATAAAGAGACTTGATTGTCAGTTGTTAAGCCCAAGCTATACAACCTCCCCTCCCTTCTCCTTCACCATTTCAAAAATCAAAAACCAACTCATACACGTACCATGAGGCTCCCCGCTGTCACACCATCCGTCACCCTCTCGATATCCTCCGTGGCTTTGATCGTCGCCACTCAAATTGAATCTGCCTCCATGCCAGCTACTGTCCCTGAGATCGTCAGTATAGCCATTGCTCTTCGACCACAAGCGGACAACGACTCTGTCCACTCCCACCAGCGTCGCCGTCGTGAGGAGGCGACCCTGACTCTTCACAAGCATGCATCAATGTCAGACGGTCCCAAGTGATGACGGAGTCAAGTCCGAGCTTGATGGAACCGACTAGCTAAAGCCTGTAGAAACCCCTGCGCCCTCAGGGCGGGAAGCATTCCGTGCCAAGTGGCTCCTCGATACTTTGTAAGGGTGTTTTCCTCGTTCCCTGCGTATAAAGACTCAGATGGAGTCTCGGGCTCAGACGACGACAAAGACGAAGACGAAGGCGAATAGTGATATTGCAACCGTGCAGACTAAGGTAATAAAAACACAAGGCTAACCCATGTCAACAAGTTTGATAGGAATGAAGGAGGGAGCACCCGGCATAGCTATGCTGACACATACAATCATTCTCAGTTAAAGTGTTTCATTTTTTTGTAATGGATATGCCGTCAACTATGAAACTCAAGGGACACGTAGAGGGAGGCTTGAAAAGGAAAATAGATTTCGGGACGCGTCGAAAGTCACAGGTCATAAAGTGGGGAGAAGGTGGACGGGACAGGCCCTGTTGATACAAATGTTGGAATGCAAGTTGGAGGATGGATGGAAGAGTTACAAGATGGAACTGGTGACCTGGAGGGGAGTATTTCCTAATTTGCCAGGAGGATGACATGATAGCTCCTGTTTTAGTCCCCTATCCCTTCTTTTCTCCTCGACCTCGCTTCCTTCCTCGGATTCTGAGGATACTTTTGCATTCCTGCCTTAGACTACCAGATGGAAACCCATGGCCACTCCATTACGTTACTCCTCCCCCTCGCTTCCTTCCTCAGGCGTGGGATACTTTTTACATTTTCACCTTAGAGTTTAACACTGCCAACTGGGTGTCAATGGCCCCTTCCTCTGCTATCCTACCTGCACGCCCTCGCATCTTATTTTTTTTGGCATTGCCAACACTGGACAAATAAAGACCTGGCATTCAGCTACAAAAAAAACCGCCATCATGGCCTTGACTGTCATCCTTCAAGTCTAAGTCGCACCCTTGCCAGATTCTGTCCCTGCCTTTGTCCCTGTGGTGGTTGCGATTCGATATGTACCTGTCCACGACACCCTATCTCTTCCAACCGAGAATTCAGAAGATACCCCGATACCAAACGGCAAGCGTTGAATTGAACATAAAACAAACAGCGTGGACAAGAAATATTGAACCCTTCTCTTCCTCTATACTTTCCCACTCACGGATCCCTTGTTTATTTGTTTGTTTGTTTGTTTGTTTTTGATGGTCACCAGCAAGGCGTTCCCTACCTTATGTTGTTTAACAACAGCAATAGAGGGTGGGAGAAGAAGGAAGAAGGGCAGTTAAAGAAGAGGAAAAGAAAATAGATCAAAGAATGAGCTTAGACCAAGGGCCAACTCACACACAGCAGGCAAGAGAGAGTTGGAGTCAACCCAATTTCGTTTTTCTTTTCCGTCCTTTTCTCACACGTTCTTCCCCTCTCTCGTCTTCTTTCGTTTGGTCGTTCTGTCTTTCGTTGTTTGTTTTTGTCAACGACACACACGCAGCTTAAACTGATTCGCACATCCAATCACGCCCTGATTGCACCGGAATCATACGTCACTCAATTTCCCTTCGACCGACTCATCAGCCGCACTAAGAGAGCAAAAAGTCTCTTGCAAGGGACGCACTTCCTCAGCAAACAGCAACAACAGCAACAGCAGCAGATAACAACAAAACGCTACAAACACCACACACAAAATCCATACACATGTCATACTTCATACTTCATATTTGATCTCCCGACAACCGCTCTCTCCATATCAACCATCGTAAAAGATCATATAGTTCTTGTATCCCCAAGCACACCTCTAAACTGCACAAACTGCAGCAACAAAAAATAAAAAAAAACAACACGCGTCAAAGCCAAGGTACGCTCAAACGAGTACCCTTTTTCTCGTTTTCTCTTTTAGACAGCCTTCAGCACTCTACCAACAATCCCAAAACTATCAAACTGCCAACAGCCGAACCAACACCCAAACCAACAATACGCGCACAAAAAAAAAAAAAAAAGACCTTTGCTCTACCTTTGTGTACATTGATTTTTTTCCCTCGCCTCTACAGCTGTTGGGGCTGAAGGGTAGCTTGGATCCCTATCTGCTTTACCAGGCTTGCGATGTCTTTCAGCTTCTCTGGTATGTGTCCAACGACGAGACCGCTCTTGGAGCTATATTCAGACAAACGGCCATTGCGGCGAATGGATTAACCAAGGTCTCGGTCGTGATGAAGTTGGATTTGATGTCTACACTAGAGGGTCTTAGCAAACTATAGGAGGCGCTAGGCAAGACGGCTAAGGTTGCTGGGTCTATATATGGAGGCTTCGTTTGCTGATGAAGAGTGCTCGAAGAGTCTTTGACAGCTTGAAGCATTTGGATCTGGTCGAAGGCATTCATGGTATCCCGCCGTCAAAGTTGCCTATGCCTTTGCCAAAGCCGGCCAACTGAAAGATCTGAAGCAGTTGACGATGGAGGGCCTCTGCCGCCACGATCATTTCTTCCAATGAGGGATCTCTCAGCTGTTGGGGCAGATCGCTGTCGACACACTCTAGTCTGTACTTATACACCAGCAAGCCAGCTGCTTCCTTGGTTATCTTTACCTGCACAATCAAGACTGGGGTCAGGATGAGACCATCAAGGCATGGGTGGTGCTCACCGTCGTCGCCAAGCTGAACAACTCCTCCGACCAAGCCGTCAATGAGACCACCCCTTCTGTGCTGCAGGATATGACAGTGGACCAAAGTGCCACGATCCACATACATACACACACACAGGGATGAACGCCTTTGCCTCCTGTCGAATGGAACGAATGGATAGTGATATTGAACACAATGGGACTGGAATGGGAGCGCGAGGGGAAACAAGAAAGGTGATGTTTATTACCATCAATGTCAGAGTTCCACTCTGGAAACGTTACCTGACCACATATCTCAGAGAGTTGCAAACCGGGTTTGTGAAAAGAGAACGGGAGGGGGAAGATGAGCCAGATTAGGTTTACTATTGCTCTCTTCCTCATCCCTGACTCTTTCACGGCACTACACTTAGAAACCTAGTTGGCGACTTGTACACATAGAGCTGTATCATAGTAATAATAATCATCAATTATTGCTCCCCAACTCTCGTTCCCACCCCTGATTTCACTGTCTCCGCCTCATGCTGTTGCAGAAGAGCGCTTGCTACCTCGGCCTTTCCCCCTCGGATTTGAGTGATGCCTTTGACGGTCGACATGTTAGTGCATTGTTGGGTGCTGCTTGGCTGTGGGTGTTTGTGTTTTTGTATGTTATTTTATGCGTATTTTGTATGTGTGTGTGTACTTCTGATAGGGAAGAAAAGAAAATTGTATCCGTGTAACAAGGCAAGCGATTATTGCGTGTTTTGACATGTGTGTAACGAGAGATATCAAAAAGGACTCTTTCCTCCCTCTTTCATGCAGCGCGTATCGAGCGAGACACGGAGTTCCACAGCGACCAGTGAACAACAACAAACACCAGATAAAGGGACGAGAAATGCTAAAGCCATTATACGTTTTTTTTTTCGGGAAAAGTGAACAGGATAAAGTATTTATCCCTGCATCCCTCAAATTTTTCATTGGGTGTACAGTAATGCATAACAATAGCCATGGACAAGTCAGGGGAGGCAGAGACAGAGAGAATAAGCTAGATCTATCTTAAGTTGGGGGGTGGGAGGGGACTATTGCAGGCATGCAGCTGCATGTGGCTGATGGGCTGAACTTGGGCTGATTATTGGCTAAACTTTGAGATAGCTACTACCAGGCAAGCTTACTACCAGGCGAATAGCCAAATTAAAGTCCGTGTCGACAAAGCCTTGGCACGGAAAAAATAATATTGGTTTCCAATGATCCTACTGGGTTACCGATAATCAGGGCCTAGACAACGCCGAAAAAGGAGTGAATCCATTTCTTTTGCTCAAATTTGTGCCCATGTTTACTAAAACAATGATAACATTTCCCAGATGGACCACTTGATCCTGTCAATACCTTCGCCTTCACACCACCAAGCCCTGTATGTTATGTTGCGATGGCCTTCAAAGCAATACCAATGGGGTTCCGAATCTAACATCAGTTTTTTTTACACGATTGGCACATTGACAACTGGTTAATTAAAGAACACTTGCAGTCATAATGATTGGCTGTTGTTACCATGGTATGGTGCGAGTAACACTGAGAGTGCTGGCTGCTAAGCACCTAATTGTGGCTTAGATTGTCAGAGATTTGCCAAGAAAAACCATAAACGTGTGCTGCCAAGATTTTGGGCCGCCAAGCTTTTGTGCAAGCCCGATTTTCATACCGAGCCCCTGGTACAAAATCTTGGCAGCAAAGACGTCCAGCCGTGGTGCCTCTACAACCCAGCCGTATAAAAGTGCTTGCAATTGAGCACAATCCCCCAATCCATTAGGAACAGAAAGAACAACGCCAATCCCCATCCCAATCATCAACTCGACCCGACTTGCAAACACAACAACAACAGAATATCTCTCACCTCCCACCCTTGTCCCAAATGGAACACGAAAAATACGAAATCATCAAGTACGAACCCAACCACCTGGGAAATATCGTCATCGGTGCCCTGTACGCCGTCGAGAGTTTCGCGTTCTTCTATTACATCTTCCGCCACAAAGCTAGATGGGCTTTATGTCTTCCCTTGGGCGCCATCGCTTCCTCCATTGGCTTCTTCATCAGACTCGGCCTGGAAAAAGATAACGTCTCCATAATGCTCTACGTTATCCAGAGCATGTTCATCGTCGCTTCACCATCTGCCTTCCTGGCATTCAACTACATGCTTTACGGAAGACTCATTGCCGCGATTGATCCCCAGTTCGGTTCCGACAAAGCCCAGCCCAAAATGGAAAAGTCTCGCTTCTCCTTTATCCCACCACGCATTGTCGGACGTGTTTTTATTTGGTCAGACATCACCACTTTCATGATCCAAATCGCAGCAGGAGGCATGCTGGGCGGTGGAAAAGACAGCCCGACGCTCCTCAAGCTCGGTGACAAACTGTTCCTTATCGGTGTCATTGCCCAAGGTGTCTGTTACATCCTGTTCACTGCCTTGCTGACGGTTACTTTGATGCGACTGGTCTCCGAGAGACAGACTGCAGGACTTAATCGATCTGGAAGGGGCTGTATGGGTCTCGACCAAAACACCGTGAAAATGGCTGTCGGTTTCTACTTTTCGTCTTTGTGCATCGCCGTAAGTACTTTCTTTCAGTCTCTGTTCGCACGTCGCTTTTATGCACACTCTTTGATCGACTGCTAATCAAATCACTCAACTTCTTTGCCTCCAGGTCCGATCTGTTTACCGTGTCATTGAATTTGCTCAAGGCCACAATGGATTTTTGGTCAGCCATGAAGGTAAGGACCAGGGCTGACGATGATTGCGGGCATTTTTTTTTGATTTAGGCAAAAGTTCAGAGTACTCATCATTATCCTTCATTCGCTTTCTAGTCTACTTGTTTTTCCTTGATGCTGTGCCTCTTGTGTTGGCTATCGGTGTCTGGGTTATCCTTTGGCCCACAACGACTCTCGACAGGATTGCATCGGAGGCTCGAGATGGATCGCAGGCGTATAGCATGGAGTCCGGCAACGCCCCACTCCGTCTTCCAAGCAGCGATAGCTCTCTTAGGAACTAGGAGGATGCCGAAACAAGCAGGACACCGAAATTAGACTGACTTAAGATTTACTAAAGCTTGATATCACACCAACCATTTGCGCCTCTTCGAATGCAACACATGTCGTGTATGTGCACAACAGATGTGAGATGTTTAGCAGTTGCTAGTCGCAGTGGTTGCATGTATGCCCACGCGAAAAGAGGAAGATAGGTTTCTGTCCAGCTAAACTCTTTTTCTCCAACATACTTGCTCGCACACGCATTCATACACACACATACTTCCACCATTCACAACAGTAACCAGTACCCGACTGCCCAACTCATTGTGTGTCATGATTGCAAGGGCGCTGCGCGTAAGCATCAAATGAATATATGAGGGGATGGTGGTGCAGGTGAGAGTGCTGAAGGTTCGAATAGTAACTCGGAGGCGAGAGGGCGGGAGGTAAGTCGATTGCAAATCGAGGTCGAGTTGCATTTGTGACCAAAGGTTAGGCTTTGGTGGCTATTTTCAAAGGCAAAAGGAAAAGGCGTTCTTTTCTTTCTCGAGATGTGCGCAAAAAGCAGGCCCTGTGTTTGCTGTTGTGTGGGAATGAGAGAGACCATGGAAGCAACAGATACAATACTTTTGTCACTGAATTTGGTTTGTTTTATTTATCGACATAAGTGTTTTCCATGCATGGACAGGGAAGCAAGCCAGGAAATGGACTGCCCCTGAGGAAAAGATAGAAACTACAAGAGATCAGGTTGTTGCTGCAAGTCCATTTTCATTATCACTCGCATCTATAACACTTCTTCTCTCCTACAAAACCAATTATTTAAGATAGCCACCGCCTTTGGACACTCAGTAAGGACAGAACGCTCAGGAAGGAGGAGACACAGAAAACAACGTGTTGAGGGCCGGTTATAATACAACATGCATCATTCACCTTTTAACCCATGTTTCGTTGATTATTTTTGTTCTTGTTAAAACCAAGCCAAATGTTGATCGCTCCCCTCCTTGTCGCCATTGCCACTGCTGTTTTGAAGGCGCATCTTCGATCGAGTGGGTCCATTTCACATGGATAGTGATATGCAACCAGAGACATTGCGAAATTTTCCCTTCACGTTTCCTTGGCGACAGTAGCTCTTTTAAACGCAGCAAGGTATGCTGCCTCAAGTTCCGGGGTATTGGTTTAGAGTCAATGAATGCAACAAAGTACCCCATTTTATTTAGCGCTACGTTTACCCCAGCCGCCTTTAGCCTGTTCATGAATAAGATAACTGGCTTGTGGCAACCAAGCGTTCATAGCGACGTTGCTTTTTGATCCTTCGATGTCGGCCCTTCCTATCGTATTGAAGCAGAATTCAGTAAGCGTTGGCTAATAGAGAACGTGAGCTAGGTTTTGGCCGTCGTGAGACAAGTTAGTTTTAGCTGCTGATAAAATGTTGTTGCAACAGTAATTGAACTTGGTACGAGAGGAGCCATTCATTCGGATAATTGGTATTTGGGTCTGAATGAGTAGGCAATGGCCCGAAGCTATCCGTTGGGTTATGACTGAACGCCTATAAGTCAGAACTCGTGCTATAACGCAACGATTGCCGCCTTGTGCCGTTTTTAGTTGAATACGAATAGACCCACGGCCCTAAATCATGCGAACGTAGGAGCGACTTTGTGAGGTTCCTGCTAATGTTAATTCCGGCTTTAATTGAACGGGTATTTCTCTTACCCTGTGCCACAGTATCATAAAACGCTTATCTACATCGCCTTGCTTTACCTCGCCTTCCTTATCCAGGCCTCCAGTACGTTAGTGTAAATACCCCTCTCTACTTGTATAATAAGCATCATCCTTTCTTGCCCATTCCTCTTATCTTTAGTACTCTCCTGCCCTTGCACTCACCTTTGTCCCCTGCCTATTTTCTTGTGCTCATCCTCTTGTCCCGCTACTATTACAGCAGTAGAGTGCTATTGTTTGCTACGATACGCTGAGATTCTGAGATTAACCCTACTGTTCAATAGATTTGTTCGAATGAACAACATCTCGTTTGTTCTTCTACCCGGGGCTTGATTTAAGGGCGGTTCAGAGGTTGGACTTGTTGCGCGCCTAGGCGTGTGTACCTGCCTTGTAAAGACGTTAAAGAAAAGTGAATTCACTTTGGTGGCGACAGGCCGACAGGTCCTTCATGACCCTGTCAAGCCACATTCAATGCTCAGTTCAATTGCAAGCACCTAAGATCACAAGCCCCAGCCTTTTTTTTTTTTTTTTTTGAATGATTCCGTGAGAAACGAGGGTTTTGCCACCGAAGAGATGTTTTTATTTCCTCGAGGGGACTATTTCCCATTTTCTTTTCTCATTCACTCACTTTTTCCACTCTATCCATTCTCGTTCCTCCACCACCACCATCACCACCACCACACACTCGTATTAAATGGAGTCTCTGTTAAGCTCTCTCACTTTCAACGCGTTGCAGGGCAGACCCGTTCCGGAGACTCACTCTGCCAACCACGACCTCGCGCGTCTCGTTACCAGAAAGTGGGAGATCTACGCAGGCCAAGAACAAGAGCAAGAACATACCAGCAGCATGAACGACTTCAGCTTCTTCTTGCAAAAGACGGAAGGAGATAACCTCGAGAAGATCGTTTTTCAAAGAGACATCTATGCCGATTTCGCAACGCTAAGCATGTCTAATCCATGGGAGAGGATATCCTTCAAAGTCATTGGTTCGCCCATGTGCCTCTATCGTCTGGGCTGCACCTTTCCCTCGGGCGTTCATATCGTGCCATCGGACAAGTCGGCATGGTGGTCTGGGTTCATTCACAAGGCGACGGGTCGGTACTTTGGAATCACGGATATCAAAGGTCGTCCAGCCCTCAGAACTATCCAAGAGCAATCCGATCTCCGATTCCAGGATGGACAGTGGCAGCTCTTCCAAGATCTAACAGGATTAAGCCGCTCAGTGATGAGGACCATCTCGCAACCCTACCTCGAAGAGCTTCCAAAGGAACTTGTCGATCATCTCTCAGATCCCGACACAGGCGATGTTGTTGTTCTCAAGAAGATGCAGGACTTTGTTGAGGCCAACAATATCTTCACAAACGATATTGCCGAACTGCTGAGCTACCTTGCTTCCGACCAGTGTGCCCATGGATATGGAGATCTTGTTGCCGGTTGCGAGGAGCGAGAGCCTTAAGACGAGTCGATGGAAACAAGACTACTGGATCCCAAACGCAGACGATATATGTCATGAGGACCACTTTCTTTCTTCCTCTTTTTTTTTTGTTCGAACCAGTCGCCGGACAGGCGCATTTGAAGATAAACTTTGATGGCGAATGATCCGATCTGTCGTGAACTGGGCTAAGGCGGGGCAGGGTTGTCGCTTTCTCAAGCAAGATCAGGGAGTGTAAGGAAGAGATCAAAGGGAACAGGGCTGAGTTAAACTAAGAGGACTGAAAGGATATGTGTATCGAATGAATATGTCTGTGAGTATATGTGTGTGTGTTGCCTTTGCGAGCATAATTGTTTTTAGTCGAGTAATTTCATTGTTTGATGTCATCATGCTTGGCGACAAAACAATAATGGTGGCAAAACAAGTTCAGTGGACGCGACACTATCGTGTGGGTACAGAAAACCCCGCTCTTTTTTTATTTTTGTCCTCTCCTTCCTCTTATCCACCCACATTCGAATACACACCCTTCACATTCTCACAAACACAAGCACAAACACACCGTCTCTCTCCTTCATATACTCAAAATCATGTCTCCCTTGCTCAAAACCCTCACCTTCAACGCCCTTCAGCGGAAATCCATCACATCAAGGCACTGCGCCAACCACAAGCTCTCCTACTACGTAATAGACAAATGGGACATCCCAGAGGAAGGCACCTTCTCAACCGTCGGCACTAGCAGTGGGATTGATCACTGTGTCTACCTCAAGACCTCCAAGGATGGCTCCTCTCCTGATCGACTCGCTTTCGATGGCAACCGTAACAACTTCCTTAACGACAGGACCTTGTTCAGAGATCTGGGATCTCCATTATCTCTCTACCGCCTCGGCTGCACCTTCCCTTCCGCGGTCCATATCGAGCAAACGGACAAGTCGGCATGGTGGTCTGCACTCACCCACATGACCACAGGCAAATATTTTGGATTCGCTGATATCAAAGGAGGAGTCGAACTCAGGATCCGAAGCGAAGAGGTGTACTTAAGCCACTACATGCACAAAAACGGTGAGAGTGCCTGGCGCGCCATGGACGAATTGACAAAGCAACAAGCTAACGAGATTGCACTGGAGCCCTACTTGGATACACTGCCACAGGAGATGGTCGATCGTCTTTCTGCGCCCGAGACGGGGGATCCGGCCTTGTTGGAGGATCTGAGCAAGTTTGTCGAAGACAACAGGGTCTTCAAGGAAGATATGCTTGAGCTGTTGAGTTATCTGGCCTCAGACCAGTGTGTGCATGGATACGATAACCTCGTTGCCGGTTACGAGGCCTGATAGGATGCAAAAAAAAAAAAAAGGCTGTCGCAGGAATCTTCTTTGCTTTTCTGCGTTTTGAGAAAGAAAACAAGAGATTTGCCTGAGAATAGGTCTTCCACAGTTGCCCAAATGAATAAAAAATGCGTCTTTTTGAGTCATGGATGGAGGCAAACTGAAATACCATGATGAGGTGGCTGGGCTCAGAGCTTCGCTGAGAAAGGCATGGGAGTGGTGGCGCTCCCCTCTCTATCTCGCCCACTCCATGTAGTGCATATGCCTCTCACTCACTCTCTCTTTCTCTCTCGTTCTTCCTCTTTTTTTTTCTCCTTTTCCTCTTCCTCCTTGTTTCTCCTCTTTCTCGCTTACTTCAACACCTTCGATATTTTCACCTCATCCTCAATCCTTTTCCCCTTCCTTTTCTTCATTGTTTTCTTCGCTGCATTCATATCCTCTCCACTTACAACGAAACGTACACGATGAAGGACTGCGTGATGTTTGTGGAAGGTGACATCTCTCCAGCTTCTATACAGATTCTCACTGATTACACCAAAGGTTGGGACTTGCTTTTGTTCCGCCATGAGACGCGGAACCATCTCGAGAGAAAGAACAAGTGCTATTCTTTGAGAATCATCCCGTATGTGTACTTGTTGTGGGACAAGCAGTCGGAGGGAGATGAAAGAACCATCGTACTGCATTGCTTCGACAAGACAGTCGCCGCACCTGGTCTCAAAAGAATGGCGCAGTTTCTCCGGTTTGAGCTCACTTATGGCTTGACCTTCTTCATGTACATCAACATGGGCATTTGGGACTTTATGAATGCAGAAGATGAGAGACCGCGGGATGGTGTCCACAGATGGATTAACGCTTGAACCAAATCGCCATGTCAATGACAACCCTTGCGGCGACGCACGGCGGCGGCAGCGGGTGCCTGATCTGCCAGTCCAAAAACCAGCAATTCCAGGCTAAGGACGAGGTTATCCGAGCTAAAGACGCGGTCATTGCCGTTAAGGACGACGCTATTACCCAGAAGGACCAGGCCTTGAAAGCCGAGAGTGAGCTCCGAGAACCCCAGAGAATGTGTTGGTCCAGTGAGGCGAGAGACGGGGGTGGTTGTGGGGGAGTGCTCGGAGCCAACTCGGCATCATTGTTACCTTTTCTTTCTCACAGTTCATAAAATCATTGTCAACACATATTGCACACCTTTACTTTTGTGAGAATAAAGACGAGTGGTATGCTTTATTTGAGAACGGGCGAGAGGGAGTAGTGAGTTAAAGTAACAAAGTAACAAAAAAAAGAATGGGTGAGGAAGATACGTGGACTAGTAATCCTACGTTTTTACAGGTCCCAACTCGGTCGTGTCTTCACTCTCTGATGAGATCTAGACGCTGTCAGGAGAGAAAGCAAGGGCCCAGATGGTCCGAGTGTGGCCCTCAAGGACGTGCAGAGACTCTCCTGTCCTGGCCGACCAGAGTCGCACGGCACAGTCGTGGCCGGCAGAAGCAATCCATTTGAAGCACGGTGAATACAGAACGTCGACAAGTGGAGACAGATGACCCTTCAGGATCACTTTTGGTTCCCCTGTCATAATATCCCTGAACTGCACCGTCCTGTCGTCATGCCCCGTAACGATCGTCCTACCATCCTGAGAGATATCGACACAGACCGCACTATCAAACTGCCCATCCGAAATGGCATCGGATACCGCCGCCTCGCCAGCCTTCCAAAGCCGCACCGTCCCGTCCCAGGCCCCAGAGGCAATAAAGTCGCCAATAGGTGAATACGCAACAGTGCTGACTCTGTATCGATGTCCCGAAAGCGTGCTCAGTCACTCGCCAGTGTGGACATTCCACAAACGGACGATACTGTTCATGTCACAAGAGGCGAGCTGGTTGCTGTCAGGCGAATATGACAAGTCGAGAACTGTCATACGGTGTCCCATGAGCGTGCGGAGCCATTCCCTTGTGTCGGCGTCCCAGAGTCGAATGTGGAACTCGTCACCACTGGTGGCAAACTGGCAGCCGTCAGAAGAATAGGCCACTGTCCGCATAGGCTCGACATGGCGTCCGATAATCCCGAGGTGCTCTCCAGTCTTGACGTCCCAACTCTGCACCGTAAAGTCCTTGCTGGCGGATAAAAGCCGATTGCCATGGGGTGAGAAACGTACACAGTGCACAACGTCCTGATGCTCTCTCAACACATGCAAGGTCTCGCCAGTCTCGACCGACCAGATCCGGATCGTGGCGTCGTCACTCCCGGTAGCGATCAGGGACCCATCGCACGAGTACGAGATACAAGTGACAACGGCATTGTGGCCACGTAAGGTCAACCGGGTTATACTCGTGAGAATGTCACCCACCTCAACCGTGCCACCAAAACTCCCCCTAGCCAGCTCTCGAGCGATCGGCGAGACAGCAATAGCAGACCTTCCAGGATACTCAGCAACCAGTTCCCACTCATCAGTCTCATAAATACAAATCGTGTCATCCTCTGTCGACACGGCAAGGAGAGTCCCGTCGGACGTAAACTCGCATTTCGAAACCAACATGCCTACCTCCAGAAACGGGAGCTCTCCGCACTGCACCCTCTCTATCTGCGCCTTGCTGAGGTTCGCATGTCGAAGCCACGCCTTGCTAAAGTTAACATCTGTCAGATCCGCCTCCCGCAAATCCGCACTATCAAACTGCGCCCCACGAAGATCGGCCCCGGGAATCCTGACGCCCTTCAAGTCCGCGCCGTTGAACCGAACTCCAGCCCTGACCAAGATCGAGATCGCATTCGCCACCGCCTGGTTCGTCCTCTCAATGCCTCATCATGCCAGGACATATCATTTAACAAACAAACAAAATGAGTTGTGCAGTGCACCAGTATATGGCAAAGCACATTTAGGATGGATCTTCTGCAGTTGGCCCACAGCAAGTATCCACGGAAGGTCTAGGGAATAATAAGAGTAGAAATGATAGGTTAGGGAAGAGACAGCTATGGCAAAGAAGATGCGACTTGCCCTGAGTGATGTTCCCTTTCGACGGCGATCAACCTGGATCGCGTCGAATAGATGAAAACCTAATTATGATATTTCGCTGGTTGGCCGAAGGGAACAAAAAAAAGATAAAACGCTTCTGTCAACTGCAGCGCTGGAGTGGGGTTTTGATGACAAACCATGGCGCTATCTTGAATAAGGGGTTGATACCTGGCGACCCCCTTTGGTTGTCGAGGCTTCCAGTACGGTACTCCTGGGTACCTGGCGTATCGCAGGCCAGGTCAAAAAAAATGTTTAGTACAAAAGAATCATGCGAGACGAGGAAAAGGCTGGCAATGTCGGGTCGGAACAGGAAAAAACCTGTTTGTGACGCAAGATGGACGACAGCCAAAAAGATTTCCTGTTTCCTGCCTTGGTTTGTCGGGTGTTTGTGGTGAGAGCAAGAAATATTTTGCAATGGGGATGTGTGTTCGTTTCGTACTCTCAAAAGTCAGTGAGCGAGTGGATGACGATGGATTGTTCACAAGGGTAACAAAAACCTGCTTCTGCAAGGATTGTGGGATCGATGAGAAAGAAAAAAAAAAAAGATTCGCATGCGCCTAGAGGGAGCATGATCATGGTCACCAAAACCATCTCACTTTTATTTCGCGCATTGTTGTTTGCTCTCCGCTTCTTCCCATTCTTACTTCATTTTGCCTTCTTTCTCTGTTAGCTCTAGTCAGGCAAATAAACATGTTCAACAGCATAGGACTCTTCTCTCAAGCAATGTCTCCTTTATTTTTTGTGTTTTGTCCCACTGGTTAACCCAATTGGCAAGGACTAAAAGGACGAGAAAGACAAGAGGAAAAAGAGTGATGGTCGAAAGCAAGGTTCAGACACCTGCGTTTTGGCTATTGGGACCTCTGGCACCGTTTGTTTTCATCTCTCGGAGCACAAAAGAAAAAGATGCAAGGACACAAAGAACGAGGTAACGAGAGACGAGAAGGTAAGAAGGGCGACAATCAATTGATTGACGCTCCTTTTTTAAGGCTGTTTGCAGCTGTACCTTTATTGGCCAATGAAGAGTTTGGTGCCGCTTTCATGAAACCAAACGTGATCTTTTTTTCATTTTTGTATCTTTTTTTCCCCCCCTTTTTTGTCTTCCTCGTTTCTTCTTTCTCCACCTCTCCCGTCCCTTCACAACCAAATACCCCGCCCGTCCTCCGTCTTCCGTTCAAAGGATTCACCCAACTACAGTACAGAAGAAAAACCTCAACAAAACAACAACCAACAAGCCTTATCAACACCACAAAACACACAGAGAAACCATGTCGTCCTCACTGGACCACCAAGGGACTCAATATGGCCTCAACAGCAATAACTCCGGGAGCAACAACAACAACAACAGCAACTCCAACAGCTACAGCAACAATGCCATAGACAGCAGCAGCAGCAGTAGTAATGGTGGCAACAGCTCCAACAACAATGGTGGTGGAGACAACAGCAACAATGGCGACTACCATCTCGGAGGATACCAGCCTAACCAACAGCAGCAGCAAAGGCATCCTCAGCACCAACAGCAGCAGCAGTTCCATCAGCAGCAGCAGCAGCATGACTACCATCAGCAGAGCAACATGCATCCTCAGCGCTCATCCAATCAGCCGAACCAGCAGAACCAGCAGCAGCAACGTCATCCTAATCAGTACGGACAGCAACAACAGCAGCAACAGAACCAGCAAAGGCCGACGTCTCCTTATGGCCCAATGGGATCCCAGCAACAGCAGAATAATAACAACAGCAGCAGCAATAATACCAACAACAACGACAACAACAACTACAACAGTAGTAACAACAGCAACAACAACAGCTACGGCAATAACAACAACAATAGCGGCATTTCAAGGCAAAACAACTCTCAGCAGCAGCACAACCAGGGAGACTACATGTTCCGAGGCAATCAGCAGCAGTTTGATAATTATGGCCAAGGCCAACAGCAACAGCACCAACAACAGAACCAACAACAGAACCAACAGCAACAGCCACACCATTACCAGAACCAAAGTCAGCACCAACCGCAACAGCAACCTCAACAGCATCAGCACCAGCCGCAAGCACGGAGCCATGATTCTGCGGAGCGAGGATCGGCTTCTGTCTCTGTCTCGGGTTCTTCACCCCCTCGGTCTGAGGGCGGGGCCAAGTAAGTCGACCTTGTCTTTTTTTTCTTCTCGGTTGGAGAGGTACAGAGAGATGGAGAGAGACAGCGCGAGTAGTACAGAAAAAGAGAGAGAGAGAGAGAGGTACAGAGAGAGAGGTACAGAGAGAGAACGAGAGAAGTCTTTCCTCACACCAACACGGAATCAGGGCAAGGACGATCAAGGTTCCAGCAGGACACGACAAACAAAAGGCACAGTTGGGCACATTCAATAGAATTGGATAAAGGGGACACGTATCATCATCATAGAAAAAAGGAAATGAACGACGCGAGGCACCAACCACAGCGGGGAGCCACAGGGCAGGACAGTCATAACAAAACAGGACAGGAACGATAATAGGATTAGAGTGTAAAACACTGAGCTGTTCTTGCATTCGTTTTTCCTTCCTGTCACTTCCTCCCTTGATTTTTTCTTCTCACCTGTTTTACCACTCCATAACACGACTTGTTTGCTTTTAGTCTGCGGTTCAAGATCACATTGGAGGCTCAAACGGCGGCCATGCAGCGGCAGGACGAGACACCTGTTACCTACTTGAACAAGGGTGAGTGATTTTGAACCTCAAGCACACACAAAAAAAAAAACCTCCTTTTTTGCAGTCCGAGTGTTTCGTGAACAACATTCGCTCGCTTTTAGTCTCAATCTCATCATCTCATCGGGCAGACCGGGACTTCAATTTTTGTTTGTGTTTGCTGTTATGCTGTTATCGCTAAAACCTGTTATTTATGTACCTTTCTCCCTTCCACCAACAACAACAACAACATTGACAAACGAATAGGTCAGTTCTACACAGTGGTGCTCGCGGATACGGAAGAGTACGACGGTGACATCACAAGTGTGATCAAGGTTACCTTCCACGACGCATCACATCGAAGACTGGCAGCGCGATACTGGAGTTTCTGGCTTAGTCAACAGTCCAATCCCAAGGTTGCAAGGGCCCTGGATATCGGTAAGGATGGCAAACCACTTCAATCTTCCCAAGCACACACCGCACACGCCATATTTTTGTTGCTCTGTCTCCTGGGCCACTTTTTTTCGCGCTTTCTTTTTGTTTTTTACTGCTTCTTTCCTCTTTAAGCATAAAGGGAGATCTCAGATGGCAGGTAGAAACAAGCAATCGGAGTAATACAGGAACAGACCAAGAAGCATCGGCGACAATAGGCAGACTCGGACAAGTAGACGGATGAACTGTTAGGATAGGTCAGCAGCAGGATAGGAGAACAGGACAAGAATGAAAACGCTGATCCATTTCATTTGTGTGGTTTGAAGAAGGGGATATGAAAAGGGAGGGAGCGATGGAAGGAAGAAATGAAGGAACGTAATTAGGCATGAACAGCAGGGCATTCATGCACCTAACGCAGTTCTCCTGTACCAGAGAAACAAACTAACAAAACTCAATTGCCCTTTCTTCCTCCGCCCCTCCCTCAAAACCATTCACAGAAAAGGCATCGTCAAGCGGAATGATGGAAGTTCAGTCAAAGACATTCGATAGGATCTCGTTCAAGTGGAACGGAAAGGCAGGCGCCAAGTTGATGGTTCGGTTCAACTGTCTCTCGACGGACTTTTCGCGCATCAAGGGCGTCAAAGGCATTCCACTGCGGGTTCATATGGATACCACGACGGAGGATGATAGCAATGGAGGCGAGAATTCCATGGAGCGGTCCTTTGCCAAGATCAAGTTGTTCCGTGATAAGGTATTTCATACTTTCTGTCCTTATTAGTACTGGGAATGCATTTCGAAACCATGCATTACTAACCAAAGCATTTTCTGTGGTGTTATCTTTATCTTTCCCAATTACGCTGATAATTTTTTAGGGTGCAGAGCGGAAAAACAAGGATGATCACAAGCACCTGGAAAAGATGTGGGACAAGATGCGCGGCAAAAACGCCGACACCAATCCTCTCGTCAACATGTTGGCCCCTGTCCAAAGCGTGTCCCTCTTTTCGGAATGCATGGACCACCCAGAAGGATCTGGCGAGGACGAGACGTTGGATCTGTCCGAAACGCTTGCACACGATCCTGAGGGTGATGTGGATGCTGCTGGCGGAGAGGATGGTGCGGCGACAAGTGTGACGTCTTCTAGACAGGATTCTGATGCTAATCGCCATTCCTCTAGTGGTGGAGGAGGAAGTGGCAGCACCAATGACACAGAGTCGAATTCTTTGGTGCCTGTTACGAAGAAACGGCGTCGGGGGACGGATAACACGGGAAGCGGCAGTAACAGTAGCAGCAGCAACTTTGACCAACAGTATCCTCAACAGCAACAGCAACAGCAACAGCAACAACAGAGTCAAATTGGATACCTCAACCCTTCTTCATCACCCTCCAGCGGCAGCGTCGGATTTCTTAACAGCACCGGCGGAACCAGCAATAGCAGCAACAACAGCAACAGTAGTACCAGTGGCTCAATGAAGATGACAATGTCCTCCGACCTCTTTCTGGACCGCGACCCAAGCTACGTCCCACAAACGCGTAAGAAGAGGCCGGTCCTCTGTCTGTACATCAAGATTGGCGGCGAGTCCGTCTACCGGGCTGTGTACCTCGAAAAGTATACTCTCACGGATCTGATCCAGAAGCTGTCCGAGAAGCTTGAGATCCAGTCGTCAACTATTTCTTGTGTCTATCGCAAGACAACCAAGAAGGAGTTGATGGTGAGGGTTGATGACTCAATGGTTGCCCAGATGACGGATGAGTTGGATATGGTCGTGGATTATGACTTTAACCAGATGGACGGAAGTGTCAACCTCACCCTCAAGTACTAAAAAACAAAGGGAGAAATGAGATTGATGAACGATCAACGACTTTTGTGGAGGTCGCATCGCCTCCTTTTTCTTTTCCAACCGCCCCCCTTCTCTCACTCCACGCCCACCCAACTCATGTCTGTTTGACACACACGCTTTTACATAGAAAACTCAAAAAAACTCAACACCCCAAAAGGAGACAAACAACGCTGATCATTTCTTTTCCTCGCTTCAACAAAAAACAAAAAAGGGGGCAATCAACAAGGAAAGTAATTGGGATGAGTTTGATATGATACATTTATTGCAGTTTCTTTGTAAGGTTGTTCGTTGTTGTTATTTTTGTCTTTTTTTTTTTTTTTTTTGTTTTGTGTTTTTTGGATGGTAGTGGTGGTTGTTTGCAGAAAGGGGTTGTTGTAAAGATTATCCACAATGGTGGAAGTGGAGGAAGGGGGTTTCTGTTAATCGTTTTTTCTAAAGTAAGCGGGGCGAAAAAGATAGGGGTGACGGTGGAAGAAGAAGAAGGCGGTTCTTTGTTGTGGTACGATGGTACGGAATGAAGGGGTCATAACAAAAAAAAAAAAATAGCAAAGTTTAAGAAAAAAAATGAAAAGAATAGAGGAGGGGGACAAGCAAAACAAATGAATCAAAAAGAACAAGGACTGGGTAAGCCGTAAAAAAAAACAATACGACGGGAAGAGAAAGTGAATGAAAAAAAAAAGTGTAGTGCGAAACAAAATCATGAACAAGATCCAGCTTTTCATGATGAAGGGGGTCTTCCAAGAAAACGATAGGAACATCCTGTTTCCCGTAAGGATCCAGACTGTATCCTGTTCTATTCTTGAAAGGCTTTCCGTTTCTCATTTACTGGGTCGATATCCTGATGTTCTGCAACTCTTCGCTCTCCTTCTCCGTCAGTATTGGTCCGTTGTTGGAGGAGACCTGGGGGAATGCTGGAGTTGGGGGTCTCATTCTCTGAGCCTTCTCACGGAAGTCCACATAACTAGAAACGTAAAAGGAATCAAAGTTAGTGATGTTGAGTTATGAGGCTGAGAAAAGCCGGATGAAATGCAACGAAAAAATGGCCAAGGAAGAGGTGAATCGTACCTGTAGCAGGCACCTCCACAGAGGGTCATGATGATTCCGAGTCCATTGAGGAATCCAATCTTGGTGTTGAACACTGTCACGGCAACCACGATCGACAACACCTGCTTGACATTGGCTATCAGATCAATGAGATAAAAAAGTAACAGGTCAGCGATAGGTCCATTGGGGTCCAGATTCTTCGCCTTTTCCCCTGCAACGAACAATGTCATCGTGCATATCCATGTTCAAAATGGTTACCTGCGACAGTCATGGTGAGAGCGCTGGTCTTCTTGTTGGCGGTGAAGGAGACGAAGTTAAGGAAGAAGGCAATGATACCGTTAATGAGGAGAGCCACGATCAGGCTGGCGCTCATCTCCGTTTTGCAGAACGACACAACCTCATCCAGCTCGCCCTTCATCCATGAAAAGATCACAGTCTGAACAAAAGCCAAGGGCGACATGCGGAGCAAAAGGTCGAGAGGGTGGAGCTGCAAACGTCCCATCTGGATCCGGTTGGTGACGACAGTCTTGACGGCCGCAAGGACTGTGCCGAGAACAGTCAAGAAGAAGCCCATGGCGGTGTAGGAGTAGTCGCCGACGGTCGCCATGTAGACTCCCAAGAGCAAGGGCATCAGGGACAGGTAGGTCAGGGTTGTGTAGCGCTTGCCGAGGAACAGAATAGAGATCGCGATGGTAAACACTGGAGTCATGGCCCGCACGACTTGGTGGAAAGCGACCGACACTTCATGTCTGTTGTTTCATGTCGGAGCCATATGATATGGAAGGAAAGAAGATGGAGGGTCAGTTAGTCAGTCATCATCTGAGTGGGGACTTTTTCTGGTAAAGAAAGAGGCCCTTCCGCCCTTTCTTTTTTTGATGTAATTGCTTATCCAACTCGCCAGGTTTATCGGGAAAGGGCAAGCGCCTCTCCTGGCTCCGCCCCGACCACTCCTTCTCCTTTTTTCTGTCTCCTATCTGTCTCCTCAATCCTCTTCTGGGATACAATATCCCGCTTCCAAGAAGCCTTAGCTGCAGGAGATCATCCGGCTGGGTAGGTTTCCTGGTCGGCAGCGATTTTCCTCGCCGATTTGGATAAATTTGCACGTGGACACACTACGCACCACCCTTGCTGGTTTGCCCAGAACTCCATGAATATCCACCCAACCAGCCAGCCACGGCTTTGTTTTTGTGAGGGTGTGTTATTTTCAGAGGCACCGCCTCCGGAGCGCCATTTTGATCTCTCCCATTATCCCTTCCTTTTGTTCTTGTTGGCTGTGTGTTGATCTGCTGGTCTGTGTTGGTCCAGTGGTCTGTTTGGTTCCAAGTATGCGTCGTCCAGTCCAGGGTCGTTTGGGTTCATGTGTCCATTTTTCCACTCAATTTCGGCCAATTTTGTTGTTGGCTCTCCCTTTCCACGTAATTCACCGTCCAAAAAAGATACACAAGCACACAAAACGCAGCACACAGACACTTCAAAAAAGATGAAGGGAGCGAAAGTAAGGGGGAGAGAAAGAAAGTGACAAAAAAACACAACAACAAAAACAAAGGAAGAACTTACAGTGACACGTTGCTAATAGCGATGTTCATCGTGTAAAGGAACGAGAACATGAGCATGACCATGTTCTCGTTCTCGCCCAAGGTGGCCGGTGTGAAGTATCCCAACCGTCCCATGATATAAGCGCCGACTCCCGAGCAAAGGGTATGAATACCAGTAAGGGTCCAAGGGAAACCAAACTTGAATGTACTAAGGATGGCCTTGTTGTAGATGGTGAGGGAGAGGTTGAGCATAAAGTAGGCGGCCAGCCAGGAGTACGAGGTGTCGATTTTGGCCGGCCTTGGTCCTGCGCCGTTCAGCTGCAAAGGATGGGGTCGTGAATTTGCTGGAGGCATCTTTTGTTGATGTTGCTTAGATCGGGGTGATGATGCGGATGATGGGGCGAGGCGGACTGGCGGGATGTGGCGAGGAGCAAGTGTTTCCAGGAGACTTGCGAGAGAGAGAGAGACTTTATCCGTGAGAGAGAGTTGCTTTTGATGAGGTTTTTTTTGTTTGCTTGCTTGTGATGTTCGCCACTGAGGAAGGAGGAGAGGTGAAGTGTGAAAAAGTCGAAAAATGAAGCCTGGAAGGAATAAAAGAGATCTAAGAAGGAACGAAGAGGACAAAGAGATGAGCGGACTAGTTGTCAGTACAGTACAATCAATCGTATGTTACAACACCCCTTTTTCAGGGGTGGGTGAAAGGTCACGGTAAGACTTTTCTTTTTTTTCCTTTTTTTTTGTTCAGCAACAACGAGTGAGGTTTCTTTTCTTTTGTTCATGTTCATGTTCCGTACAATAACAAGATCGTTGACGTCGTGAAAAGAAGGCCGGTGGCGATGGGGAAGGTTGGATATGCAATTGAAGATGAAGAAGGAGAGTGAACAAAGGAGAAGAAGCCCAGAATAGCAACGGACAAAATAACAAAGCAAGGAAAGTGGGTACGGGAGGAAGGGAGAAGGAGGGTGCAAGGGAGGAAAAAAGATAACGAAGGGAAACAAGGAGCAAAACAAAGGGAACGGCAGAAGCGTGTCCATGATAACAACCAAGAAACTGTCAACAACAACTGACAGCAATATCGAATGCCATCGATCTCTCCCTCGCGTTCTCCCACTCTCGTCCGTTAACTTTGTGGTTGCCCTTCCTGTTTTTCTGTCTAATAAAAATAATGAGCAATAGAGAGCGAGCAAACACTATCCAGCTGTTCGCTTTTTCTTCCTTTCTTCCTTCGTTCTGAGTGCGGAATGGTTCAGTACCCCTCCCCTTGGAGGAGAGTCTAATCAGTTGAGTTTCCCGACTCTTTGCTCATCTTTTCATTCTGTCACACATATGCCCTGTAACCATGTCGTTTTTAAATGAAATAAAGCAACATGAACTCTATGTCTCCCAGGGTCGGACACACTTTCCACTCTCTTATCCATATCCTATGTGGTTCCTTGTCCCGTCACTATACAGCTGATTGTTCCTGTGGTGATTGTTACTGAGACTTTGAAGTGATCAGCGATCACTGACTGATCCTCCTAGTCTTGTTCCTGAGGTGATCCCTGGTTTGTTCCTGAGGACTTGTCAGCTTGTCCATGGTCCTGTTCCTGAATTTTTTTTCACGGCTATCAAGGCGCGAGTGACGTTTTTTGCCACCATTTTTGCACCTGTATTTACCAGACGTACAACAGAAGGTGGAATGCCAAGTTGAATGAATAAGACACTGGAGTAATGCAATGAGGAAAGTGAATGAATGAATGCAAAGGAAAAAAATATGAGAGTGAGTGGTATGCAGAAGGAGGACAGATAAAGGATAGAAGAAAGGAAGAGAAGAAAGAAAAAAAGGACTGAAAAAGAAGAAACGGGTTCAGAAGAGGGGAAACAGCGATAAAAATACCCATGGCGACAACAACAACTGAGTGTGTGAGTGAGCATTTGGCCCTAATGGTCTGGTCTGGGTAACAGCAACATAATCTTTTGTTGTTTGTATTAGCATAGCCTGGATGCTCATTACAGACCGGAGGCGGAAGGAGAAGATGAAGAAGGTCTCAGATCCATTATGTTTTTCATTTGCATTCAATTGATTTGCATATTCTGTCGTTCCATCTTTTCTTGTTTTTTTACTCCGAGTGGGCAGAAGAAGACAAGTAACGCAATCTTCACAAAACAACAATTGACCTTTGGCCGGACACAGCATCATTTGTTACTTACTTCCCTTTCCCAGCACTGTTCATGGCTTGATCCTCAAACATAGAGACAAACAAACAAACAATCAAAGATGGATATGCGCGTCGTTCAATGTCCTCGTCCCAACAACCTATAGCATGTACTTTTGTCGTCAATTGTAGGACCGAATAACAATGCTTTACCTTCTTCCCTTTTGTTCCTCCGCTCCCTCCATAGAAGACTAAAGCTCAATAGGATCTTGTCGCATAAAGAAAGGCCAAACAATCGATTGCACTAACATAAATTGACTTATTACAACTTCATTTTTTTTTCTGCCACAACAACCACCCTTCATTGTCTCTTACTTCTCTCTCTGTTCTTTTTCTTCTTTCTTTTCAACACTTGTTTACCGTTAGAGAGCGATCAGTCAAGAATGAAAGACATGGTGGTTGAATGAGAAAAAGAAAAGGTGAGCCCTGGCTCAATAGCATCAAAACAGACACCGGCTAATATGCCATGCCCTACCTTTTGCTCTATTTCATTTCTTGTAGATGACGATTTCGTACCACCAGTGACAGAGAAGGGTGCCCCTCCTCGCTGAGAAGTCGGTTTTCTTGCACTGCGATACTACGTTAGTTTGTCTACAAGACTTGCCAGTCTTCACCAGTTGTCGTGGACCAGCCACGTGCTCTTTCTCTTTCACAACTTATGGTATCCATGGAGCTCGAACCGCTCCTGCGAAATTCTCCTCGGGATATTTACCATACCATACCATACTATACCGCCTACCAGAGTATAATACCTCTCTCTCAATGTACAACTGAAAACTATAACAGAGTGTTGGAGAGACCGAGAGCCATTCCTCACACCTCGGCTCCCTCCATTCCATCGCTTTTTTTTGTCCTCTCATTCCTCGTTGTCGCTTAGAGAGCCATCAGTAGCATAAACCCACTAAAGCATCTCTTCATGAAACTCAATTCTGGGATATCTTCTTCATTTGTCTCCTAAGCTCGTGCTTTGTTTCTCGATCAAGGTACAAGGAACAGTTATGATACCGAGAGAGTGCTATATAACAGCATTCTTTTGTATTCATGGTGTGTGATGCTCCCCCTCCAGACAAGGAAAGACAGAGAAAAGAAGAGAGCGAGAATGGGCAAAATGATGGACTAGTGTTCTAGTACCGTGTAATGGACTCAGCTCTATGACACCCTCTTCCATTCATATTTTGGTGCGAAATGCTAAAAATAACATATGGCCGTTGCGTTCTCATAAGCAAAGACATGAATCAATCTCAGCTGTGGACCTTGTTTGATCGTAGGCCATGCACCGATCTTCACTTCTCGCACACACAACACACAGCAGACACAGACGATGAGCCAAAAGCTTGTATGATTGCGATCGGGGAGAGAGAGAGAGAGAGAGAGAAAGAGGGAGAGAGAACGGGTTATGAATGAAAGTGTATGACGCGAACGGACGCATGCTTGTTGACGCTTATTGTGCAATGCTTCAACGACTGCGGCCTTTTTACTGCCCTCGTGGGAGATATTTTTATCTATACTCGTGCGACACTGGTGAGGAATAACCCTCCTTTCACCGTATGACATGCATCAAACCGAATTAGGCAGAGAACAAAAAAGGGAGGAGCGAAAGGCATCGATCGTCATTTGTCATTCTGTGGTCGGCTGCACCACTTCTTTTTTCTCCTTTGCCAAGCAATGCGGTCAGGCGGTCATGAGATTCAGCCCCCTTGCCATTATTTAAATACGCCCCTCCCTACCTTTTCTGCTTTTTTTTTGTCTTGCACTTTCAACTCTACAACAACTTCACTCACACATCAAACGAAAACATATCACACATCAAACGAAACATATCACACAAACAAGCAAAAGGATGAACATGGCCAGTCAGACATACAACCCCTCCTTCAACCAGGGATACAACAAACCACTCCCCAGAGTCAGCCCCCAACAGCAGCACAACCAGCTCCAACACCAGTACCAACCACAGCAACAACAACAATACCAACAACCAGGACAATACCCGGGCCAATATAACCACCACGCGCAGTACCAGCAGGGATCCCCTGGTGAACAGCAGCGTCAACAGAAACAATACCAGCAATACCAGCAAGTACAACAGCAACAGCAGCAACAGCAGCAGGACAGTCGTCGGACAAGTGGAGGAAGCCAGCAGACGGCGGCGGTTCAGAGCTCGCTCATGGCTTGGTTTGATGCTGTTGATACCGACCATTCTGGTACTCTCTCGTGCGAGGAACTTCAGCGGGCTTTGATGAATGGTAAACAAGCAAGGAACATACACTTCGCCAATAATGTGCTCGATTTGTACTTTGTGATTGTCATTTGACGAAATGAGCGAAAAAAATAATTGTGCATCTGACTAAAAATTGTCTCCTCCTTTTTCTTCTTTCTACTTTCTACTTTCGTTCGGGATGTTACCAAAATTAGGCGACTGGACACCTTTCAATGGTAAGGAACATGAGTACATCAGATGATGATGATCTCTGACTCAGACAGGCAGTCGTGTGGGTGAATAAGGAATGCACGCACCGAGGCGCAGCTTTATTTCGGAAGTCGAGTCCAATGCGGTCATTGTGTCTTGAAATCTAAAACGAAAAAAAAAAAAAAAAAAACTTTGCCTCAATTCTCAAAACACATCTCATGCGCTCTACGCGAAGACACAAACCCAAGGCTGAAGTAATCATACTAACCCCACTCCGTTTCCCTCCCTCATACAATAGTCGAAACGGTCCGTATGATGATGAATATGTTCGACCGAGACAACGACGGAACAATCTCCTTCAATGAATTCATCGGCCTCTGGAACTACATCGAGAAGTGGAAGCAATGTTTTCAAGCCTACGACCTCGACGGCTCCGGAACCATCGACTCCATGGAGTTACAAAAGGCCCTTCAAGGATTCGGTTACAACCTTTCGGAGGCCATTGTCCAATTGATTGTGACAAAGTACGATGTGAGAGGGCAGGGCGATATCAGTTTTGATAACTTTGTGCAGTCGTGTGTCACCATCCAGACGTTGACGAGTGCGTTCCGGAGGATCGATGTTGCGGGCACGGGCGTTGTCACCATGACCTATGAGCAGGTACGAATAGAGGGCTGCAGCGAGTTCTGACTTGTACAAACTGGGCTATTAGTGTGTGCTGAAATTCATTGCAATTTGGTGCTAACACAACCTTTCCATTCTTTTTTCCGGTCTTATCTCTTTCTTAGTTCCTTGGCTTGGTCATTAACAACCGGTGAAAATAACGGCTGAACCAAAAAAAACCCCCACCTATGAGGACTTCTCAGCCCAAAAAAAATGGAAGATCACCACCCCTACAACGACCTGCCCGCCTGCCCGTAGCTCAAAACTTAGGCCGGATCTATCCTTTGCCTTTCTGCGCACTCTCCCTCCTCTCTCTACTTGTACAATAGTCCACACATCTACCCAGCGCACCAATAAACATGTCAATGTTTTTTTTGTATTTTATTTTATTTTTCTATTTTCTAATACATAATGGTCGTACTGTCAGCTGTATGTTGAACTAGATGATGGTGTCTACTTTTTTTTTACAGCCTGGCGAATTCGATGGGCAGATCGTCTACGGTCTCCCTTTCCGCCTTTTGGATAAGTTCAATTGTATCCTGTGCTGTTCCCCAGCTCGATTGGTAACCTAGATATGAAGGGTTAGATGGGAGTAAAGGATGAGGTTGGTTAATAGGGTGTTCAAGAGTAGCGACAGAGCATTCCTGCAAACACCACCAGAGCATGAAAAATACCAGCGCCTCCATGGCCATAGTTGTGGGCGATAAGAACATGCTGTCCCGTTCCCGTGCCTAAGAACATTCAGGGAAGTAACAACATAACCTGTTAGTATTTCTTTGCTCTACTTGCTCAATCAACATCTATGTTCCAGGTCGCTGTGACTTCTTCGTCTTCCTATGTCCTTGTATCTCAACTTACGTCCATGCTCGACCTCAACGCGCACGCCACCAAGCCGCGAGGGTCGGAACCCAACCTTCTGATCCACGATGTCGAACTTGGAAAGGAGGTCTGGGCTGGAGGCGTAGGCATCGGAGGATCCAGGGCTGAGGATCTTGGGGTACCGGTCAAGGATTGTCTTGAGGATGTGTGTTGTCTTTGTCCCGCTTACTGACTCGTTGCTACAAAGGGTCGACATGGAAGCAAGTGGGTGGGTTAGTCTCGAAACTCGCGCTGTAATTTACTTGATGCTCAGGATGTTGTGCGGTTCGTCACTCTTTTCGTTTTGGTTGACTTGACTTACTTTTGGTACGCCTCGTGGGATCCTCCGAGGACCACGTCGCCGTTCGACCGTGGGATGACATACATGATCGACCCAGACTTGGCTATTCCATACCCACAACAACAACCAAAAACATATGGTCAGTTTTCATCCAGACGACAACTCCCAACAATAAGAATATCCATGGTCCATGGCTCCAGAAAACTTACAGATCCAGGTAACAGTCTCACGGATCCACGTAGCGCGTATAACAGCTGTCTGTCCACGGGTCTGGAAATTCCTCAAATCATTCACGCCTCCTAGGTGCCTTGCCTGGAATCCCGTACAGTTGACAATAATCTTGACCGGTCGAGGTTTAGTCCCGACCCAGAGCGCCGCCTCAGTAACATGTGACAACTTGCGGTGTTGAACATGTCCTCCTGCTTTCTTAAACTGGTGGAGGAGGAACTTGAGATAGATGCCTGGGGTGATGACGGGGGTCTTGTAGGAGTAGGCGATTGGGAAGGCTGCGTTTGTCGAAGGGATCTTCTTGAACTAGACGAGCGAGAAGTTCAAAAGGAGAGGAAACGTCAGTGCCCATCTTACTTGACCTTGTGCGAGAAAAAGCGTCGATTGCCAGATCCTGTGTTGATATGTAAGTCTTCGTCCTTACGTCGTCAACGACCTTGGACCACCATGGATCCCGACCCTCATGTCCCGTAGGATTGAAGTCAAAATAGTCGATCGCATCCCGGATATTAACACCCGATTCTGGGTCCTTGGCCAGTTCTTGGAACGTCCTGTACGACACCGTGTCATACCCTAAACCATTTACCAGCACACAAAGAAAAAAAAATCGAGTTAGTCAAACCCAACATGTAAAAATACCCATAACACTTTTGTGACACATACAGAGTCACCTCTCCTCGCAAATTTTCGCACGCAGAAAACGAAAGGACAGCGTACCTTTGGCCCGCTCGTCGTCTTCGTCACACATCGACCGCCAGTGGGCACCAGCTTTTGGGGACGCATAGTCTGGACGGGGCTTGTCCTCCCACGGGAACTCGTCCGAGATAATCGTGACGTCTATGGAGGGTTGAAGAAAAAAAGAGGAGTGTCAATTGCTGTGTCTGGAGTTCGGGCACTTTTGGGCGGAGAAAATAATGCGACACAGTTCAGTTCCGAACGGACAAAAGTCACTTTACCATAGTGGTTGCACTGGAGGAGGAGTGCAGTGGTGAGACCGACGACACCAGCTCCAAGAACTGCCACAAGGGGTCTTTCGTGTTTGTGATGAGTGTGGTTGGTCATTCTGTTGAAAGTGGGTTGAATGAGGAAACGAAGAGATGGAGACGAACTTTTTTCTCTCTCTCGTTCGTTGGTCTGTGGAGCGAGTAAAGGTCTTGTGACTCGTTCCTGGAAGGGTTGATTTTCATTCGTCAGTAGTCCCTCAATACCTTGAACCTTTTCTCGCTTTCCATTTTTTTTGGTGCTTCTTCGCGTTTCATTTTTCGTTTTCAAGCCGAATTGGGATATGTTGTGGCTCCTTTATTCTTTGTTGAAATGGGAACGCTCGCCTTTGGTTGTTATCCGATCACATTTTGCCTTCGTCTCTTCTTTCGTTTGCTTCGATAGCCAGTATCTCGATATGTGCCCCTGATTGAAGATATACTCACTCCTCCAATAACTTGGCGGCACTTGACATGGTAGGATCAAGATAACCAATGAACTGGAAACAAGCTGTTTGACATCTCATAATTTTTCCGCATAGGATTCCTTTTCCTAACGCGACCAGCAGAGCGCTGCCTAGTCTGCGTGCAGTATCTTGGATATGCGATGGCGGAGTTCATCTTTGATTGTTCGAACACATAACCTTCAAACCTGCGATAGATCATCTTCACTGACATCAGCGTTTGGCCCCAGAAAACATGTATGACTTTTCTATACTTGAATTACCATCGACCCGATGGCGATGGCATAAGAAGATGTTTGGAGTAAGCTCGATGTTCAAGGATTCGATGTGGTTCTTGGTCTGTTCTTTTAATGAAACCTTCTTTTTCGGTTGGCTGTGATTCCATCAATTCTTCGCCATGGCTATTGTACTCTTTCAGAAGTCAACAAACGATGCAGCCATTCCATCGCGGTGCTGACCATAAGTAGTAATGAAGGAATGGAGACGATATCAGCCAGGTTTTGTCTTAGATCATTCCATCATTCGAACGTAGGAGACAACACGCATTATTGGGTAGTGACATATGTAGTAGAATGGTTCTACTTGTGGATCATCCTGCACCCACGGTACATTCGCGTGAATAAAGGTTGGCCATTTGTTGACAGGAACGCTCTTTACGGTTTCTTAGGCAGCACGAGGTGAGTACTTGGCTTAAACCCTTCTACTATAACATGCGTGTTGCAGGATATGAGGCTAGTAATCTTGTCCTTTTGCCGCATACTTGGCCGTAATTATTGTAGGTATCACTACTATTGAAATAACTTCTCAGGTACACGATCGTTTCTCCAACCAATAAATCGGGTTTGAAAGAAAAAGCGTGTCTTGTGAACATAACCCTCCTTGATCTGACAACCAGCACCATTTTTTTTTAATTCTCGGCGATTTGTAATGATAGGGACAAACTCAGGATTTATATTCTAACGTCTTGCATGTTTATGGTTGTGCCCCTCTCTCCTTTCTATCGTATCAAAGCTGCTGGCGGACAAAAGTTGAAAAAGTAGCCAGCGAGTTAACAGTGAAGGCTTCGTTTCATCAGACACGGGGCATTCAGCCGTCAAACAAAGTTTTAACCTGGAGGCTCCTATGTCTAGTGACCCTCTCTAGTTTTTGTTCATTTTTCTAGCTTTTGCTTTCTCCAACACACCGTCCAAGGCGATCGATTATGGCAGTGAAGGGACACTCCTTGTCCTTCTTTTTCCTTTCCCGAGCGCGCATTTTTTTTTCCCCAAGCTGGAGCTGGAGGATCTCACGCGTGGAAGTTGGCGTGGCCCTGTTAGCTTTTGATTGAATGAAAAAAATATCACCGATCCAGTTGCCCTTGTAGCCTTTGACTTGTACACTTATATTTTTCACCTAACGAATCTTCTATTAGAACTTTCTCGTCTTCTATGTTTTGTTCTTCACAGTTAGATAAGCGTCTGGCTTCAATTGGCTTTCAAAGATACACGCTTGGCAGGTCGGTATTCCACCGTCATGATTGTTAATTTCATGATCATAAACCTACTGCGATACAACGGGCGAAGTTTGATGCATTCTCGTGCATTGTATGATCTTGGTCGATCCCATCTGATCGGATGGATGCCTTCTGCAGTCAAGCCGGGGTTATTCGGGGTTATCACACTGTCGTCATGGATTCGACTACCTCTAGGTGCACATCCATTTTTTTTCAGATCACCTTGCACATGGATCAAGCTGCCAAAAAAGATGAGCCTTTTAACATCGTTTATAATAGTTCACATCGTGCCGATCCTTCCTTGTCTTCATTATATTTCAATGTCTATGCACATTAGGCTGGCATGTACAACTCACTCGCAACGGCCGGTTTAGAGTGTTTTTTCTTTCTTGGCTATACAGGCAGTCATCAAAACGCGTAATAGGGTCAGCCGAGCACAGCAACGTTTTTTTTGGTTGTGAGGTGACATGATGTGGGGCGATATGAGGTTTGTTTGCTATGGTCGTTCTCACTTGTTACTGCTTGTGTGTATTTATTTTTTTTGTTTTCTACTGCAATGTCGTTTTTTGAGGTATCGACATGTTGTTGTTTTTTTGGTACGCAGCTCGCGGATATATTTCTGGAGTCGTTGTCGTCCCTCTTTTGTTGAGAAGCACATTTTTTTTTACTGAGATCTGCCAAGCAACAGAAACGGTTTGTTTTTCACTTGGTAACTCGTCGATTATTTGTTGGATGTTTCTCTTTTCCATGTTGACAGCTGCCACCTTGGTCAATGGGTGAATGGCTACGAATAGTCGTAGTTGAGGTCGTCCATTTTCTGTGAGCGTAAAAGAAATGCAAGATGGCAGATGCCGGAAGGAGGAGTGCGCTGAGAAAAAGTAAGAAATATGATCCTTGTTTTCTGCCCTCTTTTGGGAGTTGTAGCAAGGGGCGTACACATGGGGAACTTGAAAGATCAGTACAATGATGGTTGCGAGCATGCCCCATGATCATCCTCCCAAAAAAAAATAGTTTGATAGGCCCTCATGGTCCTCGATCCTGGTTTAAGTACATCTAAAAAAGAGCGGTCGGTGGGAGTGTATGAAAAAACGAATGCTAATAAGATTTCCCTCATGATCCCTCCATTTCGAATAAGCCCATCCTTGTTCACAAAAGCTAATTTTTCACGCGTCGAAATTTTTTTTGGCGGCAAAGGTTTCGTGTTTTATTCACTCCCAAACCTTCGCCTCTTCTGCTGGCTGGGCCCAGGGGTGGCATTCTTATCAACGAGCTCTGGACTCATGATCTCGTCCAACGCGCACTCGCGCACTCCATCCACGCTCCCTTTACCATCACTATCACCAGTACCATCACTATCGCCAGTACCGTCGCTACCACCAGTACCGTCACTGGCACCCTCCACAGGAGACTGAACAATATATGTGGCGACTCCCTCATCCACTTGCGTTGGACCAACCTCATCCATGGCCTCTTCGCGATGCCGCGGTAGTACAGGCTCTCGCTCAGCGCGAGCAGTCCACTGCCAGAGTTGACTGGATGTCCGTTTTAACCCTCCACTCCATTGGCTCGACCCACTCCGTCCGAGACCCCCTCCATCCGAAGCACCCAACAGTCCCGAAGCAGCCCGGCTGAGCCCACCACCACCACCTCCTGCAAGCAAGTTACTGCTACTCGGCGCTCTCGGCACAGAGTCAGCAGCATTTTTGGGTTCATTTGCCCGCAAAAGCCCATCGAATGCGTCGCGAGTATAATAGTAAGAGAACCAGCTTGGTGCACGCTCATTCTGAGCCGCCGTGAGCTTCAGACTGGCTGTCTTGAACTCTGTCAGGGATGTTTCTACATCATCGTCCTGCCTTAGCTCCCGATACACCCTCGTCTGAAAGTACAACACCTGCGCCACATCCTTCACCGAGTCGATTTGTCGGTAACCTATCAATGCAAACCAAACTCACGTCACGTTAGTACTTGAAGAGATTACATTATATTGTGCTTGAACCCTCCTCATGTGCACGACATTCATGCGTACCATGTAGAGCATGCTTTAGTAGTACAATGACTTCGTGGAGTCCGCGGCGACGATCTGAAGATGAAGACGACTTTTTTCGATGTACGCAAGCAAGGAGGCATTTTGCGCTCTGAAAGTAAGCGAGCGCCTGCACAAACATGTCTCCTTGGTTCAGGGCCTATTATGATGAGTTAAATGGGGCGTGGTTATTAGTCCCCATTTACAAGTACGTCATCCAAAATGGAACAAAAACCTCAATCGCTAGTTTACCATGCTCATAATACTGTCAACCAGATCTTTCGCATGTTGAACATTATCCAGATACAAGAGAACTTCTGCTAAGCGCAACTTGACAAGGAGTAACAACGGTCTCTGAAAACTGTCCTCACTGAGCGTGGCCGCTGTCAGCAAGAGTGGCACTGCCGAGATGGCGCTTTCAGATTCCTATAGACGAAAGACTTCATGTTAGCCTGAGGAAGAGATGATACAAAGGACACACCCTGAAAAGGAGCGAGCTTACCATGAAGACTTCAGCGAGTGCAAGCAGGTACATTATGGTAAACTTGTGGGCGCCAGACCACTGGTTTTGCTGGAGGATAGCTAGCCCTTCCGAGAGCTGATTTACACCCGATTGGCGTTGACCCACCAATACACTCAAAAGCGCGTTCTGCATCAGAATGTCGAGTTGAAGTTCCAGACTCGTATCGTCCAGCTGAGCGTCCTGCGACGCACCGGCTCCATTTGCATTTCCAGTCCCTCCACTACCACCGCCACCATTCTCAAAGCTGCCGTTACCAGGAGAGTCCATGTTCTTGTTGGCACTCCTGTTGGATGAGCTAAGTCGCGGTGTATTTAAAAGTGTGCTGCCAAGCTGTTGGTTCCAGATCTCTGCATTGCGAAGGTTGTTGGACGACATAGCTTTCCTCTGGAGAAGCTGAACAAGGGTCTGTACCCACGGAGCCGCCTTCAAAGTGTTCGATGGAAACTTGGTCTTTGCTTGCTCGATCACTCTGAGCGCCTCCTCAAAATAACCGTTGAGTGTCAACTAAGCCATACAAATGCCGGAGGTTTGGTTAGTAACTTTTTGTCACTCATACCAACAAGTCAAACCATGCCTGATAAAGTGTCACTTACGTCAGATGCATGCTTGGTGTAACCAGATGTAGCATCGCTCATATCGACATCACTTGGCCGGTATTTGAGTTGCAGCTGGGAGTAGAGGGACGACAGTGGATGGTTTCCTACGCGATGACAGAGACAAAAACATGTTAGCAGTGCTTTTGGTAAAGAGTCTTTCGACGTTTCGAAGAGATGTTCTACTTACCATAGGCACCCCATATCTTGGACTGGAACAGGTTCACTACCCCCCCGACTCCTTCTAGTGAGTGCCGCATATTGATAGATGATGCTTTGACAAGGGACTCCAGCGCTCTCGGCGTCGACTCTCCTTGCTAGCGTCAAAAGAAGAGCATACAATAGACGTCAGAAAGCGTGATTCTAAAGGGTTTCTTGTCACTTTGAGCCGCTGATTAGTTTGTAAAGTGAGTTTTACCAACTGCTTGGCGTTGTTCAGCTCATTGAGCGAGGTCAAGTAGTGTGATGACTGTTCATCCATTTCTCCTGCAAGTTCTGCCAGCATTTGAGCCTTGTTCATGTCCGATCCGGTTCCAGGCATTGTTCTTGTCAGTCGATTCAGCCAACTATTGTGAACGGGGTAGAGAGTGAAAAGGCGTTAGTTTTTAGTTGAACGGTCAAATGTAGCTTCTATGTGGCGAGAATGAAACAACCCTCTGTAACTTACTTTGACGCGTAGCTTAGACACTCTTGATCCAATTGACTTCTAGCCATTTCAATCGTCTCCTCAAGCGCCTATGAACATTGGTAATGACAAGAGAGTCAGAGAGTATCTCACTACGCCAAACAACAATGCTGTTAGGATATTCCTACATTCAAAGCGGTGGGCTGAAGTACTTACAACGAGAGCCTGATCGTAATTGGAGAAGCGGGCGTGCAGCATGGCTAGGTTCAGAAGCGCGTACTGATACAGCACCTGGTCCTGCATTGAGATGCAGTAGTCAAAAAACCGGTACAGACTTTGAATCGCAATCTCGTAATCTCCCATCTGTTGGGCATGTAGACATCTAATCATATCCATTGACAAATAATTTGATCCGCACTTGTTAGCACACGATCCAAGACTCGAAGGGACTATGATAGCAGTTATAGCGACGCAAATATCAAGTGAAACGTACGTGATGTAGTGTGTCTTGGCAAGTGCGGGCATTCTCGACTGTATTTCATAGACATGAGCCAATAACTCATCGGGTATACTTGCTTGGCCAGGATCTATGTGTAGGAGTTACAATGTAACCATTTCTAGTCAGTTGACGAGCACTTTCATACAACTGAATCGGAAAGTAAGCAGCCTCTCCTGAACGTGGTCGCATACCAGAGAGTTTGTCGGTTTGTGTATCGAGATACTTTTCAACGTCAAAGATCGACATGAGCACCGAACCTCCTGGGGACTGTGAATTCCGCCTACGGTCGGTTGGTGAAGGCACTGTTGGTCGATCCAGCGCAGAGCTATACATCTCCAGAGCCGTGTAGCACTTGCACACCTCCTCGAAACTGAGTTTCCTGAACTCGATCCTGGCCTTTCGCACATAGAGACCCAGCACACTTGATGGTTCCTAATAATGAAACCAGACCCCTGTTAGTTCACAATTTCCACTTGATCTTTCCATAGTCTTCGTGTCCTTGACTTGTATGACAATGTGTGCTCCCATACCAGCAATATTCGTGTGTCGTTTTCAACCTATGAAAAGTAGTGTCGAATGGAGTCAGGTTAGTCCTCCTCGTACAGGCCAGAGAACAGCGCTTCCCAGATATCACTCCTGTCGCCATGTCTGGCACTTACTACAATCGCATTAGGGTTAGGGTCGTGAATGAGGTCCGCAAGGCCAATCTCTCGACCTGATTCCTCCATGGGGTCATCCATGGGATCGTGCTCCAGCTTGTACATGAAGAACTCGCTGAGGTGATGGGGACTCTTGATCCTTTTGAGCTATTGTATATGTCGATCAGAAAGAAAAAAAATATAAGATACCAATATATCATAAGAAGATTCGCTTCGCTACATCGACAGGCTTTCAGTCAAGCGTACCGTGTTCTTGAGGTGGCTCCATACGATATCCCCTGCTTCACTCGAGACTCGACTTCCAAACTCATTTACATCGCGGTGCAGGTACTCTGAAGAATCCTGTGAATCAACAACGCGGAGGGATGGTGAGGAATGTGACCAATAATAAGCTCACGAATATCGTGTCCGTCAAATCCATGCAAGGTACCTGAATGCAGTCCAAAAGAAAGAGAAGAAGTTGCTGAGCCGCATCAGGCGGACACTGGTTGCGACAAAAGAATTCGACGAGGATAAGGACCGAGACTTTGTGAGGGGTCAAGTAAGGCACCGCATGAACTGGGTCTGGCACAAGTCGCCCTCCTGTTCTTTGGTCATTGAAGTTGTCGTCATAGTCCTCTGCGATTTCATCTGGGTCGGCGAAAGTCTGTGTCTGGGGTGGTCTCAGGGAGATGTCGGTTGCTGTCCTGGCGAATGCGCGTTTGCTGGTCATGAATGGCGGGAACTAAAGGAAAGGAAGAGAGGGATGTCAAAGCAACAAAACGTGTGAGCGAGACAAGAGTGAACAAATGGCCGAGGTGACTGTTGGCATGTTCACTTTTCTGTGATTGAAAATTGGTGGCAAAACAACCGCCTCCCTCTCTGTGGGCTTGCACTTACCCGTATAAACGTCGTTTATGGAGAAGGAAAAACAGCAAAGCACTATGCTCTCGTGCTCTCGTAGTCTTTTGTCAGGCAGCCAAAACGGCGCCGTATGGCCTCCGTACTATGGGTAAGCACGCCAACAACGGCGCCTGGTACTCCATGCGAGGTGAAATATGTGTGTCGAATGGTGGCTTGGCCGAACCTTTCACAAAAATAAAAACTAAAAAGCTCAATGCTTGCCTTCTTCATTCATTGTCTTCACTCGCAAAGGAATCAACTCCCAGCTTGACAACCAGGAACACATCACCCACCGACATGGCGAAAAAGGACAAGAAGGGCGAAAACTCGGTCCAGAACAAAGAGATCTTTCAGCGCATGAACTTTCTCTACCAGGCGGCCATGTGCATGGCCACCATCACAACGCCACCACCTGGAAACAATTCCAAGAGCAGTCTGCCAGGTGACGCCACCGAGAGTCAAGCAGCCACTGACAGCACTATCGCGGACACAGCAACAAGCCATGACTCGTTCGGAGACCCTATATCCGTATCGGCAATACCGACCACCTCTGCGAGTGTTGTGGATATGAACAACCTTCTCCAAGGACCACGTAAGCTCAGCAGGAAGAAGACGCGCAAGTTGCTGAGGGAGAGAAAGAACAGGATTGCTATGGAGCAGATCAGCGATCGCGGGAGTCACCACCGTCTAACAAACCCAGGCAAAGGTCCCGATCCACGCCCACTCTCCGGCACTGCGCGATTTTACGCTTCTACCCTGATGGAGGTCGGTCGCAAGAATGTTATCCGCATGTAAGTCAGCCCTCTCGCTGTAAACAATCCAGGGTACGCATTTATGAGACAATGTATTTGACCAGAACACATCTATTCTCCTCGATCTTAACAGTGGCCCGACTATCAAGAGATCCGTATGTCAGCGCTGTGAGGCTCTCCTTATCCCTTCTATCAGCTGTGAAGTGCGTGTCGAAGGTACATGCTAGTTCTTTCTTTGACTAATTCATTTTCAAATCATTCGTGTACAGCGCACAATAGGGCAAAAAAACACATTTGGCTAACATTTTGAGTCGCACCTTTGTATTGTTCCTTACTAATATAGCCACGCCTCAGTTGAACACACGGGTGATTTGTACCGCATGTGGCGCTTTTAGACGGTACTTTTGTATGCCTGGGAAGGGTATTGAGGGCGACCGTTGGGAAGTCGAGGAGACGATCGGAAGAGAGGGCAACGATACTGAGACAGGGTCAGTCAGCGCCACAACCTCATCGGCGACAACTCCCGCCGAGACGCATGATGTCGGGAGTGATAATGTCGGTCTGGAGGATTCCGTCATGGAGAGAGCGGAAGGGATGGAGGGTTTAATTCTTCAGGAGGATGTTGCTTAATATTTTACCGCAAGGTCTTACTCTTGGAGCTCATTACTTCTACTCCGCAGGTAAAGAAGCGTTTTTTTCAAAAGAAATGGCAGGAGGATCAAAAGCAATCGCACGTAAGGGAGAAGGAGAGTGAGCGACGGAGGGAGAGCGGAAGATGTGTGGAGGACAGGAGGAACAGCGACTATTGACATCCATGTTCACATACATATTTCGGAAACGGTCATTGAAGACCAACAACAGCATCAACATGTACCATAACTTTTGTAAAATATCAAAATAATAAAGAAAAGAGAGAGCGTGTTGCGACTTTGAACACGAGCGCAAGGGCGGGTTGACGAGAAAGGGTCATTCATGTTGTTGGACTGAGGCCCTAAGATCGATGAAAAGATGAAGAAGGAATTATTAAGCAAGGTTCAAAGAAGAACGAAGAATTTGTCGCAGGTCTGGGTTGCGCTTCAACGAATTCGCGTTTTCGCAATACCTGACATGAGGGGAGGAGGAAGGGTTGAAATTGAAAAAGAAAAGAAGGGTCGAGAAGGTATTCCATTGGATAACGTTCTTTGTTGATGCAGACCGTGAGAGTTGAACCTCAATTCTCAGAAGTCAAACGTATTCAAGGTCGGAGAAGGGGTCCCTCTTTCTTCCTCTCTCCTCAACCTTTCCCTTCAAGCCTCTCTCTTTCCTTCACTCAGCAGCCTTTTCAACTCTTTCATTCCTCCTTCTTCATTCTCTTTCTCTCATACCCCATACTCTCACATTCACCTGCTTACCCTTCCGCTCATTACACTTTAGGAGTCTCTTATTTTACAGCACACAACTCCCTTCTCTTTTTTCTTCTTTAACCCCAACACTCTTTCTCAACGCTCTGGACCTCTTTTCCCTTTTACTTCTTTTCTCTCCTTCTCTCTTTTCAGCCCACTCTCTTCCATACTTTTTTTCGCATTAATCCCCTGCATACCATCATGTCGACCGCAACTCACACTCCTATCCATACACACCCCTCCGACGATCACTCCTTTAATATACAGGCAGCACAGCCAACGACATCCTCAATGGTATCACCAAAAGCAACACCGCCACCACCGCGCAAGCTCCGTGTAGCTGTAGTCGGATCAGGACTCGCTGGGTTAACCGTTGCCCACCTCCTCTCCTCGCTCCACCTCGAGGATGGTCAGGGAGACCAGGGCATTGATGTCGAGCTTTTTGAGAAGGCTCACAAACTTGGTAAGATAAACATCAACATTTCTGTTCCTTCAGGGGGGAGACACAACCCAGACCAGACAGACACAGACACCAGTCAACAGTCAACAGACACACATGTCGATTACGATTATTTTTTCGTTTTTTTACAGTCCGCGTTGTTGATTTACAAACCGTTTTCCTTTTTGGAGAAGGTTGCTTGGACCGGGTTGCATGGAATGGGTGGTGACCATGGTTGTGTCCGTAGTGCGACAACTTTGGGATCATCGTCATCATCGCCATCATCACTATTTGATCTTCTTCAATCTACGATACACCCCCCAACACAAACCGTTGGTTGCCCCCGTTTCAATAATCTGTTCAATGGCCAACCCCTGATTCTGTGCTGATATGGACCCATCTAGAATCAAAAATGCTAAAATGCAACCGACTAATTCACACCTTCCTCCCTCCCTTCCCTTTCCTTCCCCTTGAATGTGACGAACCCATCCCTTAAAATCAATTAATCGTTGTAGGCATGGATGCCGCCTCATTATCGGTGACTTGCCCTTGTCAAAAGTGCGCCTTGGCAGCAGGCCGAAGTGACGGCGATCCCCATCACGAACACGTCGAAGGACGAATGGACGTACCCATGCGCAGTTTCTTTGCTGGTAAGTTCACAACACGTTTATTATTTTTTTACTTTATAATGGTGTAGGAATGCGAATGAAAAAGATGATCAAAGAAACGGAAGAAGCGGTTTTATTTTGTCCGTGTCTCTCGGCACGGCGTTAATACGATCAAATTTTTTCGATCGTCTTTTTTTTTTTTTTTTTTTTTTTTTTTGGGCGTGGAAGAGAAATGTGCGTTTCAGCGGCTTCTTTGTGCTTGTGCTGGTGTTTGTGTGGTTGTTGGTTGTCTGCGGAGAGGTCGGGTGTCAATTTTGGCGGGAAGTGGGGTGACTGTTATCGTATCGCAACATTGGTCTTTCTGCGATTGAGGAACAACTAGATACAAGGAGGAAACATGAAGCCGAGGAAAAGAATGGAGCGATCGAAGAATCGAAAAATGAGAAAGGAAAAAAAGACAAACGCAACAGCCGCGATCGGATAAAATCGAAGGATGATGACGAGGAGGATCGACGGTGCGGTCAAAGATGATCACAATCGAAGGTCATCCGCAACCTTGCTCCGGCAACTTTATTCCCTCCTCTGACCCCCTATTTGCAGTTGTGTCTGTGCACACCTCCCTCTCATCCTTAAACAAACAAAAATTACGTTGTCAACACGGCATTGTTTAAACCCGACGGTTTCATGTCCACAATCCTCGTCATCGACATTCAACTAACCAATATACATCTACACATTGAATCCAATTGAATAGAATACTACCCAAACTTGGTCCGCCTCTACCGCGCCATTGGCGTCAAGTTCCACGATGCAGACAACACCCTGGCCTGCTTCGATGTCACCTTTGACACAGAGTCCGGAGAATCAAGCCCCAGCACAAAATACAGACCTAGTCGCAACCATCGCAACGTCAACATCGAATCCCCGTACCTCTCATCGAGATCCTACAAAGTCAGCTCAGACCATACCATCACCCTCCCAGACCTGCCTTCGCTCTCAGTCCTTAACCCATACCCCTTTGGCCGTCGTCTCCTCGGCTACTACAGGATCGCCCGCGACTATGTCAGGATGCTGGCTGTCTCCAAGGAGTTCATGACACAGGGCCGCATGATGGACATTGGAAAGGACCCTTCGGAATGGGGTAATGGCCGTCAGGTCTCGCTGCGGGAGTTCTTGGTCAATGGACAGTACAGCCATGACTTTTCTGCATTCTTTGTTCCTCTCTTTGCTTGCGTCTGCACGTGCAGCTTTGAGCGGATGATGGAGTTCCCAGCCTGCGTGGTTCTTGAGTATGTTGCTCGGTGTATGCCTTTTGGTCGCATGCAATTTGTCTCATCGGGCGTTCGGGAAGTCACCGAGAACCTGTCCAAGAACATCGGAACCATTCACTACAACACTATGGTCGAGAAAATCATCGAGGCGCAGGATGCAGAGGAGGCGAACGAGAAGGGTCCCATTGTTTTGATTGACTCGTTTGGCGTCCGTCGATCGTTCGACCATGTCATCTTTGCGACCCAGGCCAACCAAGCAGCCGCAACCTTGGCCGGTCAGCGCGCCAGCAAACCCCTCCCCAAGCCATTCGTCACGTCGCATGACGCTGGCGATGTCGAGTCCAACTATGGTCGTCGGGAGGAGCATGACTCGGCTGACCCCGAAACCCCTCAAGGTGTCAAATTCGACTCCTTGGCAAGCAATCACCCCTTTTACGCCCAGATGAAGACTCTGGCCAAGTTCCCATACGAGCGCACCCAGGTCGTCTGCCATACCGATACGTCTTTCCTCCCCAAGGACCCTGCCTCATGGAGACTGTTGAACATTGCCAAGGCGACCAATGCTGACATTCTTGCGACACCCTTTGACGAAGTCACAGCAGAATTGGCCAAGACCAAGAGACGTGCCTCGACCGATACCCTTGTCAGCAACAGTGACGATTCAGGACTCCGCAAGAGAAACACAGGAGCAGGAGATGCTAACAGCACAACCAGCTCGGGAGCTTCCAGTCCAACGACACTCAACAACAGCGGCAGCTCCACTCCCGTCTCGACAGCCTCTCAAAGCTACAACTCTGCCATGGCGACACACATCATGAACAACACTGCTTCTTCTCTGGGATCGACGACCAAGTTCTTGCAAACCACCAACCCGATCTTCCAGCCCAAGTCGGAGACGGTCATCTCGTCTGCTTGGTTTGAGCGTGCGGTTGTAAACCCCGAGTCGATGAAGGCAGTCGACGAGTTGTCTCAGCAGATGGATGAGCAAGCTGAGCGCCTTTTGGCCGGCCAGCAGTCTGGAAACAACAACTCGACCTCGGTGTCTGACAGAGTCTGGTTCGTTGGAAGCTATGCGTACCCAGGAATCCCTCTCCTCGAAGGATGTGTCGTCAGTGCGGTGCAGGCTATGGAGCGGATCATCTCTTGTTCGCCCACCCACCGATTGGACACAGCCGTCGATGCACCCGAAGGATCGTTCTTGAGACGCGATGCGCCCATGCGCGAACGTCGCCGTCGCCGGAAAGAGGAGCAGGATCTGGCGGCCAAGCTTGGCGGTCAGGATCTGGAGGAGCAGCAGCTGGATCAGTCACCCTCTGGAGTCTACTTCCGGACAGCCTGGAAGGATACACTGGAAGATGAGCAAATCTGGGAGCAGCAGGAGAAAATCCGTCTCGAGAAGGAGAAGGCGACTGCTGCTGGTGGGGAAGTGTCTGAGATGAAGGGACATTTCTTGAGCGCGGTTGGATTGTGGACTTCGAATGTGTATGTTGAGGTTGCTTGGATGTTGCTGTTGTATCTGATGGCCATCTTCCAGTGGTGGATGGTTTTCATTATTGAGAGCTTTGGCTTTGACGGCAGCCGGTGGGCCATGGCCTAGACAGTATAATACATAGCTTAGATGTAAATTATATCGTAATTAATCTTACTCTGAACCTGCTTTGTACCTCATGATGGAACCCTCATTTCTGTTTGATCTGTTCAGTCGAAAGTTCGCAGCCGAAGATGAGGAATATGCAGTTTTGATGATTGCATTTGTTACAGTTGGACAAATCATATTAGATCAAATCAACAACTCTATTGGTCTCTGTCAAGATCACAATCCAACGGCATCCCTTCACGCCTTAATATCGCTGTACTCGAGTTCACAAACATTGTCGAAAAGATCACCCTTTCATTTCCTTGAACGCAACACAATACAGCAGAAATGAGAATGATTTTTCATTGGGTTTGGCTCCACAAAAGGATCAAGACAAGTCTTTATTCTTTAAGCGCGGGGAGGGCGGTCACCGCGGGGCTTGCGCTCAACGGGGGTCTGCTTGACCTCGACGGCGGTGACACCGGCCAAATCCTCGAAGTTCAAAGACTTAAGAAGAGCCTGTTTTGTTTGAAGAAATAAGAGATAGTTGTTAGTGTTCTGATTCGTAAATGCCTTCTCCGATCTGTCAAGTAGATCCAATCTACGTATCATAACGCGTAAATCCCGAACAGAAAGAAAAAAAAAAGTACCTTGGTGTCGGTATCGATCTCAATAGCAGAGGTGTCGAGGGCCGAGAACTCGGGGATGTAGTTATCCTTGCGCTCACGCTCCTCCTCCTGAAGCTTGAAGGAGATACCACGGACGGGTCCGCGCTGGATACGCTTCATCAAGTGGGTGGTGAAACCAGCAATCTTGTTGCGGAGACGCTTGGAGGGGATGATGGCGACCTCGGAAGCAATCTTCTTGTTGGTCTGGAAGTCCAAGGTAAGACGGGGGTAGTACTTCTCGATGAGAACCTTGGAGGCCCTCTTGACAGTCTTAGTTCTGTATTGTTGGAAAGTTGGAGAGAGGTTGGGGGGATGGTGGTCAGACTTCCTGATTCATAATGTCCTGTAGTATTCCCGTAACATATGTTCACAGTAACGACGATATCCAGATATTAGATCCTAGGTTGCCCATGATTTCCATGGTTTTTGAAAAATTACCTAACGCGACCCTATAGTAGAGAAAAAATAAAGCATAGGTTAGCACAGGTTCAACATAAAACTAATCGCTTTCCTTTCTTGTATGCACTCGTGATAGCGAGTTTTCCTGAAACAGGCGATCCTTGCTGCCGTGCTCTTGTCGATTGGTTGTTTACTTATCGCCATTCAGTCCTCTTAAAGAACGGCTTCCATCATCAAAGGTAGAGATCTCTCTTTCAGACAGATCTGCCAAGGCGAAAAAATCAAGTTCAAGGGTTCCTCCTGATGTCAACGAAAAAAAAAAAAGTCAACGATGGTGCCGGATAGTCCTGGATATGCTGATCGATGGGTTCCCAGTGCTGATCGATGCCAATGGATGGGTCGCCCAACTGGTATCCATGGTATCCGAGTGCCACCAAGACAAGATGGATGTCTGCACGTGACTAACCATTTTGAATTGATGATAAGTTGAAAGAGGAGGAAACCACTGTCAGCCCTGCAGTACGGCTCTAAATCACTCCCTGTTGGATGGTGGGTAAAGCACCCTTAATAAATCAAACTCTGCCACGATACGTTCTCCGTGGAGTCGAGGCCCTTTGTTAAACACGGCGCATACACGAACACGAACAGGAACGAAACAAACACTGCCTTCGCCTATGTTTAGTCCTGAAAACGATGTGTTTTCACGTCGACCTGGATGGAACTGTTGACATGTCCGCGACAAGGTTGTTCCCGAGTTCCTGTTCAAGAACATAGGGGTCCTCGCCACATAACGTTCGTCCAATCCTTTTCCCATACGCGGGCTGTTGCTCTTCCTTGCAGCTTGACAAAGAAACCAAAAACAGAACACACCCCTTTTTCTTGTCTCTTGTACCTCTCTAAAAAAAACTCTCTGTTTCTTTGCCTGTGGGTTGCTTACTCCTATTCGCTCACAATTGACTGAGGGGTGTGTTCAACCCAAGGCCTAGACAGCCTGCGAGTACCAATTGATATGCGAAATAAATGGAAGTGCGCATAACACGAACACGCCAACTGTTTCTCTTGTTCTTTGAGTTTTTCTTGGCAAAGAGTTTGGTGGGAATAGCTGACCCGCAAGGTTATTATTACTCTTGTTTTACCAGGGGGCGAGAATACTGCCAATTGAACAGCCGCAAGCTCAGAGGAGAACAAAAATGCTGAAAAAGGTGGACCACCCGATGGTAGAAAGGTAAGCTCGATCCATTTCTGCATGTTCAAGAGTATCTTAATTTCCCAATTCCTGCCTCCGCCAGCCGCTCCTCTTGCATCGCCTTTTTTTTGCTCAATTTAACAAAAGGTTCGATAAAAATAAAAATAGGAAAAAGAGTACCACAAGACCTCACTCCCATTGCCTCTTTCAGATGGATGAAGGTTCAAATTCCACTCACACGATACCGCTGCCTTTGCACCCACACGACGAACAAACAAACAATAAAGCCGAATGCAGCTAAAGTAAACAACTGAAAAGGAGAGAAGGGCGTCGAGGTGGACATTCCGTCCAGGGCTATTGAACTCATGGATCAGGGCCTGCGCCCTTTTTCTTTTCTTACCACTATGGGCGCTCACCCCTTCTCATCATTCATTTACGCTGGCTCGACTTCTCTTTTTTCTTCTCTCTTCTCTCTCTTTCACTTTCCTCATCGCCTTTTCCCATTTCCACCAACGCTTTAGCATCTTTGTGTCGCCATTTTCTTCGTCTTCCACATCCTGCATCACTCTCGCGTTTTATATCAATCCGCCCTTTCCTTTCCTCGCTGCATTTGCTTACAATTGACTTTCTCTCCAACAACCATAACGTATCCATCCACCTCCTTTTTCGATCCGGGATCAACTCTTGGCGAACCTCCTTCAAGCACCCGTTCACCCGTCCCTTCTCCTGAAAAAAAACAAACAAACAATACACAGCTACCTCCTTGAGCCTCTTTTATATTTGTGTGAAGGTAAATTCAACATGCATACGTGAGATACATGCTCCATTCACTTCACAACATTGTTTCCTCCAAGCTCCTGAAAACATAAAAAGATGCCCAGTTACCCACTCGTTGTCTGTTTGGCTGTGGTTTCTCGCATCACAGGGTCAACCATCCACTGCGCTCTCGCCTGTTCTGCGCTTTTTCTTTTCTTTGGGCTATTTTTCTTCCGTTTGTCCAATGCCGCACACACACACCACCCTTTTTGTGTTCCCTTTCGGCTTTTCCCTTCTTCCTCCCACTCTTCCATCCTTCTTTTTCCACTTTTGTATTTATATCCATGCAACAACATACCCCTGCTGTACACCCTTTAACCGCATTAAGTTGCTGCAACCAACCCTGAAGTAGTACGGCTGAACACAACCATTATTTTCCTCGCTTTCCAATTGGATTCTTATTCGCAACCACACACGACCTTATTTCCCATTTGCGGGTTGAAGACCGTATCGAACGGAGAAACGCACTAAACCCTTTCTTATTATGGCCATCAACTCATTAGCCCTGGTTCATCACCCTAATTGCTACGACCTTGCGATAACAACAGCAACACCGCAGTCTCTCCTTCCCGCTCGCCATCGGCACTTTTTACTTTTGCATAATAAGGATAATACGCATTTTTCTTTCCAAATGTCGCATCAGCCCCACCAGTATAACTACGACTCGCAGCACTCAAAAAACAGCAACAACAACAATCAAGGCCTCAACTTGTCTCTTCCTTACTCTGACGGCGGATCCTTAAACATCGACTCTATCACCGACTACTACACTACCACTACCACTACCACAGCTCCACAACACTTGCACCACCAACAACAAGCTCCAACCTTCCCTCGCTCCACTTCGCCTTACTCTTCATCATCCGTGGACCCGCTTGCAACCAACCCTTCGCAACTCAAGCGACCCGCCAGTCCATACATCCCCACAGAACGACCAAAACACCCTTGGAACCTCTCCTCGGCCGCCTCTTCTGTCATCTCGACCGCAGATATCTCTAGTTCGGCTTATAACCCCTCCATCTCTGACAGACGACGCCTGATTCATTCCTGGAGCTCTCGCCCCCAAAGCAGCGTCATGGATCCTAACGACCAACACCAGAACCAGCACCAGTTCACGGCTATTGAACTTCACAACCAGCAATTCGCCAGCGACTCCACTGTTCGGTCCAGGAATCCATCTGGAGCCAGCAACATCAACGAATTGGCATCCCTCTCCGCCTCTCCTACCAACAAAGGGCGCCCAGCCTCCGTCTACTCGACCACTGAAGGACGAGCCGGCAAGAAGAAGCAAGGCTTTTGGGCCAGCATTAAGCCCAAAAAGTTTTCCTTCCGCCCCGAAGGTGTCAAGAGACCCAAGAAGGCCGACTCTATCGGCAACAAGAAGGCCAAGTTCAGCAACGAGCGTACCATGGTGCACTGGATCAAGGCCGCGATGTTGATGGGCAGTCTGGCCATGACCCTGTTGTCCTTTGGCGATAACCAGGTTACGCCCTATGTTGGAGTATCGCTGTTGATGACCTGTTTGATGATGCTCATTTACTCAACAACGATCTTTCAGGTTCGGATGGAGTGGCTCAATATGCGGAGGAAGGATGTGGTGTACTATGATCGGTTTGCGCCTTCGATCTTGACGTTGGTTGTCGTTTCCATTTTTATATTCAATGGAGTTAGTAAGTTTTTTGTTTCACATTCTCTCTTTCACTCTGTGGTTTGTCAACTGGGTACTTGGTCTAGAGTTGATGAGGATACAATCCTGCTTGATAAGTGTCCTAACCCCCCATGCTCTGATTTTTTGCTCAATTGGTTGTTGATAGTCATCTTCTCTGGCGACTTCGAAGTCAGCAAGGATTTCCTCAGGCCAAGATAAACATCCACCCATTTGCGTGACACACTTCCCTCCACACTTCCTTTCCTTCAAAAAAGCATGTACCATCGTCAAATCAAACAATAATATAGCATTTATTTTACATTGGATCGATGCAATTGTGTGAGCGATCGATGGACAAACAAATAAGCGAATGATTGTTAAGCAAGGACGTGAATCCTCTTTTTTTTTTTTTTATTTCTCAACCTCAGATTCGCGGATTCAAAGAAGCTAGCATTCCCTCCCAATGCGTACGGTCCTATTAGGGGGTTTCAAATACGTTGTTCAGAAATGCATAAGAGGAGATACGCAGGAGTGTAACGAAATACTACGCATTTGAATGCAAAAAACGAGGGAATAATGCCTGACCTATTATTGGAGAGCCAACATCGCGGTTTACCCTTTCGTTGTTCTAGTTGTCACGGGGACGAGAAGGAAGACCTAGAAAAAAGTGTATGGAAATGAGGGGAGGCTAGGCAATTACGCGTTGCTGCGCCAGGATCAAGACCGAAGAATAGAAGGATGGACGAAGTGTGTTATGTCTGTGTGTATGTATCGCCCGTGCTGGGTGTGCCTTTATTCCCTTGCGTGCATGTGGTTCGTGTTGTTTTGTTGTATTGTCGTCCTAGAAGAGAAACTTGGTCTGAGCGGATAAAAAGAGTAAAGAGAAGAGCAAAGGTCGTACGTGTTCATTATTTTGTCTTTGTCATCGATCACAATATATTCAGATTACACAGACTTTCCTCTTTGGGAACAACTTCTTTGTTTTAGGACACTTGGGTGGATCGACATCCAGCTTGGGTCGGGTCGATCAATTGAGAGCGGCTAGCAAGCTCTTTTTCCATCCTTGTTCTTGTTGCTTATATTTCTTGCTTATGATCGGACCCGGGTACGTGTCAATGAGTGCGTGGACTGAGCTAAAGATCGATTAAGATTTTTTTTTGTTGAGTGAAATAGCCAGCTCATGATTAAGTTCAATGCTCTGGCAGTGAACCGAAATTTTTCTGTTCGATCACTTTCGACTGTTGGACGCAAAGATAAAAGAGGAGGGGGACATTGACCCGTTTTCTTTCTTATTCGCTTCACTTTACTTTACAGATCTCTTTCCTTTCAACCCTCAATCGGTCTCTCTATCCCAAACAACTACAACAATAAACGATAACAGCAACAATGACAGGCAACACACCAGCACCCGCAAAGTTATCCAAATCCCGCTTCGGGTCCACAGTCCCCTCCCAAGCCGATCTCGCCCTCCTCTCCCAGCCCCTCACCCTCCCCTTCTCCGGAAAAGTCATCAAGAACCGCTTCTGTAAAGCCGCCCTCTCCGAATCCCTCGCTGGCGCACAAGGACAATTCGACAAAGACCACTTGGACCGATTCGTGCCCTTGTACGATGCATGGGCTGCGGGTGGGACCGGTTTGATGTTGACGGGGAATGTGATGGTGGATAGGACGATGAGGGAGATGGAGCATAATGTGTCTGTTGAGGATTCCAGGGATTTGGGAAGGTTGAAAGTATGGGCGCAGACTGTTCAAAAGCATGGTAGGTTGGAAGAGTATTTTGTTGTAGGGATGCATGCGTGTCGATTTGTTTCTGTACCAGTGTGATAAGAAACAAGTGTTCTAACATTCCTCTGCCTGCATTTGTGAATTTTTAAATAGGAGCGGCGATCTACGCTCAGATCAGTCACCCCGGTCGCCAGACCCACGGTCATCTCACCGAGAACCCCGTCGCACCCAGCGCCATCCCCGTTTCTAACTTCCACCCCCTCATGTCCTTCAGTAAGCATATTTTCTCCATTCACTCTCCCGTCATCGGTACACTTGGACACGTCATATCTCTCCCATTGCTAATCAACTCCCTCTCCACTTTTCTCCACCAATAGATCCACCAAGGGAACTAACGACAGAAGAGATCCATTCGATCATCGCCCGCTTCGTCAAAACCTCCGAGGTCCTCTACGAAGCCGGATTCGACGGGATCGAACTCCACGCCGCACATGGATACCTCATCTCCCAGTTCTTGAACCCACGCACCAATGAGCGTACACATGATCAGTATGGCGGGTCTTTGGAGAATCGGGCTCGATTCTTGACGGAGATTGTTGAAGGGATCAAGAAGGTTACGCCAAAGGAGTTTTCGATTGGTGTCAAGTTGAACAGTGTTGATTTTGGGCGTCGTCGCCAAGGTGGTGCTGGTGGGGAGGAGGAGGTGGATGAGCATTTGGAGGAGGCAGTTCAGGTGGCCGTTATGCTTGAAGGTTTAGGTGTCGACTTTATTGAGATTTCGGGAGGCAGTTACGAGAGTTTTGCGACGGGCTTGCTGGACGGAAACGGGGTCCCTGACGGATCTCCCAACGCCACCACCACCACCACCACCGCCGGCGAAAAGAAGGCCAAGAAAACTGCTGCTTCTTCAAGCACCCAGAAGCGCGAGGCCCATTTCGCAGTCTTTGCAGAACGCATCTCCCGCGCCCTCAAGTCCACAAAAATCATTCTCACCGGCGGATTTGTCACCGCCTCGGCCATGGCTGACTCCCTAAAGTCCACCAATTCAGGAACACACATCGACATGGTCGGACTGGGTCGCACCCTCTGCCAAGAACCCGACCTGCCCAACCTGATCCTCTCAGGTGCCGTGACCGGAGCTGTCCGCATGCCAAAGACCCCCGGCGGATTCTTTGACGATGTGTTTATCTGTGGAGGGAACATTCGGAGGATGGCGAATAGGAAATCCCCTGTTGCTTCGTTGGGTCGGTTGGCCGTTAGTTGTGACCATTATGCGTATTCGATGGATTATGCCAAGGTTGCTGTTCATAAGGTCAAGACGATCTTTTCGTAGAGGAGGTGTTTCGTCTTGAGATGGTGGGGTGAAGGGAGGAGAGGAAGAAATGGGAAGGATGGGAAAGGAATAGGAGGGTGATAATAATTATAGACATAGAATTTTTGCGTTCTTTTGCTCCGCATCCCCCGAACGCACAGACATATGGCATTTCCGCACTATTCATTTTTTTTAATGGTTTTCTTAATAGGATGACGAAGATTAACAAGAACCAGACATTGACAAAAGACAAAGCAAAGAAGAAAAGGATGCTCTAGTACTGGGAGGCGGGAAGGGTAACTGTGAGAGACATGAAGGACAGAAGAAGAAGGAAGAGGCTATAAACTACCACTTATCCTGGCCTGGTATTATGGTGGAGATATTTTTTACGAATGGGAGGGAGGGAGGGAGAAAGGGAGGGATGGGAACGTTATGCCGGTGCGGCGGTGGCGGGGTGCGCACTCTGAATGAATTTTGCTATTGGCGAGAAGGAGAGAACAAGAAAGCGTTAGCAGTTGGTACGACAAACCAAAGCAAAAAAAACAAGAACCATCAGCACAAACAACAGAGAAAGGAAAAAGGACACGTACTGTAGAAGTTCAGGAAGTAGGCACCAAAGAGGAAGACACAAAGGACCGTGGGTCCAATACGGTCATGGAACTGACGGTCAGCCCTCGTTGACAAGATGTTGGACAGACGGATGTGGAAGATACCCAACGCGTACAGCATCGCCAAAAGCGTAATCACCGTCAACACCGCTCCCGAGACTCTTGTCATGTAGTTTCCAAAGTTGAGTAATGTCAACGAGATGGATCCCAAAAGAACCGAGAACTGGAGCCAGTTGAGGAAGGTACGTTCGTTGGCAAAGAACACCTTGGGTTCCATTCGCACTGCACCTATCGCACGCTTGGGATCCTTGGTCGAGGCTCGTTTCTCGCGGAAGCCGAACTTCTTACGGCGGATGGTGGATTTCTTGCGGAGGAGGTTGTTGTCTCCGCCGTTTTCGCCGTTCTGATTGCTGCTCTTTTCGGTCACAAAGGAGCCGTTGCCGAGGGTGAGGTGTGAGTCGCGGTTGTTGAGACGGTCAACCCAAGGACGTGCTGGAGTTGGCATCAACGCCTGGTTTGAGAAGGTAGGTCCATTATCGCCCAAGGGGTGCGAGCCCGTCACGCTGGCATGGGAAGTAGAGGCGCCCATAGGCTGGTTATAAAAGTTGACAGGCTCGACGGCGCTGCCAGGGATGCGACGGTTGGCGTTCTTCTCGGCCATCTTGGCTTGGTATGTTGCTTTGTCCATGGTCTTTGGCTTCTTGGGCTCAAACTCGGAAAGCGACTTGACCTTGTCCCCGCCCTCACCACCTTCAATCAAAGCCTTGGGCACAATCGGTGGACGCAAGTTGATCTGGGGCGTACCGGCAGGCCAGGGCCGGGACATGTAGTTGTTGAACCCGAAGTCAGTGTTGGGGGGCTTGCGGATATCCTGATCCATCTGTGGCAACCAGAAGGGGAGAATCTGGATCTTGTCCTCGAGGAGCGTGGCAACACCATGAATGTACTTCGAGAACCGAGGGCACGACTCGACCAAGTGCGAGTTGATGAGCTCAACAATCCAGGCTGGGGGTTCCTGTCCGTGATGAGTCTGGAGTTTGACCTCCAAGACGGCATAAGGGAATCGAGTAATATCCTCAGCAGGCAGCTGCTTGAAGGGCCAATCAATTCCAATATCATTGCGCTTCCAGTTATCCCCCGCACGAGTCCGTCCACCAAAATCATCCTCCCTAATCAAGGCCAACTCGGTGTCGAGCGAGATACGAACACGAGCATCGTTATGGAGCTGGAAGGCTGTGCGACGGTAGAAGGCACGGATGGTCGGTCGCATCTTCTTTCCAACAATAGAGGTCTGGACATCATCGGCGAGCTTCTGCATCACCTCGACATCCTTGACGGATTTTTGACCTCGAGCGCGGAGCTTGGCAAACTTGACGTCCATGGTGTAGTCGCCGGTGAGGTAAGGGTTGATATATTTGGTCTTGATGGGGAATCGCTCCTTGACACTCTGCTCTCCAGTCCATTTCTCACGATGCACCTTGCGCTCCAGAAAGCATTGTCCGTTCTGGGTGGGGGTTGGTCCGTACCAGCTATGTATTGTTTGAGGATGAAATTGTTTTTGTTGGTCAGCATGCTGTAGAGGGTGGACTAGGATCATGCAAAAATAGATAAGAGATGAACCAAGCCCCACAACAAGACATGACAAAATAAGTCGGTCCCTGTGCAGGACCAAAAACGGATGTGGATCAATGGTAAAAAAAAAAGAGATTGCTTACCGAATACGAATAGCCTGGGCCATATCCGACTTTTCCAGACGCCCCTGGTAGCACTCAAACTCCTCATTGTCGACATAAACCGACGAAATAGCCGAATCGTTCTCCTCGTACTCTTTCTTGGTGTTGAACAACAAAACAGGCAAGTGCTTCATGATGACCAGCTTGACCTCAGTGATGTTGTCAGGGTGGATCCAGTACTTGGTCGTGTCACGGACAAAGGCGTTCGAGTCCCAGTTGGCAAACTGATCGTCACCCTTGAGCTTTTGACCACGGGCGGCGACGACATGGTAGATGGACGAGAGACGGACGATGACGGCATCGTAGTTCTCCTTGTGGAAGGGCTTGGTGTTGAGGCGGACATGGAAGATCGACTTGAGCATCCATCCTGTTTGTTTCTATGATTTCGCGATATGGTAACCATCGTCATCATCGTCGTCATATCAATCCCCAAGCAAAGCAAGGAACAATTGTGAGCAAAAGAAGAAAAGAAGAGGGTTAGTGAGGGTGGACTTGAGAGTTGAGTTTGGGAGTGCTAACGGATGTTTTTGTTTCGTGCCGACTGACATTGTTTCGCAACAAGGGAAGGGAAGGAAAAATAAAGAGAAGCAAAGAGGGCATCCAGGAAGACACCCAGTCGCATAAGACATATTATCAACAACGATAAACAAAGTTGACACCAAGCAATCATGCTGGTTCATGTACCACTTGTCGGATCAATAAGCAATCAGCTGTGGTGATGTGTGTGTTCCATCTGTGACTATCACTGTCCATTGACTGACTGGTCCCTGCCCTCACCCATCACTCTTCATTAAATTAACCGAACCCAGGGAAAGAGCCTTCGCCTCCCTCGCGTCACTTTCGTGTGTCCGTATCAAAATGAAGAAAAGTGAAGAGAATTTCCAAACGATCTAGTCTAAAATGATGGAAGGGCTGAGGGCAGGTGAAAGTCGAAGATAGAGAATGGTGATGGAAGATCCGAAAAATTCGTTTTGTAGGATGATCTGTGACAGAAAAACTAGAGGCAAAAGACAACCAAGCAACCAACAACAAAAAAAGAGCGAACAGAGGGAAAAATAGAAGGAGGGAGAAGGAAGGAGAAAGAGTAACTGTACGCCAAGTGTGCCCAAATGTGTGCCCACATGTCGATCGAAAATGATGGCACTTCTCCCTTGATCCTTATCCAACTCTGCACTAAACACAAGAAGAAGACCACTCCACACTACTTCTTATATCCATCTGTCTGTGTCTAGTCCATTCCGCGATATCCAGAAGGGCACTAAATGACCCAGCAGCCCGCCTCTTCTTTTTCCATCTTGTTTTTGTTGCAGACTACTGCACCAGACCACAAGACAAAAAGTACGGAGCAGACATCATTACTCATCGCATGGAGAACAAAGGGAGGGGGGAGCCATAGAAAGTGGAGGAGAAGATAGTGGTGGAGAGGGGGAAAAAAAGAGGGAAAGGACAGAGGAAGAGGGAAGGGAGAGACGGATCAAGTGGTTATGGCACAAACAGGACAGGAAATGACAAAAAGGGCACTCTCCACCAGCTAGGGACATATATCTTCAAATAGAAGAGAAAGAGGAAAACTCACATCGTGCTTCTTGACAATCTTGAGGAATCCGGTATAGTTGAGACGGGTGTACTTGGCGAGGACATCGATCTCAGCAATGAGGCGGTAAAGTTCGACCTCGAGGGCCCCCCAGGTCTCCTCTTCTGCTCCGTTCTTCTTGAACTCCTGAGCCTGGGAGTTGTAGTAGGCAAGCTTGCGCTGGACTTCGCCAATCTTGACGTTTTGGAAGCTGTAGACCTTCTCCAACTCACGCTCAAGCATCTCTACAAAGTAGCCCTCGTCCGTCTCGTTCCAGAGGCCCACGGCCGTTCGTGACTTGAGGACGCTCTTGAGCTCATCGTAAGAGATATAGTTGAAGGACCATTCTGGTTGAATGGATCCACCCAAGTGCGCGCCAAACTTCATGCCTTCTGGTGTGTGTGCGGATGAAAGTCGGGTTGTTGTCGGAGGTATTGGTGATGGCGATGGTTTTTTGTTGTCTTCAGCTGCAAGGGTATGCAGCAGTTATGGTCGAGTGAGGTGTCAGAGAGCTAAATTGGATTAAGATGCGGAAGGGATATGAAAGAGAAGGAAAGGAGAAAGGGAAGGGGAAGGAGGAGAAAAGGAACGAAAGAAAGAAGCAAGAAAGAGGCAAGAAAGTAAGTAAGAGAAATAAGGTAGAAATAACAAGACCCCAGGATTAGTATCGCCGATATGGTTGGGCAAGAGCAGAGATTGATTGAATAACGCAACACAGAAAAGGAGGATGAGGTAGTCAGTAAGAAAGAGGAAGGAGAAGGAGAAAGAGAAAAGAACAATAATGAAAGATAAAAGGAGAGTGCCAGATTGAAGCACAAGGAGAGTCGAAGTGGAAGAAGGGGGGAGTAAGCACTGTGAGTGTATATGAAAGGGAGGGAGGGAGAGGAAGAAACAAAGAAAGGGCCGATGCAATATTTGAAGAGAAAGGAGGGAAAAAAGGCAAGCGACTCCAACGGGTGAGCCAGCGAGGGTCAATGCAATGAATGGGTCGTGTGAGTAGGATGGAGGGAGGGAGAGGGTGGAGTGCCAATGGCTGCTGTCGTGTGAGCTGTCATTGTTGTTTTGAGAAACGTGGAATGCAATATAAGATTTCAGGGCAGGGGGCACACAGCCCGCACTGAGGGCTCAATTGAATTCTGAGGGACAATAGAGAAAGAGAGAGTGGCGTGTGAACAGTACCTGGATAAGGAATAAGAAAATGAAGGAGAGGGAAAGGGAAATGAGGGAATGAGGTGAAGTGTGGATTGAGGGCGAAGAGGGTGGGAGTAACAGTGGGCAACGGTATAATAAAAGCGATGAAGAAGTCGAGAGAAAGAAAGAAGAAAGAAGTTAGAAGAAGAGAAATAAAGAAAAGTATAAGTAGGGAACAAGGAGACTGTTGAGTCGACTGTGGACAGTCGGATCTGCAACCTGCGGATGCGGGGAGGTGCATCAGCCTGACCGCGGTCGGGCGGACAGGGGAAACAAGAATCGTCGATGAATCGAAGGAAGGCATCGCACATACAGACAGAGGGATAATACAAGAGATAACAACGTCGTTGCTGTCCAACTGTTGATGTTGTTTCCGATATGTACGGGTTGATGTGAATTAGTGGACTGAATAAGCACTAACAGGCAAGATGTCGTCTTTGTTTGAACGACAACGGACCATATCAACATAGACGATGTAAATGACTGGTACTATGGAATATCGGACCAACGACAGACATACACACTCATACAACGATCATCATCATGTGCTCTCCCTTTTCCTCTTCTCTCTCTCTCTCTCTCTCCTCATCTTCTCGTCGTCTTCCATCTCCTCTTCCTTGTTCTCGTTGGGTTGTCAACAAGAGGCGTGTAAGAGTGTGTGCCCATCAAATGTGTACAATGCACTTTTTTGATCGTGTGCCTGATTTGGTTTGTGTGCGCACAATGTCAAGTGTGTGTCTGTGGAAGATGTGTCCAGTCATTCTGTCCTCTTTATCTCCCTGTCCCCTTGAACAACTGGCTCCGTGCACACGACCAAACATTACACCAAAAATCCGGAAGAGAAAAAATAAAGGGACAGCGGAGGGGGGAATCAATTGACAGACAGGAACACCAGACAAAGACAAGGCTGGGTCATGCATAAAAATAACGCCGGTAGGCCGGAATGGGTTGCACATGGTGGATAGGTAAGAGAGCGCCTATTATCACCTCTCACTGAGTGGTGGCATTGATGCTGCAGAGGATGAACATGAGAAAGATAGCTGCCTCTTGTAAACCGTGTCATTGACTGACTGATGCACTCATGTTTCAAGATACCATCTGTTATTATTTTTGCGATGGACATCACACTTTCTCATTCACTCCATTTCCTTCTTCTTATACCTTTCCGAAAAGGTATCTCCTTGTAACCATGTACTCCCATTCTTAGAGGTGTGTCAGCTATAAAACTATGAGCTGCTTTCACTTCCACGCTGTTCTTCGTTCTGCAAAGAAGAGAAGTAATAAACATTGGACGTCTCTTATCTTTTTGGTATACGTATAGTGTGAAAAGTGAGGGGGAAGGAAAGGGGAAGCTGCTTACCTTGGTGTTTGCGAAAACTGGTGGGAATTGGAATGCGAACAAGAGTGTGAGAATGAGTCGTTAAGTGAGGGGATGAGGTGGATGTAAATTGTTGAGTATTGGTGTGACAAGAGTGTCAATTAGCGAAATCGATCAAGATTGCGCGATGGAATGGGGAGGTAGTTGTGCTTTTTGAGGGAATGCAGAATGATGAATGATGCGATTCTGAGCAAGGGATGATATGCTGTCGGGGGGTAGGATGGATGAAAGGTAGAGGGAGACGAGGGAAGGATGGAAGTGGCAATGAAAGACGAAGGTGAGAAAGAATGCGAATGAATAATAATAAAGAAGTGAAAGATGCAATGCGGAGAAAATGAAAACGAAACACGAAGAAAAGAAGAGGATGAGAAGTCAGCTTGACGCGCAGTTGTACTTTTGATATGTTGATATTGCGGTACAGAAGTTGCTTTGTGTCACGAAGGGGAAGAAGGAGGAGGAGGGAGAAGGGGGGATGCAATCATGGGAAACAATACAAGTTTAAGGGAAAGCAAAGACTAAATCAGAGAGCGCACAAGCATTGCAGTGAGAGGACCTTCATCTTATCATGAATAGATCGAAAAGTATGGTTACCCTCTGACTATCCAATGGACATTTAGATCGCAATAGTCAAGTGCTTACTTAGTCACACCACTCACCTTCATCTGCTTCCATTTGTGCTCACCCTTCCATGTAGTCACCCTTCAGACATGCATCGATACGCGCGCGCAGGCAACAAATGCATTCGCCACCAACAATTTGCCTAAAATGCAATCCTGCTCGACACCAATTACTACCGCGACATTACCCCATCACTCAGCATCGCCACCAGGGCTGAGGCCTATTCACCGCATGCCTGTTCGAGTCGAACAGCCTGACTTGATCCCTCAAGCATGGTACCCAACATCCATGCAAGAACAGTAACAGGATCCCCGGCAACATCTATTTCGCCCTCTCGCCTGACCTCTTTGTCCTCACTCTCTGGCAACGAGGCTCTGAACGGGGCGGGTCTTGCGCAATCTTTTTCTTACCCCCGTCCTTCTTTCTTCGTTACTACATCCATAAAAATGACGATGATACTCGCACAAGACCACTCCAGCTACACCAATTGTGCGTGAACAAGGAGGTGATTTATTTCCTTCTTCTATTCTCTTTCGCGTGTCCCTTCTTCGCTGTATTGCCCTTTTCTTTATTCATCGCTCATTGCGAAAATAATAATCAAGACCAGGCAGGCAAGGCCTCCTGGCTCTCATGAAAATCTCTCCCTTTTTTCTCCATGGCAGCCTTGACGCTGTTTTGCCCATTGGTCCTTTGTATGACAAATAGCCATTCTTCTGACCTCCTCCCTCACTCTGACCTTTTGTTTGAACATTGAATTGAAAACGCGGAGGTTCTCTATAAGTCTTGTTATATGTAAGGTGTGGTGAGAACATGAAGACAAAATACCTACAAATGGTTTGGCTTGGATTTCTCTGCTTGCTGACGATCATGAGTGATTTGGTTTCATTCTTTTTATTAGACCAAGATATGGGAACTTGTCTTGGCACCCTTCTAAATGACACTTTTTCTCCAAAGGGGGAGGAAGAGGAAGAGGAAGAGGAGGCAAAGGTAAAAAGGGAGTGATAGGTCTTGCGAGAGATTCAAGAGTAAAGCATATCGAATGAAGTTTCTTCTTCGCTCTACTTTGTGTGCAGCTCCTTCTTTCGATGAGCCATGTCTTCCCCTCTGTTCCCTCCCCTTCCTCCCCCTCTCCTGTTTCCTTTTTTGCTCAACAAGAACTATTGATCCACTCCCAAAGAACTATACGACAAAGCTAGGATACCTCCAGTGCGTTGACATTCGATCTTGTTCTTTTGGTTCCTCTTTTGTTTGCTACTCTGGTCGTGTGAGTGAGGAGAGGGAGTGTGAAATGATCGCGAGAAACTTTGTTCTTTCTGACCTGCGTCGATTTAGTTCGATTTGAAGACATGGAGTCACCTCCAGTCCTGTTTTTGTTCCCATGTGTATCTATCCATTCAGGTCCTATGCCTGAAATTGAAGGGGTCATGGTAAGTGTTTGATAAAATACGGGGCGCCAGGTACGCTCTTCTTCACATACTCAGATACATTCATGCATCTAACATTCATACGCACACACACGCAGTAATGGCGTGGGGTCCTTATTCTTCTAATTTTCTAACACGGTCATTTGAACAAAGGAAGGAGGCTCAGGACAGACATGAACTATTCATAAGAGATAAAAGAAAAATGCAAGGGTGGGCGCTGGTGAGACGAATAAACTAGTTGACAGCTGATGATCATTCCATCAGCCCAAAGCTGTGTAGCTTGAGCAAAGATGAGACTAATAAACAAAAAGTGATCAGATGAAAAAGCGCTGGTTTGGATGTTCTTATTTTTGCTGATGACCTTAATTTTTGGTGGCGCGTATTCTTTGCTTTGTACAAACGAACTACCCACCTAGATTGCAATGTTTTACTTTGCGTCGTACACCTCTTATATTTTATTTTATTTGGTTTAATCGATCTATTCATATGTCGTACAACAACCCTTATCACCAAACGCTCTGTACCAACTTGTTACCATCACAATCTTCATCTCCATCTATGAAGAGAAAGAGGGCAACCAACCTGGCCCCCTGGCGACCATCTTCACATGTACAAACAGACTTTTGACATGGAAAGAAGGAGAGGAGGGAGTAACCTATCTATCAAAACCTCAGACTATTTTGGTTCCCGTTTTGGCCCCATTACTTTCGGCGGTAGAAATGAGATGGTGTAGAGCCCGTGAATTAGACATGTTTCGACCCCTCTCTTACCCCTCATTATTCACACTTTGTCAAGAACCCGCTTTAGCCAAACGAGAAGAAGGGGATAACGAGTGTGAGACGAGAATAGAAAGGAAGTTCATGGACAAGAGATGTCGGAACTAGAATCTGACATCTATCCCCTCAATCGCGCCCTGTCTAACATTGCATGGTGAGAGGTAAGTTGGTTGAGTGTTCGTACAAGATCCATCAGTTTGCAGACAGTACGTACCATGTACCTCGTCATCTTTCATCGCCGTCGCCTGAATGGCTCCCGTAATCAAGAAAGTAAAAAAAGGTCTCATAAGATTGAGAGAGAGCGCCAACCTACAATCCGACTCCGCTTCATAAACGGCACTTCCCCCCATTCTCTTACCTCTTGAACACTTCATACTCATGCTCACCATCCATCCTCCCCCATTGCGCATGACAGACAAAGAGGAGGATAATGTTAAGGGTGTTCCACGTTTCTGGCAGGAGAAGAAGACTAAAAGGGTTGTACCTGGGAAGATGTCAGCATTTACCCACCTTGGGCTCTCTCTCTTCTTTCTTTTTTTCTGACCAGTGCTCAGAGGGATGGGTCCTATTTGCTGACAGGTTTGTATTCCATTGTCCTGTCTTGGCTGACGGATGGGCTGCGGTGTTGCACCACCACTGTTTAATCGCCTCGCATGTATTTTGGGTTTGAATCAAATAGGATGGGGACATACACAGGAGAAAATTGCTCACATACAGAACCAGAAGTAGAATACTTTCTTCTTTTTTCATCGACAAATCGATTTGCGAGGAATAGGAGGAAAGGAAAGGGTAGGGAAATGAAGAGAAGGAAAGTGATGAGAGAGAAAAGGAGGCATTTTTTAGTGTTTGTTGGAATTGTTGTTGTGGTTGTTCTTGACGATTGTCCCTTTGCACATGTTGGGCGGACCGTTTATTTATGTGTGTTTTGTTCGTCAATAACAACGAACGGATCATAGCAAACACATCGTGGGTATGTGTCCTATTCGTTCAACAGCAAGCAATCAAAGAATGGCGGAACAGAGGTGAGAGAACGGAGCATTAGGTAGACATTTGTCGTTCGGTCAATTTTTCAAATTCCTCTCAGTCTAATTATCTCACTCGCCCTCTGTCTATGTTTTCCCCACCTTCGCTATGGGAGTTTGTGATCCACTTTTCTCCTCCCCTCTCTTCCCTCTCTGTCTCCCTCGGCCTCGGCGGTGTTAATTCAATTTCAATTCAACATCCAAGAAAAAACCGCAGGAATGAGCGAGAGAGGAAGATGAACGTGAGAGACATAGGGAAGGGAGGGTGGTCATTTCCGAAAGAGGCTGCGAATGAAGACGGAGAAATGTGCTCACTAGCAGGTTGACCTAGGTGTCGTTTTTATGTTTGTGCTACCACAGCTCATAATCTGATTCAGAAATCAGGATTAAGAATAATGTTGTGTCAGGAAAGAAGACAAGAGCAGAAACAAAACAAACAAAGGCAAGCGAGAGAAAAAGGGGAACGTGTCTCTGTTTGCATTTCGTTGCTTCGTGCCTGAGGAAGGTACGCCTTGATGCTTGATATGTTTAAGAGTGAGATACGTCGGAGGAGGATGAAACGGCTGTTGAAAGACATGTCAAGGCAAGGACAAGGCGACAAGGCAAGGTAAGGAATAAGGGGTAGACGTGCTGTACTGTACCGATACATTGCGATGATGACTTTGTCAATGGACGTGGCATCTTATAAATTTCTCTATTGAGGTTGAAAACCCCCTTCCGCTGCTAATGCTCTTTTCTTCTCGCTCTACTCGTGAGGGAATACGTGAACACAAAGGCCAAGAGAACCATCGATTGCCGACCGACCCTTTTTCATTTCATTTTTTCTTTTTGTACCTTTGTACTGTTGCATGCTCGAGTGCTACAGAACCAGGGTTCTCCGCTGTATCTGTTCGGGCGTACTCTTGCTGCGTTATTGATAGTAAGCATGAAGTATAAGGAGCGTTATCATTGAACAAGGGTGGAGGAAGAGTGGGTGAAGTTGACGGGAACATGAAAAAAAGGAGTCAAGGCAACAGCACAGGCAATGACCAATCCGCGTCCCATCTAATTTTCAAGTCAGAAAAGAAGAAAGAAGACGTACTGTGCATTGTTATATATTCGCTTGATTAGCATTGAGAATGAATAATGATTGAAGCGGAGGTCTAATGTCAAGTTTGAGTGAATGGGTCTGCCCCCTGTTCCTGACCCTTGCTTTATTTGAATTTCTCCTCTTTTTCCTTTTCTCTTTTTTTTCTTTTTTCTTTTTTCTTTTTTTTTCTTTCCTTCGTTGACTTTTCCTCCTCCACCCTCCACTCCACCTTTTATTACCTCCATCGCCACCAAAGTCCCCCTTCCACTGACATTTCTGTCCTCTCCATTCCATTCCACCTCTTCTCATCACTGAATTGATTGTCTCGCCAGATTCCCCATTTCTCTCGAGTCTCACTCATCCTCCACATTCAACTGTCTCCGTCTAACTCAGAAACAAATAATTCACCCACATCCCTCACCCATATCACGACAACCAACAACTCAAGCATACACACAATGTCCAACTTTGCACACGCAGACGGCCAGACAGTCGTCTACCGCACCTACAAGACCCGCTTCATCGGTCTCTTTGCCATCGTCCTCCTCAACATCTCCACCGGCTTCGTCTGGCTCACATATTCCTCGGCCCTCAATGCCGCCAAGGCCTATCTTAACACCAAGGAGATGGTCGTCAATCTCACCACCATCCTCTACTTCATCGCCTTCTTGATCATGTCCCCTGTCTCCGGTTGGATGTTTGAGAAGAAGGGCATCAAGTACTCCCTCCTCTTCGGAGCCATCATCCAGGTCATCGGTGCTGCTATCCGATACATCGCCACCTTTGTCGCCTCCTCCCCCACCAACCCCGGCCCCCGTCTGGCCCTCACATTGGTCGGACAGGTCATTGCCTCCGGTGCCCAGCCCTTCTTCCTCAACGCCCCTCCCAAGTTTGCTGCCGTCTGGTTCTCTGAGGACGGCCGTACCACCGCCACCATGATCGGATCCGTCGCCAACGCCCTCGCCGCCGCCTTGGCTCAGTTGATCATCCCCGTCATCACCGTCGAGACCGACCCCGACACTATGGCCACCTCGGTCTTGCTCTGCCTCGTCCTCTCTGTTGTTGCCGTCGTCCCCGTCCTCTTCACCCCTGCCCTTCCCCCTACCCCTCCTTCTCCCTCGGCTGCTGCCGCTCTTGAGGATAATGTCGAGGAGCCCTTCTGGATCTCGCTCAAGAAGGTCGGATCCAACAGACAGTTCATAATCCTCATGACCCTGTTCGGCACCTTTGTCGGTTTCTTCAACGCCTTCTCGTCGCTCATCACCATGTTCACCAAGCCCTTTGGTTACACTGCCGAGGAGTCTGGTTACTTTGGAGCCGCCATGGTTGTCGCTGGTCTTGTCGGCGCCGGTATTTCGGGCCCTCTCATGGATCGCACCAAGCAGTTCAAGTCTGTAGTCAAGACGATGGTGCCCCTCTCTACCATTGCCTACATTGTCTTTTGCTTTGTCGTCCGCAAGGATTTCTTCATTGGCATCATGATCGTCTCGATCTTTATCGGTTTCTTCTCGTTCACCATGTTGCCCGTTGTCCTCGAACTCGGAGTCGAGTGCACCTACCCCGTCACCCCCGCCTCGTCCACCTCACTCCTTTGGGGATCCGGCCAGTTCTTTGCCGTCATCTTCCTCTTTGTCCTCCAGGCCCTCCAGAATGACGATAAGGCTGTCGAGACTGGTGTCAATGCCCCTCTGATCTTCATCGCAGCCATCTGCGTCATTGCCTCATTCCCCGTCTACTTCTTCAAGTCCCCTTACCTCCGTCTCGAGGCCGAGGGTCGTGCACGCTCCAACCATGGCCACGTTATGGTCGACAGCAAGAGGTCTCTCAGTGGTGATGAGTATGGAATGGATGAGGTCTCCCTTGAGGACATCAAAGATGTCAAGGGTGCCAAGGCCGTCTAAACCTTTAGTCATCCATACTTTATATATTACTTTCTTTAATTCACTTTTTGCTATACCCCCCATCTGCTGCAACTCATCCTCTCTTTCCTCGTCATTACATAAAGAAGTGCCCATCTCTGTCTATCTATACCTATATCCGTTTATGTAATTTCTCTGGCGGCGTTATTGCAATGTATGTCTACGGATGTTCCTAGAAAGGCATACCAGTAATTTTTTGACGCGTGGTGAGGTACTGTACTAAAAAAAGGAGGAGGAAGAGGAGGAGGAGGAGGAGGAGGAGGAGGAGGAGGAGGAGGAGGAGAGGTGCATGTATCCTTCCTTGTATTGGTTATACTTGCAATGAGAGTACATGCGTTAGCTTTGTGTTCGTTCTTATCTAAGCAAGCATACACCGTAAGCAGATGCCAGGGGGCACGAGGAATACATGGATGAAGAGTTTTATGAGAGGCACAGAACGCTGCAGACGAGTAATGGATTATGAAGGCAGACGTGGAGATGGGCAACAAAGAGGGGCTTTTTTTTTTTTGCTTCTTGAAAATAGCATTTCGAGATTCTGGTTCGTTTTCAAAGCACCAAAATACGCGTTTTGATTGATTATTTCTTGTGCCGAGAACTGCAGAGCTGAAGGGCGATCGTTGTCATTTGGTTAGCAGTTGTTCTAGAAAGCAATTGCCACAGAGGAGGTTATTGTTCTTTGGATACGGATTGTGCCACCAAAAAAAAAAGAAAAAGAAAAAAGAAAAGAGAGGTGGGAAAAAAACTGAGGCTGAGCGAGTTGCGAGGCGAACATTAGTATTTCGCGCCTCATTGTTTTGACACGATCAATTTAACATGTAAGACTCGTACGACTTGGTTCGCCACTTGCTATTGTTCTCTTGTTCATGCAGAGAGGATAGGAGCCGTCAATGTATGGTACACATGATGGCCATGGATAAAGGGGAAAAATAAAGAAGAATGTGCCTTGCATGCATGTAGAAACTAAAGCCTCTCGAAAAAAACTGATATAAAATGGGTGGGTGTCGCCACGTTTTCCTTTAGAACCAGTTCTCGCTTAAACATCAACAGTTTACTAACACGTCTATACCTATACACTTACACCTCTGCTCTTCACCCATAAACGTACTTCTACCTATTCGCAACCTCATTTTCCCCCGTCTCAGTTCCTCTCTCACCTCTCAACAACAACCACTACTTATCCTCCACTACCCCACAAAACCCATTCAGCGAAGATGAAGGCGGTTCAAGCAGTCGCCCTTTTTCTCACTACATTCGTCATCACTGTTTTCCGCACCACACCGCCAACCACCACCGCCTAATCCTTCAACCCCAACGGGATCTTTGGTGACTACGCTGTCTCCTTCCGCAAGAACACCGACCACATGGTCGACGTCGGTGCCTGCTCCCGCGCAGCTCTCCGGAAACCAACCCACCACCATTCCTTCATGCCAATCTACTCCCAACTCCATTGGCACGCCATCAACGTCCGCCTAGACGGTTTTGCAATTGGTAGATGGGCTGTTCGTAACGAGTGTGTCATCCTGCGATCAGGCGAGACGGACAGGGGGATTGTTCGAAGTTCGTGGAAGGGGAGATTAATTTGACGCCGGCGGCGTATGCGGCCGTGAATGAAGGGGTTATGTTGGATGGGATCACGGCTCCTGGAGGGTTCTTGAAGGTGATAGAGTGTCCGAAGAATAATGAGGATATTTTGAAGTATGCTAATAACATTCCTGCGATGATGATCAAGGATGTTCTTAATTATGGATGAGATACAGGCAAAGTGTTGCTTTGATATTACTTGGTAGAAAATAAAACAAAGTTGATGTTGTATGTGATTTTATTTCTACGTGTCTGTCCGTGCGTGAGTGCGTGTGGATGTCTGTCTGTGTGTGTGTTGCACAGGTGCTGTTCATGTATAGAGAGAGGTAAAGGTAGAGGTAAAGGTAGAGGTAGAAGGGAGGCAAGGGGTTGGCGTTTGTTTTGTTAGCCCTCCAAAAGTTTGCAGACTGTAAAAAAGTAAGATATTGCGCGATGTGCGGTCGATATGAACGGCGGCAGACTGTTACTGTCACCTACCCTGTTTTTTTTTGTATTTGTTTTGGGAGATGCAATTGTTGTATTTGAGAAACGGGCTATAGTGGTAATAGTTGTAGAGCAAGTAATTGTTGAAGACAAAAAGGCAACTGTAGACGAAGACAGCTGTTATAAGGAAACAATTGTCGTAACAAGATTAAAAAAAAGTTAAGAAATGAACAAAAGAGGTCGCGTTGAGGGGACGAGTGACAATAAGCGCCTCCTGGTGTTAAGTAACATGCTGCGATGGAGAAGTGGCGATTGTTGTAAGGATAACAATTGTCGTAAAGTAAGACAAGAAGAAAGACAATAAGAAAAAGAGGCTGAGTAAATGGAGGACGAGAAGCAAGTAATACACATTTTCCTGTTACAAATAGCATGATTAATCGCCGGCTAGGTTCGCCTCTTGTTAGGTCTTATTTTTGGATACCGTGAATATAATAGCAAGCATGGTGACCACGGTCGAAAAGAGAAGCAAAGAAATACGCGTTGTATGTATATATGTGAGAGCCGTCAACAAGTTCAGCCTCCCAAGAAAAGTCTATAAATGAAGGGAGGGTCGGGCACGTCGCATCTTTTTCTTTCCTCAGATCAATTCGCACTCAAACTTCTACAGCTAACAAGTAACTTTTTACCCGAACAAAACATCACTCTCACAATCATTCTTTCACTCTTTACTTGCAACAACAACAACCCCTTTCTCCCGTAAGCCCAAACATCAGCTACGATGAAGTCAACTCAAGCTTTCACTCTGTTTACCATCGCGCTCCTTACCACCCTCGCGACCACCACCTTCCGCTTCGCATCGGTCGATGCCCTGGCCGTGCCCTTCAAGGAGGCTCGCGTCTTTGACGACTACCCCGTCGTCTTCCGCGAGCTCGTCGCCAATGAGATTGATGTCGGCGCCTGTAGCAAGGCTGTCCTCTCCGGAAAAAACCAATCCATCCCCGTTCAGTCCATCGACATCCCGGCCAACTGGCATGCCATCTCCGTCCGCCTGGATGATTTCGAAGCCTCCCGCTCAGAAGTCTGCAATCAGTGCGTGATTCTCCGATCTGCCGAGACCGACAAGACGATTCTTGCGACCCTTGCCGGCGACTGCTCCAGCTGTGAGGAAAACCAGATCAATCTGACACCTGCGGCCTACAAGGCTATTAATGAGGGGGCCGCGTCGAATGAGACTGCTTCGGGTGCCACTCCTGCAACTGTGTCGGAGGGGTTCTTTTCAGTCGTGCCTTGCCCTCGTAACGCTGGGGAGGTTGCCAAGTTTGCAAAGGCTTTGGGCATTCCTGCCAAGACCATCGAGGAGACTCTTAAGCGTGGATGAACCCTAGTCCCTCTCCCGCTCCTCACGTTCTTATGTTTACGTCGTCGTTCACTTCAACGTTCTTCTGTTACGACGCCCTTTTTTGAAATCATTAAAAAGAAAATTTGCTCCGTGTTCATTGTCCAGGCCTCCTTCTCCTATGCTGTGCCCTCGGTTTCTTTTTTCTAAGCAAGGGGTCGGTGATTTTGTTGAACTTCCATGTCGGTTCATTTTTATGTACCCTGCAAATAGCATGGGCCCTGTGGAAAAAGCAATAGGAACACACGCGCTTGCTTTTTGGCCTTTTTCTGGGTAGCAAGAGCGATGTTTTCTTTGAAAGTAGCTATAATTCGAGAGGAACTCAACTGTGTGCGAAAGCAGTTGTGATAGAGAATCACAAACAATTGTACCTGTGCTATTTTTCATTTGCTGTAGACGAAGCAAAGGTTGAAGAAAATGCCAATTGTCGAAGACAAAAAAAAAAAGAAGAGGCTGAGCTGGAGGGCGATTCCTTGGGGAAGAGTGACCAAGTCAGCGCGTATGGCGTATGGCCCAGCTGTATCGCTTGGATATTGTTCATATTGTTGGTTCGGATGTTGTTGGTGAAGGCGGGTCAAGCGCTCGCCCTTTTCACCATTAAAATCCTCATCCACCACTGCCTTCCGACAAACATCAGTCTTCATCGACCACCAAATAGCCTTCCACGATAACGTTGAGCACCTCGTCGACATTGGCGCCTGCACCCCCGAAGCCTTCTCCGGGTCCTACATCCCCTTCAAGCCAGTCTTCCTAACCCCATTAGCACGCCGTCAATGTCTGGATGGACGATTTCTCTGTCGGTCGAGTAGCACTCTGCACTTTCTAGTATGTCATCCTGCTAGCTTTGGAAACTGGCAAGAATATCATGGCGGTTTTGGCGGAGGACTATTCGAAATGTGAGGAGAGGCAGATTAATTTGAGACCGGCGGCGTATAAGGCTATTAATGAGAGGGCGGTGGTGATGGGTGAAGAGGCCGGAAGGGGTTTTTAGAGTTATGGATTGTCTGATGAAGTAGGAAGGTATAGGTATGAGTGAATATGTCGCCTAGTACGCTGGGGGGCTCTCCTTCGTATTATTGAGAAGACTTGGTGTTGTGAATAAAAAGGAGGTTGTTGAACGATAGTGCAGTGGATGAATGTTCTAAAGATGAGACGCGTTTTGACTATGACAAGGGTAAGACGCGTGCTGCAGCGTATAGAGCGATAGAAGGTTGGATTATGGACTCAGCTCGCTTTTTTTTTCTTGTCTAGAATTTCGCACAAATGGGTTAATTGGAGCACCAACAAGAAGATGGGTCAGGCGTAGCGCAGCATCCACAGGACCGATGTTAGGGGCGACATGGATGATAGGTTGTTTATTACGGGGCGTATAGCTGGTTGGTATCCAAGCAGGGGCCACCATCACGGTGGCAGCCTGGTGGCTATCTATTTCTGCTTTGTGCGCAGTGTGAAAATTACGAGGCAGGGCGGAGGAGATGGGGTCCGGTCGGCACAATTGATTTTCCTCCGCAAGCAGGTTTTCTTTTAATTAATTAGAGCTGTCTGTGAGGAGGTGAGAATCATGACATCGGTGGTTGAGCGAGACTGTCCGCTTTTTAAAATTCTCTTCTTTCGTCTTTCACGCTCTTTGTCTTCCACTCCCTTCACCCTCCACCCTCCACCTCCTCTCTCCTCTTCTTTCTCCGTCGTCTATTCCTTACTGTCGTCTGCACTCATCGTCGACAGCATTCATTCATCCCCTCTCCTGCACTCATCTCTTCTCCGCTCACTCCCTGCTCTCCTCCTACACACAACTGCAACCGCAACAGCGAGGATACCCACAGACACACAATGTCAACAGACCCTAAGACAAGGAAGCCCGCCAGTACGTCCTCTCTCCCTTTCAATGGCATCCCTTCTACCCTCTCCTTACATTCTCTTATTTTCTTCTCTCCTTCTACCTCACTTCTGCTGACCAGTCTTACCACTACCCATATTCCTCTTACTTGGATTCAAGTCTCTCTTTCAAACATTCTTTTTCATCAACTCATAATTCAACACACAACTCACTCCAGCGCACTAAGAACCCAGCGATGCTATAAATACCAGACCACGTTCTCCTCCTAACTGTTGTGATTGCTTTGCAATGCTTTAGACACGGCCTTCAAACAGCAAAGACTGAAGGCATGGCAGCCGATTCTGACACCCAAGACCGTCTTGCCCACCTTTATTCTCGTCGGTATTCTGTTCGCACCCATCGGTGGTCTGCTGCTCTGGGCGAGTGATACTGTAAGCACCCACGCACACCCTGCTGTTACTGCACTGTTTGCCTGCCTAGCGTTTGCCTACCCTCTATATCCCCTGCTTTGTTCTTGCCTTGTTGCTGTCAGTCTTTTGCTCTCTTTCAGCAGCATATGATCCAAATAAGGGAGACGGACAGCACACGTTGGGCAAAAGTATCAAGGAATAGGAGGAATAGGCCGACAGGATCAAGTATAACTTAGGATTGGTCGTCAGGAGACTATTTTCACTCATGGGTCGATTTATCTAGAGTCGACTTGGTTCAAGGACAGAAGGCATGGATAGTCCATGGGACAGGATATCATCAACAACTGTCGTCAAGAGGAGGGCGACTCTCACTATTCACACAAAAGCAGCGGATTCAAAGGGCGTCGGGAAAAAGCAAACGACCTCTTGCCAACAGAGGGAGAGGGAGCAATGTTCAGCCAAAGACAAAGCCTGTAAAGCCCAGACAAAAAGCACCATCAGAAGGAGATACACCAGCCTTTTTACATTGAGCACAACAGCAAGCAACAGCGGAATTGCGATTATTACTGTTATTATTATTAGTATAGGGCTGTTGGACAGAAGCAATATCGGCTGCTTCGATGGCTCACATATCCCGTTTCCAGCACAACGAACACGCTTTGTACACCCTTTTCACGATCTAATCCATATAATACCCCTTCACGACACATATAGGTCGCAGAGGTTGTCATCGATTACACACAGTGCGAGACAGCAGGAGCAAACTTTGTGCCAGTTCCTCAGGGCTCTTATTCGACCAACTTTCCCGGCAAAGTAGATGTAGTGGAACCACCAGCATTCAAGGCTGTACCTTCTGTTCAGGAGGGTACCAACGCAACATGGCCAACAACAAAGTGCACTGTCAAGTTCACCATCCCCGACACGATGAAGAAGCCCGTCTTTGTCTACTACCGCCTCTCCAACTTTTACCAAAACCATCGTCGATATGTCAAAAGTATCGACGCCAAGCAGCTCTCGGGAACTCCCCGCACTGCGGCAGAGTTGAGCGGAGGATCTTGCGACCCATTGGCTGTTTACAAGGAAGGCGACGCCCAGTTTCCCATCTACCCCTGCGGACTTATTGCCAACTCTGTGTTCAATGGCAAGTGCCCCATCAATGTTTTTAATCAAGTCATCTTATGAATGGATGGTAAAACACATGCCTTAGACGCAATTCGACTGACCGTTGTCTTGAACTCTTATATTGTGGTATTATGAACAACAGATTCGTTCAGCCCCTTCTTGAACCCATTCGACAGCACGACCAACGGCGCGCGCCCCTACCTCCTCTCAGAGACGGGCATTTCGTGGCCCAGCGATGCGAAAAAGTACGGTGTGCAGACATACCCTGATCTTAGCCAGATCCGCCCCCCACCCAACTGGATCAAGCAGTACCCTAACGGATACTCTGCAGCATCGCCACCCATTGATGTATCGAAGGACGAACACTTTCAGGTCTGGATGCGCACAGCTGGTCTGCCCAACTTCCGCAAGTTGTACTCCAAGAACACGGACGATGATTTGCAGAAGGGTACATACACCATGGACATCAACATGAGTACGTATCTTATCGAAGGCGCTGCTTTATATACATTTTTGTTTTTTTGTTATCTGCTAATCGGCGATCAATTGCTAAAGAAAGAGGGAGATAACCTTCATCGATTGGCGTACACAGTGACTAACCCACTCACTCAATTATCTTACCACACTACAAAACAGATTACAATGTGACATCGTATGGAGGAACAAAGTCGATTGTGATTTCGACAGTGTCGTTCATGGGAGGGCGCAACCCGTTCCTCGGAATTGCGTATGTGGTTGTGGGTGTGATCTGTGTTGTTCTGGGGTTGGTGTTCACTGCCCGGCATTTGTACAAGCCCAGACGATTGGGTGATCACACTTATCTCTCGTGGAACCAGAACGCAGCGACCAATGCGGCCATGGCGAATGCTTCAGCGACCTCCGCTACCGCCACCGGCGCCTCTGCCCGGTACTAAGTTCTCCTTTTGGGAATGGGTGTCGTATGTCTGATTAAATCTCATACCTCTCGCACTCTCTTTTTGCGTCCTCCTATCTCTCCATATCTCTTGAAGAAGAAATGTCTTACCGTACTACTACCTTGTCAGCCAGTCGGCAGGATCGAAGCAATAAAAAAAAAAAATGAACAAGACAAAAGACTAGTTGTGGCCTTCGTTGTCCTAATTGATTCTTCCCACCGCATCTTTTGCTGGGGGAAAAGAAACCAACGTCACACCTTTCTCATTCCACTTAAAACCCCTCCGATCCTTTCTCTCACCTTTTCTTTTCTTCTTTTCCCTTCTGTATTCTTCTTTAACCAACACCCCTTTCCACCATTTCCTCCCTTCAGCGTCTCAACCAACTCTCACGCCACATCATGTCCAACAAACTCTCCGAGAAGCTCGTTATCGACCAGGTCGACTTTCACGGCAAGAGGGTCCTGATGCGGTAAGTTCTCTCTTCATCTATCTTCTTCTCATCTTCTGTCTCGTGGAACGATATATGCCTAAGAACGACACGACGCAACATAACAGGACACGATACGGCACGACACGATCTGTTCCGACTGAACGCGAGAGAAAGCGAAAACGAAAATAAGAGAGCACACGGTTTATTCTCTATTTTTTTGCACACGGAGTCACCAAAAGAGACGCCAAACACGAAGAAAAGTTAAAAAGAAGAAGAGAAGAGTAAAAGAAAACTTACTTATCGTTATTCTTTTCTATCTCTGAAAATAGTGTCGACTTCAACGTCCCCTTTGCTGATGGCAAGATCTCCAACAACGCTCGCATTGTTGCTGCCATTCCCTCCATCAAGTATGCCTTGGACAACGGTAAGTCAGAAATAACTAACAATTAAAGTTCTTCTAATTTTTTTTATTTTCGTGACATATGATTGAGAAAGGAGGAGGAGAAGTGAGTCGAGTCCTGATGTTGAAAAGGAAATGACGGAAGTGAACAAAAGGTGGGGTAACGATAGAGAGAGAGTGAACACGAAAGAGACCGATCCGATACTCATTGTTTATTACTATTATTGTCACCTTACAACTACCTAATAGGCGCCGCTTCGGTTGTCTTGATGAGCCATCTCGGTCGCCCTGATGGCAAGAAGGTCGAAAAGTACAGCTTGGCCCCCGTCGCCAAGGAGCTCTCGACCCTCCTCCACAAGGATGTCGAGTTCCTCGATGACTGTGTCGGCGAGAAGGTCGAGGCTGTCTGCGCCTCCGCCAAGGACGGCAAGGTCATCCTCCTCGAGAACCTCCGCTTCCATATTGAGGAGGAGGGCAAGATCAAGGACAAGGAGGGCAATGTCACCAAGGCCACCGAGGCCGATGTCCAAAAGTTCCGTGCTTCGCTCTCCAAGCTCGGTGATGTCTACGTCAACGATGCCTTTGGAACCGCTCACCGCGCTCATTCTTCCGTTGTCGGAATTGATCTCCCCATCCGTGCCGCCGGTTTGTTGATGAAGAAGGAGCTCCAGTTCTTTGCCCAGGTCCTTGAGGAGCCCAAGAAGCCCTTCCTTGCCATCTTGGGAGGTGCTAAGGTCTCCGACAAGATCCAGTTGATCGAGAATTTGATGGACAAGGTCGATGCTATGATCATTGGAGGAGGCATGGCCTTCACCTTCAAGAAGACCCTCGAGAATGTCAAGGTAACCCATTGGTGCTTTTTGCCGCTATCAGGAGGCGTTTTTTTTCTCACGCCCTGCCCTATGCATCCCAAGAACAGCAGCAACGAGACATTATATTCTATCATGCATGGACATGGACCCGTCGAATTTGGAACCACTTCATCTATGTCTCTCCTCGCTCTCCTTGTCCAACAAGGAAGAGACAGACACATCGACAACAAAACAACTAGGACAACAAAAAATATCATTCCCGATTTTCAGTCTCTCACAATATGTTTCTCAATTCACTTTTATTCCTCTCAATATAGATCGGTAACTCACTCTTCGACAAGGACGGTGCCGAGATTGTCGGCAAGTTGGTCGAGGCTGCTAAGGCCAAGAACGTCAAGCTCTACCTCCCCGTCGACTACATCACCGCTGACAGCTTCTCAGCAACCGCCAAGACCGGCTATGCCACCGACGAGACCGGCATCCCCGACGGTTGGTTGGGACTCGACTGCGGCGAAAAGTCCAACAAGATCTTTACCGAGGTCATCGCTGGCGCAAAGACCATCCTCTGGAACGGTCCCGCCGGTGTCTTTGAGTACGATGCCTTTGCCAAGGGTACCAAGGCTGCCCTCGATGCCGTCGTTGCCGCTACCGCCAACGGTGCCGTCTCGATCGTCGGAGGTGGTGATACCGCCACCGCTGCTGCCAAGTGGAACGCTGTCGACAAGATCTCTCATGTTTCCACCGGTGGTGGAGCTTCTCTGGAGCTCTTGGAGGGCAAGAACTTGCCCGGTGTTGCTGCCCTCTCCGTCAAGGCTTAAATCTCCACACTCTCTTTCGCATCTCCCCCAACATATCCCTTGCAATTGAGTTCTTCCGTTGCTACGCACTAATTGTACATAAACTAACAAAAAAAATAAAAACATGAAGCCATCTCTTTTCACGGTTTGTACAGAATTAAAAACTCGCATCCTCCATCATTTTTGTTGCCCTTACTTTTTTGACGATTTATTGATCGGATTTATGTCCAGGCCTACAATTCAGTATACTACCTCGCAAACACAGCATGCTGCCGTCTGTTCGACTTCTACTTTTGCTTCTGAGCAAGGATGTGCTCGACAACGGCAGAGAAGTCAGCAAAGATACCATCGAGTCCTCCAAAGGTGTCTCGGTCCTCATCCTGAGCACGGTACTTTCCAGTCTGGACCAAATACCGGACGAGTCCCAGTTCTGCGGCCCCGCCTCCAAGATCTTGCTCGACGTCGTCTCCGATCATGACGATCCCTGTTCCTTTTGTTGTTGTTGAGGCTGGGTCGGAGAGGCCCATGTTCTGGATCGCAAGCTCGAAAAATGCCTTCTGGGGCTGTTAAATATGTACGTCATGTAAGTGTAAAAGTAAGTGGTCAATGTCGCCTTGGATGTTCCACAATGACGCGCAATGATGAACACTCTACATCTTGCACACTCTCTCACACGTGAAATCTGCCAAGTTTGGACGTTCTATATTACCTTGCCGACGACATGGGCTTTGATGCCAGAGGCGAATTCGAGGGCCTCAACAAAACCTCCAGGACCCAGGGACAGGCTGGTCTGATCCTTGTCTGCAAAGTATTTTGCCTTGTGAACTGCGACCAGTCTCGGCACTCCTTCTCCTCCTGCTCCGGTCTCATTTCCCGTGCTTGACGTTGATGATGATTTGGTCTCAAGAAGGATCCTGAACGCCTTGTTCATCTATTAGAACCAGTATCAGAAGGTCAACTCCACGTTTTTGTGATATGTTTCTTTGTGTCGGCTGGAATGACAAGGAAGTGTGGCAAGTTGGAAAAGTGTCAGGTAGGAGGCGATCGTTGTCAATTGACTTTTACCATGCCATAGTGAAAGCTGGAGGGAGAGAGACCAATGACAACCGAGTCGTGGGGTTCTGAGGTCGGAATCCCCTTGAATTCCTCCAGTGCGTCCGGTTCGAACATCAGCAACGGCCTATGATTGATCCATCAATTAATTAGAGGAGGGAAATGCTGTTGCTGCGATCTCTGTGCAATGGAGTGCATTCTTTTTGAGAATAAGGGGTGGTCAAGGTACCTTAATCCGCGTGCTTGAACAAATTGCCGACATGCGGAGAGAGATGTGAAGATCTAGGTAAGGATGGTATGCAGATGAGTATTTGGTTGAGTGCAGGACGAGGGATGCTATGAGTCATCCGTTTTGATGCTGTTCGATGGTCAGGTAATGATCCATGGGTGGTAAATAGTCTTCGTCACAGATGATGCATTGAACGACCTACCTCTTCACGCTTGACGTTGAATCCGAACTTGCGCAACTTGTTCGCAAGAGTGTCTCCCGAGTACTGAGTTGTGTTTGTACAAAACCTGAACTATCACAATCGCATCATTACATGTCCCAAGCATAAGGATATGGGTATTAGTAAAACTTGCACGCGGGCAATGATACTAAAACGAGGCGACCAAACAGGTTAAAACCCTTACGGGAATCCCGCTGGCGCGAAGTCGGTCGAGTGCTTGGATGGCGCCGGGGATGACCTTGTCACCGACGTGGACTGTCCCTGACACGTCAATCAGCACTCCACGAATGCTTTGCATCTTGTTTTTGTCGTTGCTGATGAATGCCAGTGAATGAGTATAGAAAGTGTCACCTGTTCTTAACTGTCGGTTGTGGTCCTGATGCCGGGAGGTGATGTCGAGTGTCGCGGTTCTGGAATGGTTGAGAGGAAAAGAATGCACAGCGTGTGAAGAAGTACCCACGCTTTGTGACTGCAGCATACAAGAGTTCAGTGTGATATCATTCATGGTGGGGGATTGATCATCAGCGTCTGAGACCATTTGAATTTTTGGTGCCACTAAAAAATTGCAACGATTGAAGTGTTCATTATTTGACCAGACCTGGCCATCTTGTTATCAGTCAAGAGATGGAGATGGACGAACAACGAGAACTCATACTACACAACTTGTTTGCCTTACTCTGCTTTTTTTTCTACATCGCTCAGCTATCGTGAGGAAAGCGATCACTCATTTGTTACTTACATTTATTTTGTGCAACAAAAGCACTGGTTTTTGTTGTGTCAAACATCGCACAAGAAATCAAACAGAGTCTGTGTGTTCTCCCTTCCTTCATCGGACAATTATTTGTGAACACTGCGATTCACTTTCACGGGCCGCCTTAGTTTTTGTTAGGCGCTCATTCCCACTTGTTTTTCTAACGCTGTACCTATTCTCGCTTGGTAGCTGGATAAAGATAGCGATGATGATGACAACGATAATGATGATGAAAGCAAGAAACGCCAATGCGCTAACTAATAGTGGCGGCGCCATTTTTTTAGTTGCGCGCTTTTCTATTCATATTGAAGAAAGGCTGATGAAAGGCAAAGGAGTCTAGAGCTTCTACCACGAGGAAGCGAGGAGGGGGGGATATGAAAAAAAAAAAAAAAAACTGTAAAGAGCCCGCGTCTCCTCCACTCACAAAAAGCCCTCCAATTTTTTTTTTGCTTTTCATATCGTTTATTACTTCACGTTGTGTACCTGAGAGCAGAAACTGAAAAAGGGGTTTCTTTGGCCACTCAGCTATGGTCAATTTTCGATGAAGAAATGACCATAGACCTGGGCAGGGGAGGAACTTCACAATGGAGGGCGAAGAGGAGGGAAAACGAAGGCTCGTTTATCAAACCTTTTCTTTTTGGTATTCTTTTTTGCTTCGAGATCTTATTATTGCATGAGAGAGTGAATTATTAACCCTCAAAGGAGCATCTTAATGAGGGTTGAGCATTTAACAAAACGATGCGGCTGAGACGGGTAACGAAAAAAAGCGTTTAATGGGACCGTTGAATGTTGCACTAGTGTCATCAAAATCTCATAATTGGTTTTGCGAGCCCTCGTCCATAATTTGGTGCTTCTTCGATCTTCGGGCGCAGAAGAAGGTAGGATGGAAGATTGGAAACAAACGGGAAGCAAGATGAATTGAGTAGATAGCATGCAAGGGTAAATGGGGTATAGGGGTTCGAATATACGGAATATACGGGAACATGGTTGTTCTTTGTTTGAAGAATCATGCTGAGTGAGAAAATAAGGCTAATTGCAACGGGAATTAGGTTGCTCTCCTGTCGGATAGGTGCGAGACCATGTGTGATCACTTTTTGGCCTTCTCTCATTTTGGGGCGTTCGGTTCAGGGGATCGCGTTGTAAGTGAATGCAATGAAGCGAATAAAACGGTATGTGCACAAAGCTACAAGGCTCCAAAACACAAAGGAGCAAGTCCCAGGGGCAGAGACAGAGGACAGAGGAGAGAAGTGGTTGGAAGTATAGAGGTGTGAAGAGATGTGGTTTGTTGATGTTTTGGTGCAGAGGTACAGCAGGCGGGTGTTCAAGGTGAGATGTGAGAACCCCCTTTATTTCTTTCCGGTTCTAGTATGAATAGGGTCAGTTAGACAGGGCTGACAGGGCTGACAAACCTCTGTCTCTGGAGATTCAATGGTGGGCGGGCGGTGGGTGGATGTGCTCTCAATCTTTTTGAAAGGAAGGTGAGAGAGAAGTGAAAGGATGAAAAAGGCAAAGCGAGTGAAATAGGTGAGAATCAATCAAGGGGGAAGGGAGGGGTGATGTACATGTGTTGAGTGTTTGTGTGTTGTGTCATGGACAATTATGCGGGATGGATTAAAAGTGAGAGGTTCACGTTAGATGGGATGGGGTGGGAAATGTCAATGCATGGTAAGACAGGGGTTATTGCAATCGCTGGCCCCTTTTGGCTATTGCGGGTGGAGGGCGGTGTGCGGGTGAGAGTGGGAGTGAGGGTGTGAACGGAGTGAGAGAACAATTGACCGTGGTTCAACAAAGAGGAGTCTAGTTCAGGCACAGGGGGCGAACAAGAGGGCAACGAAAATAACCTTTGGTGAACACAAAGTCTGGTTCCTGACCCTTTGTGGTCTGCCTTGACCGATACCCTTTTTCTTTGAAGCACTTTACTTTTCCTCTTCTTCTTTCCTTTCTTCACCCCTCTCTTGTCATCACCACTCTTCCTTTCCGCCTCTTATCCTTTCTCATCCTTCCTTCCGACGCATACTCCTCCTCCTCCTTCGCTCACATCCCTCCCATTGCAGGTCATTCCCCTTAGCCCTTCTTCCTTTGCTGTCATCACTCATCACCAGCAATAGCCCAGTGGAGTTCATCATCTCCACCTTACGCCTCTCAGGAAACAATACTTTTCACCCCTGATACCCAACAACAACAAAAACCAGATAATACACCATGTCGTACTCTATGCGCCGCAAGAACGTCGGTAAGCACACGAGACGGGAGGTCATTTTCTATTCGTGACAGGCAGAAAATACGGAGATGGGAAGAAGAGGAGAAAAGTACCTGGCGCCCTGCAGTTGAACTGAGCGTTTGCTTGCTTCGCTTGCCCACTGCTCCTGACTGGGTGAGGGACAGTCAAAAAACGCGCACCTCCTCAACTCAGCGAGACCGACAGAGTGGTGGTCGCCATCCCAACGATACTCCCTCCTCCGGTCTTTCTTTCCTCTCCTCTCTACTGCGAACAAGCACATACCATACATACACCTCTCTTAGCTTTTTCTCTGCTACAACCAGTCTTTCGTTATAAATCTTCCCATCTCCAGCAATAAGGAAACAACGGCAACTACAGAAGGAGGCAGAACGGATACCACCACCTCAATCTGTCTCTTCCAACAGCACTGGAGAAGCACGAGCAACAACCAACAACGTGGGCGTTTACCACCATCTTGAACGTACGGGAAAATAATATAAACAACAAACAACAACAGCTGCAGAGAATGGAAAAGCGCATGCTTGGACGGGAACAAATACAACAAGACAAAAACAGCACTCAACACGCAAGACGGAACCTGGACGATTGTATCTATACTCTTTTCATTGCCCTTTTCTTTCATGGTGTGGCGTGGTATTGTCGTTGCTTCTCTTTGTACAAGGATTTGCTCGTTCTTGTCGTTTGGATTTTTGGGAAGCTCCTTTTTATTTTGTAGCGAATATATTAATTGCTCACTTTGATGTGGTCTATCTACACTTTCTGGCGTCATGCTGGTCGTGGTCCCGACCAGGCCATGCCTTGACCGAGACGACAGACCGACCGCCTGTCACTCAGTCAGTTGGAAAAGAGAGGAGAAGCGGAGAGGACATAACAACAAGAGGTCATGTCAGATGTGGCACTCTCGCTCTCTACTTGGCCGTTTGAAAACGCTCTTTACTTTTTTTTTCTTTTTTCTTATGCTTGCCTCTTGTCATTCCGAATGGGCGGCTCTCGTTCTATTGGATAACCTGTTCGAATTGCTCTGAATAGCAACTCTCTTTACCTTGCCCATCGCTCTCGTCAGATGGGTGCGGTGAAGTGGCGGTAGTGGTGGTTTTGAGGTTGTAGCAGAGTGGAATGGAGAGTGATAGTAGAGAAATAGGATGTTCGCGTGTGTCCATATACTGCTCCTGGTTGGGCGTTTACCTTTTGTACTGGAGTATCAGAAAGGCAGACAATCTCGAAGACGACTTTGCCCTAGCCTGTACAGTCTGTCAACCATGCTTCTGACTCTAACTCTCTTTTTTATTTCCCCTGTCATCTGTCATTACGACTTATTAGTCTCGGAGCTCAACCTTATGGTGGCGGGAAACAGTGGTCTTGGAAAGACCAGCTTCATCCGCACACTCTATGGCACTCTCAAGCTCCGCACCTCATCTGGCGGTCTCAGGAACAAGGCATCCGTCTCGAACTTGGGATCAGCAGCAACCACATCGACTAGCGTCAGTGGCGACACCTCACCCACCTCACCCACCAACATCAGTCAGAACGGAATCGGCACCAAGGCCAATGGCACCAAGGACTCTGCCGGATACGCCACAGGAAATCTCGAGCGCACACTCAACTCGTTCGAGGCTCTGTTCGAAATCGAGGAGGGCCACGAGAAGATCAACCTGACACTGGTCGACACCCCTGGATTCGTGGGCACGGACGATGTCATTGATGCTCACTGCGACGAGATCCTCGCCTACTTGGAGTACCAGTTTGATTTGACGCTTGCCGAGGTAATTTATTTTTCCTTGAATTGCATTTTTTTTGCATGCATTCGGTCTAAATGGTTTCGAGATGTGCGGGAGCAAGTGTCCGACAACAACAACGGGAAAGAAGTGAGCATGAACATGGCATGGACTGTGTCCAGTTCCCCTTTCCCCCTGAGATGAGGTCCTGCGCTGGGTGTGGTCTGTTCAGGACTGGCAATCTCCTACTACCCCCTTTTTTACGCCAAAAAAAAGTCACATTTCAACTCACTCCTCTATTTAACTTCACTTTCTTTAGGAGCGCAAAGTTCGCAGAAACCCCAAGGCAACCGACAACCAGATTCACGCCTGCATCTACTTTATCGACCAGGCCTCCCACCACCAGGGCCTGTCAGATGCCGATATCCGGATCTTGAAGCGCCTTGGAACTCGTGTAAACCTGATCCCCGTCATTGCCCGCGGCGACACCTTGACCCGTGCCCAGACAAAGAGACTCAAGCAGACGATTCTCAAGGACGCTGCCGACAACCAGATCCAGTTCTTCCAGTTCCTCAGCCCCAAACTGGCTAAGCGACTTTTGGCTCAACAGCAAGGTGGAGATCTGGACCAAAACCACAGCACCCCGAGGAAGCGCCACAGCAGAAACGGACCTGGAGACGACGAGGAGGCAGATGAGGTAGGAGAGGACGAGGAGTCGGATGAGGATGAGGATGATGAGGATGAGGATGACTGGGATCCTGAGGTTCTGGAGGAGAAGGCACACTTGCAGTCGTTGGCACCCTTCACAGTGATCGCACAGGAGGAGGATGGAACCGATCTCCGTGACGAGAAAGGCCGTCGTATCCTAGGTCGCGAGTTCCCCTGGGGTGTTCTGGACTGCCTCAACAGCCAGCACTGCGACTTGAGCGGACTCCGCTCTGCATTGTTGTCATCTCATCGCCAGGAGCTCAAGGAGATCACATACGGATACTTTTATGAGAAATACCGTACCGAGAAGCTAATGGCCCGTACCAAGAGCCAGCATATTGCCTACCAACAACAGCAGCAGCTCCATCAACAACGACAGAAGAATGGCTCTACTGGAGGAGCAACACCAACGGGATCGACGTTGAAGAACAAGGAGTCGTTGTTGAGCGTCGGATCCTCTGCCGCCATTGCTGGACCATGGGAGGAGTAAGATGTACTTTTTCGATATCCACTGCACTCACTGAATATTACCAACAACAACTACAACAACATAACAACAACTCCCATCAAATGAACAAAGCGCTGAGCGCCTCACACACCCTAATGAAAAAAGCAAACTTCAACAACGTATATCCCCTTCATTGTCTCGAAGCGTCCGTCGCTCGCATTCTTTCTTACTATTCTCTCTGTCCTTGACAATCAAGATTACCCACGACCTTCTTTTCCTATTATTTATCATACCACACCACTCTCAAGAATACAGCAGTAAAACGAACTTTCAGTAATAGAACCAACACTATTTAAACTACTGAGAACTTTGGAGGATGGTGATTGTCGTGTGTTTCCTCTCCTTTTTTCATCCCTTTTCTTCAACTCCAGGGTTGTGTCGAAATATGGCACGAATGGTTGTCAATTATAACCTTTTCATTGTTCTTCTTACTGCGTGTTTGGGTGGTCTGCGTCTTGTTCTTACTTATTGTTGTAACTCTGTGTTTAAGGATGGCACAGTTGTCATTTTCACCAGTCTGGAAGACCCAACGTACTACCTGCTAAAATGATAGCGAGATGTTGGCTTCGCATCGTCGAAGAGGAAGGAGTACCTGGTTTTGAAACGTACCCTAGGAAATACTCATAGTTTCACACCTCACAAACCGTTACCCAGTTTGATACATCGTATGACAGTAGACAGGGGTCGGGGTGAGATGAGGTGGAGCAACTCATATCCAGTGGTGACGAGTCTAGGCTATGTGCCTTTACTTGATTGTGTCCGTGCTCTGCGCATTTTTTCAATATCTCCGTCTCCGTCCACTGAAACATACCTTACTTTTGTGCGAAACATACACAAATGCGACAGTGATTGGTTGGCGCGTAAAACACGACACTGCTACCAAAGCTAATTTTTCTGTTTTCGTTTGGTCGCAACTCGCGAACCCATTTCTTATTGCATCGATGTAGGATGTCAACATTTATTGCGTCAGTCTGAGGGTTGGGGTGAGTATGGATGCCTTCAGCTTTCTGAGAGATAATTCTTTTTCAAGTGTCCTTAAACACTCAATCGCATTGCATTTCAATGTTAGGCTGTGTTGTCTTGCTTACCGTCAGCTTGGTCAAAGAGAGGGATAGATAATAGCGGTTAAATGGAGTGAAGTGCACGAAACTACAAGAAAAAAGAGAAAATCAAGGATGAATGAGGTTACTGCCACCTCCACCGTCCCTCTTTCCAGACTCCTTTTCCCACTCCACTGCACCTCACTTTAGCAAACGGGGTGATCGAGCGGACATGGATTATGAACCTGAGCGCCCCATGTTTTTTGCCCCTCTTCTCCTCGACAGAGTTAATGCACCTGGCCCCTGAATTCATGAAACAAATGTTCAAAAAGATACCCAATGTCATGTTTATGTAGTGCGAGGGGATGGTGCAATGAACGAGTGTGTTAGCGCCATGTGCATTCAGAAAGGGTTCGCATACTGGTTTCTACTCGATCTCCCTTTTTCCTTCTCCCTTTGTCATGGCCCAGTTTCTCCAACACAACTCCAAAAGTGCAAAATGCATTGGGAGTGAAGAGTGGAGTGAATGGACCCCCCAACCAACCAACCAAAAATTTTCTCCGTCTCTTCCCTCGCTCCTGAGTCGTCTACCATGCATACAAAAATGCAACCAAAGCGCACAGAGGGGAGGTAAGGGCTCAAGTTAACTTCAGAGAAGGAGAGACAGGGGAGGGGAGGAAAGGACCATCGGGCACTAACGCTTCAAAAAACCCTCGCAAGGGGAGAGGAAGGGTCTGAAGGAAGGGCGGACTAACTTGTCAACGGTTCAGGGATGAACCTGGGGGTGGTGTTTGTCGGTCTGCCGTGTCTGCCGTGTGGTGTTGTTGATGGAGGGAAGGCAGAAAGAAAGGGGAGGAGGAAGGGGAGGAGGAAGAAGAGTAGAGGTTTGGTAAGCCCTAATCCTGACAAACACCTACAGCAAGCAATAATAACAAACCAAAACAGCATTCAAAAACATGTTTTGTTCTTCGTCAGGCCAAAGTAAGGTTAATTGGCGAAACACAGATAATCAGACGCAGAACGTGTCAATCTGCACTTTCACCTGCCTTTAGCAAATAGGGCCTGGGTTCTCAATGTCTCTTTCCCGAAGGTAAAACATCCGAAATGGCAATACGCTGCAAGTTTCTATCATTTCTACCCTTGTGGTTTTAGAACGAGAGAGACAGGAAGAATGAGGAGAAGAATGGGAATCGTCATAATATGAAAGAGAAGGAGAGGGGTACGATAGCAGACTTACCAATTCTCCTTTAGTTCTATGAACCACCTCGTCTTCTCGTCTCTTCTCTTCTCTTCTCTTCTCTCTTTTCGCCCGGGTAAAAGATCATGTTGGAAAATTGATATCAGAAACCTAGGAGGAGGGAAGGCGAAGGGAATAAGAATTGCCGGTAGTAAAGACCACTGCCTTTCTCTATCTATGGTGGAGTGGTTCAAGGAGAAGCGATTCTTTCTTTGCGTTTGCATGCTTGCTCGTTCATTATTCGTATGCACAACTAACAGGTGGGTCCACCATCTCTTCTTTCATTCTATGTTTATGCCCTCTCTCCCTATCTTCCTTTTTAGTTCTCGATCATTGCTATTGTACGAAGCAAAAAATGGGGATAGGGGAACCTGGTGTCCCATGGAGAACCTCGTGAACAATATCCGCAGATATGCAATGTGGCTCGAGGGCATCCCAAGTGTCGCAAGTGAGTGAGTTGCCAGACCAGAGACCCCGTTATTTTATTTTTTTTGAATGTGTCTGTCTGCTCTGTACTGCGTTCTGCTCTATCGCTCCTTTACCATGAGAATAAAGGGGTCTATGAGTGCATGAGTGTGAGGATGAAGGAAAAAGAGAAAGAGTGAAGGAAAAAGAAAAGAGTGTTGTGATCATGACTACAGTACAATGGACTATGTCCAGTGCACATGGCGTCCTGCAATGAACAAGTATGCCCCCAATGCGGATCTCAAAACGGTTTGATGTTTGGACCCTTCTCTCTCTCATCTTACTCATACACAAACACACAGACACACACAAACATACACAGACAAAGAGACAAACAGACAGACAGACAAACAGCCCCCTCTTTTTTTTGAACCCCTTGCTGTACTCATTCAATCTCTGAAGAAGAGCGTAAAGAGGGAGTGCGAGTGATTCAATGCATGTTGTTTACAAGTTACAGCCCCAATGGCTCTCAGTTTCTGAACAAGTCGTAACCCTTTTTCCCTCTGAGTATATTGCGTTCGAGCTCGGTTGAAGGCCAATCGTCATGAACATCTTTTCACCTTCAAACAAAAACAGATCCGCTCCCCCCTTTTGTTTGTCTCCACTAGACAATCCCTTTATTTATTCCATCTACTTCTGTCGTCCTTTTTTCTCTCTTCTTTTCTTCTCTTTTCTTCTTTCTTCTCTTCTTTTCTAGTTTCTAAGTTCTCCTCGTCGACTTTTCATTCTTTATCTCTTTTTCCTTTTGTACATTTGTCTCACTGTATGCTCTGCTCCTAGACCCGTTCTTTGCATTTTCATCCATACCCTACCTTCTCATGCCCTTTATTCTCACATATCCAATTCACCTTCGTTGCTAGTATTTCATCCTCTACCGCTACACTGCTGTTCTCTGATTTACGACCTTCTCATCCAGCAACACTGTCGCTTTCACTCACTTATTCGTCACCAAAAGTTCGCACTCCACTCGCGTTCCTTATCGAAACCGTATATCTTTTCTCTGACAAACACCAATAATACACCAACCATGCATTGGATCAACACAATTGCGATCTGTATGATCGCTACCATTGCACTCTTCCCAGGATACGTACTTTCCAGTAAGACCTTGTCCTTTTATTAAACGAGGGCAGATCCTCAAATAATATTTGTTTGCATGGTGCCACAACCTACACAACAAGGACCATCCATCCTTTGTCCTCTTTATCCTTCGTCCAATCGATTCTGACAAAGCTCTGCCGTACCTTTTTTTTTTCTATTATTACTCCCATTCCTTCCTCTTCTCCGTACATAGGCTGTTGCTATTCCATTTCGACTCAACCCCTTCAACCGTCGTCAACTTACTACAAAGCCGACAACAATGCTCCTCCATCCTACGCCATCTCCCTCTCTGCCACCTCACAATTCGCCGTCAACAACCCCGGTGGTCCCGTCTACCTGGCTTTAATCACATTCCCGGGAAACTATGTCCTCTCGGCAATCCCTAATGGTTGCATCTCTGTGTCGATTAATACGGTGAACTGTACAGTCTCAGCCATGAACACGCTGGTGACGGACTTTGCGAGCGTTATTGTTGCGGATGGGACGCGGCCTACGTTGGAGTCTGTGGTTGTCAATGGAGAGGTTTGTACGGCGGCGAGTAGTTGTCCGACGTATACGCCTACCAACCCGGGGTCAACGGCTACTTGGTCGGTTATGCCTGTCCCTTCTGTGACCACCAGCAATCCTCCGTCGATCCGACCTTCAACATCAACCTCTTCAGCATCCCCACCACCCTCCACATCTGACCCTAGCGACACCCCAGCCTCCAAAGCCACGGGCTTTCACAGTTCCAACATTGGTCTGATTGTCGGCCTGACCCTCGCATTCGCGCTCTTGATCTTCCTCGCCTCTCTGTACTTTCTCCGCCGTCGTCGCCAAACCCCGCAAACCAAACCCAATACAGATGGCTCTCGCGTTAGTGGTCGTTGGGGTGGTGCAGCAGCCGCAGCAGCGCTCTTCCGGATCAGGCACAAGGGTTCCAAATTGTCCCTCGGTCGTACAAGTCTCCATGGTAGCCCCTATATGGCATCGACATCTGAGAAGGTGGTGTCCAGTAACGAGGACCCATTCTTTCAAGCTAATGCTGCCCTCGCACAATCGACATCTACTATCTCGGTGACCACCGTGTCTGAGAAATCCGCGACGGCCATGGGGACAGGGACTGGCTTTGGCATGACGCTGATTGATATCCCTGAGGCATATGAACCCGAGGACTCGCCGTCTTTTTCTTCGTCATCGTCGGAGGTCAATTATTTCCAGAACGAGAATGATGAACTTGAGCGCGACCTGGATGCAGAGTTTGCAGAGGCGACTATCACCACGACCACAGAGCTCGTCAACAAAGACAACAACAACGACAATCAACAAGCGCCATCGTCATCATCCACATCGCGTTATCCATGGATCGCCCGGGCTGCCAGCAAATCTTCCCAGCTCCATCGCGCAGTCAGCGCCGCTTCCAGCCGACTCCTCCCTCTCCACAGCACCGACGAATCCCGAAGACCTTCAATCGAGCAACAAGAACAGCCTCTGGCCAGAACCCACACCGGAAGATCCATCATCCCAGGACCCCGATTCCCCAAAGACGGCCTCACCTTCAAGGACAACAGTAATTCCGACCGCCTCTCAACTCGCTCAACCTCCTATTCCATGTCCATCCCGCGTCCTCCAAAAAGCATCCACCGCACCTCTTCCCGCGACACCAGTAGCCACGGCCAAGTCTTCGGGACCATCCGCCCAGAACACCACCAACAACTCATCCATCAACAGCGCCTCGACCAAGGCCTAACACCGGATCAACCCCTACCCTCCTACACATACCATCAACTGGCTTCTGGCGCCACATCTGCAGGCACTGCCGCCAACGCCGCCGCGCTCTCTGCAGCAGTAACTCAAGGCGGTAGTTCGGGGCTGTTCAGGAGTAGGAGCGATAGTGCAGGTAGTGCTGAGGATTCTTTTGTTAACCCGGGTCCACCACCTCATCCCCCAACACGGCGGACGTCGAGCAGTTGGCAGGCTAGTGCGTCTCGGAATGGGTCGGGGTCGCGGAGGGGGTATAATCAGCCGATTCATATCCGACCCCCTGGGCCTTCTTTCCAACCAGACCAACAGCAGGTGCAAGCAGGTTCGGAAGGTGGATCTGGGCTGTATGGTTACATGTAGATAGCAAGTACTGTGCATTAGCGTGCATGGCGCTTTTCATTTTCTCTCCACAAACATTTGGTATATCCCCGACTTTCTTGCATTCATACACTGTAGATAGATTCATAAAAGAGTAAAAGGCGACGACCATCGCCATCGCATTTGTATTTTTACCACCCCCCTCCGACGAAAAAACGCCTGAGAAAAGATGCATGGCTATGACTAGCAGAGTACGATTCCGGTAGTAGGATGCGAATGCTCACACACGACTATAAACAGGAAGTTCTCTATGGAACCACTAGACACACACATGACGAGTAGGAGAGAGTGTAAGATCGAAAGACCGGCTAAGATCTCTTATTTCTTGTCGGCGCGAAGCAATGGAGAAGGAGGGACTAGCATGCGTTTTTGGCTCCTGGGAAAAAAAACCACCAAAGTCTTGTCGCCTGTCGGATACGACTATTCTGGAAGGTGAGAAGAACAGGCTCACCGTAAACAATAGCAGAAGCGGCGTGCCGTTTACTCCAATAGTTCAGGTAGCCCAGTCCAGCCATCGACGACAGGCAAAGTTTACGACGTTCATGGCTTCCTCAGTCAACTGTTTATTTGTTTTGTTTTTGTATTGTGCTCGTCGTATTGTATTCATGTGTCAATACAAAAATGACGAAAAGTGGCTGGATAGTAATAAGTTCCTTGTTTGTGTTCCAATCCAATGAATACAAGCACGCATGGGGTCCCTGGATGGATTGTGGATGGAAAAATGAATTGAAAGGAGAGAGAGAGAGAGAGAGAGAAAACATGGAAGACTGTAGCTATGTGAGATTGTTTTTTTTCCTCCTTGGATGCGGCGCAGATATGGCAATTTCATTAAAGAGCAAATGAAGAATGAGAAACGAATCAACGGCCAAAAAAGAGGAATTGCGCCGCGCTTCCATACCCCTGCATCTCTGTCATGTGGAGTTGGAGAATATTCAGAAGGTCCAGTACTAGCAATAAAACTTGCATATGTTTGAAATATGCCCCATGGAAGGCATTCACATCCAAAGCATGCCGAACCATATAAACAAATAAACATTAGGTCAGGGAGTGGAAAGGACCCTTGGGTCTTTTTTTTAGCTAAACTTTGTTTTTTCCTTTGTTTCTTCTCGCTCTATCCCACAGCAGCAGGTTTGCTTGAGCGTGGGAAACGTGGAAAGTTGCAGACACATATCATTGGTAAACATTATCGTACCTTTGACAATTTCATACATCGGCGTTGAAGGTGGAGTAAAGGGGTCGGAGAGAATTCGATTGGAGCAGACAAAAGTGGGATGAACCATACATGGTGAAAGTGTGTGCACAAACTGACAAGCTGTTAGTCGAATGGTTAGTCCTCCTTTGTACATCACACATGGGAGGTGGAAAGAGAAAGGAAAAGGGCGTTGTTGTTTCTTTACAAAGCACATTTCTATATGTGCTCCTCGTTGTTGCTCGCGTTTCTCTCTCTCTCTCCTTCTATTCATCTCTCTTGCTCTCCTCCAAAAATAAACCCTTCACCTTTTCCCCCTGCTTAGCCTACCTTTTTCCCAAACTTACATTTTCGCTTCCATGTTGAAGGTTCGCAAGGGTCTCTTCCCGAACCTCAAAAAAAAAACAAGAACCGCATTGCTTTTACCATACCACACCAATCTAGTACATAGTACATGTCCCAGAGAAAAGGCTTGCAATAAGTGTCATTATTTGGCTCACGTACTTTTGTGGCAGAAGCAACCATCTATGGTAGTGCGACGAGGTTCGGAAACGATACTTTTAGCCATCCCGCCGAACCACAACTCCACACGAAGAGTCAAACCTTACCAAAACAATGAAAAGTTAAATGGCATGGGCGCCGCCGCATACCTCTGACTATGTCCAGTGTTTGTTTTGTTGCTTAGCAAGGCTACCCTCCTCTTTCGCCCGTCCTCTCACCTTCCTGTGACCTTTTCCCAATAATATTACGGTTGGTGTTCCCAACCTACACAAGGAGAAATCGCTAATCAAACGGGAAAGTAGACAGGAGAAGGGTTGACAATGTCAACAAACGAAAAAAAAATGGTAACTCGGGGCAGCTGGGATATCGGTAAAGATTAGTGAACAAGAGGATAAGAGGTATATGTACAAAGAAAAGGGTGCTTGGTCTCTAGAACTGTCATGTGGATATGTTCATACATGCGTGACAGATATATGAGGCAGGGCGGATATTGCTTTCATGCTCTATCACCCCTTGCATAGAGAAAAAAGTTGTCGTCTGCAGCATTGGTGATGAATGATTGGCTGACTTGTTCTTGAGAGGTGGTGCGTCCTGTCCTATTGTCCGTTTGTTGACGGGACATGCCAATGAGAGAGAAACAAAATCAAAAACAAACATCCACAGTTGCAATTAGTGGACGACTGGCAGATGGCAGTTGAAAATGGAAGGATCGGAGGGGAGGAAGCGTGAAAGAGCAATAGGCTTACACTTCCCCTTGCGCAAAAACAACGAATGAGAGAAGGAAGTATGGGTAATCGGCACCGAGTCTTCGAGTCGCAGGCTTTCCCATCTATCTAGCCTCAATATATTCTCCAGTCTAGTACACCCTCACATGCACACACATGCTGAAGCGGAAAAACAAAAATGTGCATTATGATGCCGGGATGGGAACTGCTCGCCATTGACCAGTTGATGGATCCTCGTGGTGACGCGTTCGTTCCATATTGCATGCCTCCCGTGGGAGTTACCCTCCACGGGGTAGCCAATGAGAAGCGACAGTTTGTCACGTCCGTCGGGTGAAATAATTAAGAATTTGATCAGTGATATCAGACCATTAGAAAACGCCGTCAGGAACAATTACAAACCAGTAGGACCCTTGAATAAGGTGAGCACTCGAGGAGAATGCGAGCGGAGTGGAGGGGCATATTGAAGATCCTCTCTCTTCTGCTTCTCCTCCACCACTTGTTTGTCTGCATGCTCCTCGCTTTTCTCATTATGTCCTTCTCTGTTAGTCTCGCGGCTCTCATTTTTTGTGTTGTTTTATTCCCTCCCTTGCCGCCAGGAAAGAGAGAGACAGAGAGTGAGAAGGTACTTTGAACAAAGTAGTGAGCCTGTGTTTATTTGTCACAAAAGTGGGACCACCACGTCGTCATCCCCCTACTCTATCTCTCTTCAAAAAAAGGGAAGGCGTAAAGCTGATAAAAAAGCGGAAAATCAAAGATGAGGGGAATGCAAGTATGAAAAGCGAACAGCTCTTGATTTTTGTTTCTCCACAGAGATGCCCTTCTTCGGCAGCTGAAAAAGAGAGCCCTATCGACCAATGCTTCTTTGTTGTCCGGCAAGACTCTTACCAATGGATATATCCCTTCTTCCTGGGAGGGTGGACATGCAGTGGGGAAGTCTCTAGGAGAGAGAATCCATTGTGCACGAGCACAATGCGCAAACATTTTTTTGTCGGAGGCGAGTGGCGAGAGACAGACGAGAGACAACAAACAAACAAGGGGTTGGTATAGATGTGTGGGAGATAAAGAGAGAGTGGAAGTAGGTAAAGTTCAAACTGAGCATAAGGGAAAGGAGGTAAGTGGGCTCGTTAGTTGGCTCAGGCCTACGCGTAAATAAAGCGAAATGGGGGATGTGGGCTTGGAGCTCAGCTCTTACTCGTTGTCTCTGCCGACAAATAACAAGCAGCAATAAGGAACGAAAGGCCAATAGAAACCCACGACAGGTGTGGGCACGACAAAGACAGGGCAAGACAAGACAAACAACACAAAACAACAAACAATGACCTGCAACAAAGGAATGATGATGTATTCGTTGTTGCGACTACACTTATTTGTTTATCTCATTTTTGCATTTGCTTTTGTTGTTTTTCACTCCAATCCTTTTCCTACCTCTCCCTCCTCGCCTTCTTTTTTCCTCCCCTTCACTCATAATCACTCCCACCTCCGCTCTGTCCGTTAGACGGAAAGGGGGTTTACGTTTTTTTGACAAGGCGGGATAGGGGCTAAAGTGGGACGTGGGATAGGTGAGATTGAATGTTTGCAGGAAAAATGTGGAGAAAATTGGTACCGTTTGGATGGTCGACATGAGATAGCCCACCTCTAATCGGCATTACTGATGTTATCGCCGAAGGTTGTTTTGATACCATTACCATTGTTGTTATAGTTTTTTTTCTCGATCATTGCTTCCCTCTCCATTTTGACATTGTCAATGCCCACTCATCTATCCCATCCTCTTTGGCTTATTTCAGATATGTCAGACTTTTGCCGGTATCGGTCTTATGGTAAATAGCTATCTGGGATAGGGAAGGAAGAGCTGGCGCAACAACAACAAACAACAATGAGAAGCGAGTAAAAAAATGCGAGGTTGGCGTTTGACGAGGTGCGCGCCTGGTCTCATTGTTGTTTTTGTTGACAATTTCGAGCAAAGGGTTCGCGTCTTGGTGGTTTTCGTTCACGAGGAGAAATGGGAACAGCAATGCCAAACGGACACTGGCAGTGTTTGTTTTTCTGATACGAGATAACAGTTGTATTTGGACGAGAAGAGGCGAAACAGTAACAAATTCTAGGTTCATCCCTTGTTGTACGCGCGTTTGGCCATGGTTACCAAAAAGTTCGTAGAAGATGGAAGAGAGAAAGGGACAACATCCCACTTTTTTCATGTTTTGTATTGTCATTGCGTGTCCGTTCCTTGGAAGCCAGTATGAAAACATTTGTGCTCGAATCTACGCGGCGAGCATCATGGAGGGTACCGAAGAGGTCACTCATATCACTTTTATAGAATAATGAGGGCGTCAGGCAAACACAAGAGTATCGGATGAGAGTACATTTTTTTTACTCGGCATTATGGAGTGACATTTTGTGGACACCAATTGTGCTCTTTACAATCATGGCCATCGATTTTTAATTCTCACCAATAAATGTATAGAAAGGAAGAACAAAGTAAGGCGAGTGAGGATAACAGCTCATCATGGAAGGATACGTACAAGCGGGAAGAAGGATGTCAATTTGAAAAGCAAATACGTTTGGTGCATTGTGGACACGAGAAGAGACTGAGGCGGCAAAGGACGAGAGCGCCGTCCTCGTTTATAATCGAATGGGACCATTGGCTCCTTGTTTATGAAACTATGCTGGTGATGTTGTTTTCTGCTAGCACAGTTTTGTTTATGGTTTGGAACCCTTTTCTACGCATTCCTCGTTCTCCTTTTGAGCCATGGGGACAAATGTTATTGCGAACCCTTTGGAGGAACTCATTGCTTACTTCTCTTCGATTCAATTGCTTGGGAATCGACTCTATTTAGTCCTCGCGCACACGCCCTCTCCTTTGTTGTTGTTTTTCGCTCTCTTTTCGCCCTTAGCCCTTGTGCCTTCTCCACCACCCTTTTCGACACCACCTTTCATGTTCCTAACCCTCGTCGGAACAGGTCCCGCATGTGAGAATCAACAACCACTCCACTTTCTCTCCCGCCTGAGCGCCATCCCATCATTGTTAGCTATGGTCTCCATTCCGCCCGCATTTCAAATCAACAACCGCCAGGAAGGCCAGGTCCAGACCATCTTTTCTCCTTCACGGGTCGAGGAGGAAAACGCGTATAAATACTGCCATCCCCTCCGTCGTTTTTTGTTCTTCACTTTTCTCAAGCAAGCAAGTCCTCTCCACCCAAAAAACCTAACCCAAGCCAACCCCCCTCCCCCCAACCTCAAGTAAATCAGCCATGAAGTTCATTGCCACCGCCGCTGCCCTCATTGCCTTGGCCTCGTCTGCCACCGCCGCCTTCTCTTCCTGCGGATCCTCTTCCGACTCGTTCAACCTTGGAGGCATCTCCTACGCCCCCAACCCCCCCAAGGTGGGCCAGAACCTCTGCATCACCTTGAACGGATCCCTCAGCAAGCCCGTCACCGCCGGTTCCACCATTCGCGTCACTGCCACCTTCTGTAAGCTTCCTCGCACCTCCGCCTTGTTCTTCCCTTTGGATTACCTTGTCCTCATTCGTTGACTCTACTGCATATCTCGATCAAGTTCAACCTCCGCGTGTTTCTAACACATCCCTCGTCTCTCCCACCCCCTTTTTTTTGCACTTCTAAATGTATCATTATATCATCATAATTAGGGGGAATCAACGTCTACGATCAGACCGCTGACTTGTGCACCGGATTGGTCGGAGGTGCCAACCCCTGCCCCATCGAAACCACCACCACCACGGTCACCCAGTGCATCACCGTCCCCTCGAACGTCCCCGCCGGTGTCTCCCTGACCCTCAAGGCCGTTGCCACCAACGCCGATGCCTCTCGCATCTTCTGCATCAACGGTCCCTTGACCTTCTCCAACTAAGCGCGAGCAAGTCTTTCTGCTTGGTTAACAACACACAAAAGGAATGACATTGAATGGGTGGGGTCTGTGACCTCTCCCATGGTTTGTTCCTTTCATTGGTAGCTACTATTGAATAGTCCATTACCAGAGATAAAATAACCAATTTGTATCTAAGAAATGTATATATCGAAGGGGATGGTGTTTTCTTTTTTTTTCCTTTTTGTTGGCATGGAAACATGTAGATGAAAAAGATGGGAGCTTCCCTGGGTGTCTTTTACTAAAACACAAGGAGAATGGATAGTGTGTGAATGATTAGATTGGGTGGCAACAAAGGCTCTTGTTGGTGATGATGGCACGCATATGTACTAAAAAAATGTACTTCTGCTTGATAGCGATTCTGGTGGTGATGACTCCTGGAAGGGGGGGGGGGGTGTTCATGTGCTGTTGCATGACCTTTGGACTCCATTCCCTGGGCACTAACCCTCCTTATGCATTTTCGATTTTTGTGTTCGGCTGTGGATGTGACAGTCACATTTTGCCACCAAGTTTTGTTTAACCTTGATTATCCTCTATCTTGGTTCGCGTTCGACTCAATCGCACATTTTTTTTCTAGACAGCATTGGCCGCTATCAGACGTCGTCGACTGCTTCATTTTTTCTTGGTTCGACTGACCAAGAGATGCGCCCTTGGCCATCACAACACCCCATAGGTTGATCTAACAGAACAACTTTGTACTTTGATCGAGTCTATTTGATGACCTGGCGCTTGACCCGTACGAGATATAATAAGGGGTCCTAGTCTCCTTTTTTTCCTCCTTCCTCGCGCATTGCCTTTCCTCCCTCTACTAGCTCGCCCTACTTGCACACAAAAAAATAAAGACTTTCAAACATATTTTATTATGTACACCCATTCAGCGAGAAAAGTGACTACAGAATGACGATGTAGCAACCAATGACATTCATCGAAAGTCATTGTAAAAAGAAGAATACCCCCATGACCGACATCGTCTTTGCTTCTTGATGAAAAAAATACCGCCACAGTACGGTAAATACTTGGCAGCACCTCATCCGCCCATCACGCACACAGAGAAAAAAAAAACGTTTGAAGACTTATCAATGAGCCAGAGACAAGGAATGTCATTATTGTTTGGTAGGAACAAAATCGAAGGCCCTGTGCAATCCTACATTTTTTTGATCTTCAACAAAAGAGACCACATATACCCTTAGTGCACATCGTCTGTCTTTCAATTGTAATTAAGAAGCGGTGGATCTGCCACGACGCCAAGGTCTCGGGAGCTGTGAAAGATGTGGCTAAAGCAGACGAGCAGCGACAACAGTGAGTTGAACTAAAAGAGGGGAGGGGGCCGATCAGGCGTTTACTTATCCAAGCTATCGACATATTTTAAATTACAGAAAGAGTATCAACAGGCAAGGTGAATAAGGCCATGATCACTTATCGTCGTGCAAGAAAACAAAAGCAGGGACAAAAGCTCCATGCACATGAATCCGGGAGGGGAATAAAATGGAAAGAGAAGACGCCGATGGGATATACTAGATCAAAGATGAAGTTGAACTATGACTTGAACGACCAAACTGTCATGCCAGTATATCCAACAAATCGTTTTATTCCATATTCTACTGAAAGCGAGCGATCCACTTGCAAGTCTTATTTCCTCGACCATGTATACCCATTCAACGACAAAGGTCAACCTGTCTGCAGAAAAAAAAAATGGCGCAGGTCTTTTTACTAAACGAAACTTTTAGACAGGCCTCCCACGGTGCTTTCACAAGCGCAATCGACAAGTAACTTTTCTTATTCATTGAAAAGGTGCAAAAGGGACATTATGCAGAGTTGCTCTATAAGATAGCCCGCCACGAAAATGAAAGGAGAGGTATCATTATTAACGCTAAACCCAACGACCAAATCCCAACCTATTTAAACCTATTTATTCAATTGTCAATGGCATCTACAACAACGAGATTTATGTTAAACAAGTCACCTAAAGTGCCCAACTGAGACGTCAGGTCATCCTCACCAACTTCACAATGATCCTTCGCGCGACAAGGAACAAAAAAACCCACAAAATATGTTGAGGCGCAGCAAAGGAAAGGAAGAAAAGAGGGCGTCAGAAACAACCTCCCTATCCATAATAGAGCTCGTACATGATAAGAAGAGTATCCAAGATAACAAAACATCGCACCAATCAAGAAGCGCGACCCTGGACAGCGATGGTCAAAGCATCGAACACGGCAGATCTACTTTAAAAGAGAGAAATAAGCACCCATGGTGCAAGCAACCGTGCCCTACTTTGGAACCGAGTGATGGTGACATCCGTGAGATAGGGCACCAAGATGAAATCCGCAGCAAATCGCCAGCTCATAGCGGTCTACGCAAAAAAAATCGACGTGTCGTTTGTTTTTTTTATATTTCCAGACCAGTAAAGAGAGAATGTTCTCAACAATGTTTCTCATCCCTGTCATCATCATATCACAAATGAAGCATATGTCAAAAGTAGAATCAAAACCTATAATCACAAATACCGTACATTCGGACCTCCACCGATATCAGCCGCGAAATTGAATCAAAGATTTAAAAAGAATGACAAAGACTACCTTGAATCACCAGCACATATCCTGCGTATTCGAGTAGCCCAGAAAGAACCCACCAACTCCCGTCTTCAAACAGACCGTTCATGACGAGCAGTTATCTCTCTAATCCCACCAACATATCGTTTAACTGGCATAACATTTCTTCAATCGCACATACAAACGTGCACACAAAAAGTAAGGCATGATGGAACCAAGGCATCCGAGCTATTGGAGAGCTATGAAGGTTGACCATCAGGGTGCAATTCCGATCTCCTGATATAAGCCTCGCCAATTCAATACCAAATCCAAAAGGTCATCAGCTTACATTCTCAGTGTGTCCTTGGGGTGAGATGGAGGTATCAGTTGGTACCTGAAAAAGCCTCAATGAGATCGCATAGGATCTCGAGCAAGACGGAGCCCTTTCCAGTGAGAAGTGAATTGAAAGAATCAGTACGAAAACGACAGAGCTGAAGAACAAAAAAAGGGCTGGAGGGAAAGAGACGCAGGTTGCAGGGAGTATATCCTTCACTTCAAAATATGCAAAACGTGTTATAAAAACTTTGTTCATCTGTCAAAAAGAAATCAGAACGTAGTATCCGGAGAACTGTGCTTCTCTAGAACCAAAGCAAAAACCACTGAAAATAGAAGAAAAAAAAGTCCCTTGCTCATCCTATCGTTATCCAGATGTGCGGTTTAATAATAAAAACCTCCCAGAGGTGCGAAAGTTTGCACGACTGGTAGAATCGATCACGCTGAAATATCAAAGAGAAGCCAAAAAAAAACACGAATTCCTTTTCGATCCAGGTGGGATCTCTTGATTTTTTTCTCGCTTCAAAAAAACAGATACGACAACACCGAATACCCTCCTCCTCCACGTTGCAATTAAAACATCCCCCCCCCCCGCATTCTTTGGTCTCAACATGACTTTGGAAAGGATCAATCGACCTTGTTGTTGTGTATGAACGTGGAGTAGAGCGAATGGGAAGGAAATACCCCACCACCACCATTCTGGCAAAAGCACACTGTTGCGTTTCTGGATGCGATACACGCCTTCAGGAGTTGCGGCTATCAACATCCAAGGACACACCATTCATCGGCTTTTTATCGTCGCATTTTTGATCTCCTTCAATCCCAAACAACTCGTAAGGAAACCGAGTTTACTCACGACCTCCACGTGGCTCAACGGGGGAGGGGGGGGGGGGGAGGGGGGGTCCTGCCGGGCATGAGCAGATGCATTCAAGTCAAAGTAAGTGACCTGCCTCCAACACTCTATTCTCCATTCCAAATCGTCGCCACATCAACAGGAAAAAGCAAATCGTAAAAAAACGAGGTTCTCAATAGAAAGAGGCATCGCCTTCAATCAACTGCACGCCACTGTGCAAGTTTATCTATGCATAAAACTTGAAAAAAAGAAAAAAAGAAAAAAAGAAAAAAAGATTGGGCATATTGTCACTCGGAGTCCTCCCTGTAGTTTACAGTCATAAAAAAGATATTCGGACATACGCGAAAAAGAACGTGGTCCATTGGGCTTCGTTGGGGATATCAATCCGCAACTTCAAAGAAATCAAAAAGAGCTTCTTTCCATATCGCCCACCAACTCCATAAATGTACCATCGCATGGTATATAGTATTTCTTTAATCCAAAATACAATGCAAAAAAAATATTAATGCCAATAATACAAAAATCAAAACGCGTTGCTGCCAATCTCTAAATCCAAAGCGGCGAGTTACCACCAAACTGTCCCTCGCCCGCCACCGTCGTAGCTATCCGAAGTCCCTCCTGCTCCAACCCAACCGACGTCAATCCATTTCCTCCTGCAGCAGAGTTCGACCGGTCACCAGCGCCTCCAGAAAAGTCCATCCAGAACTGCGAAGGGTCATACCCGGTCGAGGTGGCGATCATGTTGCTGAGCTGAAAGTCCTGGCTCATCTTCTGCTGTGCCTCCATTGACAAGGACGTCATGGTCATGGTCAATGGCATGGTGACCGGCTGTTGTTGCTGCTGTTGACGAAGATGCTGCTGGTTGTGCTGGAATGAGTGTTGTTGCTGCTGTTGCTGTTGAAGCATCTGAAGGGCATGGCGATGACTAGGAATAACAGGGGCCGCCAAGTTGGGCGACTGGGTCGATAGCGCCGAGGGGTGAGGACCTCCACCAGAGGACATACCAACCTGATCCTTCATGCTCATCTCCATCTGATGTTGTTGCTGCTGTCGCTGAAGTTGTTGTCTCAGCAACTGCTGCTGTAACTGCTGCTGCTGCTCGACCTTGTGGAGATCCAACGAGTCCGTGGTAGGCTCGACTTTGACGGCGCCCGCGCCGCTACCAAAGGTTTGCATCTGGTACAAACGATGCTGTTGTTGGATTTTGAGTTGCTGCTGCTTTTGCTGTTCCTTGATATCCGAGGCCGCTACCGAAGATTGCTGTTGGTTGTTGTTGTAATCGAATGCGAATCCAGAGCCGTTCATGAGTTCCGGGGAGGTCATCATCGACAGAGTGGGCGTCAGGATGGGCTGCTGAGCGTAAGTCGTTGTCTGCATGGGAGCAGCATACATCGAAGGCTGGTACTGAACAGTCGACTGCGTTGACATGGATCCGGAGTGAGAAGAGACAGTGTCAAGTTGGCGCTTCTTGCGAGATGGCTGTGTTGGGGCGTGGTCGATCTGGAGGGTCGAACCGTGGTCCATCCCTCCGTTGGCGCCCTCTTCCTCTGCTGCCGCCTTCGATGTCGTCGCCAAGAATTGTTCCAGGATCTATGCATTATATGAAGTAGCAACTCGTTAGTTATCAATTCATGTCCTTACAAATAATAAGCCAACGTATAAAAAGAAGCAAACAGTCGAGCTCTCACCTTGATACCCTCGGCAACACCACCAGAATGGGCCGCGCAGGACAAGAAGCCTTCCAGAATATTGATTGTGCGCGTGTAGTACTCCATCGCGACCTCAGTGCCGCGCTTGTCATAGACAACGTTCATGGCGTGGATGACACCAGCCTGCAAGAGCGCATAGAGCGCAAAGCGGTTGACCACATAAGAGCAACGCGCCATTTCCAGACCCTGGGCGATATCCGTGATGGCACGGCCAGATCCTGTGCAGATAGTGTTGGACTGCGCAGCTGTTGGCGACCCAGCTGCCCCGACAATGTAGGGACGATGCAAGAGAATCAAGGTAGTGTTGTAGACAATGTAGAGGTAGGCTGGGTAAATGTCACCGTTGGCTCTGTCCAAGCCTGCAGCATTAGGGGATCGCATGGGCGAAGCAGGGGATCCTCTTCTGCCGCCAGTGTTGTTCGGGTGAAGCCAGCGCATCTCTGGCGACAGGTTGCTAAGCCATGAAGTGAGCGAGCCCTCAATATAAGAGACCATCGAGTCGTGGCCGCCAAATTGAGGTGGCAAAGACTGTGTTGAGTACGAGTGCTGGAGAACACTGCCCAAGATCTAGCATCGTAGTTATTTAGCAATAAAGTTGTTAGTGGCTTGTCGTGATAAAAGCCACAGCACCTGCAGGATGATTGATTTTTCAGGAGAGAATTGTTTGTTACCTTGACAAGTCGAGCCAAGCAGATAAAACCGCGCATGTCTTGCTGAACGTCCATAGGCAGCTCCACGTTGCTCTCCTTGCCGTGCATCAAGAGTCCAAGACCAAGCCATGCAGAGAATTGATGATCCTGGTGCACAAAAAAAGAGTGATAGAGAGGAAGGAAAAAAGAGATATACACCTGAATAAGTACTTGGTCCTTCACTTACAGCAGTGGTCAATGCAGCACTGCATGTCGCTGTGGGTGGTTAATAAAACAAATTGAAGAGAAGGTCTCGTCGTTGTACATACAAGGATGAACATGGACCACCAGAGGTAGCGGAGGGCATCGGCTTCGGGTCCCCTTGTCGCCTCTGGGTCACGGTTGAGACCCAACTCGTGGGCCATACGGATAGCCAGGGAAAGATAGCTGCTGCTCCGGGTGGCCTTCCACTGACCCTGGTGGTGAAACTGGGACATTAAGCACAGCGCCTGCACTGTGCTCACGCGGGGGACATCCAAAAAGTCGTCGAGCAGTAACCTCGCGGCATCAAAGTATCCTTGGCTGGTCTCAAGGCCCTGGGAGGCAGTCTTGGAGGAGGAGGAAGGGACCTTGGATGCGATTGCAAGGAGGGCATTGAGGAGCAGAGGGGAAAGGGGGGCGACAGGATCCTGCAGATGTGCCTTGTGGGCTTCTGCTTCCTGTGGCTGTGGTTGTGGTTGGGTGTGTTTCTTGTTGAGGTGCTGGTGGTGGTTCGGGGAGCAGAACTGGCACGCCTGTCGGTCCCATTGCTTCATGAAGGTGGGACGGTGGAGGATAGGGAGGAAGGTGTTGAAGGAATCAAAGAAGCTGTTGAGGAGGTCGAACAGGGCGTCAGGTGATAATGAAGGGGAGAAGGAACGTGCCAGAGAAGGGAGGGGCGGCTCTAGGCTCTGAGCAGTAAACTGAAGATAGTTGCGGCCGTAATGTTGCGACTGCTCGGGTGTGAGCCATGGGAAGGGGACGGTAGTGCGGACAGAGGTCGTGCCCAGCTTTTCGAACATGTCTGTCAAGGCAGCCATGTCTGCCTGAGACACGGGGCCGGGATAGTTTGCGTGGGCATCCATATGGTGTTGGAGCTTGCTCTCCTGGGAAAACGGTAATAACGAGGTCAACGAGCGGTTGCGGGAGACCAGGGGTGAGTGTCGTGCGCCGTTACCCAGAGGGCCGATCGATGTCGCAGCAGAGCCAGACCGTCCACGGAGAGTAGGGGATGCTGGTGGTTGTCGCTTGACTTCGACCAGGTCTGTAGAGATGATGCTGGCGTTATCGTTGTCGTTATCGTTGTCCATATCGTCGTTATCGTCATTGTCGTTATCGTCGTTGTCGGAGCCAGCACCCGCCGTTGCTCTGTCGTTGTTGTTGTTTGTTGGAGTGGAAGGATTCTTTTTCTTTTTGACGATTCCAGCGAGCATATTTTCGATTTTGCCTAGCCTGTCCTCGATGACCTCGACATAGCCCTTTGGTGGACCACGCTTTGTGTTGGAGGTTGTGTAGATGCACTGTGTTTTGGCGGCCTTGCAGCCGCCACAACCGTCGGGTGTACCGTCGCACTTGACCCGCCGCCGCCTGCAGTTGTCGCAGGCCTTTGTGATTTTTGACCTCTTTGAGTTGCTGTTGAAGTCCAACAGCATGGGAGCGCTGAACATTGTCGGTTATATGTGTGTGTGTCGAGGGAGGGGAAGGTTGTGTAAGTGAGTGTGTTGAGAGGGTATATGAGTGAGAGTGAGAGTGAGTGAGAGTGAGTGAGAGTGAGAAGAAGGTTTTATGAGAGTGAGCAATTGGGCGATATGAGTGGTGCGATTGATTGGTGAGTGGGTATGAAAAGTGTGTGAAAGAGGGCGTTGAGCAAAAAATGAAGAAATGGGAGAGTTATCGATGAATCTGGCCTGGTGGATAAAGGTGGACAGGTGGATAGCGATAAAAGAAGGGAGAGATGGGAGAAAGGGGGGGAATATGGGTATGAGAGTAGGAGTTGGGGAAAGGGGAGTGATGTGTGGTGGCAAAGAGAGAGAGAATGGGGATGGTTCAAATAAGAGTGCGAGTGAGAGTTGGAGAGGGAGTGGATGGAGGAGTGGATGATGGATGATGGATGATGAGAGAGAAGAAGGGAAGAAGGGGAGAGCAGTAAAGTGAAAAACAAAGTGGGAAGGAGAGGAAAACAAACAAAACAGAGAGAGGTCCAGAGGTGTGTGTGTGTGTGTGAGAAAAACAAATTTGGGACAGGACAGAGGGCAGCTGGACAACCGGATTCACTCAGACACACACTCACTCACTCTCTCACTCACTCACTCAGACAGACACACACACAACAGGAATAGAGAAAAACTTTGATGTGTTTGCTTTTCTTTTGTTTTATTTCAATCGATCGGGAGAGGGGAGAAAAAAGGGAGGCACATCTTTTGAAGGCATTGAGGAGGGAGGGAAGGAGAGATGAAAGGGGGGGATAGAATAAGAAAGCACAAAGGATATGCCATGGTGACGAATTGCAAAGGGAAAGGGAACGTAGGAAGAAAAAAGGGTCAAGGGGGGATCTTCGATACCGAGCAATCACAAAGAAGCCATTTGGACCCCATTCGATACCGAGAGTCACTTTTTCATGCAAAAAATAGTATTGGTTCTGCAACCCTTTACCACATGGATTCATACGCACATTTGAGGTACTTTGAGAGAAATAGAGGTAGCACTTGTTGGCTATGATGATGACAACAATGAAAAGGTACGAACAGTTGCTACCAACAAGCCAAACAAAGACAAGAGAGCCAGGCGGAGAGCAACAATGTAACAAGGTTGAGCTTTTCCACGGCCAAACACGACATTATTCTCTCACCCAAGTTTTTCTTCATTCACAAGCTACAGTAGCAATGTAAACAATGGTCCAGGGTCAAACACGACATTATTCTCTCAAACAAGAGAAAGGCGTGAAAGATAAGAGCGAGCTAGTAGAATAGAGACAAAACGAGAGAAAGTGGGCCTGTGAACAGCGACTTCTATCTTTGTCAACATACTCTCGCATGTTATTTTCTTGTCAACCCGCCACCATCCCATACCCATCATCATACTGTGTACAGTACCTGGCAGAGCGTTATGAGGACAGCGATGATGATGATGAGGCATTTAAGAAAGAGAGAGGGTGCATTTCAACCCCAGAAAAGGAATGGGCCCAATCCAAATCCCGAGGAGCGTCCAACAAAGGAGGCCAAAAGTGGTTAATGTAGGATGGGGGCCGTGAAAGGGAAGAGTGAGAAAAGAAAAAGGGCCATATGCGCTTTTTTTTCCATTCTTGAGCAAAAGGACAAAGAGGAGAGCGGCGTCACCTATTATTTTCAGAAGATGAAGTAGATGACATGCACATCCATGCCTTGTTTGAATTGCTCTGATTTTGAACTGGCAACCAACAACAAGAATGACACACCCTCATCCATATCTTGTCATCTTTTCAACAGCAGCGAGCCCGTGTTAGCCTTGTTTACACTAATAGACAATTACCTCCAGGTTCATGAGAGAGTGGATTGAAAGTGTGGGACTAATGTAGCTTAAGCATATCCTCAGGTTTAGATGAGGGGATTGAGCAAACATACTAGGCAAGACGTAAACTTGCCATATTCGCACTCTTCGTCTTCGGTTGCAGAGTTGCGTATATTGTCAGCAAACAAAGGACGAAACACAAAGCAAGACCATCTCTTACAAGCACAAAACTCTTTACCTTCTTCCTTCCTCCTCCTCCTCCTGCGAAAAGATGCGGGAGAAGAATAGGGTATGCAATGCAGTGCTGCAGCAGTGATCGCCTTCCGTCGATGGTCTGCAAAGTGAATAAAGTATAAGGCATGAGAAACATAAAGGAAGCACCCAAAATGCCCGAAAGAACAACAAGGAAAAACTTTGCTGAACCTTTTAGAACGTTTGCCTATCCTTCCTCCGAGGAACTTTTTTTTCGCATCAAGCCAAAATGACATGCGCTCAACAATGTATGTGATGGCTTCGCCCCTGCGTGGCGTTGCTGCTGTGTGCTGATTGTATTATGAGGTGTCTATGGTCTAGAGCAATCTAACACATCTACATGTCATGGATCCATTGACCGACAAGGAGTCCCATAGCTTCGCCATGGCCCAAAACAAAAGCATGGACCATCCCCTGTTCACACAACAGACTTTTGCACTGCGGGAACTCCTTCTGCATCTCATAATAGTTCTCAATCGGACTCCACTCATCCGTCTTTCCATAATAAAACACAAACTTGTCCGCGTTTTGTTTGATGGTCTCCTTGTCCATGACCTTGATGGCTTCCATTTCCTGGCCTGCCAGGAAGAGGCAATTCTTGACGACGGAGCTGTGGAGGAGTTGTTGGGATGTGACTTGAGCCATGTCGGATTCTTGGCCGGTGAGGAGGGAGACGATGGAGCGTAGGATGGGGGGAGCAGAAAAGATGAAGCGGAGTGTGCTCACGGTGCCTCCAACGATTGATCGGACCGAAGGCTTGAACAAGTTCTATTGATTGTCCATTATCCAGGAGCAATTAAGAGAACGCCAAGTAAAAAAGTCGTTGGTTGTTTCCCCACGAAAAATAAGAGAAAGAGAAAGAGGTAAAGGCGGTTAGTCAGCACGATGGGAAATTCATTTCCAGAGCACGGGCAATCTAAACAGCCGAAAATATGTTGCTTTGCTCGCTGCATTCCCCATATGAAGGATAGGAACTGACCCAACCACCCACCGGGTCAATGCGCTCTCTTTTTTTGCTGGCTATCATTTTACAATCTTAGTTGGGCAAAATGAATTCCAACCACAAATTACCTGCATCTTGCGGCCATTGGGGGTATCAGCGATCCGATGGATGGTCGGGAAGAGTCCAAATAGACGCTCGATGCCGTGGTTGGGACGAGCCTTGAGGACACGAAGTGCCAACCAGGAACCCATTGAATGTCCCGCTAGGATGAATCGAGTTCCTGTAGGGTACTGTTCTCTGAGTCGATCCAGGATTGCAATCTTATTCTCGACCTGTTCTTCGAGCGTGTACATCTTCGATGTGTCCGTGACATGGTTTCCTGCCGAGTGGCCGAGATGCGATGCTACAAATATAGGATCATTTGACGGTTAGAAGGCGGTCATTGAGTGAGTTCCTAGTTTCAGTAGCGATCATTGAACAGTAAAGACGAGACAGCAAAGGATGCAAGATGACCGATCTCGGATTCTGGACGGTACTGGCGACTCCAGCGCTTGGGTCGAGTACTTATTTTGTAGCATACCTCCAAAGATGTCGATCTTGCCGTCGCATTTGTCATGAACGGTCTGGAGGAAGGGGATGTAGTAGTCAATCAGGCCAGGATTGCCTAGCATTGTCCGGTTACGGTTCAGTTGAGTAGAAGGAAGGTGTAATGATTAGAAAACGAGCAGCGAAGAGTTTAAGCAAGTGGACACGACGGTTAACCGATCAAATGAATATGATGATATGTTCGTGTGTTACCAGGGATCATGAAGAGGACAGTATGAACGGGCTGCTCAGCTCCCTTAGCAGTCTTAGTGGTAAGCTGACCCTTGGCGGGCCACCAGAGCGTAGGGACGTTCTCGCCCTGGACATTCCAGACCGCACGAACGGGGCTCTTGAAGAGTGTTGCCGGGTTGGCGGGTGTTGTTGATGTCGAAGTCATGAGTGTTCGAATTGAAAGTCGAAGAGAGGGGTGGTAAAGGGATGGGTGATGGAATGGCTGTCGTATGAAGAAGAAGCGGATGAGCATGCACCGATTAAGGAGAGAGAGGAGTGAAGGAGAACGAATGAGCGACAAAGAAGGAATGGAGATTAATGGGAGAAGAGAAGGGAGAATGATAGTGTTGCGCGAATTGTTTTCAAGTAGAACAGGGGTACGAGGATGTGTGTATGTCGGTAACAAATACAAGACGCCCAATACCCCTTCTCATACCTTGTTGTTCCTCAGAGAAAATCAGGGGCTGGGAGTGATGGTCACCTTGTCTCTCAGTTGTTGATCCTTTCTATCGATCGGCCATATGTTGTATGCCATGTTGACTGACTGTGCGCCCACCCACCCACCCTCACGCTCAGCCAACGTGAACGGCTTCTTGGCTGTTCGTCATTCCAGCATGACCTTTCCTCATCTCTTCCTCATTCCTCCCCTAGTTAATCTACTTTCCATCTCTTTTCTTTTTCGTCCCTTCTTCGTCTTCACATCCACACTCCGCACTTCGTCCCTCCTCACTCACACCCTCTCTCATCCTTCTTTTCGCTGTTGACCCTTTCTATCCAATGGAGACGTGGGTGTCGCATATCACAAAGTGGCTCCTTACCTCAACCGCAGTCGCTACCACCGCAACCGCCGATCCAACAACTCCTTCCCCTTCCTCTTCTACCTCTTCCTCCACCACAACCATAACCACCGACCCTACGACAGGAACCGCCCCAACAGCGACATACTCCAACCAGACAGCTGAACTCCCCCTCTCCCAACCACAATTGATCACCGCCACTCCTGCCACTGCCACTCCTGCTCTCAGATCCTCCTCATCGATAACAAATCGTCATTCCAATAACTGCAATAACAGCAAAAACAACGACGGCCTTGACGAAGCAGGAGAGGAACATGTGGATGCCAGCCCTTGCTTCTTGAAGGAGACACAGACACATGTCGGCAAAAGCCATCCGTTCAAGGTATGCAAGGGAGTGAGGTCACGAAAGAAAAAAGGAGGCCAACAACACTTATGAGGCCATATAAGAAACAACGAGAGAGGCGTGATAAAAGAGTGAGAGAGTCTTGGGTGGGGTTTTGAGGAATTTGGGATTGGGATTGTTTCGTTTAGATTAAGCTGCACTAGCTGAACCCGAACGGTCGGATCTACATATTAACCCAGCATCCTTTGCCTACCTAGGTGACAACAACGGTGAGGACAGTCTTGGGCACATCATCATCACCCTTGTCTGCCCCAGTAATATCGCCTAACAACGAGGGTGGTGTTGATCCAACCCAGCAGCAGCAACGTGTCGTCTTCTCCAGCATACAGGAACCGGTCTCTATCCACCCATCAACGAAAGAGGAACTGTTATCTCTTACTGTCCAACATGAACACGACCACGAACACCATCATCATCACCAGCACCAACGCACAGACTCAGACTCGGACTCGATCGATTTGGTTGAAACCGACGACCTTGGTACTCGTCGAATCAACTTCCCTAAGATTGTTCGAGCGATCCAATGGGTGTTCAACGGGCCCAAGAGAGATGGGGCCCGCAAGGTCACGACGAACGATTCCACGTGGACGTCAGACAAGGACCAGGACAGTGACGTTTCTTCACAGGAGATCCGTACTGACAAGCACAGGAGGAAGAAACGACGTCAGTCGGCAAAGTCGTTGCCGGCTATCCTACCGCGACCCACGATCAGCAAAACGAGACTGAAGGTATTTGTTGGTACCTGGAACATGATGGGGCAGATGCCTAATATTCGGGATGGGTTGACGGGGTTTCTGGATATTGATCGACAGCAGGAGCATCAGCACCAGCACCAGCAATCGTTACTAGATCCCAGTTTGAGGTCAAGTCCGAGCCCGATTCCCAGCTCAACCCCAAGTTCCAACCCAAGCTCCAATCCGCCAAACTTGGAGAAACCATTACCTCAACCACCTCATCCTGCAACATACCCGCTGGAGCAAGTTTTGATGAGTTCAGGATTGCTTGCTCCAGGACCAACCAACTCAACTGCCCACTCGAACCGATCAGCGACAGAATCTACCACCAAAAACACACTTACACCACCACCCCCACAACAGTCCGTTGTCGACTCTGACGCCCCAGCACCGCACAAGTCTCAAAAAAGACGAGCAAACGACCTACTGAACAGAATCCGACATCCGCACCATGCTTCCCGTACGGACCTGTCTTCAACACCCTCTTCCAGCGGCAATCAGCGACGAGTACCCGATATCACATCAGCCTCTGGATCTGCACCTGGGATCTTGAAGGCACCGTTCTTGGAGATGAACACAAAGGCGCCATACCATATTATTGCCATCAACACTCAGGAATGTGAACGGGAGATTCGCGAGGCGGTGCTGTTTCCGTCCAAGAACACGTGGGAGAAACACCTCCAGACATCATTAGGACCGGACTATGTCATGATCAAGACCGAGACCATGGCGGCACTTCACATCGCCGTCTTTATCTGGAAACCCATCGAGGACCTCGTCAGTGGTAACATATTCAACTTGATTTTTGTCACGTTCTTGGTTGGCTGTTAGCTTTGAGTGTTCATATCCAACCCTGGCTTTCTTTGAACAATAGCGGTTGACTCGTCAACGGTGGCAACTGGAATCGGAGGAATTGTAGGAAACAAAGGGGCTGTCGCCATCTCTGTCTACCTCGGAAGTACATCCTTGTTGTTTGTTAACGCGCATCTCACAGGTAAAGGACGTTTGGACCTCATCTGCTTCATTTGTATTTTAATAGACCTCGATGTTTTACTGACCAACTCGCATATTTTTTTCCCCCACATTCCTGAACTACAGCCCACCAAGGAAACACACAAGCACGGAACAACGACTACAAAAGGATCATCCAAGAATTGCACCTGAATGAGGCACCTAAACGACAGGCGCGAGGATGGCATTTCAAGGGCGACATGAAGCTTCGACGACATTACAATTACCCTCCCGTCTACCTTCCCAAACCTGGCATCAAAAACAACAATGGCAAGGCGAAGGCGAGTAGTACCACCAACTTGCTTGATCCGAATCGATCACCAGTAGCAAAGGCTTCATCGTCTAGTGCTATCAGCCTTGTACATCCACAACAGCTTCAGGCCAAAGGTCCGCAGCCTCCACAACAGGAACCTTACCCGGATGTGACGGATCAGTTTGATTATACGTTTTGGGCAGGAGATTTGAACTATCGCGTGGATTTATCTCGAGAGAAGGCGGATGAATGTCTCCAGAAAGGCGATCTCGAGGTATATCTCTAATACTTTCTTGTTGCAGGTTCTTGGAGGGGTGCCACAAAGCAATGAGAGATAATCAGTATGCTAATTATTATTTCATTTTGCCTCTTCTAGACGATGCTGGCGCATGACCAGCTTTCGATCCAAAAGACCGCGGGAGCAATCTTTGACGGGTTCATGGAGGCACCGATCAAATTCAAACCGACCTACAAGTTTGATCCGCTCGTCCTCATCCCTACTACCGACACCAACAACCGAACCCTTCGACGAAACTGGACAAGGACATTGCAAGGACGACCACTTTCGATGCTGCATTTGCATGGGCCAGAGGCGCCTGTTCTCTCACTTGTTTCTACGCCTACGGGGTCACCATTGTACAGGATGGAGAATTCTAGATCTTGTCCGTCACTGTTGTTGGATGAGCACGGACATGGACTGGCGGCGGGGTTGCAAAGTGATGATGGGAGTAACCATGAGAGGACGTTTGAATCTGACACCGAGGGGAGTGCGAGTGCGAGTGGTGAGCGACGGCATCGCCGTCATTCTCATGGGCTATCGGTCTCCAGAGCTATCCATTCTGTCCGCCGTCGTCGGTCGGCTGCCTTAGATGCCATTCAGACTACAGGCAACAGTCTGCATCAACGGGTCCCTTCGGATGATGTGGTGTTGAGTGGTGGGCATGCTCAGGATGCTGTGATGAGGCAACAGAGCCCGTTATCAGCTACTAGTCTCCCTGATGAATCGATTTTTGGTGACCAAGGCCGGAGGGATAGTGGTGATGATGAGATGGTGGCCCGACCTGTGCGGGTTCAGACTCTGGAGTTGGATCAGGCGCTTCAGGATAAGCTCTTCTCAGACGCTGCTACTGCCAGGAATGGTCCAAACGCGGTAGGCGGTCAAAATGGACACCTTGCAAAGGAGCAGCAGCAACCGCTGACACTGGAGCAGAAACGGCAGAGGCTGCTGCAGATGGTGCGATACGACTCGAGTAGCAAGCAGAGAGTCCCTTCTTGGACGGACCGGATTCTGTGGAAGGCGACGGGGGGAAACTTTTATTTACCGATCGAGATTGGGGATGATACCCGGAGTGAGAACGGGAATAGTAGGGGGTGGAGTCTTTTGAGGAAGACGCGGTCGCGCGCCATTGCGGATGGGGCGACAGGATCGTCGCCCAGGACCCCGGGAGGAGCTGCAGTCGGTGATGAAGACAATAGTGGTGGAGTTGGAGGAGGACCGACGTCACCGAATGGGTTCATGATGAAGTTGGGAATGAAGAAGACCAAGGACTCTTCTGCTGCGCCTGAAGGAGGCGGGAAGATGAGTCTGTTGGAAAGTTTGCGGATGGAATTCCATTCCGCTACGTCTCGCTCGTCACGTCGCGGTGGGAACGAAGAAGGCACCTCCAAGTCTTTATCACAACATGCAGCAGCACCACAGTCGCCAGCACCACCATTGATGTCGGAGGATGACGAGAACCGGGCGGCGGTGCTTGTGAAACAGTATACGGCACATCACGATATCGGATTGTTCTCGGATCATCGGCCTGTTACGGCGGTGTTTGCGGTGCGGTTTGATTGGAAGTTGACGGATCGGGGTGGTGTTATTGGGAATGGTAATGGGGTGGGGAATGGGCTTTTCTTGACAAAGTCTCATCGGACGGCGGGGGAGCGGTGGGGTCCGCTGGATAAAGTTCTTGAGAGGATGTAGATACCGTAGATCATCTTCCTTTGCCCAAGCATTAGTAGAAATGACGATAGAAACCCTTAAGCGATTTTCTCGTGGGACTTTTCTTTTTTCTTTTTTCTTTTTGCTTTTCCTCGGTTGATCAACATTACAAAAAGAACGCAAGCGTTCTACTCCTTTTTGTTCATTTACCCCTCCCCTACCTACTCACACTCCCCCGCTTCCTCTCTCAACGAGCATGTCCAGCAACAGGTAGCAACATCGTCACATCACAAATCATAAAAAACCCAAGAAACAAAAAAAAACTCCACGCAAATCGAACAAAAAAGTACTAAACAGAATCACGTTTCTACTTTTCTGCGCATTTACCCCCCTCCCCCCCCCCCCCCCCCCCCCCCCTTCCAATAATAATAATAATAGAATCGTCTCGTCAACAATTATTCGCCCGGCGGTCGAAACCGAAGACGACAAAAGGACTCAACGCAGGAAGCGCGCTTTCCCCGACGCGCCCGAACCAGCTCGTCATCCCCAGTCCCGTTCTCGGTCACGCTCTCGTTCACCGTTAGCGAGTAGTCGTGATAATGCCCGCAGGAGGTCTAGTCAGGGACAAGGACAGGATATGGAAAAACCAGGAGGAAGTGGAGGAGGAGGAGGAGGAGTAGAAGGAGGTGCAGGTGGAGGGGAGAGGAGGGTGAGAGAGAGTCTTGAATCCGCATCCGCCGCATTCCGGAGACGCCCTTCAGGACCCGGTCACACCTCCTCTTCCTCCTCCACATATTCCAGCATCAACGACCGACTCGGCGATACCCACATCCACTCATCCTCCGCCTCCACAACCACCACAACAATATCAACAGCGGAGGCATTGGACTCTGAAGCAAAACGGCTCCGGACCGCGAACGCGACTGAGGACGATAACCGACGTGGTAAACGGATGATGGGGATGATCCTTGGGACGTTGACCCAGTTTAAGCGGCAGGCGAGGACAGTTGTCCCTAGGGTTGCTGTGCCCCCGGTTAATAACGTGAATGCGACGGCTGTTGTTGGGAAGACTGATGTGGTGGAAAGTAGGAGTGGTCCTAGGGCATCATCGACTGCGACAGCAACGGTATCGACAGCGGCTACGGCAGCGACGGAGACTGTTACTACTACTACCACAACGGCTGCTGTTAGCAGGAGAGACGATAATAGAGCTGGAAGAGACGTCGATACAAGAGCTGGAAGAGACATCGATACTAGAGCTGGAAGAGATGTCGATACTAGAGCTGGAAGAGACGCCGATAGTAGAGGTGCTAGTGACAGTGACATCAGAGGTATCAGGGACATCGATAGCAGAGGTGCCAAGGACGTCGGCAGCAGAAGTGTCAGGGACAGCGACAGCAGAAAGGATGGCGGCAGCAGACGTGGAAGAGATGACGGCAACGCACGAATCCCCAGCGCTCCGGCATTGGACGTACGAAGACTCAGCGAACCAGAATTAGATATTGCACCGCCAACAGCTCCAGCTGCGGATTTGGGCAGGGCGAGTCGAGAGGCGGTTCAGGAACGTGTCCGAGAAAAGTTGAGAATGGAGAAGGAGGCCAATGAAGACCGGCTCCGCAAGGAGAGAGCTGATAGGGAGGCGAGATTAAGGGAGACACTCTTGAAACAGATCGCTGGACGAGTACGTTTCCTTTTTGTTTTGTTACTGTTTATGAATTGTTGGTGTTGTTATGGAGGTTTGATGGGTAGTATTGCTTTCGTGTTGCTATGATGAATCGCGGACTAACATCAACATTGTCTTGTTTCTTATCATTGTTCCAATTCATAGTCGAGTGTCCCGGGACGCAGGAGGACTGCAGTGGGTGCACCAGCAGCGGCAACGACGGGACCGTCATCACCAACACCACCAGTGCACCTATCACGACGATCGCGGGATGCGAGATACGAAAACGGATACCTTATGACAGAGACCAAGCCTCGGTTGAGGTATATGCCCAAGGTCATGAACGAGGCGACACGGGAGAAGTTCGATCGCCAGGTAGAAGATAACTCGGATCAAAGAGCTATCCCTAAGCGTGGTGCCCCTCCACCTCCTAGGAGGGAGGATGCGGATATGTCGTCGTCAAAGTCTCGGACACCAACAGCGCCTGCAGTAATAGCAACGGCGACAGCAGTAGGAAAAGTGGATTTCCATATGCAGGAAGATCGTTATGGGGAGGAGGATGGTGAACCATCTGCGGAAGCGGTTGCGAAGGCCGAGGCTGAGGCTGAACGTGAGCTGGATGCTGGTATGGATCTAGGCCTGGAAGGGTCTGCTAATGATGATTTTAGGAGAAGAGAAGTTCCAACGGATTCGACACGGGAAGAGGCGCAAAACTCGGAGGCTTCCGGGTCCTCGTCGGTGACTGTGTCTGGATCCCCGGCGACTGTACGAGATGGGGCTGAGGATGTTGCCATGGAAGAATAAGGACCAGGACAAGCCAGCGACCAACTCACAGACCAGTCGACCAATTGACCAATTTTTTTTTTTTTTTTTTTTTTTTTTTTTAATTTGCGCCTCTGTATCTTATCAGGATTCACCTACTCATCATTATAAAAAAAAGTAAGGAATAAAACATTTTGACGGCATTTTTGTTGTCGAGCCGTACACAGCATCCTCCAGTTCCTCCTGTCCATCTTCGTTCTTTGGTTGATATGGCATGAATTGCTTGGGCCTCAAAGAGAAGAAGAAAAACATCCGATGTGATCTCATAGCTACAGGAAGGACATCATGAAGATGGACTCGAGGCTCAACAAATCGACACGGACGAAGAGGGACTCGAGGATGTTCAATCTGACAAGAAATAGAAGGAGCGCATTCCTGTTCCAAACCGCTTCTTCTAATTAAAAAGCTAATACTTTTTCATATTGCTCAACTGTTTCCTTGCCTTGATTTTTTTTTGTTACCTAGATTAGGTTCTAACGGCGCGCTCAGATCCAAGATCAGTTATCGGCACCAGGAGAAGGGCCAGAGACAAGCATGCCTTATGCCACTGCTCTGGGGGAGGGGAATGGCATCTTGATCAGCAAAGCTAAGAAGCACAAAGAGCTGGAAAAGCACAGGGTACTAATCCTCTTTGACGCCACTAAAATACGTCCTACATTTTTTTTTTTACACAGATTGAACATGCGGTAACTTTATTTAACGCGCCAAATCAGCAAAGAGCTGACACTTCAATTGGCGCTTGGTTTAAAGAACCTCGCCAGGGGTTGAGCAGTCGCCACCTTTTTCCGCTTGCTACCCGCTGCTCCTCCACGCCCTGACCCCGACGTCGCCGAAGATGATGAAGCACTACGTTTAGGTGCCTCATTAGAATTCTGAGACTGAGTCGAATTGCTCTGTCCTTGCAGTTGCTGACGCTGTTGCTGCCGTTCGAGTTTCCCTTGCTTCCTGTCATCCTCTAACACACTGAGCGCGAAATGATAATCTGTGTGCTGTTCCCATTCGTGGATCGGGATTTGTTGGCCGGGTGCGGGGCACTGAGTGCAAAGCAGCATAGCTGGCGCGGAAGATGTCTCGTCCTGCGCTGGTGGCGGTGGTAGTAGAGGTGAGTGCGGTGGTCTTGATCCAGTACTTGAGGGAGATGACAAAGGCGTGATAGCAGCCTCATGGATCTCGCTCTCATTGCCCATGGGCCGAAAGAACCGCCGCCTCACTTCCCTTTCCTTAGACTCGGCAGGCGGATGTATCCGATCATCCAGTCCCGACTTGCTCTTCACCTCCTCCATCTGCCTGGGTTGCGTTGATACGGCCATTGTCGACGGCTGTGCAGACGCCTTGGAAAAGAACTTTGTAATGTCACCCATCGCACTATCATGCCCGCCCGCGAAATTCGACACCGTCACCGTCAAAAGAATAAGCGGCAAGACGGCTCTCCCCCTCCCATTCTCACTCTCCTTGATCAACTTCAACAGTGCGCCCCATATCTTTTTGGCCATCCCCTCAACTCCACCATACTCAAACCGACTCGGCAGCGGCATCGACCTAGTCCCCTTATGCCGGACCTGAATACTCGCCTTCGGATCCTTCCCCTCCATCTCCTTGACCGCCTTGGGCCCACCAAAGAACCCCAGCGAGATTGTCTTAGGCCACCGCTCCGTTTCGTCAAACTCCGCATGCATCCGAGCCTCCAACTCCAAACAAACCGAGGATATCCAAAACTGAATCTCTTCCACATCATTCAGCGCCGGAATGAAAGACTTGTGGGACGTCATGGATTTAGATTTGATTTTCCTGATCCCGATATGATCGATCCCACGACACCATTGCCAGAGTTCTAGTCCTGCCTGGTCACCGTATCGTTCTTGGAGTTGGCGGAGCGGGACGGGCCAGAGTTCTGAGGCCATTTCGATGTTGTAGTCGGTTTTGATTTGTTTCCCGAATTTCCCACCTAGATTGCGGATCTTGGAGATCTTGAGGTCGTGCAGCAGATCCGGTATGTACTTTGGCAAAATAATCGTCTATTTCATAGTAGACATGAACATTAGCGACAGCATTCTACTTGGCATGAAATGGCCATTAACACCAAAATAATTGAAGGTACCTGCTGGAAGGGCTTGTTCATGCCAGAACCCAGTTTGGCCAAAAGTCGGTTGTTGGCAATGCCAGCAGAACAGGTGTATCCGAGCTCATCCTTGACAGTCTGCCGAATCTCGTTACAATACTCGGCCGCCTTCAAGATCTGCAGCTCGGCCCAGAACTGCTCCTCGAACGTGTCGTCCGGGATTCCGTAGAAAGGCTGCAGGTACTCTCTCCTCTGACGACGCTCCTCTGCTTCGGCCTCCTTTTTGCCCTGCAGTTCCTCCTCGGACTTTTCATCCGCAACTCCTTCATCATGTTGAGGTGTATGTTCCTGAACGACTGGTTGGTGCTGGATAGTGTCACACTCTGTTGGTTTTGAAGGCTGACTCCATGTAGTCCCCAAGTCGTTCTCCAGGTCATTGAGATCCAGATCAAAGTCGTCATATATCCCATGCTCATATTCGCTCTTGTATCCATCATTCTCCTCATCATAGCGGTTGACATCCTTAGCGTCTACATGTTCCTCCACAACTTCCTCGTTGCCATCATGATCCAGATCGCCATTCTCTGTCTCAAACTCCTCCTCTTCCTGCTCATCCTGAATACCGTCCCAATCCCCAGTCTTATCCTCCTCATCATCATCATCATCATCGTCACCCAGAAACACACTCGCACCAGCAGCAGACCCCTTCCCTTCCCCATCCTTAGTCATTCCAAACACAACCCCCGCATGCGAATAATCCCGCTTCCAATCCATCAACACCGCAGCCTCCCGATCCCATTTCGACAAATCCGCGCCATATTCATCCATGATCCTCTGGTTAACAACATCAGTTACGTCCATGAAGACTTCGTCGAGCCCTCCCTTTTGATGTTTGGCCGTGAACTTTCGAAAAACGTTAAAGATCTTGGCAGACGCTTTGCGGTAGGGGTCGAGGGAGACTTTGTGGGTGTATCGGGATGGTGAGGGGTAGTAGTCTGGTTGCGCGTCACCTGGTCCCAACGTTGCCACATGAGCACATACGAGTTCTATTAGCAGAGAAGAGGAAGGCGTTAAAACACCTTCATAACGCAGGCACGAAATAACACGTCAAAGAGATGCTTGACATCCCAAGTAAAGTACCTGGACAGAGCAACTTGGCGTCAAAGACGTTGTGGTGGAGACGGGTGATGCCTGATTTTCGGGCTGCATAGTTGACGGCGATAATGGCGTTCCATTGCTGCGAGACCAAAGGCACATCGGCCGAGAGGCCTAGTCTGATTTGCTCTGTTTGAGCACAGATCGCGCGTCAAAAGAGAAAGTAGGGTTAGTGGTGCTATTGCTGCCTTCGTGCTGATACCGTGCAACTGCAGTGTCATTCTTACCAACTTGTGCGAAGAAACAATCTATGCAGGAGCAGAAAACAGACCAGGAACAAGGCAAGTTAAAAATTGGTGGCAAATAACGTAAAGTGACTTCTTTCGACAATAGCGCACGTCTCCATGCGAACGAGGCAAGGTCAATGCCTATGACCAACTTACCGAGGTCGATGTGTAGAAAACACTTTCGCCGTTTCAATATCGCTGGCACCTGGACACGCGTTCCTGTTGTTGTTGTGTTGGTGTTAGTTGTTGCCATTCGGAATTCGCGAAAGAAGAAGAGACAATCGACGTGAAGTGATAAGCGGGTTTCTTTTGAGGAGAGTCAAGAAGAGCAAAGCCACACAAAAAATCATTCTGAGAGATCCGAATGTGGATATCGAACCGATGGTGGTGGATCTTGTCCAAGTGCCACACCAATGTGCATGCTTCCCCTGGATCGACCCTGTCTCAGGATCCGATATGGAACTTTTACTACCTTATGAATATTGGAACTAAGGCCTTACCGACTCCTGAGTCCCAATCTATTGTGTCAGTCTAGGTTGACGGAATTCGTATGCAAATGGACATTCCTGTCTGTGCGAACTGTGCCTGCAGATCACTCCACAAGCAATTGAAAGGGAGAGGGAGAGGGAGAGGGAGAGAAAAGGGTTGCAAATGAACAATTGAGAAAAAAGGCGTTCGATCTGTGAGTGAGAGTAATTGTGAAGGAGTATCCCTGTCATTGTCAGTGACCCAGGAACCAGCAGGGTTGCATGCCTGCGATGAATAAAAATAGAAACAGAAAATACGGGGAAACGTGTGAAAAAAAATGAAGGTGGTAAGGAGTCCCAACGGCTTTTGTTATTTCAATTTAACCCGCCATAGGACGGACCTCTTCGCATCCGGTGCTTCCGTCTGTGTTCCTCTGTAGTCTATGCAATGCCCTGCCCACAGCCAGCAGGTCCGCTCACTCAAAGTATCCCACGCCTAGCCTGGCCCGGTCTTCTTCCCCATAAAAAAGAAGGGACAGGAAAAACCACATACACGAAAATCCATTCTCAGTCTGCCTGCATGCCTGTCCATTCAATTACCACACAAATGAGCTAAAAACGCCCGGTTCTGGCATGTTCTTTCCTCTCTCTCTCACCCTCTGGGTCTGTGTCTCTTCATGACAGGGTTATTTTTATGCCTGTCCTTCCGTTTGCCCGTGGGCAACATTCACGTTTTGTTTGCTCACTTTTTTTTCGTTTTCGTTCCCGTTGGTTCCTCTAATTTCGCGAGAAGCTTAAAAAAAACGATGCGGGTTTGCCTCTTTTGGGTGGGAGACCCCGTTAGTTACGACCTGTGAGTGGACAGACAAAGGCGGGGGTATTAGGCACGGGTAAGAAAGGGGGAAGGAATTGACGACACGAAGGAAAGGAAGGGAGCTGAGTTGTTTTGCTATTTTCCTTTGCGTTCCGATCCCATGTCAGCAACATTGAAACACGACTAGCAAACAACAAGCGCCTTGATCCTCAGAGTCAAAAGAAAAGAAACTCAAGGAACGAAGAAGAAAATTGGTGATGAGACATGGGTAGGAGAGATGTATCCAAGCCGAGACAAATTGAGAGGACGGGACAGATAGGTAGGGCTGGATGAAGCAAATAAGTCAACTGCATTCCTGTTGAGATCTCAGATGAGTGAGACTCTTCCTCTCTTGAATATTTGTCTGTCTGTCAGTGTGTAGGTGTGAATGTGTCTCTTCCTGGCGCCCAAGAGAAGCGGCCGGAAGGGGTCTATGAGTTGATGTGATTGGACAATGGGTGCCCCGCTGTATGAAAGAACAGAGTAATGACGTTGGATCAAAGGCAGTCACCCATCCGATGAACAGAAACCATAAAACATGGATCCAGTTCCGCCGTCGTACACTTCTTCTTTTCTTTTTCTTCTTCTCTTCATCCCCAACACACCCCTTCACACTACCCCCAACCAACACTTCAAAATGTCTATCAAAGTCGGTATCAACGGGTACGTACTCTCCTCTTCTTCCTTTGTCTTGCCTTGCTTCTCCTCCACGATCAACTACACTTCCACTCCTTGCATACGCACGCACACTCTCACCTCCCGCCTTTGAACACAAAAAAGAAAAAAAAAACCTCGTTTTCATTTTCGCGTCACCCATTGTTCTCACACAAAGGAACAGTAACGGTGACCGAGCCACCTTCCTCCTTCTCTGCCCCGCATTGTTCCTTCGCATGCATCAACCTCCTTTCCTCCGTTATGCATTTTTTTATGCGAACGTGCGCACCAAAAAAAGTGGCCCCTGATGACTAACTGCCACCCTCGTTTTTCTTCGCAACAACAGATTCGGACGCATCGGTCGTCTCGTTCTCCGCGCTGCTCTTGCCAACAAGAACGTCAAGGTCGTTGCCATCAACGATCCCTTCATCGATCTTGACTACATGGTACGGATTCTTTCTTCTCTCGACTACCTCGCGTTTTTCGGATCCCCAACAACCGATTATGTGCTCACGCTTTTTTTTCACGATCGTGTGATAATTGTAAAAATGAATAGGTCTACATGTTCAAGTACGACTCCACCCACGGTCGCTACAAGGGCACCGTTGAGGCCAAGGATGGTCACTTGGTCGTCGATGGCCACAACATCGTTGTTTACAACAGGTAATTTTCATCTTTCTATTATTTTCTATGCATGTCTCTCTTTTCTGTATATTTGTAACAGGATGCTTTGTCTCAGTCCAAGCAACCGGTCCAGTCCAGGTCCCACGTCCTTTTCTATCATTCTCCAACACATACGCCCTACGCCTAAAACAATACAGGACAAGGACACAGAAACGAAGAAGAGAGACATGACAAACGTTGATGATTCACCTCTCAGTATCACGATGACGATGAGCCGCATCTTTGTTGATCTTCTATTGGATTTCTATATCGACGACAACAACAACTACTTCCAGCAACCAACATTTTTTACCCCAACAACAACATCAACCTTCGCCATCACAATCAATTGAACACCGTTCTCACATATGACTCTTCCTTTCTTATCATCCCATCCAACAATAGCTTGAAGCCCGAGGAGATCAAGTGGGGTGCTGCTGAGGCCGAGTACGTCGTCGAGTCGACCGGTGTCTTCACCACCATCGAGAAGGCCTCCCTCCACTTGAAGGGCGGTGCCAAGAAGGTCGTCATCTCTGCCCCCTCTGCTGACGCCCCCATGTTCGTCTGCGGAGTCAACCTGGATTCCTACAAGACCGAGTACAACGTTGTCTCGAACGCCTCCTGCACCACCAACTGCTTGGCCCCCCTCGCCAAGATCATCCACGACAACTTCGGCATCACCGAGGCCTTGATGACCACCGTCCATGCCACCACCGCCACCCAGAAGACCGTTGACGGACCCTCGGGCAAGGACTGGCGCGGCGGCCGTGGTGCCGGTGCCAACATCATCCCCTCCTCCACCGGTGCCGCCAAGGCTGTCGGTAAGGTCATCCCCGAGTTGAACGGAAAGTTGACCGGTATGGCCTTCCGTGTCCCTACCCCCGATGTCTCCGTCGTCGATTTGACCGCCCGCCTTGCTACCCCCGCCACCTACGAGCAGATCAAGGCCGCCATCAAGAAGGCCTCCGAGAACGAGATGAAGGGCATCATGGGCTACACCGAGGATGAGGTCGTCTCGACTGACTTCATCGGTGACACCCACTCCTCCATCTTCGATGCCAAGGCCGGTATTGCCTTGTCCGACACCTTCGTCAAGCTCATCTCCTGGTACGATAACGAGGTCGGTTACTCCAACCGTTGCGTCCAGTTGATCGAGTACATGTACTCCAAGGACCACTAAATTGTCCGCACCCTCCTCTCTTCTCTTGCGCATATAATCCTCTCATTCACCGCCACCGAGCAATCTCTCTTTCGAGTTCTTGCTGCAGTGCATAATTCACAGAATTGTCCTAATCCCATGTAAATAAAATACAACATAGTACTCTTACAAAAATTGCAGCAATGGCTTCGATGAATGATTAATGGTCACCAAAAAGACGTTGGGGAAGGACTTTCTGTATCAAAGTAAATGCCTACAAGGGTATCGATATCGATGAACCTCTGTTGTTATCTTCTAATCGATTCTCCCTGTGTCCTTGTGTGAGCTCAAAGAGAAAATTGGTACTAAATCAAGCAGTCCCCTGCCACTGAATTTGTTGTGGAGCGACCAGAGGAGAATAAAAAAATCTTTTTCTAACGGCGAACTTTGTCCTCTGTGAGAACCGAGATGCAGCGATTAGAACTCTCTTTATCGCGTATCGCGCTGATAAGGGAAGTACGAGTAAGTACAAAGGCTTTATCCAGTAATCGTGTTGTGGAGAAACACGTACCGTATCATCATCGTCATCGTCCACTTTACGATCGGCGTTTTTTTTTAGTTTCTTTATCTTTATTATTTGCCAGTCCTTTATCTCGCTCGCCGTTATAGAAACGCGCCGAGTCGGCTGCCACTTGACTGTTCAATTTTTCGATACTTTTGTTCCATCGCATTCTTTTTTTTTTTTGTTTTGTGATCTCTGCGCTCTTTCGACTGATAGTCAACCTGATACCTGACGGTTCCTGAAAAAACGCCACTAAATCTTCGCGTCGATAAGAAATGTACCCTCACTTTCTCTTCAAGCCACCTTCTTTTCAATCTTCCTTTCCTCGTTTTGCTCTCTTTCTTTTTTTATTTCTTTTTTTTATTTCTTTTTTTTATCCTTGTTCTTTTCTGTTTCCTTGTTGTCATTCTTTCCTCGAGGAAGAGGGAATACTCCCATCCAAGTCCCTGTCGCCATCCATCAAAAGAGTTATCTCGTATGTATTCAAGTCAACGACTTGGATCCCCTCCCCTCTTGTTCCAAATCTCTATGGTGGCATCTCCAACTCCAGCTACAGAGACAACTGCCTCTCCGTAAAGTTGGGCGGCCATGAACCTTGCCTGAGCATAATACACGAAGCCACCAAAATGAAATGAACCAGCTTTGCGCCAAGACGGGACACGGATGCAGATATGAACGGGGAACTGACAAGATGTAGGCGATGACTGGAAGGAGATGTTATTACGAAAAAGAAAAAAAGTAAAGTAAACACAAGCATGATATATAGAAACGTGAAAATTAAGTCTATGGTATCTTAGAAGGGCATAAAAAAAAGGAGAATGAAAAGGATGAAAGGGGAGGGGAAGAATGCAAAGTAAAAAAATACACAAAGAGTTACTATTTAAAACAACTCAACGACAATGTCGCCACTGCTGTTCTTGGCCATGATCAACCCAACACCTTGTCCATAAGTCCCAATCAACTCCCGCGTCATGAACCGCCACTCCTCCTCCTCCCGCTTCCGCTGCTTCTCTGACTTATTACTACTGACCCCATTCACACTGCTGGCAGACCCCGGTGATCCTCCATCGTTAAGCGACCCTGTCGTTGATTCTGCCCTCGAGTTGTGCTCAGATCCGTGAGTTGATGATCCACCCGACCCTGCAGCTGAGGGGGGCTTATTGGCACTGCTGGTGTAGATGCCCTTCTTGAAATGGAGGTACTGCTGCGAGTGTGTCGAGACCGGCGACAGCGGCGGAATACTATGATGATCATCCTGACCGCCCCAAGATGACGTCGTCGTCCCCTGACTCGATGACCTCGACGACAAGACATTCGACAGATAAGACCCCGGCGAGGGTAAGGTCGCCGTCCCGGAATGAATACTCAACGGCTCCGTCGGCGCAAAGAACGTCGGCACTTTCCGATCACTGGCCGACGGCAATGTCAACACCGCGTCCTCAATCACCGAAAACTCGGGGTCCTCCACAAAGATCTTTCCATAATGTGTTCGTGTCTCCAACCGCCCCTGGAACGACCTCGACATCTGGATCCGGGTTGCGCCTCCGAAATTGATAAAGTTGCCCAACACACGTTGTTGCTGCTCTGGTGCGACCGCCGCTGCAGCGGCCACAAGGGCAGCAGTCGTTTCGCTAAGGTGGAGTTTTACCTCGAGTGGTGAACATTGTGTCTTGGCTTCGACTGTAAAAGGTCCGAAGATATCGGACCCGTCAACTTCGAGATCGAGTCGAGAGTTTGCTGTGGAACAGATGACGCGCGGGGAGGGGAGTTGGTCGTCGGTGTTGAGGAGGTGGACGTTCGCGTTGACTTTTCCTGACCGCGCATGGGCGACAAGTCGTGCGACGCTGAACTTGCCTATGATCCCACCCTGATTCGTGTTGTTGATCGTCGCCAACTCTCCGTAGAACCCCTACATTAACCATATCCAACGATCACATTAATAGTTAGAACAAAGGCAAAGTACGGTAAATACACACACAAAGAAGAACAAAAAGAGACGGAGTAACTTACATCAATGTTGGTGTCCCCACGGCCGATATTGATGTTAAGACACCGAATAAAAGTATGGCTAATATCTCCAATCGCAAGATCCAAATTTGCGCCTTCAATCGTAAAGGACTCCAGACTATCGAGCTGTCGTGGGATAGTAACAAACACCTGAAACGTAACCGCCTTCTCCAGCTTTTCCTCTAGAGGTGTATGGATCGTGTACCGGTACTGGTTCCCGTCCTGGACTGGCTCCAATGCGGCTGCGTTCTTGATGATCGCGCCCTTGGCCTGTACACTTGTCCGGATCTGAATCATGTCCTCGTTGCCGCTCACTATCGTGATCTCTCCCTAATATTTGTCACAAATGATGTATAATGAAATGCATGTAATTGTGGTTAGCATCGGTAACAGGAAATTGCAAATGTGAGTGTGAATGCAAGACCAAGACAACAGCAGGTAAACCGGGCATTGGACGCCCAAATGAGAGCCGAGCATTTCAGCGACTGCATGAGAGAGAAAAACATCAACAACAGGCGATGAATGGGTGGACTGTCGCAATAGACTGAAGGCTGAAGGTAGGTTTGGAATGTTGCGGGATGTATTGCAAGAGATAGTTGATGCACAAACAAAAAAAAGAGGGCATGTAGTTGTGCGACAAACAACAACGAAATCACATTCACTAAATGTTGGAGCACCCAATTAGATGCGTTGTTTTAGCAGAGTTAAGAAAGACGAGATTCTCAGTCCTCTCCTTTTCATTCAACTTACTCGTTAAGCGTGTGAATGAAAGGAACAAGTTGGTCGCCAAGGGAAAAACAAATCCCCTTCCCATCCCCAACCGCATATTGCTCACCACCCCAGCTCACCGAAACGAAAAATAGGAAAAGAAAGGAGCAAAGGATAATAAGCATGACACATCGCGACACATCCACTCACACACCATTGCTTCGATTTCCTGTCAGGAATGGTCCACTTTTCTCTAGAACATTTTTTTCTTCACAAACCGAACCCAATCCGCACGAAAACAGAAAGGCTCTCAACAAGGGTCAACTCACAACACCGGCGATAAAGAAACTCGACAAACCCGTCCATCGTGGCACGAAGGAAAAAAATTTGATTTTTGGTTTTTGAACAAGCGTAGAGAGGGAGCGGATTGTCGTGCAAAAAAAAGGGAGAGGGATATAACAAATCCTTTTCTTTCTTTCCTTCCTTCTACAAAGGTGGTACATCAATCACGCACGGCGCTCTCATAACCACATCCACTTGCTTGCTCGCTATGTTCCCCTTTATCATCGCAGGTGCTTTATCCGGCTTCCGGAATGAAAAAGGAATCGAGAAAATAAAATGTAGGGGCTGGACCCTCAAGAGAAGGAATGGGGAATGGAATGTGTTTGATGAATGTCAACAACCATCTCAAGGGTAGGATAGCGAAAAAGAAAACTATAAATCAAGAATTGAATATCCACTTGCAGAATCGGATAACGGGTTGTCGCTTGGCAAAAGCGTGTGGGAACAGAGGCCAAGGGTGTATGGGTTAGATGAATAGATGAAAAGAAATGTATGAGCTCTTGTGTCGTTCATGTTGGGCATGTATTTGTGGTAATCCACGGTAGATACAGTGTATGCCGAGAAAACAAAAATGGGCGAGGTGGGCTAGAAGGCTGAGAGCATTCGACCATTCATCCCTTCCTTGGTCAAACGATGTGCTATTTCCAGCCTCTAGTAATTACGCCTGATGCACACGCTTCTTCCTCTTTATTCCTTGCCTTCAAGAAGATGCGATTGTGGCCACATCCATCAAAGGGATGCTCAATTGGTCGGACAAGACCATGAAAATACAAGGAAGCGAAAGGATGCAAACGTAGGAAACATAAGATTACAGCATGAGCGTGTGAAAGGAGTTTCCCGACAAACACCGCGTGTTTACTATACAACGAAACAACAATATCTTCAAGGACGTTTTCAAACGAGAGGGAAAAGAAACCAAAGAAAGAGGGGAGCCAGAAACCATATCACAACAACGCGCTGGACACTTTCCACACAATACAAGGAGCAAGAAACACTAGCAAACAAGTGCTCATTATCTTTTTGTCATATCAGACGAGCTGCGAGGGAAGGGAAGATTGAGAAGGCGTGTTGTTGTTGTTGGTGTGAAGGGAACATGTGTCCAATGTTTTCTTTGTTGATGCTTGCCCAGAGCAAGTGAATGAGAGCAAAAAAGAACACGGCCCGAATTTGAGTTCATGACAACCGAGAGGGGTCAATATGGAGGGAGGGAACAGTCAGCAATGAAGAGATATCATTAAGACAAGGGAAGGAAAGAGGGAAGGGAAAAAAGAGCTCGATTCGAGGAACCCTTTTTCTTCCTTTATGAACATGGGAATGAACGAGAATGAAAGAGGGCTGGTGAAGGGTGCTACTTCCTCGTTTGTTACGGCTAATTCGAAGCGTAGACAACCTCATTTTGGTTTTCCTTCATTTCCAGATCACAACCATGCAGCATGCAAAGCCCTTTTTTTTTATCCGAACCTGAATACATCCACTCTTTATGCAGGAACCAACACAAACCATTGTCCGTCTCCTAACCTGACCACTTCCCGGATAACTGCTACTCCTCATTATCAGCGTCATGCCGCCTTCGTTCTTTTTTAGTGCCGTATGACTAAGAAATACGCTAGAAGCGCACTGAGAGATAAAAATGGGCAAAGTGTAGTGGTGACAATACTCGGTGCTATTACCTTGGCGAGTCCGACGACGTTGATGGTAATGTTGGAACAGAGTTCTGCGCTGATCTGGACGTCCTCGTTGTCGTACCGAGCCTGCAAGAGTGGTTTTTGAAAAATGCCCATTTTGTTGTTGTTGTTGTATGTTGTTGTGAAGGATTCAAGTTGTCAGTTGCTCAGAGTGGGCGTTAAATTAGAAGGGAAGGAATTGCTGCGGTTTGTCGTTGTCGTTGTGTTGAGTTATTGTTGAGGGAGAAGGAGACGCTGCGTTTGTTGTGTCGAGGGGTGTGTGTATGAGAGTGAGAGTGAGAGTGAGAATGAGAAGGGATGAGAGTGAGGATTGATGCAAAATGGTGTGAAGAGAAGCAATGTGGAATTAATAACAAATCGTAAAATTGGATGCGAGCGAACGTTGTCAATGAAGAAGTTACGACGAAGAGGAGAGAAAAGAAAAAGAAGGGAAAAAGAGCGAAATTAATGGGAAAAGGTCAGCGTGGCTAGTACAACAACAGGGCACACATACACTCGCACACACAACAAACAAACAAACCATCATCATCATCGAATAAGGAGTACATTGCATCCTCCCTCTACGCCATTGATCGGTGGACAATGGTCTCGGTCTTTACTCTTGCAAAAACAAGGGCCACCAACTAGGCGAAGTGGACCAAGGGATAAACTTTGAGAGAAAAACGCAACAAAAAAATGAGCGAAGTGGAAATGAGTTCACAACCATAATGCTCAAAACAACAGCGATGGGAAATCTGAGTTTTGTTTCTTGGAGATGAAGGATGGAAGGATGCCGCAGAGAAGAAGAAAGGGCCAGACTGTCTGGGCGTAACGGTTGAATCGATAATGAACAAAAACAAATAATGAGACAGGCAATCGGGAATACTCATGTACTATGTCATGCCATGCAACAGAAGCCTTCCCTTACTTTACTCTTCACTCACTCAACTCACCCCCCCACATAAACATACGCAAGCCTGCTGATAGCTGTTTGTTCAGCTGCTGCATGCATGGCAATCAACGAGAATTTGTCCTGTCTCTCACACCACACGCTGCTCACTCGGAAAATATGACATTTGTTTGGTGTAGTGTCTTTCGAAAGGCTGGATGCTTGGCGTAGTTGTCGATTGTCAATTCCTTCCATATCCAGCGTTTTTACCTACCTTCTCTAACAGAGACAAAAAAATGTGAGAAATTCTTCCAACCACACATGTCCTGTTCTGCCCTGCGTCATCTCCCCTGCTTCTTTACACCTATCCATTCCTTCCTTTGCATATCTCCTTTCCCTTGAGGAATTTCTCGTCTTTGTTTCCCTTGGCCGTTTTTCATTTTTGTTATCTTCTTTCACCTTCAGACGTATACAATGAAAAAAGTCAGAGTCAATCGGATAATCGGGATGGAGATTGACAAGGACAAAATACGTGGTTGTTTAAAACGGTACAGTACAAGAGTACTAAAAGGTATCAAGCACCTCTTTCGAAAGCGCAATGGTTCCTTTCTGCCTCCTCCTTACTTTCATTTCTGATCCCCGCAAATGAAACGAAGGTCATTTTGTTTGTTTGTTGACACCATATCTTCAACAACAACAACAACAACAACAACATCACCTCTTGCCTCACTACCCCGTTATCGTCGCAGCCTACAATAAACTGCGCTCGTTCTTCCGACTGGTCGACAAGACTGTCAACGGACGGTAAGGAGGGGGATGTTGGTTGATTCGAAGAGGTGCAGTCAAGCAAGCGATGCGATGCTTACTTCATTTGCGACACCCGGGCCACCATTGCAACTCATACCGACAAATACCATTTCTCTTTGTCCATGGACCAAACAAACAGCAAAGAATCAAGCGATGAGGAAATGCAACAGTCGATGGTACCAAAGAAAACAACATCAAATGACCACGATTTCTAAAAAGTGCTCTCAAAAACGAGATCCTCAAACCCTTTCCTCCCATCGCAAGAAAGAGTCGAACCACTTGGCAGTCCTTGTGCTCTCATAGCTCCATCCATTCATCGCTGGTGTCTGGTTAATCTGTCTGTCGAGTGTTCTGTGGCAATTTGCTACTCCATATTATTTTCGCAATCGCTTCCTTGTTTGGGCAAGCTGGATGCACTGGATATACAGGGTTAAATGCGTGCATGACCGAGGGAGCATGTATACATTACACCCTTCACTTGTCCTGTACAGTACATTAAAAGAAAGAGCGGCGGAGGATTTCTGTGGTCCGGGAAGTTTTTTATGCGCCAAACCCTTTCTCTCTCGCTCATTCATTCACCCTCATCACTTTCTAACTATTTTCAATGTCAGCCTAATTCATTTACCGCGAACCATACTTTTCGAGACCAACCCAACCAACGCCGTTTGTCTTTCCTCACCACCCTACTGTTGAGTTGACCCTATTTTGGCTTTTCTTCTTCCTCCGTTCTCAATCACCCCATCGCATTCACAGACAAACATTGCCAAAACGGCCCATTTTGATGTCTCAGCGTTTAAGGTACCTCATTCAATCCTATGTACAACTAAAATTACTGGCGAGCAGTGACAATGGTGAGGAGGGGGTTGGTCATAGGAATAGTAACCGAGGGTTTTGGGGTCGCGGGTACTTGACCAGGCACCAGTTTCAAATCGTATCGTTGTAGTAGCATGCAAGAAGTCACCAACGCCTCCAGCGTTGCAAATGTTTGTCCCTAATGGTAGTAAATAATAAAGACGAGATGAGTTCGGGTCAGGGTAGCATTGCGTCAGTAAAATAAATATGTGGAAGCCATATATGAGCATTGCCAATGTCGATGCAGTACACGACTTACGAGACAGAGACGAGGCCCTGCATTGAACGAGGTGAACTTGTATGGACTCTCCGCTTTAAACTTGCCAAATGGACTAGTATTCGCCTTCGCTCCTTCTCCTGGCAGAGCCCCATAATCAATCAACCACCTCTCAGGAACAAACTGCTCCGCATCCTCCCCCCAAACTTTCTTATTCCTGCCCAAACAATACGACGAGATCCCAATCACATCCCCCTTATACACTCTCAACCCACCTGGCATTATATCATCATCAACAGCCATCTTCACGTTCTTTGGGACTGGTGGGTACAAGCGAAGGGTCTCGTGGAAGACTGCCTTGAGGTAAGGGAGCTCATGCATCATGGTTTCGTAGGTGTAGGAATGACCGTCCTGGAAGACGGTGTCGATCTCGCGGACGAGGTTCTTCATGACGCGAGGATGGGTCATGAGGAGGTAGAATTGCCAGGTGAGGGTTTGAGCTGTTGTATCGCGTCCCGCGCTACGGAAAAGAGAGAAAGAGAAAACATGTGAGTGGGAGGTAGTATCGGGAGCCTAAACAACGCGACTACTAGAAAAAATAACGCAAAGAAAAAAAACTTACATCATGAAGTTGACAAAGACATCCCGGAGCTCAACATCTGTCAACTTGGTCCCATCCTCCGCAACATGATGAATAAAATGATCCAACAAGTCCCTCGGCCTCTTCTCCCTCTCTTCCTCCGTTTCCGCTCTCCGCTTCTCAACCGCCATATACCCAAACCTATCCAACACCCCAATCGCCTCCCTCAACTTCCTTTTCTTCCCAGGAATCACTCTATCCGTTAGGAACCAAAACGGATTCGACGTCCTCGAATCAACATTCGCCGTCAAGTAATCAAACGCGTCTCCAAACTCATTCGGCCCCTCGCAGGTCAACGCATTAAACTCCAACCCGAACGTCAACTTCCCAAACGCGTCCAATGTAAGTTTCAAAAACTGTTCCTGTAAATCCACTGGTCGATGGAGGAGACGGTGGCGGTCAAGGACAGAGCAGAGGTCGAGGCCGGTATCCTGGAAGGCTCCCGAGACGAGTTGACGGTAGAGTTTTGTGGTAAAGATGTTGGCGGCGGTTTTGCGGTGGAAGCGCCAGTCTTCTTGATCAGAGACAAAGATTCCGCGTCCGAGGATGTCCTTGAGTTGGTCACTGAAGATCGATCCCTTGATATAGTTATTGAAGTTCGCTATAGATGTAAAAATTGAGAAGAATGGTTAGATATATGCTAAAAAGTAGGCGAGTAGAAAAGAACAGCGAGGAGATGAACTTACTCTTAAGGACATGCTCAAAGTGCTCAGGAGTGTTGACCAAGATAACCCTCCCAAACAGCGGAATCGTCAACGAAAAGAAATCCCCAAAATGCTTAAACGCCGTGTGCAAATGGCCAAGGGAATCATCACTATTCTTCAACATCTGTGGCATGTTTCCCAACAAAGGAAACCCCTTGACAGCTTTGTCTTTGAGGTCGGGGCGGGCACGGGTGAGGAAGGCTCGGTTGGGGTACTTGATGATGGCGCCGAGGAAGAGGCCAATGGTTGCGAGGATTACGTATTCGAAGAAGGACCGTTTGCGGTTGTGGAGTTGCCGTTCGATGAAGCGACGCAGGCCTATGAGGGTCATTGTGTTGTTGGTTGTGGTACTGATTACAGATGTCATTTTAAAGAGCAGTGGGTTGGTTTGTTGGTTGGTGTTGCGTGCTTATTGTTCGGTGGCTGTGGTGGGTATGTGGGTGATTAAATACACGTGCTTTGCGAATGAAGGTGTGGGCGAAGTACAAAGAGGAGAGAGAGAGGCAAGGAACTACAGCAGGGGGAATAAGTTGTGGAAGTCGGAGATGAGGCGAGTAAGAGTGTGGACAGTCAAGAGAGGATAGATCAAAAACAGAAAAGAAAAAAAAAGAAAAGAGGGGAAGATCCAGACTCACCCATCTCTTTTATTCAAGAAAAACTAACGAACAGTAAAAAAAGAGCGTTTGGGGTGAGAGTCAAATCGCTAACCCGCAGACAGACAGACAGACAGACAGACAGACAGACAGACAGACAGACAGACAGACAAGATCCCCCCTTTCTCCCCAAGCGAGCCGATGGTGCTGTTGTTGTGTGTCAATGCAAGTCTCTGCGACAACAACAAACCATAAAACAAATTGCTGGTTGGAGATGTACGAGGAAGGAAAGGGGGGCTGACCGCGATCCAATTGCAAGCGTAAACAAATAAACAAAGACCCCCCGGCCGATCCATGATTCTTACTTCAACTTCTTTTTCTTCCCACAGTAGACCCTTACTGGTCAGAGAGTAAGCGCCCAGCAGTAGAAAACGACTGACACATGGTAGCACAACCAGACAAGAGTAGGAAATTCACAACTACAACTATTCTTTTCCCCCACACTCGCCCAAAAAAAACGTGGCACAGTATGGTTTTTTATTAGATGACGGCGTACTACTTATCCCTTGGTGTGATGAGGAATCATTGAGGATGTAGGCGATCAAAGGCGAACGTATCGAGAGAGAACATAGTTGTGCCCTCCTGGGCGGATAGAAGAAAATAGTGTTGGGCATTGAACGGTTGACAACTTTTTTTCTTCCTGGGGTTTGTTGTGGATCGATGGAAGCAGAGAATGGGGACCAGCATCGGCTCGCTTTACGTGATCATCGTCATCATCGTTAACAACCCATTGTTTTTTTATCTTTGTTTTCTCCAGCACATTCACAAGCCGAGCATTACTGTGTTACACACCCATTCGCGAAATGCTCATTTATATGTTTTTATTCTCCACGAGTCCAATGGTTTCAAGTCTCTGGTAACCCGCGAACCGAGCACTGCACCTCTGCGTACCCTCGACCTCTATCGCACACCCTCCATCTCAACACTAGACAGAGATGTACGAAGAAGAGAGCGAAGAATCACCATTTCGTGAAGTCGTTGTCATCATGGATGACTTATTGTGCTGTTTACGGGTCGTGAAGGTCATCAGAGGGTTCAACATTGGCAAAGTGGCAGAGGGTTTGGGTTCTGGGATGGGCTGACCTGGGACCAGTTTGAAGTCAAACTTCTGTAACAGCATACAACTCGTCACCATCGCCTCCAACGTTGCGAACGTTTGGCCCTACGTTTGTTATAGATGTGAAAAAGGTTAAGGGCCAGAATAATAAATTACACGCGGGGAGGAAAGGTGAGGGAAAAGAAAGTCGAGGATACTTACGAGGCAGAGGCGAGGACTGGCGTTGAAGGAGTTGAACTTGAACTGGTTCTCCATCTTGAACTTTCCGAACGGGCTCACACCCTTCATGTTACTACCCTGTTGTTGTTGTGGAGGAGTAGAACGCGTCGCAGGCGATGAACCCTGCTTCTCAACATCCTCCTCATCCACCAACCACCTCTCAGGACAGAACACCTCCGCATCTTCACCCCACACGCTACGGTTCCGTCCCATCGCATACGTCGAAAACGCCACCAACTCGCCCTTGTAAACCACAGTTCCATCAGGGAGGACATCATCCGAGACACACTCCTTGGCGTTACGGGGTACCTGAGGGTAAAGACGGAGAGTTTCGTGGAAGACCGCCTTGAGGTAGGGAAGTTCTTGCATCATGATCTCATAGGTGTAGATCTCGGATCCTTGGAGGACAACGTCAAGTTCTTTGAGAACGTTTTTGAGGATTCGGGGGTTGGCCATGAGGGAGTAGAATTGCCAGGTTAGGGTCAATGCTGTTGTGTCTCTTCCCGCGCTATGTTTTTTTGTGGAATGAAATGTGGAGTAAAGTAATTAGGGCTCTCGATCCATCCTTGGGTTCTCTTCTTCCTCCATAATCCACAGGCATGCATGCGTGCCACAGAAGTGAAACTTACATCATGAAGTTGACAAAGACATCCCTCAACTCCAGATCATTTAACATAGACCCGTCCTCCCTGACATGGTTAATAAAATGATCCAACAGGTCCCTGGGCCTCTTCATTCTCTCCTCCTCCGTCTCCGCCCTCCGCTTATGCACCGCCGAATACGCATACCGATCCAACACCGCAATCGCCCCCTTCAGTTTCCCAATCTTCCCGGGCGTCAACCGATCCAAAATCGGCCACAGCGGGTTAATTACCCTCCCATCAACATTCGCCGTCAAGTAGTCGAATGCGTCCCCAAACTCACTCCGTCCCTCCGTCAACAACGAATTGAATTCAATTCCAAACGTCAGCTTCCCAAATGCATCCATGGTCAACTTCAAGAACAACTGTTGCAAGTCCACAGGCTGGGAGAGAGACTCAGCCTTGTCGAAGATGGAGCAGAGGTCGCGTGCAGAGTCGGTGAATGCCCCTTCGGCGAGTTGGCGGTACATCTTTGTGGTGAAGATGTTTGAGGCAGTCTTGCGGTGGAAGCGCCAGGCGTCTTGGTCCGAGACAAATATGCCGTTCCCGAGGATGTCCCGGAGTTGGTCTCCGAATACTTTACCCTTAATGTAGTTATTGAAGTTGGCTATTTGGGTAAAGAGAGGTTAATGGAGTGAAGAGCAGAAAAGAAGCTTAGGTGAGCGCAATGCGCAGTTGGAAGAGACAAATCGACATCGCACGGACAAATTTGGACGAAGGATAGGGGAAACAAGGAAGGACGGAAGAGTCGGTTTAAAAAATACCGAAAAATCAATACTGCCACATGGTGGAAAACACTCCACAAGAACCAACAAACGGGGGAAAAAAAGGATCAAAGACTTACTCTTGAGGATGTATTCGATGTACATGGGGTGGTTGACCATGAAGAACCGCCCACGGTAAGGCACCGTAATGACATAAATATCCCCTCGCTTCTGAAAAGCCTTATTCAAAACAACCAGCGGGTTCTCCTTGCTGGTCAGTGCCTGAATCATGTTTCCAAAGAGAGGATGTCCGTCGGCGGTGATCTCTTTGAGGTCTGGACGGGCACGGGTGAAGATGGCTCGGTTTGGGTATTTGGCGATAGCAGCGACTAAGAGCGCCAAGGAAGTAAGAGCCACGTATTCCAGAGGTGAGCGATGCTTCTTAGTCATTTGGCGCTCCACGAATCGCTTGACTCCAATGGCGAGCAGGAATATGGCCATTGTTGTTGTTGTTTGTTGGTTTATGTTGTCTTATTGGATCCTTCGGGAGTGTGAGTCCTATGGAGGCGGTGGTGTTTGCTGTTGTTCCGAAAAAAAAGAGAAAGAAAAGAAAGGAAAGGAAGGAAAAGAAAGGGAGAAAAGAAAAGTAGGAAGGAAAAGAATGAGCGAAAATTCGCTCGGGGCTAAGCAATGGCTTTAAATACCGGTTTTTTGTGCATCCTCCCTCGGCTCCTGAATTGGCTTTTTACGGAGAGACAGTGGGACAACAACAACATGCCCACTGCCACACACATGAACAACTGCACGCGTAGGATGAGCTCTCGGCTCGCTTTTAGTAATACAGAATGTGGAGTAAACACGCTGCACCAACATACCCTTGTTTCATGTCGCCCATCCCCTTTGTTTCTTTCTCTTCTCCCTCTAGCATGAAGAAGGAAATAATGAACGCGTCTTGTCTTGGTGAGCCGAATATCGATTGCTTGCATCAAAGAGTTCACTCTGATTCAACAACACACAAAAAACTTTTGGTGGCGTTCTTTTTCTAATTTTTATTCGTGTTGTGCCACATTCTCAACTACTCCCACTCATCAACCGATCCTCCCCATTTCATGGCGCCATAGACCAAGATCTTAACGCGTCTCGGCCGCTTCCTCACGGCCTCTAGAAAGCCACCCCATATCCTCCCCGACGTGCGCATGTTGATCTTTTCCAGTGCTTGACCCCAGACCATATATTGAATCCCAGCACATGTAAACTCGATACTCGAGCAAGTAATCGAGAGCTCCCGCAAGTCCGACAGCGTCAATGCCACATGCTCCATCATCCGGTTGGTCCAGTCCAGATGAGCCTCCAGGATCTGCAGGTTAGGCATCATATGGATCATCTCGATAAACTCTTGCTCGTACTGTGACGCCTGGCAGGCTTCAAAGATCAGACGTAACTCCCGCATTCGTCCTGGTGCAGGGAGGCTCTTGTAGAGACATTGCAGGGTCTCTGCGGAGAGAAAGCGAGGCTGGCAGATATAGAGGGATGAGAGGGAGGTCCACTTGGGGAAGGCCAGCTTGAAGATCTTGGGGAGGACTGGTTCTGAGTTGCGATGGATGCCTAGATGAAAGTGTTGGAGCTCGACACATTCGGCCATGGCGGTCCATTGATCGTCGGCAAGTGACTGGGAGAGATCCAGGGTCAGGGATTTGAGTCGGCCAGAGTCGCGTCGGTAGAGGTAAAGGAGACACTCAAACAGATCAGGTAGGGTGTAGGATTCAGTCTTTTGAAGGGAAATCTGGAAGTGTATGAGATGGTGGGTGGCCAAGAGGCAGGTCTGGAGAATGTCGGCCAGACTGTGGGGGGTCCACCCAGCGTCGGTCATGGACAGATCGGTAATGCGAGAGCCAAGTAGAGACTGAATCAGAAGGACGTTCTCGACACAGGGCAGATCGGCAACGTCGATGTGGAAGAGGTTGCCGCCGCTGGTGTCAAAGTCACGTCGAGAGGTGACGTCCAATGCCCGAACAAAGAGACGGTCGTGGGGAGAGAGGTCCTCGAGGTAGTCGAGCATGCCGGTGTCTTTGAAGGGGTCACTGGGGAGAAGGGGGAGACGTCTGAGCCAAATAGGGAGGGCGATCCTTCTCCAACGTCGACAGACTTGTCGTGTGATGTCAGACAGGCCATCGTAGCAGAATATGTCTGCCAGGATCTCTGCAGGCAGTATATCCATTCTCCTTTTTTTTGTGGGGTGTAATAGAGTTGGCACCGATTGTGGTGGGTGCGAGGGAGAGTAAGAGTGGAGTTGTTGACAGGTGAGGATGGGGGGATAGAAAGATGAGGGTTGAATGGGGTATGATGCTTCTTTTCAAAGTGGGGCTGGTCTGTTCTAAGGTGAACGTATGACGTTGTGAGCAGGGCGTATGTTGAAGTGGGGATGAGGCAAGGGTGATTGAGTGAATGGGTGGATGAGAGAAGGAGAATGAATCAGCCTGAGCGATGGAGAGTGGTGAATGGCATTGCATCCAAGTGTGGGGTGAGGAGGAAAGCACTAAAGAGGGTGAGAAAGGTGAAGGGAGCGATGCACTGATATGACACTGAGTGATCAAATAGAATGACACACCAAGGCTCAACAGTCGCACTCACTCCATCAAGACGTCTCGTCCCATCTGCTGATAGTATCACTGATCGCACGATTCCCTCCGTAGTCACTGTTGATCCACTTCCTGGATCCACTTTTTTTTCCTTCCCTCTTTTCGTTCTACAGAGAGTGAGAGAGGGGACGGGAGCAAGCTTGTATATTGGGATGATATTACTAGAGAAGACAACTGTAAGTAGCACGTAGACATAACGACGACAATCTCAACAATACAATCATTGCAACGGTTCTTCACGTTGACAAGCACAGTCAGGACTGCCCTACCTCTCTCTCTCATTCCATGACATCACATCTATCGTCTGAACCTTGCGCACGGCCAATCGCCGCTTGCAGTCACTCTACTCTCTGTCAGCTGTCTGCGAAAAAGGAAACGCAGATTCAAAATCGACAGAAGGACAGACAGACAGGCTGACACACTTCTTCCCTCCCTTTTTTTTTCTTTCCTTTTCTTTGCCACCGCACAAAATACCCCACGCACACTCGCCTGCGGACAAAGACGACGCAATCAAGCCAACGACATCGAGCAACACATCTCTCAGGACAAGGACACTCTCAACAACGCAACAGCAACGACAACAACAAAAACCTAGACACAACTAGACGAACACATATACCCTCATGGGAGCAGTTCTCAGTTTCCTTGCCTTGCCGGCGCTAGGCGGGATCGGATCGATTCTCGCCTCATGCTTCTCTGCCGCCGCATGCTCCCTCGCCTGTCGCTCATGCAACTGCAACAACTCCATAGCCACCCGTGTCGGGTACGCTGTAAGTTCCTAATGGCATTACAGGAGCGTATGCTCCATTCGACATGCAATGCACAGTTCGAGGGGAGCTGTTGCTGGACCTCCTCAACTTGCCTCTGCTGCTCATTTGGCAGCCTTAGTTTCCGTTCGCTATTGGTATCTTTTGACTGACCATTTTCTCTCTCATGTTTCTATTGAACGGATAGCTCATCATGTTGGTGAATTCACTGGTAAGGGCGCAAAGGCAACAGCAGGCAAAAAAAAGCTATTGGATACCAAAAGGACGACTAAGTCTTGGCAAAACATCTATCTTTCGTTCAATATTTTATTTTGTTACGTGGCGAATCTAACAACATATCCCTTTGGCCTTTTCATTTGACGACAATAGTTGGCATGGGTACTACTATCGGATTGGGCGTCCAAACAGCTGGAAAGCGCCACTCACGGATACCTTCAACTCAACTGTAAAGATGCCTCCTGCTACGGAAACCTTGGCGTAAGTTGCTTTTTAATTCAGGAGCAGCGTGTGTTTGTGTTGAGGATCACGCGATTCGCATTGGGGGGGGTGGAGGGGGGGGGTGAGAGAGAGGTTGACCAGCAGGTTGACCAGCAGGTTTTCGAGAACATAAAACAAAGGCATGGGCAACAAAACAAAACAAACAACAAAAAGCAACAAGACCAGACACTAACAACTAACACCACGTTCCTTATTTTGTGTGCTATCGTTCATAGGTGCAAAGAATCGGGTTTGCATTGGCATTGTTCCATTTTATTCTGGGGGCGTTGTTGATTGGAGTGAACGACTCTCGTTCGAAACGTGCTGCTATCCAAAACGGGTACGTCTCCCCTCGAAACAACACGTTGGCATTTTCAGCACTATCTTTCATTTCAACTCAGGGCCTCAATTGACAGGAATCATGGACCTGGCAGGAAGGACAGAGCGACTAAACAACCCGTCTACAATCCTATTATCGATATGATTAGATGGTGGGGTCCAAAGGTGATAGTCTGGATTGCACTGGTGGTCGCTTCATTCTTCATCCCCACAGGATTCATCATGTCCTACGGCAACTACACAGCCTTGATCGGTGCAGGCATCTTCATCCTCTTTGGACTCATCCTCCTGGTCGACTTTGCACACACCTGGTCCGAGAGCTGTATTAGCAAATGGGAGCAATCCGACACCAACAAGTGGCAGTTCATCCTCATTGGGTCCACCAGTATCATGTACCTCGGCGCTATTATTCTGACAGGGATTATGTATGGATATTTTGCAGGCAGTGGATGCGGGATGAACATCTTTTGGATCACTTTTAATATGATCTTGGCTATTGCGGTCACAGTCATTGGGATCATGCCCTCCGTCCAGGAGGCCAACCCACGGTCTGGGCTGGCACAGTCGTCGATGGTGGTTATATACTGCGCGTACTTGATCCTGAGTGCGGTTGCCAACGAGCCGGATGAGGGAACCAACTGTAACCCGTTGAGTAAGGCTCGTGGTACCAGGACGACGACGGTCTTGATGGGCGCAATTTTTACTTTCCTCGCAGTTGCGTATTCTACATCGAGGGCTGCTACACAGGGAGGCAAGGCCACGTTGCAGAATGGAGAGTATTCGGCACTGCATTCTTCAGAGAACGATGTCCCTCTTGTCAGTAGTGCTCCTGGTACCACGTCCATGCGTCGCTCTGATGCCCTCCTTGCTGCTGTTGAGAGCGGGTAAGAACCCTTTTGTCGTTTTTCCTGTACCTTTGGGTTTTCTCTTTAGAGGTCCACGTCACAGTGTCTATTTGCCCAATTCTAACGATATTCTACTATCATCTTCTCTTCCCGCAAAAAATACCATCCCCTCAAACTCATAGAGCACTGCCAGTATCAGCACTAGACGACGACGATGACGACGATGATGACACCAACTACGACACAAAGGACGACGAGAAGAACGGGGTTCAGTACAACTACACCTTCTTCCACCTCGTCTTTGCCCTCGCCGCCATGTACATCTCTATGGTCCTCACCAATTGGAACACTTACAAGCAGCCGGAAGGGGAAGAACATTTGATCTTGATTGGACAGAGTTGGCCAGCGGTCTGGGTTAAGGTCGTGTCTAGTTGGATCTGTTATGGACTTTATGGGTTCTCGCTGTTGGCTCCCGTTATTTTCCCGGATCGATTTGCTGAGTATTAGAGATTGAGCGTGAGAGAAAGGAGAGGGGGAGAGAGGAGAAGGGAAAGGGAAAGGAAGTTGTGGAATAAACGACAATTGAGATGTAACGTATAACCTGAGGTGAGAGTAAAAAGAAGGAAGACCCCTAAAAAAATGTTGGAATTTGCGTAAATGATCATGTTATTATCATCCCGAAAAAAAACGGGGGTGAGTTCTCTACGCGTGCCGTGGGTAAGAATATGCCCGATGCTTCCACTCTGAGGTCATTTGCCTGGCTCAATTGTCGTCCCAGATAGTTATACAATGCCAACACTAAAAGAAATAAAGCGTGTAATAGCCATTTATATATATGAGCATCATATGCATCCTACAATGGCAATGTACGTGAGAGCTGTTTTGCTACGTGGTAAGTCTCAGCAAGAACTTAATGGTATGTCAAAGGAAGAATTGTGGGGTTTGGTAGTCTCGTCCCATCCCTTTTAACCGGAGTCGACCTCCATAAATCGAATTTCTGAAGGAGGTCTCCTCCTGAAGGTCTGGAAGAAAAGGACGACACACATCGTCTCGTGCTAGCAAGTGCACCCACTGGTGTGCTTCAACGAGGGTGGCTTCTGGTAGTGGGTCCACCAAGTCCTTTGTCGCTTCACAGAGTGCCTCCCAAGACTTGTCCTCGACCTCAGTTGCAAGCCTCCAGTCTGGTGATCCGCTTCGACAAGGAACATAAAGTTCACAGCCCTGCGCAAAAGCATGGTTTCAAAAGAAATTAGAAGGGTCCGATTCATCTGTATTCCTTTTTACTCTTCATCTCGGCACTGAAAAGGCACTTACAGCTTCTCGTGTGGCTCTGAAAGACCGCCATTGTTTTCGACGATCAGACTCCTGAACGCCATGAGTTCATCGCCGACTTCAATATCATTATATACCCAAGGGCTATCCACACCAGAGTCGACTCTTCCAGGACCATCCAAGTAGTCCCAGGTATAAAATATGGATGGTGACCGATTGAGATAGCCTTGATCCACAAAGTTTGCATCCACAGGATCGCTGGACGGGGCTGGTCCGAGCAAGACCCGAGAATAATAGCTTGGTGGAGTGGCATATGAGGGGTCGTCATCGGTAGCCATCATGGACTGATGGTGAAGGAACGCTATACGGTCAGAGTCGTTTTCACATTAGCACTGAATTGAAAATGAAAACGAAAACGAAAACGAAAACGAAAAGGAAAAGGAAAAAAAAAGAAAAAAAAAAAAAAAAGCCTAGTATAAGGAGAATCCACTTACAGTCTTCTAGTGTCAGGCTGCGTCCTGACAAACCTATTAGAGATGAGACGAAGATGACGGCGATGAAGAACAATAGAAGTAAGTCCATTGCTCAGCAAACAAATCTAAGTCGAGTCGATTGATGGGGTTTCGTTACTTTTCCCTGGCCTACCTCCGTGTTGTGGTGTGTTCGGCGCGGGTGTTGACTGTTCAAGCTGTATGTCGTTTCTTGTGCCAGACGCCAACTCTGTGGAGGGAATTGACAGAACAGAAGCTTGTTGGGATAGCTTAGAAAGAGTGGGTTGTTCAAGCGGTGAAGTCCATTCGCCGTCTCTTGTACAGTTGTTGTCCTGAGGAGTGCGCTCACGAGGAGCAGGCAATGTCGGTCGTACATCCCCTCCTGTGTCAGGATCAAAAATTAAATAGTGACAGTCGATTAGCAACGGAACTCAGAAAGTGGTGGAAGAGCAAACGAAGACCGCAAGAAAAAGGAACATTCACATACCATCAAACCCCTTGATATTGCGACTTGGAGCGCTCAGTTCAACCAATCCGGCCACAGCGACGACGTCTGGCACTGATTTTTCCGAGGGAACCGAGGTTTTTTTAATGAAGTGGTCGTGAACGCTCCCTTGCCACTGTCTGCATTTTCACTGTCTTCAATGTTTCTCCATCGTGTTCTCCACTGGATTCAGCGATCGCCGAGCCACTTGGTCGAGAGTCTACATTGAGGCACGGTTGTAAAGATGAGGGTATCATGATCATGGATGTTAGCGACTGGAGACAAAGCATTGCCACTTATAGCGATGTCCAATATACGTACCGGTAATGGCGGATCCTGGAAAAGAATCTATAGAAGAACAGACGAAAAGGTTAGCTTGTCCCTTCGCAATATATATCTCAACTGGCAGCAGGCGTGCAAAGTTAGATGAAGAGCGTACATGGCATACCTACTTCCTCTTGAAGCATCAGCTTCACTTTCTTGTTCACAAACGCACCCGCCAAACTTGTGACAGCGACGGATTGGAGTTTGGCGCTCCGTTTCCGTTTCTGTAAGGCCCAGTGCATGTCGTCCGCGTCCTTGTAAACGTTTTTGTCCCACTTCCGCTGCAGCCCCTCACCTAAGTGACAAAGACCTTGGTGTTTGCACTGAAGAAGACGATCGATAGTATCTTTCCAATTACTATACACCTGTGACCTCGTTAATTCTTCATCTTTCGATGTGAATGTGAGATAGCCTGGGTAATCGATGGCAGCAATTCGTGTGCAAGAGTTAGTATACTCCTCTGTGGCGAGCCCCCTCAGCTCTACTCTCCAGTCGGCTTTCGTTTCGCTCGAGCGGTTGTTCGCTTCTGGTCGAGAGACATGAGTGACGATGGCAGACGACGTCTAAAAGAGATAAACAGAAGAAAACAGACGTAATGAATGGCCCCAAACGACTCGTAGAGAGGAGGAATAATAGATTGGTGAACCCAAAATCAAAGAAGGCTCTGCTAGAGCGTTAATGAGTACTCCTGGGCCCCCAAGCAGGCACCCACCACTGGACTCTAGCATAACGAGTCCTCGAGTGGGGTTGAGATGATTGTAACATACTCAACATGAGTGATGGATTCCAACGGCCATCCCTCATAATTAGATTCGGGAATGGTAGGATTGAGTTTCAGCATGGCTCAAGAAGGCTCCGCTCGAGCGTTATGAATACTCCAGGACCCCAAAGCAGGCTGCCACTGTCAGATTCTAGCGTAACGAATCTTTAGGTGGTGTTGGATGATTAACATCCAACGCGCGTGGATGGAACAATGTAGGAGAGGTAGTCAACCCCATGCACCTCGACTAATGTAGTAGTGTTGGATAGGATTTGGGAAAATTGTCGTGTGCACTAACCTTGGGCTCGAGCTCAAAGGGCGGTTAGAGCGAATGCGATAGCAACTCAACAAAAAGACAAAGGCAGGGACAGCAGCGTTCGTCAAGATACGTAGCAAAAGGCGTTCGATTATGATGGAAAGAGCAAAAGGATGCAAGTCGTGGACCCATTTTACGTGTACAAGTCGAGTTTGATTCGGGCAATTTACTAACAGGACAATGCTATTGGCTGGAATGAGAAAGTGAAATAAGCAGGCCTGGAATTTGGGCCATATTTTCTCCACACGACTCCTACCCACTACCCACATCCTTGACTCCTTCCCACACCCTGTACTCCTTCCCAAAAGACATCACACATACACACACCAGCCCCTTCTCGCTGACATGGGGATTGGCTCTCTTTGAGCCTTCATCAGGAAGAAGGGTTACATGCCCCAACTCATACGAGGACTCTCCGGTACACCTCCATCACCAAGCTCCAAGTTCCGCGTGGACCTACTAGCATCATTCTACCCCCAATTTCGCTATCACTACCTAAACGACTCATCCACCTTTCCTCAAGCGATCGAGCGGCATCTTATCTCCTGTGAGTTGCACAAGGAAACCTCGGTACTCTACCTCGACGGAATATCTCCTGTGGAGAAACAACACACAAACTCCTTGAGGCAGGACAAACGCAATACCGCACTGGCAGGAGTGGAGGATTGTATCCGGGATATGGAAAAATCGCTGGAGGGAGGTCACACTCCACACAAGCCCGCTTTCAAGATATTAGAGAAGAAGCTCCGTGGCACATTCTACCTCGGTCAAGACTCTTGGATGGTGTTGGCCACATATCTACGCGGACAAGGTTGGGACTTGCCAGAAGTTGCGTCCGAATCGGATGTTGCCAATGCTCGTGATTTCAAGTCTGGAGATGTCGCTACAAACCAGCAAATCGTCGGTAAGGGACAGGATCAAGAACATGAGCCAGATTCGCGGAGCATGTACAATGAACAGGAGCCTTTCCTGCAGATCCTCTTGAACGCTATCATGAACACGACACAACCTGGTACAAAGGCGAATATGAGAAAAATCACCGCGAATATGGAGCTCGCCCGTGAGTTTTTCAACAGGATCAACCTGTTTGGCGTCTCGGGTCCACCAACCAAGCCGCCTTATCCAGCATCAACAATAGCCCAGCCTGTCGCCAACCAGGTTTACGTGGAATTCAAAAAGCATTACAAGAATGGCTCCATGGAACTCTGCAGGAAGGTAATGACAACTAGAACTAATGTTGCCGATGAAACTCTTTTAGGGATAGAATTCTTAAACCCTGCCTCATAAAGTGCTCAACAAAAGTGATTCATCTTTTTGTGAATTCTGCTTTTTTCTTGAAATGCTCATTCATCAATGTTCCGATCGGCCCCCAGGTTCCTGTAATTCATTCTCTTGATTCGTAGCCTCATTCTTCACGCTTGTCTTTTTTTGCGTGGACCGACATCGGCTCATCGCCGTAATTGAAATGCCCCATCTCAATGAATCACTTTTGTTACAAGCATGCAGTGACGAATGATTTCCATGTAAAAATTTTACATGGGTTTAGCACGGAACGACCTGTATTTTTTAACACCACACGCTCAATGCACTCTCTACAGGAAAACTGAAAGCAGTTCCATACAGGGCATACCAAGTCTTGAAAATAGAAAATGTACATCATTTCGGAAAAATTATTCGTCTTGTTTTTTTTATTGAGTAACGAGGTTGGGATCATATTCGTGTTTGGGGACGCAATTTTGTTTTATTATCGTGATGGCAGGTACCTTTGTGAGAACGAAAGGGGAGAAGAAGACAAACAATAAAACCAGGGGAGTGAAGCGGAAAAAGTGTGAAGTTAAAGAAAGGTCTTGAATGAAGGGAGGGATGGGAGTACTGAAGGAATGATGGGTATACAAATGGAGGTGAGGAAGAAGAGAACAGGAGGTCTTGAACGAACCTTGAGCTCCATAGTGTTTGTGGATACACTAGGATGACGACAAACACTTAGAGACCCCTCCAAGGAAAATACATGAAGAACCCCTTTTTGAGCGCGATTGCCCGACTGCATGCACTAAAAAAAACGTAATGCACTTCGTGAGATCAAGACACTAGCCTAACGAAAGAGGTAACAGGTTCTTCTTGTGAACCCTTTTTTTGTCGTCAATCTTTACTAAACCAACCACACCGTGAGAAGAAAGAACCCGCCCCTTCGCCTGCTCTTACTCTTTACGTCTCCACGTCAAGTCATCATCTTTGTTCCCCTCGCCTTGATCTTCGTGTCCTCACCCACCCATCGTATTCGTGTTTGCACTTTACCAGTCTATGGTAGAAAGAGGGGTAGAAAACTGCTTCTTACATAAAAACGCATTTAGGCGAATAATGTAAGGAGCAATTCCACTAATTTGCATCGCTATAAAATCGGAGGGTGATGGTGCAGAGATCGAAAGAAGTATTGAAGGATCCTTGTTTTTTTTATTTAAAGGAGGACGGCATTGAATTGACTTTAGTGAAGACGACAATGGGCCGATACTGCCAACCATTAAAAAATAAACAGCGGGATGGAAAGACGTGGTACGCGATTGCGGGGTAACATGACAAAACATGAGATGGAAACGAAGAGAGTGAAAGAAAGAACGAATACTTTTTTACCATTCAAAGCAAACAAACACCATTCCGCAAAAAAGACACCAATATGATACAGAGAATGAAAAGAAAAAGAGATAAAAAATACACACAAAAGAGGGAAAAGAGGGAGGAAAAGGCGAAACTAGAGCCTAAGGATTACTTGGAGTGGCTGTTTCGGTGGTTGTTGTGGTTACTGTTGCTGTTGTTGGAGTTGTTGGAGCCAGTGGCTCCAAAGTTGGGTGTCGCGGCTCCCTTGGGCAAAGTAACCTGAGAGCGGAACTTGAACTCGGCCAGGATAGGGACGTGGTCAGATGGGAAATGTGCATTGGGGAATCCAACACATCGACTCATGTACTCCTTTTCAACACCACCCAGCAGACCCAAGACAGACAGGAAGTTGGACGAGTAAAAGATGTAGTCGATCTCGGCTGCGAACGTAGGCGTAAAGTTGGTAAATGGCAGCTCAACACCGTCACTGTACGAAGAGCGAAGCGACATCTTGTGGGAAAGACCTTCTGAGGTATAGGTTCCGTAGGCATGATCTCCAAAATCGTCGTGTCCTTGGGTGATCGCTCCCTTTACCAAGAACTCGTAAACTCCCGAATGTCGCTCAGAGTTGAAATCTCCACAAATAAGGGTGGGAAGCTTTCCAGTCGGGTTGGAAGGAGGCGCGTTTGATCCGGATACTGGGAGATGGGCCCATTGAGTCGACAGCTTGTCGAGCTCGTCCATCATCATTGCCACCTGAACCAATTTGACATCCTTGAAAAGCGGGTCCCAGTAGACGTGAGTGTTGACAACAACAACCTTGTTCTTGGTGTCCTTGTGCTCCAAAAGGGTGATAACTGCAATCTGATCCTTGGTCATCACACGATTGAAAATATCCTCAGTCTTCCTGAAATCGGGTCTTTGCAGGGCAATGTGATTGAACTCGACAAGATGCTTATCAATTAAGGTAAATCTATGCACGTGGAAGCGAAGTATTCAAGAATACAATAGAAAAGCGGGTGGGGGGTCAGTTGGCAAAATCCTGCAACGCTCATCGACTCACGTCGTTTCTTGAAGCATATACGCTGTCAGTTCCAAACTGAACACCTACTTGGATGCCTTGAAGAAGGTGCCACAACCGTCGACAATCCTGCGATCCTTCTCGGGCATAGTCTTTGCACGCGACTTTGGCCAGAAGACACTGTCGTAATCCGCCTGCTGCTTCATCTGCTCCTTGAAGTAATCCTCGTATTGGCCCATTTCAAGTTCCTATTGATCACACCATGAGATCGTCGAAAAGTAATAGATCAGATATACAAGAGGCATCAAATAACAACATATCGCGCTTTTTCGCAGATCACTGTGGACTGTACCTGAAGACAGACAATGTCGGCGCTGTAGGCAAGAATCTCCTGGAGAATAAGCTCCTTGCGGTACTCCCATGTGAGGGCCCAAGAAGGAGTGTAGCCGTACATCTGAGGGGTGGCATAGTTCTCCGCCAGGATGTTGTAGCAAAAGGTCGTGAAGGTGTCCGAGTTTGTCGATGAGGTGTTGTCCTCGAGCGGGATCCATTCTCTCTCAGGAGGTGGCAGGGGAACTACAATAGAATGAATTACAAAGGAAATCGACGCGTTGAGTTATTTGTCTCGTCGGATCTCAAAATATAGGTTCCTACAGGGCTACCAAGTAACCTACCAGGACAGTTCTCGCGGAGGTAATTAATCACGGCTCCAGTGCCTTCCTGTTGCAACAAGTTCTTGAGACTCTCGTTCAAAGGGTTTCCTTCCAGCGCCAAGATGTCCAGCTGGTACAGCGTGCCCATCTCTGCAGGCAGGGTCACAAGTCCATTGTCGACCAACAAGAGCTCCTTGAGGTTGGTCAGCATGCCGATCTCTGGTGGCACGGATGTCAGTTTGTTGCCAGACGCATCCAAAATGGTCAGCTTTGTCAGTCGGCTGATCTCGGGCGAGAGGAGATGCAGGTTGTTGTGGTTGATGTAGAGGGCGGTCAAAAATGCATACTGGAACAACTCGCGACTCATGTTCTTGAGACCCATGCCACCAAGATCCAGTGTAGTCCACTGCTGAAGGTTGGGCGCCGTGGCATTTCCTGTCTTGTCTGCGCCTTCGCCATTGACTGCCCCGGCCTTGGAGGGGTTGTTGGGATCTGTAATGGTGATAGCCGAGCTCAGTCCAGAGCTCCTTGCCACCGCGGCCGCAGCTCTGGCGCGGTAGTGAGGCGTGGCAGACTGACGCGAGACGCTGGCATAGTGAATTTGCTGCTGATAATGGGTCGAGCCGGCACCGAGCTGGGGAGTCAACGCGGCCGGGATAGTTGCGGGAGAGGACAGACCCGATTGTTGACGCATCTGGTTCTGGTGGTGGTTATGCTGCTGTAAATGCTGGTGGGTCAATGCCTGGTGCTGCTGCTGTTGCTGCTGTTGCTGCTGTTGTTGCTGTTGAAACTTTTGGGCTAAGTTCATCTGGACAGGGTAACGAGGCACTCCGCCATTGTACATCGCCATACCATGTCCAATATGGTATCCAGAGTTGGCGGGGGTTCCGACCAGGGACGCAGGCGAGGACTGGGCAGGCGAGTAGACCTGGTTGGGGCCGTTGTTAAGGGCTTGGTAGAGAATAGGGTTGTAGTGTTGCTCAGTCATCGTTCAGTTGTTTGGGGCGTTGAGGTTATTAGGTGCTACGCAATTTGTGCTGCTTTGTTGGTGTGTTGAGAAGCGAATAGGCTTGACGGTAGGGGGGCAGTAAAAACGCGACGGCGTACAAAGAACGGTGGGAGGAGTGAGGAAACGGTGTATTGGGGCGAGTAGCAAGAAGGGAGGAGGAGGAGTGCGAGCACTGGTGAAAGTCCTGGAATAGTCGTGGCTATTTGAAAGGGTGCAGCGACAGAGAGACGAACACCAATGGTGAGGGTTAGGGGGACAGTTCCATGATAAGTATACAACTTCTTCATAGGTCTATCGCTCTGCCCATGGCGATTTTGTTTGTTGCAATTAACAAAAAGCGTTGTTCTTCTTCCTGCTCAGCTAGCGAGAAAGGGGCGATTGTTGTGTCCTGTTTATTATGCGTTGGTTAACAAGAGAAGAGTCTTTTGCCTGCTGCGTAGTATGACTACTGTTGTGGCACTGATTATGGACGAAGGGCACGCCACCTCATGGTAAAAAGGCGACCCCGTAGACTTGCTCGTCGTTGGCTTTGTTCTTCTGATGTCAACAAGAAGACCCACGCACACACAAACACACAATCTTCCTCGAAAGCTTGGGTGGAAGGGAGGTTGGGCTTACATCGTTGACGACTGCGTGAGTATTTTTTTTTTTTTTTCTTGTATGTTTTTTTTATTGGTATCCTGCTAAGAGGGGACGAAGGCACATTGGCCGCGAAAACAAAGAGAACAAGGTGGGAGGAGAAGGAGGGGAATGGAAAGGAAGAAAAGAATGAGTGTCCAAGAGGAGAGAAAAGACAAACGAAAAAGGAAAGCTTTTTGTGTTCAATTTATCGGTGACGTCGTTTGACATTGGGTCCGAGACAATGGGCGCATCAACCCATTCTGGGAAAAGTGGACTGCAATTCTCATTTCCTAATCAGGACCCAAGACACATTCCATTTGACAGTGCATTTGACAGCACATGCACTTTCGACCGGCATGAACCGTGTTCAAACCCTTCACCCCAAGAAGAGTGCACTCAAGGTCTGCTACCGTGCTCTGAAAGTACTGAAGAGTGCACTTTCTTCTTTTTTTGGCGCGTGCCTCATCCCCCATCGACTTCAATAAGTGTAACAGTCTTTTCTCGCACTCGTTGAACTCAATTGCTCGCTCAGACTCCCTTAATTTCCTCCGCTCTGCTTTCTTCTCAGCACGGGCTAGCTCCATTTGAAGCACAACAAGAGGTACGATAACACGCCATGCAGCTGGGATTTCATCCTCGCTAGACTCATCATCGTCGACCTCACCGCCATCGTTGATATCGTCGTCAGTCACGCCTTCATCCCGGACAAACATGTCACTTCCGTCATAACTGATATCCATGCTATTGTAAATCCAGGAGACCAAGTACAGATGCTTGCAGGGCATTTTGTGCCGGACGTAGTCGGGGCATGTGCAAGAAAGAAGTCGAGCTGCTTGTGCGTCTGCGCTGACGGCGTACTTGACATCAGGTGTAGTGAAAGAATTGACAAAGAACTACAAATGAATAAAAAAGTCAGAGGGATGTAATAATACTTAGAGAGTATTTTCAAAGGTCAGCACACATGCAAAAACAGGTTTCTTACCTCATTGTTCTCGTCCAGTTCGGCAACCATGTCCTTGGAGGCAGCGAGTGACAACACCGTTGCTTTTTTCTTTATCGCCTTATCATATTCTGAGAGTACAATAGGCTCCAATCCATGTACAACCTTGAAGTGATGCGTCCTGAAGTAATATTACGCCTGTCAGCAAATGAATCAGATCATCTCCACGCATATCACGGATATGTTCCATATGTTGCCTCTTCAAAGTCGCATGCCAGCTTTCTACAAGATTGTTTGTGTTGATATGCTGGTAGTCCTGTTGACGGAGAAGGAAAAAAAGACATAGGTAAATATCTGCATTTTCTTTGGTTATTTGTAATGATCAATGATCAAAAGACTCACCTCTCGTTGGTAAAGTACCCATCTGATCATTTTCTCTGGCTTCATCCAATTATTGTTGATATAATCGATCATCGAGGTTTGACCCGGAAACAAGCGCTGAAAGTTGACCCATTTTTTCCTGTAGCTCGGCTTCTGAGTTCGCATACCGAACGGCATTCAAGGCCTTGCGCATATCACGTAGGCCCGCCGTCTAAATCGAACAAACCAAAAACAAACATGCATAATTTAGCATTTGTGTGATTTGAAAAAACAACAACACGGTAACTCATCCCTTTATAGGTCAAAGTACGTACGCCTCAATTCGATGTATATGTTCACATACCCCAAGCACTTCGAGAAATCCGCGCGCTTTTCGCTCCCATGCTTGTCCCACATGAAACAAGCAGTAGTAGATCTCCAAGGTCGGAAATACCTGCTTTAGTGTTTCTGTCTCCGCGACGGAACAGTCGACCATGAACTTGGTAGCTTGTAGGCCGCAATCTGTCTTGAGCCAAGTCAGCCACTTTCTCAGTAACATGCTATAGTAGTAAGAAGAAAATATTGTGAGTACAGATGGATCGAATTATCATTAGTAAAAAGTAACGGATGAACGAACGAGCGAACGAACGAATGAAACATAATAAATCGCGATCACTCATGAACCAAAATCAATATATAACCTAATTGGGTTCACATTTATTATTTTCCACTTTCCAACGGCCCATTCGACGTTCACCCAACAAGACTTACATCGACTCAGAGTTGCAAACCATAAAAGCGATCGGTATTCCCGAGCGCGATTGTCGATCTTTGACCAGAATCGTAAACAAGTACGCGGTTCCGTTGGCCTTCGGATTGTTGGGGTCCGGTCTCAATGACTTGACTGTTCTATGGGTTGAGTCCATACACACAATCCCTTTGTTGTTGGCCATAATCTACAAATGAAAATGAACCAACGTTAGCAGCAGTGGATTGATGAGCAGATGAGAAAAACACGTAAATGAGACAACAGATCTGCTCCACTTGCCCTCATCTGGAACGCTGTGCACCAAGCAAACACATAAAGGTGTTCGAAACCTTTGACCCCGTCCATAAACATGGATTTCCCTCCTTCTTGTTGGATACTGTCAAGCCAGAGCTTGACGCTTGCCGTAGCATCATCATGCTTACGAGAATCTGCAATCTTGTGTCGATAGGCGGCTGTCCGAACACCGCCGTAGTGCATGTAAAGGCATGGAGGCATGGGACCGAGAGTTTTTTGTTTCTCAAGCTTTATGCACAACGAGCAAAGTACAAGAATATCGTTAGAAAACAAGTAAGTCAGATGAGAGAAGTGTCGTCCAGGCAAGGAAAAATAAAATGGCAAGGAATAGAATACCGTATCCATTGTTTTTTTGTCCATGCGCAGTTGCGCCTTGATCGCCTTCCAGCTCTGGCCTGCTTTGGCCTGTGCCCTGATCCATTCCAGCTCGTTCTTGGCCATGGGTAGTTTCGCTCTCTCTTGCGGTGTATCCGGGTGATTGCGGATGCGGGTATACTCTACTTCCACCCTGTCTTGAAGCAAGATCTTTCGAATCCTGATCATGGCAGGACAGTTAACGCCAACAGAATCCCGTTTGAGGATCAATTCCTTGGGAGGGCGATGTCTCCTGCACCTGAATAGAAGGCTCCAGTCGTACAACCGTGGTGAACCAGGTGCACCTGGCGCTGTTGCGTTTTTGGTGGGGAGAAGTTGGTCGATGTCGAGCTTTGTTTGTATGATATCCCCTTTTTTTCTGCCCTCCTGACGATGCTCAAACTGCATCGCAACTCGTTCGTTGCGCCAGAACGTCCTATGTCGAGGAATATGCGAATGAGAATTTACTAGGATTCAAGCTTGAGTTTGCAAATGGCGTACTGTGGCTGTACCTGAACTCTTCACCTTTGAATACATGTGTCCATGTCGCTTGTCCGTCTTCCCATACCATGTCCTCCGGGGGTATATGATGTGGTGCGACCGGGAGCAACGGGTCAAAGTCCTCAGGGTAAAGGAAAACATCCCCAGCCCTCAATGCAGTCATGCCTGGGAGGAGTTAGGGGGTTCAGATATGAAGGAAACTGGGAAAGGGAGTACAGGAAAGAAAGGCAGCAAAAGGGGTGTAGTGATGATAAGAAGTTTTTTGTTTGTTTTGTTCTTTCAAGGGACGGCTGAGCGCGGAGTTTGATTGGATGGGAGGAGTGAGACTTTTCCCGCTCTGATGCAACATAAAGGAGGGTGACGTAAATGCACCCTAATGAATATGTAGCTCGTTGTTGCTTCTTTTTCTTTTTTCTTTTTTCCTTCTTTACACTTCCAACACACACACCCACAACACACCCACAACACACCTTATTCACCCTACTCACCCTACTTTCTCGCCCTCATGGGAGTTCCCTTGCTGTGGCCTCACATACGGCAGGAGGGTCATGAGGCAACTCTGCTTAGGCAGTTTCCTCAAGGCCCTTTACCCCCTGATGCCCTTTATCGTGTCGACCTCCTTGCCTCCTTCTTTCCTTCCATCCGACGAATTTTCTCCTCCAGCACTCACGACTACCTTACCTCCAACGTCATCTTCGAGCGACATCTGGTCTCCAGTCGTATCCCCAAGGCATCCTCGGTGCTTTATATTGACGGTCCATCCCCAGAGGAGAAGCGAGAGACACGGCAACTTAGGGAGGAGAAGCGCATTGTTGCATTGCAAAAAGCCCACATCTGGCTCTGCAACATGGAGACCCGAGTTGGTGGTCGGAGGAGGGTCAGGAAACGTGACTTCACCAAACTCGACAAGCTTATCAGAGCCGCCTTTTATTGGACTCCGGATGCCCGCGCCTCCTTGGCCATTTACCTTCGCGTGCAAGGATGGACGGTTATCGAGTGTCCTTCTGAGGCAGACATTGCAATAGCTATCGACTCTCAACCCCAGGATATTGTAGTATCGGGAGACAGCGATATGCTCATCTATGCCACCGTTCATACCATATGGAGGCCTATTTCGCGAGGCAAATACCTGGTGTACGATCTTCCAAAGGTGCTGAGTTATCTGGGTATCTCGAGACTGGCATTGACGGTTCTAGGCATCGTTTGCAAGAACGACTACACGTCCAACTTGACTCGAATGGGGTTATCGACCAACATCAAGATTCTCAAATCCCTAGAGGAGATGAAAGGTAAAGCTCAATTGCCTTGTATGTTTTTTTTTGAAGATATACGCTAATGGAGGTTTTTCTGATTCAATAGCTTTTGCTTGACCTCAGCACCTTGCTAACAACGCTTCTGTCCATTTGTCTTTTACTATGATAGATCCAGCAGCTGGAGTAGAGCCAGTCACCGAAGCAAATGTCGAGACAATGGTCAAGCGGTACTTGGCTCATCCGGAAGTAGTCAGGAGGAACCCTGCCGCGACTCACTTCGAGGCAGCGGTGAGGGTTTTTGCTGGCCGGCAGTTCAAGGTCGCGGTTGCTACAACACCATCACAGCCATCTGACCATACAAGCTCAACCAACTGCTCGACCCAAAAGTCTTCCGATCTAGCAGCGTTGCTTGAAAGGCTGCGTGTTCTTCGCCAGCGATTAAACGAGAACAAGAAAAGGTAAGGAGTTGTTCCAACGGCGATAACTTAACTGTAATTAAATGAATGAATTGTATTCTAACCTTTGTTTTTCTTCTGTGATTCTTTTGTAGTCTCGTTGCCGATCAACTGGTGCAACAGACGGATGTATTTAACCGGTACGCCACCGTGGACCGTCCGCCAGATCAGCGGCCTCCTCCTCATTCATCAGGGAGAAGATACAAGCACCGCCAACGATATGCTATCAAGACCCGCTCTCAGGTTGTGAAGCATGAGCCACCAGAAGCCATGAAACAGAACCAATGGAAACCATACAAGTCGGCCCCTGATTCTCCGTTGGAACCGCAGTCTGCCGTCTCTTCATCGAAACCCAAGTCACCGAAACGTCTGCCGTCTGCGGAGGGTATGGACAAGAAGGATCTGGTTAATGCCATGGCAAGGGACCACCCCATGCGAACACTTGACATTGGCACCGTCAATGCCAACGCAACCAGAGGCCTGAACAGGGAATTTGGTCCAGAAGGCTCGTCTGTTTATCTTCCGAGGGTCAAGATCGCCCTTCGAGATATTGCCCATCAGTCGTCTCATGTCAAGCGGGTTTGCCAGAGGGCTATTGGCTTGTACCTGGAGCGCCTTGCACTCTCCATAAACGAGTCAGTGGTGCCAGCGGTGCCAGCGGTGCCAGTGGTGCCAGCGTTGCCAATGGTCATGGATGTGGTGGGGACCATCGAGTCCGTCCAGCCCCTTCAACAGCAACCCCTTCAACAGCAACCCCTTCAACAGCAACCCCTTCAACAGCAGCCCCTTCGGAAGCAGGCGAGTAAGCTTCATGCTGAAGATCGCTTAATTCTCGATAAGCTATGCCCAAAGTTCACCGCCAAGGACATTGCTGACGGCAGAAACATCAACGACGGCACAACAGAGGATCTCACCAAGCCCGATGATTCTGAGCACGATGAAACATTGGACAAAAAGAACGAACCCCTCCAGTTCTTGATGTGTCTGTTGAATGCCGTGTACTCTGGCAAACTGCCTAAAAGGCAGAAGGGGAAGGAAAAAGGGGGTGCACCCTCAATTGACAGTCCAAGCGCAGTCTGCACCTTTATCGAACGAGCCCGGGATTTTCTGCCAGCAATCACGAAGGACGGGGACGGGCTAGAAAGGGACTTTGCGGGTTCGAGCTTTTTACGATCAACCGCCTTGCAACTGTCGGTTGAGCTGAAGAAGCACTACAGGAATGGTTCGACGGACCTTTGCGAAAAGGTAAAGATCGTTTGAATGCGAAAAAAATTACTATTGAATCCTTTGTTTAGACTTGGACGAACGCTGTTATTGACGCTCTTCCGTTTTTTCTATAAAAAAAGATTGCCCTCCTCAAGACGAAGAAGCTCCTGCCACTCGAAGCAAGGGATTGCGTCGATCCCGACATCACTGCATTTGAGAATTTCGTCCTTTTGAACAGGGTATGCGGCTGCCCCCGTTCATTAGTGCCGATGTCGTCTTTTGAAAACAAGTTTATCACTGTCTCCGAGTTGGAACTTGCAAGGATCTTTTGGCGGGATCCGATGTTAAAGACAGTGCTTCAATCCTACGCATGGCCCGACTTTCCAAGTATCGAATACGCCGACCAAGTGTCTCAGACTGATGTCGGAATGTGGCTCTCTAGAGCAGTACCCGGTTGCCTTATCACGAAGTTACTCACTGACATTGGGGGATACTCGGAGGTGGAACGGAAAAGGCTGCGGAGCTACTCCCGGTCGACTCGCCTGATGCCTCTTGAAGATACAAGACGACACATACAACAAATCCGACACGCTGACTTCCAGCCCACATCATACACGGACAAGGGCTATGTCCTCCATGGATCCATTCGGACTGATGGTTTCCGTCTCCAGCTCATCGCCTTCAAAATGAACGAGCTGCATTCCGTCAAGTACCGACAGTTACCGGCGGATCGACTCCCGAATCGTCTCACTTCCACTGTTGCCGGCACGGACTACTTTCTGACGGAGATTCGGAACGTGGTGTCTACCCCGCAGGACGTTGTCGACCTCTGGGGATGTGATCCGAAAAGAATCAAGATTCTCGGTATCGACTTGGGACAGGCGTTTGTGGTGGGAGCAAGCGCTTTATTACCCTCTCGCAACAAGCACCTTGACGCGGAAGGAGGTCCAGAGGGAGCCCAGAAGGATCCATTGGTCAAGCAACCTACGACAAAGTATTTCAACCTCGCAGTCAAGCAGAAAGCGGTGTATCAACCTACCCTCAAGCACCGGCGTTGGTTAGAGCAGAGAAAGGCACAGCCGCTCGAGGGGGGAGGATCCATCTGCCAGATTGAGACCAGTCTGCCCGCTCGCTTTGGTCCTGATGCGAGTATTGCCGAGTACACAACAAGGATGCAGGAGGTGGAGGCCCAACTGGGTTCCTTTTATGGTAGTGTTGTCTTGAAGAAGCATCGGTGGAACGCCAGGAAGGCTCGCGACGAGGAGTACCGTCTGATTGCCAATCGTTTGCTCGAGATGGTTGGAGGATCATTGGGAGCCAAGAGAAAGGAGAGCAACAAGATCGTCATTGGAGTTGGCCTGGGGCAGTTCTCTTCCAGGATCAGGCTCTCGTCGCTGCACGAGTCTTTTGAGTCGTACTTTATTCAAAAAGTAAGTACGCTGAACTATTACTCTTCGTCTTCTGTTATCGTTGGGAAATGCAGCATGCGGAGACTAACTATGTTATATTTTGTTCTTTTTCTCTATTAGGCACGATCGCTTGGATACATTGTTGTCGGTGTAAACGAGTATTACACTTCAAAGAAGTGCCCAACTTGTGGAGAGTTCGTTGGCCAAGTGGATCTCCGGCGCCTGTACTGTTCAGAGTGCAAAAAGTACATGCATCGAGACGTGATGGCCGGTCACAATATCTGTAATGTCATTCGTGGCCACCTCCTCAAGCAAGAGCGACCGCGCTACCTCCAGCCCAAGGACATTGATGGCAATTATCCCTGGGAAGAGAAACAGAGTTTCAGGCCCCGCCCTGAGGGATCTGGTGCTGGTGGGCACAAGGGCAAAGGGGTCAAACGAAAGGCGACCGACGAGGGAACAGATTCCAGTCAATTCAGGAGAGTAGCAGTGTAGTTTTCTATTTAGATCATTTGTGTATAAGCAAATACATATGATCGAGTTTGGGTTCCGGGAGAACGCACGACTACTCACTTCGGTGACGTAGTTTGCGTTTGGCGTACGACTTGTTACTTCGGTGACGTAGTTGATGCGCCCATTGTCCTGGAACCGACATTGGGGACAAAGGTGTCCTCCCCTCGTGCAAGTTCCTTTTCAGCTTTGCCACCATTAAACTACTACGCCATGCAACACGACTCGGGAACACCACCAAGAGCCACCACACCGGCACCAGGAACAACTGGTACTTACGCCACAGAATAAATTACAAAGGTCCAACTTCCCATGTATACAACACAAGTCTTGTTGGAAACAGCAACTGACATCGAATCATTGGCCATCAACTTGCCTTCTTTTAGACGTTCACGCTCTCTACTCTCGACTCCTTGGCAACCCACAGGCCAATGCCAACAAGGCTATCTCTACCTTCCAGGAGGAGTTTGAAGTAACGTACACAGCATATCGTGCGACCCTTCTACACTATTCTTTTTTCGTTCGTATCTTTCGTCTTCATTAACCGTGCCTCCAGCTCTCGCACTTCAGTCTCAACCTGACTCATCCTGCTCACTCAAATCTCCTCAATTGTTCCATACAACTCGCTAGGCCAAGAAGACCCTATTCATGGAAAAGGATGACGAAACTGTGTCAACGCTTCAACAGATTCCAGCCCAATTGAGCAGCGCCAAGGAGCACCTGGATAACAACCTCAGTGACACGCAGTCAACAGGTGAGTGGTGACTACCACCAACCACCTTTTGGTGACTACGATTCTTGGACTTGGCGGATCAAATTGACATCTTCTTTCTACCTTACTCCATCTAATTCTTCATTCGCTTAGCAAAACTAGCTGTTGAAAAGCTGCAAGCATTACAACAAGCTATCGCCGCGAACTCGCAGGTAAGAAGACAGGTACTCTATCCCGAACACCCTACGACACGTTAATTTACGCCCGATTTTCCAGTTGTTAACCATATTTTATCATTCCTTTTCTAGGCGCGTGAAAAATCTGCCAACCCAACACGATCCGCCAAGGAGGCTTTTGAGAAAGACATCAATGATGCCAGAGAAGCATTCGATCAGGAAATGGCCCTTCGACATGCGGATGTGGTGAAGCAGTATGTGGGAGCATTTGTCAATCAAATCGACTCCTACTGAACCCACCTATACCACCCACCACCAACACTTGCTTGCGCTTTCTGGACTTGCATGGCGCTGGAACTGTCCTGGAGCTATAAGAGATGTGCAGCAGCACCCTTGTATCCTTGCGGTCCCGACGTTGTCTGACATGGGTTCGACAGAGTACACGATCAATTGCGTGAATGCCTTGTCGATGCATGAGTTGTTTATTCTGGTAGTAAATGGTCGCCTGGGATTGGTATGCTGTTGGGAGACCGGACGGACGGACGACCGAGAATCGAATCCTGAGAAGAAGAACAATCTAGTGGACTCCAGGACTGTTGCTCTTGCTCTTCTTCTTGTTCTCCTCTTCCTTCAACTTCTGTTCCCTCTGCAATTGAGCGTGGTCGACCTTGCCCTCTGCCAAATCGTTCAAGTACTGGATCTTCAGCTTGTCCATATCTGCTTGTGTCGTCCTGTATTACCGAACGAATTCCCGAGGTTCCCAATAGCAGTTGATTGTTTTGTGTAAGAGGAATAAAATACGACGGTTAATTTCAATTCTGAAGACGGTACAATAATTGCGAAGCAAGAGGTCAAGAGGAACTGAACGAACGAAAAAGGGCGAAGAGGCCTTACAATGCCATCAGACACTTGTTCATAGCCTTATGTTGTGCCCTGCAGCCCCAGAGAACTGTGACCAGCTTTCCGTGTGTGCATTCAACGAATTCTAGCAAAAAGGGCGAACTCAACGGTTAATGAATTGCAAAGTCGATCCAAGCTTTTGGTTGACCATTCCATGGGTGGGTCATTCCATGCTGTTAACGGGTTGCTTTTTGTTGGTACCTTTGACGATTGGGTCGCATTCCTTGAGGGCGTTAGCCTTGAGGGTCTTGAAAAGTACTTCTTCTTCTGCTCTTGTAAGAATGTGCATCCTGAATGAATGTGTCTGTGTGAGTTGATTCCTGTGGTGTTGAAGTTAGAAAAAAAAATGGTGTTTGTGGTCCGTCGCCCGGTTTTGTGCGCCCGATTCGATCGGAAGTGGCTTTGCTCTTTCCTTCCCTCAGACGCGTTTCCGTTATTGCCTTTTTCGCCATCGTTTTCGATCAATGAAAGGAGCTAAATTGATAACGCGACAGGTTCGCGTCTTGTTGCTATTCTTCGTACGCGTACGGTTTTTCTTACTGATATATGGGCGCTGCAGCATGAACAACCATCCTCCGAGATCTGCCTTTTGTAGATTCATCAAGTGGCGTCAAATATCGCCATCATCATCTATCTGTATACCCATCACATTCTCCTTCATTGACAATTGAGCCAGTAAAAGTGGCCACGATAGCAACCTTTCTTCCATCCCCAGCAGGTATAAAACTAGCCCAAGTCAACCCTCTTCTTTTATTTCTTTCTCTCTTGTAGCCATAGCATTACACACCAACACACAACCTCAACCCCCACCAACACACAAAAACACACACACACACACATGTCCACCATCCAGTCCGCAATGTCGCACATCCTGCCCTCCTCCCACACCAAGAGGATCGCCATCACCAACGTCGACTCATGGCTCGGCAGCTGCATTGCCGTCCATCTGGCCGAGAAGCTCGAGAAGAAGAGCTCCAAGGTTCAGATCGTCGCCCTGGCCTGCAAGGACAACACCCACGCCGACTTCGACAAGCTTAAGAAGTTCAAGAATGTCCACATCCACAAGGTCGACTACAACGACGAAAAGTCGCTCGAGAAGGCTATCTCCGGTGTCAGCTGCTCCATCCTGATCCCTGAGATGACCGAACACCGTGTCAAGCACGCCAAAAACTTCCTCTCTGCCATGAAGAAGGAGAAGGTCAAGGAATGCTTGCTTCTGTCGGTTGCTGGTGCCGAGAGCAAGGATCACAACCTGAAGGAGATCGTGACCTTCCACGAGATCGAGCAGATGGTCGAGGAGCACTGCTCCTGCTACCTGGTCCTCCGCAAGAGCATCTTCAACCAGTGCTTCTTCCTCTGGAGTCCCACTGTCCAGGAGAAGGGTGAGTTTCCCATGTCCTGTACCGCCGAATGTCAGATGGCGCCTCTCGATGCTTGTGACCTCGTCTGTGCAATCGAGACCCTCGTTATTGAACACTACCACGACCACGACAAGGTTGCTGAGGACGAGGAGTCGACCGACGACGACCACTCCACAAGAACAAGAAGTACACCCTCACCGGCCCCGACAAGATCACCGCCCAGGGTCTCGTCCAAGCCATGAACGAGGAGACTGGCCAGCGTGTCCAGTTCAAGCAGGTCTCTCGCGAGGAACTCAAGAAGTACCTCGAGTCGCTCAAGAAGCGTGAGGACTGGTCTGAGCAGCTCAACGTCGATAGGTGTCACGAGATCGCCTCCCCCGAGTCCTTTGTTGCCGGAGGTGACCACCACCACATGGCCCCCAACGAGTCGATGATCAACCTGTTGTTGGACGAGCTCGAGCTTATCAAGAAAGGCGAGGCCGGCTTTTTCTCAGGCGATCTGGAGAAGATCCTCGGTCACCAGGGTAAGTCTGTTAAGGACTTTTTGCACAAGTACAAGGATGAGTTCCGTCGTCAGCACTAGGATAGTCTATCCACACTCACTTCTTCTTAGCACGAGAACAACAGAGATCTTGCTGCAGTCAGTTGTGTCTCTGTTCGTTTCTTATTTCCGCACCTACAGAGCAATTGTATTCACAATAGCATAGTATTCGCGCCATTAAAAAAGCAAGAATCCCAAAGAATAAACGCAGTTCGATTGATTGCAACCTTTTCTTTTCTTTTGCTTGGACGAATGTCGAAGTGATGCATTATCGGAGAGATCCTGTGCGATGGGTATGAGACGTGTCGAAGCGCACACACTGGTGAAACACGCATATACACGCTCAACCCCGCACAACAACCGACTCCATTTGACACCCAAGGGAATAGCCGAGAACCAGCAATGGGTTTCCGACATGGTGTATGCACACTGCGTTCAAAACGATGTACACCAACATATCCACGTCTCCACCTTTTCACCACTCCAACGTTCATCCCCACTTTTGTGTTTGTTGTTCCCTTACCTGGCCTTCCGACCTTCTAGCCTGCAAAGAATGGATCGCTTCACACTCTCGCCCCCGCACCTCCACCGCCCATCAACTCCACTTTCTTTTTTAATTGTACCTTACATGGTTCTCCGAGCTCTTCTTTCCCCTTGTAACATTTACTTCGCTGCGGTGCAACCATAACTTATTTTTTTGCTGTATTTTTTTTCTCTCACTCTCCAGCTCTACCATCTCTTCTAGGTCCTGATCCCTCTTTCCGCCCTCTAAATAAATGGTGGATACCTCCTCTCCTCAACCCCACATTCCCCTCATCCCCACAACCCACTTTTTTTTCTCTCCGTCTTTGTGTATTGAAGACTATGCGCGCACGAAAAGTGGATCCATCTTCCCCAGGAAATGCACATCATCCTTTCCGGCCTTGTCTGTCCTGGGGAGAGAGAGGGAGGGAGAGAGTGTGTGAGTGTGTGTGTTTGTGTGAAAGTTGTACACCCAATAGGTACCGAGGGATGAAATAGGGTATGCGATTCAGGAACGTTCTTTTATTCTTTTGCTGTTTTGGTATCTCCTCCTGGATGACCTGAAGAGGGTTGTTTGTTAAAAAAATTTAAGTGGGGACGGGGATCTAGCTGACCAAAGATGAAATAAAAAATGGCCCTGAAAGGAATGAACGGATGAACGAACAAAGAGAAGTGAGTGTAGGGTCAAAAGGATCGAAGTTGAGACTGACTCCTCCTTTCCTCACTTACTTTCCTTCCCTCTCAAACCTTCCCTCATATCTGGCAGGCATCGCTCATGAACGTTTTTTTATTGTCGTCAAATTGGCCACTCGTACTAGATCAATGGCGAAAATCACTCCCCCGCCGAATGAGCTTCTACGTCTTCTCCCGACTAATACACCATCATCCATCCTGCCTCTTCATCACTTTCTCCTCCTATAAAAAAAGAAATGAGCACCTCTAGTCTGTTTGCTCTATATGTATGAAGGAGTTCAGAGAGAAGGCATCGACAAAGCGGCAGTTTCACGACAACCTTTTTCCCCACAAATCAAAAGACGAAATAGGAAAAAAAAATGCGGGGAACGATTCTGTGTTGTTGTTATTGTTTTCCCTTTGTTGTCGTTGCACGATATCGCTGAACCCAAACAAATGGACGAGGTACTGGATTTTTTTTGGTTCTCAGCACAGGCGAAATTGTGCTTCCTTTCTTATTTGCTTACTTCTCTCTTTCGCTCTTGTCAATTGCGATCCAATAGGATGCTAAGGTTGGACAACAAGACACTACAACACAGACTTGGTTTTGTAGTCGCTTCGGACATGAGGCAGATGGTGGGTTTGCTTGAATACAACAACAACAACAACAACAACAACAACAACAACAACAACACAACAAATCAGCAACGTAGAGGACAACGGCTCTCAAACAAACTGACCGACCAACATGCAAACCGATAAAGGCATTTCACACAATCATTTTTTAGGCATACAAAAGAGTCATGCGGCAAGAAAAAAATATCAAAAGAGACCCACAACCGATCGCCTTTGACCATTTCGTTCACAAACGCAAGCGACGTAAAAACAATATTACCCATGTACCCCGCACTCGAATTTCTGTTATGGTTGTTGATTGTGTCCTGTATTCTTCCACGCTCACCAGTCATGGGTGATTTGACTTCTTTTCCACTCATCAACTTCATCCCACACTTTTTTCTCCACTGTTCTCCCTTTGCTCGACCCCAGTTGTTGCCATAATTGTTCATGCCCTTTTTCATTGTTCGTTTGTTGTCAAGCAATCGAGGGACTGAGCATCTTCAATGATTTCGGCCGACCGAACACGGAAGTACCGATGTCGACAAAATAAAATCTCACCTCCACCATTCAGCCCGTCATGCAGCATGTCCGTTTGTTTATTTGCAATGGTCCTGACCTTGTCTTTCTCTCAATTGACAAAACAAGTAACCCCAGCCATTCAGCGTAGTTCCACACCAAAATGTCCAGGTCACCAATGAGCTCCCACAGGCTCCATTTTTAGCTACCCTTCAGTAGCAGCTCTTCTTTCTCCAATACCCCGCATTTTTCTTATTTTTCAAGCATGATCACGAAACCTTTTGTGTGTGCTTGTTTTGTTCCCTTTTTTGGGTCCGCATGTGTTATCACTCGCCCCTCCACCCTCGTCGAACTTGCACGCACAGGACCTAAAACAACTTCTCCTTTTTGTTTGTTTTTGTATGCGACTGAGTACTGATGTTATCTTCACACAAAACAGAACCCCGTGTGCTCTCTTTTTTTTTGTTCTCTCTTTTGTTCTCTATCTCTCTGTGTTGGTTTCTCTCCCCCTCAATCGCATCATCCTCCATCGTGAATTCGTTATCCAGTTACACCCCTATCCAAGTTTCTCGCTCTTTGCTCACGCCCATATTCATATTCATATGCAATGCAAGTGTCAGATACATTTGCCCGACCTTCAATCACATTCATTTTGTTACATTGTTACATGTTTGTGTCTGTTTGAAAAGAGCTGTCATTATTATTACTGGAATATTGTTTTGGGTTACTATACAAGAGGGGGTAAGGGTGTTCGTTTGTTGTGGCAGTATTGTAGCAAGCGAAAGCAAAAAAAAAAAAAAAGAGAATTAAAAGTACAAGAGGGTAAAGAGGTGGAGCGAGAAGGAGTGGACTATATCACAGGCATATGAGTTGTTGAAAAAAGAAGGTTGGGGAGAGGTGAAAAGAGAACAAGGGTGGGAAATTTCTTCCTTCAGATGAACAATGTGCTCATGATGGCCGAGATAGGAGGCAGGGTCACGCCCTGGGAAGGACGGAAGGGCGCCAAGACGGGAGGAGGCAACATGGTGGTCGCAGTCGAGGCAGGGGATGCCTTGGGGCTGGGGGGGAGTGAGAAAAAGTTGCTGCTGGTCGTGTTCTGGAACTGGAACTGCATTGGGGGCTGCTGGTTGTTGTACTGCTGTTGAGGGTAGTGTCCATGGTAGACGTGGTGGTGGGGCACGGGCGACGACTCAGGCGTGAAGAGAGGCGAAGAGGAGGCGTCGGATTCCGAGTCGGACATGGTCTGAGATGCTGGAGAGGCCGAGCCGTTGGTGAGCGGGGGTGAGGGCGCCATCATCATGGGGGGAGAGTACTCCTTGTGGGCGTGTGCCATCGATGGGTAAGGCGATGGGCGGTTGTTGAGGTGGTGTTGACGCTGCTGAGATGATGACGACTTGATAGGCGAAGGCGAACGAGAAGGTGTAGAGGTAGAAGACGACGAGGTTTTGTCAAAGGCGACCATGACGACCTTCATGAAGGGCTTGATCGAAATGTGGCAGGGGGGTGCGGTCGAACGCTCCTTCTTGGCTTTGGTGGTCGAGTGGATGCGCATGTGGCGAGTCAATTCGTCCGAGCGCGAGAAGCGCTTCTGGCAGGTGGAGAAGGAGCACTGATGGGGGCGCTCTCCGGTGTGGGTCCTGATGTGACGGGTCTGGTGCTCGAGACGGTGGAACGACTTTGGGCAGATGTGGCATTTATATGGGCGAGGCGCATCCTGGCCACTCCTGGGGACCGCAGCCGAGGCGGTCTTTTGTTGCTTGGGTGCTGGGGCCATGGTCATGATGGTCATGTTCATTTCGTTGCTGTTGTTGACAATATCGGCGGTGTTGGCGAGAGACAAGAGAGAGTTGGCAGCTGAGTGAAGTGCAGACATGTGGTTGTTGATGGTTGTTGATAGTTGTTGATAGTTGTTGATAGTTGTTGGTATATGATGTACACGGGATAATACAGGGATGAATAAAGAGAGTCTTGATGGAAGGGAAGTGAAAAGTGGAAGTAGTAAAAAGAAGAAAAAGGAAAGAAAAAAAAACTGGAAAGAAGGGGGGAAATGGGGTCCGTTTATATACGGGTGAAGAAGGGACTGGAGAGGGAGAGGGATAGAGCGGAGAGTGAGAAAGGGCGGAAGAGAGGGGGAAAAAGTGGAGACAAAGAAGGTTGCCGCATTTTTTGATGTTCTCTCTTATCTGTTGTCTCACACATATAACAAGATCACTTACTATTAAATCAGATAGTATTCTATCCGCACTTGCTCATTTTAAAGCACAGTGTTCAATTCAATCCACACATTACTATCCCACAGACATCGAAAACTGTATCCTCTCTTGCTCATATTCATACAAATATAGTCAATTGCACTGGCACAACAGCACAACAGCGCGGGGAGGAGAACTACAAACATTATCAATGTGGGGATAGAAGGGCAACTTTCCTTTTCCGCACTCGTGCCCTTCTTGTTTATTGTCGTTTACCTTCTCATCTTCAACATCCCAAACTCATATGCTTCCTCCACCCTTCACCTCCACCCCTCATTGCCCTTTCTTTTTTTCTCTCGCTCCATTCTTCCCAGATAGGTAGGCAGAGTAGGCCACTATCGCCTCTTCTAGCACATAGGCATTGCATACTATCAGTCAAGAAAAAAAACGACTAAAGGAACAATTAGGATCGCCTCTCCTCCTTAATCTTTCTTGAACCAACCTTCATCACGCTGCTGAAAGCCACTCTCAGCCTCATCCTCCTACTCGTTCCACATCTTTCCGTATCCACACTTGGCCCGAACTCTTCCTCGAGTTTTCCATGCGTTCATTGGTCTTATCGACCCTTGGTTGTATCGACCGACAAACATCCACGTTTCCCTTTCTTCACTTCTGCTCAACCACTTGTATGATTTGTTCCCTCGCACAACCAACCTAACCTGCCCCATACCTTCCCCTCATCTCCTCTCCCAGGTACAACGAATGAGAGCCATTCTGGGCCGGGTTCAACTTTCAGGGACTGGGGCTGGTTACCCCTGAGTTCATAAAGGTTCTTTCATGCTTCTATATATTACTTGAGGAACGCGTATACCATGTAGCTCCACATCACCCATCCTCATTTACTAGGAATGGTTGACGCAGTTCTGCCCCTACCCGTAAATACCCCGATTTTTTTTTCTACTCAAAGACTCATTCCATCTCATCCGTTACAATTGAGGGAGTGAACACCCAAGCACTCACAGAAAGACGAGAGCTGTCTATTCTTGAATCAGATCGAACGGGAAAAAAAACAAGGAATCATCAAAACAAATCGTGCTTTTGAGCGATAGCATACTGCTGTAGCAAGCTGTCATAAGTCATAGTTTCCTGCTTCCATATCTTCTCCTTCTTCCTCTCCTCCTCCTTTTCTTATCCCTTACCTCCCCGAGGATGCCCATGAAAGGATCGGATTTGTTTACTCTTTTCCTCTGATTATGCAGTGCCAAAGCAATACCTTGATTCAAGTGTTACAGACAGATAAAAACAAATGGCTCCAAAAATGACAACAATAGCGCAATGCGGACATGTGCAAGAAAAATCAATAGCAAAATGGCAATTTTGCTGGTGCGTTGAGAGAGGGGAAGGGAGGCACAGAAGGAGAAATCGCCCGTGCTTTTTGCAAACCCAAACAACCACCTCTATTTTTCGTATGCTCTCTTCCTAAATTCTCCTTGGCCTTGCTTTTGGACTCTCTCTCAGAGAGAGAGAGTGTATGTGTGCTCATTGCTGGACCACTTGCACCTCATGTAAGGGAGTTATCGGCCATTGAAGGGAAGCGTTGAGGCATATGGAAGAGACGTCTGGACATGTCCCACTTACCCATCCTGGATATTTTCGTATCAAGATATTTCAGGTACAGGGCAGAAGCGGATACCAGGTTAGGGACTACGTTTCCTGGATTACCGTGAGACCTCTCCTGCGACTTTTTTGGTTGATCGATCAGGGTCCTAGATCCCCATTAACCGTTCCAAGCGATCAAAAGTCGTCAAAAACGACGCTGCCCTTCTTTCTCCTGCTCCTTTGTTGTTCCAACTCACATTTCTCAGTTGTACATCCTAACATGAACCATGCTAGGTCCTACGTAGCAAGAAAAAGGTTTGTTTTGCTGTCAAGGTGCGCTTTGCAATCGACATGTATTGCTCTGTTGCGCGTTGCTATTGTTTGGGGACGAGATAAGTAAGAGATCATATGTATTTTTCTTTTCTCGCTTCTTGTGCACACATTTTTTTATTTGCCTCATAGGCCCTGCCAGCCTTTGGCCAACATTCAAAAACAAATATGAAAAGGGAACCGAGCGCCATTGTTGTTGTATGTTGATTGTTTCCTATTGCTTCTCAACAATCAACAACAACAAAGGACAACATAATCAGGAGGAGGAGGAGAGCACAGCTACTTGCTCTACGATAAGCACTTATCGTAGACCAGCTCCTCTTCAAAGTCCCCATCTCCTGGCTCCACCTTCCTTCCTCTGAATCCTGGATCATACCCCCGCTTTTTTTTGGTGGCCACCACCATTTTGTGTCATGTTTTCCCCCGATCATAACGCGAGAAGGAGAAGCCCTTTTTTTCTTCCTCTGTTTTTAGACCCCATTTGAAAACTTGGTACTCCTCCCCTTCCTGATATACACCCTCCGTCATGAGACCCTTCCTCTCAACTCTTGACCTCTCTCCTGCATGCCCCATTCTCCCGTTTAGCCATAATCGTGGCATAAGACTCCGCAGATTGCGGTCGCTCAGTAGGTTGGGTTTGGTCGGCCGCCCATTAATGGGGTGTGTAAGCGACGATCCAAAGAGCCGGCCTGCATATTGCGAGCGACTTGCGAGAAAAATAAATGGAACTCAAGGATACTGTCTATGCTGAGTTTCATAATCGCCACGTAATTTTCATCATCCATGCCGCTTTCTTCTTCTCTCCTCCTTATCTCTATACAAATACAGAGAACAACAACTCCACCCTTCATAAAGCCCCGCGCAACGGCCTAGTCGCTCTTTCTTTTCTCCTCCCTTCCCTTGTTCAATTGTTATAATATCGTCGTTGTTTAGAAAAATAATATTTCCCCATCTTTGTACTCCTTTTTTCCGCGTGTTGGTTCTGCTGAGATCAAACTGTCTTGGATGGCTGGCCAGTCAGGAGCGCAGGAGAGCCAGATTTGTATGGCCGCGAAACCATTTTTCGACCTCCTCTGGCGAATAGGAGTTGGATCGGCTTCCGATCCTCTCCAGTTTCTTCCGATATGGAGTTCTTATGAGGAGGTTGGAAGGAGGGATAGGGACAGGGGTTGTGGGCAGGGAAAGAGTGGGACAGGGGGAGGAGGGGAATAGGGAACCAGGAAGGGAAAGAGGAGAAATGAGGGGTAAGAGAGGATACACTTTCTGGGACTTTTGAGTTGAAGTTTTTTTTTTTTTTTTTTTTTTTTTTGTTTGCCTGGTTCATAACACTTCTGTGTTAGCAAGAAACCCTTCTCCTTCCCCTCCTTCCTCCTTTTCCTATGTCTCCCTCTTTGAGCGACGTACAGCCAACCCTTTCTCCCCCGCATTTTTCTTCTTTGTGAGAATATTGTTAGGGTTTGGATCAAGAAATATGAGTTGATTGCCTTTTCTTTGGCCGTCTTGATTTCATTTTGTTTACGCTTGTAATTTGGTTATTTCTCGTTGCTTCTTAGTTGAACTCAACGGATCAAAGCGGCCACAGGGCTAAATTAGATATCTGTCGCATACTCCAGGTGACCTTGGTACGCCGGGGAGCAGTACAAAAGGGATTTTCACCCATGTATTTTGAGATACCATCCGTCCTCCCCTCTTTTACTTCCTTATCCCACTCTCTTTTTTTTCGTAGAAAGCAATAGTACTGTACCGTCATCATTTCTTTCTTCTTTTCTTGGTCAGCCTTGTTGTGGGACAGTACAATACAGACCGTACGATACATGCCCATTTTTTTTTCTTCCTGAGATTTCATTTCTACTCCGCGAATTGGCCATCTTGGCTACAAGATGGTGCAATTACTTTTTTTTTTTTCTTCCTTCCTTCCTTAGTTCACAAAAAAATAAAATGACCCGAGAAGGATGTATCTTCCTCAAGTGCCTTTTTTCAATAACCGTTTAGCCCTTCTCCTTATCACTTACCCACTTACTACCCATTCCCCAGGTTTGGTTTCCATCACTGGAGCTGAAGCTGGAACTGGAGCTGGAGTCGTATAGTCTACTTTTGTTATGAGAATAAAAAGAGCGATGGTGGAGTGGAGATTTGAAAACGAGGGGAAGCAAGTTTACCCCTCATCAAAAAGAGCTTGACCATGCTTTTTGAACCTGGGGTAATAGATATGTGTCTTTAGGAAAGTGGGGATATTCTTGTTGTTAAGAATAGAAAACCAGAGGTGGAGAAATAGGTGGATATGGCTACGATGGTGGAGTGAGCAGTGAGGAACGACATGTTCGTGCACCAATCATAATATCATTTCATGGCAGCTTACTTTTTTACTGTACTGAATCCCCGTTACCCAGCAACCATTTGCTAGCTCTTTTCTCTCCTCTACTTGTTAACAGATCGAAAACATAAAAAGAGTTGAGAGACGAATAGGAATGCATTATCGTCCATTAGGGTTGAGTTGCAGGTATATTGGTGCTGTTACGAGGAGGAGGAACAACCGAGAAAAGGTTAGTAGGGAGAAGTAGGGATTGGCCTACTTGCAAGGTGCAGTGTTAAAAAAATTGACCAGATCGAGGAAAAAGCGGGGGGATTAGAGAGGAATGGGCAGTATTTTGATTATCGCACAGCTTTAAAGTACCCACAGACTGAATTGGAGCATGACAACGACAAACCACAACAACAACAATAACAACAAAAGTAACAACATAAAGTTCACCCCTCCTTGACTTCCCCACGTTTTCTCAGCCAAACGATTTGTTTGACTCTTTTGTTTACATTTTCCTTTTCTTCATCACAATCAAGAAACTTGAAAAGGGAGGAACCAAAAATGCGGGGCTGAGTTTGAACGACTCTCAAAAACAATCGTAGATGACCTTCTCGCTTTACTTTCTTGACCTTGCTCCAACCAAACGAAGAGTACAATGGAGGAAGACGGAAACTCTATTTTCCCCATATTTCTCTTTTCACCCTTCCCCTTTCACCTTGACGGTGTATAGTCTTTACATGGCTCCCATATGGCGACATTCATGGATCCAAAGGAAAATAATGGGTTGAAGAAGTGGGATATGGATGTGGATATGGATATGGATATGGGATAGGAGATGGGGCAACGTTTTCCGTCCTCAAGTGAAAAAAATGGGATACGATCGGAAAAGAGAGGGGAACGACCCCACTGAGTCCACTACAAAAAAAATCCATAACGGAAGACGTAGGAAAAAAAAAAACCAACACGGCCTGTTCACCTTACCTTTGGAATGATAGGTCCTGGACCTTTCACTGCTCTTTCCGAAGGGTATTGGCAATTGGTGGCGTGCTTTCTTTTTGTCTTCGTTTTGCTTTTTGCTTCGCACGGTGCTCTCAACGCGTGTTATCTTAATTTCTTCATGCATGGCAGGGTGGTCAGAGTGAAAGGAGAGATAGGCAGTATAGGAAAGGAGGAATGAGGCTCTTTAAAAAAACCACTCCGACAAAGAAGAAAGAAGCATCCCATCCTATTGTTTTTGGTAACAGGGAGCTCTACTGGCAAATCAAAGAACACACGTGTAGAGAGGATGAAATATGCGGATGGGTTCATCCAGAAATGACAGGGCTGAGATGTGGTAATGTGCACCCTCCCCCATCTCTCTGTGGACATACACCACAACACTCTTCCTCTTCCTTCCGTGAGTTGAGTATCCACCTTCGATTGATCCGGAACGAGAGAAACTGCGACGCGTTCAGTACAAACCCATTATCTTCTCATAGTTTACAGGTCAACGTAACAAAAAAACAATTGAGCTTCAGAATGCAGGAAACAGTAAAAGAAAGAAAAGAGAGCTAATCCATAAAGGCACATCGAACACGCGTATACTGTTCATCAAACGCGTTTTTTTTTTATGTTTTGATCTTTTTGTCCCATTTTGTTTCTGAGATGATCAATTATTGCTGCCAAAAATCGTCATCGCGAACTTGACTAAGAAGAACACACTTTTCCCTTTTATTCACTACTCCTTTTTCTTGCGAATGACAAGAAAAAAGGAGGTGAGAGAAACGAACAAAGACAAAAAGGATGATGAGAAAACTCCTAACCCCCTCGAACGTGTCATTCAGCGTTGGTATTTGGCCAGTTTATTGATGACCACAAGAGAAAGACAAAATGAAAAAAGGCAGGGTGAAGAAACAAAGGAGAGAAAGTGATGGGAAACAAACAAAGGATTGGAATGGGTCTAATGAGGATGAAGGGTTACATGTCATCTGTTTTCTTGCCTGACTGAACTTGTCCCCGAGAAGCCTAAGCAGCCTGAGGTTGGGCTTGGGCATCCGCCGCCTGAGGTTGGGCTTGGGCATCCGCCGCCTGAGGTTGGGCTTGGGCATCCGCAGCCTGAGGTTGAGCTTGGGCATCTGCAGCCTGAGGTTGGGCTTTGGTATCTGCAGCCTGAGGTTGGGCTTGGGCATCTGCAGCCTCAGCTTCACCACCCACCTCGTCCTCATCCTCATAGTCCTCATCCATATCATCCTCATCCATATCCTCCTCCTCCTCGTTAGCCTCCTCCACAGCAGCAGCAGGGTCAGCAGCGATCCGCAGACAAGCCTCCAACCCATTCGAGAATGCAACAACAGCTCCCAAATCAGCAACGGCATACATCTTCACAGCATCACTATCACCACTGTTTCGGAGAATCTCCATACGGTACTGGTCCAGAACATCCGCAGAGAAGATGGGCCGAGTCGCCATAAGAGCCTCGTTGGTGGCCGCGACCGAGGTCTTGGAGGCGTTCTCCAGGATCGCCAGGGCGCCTTGGAGGTAGCGGTTGAGGTCCTCGGACACGTCGGTAGGGAGGGCGGCAAAGGCCTTGGTGGCATCGGCGACGGTGCCGCGGTAAATGTCTGCAAGGAGGTAGCACGACTGCTGCTCGAACATCTGTGCTTCCGGCAAGCTGCCAAAGCCAGCCTGGCAGGTGATCAAGGCCCTGACAGCGTTCTTGACCGTCTCAAGGATGTCAATGACAGGCGTAAGAATGACGCTCAGAGGGCCAAAGCTGAGAGCCCTCACGAAGTTGATCGCAGTGTTGATGGTGGCAGAGATGGTCGCGGCGACCATCGCGGCGACCGCTGCCAAAGGCCCACCACCAGTGATACCGTCGAGGAGGTCTTTAACAAGGTTGAGAATAATGTTCAATTTATCGCCGATTTGAGCGCCAAGACCACTCCCAAGGGAAGCCTTAATCAACTCTAAGGTGTTGTCGATTGCTGTTGAGGCGATGGAAGCTACATTATCGCAAACGGGCCCTTGGACACTGAACTGGTCGCCGACCACAGATTTAGGTGCGGCCACGTCGGGACCACTCAGGAACTGGATGCGGAGGGCCTGCTCAGACACCTGGTACGAAAGTTCCTCGAGTTGGGCTACCAACTCGTTCTGGTCTCCGGACGATGCCCATTCATAGGTAGTCTGAGCTCCTGGAGCAGCCATAGGATCGGCTTGTGTGTGTGAGAAAACATTGAGCGAAAAAAGGTAAAGTGCATGTATAGGATTAGTATTGTTGATCGATGTTATGAAAAAAGGGTGCGGTGATGGTTTCTAAAATGGACCATTCGTTTTTATTATTGCTGTTATGCTTACCCTGTTGGGCTGAGGCGAGGGCGATGGCGGCAAGTCCGAGGGAGAGGGAAAGGATTTTCATAATGGAGGAAGGGTATATGTGTTAGTAGAAGTAGGTGCTGGGAGAGAGGGATGAGGAGCAGAATGAAAGAGCAAAGGAGAAAGAGAAAACAAAAAAAAAATGAAAAAAAGGAAAGTGAGAAATAGATAAAAGCATCCCAAGACGATCCCCATTCTTCCTACCATCCTTCACCCCCCAAATGAGCAGATAGGAGTGAGAATGAGAAAAGGCAAAGGAAAGCACAGGGCGGTGGGAAAGGGGGGGACGTGAAGGATGTAAAAGTCTCTAGTAATAGTGCTAAACAAAAAGGAGTCAATGGAACGGGAAGGAGAAGCTATCAGTAATAACATAGACACGAAAAAGAAAAGCAAGCAGCAGCAACAAAATAGGGCGCTAGAGCTGAGTGCAATATTGACTTATGAATGGTATTGTGGCATGCTAAATTATAAAACTAAAACAACTAGTTTAGGCAGCGAGGGTTTCAGTCTGAGGTTCGGCTGCGTCGGCGGCTTCGGGCTCATCATCCTCATCATACTCATCCTCGTCCTCAAGAGCATCCAACTCATCGTTAAGGTCCTCGACGGCAGCAGCAGGGTCAGCAGCAATGCGCAAGCATGCCTCCAAGGCGTTCGAGGAACCGATCACAAAGGAGAGGGAGTTAATGGCGTAGTTCTGGACATCATCTTTGGCACCGGCACGGACTATCTCTACCATGTACACGTCCAAGAGCTCGGCGGCAAAGATGGGACGAGATGCCAGAAGTGCCTCGTTCTTGGCGGCAATGGAGTTCTTGGAGATGATCTGGAGGATGGCCTGAGCGCCGGCAGAGTAGCGCTGAAGGTCCTCCGAGGCGTTGGCAGGGATAACAGGAACGTTGGCCTGGACATCGGCGACGATAGAACGGTAGAGGTCCGCAATCTCGAAGCAAGAAGCCTGCTCGATTGACGCAGGGGCAACAGTTGAACACGTGTGCATACTGGCAAGGCGTTCCTTGATGTTCTTCAGCGCTTGTGGGATGGCTGGGGGAGCAGACCGGGAGTCCGGCCGGCAATGACGTTGAGCATCGAGAGAACGGAGTCAATAACCAGGACTGTACCACCCATGTTCGACGGGCTAACATTCTGGGAAGTGGCAGAGAGTCCAGCGATTTTGTCCATAAATGCGCTGATGGGCATAACACCCGGGATTGAGATCGTTTTGAGCGCCTTGATGACTTCCTGAAGAGCTGCTTGATTTATTTTGAAGCCGGCCGCGCAGGTAAACTTGGCATTGAGCTTTCCTCCGTCGGCGGCCGCGGCGGCCTCGATGTCGACCTTCTGCTCAGGACAAGAAAGGAACAGGGCACGGAACTCGAGCTCGGGTATCTGGCTGTAGGTCTCCTCGAGCTGGTAAACAAGGTCATTGTGTTCTACTTTTTGTTCGGCCCACTGGTACGTGGTTTGGGCACCGTTGGCGGCCATAGGGTCGGTAGCTTTTTGTAATTGTAGAATAAAGTTGGAATGTTAGATCCTTGAAAATCGTAAGGGTAGTGCTGCAGGTGAAGAAATCTAGGTGAAGAAATCTAGGTGACAATGATCGATTGGACTGACGGTGCAAATTGTTCGTGTACCTTGAGCAGCAACGAAGACAATGACGGCGAGTCCAAGAGGAAGGGAGGCTATCTTCATGATGGGTATTGGCGGTATAAGTATATGCGGGGTGAGAGCTGGGAGGAGGAGGAGAGAGGTTGCTGGTGAAGAGGATAAGGAGAGGAAAGGGATAGAATCGTGCAAAAGTGAAATGAAATCTTGAGCGTAAATGAATCGATCCCTTTTTTTGTGCGGTAGAAGAGGGGTGAGAGAGTTGAAAGGAGCGAGAAGAAAAAATATCAAAGCGGGGGACAAAGGGGGAACAAAAAGGATGAGAAAGGACGGAAACGGATGAAAGGGGTGGAAGAAAATGAAATACTGTAAAGAAAACTGGAGAGAGAAGAAAAAACAAGTGGACCCTTTTCACCCCAAAGGGATAAGGGATCAAAGTGAATCCCCTTTTTGATGCTGTTGGTGGAGTTGGTGTTATTGTTGCTTTCCCCTTTTGCAATTGCGTTTGAACGACCATGGCTTTTGTTCTTCGTTGTCCAGTCCTCCTACACTTTTATTATTTCCTTCTTGTGAATCTCATCCAGTCACTCACACTTAAAGAAAGAGAGAGAAAGCACCCTCATAGAGGAACAGCGAAAGAGAGATAACGACGAATGACGAACAACCATACAGTCCAAAAAAAAGATAGTAAGGATGTCCGATACTGAAATGAGAAGGGATGTGAGAAAGGCTAAAAAGAGGGCTTAAAGAGCCCAAATACGCTGTAACGTTGACCTTATTTCTCATCCTCATCTTCACCCTCATCTTCGCCCTCATCCTCGTCGTCATAGAGAGCCTGGACCTCCAACTCCTCATTGAGCTCGTCAATGGCCGCAACGGGGTCAGCAGCGACGCGCAAACATGCCTCCAACGCATTCGAGACGCCAACAACAGTGCCCAGCGATGCAACAGCGTATCCCTTGATCTTGTCGTCCGTCGTGGCACGGATAAGCTCGATGCGGTACTGGTCCAAGATGTCGGCGGCAAAGATGGGGCGAGATGCCAGGAGTGCCTCGTTGGTAGCAGCAATCGAGTTCTTGCCAATTAAGTCGAGGATTGTCAACGAGCCACTGGCTAACCGCCTGAGATCCTCCGATGCATCTGCGGGCAGATTCAGGGCCGGGTTGTCGCCAGCAGCATCCTGGATGACTCCACGGTAAATATCGGCCAGGGCAAAGCACGACGAGGGCTCGATCGCAATCTTACTGCCTCCCGCTCCACACTGGGAAAAGAGGGCAAGACTTCCTTGGAGACTGGTTAGGTCGTCGAGAATGGGCTTTGCAATGAACTGCAGAGGAGCGATAGAGACGACTCCCTTGAGGATCTGAATGAGACTTTCAAAAGCGTAGGTGATGGGGGTAACCGAACCGCCACTGGCAGAGCTCATATCAGTAAGACGACCAATGGTCTTTTGAAGGCGGCCCAAAATCGAGCCTGCGAAAGGCGGAACTTCAACCGTACCCAAGAGTCCGCTGATGGCTGAAAGGGCGGTCTGGATTACAGCCGTCAAACTCTCGCAGTCTCCTTCTGCCTTAAAGTCAGCTGATGGCTCTTGCTCAAGACGCGACAAGATATTGGCACGGAACTCGATCTCCGAGACCAAACTGGAAATATCCTCAACTTCATCAGCAAGATCCTGATCGCTTGCTTCTGGAGCCCACTTATAATTGTTCTGGGCACCGGTCGCGGCCATAGGGTCGGCAGCTGGTTATGCCAGAGGGGATTCAAGAAGCGAATGAGTTTTTATGGAGCGGCACGCGTGAGGAAACATCGTTAATAGCGATACGTTTCCATTGCAAATTGCAGTCCTGATGAGGATTAAGGTACGGAGGGAAAGTATTTGTGTCGGAGGTCGCAGAAACACACAACCTTAGAGAACTATGTTACCTTGAGCTGCGACGAGGGCAATGGCAGCAAGGCCAAGGGAAAGTGACAAGATTCTCATTGTTGGTATGTTTGTGAAGACAAGTATGAGAGTCGAAGGGAGGGGACGAGAGAAGAGAAGGAGGGAGGAGAGGGGAATGAGGGTGTCGAGGAAAGGAGAAGAAAACAGAGGAAAGGAGTCAAAAAATGAGCTATGGACCTTTTTCTATCCAACCAGTCCTAATATGTCCGCATTCACAAGGGGCGAATTAAAAAAAAGGAATTGAAAGAGGAGTTGAAGAAAAGAGGAGAAAAAAGGCGCAGAAAACGACAGCGAGGAGAGCGAAGAGAAAAAACGAGAGGGAAGGATCGATGCAAGTAAAGAGTACGGAGAATCACCTCCTGTCCTCGCTCCTTCAACACTAACATGAACATGAACAAAAGCAAGCAACTGGCCAGACGAAAGTGTCAACCGCATAGAAACGGTGTTTATTATTTTTTCTTGATTCCTATACATACCAATAATCCTCTGTTCACTTGGTCACGACCTTGCCCTCCTTAACAGACTTCTTCAAAGTCAACAAACCGAACCGGCGTGCAAAGAAGAAATCAGTAATGAACCGGGGGAAGTAGCGAAGGACTCGGAAGAGGTTCGACAGCGTTCCGTAGTCGATGTAAGCAGGAGGCGACGACTTGAGACATTTGCCAACAACATATTTCGCGAATTCTGAGGTGGGAGTGCATCCTGGGGCTAAATAAATAAAGAAAAAAAAAGCACAGCGTTGGTGAGAGGAGTGTTCCTTTAGTCGTACAATGGTTAACGACGATGCAATTTTAAATTGAAGCAGAGTATGTCTTTTTTTTTTTTTTACCTTGCGATGCATTCGCGCGCGACATGACATACTTGATCACCGACTGGTAGAATGACTTCTCGGGGAGGTGGAAGGCCTTGAGGTTGTTATCGCCAATGTTGGACTTGATGGCTCCGGGAGAGACGACAGAGACCTTGACACCAAAGGGTGCCAACTCCATGCGCAGCGCGTCAGAGATCGAATGAACGGCAGCCTTGCTGGCAGCGTAGAGACCGCCCCAAGGAGTCGATAGGTATGCAGTGACGGAGCCCACGTTAACAATCAAACCCGATCCCTGGCGGATCATGTAAGGAGCAACCGCCTTGGAGACCAGAATGACTGAGGTGACGTTGGTATCCAGCAGCTTGCGAGTCGTCTCAATCTAAAATTGAACAATAATTAATGTTGGTTAATGGCAAAGTATGAGAGGATGGGTGAGCCCTGGTTCATCCTCTGTTCAAAATCATTCCTGTGCGAAGGTTGACTTACAGACATGTCAATCAAAGGGCAGGCCAGACCCATTCCGGCGTTGTTGAACAAGATGTCTAGTAGTAAGCAAGATATAACAGCCACTGTCAGTAATCATGCGCGATCTGTCTATACTCCATATTTTCGTCGTATGCGTGGTCAACCCTTTCGGAAATCTCATCTTCCTGAGTCCTTACCGATACGACCCTCCTTTGCAATAACGTGCTAAAGAATTAAAAAAACAACAATGGGTGTGCCATGCATTAGCGACTCTACCGACGTTAACTCACATCACTAAAAGTTCGGTTCAGTCGTCGTTCACTAGGCATTTGCATGACAAAGAGATAGCCACAATGGTCTTCAAGAATACGCTCTTCTCTGTACCTCAACAGCCTCCTTGATAGACTTTTCATCCAAAACATCGATGTAGACCTTTTCAATATCAAGACCTAAGCCATTTCATCAGGCCAAAAATAAAATCGAGGGCTATTAGTTAGTCAGTTGTCCTTGTCGCGCGTCCGTGTGTCGGCTCGCGCCACTCGTTTTTATTTTCTCGTAGTTGGTTACCTTCAATGCCAGTGATGGCGTCCAGACGTCTAGCTGCAGCATAGACCCTGCAACCGTTCTAGTGTGACATTCATTCAACGTGTTCAACTTTGTTAGGAACAGGGTACGCGTTACATGCCATGCGGGGGGAGGGGTTTTTTCCTCTGCCGAATGTAATGGGATGTATGGCATGGATAGGTGGGTACCTTCTCGAAGGCCTTTGCGGTCTCGTAACCGATACCTCCAGTGGTGCAACCGGTGACGAGGACGACTTTCTTGTTATGGGTCATTTCGTTCAGTATATGAGTGTGGGTGTGAATGAACGAGGAATTCAGATGTGAAGGGTAAAAGAAAGAGAAGAGTGTGAGAGTTAGAAAGAGACCACTGTCGGGTGCTCAAGTGCCGTCGAGATAAAAAAAAAAGTGTGAACTTTCTTTCCTCCAAGCCAACGGCCTTGAATCGTATTTGACCTTTTCGGCTCGCAATGCGCCCCGCGTGTTAAACTCGATCGGAGTAAATGCGCTCGCGCAAATTGGACGCATGAAGACACAAATGACACACACATACACTCACATACACTTGTGCGAAAGTATAACGTTTATTATTTAGTTTACAAGGTGAACGACAATGGTTGGTGGTATTTACATGACAACGGAGAGTTGGTAGGTCCGCGGTCCCTTCTTCAGCAAAAAGTTTTGGTGGTTCAGCGTATCCAGGAAGGCCATAAAGCCTCCTGTGATCCCTCGCAGTTGCATCCCCTGAAAGGTATTGTACAACTGGTCCTGCGTGAACATGTTGCTCGACTTTTCAAACGCAATTCTCTGCAGCTCCGCGACGTATCTTTGTAAAGCGGAAAAACAAGGCAAGAGGTAGAATGAGTGTCAGGTTAAGACACAAGAGCAAAAAAGGTACAACTCATAGTAGGAATAATATCGATGATGGCAACCATACCTTTTCATGCTGGCGCCTTTGCCTTGGCCGGATTGACTTTGACCTTGACTGCCGAGATGGCCGTCGTTAGGCCCAAAGGCGTCCCTCAAACTGAATGTCCTATTAACCCGAAAAAGTTTTCCATTCAACAGGCTTCTTAGTAACTGTGAGGTCCGCGTATTTTTTTTTTTTGGCAGTTACAGCAACTTTGATAAAATCTTACATGATCTCAATCACATCCATGGCATCCCTTCGTGTGACGACCTCGCGCAGCTCCATGCGGGCTTTGGCCTCGGACATCCTGATCAGAGACTCCAGCTGCCGAGTCGTCACAGGCGTGCCATCAGGCGACCGATGCTTGGCCCGGAGCATTAGGTAGAATTCCTGCAAGACCGCGGCTGCCTCCCGGGAGAGTCGTGGATGCACATACTGTCGTGCGTAAGCAATGTACTTTCGGAGTAGAGGCAGAGGAATGAGCTCCATATTATCTTCGCTCGTCATTCGCAACCGTTCCTCGAGAGGAAGGCTCATATCTGCCTTCACTCCACTTGCCTGAGAGGGATCGATTTCCTGCGACGTATTGCCTCTAAAGGCTGGTGCGGTTGCCGCATTTCCGGAATGAAGCGCCATAACGTGTCTGGAAAGGTACTGGTCCATCTCGCCGTCGGGTTTGTCCATCAGGATAAATATCAGATCGAATCGTGAAAGAAGCGCCGTGTTCATCTTCAGGTTCTCCGCAACCGTCTTGGACATGTTGTAGTGCCCACCGACAGGGTTGGCCGCAGCAATCACACTGGTTCTCGCGGGCAAAGTACAAATAATTCCGGCTTTCGCAATGCTGATTGACTGTTGTTCCATGGCCTCCAGAAGCGCGTTGTGATCTGTTGTCATCTTGTCGAATTCGTCAATACAGCAGCATCCCTGGTCTCCAAGAACAAGCGCGCCTGCCTCCAATGCGAAGTCGGATCCTTTGCCTCGAACAAGGGTTACTGTCAGACCACTTGTCGATATTCCACTGCTTCCACAGACATATACACCTCGAGGTGCGACCTTGACAGCGGCGGAGAGCATCTGCGACTTTCCTAGACCTGGGTCTCCAACAACTAGGATGTGGGGGTCCGAGCGAATGGCGGTTCGATCGACAACAGCAGTGCTTCTCCTTCTCCCCCCAAAGAGTCCAAAGAGAATCCCGGCCTTGACCATCTCGTGTCCGAAAATCGCTGGACTGAACGAATTAACGATCAGCTTGAACAATTGGGGTTCCTTGTGAACGTCCTCAATTGCATAAAGGTCTTTGGTGGTGATTTGGATGCTGTCCTTGCTCTCCTTGGTCCTGTCTTTGGAGTTATCGTCGTTGTACATGTCGTCATCATCCTTCGCCGTCATTGTCGCCTTTGTCAAGTAGTTAACGTCGAGGTAGAGTAGATACATGGTGTTACCAGTTTTCTCGCGTGTGTAAGCTATAGCAAAAGAAAGTACAACGAAACAGGTGTTAGCTGGTGAATGGGAGAGATTCTGACCCAGAGATAAAAAAAAAATTGGTGGTGGTAGTTGACTTACATTTCTCAGACTGCGATACTTTGACGATTCCTGTGGCCTCGACCACATCTCCAGGAATGACCTGGTCAACCAAGTCCCTAGTGACCTCACATTCGATCGTTCGCGGCACTCTTCCAGAATCTGTCCTGTCATCCGGCAGCTTCTCTTGCAGTCTGTAAGCGGATAATAACGTCCGGTTAGTGGACCGGCCAGGCAGGTGATGAATTTGATAAAAGACTCAACAAATGGATAAACAGCTTACCGGATGGTTTGCCAGTCGACAGTCTCCGTGTCATAGCCAACGCCGCGTTGTGGGGTGAAATGCCTGCCTCTGCATCCTACTTCTGGGCATTTTGTTGGCTGAATGTACTTCGCATCAGCAAATTCTAGTGTCTGAACTCCCTGACAAGCATTGCAGGTGAATGACATCTTTGTCGCCAGAGGTGTAACTCCTGACGTCCTGACAATTGTTCCCCGAACGCAAATGAATTTTCCTATTTGGCTCACGAAAGAGTGGCGACAAGGTTAATTAGCTGAAAGGGGGCATAATTAGACAATCCACAATTTCTTCCGCAGCCGGTCTGAGGTTCAAACAGTATGCGGGCGTACCTATCAGGTTGGCCTTCATATCCTTTCCATGTGTGATCTTGTCAAGGTTACCAAGCCGCACCGTGATCGTCTTTTGGTGCTTTTCCTTTGCAGCCTTATCCCCATAGAGACCCTAAGGTTGAAAAAAAAACGACTCGGTGATGTTTTAGTCACGATCGCTTATTGTTCATGTTTTTGCCTTTAGCAAACTCCTGCAGCTAACAGTATGTCGAGGTGTATATTACCTGGATAGCTGCAAGGGACATGCAGCCCAAAACCGCAGTAGTTCGATGGACCACAAGATCCATCAACGCTGGGATGCTGCATTCTTGAATAAGAGCCTTCAGATTGACGACAAACACTCGCCGGCGCTCCAACTCTGCTCGTTGTTCCTAAGTTTCAAACGAATAAACGAAAAGGGTGAGTTGAAGTGAACTCGTATTGTAACTTGTGACGAGCTCGATTGATTGGCGCCTTAGTCGTTCTTCTTACCTTTGTGAGTTCGTGAAGGTTACGAAGATGGTATCTTTGCAGGAATTGCCGAAACTCAGCGATCCAATGAATGTACTCGTGTTGCTCGTGGTAGTCTATGAGGAGGTGAGCGGGCGTATAGGTCAGTAAAGAGTCATCCAGCTCGCCTCCCAGAAAAGTGCATACATCTCCGAGACAAGCACAAATGTCCTTAACTTACCATCTTGCGGAAGATAGACATCCCAGTCGATCCATGGACAATTCGTATCCTTCCGTTTAGTCCGTAGTGGCGCTGCCTGTTGAGCCTGTGTAGGGATTTCGTGCGCCTGGACCATGGGCATGTTGACATCATCTTGTTCGAGTTGCTGACCACCAAAGGTGTTATCTTGTGTCGAAGTTCTGGGTCTCTCCCATCGTTTGCCGCTATTATTGCTGTGAGCTTCAGGGTTCTGTGAGCGTCCTGGGTACTGGTTGTTCCTTGCGCCACCAACTTCGAAATCATCGTCTCCATCACTATTGTTGTCATTTTTGCCATGGTTGTTGTGCTTGCCCTTGCCTTTGCCACGCCAGGACCCGCGACCTCCATTTCGGTTGTATCCCCCTCCTCGACGAGCGTATGAGCCACGTGAATTCGACTGTTCAGGTGGCATGGGGCGATTGTTCCATGAGTTCAGGTGAAGGAAGTAAGGCGAGAGAGATGTTCAAGAAAAAAATGTGAAGGGAAGAGAGGAAATTTATTTTTGACCAGTGGCTGTGACATTTTTCTAAAAATCAATGACACTTCTCAGGGCCATGTCTTGCAGGAGCTGAGGCCGCGGCCGAGGGGCTGCATTCGAGGCAAATGTCGAATACTGCTTCCTCTGCTGTGCTAGGTCGGCAGTTCCTGTACTACTTTGTCCAAACAGAGCTGTAATCCTAGGCTGCGAGTTGCTTTCATCATCATCAGGCCTAGTAATCGTGCAATATGTAACATAGTTAGCGACCAATAAGTTCAATACAAAACGAGCTACAATGAAAAAAGGAACAGGTCGAGACTTACCAGCGGACATTCTTGCCAGACTCGTCCAGCGAAGTCTTGCAGGTTGCCCAACTGAAGCGAACGATGTTCGGGTACCCAAAGATGGGGTCCATGTTAGCCTTGAGCCACGATTTCGTCTTGGGATCTAATGTGATAGTTTGGTGGTTGTCAACGTCGTTTTCTTTTGAGTGTCCAGAATGGTCCATATTGAGTCGGAATGCGAGAACATCATTTGCACGTACCACCAGGATATCCAGAACCGAATTCGCGGGAAATGGTGCTCCCAAGCTCCTTCTCTGCAAAGATCCAATGCCTCAACACATCGTCGCGGGTGACCTTGGCGCAAATACTGGCGGCTGAGACGATTGGGTATTTGGAGTCGGCTTTCTTGGCGACGACGATTTTGGTGACGGAGGGGAAGAGACCCTCCAGTTTCTTTTGGTATGTCTCTGGAGGTCCAACTGTATCCACATAGACCTACATTGTTGTCAATGAGAATTGGTACTGTCAGTCCAATTGATACAGTGATAGTCTGGTTGCCAGTCCTGACGGCAAAAGATATACTCCTGGAGCTTGTCTCGTACTTCTTTCAGGTTCACTCCTGAGGCGATGGTTTCCCTGATCAGTTGGATGGTGGTGTCATGAGCAAGGGCGTTCAGATTGTACTTGTCCCTACAGGTTTCATTCAGGGCAGTAAGAGGTAATTATTTATCTGTTAGATAATGCCGTTGTGAGATTCAATCTTGCCTTTGTCTCGGATCAGATGATCGACGCCAACTGATAAGAATCTAAGAGAGAGGGAGAGCTTACTTTCTCAGCATGCTGTTGGAGATGTCCATGGGCGAAAGAACTCTGACGCTCCACCCGATAAGATCTGGCCTCGACATGATCACATTCAACAGGTTGTCTCGCTCGTCCTCCTTCAACGTCTTCGAATCTATCCAACGAATTAATTAATATTGTTACCTCACCGTTCTCTCCCTTTTGAGATCTATCCGATGGCTATGTGTTTAAGATTGTCCAAGTGCGCATTGCACAACAAGATAAACACGCCACTCTCAATTGAAAGAGTGTACATACCGGCAAATCCCAGATCAGCCAACTCGTCCTTTTTGGAAAGGGGGCAGTAGCAGATACCGTAGACCATTGGACCAAGAACAGGTCCTCGTCCAGCCTCGTCGACTCCGAGGATACATTCCTGATCCTTTTCGAGGCCAGTGGGCAATGGAGTAGCGTAGGTGTATGACTTGAGCAACGGGGTGGCTGTCCTTGAGGGTGGTCTGGTTGTTGTCTCTGAGACCGAGTAGTCGGCCTCTTCCATGTCGATTGTCTCGTCTTCCAGGCTCATTCTGCCGTTGGTTGTTTGGTGTGTGATGTGCGTGTTGTTTGTTTGAATCGTTTCTTGAAAGAAAAAATAAAATAAAAAGAAGTCGCGTTGGGTCCTGCCAGGGGCTACGGTTCATTTTTTCCTCTCTTGGAAGGCGCAAGTCACGGGTCTCACCCTTAGCTCTTGAACCACTCTCTCTTGGTCTCTCCTTCCTGTCTCTCTCACTCATTCGCTCTCTCTCTCTCTCTCCCCCTCTCACTCTTTCATTGTTTCCTCCTAGTTGCGATCGCCCTTCCTTTCATTTTTTTGTTCCATTCACCCTCTCCACTCTTTTTCACACCTCCTCTTTGTTCCCTTTTCTTCCCTCGCTCACTCACTCACCTCCAAGTCTCAGCTACTCCGATACCCACTTCCCTCTCTTCTCAGTCAATTCAAGCCATAAACGACAAACCAAACCAAACCACACACAACCTGCACTAAAAGTACAAAGCCCAATGGACACTTCTCGCAACAGCCAGGCCAAACCAACCCTGCTTCCCTCGAACCAAGGATCCGAAGCCCTCCTCGGACCCACAAGACGAGACGCTCGTTCGGTCCTGCATCATCCCTACGAAGCTCTCTCCAAGGCCCATCACCACCAGCACCACAACCACTACCGCCACCACAACCACTACCTACGTCATGAACGTTATCTTCACTCGACAGCTTCAAACTCCTCCGAAGCCTGGACCTTGCCCCCCTCTCCTCATTCGTCCGCATCAACCTCGACCTCTTCCTTGGCAAGGACTGCTGAATGGCTGCGGTGGCTCATTCACTCTGCTGCTGTGAGCTCGCTTGAGTCTGTTCCCAACGATAGTACAAGGCAATTGATGCTACTGGACCTTCCCGTTGACGGCTTTTGTACAGGTAACATACCGACCGACAAATACACACATACTGTTCCCTACGCATACATTTATGAGGCGGACGGATGCATAAGCAGAATACCCAAAAAAGAAGGTTGGGGACTAGGGAGAGAAGGGAGAGAGAGGGAAGGGGACAGCATTTGAGACGGGGAACCCGGTGACCTGGATTAGGGCTGCGTCTCTGAGACCCCCGCAAGGAGAGATAAGTGGTGGAGACACCTCTTTTTTTTTGGAAAAAGGTGACTAACAACCAATTCATGCGCTTTTTATCCCTCCTTCTTCCCGTTCCATTCTCGCTCTAACCGTAAAAAAACCATAGGGTCCCACAGCAGGTCAAACTTCGATAGGATGCCAGGAATCCGATACTACAACCAAGGAACAGAGGAAACAACAGGTCGCCCCATGTCCTCTGCTGCGACGACCCCTCGACCTTCACAGGGCACCGCTGCCAAGAACCACAACAATGCCAACGCCAGCAATAACAACGGCACCAGCAATAGCAACAACAGCTCAAATACAAACAATACCAATACCCGCTCGAGTGCCACTCCAGGCCAGAGAACGACAACGCTTCACCAGCAATCAGGATCGCACCCTTACCCGCTTACCCCTTCGTCCTGGTCATCGCAGCCACCTACACCACCATCTCCTCCCAGTTCCCTCAGTCGATCAACTGTCAACTCTGCAACAATAGCTGCGGCAGCCAGGAGCGCACGGAACCGAGGAGAGAGCGATGACAAGTCTGCCTCCACGTCTTCTCCCTCTTCTGGACGGCGTGGATCTTCTGCCTCCTCTACAGGATCTACCGTGGGAGCAGGAACCCCAACTTCAGCACTGCTCTTTTCAACCAGCCAAGAGTTTCATCAAGTCTGGAGTCAGACAACGGCCTTTTTGCACCGGACATTCTCTCCAACGTATCGTGTCAGCCATCTCTACTGGGACTCGTGGACCAACGGCACTCAGAGGCGAGGACTGGAGAGGTTGAAGACGAGTGTCTTGCGAGGAGACGCTTTTCGCCTGATGCAGAATACAACAGTCCAGCTCCGGAGCCTTTGGAACAGGAGTATTGCCGAGAGTACAGCACGTGCGAGCGAAATTGAGCGGCAGGCAAAGGCAATTGAAGAAAAGACACGACAAATTCAGCGACGCGCCTTTGGAAAATCTTCGCCATCATCACCCTCGTCGTCGTCTGGATCGTCTAACGAAAACAAGAACAGCAACACCAGCAGTAGCGGTGGCAACAAGACTGAAGAAGGCGGTCAGGAAAAACCTCGGAACTAAGAGCTCTTCGGTAGTCGTTGTTTTTCTTCGTGTAAATAAAATGGACATGGCCTTGATTATCAATTGGGGTTCAGCTTTGTAGCGGCAATGGTCTTTTTGTTGTACCAAGGCAAGCAAGGATCGGGTGACTGCTGGATGGTACAACTGCATTGTTTCTTAACAATCACCCATGGTCTTTGAAAATGATTCTCTCTTTTCTTCCTCCGCCTGTTTTGCAACATGTCCACCATTTGGGGGGGGGGGGAGAGGGGGTTCCATTGCCAGGATCCTGCAAAAGGTGAGAAAGTCACTCGTACTTGTAACTCACACACAGCTCACACAAGTGAAGCTACCTCACTCTTGCAACACGTAGCCAGTTTGCCAACCAGTGTACTTGTCCACTGACGCGGGGTTTTTTTTGCCTTTGCAAATATCAAGGAATGTGGCAATTGGGGTGCTTGATGTCAAGTTCTCTGGACGAAACGGTTTTCGTCGATCAGACAGTATGCTGGCAGGGATGGATGGACGTTACTGGCTGATGTAGTATTGACGCTGTTGCTATCTCCAACGACGAGTCTGTTCGGTTGGCGAGGGCGAGCAGAAAGAGGGCGTGATTTTTTTTCAGTAGGTCATAAGGATATCTAAGGACCCATCGATACCTATCACCAACCGTGACCCTCGGACTCACAAAAAAAGAAAAGGAACTATCGCCATCCCCTTCGCATTGGCCAAGGACCAGAATATCTCCACCCCCATCAGGGAAAAGGACGAGTTTATTTTTTGACATATCCTATCAGTGGCGACGAGTTTGACCATGACGCGACAGTATCCTATCGGCTTGTTATCGGAGTTCTTGATGTCGACCCGGAGAGGGCTGTCGGTTCGTTTTCATTTCAGGACGGTATCGACGACCCTGCTACGAGACTGTCATTCGCCCGTACGTGGTTCGTTTCGGATCCGAAAGATGAGGCCGGGTCATGGATCCTCGGACGACCAGGAACAGGACAACAGGAGGTTTCTTTTTTTGCATATCGCCACACACTACTGTCCCCCCAACCAAGGCTTTTTTTTATTTTTATTTTTATTTTTTTTATTTAAGGATCATGATCCGTGTCTCCAGGACCGTATCCGTTCGTTTGCACTCAAATGGTTGCTGCAGGACTTGTGTTGGATTCATCGGACAGACCTCCATTGAAGAACGTCGCTGAAGCGTATCGCCGCACTCCAATAATGGATACATATCGGGAGCGGCTTGACCCCCACAAAAACACGGCTTCGGCGGCTACAAATTCTCAATCATTTATACGCTCACTACCGAAGCGTCCATTGCCTTGAAAATATCAATAAGCAATGAATGTCGACCTTTGGTCTGCACACAGTTTTTCAATCGGGCACGTCATGTCGTCAATGGAACTGGAAATCGAGGAGATATTGTCGCGTCAAACAACAATGTCCTGGAACACGCGATCTCTCAATTATTTTTCTGCAGAAAGAGTCGGCTACGTGAGCTTGTCAAACAAGAATCAACTGTTTTTCTCACATCAATGTATCCAACCTGTCGGGCAGCAGGATCGAACAACGGACAACCATGCCTGCAAACCGTTATCGTCCTCAACAACAACAACAACAACAACAACAACAGCAACAAAAACAAAAACAACTGTGATCATCCCTAGGGGCGACTGGACATGCGGTCAAGCTTCGAAGAAAAACTAACTATCGCAGCACCCCTCGATAATCAGGACGCGATCCCCCAACGCCTTGGTAACCTCGTCAATGGCCTAAATCTTGAATAGCACTCATCGATTAGAGGGTCCACGTCACCCAACGTTCTCGTCATCGTCACCCTCACTACCATGAGCGGCGTGCTCTTTCTGGATTAAGAAAGCAATATCGTCCAAGTGAGCAACAGAAGCCGGAATAGCCAACTGCAACAAGTTTAATTTCAGCTCACCAGACGTATCAGCCATGCAGTCATTTTAACCTCTTCGATTACGACCGCCTTCAAGGTGCATCCATCCTCGCCATCAGAGCTATATTTAACAGATCGGGGGAAAGCTGTAATGGAAGGGCGGTATCGGTGCTGAAGACTCTGTTCGCGGAAAAAAATATCGATATGCGTGAAGACTTGCACGCTCAAGGATCGCCTCCTCGCCCCTTTGTAAGGCAAAGCCTATATCAACGTCTTCGACATCCACCACCTCGACAAAGAGTTGATCGCTATCAACATGTCTCCGAAAATAAGGTCGTCCAGGCCTATGTAAAGGCACGTTTATTCTCTCTATTTTCTTCTAGTTTTTTTCTAGCCTTCTATTCACTTGAAAATGGCTGCTTGTTTGCCTGCTTGTCTATCTCGACGCACAACAAAGAAAAATAATACATGAATGCTGCCTTCTATTTCACAACCATGTAGTACCAGGTTATGGTGTGGTGTTGGTCTCTATCCACTGTCGACTATGTCTTTAGGTGATATTTTTACACGCGTGCTCTTTATGTACCCCACAGATGTCCTAGCGACCAATTGCTTTTGGTGGGGGCGGTGCTGAACACGTGCACGGTGCACAGGGAAGGGGTTGAGTGACAGGTTGGTCGTCTCTCGCCTTGCAAAAAAAAAGTCGGCTCCTTTCTCCTGTAAGTGGGTCGCTTTGGCCCTTGCTGCAGACTGCAGTCGATGCTTCTAATTTTTTTGTTAATGTCGACCGTCCCATCCGTCGACTTTTGACCGCGTGAGATTGAATTGGGTTGACCGAGACCTTTTCACATTTTCGTAGGGTGTGGGTGTGGAAAAAGTGTTTCCCTCTCGCTCTCTTTTGCTTGTTGTTCTTCTTGTCGTTCCTAATTCGTCCCATCCAACCCATCCTTTAATCTCACTCTCTCCGTTCTTCACTCATCCATTCACCCACTACACACACTCACCTTCACGTCCACCACTACTTTCTATCATGGATATCGGCTCACCTTCGCAAGCGTCAAATGCCCCAATTGTCTCCCAGCAACCCCGCGGTCAGCATGGCATGCAGCAGTCTTTCGCCGCAGGTCCGTCTCCCATCCCTTTCTTACCCTCTCTGTCTCTTCCTCTCCCACCTACTTTCTACACCTATTCAGGATACCGGCATGCATACTACAGTTTGATAAAAACAGGACACGGCCTAAACAGCAACGGCGAGCCAATTACACGCCCTTGTTCATATTTCTGCACAACAAGCGAACTGATAGTTGACAATACCCTTTCACCTATCTATCTATAATCATTTTTTCTCTAGAGTTCTCACCTGACGATGAGAACCACGGCATCTACGGCAGCATGATGAACTTTGGCGGTGATGTGTGCGGAACCTTGGGCGCCATCCCCTGCTGTTTTTGCTGCCCAAACCCTTACAAGGTCAGTTGTGCCCTGCCGTGCTTCCTAGTTTTCTGTGTCAAGAAGGAGGAACCTTAAAACGAAAAATATCCAGTCACTCCGACTTGGTCGACTTTGCCCATTCGCACTTGCATATCTATCCTAACCATGAAAAACCTATTTTTTCCCCCTTTCCATGCAGTCGGTCTCGCAAGGATTCGTTGGTCTTATTACGCGCTTTGGCAAGTTTTACAAGATCGTCGGTAAGTATTTGCTTTACCTTTCCGTATCAGACTGCCATACTCCAAAGTGCTAGGTACAGCGGTTGCACATGTATGTGTTGTTACTGTTGTTGATGAATATTTCCTTTTCGCCCCTGTTTTGTCTAGATCCTGGCTTGACAAAGATTAACCCGGTGACAGAGCGACTTATCAAAGTCGACATCAAGATCCAGCTCGCCGACATTCCTCAACAGGTTATTATGAGTACGTCTGACCGCCTTTTTTTATCATCTTGGATTGAATGGCTATTTGGGAGCTGTGAGAGTAAACAAAAAAATACTCAGCTAATTATTGATGTTTAATCGCGACTTTCTCCATTGTGTAGCCAAGGACAATGTCAACGTGCATATTGACTCGGTGCTCTACTGGCACATTATCAACCCCTCGCAGGCCACCTTTGGAGTCAGCGATGTGACTTCCGCCTTGATCGAAAGGTATGCAGCGACATCACAACTGAGCTTGGGTGAAAGATATAACCTCCTTCTTGCTTCTCATGCTAATTGGTCATTTTATTGTATGTTTTCGACAAAATAGAACCCAGACAACGCTTCGTCACATTCTTGGTATGCGTGTTCTCCAAGAGTTGATCGAGAACCGTGAGGCCATTGGTGAAGAGATCCAGGAGGTCATTGACGGACCCGCGCGTCAATGGGGTGTCAAGGTCGAGTCGGTCCTGATCAAAGACATTACCTTTTCCAAGGAGCTTCAGGAGTCTCTTTCCTCGGCTGCTCAGGCCAAGCGTATGGCCGAGTCCAAGGTTATTGGAGCGCAGGCCGAGGTCGACAGTGCCAAGTTGATGAGAGCCGCTGCCGATATCTTGAACACGCCTGCGGCGATGCAGATCCGATACCTGGAGACGATGACTGGTATGGCCAAGGGATCCAACACGCGTGTCATCTTCATGCCTACCCAGCAAAATGGTCAAGACATGACTCCTCTCCAAGCCAACCAGTGGGAGCAGATGGCTAAGCAATAGGTTTATTTTTGCACACGCATTCTTGTAGTCAAAAATAAATGAAATTCTCACGACATTACATGCGCAAAGCCACCCTTGACTTTTTTCGCGCGCTAATTTATCGTGGACGGGTTGGGTTCTCTGAATTTCTTGAACTATAGAAACAGGAGCCGTTACATTACCGAAAGCAAGCAATGGCATCAACAGCAGGAGAAACCCCATCGTCTAACAAGCCCCCAGGCTTCATGTCAGGCTATATGTCTGATCTCTCTCAGTCGCAGGATCTCAATTCCTTCCTGCAAAAGAATCAACCCTCTTACGATCCCAACACCAACAGCACCACCACCGCAACTAGCGCAGCAACGCCACCAGCAGCATCTATTGCCGATACAAAGACCAACGATACCCACACACCCTCACCCTCCTCCTCAACACCCAAATCACCAACGTCACCATCCACAGAACCCTCACCACAACCATCCTCAGAAACAACAGGAGGCCGTAGACCCTATGAGACCAAAACACCCGTCGGATCGCACCCCCTTCCAACTGCCCACTCGGTCTTCCAGAAGAAGGCGATCCATACCGCGGCATTGGACAATTGTGCAGATATTAATATGGAGTTGACAGATTGTTTGATGGGTCGGTCCGGGTCCTGGTGGGACCGCGCCTCGATGTGTATGAAGGCCAAAGAGCAGTTTGCGCTCTGCTGTCGGTTGAATAAGGTAAACCGTGTTTGGGGAGGGTTGTTGTGCATGGGCTGGGAAATAAGTGAACAACGAAGGGCAGTCAGTTCGCGAACAGCGAGTGATATGTATCCCGTTCGGAAAAGATATGATAGGAGGGAGAGAGCAGAAGGATTCACTTCAATTGGAGCGTATATTAACATCGCCCCTTTCTATATTTTTTTTCACTTGTTGTACTTTGTCTCCCATAGGAAGCACTGCAGGAAAAGGGATATGCGAAGGAAGGGAACACGGCCGCACAGGATTTGGCGATTCTCGACTATGCAGATGAGATGACGCAAAAGGCGATGAAGGAAGACACTACTAGTACCCAGGAAAAGAAGTAGCGAGAGGATGACCCAGAGAGGGCTGCAACAAGAATGTTAATAAAAGGGGCAAAGGGAGAGAAGGAGAAGGGAGATGTGGCACAATCCTTCACCCCTCCTCCTCCCTCTTTGCATCATTTTTCGTCCATTTTGTGAACCTCATACGTTTCATTTGCATCTGTGGACAAATAGATTGAAGTCTCCATGCACATGAACGCACGAAGGAAGGAGGAAATGAAGCTCCTTAAATGTGCATTGGTGCAAGTCCTTTGAGTTCCCTGTCTGAATTTGCGGGAGATTCCTCCTCGCACACCATTTTCGATTTCTACATGTAGCACTATCATAGACGAACCTTCAAGTGTTCACAGCAGGAATGGAGGAAGGTGAAGATGGTTCATGGTAGGACAACAGGAAGGACACCAACAACAATGTTCCTTCGTTTGAGGCGGTGCAACTGAGTTATATTTTCCCCCTCCGGCTAAAATGCGCGAAGGAAGCGACAACAAACAATACAAGCCCATATTTTGCAAGAAGGAAAGTTGAGTCCAGATGTTGTCGTTGCTGAGTTGATGGATGACGACCTTCATTTTAAGCGAGTGCTATCATTAGTGCAAAGATGCCCTGGAGAGAGAGCGGGCGAGACATCGTCGCACAGCCCAGACCATTTAAGCGTTCGGACGAGGGAAAAAACCGCATTTGTTACGATATAAAAGTCTTCACGCCCCACCCTTGCTAGACTTCTTCTTTCGCCCTCTTTTCACTTTTCCTTCTTCTTCCTTTCCTCACCTCCTTCTTCTCTCCCTCCTCACCCCCTCCATTTCTGTTCTGATTCACTCGAATCTCCACCCACCCACCTCCTTCTTCCATTCACTCATTCCACTTGCACCTTACTTACCACCTTAAAGCAAAGAAAAAAATCAAACTCGTCCACAGCAAATAGACGCACGGTCAATTGCATTCAATTTTTCCGTTCGCACGCGCATCCCTCTCTCAACAACAACAACGAAAAAGCAGAGCACGCTGCACAACAAACATAAAAGCATGACGATCCTATTTTCGGTCGCGTTGTCGATGTTGGCGGCCTTGGCCTGCGCCCAGCCTCAAAACGTCCCTCCGCGCACAACTCGTGCCATTACACTCATTGGAGAAAACCTCTATCTCTACGGTGGTAAGTGCCTCTTCTTCTTGTTATCGTGTCTTCTGCTGTGCTTGAATAGAGGGGCGGGTTGCCAACTTTTTTTTTCTTTCTCGTTTGGTTTCTTACCCTAACAAAACAATACATCCGAAAAACCCTGTCCGCCCACCCCTTATCGCGATGTAGGTTCGAGCAGTGGAGGCGATTGTTATTCCGACATGTTCAGCCTGAACCTGAACCCTGCAGAAGGCTTTGTCGCGCCCGAAGCAAAATGGAATAGTATAACCACCTCAGGAGATACTCCTGTCCTCGGCGCTGATTCATGGGCTGTTGGTGCGGCGGACGGAGCAGGCTTGCTGGTCTATGGGCAAAGCCTTTGTCCTCAAAACCTCGACAAATCCGCTAACCCGCCACACACATATACTAGCTCCTCCGGATCTGCCCTTTTCCAGAATACGGATGGGAATTGGGGTCTGGTCCGTACGGGGTCTAATATCTTTGGTAATCGGTCCGTTGTGAATGATCAGCCTGTTCCCGTCCAGGTCGTCGATACCCAGGGCCAAGTCGTATACACGTTCGAGTATGACTTTTTTAACCCACAGCTTGGGATGCAACTGTGGAGTTTCCCGACGAGTAACCTTGTGACTAACATCGCAGAGTTTGCCAAGAACACGACGATGCTCACATCCTTGCCCCCAACTCCGGTCCCACTGCCTCCAACAAACGGGACCAATACCACTGTACCCGCCCCTCCAGCGCCTGTCAAGGCGACTCTTGCACCATGGATCGATGTGGGATCCGCAGTCTTTGTCAGCGGCACAATTGTGGTGGTTGGTGGTGGAAAGGATGCTGGCGAGCGTTTGAAGGGCGACAATTATGATGCTGCTTCTGGATACCTCAAGATGGACCGGTGCTGGGTGTACACCATTGCCACAAATGAGTGGGCCATCCGTAACTTGGTAAGGGATTGGTTTTTATTTTCGTTTTATAATGTTTCGAGCGGGGACGAAAAAATATGTGAATTGAAGTGTCTAGACTTGTGTCGAAGAGTACATGAACATACAACTAATGGATCTTCGTTTATGTATGTATTCATGATGACGATGATGATACATAGACAGGAGATGGAGGATCCTTCCCACTCCCCCGGAGATTGCACGCTCTGGCTGTTGGTAAGTAATCAATTTGTTCCCACACCCTACCCCACCCCTTCCGGGTCTCAAACAGAAGAGTATCAGCACTCTTCTACTGCTCGCTACGCAATGCTGATATTGTATTTCTTTTTCACCATTTTCTATCTGGGGAATCATAGTTGGATCCAAGATTTACATGCATGGAGGCAACACCACCCAAACAATCCCAACAGACGCGTACGCAAGCGACATGTGGATCCTCGATACCCAAGCCTGGACCTGGACCATGGCGCCCAGTTCTTCCCAAGGACGTGCCCAACACACGCTTGTCTTCACCAACAACAACCTGCTCGCCGTCTCTGGATTCCAGTTCTTGACATCCCCTACCAAGGGTGCCCAGAATTCGTTCCTCGGTATCTATGATCTCGCCACATCGACCTGGGGTTTTCAATTTGGAACTGTTCACGAGACCTACTTCCAGAAGCATGGTGCTGCGATCATTGGTGGGTCGATCGCTGGGTTCTTGGTTTTGGTGGTTATTGCTGCAGTTACAAAGCGTCTATTGGGCAGGCGGAGGGTGCCTCGTAAATCTGCGGGGACTATGATTGGTGGCGCTGCCGGTGGACCTGGGCGGAGTCGGTCCTTCAAGCCTTTCCTCGCTTCTTCCTTTAAAAACAATGATGCCACGGCAGGAGGAGCAGCCTCGCAGCTGTCTGGCATTACATTGAACAACAACAGTCATCAGTACCAACAACAACAGCAGAAACACCAGCGTCCTTACGAGACCGAGATTGATCTGTCGAGCATGCCTCGCGCCAGTGAATCGACTGTCTACCCGACCTACAACCCATACGACTCCACTAAGCAGCAGCAACAGGTCCCCCTGATGAGCGCCAATGCCCTGGAGCAACAATGTCATATCATGGACCCCTATTCCGATGAGGATGTCGAAGAAAAGGACGCGCCGACCAATCTCCAGATGCCTGCACATGAACAGGTCGGATCCCCTGTGCCCGACCAAGTTTACCAAGGTCAAACGGCGGCTATTCCGGGGCAGACTGTTGATGTATCGGGCGCACATGTGCGGTCTGAGCGGGCTATCCATGAGGATTCCGCAGGTTATCTCTAAAACTACCATAGTATTTCTTCATATCTCTTTTTTTTTCTTCATATCCATCCAATGTACTTCTTTTTTCATTTCTATTTTTCCCGTCATTCGCATGCTCTCTATTGTTTTAGTTTGGGTTGTTGATATACGGTGTTGTTTAATGAATAAATGCGCGCATTGATTTGTGGCGTTTCCAGCGCCATCTGTCAACATTGCCCACTCAGTAGTGTTCAAAACTATATTGCAAAAGCTGGCTGCGTCCTGTTTGTTGTCTACTTGTCCTCGATCTGAGGGTGTCCTGCAAACTTGTTGTACTCAACAAAGATACGCTCTGCTGGGCGGAAGCCACCTGCAAGTTTCAAGAAAGAAAGAAAGAAATGAAGAGATAATATATGATCAGCAAAGGGTTGAAAGAGTACAACAGAAAATCAGGGAGATGATGTACAGCAAAGCGGAGATGACAGCTTTTTGTAAACATCTAGAGGGGGATGCAAACATAAGAAAAGGAGGGGCTTTGAGGCATTTTTTTGTTTTCTTGTTTACCTGGAATATCGACAAAAAGGTACTTGTACTCCCACTTGTTGCGCTGGTCCTTGACCATCTCCAGATGAGCTATTCCCTCGTTATCGGGACCCTCGACATAGAAGCGCATCAACAGATGTTCTTTGCCCTCAGCATCCAGAACCACCTGCGAACTATTTTTGTTACATGGTCATTGAGAACAACATTCATGGGTGTCAGTAAACAAAGACTTTAAAAAAACCTTGGCGCCCAAAGAGTTGGTAATCCTATAAATCGAGAGACAATAGCAAAAAAAAAAAGGCGAGGAAGGGTTGGGGGGGGGGGGGGAACGTACTGGATGCGACGATTCCTGCGGCGTTTAGAGTTGGAGGGTTCACCGTGACCCATCATGGGGGATCCAATGATATCCTTGAGCTTTTCGTTGTTGCGGACTCTTTCCAATGCGTCGCCAAAGACGTGGGTGTCGCTGTTGGATCCGAAGAGTTCAGAAACGATCGCGTATCCAATGATGCCTATTCAATTGGAAAGATGATTGAAGTGAGTGGAAAAATGAGGTGGATAAATAATTAATTGGAGAGGCATCGCAGTTGGGTTCGTTTTGAGCGCGATTGTGGCGTTGATGGGGTTGTTGATGCTGTTGTTCGTTCGTTCGTTCGTTCGTTCGTTCGTTCGTTCGTTCGATCTAGACGAGAAAAAAAACGACAGAGAAAAAGGAGATGGAAGATGAAACGTACTGACGAGCACGACTCCTGCGCCGATGACTGTGTAGTTGGTTGTAGTCTTTGTCGCCGTCGCAACTATTATTTAACAAACAATAAAAATAAGTTAATTATCTCTCCTCTCTACCTTCCTCTTCCTGTGGTTCAATGGGGACTCCTATAACCAGCACACACGATACACGCGACAACTATTGTCCGAGCATATTATTCTTTGTTTTGCTATGTATAGTTACCCTTCTCGGAGGTAGAAAGATCCTTCCATTGCTTCTTTTCGGTATGCTGGGCAAGTGCACCGCCAGAGGCAAAGGGTTTCTTGGAGTGGTCTGTTGCCAACCCACGACGGGCTGACAGTGACGAAGGCTTAGTATGCTGTTGTGTCCTGAGAGCGTTGGCGATCCTTGACTGCGGGAGCGAGCATTTAGAGGATGAGGTCAGGCATGCGCGTGTGGTGGCGTTCCATGAGGATCGAAGGCCGGTTTGGAGGAGCGTCGTCATTGTTGATTCCTGTGGTGAATTAAAGGAAGGAAAAGAGGGGTGGGATGGCGAATGTTGAAATCCTCTTCCGAGAAACACGCTCAACCAGGAACAACTCTGCCGTGTGAGAAACCAAATACTACGTCACAAAATAGCAGTACCAACGAGCATACAACATCATCCTAGGACGACAAGCGACCCCTAGGAGAATGACATACCTAGCCAAAAAGCAAAATAGCACAAAGTGGTGTTTTTCCCTTTCACCGATGACAATTATCAGCCAAATGACAAGCAAATGATGCTAATAATGATATTGACAAAACGGCCGAGAAAAACTTGTATCGCAGAAAAAATGACACATGCATACCAAACTTGCCAGGAAAGCTGAATACGATGGAAACTGGAAAGAGCGGCGGAGATCTTTCTTTCCAAAGAAAAGTTTGAACCTCCTACACATTCATCTCTTCGGCGTGTCAAGTGCATCGATGAGGGGTTAAGGGAGTGTATGAGAGGAGGTGCAACAGTGAGGGACGGAGATGCGTGATGGCGCCAATTGTTCATCGATCTGTTGTTTGAAGGTTTTTGACGGCTGGTCAACGGTTCGTCGCTTCTCTTCCCCGCCATTTTTTTTGTGCTTGGTTTTTGCTCTCGTGCATCATCTTGGCCATGGTTAATAACATTCGGCCATGCCGATTGGCAATAGCCAAATAGCAATAGCTAATGGTAATAACAATAGTTAAAGCGATAGCAGTACGATACGCAATGATACCTGTTTTTCAATTTGCAATGGTGGTAGCAATAACAACGGTGATAGCAATACCTATAACAAGGCCATTGAGATGGTGGCCAATGGTTCCAATCAACTTCGGGAAAAAGGGAAAAAGAGACAAATGGAAAACAGCCCAACGGGTTTGACTGAAATAGCGGGATGGGGTTGTCCTCCACCTTCCGGAACAAGTTAATGCAACTAGAACAAGAAAAAGTGTTTCCGTTCAGTCTGCGCCCAAACTGAATAAAAAGGACGGGAAGAAGGGTTCACCCATCTCTTCTTTTTTTCTTTTCTTTCATCTCCATTCCTCACACTCACACTACTCTTTCGCTTCTCATTCCTCGCCCCACTCTCTTCACACATACTCTTCTACTCTCACTCTCCCCACTCTCCCACTCTCTTCACCACTCTCCACTCTTTCTACACCTTTCATAAAACACGTAACAACTACAGAATGAGCTCATCTTTGACAAGCAGTACTTCGGATGCCCCAAAGATACGCCGTGTTGCCCTCATGGGTTCGCGCGCTGTCGGTAAACTTACACCACCCTTGAATCATCATCATATCAATAAAACACCCGCCCATCTTGACAAGAGAGAGGGGGAGGAGGAGAAGAAGAACAACAACGAAAGCGATTCCTCTTTGTTTTTTTGCACGAATAGATTGAGCTATCTTACCATGACCATGATTGAGAGTGCGTCTTTTGCTCCCTTCGGATGGCTCTCCCAAGGCTTATCTCCGTCTCTCTCTTTCCTCCCTCTCTCGCTCACTTTGTACAACTGACATCCATTTGTTTGATCCGCGATCGTAATCGCGAAAAAATGCTGAGCGATTGTTCGCAAGCTGGCCTGTCCATCGGAGCATGGAGAGAAGGAAGACGGGCTGGGTAGTAGGCGACAAGATAACATACGCCCCCACCCGCTTCCTCGGTTCTTCTTTCCTTCACTCGGATGAACTTGAGCTTGCGCGTGCTGTCTTGGAGATACAATCGCCTACTGATCGATGCTCACGAACGCTCGCCCATAAGCTGTTCTTCTGTGGGTTGGGCGACTCCTTGTACTTTCACGTGGACTACTCCTCGACTGAGGAAGGAGACCGATAAACAGCACTGACCACATTCGTCCTACCCAACTTTTTTGTTTGAAACGCTCACTTGTCCTCTCCTCCCTCGCCTCTCTTTCTCTTGTTCTTCTATCACAACAAACAACTCCCATCGCCTACATTGACAAATACCCAACATTGTACTCAATCGACTTGTCTTTCTTTGGTTCTCCTGGCCATATAGGCAAGTCATCAATGGTCGTCCAATACGTTCACAATGTCTTCAATGACTCTTATTTCCCTACCATCGAGGAGACATTCACAAAGCAATTGACTTTCCACGGACAAGTGTATGAGGTCGAAATCATTGACACCGCTGGACAGGTACACGTTTATCTTTAGCCCTTTTTAAAAAAAAAGAACAGTGGGAAAAAGGGAAAAGCCTAGTTCTATTTTCTCCTTCTCTTTCATCTCCTCATATGGTAACGATAACTTCAACTCATTCCTCGCTTTTATTTCCTTATCGCATCATATATTTCTATTCGACAACAACCAATTACAAAAAAATAGGACGAGTTCTCGATATTCAATGGACGACATGCACTGGATGTGCACGGCTACGTACTAGTGTACTCTGTGACGAGCAAGCAGAGCTTCGACATGGTGACCATCATCCGGGACAAGATCCTCAACTTCACAGGAACCGACTGGGCACCCATTGTCCTTGTTGGAAACAAGACCGATCTTCAGGGACAGCGACAGGTCTCAAGGGATGAGGGCGATGAATTAGCTAGCAGGTGGAAGTGTCTCTCTTGCGAGACCTCTGCCAAGACAAATATGAACATCGGTAATATGCCTTCAATGAGGAAAAGGGCGAAAGAGAGGGGATGAACGTCTTGTTTTTTATTTTTACATTTTGTCCGAGCAGACACTAACCCCCACCGTGCGAATATTTCCATTTTTAGGACGGACGTTCGAACTAATGCTGGCCGAGATGGAGAAATCGACGGATTCAGTGCCCGAGGACAAGAAGGGCGAGTGCCTGATCCTCTGAGAACATCGCCTGCATGATTCAGTTCAGGGATAGAACCCTTGCTTGGTTTTCTTTGTTAGATTGGCGCGCTTTGCATACAAACCTCATTAAAGCATGTCACCCTCTTTGTGCCCCTTTCGTGCAGTATCAGTATGCAGTGGATCAGTGAGACGACGCGTTCTGTGTAGACGCGAATTGGTGATGGCCTAGACCGCCAGCACTATAATTTTTTGACCTTTGAGCGTCCCAGACCTAGGACCTAGGGATGTCTTTCTAGTCGCCTTCGCCTTCCCTCGCACACTTGTCCGGCATGTTCGACCAGCATCGCAAGCACAAACATAAGTGCAGAGGCATAGTATACCCTGTTTGTGCAACCACAAGAAGAAATCATGTGGCATGAAAAAGCTCCATGGCCAATGGTGTGGCAAAACAAGATGTCTCTTTGGCTTATACCCCATCTCTTTTTTTCTTTATTCCATCTGTTTGAATCTCATCCCATTCCATCAGCTACTTCCTTCACTCCATCGTCCTGACATCTCACAACCATCTCCTAAACTCTCGTCATCCAGGAATTCATAACTCTTCTTTCTTCACCTCCTTTCTTTGCTTCGTTTCTCTCTCTTTCTCCCTCTCTCCCTTCTATTGGCTTCGGTCACAGCGTGTTGAGTGAAAGCAGCAGTGTCGCCACTCCAGTCAGCCGAGTAAGTGAAAGAATGATAAAGTGAAGGTGTCGAGCGCCGCTAAACTTGTTACCAACGACTAAAGCTAATATTTACTGGATACCTTTTGTCGTAGACGCCTTTTATTCTGTACAGCTCACCAGCGCCCAGCCAACCTTCAGCAAGCTTAAAGGTATGTCTCCCGTTTAGTACGTTTCTACTCTACCAACAAATACTCTGCGAGAGACGAGTTAATGAGTATTCACACTCCCACTATTTCCTCTGTAGAACCTTCAACGCCATGACCAATTCGAGGCAAGAACGACCCCTCAGCAACTCTTCGCCTTCCAGGGCAGAAAAGAGGACGACTAACAATGCACTTTCAGCCACTCAACCAAAACCAGTCCGTATCATATCTCCTCAGGAACTACAGGATGCCATCATGAATGCAATGTCCTCTGCGCCTAAAAGTGGCTCTACGCTGACTATCTCCGCAACAGTTGCGCAACTCTCTGCCGCATTCGTCTCTCTCGAAATTACAAACACACCCTCACCCTCGCCCAATTTCTCGCCTCCAGTTCAACAGTCCCGGAAGCCCATTTTCATTTACAGCATTGCTGCGCCTTCAATTGCAGTCGCACTCCCCCAGTCAGATACCCGTTTCGAGACCACCACCCAGTTGGCCTATGTCAGTAATTTGATCCGCAACTGCTTGTCGACTGCAAGCATCGACGCTCACGGAGGCGTTGGTGCATTCTTGGATCCACCCCAGCAGGCCTTAGTCGACGCAATTCTTCAGGATGAAGACAGACAAGATCGGATACGCTGGTTAACGGCTATGATCGTGGAGGAGTTTTCAGCGAGTAGAAGTTTCAGGACATCGACAATATTATCCGAGGTGATCCTCCTTGGCCCATCCCTCAACCAGGAATATCACCGGAAACTACTCAATATCTTGATCATCGAACTCGATACGACAACATCGCTGGAAGTTGATCTACTTCAAGGCATTTCCCAACTCGTCCAATGCGCCGAACCCGATTACCTCCTCCCCGACGACCTTGACAGTATCTTGGTTCTTCTTTGCAAGCGCCTAACAATCAACCACATCCACCTGTTGTATGCTCCTGGCGCTCTCCCGTGTCCTGGATGCCATGGTTGAGGGCAAGGTCAAGGACCCGAGTCATATTGTAGACCACGAGGCTTTGTTCAGCGTGCTGGACCGATTGACGGGCAACCCTGATCCGTATCTCAAGTACCAGGCAGCCTACGCCCTACAGTGTCTGATGAACATTCCGCACGACGAAACGCACCGGGAGTTTGTGTTGCGACATACTGGAAACATCGCCATGGGTCTCCTTGGGGTTACAAGCGTCTGCAAGCTGGGTTTCAGCGGATTCTCGGATGGGCTCAGAAACGCTACCACGAGTTCCCTCGAGACTGGTTCTCAGGCTGTAGGGGAAGCTCGATCGATGCTGGAGAGCGACGATGAAATACTAGCGATTATCAAGGGAGGCGTCCTCTCAGGTAGAAGGCAATTGTGGTATCCCGCTTTGCGCGAGGCCGAGGAACATGTTCGGAGCGGTCGGCTGGTGGATTTCAATCATCTCGTCTTTGAAGCACCATGCTGTCAGGATGTCGAGTTCCAATGGGGCATTTGCCGGCTCCTTGGCGAGATTGCTGTCGATCCGTTGTGGAATGCTGCTACCCGACAGGATGCTATTGACTTTCTCGTCGAGCTTTACAAGGAACTTACCATTCAGGGCCTAGCCGAGGATGTCAGCAACTGGGTCTTGGATATCCTCCACCAGGTCACTGACTTACCAGACATTACCATCTCGAGCCATGCTGAAACGTTGCTTCAAGGTCTGGAACGCAGGGGTTATGCTGGAGAGAAAACCCTCGACCGCGATGTTCAAGTCGGCCCTTTCAGCTTTTACCCGCTCCTGACCCGGCAAACCGCTCCAACATCCTCACCACTGCTTGCCCAAGTTCGAGACTTTTCCGACATCGACTACGACCTGCACAAGTTACGAGCGCAGCGGCTGGAGAAACGAGATGACATTCTCTACATCCCACCCCAGGGCAAGTTCGCCTTTAACTCTTCCCACAAAGACACATTCCCGCTCATGGAAAAGGCGCTGGAGTTTCTGGCTAGCCGCGCACAGGTCTTGCTGTTGTTGGGAGATTCAGGTGCGGGAAAATCGACTTTCAGCCTGGAGCTGGAGAACAGTCTCTGGAAGGACTACAAGAGAGGCAATCCCATCCCTCTTCACATCAACCTCGCCGCCATCGATAACCCCGCCTTGGATCTCATCGGGAAACAGCTGCGCTACCACAACTTTTCGGAAAGTCAGATTCAGTACCTAAAGCAGCGCCAACAATTCTTACTCATTTGCGATGGTTACGACGAAAGCCGGCTTACGAGAAACTTGCACACGACCAACCACCTCAACAAGCCAGGACAATGGAACGCCAAAGTCGTGATCAGCTGTCGCAGTCAGTACCTGGGACCAGAGTATCGCGCTCGATTCGAACCAGCAGGCAATCTATATGGACATAGAGCACCAGCCGATCTCTCCCAGGAGGTCTTCATTGCGTCGTTCTCCATGGCCCAGATAAAGCTTTATGTCAAACGTTTTGTAGGGCGGACGTTGTTGGATTATGTTCCTGTCCCCGGCCGGCCGCCATGGGGAGTCGACGACTACACGAACAAGCTCGATGCGATCCCTAATTTGATCGATCTCGTCTCCAACCCTTTCCTTCTGACGATGGCTTTGCGAGCGCTTCCAACAGTGGTTCAGTCCGAGCAGGCCCTCTCCGATATTCGACTCACTCGCATTGGGCTGTACGACATCTTTACAAAAGATTGGCTGGAAACCAACAGACTACGACTCGAGGACAGCTTCCTTTCGGAAGTGGCGCGGACAACTTTCGACCTCCTATGCGATGCAGGTTTCCATAAAATGGGTATCAAATTTCAAAGGATCTGTCTGCGGCTATCTTTCAGCACCAGAAAGGACATCCAGTGATCGGATACCTTCACCAGCGGGACGCCCAGAGCTGGAAGGCTAGATTCTTTGATCCGGCTAGCCATGAGGCCACCATGCTCCGCGAATCCAGTCCTTTGGCTCGATCCGGCCATCGGTACCGTTTCCTTCACCGCTCGCTCTTGGAGTACCTGTATTCCCGAGTAATATTCGACCTATTTCATCCCGCCAACCAGCCAGGTGAGGACGACCACCCTAACGTGGAAGGTACCAGTGTGCTTCTTGCCGACCATCCATTGAACCAGAGGAGCATTGTTGATGAGCCATCGACTTTGCAGTTCCTGGCCGAGCGCGTTGAGTCGAACGATTTGTTCAAGACATGGCTACATGATGTTATTGGGGAGTCCAAAAAGGATGGAGGGATCGAACAAGCAGCAGCTAACGCGATCACGATTTTGGTCAGGGCAGGAACGCAATTCAATGGCGAGGATCTACAGGGCATCAGGATTCCAGGAGCGGATCTGCGTGGTGGAGAGTTTGATTCTGCGAACCTTGAAGGGGCGGATCTGAGTAATGTCAATCTGGGCAAGGCGTGGCTGCGGCGGGCGAACCTCACCAATGCGCAAATGTGCGGGACTAGGTTTGGCGAGTTTCCTTTTCTTGAGCTGGAAGATGCGGTCTTGCATTGTATCTTCTCAGCCGACGGGGAAACCTTGTCGCGTCGACGAAGAACGACAAGATTCATGTCTACAAAACCGCAAACTGGACTAATATTGCCGAGTATCAGGGTGGAGGAGCCATTGCGATCTCACCAGCTAACGGCGAGCTCGCCAAGAGAGGCGAGAACAATACCGTGGAGTTGGGTAACGTCTTGACAGGCGAAGCACGAATCACCCTGCGCGGACACGACCAAACCATCAGCTGCATCTCTTACTCATCCGACGGAACCTATATCGCCACCGCAAGCGAGGATAACACCGTACGGATTTGGTCGACTCAGTTTGGCGATCCTGTGCATGCCCTGGAAAGCCATACACAACCTGTCCGTGGAGTGACTTTCTTTCCCGACGGCCTTCAACTCGCATCCTGCAGCCAGGACTCCACAGTGCGCACGTGGGACACCAAGACAGGGCAGGAACTCTTGCGGTTCAATTATGATGTTGATATGTTCACCGTGGCTTACTCTCCCAATGGTCTTCAGCTTGCAGCTGGCGGTGCAAGTCCTCGTGTTCCTGTATGGGATGCTCGCACGGGCGACCTTCTTCACGAGTTGACTGGCCATACTGGAGGAATTCTCGGTTTGGAATTCTCCCCAGACGGTCTTCATATTGCCTCCTGTGGTCAAGACGGGACCATTCGCCTGTTCGACGCCCTCAAGGGAACGCCCCTCAACACCTTTTCCGGTCATCTCTTCGAGGTCACTTGTGCCGCATACTCGCCAACCAAAGATTACATGGCTTCGGGATCGAGGGACAAGACGGTGCGCATATGGAAAACTGGAGAGCCTTGGTCGGATGCATTTTCACACAGGCAGGTTGAAGGTATTGAGTGTCTGGACATTTCACAAAACGGCAAACTGATCGCGATTGGCAAGGCAGATGGGTCGATTCACTTTTGGGAGATATGGGCCGGCAAACCGAGGATCATCTCTACGGGCCATACGTCCCAAGTCCTGAAGGTGGAATTCTCACCAAACGGCGAACAAGTTGTTTCAGCGAGCATGGACGGGACCGCGAGGTTATGGTGTGCAGAAACAGGAAAGCTGCTACGAGTTTTCGGGGTCCATCAAAGGGCTGTTAACGACGTTTCCTTCTCGCCCTGCGGCAAACGGATCGTCTCGGCGAGCGACGACAGGTTGGTGTTGGTCTGGGACGTTGATAAGGCCGACGAACCTGAGTCCTACTTGATTGGCCACGAGAGCAAGGTCCTGGGGGCCACTTTTTCGCCGGACGGGGAACAGGTTGTGTCCTGCAGCAAGGACGGAACTGTGCGGGTTTGGGACATTTCTTCACGAAAACTCTTCGCCCTTGCGTCTTTTGAAGGCGTTGAACAAGTGTTCTATACCCCAGAAGGTGGCCAAGAACTCATGTTGGTGTCGATAGCAGCCCACAATCTTTCCCGCTGGAATCCACGATCTAGTCGGAATTTTGATGGACAGCACGAGTTGATCGATCTGGATGTGGTCTGCTGTTCACTATCACCATGTGGCAAGCTCATGGCAACAGGAGGAGACAGGGGTAGCTTAGAGCTCTGGGATCGGATCTTGGGTACCTTGATCGTCGACTCGATAATTGGGCTCACGTACGCGATCGGGTGGAGGCAAGGGTCCGAGTGCTTGTACCTGTCGACGGTGGGACTGGATACGCTGAAAGTTTGGAAGCTGGAGCAGAAGAAGGATGGGTATCATTTGCAGCTGCTTTGGAGGATCGGGCTGAGGGAGCTTTCTTTGGTGGGTGCGAATTTGGAGGGGGTTGTGGGATTGGATCCGTTTGACCTCAAGTTGATGAAGCAGCATGGCGTTAAAGGTACTCCTCACGAATAAAACCGTCTTCGCCCTTTTTACTTTACACTAATGACCGTTGATATAATTTCTGATCTACTCAACGACGACACTAAACCTTCACCTTTACGAGGACGGATGATAGACAACACATTGGGTATGATTATGATTTATTAATGGTATGAAATATGCTAAGAAAAAGTAGATGCAGATTAGATATGAGCATAGACAACCAACAATACCGATGGTATTGTTGCATTGTCCAAACGTGTCTACAAAAAAAAAAGACCGCTTTTGCTTGTTCCTTGTTCCCTTCCTTCCTTTTTAGAGGTTGGCAAGGACAGCGAGCTTGATATCCGCAAGGATACCCGCCTTGGAATCCTCACAATCACCTACAACACCTCCCAAAATTGCGCCCAAGTTCAATCCCAAGGCCAAATCCACATCCGCCTTGACCTTCAACCCCAGAGCATCCAGACGGACCTTGAGATCGACCAGGATATCGGCGTCAATGCCGGCGAGGAGGTTTCCGAGATCGACCTTGACTGCCGCGGTGATATCGGCCAGGATTCCGGCGTCGACGTTGACGCCGCAGGTGGACTTGCATTTGGAGTGGACGAGGGCGTTGACTTTTGCGCGGATGTCGACGGAGAGGTTTGTGGAGATAAGGGCGTCGATCTTTGCGTCCACGATGGCTATTTTTTTTATTTTATTTTTTTGGTGTTTGTGAAGAACAATGGAGGATGGGTTATTGCGCCTTGCAACCAAAATAATTAATTCGGACAACTAAACCCTGATTAAGTTGCTGTTCACAACTAAAATTTTGCTCCACGCCTGTGTACACTCCGCTCTCCACTGAACTTTGTTGGATTAGTTTTAATTTTTTTGCCTCATTTTGTTAGAAAGGCACAATAGTTGAAATTAAAAAGGAAGTTTTGGTATTGCATATGCGGGGTTGTGATAGCGAAAAGTAAGGAAGAAAACGTACCCTTGAGCTCCACGGAAAGATCGAGATCGACCTTCAAGTCAACCGCCAACTTGAGCGCAACCTTGGCAAGGATATCGGCCTTAATACCAACAGTGGCGTCCAGGACAATACCCAAGTAGGCCTTAAGGATAACATCGATTTTGGCGTCAATAATAGTATCCAATCCGATATGGATATCCAAATCGCTACCGCTGCCTCCGTTGCTGCCGTGGTGGTCATCTCCGCACGCGCAGGGAGAGTCGTTTTTGTGACCGTTGTTGCCGTTGGTGGGGGGTTTGGGGTGTCCGTTGTTTCCGTTGCTGGGGTGCTTGGGGTGTCCGTTGTTGCCATTTGATGGAGGCTTGGGATGTCCGTTGTTTCCGTTGGATGGAGGCTGGGGGTGTCCGTTGGATGGAGGCTTATGGTGTCCGTTGGATGGAGGCCTGGGGTGCCCGCCGCCGTTGTGACCATCATCACCCTCGTCTTCGCACTCCAAGTCATCGTCAGAGCGCTTGAGCAACTCGTCGGTAACGGACTCGACAGACTCGGGCTGGGGGTTATTGGCGGAGGACAAATCGGCGGCTTGTTGGGCAATGGGGAGAGCACCTGTGAGACCGTCCAAGACACCACGACGTTGGACGAAGCGGTTACGGGCGTAGAGCTTACGACCAGGTTGAGCCTGGGCCTGGGACTTGGAGGTGTTGTGAGAGGCGCATGCAATGGCGGCGATGGCTGAGAGGACGATGACTGAGGTGATCTTCATGTTTGGTATGAAAGAATGATAGGGTGAAGGGGTGGGGGGTGTGCGGATAAGTATGAAAACGAGGGAGGAGGGAGAAATGCAAGTGGGCGGGAAGGCGAGGAGTGGTTGCGGTGAGGGAGGAGGAGAATGCTTTATGAGAGTGGATCTGAGATACCAAAAAAAAACAGGCGCCATGGTTCCCTTTTTATACTTGGTTCAAAAACGTAAGGGAAGGGATGGCTACCTTTGGTTACATTGTGTTCTTTTCTATTTGCCTCCTTCGGTTTCATTTCCGCGCGTCCCTTACCCTTTGGCTTTTGCCCATAAAACGTGAAGGGCTACCATTTCCTGAGAATAATGAGAGTATGGCAAAAGGGGAAGACAAAATAGACGCGTGCAGCATGCCATGCAGCATGCAACGAGGGAAAATCAATGTGTGCCTGTACAGTACGTCTTTGCACCATTCAACATTTTGGGCTTTGATCTAGGCTCAGTGAGTGGTGTACATTCAGGAGATGTAGAGCATGGCATGCAAGGGACAAAATAAAAAAGAAGAGGGAGACCCTCGATGACAATACGTCCTGTCTTGTTCGGCGAACCTTTGGTAGGAGGCCTAATCCCTTAATTTTTTCTTTACAAGACTGACTTTGTTTCCATGCCTACTTTGCCTTGAGTTCATTCCTCAGTGATATTAGCTCTGTTCGCAGACTGTGGACTCTCCGATTATTCTTGTTTATCTCTTTTCATTTCGCGCTTTTATTTTTGTATGTTGGCTTTTATTCTCCTTCGCTACGCCGCTAATTGGTTAGAAGGACCTTTGAAAAGTAAAGGCAAAGGGGTAACCATGGGAAAGAAAGAAAAAGAGAACGACCCAGGAGGCATCCAGGAGTTGTTCAGGACTTTTCGTGGAGTGAGCAAAAAAAAAAAAAAAAATACACAGGAGAAGGCCAAGACTGTAGTAAGCAAAGTGAAGAGTGCCGATTTCAGACAGAAAGGGACGCGATCTTGTACCTCCTTGAACTATATCAACATTTTCTTCTCTAAATGACCGAAAATCGACAAGCTGCAGCAGCTGGCGCCTTTTCATCTCTATATTCAATGATGTTTATACTTCCTTGAGGAATCCTTTTTTATTCCATTCGTGTTGATTGCTCTTCCCAGGCTAGTCGTTTTTATTTTCTTTCTTCAAGGAACCGTCAACAGCGATACGGTCAGCACCATTTTATCGCTGGTGGGTTTTCTGGTGGAGCTGTTGCTAGTGCCATTTATTTGTTTGGTTCAATAGATATCGGGTTTCGTTGCAACTGCCTTCTGAGCTTTGTAAAGTTCGCTACAATTATGCCAACTCATCCTGCTGCTTCTCATCAGCAGTAGGTACGGCAGATACAGCAACATGTTTCTCCGTCGCCAATAATCCCCACCTAAGTAATTGGCGCTTTTTGTTTTCTTTCAAGGGTAGCCGGGATTATGGAGGCAATCATAGAAGGGGCGGAAATGAAGAGGCGACGGAGGAGAGGGGAGGGAGTACGTGAAAAGAAGAGGACGAGGAGGAAGCGAAAGAAGCGTGGTCCAGGAGTCAATATGTTTGTTTATGTGTAGAGTACAATTGGTTAATTTGGGGGAGGGGAGAGAGGACATGGTGGTGTGCCTCCTATCATTTCTTTCCTGTCTTTCAACCCTTTCTTTTGTCCAACATTCTTCCACATCCTTTTTTTTTTTTTTTTGCTCTTGTCCTTTGTTCGTCTATTATCTTTGTCTCTTTGTCTTGTCGGTGTTGCTAATGACAAACTCGCGAGGCTTTCTTTAAGTGAAGCGGTAGGATAGAGCAGAAAGTCTTCTTCATAACTCTCATTCGGGACGCGTCGCTAAGAACGCAACCCTATATGCTGTATTTTATGTCGCCGACAACGCGTAGTGAATAACATGCAAGGTGCGACCATGTGTCAATTGGACAGAAGAAGAAATGACAGCCCAACGAAACCAGGCGTTTCTGTCTGTTCTTCATTGTGAGCATTTTAATAATGAACGGCAATTAAAAGAAGAGTCGATCCTAAAAGACGACAGCCGAATAGGGCGCGATGAATGAGTGTCGCCCAATAATAGGCTGGATGAGCCAGAATTGAGCCCTGGAATGGCCGATGCTCGATTCGCTCACCAAAGTATTTCCACTCCCTCCTCTCTACTTTTCACCCTCTTCCTCTCCTTTTTTCTTTTTCTCCCTTGCATCATCACTATTTCCCCTCCCTCTCTCTTCTTTCCTTTCCATTCCTCTCCCATCCACATCCTCATTCACCAAAGGCGATTCAGAAGTCTCACAGGAAGAGCTCCGCTAATACAGGACACACGGACGACGCCCATCTTGCTGATTCAAGACTCGTCATCACCCACGACGCCATCTCTTCATCCTCGACAGGAATAACGAAAAGCAACAACAACTACCCCAGAACAACCCACACAAAGATACTATCATGAGGAACGGCCACAGTTCCGCAGTGGATCAGACCGGAGTACCGGTATATAGAGGAACCCAGGCAGCCAGAGGATCAAGCCTTGACGATAACAACAGCACTGCACCTGATGCCTCACGCCAAAGCCTGGACGAGAGCCGCGAACATCACAATCACGGCCACGACAAGGTCGTCTACTCGAACGATAACGAGGACAGCAGTCGGTTCACAAAGTTCAAGAGTCGACGCAGCCTGCCCTGGTACCAGAGTCGCGAACTTCAAATCGTTGGTGCGATCACGCTGCTGTCGTTTATCGTCCGTCTGTGGGCAATTGATTACCCTACCTCGGTTGTGTAAGCTAGTCTGAGCACTGTTTTGTTTGTTTTGTTTGTGTTTTGAAGGGATCGGGTCCCATCAGTCCCTATACAAAGAACAACGCCTCACTGACATCATTTTTTTCTTTTTGCGTGAATGAATAGCTTTGACGAGGTGCACTTTGGAGGGTTCGCGTCCAAGTACATCAAGAGCCAATTCTTCATGGATGTCCACCCTCCGCTGGCAAAGATGTTGATCGCCTTGACTGGCTGGCTGTTTGGCTTAAACCCTTCCTTTGACTTCAAGGAAATTGGATTGTACGTGTAACCTGGACAAGTACCGATTGTTTATCGCGCGTCAAATTGTTGTTCGTTTCATCATTATTATGAATTATTATTGTTTTTTGAAGGGCTCACTCACAGACATTTGTTCGCCTTTTTGTCCCTTTTGTTTTGCATTTTATTTTTGAACCCACGATAGGGATTACATCGAGCCAAAGGTCCCTTATGTTCCCATGCGAATGATGTGTGGAATCATGGGCGTCGCCGTCGTCCCAATGGCATTCTACACCGTCAGGAACTCTGGACACTCCATCCATGCCGCGACCCTTGCCGCTCTGCTTGTTCTTTTCGGTGAGTCGATATAAAATGAATCACGAAAACACCATGCATGCAGATTTCCAATTGGTTTAGCCGAAAACCACGAGCTAGCCGCTAATTAGATGTATCTCTCTCTTCGAATTCAATTCCGGTCTGCCAGAGAACAGTCTAGTTACTCAGAGTCGTCTCATCCTGCTGGACTCGCCCTTGATCCTGTTCACCGCATTCACGGTCCTTGCCTGGGTCAACTTCCATAACCAACGCAACAACGCTTTCTCGGATGACTGGTTCATCTGGCTGTTCCTGACCGGCGTGGGACTTGGACTCTCCGGAAGTGTCAAATGGGTTGGACTCTTCATCATTGCGACCATTGGAACTTCGACCATTAACCAGCTCTGGAATCTTTGGGGCGATCTCAAAGTGTCGCCTCGCGCCTGGTTGAAACACTTTATCGCACGCGCAGTCTGTTTGATTGTTGTCCCTGTTGCTGTGTATATGTTGATGTTTGAGATCCACTTCTTGATCCTCCACAACGGTGGCGAAGGAGATGGCTTTATGAGCGCTCCCTTCCAGATGACTCTTGGTCACTCACTTCAGGACTCTCCTCTCTGTAAGTTTCACCAATCAGTGGAGTAAGAAGTTGACTGTGCCAATTTTGGAGACACTAACATATCGTTTGATTTTTCATGACACAATCCATAAGCCGTGGCATTCGGAGCAAGTGTGTCGATCCGTCATCAGGGCACTAAAGGCGGTTACTTGCACTCCCATGCATCTGTCTATGAAACTGGAAGCAGACGTAAGACTTGATCGCGGATTGAAGCATCGCATCCATCTTCTCAACAATCGCGAGCGTTTGAGGCTAACACGACATGACAATAATTGGCATTTTTCATATTAGAGCAACAGATCACTCTTTACCCCCACAAGGACACCAACAACGAATGGATTATCCAAAAGGGAGATGGCACAGTCCCCGAGAACCTCGAGTACATCCAGCACGGCGACACTATCCGACTCATGCATACCTCAACCAACAAGCGCCTTCACTCGCACGACCACAAGCCGCCAATGACCGAGGACGAGAACCATTTCGAGGTCAGTGGATATGGCTATGCGGGATTCGCAGGCGATGCCAACGACGAGTGGCGCGTCGAGATTGTAGAAGGCAAGGATGATGAGTCAGGCTCGTACTTGCATACTCTCAACACCCAATTCAAGCTGGTCCACATCAACATGAACTGTGATCTGTTCTCGCACAAGGTCAAGTTGCCCAAGTGGGCCTTTGAGCAGCAGGAGGTTACCTGCATGCGCAGCGCTGTTCTTGCCAAGACTACCTGGGTCATTGAATCCAATAGTCATGCCAACTGTAAGTCTTTCTTTGCCAGTTCTTCGTCTTTGGCATACCTTCTTGGTTTTGTTTTCTAACATGCCTAACCATTCGTTGACACTTTTCGATGGTGCTCTGTGTTTTTACTAAATAGACCCAAAGGATGCACGCATGGTCAATTACAAGAAGCCAGGATTCTTTGGGAAGTTTTTGGAGCTGAACAAGGTCATGTGGGATACCAACGCCGGTCTGTTGGACTCCCACCCTTACGACTCTCGCCCCTCTTCTTGGCCTTTGCTCAAGCGCGGAATCAGCTTCTGGGGCAAGGAACAGAAGCACATCTATCTGGTCGGTAACCCTGTCACCTGGTTCATGTCGACGGCTGCGATTGTCGTTTATGTCGCGATTAGAGGACTTTTGTTCCTCCGTGATAAGCGTGGATACAACGATGACTTTAATGGTAAGTATGCAAGGGAGGGAAAACAAAAGTTGTCCCGGATCGACATTGTTAAAGTGTAATATGGAAATAGAACGGCAAAACTTATTTTTCGTTAGTGAATTAATTATAACCATTGTCATTTTTTTAGGTCTTCGCGAATACTATGAGCTCTCGGGAGGATTTTTCTTCATGGCATGGGTCTACCACTACTTCCCCTTCTTCCTTATGGACCGCCAACTGTTCCTGCACCATTACCTCCCAGCACTTTACTTTGCAATCCTCCTTCTCAGTGTCACCTTTGACCTCGCCTGCAGATTCATCCCTAACCGCGCCCGCCTGGTGGCTCTTATCTTGATCGCCTCAATTGCTATTTACTCCTTCCGTCTCCGCGCGCCTTTGACTTATGGATCTGAATGGACCCGGTCCGAGTGTGAGGCGTCCAAGGTTTTGACGACCTGGGATTATGATTGTAACCAGTACCCGGATAACTATGCCCAATACGCCGCCAACGCTGCTGCCAAAGTTATCCCCGTCGAGAGCACTACTAGCAGCGAGGAGGTGGCTAATGTCGACTCGTTTGAACGCGATAATGACCCTCAGGAGCAGCGGGCTGTCTCTGAGGGAGGGGGTGTTGTTGATGCTGCTACTGCTGTTGTCGACGCCGCCGCCGCCGCTGTTGCAGAAGAGGCGGACTCTGTCCCAGAAGCCGAGGATGCGCAGATCACTGACCCTGCAGAATCCACAATGGCCCATGGTGGGGAGATCGAGCCCACCTTTGACTTTGAAGTCCCCGTAGAGGACAACGACGACGGGAAGGATAAGGTATAAATGGACAAAATACATCGATGAAAAATAAAACACTGTTCGTTACAACTTTTTCTGTTCTTCATTTTCAGTTTTTTTTATTTTACATGATCGGCGTAAGGCATACAAAAGAGAGGAGGGAGAAACATACACACAAATAAATGCTGACAAAAGTAAACAACTTTTTTGTTTTTCCACGATTGGTGGTGGTCCTGATGAAGAGAAAAGGAGGAAAGGAGGAAAGGGCGGAAAAGAGGAGGATGTAAACCGGAGCGGGTTTTAGTTCTGGGACCAGAACTGCTGCTGCTGGTTGCGTCCAGATCCCTGGTGCTGGCTGGGGTGGTAACCCTGGTGGTGGCTAGGGTACTGGTAGTTGGAGAACATCTGCTGCTGGTAGTAACCCTGCTGACCGCCCTGGTGCATGTTGTTGCTGTTGCCGTTGTTACCGCTGGGCTGTTGCTGTCCCTGAAGCGACGAGGCTCCCGATCCAGAGTTGCTGGACGACTGCGATCCAGCAGTGGCGTTCTTGTCCGCTCCAGAGTAGTTGTTGTTGTTGGCACCGGAGTTACCCTTAGCGTTGTTGGTGGCGCTCGAGGTAGGTGTGGCAGGCTGCTGCTGGCTGCCCAAGAAGTTCTGCATACCGGGATTGTACTTGGCGTAAGGGTCGTTGTTCAAACCACCCATACCATGGATGCCAGCGGCAGACATTTCCTCGTATCCGCCCTGAGAGTACTGGTTCGAGCTGTAGTTGCCGTAGGGCGAGCTGCTGGCAGCGGCACCGGGCTTGCTGGAGCCGTGCTGGGGCTGCTGCTGCTGTTGTTGCTGGTGCTGATACATGGGGTACATGTTCTTGTTGACAAAGGGCTGGCCGTATCCCGACTGCTGGTAGGCGTTAGGGAACTGGTTGGGCATGTAGTAGTAAGGGTAATAAGGCATGCCGGCCATGTTGGGGTAGGCCTGCTGCTGCTGTTGCTGCTGCTGGAGAGTCTGCTGAGCCTGAGTAGTGGCGGTGGTCGCGGCGCCCGTAGTGCTGACAGCGGGAGATGCATCCTGGTTGTACTTTCCATCGCGGGTCTGGTAGTTGTTGGCGCCGGTGACAGGGATCTGACCATATGTGGCAGGGTCGTAGTACATGGCTCTCTGGAGATCGTTTCCGTAAACAGCAGCGTAATCGTTGGGAAGCGAAGCCATGGGGCCCATGCCGAAAGAGCCCAACTGGTTAACGCCAGGAATGTACGAGCCATAGGGAGATCCCATGGCGTCGTGTCCCATGCCGGGGTGGTGGTGATGCTGGCCGAGGTAGTTGGCAGCGGGATCCTGCTTCACGTACGAGGCGTTGGTAGCAGCAGGGGAGAGACCGCTGGCAGCAGTGGCAGGGGAAGCAGCAGCAGCCTGGTATCCAGAGGCTCCTGAAGGAACGCTGGGCTGACGGCCATAGGCAGGCTGCTGCTGCTGGGCCTGGGGCTGAGCAGGGGCGGCATTCTGAGCGGGGACAGCAACGGGCTCGGGCTGAGCGGCTTGAACAGGCTGAGCGGGCTCAACAGGGGCAGCCTCAGGCTCAATAGAATCGGATTCGTCGTTCAATGAGAAGCTGCCAAACTTCACAGCAACGCTCTGCAATGCCGAAGATCCGCTGGGCATGACAACGGGGGCATCCTGGTTCAAACGGCGGGGTTGGGGAGCGGCCTTGGCCTTCAATCCGGGGGGTCCGACAGGGGCAGCAGCCTTGGGCGAGGCAGGGGCAGCCTGAACGGGCTCAGGGGCGGCAACGACCTCAGGCTCGGGGGTAGCGGCGACAACCTCCTCGACCTTCTCCTCGACCTTCTTCTCCTCAATAACGGGCACGACAACCTCGGGCTCGGGAGTAGCAGGCTCGGGAGCCTTCTCTTCCTCAACAACAGCAGCGGCGACTTCAGGAACTTCCTCGACAACGGGCTCCTCAACCTTGGGAGCAACGACTTCGGGAGTGGGTATAGGGGTAGCAACAGGTGCGGGAGCGGGTGTAGGTGCGGGTGCAGCGACAGGTGCAGGTGCGGGTGCGGGTGCAGGTGTGGGTGCAGGGTTAGGCCTAGAGGTGCGATAAGACAAACAAAATAGCGTGTTAATATCTGTCCGAACTTACAATCCTGGGGGTTTTTTGACTTCTGACCTCCAAGACCACATTTGCGATTAATATGCTTACTTGACAATCTTTGCCCATGACATCTTGCTTCCGGCAGGAATGGTGGCAGTGTTCACTTTGCGAGGAGCGGGGGTAGCAGAAACAGCAGCCGCAACAATAGGGGATGCACCCCATGAGTCATCAGCTGCGGTTGTGGTGGATGTGGCGACGGCGGCGGTGGCAGGTGTATCTTTCGATCCGTTGGAGGCGAGAGTAGTATCATTAGTTGTTGCAGGCGTAGTATCCGTTGTTGGCGTAGCATTCCAAGAGTCGGCTGCGGCTGCGGCGGTTGCGTCAGTCTGGTCATTTTTCTCTGCTTCGACATTGTCGGTGTTCCAGGATGACTCTGAAGTGGTGGTAGTGTTGTTGACATCAGACTCTGTCTTGGCAGGGCGTCCGTTCCTATCGCCACCGTTCAATGCGCGAGGCGCGCCTCTTGTTGCGCCACCACGTCCGCCACGGAGTGAATCTACGCGTGTGTCAACAATTGGCTTCCTTGATTAGAACCGTGTTGCAAAATAACGAATGTCGCCCCTTGTTTGAATCTACAACAGTCAATGAGTGGCCTTACCACCACGGCCGCGTCCTGCGAATCCACCGCGCTGGTTGTTGGAGGAACGGAAGTCTTGCTTCTCAGAGGTAGTCTTTGGCTTGGGGGTTTTCTTCTTTCCCTTCACCTCGCCCCACTGAGTGGCATGTCCTATAAGATTGGAATAAAAACGTAACAATAGGTCAGTACACTGTCGAGTTTGAGCAATATACATTTTTAATGTAATCTGAACGTTATTTCTGTTACAGAATAGGGACATGATCCGTCCAAAGATCAACAATTGTGGTTGAAACGAGGCAAGGAGGTGAAAGTTGCATAATACACAGAAGGGAAAGGTATTTGATCATCAAAACAAAAAGAACACAAATAACTCCATCCGTCGTTATCGATCAACTTTCCTGCCTTGTCGCAAAGGGTCCTGAGTTGATGCAAGGGCTGTCTGTCTATCTGTCTACCGCTTCGGTTGCAATAACAAACAGTTGTGATCCTAATCTGTCAATGTCCCGCGGCTGTCAACGTAACAAGTCTGTTGTCCCTTCTTTTGTTTCGTATCTCATCCTGTGTCCGCAATTGTATCCACTTTTCCCACAGAGGGCACGGTCGGTACAACCAGAGCGATCAATGTAGTACACTCCCGTTATTGCCTAGCTCACCAACCACCACCTGACCCTATCAAGCTTTCTCATCTCTTTTTCTTTTGCTCTGTACGTCGTTATTTAACAACGCATACATCCCGGGAACCAGTAGTGACAATGCGAGATGGTGGCGAAGGGGAACCAAGAGGAGGTACGCTGACACGATAAAAGATGAAATAGAAACAAATGCGAAACCCATCCAAACGGATTATCTGGGAAGGAGAAGGGGGCAGGATCAAAACAAAAGGGTTGCCAAATAGACAAGGGGGAACAGTAGGGGCAGAAGAAGAAGGAAGGTCTACCGGAAGGGAAAGGAGCGAGAATGAAAGCAGGAAACAAAAGGCTTTGAGAGGCAAAAACAGCAACTCACCATCACTGATCCTGAGAATGGTAGATTCCAAATCACCGCCGGCATCTTGGATGGCGTACAAAAGGTCTTCCTCTGACCAGTCTGCGAAAAGTTCTTTGAGTGTTGACAGGGAGCCTCCATGTGCTTGACGAAGGTGACGGAGATCCTCTGGTTCATCTTTGCGACGTGTGTTATTGCTGTAAAAAGTGGCCATTATATCTGTTTTCTCGTTTGTTTTGTTCGTCGGCGGCGGTAGCGGTAGTGGTAGAAAGGAAAGTAAGGATAATTGTGTAGTTTATTGAAGAGAAGATAAGAAGACAGTTTCTGTAAGCAAAACTGATCAACTCGATCGATGATGGAACTTGCAAACAAAAAAGGTTGTTCAAACTCGAGCCTCTTTCTTCGTCCAAAAGTAACCTCCTGTCAGCGATGCGCGCGAACAATCGTTGTCGGTATTCTTATTCCTTCGACTGCATTCCCGTCGGTTGTCTACCACGCCCCTCGATCCTCTCCTTGCGATTGAACGTACGGCGGGTTCCATGTGTGTCTGCCGCCAATATGCCTTTTTCGGTGGCGTCCCTGATTCCCTGGATTGTCTTGTGTTATGTCCCGGATCGTTTGCTGCTGCTGTTTTACCTTATTGTATATATGAGGGTGGGTCGAGTTGTGTGTGTATGAGAGTGCGTAGGTATGCGTGGCTGTATTGCTTGTGTGCGAATTGGGTGGTGGTAGTGGTGATGGGTGGAAGGAGGGTAGGGAACGGTTGATGGTGAAAGGTGTGCAATGTGAAAAGAAATGGAAAAGAACAAAAAAGAAGTAACTTTCAACTTTGGCACCTCCAGTCTGTCGAATTTACACGTGATATGAGGTGGCTTGTTCAGAAAGGAGGAGATCTTCGCTCTACGATGGAGACGCGTTTTGCTTTTCAACAAGTCGCGCTTCGATACTCAAAACCCAAAAGATAAGAATGAAGGGTACGAGTTGAGAAGCAACGGCAAACAACGTAGGTTTATTCTTTCGCTTGCTTGGCTAATGATCCAGTCAGCCTGGAGGCACGGAACAAGGACAGCTTCTTGGGTGGCACGTTCCTGTCATCCACAACTTCAGGCTTTACTTCCTCCTCCTCTTCTTCCTCGTCTTCTTCCTCATCCTCGTCGTCTTGATCTTCATCATACACTCCAATGACCTCGGCCTCAGGGATAATCATACCCGGAGGGATCACCACTTGTTTCTCCCATATTTCCTCAATGTCATCGCGTGTAAATGCACCATACTGAGCAATCATTGCCTGTCGGCGCTCCTGATACTCACTCACAACCTACTGGTCGATTGGCCAACAGAAATGGTGAATTAACGTGTCAGCAAAAAGGTCATTTACAGTTGGCGACCTACATCACATTCACTAATAACAACATAACCAGGCAAATCATACCTGACGCATTAGCATATCCTCCTCCAGTTCTTCTTCGTCTACGGGCTCGATCGTATCACGCTCGACAACAGCGCCTTTCAGGAGAGCAGTGTCCTTGAGCTTGGAGCTTTCCACAGCAGGGATCGTGCGCATAGCAGGCTCAGCCTTGGCCTTGGCTTTTGTACTCTTTGCTGATGCCTTGACAACTACTGGAGGTTCCCTCTCAACAACCACGCCGCTCGAGGCGGATCGTGACACCACTGCCGGGGCTGTTGCCCTTGGCCGACTGACGACCTCTTCCTCCTTCGATGGCTCGTCCGATAGAAGAACGTTTCTTCCTGGAACTGCTGGCTCTGGCTCCATACTGGATCTCTGCTGTTGCTGGCGGAACAAAGACGTTTTGCGGCGTCCACCTGATGTTGGCTCGACAGCAGCGCTTGAGGCGACTGGCTTTGTGAACGTGTTCTCGACCATATCCTTGATACCGGTAATTGGCACTGGTGCCGGGGAAGGAGGCACAACGTCCTTGACGACTACGGGTACACTCCTTTCAACCACCTCGAACACCCCTGGGGCTGACTTGAAACTGGGAGTAGGGGCTTTACGCTCAACGACACTGTCTGAAATGCCTCCAACTGCAGGTTTGGCCGGGGTACGCTCCTGAACCGTTCCCGCTGCTGCTCCTCCTCCTCCAGCTGCTGCTGCTGCTGCGCGACTTTGGGCAAACCTGGACATCTTTTTTGGTGCCGGTGCTGGGACTGGCTCTTGCTCGACCTCCATCTCCACGACAGCGGGTGTCTCTGTCTGTGCTCTTGCCTGCTTGAACAATGAAACCTTCTTGGGTGCAGGCTTCAACGCCGATTTGAGTGAGGTTGCCTCAGGTTCCGCTGATGGAGTCTCGAAGACGGGTGCCTTGCCAAGTCCTGAAGATCCTCCCGCTGCTGCCGTCATGTTGGCAAAGGTCGATTCCAGGTTCGCCATGTTAACAATTTGGTCCGATCCTGCTGCCCGGACCGACTGTTGCTTGGCTCTCATCTGGTTGTACAAGTCCGCAGGCGATTTGGGTTTAGGCTTGGCTACTGCTGCTGTAGCTGTAGCTGCTGCTGTTGCCAAAGGAGTAGGGTGTGGTCCTGGAGGTGCGGTGGTTGCTGAGCGGACCTGACTAGGAGCAGACATGGCGTCGAACCTCTTGGTCTTGGACATATGTTCGGCGAAATGCACACCCTTCTTCGTCTTCCGTGCAGCAGCCCCTCCACTTGATCCTTGAACCAGCGCGACCTCCTCTTCTTCTTCATCCTCCTCGTTTCCAGAGTGCTCCCAGACTTCCTCCTCATATTCCTCGTCCGAATCCAGAGCCTTAGGTCTGAATTCATCCTCACTCTCGCCATCATCATCTACATCCTCATACTCGTCTGACTCTGTCTCTTCGTCCGATGTGACGTCCTCGCCAGCCTCACGACGGCGCTCCCTTTCGTCATCTTCGCGCTCCATCTCTTCAATCCGATCCAAAATGGCTCTGTCTCTCGCTTGTTCCTCAGGCGTCTTTTGAGAACCGGGCAAAATCTGAGCATCCTCCGTTTTGGCACCCGTTGCCCCCTCTATTTCGACGTTCGTTGCCGCCTCCTCTGTATTGACATCCGTATCCTTCTTCTCCTCTGTATTGACATTCGTATCCTTCTTCTTCTCCTCCTCCTTTTCATCAGCATCCTTATCTCCTTCACCAGCGTCGCCACGCCGTTCCTGTTCCTCTTCCTCGTCCTGAAGTTCCAGTTCAGCGATACGATCCAGCATAGCCTTGTCCCTTGCCTGCTCCTCGGCTGTCTTTTGAGAACCGCGCTTGCCCTGAGTCTTCTTGGCCTTGGCAGCCTTTTCCTCTTCGTCGTCCGAAAAGTAAGGTTCCGTGATCTCAACAATTGGCAGTCCTTCTTCGTTGTACTATTTACGAACAAGGAAACAATATAATCACACATTAGCCGTCGTGTTATTCGAATGCTCACGAATATATGCGCAGCGGCGCTCATGGTGTAATTTAGCTCTTACCTCCTGTCCTCCAAGGAGTCCTGGAGCCATGCCACTCTTGTTGCGAATCTCATCCTCCTGTGCCTTCAGCTTTTCAATGTTTTCCTGCACCACTATTGAAAAATAAAGAAGACGCGGTACATGATTAGCTTTTACTTTCATAGATTAAACTTTCCCGACTCAAAGTGAGAAAAAAAAGTAGAAAACATAGACTTACACTCCATGCGCCTTTCAACAATTTCCGCTGCTTGGACAGCAGACCGGTCAACAAACCAGTTGTCGCCCAACATCACCAGAACCTCGTTCGTATGGATAATCTTTCCAGGCATGAACGCCAAATTACCGATGGGCACCTATTACAAGTATCAAAAACATCGCACATGAATGTTAGGTCCCAAACTTTTAGGCCAGCTGCGATAGCTATTTTTCTCCTTCGTGAAATATATTGTCTACACGCACCATGACGGGATGGGAGATCTCCTTGGGGAGGTCCAAGAGGGTGGTTTTGAGAGCCTGATAATCAGATTCGTAGTTCTTCCACCTGGCGAGCTCCTCGTCCAGTTGTGTCAGTGCTGCCGAGAACTTTGAAAAGTAGTTGGCGAGCTCTGATGTTTCTGCTGCGCGATCGGGTTCCTGTGAGCGATCCATTGTAAATTGTAGGGAGGGGTGTTTGTGGGAATGAAGAGAAAGAGGAGAAGTGATTCGCAACCGTGTGCCACCTTTTCTACTTTTTTTTTTGTTGCTGACAGAAAAAGCAGTCACCCACCTTTGCGTTCAAAGTTCAAAGCAACTGTCCTCGCGAAATTGTGAAAATGAAATGTGTATTGTTGATGCGTTCGCCCGTCGTTATTGCCTTCGTACTCCATTGTACGGCCGCCGGTCCTATCTAATGCTTCCTATCCAAGGTGCTACTGCAACTATATCTCTCTTAAACTGCAACGAACAGCTTCAAGAGTCCCTGGGCATAGCTGACAATCTCCATGGCGCCCATCTTACTGTCTCCAAAGACACGGTCGACAAACGTGATGGGGACCTCTCCGATGGTATAGTTGAACTGTCTGGCACGGACCATCATCTCCATCTGGAAGACATAGCCCTTGGAGATGCACGAGTTGATCAGTTGGGTCAACACCTCCTTCTTGTACAGGCGGAAACTTCCAGTCAAATCAGACACACCAGGGCGAAGCAACACTGAGGCCAAGAAGTTAGCTCCACGGCTATTTTTCAATAGAAGAGATCGGCAGCACATTTAGTTAGGCGTTGTTGGTGAAGTTACTTCAAGAATATCAAGATCAGAGTCGCTGTCGATATATGTAATTCATCCATGCTTCCTTGCCTGATAATCTTGCGCTTCAGATCCCAGCCATAGACACCGCCGTTACCGGCATAGCGGGTTCCAGTGACAACGTCCAAGTCCTTGGACTGCTGAAGACTAATGAATAGAGAGTATCGAAAAACATGACGCTGTTAGGTGATATTTTCGCGAGACGATGTAACGAAGGCTCGAATGTAGTACGCTCGTCCATTTTTGACTTACCGAATCATCTCGGGGATGAACTTGGGCTGTTGTCATACAGGCAATTGAACATTATAGGAGTATATGTCAGCTTTCATCTTTCGTGAAACAAGCGATCTCATTTCCTCAATGTAACCATATCCTGCAGCCAAGCACAAAACATCCGTCGAACAGTCGTTCCTTACGTGGTGGGACATGTCAGCATCCAGAATAAAGATAAAGTCGCCAGTAGCGTGCTGGATTCCGTGAACGTATGCGGTACCTACGAAAGACCAAACAAAAATGCCATAACTCATTTGTTAACAACCTGGGTCGCTGGGACGTGTCTCATGATATACTCCCTCGCATCTGTCTGAATTAATCGTCTTCGTTCTTACCGAGTCCAAGCTTTCCGGCACGAGGTCTCAACACCTACAGAAAAAGATATTGCCAGAACAAAATGCATGTTAGAAATAAAACTATGGCAAATTCCTCTCCCGCGCCCATAATCACCGCCCTTAGTTACTTACAATCCTGTTCTCGCCATAGATCTTTTGAAGCTCCTGAGCAACCTCCAAGGTCTTGTCAGGACTGCCGTCGTCAATGATGATAATCTCATAGTCAATGTTGCTACAAAATACGTATAAAACCAAGCAGATCGCGAAAAAGACGTTAGACTCTCGTTCTTCTTCCTTTCATCTTCCAAGTCTCGCATGCCGTTCTTGTGAGACATCAGGTCCATTCAACACAAAGAATCAGCCTTCACAAAAAAGGACGCGAAGGCACGTAAAAAATAAGAGAGAGGGAGAGAGAGATGAAAACGTACTTCTCGTGGAAAGTCTTGGTGAGAAGCCAAATAATGATGGGCAGGTTCTCCCTCTCGTTGTAGGTGGGGAGGAGGACAGAGTACTTGTGTTGGCCGCTCATGGTTGAATTGTGAGAAAGATGATGATGGTGTTGCTGATGGAGGTTAATGTATGGTGATTGGAGGAGGGGAGTTGTTGCAGTGGTGTGGTCGTCGAGGATGTTGATGCTGACAGAGTCGTTGCTGTGTTCTCGCTGATGAGGGTTGGTAAAAGGAGCAGAAGAAGTCGCGAGTGGGAGGGACATCAATGGAAAATATGACGAGGAAGAGAATAAAAAGGGGTGGTTCCCAGAGGAAGATATGTGTTCGCTTCTGGCTCCTTAATGCATTAAAACCCGTATCACGTGGTGTTGATTTTTAATTCCGTTCATCAACTATCTATTTTGCTGGCGCAGACGATGAGGAGGCTGCTGCTGCTGCTGCCTTAGTTTCGGTCAAGCTGGGACCCTGGGTGGCAGGTGTAAAAGTTGCGAACATGAGGTACGAGGTATGGCCACGCTGCTCGGCTGGGAGACGGGTCACCACCACATTCTTGGGCTCAATTCTCCCTCTTGGCTCAGCTTCGGAAGCAGAGGCAGTTGTCTCCGATCCAATGACGGGTGTTGAGGCCGTTGTCGACACACTGTCCTCCATCTCAGATTCCGTGGTAGAGTTGGGTGTAGCCGCTGCAGATGACTGGTTGCTGTCATCAACTGAAGGTTCCACCTTGATGCTCTTGTTGATATGACCACTGCTGCTCTCTTCATCCTGAGTGTTGTTGTTGCTATCGTCACGAACCACGCGAGGGGCGGCACGCTTTCTCTTCTTCTCAACCGCCCGCTGCTTCTCCATGGCCTCGTCAATGGTCCACATAGGGATCACACGGATCTCGTTGAAGCGGATCAAGCACTCGTACATCTGAATGTCGACAAATCCTTGCTCGGTCAATGCTGTGACAGTCCTGGAGATCTGCTCGATACAAGGACTGAATGTGCAGATCTTGCCGACCTTATTCTGCTTAAACGCCTTCTTCGCTGATGCCACCGCCTCCCAAGGTGCAGGCAAATCCAAAAATACTATTGCAAGAGAAGTCAATACACAGCATTAGAAAAAGTTCTCACCCCTAGAGCCATACTCTGTCGATTATTGCCACCAAGTCCAATAGGTCAAATGACACTTACCGGCGTCGACCTTGTTCTCAAGGTCAAATCCATCCTTGCAGACATCTCTGCAACGCAGGGTAACCAAATCTGACAATCCATGCTCCTCAAACTCCTTCTTGGCAGCATTGACACGTTCCTGATGGTACTCGAACGAGTACAAATGTCCATGGGGTGCCAACGTCCTAGCAATCGAATGCGAGAACGATCCCGATCCAGTTCCAGACTCAATCATCGACATTCCAGGCTTGAGGTTCAAATAGTTCATGACGAACGAGATATCGGCAATATACAAGATCTGGGTCCGGTGAGGCAAGACCAATGTCCAGAGTTCTGGGGTAGGGTAGAGCAAGAAGAGGAATCCACGGCCGGTGTTTGAGCCGAGCTTTGTGCCATACTCCAGTCCGATCATGTCCGAGTGCTTGTAGTTTCCGAATTTGCAGTTGAAGTACTCTCCATCCTTAACGCGGATAATGCTCATGTTCTCCTTACTCTACTTGGATTGGGCGTAAATGAATAGTTGGTTAGCAACTTTGTTCGATTGTTGTCGCTCGTTTGTTGTGTTTATGAGGGCAGATATCGTACCAGGTACATGACGACATTGTCGCCTTCCTCGATGGTGTTGTTTTTCTTGTAGGTGGCGAAGCTCTGCTTCTCGACTGCTGTTTCGCTCATGATGGATGCCGGAAGGGGGATGTGGATGGGTTTGGGTGTGATGGTACAACGACAGGGACAGCCATGTAAGCGATCGCCTCTGTCTCCAAGAAAAAAAGAAAAGAACACGAGGCAGTCACACCCAACGCTGTTTTGTGTTTGTGTGGCTGAAATCCAGTTAACCTTTGAACTACAGCTCAACTTTCAACTTTCGCCTCAACGCCAAACTCAACCAAGGACGAAGGACATCGCCAACATCCCAACAACAACAACAACAACAACAACAACCATGAGCGACGCGAACAGCAAAGTGGCACGGCTACAATTCCTCTGGAAGGCATCCCACCTCCTCCTCACCCAATGTCCCGGCGCATCATCCCACTACATGTCCCAGTTCCTCTCCCTCGCCAACGACCAAGACCTCCGCCTTCACGAAGATATCCAGACAAGGTCCTGTGCCGCCTGTGGGACCATCTTTATCCCTGGCGTCAATTCTAAAATCAGAGTCGTCCCTGTGGCCGAGACGCGCGTTAAGCGAGAGAAACGGAAAAGAGTCGAGCGCAAGAAGGCTAAACAGGACAAGAAGAAGCACCAGCAGAAGGCGCAGGAAGCAGCGGGAGGATCTGATCAGGCGGCGGTTTCTTCTGAGGGCAACTCTACAACAACAACAACAACAACAACAACGAGTCAACCAGTAGGATCAGGGTTAGACACTACCAAGACTACAACGACAACAACAACCAAATCGTCACAACAGGCACCACCACCACGTCCCAAGAAAATCATCCACATTACACCCCACACAGAACTCGCTCAACAGCAGCAGCAACAACAAACCCAGCAACGCATCAACATCCGCAACGGCTCCACTGCTACCGCTAACACCTCAAAACCCGACAAACACGCCAACCAGATCCTGAACCACGTCATCTACTCCTGTCAACGCTGCGATCGCATCACAGAACTACCTGGAACCAAGGAAGGCGTTCTCCATACCCGTGTCAAGGTCACTAAACCAGTCTCGCATCGACGGAAACTTAAGGATCTCCAGAAGCAACAACAACAACAGCAACAGCAACTACAAGAACCTGTCGCCGTTAGAGCCACCCCTACTTCAGCGGCAAGTACGAACCCTTCAACACCAACATCAACAACATCAGGACTTCAACCACTCAATACAATCACATCCGCAAGGTCTTCACCCAAACTACCATTTACGCCGACCAACAACAACACAAACGCAAAACGACCAGCTTTCTCTCATTCTTCACCATCTCCAGCAGCGGGGGCAGGACACCAGGACCTCAAACGGACAAAGTACTCTGTCTCTTTACCGGCCTCGCCCACCGCAGGACTCTCGAGAGCAACATCCGCAGCACCCTCTGCGGCAACATCTCCAGCAGCCTCACCTCGCCCCTTTGGATCGGACGACATGAAACCTGGTCTCGGTGGCGGTGGTGGCAACAACAAGAAGAAAAAGAAGGGTGGTCTTATCAGCATGCTCGCCAACCAAAAACCCAAGGACTCCGACGCAGGTGCTGGCGGATCTGCCGGTGGCAGTGGTGGTGGTGACAGTGTCCTCGCCAACTTTTTGATGGGTCTCTGAGCCCTCTCTCTCTCTCTCTTTGTCCCAACAATAATAAAAGATCTGAAAACAACAGCAACTGTACCATCGTTTGTAAAAAAAAGGACGTTTATTATTTGGAAGGAAGACACACTCTAAAAATGAAAAAGTCAGCAGAGCTGTGCTATATTTAAGGGAAAGCACGGCCAGTGAATCTAGGGTACAAGCATGCATCACGGACGGTGTGGAGGTTCAACAACCAGGCAATGTACCGCTCAACACCAAGACCGAATCCTCCGTGCTCCGAGGTTCCGTACTTGCGCTGCTCGGTGAACCAGTAGTAAGGGTTGGGGTCAAGACCCTCGCGAATGTAGGCGGCCATCAACTCCTCCAAGTCAGAAATACGCATCGATCCTCCGACAATCTCTCCGACACCGGGCATCAACACATCGACCGACTCGGTCAAGGCGTTGTTCTCGGGGCAGCGCTTCATGTAGAACGACTTGATCTCGGCAGGGAAGCGGCACAAGAAGATGGGGCGGTTAATCTTGTCGGTCATGGCACGCTCGGGAGCCTCGGGGATATCCTCACCAACCTCGTAGAAAGTACCGTCCTCCTTCTTGATGTCGTTGTCCTTCAAGTACTGGATGGCCTCGGTGTAATCCATGCGCAAGAAGGGGCGCTCGGGCTTCTTGAAGCTGGGGTTGAGCTTGTAAACAATTTCGGCAGAGGGCTTGTGGGCCAAGGTGCGGTCAATGACATCGCAGACCATCTCCTCCAACTGCTCGAGCAAATCGTTAAAGGAAATGAAAGCCATCTCAGCCTCGCAATGGGTGTACTCGGACAAGTGGCGACGGGTATGGGACTTCTCGGCACGGAAGGACTCAGCCAAGCAGTAGACATCTCCTAAGGAGGGAAGGCAGGTCTCCAAGTACAACTGGGAGGACTGAGTCAAGTAAGCCTTCTCGTTGTAGTAGTTGAGCTCGAACAAGGTCGAACCTCCCTCGACCGAGGTCTGGACCATGGCGGGGGGAGTGACCTCAGTGAAGCCGCGGTTGTCAAAGTGGTCGCGGAAGGCCTTCATGACCTGAGAGCGGACCTTCAAGATGCCGGAAGCCTTCTCCTCGCGCAAGACCAAGTGACGGAGATCGTACTTGACGGAGGGGTCAGAGTTCTCGTTAACCTTGTTGGACATGGCCTCCTCGCCACCGGGGGCCTTTCCAATGCACTCCCAGTAGTCAACAGTCAACTCGTGGTTATCAGGTGCCTATTTGTTGTAATAATACAAGGGAAGGTTGTAAGTTATATGGCAATCACGAACAAGGTCTTCATGCCCATAGCATGCTCCGTCACCAGAAAAAACAATGGTCGTATTGTTGAAAATGTCCACATACAGTCTTGCCCTCGGGGAGCTCGTTAATCACACCATAGACGGTGACGGTCGACTCGAGAGTAAGGGTAAGAGCATCGAAGGTTTGGCACTATTTTCCGATTCGTTCGAACAAAGCAATGAAAACGTGTTAGCAACGAGTTTCTTGGTTGTCGCAATTCATGGAGATAACAATTATCCTGAAAAGGCCAAGCAATCCCATGGAAAAACAACTTACAAGGGTGTCGGTGAGGACGCACTGGAGGTATCCGGTACCGTCTCTGAGAATGATGAAGGTCATGTTCTTTCCCTGGACACGGAGACGGTGAACCCATCCCGAGACCCTAACGCGCTTGCCTCTGTTCTCAACACCGTTTCTGATCTTGATCTTCTGGGCAGCGGGCAAGGCAGGGTTCTCAGTCAAGACAATGGCCTTGGCAGCCTCCAAGACGCGCTCACGCTCATCGGCAGCAGCTTTATCCTTAGCAGCCTGCTCAGAGGCCTGCTCGGCCTGCTTCTTGGCCTTCTTCTCGAGCTCAGCGACCTTCTTGACGGCCTTCTTCAAGGCAGCTCCGGAGATGGGGACGTAGGCAGAGACCTCGTCAGTGCCGGCAGCAGCGGCCTTCCAGACCAAGATCTTGGCGCCATCACCGTGAGCCTGAAGGGCTCTGGCAGCGGTCTGGTAGGGGAGCTCGGCGGAACCGTTGCCGGTCTCGTCATGGCCCTTGGTCTCGTCGACGTGAGCGACTATTTGAGAATAGTTATGAAGAGAATGGTTAAGAGTTGCTATTTTTTTTCCTGTGTGGTTGTTGGGTATCGCGGGCACGGTACAGCCTATCAATTGAAGAGGGAATGATACGTCCTCGCTTTGAAGGGGAATAAGGTCGTTCTATCTCCGTCGGGGAGTTCTTTTTTGCTGTCGTTGTCGGGCTCTTTTGCTGTTCATTCTAATCCATCAATCCGACGACTTTTTCCTCCATGAGCCTACCACTCTCTCCACATTAAGTACGATGACAGCGTGCTGCCGTTGTTGCTATTGTTGTTGGGTCCTGAACGTTGAACGCCGCCTCGACTTGCTTCGTCCATTGCTGGCCAGTGAATGCTCGAGGGGAGGAACGGGTGGGTGCCAAGCCCTTATTCGATTCCCGAAAGAGGAAGGGCGAGAGGGTAGTCCTGCCATGATCATTACCAGCGTTGAGGGAGAGGGAATCGACGGCGATAGTGTCGGCCATGGTTGTGGTATACGAAATAAGAGGATGAGAGATTGATAAAGAAAAAGAAAAAAAAACGAGTTTTTGAAACAGCTGCTTTTATGGTTGTTTATCGGCACTTTGATCAGGTCACGTGCGTGTTGACTCACGACGTTCTTTTGGCAAGGGGAAGATTCGAAGGGGGAATCTCATCTCGAAACCAAACAACAAACACACATGGAAGAACATCACTTCAGCAACAGACAGCTGGAGACACCTCCGGCATCGCCACTGCCAGAAGGAGTGGAGGAAGCGTTTGGGTCAGAACAAGAAGAGTTCGAACAAGAGGAGGTGGAATACGAGCAGCATGCATGCGAGCAAGAGGAATATGAGGAGGAGGGATACCAGGGGGAGGAAGAGGACGACAGAACGACCGCCTATGAGGAGGAATACGAAGAAGGGGAGGAGGAGGAGGGTCTATACAATTGGGGGGACGACTTGGAATTGACTCTGCCTGGTGAGTACTATTCAGGATATCGCAGAATGCTCTCCTGTATGTTGCAGCCAGGATGCACCATCCGCGTCAAATATGGACGCGACGGGAGAACGCTAGGATACCAAGTATACAGTGACGATTACCGCGAACAAGTACAACATCGACGACGAAAAGTAAGGGAATTCGAACGACAAAAGCGACAACAAGAACGGGAATTCGAGCGACTACCACAACCGCCGCGATCACAGCCACCGCCACCTCCTCCTGTGTTGGGATGTCGGCCAGCACTCTACTACCACAACCATGCACCGTGCCGCGACTTCTCTGACGAGCCTGTCTGGAACCAGACAGAACCCATACCCATGCCTGTCGAGGAGCAGGAGGAGGACCGGAGGTGGATGGAATACCACCAAAAGAACCTACAGGACATGGACCGGAAAATGGAGGACAAGCTCATGCACTATGTCGCTCTCGCTGAAAAACAGCCACGCTATCCTCAAGAACCGCTAAGGGTGTCAATGGTCCACGTCGATTCTGGACACCCCAGCACGAGCCAGCCAGGAGGGCACGGCGAGGTTAATAGCAGCAGTGGCTCTCAGAACCTCCCTCCGTCGGCGTATATCAGCGACTCAGAGAAACCATTTCCGTGGTCTGATGATGAGGTAGAGGCAGAAGAGTCTGCAGAGGAGCAGGGCAGGGCGATGTCCAGTATCGAACGATCTCTCAGGGCGCAGGCTGTCACGGCCCTCCATAACCCATCCGCCATGCTACTGCATTCAGTCTCCATGAACGAGGTATGTTGATTTTTTTGCTCCTATGCTGGTTACGGCCCGCAGCTCTCTTTTTTTTTTGGTGAATCATGGACGCCATCTATGCATAGTTCTTATTTTTTTTCCCTTGACTCACGACATTTTTGTTTGCCTTGTTTTTTCTACTCTTGTAACCATTCTTCAACAACTTAGACTCCAACTAGAACTCGACTGCGGATGTATCGGTAAGCGAAAGGACCTCCCTTCTCCCCCTTTTTTGGCCCACTTCGTCATTTTTTTTTCCTTCTCTCTTCGACTCACCTCACTTTCTTAAGCTTTCAAGCAACACCAACTCTATTGTTCCCTATGACTCCACGCATTAATTGCCACAGCGGTATCTTTCTCACCAAACTTCTCCCACAAACTTTCCCATGAACGCCTTTGGTTACTTTTTTTTTCTATGACTCCGCGCAAATAATTTCCACGCCCCTTTTCGTCACCAAAAAAACTCACTTCGCCCATTATATTTTTCCTATGGTCACCTTTTTTTTTGTTGTTTCTGTCTATGACTCTGCACAAAAATCTCACTTCGCCTTGGCACTTTCCCATGAAAACTTATCTTCCCCTTCGATAACTCCTAGACATTTGACAGGACAGCCGCAGCCGCCCCACGAGTATGCGCCGGAATCCGTCAAGCAGGCCTATGGAGAATCAGGAGGCAAACCTCTCGATGACCACAGTCACCACCTTCACCACCACTATACCGATACTCACGCCTCCTCTTCCTCTTCCTCGTCACACACTGCGGCAGCGTCGGAGCACTATCAACACCACAACCATCACAGCCACGGCCATCATCATCACCACCACCACATGGACTCGTCGTCGAGTCATGTTGATGATGATGTCCCCATGGATGACGAGTTTGGTCCGACCTACTTTCAAGGAGCCCTCAATGATTGAGTCATAAAAAACTCTTGTTCTCAATAACATTTTTCCCTTTCTCTTTTCCCAGTTTGTAACAACAGCTTTCAGTAATTAATAAAGAAAAAAATATTGCGTTCTTTTTTATTTACAAAAAAAACAATTTCAAACGAGAGATAAGATTCAACGGTTGAAGGCACGCTGGCATCGCTTGCGGAGCCACCCCAAAGGCCTCTTAGCCTCCTTCTCCTTCCGCCGCCAATGATGAGCTTCCATCCGATGAATCCACTTCATGCCCGCAGGTGTAGCCGCCAGTTTCTCGACCTTTCGCTGGATCCTCTCACTCGCATCCTGGACCGCTTTCGACTTGATCACCCCCGCTACCCTTTTGTTAACATCCTGCGCAAACTGTGTCTGAAGTACCTCCTCGACCTTCTTGGTCATCTTCGAGTGCGCATCCCGGACCTTCTCAGTCCTCCACACCTTCTCCATTCGGTCTTCGGCATCCGCCATGATCTTGTCGGCTCGTTTCAGGATCTCTTCGGCGTTAATGCGTTCTGCCATGGCTTGGACCCGCTTGGAATTGAAGAGCTTCTCGACTTGGTCCTCGACTCCGACTATGAGGTCGTCCATCTTTTGGAGGACCGTCTCGGCTGTTGGGAGTTTGACTGCCTCGGCGGCCGCTTGGCTGGATCGCTTGAGGGACTGGAATTTTTCATCCAAGAGGACAATCGGGTCCTTTTGTTCCATGCTCCCCTTGCCGTGTCGCTGCTTGCCCTTGGAGGAGCATCGCTCAAGGAACCGATCCTTCAATTGATGCGCGCCCTGGTGAGCTCTCGTCAAGATGTCCCAACTGTGTGTCGCCGAATATTCCTGCCTGCCGAAAAGCTGATCCACCCACGACGAGAACAGAAAGAAAAGTCGCTTGGCCGAATGAAAAGTGTAGGATAGGGCGCTGTTGGTCATATCGTGAACGTCGCAGAGGACTGGTTGAAGTAGCCCCCACTGCTGGTTCATCCACTCGACCGTGTTTTTCGAGAGATGCTTGACCATGGGCGACGAGAGTTGCTGGAGTTGATCCTTCCACGTCTGGTTCGCATCCTCATCCTCGTCGTCTTCAAAGTCGCCGAGTCTATCGGAAGGAGTGCGTGTCAGAACACGATCGGTGGGTGGGACGACGGCTCGCTTGGGCCAGACAAGCTCTCGGGGCGTCAGAGGCACGCGTGTGCCGTTCGCAAACCAGATATGCATAAAGTGCTGTGTCTTGGTACGGCAAAGCCAGGACGACAAGGGAACATCCGCAGGGGCGGGACCTCGAGGATGGTGTTTTCGAACAAGAGCGACATAGATCTTGAAGGTTCCATTGCCGAGATCTTGAACAATCGGGTCTCCGACATCAGGAGTGCTCTCGGTAGGGGCTCCTCGAACCGACCACGCCTTGTCATCCCCAAGGATCCGGACATGGAAAGGATGTCTATGTTTGCCCTTGTACGGAGTACTCTTGGCAGTCAAAAAGTCGACGTGGGCGACTCCCATGCGACCGTTCTGGACATAGTCGATATGTCGGATAATGGCGTGCGATGGCTGCGAGAAAGTGCCAGAGCCCATGTTGACGCCCACCACAATCGCCAACACGACTGTCAACGCCACAAAGAACACGCCCACACCTGTTGTAAGGTGGTCCTGCAGCTTTGCCCCCCAGACCAGACCCACATATAGTCCTTGGCTCATGAACTCCTTGACAATACGCCACTTTTTGCAGACTGAATCAAACACTGATGCTTGGACAGGAGTGCTTCCGTCGACGAGGCGCTGGATATGGATGCTGAGGAGGTCCTGCATGGTAAAGCAAGATTGCAAGATGACGTAGACCTGCTGGTCAACTGCAGAGGCAATCCGTCCTGATCTGGGTTGACGAAGGTGGGTAGCGAGTTGTTGACGGAGATCGATCGCGGTGAATGGGTCGAGGTTCTCCTCTGGCGACACGAGGATAAGGAGAGGGATGAGGGCCTGAGCGAACTGGAGTAAGTTCTGAGCGTCGTGTCGAGTTGGTCCAGAGGTTGGCAGGACATAGACACACAGATCTGTGCTCTCGTTTTGAGCAACCTCTGTAGCAGCAGATTCTGCCGACTTGGTCACAAAGCATGGTCTGGGAATACCGGATTCATGTTGGTGTTTGTGCTGCAGAATAAAGTTGGTGGTGATCTTTTCTTGGATCCGGGTCAATGCGTCGTCAGTCAAGTCTCGTCCGGTGATCTTGATCCGGAGGCTGCGATGGCCTCCAGTGGACTCGGTGGAGTCGAGGGTTGCAAGGTGAGGAACCACTACTTCTGTATGAGGCTGGTGAACACGAGTGGTCGCAACGAAGAGCTGGGAGACGGGAGCAGATGCAGAGGGCGGTGTTGACAAAGACAAACCCTCCTCACTTGCTGGTACATCAGCATGGAGTTGGACAGTTCTTGTGGTCGACTGTTGTCCCGCTGGTAGGTCCGTGCTGCGCGACTCTTGGCATGGTACAACATTGGGTGCAGTGTCAAGAGAAGCCGCGTTTTCGTTCAAAGTCTGAGAGATTGACTCTGGTCCACGCTGGTCCAGCTGTTGTTGCTGAGGATGGGTCGAGTCTGACGGAGGGGCGATAACTAATACCTCAGTGATAGCGTCTCTTTCGTCGACAAGTAAGAAATCATGTTCGCCTCCATCGCTCCTGTCGTCCTTACCATCCTGTGCTTGATGGTTGTTGTTATTGTTGTTTCCATTGACATCGGATGCACTTTGGACACTTCGAACTTCCTGCTGCTGCGTCGGTTCAGAATCAGGGGTCGTCAAATCCTCTGCCAAGGCGAGTGAGCGCGACTGGTCGGGAAGAACAAGGAAGGGACCTTGTTCGAGCTGGAGTGAAGCGAGGGCAAGAAGAGCGGAATCTTCTGCTGCGACTTGGACCGTGCTTGCTGTTGCTGTTGACTCATTGTCGTCGTGTCTTGGCGAGGAGAAGGAGGATAAGACAAGGTCAGAGTCGTGGTCATCGTAGTCGTCGTCGTCGTGGTGATGGTCGATATCTGTTGTGTAGGAGGGGAGGTCAGAGTCGGAGGGGTAGTCCTGGAGGTCTTCGGACTCGTAGCTGATGAGGTCGTCGAGATCGGATGCGTCGCTGAAGGGCGAGCTGGGGTCTGGCACCTCTTGGCGCATGGTGGCTGGATGGACGGCGGTGTTTGTTTTGGGCGCAGTCCTGTTGCACGAAAAAGGGAGCGAAGGCTGAAGGGATGCTTGGTGTAAGAAGAGAGAGGGTGGGGATGTAAAAGGCAGAGTGTAGTGGAAGAAGAAGGGGACGGTGGAAGGGAGAGGACGAGGAGACCAAGGGGAAAGAAAGAAGGAAAGAAAGGAAAGAAAGATAAGGAAAAGAAAGTCGAGGAAAGGGAAGGTAGCCAAGAAAATTGTGGTGCAACAAAAGAGGAAAGGCTTCATCCACATCAACAAAGACTAAAAAAGGGGATTTTGCACTGCTCAAAATACGTGGAGCAGGGACACACGTTCGCACACACACACGCTTGAATTCTCTTTGGCCCATGTCGAATGAATGCTCCTCTTCTGCCTCTTCTGCTTCTTTACCCCTTAGATTTGGGTGTTCTTTCTTTCTTCCCCCTTGGTCCCTATTCAAAAGAAGAAAAGAGTAAAATGAACAATGAAGACTAGACTGGCGTAACCACAGCACAGTGTAGAAAAGACGACTGAGTGAAGGTGATATGAAGAGTGGCTGTACAGTGCAATATACTACTCGACCACTCAGCCCAGTACCGCCACCGTTCCACTCCCAGCCAACACTTCCTACTGTTGCTGTTGTTTATTTATCAGAGCAACTTTCGTTCATTTTATTTCTTAACCGTATTCTGTCTCTCTTCTCTCCCTCCCTTGCACTTTTTCCCTTCGTCGTCCTTTTTTTCGCCCCCCTCCTGCCCCTTCACCATCGACGCTTCTTCCTCTGTCCTTCCTCCTTTCCTTCATCCGTCCCCTCCTCCTCTTCCTCTACCCTCTCGCTCACGACCCCTTCCTTCCCACACACAAATACCCCTACCCCAACCCTCAACGACCAATTGCCCTCACCTAGCCCCTTCTAACCCCTGCCTGCCACCACCTACCTACCTCCTCCCACTCTCGCTATCACTCACCCTCACTACCACAAACAGAGATGTCAACAACTACCCCCACCTGCACCAAACCAACATGCAATCCCAATAACATGGTCTGTTCACCCTCATGCTCGACCGGCTTCAACTGCCGCGCCGACGTTATTGGCAGCATCTGCCAATGCCCCTCGGCAAGCTGTGTCAAGATCAACTTTGACATTGGTGCAGGAAACGGAGACGACGACAGCAGCGACTCGAAACCTTCGCTTATCGGACCCATTATCGGGGCCATAGCTGGACTTGCGGCCATTGCTTGTATTGCGTTCTTCGTCATCAGGAAACGGAAGCAGAAGCGAAGACGGTCTTCAGTGTTGATGCTCGGGCAGGATGATTCGAACGATTCTTTCTCCAAGCGATGGAACCCTGTAAGGACACACAACCTTTTTTTCATTTTATTTCAGAAGGTTCAGGGCACCCTGTTGAACAGAGAGACAGACAGACAGACAGACAGTCAGGGCACCGGACGATTCCAGAGACAACGACAACTAACAGACACTGCCAGACAGACCAACACTGCCAGACAAACCAACACTGCCAGAGAGAAAGACTGCAAAGAGAGAGGAGGGGGGGAGGTGCAGCTCCGCATGGTCCCTTCAAAGTGGAAATTGGCGCTAAAAATATTTGTGGGCGTACGGGCTTGACCAACCACAGGGCTAGGCTGGAGAGCAAGGGCAATCGACCGCAACTCACAGCACAACATAAACAAAGCAACACAACAAGGAACAAAGACGAGACAACAACAACAAACAACGAAAAGGCAGATACATTGCATATCAGAAACGGATAGCAGTGGAACAACTATATTTGACAAACAATCAACAACAACAACAACAGCAACAACAACAACAAACATCAAACTGGGTACTCAGACTGGTCCCCTTCCCCTCCCCCAGCATCCACATCGGCATCGACATCGACAGACTTAAGCCCTTTTTTTTATCGGACTGGCAAGTCAGTCGGCGAAGCAAAAAAAAAATATACCAGGATGAGCAAAGACGACAAAGAAAGACACAAGGATGCGAATGCTGTTATCCATTGGAGCAGAAGAAGAAAAAGGGCTCATCGCCGCCTTTTTATGTATTTTTGGATATTTTGGAGAATGTGTTTCCATGTTCACATCCACCCTTTTCTCGCTGGTTCCCGAACCGTGAGGGGTTTCAGAATCATTTCCAACGGAGTCCAAGTAGTCCTCCAATGGCACTTCTTAACTTTCTTAACTGGCCGAATAACTGACCCTCAACCGTCCTTTCTGCGATTCAATCATATCTCTAGTCGACAGGAAGCGAATTTGCAGGACACAAGGACGTTATCAGGATCGCATACATCCCTAGCATGATTGGAGACAGCCCTGCCAGTCGACCCGTATCAACGGCAACGGCGCTCGCTTGTAAGATTGTGGTTTGCTTGCCTAGAAAGAAGCTTATTTTTGTCGTAATCGAGGATATTAACGACAGGAAGGAGACCCATGTCGCTGACTCTTCTCTCTCTTCTAATTGTTCGTTGCCATTAGCACCACAACCTCAGTTCGCTTCACTACGAGGCGAGGATCGCAACAATCGCGACTCGGTGGGATCGGCGGGATCACACATGTCAGCAGTACTGGACGAAGCGGTGGTCATGGCAGTGACAACCAAAGCAACCCCTCAAGTCATGAACTTCACAGCCATTAAGGCAGCCCAGTCGGATCTCATCCAACGCTCCAACACTCTTCACAGCACCAACTCGATCAAGCGGTCAACATCTCAACGGCGAATCGCAGACGCAAAGAACACCACTAATACCCCCGCGACAGGAGGTCATAGGACTCCATCACCCCTCTCAGGCGGAGGCAGCAGTGGCAATACCCATGTCCTCAGCGACTCTGATGACAACAATAGCGATGCCGAGGGCAGCACCGCCACTTCAGTCACACAAACGGCACATATGAGGCGGCGGTCAGCAGGAAAACAAAATCTCATGGATAGCACCCACAACCCGTTCATGAGTCCTACGGAACTGCTGGCTACAGGATCCGCATTACCTTCACCATCAGGATCGTCTATGTCCGGACATAACGGTGACACACTTGTCTCTCACAAGGGATCCTCGACCTACCGCAACTCCAACCCCTTCATGTCACAATCCGAGTCTGCGACCCTCATCCCGGAGCTCAGTCCCAACACCAACACTTTTTCAACCAACAACCGGTTCTCGACACTCTCCAGTTCAACATCAGCCCCATCACCAGTCTTGTCGTCATCGTCGACATTTGCCTCGATACCCATCCGACTCGGAGGGGACATTGTCGACGACGGCACCAACGACCCTCTTTCACCATTCGCAGACCTTGCAGGCGGAAGTAATTTAAGACCGTGGATGTCATCGGGTACGCCGGCGTTACGAGATTCGACCTTCTCGACCATGTCGGATGCTCGGTCGTCTACACGGGGAGATGGCGAGGAGATTATGATCTTTTGGGGCGGGCAGCATAATCGCGACTCCAAAGCCTCGAATGTATGAGAATAAAATGACCTCTTTCTTGGCTACGATTACCTTTGATCACTTGCGGCTCGTTTGTATGGCAGTGGGCGCTCAGGGAAGGGGGGCATGCGAGTTGTGGGCATGTATGAAAAAGAATGTGCAGAAATTGGTGGCGTGTGCGTGAGCTTGATTGTTGATTAAACTTTTTTTTTTCAGGTGCGTCAAGGTGCGCGCATATCGCTATGCTACTTGAGAGGGATACTGCTGTTGCCATTTGTTGCCGCTGTTGCTACCTGTTTACTGAATGTCTCCGTGATGTTGGTGGTGCTGATGTGTGGCGCTGTCGCTATCGTTATTGCTCCTGCTGCTGCTAATGGTCTCCATCTCCATTTGGGATCTGGTTTCAAAGGCGGGTTAGGGGTACGAATAATGCCTCTCCTTAAGTTCTCTAGCTCCTCTCCTGAAAGATAACCCGGACTCTCAGGGGGAATGACCATAAAGTTCTACGAGTGCGACACAGTAATTCGAACATTCATATCGTCATTCTCTTCAAAAGTCCAATGCTCTCGTCCTGATCGGCCTCCTACTCTTCCTTGTTCACTCGCCAGCCGCGACGGTGTGATCCTTAAGGAAAACTCTGTCTCCTCGTCGTACTCGGGGCTCGTCTGTTGTTGTGCACGAGAGTTGAGTGGATGCTAGGTGTCATGGTCAAGGTTGGTGAGGTTGCCGTTCATCGGTTGTGTCGCCTCCTCGTCCTCCTCTGAAACCGGCTCGTCTTCCGACGACAACGATGGCGACGTATGGCTCTCTGTCATTTCTTCCTCCCCCTCCGAGTCTTCGTCCTCCCTTTACGTTTCATCGTCCTTGTACTATTTTGTAGCTCAACCAAGAAGTAAATTTTAACAACGTTTTTATCCAGATCAATCTCCACAATATTCATCAACCGGCCCAGACTCCTTTCAGTATGTCAAGACAAAGAAAAAGTACCTCGGTCTGTGTTATTTGGCGCCTTGAAGGTGGGGATGGAAGTCTCTGTACGTCTGTGGGGTGTGTGGGGTGTGTTTGGAGGTGTTTGCCAAGAAGAATGAGTAAGGAAGGTAGAGAACGGAAACGAAGAAGCAATGGTTTTGGTTGACCTCTTTGTCAATAGTACACAGACGAAGATGATCCTTTGCCATGATCAATGGTCAATGATCTTTTGACTCGAGGCGATGGAGAGGGGAAAAAATGGTTTAAAAGTGCAGGCACGCAGCCTTCATTGTTCAAGAGGCTGTGATAGCCAATTCCGAACCTCCCCCACTGAAACCATTTACATCCAAAGCAACTAAGCAACATGAGGCAATAGAGACGGCTGGTATAAAAGTTGGAGACAAAGAGAAGCTGGTGCCCTTCCATCTGGAAAGGGAACCGGCTGTTTTTCTTTATGGCAAAAACAATTAGTGGAGGAGATGAAGTAAATAAGGTGAAAAATGCAAAATGGCGCAGTGAGGCTGCGAATGAAGAAAAATGAGTGGAGTGGGGGATAATCTAATCTACAAGGGAATGAAATGAAAAAATGGGGGGAGTGGTGGATGCTATGGACAGAAAAATTAATATGTAACAGAGGGGTGGCTAAATGAAAAAGGGGCTAGTGGATAAACCACACATCTTTCTCCAATTTAGATAAACTGCCAGGTGAGCTTGAGGACACCGACGCCGAGGCCAGCAAACTTCTTGAAGGCACCCTGGGAGAGATCGAGGTCTCCAAAGTTGCAGTACTGGCTGGGACACATGTCGACGACGGTGACGACGACCTGGGTGTTGGAACCCTTCTCCGTCACCAGGATCTTCTTGCCGCAAATCTTCGTGCCACCGCCCATTTGAGCTATTTTCGATGGCACATATGGTAAATTGGTAATAAGGACAGGAAAGAGTGGGTTAATATTCGATTCTTTGTTTGTTTGTGTGACAAGAACAAAAACCGTTTAATGCAAACGAAGCGCATGTCAATTGCAAACTATAGCCCAAAAGATAATTACCTTCATTGACCGCGACAATCATATCGGACTGAGAGTAGTTGTGCTCGCACTGGCCGTGGGTGTCAGAGTACCAGGTAGCGCGACCAGTATACCAGGTGCCACTGCCAGGGTTCGAGGTAGGCTTGGGAGTAGACTTGGAGGTAGTCGTGGTAGTTGTCTTAGTAGTTGTCGTGGTAGTTATCTTGGTAGTAGTGGTAGCGGTAGTAGTAGCGGGAACAGCAGCAGGAGTAGTCTTGGTGGGCTGGGGGTTGGTCACCGAGGAGGAGGCAGGGTCTGGCTTGGGAGGCTTTGACAGGTTCCAGACAATGTTGAGCAAGTTCTTGGGCGAGATCGGGTTGGTGGCAGGATCAAGAGGGTTCGAAGGATCGGTCAAGTTACCAATGGTGAGTTCCGACTCGTCATCGAAGACCATCAACTCAAAGGGGGTCTCGTATGAGAGACCCTCGAGGGCCTCACGGTTGAGGGCGACCGAGCCGTATTCGCAGTCATCGCAGACACCGACAATCTTGGCATAGATGGACTCGTCAGTGTTGACACGGTTGAAGACTTGGATCCATTGGCCGCAGGTCGAGTTGGTTGAGGAGACGTTGCCGAATTGGAGGGGGTTGATCAAAGCGACATTATCGGTCCCGTAAAAGGTCGCGTTGTCGCATCCAGTGAAGGTGTTTGCTGCAGTGTTGAAATAGACGAGAGAAGGAGATGTGGGGGCGGTGGTAGAGTTGGCTTTGGAGCTGGTTGGTGATGCGATGAGAGAGGCGGGGGTAGTGTCGGTGGTGAGGTTGAAGAAGGAAGCAGTACCGGTGTACTTTGTGTCCCAGACAGCAGCTGCGGAGCCGTTAGTTGGGGGTGAGCTGTTGGGTCCGGAGAATGCGCCGAAGAGTGCGCTGGTGATGATAGACAAGGGTCCAGCTGCTGATGCAAGTCTTGGAATGGGAGCCATTGTATTAGTGATGTGACAGTTGCAAGAGATGTGGAAGGTGTGGAAGGTGTTAAGGTGTGGAATGCAAAGTGAAGAGTGGAGAAAAAGAGAGAGATGTAATTAGGTGTAAAGTAGAGTAAGAGTTGAGAGTGAAGAAGGAAGAAAAAAAAGATGAAAAAGGTGGCGATGGCAGGGACTTTTAAATGAAGACGAGGATGATTGCCAAGGAAGGGGCTTTACATATGAAGAACGTATATAAGTGCAGAGGAGTATTGTAAAATGAATTAGTGAGGATTGAATTGAGGGAAGCAAAGTTTGCTAAATGCATAGTTTGGGGTGAGGGTGAACAGGGTTACCTTGACCGACCGAGCGAGGCAACGGTCGGACATCCGATGCGATGGAGTCAGAAAAAAATGAATGTGAATGCCAATTCATTTTAATTGTCTCGCAACCACATAAACAAATCAAAACAAATAAACAATTTTCACCATGCCATTCTCCCTTCCCATTTAACCATTTAACCACTTCATCCTGGTATGTTTTACTTTTCATCCATCGCCCCTATTGCTCATTTATTGTCCAATCGCATCGCATTGCATCCATTCCAGCAACCCCTATTCTCTACCCCCATTCCATCAAGTGGGAAGAAAAAGGAAGTGAAGGGAAGGAAAAGGAAGGGGAAGAAGACCAAAGAACAAACAACAAGTGGGACAGGGGGTACCCAGCTCGATCTGGCAATTACTTTCAGCAGCATTTCATTCCCGAACACAAGAAAACAAGACAAGCGAGAGCCGCAACATCAACTTTTTGGCCTGGGGTCTGATCGCGATTGAATTGAAATGAATAATCAAAACCATCGGGAGTTGGGACCACCTTTCATTTATTTACATGTTTGGGTGCCATTCTATATCTCTTTTCTAACCCTTACGTATCTCTCTTTCTCTTTACCCTTTGATCCTATGTCCGCCGAGTGGCTGCAATCAACCCAAAAAATGTTATCTCATATCTTTCCCCACTTACGTATCCCTATCCCCTCCTTCATGTTGCTGCTTACGCCTCTGTCACTTGTTCGTTGCCCTGCTGTCCCTGCCTCGCTGTCTCGGTGTTCCTCTTGTTTTCCTGACCTACCCCTGCCCCTGAAAATTTTCTTTGTTTCTCATACTTATCACCGCGTCGCCTCCTATTGACCTTGTTTCACCCGGTACTGATCACTACGGGTAACACGCGTCGTTTTCGTGACAATACCGAAGTAGGTGAATGGTTAAGGAATGGAAAAAATATAGGTGCAAGAAGTGGATGAACAAGTGAGCCAGGATGCGTCCTCTTATTAGTTGTCGCGTGTGTGCGTGAATGTTATTATAAGCGTGAGTGGGAAAGTGTATGTTTGTGTAGTCTCCAGTGCAGAAAAGGAGTATTGGTCTGCGCATGATACAGCAGTACGCCGTACCGTATGCCTAATAATCTCAATAAATGAATTATTAAGACATTGATATTGAGGTCGTGTGGGTAGATGCATGCTACAGTATACATTTGCCGAACTGTTCTTCCTTTTCCATCCACTTCTCTCTTTTTTGGAGATATCTTCTGGTGCTCTCTTTTTTCACATTCGGTATTTCAAATGAAATGAGCGTGGCGTGGCGTGTGTCCTGTTGATATCTCTGACTCTTGCTACACTTTCCACATCTCCATCTATCTCTCTTACATCTTGTTGGCTGGCTGTCCTTCTCTCCCTTCTCTTCCTTTACCCGCTTGCCTTGCCTCTCCCGTCGGTCGCTCAACTCAGGTGTACCCCCAACTAAGCATCAAACATGTCATTTGCCAACAGCAGTCAACAATCAGAGAAAAAATTGGAAATCCTCGCCCAGTTCTTGTTTGTGTCCAGTCCAAACAACTTTCAACGCAGTCTTCTCTTTTGACATCTCCCTCTCTCTCTCTCTCTCTCTCTTTCTAATCAGTCAACGATTGTGTTGTGCCAAGTGGAGTGAAGATAATAGTGAGAGAGGGGCAAAGACTGAGATTCAGTGAGCAAACAAAAAAGAGAAACAGAAGACGGGGTATGGAATCAGTGCTCTCAACCGTCCTCCTCTTCATTTTGTTCGTTGTTTTTCATTCCCTTTTTTCATTCCTTTCTCTCTTTCCTAGGTGTTGTTTTGAGTGTCTGTTGTCCACTCACTTCCCTTTCCCTTTGTTCTGCTCTCGGTTTGTTTGCGTTTGTTTCGTTTCCCATTTCCTCCCTTGTCCCTTTCTTTCCCTTCTCTTCCCTTGCAGCCCATCCCTTACCCCTTTACCCCTGTTCTTTTTCAGTCCATCTTGTTTGGACCTTGAGGGAAGGAGAAGGGTACAGTCATTAACCTTATTTTTCTTTTCCGCTCTGGTCTACGACTCTTTGTGTCATCGATTTTTTCGTTTTCCGTTGGAAGAAGGAGTGTGAACGGCGCTCGGGCTGGGCTGGGATATAATTCGTTTTTTGGGCCTTGGTTGGGTTCGATCTGACCTCTTAGCCCCTTCCTCCGCCCTTATCGCTTACCCTAGCTCATAGAAAAATGCCTTGAGTGTGAACAAAACGAGACTCCTCCGCTTTTTGTGGCGCTTGCGGTCTCGGACGATTCGCACTTCATCAGTCAGCAGGAATGGGGAGGGCGAAAAAAAAAGTACGCGAGAAGGAATATCTATCTCATTGGTGGGCCGAGCAAAGAGAGGCACGGCGCTAAAGGCACACCAATCATCAACGGTCGAGTGATGTTGGTGGCCTTTGAACAGCTGCCGGGCAAGCACGATAGGTGTAGACGTTTTCTCTCTGAAGGGAACGAAAATCGATGCTAGACCTTCAAGAGCCAAGAGCAAAATAGGTGGACCATGCAGAAGTGAGCAATAGAAAGAGAAGGAGCAAAAAATGTGCTATCTGGGCATCGGCGCTTTCAGGGTTCGCGTACTATCCCACTTCTAGTCTGGGTGCACTTTTTCCTGCTCTTTTTTGCTTAGTTATTTTCTTTCGTTGTTGGGGAGACGGGGACGTGGGTGGGAATCGGCAGGGTGAGTGTGGCATCTATCTGTCAGATATGTTTTACTAAGTCTTTCGTTCAGGAGCAGTGGGTGGGATAGCTTCAGTAGGGGACTTGTCTCTCCTTTTGCCGTTATCCAAGACAAGCGGGGAAGGAGATATGAGCATAGTATGCGCATCTCTGGCCTGGGTACATTCAATCAAGATCTGAATAGGAGGGCAAAGATGCATGGCAGGTTTTGTCTAGGGGTAGAAATCGATCTCCTTTACTTCATTGCTAGCATGGTCAGTTGGATGGTTGTGGCAGATGTGGTCTTACTGAGCAGTCTTCCTTCCTCTCCTCCACCATCCTTTTCTACTGTCTACATGCACTCTGCACCCCACTGTACCTTTTCTATACTTCAGCTATCATTCCATTGCCAATTAGAAAAATGTCGGCTTTGGTATATATTTTTCGCATGCGCATTCCTCTGATGTTGATCTAGACCAAGCGAGACAGCAGGTTGTTTACCCTTCTATCCCTGCGAGTATTTTCCATACTCCGCCACTGTTGTTTTTGATGTTGATGTCGATGTTGTTGTTGTGGGCGTCCTTTACTTTTTGGCCGGGGTGCATGGCCATTTTGGGGCAAGATCCCTCTTTTTTTTCATCTTTTCAGCAGCACCGCCTCATTCCCATTAATGTTTGTTTTCTCGGCTGTCGTGTCTGATGGATGAGCATAGACAAATGTTGTCGTCCTTCAGTGTCGCTTTGTTCATTTCATTTTTTAATTTAATTTTTATATCTCTTGACATATGCCATGCCTCATGGCCCCCTAATCTTGACTAAAGTTATCATCTGAACGTGGCATACACATTCCTGACTTGACCCGAAAATCAAATGATCAACTATTAAAACAACAGGATGCTTCCAGTATGCGACAAAGTCCCAGGAAACACCGTACGTTGCCATAAAAACAAACACATTCCTTCGACCCCTGTCCTCCTGAGAGAGACGCTCGCCGTCCTGCGCTGTTCCTGTCTACGGAAAACAAATGTTATGCATCCGCCAAAATTTTCTCGTGTTCTTGGCCTACTTTCCCTCCTCTTTCCATTCCTTGCAAGGTGGCACAAGACCAACAAAAGCGTTGGGTAGAGTAGAGTAGAGTAGAGTAGATATGAGGTTAACATTTTTTATTGAATGAGATAGACGACGCAGTTATGTTGAACGCTTGTGCAACGATAGTCCCTGTGAAAAATAGATGGCCTGGGCACCATCTTTACTCCCTCTCTGCTTCTTTCGAATGCACCATGAACTGGACAAAAAACAACGACAGCGAAAGATAGCAACACACGTCAACAAAGACAACAACTTCTTCAGATTGAGACAAAGAGGGTAACCAACAACTGTTATCTTTTGGGCGCGTCTCTATCGACAATGTCCTCCTCACTTTTTTTTCTCACTCTCTCTTTCTCCATTATCACGCTCTCTCTGTCTTCCATCTCCGTCTCGGCGAATATGATTACGGACCCTCGCATCCATTTTTCACGCCGGTGTCTAGTCCGGTCCTCGACCTATGCCACACTTTTTGCACGCTGCCCCTACCCCCGGGCCTTGGCGGAGATCCTCCCTCCTCCTCCTCCTCTCCTCAATGATGTCAAAACATATCGTGAATGCTCTCTCCTTGGCCAAACCCCCTCTTTGCTCTCTCACTCCACGATGAGTGGTCAAAAAAATCCGCACTCGTCACCTCCGTCATTTTATCAAGAGCATTTCAACCGAAAAAAAATGAGAGCACTCCGGGGTTGTAATGAACAAATGTTGTCATAGATGTTGGCTAAGGTGGGGAGTGGTCGAGGAGTAATATGTCTCGCTCGGGGACTCCGTGCCTCCTTCAGAGTTCAAAGGGCAAAGGGGTAAGATCCTTTTTTTTTTTTTACACACCCCTGTATTGATCCCCGTTCTTTATCTTTGTCTCTCTTACAAATGAATTCCTCAGTCCAAAGGAAAAGGAAATCGTAAGCGACAACAATTCCATTGGACCCGCCGGGTTCCTCGCCACTCATCTTGGCTGTTGCCTCAGCAACATCTTTTTTTTTGGCTTCGCATTTTGTCGCTGTTCACTTTCTGGTTAAATAGAGAGACCTACCTTCATGCCTGTAATGTCTACCCTTGTTAGTGTTCGTTGTTTATCGCCGCGTCAGAACGAGCGAACAGGCCCACGTATCTATGCAACACGACCGTTCGGAGGTCCCTGACCAAAACTAACGCAAAACAAAACAACACAACTCAAAAAAAGGAACCCAGCCCTGTTTTGCTTCTTTGTGATGGCGTAGAGGAAGTGCTCTCAACACGGACCACCCTTCGCTCTCTCGCTCGGCCACCATTTTTCATGTGCTTTGAGTCTCTGTTTTCTTTTCGTTACTTTTCTTTTGGCAACAGCACAAACGAAGAGAGGGATGGGGTTGAGACACAAAAAACGCGTCAGCGGGGTACTAGGGAGAGGATTCGCTAAGCGGATGCGCGTCTATTCCAAGCGCATGAAAAATAGGAAGAGACATGATGTGCTGGGTGGGACCCCATTCAAAACAAACGAGGGGCATGTTGGCATATTTCGGAGCCATCACCGTATCCGCAGCGTGCTGTTTACTTTCTCACACAAGATGCAACACCAGCATTCGATTTTTCATGCGTATTAGTGATGCTTTGTTGAAATGATGAGAAAGGATAATATCAAATAGCTTGACGTGTTTGATCAGCTTTGTTCTAAACACCATCAATTTTTCGGTCACGCTTATGGCGACTGGACGCCTGGATGACGGGCTAGGTCGCGCGCTGCGTTAGATCAGTGATGGACGCGTCTGAATGGACTGGGCAGTCGAGGTGTGAGATCACGTATGTCACCTCGCGCAAAATCAATCCTTCCTTCCGCTTCTCTTTTGTACTGTCCGTCCCTTTTTTCTTTTCTTCTTTCTTTTCTTCTTTCTTTCTTTCTTTCCCTTCACCATCCAGGCAAAACAACAACCCCATTACACACCCATCTAAGCATCACACACTATCTGCTCTCACAAACACACACATCAAATACAAATACAAATACAAACACAGCGACGATAACAACAACACATCAGAAACAACTCTACTATCCTACTCCACTCTTCCCACGCTGATGGTGGAGGCGGGCCAGCACAAGACATCCAACAACAAAGACACAAACAACACAACCAACAAACGCTCAACTATCCTCGACACTGAAAAGGAGCTCTATAACGAGTTTATCGCTTCCCATCGCCATCAAGGTAGCCCCATTACTGGCATCGTCGAGGGCGAGCTCGACTCAGATATCGAAGAAGCCATCGACAAGAAGCTTGAAGACAAGGATCACGAGGACAAGATCAGAGAACTCGGAAGGACTCTGACAGCTGACAAGCTTCGAGGACGTACTGACAAGAACACAATGGCAGGTGGAAACAATTTCGGTGGAGAGCAGCAAGAGTTTCAAGCTGGAAGTGGGCGTCATCGCGGTACTGGAACTGGAGGTGATTTTGCCTCTTCTGCTGCCGCTGAGGATGAGAACTCGAACAGAGAATATAACGCCAACAACGACCGTGACGACCGTGACGATGGCGATGGCGGTGAGGAGGTTGTGGGAGAAGAGACTACCCACGACAAGCGCAGTCGTGCTGGTCACACGGGAGCGAGCGCCATGGTTGGATACGTTGACTCAGCGACGGCGATGACTCGAGCCAAATTCAAGTATGAAGGTCCCGAAGGATCTGACCCCTTTGCTAACGGTTCTCTTCCACCTGTGTCTGCACCTGACACACCCACACCTGTGCAGCTCAAGAAGGACGACGAGGGTAACCCCAAGTACAGGCTGGGCTCTGATCTTTGGAAGAAGATCTACTGGTCATTTTACCCTTCGGAGCAAAGCGTTTTGGCGTCGGTCAACAAGGAGTGGCGGTCTCGGATTTATCACCTCTCTGTCTGGCAAAAGATTTGTGAGGCTGCTGGTCTGGCTTTGCCTGCCAATGAACTCGAGGCCCATGGCTACGAGAAGCCCAACTACTATCAGTTGGCCCACGAAAACGCAGACATGATTTGTGAGCGGTGTTACAAGATGACGCGCCCTGCTGGTTCCTTCCGTGCTGTGCTCGTTGCGGCCACAGACGCAGTCGTCCCTTATATGATCCGCATGTGTCGCGATTGCCGTGTTGAATACTATATTGACCACCCTGAACCTGTTCCCGACGACGTGGCTACTTACAAGGCTGGCGAGTACACCGTGACGCCTCGGATGACCAAGGGTGACGCCATGAAGACTTATCTCTTGAGCGACTCGGACGTTATGTCGCTCCCCTACGAGATTGGTCGCAACCCGTACTTTGGATTCAACTCGCCCATGTACCTGATCGAAGAGCAGCACGTCCTCCGTTTGGCTCGTCTGGTTCACGGGGGTGATATCGGCATCGCTGCTGCTCGCTCCGATTCAGAGTATACTGGCCGCAAGATCCATGAGCCTCATGACGATATCATCAAATACCGCCGCAACTTGCCGCGATCCATGTTGCACAACAAGGGGCTCCACTTGCCTGAACATGCAGCGATCTGCAACATCTACATCGAGACTGGTCTCGGTGACCCCTTGGAGATTGTTCAAGAATTGGGGGTCGTCGATTGGCTCCATCGCTGCACATCGTACGACCCAAGCCTCGACAAGGCTCACCTGCAGCAAGTCAAGCGTCGTCCTCGAATCGACCTTCATCGCAGAAATCTCCCCGAAAGCGAGACACTTATCAGCGCCAACTCTGGCGGCGTCGCTGTCCAGTCGATCCAAAACGAGATGATGACCGAGGAAGAAGAGGAAGAAGACGACCACCACAAAGTGGCAGCCCTGGATGACTGGCTGACCCACCGATTGGAGCAAGGCCAGTACCGGGGTTACAAGCTCGACCCCGAAGGACCCGAGCGACCTCCCAAGGTGATCTGGACCATGCTGGACAAGATCGACATGTCTCACAAGATGCATGAATTCGCGGCCGAGAAGGTCTATCGGGCCATGGAAAAGAAGAAGCACGAAATCAAGCGCGAGGGCGGATTGGACAAACTCATTAAATCCAAGGCCCAAGTCCGCAGCCTGGTCGACGCACTCGAGTCCGGTCGCAACTCTACTAGTCGTTCCTCTGAGCTCTTGCGTCAGAAGCGACGCAAGACTGAAAAGTCGGATGGTGAGAAGGGTGATCAAGGCAAGGAAGCCCCCAAGCTCTCGACGTTCGTGGAGCATGATCTGGGATCGAACTGGCACTCTCAAGTTGTCCAGCGGGCCAAGGAGCTGGCCCAGTTTCGTCCTTGAGGGCTCTTGGAGTCTTTTGCACCCTTGCTCCTTTCTTTAATTTCTTTTTGCTTTTGACACCAGTTTTTCGTTCAACCCATTGACAACAATTCTTGCATTCAGACACACACACACACACACACACACACACACACACACACACACACACACACACACACACACACACTCACTCACTCGCAAACCTTGCCAACTGACATTCGCATACAACACACACGTTCACAGTACACACACGACACAACCATCGCATAAGTTCTTCATAGCTCCCACTTCACTTATTGCAAAAAAATCGCATCTTGCAAACAAAAAAGGAGCAAAAAGTTCGAACGAAACGACAAGGCAACTTACTTTTTTTTTTGTTTTCTGGCAAGTGGGGGTTGGACTGTGCACAAAGGAACCTTTTTTTTTCAATCCCAGGTCCCGACAATGGGCACAATTGTCCTCTTGCACAAATCAAACCATCCCCCATGCCTCGCCAAATGGGCCGGCCCACGCCTTAACCATTCGGCCATATTGATATCTTGATGGACTCTCATTTCCTCGAATCGATTTTTGAACACCATGGGTGCCTGCTGCCAATGGGTCCTATGGGAAGGCATGTGACACCTGCCGGTTGAACAATGAGAAAAATGGAGGGCAAAGAAAAGGACGCCAGTGAGGCGGCAAATACGGTATGAAAAGATAAAGAAAGAAGGAATATGAATGTCAGAGATAGGGTCATATCAAGAATAAGGCGAGAGGAAGAGAGTTGGTGTAGGCCAAAAAGATAATCATTCTTTTCCTCCCCTCCCTCACATCCATGTCGAGGTGTACACTAAGCACCCGTTGCATCGGAAAAAAGAGCTGAAGCTTTATTATCACACGCAAACTATACTACTCCCGTAGACACTCCACAAAAAGGTCATGAGCTAGGTGCCCCATCCAACATGAGAGGCGGGCGAAAACAGAAAAAAAAGAAGGCATGTAAAATTTGTTAGAGAATATGTTTTGAGCACTGTAGCAAAACAACCACCATCTTCGCACTTTTCGCCCATTGTTCACAGCTTTTGGATAGCCAACATATACACACATCTAGGCTGGACCCCCAACCTCATGTTCTTTAGCCCTGGCCAACTACCCTAGACAATGCACAAAAGCCAAGACCATCCTTTTTGCACAGCACAAGCGTCCGACGACTTGACCTCTTTCTTCACTAGGAAAAAGAGATATACAAACAAGACTGGTTGCGCAGGGGTAGAACAAGGTAAACCAAGTACAAAACTCTCTTGAACCCTACAAGTTGGCAAGAGAGCAGCCTTCATGTCACAACACAAGATGTTTACTCTCCCAAAGACCCAAGTAACAATTCCAGCGAAGATATTATTAACGAGATGCGTGCCCAAGGCTTACTTCACAGGGACCAATAAATGTATACTTTTTGTCGAGGGAGGTCCACCTGTTCTGCATCCGTTTTGTCCTACCCCATGCCTCTCCCAGACACCAGGCGTCGACACCATGAAACAAGAACGACCTTCTTGAGCAAATGTCACCTCGAGTGAACAATAGTAACCCTCAAACCCGAAACCCCAGATGAAAGAAGTATCCATGATACTCTATGCTGCTGATGGACACTTGTTGACTTCTTGCGCTTGACAGTTTCGAAGGAAAGGGTGAGAGGGAGTCCCGAGCGATTTCCATGCTCTATGTCCATTGTCTCCTCAGCTGATCCTGCTCCTGCTTCTTCTTTGGGTGAACATCGCTAACCCTATATTGGCTGAGAAGGACGCAAGCAAACGATAGCTGATGTCACCAGCCTATGTCAAGCGAGAAGAAAACGAAACGAGGCAGCCCGAATGTTTTGATGCAAGTACCAAAGGTGAATGAAGGTTGAGAGGGGAGTGGGTCGAAGTTAATGACAGTAACAAGTGTGTGTAGTGAAGACGTGAGGGGCTGTTGTGTGAATGGCGTCGATGTGGTTTTAAATGGAGTTAATGTGGTTTTGAACTGAAGAGGGTACCCTTGAGTGAGTGGGAAGAAAAATGAAATTCGGCTGTCTGAGGGCAACACATACAAAAAGTTATGTAGAGAAAGGACCAACATATACATGGAGGAGGGGAAGATGAGAAAGCAATGGAATAACAAAGATGAACGTGGTCAACCTTTACTGTAAACGACAACTATAGTTATCAATATGCTATCTTATGCCCTCCATCAGTTTAAAATCACCTTTCACAACGGTCAAAGGTCCTAATTCGTTGAGCCTGGGCGAAGTCGTAAAGCAACAGCAAAGTCGGAACAAAACGAGCAAAACAGACTACTGAGCCCTGTTGACTACATAGGGATGATGGTACTCATACCAGTGCTATTATATAATCGTTGTTGGCGGAATCTGCCTCACTCGCGACAGTGAATGTTTCGCTTACGTCAATCTTTCAGAGACGCTCATTCCCTTCGACATCTGCCCAGCAAGGTGATTCCAGCATAGCACCTTGTCAGTTACACCCTTCTCCTTTTTCAAACGACATTTGAGTAACACTGTTAATACCGCGCTATAAATACGCTGAAGCTTTCCTTTACCTCATAAGTAAAGCCTCTGCCCCTATCCGGCGGTCAAGGTTTTGCCCAGGCTCAAGTAGACTCCAAGTCCTTGGGTGGCCCAAGGAAGGGTCATTCCCTCTTTACTTCCTCTAAAAGCCTGCTGCCAAGGCTCACGCCGGAAGCTAGATAGCCAGCTCGATCAGCTTGATAAACAATAAACGTTATTATCTTCTTTTTCTGGTGAAAGCTTCACTTCATGGCAGGTACTACCTCAATACACAAATGAAAACAACTCACTATGCGTTTTGAACGACTTAATTTTATTATCATTGTTTTTTTCTGCAGAGAGCTTCCTACGCCGACCTGCAGGTAGAATTAAATTAGGAAAAGGAGAAGGAAGGGGATGGCGAAGACTTATTCTTTGTATCACTTCTTGCTGACTACATCTCGTTCTACTCGACGTTTCCACTTCTTGCTCCAAGGTGAAAAAAAGTACTCAATGGTGATATGCTCGAGGATTCTCCTGCTCTCTCTGTGGATAGGATCAAAGAAGGTGACGTAGCAGCACACAAGGGCCACCGATTCGGTCAAAGGCTCCAGAAGAGTACTTGCCTCTGGCTGGATGAAATTGAGAATAAGATCGAGAGTTTCCAGAGAACGGGCACTGACATAGATGCTGAGTTTGCCATTGATATAGTGATCAAGGAGTTGGTGGATCGACATGGCCTGGCTGCGAACAGAGTCGATGACATCCGGGTAGTGTTTAAGGTGCTGATCCAGGTGCTGGTCGTCGATTGGGACCAGGGTCCGCTCTGGGTCGGCATGTCGATGATGCGTCAACTTCTCAGGGTCATCAGGTAGGCAAGAGCAGTCGAGGGTCCCGAGAGTGAGACAGACTGCGCGGCCTAGAAAACCGTCAGAGTCACCGAAAAGGATGGGACCGGAGACCTCTACAAAACGTTGTCTAACCATGTCGTACCCGTGATCAGAAGAGGATGGGGGTGCGTTGTTGTCCATGAGCTGAGTAGTTGAGTGATTTGGGAGGCCATTCGTCCTTGCGCCGCATGAAGAAACAGGTGCATTGTCATTTTCGTTGCGGGCGGCAACATAGTTTCGATAGTGACGCTGGCTGGCCATGTTTGCGTTGTTGAAAAAAAGTGGGGTTGTGAAATAAGAATTGTGAGGAAAAAATGTGAACGAGACTGTGAGGTAGTGTGAAGTGAGTGTTTGAATGTTGCGATTTGTTGAAGAGTGGGTGAAGCAGAATAAAAAGTGGTGTGAGTAAAAAGAGTCGCGAAAATATCGACAACAATAAACATGGCGAAGCGGATGGCAGTCAACGAGGGGTTGCCGATTAAATGATGAGTTCGCCGATTCACACTTGGTTCATCTCGTTAGCATCAAATTTTTTTTTTTCATACACAATTTTTTTTCTCTAACAAACAGCATAGAGAAGTTATTTGGAAGTAAAAGGGGACTACAGACCAAACTCTTCAGTGCACCATCCGCCAGTCGCAGTCCGGTCCAGAACCTGGCTCTGCGCAACAATTGTCGATGCTCTTCACAGCTTAAACGGAAGAAGATAAAACTAGATACGAATGAAGGGGATTCTTCCCATCCTCTCCATCATTGACAACCTCCTCCTTCCTAACAAACTCTCCAACAACCGCTCGTCAGCAGCGCGTGGGTCCTTGGTCGCCCCAGGGCACCTTCCTTCACAATGTGTGGCTAGCGAAGCGCCACACGGACAGAAACCATCGTGCGTGATGTAACCGTATCCTTGACTCCAGTCACCTCGGGGGCCTGTGTACTTGGATGTCTTGTCCTTGGCAGAGATGCCCTGGCTTTGTTCCCACGCGATCGTCGCGGAGCACCGAGGTTTCCAGATACATTGTCGTCCTTTTCTTTCCTCTTTTTTTTTTTTTTTTTTTATTTTATGTTTTTTAATGCCCAATTTTTAGTCACTCGTATCACGTGACTTAATTGGTATGAATGATGTTGAACACTTAATTGAAAAAGTAAGATTACATCAATAGAAGTCAATATGGCCGAGCGGTTAAGGCGTGTGACTCGAAATCACATGGGTTCTCCCGCGCAGGTTCAAATCCTGCTGTTGACGCTATCTTTTGCTTCTCTCAACTCCCTTTGGGGGTTGAGCACTGTGGCTACCCGGGGCGACGCCCCGATCTTTTTGGTTTTTTTTTTGGTGCGCCATCCGCATTTTAATTTGACACTCTTACGAAGAAGGCCCGTGGCAGAGCCACGGACGTCCCCCTTTCAAAGTCAAGTATTGTAGTTATTATGTCTTATGCCCAACACCAAGATTCTTAATGAAGTCGTCCGAACGCCTTCTCCAACAAGGATTTGGTCGAGCGCAGCAAGGAGGAAACGGACCAAGAGCCCAACAAACCCGAGGGACTCGAGGAACTCGACGACAGTATCGACAGGAAAAGCGATACTATGGGTACCGTATAAGGCTCTATAAATGGATGGGCAATGTTAGATATTTTTTTATTTGCCTAAAGTCTTGCCGGTACTCATGTTCACAATGTCATGAGAGTTTTGTTGATGATTCTGACTTAAACACCTAATATCATCTTGCTGGTGTTGTGGCTGGGATGAGCGTGAGTTTCAAGAAGGAAGAGGAACGGGGCCCGTTTGTAGCCATATTTTGTGGATCGCTACCCAATGGGGTTTCAATCGTTGTCACAGCCATCTTTACCATAAAAAATGTAATCAATATCTCATGAGCGATCTAGAGATAGGAAGTGAAGGCATAACAATCCAGGGCTCTATGTTTATTACTATAGATTACAGTACTTTCTTTTTTTCAAGGAGGTCCGTCGAGGCAGTCCTTTGGAGTGACCTCGTACGAACTTGGACGATAGTAATCCATGCATCAAGTCCATAAGTGCTTTCTCGGGAACGATAACGGCGTTTGTTCTGCCCGAAGGCGTAATAATGAGACTTTTTTTTTTTTTTTTTTTTTGGTGGCGGAACATCAAGAGAATAACCAACAGTCGAGAGGAGCCTAATAAAGTAAACACAAATGAGCGCCTATTTTCCATGCAATTCAACTCTCCCACCATTCACCAATCACCATTTGTTCAGTGTTGTCAGAATAGCGGTGCGCTTGATGTCTTGAGGTGCAAAGCTGCTGTTGGAGATATTGGGGTATATAGTGCGGATAAGTTGGATCTCGTGCTCGTTGTTGAGATTGGGTCCATATGGCGTAAAAAGGATATGGTCGGAATCCTGATATAATCATCAGAGTCGTCAAATGAATATGTCTGCTCCTTGCTTTCACCCACACGTAGCAAAAAATCGACAAAGGAAAAAGAGCTGCTCTCGTCCGCCTTGACTTGCATATAGCGAGTTAGCTTGAGTGTCTTGACCTTGGGCTAAATGGTGCCAGACATTTTTTACACATGCGCCCTCGATCTGAGACTGAGATCCATGAACAACCACCGGCAACACCTGTCGAAAATCACCACCAAACACGACACTCTTTCCGCCGAAAGGAACCACGGGTCGATCCATAATATGTCAAACGACCCGGTCCACCGACTCGAAGATATGTCGATGCATCATGGGCGCCTCGTCCCAGATGATGAGGTCGGCCGCATGAATAATGGATCTGACTTGTTGCTCGCGGGTAATATTGCAGGTCGAGTCTTTGAAAACCGGAAAGGGGACCTTGAAGACAGAGTGTGCAGTGCGTCCACCATAAAGGATCAGAGCTGCTATACCAGACGACGCGAGGACAACAACATTACTTCTCATAACACCGCTGATTTGTTCAATCAGTGTATTGCAGAGAAAAGATTTGCCTGTGCCACCTGGCCCGTCAATAAATATTTCCCGCTGCTCGCATTCAAGGCTTGGATGTGGGAGCCCGCCAGCTTGGCGAGCTCTTCACGCGATTTTTCGCTGTGGTCGGAGGCGGACTTTGGGATGTGGCGGAGAATGCTGTAGCTGATGACTTGTGGCATAGTGGGAAAGTGGGCCAGAGAAGGGAGACAGGACCTTTCGCTGTCCTTAGGCTGGACAAAGTAGATCCGGGCAATCTTGAAGGTGTCCTTTTGTTTCCTATTGTCCCACTTGCGATTGTTTAGGTCGTAGGTGTAATGCTCAGGAATCCCGGCATATGCATATGTATGTGCGTTTTTGTCCTCTTGGTTCAGCTTGAGGTAGATCAGTTGACTGTCATTGTTACGGCGGGCGACACAAAGTAGTTCCGCATTTTTTTTAAAGGTGACGTTGTGCTGGCCTTGGAGATTGACCTGTAGTCGTTGCACAGCAGGCGAATGATCATGCAAAGGATATCCAAGGATGCGCCACATGCTCTCATGGGCAGAGAGGTATCTCCTATCGCGAAATTCGTGAATCTCATTGCGCGGAGGATCCTAATATACAAACGACGGTAAAAAAATATGTAGAGAGTGAGAAAACAGCAAGCAATGAGCTGCAATGGTCAGACTTCAAGAGAAAAAAAATGCCTAAAGAAATACCTCCGTGCTTGCTGCATTTTTCTGGTCTGTAGTGACTGAGCTTTGACCAGTGATGGCGGTGCTGGACCCTGTAATGGTGGCTGTGGCGGAGCTAAAGCTTGTTGCGGTAACTGTGGCAGTGGCGGCGCTGGTGCTGGTGCTGGTGCTGGTGGATGCTGAAGACAACGATGAAGATTGATCAGTGGACGCAAACGGAAGACTCTTCTCTTTTTTTCGAGGGCGATCTTGGCTCTGTCCGGTCCTTTGTGGAAATGAAAAATGATGATATGACTTTTGCGCTGCGAGATTCTTGTTTTGATTTGATAAAAAAAACGCAAGAACAAAAGACACACCTTATGGATGTACTTGTACAAATATTTCACCGCAGAGACCGAAGAACATATCTCGACATTGATATGGGCGTTGTACTTGGTTGCCAGCCAAAGGTTATGAGGCACGATCCAGCTATTGTCGATCTCTGTTTTCTCATTGAGCATGTAGGACACACACGATCGTCGACGGTACCTTTCAGGAGCGCAAAATCGCTTTATCGCTCTCTATTTGCGCTGCAATCCATCCATCAGTCTGTACCTCTTGCATCAGTCAGCACCTCTTGGCAAAATCCATTTTGTTTTCCTTCTTTATTTCGTTCTTTCTTCCCTTCTTCCATAACCCCCTTCCTCCCTTCCCCCTCCTCTATCACCCGCACCCTTCCCTCCTCCAAATTTCTCATCAAGTAAAACCTACACTTTCCCATATCTCCTTTACTCCGCCTTCCGCTCAACAACATAATACTCAACAACTATGGAACCAGACTCTGACCAGGTACAGATCCAGATTCATGAGCTTGCCTTGCCTCTTATTTTAAAGCCATGGTCAACCGCGATTGTCAGACTCGTATTCACGCGTCGTTCATTTCTTATACCCTTTTACTTTTATAACAGACTATCGAGATGTTCAAGGAGGATTATGACGCAGAAGAGAAAGGCGACTTGTTGTGGGCGGTCAGGTTGGATGGTGACGAGGTACTTCTTTTATTTCTTTATTGTTCCGTGGTAAATATTTCATTTAACAAAGTCACTGACCAACCTCTCTTTATCACAGCCAAATTGGTGGCGATAGGAGGCTCTGGCTACTAAATCAATCATGTACCTGGTGGAAAAAACCTGGGATCCTGGACCTATGCTGGAGCGTGTCACCCAGCCAGCAGCCTACAGAGACGCGGTCCTCGATATTTCACAAGATCCTCATATCAAGAAATCCTACAATGCACGTATCATGGACGTCACAAAGGCTCTCGCGGGAAAGGGCCTTGTCAAGTTGGAGGAGCCTAAGTTATGTCCCTTGTCCGCTGTAGCGCACCGTATCAAGACCGATTTGCTCGACCCAACCACTAGGATGGACCCGCTTCCCCTAACAATTCTTCTCGGTCCTGACAGAATGCGCAAGACAGTGCGCCCTCGCACATCGCTCTCTTGGGCACTGCTGTCCGAACACCTGTCATGTACCATCGCTATCTTCTCTTCCACCGCGGAGCACCGAATCTATCAGCCGGAGACCAGTAGGGGCGTGATATGCTTTCTCCACGAAAAAAACCCTCTTGCTCGACGATCGACCTTTGCAGTGCTGCAAGTGACGGACAAGACACTGGTATCGTCGTATCATCTCAAAGTCCCTACGGCGGCGACTGCAAGGCCTGCCATACCGACTGCCTTTTTGCCCCTCATGCCCACTTCTGTCCAAGCTCAGACTGATCCATTGATATCAGCTGAGACATCGTCAGCAGCGCTTTCATCAGGTCCTTTCTACTCTTCCACGGTATCTCCACAGTTCGCATCGCCATCGTCACTATCGATTGTAGAGTGGCCCCCTCTCCCCTCGGCCCAGTCGGCATCGATGCCATCATCAAATACTGTTGCATGGCCAAGTAGTGTTTCCACGGCGTCGTCGTCCCAATCGGCGCCTGCCCCATCTGCCAAGCCAACTTCTGAATCGTCAGATGTGCTCCGAACATCAACAATGTCTGCAAGCCCACCGGCACCATCTCTACCTCAAACCACGCCCCCTCACGCAACCTTCCGTATTGGAAAGAGACGACAGACTTACACGCTTAAGGACTCAAGAAAGCATTTGACATCGGATGTGGTGAAATCGTTTTACACCGGGGCATGGTAAGTTGTCTTGCTTCTCTTGCTTGGTTAATGACTATAGTGAATATAGTATGTATAACTGACCTTTTCGCCGTTCTTTCTTTTCATTTCAATCATAGTAACGACCGCATTCGCGACGACGTCAACGAGAAGGTTACAGGAATGTGGTTGAAGAGGCGGGAGCAGGACACACCAAGTGAGGTGTTTACAGACGTAAAGAAGCGCAAGATTATGGATGGAATGCTGAAAGGAAGAGTGCCCGCGGGGTTGAATGATACAGCTGTAGAGAGAGTCAAGGCTGGCTTCAACGATACGGCGACGTTCAAAAAGTGCAACCTTACTACTATTGTCGACACAAAATCCCGACAGAGCCTGTACAGCGAGTCGGTAAAAAGTGTGTTCGAATCGTCTTGGGATGCGGCCATTCTCCAATACCAGCCACAAGCCAACATTGCCGATGCTGTCAATTACGGAGACCCCGCAAGCAGTACTGCGACTATGGATAAGGGACTGATTGAGGAGGCAGATGATGGCATGGGTGAGTTCCCGCAGATGGACGAGGAGGAGCTCGGGCTTGTGATTGAAGCGGACGCGAAGGCACGGGAACAGAGGAGGATGAAGAGTGTTACAGTCAGACTTCAAGATATTGTGCGTGAAGAACTGTTGAAGGGCAAGATCTATTCAGAGCCCATGGATGAGTCAAGCAAGAACTTGGAGGAGGAGGAGCCAACGGACTACCAGAAGATAGTCAGGATATTGAGCAGGACACAGGAAGTTCTAACGAACGCGGTGGATGAACTTGCGTGTCTTGGTCGTAAGACCACTTTGTTGGTAAGATATTTCGTTTTGTGCAAATGCAAATTCCATGAATGTTTTTGTTTGAACATGGCATACGTTAACGCCGTTTTCTTTTTCTTTTCTTTTTTTTACATATGGTTGACTACAATAGATGGCCCAGAATCGATTCACTTTGCCAGGACAGAGGAACCACGAGCCTGAGCAGAAGGAGAGGGGGGAGGTACCCCACTTTGACCTCAGGGATACTTTGGTGCCATCGGCATTCATTCCACGCAACGACACAGCGCCGACAATGCCAGTAGCGCCTATACCGGAGTCCCTTGAATGCTTTGTGAACTCCTCACCCACTGGTGACAACAAAAAATGGATGCAGGACGCCCAGAACCTATTATCCTACCACCATCTAGGGTATCTCTATGCAAGATTCATGGGTCCAAATGGCGTTCAAGCGTCCTCTAGCCAGGAGCACCCCCTATGGGCCATGCTTGCTGACGAGATCGATGACCCCCCAGGACCGCAGTGTCTATCTGACGATTGGAGTCCCGGTTGTCCCCACCCTTTGGACGGCCTATCGACGCTGCTATGCGACTATCGAGTGGAGTTGGGAACCAATTTCAAGAACCTCTGGGAAGGAAACCTTTACTTCAAGTGTCTCGAGTTTTATTGCGATTTTCGCTTCGGTTTCACCTTGCCCCAGACCGAGAGATGCGGTATTTACGAGCGGACGCGGGCGTTGGCGGATAAAAAGATTCGTGCCAAAAAAGAAGCAAGAGCCCAGTCGACACATTCGCACAAGTCATGGGTTGACCGAATGGAACAGACCCAGAATGATCTGGGTACCCTCATAGCATTCGGAGGATCTCAAGATCGTATCCGCGGATTACTGGCGTCTCTCGCTATGCAAGCTGATCGTGAGCCTGTCGTCGTTGAACCACATGGATTGGGTGACCAGATTCTGGCCGAAAACTCGACAAATCCAGACCCTTCCACCAAAAAGCAGAATATGCTCGAAACCATCACGCTCCTGGAATGTACTGAGGAGGCGTTGGATGAGCTTGACCTAGAAGCAGAGGAGGAAGAAGAGGCCAAGAGATCTACTGAAGGTAAAAAAAAATGATCATGTCAGTTGCACTCTCTTATCCGTTTGAACATGCAATGTCTGGCGTAGACATACTATAGATCCAGACTAAGGGCTATCCAGACCGTGACCAAGATGTTACTAGAATCGCCCAAACTGGAGCAGGCCCCGGACATTAATTGGGTTCGAAAGTCATGCAACAACCCAGACGACTTTTCAGAGCTTGAATGCGCAGCAATTGTCCGGATAGTAGGAGCATTGCGAGATTACGTTCCCAAACGCCGCGAGAAGCACGATGGAGGGACCTCTCCGCCTGAGCACAACGCGGCCACCATGATTCGGGTTGTTCTGCTGTCTAATCACTTCCTGAGCTGTACTGGATACGCCGATTTCACTCGGCGGTTCTCCCCTACCCCCTCCTTATCAGCCCTTCATCCTATTCCGTTGAGCGCCGCTGGAATCTATGAAGTCCTTTGCCCGAGCTCTGATCATCATTTTGATGCCAAGATCGACGAGACTCACCCCATTACATCGGTGGAACACGCTAACAAGAACCAGCTGGCAGTCCTTGCGAACTTCTTTGACCTTAAGAAGATCGAGAAGGTTTGCACCACATATGGCCTTGAATTTGCCAAGCGGTAAGTGTTTCGTTTTTTTTTTTACGTTGCAGTTGGTGTAGAAAAGACAAAAGTAAAAAACCAACAAACTGATATTTTCATTTAGTTTGACTTTTGTCAATTCTTTCACGACTCGTGTCCTGGGTGAGGTACGACCAGCATATCAAGGCCGGGGCGGATCACCTGTTGTGAGTGACCTCGAGGATGCCAAGAAGGACAAGAGCCAACGGAGGCTAGGACGAGACTGGAGTCTCGAAGGAGCACGTACTGGAATCACTCAAGAGGATGCCAAGCGACGGCTCATTGAACTTGGAACGGAGCTAAAGGACCGCGGGATATCGCAGGAGGAGAAGAGGCAGCGCTGGCTAGGAGCAGACCAGGAAAGATACGAGTTATCAGTCCTCGAGCGGAAGATGTCCAACACCGGCAACTCGCATCTTCGTCACACAACGCCTCCAGGTCCATGGAACAACGGAAATCCTATCAGAATCTCTGTGATGGCAAGCGGAGAGCAGACTTTAGCTTTCTAGACTGGATCAAGGATGAAGAACAGCTGCGGGAGCTAAAAGCGACAAAGTACGCTCTCCAGAAGATCGCTAACACGCGCCCGAAGACCACACGACCTAACACCACCCAACCAGAGCGATCACATCCTGGGTCTCAAGCTACATGGACCAGCCCATGCGTGGAAAACAGGGCGGAGTCCATGCGAATCGATCACTTATTGGACGGGCTTTGTCCAACGGATTCCAGCACCACATCTCCTCGTGGGATAGGAGTGACATCGGACGACCCTGGGCTATGTACACTAAACACATATGCTGTTACCACGTTGTCCAAAGTCACCGAATCAATTCGACACTATACTGTGGCTACCAGCAACAGATTCTCATTGCTGTCAGGTAACTATCAAACTCAAAACTGAATAGCTCAAACTCTGCCTTATTTTTCGAAGATTGAGATGCTAATCACTATATTCTTTTTATCCTATTGATAGTCGTGGATGAGGTCGTCCCTCCCATGGATGATAATACTCACTTGGAAGTTTAGCAAAACTCCCCCCTACCCACAGAGTCACCGCCCCTTGGATCAGCGATCTCTCCTCCCGAAAAAACCAAAAGCGGCGAGAAAAGCGATTGGCAAGTGATACTCCCGAAGCCATTGCTACGAGGGCAGCCCACACGAGTCTCTCCAAGAACTCTATCGAATCCGCCACTACCCTGGAAGAAGTCGATACCGCGCAAAAAACCCGTCGAGACGCTCAAAAACCCTGTAGGGAGTTTGAGGGTGGTGTATGGCGTCAAAGAGATCTGTTGGTGCAGGAAACGATGACGAAACGAGCATATGCAACTATAGCCGCACAACAGAGAGCAAGGGCCAAGGAAGCGGTCATAGTCGAGAGCCACATCAGATCCAACGACAACGTCAGGGTCGAGGACGCCAACAATGATGATAACACCACACAATACCAGGATGTTCATGTCGTGGACATACCAACAGGACACCAACAGGATGCCGGCCAAGCTCTCCACGCGGACCCTCACCGTAAGCACTTCTCGATTGAAATGAGGGTATACATGTGAATAGGCGCTTCATAATGCATTCGGCTAATAATACCAACCTGTTTTATCACATTCTTCCACCTTATAGATGCAGGACCAATCTCCTCCAAACGGGACGTGGCCGTTGTTGTGCTCCACGGAGCGGCGGGCACACCCGTCGGAAGTAGGATTAAAGGGCATGAAAAGCGTGGAGGCTCCAAAATGACCAAACAACATAGGCAACATGCCCCCGTCGCCCACACAAATGAAAACAGAACCAGCCGCCTCTGCTCCTGTTGCTTTCACCCTATCTTCTTCTCTCGTGGTCAGCGCATCCGCGACGGAAAGACGACGACTGTCCGCCTCAACGGAGCAGTAGATTGCAGAAATCCTCTTTGTCCACGAAAACAAGCCGGCCTCGGTTCGATGGGGAGAGATTCCAATGCAGCCTCCAACATCGGGATATCTGGTGCCTCCATCCTCCTCTCAACCGACCACTCCGCCCTCCCACCCTTCCGACCTTTTTCTCTTCCTCCTCACCAACAACACCAGCACCATGCTGGACGCCTTCCATCTCAAGTCCACCCACTAGGATGCGACAAGGGACTGTCTAATAGTAGAGAGAGCAGTTGATTTTCTGGTGGCGGAACAGTAGCACTTAATATCATTTTGGGTTTGGCTGCAGCCTGCTGTCCTTCTCATCGGCGCCATTTTCTTATCAGTCATGTATCCATGGTTTGCAACATAGGCTCGTACCGAACGTTGTACCGGTTCTTCCAAGTAGGGAGTACCTTTGCGGAGACGAAGTGACATCTAGAGAAAGGAATGACAAGTTTGTTTGACAATGCAGACACAATGTACACTACCCTTTTTGTCTGAATTGCACATCCAAGACCCCCTCCCCTTGTTATCTCAATTCACTCCTCACTATTTTCGACTTGTGTCTCTCCTGGATCAGTCCAGTTGAGCATGAACATCCATAACTGCTTTCGTTACCTTTTTACTTTTTAGTTTCGGTCTTATTATGACCCTGGAGACTAGGGGGTCTCTCTGCGCAATCCAAGAACTCGGCGCGACAGGAAGAGAATAAGCTACAAGTGTTGCGTTCCTCATAGATCAGAGGCAGATCAAAAGTGATGGAGAAAAAAAAAAAAGGGCCCGCATATTGGCCCTTATGTGGTGAAGTTATATGAAGAGCACGTTTGTTCCCAAGAAAAGAGATATATGAACTGCTTTGCAGAGTGGTAGTGAGAGAAAGAGAAAGAGAAGAGAACGTGCCAGGGTTGAGCAAGTGTGTGTGGGAGCTCCACTTTTTTTTTTTTTATGGAATGAATGTTCTATGATCGGTTTCTATTTCTTCTTTAGACTCCTCATTTTCTTTTTTCCTTTTCCCCTTTCTATTCTTTTTCAGCTGTGATGCTCTCCTCCTCATTGGACCTGTCCCCCCTTGCCTAGTCTCTCAATGCTCAAATACAGTGTACAGTACCGAGGGTCGTTGGCGAAAAGGCCGACGGGCGAGAGCTGCTGATTGTGAATGAAATGGTGCTACCATCACTCATTCGTCCGTCTCTGTTGTCATGTTTGGGAAAAATGGACCGTGACCCTTCCCTTCCCCTTCCCGTCTCCTCCCTACTGTATTGTTATTTCTATTTCAAAATTAGTGTCAAATGGATCCATCCGAATAGGGGAAAACAACGGGCAGTTGGATCGAAAAAGACGTTTCCTGGAATTCCATGTTGGATATAAGGTTTGAACAAGGAGAGGGACAAAAAAAAAACGGATTGCCATAAACTGTTGTTTGTGTGCGGGGTGTGTGGTGTGTGGTGTGTGGATGGATGGGAGAGTTGTTCGAGGTCTGACAATATGAGTCTGTCTCCTTTGCCTTTTTTTTTTATTCTTTTGGTGTACAGTACACGAGAGACTTGGGTTAGCGAGATGAAAGAAAGGATCAGTATTACCAGGGTTGCAAAGGAGAATGAGAAAATAAAGGGGAAGGAGGAGGAGAGATGGAGGAGTCAATTGAAGAGGAAAGCATGATGAAAGGTAGCAGAGACGAAGGGGAAGAGCGTCTTTGTTGTTTGTGTTTTGTTTGTTATGAATGCTCTTTTTTAGTTCACTGTCAAGTTCAAGGGCTAAAGGCGTGTTTTTCCCATGGATGACAAATGCTATGATTCTTGTTTGTTGTTGCGATTGTTGATGGTGCTGCCGTTCACGAAGAACGAAAAGTCGATAACTCGAGGATATGGATAGCAGGTACTTTCTCTCTCGTTCTCATCAGCATCATCAGCATCATCATCATCATCCATGTATGCCAAATACATAACACCCTCCACAAAGCGACAAAAAAAAAGGGGAAAAGAAAGGTGCAATAATAGAGAGTACATGTGAGATGATACCGAGCACCAAAATCGGAAGAAGTGGTCCCAGTGCACTCTTCTGCCTTCAAAAATAAATAAATTGAGCATTGAGTTGGAAGGGTCCCTCCTCTACTGCTCTTGCAAGCATCTGGTTCTTGCAACCCCTAGCACGTTTTCGTCATATTTTTAGTTGAACTCGCCCTTTTGGCAAAGAAGGTTAGTCTCGACGCTGGCCGCATAATTACTTCAAAAGAAGGAAACCAAAGAACAATTGACATCCCATCAACCACCAAACGACAATAACAACAGCAAACGGCTGCAACAACAACTACAGGAAAGACAGCATGGCCAAGCGAAGCAAAGGAGGTGGCGGGGATGAAAAATAACTGATGAGGAAAGAAGAATAAGGCGGGGAATGATGTGTGATTGTGCGACATTGTACCATTGGCGAAACAAGGAAACCAGGGGCCTAAGGATGAGGGAAAAAGAAGATGAGGAAGAAAAAAAGAAGTGTCCTTGGACTCGTTTGAACACAAAACAAGCATTTTCTTGTCTGCTGGGCTGGCAATCTCGTCATTTTTTTTTTTTTTTTTTTTTTTTTTTGAATGAGAGAGTCTAGACAGTCGACTTTGCTTTGTACTGTCGTTTTGTAATCGAGAGTAAGCGATCCACATGGACACCATTTTTTTTTGTTGATTGGATTCGATCGGTAGCTTTTTTTTCTCCTCGTTTTGCCTGGTAAAGACAACGGAGTAGCGAGGGTGTTTAGTTCTTGCACTCATGAAGACAATGATGGCTTTCAAGGGAACTATGAGAGGGGCCAGGACGGTGATGATGACGGACCTGATGCTCTTTGTTCAATGTACTTGATCAGGTATTTCAGAATGAGATTGCAATGTAATAAAAAAAGGGGAGGGGATCTGGGTTGAGATCTGAGTAGGCGAGTGCTTGAGAATTCTTTTTCTGTTCAATATCAGACACACGAGAAACAATACACAGACAAGAGACAGAGAGAGAGAGAGAGAGGGAGAGAGATGCAGAGAGACAGAGAGAGAGAAAAAGAGAGAGACACGAGCACTAGTGGCCAAACAGATTGGCTCTCACACCCCAAGCAGGAAATTTTTTGTCATCAGACTCGTCCTCTCTCGCCCGGGAATAAAAAAAGTCTTTTTCCAATGTGTGTGGGTTGTTACCGAGGGTCACTTTTGCCCTTTATTTGTTGTGCGAGGTCCTTCCTCGCTTTCTTTTTTTTCCACTTTCCGTTCCCTCTTCTTTTTTCTTTATACTCTTCACTTCCCTTCTTCTTTCTTCATTTTTTCATATTTTTTTATTCATCCCCCTCCTCTTTACCCTTTTTTGTCTTCGCCATCACACATACACACACTCTCTCTCTCTCATTCTCATTCTCATTCTCATTCTCTCTCTCACTCTCCCCTCATCACTTTCACTTACTCTCATTCATTCACTCCGCAGACACCTCACTTGCCACATCCCTTTCATCACTCTGTCCATCTCGTACCCACACTCACTCTCTTCTTTAGAACAACCAGCCATCATCAAAAAAAAACCAGATACCCTTGTTCTACGAATGTCCTCGAGTCAGCAATCTTCCTCGCCTCCTCCCTTTGGTGCGCCGGGGCCATATCCCTCCATGGCATACCCAGCCTACTACCCTCCCCACCCACACAGCCAACCACAGCACCAACAGCCGCAGCCACACCACCACCATCCTCACCCTCACCATCCTCACCCTCACCCTCAACATCATCCCTATCACCCTCCCTACCAGCCCTACCCTCCACCAAACTATCCTCAACAATACCCATCTGGTCCCGGCTACGGTCACGGCCATCCCACATACTACCCTCAACCACAGCAATATTCAACTGACCCTGCTACAGCCTCTACCTCGGCTTCTTCTCCAGCACAGGCGCTGTCCGCAACTGAAACGTCATCTGTAACACCCGCTCCCACTGCCAAATCGACCAAGACCGGAACGGCGACCAAGACTCCCAAAGCAAAATCTGGCCCAAAAACCACCACCGCTTCAGCAGCAGGAGGAGACACACCCAAGGCAAATTCGACCCCCAAGACGCCAAAAGTCTTTCGATTCGAGGGCAGTATCTCGTCAGAGTCCTTCAAGACCTCAAAGTCGTTCGACCTCGCCGGAGTCAACATTCTCAATCGGAAACCGCTCGACACCAAGACTGCGCTTGACAAGCTGCAGCGACGTCGTGAAACCCACAACCGTGTTGAGCGCAAACGACGAGACTGCATTAACCAGGTATAGTATTATTTTTTCTGACCTCGCCCAATTGTTTTTTTTGCTATTCAACCCAGCCTAACAAGAAATCTATCCTCTAACGTCAATCTTGCACCGCTCTTACATAGTTGATTGATGACCTTACACAGCTCCTCCCTTCTAAGCACCTCGAGGAAACAACCTCGAAATGCCACCGCGTCAACGTCCTCCGAGGAGCCGTCAGCCATATCAAGTTCCTGAATGACTCTAACGAAGCCCTCACAAAGTCCATTCGTTCAATCAAGGGCGATGATTTCACGCTGTACCTCCCACAAGAGTCCTCCGCAGGTCCCGGAATGTCCATGGATGTCGATGACGAAGACGACGATGATGCTATCAAGGGAGAAGGTGACTCTGATGACGATCGGACGCCTGATCAGGTTACCGCCACTATGTCTCGCTCTGGCTCGCCTTCGTCCTCGATCACCTCAACACCCAGCTCACCCAAGACCTCACTCACCAGAAGGATGGTCCCACCTCCAGTCATCATTACCGATGCCCCCAGTCCCTCAACCGACAAGATTCAGTCAATGACCGTTGATCCTTTCAGCGCAGAGTCGCGTCAAAGGGCTAACTCGTTTGCATCTTCGATTGGGGACATGAGCAGTCCAAGGAATTCCTTCTCGAACTCACCCGCCTTCCCACCCTCGCCCACCTCGCCAGCCATGTTTGGCCTCTCAGGACAGTTCCCTGCTGGCGAAGATCGTGTTGACGGACATGCATGGGATCAGCAGCAACAGCAGCAAAAGCAGCAGCAATTGTCGCCGTACTTGAACCATTCGCCCTCGCCATCGCCTTCATTGCCACCAATTTCGTCACTGTCCAACTTGCATATCCATTCGCCCACCAACCGCCCAGCGGAAGGCCCAGCTGATATTCAGACTCCAGGTGATTCCAACCGCAACCCATCATCGTCGTATTCAGGACGTGGTAATCGTGGTCCCGTTGTTCTCCCACCTCTTATGATCCCAGAGCCTCACCACTTGCATCCGTCCTACCAACAGGGCTCTGCCACTAGTTCAAGCAGTGGTGCTCGGACTAGCGGAACAGGAAGCAACCGAAGCAGTTTGACATTGTCGCCCAACCCTTCGGAGCAGCCTCCTATCTCGCCTTTTATGCTTTCGCCTCTCTTGCCTCGTTCTCCTTCGATCGGACCTACTTCTTCCATCTCGCCTGGAAACTCGCCTCACCCTCGATGGGCCCATGACGGAATCCCTTCGCCTCAGCCTTACCCACCTCATGGATCGCCGTTTGGACAGCCACCTCACAGCCCAGGATATGGATTCGTTTACCCCGGATATCCTGACCCCAACCAGCAGCCAACAGCAGCGGCAGCAACTCAGCAACAAAAGACCAAGGCATCTCACCACGAGCGCCACAAGTCATTGCAGCCCGAACCCATCTTTATCCAGGAGGAACCATGGAACACGCAGCGGAAGCGTAGTACATCGAGTGCCTCAGGCAAGGCGAGCAAGTCTGGAGGATCCAACAAGAAGAAGGCAGCAACGGTGGAAGAAGGTGGATCGTCGCCGGCTGTGTACCCTACAAGCCCCAACCCCAAGAAACGAACCCAGATCACGACAGGACACGAGACGGGAGCTGTCGGAGCTGAGGAGGCGTCTAAGCGATCGAAACAGTTGGACAACATGACGGCACCTGAGGTTGTTGTGGAAACCCCACCGACGGTAAAAGTGGAGGAGCCTGTCGAGGCCGATGAGGAGGACGCAGCCCAGACACTGACCTCACTTGCCCAGATCTCTGCATAAGCTCTTTTGTCGCTTTGTCTCAGACCGCGTTTCAGTTTTTTTTTTCGTGCTCTTTTGCCTCTATTTTCTATATCTTTGAGGGGTACCTCATTCACATTGTACTTTTAATAACCCCCATTTGCTACCACCACCACTACCATCACCAACACAATAATAAATAAAAAAAAAAGAACTCAAAACAACAAGATCTAGCTGTGCAGATGCATGTGTAACTCTTTGTTTCTCGTTTTCCTACTGTGACTTTAACTGGTGAGCAATCATCTCCTGGATAGCTAGGACAACGAGCGCATGATCCTCATCCTGCTTCAACCCGCTCGCAACAATGGCGCCAACACAACCGACATCCTTGATGATTAAAGGGAAAGCACCTCCGTGGCAGGCATAATCGGCCGTGGGAACCCTGTAGGTTTGTTCCATCTCTGTCTGGTTCTTTGTGGCGAGGAGACGTCCAATGTAGTAGGATGAGTGTTGCAGGCGGACGGTTGTGTTTGTCTTTCTCCTGATCCAATTCTCATTGTCGACCGTCGTTCCTATTTCAGAGAGAAAGTAAGTAGACAAGTAGTTGGTGTTATATTTAGCACTGGCGAACCGGGGGGGAAGGGGGGGCTGCATGCACCTTTTTTTTGCACACATGCACGCAAGGTGAGGGGGAGGTTTTTTTTTCCACCAACGTAACGACAAAAAAAATGGCCGAACATAAATACGCTATCCTCACAGCGAGATCGATGATTCACCCCCCCCCCCCTACCACCTCTTCCCCCTTCAATAGCATACCTTGCATGGCGTGGTGAAAGAGCAATTGACCGCTCCGAGTGATGGCGACAGTGATTCCCTTATAGGGGGTCATCTCCCTGGCGAGGGTAATAAGACGAGTTCCGAGAGTGAGGGCGTCGTCGTTTGTGAAACGCAAGAATTGGAGTTCTTGTTCTTGGGCGAGTAGACCGGGGAGGAGGGCTGCTGCTTCTTCCATTTGGTGGGATGACATTGGCATTACTGTTTTTTGTTTGTTGTTGTTGTGGTTGGAGGAGGAGAGGGTGGTCAATGGTGATAAAAGAGGAGGAAGGTGGAGAGAAGGATGAGAAGGAAGAAAGAACAAGAGACGAAAGATGCGAAGTCGTTTTATGCGTTGGTTATCAAATGATGATAAGAGACTCCCCCCACCCCACAATGACTTGTCACACACTAGTCAAGGAGTTCAAAACAAAAATTTGCGGACTGGGAAAGATAACAAGAAAGTCCCGTTGGAATGAAGAGTAGCTGCAAAATGTAAGGGCATCATTCTGCATCATCTCCACCAAGAACACCCTCCCTGCTCCGCCGCCCAATGCATTAGTGACAAAGAGTGGTTGAACTTGTATTATTATTACGATTAAATGAATTAGGATACGAAAAGTAGTATGTAGGATAATAAGATGGACGGTAAAAAAGAAGTATAAAAACTACAACATCATCATGCAAGCAAGGAAAACAACGGCAAGAGCAACAGTCGAAGATTGAACAACGCCACCCTTGTCCTGGGACGCAATAGCTCCGCTCAGTTTCCCCGTGGGCTGAAGCTGGAATGTACCCTTTGTTGTTGTTGTACGTCTTGTCCTGCTGGTTGTAGTTGTAGTTGTAGTTGTAGTGGTGGTAGTTTCGGTGATAGTGGTGGCGGTGGGGAAGAAGGTTGTTGAGGGAAATTCAGAGGGTGTTGTGGGGGTGAAGGATGGGGAGGAGGAGTCTGGAGTGAAAAAGAATGTTGTGGTGGAGGATATATCGGCGGAGGATGGGTTGTTTCCGCAAGAGCCGTAGTCTGCTTGGCAGCCTCTGCCGCAATGGGTATCAGAGTTGCCGCAAAAACCCTACATAGGTCCGAGATTGTTTTATGACAGTAAAAGAAGACGTTAGATGCGAGTCATTTGGCAAAGAAAAACGTGTCTTTTACTGGCTCCTTTTTATGAGGTCAGTTAGGAGAAAGGTGGAGTTCAATTGGTATGCATGGGACAGGAGTTGTCGGCCGAGCGGGATGGGGGTTACATACCGAGGAGGAGCAGCATAAACCAGAGTCGCAGGAGCCCTCGTCGGGACCGCACTGTTGAGCAGATACAAGTGAGATGAAGGTGATGAGGAATAAGAGGACTAGCAAGGTGAGTGATGTTGTTCTGTGCATGGCGAGTAGTGTAAGAGATTGAATGGAGGGAGAAGGAGAGGTATGTATATGTCGAGAGAGAATGGAGGTCGAAAGGCGAGGAGAGGAGGAGAGAAAGGCTGAGGATAAAAACAAAACAGAACAAGAAAAAAAAAGATCCTGTACCCCCTGAGCCGGTGAGCAGATTGTAACAACAAACGGTCCGCCGTGGTCATTTCTGATGAGTGCACGTGCAGCAGTGGGTGGGTGTGCCTTTGGCGCGGTCGAGGAGCGTCGACTTTTGTGTAGGATTGAAGGAGCTCTCCAGTCTGGATAGTCGCGTCTATGGATGCGCCACGAATGAACCGGCGCGAGTGCAGTAGGATTCTAGGGCTCTCTCTCTATCTCTGCATCATTTGACCAGGCGATGGGATGCGGGAGGGTGTCTTGAAGTCGTTGAGAGAAGAGGCGTTTTTCTTTTCCCAACGTCATTCCCGTGCGTGACAGTCACCTCCACCATCGCGATAAGGAAAAGAGCGCACTGTGCTCTGCTGCTCTCTTGCCCTTATTTTCGTTTCTTTTCTCACACTTCCACATTCACACCCTATTCTCCAAACCACTTCTCATCTCTCATTCCCTCATCATGCCAGTCTCACTCCAAAGCAACAAGGCCATCCTCACCCACCCCTCCGGTGCATCCGCAGAAGTCTACCTCTACGGTGCCACCCTCACCTCCTGGAAGGTCGCTAACAAGGAGCGCATCTTTGTTAGGTAACATGCACCTAAAGAGTTCCTCATTCACGAAGTGAAGGAATGCAAGCTCATACGCATACTTATGCAAGAACCTCGAACGTGTTGCTAAAGCCTTGTTTTCTATCTCTTTACTTGTATCAGTGAAAAGGCCATTCTGGACGGATCCAAGGCCATCCGCGGAGGGTGAGTGTTTCTAGCAATTTCAGCGGAATCTAATTGCTGTTGTCAATCCATAATACGCGTAATGAAGCTCTATGAGCTGAGGTTGTGATTATGCTGACGGACGACGCGTTTTTTTTCTTTGGTATTCTCTCAATAGAATCCCACTCGTCTTCCCTGTGTTCGGCAAGGGCAAGGCTCCCCATGTCACTGCTGCCCTTCCCCAGCATGGTGAGAACCGTTGGTTGTTCAAAATACGATTAAGTTGATCGAGATTACAACTAGAGTGCTTATATTTTTTCTTTCTTCATTGGTAATGTAGGCTTTGCAAGAATCTCTCAGTGGAAGTTGCTCATCTCTTCTGACGATGCCAACACCGTCACCGCTGAGTTCGGCTTGGATCACACCTTAATCTCGGAGGAGAACCGCAAGTTGTGGCCTTTTGATTTCTCGTTGGTTTACACTGTCAAGTTGGCTGCTGAGACGATCGAGACCAAGCTTCGTGTCCACAACGTTGGCGACAAGTCCTTTGATTTTAACACGCTCCTGCACACCTACTTCCTAATTCCCGTAAGTCTATCTTTACAGGGATGCATCGTTCATTTTGCTCTGCATTCACTAAATTGGATACTGTGAAGGCACCGCTAATTCATGGCTGATACTTCTTATTATTTATGATCGTTAGGATGCATCGAAGGTCAAGGTTGTTGGATTGAGCGGAGTTGACTATGTTGACAAGGTCTTGGCGACTACGGTGCATCAGGAGGGCGATATTGTTCTCGAGGGAGAGGTCGACAGCGTCTATGCCAATGTCAAGTCTGACGTTCAGATCCCATATGTTGCTGAGGAAGGAGGTGTTCAAGTGCATCTGAAGGGATTGAGCGATGTTGTTGTCTGGAACCCCTGGGTTGGAAAGGCCGCCGCAATGGCTGATTTCGGAAATGATGAGTTCCGCAAGATGATCTGTGTTGAGGCTGGTCAGGTTGCCGAATTCATTGCCCTCGCTGCCGGTGGTTCGTGGGAGGGCAGCCAGGTCCTGAGTCTTCTTTAAAGACAGTCAGTCCATCAGCAAGGACGCGACTTTTCCTCTTTGAGGTCTTAATTAAATCACGTGCTGAAACGCGGTTGTGTTTTGATTTTTTTGTTTTTCGACAGGGACAAATGGTGCTTAAAAGGAAAGTGGCGGTGGCATCACCTTCTTTCTGTCGTTCAACACCCTTTGCCATCACACTCATCACACCAACAGGACAAGCAGCAATGTCGGACATGGATATCGACCACGACCCCCGTACGTCTGTCGTCAACGTGCACCAGCAAGAGAATCACTGCTTCACCGTTTAACACCTGCATGCAACCATCTCTGACCTGCCCACTCTTTTGTTTGACATCTCGGACATATAGGCGAGGGGCAGAGAACGGTGGAGGCCGGACAGCCAGAAGGACAGATCGAAAAGGACGATCTGGACCACCTTTTTGACTTGGATGACAGCGAGCTCGATAAGGTTGACAATCCATGGATGACGGGCGCTAAGCCTATCAGGTAAACCAGACCGGCGAACTTCTTTTTTCTTATCGATCTGCATGAACACGACTACCGAGGACGAATGTGATCGAGATGTCCATCTAACAACATACTCTGGACAATACAATGCTATAATCGGTAGTTCCAATGCGGATGGAGGAGATATCCATCAGCAGCTCATGCTCTACTACCGCCACTTCTTCCCCTTCAAGCCGTTTTTTCAGTGGCTCAACTACGACTCAAGTAAGTTGGATGCATGTTCAAGAAGGAGGAAGGCATAATAGCAAAGGACTGAGACTTGTCACAGACATGCGGATTTAAGTCGTCTGCTAACACGTTCTCCGTTGTCTGTTTTCTCATCATTGGTAGCCCCAAAGCCATCAAAGTCGTTTTTGAACAGAGAGATCTGCTGGACGCTCATGGACGAGACATTTATCCGTTTCCAATCATACAGGACCCTAGAAGAATTCAAAAACGACATGATCCGACTTAACCCTGCAAAGTTTGATCTGGGCGCCATCTACAACATCCGACCCAAGGACAGACACATGGTTCGCCCTGCGGCGTTTATCCCGGTCGCGAAGGAGATGGTCTTTGATATCGATATGACCGATTACGACGAGATTCGAACTTGTTGCAAGGGAGCAGATGTGTGTAATAAGTGCTGGGAGTTCATGACGGTGGCTATGAAGATCATTGATGTGGCAATGAAGGACGATTTCGGATTCAAGCATATCCTGTGGGTTTACTCGGGACGTCGTGGTATCCATTGCTGGATTGCAGATGAGCGTGCGAGAAAGCTGAATAACGATCAGCGCAAGGCTATTGTGTCATACTTGGAAGTCATCAAGGTGAGAGACGGGCGACACGCGGAGCAAATTATTCTTTTGAGAGTGTTGTTTGACATGGCGTCCTGTAACCTGACATTCTTTTCGCCCACCTTTTTATTTCTATGTGTAGGGTGGTACGCAACAGGGGAGGAAAGTCAAGCTGCCTAATACTCTTCATCCGTCACTAAGGTAAGGGACAAATCTGCCAGATTTTGCCACGAAGAAAAGTATTTTACTGGCATTTGTCAAGGAACTGACGCCTGTTACACCTTTACCTTGACCTATGCAGCCGATCATTTGAAACGATTCAGGAGCATTTCCGTAACCTTGTGTTCGAGTCTCAGGAGATCTTGTCGGAACCGGAGAACTGGGAAAAGATCTTGACGCTTATTCCGGACGAAGGTGTTCAGGCCCGGATCAGACGGAGCTGGGAAGATTCGCCAAACCGTGCACCTTCTCTGAAGTGGACCGAACTGTTGGATAGTATTGGTAACGAGATCGCACAGGTAAGTTTATCATACTCTTTCCCTTTTGTTCGTGGTAAGAGAGAGGAAGAAGTAGAGAGGTTGGTGTTGTTCGTTGGGGGTGAGCGCCAGCTAATCACGTTTTAACTTGACCAAATTGGATAGCACTCGGCAAAGAGACAAGCATTGGAGCATCTCCCACGCGACATCATGTTCCAGTTCACATATCCTCGTCTGGATGACAAAGTGTCTACCAACATTAACCATTTGCTCAAGAGCCCCTTCTGCGTCCATCCCAAGACTGGTACGGACAACCGTTAGATTTCTTTTGATCAAACTGCAGCAGATTGACACTCCACAAGAGCTTATTCAAGATTTGGTGGCGTACTGATCTTCGTTTTCTTTCCATTGTATATATCAACAATGTAGGGCGCGTGTGTGTACCGATTCCAATCGAGGATTGCGAGGACTTTGACCCATCGTCGCCACCCACAGTCCCACAACTCGTTCAGGAGTTGAACCAATACGATGCTACCCACCCTACCTCCGACGATGACTCTAATAGGCTTCAAGGTTCGTGTCCTGCTGTACCGACACCTGTCATGACACGACTGGAGCAGACAAAGGGGGACGAAACCCTTTTGTACGCTTGTTCAACGTTGTACTCATCGGTCTCCTATTATTCGTTGTGTTTGAATGTAGATTGGCAGAAGACGTCACTTCGGAAGCATGTGGAATACTTTGAGCGGTTCCTGAAAGGGCTTTCTCATGAGACGCGAGAGAACAAGCTGAAGGGTAGGTGAATTCAACTTTTTGCATATCGATACTTTTTTTTTTTTTTTTTTGTGTGTGTGTGTGTGTGTGTGTGTTTCTATTTGCTCCCATGTAAGGGTGAGCCAAGGAGAATGAGGAGTCAACGGACCTTTTTTTGAGTTTTCGGATGTTGTTTGTGTTCAACGAGATATAGAGTCGGAGGAGAATATGAGATTAAACAACAAGTTACTGATCACGGTTGTTCTCTCTTTCGCTATCTATGCAAAATATAGATGGTGCCTCCTCCAAGTCGTTAGACTTTTAGAGCGTAGACGACAGGGAGTCATGGAAATAGTAAAAGAGAGCTGTTCCTCGTCAGAATGGCGAAGAGCACACGAAAACATTCTACACCTGTTAATAAAACATCCTGCAAAGACATGTACCTGTACAAGAGCGAGTAAGAGATCGATGACTGGTGCTCGCGTCCAATGCTGTTCTTGATGGTGGATATCATGTTCTGGAAGTGAACTCCCACAAAGGGGTCGAGTTCGTTTGTAATCAGTATGCATGAAATGTTGCAATTGGTCGGAGAAGATGGTGTGGTTGTGGCCAGTCCCATATGGATGGGATAAGGATAGGCTTGCATATTCGTCCTTGTTTGTATTTTTTTTTTTAGTTTTGTTTTGGTGATCGGGAAAGGGGGCGTTCCTCCACGTCTGAGGAAAGGAAGGTGGGGGGGGAAAGGGCTCAAGTGCATCAAATGAAAATGCGCCCCCAAAAGTAAAAAAGCGCTGACGTTGCCCTTTTTTTTTAGGCTTTACTTTTCGATCTGATCAGATCATAATTCAGGGTTCCGGACCCTTCCCCCTCTTTCTCTCCCTCTTCCTCTTCCTCTTCTATCTCTCTTACTTTCGGAGAGTGGGCACGGGTTCGCCACGAATGGAAAACAAAGCTGACAAAAGATATAAGGGCGTTATCCTTCCAGTTGGGCTGCGCGCTCAGCCAAATTAGTAAACGTTTTGCTTGCAAAGATGGGGGAACATTGAAATGCCAATAAAAAGATGTATGGAAAGGGAAAGAGGGCTCCCATATCTGCACAGTCAAGTAGGGGCATGATGGTTCGAATAGAACTGTTGACATGGGGAAGGGAACAGGGGGCGGAGGTGAAAACATTGGGGTATATTGTAAGCAGTAACTTATGCGAGTGAGTGATGAGCTTGGAATGACAAAAGAAATTCTCCGGGTTCGCATGCGAGTGTGGGTGGGAATGAAAAAGGCTTTGAAAGAGGAGAGAACATAGAAAAGAGTTCAATTGCACACGACCAACGCCTTCCGTTTCTCCAAACCTTGGTAGAAAGCTGAGTAAGATGTTGAGGGGAGAGGAGAGAGTTGAGTGAGTGAGAGCAAAAGGTCCGAACACATGCTAGAGATCTTTTTCTATCGCTCTCTCACTTGCTCGGATGTTTGGGTATAAGGCGTTTCTTTGTTGGTTGATTGATTGATTGTTTGTTGACATTGTCACTGTAGGTCACTCCTTCCATCCCCCATCCAGGGCCTCTTACGGTGTCCAAGGACCGCATTAGGAATCTTGAGCACATTCAAACAGAAGGTAGCTTTCGTTGCGCCATTTGTTTTCTCCATTTGACGACGTCTTTGACGCGTACTTTTGTCATGTGTGGTGCGTGTGCATTCGTAATTCGGAAATGGTGTCATTTCGATGGCGATTTCCAATACGTGGATGGACGGACGCGTATGGGTCTATACTCCAGAAGCTCAAAGAATGATGAAAGATTCGCTTAGTTTGGGGAGGTGGACTGTCAACTCTAAAACGCGCAATTCCGGTCGGTGAATCGTTCTCCCATTGATAAACAACAAAAATAAAAGTCTTGGATGACCGTATGGTTGGGATAATGAAAAGAAGTAAACTCAGAAAGCCGATGAACTGCAAAGGAATCATGTGGAAGGAACTGAAAGAGAGGTTGGCCAAGTGGACAAATGGGGTCTGGAGAGAAGGTCCGAGCTATGCTTCCACGTCTAAAGGGCCGAATAGCACGAGGGATGTGAATGAAAGAAAGGTAAGAAAAATGTGTTGTGCCACTTTTCGGCCCGGCGATCCTAAAACTCCAATGCCTAACGTTTATGAGCTTTTTTTTTTCATTTCGCCTCCCGTCAGACATCCCATTTACTGTAGGAGTATGTTGCCCTTTTGTGGACAAGGTCTTCTTTAGAGCTTTGGGCTTTGTTATTTCGGTTTTGGTGGGACAGAAAATGTAATATGGAAAACACTCTTGTTTCTATAGTGTACCTTGACGGTGAATGGTGAGAGGCCGGCCATTTCTTTTTGGTGTTTCAATTGGCATTGCAGAATCTGCGAAGATAGCAGCACAATGGGAACATATCAGGAAGAGATACGGTCGAACACAAGGGCAGTTTTTTTCCCACCTCCTTCGTACTCGTCCTTTGCAATTAGACTATCTTGTGTGCGTTCATTTTCCTTCCTGCCTTGCCTCGCCTCTCAACTCGCGCGTTTTCTCCCTCTTCCTTCCATCTCTCTACTTTTCTTATCACCAGTTGTTCAAGCACTACATTCCATCTCATCCATCCTGACGCTTGTACCCTCTTTCTCTCGAGAAATCAAACGAGGAGGTGGGAGGGTACGTGGAGAAAAGTACGATAGAAAAGACGACATGAACAAAAAGCCGCTCGCTTCTTGCATGACTGGTCACAGCATCAATTGGCCTAAGTCGTCTTCACAGAACGTGGTGTGCAAAAGAGGCGAAACGTGAAAAAGAGTCGACAACAATTGCTTTTTGCGATTGCTTCTTTTTTTTCTTGGGAAACGATGACGAGAAGTACGTTAAACTGAATTGAATTGATGCAGAAAAAGAAAAAGTCCGCTACTGCGTATTATTTGCGTACACCGACCTCCCCCCCCCCCCCCCCCTCGTCCTTGCCACGTTTGTTTGTCGCAATTGAACGAAAAACAGCAAGGGCAACGACAACATAGTTTTTTTTTTTTTTTTTTTTTTTTTTTGGTTTGTTATACTTTTTTAGAAGGCAATTTGGGTTCTGCCAGGGGCGGCATGTGGAAAATTGAACTGCGGGCGCAAGCTGCAAAAGAGGAAAAGAAATGAATAGATCAGGTTGTTGACCTTTTTTTTCGATTTGAGATTTCGATGGAAGAAGACGCAGACCACAGCAGTAATAAACAGTTAGCGAAACTCCATAAAATAAAAGTGGGGTACTTGGTAAACGTTCTCTATTTTTCTTTATTCTTTTTGAGAGTTAGAGAAGCTGTGTTGGCAATGATGGAGGGGGAAGGGGGGCAAATAAAAGTTGGGCAGATAGAAGTGTTCCCGGGGTGTTGTTTTAGAAACGTTTGTTATTTTTATAGTTTTATTACTTTTTTCATTCTTTAGCCAGAAAACAATGGGAAAGAGGATTGGCCACCAGAGCATAACGTGTTACTGATGGTTAATTACATGTCGTTGACCATGTACATGAGCGCCCTTTTCTTGGCTGCATTCTAATAAAGGGAGAGAGAGAGACAATGGGGTGTTGTTAGTAAAAGAAAGGGAGGAGGAATCATGTCATGTATATACGCTCGCACCCTTTTTGTGTGCATCCAAGCAGGCGCCTTGTTCCTGACAACCCCCTTCTTCCCCACCATTGTTTGTTTTGTGAGAATCATGATCATCCCATTTTTTGTGGCCACCATACGATCATTGATTTCCATGCATCATGCTACAGCGAGGCTTGTAGGCTCGTCCTTGTCATTGATGACCTCGGAAGGTCCATCCTTATCCCCTGCGGCATCCTCCCTTTTCTTCTATTTCGTTTCGTTTTTGTGTTTTTGTGTTTTTGTACAAATGAAATGGAAAATGGGTGTGTGTGTTTGAATTGCGTGTTTGAATTGTGTTTTGAATGACTGACTGACTGGCTGACTGATCGGCTACCGGTTGGATGCTCCCGTCTTGCCCCTTTGATGGACTGGACCTTCTATTTTATATTTTTTCCTTCTATCTGTGCCTTTGTCACTTTCTCTTCTTATTCATCCTTATTCATCCTTCTTATTCTCTCATACTCCTCTCACTCACTCGTACCACTTTCTTATTCTCCACTCCTATTTTCCCCTCTTCTCCCTCTCCACCCCACTCTCATCCTTCCCCTTCCTCATTCCTCGCCTGCATTTCATTCCTCCCCACCTCCCTACCCTCTCACTCTCACCCCCCCGCTCTCGCCGTCATTCACCCTTCCTCCATTCCTCTTCCTCCTCCTCTTCCTCTGCTCCTCGATTCTGCTGGAGCGGCCTTCATTCGCCAAGTCTATCACTGAATCTCGCCTTGCTTGCCTCTTGTCCCTCACAGTCCTCTTCACTCATAGCGACAATACCAACAGCACCAACAGTAGTACCGACAGTACCGACAATACCACTCCCACTCAAACCCACACAAACTTCCCCTTCCTCTCCTGCTCCCACTCCTTCCCCTGCCTGCTCCCATCTACTTTGACCTCCCGTTACACCCTCACCCCGACAACCCCACTCTCAATAGAGTATTGTTGTTCACCACCACCTTCCTTCCTCACACCTCAGCTCATCCATCCTCTCGACCATGGCTGATCCAGCCCCTGCTACCCTTGGCATCGCCCTCCCCCCTACATCTGTCCTCAAGATCAGAGACGCATGTCTTCCTTGTCGCAAACAACGATCCAAATGCGACGGCCAGCCTTGTTGCGCAAGGTGCACTCGTCTCGATCTCGAATGTACCTACGTCGAGCTGGTCAAGGCGCCTAAGCCGGTGCCCAAAGAGCCCTGGCAAGAGTTTCTCACCACCACAGGAGCCAAGCCCGAGGCTTTGGAAATTCCACCCAGTGGGCTCCTCAAAGACCCCTCAGTCGGCCCTATCCAGGATGCCTCGACATTCCCTTGGCAGAAATCCAAGATGACCAGGCGCCGGAAGCAGACCTCCAGTGCCAAAAAGTGTACTTGCCCTGTGCCTCCCTCATCCGATCCTGCTGGCCAGGACTCGCCTGATTCCCTGGGCCAGCAGCTGAACACCCCTCCAACTTTGGCGATGGATATGGCGGATCCTCTCTCTATGACAGATGTCATTGGTTCTTCTATCCCCGATCTTCTTTCGACACCAACGACAGCCAGTACACCCTCCGCTCCTTCAAATTCACCCACAACTGCCGCTTGCGGAGCTAATAGCAATAACAACAATAACAGCAAACAACACAAAGGACGATCCACCACAGGACCATGTCGAGTTCACAATCCACAGGTCTCGACCAAATCTGCTCGATCTGTCACCCCCAGCCTCAACTCACCCTCAACCCCAGGGGTTTCGTCAACAACGACTACAGCAGGGAGTGGCCCAAGCATTGGCAGCTCTGTGAGTCTTCGTCATCGCCCCACTCCACCCGAGCCTGTTCAGTTGCCTTCGTCTGTAATCGAGACGTCCGAGAAAATCAACAGTCTGAGCTTAAAGTTCTCTCGGCTTTTTGTGTTTCCGGACGCTGATCAGCCTCAGCAACCTCCACCGCCCCAGCTCGAGATCCTCCAGTCGCGTGCTCTCTCGCCCGTCCTCCAATCCCACCTTATTCAACTCTACCTCGCCCAATGCTGGCCTACCCAACCCATCCTCGACCCTCCCACCTTCATGGCCCAACTGGCTGCTCAAGATTATTGCACTCCTCCTCACCCTCTCGTTGTCGCTGCCATGTGTGCCGCCTCTGCCAGGTGCATCGATGACTCGGATGTAGAACGTCTCTGGGCAGAGCAAGATCCACCTCTGCCAAACCCATTCCACCCCAACCCTGCAAACGGAGAGGCCCATGTTCGGTCGACCCGTGATATGATCTGGTCGATTGGCGAATATTTTGCTGCTCTGGCCAAGGCGTATCTTCGGACAGAGTTGCCTCTTGTACAGTCGCCTGATCGATCGGGCGGAATAGGCGATCCCTTGACAGTCGTCCAGGGATTGATCATGATCTCGACCTGGGATGCCTCTGTCGGTCGCCAGCGCGAGTGTCAGGCCTGCGCAGCTCTGGCTCTTCGAATCATGATTGCTGGAGGATGGCACTTGATGGATCACCCGAACGGCGACGGATGCACGGACAGCAGGATCAAGATGTGGGGAACACTAGAACGCGAGCTGGCTCGTCGTTGTTGGTGGTTTGTCTGGATCGCTGAAAAGTGGACCGCTGCCTTGCTCACTCAATACGTGGTACGTTATCGAAGCCATTTGTTTTTGTTTGACGCGTTAAACGCAGACGGCTGACATTTGATAACTCAAGGCTTGGGGGAGAATTGAACGTTGTCGCGTGAAAAGAGTTTTCTTGGTTCTGACCGCCATTGTGTCTTCTCTCTTTTAATTAATAGACTTTACATCTTTCGTTATGCGAGACACTCTCACTTCCACGCGAGTTCCGTCAAGGAGATGTGAACGACCAAAAGACAGTGATGTATTTCCAGCAATCGATCCAGGCGGCCTATCTCTGTGGATCCCTCATCCAGCTACATTATCACCCGTACGAGGCTGAAGATGGCACCGAATACGACCACGAGACCAATATCCACGACGTGCAGCGGTTACAGGCGCGTCTGACAGAGATCGACAATCATTTGGATGCATGGCTCAAGGCCATACCTGCAGGATTCATTCCCGACTGGGGACAGACCACCGGGGACGAAGGCGATGCGTCCACATTTGAGCCCGCCACGGGCACTCAATTTTTCCATGCGGGAGGCGATTGGTGGTGGCGTCACGCCATGGGCGGAATGCTGGAAATGAAATACTATGCTCGTAAGTTAATTGCCTTCGTTGTTATATGCGAGCGGAGAGTACAATGACCTTTACATGCATGTAGGCATTGTTTGCTAATTCAGGGTATTGTTCTTTGTCTGTAACCAATAGTCAAACTCTTGCTGCACTCACCTCAGCATGTTGTGTCAAAGGCACCCTCTCCTCTGTCGCAACTTACTTTAGCGCAGTATGCCAACAAGATCACACTGACCTGCGAACGACTCTGGCAGTATCCTTCGACCAGGCCGACGTTCTACCACATGGCGGGAGCTTTTTTGTGGATGGCGCTCTGTTATCAGCAGGAGAACACTTTGAGCGAGAACCCAAGGATCAGGACGCCGGCTTGCGTTAACATGCAGAAGAGCTACTTTATGATGAAGAAGGTTGGCCGACTCGTCCATTCCGCCGAAGATGACATCTTCTCAGAACTTGAGACCACCAGTGGAGCATCTGTACGTAACAATATGTGGCCTTTAGAAAGATGGCATCGAAAAGTTTTGTCGTTTTTTTTATTTGTTCTGGGCATGCATTTTAACCTCGCGTCATTTTATGCTTTGGCTAATTGATGGATTCGTTAATAGGCGGTGCCATTTATCAGACCGACGGAAGAGCAGCGCGTAAAGCCCATGATGAAGGTATTCAAGGAGATGTTTCCAATCATGCGTCAGGCTCTTCGTGACAAAGGATTTGGACTGCGTACCCAACCAAACGCCACTTCCAGAGTCACATCGAGCGTGTTGCCCCTGAACAGACAGCATCACACACTTATCCTGAACGCCGACAGCGGAACAATAGTTGGTGGCGTGACGACATCTGCCGCAGCTTTGGGACCGGCATCGGCGGCCTCGTGCATCAATGCGGGCGCTGCTGCTGTCATGGGAGCGACGGCAGGCAGTCCAGGACCTTCGAGCTTTTACTTGGCACCATTGACTCCTCCTGGAACGTCGAACGCATCGGTATCGTCTCCCATGACAGAGTCGCTTGGGTCTGCGCCATCGCCCTCGCCTCCCCCAGGTCTGTGCAACGGCATTCCTGTTCAGAGTGTGTCGGGTGTAGAGTGCGGTCATCATTTTGGGGATGTGACCATGAATCACCAGCAACAGCCACTCCAGCAGCAGCCACTTCAACAGCAGCCACTTCAACAGCAACAGCAACAGCAGCAGTTCCAGCAGCAACAATTCCAACAGCAACAATACCAACCGCTCCAACAACAGCAGCAGCAGTTCATTCCCCATCAAGCATCACCTTTGGGCCAGGTGCAGTATATCCAAGGCCAGACTCATATGGCTCCACAACAACAACATCAACAACAACAGCAGCAACAGCATCAGCATCCTCAACAACAACAACAGCAACAACAGGCATCATATCCACAACAACAGCAACAGCAACAACAGGCATCGTATTCACAACAAACACAACAGCAACAATTGCCACTGCAGCAGCAATCAACATTTATTCCGCAACAGCAGCAGTCTCAGCAACAACCACAGCTTCAGCAACAACAACATCAAGAGCAGCAGCAGCAGGTTGTTGTCTGCCGACCTTACCAGCTTCATACGCATATGTCCCAGCTGACGGATCCGCTGAGTACTATGATCGATATGAACCCGGATCCGTTTGGGTCGATCATGCAGAACGAACCCAATGTGCTATCGTCCCTGATAGATTATTCTGAATGGTTGAACCACCAGCTTGAATAAAAAGCGACCGCGTTTTGTACGGCGATTTTTTTGTGTGCTTTGTGCGTGATGTCCAGCGACGACAAACGACACGTCTCCTAGAGCAGATAGATTTCTCGCTTTTTATGTGTTTGTCTGCTAGTTTTGCTTTTGACTTTTATTTCCCCCTCCCCCCCATTCTTGTTTACCTTCCTTTCCTATGCCACCCATTTTTCAACAATAATAGCTCCTTTCTGCATGGACAACAACATATTCGACAGCAATGACCCGATGGTGGCCTTGATGACCAGAGCCATCGGCCACAGTCCCAATCAACCACCACCACCACAACCACTTCAATCCACTACTCCTGCAAGCGCAATGCCAACACCCACACAGGCTTCCCCAGGCACAGGAACAGGACCTGTGACAACATCAGCGGTCGAGTTCCTGGACGCAGAAGCCGAGACAGCCCTCTTCCTCAACTCGATGCATTCCTCTGGCGGGAGCATCAACTCCCTCCCGTCTTCCCCTCTCCCGTTGGCTTTACCTTGGTCACCCTCTCAGGACATGATCTGGAACGAGGATGAGATCCTTGTGGGTGGACTTGGGATTGGAGGGAATGGATCCCAGCAGAGTGTTGACATGACGTTGGCAGAAGATATTGGTGCAGAGATGGTTGAGATGGGGTTACCGGGAGCAGGACAAGGGATGGATGACGGGGTGTTGATGGAAGAGGATGAGATCTTGCCAGTGGTTGTTGTCGAGACGGTTGCTGTGCCGGCGCAGCAGCCTGGTTCGCCGGTTTTGGGGTTTGGGTTGGCCCAGCGGTTACAGCACCAGCACCAGCACCAGCACCAGCACCAACACCAGCACCAGCACCAGCACCAGCAACAACAGCAGCACCACCACCACCACCACCACCAGCAGCAGGGTGGTGTTCGGTTTAATCTTGGACAGCAGAGCAACAGTGGTAGTGGTGGGAATATTAATAGCCTTAATAGGATCAGGAGTTTTGGGAAGGTCGAGAGTCTGACGCCGAGGACGAATTCTACGGCCGCTTTCATGGCAACGGCGGCTCTCAGGAATGAGGCAGAGAAGGGTCGGCCACAACCATCACCAGCGGCAGCAGGACTATTGACTCTTCAACGGGGAACTGGGGCTCGAGTTGGAACTGAGGTGGGAGGAGGTGGTGTTGCTCAAGGAGGCGTTGCACAAGGTGGCGCAACAACGGCTGCTGCTGCTGCTGCTGCTGCTGCTGCAGAGGAAGAAAAGCTGGGTGATATGGAGGTTGATGTACCTGAGGGTGCGTCGACTACAACGACAGACTCAGGTCCGGGATTGGGATTGGTTCAGGATGTCCAGTCCACAGGTCTTCGGGAGAACCAGGATACCGCACAGTCGTCTTCATCGTTGTTGTCACAACCGGTTACTACCTCGGTACTGGCGCCGGCATTGGAGCTAAAAACTGCGGAGGCGCCGTCAGAATCGATCTCGGGAGCTCATCCAGTAGTAGCGATCGGACCAGGAGCTGAGTCATTGGCAGTACCGGATACAGAGTCCATGGCGCAGCCGGTAGCAGCGGAGGCGGAGGTAACAGAATTGACAACAGTAGGACCAGCATCAGCTGCAGAACAGCCAGGGACAGAACTGATGGTAATAGATCCAGCGGCGGCCGAGTCGGACAGGACAGAGCACACGACACAGTCAATAGCATTGGATCAGCCATCTTCGCCACAACCACCAGCGACAGCAACGACAGACGTACCAGACCAATCCCTTGTTACTGTGATGACACCATCATCACCATCCACACTACCACCACTTTCAACAACAAAGCCTCCAAAAAGCCGACGACGCCCACCGGTGCCTGTCCAACATCACCCCAGCTGGCATTTCGCTCCAGGTTCAGATATGGCGTTCCTGTCAGAGATGAAAGGATCAGATGCAGATCTGAAGCGGTTCCGGAGAGAGCATGGGTGGTTGGAGGAACGAGTCCGGCGGCCCAAACGCGATCATGACTCGGATCTGTTGTTGGATAGGGCCCTTGGGTTGACGAGGATGGTTGTTGTCCCGCCTTTGCTTGCTAAGGGCTATGGGGAGGAGGTCAAGGATGGTGAGGAGAAGAAGATGAAAGATAAGGATGGGAAGGTTGTGGTGTCCAGGAGGGAGTCTGTTGAGGCGCAGGGTAGTAAGGACAAGGTTGGAGGTGAGGATGAGAAAGGCGGGAAAGATACCACCACCACCACCAACAACAACAGTGCCACCAAGGCCATCAACACCAATACCCAGAGCAACAACAGGTACATCACCCCAGTACGGCTCAGCACCGACTCTCGACTCGCATTCTCAACCCTCAAGACCAACCTCTATGCAGAACTCGAGGAACAAACCCGTCTGGAAACAGACCAACGGATCCTAGAGCAAATCGTCGAAAGAACCGCTACAAAGCTCTCGACTACTGCACAGCTTCACTCACAGGCAGAAGAGCGATTACGCGAACTGCAGACAAGGCAACCAGACCAGGAACGGGAGTTGGTAAAGTTGGAGAAGTTGGAGAGGGCTTGTATGGAGTTACGGGAACGACAGCGACAGCAGGCAGAGGAGGAAATTCAGCAGTTGGAGGAGACGGTGAGGTTATTGGAGAGTCAGCAGGAGCTGACGCGGAGGGAAGATGTGAGAAGGGCTGACAGGCAGCGGTCTGAGATGGAGCGCATCGCCTCGGAAGCATCTTCAACAGAGGCGGCGCATTAGTGCACACGTTTTTTTTTTCTTTCTCTTGTGCATTGACACTTCTCCGCGGAACGTTGTTTTCGAAAATAAATAAATAAATAAATAAGAGAAAATGCCGTAATGATCTTGTTGGGTGGTTTCTGTCCGCACAGATGCAATATCGTGCGATGGCGTTTGTTTTATTATGAACATTGTTGTTTGTCGTCGTGGTTTGTAAGTACTTTTTTTTTTGTCACTGAATTGGTTGTGAAGCGGGAATACAGTAAATAGAAGAAATGCATAGTGATATGTTACTATGCACTATGTACGCGTATGAAGGAAGCAGCGCCCTAGTTGTGGTAGGCGTTGTTGGTGTTATGAGGCTCAACATACTGAGGGTTTTTGGAGAAGTTTGCAGCCTGTTGTTGCTCCTGGACATGTATCACCTGGGGGCCATGGGCCGAGACCTTGTTTACACCTCCTGCACCAGAAACCGGTGGGACGATAAATGCAGGCGCCTCATATGCAAACGCGGTGGTGGTGGAGGCGGGAGTTTCGTAAGACGTCGAGTTGGAAGTCGTCATGGCGGGGGAGTAAGCTGTGGTGTTTGTGGTGGCGGAGGGGGAGGTCAAGCCGTAGGGGTTGGACTGTTCAGGCATGGGCATGGGCTCTTGCTGCTGGTGAATTCCTGAAGTTGTCACGACGGGGCTGAAAGTATGTTGTGCCTGCTGCTGTTGCTGCTGCTGCTGCTGCTGTTGGTAATACTCGTTAGGGGAGAAGGTTGGAGAGGGGACGGGTTGAGGGAGAGGGGCAACAGTTGAGGCGGTAGGGTAGTAACCCTGGTTCAGTTGGTTAGAGTCGTAAGCGTTGGAGTCTGGGTAGGTACCTCCTCCTGCCTGGCCATAGAAGTTTGTCACAACTGGAGGTTGGGAGGTGTACTGCTGCTGCTGCTGCTGTTGTTGTTGAGGCACGACGGGTTGAGGCTGGTAATGGTTCTGTTGCTGGTACGGATTCTGCTGGTGTTGGAGCTGGTTCTGCTGATCCGGGTATTGCTGCTGGTATCCGGCCTGGGCGGGGGATTGATTGTAATTGTACTGGTGCTGCACAGGGACCGCAGGAAGAGGAGGCTGAGGTTGAGGAGGTGGCTGATGATGATTATGAACAGCCTGCATTGCAGGAGGTGGTGGAAGCTCTGCAGACTTGGCAGGTTTCTTGTTTTTACGGCTACGGTGCCAAAAGAACAGGGCGGCTCCCAGAACGACAACTCCTACAGCTGCTCCAATTCCTGCGTACAGACCCGTGTTACTGCTGCTTCCATTGTCCGATGAACCGCTGTTGCTGTTGTTGCTTCCAGAACCAGAGCCGCCGGTGCCAGAAGGGATGGGGTAGTGTACCCCGGTCGAGGTGGGAAGCCCGGTAAAGCCCGAGAACGTGAACCCTGATCCAGCGTTACTTACTATTAGTATTTTTTTTTGAGATGGTTAGGATAGGGAATTAAAGGTTGATTGGAAAGAGTCCAGACCCATTTTTCTGCAATTTTTGAGGGTGAAAATATGTGAGCGTTGTTGTCGCCTTTATGCGACATGAGATATCTTTTGCTGTCCACCGCTGTCCTCTTCCGAAAAAAAAAAGCCGTGCATAAATCGCAGACACAGAAGGAGCAGAACACAAGGTTGGGGTGGAAAAACGTGCAGAGAAGACGAAAATGGAAAGGACCAGGGGACCATGCCATTGCCAAGTGTGTGAGAGCAATTTCGAGGGCACGTAAAATAACGTTCGAAGTCAACAACATCGCCATCATCCGCAGCGAAGAAAAGAGAATAGGAAAGTCCCAAAGAGCGGTCAACCCTTATATCTCCATGCTACTTACAAGCATTGCATGTGGCGGTATAGTTGGCGATCGACATGATGGGCGTGGTAGTGGTGGGCAGACTGATAACGCAAGGGTAGCATTTTGCTATAGAAAAGTGTCAAGCCAGAGGAAGAAAAAGAATTTTAGTTTCTCGACTCTTTGGTGTGGAGCTAACGGTCAATTAATTTCGAAGAGGAGAGTAGGAGCGATAGGCAATAAAAGTATGCAAAGGGGGGGGGGGAGGTTGAGGAGGAGGAGGAGGAGGAGAAAAGATGGATAGACATACTGTAGTAGGCAATTCCAGTTGAGGTGCAGATACATTTTTCTTGATCGAGTTCAACAGAGCTGGTTGTTGGGAAGGGAGAGTGAATAGGAGGGTAGAGAAATGACAAGAAGAAAAATAAGGGCGGTTAGAAAAAACGTTGGCGAGAACTGTCTTGACTGTTTCGTGTATGATAGGTGGTTGAGGTTGAGGTTCTTACGGGTAGCGGACGAGGCAGCTGTTGTAGAGGGTGTAGTAGTCCATACAGTCCGTGAGGACACAAGAACTGGTCATGATGGAGAGTGGGTTGGAGGGTGAAGGAGTAGGGGAAGGAGAGTCGGTTGCAAGGGTGGGGTGGAGTTGAGGGTGCAAGTGGAAGTGGTGCCTGAGAAAATATAAGCCAAATGCGAAATAAGCTCAAGGGAATGTGGGTATGTGGGAGAAGAAAGAGAGAGAGAGAGAGAGAGAGAGAGAGAAGTAAGATGATCGATGAGTGGAGAGAAGAGGAGAAGTAGGGAATGGATGGCGAAGAGGAGCAAAAAGAAGAAGAGAGAAGAGACAGAAAGAGAGAAGGAGAGAAGGGATATGAAATAGGTCTGATGAAGGGAAGCTAGGCCGAGAGCCTATTTTATGTGGTTTTGCCACCAGGGATATCGATCGCCTCTGATCATCTGCTTCTTCTCCTCTTCTCTTCTCCTCTTCTCTTCTCCTCTTCTCCTCTTCTCCTCCGCGCTGTTCCTCCCTGGGTAAGATACATGAAGGGAACAAGAAGAAGAAACAACGTGCGTTTTTTCTAGTGCTTTGTGTTTGGTTTGTGTTTGTTTACGATGGATGCATGAGGTAGTGTGTTTACAGTGCAGGCACAGGGTCAAAACGACTGCTTCGACTCTTTGGAACAGTCGACCGCAGCCAAATAATAGAAACAGCATGACAATAGACCAAGGGTGGGCAGTGCAGCTGGACCCATATTGGAACCTACAAAAGTGACAAAAAAAAAGATGGATTCTCGACTCTGAGCCCAGATTCATCACAGGAAACCCCTTAACCGCATCTGGACACAAACAAGAAATAAAAAACTGTCATGGGGGCCCATTAGCAAAGAACTCTCCATTACTCACTCCCTCGTCCCGTGGATGTCGACAATGACCGAGTCTCTGACGCACCATCGCCACCAGCCACAACAACAAGCAATAGAGTTATTCTTGTCTGTGCCCGGAGGATTAGAGGACGTGGCGGTGCGCAGGCTTCCCTCTCAACTCCTCGATGCCGCCACTTATATCCACTACCAGATCGGATCAGGATATCTCTCCCTTCGCTTTGGACACCACTCCAATGACGACAACAACAACAACAACAACAACAGCGGTCATGCCGGCGGCAGTGGTAATACCGGCGGCGGTGAGGCCGATACAGAATCTCGGCCGAGCCATCCCTCCCCCTTCAAGCACCGGAGAAATATCGCGGAGTCAATATCAAAAATCATTGCCGATCTGATTGAGCACCCACCATTGTGCATATTTGCGGCCTATGTATCCATCGGCGAGATCAACATACCTCGGACGCTCCTCTTCGATGCACCCCCCAAGGACCTTCTCGACTATTGCATGAACGGATTTAAGAGCCCCTCACAACCACAGGCAGCAACCACCCTGCACGGATCATCATCGCCGTTGGATCCACAGAGAACAGGAAACGACGAGGCACTAGAGGCAACAGCAGCCAACGATGGCGACGATCTCGGACTGCGATGGCGGCAGGGTCTTTCGGTGCTTCAATTCGCACCGTCAACTTTATCCGAGAGCCTGATATCTTTCTTCTCTCAAGCGATGCCACTTATTAATTCGGCAGAGACACACAAAAGTAGTCTTGACGCCAACAGCGCGGAGGCGACTTCACCTGTTCGGTATCGGGCTTCGTTCGATCGCGGAGATGTTCAGCACAAAGGCCTTCGTTCGCAGGACCTCGCAGCGGCACTTGGCGGACTGACGGGTGACACCTTTCCTTCTTGGAAGGTCAACCTGAAGGAGTTCGATGTTGAGGTCATGGGAAGGTGGATCCAGGACGAGCTGGAAGAGATCCAATACAAGCCCAATTCCTCGACGGATCGACTAATCTCCGTCAGTAGTGAGGAAGAGGAGGGCGATACAGAGTCTTCGAATAAGCGGCCCCAGATTGAAAAAGCATCCCAGCAACAAGGAGTGGAAAACAGAGGAGAGTTTGTCAGGATGCAGGTTGGGATGACACTTCCGTTGGCGCTTTCGACATGCCCATATCGGTTTCGGCCCCTGGGCGGTCGGACGTCACTCAGGATCGAGATTGCATACTCTCTGCTGGCGTTAGCGGATCCCAAGCCGGGAGAGGTGGTTGTGGATACTTGTTCGGGTGTGGGCACGATCCCTATTGTCGGAGCTGTGCACTATCCGGAGAGCTGGTTCACAGGACTGGAGGTTCAGCCGTGTAATGTTGAGAGGGCAGCCCAGAACGCAAAAGAAATGATCGAGAAGGTGGATCGACACCATGGGCAGGAGCGAGCAGCAGCTAAATCTGAAGCTGGAACATCGAGGACCATTGTTCGTTCTCATAATACCTGCCATCCTAACCTGATCGTTGGAGACGCTGGAGCTGTTTGTTGGAGACCCAGAGCAGTGGATCTTATCATTAGCGGTAAGCTCTTTTTTTCATACATTTCTTTGCCGCCAAAATTGAAGATTTGTCTGTTTTCACAACGGTCAGTTGTAAGACACCCTTTTTTTTTTACTTTTGCATTTCATTCCACCCTAACCTTTTTTTCTCAACGTTTATTTTGAAAATAGATTTGCCTTGGGGTAAGAGGGAGTTCTCGCATGTGTACAACTGTAAGTTGTATCCTCGCCTGATACGGGAGATCATCCGATTGCTGAGAGTGAATGGTCGGGCATTGTTGATTACAGGCGAGCGCAAGTTGCTTCTGAGGCAGTTGGATGCACCGTTTGCAAGACCGCACCTGAAACTTTTGCAAACGAGGGAGATCACCATTGGGTACAAGGTCATGGTATTCGAGTTGCTGCGGGTGTAGAGTGTTGGATGGAGTACATTACGTCGAGCTGCCTAATAAAAGAGCGGTGTGGTTTGCATATTAATAATTGGAGGAGGAAGTAGAAAGGTAGAGAGCATGTGGTAATGATGGTAGGGCAGGGGTGGAGTGAGTGTGCTCTTGACTGAGCGAAAGAAGCCTGAACAAAGCCCTAATTATGCCGGGAAATTCAAAGACAAATTGGAAGAAGTGTGATCGTCGGGTTTTCTCTCCAGTGTCCACTGCCATAACCCTTCCTTTTCACCTGGCTGGCTGAGGGTTTCTGTCAGCATGCTATTCTATAGGTGTTGCGAATGGTTGGCAGACATGGCCTGGAATTGGAGTGGTTTCATCGTGGAATAGGGAATGAACCCCTACGGAGTGTGAAGAGAGTGTGCAAAAACCAGCCACCCAAACCTCGGCCACAGCGCCGCTCTCTTGGGTCAGTGGATCAACCCTTGTTTCTTATTTCGCACTGGTCGTTATCTTCATCTTTCTCTTTTTCCCTTTCTTTCTTCCTTTCCTCCTTCACTGTCCATCGTTGCCATTCTTCTCTCTTATCATACCCCTTCCCCTCTCTCCTCCCTCCCCTTCTCCTTCCCATTCTTAATCCTCACTCTCACCTTTTCACTTTTGCCGTCTTCACACTCACACAACCGTTCTTTCTCCGCTCGTACCCCCGCTTTCCTTTTTTCTTCTCATTGCCCCATTAAGACCCTTCCCAAATGCTACTTTACATCCCCTTCAACCCTTCCTCCACATAAATACTCTTGCACTACCTTCAACTTTCTTTATCTGTTCTTGTCCACTTCCCTTTTATTGCGGCCCATATGCCCCTACGGATTCCCGCGTCCGTTCTCCCTCGAGCCAACCCATCCGCCGAGGGGACAGATGAACCACCTGCCTCACCGTCAATACTCCGCACTTTTATCGACAACGGTATTACCGACAATCACAACAACAACGCCTTTTCCGTCTCGTTGATCAATGGGATACATTCTTCTTCACACCGACCTTCGATGCTTGCAGCCTTCGAGGAACCACCAATGTTCTCGACCGGCGCTCATTACGGACACACTAGAAGCGGCGAGAGTAGTGAGACGGTTACACAAAAACAGCGGGTGAAGCAGGATGTTGCTGGTGTGGCCAACTGGCTGAGCCTGATCGGATCGTTGTTGATCATATTTCATGTCCCTAGAGTGACCCGACATGTCCCCTCGCAGAAGAAGCGGATGCTTATTATCTTGTTCACGGCCCTCTCAAACAGTGGCTTTGCCATTGCCAACATCGTCACCGGTACGTTTTTGTTCAGTTTTTATCGTCGAGACGAGAGTTTGATCAAGAAAGCACTCACATGCAGAAAAAAGGAAAGAGGAACCAATGAATGAAAAAAGAGTTCAAGAACAGCCCAGGGTAGAAAAAAAAAACTCGTTCGCTGACACCAACCTGAGGGCGTTTTGTTATACATGTACTTTTAGATTACACTGATGCCGTATCCCAGTTGCAGTGTACTTTCTCTGCCTGGTGCTATGTAAGCCAGGGGTTCTTTTCTTTTTTTTATTTGATAACGACTTTTTGTTCCCCGAAGAAGGAACAACTACCCTTCTTAGTTCTTTTGTTCTTTTGTCGAGATTGTAGGCACAAAAAAAAAAGTTTAAAGGTCCAATGATGTCATTTTATGCATCCACACCATAACTTTCCCTTTCCACCTTGGGTACTGCACTCGGTTCTCTCGTTACTTACTCTTCATCTTTTTGTATGCATCTCTTCTCATGCGGACATAGGTCTTCTTCCAATTGCTGACTTGCACCCTGGTCATCGTCAGTACCTTCCGACTTTGCGGCGTGTTCCTCTTCCAACGGAGGCGATCCGTCCCCTCAAAATACATCGCTATCTGCCCCGCCATCGCCTTCTTTCTCTCCACCCCGGCCGCCATCTCAGGAAACTTTGACTTTGACGAATGTGGGCACTATTGCTGGTTCAAGCTCGAGCCAGACCAGGAGGACTGCAAGATCAGATCCCTCTGGGCCTGGCTGAGCTTCTACGCCTGGATGATCCTCTTCATCGCCATCCTCTTTGCCTCAACCCTATTTGTCATGGTCAAAATCACACTCAGTGTCGCCCACTCTCGCTCGAACCTCAAACAGGTCGTCAACCAGGCCACACTAGAGTCCATCATAGCCGATTCCCCACCACTCCAGTCCTCATCGTCTACCTTCGAGAGACTCCGGTCGATGAGCTACTCCATCCAGAGCAGAACTGCATCCATATTTTCTTTTGGGAGGCGGAGGAGAGGAACTGCAGATACCACCAGGAGTGCTGGGAGTGCATCAGGAGGAGCAGGAGTAGGAGGAGAAAGAACTGGAGCTGGAGCAATACCGGGAAACAGTTCAGCGGAGAACCAGCAGGAACATCAACAACAGCAACCCATTACCAATTTCCATCCGAATCTGGAGGGTGTGGTCTTACCGTCTCCGGCTGAACTTGCCGCAATAGCGTCCCCTCCTCAGTCGACCAACCTGAGCTTACAGGGCCCACTCTGGGACACACCCGAACATCATGAGTCACAGCCTCAATCCACCTCATCCAATATCCGACGATCATCATTTCCAGCACAGGAGGTTGGGGCCCTGCGGCGGAAAGAAAGGTCGTTTGTGGTGGCGATCCTTCGACAGGCTCTCTACCCCATCTCGATTTCCGTGTCGGGATGTATCCAAATCTTTGTCGATCTGACGATTCCGAACGACTGGGACGAAAACGATGAGTTCAGCTATATAGCCAACGTTGCCACTAGTATCCAGGGGTTCCTCTTCTTTTTGGTTTTTATGTTTGATCCTGCTGTGATCCAGACTCGTCAGGAGTGGAGGAAGTATATGGTCTGGAGGTACTATACGGAGTTCTACTATAGTCTGGGAATGCCGCATGAGGGACGAGAGTTTGAGACCCGGTTCATGCAGCAGTGTCAGCAGCTGGATCCAGTCAAGGACCAGGTCAAGCTCGACCAGTTAACACGTCCTCCGTCTTACTCGTGGTCACTACAGTACGACAGCCTGGCGATGCCTACCGACTTTCAAACGTCATACCCTCTTTCGGCCGCTATCAACGCAACCCCAATTAATGCAAAAGCGACAGGAGGAATGGAGCATGGTAGCGTGGGTGCGAGACCTATCCCTACAACAGCAAGTCGCTCTAGCCAACAACGTGAGGAGGCAAGTGGGAAGGGCTTTACACATACAACCTTGCCTGATCATATAGCAGAGGTGGATGAGACCGAGTTCACCGACTCTGCGACGTCCTCTCGACCAACCCCAACAATCACAATCACGGAACGGACAGCAGGAGGTGAAGGAAACGATCCGATGGTAACGACAATGGCGGAATATACCCGAACAACATCCGACCCGACCTCAGAGACGTCTGCCACTACCACTACAACAACAACTAATACAACAACTACCACGGCAGGCACTAGTAGCACTGATAGCGACACCGATGCTACCACTCCACCAAAAGATCAAGATGTCAGGATCCACCCCATGACCCGGCTCACAACCTTGGCAGCCCTGAACAGTACCTACCAGAGCACGTCCTCGATCAGCACATTCCAGGATTTCGACATCTTGCCTCAAAACGATCAGGTCTACTTGGATAAAGACATGGCGACGGATCGGAATACGAGACGGATGATGCGGAATCGAGAGACGACACTCAAGGCACCCTATGCAGGAGATGACATACTTTCCTTTCCGCGACTGTCCAGAGTCACGACGATCGGCGGCGGCACTAGTGGTCGTAATGGGAAGGCTCCACGGCGATACCGCAACTCTTCGAATGCGATGGTGGACTCTGGCACCTTCCACAACACCATTGCCGACTCAACAACGCTCTCTCGCCCATCTGCAGGATCAGGAGGTCCGAATAATGAGAAGCGGCGGTCATTTGGCGAGTGTCTGTTGCTGTTTATCCAGGGCGGGCATTGGAACGCGGCATCGTCGGAGGAGAGGTATCAAACACGGTTCCGGTACCCACGTCTGGCATACTTGATCCACCGCATCGTTCGTGCCGTGTGTATTCCCAAAAAGGCGAGGTTGCCCCCGATCCCGGACCCATTTGCGAAGAGATCTCCCTGTGGGGTTGGAGACTTGTATGAGCGACCTGTCACGAGAGAGCATTCTTTGATGACTAGCGTGTCGGTCCAACAGCCTCCAGCAGCGTCTTATCAGGATACCGATGTGTCTGAGGCGGAGCAGCCTAGTAGTGGGTACGCTGGTTTGGGATTGGATTACTCTTCCAGGCCGAGGAAGGACTTCGGAGCTTACGATGAGTACGATGATGATGCTGATCCTGAGCAGGCATCCTGTTCGACAAGCCCTCCTCGATGATGTTCTCGTCCGTGGGAAACATGATAGAATAAAATAATCACTTACGTTGGCCCATTGGCCGCACATCCACATTACTCGCTCTTCTTGTGCCTCCTATTTCTTTTCTCTATTGTAAATGTGTCGTTCGCTACTCCTTTCTCTTTCTCTCTCACTTTTTCTTACTCTCTATCGACTTATCGTTTTTCATGTCAATTGTACCTACGTTCTGGATCGAAAAAAAACCAGTTCCTCACACCTTTTTTTTTCGCGTGGGGCGAAGTCGTGTTCAATCAGTATAAAAAAAGAGGCGCAGGGTCGGGAACAAAAAAAACAAACGAACAAACAACAGGACCAAAAAAAGATGCTACCACCGCAGTTGATTCTTTTAAGCAGGAGTAACAGGCGATGGTCATCCTATTATAGGAGAAGATTCGAAAAAAGTATTTGTATTACTATCGTTGTTCACGCAGCATCTATCCTCCAACCGCGCGAATGGCATCATCGTCACCACAACCAGCAGCGCCCCAGGGTGTCACAAAGTCCAATTGGGCCAGTTCCGACAGCGGCAGTGGGAAGGAGCAGCAGCAAATAAGACGGTGGACTGGGCCTAGCTGCAGTCGCTGGTTGGTGTGGAGGACACGAATGTCGTCAACAGGTGAGTGAGTTCATGGTCGAAAAAGTTTTTTGTTTTTGTTTCTTTGGGTTGAATGGAGTATTGTCCCCCCTTTTTTTTCCACTTCTGCAAAGAGGAAGAAAAAAGCCTGGACAAGGAGCAGCAATGTGATTTCGTAGTTCTAGTTTGTAGACACTCCTTGTATTTTTTTTTTTTTTGCTGTTATCAAGAACCACTTTTATTTTTTTTCTTTTCTTCATTTCTTCTCTTTTTTTCTTCATCAATGCCCACAACCCTAATCAACACCTTCGTCAACCAATACACAAAAAACAAATTTCTCCGTCCTCTTCTTCTTCTTGTTCTTCCCTCCACATCTCATCACCACCACAATCTTTCAATAGCTCAACAGCAACAACGAAACATAGCCACAACCGCTACTGTTGCTACTTCTACCACATCTACTGCCCCTGCCAGCATGATTGCCGAACAGCAGCATATCAACCACAAAGTCAAGATCTTTATGTAAGCAACCCAAAACCAGCGCTTTAAATTGCCTTAAAAAAAAAGAGGCTCAGAAATGTACTCGCACAAAAAGTCAAAGGAAAGGACATGAGGCGAGCAACGTGAACATGAGTTGCAATGGGGAATAATGTTCATTCCATCTTGTTTTTTTTTACCACGCCTTCTTTTCGCCCAGGGTTAGGTTGCATATTCCCTGCTTTTCTCGTTCTTGCCCCTTTACAAATACAAACGCAAACACTCCCTCTTTGGGAAACTAAAAAGTTGCGGGAAAAAAGCGTCAAGCAAAGGGGGGTGGGTTGCAATCCTTCCTGCTGACCATGGCCCGTGAGCACTTTGGTTTTTTTTGTTGTTCGGAGGGTTAAAAGGGGCATTGGCATTGGTTCAAATGAAGTTAGTTCTGGGCAACATTGCAGAGTTGCTATCTGTGTGTACTGCTTATGCTTTGCATTCACCCCGTGTTTCCTGTCGAAGAAGCTACTCTCACTCACCTTTTCATCCTTGCGTTTTCCCTCTTTTACAACCTACATCCATTTTGCTTATTAGCCCTTGCCATTATGACCTCTCCCAGGTGGAGACGTGTGCCCCGTTTCTGGATCGGTACGGAGGAGTTGTGTTTGTGTACGACTGGAATGTGGCCAAGGACACCATCACAGACTACTACCGTCGACAGTACCCCGATGGCTGGGTTAAGGTCGTACCCTTCTCTCTCAGGAACATCCTCGACGCCATGAAGAATCTTGACCACCGTTTAGAGAGGGCATCATTACCATATATGCAGGATCCAATAGGCGGCACAAACGGAAGCAACGCAAGCCTCTACAGCGTCCCGAGTCCTGGAGGTACGAGTATCAGTGTTCTGTTTGAAGCTAAGAGACAGCACCAGGTGGTCTTTCTGTTGACAGGATCGATGAACCCGGACTATGGTGTCTTTGGACTGACCCAGAAGCGGATCCTGGACGCCGTAAAAGATGCGTTGCCGGAGAGGGTGCGTGCTGTGAATGTGATTGGACATTGCATGTACGGTTGTTCTTCTTGCTCTGGAGTCGAACATAAGGTGCCCTTGTATTTTACACGGTACTTCAACAAGTCGTAAGTGTCTTTGTTTGTTCTTTTCACTTGTGGTGTAACTGGTATGCATGCAAGAGAATGTTCGAATATTGGGGAGAACGGGGACAATACAACAGCGCACTAACTTCCGCGCTTATTTGGTTGAAAACAAACAAGGTTACCCTACACGGCACAGGATGTCCGTAAAATGTACACCCCCAATCTCTCAACTGGCGTGCCGACCTCTAATTCAGCCCACGCGGTTCTGGTAGCGCCCTCCTGTGGTAGTACGTCGATGCTAGCCCAAAAGCCGTTGATCCGACTCTTTCATCGACTGGAGCAGACCGGGAAATGGAAATTCATCTGGAAGATGCACCCAACCTCACTGCAACTGGACGGATACGACACAGAGGACGCCTCGGGAGTTGAGCAGACCGAACTGGAGAACGTCAAGTTTATCCTGGCCAACTTTACAGTTACCCAGGAGGAGCACGCTTGTTTGTTGCCCTTCATGGAAGCCTTTGATGTTATCATTACCGACCTGCACTCGTCGGTGCCTTTTATTGCGACGTATTTCACGCCAAAGATCATCCTGTCGTACTTTAACGACGCCGACTATGGAACACCCGAACGCCACGAGGAGTTTATGGATCAACTCAACACGTTTGTGGAGCCTGAGGAGCTGGAGGCTCTATTGACGACACTTCCAATGGCCAAGGGTGACCCTTCGTTCTTTTACAGTCAATACGGACATGTTGATGGCAAAGAAGATCTTCGGTTTGGCAACCTTGCTAAATGGCCCACTGAGCAGGTATGCCTTTGTTTATTTTGCTTGCCTAGTTGTTTGTGAACGACAACAGTACATGGATGCATGCATGCATGCATGCACGCGTGGAGGTCAATGTTGATTGCTGACAGCAAGATTTTTCTCACGTCTCTTCTTTCTTATGCAAAAAAACCCCACCACCTACATCAACAACAACGATCTAGTTCGAACCTATGCAACCCTTATTGTACAGACAGGCGATGGGCCAGATCGCAGTAGAGTGGCGAAAGATCTGGAAGGATACCACAAAAAAGTTTGCGGACGATATTGAGGGCGCCAACAACGCTCTTGGCTTCCACGCCAAATTCCCTCTGCTCCAAGGGGAGGATGCTCTGACTTTACCGATGACCTTGCCCCGGGTCCTGCCGCGCGAGCGACGTGCCGCAGGGGTCGAGTTGAGGATCATGAGTTTTAATATCTGGAATGGTGGACTTTCAAGTGGTTACCCTATTGAGCAGACTGCCAAGGCTATCCTTGCCTCTGGCGCTGACGTTGTCGGCCTTCAAGGTAAACATTAGACTGTGTGGTTGTAAACATTACCGAGAGACTCGTTACCGCTGTCGTTATATGATTGCTTTGGGATCTGATAGATTATTATTTATTCATCTCATACTGTGTAGAGTGCTCGACGACGATGGAGCACGGAAAGAGAACGTACATGCTGCCAGAATTGATCAGGCACCTTCCTGGATGGTACTACAGTGACCAGAAGCTCCGCCACACCAGCGAAGGACCCCGCAACCCTTGGGGAGTCGTCTCCAAGTTCCCAATCGTTAACACGACCGAGCTCGGCTTTGGTGTCAAGATACAACTCAACAACCATCGCCACCCAGAGACTGAGCCCACGTACATTGGCCTGCCTGAGAGCCAATACCCATCGACGACGAGATCACGCACGAGCTCCTTTGCGTCACTCCAGGGGAATGATAGCACGCGGTTCATGTACCTGTTCAACTGTCACCTGTTCTATTTCCCGTACCAGCCTTTCCAGTTGCTCAAGATTCCGTATGATGACCAGCCTTTCCTCGATACTGCTGAGGAGGCGATCGAGTCTTGTCGGGTGGCGAGGGGCAAGGAGATGGAGGCTATTCTAGGCGAGATCCGGAAAGTGGCCGAGCAGGAGAAGGATGTGTCGATCTTTTTGGCGGGGGATTTCAATGAGCCTAGCCATCTGGATTGGACGCCATTGTCGGTCCTGGCCGGGCTGCAGCCCATCTCGGTGGAGTGGCCCATGACAGAGATGGCGTACAAGGCTGGATTGATCGATCTGTGGAGGGCTTATAGGCCACATACCTCTTCTGGATCCTCGCCAACTAGTCCTAATGGATCCTCAAACGGGATGTTCTCCAGTCTCATCAATGGCACCACGTCTAATGGCCAAGTCCACACAATGGATGGCGATGATACCTGTAGTGAACGCGACATGGCCGAGCGGGCGGTGATCGAGCGTCCAGGCATGACATGGACAGTCCTCAAACCGGAACTGGACGAGACGGACCATTATGATCGGATTGATTTCATCTTTGGATTGAATAGAGAGTCGAGTCCGATTGCTCTCAAGGAGATTGCGGTCAAGTTTGGCGAGGAGGTTTCCCGGTCTGGAGAGAAGAACGATAAGGTGTTCAAGCCTTGGCCTTCTGACCACCGTGCCGTTATTGCTACTGTCATCGTGTAGCTCTCCATGTCTTCTGGAGGACATTTTTTTTTTAAATATCATGCCGCTTTGTTCTTATGAGATACCTTTTTTTTTTTTCCCTTGATGACGGGGAATGAGCTGGGCGCCAAATAAAGTTTTTATTTTTTGATGCTTATTGGATTCAAAATGAGGACCTTGCTCTCATTCTGAAAGCGGATTAGAATTTGTCCACTCCTCCTTCCTTCTCCTCTCAGGAACAACGATCGGCATTCTTCTCTCTTTTTTTTTTTTTTGTCATTTGCATTTGATTATACAACCACGGAGGCGGCGGTAATGTTGACACGGGAAGAGGAGGCGAAGGGGGGGAGGGGGAGGTCTATAATACAATTACAATCGCGAACGACGCCGTCGTGGGCTTTTGTGTAAAGAGAGACGGAAAATACTAAAAGCCTCTCCGGTTAGCACTTCCGCGGCAATGTCCTAATTCCTTTGTTCAATTCAGAGCCAAGAAAGAATAAAAAAAAAAAAAAGCCTGGAGCAGTCTTGGCGCCTTACGACGCCTCATGACAAGACGAATGTGTGTGTGCGTGTATAGGGGGGAGGGGGTTTCATGCACCACCACCACCACCACCACCCCGTCGACCATCATAAAGTCAGACACAACTGGGGGGGGGGGGGGGGGGGGAACCCGCCCCGATTGTGAAGCATCCACGATAGACAAGAAGAAAAAAAAAGTTTTGTTTCTGTTATTTTTTGTATGCGTTGGGCGCGTTTGGTTTATTCATGAGAGATAAAATTACAAAAGTGTTTGTACGAAATGTAAAAGATAGGGTGGGGGAATATGTGCGAGTGAAGAGTTGCAAAGTCGCAATACACTCGCGAAGGAGCTTGCTATTCAATCATCCTTGCGTGTCCAGAGATAGAGAATGTGTTGGGATTCAAGCGGTCGAGTTGTGGTGTTTCTGGAGGGTTGTTCCATGCGACTCGACCGCGTTTAGTACTTCAGGATAATGTAGAAAGCGTGGATGATACCTACAAGCATTCAACGACAGGCAATAAAGAAAGAAAGGTGTCAGCAAAAAGAGGTGGAGACGAAAAGAACATACTGCCAACGAACAAGCACAAGCGTGAGGAGAAGAGACGAGAGGAGGACATACCAGGGATGTATCCGAGACAGGTGAGGCCGATGTTGATGAGGAGGTCGCATCCGCAGCCCCTCTCAAGCAACACTCCCAGAGGGGGGAGGATGACGGCGAAGATGAACTTGAAGATGTCGGAGCAGGTAAGAGCCATGGTTGAAAGTAGTGGTGTTGAGTGTGTGTGTGGGAGTGAGGGTTACTGTGGAAAATGTGAATGAAGAGAGAAAAAAAAAGAAAGTTGGGCGCCCCTCGTCCCTTTTATGTCGGTTTCGAGAAATATCACCTGGTCGGTCTGTGCTTGAAAACGAACCTAATGATGTCATAGCCTAAATAAACGCAAACATAGTAAGCAGTGGGGCGCCGCCTTCTCTTTTTGCCTTTCGTTTTTTTGTGAGTGCACCCCGTCTTAAATTGCTTGTCCTGCTGGACTTGTTTGTTCTCTTCCATATACACTGACGACGCATTTGTTTGTTCGTCGTTCCTGCGTTGTACCACAAATGACGGAACGAAATCGTCATTCATTTCTGATATATCTTTTTTGTTGCTCTCAACTGATGAAAAAAGGAGGATCAAGGATCAAAGTTGTTACGAATTCCACCCAACTTGTTTTGTGTTCTCGATGACAACGATGAAGGCAGGACAGAGATAGCACATATAAATGATTGTCGTCTTTTTTGTCTGAAGAGTCTGTCATCGTTCTTGGCTGCCTTTTTTATTCCATCATCCCAGTTTGGACATACAAAAATAGATTTTTCTATGCAGGTACCGTCTCTTTCTGGTCATCATAAGGTCCAATGCTTGGCACTCCTTTGCTGTGTTTATTATTCTGAAAAAAAGAAAGTCAGAAAGTCGAAAGGAGAAAAGCCGTTACAAGCTTTGTGCCATACGGTCAATGATGGTGTGTCGCTCTTGTGACCGGATGTCCTTTGGTAATGCATGGAAGATCTATTCACAAGGTGGAGTGGAGGAAAATCAGTAAAGCTTCTCGGCTATGGGCAAACATACTTGGAACACGGAGTAGACAAGAGCAGCAAGATAATTACCATTTGATACTTGGCGACCGTGTCCTTGACATCGCCTTCCAGCAATCTCAGAATGCAGTCGTGCAAAAGCCCATCGACGACGGGCCTGTCAATCGTGTCCGCAGGCACAAATTTCCGGAGTAACATCAAATTCCTGAACAGCCCGATCGTCTTCCAAAGATATCTCTCTCGAGCCTCCACCCCCTGAGCAGTCAGAATTGGACGTGGCGTCAGTGGCTGTGCTGCTTGGATGAACTGTAGCCGATGGGCTTCCGCTGTGTTGAGAATCGTCTGCAGAAGGGCCTTGATCAGTTGTTCCATCTTGCTGTTCGACTTTTCCACATAGTCTAGAAGTTCTTCCATGATGGCCATCAAGCACTTTGTCTGCTTGGTAGAGTAAAGGTCTACTCCGCCTGCGCTGAGGAACTGCGTAATCTTGGGGCACAAACTCTTGGCAACCACCTTCTTCAGTAGGTCCCTGTCCATATCCTCCTCCTCATCATCCTGGTGATCGCTGTCCGAGTCACTGTGATCATATATCCGAGAGGAACGAGCAATAGGATAGGTGGTGACCGCTTGATGCCATGACTGCTCAGAAATATCTTGCTTGACACGGATAGGGTTCCATAGGCATGTCTCCTGACGCACAAAGAGGTCAAAGACCAGTGGCAGCAAGAGTCCACCGTATGCCTTGTTGTAGTCGCTCGGGTACTCTGCTTTCCATGCCTGAAAGTGTCGCTTGACCGCCTCAAGCGAATTAAACTCTGGACCGACCTCCTTGAAAAGATTCAGACGGCGATCCTCCAGTTCCATTACAGCATCGCCCAACTCTCTCGCGTCGCCATTGCCAAGCTCATCGTCCGTGGAAAGTCCATCGTATGTCTCGACCTCCTTGCCGTCTGCTGCCTGGAGTTGTTTCCTCTGCGCCCTCCGACGCTCTCTTTCAGCCTTCCGTCTCTTCTGTGCTGCCAATGGATCCACACCAATGCTCCGTCCAAACTCGTCCACCTCCTGAGCGATAGGTTGTTTGACATTTGACCTGTTCTCGTCATCAACAACGTTCGCGAATTCAACCAGGTCGTCCCGCATGTCCAGATGTCTCCTCTCCAGAACCAACAATGTCCTCTCCGAAAGCATTGACCTGAACTCCTTCTCAATCGTCTCCAAATCTGGATACTTTTCTTCAAAGAACGCAGCCAAGTTCCTGCAGTACGACCGCAACTCCTGGAAGAAAGTGTACCGAGCACTGGCCTTGGACATGGCCTCTCCCGACTCCACCGTCCGAATGTTGATCTCAGCCTCCTCCACGTGAACCTGCTTCAATTGCGCCTGGTGTTCGCTGAGTTGGTTCTTCAGACTGCTGAGGCGATCCTGTAGCCGTTTCTTGACCTCTGCGATATTAGGCACCTGTGTGACAGTTGGAACTGAAGAGAAACGAAGCGAGGTATTAGCTGCCATTCTTTACGCCAAGTTTGTCCTCGTCTCATGCCAGATCGAGACCATCGATGTACAATGCACACTTACTTGCGATGGTTCTGTGAGCAGGAGCTGCAGCATTCTTCTTTCCTGCATCTCGTTGGACCACACCGGCGTTCCTAATCTGCTGCATCTCCCATTCTCGAGTCTCCTCTTCATCTTCTTCGTCAGCATCGCTATTCAAACATTCAAGTCAGAAACAGAGAACGTCAGATCCAGTATTTGGCAGCATCCGAAAACGTGCAAACAATAATAATACTCCCAACACTTACATGTCTTCGATCATTTCTTTCCTGGCCGCTCTCCGGCTCTTTTCTGCCTGTCGCTGAGCTCTTTGTCCCAAAGCCAGCTTATCTCCCAACAAGTTCTCGAGATCTATGATACAAAAAGTTGAAGTATGGTCAGCGTAGATTATAGAATGGGTTGCATCACGGATCGCGGCATGTCTGTCGATTCTTGTGTCGATGTGCTTACCTGCTTCGCCATCATCCATTTCGTCGTCCTCCTCCCGAACCATCCGTGTATTCCTTTCTTCGACCATCTAGTATTCAGGAACCGCGTTGAAGGCAATGTTGTTAATATATCGATCCAGAATGGCATACAACACATCGCTAACAAGCAAAAGGCAACGGAGGAAGGTGCATACCCTATCATCGTCGCCTCCCGCAAGAGAAATAAACTCTTCTTCCTCATGATCGTTCCTGAGTCTCATCTGTTCGCGTTTCTTTTTAGCGAGGTGAATTGCAGCAGCATCGGGTATAATGGTCAGACCTATGTGCGCAATGGTAAAAATACGCCGCGTTAGTCCAATTCTGATCGATATGATGTGAATACACATACCAAAGTCACAACAGCAGCAACCTAATTGTTACCTCCAAGGAGAGAAGGAAACTTTTCTTCAACACTGCTTCCGTTAGAATCATGCGATCTGCTGCTGGGTGCTGTGGATTGTGTCGACTTGCGAAGTTCGTCCAAAGCCTCCTTGCTGTAAGAAACAGCGTTGCCGACGGTCGCGCGACTGGTGATAGACTGGTGTTGTTGTTGATCCGTAGTGTCTGATGTTTCCTTTCCTTTGTTGTTGGCCAGCCTCCTGCTGGCTGAGCTCTTTTTGATCTTGAAGGTGTCCTCTGATTCCTATGGTAGGTGAATTAATTATACAGTCAGAATTGTGTGAAAGGCGCGGTAGAAAAACAAAAAAGAGCTTCCGAAACTTCTCTGTTGCGTGTCGTACCTGCTCGTCGTCCCCAAAGCTCAGAACTGTGCTTGCCACCTTCTTCTTGACCTTCTTGACCTTGACTACAGGTTCAGCGGTATCTATCCGAGCAAAAAGAAGTGAAGAGTGAATACGCATTAGAATAAAAACACACAGAGTTCAGGTGAGTTTGTGAATGGCATCTGCTTTCTGAAAGTGTGTGCTGAAGGTTGTTACCATTGTCTGGAACTGGTGTGTTGTTTCCAGAGTCCTGTACGGGTGCCTCGTCGCCATCGTCGATGTTGACCTTCTTGCGGATGCTTCGATTCTTCTTTGGAGTGAACATGGTGCGAAGAAGTAGAGGTGTGGGCTAGAAAGAAAAGAAAAAAAAATCGGTGGCGGACAGACCTATTCATTCGTGGCAACACAAAATTTCGATGGCTTGGCTCTCGAATCCACAATTGCCAGGGGGATCAGTCGAGACCTCAGAGACGAGGGGCCGACTGAAGAACTGGTATCATTCACAACAGGGCGACTTCCACCCTGGTCAAGTCTGCTATCATATGGCCTCCCTTGTCTCGTTTTGTTAAGTAGGTAGGCATATTGTACACATACTCGTATCGATTGCCCTTCTTCATGCGCCTTGTACATGCGAGGAGTGCGACTTGTTCTCAAGGGAACACGAAACTAAAGTGACAAAGGGGATGTATCTTGAAAGACACCCTGGATTTAGGGAATTGACAAGGAGCCCCAGCCCCCTGTAAGGCATTCATAGTTGAACGAGGCGGAAAAAGAAGAAAAAGAAGAAAAGAGACGCGCCTGGGCAAGTTCCTGGAAGCAAAGCCTGACCTTGGGCCTGGAAGTCCCTTTTGATGACGTGTCTGGATTTTCTGACCATGACCCTATTTAAAACCGTCTTGTGCCCTGAAGTCAATTTTTCCTTTCTTTCATCAACCCATCCACTTCTTCTCACTCCCCATCACACATCATCTCACACAATGTCCTGGCAAGCATACGTCGATAACAACCTCGTCGGCACCGGCAAGGTCGCCAAGGCTGCCATCTTTGGCTTGGACGGCAGCCTCTGGGCCACCAGCGCCGACTTCTCGGTAAACTAACTAATCATCCCCCATCCCACTTTTCAACACCATGGGAACCTAAAAAGGACTTTTCCCACACAGCTGTTTTTTTTATGCCCTCTTCGCATACTCGTTGTCTCTTCGATAACGCTCTATCTGAGGGACAGTAAAGGACAACTGTCGTCGAAGACTGGATAGCTTCTGGACACCGTCGCACCCATGTTATATCTTTATTTCTTTCAAGGACGAAGTCTGGCGACGACGCGTCGTATTATTTCAGGACACCGTGTTGACAGGTTCAGGAAAGAATGCAAAGTGTACTCATTCTCCTTTTTTTTTCTTACCAATTGTATCACGGTCATTGTTATTAGGTCAGCGCTGACGAGGCCAAGAAGCTAATTGCTGCCTTCAACGATGTCAGCGACATTGCTGCCCACGGTCTCCACCTTACGGGCATCAAGTACGTCTTCTTGAGAAACCCCGATCAAAGCATTTACGCTCGCAGTGTAAGTCCTGAGTACACGGAAACTCTTTTTCTCTCCCTTTGTTTATTTTCTTTTTCTCGTTCATTTGATAGTCGGCGAGAAGGCAGGATGATGAAGTTCGTGGTGAACTGGTACTGTTCGCTTGAAGCTTCATGGATTCTTTCCTTTCACGTCGACCAACTCAAATACCCTTTGATACTCGGGGGGTAGATATACTTGGACTGAAGCGAGGTGGAAAAGTGAGAAAACGACGACAAAAAAGTTCGAGCACGATGCAACCACATGAGGCATGGTTGGATATTTTGGTCATGTTTTCATGCTACACAACAAGGAAAAGAGGTTCACCTGATTATACACCCTCTGCAAGCAAGATGGTTAGCAGCGAACAATGGCAATAACCAGCAACGGTAGATACGCCCCTTCCATGGTATGGATGATGATGGAAGCAGTAGCGAAGGTTGTTAGAGGGGTCATTAGGTACTGCCCTCACACCCTTTTCTATCTCAACAGAGCAGGCATTCTTTGTGGAGAGGCGGGTGCCCCTAAACCCTCGGAACCTTTTTTTATCATTTTTTTTTCCAGTTGTCTATTTCTGTCCCCCGTTCTGGACATTTTCCATTTTTTGATGCTCAGATTACAATTTTGCTCTCTACTTTACAATGACCATACGTTCCTAATCATTCTATCCTCTTCTCTGTTTGTTTTTACCTCTTTTCTAGGGTGCCACCGGTATCACTGCCGTCAAGACCAAGCAGTGTGTCCTCATCGGTTACTACGCCGATGGCCAGCAGGCTGGTGACTGCAACACCGTCGTCGAGGGCTTGGGCGCCTACCTCAGCGGTCAAGGCTACGTAAGTTTGACAACCCTTTCGAACCTTGCAATACACCTATTGGACACTTGACGATCCATTCGTACCTTTTCAATGTACTATACATGCATACCATCGAGGAATGTCAACAATGCTAACCTTACACACCCTCCTTCTTTTGAACCATGCAGTAAACTATCTCCTACAACATATACAGACTCGCTATTTTTCGCCGGCGTGGTGGAGTGTCGTAGGGGAGCGTGTCAAGGATACCAACCCGACGACGTTTTTTTTGCAACCTGCGATGACGACAAACACACTCCATCTGTATGTCTCTTTGCAGGACTAATCTATCACTGGCAACTCCTGCGAAATAACCCCTCACCCCCCCCCCCAAAAAAAAAAAAAAAAACTAGAAAAGCCGAAAAAAAGGACCCCAATAAACACACCTCTAGCCAACAACCCCGGTCCTTCATGTTTACTGTTTCATGTTCTTTTTCAACGCTGTGCCTTGTCATGACACCTTCCTCTCCTTCCTCCTTTCATAGCGTGTTTTTCTTCCCCCACCACCTTCATATCACACTATTCCTTTAAACGAAAACAAAGGTCCAGATGCACCACAAGGCAAACGTAGCACGCAATCGAATCGGGTGAATGGTCAGTGGTTGGTTGGGGTACAGGGCGCACAGATGCCTTCAGCCAGCCCACAACACCAACCAACACCAACCAACCCTCCCAACGACAAGCGAAATCCATTCATCCAACCGCAATGCCACGTAGATTCGCCTATGTTATGAAACAATAAAAAAACACGTCAAAACCCTTTATTAAGCTACCTTCTCGTCCCCTATTCTTCATCCACCTCCGCATCATCTTCTTCCCCTTCACCCTCAAAATCGCCGCCCTCGTCGTCGTCCTCGTCAGCGAACTCTTCGCCATCTTCATCTCCTTGGAGGGCTTCGACCTGTTCACGGAGCGCCTCGTTGCCTAGATATATGGAATTGCATGCACAAAGATCAGACATATACTCACAACACTTGGACCATTCGTTGACATGATGACCGCGTTGCTTTCCCCAGAACTTACTAGGATCCAATTCCAAAGCACGCGAAAGCTTCTCTGTTGCGGCATCAAAACGCTCCATCATCGTATCCTCATCCACAATAAAGCCTGTCGACATCAGATATGCCTGTCCCAACTATTAAACGCAAGAGCGAAAGAGAGTCAGAGCATTAGCACCTCATTCACATTCCTTCGCAACCACCAACAAAGACATAAACTCAAGAGCCAAGAGGTAATAGGTCATCTTACAGCTTCAAGAGTCTTTGCATCGCCGTCCTCGTTTTGGAGCTCTTCAGCCTTGACCAAGAGCTCGATCGCCTTCTCGATATAGGCGTAGGCTGGGTTGTCTTCGCTCTGGCTCTCGTTGTCAACCAATCTGGCCTTGCTGTGAAGGCACGATCCGTAAATGCTCAACACATCCGAGTTGGAATCGATCAGAGCCGCGTTTGCCTTCTGAACGTCCTCCAAGTGCTGGATCGCGCAATCAAACACCTTTGCCGCCAGTTCTATTAGAGTTGCGCATACGGAAAAAGGCGATTGTAAATAATTCGATTCAAACACTCCAACAGGCGTTTCTCCTGATGCATTCGAGAAAAAGCGTGTTCAGGACCAATTTTCCATTTCTCTATAAAACAGCTGTGATCTAACTTACCGTGGTTGACTTTGAGGTCCAAAGAGACACCATACTCTTCAAGCTCCTGTGCAGCTCTGATCGACTCTTGAGCGAACGCCGACTCGGGCTTGGCCTTGAGGATTTTCAATCCCTTGCCAAAAGACTCCAATCCATGGTTGACCAACGCCAACTCGGCATTTCCAACAAGCACAGCAGCATCTCTCTGCTCCTCTGAAGGTTCTTCATCCTCATCCTCTGCCAGAACCATCATCGCCTTCATCGCTTTACCACGCTGGTCGCGAGCCTATCAATGAAAGATGTGCAACACAAGTTCACATCGAATTGTCGCCGTTAGTAAAACTCACACCCTCTAATTGTCCATGAAGAAAACTCCAAAAAAAAAAAACACGCTAAGTACTTCATCCTCCTTACCTGAGAGATCTGAGCAATACCAAGCCCAACAAACACATTCCCATCCCCACCGTCCGTCCTCCTAACCAACTCCTCAAACATTCTCGTCCCCTCCTGCAACATCTCCGTCGATGGCACAGCATTCCCCACCGCAACAACACAAGCTGCATGCTGAACCCGCGTCTCCAACACCTTCCCGCCAACCTCCGTCCCATCATTCACCTCAATATGTGCCTCAGCCTTCTCCAAAATCTCAAACTCTTCAATCGCCTTGTCAAACAACGCCTTAGCCATCCTCGACAGTGATCCTACAGCTCCGGCTCCTTCACCCTTGGAAACTTCTTCACGCGCCATCTGGAAGAGCTCGACAGCACTGGGCTTGGTATCGAACTGGAGGACAATCTCGCCCTCGGCACAGCCCTCGCAGTCGGGGTCCTCACAGTCTTCGGCGTGTTGCTTTTCTGAAGGGTCCTTTCGCGCCTTCTTGGAATCGTGTTTCTCAAAAGAGGAGGAAGAGGCGTTGGGTGCTTCGCCTTCGGGCGAGGAGGCCTTTCGCTTGTGAGTCGATGATGCCGCGTCAGCCATTTAGTGAATGTTGTTGTTTTTTTGTTTGTCGAAAAGGGGTTGAATGGGGAGAGAGTTTGGAGGCCAAACAAGAAGTGATCTGATCAGAAAAAAAGAAAAAAAAAGGGCGCATTTGTCTGAGCCGTCACGTTCTCCATACGCGAAAGTTCGTGTCTACACACGCAGCTTCACAATTGTTGCCAATACAAAACGACTGCAAGTGTGGACTTGATCCAATGTGGTTCCTGTGAGACTCGCAAGCACCCATAATGGACAGATGAGGAAGATACAAAGAAAGAAAGAAAGAAAGCAAACAGAATGCGAAATAAAAGCATGATTTATTATTGAAACAACTCTTCTCCTCTCCACGACCTCCGCGCCATACTGGGTTCGGGCGTTTACTGTACAGATCAAGAGATAAAAACCACAAGTGGAGTGAGTACATTGCAATGGGATGACAATGAGGCATGTTACAAACATATCGACAGCAAAAACCAGAGAAGAAACTTACAGCGGCAGCTTTGACACGCTGAGCGGCACGCTTGCCAGTCTGGGCCTGGAAACCAGACTTGATGGCCGAGACGGATCTTGTGGAACCGCAGGCCTCGCACTGCAAGAAGAACAGACGGTTCTCCTTGGTGAGAATAGTATCGGGGGATTTGCAGGTCTTGCAGGTAACGTACTCGACAATGTAACGACGCAAGACGGCCTCGATTTGCTTCTGCTGGAAACGGCCCTTGATGACCAGGCGCTGGGATCCATCGATGGATCCAGAGGTTCCCAACTCGGCAAACAAGAACTGAATAACGTGCTCGGGCTGACGATGCATCCTCTTGCAGATATCGGCAACGTTGGCAAAGACAGTCTTCTTGTTACCATCACGCATAACCGAGGGAGGAACAATGGTGTAACGCTTCTTCTCACCAGCAAGCTCGGGGTTGTTCTGACGGAGAATCTTGAAAACGCGGGACAAAAGCTATAGAAGGGCAAAAAACATAGTAATGAAGATAAGTATCACTCGCTCACCAAATGCCAGTATTTTTTTCAGCCACCAGTAAGATGATTCATCCCGCAGTAAAAAAAAAAAGTCCCTGAGCGAAACTGGTGCGTCTAGCGATGCGCAAAAACGTCTGTCTGACTGTGGAGTGGACAAAAAAGGAACGAGGAGGCCTAATTACCTCGGTGTATGTGTAGTCGCGGTTGGATCCGATCCAGCCCTCCTCAGCTTCAGCACCAGTCTTGGAGCTGGAGCGAGTAGCGCCCTCCTCATCTTCGGCAGCAAAGATATCGTCGGGGTCGCGAGCAGCGTCATCACCCTCCTGATCCTGGCCATCCTCGAAAGCAGAGAAGTCGACCTTCTTAGACTTCTTCTTCTTCTTCTTCATGTCGCCGAAGTCGAATGACTCGCCGGCGTCAGCAGCTGCCTCCTCGCCACCCTCTGCAGCGGCTTCATCCTAATAATAATATACATAATGAATCATCAACGATATAAGTGGGTTGTCTTAACAAGGGGACGCAGTTGGGTACTGAGCATGACATTAAGTTAACAAAATAGCCCTGCAACTGCGCCTTACCTCGACCTTGACCTTCTTCTTTTTCTTCTTCTTCTCGCCAAACATGGCCATAGGATCCTCCTCAGCGGCATCTATTTAGTATTGAACGACGAGTAGAGGGGGCGTTAGTCGTCGGTGACTCATAATAGACGTACAATAGATGCGAGGAAGACAAAAAAATAATCTCTGCGTTGCAATCGCACGATCCTTGGACTAAGTGCGTCATCTCGATGAGTCCTGGTCGAGAAAAGGCTGAAGTTATTACCTGCAGCAGGTGCGGCCTCTTGGGATTCGGCGACAGCCTCCTCAACGGGCTCCTCCTCGGTCTTCTTGGACTTTTTCTTCTTCTTCTTCATGGTGAGGTCAAAGACAAGCTATTGTGATGCATAAGGAAGATTGCACCGAGGCGAGAGGAGAAAAGGTTGTGGTGTCGAGTAAATTAGCGAAACTGTGATCGTTCCCTGGCTGTGTTGTTGTGCTGTGAGCTTTCGCGAAAGAGAAAACAATAAGAAAATTGCAGAATCCGTGTTTTTATGGAGGATGTTTTTTGCTGAGTTGTCGATAGGCAGTTGCTGCGTCCATGAGGCAGCAGTAGAGCGAGGATATCCTTACATCGTCGTCCTGAATCTCCATGGATTCGAGCTTCTCCTCAATTTCTGCGGACATGGTTATGAAGTTGGTGTGAGTGATGAAAAGAACATTAGGCTGCACACTATTTTGACCAAGCTTTTAAAAGCCACAGTGTACCACTCCACCACGTGATCATATCATACCTTTCAATTGCGAAAAAAGAATTGCCCAAATTATATAATGTTGTACAAAGGGAGACTACAGAAGAAAAGGGTTGATGGTGAGTGGTTCATCGATACCGCTTGTCCATCTCAGAACGGGTAAGGAAGGCGGCTCGGAGCTGAGAGTTGATGGTATGGTACAAGTTTTGCTCCTCCGCAGTCTGTCCTGACTGCCGCTGTTGAGCTGATTGTTGGTGTTGTTGATGTTGCTGCTGCTGTTGCTGCTGTTGCTGTTGCTGCTGTTGTTGTTGCTGCTGCTGTTGTTGTTGTTGTTGTTGTTGTTGTTGATGCGAGAGATGCTGATTCAAGACGTATCCTTGTTGAGAACCCAGGTTCCCATTTATTCCGTGAGGAGTTCGGTAGCCATTCGCGGAGAAGGACGCACCGAAGCCCTGCGTCTCATTCACGTCCGCCATCTCATCGTCCTCGTCCACCATCTGGGCGGCCAATATCGCATTCCTTTGTTGCTGCTGATACCACGCCGTGTTGGTGGAGGGTCCAGCTGGTTGCTGGCTCCATGCAGTGTTGGCTGCAATGATCCTTGTTTGCTGCTGTTGCTGCTGCTGCTGCTGGTGGTGCTGTTGCCAGGCGGTATTGGCGGTAAAAGCTTGAGCTGGATCCTGTGGATGCTGCCGTAATTCAGGCGCACTAGGTCCGTTCTGTGCTGGCAGAGTCCTGCCATCGTCGGCTGGTGGCAATTCGTCAGGAATGCCAAATCGGGAAGCATGGACTTGGTGCAAAAGAGTGTTCATCCTTGCATATAATGTGGCGTCCGTGCTGTCGCTGGCTCGCGGCAGAGTCGCGCCTGCCTTTGCTCGCTCTTCATCGTCTCTACTCCTGAATTCAAGGGTTGTGGATGAAGAAGCCGAGGTCGACGACGACGACGACGATACCAACAATGACGCCGCAGATTCCTGGCGACTGGATGGTCTTGTGGAGATCCTGATAGGGGCAATTGGTCTGAGCGAGCCCATCGGGAGAGGTTGAGTTGACAGCTGTTGGGGGGTCGATCTTGTGGGTGATGATATTTCGTTGCGCTCACTGTTCCAAACAGCATTGCCCAAGGTATGTGTGCCTAGCTGTGGCGTAAACATATCTGAAAGGTCTGATGGAGGTGATCTATAATGCGTTGATTCAATGCATCAAGGTACGATCAGTAAGCGATATACATATCAGAGCTCTTTACAACTTCACATATGCTGTCAAATAAAAAAAACACATACTCAGAAGACAGCTTGATACGCTTCATTTTTTTCAAGACTCGGCCCTCAATCATATCAACACCAAGGGGGTCAATGTCATCGTCAGCGCCTGCGCCTTCCGATAGTTCTAGCTGTGACCCTTGCTGTGTTTGTTGTATGCGGACGTCGTTGGGGCCATTGTAACTCCTGCTTGGCAAAGACGACGGGTCGTTTGGGTTGTGGTCGTCAGAGGTATAACGGCGTTTCATGTCAGAGGGTGGGTTCAGAGTGTTGGCAAGGGCGAGAGGGTATGGGGTGACAGAATAAAAGTAGGGAATGCGTGGCAAGTTGAAGAGTTGGTTGGTGGTGATAGGGGTTGGTGGCAAAGGGTCGAGTGAGTTTGGTGGCTTTGGGTAGATCATGGTGTCCCTCCTTTCTCTCTGTGGGGAATCCAGACAGAGCCAAAGAGGAGAAGGAAGGATGGGTGGGTGGGTGGGATGAGAGGTTGGCTGGCGAGGAGAGAGGCGAAGAGCGAATGAGAATGAACAAAAGACAGCCCCGCTTGACCTTGACGCAAGCTAAATACATTGGAAGAGCAGTCACGATGATGAATGTGACAGGATGGCCTGCAACATTTTTTTTGTATTAGATTCTCGTACGCTGCTACTGGAACTGCTGCGACTGTCGGGCCATATACTGAGCCTGCAACTGCTGCTGCTGCTGGCTCTGTTGGCTCTGTTGGTATGGATCCATGATCTCAGGCGCATTCGTGGCCTACATTGCACAAATTGAATACGAGATACGCGTTGTTAAAAGTCAATAAAATAGAGCACAGACCAGACACAGGAGTAGCTTCAAATATCTTAATGCATAACACCATGCCTACCAAAGTAAAGTCGCCTTGGTCCAGGATTCCAAACGGATAAGAGTAATTATCCAGCGCCATGTTGTTGGCGTCCATTCCTCCCCCGATTCCGGCACCGTTGTTGGGTCGTCGAGGACCGGTAGCACCAGCGGGTCCCGGGAGTGGTTGAAAGATTTCCTGGCTTCGACGACGATCTGGTCCTGTGAGATCGTGGTGGGGCTTGTGCTCCTTGGGCAACGACATCTTGTACTCTTCACGTGGCACAATGTCGATCAGGAAATCAAACATGTCTGTCTTTGCAATCGCTGCTGCAATGTCGCTGCGCTGAAGCGTTCTTCGCTTGTTTTCTTCGGCATGAATCCTATGTTTGTTCGTTATTTGTGACAATGATGTCGTAAAAAAGTGAGTACTACATGGTGTTTGTCTTTTTTTCCCCCCCATTGCTTACAAGCAAGTGAGAATGTGCTTACCAAGCGCGGAGGGTGAGTTCAGTAATGAAGATGTCGCAGCCCTTATCAAAGATCATGGGAGCATCCGCACTGATCATTTTCGCCTAAAAAAATATCGTTAGAGTTCAGAGGGAGTGAGAACGGTGACACAACGTCAACTTCCCACACACATACAAACATGCACTTCGCCCATCTCAAACTTTTTATAGCACGGTCGATCGTTCTTACTTTCACATCGTCGTCGGTCTTCATGACCTTCTTGATCCGGGCGAGAGGAAGATGGTGGACTTTAAAGTCCTGGGGCACGTTCTGGATTTCATGCATCTGTCTCATCCAGAACGAGTGCAAAAGATGCATGTGGGCCTGCTGCATCGGCTGGTGGTGAGCCATAGAAGGGTCGTGGTGGTGCTGCAGTGGAGGTGGGGCATGGGTCATAAACGATAGCATGGGATATATGGGGGGGTGCATAATTTGCTGTTGTTGTTGTTGTTGCTGTTGCTGCTGCTGTTCTTGGTGCTGTTGTTGGTACGGTGGGAACTGCTGTCGTTGCTGCTGCTGCTGCTGCTGCTGGTAAAAGGGAGCCGATGCCGAAGGATTCATCTGAGGAGGCTGTGGATAGGCAGAGCCAATAGAGTTTTGGCGTTGATGCTGGCTGTGTTGCGGATTCATGGTCGGTTCGATGGGAGAAGGATGGGTGGTGGAAAGGAGCAAAAAGACAAAGGGGTCCAATCAACAAGAGAAAGAAATGACCTGGTAGCGTTGTGGATTGGCGTGTAGGTGGGAGCGAGGAAGGACTGACCTCTGGTCAACAACACAATAATCGGTTGCAAAAAGGCGGCGGAAAAAGAAAAAAAAAATGGAAAAAAAATATTCATAATATGGGGTCAGTTGCTGGTGTTTCACAGCACCAATGACATCCTACATGGTTTCTGGTTTCATCTTCTCTATTGATTTTTCTTTTATTTACAAGGAACAGAGATATCTGTTCATGACAATGACTCGTTCATCTGGTCAAGAGGCGGTAGAGATGGAGTATGCCATGTCAAGAGCTCAAGATAACCCGACTGATGTGGACTCATACTTGCATCCTCGTCCACATCCTCGCTCTCTTGTCTGCTTGTTTGTCCGTCCTCTGGTTTAGGAAAGACATGGATACACTCGGGCTGCGTGTTGATATTCCAGTCTGGGATCGCATAGTCCACCAGAGCCTTGCTATCCTCGCTCGTCAACTCCTGTCCCTCCGAGAGATAAGGGCCCGGCAACCGCTTTAGCACATTGCCCCCAAAGCAAAGTACGGGCCGGCTCTCCAATTGTCCGCCATATCCCAGCATCCATTTTGTGCCAACCTGCAGTCCATGCATAACCTTCTCTGCCGCTCTATTCCACATCAGCTTGCGAACCTCTTGGGCCTCGGTATCAATGACGACCAGGGCCATTGGCCACAGAGACTTGGCGTAAGGGAGCAGCGCCTGCTTGGTATACTCGGACGAAACGGCAAGGATAGCCATTGTTGGTTGGGTCTCGAACGAAAGCGAACCCTGCAACTCGCGGACATACTTTGGTCCGATCTTGGAGGTCATCTTCTTGCACTGCACAATCACCTTTAGGTGACGCACCATGTCGCCCTCTTTTGGAGAGGCACTCAACGGCAAGAACCAGGTCCCTCGAAGATCGACTCCCAAGTCGCCATTCCCTGCTGATCGCTGCGTGTAGATGCCAAGGGTCTTTTTGAGGATCTCTTGGGTTTGATACTCAAAGAGGGTACCGCGGTAGATGGTGCTGTCCATGTTGTGCTCCAGGTCCTTGAAACTCTGAAGGTCGTTGTGTACCAATCCTGAAGGGCCGGTGCCAACGGTGGCGGTCTTGGAAACATCCCGATTTATGTACGGCATCGAGGAATGAATGTCCTTTGGGAAAGGTGCGGGTTCGAGTTCTGGAAAGTATATTCGATCGCTGGCCAATGCTTGTCCTTGATATGTGCGTAGGGTGCCGTCGACTCGACTTGATAGGGGTGTGTTGTTTGGCGTCGTTGGCTCTTCTGTGACGAGTCCTAGGACTTCGGAAGTTGTTCTGGCCGTTTGCTTCTTCTTTTCTTTTGTATCTGGAGCGTCTAGGCGAGCCGAGGGATGGGTAAGAAAGTTCAATGGTGATAAGGGATGATGCGGGTCCTGTAGTTGCTGTTCTGGAAGGTGAGGCGAATATACTGGCGAGGGTGCTGTGTCCCATTCGATGGGACCGGTGTCGGTTGCAAGTGATGAGCGGAATCGAAAAGATGTCTGCATACAGCGGCAGGGTAAGGTGGGCCGGATCCTCCCTGCTAGCATGGGTATCCTTCTAGCTGTTGCTGTGGTCATGTTGATCCTGATCGGCCTAGTTGTTGTTGAAAGAAGGGTGAGGAGAAAACATCTTGTCAGGGGCAACAAATGGACGCGTTGTCGAAAAAGGGAAGAAAGGGCTGTGGCTTTGATCAGTCAACAACTATGGCACCTTTCACTAACTCCTACAGGTTAGACGAAGAACTGCAAACGCGAAGAGTTCAGATATGCAAAGTGAATCCAATAAAATGCAATCGAGTGTAGCTCCAAGAATGAAGTTATCCTGAACTGCTCCTTCCTTGTTGGTATGCCAGCCATGGTCACGATAAGTTGTTCGACTTTGCATTTTATCGTGTGAGCCGTAAAACCCCATTGAAACGAGAGCCAGAATTGACCCGACTCCTGAAATAGAGAGGGGAAAGGGTGCCAACGCAAAGGAAGAACGGGCGAAACAGAAGAAAAGAAGAAAGGGCTACGAAACCATCCCTGATGGTTGTTGTCCCTGACCCAGGAGGGCTTTTTTTTTCTTTTCTCGAAGGGAGGCACAATGGCCTACAAGATCCACTATTGCCATTGCACGGACATGAACTTGAGACAGTGTTCTTGTTGAACAGGTTTGCCTCTGCACCACTGGTGCTCTCGTCTCCTCTGTTCACTTTGCAAATCTCCGCACACCTGGCTGAAAAATTAACCACACTGGGATCGCACATGCCAGTGGCGCGTCGAGCGCCTCGCTTTTTTCTCACTACTTCGGCCTTTTCTTTTACCCACTTTTCTTCTGTTCTCTTTTCTCTTTTCAACTCCCTCACACTCGCCAAACTGCCCTCTTGTTGTTACGTTTCCTCCCTTGGAGTCCTCGTCAGGAATACAGGAACAAAAACCACACCTCACAAAACCACAGTCAACAATGACGGTTCATCAGAACCAAGAAAAGAGCGGCCTGCTCAACCTTCAAGAGGGCATCCAGGTCCACGATGGAATCTCGGCTGACGGCGCAAAGGAACAGCAAGCCTCATCGGGCTACCAGAAACGAGCCCAGGACCGAAGCACCAACCCATCGCTTCTCAAGACCAAGGAGTTTTACTTGTACTACCTCGTCTTCATCACTTTTATTCCGTACATGTTCAAGACCGCACACGATGCCAGCGCAGGTATGTGAATGGCAAAGGCAGTGATGGCAGAGACCGAAGGAGACGATCTGTGGCACGAAATAGACCAATTGAACTGATGTGTATCTTTTCTTGTGCTGTAGAATATAACCCCAACTATGAAAAGTTCAAGGATCTACTCTCGGACGGCTGGTTCGGCTACAAAATGGTATGAGCCGAATGGAATTCGATCCCACACTCGACTGGATCTCCTACGCCACTTCAAAGCAACCGGAGCGTTGTTATCTAACGACCCCTTCTTTGCCATATTAATCACTCATAGGATAACAGCGATCAACAATACGCAAACTTCCGTAACAACCTGCCAATTCTCGCAGCCGTGATAAGCATCTATCTCCCTCTTGGTCACCTCTACAAGCGCTTCTTGGTTCCAGTAACTCCCATCAAGTCGCCTCACCAGCCTCTCTACCGCGCCTACTTTTTCGTCACCTTTTCGTTCATCTACATCTACTTCATGCATGGAAACAGTCTCCTCAAGATTGGCGCGATCGTCACTGTGAACTATGCTATCGCAAAACTGGGCGGATCGTCTCGATTAATGCCGACTCTTACATGGATCTTCAACCTCGCCATCCTGTTCTTGAACGAGACATACCGCGGATACAACTTTACGGATTTCCACAGCTCCTTGGCATGGTTGGTGAGTTAATTGAGGCGTTGATGATACTCAAGGAAAGATGCATACAGGTTAGATATTACGAACATGAACATTAATATTTACGACATTCTTTTTTGGACGCATTAGGACGACAACAGGGGTATGAACAGTCGTTGGGATGTAACATTCAACTTCACAATGCTCCGTCTTGTTTCCTTCAACCTGGACTACTACTGGTCCCTTAGACAGACCCGTGAGGAAAAGCAGGTACGGATATGATAGGGATCTAACAGGAGCGCACTGCGACTGACTAGGAGCACCATTGAATTGTTGATCTAATACGACCGTTGATTACTTCACACTCCTTTAATTTAGAAAATTGACCGCGATCGCGCCCCTGCGACTGACAAGGAACGTGTCAGCACCCCTACCTTTGAAGAGGACTATAACTTTATCTACTATCTTGCCTTTACGCTGTATGCGCCTTTGTACGTCGCTGGACCCATTATGACCTTCAACGACTTTATCTCTCAGGTAAATATCTGTTGATAACATGGATCCTATGCCACAAACATGCATGCGGATACGAGTGTTATCTTTTTTCAGAGGTTAATATGTTGAACCAATTGTCCGCAACATAACAATAGCTGCGATACCCCAAGGAGATCAAAGCGAAGACGCTGGGCATGTGGTTTGGTCGCCTCATTTTCTGCTTGTTGACCATGGAGTTTATGATGCACTACATGCACTTGGTAGCTATCAGCAAGCGTCAGGCATGGGATAACGATCCCATTCTCCAGATCTGTATGATTGGTCTCTTCAACTTGGTTCTGATCTGGCTCAAGCTAATGATTATCTGGCGCTTCTTCCGATTCTGGGCTCTGGCGGACGGCATTGAGGCTCCGGAGAACATGATCCGCTGTGTCCTCAACAACTACTCGGCTCTTGGATTCTGGCGCGGCTGGCACAAGAGTTACAACCTTTGGACTCTTCGCTACATCTACATCCCCCTAGGAGGCACGCGCTATGCCATCTACAACATCTGGGTTGTCTTCACGTTTGTTGCCGTCTGGCACGATATCAACTTGAAGCTCTTGGCCTGGGCTTGGCTCATCTCGTTCTTTGTCCTTCCAGAGATTATTGCAAGCAAGATCTTTTCCAAGAAGAAGGCAAGTTCAAAGCGCAAGGCGCATTTACACACTGCTGTAATCGTTGCTTATGAATTAGCCCACGTGTCATCCTTATCAATCTAACGCATCCTTTCATTCCGTAATAATAGTGGGGAAACTGGGCACACTATCGCCATTTGTGTGCGTTTGGTGCAATGTGCAATATTTTCATGATGATGGTGGCAAATCTAGTTGGCTTCAGCTTGGGTCTCGAGAACACGACGAAGATGCTTTTGGATCTCTTTGGGTCGCTGTACGGATGGACGGTCATGTTCGGCTGTTTCTGCGCGATCTTTGTCTGCGCGCAGATACAGTTTGAGATTCGCGAGGCCGAGAAGAGACGTGGAATCTTCCTCAACTGTTAAGAAGGGATTGATTGGAGCAGAAGATGAATGTAGAACCGTATCCCCTTGATACCATAGCTTAAGAAGAGGAAGAGGAAGAGAGGAGGAGGAGGGGGGGGGGACAGTGAATGACCCCAAGATGGAAGGTTTGTCCTGCATTTTTGAGTGAAAAAGAAAAGTAAATATTGTCCATGCTGGACACACACACATCCATGCTCATGTCCATGTCCGTCTGCTCTGCATATGTCTCTTGTCCATTCATTCCTCTGGCGTTCTTTTGCATGTATTGGCGGGAAAAAAATCGGTAATATGCATGGCTGCGAAGCCCTTTCGAACCTTACCTGCCCAATCTTTTCCCTCCCTTTTCTTTCCCCTTTTCCTCTCTCCTCTCCCCTCTCCTACCCTCTCTCTCTCGAGATCTCTTTATTGGGATCCACCATACACTCGACTCGAATACGCGAATCGAGTCAACGGCAGGTACGACATGCCATGGGCGTGTGTTTTTATCATTATCTTCGATGACCCCATGCGATAAGGGTTTGCCGGACCGACTGACCTTCGAATGGACCTTTTGTTGTTTTTATTTTGTGTTCCTTCCACAACCTGGGCGGGTGACGATGGGATCGTGTGCCCATCCTTTTTTTTCCCCCTTTCCCTTGCTCTCTCTTTCCCCCCTTCTCATTCAGAAGCGAAGGATTGATGACAAGCGTAGCTATCAGAAAGGCGAGCGTGTGATGGGGAGATGAAGGGACGCTCGACAAAAGTGTGACCATAGAAATAATGAGCACAAATGCAGGTGGTTTCCCCTTTTTTTTTTGCCTCTGTCCCTGTTAGCTTTTTGATCCCATGAGCAACAGGGCAGCAAAGACGACACACACTCGTCCCTTTTTCTTTGCTTTTCGCTCGGTCAGCTTTTTTCTTGTGATGATGAACAAGCTTGATTGCGTTCTTAGTCCTTGGCTCAATAGACCGAGGCAAGCATTAAGCCTGTTTGTCTCGCCGGATTCTTCGCTTAATGCAAAATGTAAATGCAGGGCGATGGAGTATCTGTTTGTGTTGTCTGTCCATCTATTTGACAGAGAGAGTGTCAGCATGCCGTTTTGGTGTTTCCACTTTCCAGAGTGTACTCGAGTACTAGCAGTATGGCTCGAGAGTCCCTTCTCTTACTGGACCAAAGGAGGAATGGCATGTGCGGAAAGCACTCCTTTTTTTTTTTTTTTTCTTTCGCTTCTTTTCCCTCTTTCCTTTCTTTTATTTTTTCTTTTAGTTTTCCTTTCTTCACGAACCCCACCATCGCACTACTCTTCCTCCCTCCTTCTCTTCTCTCTTTCTCTCTCTTTCTCTCAGTTGCTCCCACTTACACACTCTTTCCCCCTAGTCCTTTACCCTTCCCTTCCCTACCCTTCCCTTCCCTACTTCCCTTCCCTACCCTTCCTTTCCCCACCCTTCCCTCCTGCCTCGAGCCCATTTGACCTCGTCTCTCGATATTAATATATACATTCCAAACGAACCTGGATAGTCATTTTCTCCTCTTATCTTTTTTTTTTACACCTCGTTGGCCACGTTGTAGCCCTCTCCCTCCCTCCCACTCTCTCCCTCTTCTCTCCCTTCGCTTCCACAGTATACGCCCACTTTCACATCAAACAACCAATCCACCCTGTCAGCCAGTCAAAAAGAAAAAGGCATTTTCAGGAACCAAGTTTCAATTTTTTGCCCACGCCCTCTCTCTTCCCCTTTGATTTTTTATTTTTTTTACGACCCAGGCATAAAAAGGAACGCCACCATACCAGATACAGCATCACAAGCCATGTCCTCACAAGCACCACCAACTGCACCAACAACAATAACAAAAACCACAACAGAGGCAGACGCAATAATAAGATCATCACCTACTTCTGCAACAGGAACAGTGCGTTCAACCATGCCCTCAAAACTGATGTCTATCTCAACCAAGGCCATCTTCACAACCACAACCACAACCACACCCAACAACGACGATCAACACTCCTCCTCCTCCTCCTCCTCCGCCTCAGTCTCTTCCCCTTCGTCCTCCAACTCTCCCAGCTCACTCTCTCCAGCGTCACCTGCTATCGGGATGATGCATACCGGTCTAGATGTATTACCAGCAGCAGCCATGACCGCAACACCGCCTCCAGTCGACGACAACAACGACGTCGTGACCCCTTGCGCCCAACTGGCCAACAACACCAAATATGAACCATCATCATCTGATATGGAGACCCTTGAACCAGGTGTCACTGCAACACTCCACAAGAAGGATTCGGGAACATCCATGGGCTCATCCGTCGTCTCTAGTCCTATCGACTCTCGTCCACCATCTCAAACCGCCCTCCGAACAGCAGACGACAACAGCTATCCTACATCGCCCACAGAACCTTCTCCTGTCCCAACAACAACAACAACAACAACAACAACAGCGGGAACACGGAGGTTCTCTCAATCAGATACTCCTTCGATGATGTCGCCAGCAGGAAGAGTCTTGACACGGCCCCTCTCGACCTCTAAGCTCTCCTCCATCCCACTCACAGCACCCCATATCCTCCCAAATCAACGATATGCAGGATTTAACCTTGCTGCATTTGGACAGCTCTCGCCTTCGTCCTCGACAGCAGCCGCTATGACCATTTCTCGAGCGGACTCCTTAGCCTTTTTGAACTCGAACTCTTCTGCAGGATCGAGTCCAAATCCGTACTTTGGCATTTCAGCGGCGGTTGGCGGTAGTGGTGGTGCCTCGACTCCCAATAGTCTCATGGAGGGGATCATGTTACCAGGGGTGACGAGGACGACCATGTGTGGCTCCGATGCGATTTCCTTACTAGACCTGGACGATTCGCATAACGACATTGTGATGATTGACAGTAACGGCAACAGTAGTGGGAGCGCCGTAGTGGGCCCTGCAACTGTTGTTGAGACCATGGCATCTGCCTCGGCGATTGTTAGCAATAACCATGCCTCGGCAAGTCATCACCACACTCTTGGCGGTGCTGCGAGTGGGCTTGTTGCTGGACTGGGTGGTCTGACTACGGCTGTTTCTTCCGCCTCGTTGCTTACTGGGGGCGGAGGGCTCGGAGGGAGCGGTGGCGGTGGTTCTGGAGCTACTAGTGTTCTTGGAGGAGGATCTGCGTTTGGTTCAGGACCGTCTTCAGGATCGAATATCTCGCAGCCGAGATCGTCACTCCCTTCGTTGACATCGCAGGCAAAGAAGGATGTTATGCAGCGCGCAGCCATGCTTGCTGCTATGCAACAGAACGGAGGCGCAAAGATCTTGGGAGCCCATAGGGTTGGGCGACGTCAAGATCGCCCTAATCGCAAAATCCGCTTTGGCGATTATCACAAGATCTGTGAAATCGAGTATGGCTTTGACCAGGGCAAGGTAAATCCTTTTTGCCTTAGTGGACTTTGGTTACTCTGTTATTCGCTAATGTGAATGAGACGATTAAGCTTACCTCTGTTTATTATATATAGCCTTTGGTGGCAAACGGCAGGACTCTGGTGCATTCGACTGTCGTCCTCAGGATATGTGGCGACGAAGAACGAGAAGAGCAGGTATGGACTATGAGACTTATGTGTTCTATTAGATTTTGACTCTTATGTTTCGTTTACAACTCCTAACTCAAAGCAACCTTGATTACAGCTATATCTATTCTCAGATGTCCTGGTTACTGGAACCAAGATTAGGAAGGAGAAACCCAAGTCGGAGAAGAGTGCCAATGAAGTACCCGCCAACGTTGCCACAGCCGAGGAAGTTGAAAAAGCAGAAGATGTCTCTGCAGATGATCGACAACAAGGTCTGGCAGCAACAGTGGAGGAGTCTAAAGTGGAAATGGTGGCGATAGGACCTGAGGTTAAGGCGGAGATGATCACGGTCGAAGTCTCTATCAAGGAGACGCTACTGGACAACCCGTACGCTGGACACCTAGAAAACCAACAAATCTCGCGATTGACTCAAGTTCAAGCTGACGTTGTTGAAGGAGATGGTAAGTTAACAAGGAAGGATTTATCGCCGGTATATATGCAACATTTATATTGAGCTTAACACGACCAATGTCCTGTATGTATGTGAATAGAGCGGCCAATGTTGAAGGTCTCGATGCCTCAGTCGACATCGCTCCTCATATTTGAATCAACGGCCACTCGGGACATCTTCAAGTCACTCCTCACCGAGACCACCTACGCCCACAAGCACTACCTCCTCTCCCAGTCAAAGTACCTGGCTGACCTTAAAAAGTTCAAGCGCCACTCAGCCTTCTCCTTTGACACTTCCTTCCTCAAGACCTGGGGTATCCCTGGAGGTCTCAACCTGGGATCTCTCAAACCTGCAGGCGGAAGTGGCGGCCATGGGGTTATTGGACCCAACACGTTCACTAGCTCACCCGTTACTTCGCCCGGAGGAAGCGCCTTTGACCCTTACCAGCATCAGCAGCACTTGAACCGTCCGCAGTCCATGGCTGGAAGCCTATTCGGGTTTGCTCTCAATGGTGGGCCATTCCAGCCGTTCTCGGGCCACAGTAAGGAGAGTTCTTATGCGACACTGCGGGGTGCTAATGCGGCCCATGCGCTGCAGTACCACCATCAACAACAGCAGATGTTGCAGCAGCAGTTGCAGAATCGACTGTCGATGTCTTCGCTTGCTTCTGGGCGGGCTGGTGGAATGGACAGGACCTCGTCCGGATCAACGTTTGATGCGCTGTGGTTCATGAAGGGCGGTGAGACGGTCAAAAATAGTCGCAGGAGTGTCGTACATGCTGCTGCTGAGAATGAGAGGGACAAACCTGCAGAGGAGGACCTGTCAGCGAACGTGGTATCAGGCGAACCAACCACGACTGCAACTCAGCCGTCATCTTCGTCCTCCACTGGGTCTCCTTCTTTGACAGTTAACACTGGTCTGGCGGCGGCAACAGCGGGTTCTTCGTCGGTACCATCTCACCCTCCACTCTCGACCTCATCAAGCTTCAACTCGATCGCGACCCTGCGCAACGGAGCCGGTTGGGTCCGAGACGAGGATGCGACTTACTGTATGGTCTGCACTACGACCAAGTTCGGAGTCCTCATCCGAAAGCACCACTGTCGTCTATGCGGTCGTGTGATCTGCTGGAAGTGCTGTCAGATGAAAGACGCTGTCCTTCTAAACAACGAACAAGGTTTCTCTCCTACCGAGGCCGCCGCATTGTCCCAGGATTTCCGAAAGCCGATCCGTGTTTGTCTCGATTGTATTGAACAGAACGCCGCTGCCTCGCAGGAAGGGAACAACAACCAGACGTCACAACCGTCTTCGCCTCAACAGCAGTCGAGCTCGTTCCCGCTCCAGGGTGTGCTGGGCAAGTTGATGAGTTCTACGATGACTAGTAGTCCTCAGATTGTGGCTTCGCCTACTAATGCGACTGGTAGCAGTACGTTTGCCATGCCTCAGATGGCCTCGACTCAGGCACCCCCCCAACAGCGCGGGCAAGGGTCGACACCATCGTCGCACTATCCCCGGATAATGAGCTACGGTCGGAATGGTAACCCTTATCCGCACCACCACCGCGCCTCTCTTTACCGGATTGATGTCGAGCGTGTCGGCGAGGAAGACGAGGAGGAGGAGGAGGACGAGGACGAGGAGGAGGACGAGGAGGAAGAGGAACAGGAGGTTGCAGAGTTGCTACAGAAAGCCGATGAAGCCCTAGAGTCTCTCGCCTTACCCCAGCCAGAGCCCAGCTCACAAGAGGACCCAGCAACCGCCGACTCGGACACCAACAATCTGACAGTCAAAGACGACAGCAACACGATCATCAAATCCCGCCATGGATCCGTCCGTCTCAAGGACCTGGACCCGGCAGACATTAACGAGGAAGAGGTCCAGAACCAGATCATGAACCTCGAGTCTGAAGTCGAGAGCTTGTTGATCCAGAGTGCCGCCGCGCCGTTGATGTTTGCGAGGGCTGAAGGCGGTAGCGGTCACAGCCGTCACCAACGCGAAGGAGGCACTGGTGCCGGGAAGACGCGTGTAATCCGTGGAATTCCCAAGGAGATGATGTTACAGTATGGGGGTGGTGGTGATGGTGAGGAGGAGGATGGTCAGGACGAGGAGGATGAGGAGGTTAGTATGGAGGAATTGTTGGCCCAGCAGGACGAGCAATTGAAGCGAATCCTGTCTTAATGTGCTCTTCCTTTGATATTTTTTTTCTTGGAGGATCTTTCCTTCAACCTACGACATTATGATTTTCTTCCCCCCTCTTTTTTGCCATGTTAATTTGTCCCAACTTCCAAAAGCACAAATACAATACAATCAATCTTTCATGAACTGCATGCAAAAGCTAATGAGCGTTTCTTTGAAGGTTTGCCATTTTTTTTATTCGTTTATTATTTTCTGTGAGGTTCATAATGCTAGCTTTCAATAGATACGGTTTGAGAGAACGTTGGGTATGCGGAAAGGTTGGTATAGAGGTAAAAGAGGGAAGGAATGGCGTCTGTCCTTTGGCGAACGGTATCAGGGTGGTGGGGTGTTCCGGTCTTCCTGGTTTACTTGCCTTTCTTGATCAGCCATTGAAGCGTAATATCGATATTGACCTGATTCTTGGCCGAGATCGAATAGCATGACACCTCGCGACTCGCAATATGCTTCAAGTTCCTGTTCATATTTGATATTCCCGACAAAAAACAAAAACGAAGGATACCAAGTGGTTAGCAAATAATGACCACTTGACTGCCTGACACTTGAACAATCCCAAATGTAACAAACGACAACAAGACTCTTACATGACTTCGATGATCTGGTCGACGGTAAGCGCTCCTGGCAAATCGTTCTTGTTGCCTAGGACGAGGACAGGAATACTCGCCAGTTGAGGTTTATCCAGTAAGTTTCTCAGCTCTGTCCTTGCCGCGTCCAGCTTGTCATGGTCTGCCGCGTCAATCACAAAACTACACGTTTCCAAAAGCGCGAAAAGAAAATTAGTGGGTGATTCTTGATCCTCAGAAGAGCCTGCTTCTCATCGCATAGCATAACAGCGTTGGGCAAAAGCATGACATACACTATAGCATTGACGCCACGACAGTATCGCTCCCACATGCTCCTGAACCGAGGCTGGCCTCCAATATCCCACAGCTTCATGGTGACGTTGCCCTTGGTCACCTTGCGCATGTTGAATCCGACTGTTGGGATCATGTCCTCCGAGAATTGGCCCGACTAAACAACATAAATGGAGGATTGATACACAGAAAAAAAAACACGAGGTCAGATGCTAGCAGGTAGCGAAAACGTGGCAAGTTCTTCGACACTCTTGTTCTCTAGTCCTTCGCCGTCTTGGCAAGTAGGGCAAGGAAGAATTCAAATCCTACGTCCTTGATTTTTTTTGCCCTGTCCTTGTCCTGCCCTGCTCTGTCCTGTGGTCACAAAAAAAATACAGGGTGTATATTTCTGGAAAAAAGGGGGAGAGTGTTTGAACAACAGCAATAATAACAACATGGCACAACAACAAACAAAATATCGTCATGATCACGAGTCCGTCCTATCCATGGCTGCCTTGTCATTTCTTCTTAACCACCCACATCCCTTCAGCCAGGAGAAGATGTTGATGTGTCGTGAAGTGTCATTCTTGGCGAGTGTTCTTGGTCGTAAAATATGTACTGCTACTTTGCCCGAGTCGCTCCATGCCTCCATGCTTCCACACCTCCATGTTTCCGTGGGCTCTTTCTTTAGTATCGATAAATATCAAGATAAGAGCAAGAAAAAAATATCGTCGTAGTCTTGTTATGCTGACCAATCTATCGCTCCTTGCTTGGTCGAAGTGGCGAAGAAGAACGGTAAAGTCGTCCTGTCCTTTTGCATTTGCAAAAGGAGAAAAGAAAGGTATGTCGAGCGGCTCCATAGCTGAGTGCTGTCGGTTGTCGACAAGTCCTCCTGAGTAGTTGTCGAATTGTTCATTCCTATTCCCATTCAAACGATGGTAGCGAGTTGAAAAAGGTTTTCGAGAGGGAGAAAAAAAATGACTTACAGCAATGACATTCACGAGGGTGGTCTTCCCGCTGTTCTGGAGTCCAACAAGTGTTAACTCCATCTCGGTCTAATGATAAGAAGAGCAGGAAAGGCCATGAGGTGTAAGCTTTTCTTCTTTTTTCTTTTTTGAATGGCGAATGAATTCATTTTTGTTGCTGGTGGGAGTGCGAGGTGGTACCTTGAAGAAGAGACTCCGGAGCCAGTCAAGTACCGCCTGGATGATAGACGACATGGTTTGCTGTTGTGTTTGTCGGTGTTGTCGTTGCTGCGTTGTTTGTTGTTGTCGCTTGGTTGAAGGAAAAAAAAAAAAAAAGAAAAGAAAGAGACGAAAATGGGGGAATAAAGAAGAGCACGACGAGAGGGGAAGAGGGTGTGAAAAGAGGAAGGGTGTCAAAGGGGTGAGGAGAGCGATTTTATTTTATTTTTTTCTTCGCCGACAGACGTTCTACCCTTGTCCCATGGTCACACCTGTCCCTCCCTTCCTCGTCCATGGTATGATCCTGTACACGCGTTTAATCTCACGAACATGTCGTCTGCTATCCCATCCATGAAGCAAAGAGAGTCTATATACAAACACCGACATCGACGATGAGTACCCTAATGGTGACCGACAGTTACACGGGCGATCCTGACCAAGTAAACCAAGAGAAGGCTGATGGCAAAAGACCCTCCTGCTGTAAGCCACCCCTGGCAAGACTAGGGTTTGATTTCTTCGCCGCCACAAAATGCTACGCGTCAAGTCTGTCATCGTCGTGGTTTGATAGACTCTTCCATTTTATTTTGGTGGCGCGGCCCAGGGAGAAGGGCTGGGGTATGCTCTGGCAAGAGACGCGCTTTTGAAATCAACCAACTCCAGTTGGCAGTCGCGACAAGAAAAGAAAAAAGAGTCAAAGCACCCGAAAACGTGAATGGACATGAGAGACGGTGATGGATAACAAAAAGAAAAAGGTTCTTGTTTTTGGACTGAATGGGAATTCGTCAAAGAAAATAAGAAGCGAACGCAATCAGGAAAAGGGGACAGAATCAGAAGCGATTACGAAAATAAAAAAAATAAAATAAAAAAAAACGGAAGAAGGGAATTGGGCGAATGAGGCAAGGAAAGGAAGAAGCAAAAAGCCGAGACGCGGCACTGCGGACATGACAGGAAAAGGAGAGCAATGTGTTGTATTTCAGCCTGCAGGAGACAAACTGGGCGAATGGGAAGGCAATTATTGTTGTGCACACACCATGGCAATTGCCCAACACAATGTAACATCTCCACCACGGCAACACCAAACACCTCTGTGAGTCAAAGGGAAAATGCAAGAGAAGGAAGGAAAGGAATAAAAACAAGGAAGAACAAGCACAGGCTGTGTGCCATTGAAACAAACAGGAACTCAGTGCCGGCCAGATTTGCATGTCATTGCAACTAGCATTTCTTTGGCTCTGCTCATAACTTCGTGCACCAATGGAGGTAACACAAGACTTCATTGTTGAAGAAATTGCTCAGGAACCACGGGTCCACCACCCAAACACATGTATTCATTTTCAAGTCTCCTATCGGCAGCAGTCAGCACAACGTGAATAGAGAGTATTTCCTAGCTGGTTTTCCACTGTTGCTTCGCTTCCTCACACTCTCACTCCTTATTGAATACAAGTGTCCACTGATACTGCAGCCTGCACCTTTTTGAATTTTGATGGGGAAAAGGGGATAAAGGGTGGGGGAAAGTGAGAAGAGGAAGAGGCGTGGGGAGATGCCAAATTTGTCCGAATGACCCCTATTGCCCCGCCTTCTTCGATGGTCACAAGGTCTAAAGAGAAGTAAAAATACGAGAAAAAGGCAGCCTTTCTTTCAATATATCGTTCATACGTTCATTCATTCAACAAATGGTATTTGCCGCATATCATTGGAGAGGAAGTAATGAAAGAGCGAGAAAAAAGGAGTCGGTACTATTTTTTCACGGGGCGAGCACGATGAATGAATGGGCATACAGGAAAAGAGAGAGAAGAGAGAAAGCGCAATGGGCAGAAAGGAACCGATGATAGTAACACTTGGGTCGATGCACGCTGCATTGAGTTGAGAAGGAACAAAAGAAAAGACTGCAACTGTGTGGGATGCTGATCACCCATGTCTTTCGGTCTCAAATGGGTCTATTGGGCACATTATCATCCCGTTGCTGCAGTCATTCGTGCATCATCACCACTTCATTCCTTTCCGCTCCACTCAGCACCTCCATCCCAAGGTATAAAAGCCTCACTTGCAGTCAACTTTTCACTTTTTTCCTCTCTTCTTCTTCTTCTTCTTCTTCTTCTCTTCTTTTTCCTTTTCCCTCTTTTCCCTTTTCCACTTTGCCATTTGCCAGTCGCCCACTTCTCACTCATTCATTCACACATACAAAAAAACGCTTCCACACAATACCCACCCACCCGCCTCGTCTCAAGCCTTTGCCGGTCAAGAACCACTCCAGCCCCATCACGAATCAAGTCAGCCACTACTTTCAAGCCCGTCCTACCTTTCAAGCGAAATGTCGGAAGCCGTCCTCACCCAGATCCTCACCAGCCTCGCCGATCTCAGGGTAACTCAGCAGTTACTCGCCGACAAGGTAAGAAAACAATGGTTACTTTGGTCGTGGTGCGAAGGAATGCAATATCATGCTGTTTGTTTGGTTCTCGTAATGCTGCTATCTCGTTGGCCAGGCACCAAATATGCAGAAAACAGAAAAGACGTAACTGAGGGTAGTACACAAACAAAATAATGCGCCCCTTGTTCTCCCGTTCTCTAACCACCCCTTTTCAACAAAACTCGCTTCCAGGTTGACAAAATCCAGGCAGACACTGTCCTGTCCAAGGAGGACCATCTGCTCCGAAAGGTTGCCCACTACCACAACAGCCCAGGTATGTTTCTGAAAAAGTGAACTTGAGCGCTGGAGGAAGCTGGGAGCTTTGTTCTTGGAATGGCGGATTTGAAAAGGAAAAATGAGGAAAACAGGAGCACCTTCCAACCACTGCGGCGGCATATATGCAGCCTTGTAAAAATAAGGAAAGATAAGAGAAACAAAAGACCAGAGAGAACCGTGGCATTTTAGCATAATGTCATGGCGGTTTTGTTCACTCCTTTTATGAAATTGTTGTACCTATGCGTACAACTGCATGCCCCATACTTTTATCATCCCCTCTTCTCTTTTACCCCTTCCTGTCCCCTTTCCCTTTCTTCTGCTTTTTGTGACGGACTGCGCGCATAGCGGCTTTTTTTTGGGCGCAGACAGAGGCAGGTCGTCATGCTGACGACAGGGGAGGGCTGGTGCATTATGCTCTTCCTTTTTTCCCACCTTCCTTTGTTTGCTGAATTTGGCGTTTCCTTTATTTCTAACGATTTCTGTCTGTCTCTCTCCTTACCTCTGTCGCATGTAGGTCAATCAGACTCTGATGGCGATACCATTGTGTCCCCCACCTTTGCAAGTGAGCCAAGCAACGATGCCGCCGCCTCAGTCTACACTGACAAGCCTGTCATCACTAGTAAGTACTATCATGGACTGTCCTGTTCCAATTGGACTGTGAGCAAAAAAATAATCCCGCTGACCATTATTATCGTTGTTTCCTTCATTACAGCCTACCCCGGAGAGAAGGGTGTCAAGCCTTCGAAGTTGAACTGGGGCGAGGCTACCCCTCAGGCTCGTGGACCCATCGTTGTTTCCCGCCTTGCAAACTCCATTAATGTCCGGTAAGCACTAGCGGAAAAAGATGAATTGATTGATGGTGTTGCGATTGACCCTTGGTGTTGGTGATGGCATGACATTCAGAGTCCAGCTATCAGTGTGACTCAACAACAAGCTCGCTTTGTATGAAATAGCAATGCTATCGGTGCATATGGTGGTCCATACTCCATCTACCGGTCCCTCGCCGTCGCTATGGGTGATCTGCCTGCCAACGTAAGTATCATTCTGATGAACGCTGAGTATGGAAAAGAACGCGTTCTTATCTTTGTTCTTTTTGACACTGTGCCTTCATCTTATTCATTCGTACGTTCTTTTCGTTATATTTTTCAATCCCAGCACAAACCCAATTTCGAGCACACGCAGCCTCCAATCACCATCCACCAGCAGCCTCAATGGTCCGACCCCTCCAAGATCGTCTCCATGGACCCCTTTGGCCACCTCACCAGTCAGTACTACAAGGCCGAGATCGACAAGGGCCTCGACATCCGTCCCTCCATCGCCATCACCCGCGCACACATGATCGTCCCAGAGCTCCAGGCAGAGGTCAACAGCGGCGCTCTCAAGGTCGACGGCAAGGTTATGGTCAACGAAGCAGGAGAGCTTAACGTCCACAAGGCTGCTGTCGACCCTGTCTGGTATCTCCCCGGTGTCGCCGCACGCTTGAATGTCGAGGAGGATCTCTTGCGTCGTGCACTCTTGTAAGTCTACTTTTTAACGTGTTTTTGTGGGGCTATGACGTCATTGGATGGGTGTGATAAGTTACTACTCCTTCCGTGCAGAATTACTAACGAGTGGCGTTCTTGATGGTTGTATGTTGTTCGTTTCTTTATCATCTTAGTGAGAATACTGGAGGTATGTACCCCGAGCTCATCACCCGACCTGACCTCAAGGTCTTCTTACCACCCATCGGTGGTTTGACGTGTTACATCTTTGGAAATCACGAGCTACTTTCGGATCCCAAGACCCGTGTGACAGTTCGTGTCCACGACGAGTGCAATGGCTCTGACGTCTTTGGTTCCGACATCTGCACTTGCCGACCCTACCTCGTCTACGGCATGAAGGAATGTATCAAGGAGGCCCAGAACGGCGGCGTTGGTCTCATCGTCTACTGTAAGTTTCTGAAGATGCTTTTGTCTCACACCTTTTCGGATGTATACCTTGCTTCTCTTTCTTTACCGCCCTGACAAGCTGACGCTAACTTCTTTTGTACATGTACTTTGTTATTCTTTTGCATTGTCAATCGTTTTTAGTCCGCAAAGAAGGTCGTGCTTTGGGAGAGGTCACAAAGTACCTGGTCTACAATGCCCGCAAGCGAGGAGGAGATTCCGCCGCAAGGTACTTCGAGAGAACCGAGAACGTCGCAGGAGTCAAGGATATGCGTTTCCAGGCACTCATGCCCGATGTTCTCCACTGGCTCGGAGTCACCAAGATTGACCGCTTCATGTCGATGTCGAACATGAAGCACGACGCGATCATTGATGCTGGCATCAAGGTATGCTCTTTCTTCTTGATCTTCTTTTTCGTCTCCCTTGTTCCATTTCTCCACCAGCGATGATTATGAGTGTCGCATGGTTGCTTGTTGCTGCAGTCGAGAGCTAAAATTAATCATTGAGCTTCTTTTTCAATGTTTGCCGCCAAAAAATAGATCTTGGAGCGTGTTCCCATTCCTGACGACTTGATCCCCCCAGATTCCAAGGTTGAGATGGACGCCAAGATCGCTGCCGGCTACTTTACGACCGGACACATTCCCGACGCCGAGGAGCTGTGCCGCACAGTTGGTCGTGGCTGGGAGGAGTTCCAAGAGTAACAAAATGGAGCGGATAGACAGCAGGCAGTGGACATTTGGAAAAGGAGTCTGAGAGTCTTTTGAGTCCCTTGTCTGTTTACTTGTCTGGTCGATGTCGTCCTTTTGTTGCTGGTACTTAATGTCTATGAGGCGATGGATAAAGGAGATGGTTGCGTGGTAGAGTCTGGACGTAATACTAGATTTAGTTTGTAAAGTAGTCGTTGTTGTTTTGCTAGCCTGTTACTTTTTTGGGGTTTCTTTTCTTTTGCGCTCGTGCCTTTTTTTTTCTCTCATTGTACTTTTTTTCTTGATACCTTTCAGAAATACAATGAGTGTCTTTTTTGAACAATAATCTCATCCGCCCCGTCCTCTAATCTATAATACGGGTTTCCGTTCATCGCAAACAAGCGCCCATCACCTTGTTCGAGGACACCGTACCGATTCGGTACACCAAGAGAAAATGAGCGATGGAGCCCCTCTCCATCTCTCTCTGACTTGTTGTTGTGTGGCGGATCTTCTCTGCGCGTGTGTGCTTGTCTATTTCCCCTCCCCCCTGGTAAGAATTGTTTTGACAGCATATTTGTTTTCTCTCATTCTTTTTAACTTGACTCTTGTCAAAGACATAAAAAAATATCTATCTCTCCTGTTTTAAGGACCAAACACATCGATCCATCCATCTGTCTGGATTGTTGAATCTCTCGTGCCTACAACATCTTGCTTTTTCTTATGTGGGTTTTTTTCCTTGTTGTCGCCGTTGTTTTCTTGTTTGATCGTTGATCGTTCTTGCAGAATTGTTTGAGACTGCTGGACCTTACAAAGTGCATCCTGTTTTTTATTGTCAAACTTACAGTGTGAACGCAACGACCTTTAGGAGAAGTGTTGAGTAATTTTTTGATGGTCATGGTGGAGCGAGTTTGAAGGTAATATGACGGCCATCTAATGTGGGTGGAGGATGGAACGGGAACGGCGACCCATAGGCCAGTAGGATTTTTATTTTTGGTGAATGTACGATCATCTGAGATAATCATTTGGCGAGAGTAGGGAGACATGGCGTGGGACCACTTGGAGAGAGGGCAGCATGATTGTGCATGACATACTAGAGTGAGAAGAGTATCGCAAAGAAGAGCACGAAGCATCGCGCCCAATGGGTCATTTGCACGCTCTCGTTGTGCCATGCTTTATTCGTCCATGTGCATGGTACTATCGCTACGCCTACTGTAGTCCACACCATGATATTCTATACTCCTGTATGATTCCTGTAGTAGATGCTTTTGGCGTTTTTATGGTACCAACGATTTGTCGTTCAATCGATAACTTTGTTAACATCTAAAGTGTTTGGATACCTTTTCTTCTTCTTTGCTTTATGGTTGCCTCTTTGTCTCTTCTGTCCCTTCTATCTCCTTTGTCTCCTCTGCAAGTCGTTGTCGCACCAAACTGGGGTCACTGATGCATTAAGAAACAATTGACCAATTGAACGGGTGACAAACAACAAGCAAGGAAACAAAAAGAATAAAGAGAGATCCTTTCTCTCACCCCTGGACGTATTCTTTTTTTTTTCGCCGTACTCAAGGTACGCTTTTGCTCACCATCCTTCACCCATTCACTCCGTCCCCTTTCCATGTCCTGTCCCACCTTGGACTCAGCAGCCCAACAAAACAGTAAAAAGCCTAAGAGCACACCCTCGCCTTTTTCTTTTTCTTTTGCCACTTTTTTCTCATTATCCTTTCTCTCTCACACACACTCCTCTCTGCCATTCTTCAATTGCAAAAAAACATCTCGCGCAACCTCCACTGGTGCCTCTATGAGCTTTCACGCGGTCTTTATCGAATCATCTACTTCTTACGCCCCCCTTCTCCTCTCCTTTTTTCCATCTCTTGGTTCTCTCCTCCAGGAATTCTAAAGCATCGCGACTATTGCATAATCCTTTCATATCAGTACTGCCAACCCACCTTCAGCACCATTATAGTCACCTCTGTTTTCAGTGCTATTCCCTGTAGTTTATTTCCTGTGCACATCCTTCTTTCTTCTCCTCGGCATCAAATCATCTTTCAATTGCCCCTAGCAGCACCATTGCAGTATCAAGGACTTCACCATTGCCCATTTCGACTATTAAAGACGGCAACCCCCACTTTCCCGTCTCCTCTAAATCACCTCAGAACCGCTCGCCACTCTTGCCGCAAACCCAAAACACGACCACTGTCAGACCAGCCCTGATCACCCTCCTAATAGAGCCCTCTCCACCTTCGACACCCCATTTCAACTCATTAAGCCCACCCTCTTTGCCAAAAGATCTTGCCATGGCCGATACTCTTGATCCAGTTCACATACAGTCACAGAGTCAAGGCCTTGTCGATCTTTCAAAACGACACTCAAGAGGACCCCCCTCTCAGCTTCAACTACACCAACCACAACAACTCCCACACCGCCATCAATCACTTCCCTACTCACCACCGCCAACGGCAACATCACTTTCCTTCCCTTTCACTACAGAGTCCGAAGGCATTTCCTCAAATACCACAACAGAAGGACAGCCACCAGTCACCTACATGGCTAGCCTCATTGCCCACCAGCTGCTCCAAGTTGGTGCCAGCATGTTTGGTAGACAGGCAGATGCTAACTGTGTCCTCAAAGTGGGGAACGACCGATATTTTGTTCACGTCCAAATGCTGGCTGTAAGTGCACGCATGGGGTCACCACTTGTCCCCTTCTTGTCTTGTGTTGTTTGCTTACTGTTTTATTCCTCCATACTGCGCCTGTATCAAGAGTTCATTCAACTCCCAATGCGTCTATCGGGCTTTTATCCCCCTTCGGCGGCATTTATCTTTCTAACCTGACGCATTTGTGTTCTCATCACACAAGTTTTTCTTGAGATCCAACGTGTGCCTGTTTGTTTATTTTGTTTACATGATTATTTATGTTATGATGGATGGTGGGTTGGTTGGTTAGTTGGGCTTTGTTTGTTTGTGTCATTTGCTCTTGGCTCTTCTCTTCTATTGTTTCCCCACCATCCCTTTCCCTTTCTTCATTCGCCCATGTACCATGCAGACACAGAAATCTGCATGCTGCCGCATCAACGCCCAAAAATTTCAAATGTGAACATGGTCGCCTTTCGCTTTTGTTTGAAGCATCATCCGTGCTCTAATAATATTTGAGAAGGACAGGGCGCAGAGAGGGAAGTATAGGAGAGAGGACGAAGCTCTATTGTTTAGCCTCTTCGCGTTCCGTATATGGACACCCATTCAAACTCAGGGAGAAGGATAAAGAAGACAAGAGGGAGAGAGAGAGAGAGAGAGAGAGAGAGAGAGAGAGAGAAAGAGATGCTACTGCGTCCTTGTTGTTGTTGCTAGTTTTTTTTTGGTGTATCGATTGATGGTGTTGCATGCAACTAACAATTGCAACCATCTATCTCTCTATCCTCTCTCTCATACACCATGCATGCTTTTTCTTTCCGTGCGTTTTATGTGATTCGTTGTTACCGCAATAGTCAAGATCGCCAACATTCAGACGCATCTTTGATGAGATGATTCTCGAAGACGCCTGGGGAGAGTCTTTTGATGCAGACATCTCCAGCGAAGGAGTAAGCTGCGGTCAATTGGACGAGGACGACGAACTGGTCAGCTACAACAGCGATTATGGTTACCAGGACTCTGTCAACATGTCCGGTGAGGACCGTGGACCCGAGTCAGATGACGACGAGAGCATGGGGGACGATAGCAGCGTTTCTTCATGGAACCAAGGCCAACGACGTCGTCGTCGCTTTCGTCGTGTACGGTCAGGATCCGAAGATCCATCGGCATTGGTAAATGCATTCCCGTATCAGTTGGGTCCCATGGGCTCGGCAAGGACGGATCAGCCATCTCCACTCTCATCACCACAGGTGGAAAGGGCAGTCGACTTGAGTATGGAACGATTGAATGTCCGAGTTCATCAACTGCGTATTCAAGACGAATCGGACCATGATCATGAAGTGAGGAGGAGGGGAACAGTGAGATCGAGTCCAGGACTCGTGAGCGTAGGGGGAAAGGGAGTAGAGAAGGGAGATGAAGATAGAGCAGACGACGAGGGCGCAGAGGCATTATCGGATGACAGAGAAGATGGTAAAAGCATCAGCAGTGTAGGCACAGATGGCGGCTTACCTGAGCTCGTTGTCGCCTTTGCTGATCCGGAAGGCAGCCACTTCAAGGAACTATTGTATTGGGTGAGTCTATTCTAACACACACGCTCTTTTTAATCCGACAAAAATAATTGATAACAGAGAGAGCAACCACTATGTGAGGGAGAGAGAGTCGACCTTTAACCCTGTTAATATCCCTCCTCTGTTTTGCTTGCTCTCTACAAATAGCTCTACACGGGAGACGGCAATCGGTGGATTCGATTTTTCACGCCCGAGAACTATGGTTCGATCCTGCAGAACATCCTTCACCTGAACATTGTGACGAGAGAGGTACTCGAGATCTGTATTGTGTTTGAGGCCAGAACGCCACCAGAGCTCGGCCTCAGGGGGATGGCTCTCTCTGTCCTCTGTGGACCTTCGTCCAATTCGTTGTCGCAGCCCGATTCGAATGCGAACACAGATGCAGCATTCACCGCAGAGGCAGAGACAGACATCAGCCCAACATAATACATAATACGAAACGAGAGATGGAAGGAAGAATAACATATACATCCAACATATTACATCCCTATGCCATGTTTTAAAATAATATTGAAGGAAATAAACGGAGGACAGGTTGCTAAACATCGAATCAATGTCTTTCATGACGACGTTGTTGAGGTGTAGTTTGTGGGTATGCACCGTCCATCCCATCGTCTTTCCGCCTTAGTTTTTTTTTTTGGTGAGGGGCAAACCTATCCTCCAGCTCCCCCATTCATCTGGCTCTCTCATTCATCCAGCTCATCTCGCTGTTGTTTTTTGAGTTTTCGTTTTGGGAATGTGCCCAAAAGGCTTTCAAAGAAAACGAAAAAAGAGGTGTTGTGATTTTGAGGAATTGAACCGTGCACAGCTGGTCCTCCCACCTCATCCTTATCATTTTCCCTTCTGACTATGCATTACATGTAAAAAATGCATGCATGAACAGACACCAAAAAAAGAGCCTTTCCTCTGCTATTGTTAAGTCTTTTGTTGACAATGCTGGTTTTTTTTGTTCCTGTCGTCATTTTGGTGTTGGTGTCTTTGTGAGCTCACAACCCTAATTATTGTCCTTGTCGATGTTGACGCTGATGCTGATTTGGGTTATGTTCACTGTGCGTGAACGCAGAAGCAAAACAAGACTAGTAAAAAAGAATAGACGAGAACAAAGCAGCGGAAAACGAAGGTTGAAAAAAAGCATCAAGCGGTTCTAGAACTGTATCGACTCTGCCTATTCTTTGTGGGGGGGGGGGGGGGGGTTTGGTGAGATGATGGGCATTCATGTATTCATATTGTGTTTGCATGTGTTGCGTTCGTTTGTGCCTGAATCGGCACTAACCTTTAACTTATGATTTCACTTATTGTTACTACTGTAACAAAAGTAAAAAAAGTCTATTGTAGTCTATGAAATGGTGGTATTCTATGCAATGGCGGTATTCTATGCAATGGTGGTATTAGCCCCACTCTGAACTACCATCCGATCAAGGTACACCGTCTTCAGATCCTCTTCCCTCACAATCCGACGCGCCAAGCCCAGCCACTCCGAGACACCCAAGTTCTTGAGCCCATAATCTTCACGGGTCCGGTACTCGATCTCGTATGTGGGAGGCGTATTAGGGTGTTTGTTGGCGTGTGTGAGGTTACACCAGTACTGGGTGAATTCCTGAGGGAAGCCGAATGTGGTGGAAGGGGCTGGGCTGGGGCGTCGATGGTGGTGGTACTGTTCCTCGGCATCATCGTCTTCGTTATCTTGAGTATCACCGTCGGCGTTGTCGAGCTGGTAGGAGAAAACACGTAAAGTGGGGTTATAGGTTGGAACGACAGAGGGCGACACCAAGACGATCGCATAATCCTTGAGTTGAGCACGTTCGGGGACAGTATCGTACTGCATCCAGAGATACTCCAGGTACGTGCTAAGACCCTGCGCGTGAAACGTGACATTCTTATCGACCTGTGCTCCCCCCACAAGACCACGTTCTGGAGGAGACCCCTCCTCACCTCCCTTGTTGCCACCATTCGAGAGCAAGAAGAAGTGGTCGATGTTGGCATGGCCAAAGAGATGACCAACAATGACATCCTGATAGGCGAGCGCGATCTTGGTGTACCGTGAGTAGCAAGTGGGCGAATACGACTTCTTCTCTGGTGGGACATGTCCTGTCAGGTATGCGACCATCTTGCGTGTCCGAAGCTTGTCCAACTCAGTCTCCAACCAATCCATCTGTTCCGTGCCCGGTTCCTCCTCCTCCTTGCACCCATCGACAGCGGCATTGTGGATGTAGAAATAGAGAGTGTTGAGACTGACGACGGTGATCTTATCAGCAACGGCCTCGACAGAGTAATATCCACCACGAGCAAAAGTCTTGGCCATGGACTCGGGAATGAACTCTGTCCAGATAGTAGCAAAGTACTGGAGGATGGGGTTGGGACCCTGATGGAGGATGTTGTGGGGGTAGACATCGTTGTTGCCGATGGAGGGGATGATGGGGATGGGTCGACCGTCTGGACCGGGAGGGAAGGTCTTAAGGACCTTGTTGGCTATGATTTTGTTGAGGGCGTTGATTTCATCCTGGGTGCGCGGGTGGGTGTTGTCAGAGTCGTGCCTTAAAATACGATTCAGGGACACCAAGACGGGAGAGAGATATTAGATTTTTGATCAAATCACTGATCATATCAACCCATTCATCCTTGCCGATGGTGTTCCTGTGGACCTTTCTTTACCTGGCGTTGTCTCCAGTCCAGACAACAAAGTCAACCGAGTCCACAACGTTCTTGTCAATCCAGTCAAAGGTGGCATCGACCAGACCCAGGGGGCTGTCACAGATTGTATTCGGGGCTCCATACCGACCACCAATCGTGGTATTGACTGGGACAGGAGACGACGACGACGACGAGCGAGGGTGCAAAAAGCCTGACCGGAGAATATTGCCGCTTGATGTTTTGTCGTTATGGTCTCCAAGAGGAAGGCGGCGAACTAGTCCATGGTGTCGAGTGAATCGTTTCTGTTTACTCGCATTATCGTCATCATGAACATCAATATCCTCGCCGACGATAGTGTGACAAGAGGTCCAGACTGCAGCTCCCTCCAGATAATGTTCGTCAGGGTGGAGGTCGGTCATTTGAAGAAACCGACCCTTCAACTCTGCCCGTTCCAGCGACGGAACTGAGGATGGGGCTGCATGAGAGGTTGTTGCCAGGAGGGTGGTACATGCGATTGTTGAGCAGATGAGAAGAACAGCCGGACTCCATGGTCGTCTGCATGACGAAACCGTTGGGTTCTTGTGAATGTGCATTTTTTTTAAGCTAGAAAAAAAATGTAAAAAGAAGGAAGGAAGAGGACGTGGGAGAATGGCGGAGAGGAGGGAGTGAGGCGAAAAAGAATGACGAGAAGTAGGAAAAAGAAAAGCGAGACGAGGAGATGGTGCCTTTTTGTAGGAGGGAAAACAAGTCGGGAAAATAAGTCCGAGGGTCTGGACGCGGTTAAGCATGCAAAGCAGGGCCAATTGGACAAAAATACCGCGAGAAAAAACGCTCATACTTTGTTCCTAGATCGGAATACCCTCACTGTTGTATGTCGAATTGACGATCCGCTCTTTGGCCCTACATTGTAAAGAGAGCATGAGAATAACACCATATCTGTAGCCCTTCCCCTTTCTGTTCTTTTGTGCGCGCTTCGTTGCTCCAGTTGGTATCATTCTGGGTCACCCACTATGTCAATTGCACGCCACCTCATTGTTATCGAGAGTTCAGAACCAATAACTGTTGCACTCCAGGTCTATCGAATGACGCGTGCGCTATAACTACCACCATAAACTTGCAGGAGATCCTTGAGTAGGCACCAGGTTGAACCTATGGTCCTATGGTTCTGTACGTGGAGCCGATTCGATTCGATTGGTTGGTGTGAGCGAATCAGTCACAAACGCGTCACGGGGTCCAGAGAGTCGTGTCCATTCTCTCTTTGCCCAAGCTTGCTCAGTCTTTGCTTTACTTTCTCACATCCACTACATTCAACCCCTTCCTCCCTTCGACACTTCTCCCTTCCTACAGCTCACACTCGCACCGACAAAAAGGGCGATTAAGGTCAACAGCGAAACCCACACACACCTCCTCGCATCGACATTCAGGCTCTCAAAAGACACCGCCCGCTCTCTCTGCACAGTCTCTTCACATTCACATTCAAGTTGACATGGAGTCGTTTATCAAGGACTACGACAAGATCATAAAGAAGCAGCGGACCTTGGAGACGAACGACCCGCTTGACCGCCTGATAGCCGTCGTCAACGAGGCCAAAGAAAAGATCCGGGCAGGTGTGTTCTTACGAGCTGTGTCCTTTTTCTGTGTAGCAAGGGGTTTTATTTGAAGCGTTGTTTTGGAACCAAAAGGCACGCAGGGTTACATGCAGAGCCTCGAGTTAACACGAACTGTCTATACGCCTCTTATGAGCATAGACCCAAGTTCTGTCACATCATCTCTCGCCGTACTCGGAAAGTCAATCAAAATGGTCTCTAATGGCATCTCAGAGGAGCAGAAGGAAATCCAGAGCTCGCTCTCAAAGTACTCCAAGGCAATCGACAAGGTATGTTCTGACACACAAATAAGTTGGAAAGGGGAGAACAGAAAGAACTGGCAAAGGATACAAAGAGGGAGAAGGAGAACCATGGTTGCACCACCATGAAGATGTTCGTGCGTATTATTTGCTGTCTGTTCTTGTGTTAGGTGTACGTGCTTTTTTTTGTTCTTTGCTTTTAGCAATCCTGACCCCCTTTTATTTCCCGTCGTGCGTTTGACACATCACACTTCGTTTCTGGGGTTTGGTTCGGGACGCTGACATAGAAATTTACAGCAGACATGATGGCAGCCATCAACCCACATGCATTCGACAACAAGGAAAATATCCTCAGGAGTACGATAGCTATGCACTTTATCCGTCAGGGTAACTTTGAAATTGGAGACACATTCGCCAGGGTAAGAAGCATTGACTCGATGTTGAGTATCTGCTTAGTTGCTCTGTCACCTTTGATATTTATGCGTTTTCTACTATTTACAGAAACTGACCATGTTCTGTTGAAATCCTCCATTAGGAGACCGGCTTGACAGTACCGGACTCGATGCGACACCAATTCATGGAGATGTTTGATATTGTCGCGGCACTCAAAGAGGATAACCTGGAACCAGCATTACAGTGAGTGTCCACCAACACTAAGACTTCTTTGGGTCGTCAAAAGTGGCATTCGCTGTCGGAGCTCCAATTGACGTCTTTTTTTTTTGTGAATGGATCGAAATCTAGATGGGCAACGCGGCACAGGAGCGGTCTGGAGAAACGGTCAAGCACACTCGAGTTCAAGCTTCATCGCCAGAGATACATGCAGCTGTTGATGGGTCGCCAGGTTCAAGAAGCCATTGCCTACGCTCGCAAGAACTTCGCATATTTTGGGACTCGTCATACACAAGGTACTTATTTCCTACAATTGGAGTTTCAATGAGCCTAGAAGTAAACACTTTCACAAGCTTCGCACTGACTGTAGTAAACGTATCCGTTGGCCATTAGAAATCTTCCGACTCATGGGTAGTATCATTTACATGGATCACATCAAGACATCGCCGTACGCAAATCTAATAGCCGCAAACGCCAACGCTGACATTCAGCACATGTTCACTCGCGACTTTTGCAGTCTGATTGGTCTGTCCTGCGACAGTCCACTCTACGTCAGGTGGGTCCCTTAATGACTCGTAAAATCCACTGTATCATACTATCAATGCACGCACTAACACGCGTCCGCTTCAATACTCTCTACAGTGTCACTGTGGGAACCCAAGCCATGCCAACAATGATCAAGATGGCGAGCATCATGAAGGCCAAAAAGACCGAATGGAGTCAGCAGCAAGAGTTGCCGGTATGTCAAACTGCCCTGTGTGAAGCTCCAATCCATGTATGTTCCCGTCAAATATATATGTTCCTGTATTGACGTTGCATTCCTCATTTGCTTTGAAAAAAAAATAGGTGGAGATCAATTTGACGGACGACACTAAGTTCCATTCGATCTTTGCTTGTCCTGTCTCAAAGGAACAGGCAACAGAGGAGAATCCGCCAATGATGATGGGATGTGGACACGTTATCTGCAAAGAGAGTTTGCAGAAGCTTTGCCGTGGATCCAGCAAGTACGTGTTTCTTATGCAATTTGAGCCAGGATTGCATTGTATAGTATGAGCTATGAGTTTTATCCGACCTAACCTGACTTTCTTTTTCTTCTGCTTGTTGTATGATAGTCTTCGGTTCAAGTGTCCGTATTGCCCTCAAGAGTCGATGGCCTCGCAGGCCAAGAACGTCTACTTCTAGACGTTGCGCACAGTCCATGCAGCCATAGACATTCGCATTTGAAAATGAAGGATCTCAGTTCAACCAGTCACTCTTTTGGGCGCATCCAAGCCACAATCCTGTTTTGATTTTTTTTCTTTTTTTTTCTTTTTGACAGTGTGTGGAATGCATTGCCCATCTCTCGTAACTCAACCCCACAGACATATACACATCATGGACGCTGCAGACGAGCCCTATGACTTTCTCAACTGGCACAGCAATGCGCCCGTTGTCAAGGATGAAAAAAAGGAATTGGTAATACCACCGGCACTCTGGACCATTTTATGTTCACCTTTGGGCGCTATGGCTTAGTATACAAGTCTGACACCGTCCCCTCGTTTCTTATGATTGACTCCCTATAGAAGAAGCAGAAGAAGGCAGAGAAAGAGGCCAAGGCCAACGCAGCAAAGGAGTCCAAGAAGTCGTCCTCCAAGTCATCAAAAAAGTCCAGCAAAAAGACCATGGATTCTGATAGCGACAGTAGCGAGGACGAGGAGGAGGCAGCGGCATCAAAGAAGGCGCTCAGGGCTAGCAAGAAGGAAAAGTCCAAGAAGAAAGCCGTCGTCATGGATTCGGATATAGATTCATCATCGTCAGACTCAGAGCAGGATGACCCCGACACACAACCGCCTCCAAAGTCCAAGAAGAAGAAGAACAAGAAGAAGAACAAGAAGAAGGCTGGCGCAGAGGACGATGAGGAGGCAGAGGCACCCGAGAATGAGGATGGTGTTGTTGATGATGACGAGGAAGGTGGCAAGAAGAAGAAGAAAAAGGGCGACAAGAAGGACAAGAAGGACAAGGAGGCCAAGGAGAAGAAGGACGGCCCTGGACGGAAGGGCGAGTACGGTATCTGGATCGGGAACCTCTCGTTCTTGACGACCGATAAGGCATTGCGCCATTTCTTCCGTAACGTCGGCGGCGAGATCACACGTGTCAACATGCCTACAGGCTCGGGATACAACAAGAAGGGCAACAAGGGCTTCGCCTATGTCGATTTCTCGAGTGCCGAGGGTCAGGAGGCGGCGATCAAGTTGTCTGAGTCTGAGGTGGACGGACGGAAGGTGTTGATCAAGTCGAGCAAGTCATTTGAGGGTCGTCCCGCGGTCTCCAAGGCTGCTGCTCAGGAAAAGTCATTGAAGCAGAAGCATGCTGTCTCGCCTACGCTGTTTGTCGGAAACTTGTCATTCCAGTCGACGAGGGAGGGTCTTCAGAAGCTGTTTGAGGACTGTGGAGAGATTCGCAAGGTTCGTCTGGCGACCTTTGAGGATTCTGGAAAGTGCAAGGGGTAAGTTTCTTGCTTTCCGCTTTGCTCAGGATGAAGGTTTACAGTGGATATGGACATATCTTGTGGGAGGTGCCATTTACGCGGTTTGCCAAATACTTACTGGCCCACTATTTTTTATCCTGTTTAGATTCGCATATATCGATTACATGGCACCTGAATCGGCGACGACAGCACTGACGGACCCAAAGAAGCACTTTTTGGATGGACGCAAGCTCAACATTGAGTACGCCTCGGCTGAAGCCACCCTGAAGGGTAACCCCCGCGAGTTCAGGAAGCGCAAGCGTGAGGAAGAAGATGCAGCAGCGATTGCCCGTGGCGAAGTGCCTCCCTCACAACAGGAAGGTGGCGCCAACTACGATCCCGAAGCAGCCGCCGCCGAAGCAGAGGACGAGGAGAGGAGAAAACGCAATGCGGAGCAAAAGGCCAAGCGACAGAGACGTCAACCTGGAGAGACGACCGTCAAGAAGCTTCAGGGCCATCAGCGTCCTGGATTTGCCCTTGCCAATGCTCAACGTGCCACCACTGGTATTGTCGAGTTCAAAGGAAACAAAGTTACCTTCTAAGAAGGAAGGTGTCTTGGGAACTACTATTTTACATTACCTTTTCATTTTTCATTCATTTTCTTCACACTTTGCACAAATAAATACTTTCTCGGCATAATACCAGTATATCTTTTGTATACTCTCCTTTGGCGATAGCTAATTGAACACTCCTTTTGCAAACAAGAAGATGAGTGCGGTTTACTGTTTGGAGGAATAATAGTCTTCGTAAGCATAAAAAAAATGGCCTTATATATTGGCACTGCTCCTTCTCATCATCGTTCTACGAATAGCTTTTAACTGGTTTCAGTCGTCAGTGGCACCAAAAAGAACGAAGGATAACTCTTTTTGTTTGGTACCATTGGAGGTATTCATTGTTGTTCTATTGAAATGAGGTGTTTGTGAGGTGCAGTTAGGCGCTCTAGGGAGGAGGAGGACCAGACCGGTGATGGGAGAGAAGACACCCAAGAAATCGATACGTTTGATCTTTTCGTGGAGGGAGTCGCCGACGTGATGGAGGCAGAGCTTGATGACGACGGCGAAGGTGACGGCACCAATGGGCAGGTTGATAAAGAAAGCCCAGTGCCACGAGGCATGGTTTGTAAAGACACCTCGAAGAAGTGGTCCAATAATAGAAGAAAGCCCAAAGACGGCACCGATGATCCCCTGACACTTTCCGCGCTCGCGGGGGGTGACCAGGTCGGTGATGATGATCATGACCATGAACATGATTCCTCCAGCCCCGACTCCACTGATGCCCCAAGCTACTATCGTCGTGACCATGCTCTGGGCTGCGCCACAGAGGGCCGGTCCGTCGAGGAAGACGGTGATAGCGAAGAGGAAGACGGTGATAGCGAAGAGGAAGACGGACTTGCGACCAAAGTTGTCCGAGAAGCGACCGTACCTATTAGGCGGTGTGAAAAGCGTCGGAGCATACATTTTTTTAGAACGACATATAAGTTGAGCTGTATGAGTTTCCACTCCAGAACAACACAACAAGGACCAAGAGAGTGAAAAAAAAAAAAAAAAAAAAAAAAAAAAAAACTCTTACAGAGGCTGGAAGGCAGTGGCCGTCAAAAGATACGAGGTTCCAATCCACGCAACATCATTCAGCGCCTTGAACTCGTTCGCGATCTTGGTCGTACGCACCAAGACGATCGTTTGGTCCAGGGTGGCGAGAAAGACTCCCAGGACAAGACCGACAAAGATAATGATGAGTTTCTTGAAGGGGAGGGCGTTAACGGGTTCGTCGGAGGTCATGGAAGGCCTGGGTCGAGTTGATTGTGGGTGGAGGATGTTAGGGTGGTAGTTTTTTCGGGCATGGTGGTTGTGGCGGGGGTGTCGAAGGTGGTGTTTTCGGAGTGGAAGGAGGATGTGATATTTTGTCCCTTGACGCTCATGATGAGAGGATAAGAAAGGTGGAGGGAGCGATTGAAAGTGAAGAATGGTCTGGGGATGTGAAATTAAAAAAATGAGTGACAATAGTAACGAAGGGAAGGAGAAGAAATGGAAGGATGAGGATGAAGATATATAGGAGGATGAAGATATATAGGAGGATGAAGATATATAGGAGGATGAAGATATATAGGAGGATGAAGATATATAGGAGGATGAAGATATATAGGAGGATGAAGATATATAGGAGGATGACAATGTCCTTTTATAACAAACGACAGCTCCGTAGGGGTGGCCAAGGGTGCAACATGGCAAATATGGCATAAACACCATGTCTACGAAGTAGTTTTCTATCTTTCCCCTATCTTCCTTTTTATTGATTAGCGTTGGTTTTCGCTCCAACTCTTCATCCACCACCTTGTCCCGAGGGGGGCGGAGAGGAAGACGTAAGCCCTTTACTTTTCTTGTGCTCAGAGATAGGAGAATGAGAAAGAAAAAAATAAAAAAGCGAGAAACTTGAGGCTTCGCAATGTCGGAGAGCCGCACTTTTATTTATTAATTGTTGACCATGTCGTTCAGTTTACCACTCAACTTGTCCTCTGTTTTCAATTACTTTTTCTTGTACGAGGGGCAGGAAGCAGACCAAATGTTATAATGTAGCAAATGGCCAATGGCATACCATTTCGATCAAGGAAGCGAGACAAAGGAACAATCCTTCGACATACAAACGACTGCAACATGAGAAAGACACCTTGGTGAGAACAAAGGCAATATTTGTTCGGACGTTCGAACACGTTAAACCAATGTGGAGTTTGAGCCAATCATTGGGCGTGAAGGGGTGGAACTTGGCCTATCCTTCAATCTTCCACCTTTTTTTGTGGGCGTTTGCTGTTCGCCAGCTGTGCCTGAACATTTTTTACTGTATACATCTGAGTTAATTTTTAATACAGTAAAAGGGAAGCTTCGTAAGTTGCTCTGTATGTAACGTTTTCTGTTGTAACCTCGCTAGGCTTTTGCACGACAATGACGCCGTCCTCATTCGCGAAACTGCAAGTCTTGAGATGTAGAGTGACAACCATAGACACACTGGCGCAGTATCTGTTTCTTTTCTTTTTCCCGTCTTTGTTTTGCGGGTTGGTTGGCAGCGTTGGTCTCATGCACTCATGGTTTATTACTTGTATATATAAATGCATACTATGGCTGATACACTGAGTTGAACAAATAGGTAGTGTTATGATAATTGTATTTATTACTTTTTATGTAATGGGTATTGTTGAAAGTAGATGCGGTCTAATAATGTACAAGTTGGATGTGTGCAATGCAAAGAAAGGAAAAGGCTAGAAACAACGGCAAGAGAAAGACGAGTTTACTCCATGGGAGTAGGGCCCATAGCACGGCGGAGCTTGTTGTGCTGGATGAACAAACTGCTCAAGAAGCCAAGACCCATGAAAGGGACACAGACAATGAAGGCAGAGCGGATGGCCTGCATGTAAGCATCCAAGATCTGCTGCTCGAGGACAGCGCCAAAGGATGGGGCCAAGTATGAGTCAGCAATGACGTTGACGACATCGGGATAGATGGCAATGATGGGGGCGAGGTGGGTCTTCACACCGTTGTTGAAGACAGTTCCGGCAATGGCAACACCCATAACCGATCCTACGGTACGGAAGAAGGTGGCGTTGGCGGTAGCGACGGCGATATCCTTGGTCACGACCGAGGACTGGATGGCGAGCATCAAGGTCTGCATGCAGAGACCGAGACCGAGACCGATGATCAACATGAAGCCAATGGGGGCGCCACGGCCAGAGTCGACCTTGAGGAGGGTGAGGAGACCAATACCGGTAGTGGCGAGGATGAATCCGACCCAGATAAAGGGGCGGTACTGACCCCACTTGGAGACCATGACGCCAGACGAGATGGAGGTGATAAGAAGACCACCGACCAAGGGGAGCATCTCAAGACCGGCAGAGGTAGCAGTCTCCTGGCGAACGATCTGGAAGTAGAGGGGCATGAAGAACATGACACCAAAGAAGCCCATACCGAGGAAGAAGGACGAGGCAAAGACGGCGACGTTGGTGCGGCTCTTGAAGAGACGGAAGGGGATGATAGGCTCGGCAGCTTGCTTCCACTCGATCAAGCAGAAGATGATGAGAACGGCAAATCCAGCGCAGAAGAGTCCAATGACGATGGGTGAGTTCCACGCGTAGGTCGATCCACCCCAGTTGAGGGGCAAGAGAACAAGAACCAATCCAGCGACCAAGGTGATGGAGCCCAAGATGTCGATGCGCTTGACCTTCTCCTTGAAGGAGCCGGTGGCATGGGGGAGGTGGAGCAACTTAACGATGGCGATAATGGTCACGGCTCCAATGGGCAAGTTGATGAAGAAAGCCCAGCGCCACGAGGCGTGGTCGGTAAAGACACCACCGAGAAGAGGACCAATGACGGAAGAGATACCAAAGCAGGCTCCGATGATACCCTGGTACTTGCCACGGTCGCGAAGGGAGACCAAGTCAGTGATAATGATCATGACCATGGACATGATACCACCAGCACCAACACCAGCGATGCCGCGAGAGACGATCATCATTGTCATGTTTTGGGAGGCACCACAAAGAGCCGAACCGATCAAGAAGACAACAATGGCAAAAAGGAAAGTAGCCTTGCGACCAAAGATATCAGAGAAGCGTCCGTAGAGAGGCTGGAAGGCGGTGGAGGTGAGGAGGTAGGAAGTTCCGACCCATGGAACCTCGTTCAAAGCCTTGAACTCGTTGGCGATCTTGGGTGTGCAGACAGAGACGATGGTTTGGTCGAGGGAAGAGAGGAAGACTCCGAGCATGAGACCGACGAAGACGACGATGAGCTCCTTGAAGGGGAGGGTGACGACCTCCTTGTCGGCCAGTTGTGGTGGACCGGGGTCGAGCTGACCGTGTGCTGAGGCTGACTCCTTATTCTTTTCATTTATATCAGTGGGCATGGCGAGAGTGGACTCGGAATGAACCGAGGGGATTGTGGTGACCGGCTGAAGTTCATGGGCACCCATTGTGATAGTTGTTGCTGTTGCTGTTGTTGTTTAGTTGTAGATGTGATTGTTTGATGCAGGGGTAAAGGCGAGTTGAAAAAGACAGAGAGAGAGAGAAGAAGAGAAGAAGTGGTATGAGGAAGATGAGGATTGAAGATGAGAATGAAGAAAAAAGAAAAATCTGATCTGAGGGTTGGCTTTATATGACTTGGTGAACCCCCATAAAACCACCAAATGGGGGCACTATTTCTCCGGTAAGAAATAGGAGACCACCTTCACTGTGTCCGCTGTGCTCAAAACAATAAAAAACTTTTCATCCTTTTTCTTCTCTGCTGTTGACTAAGCTGGAGTTCTGGACCAAAATCAAACATTTTAATTTTAGAGGTTAGCGAGAATAGTGCTCCAAATAAGGCGACAATTGTGCAGCGCAAGAATTGTATCGCCGCAGTGCACTTAGACGTACACCATTGCCTATCTCCAATAGACTTTTCTCTTCCTCTCCCACAAATTATTCGAAAAGGCTCATTTCCACCGCTGGGTTTAGAACAACCCACGCACAATGAGAAAAAAAATCTCAAACCGGTTCCTCCTGTCTGGCTCGTTCGTTGACAGCCAGGCGGGCACGAATAAAGGATATCTGATTCTCATTCCCTTCTGTCAAGGTCAGCGACATAGCTTTTTGTCAACTCGCATCCATTGGTCTAGACCGCAAACTAAACTAGTATATGTACACGTTAAGCTTTCGCGAAAGTCATTCTTCCACCTTTCCCTCCCTTTGAAGGACATGTTATTTTTCCTATCTGTGCTGTCTACCCTTGATGGCGTTGAAAGTCAACAAAACAATATCCATTCCCTTTGTATGTCTTGAAGCCTGTGTTTATTCGCATTCATACACTCCCACTTGCGAGAGTTCATTCACACTGTGGTAGGGGTGAATATGAGTCCAAAAAAAAGTCTACGCCCCTCGTATCCCTCGTACTGATAACATCCACCACCCATCAACAAAATTTGACTTAAAGGATCCACGCTCCGTTGGTTCCGTAAAGATTTGCTGCGTACTGCGTGACAAACATTGATGCAGCCAAGCAAACCCTGCAACAATAGAAATAAAAGATAAAACAGAATAAGCTACTCAAGAGGAAGAGTGAATGACGCACCCCCCCACCTTGCTTGTGCGCAAGCAAAAGCATCAATAATCATACAATCAGGGAAGAAAGGGCCGAATATCCATTTCCGCCCCCTTTCTCTTTTTTTGCTCTCCTCCGCTCATTTCCCTCAAAGGAAATAAAATTTCAGGTTCGGAAAATTCTCTTATGCGGTCCAGGCTTCCAAAACCTTTTGCCGTGCCCAATCATTGTTCAGTGTTGCCGGGAATCCGGCAAGATATTCCATTAGGCGGTGTTAATTTTTTTTTCTTTGCGTTCGTTCCAAACTCATTTGTGATCTGATCCCAGTCAAACGCTCTAAAAAAGGAGAGTGTGGTTTGTTGCTCGAGTGAAAAGGAGACAGCAACATTGCACACGCACTCTCTTCAGCAAAAAGGATGAACAGAATTTCCTTCTAATTGCCAAGAAACGCATCGTATCTATCCCTTTCGATCAGAATGGACCAACAGGACGTCGTACGCAAACAGCAAACTTTCATTGTTTGCCATGAATGGTAATTTTCGATTGCGCTTGCGTTTCTTAACATGCACACAAACAGGGGATGTACGGGAAGAAGCAAGAGAACGTCATGCCCATTATTAGTAATGAGTTCAAGTTGCCGGGCCCTACCACCCGTTCCTTCCATGGATGCAAGGTTAATCCTGACGACTTTTGTAATTTCTAACTCATGTTATGGCAAAACTGCGTCGTGGGTAAAAGTAAGGTAGGGAGGGGAGGATCGAACTTTCTAGACGAGCGCAGGTTCTACCGTCTCTTCCGTGTAACTTGGTGCCTGTTTTTTTTTCTTTCCTTTCCTATGGACAAGATCCTCCTTGTCTATGTTCTTCGCGATTTGATCAACGTAGGAAAAAAAGTATTTTGTGCCTGTTTGTCACCTTTGAGAAGCCAGAAGCAACAAACACATGCTCACCATTCATAATAAATGTATTTATTTTGAGATGATATGATAGGCTCAGACACATATCATGCATAGGGGCGACGTGCATTTATGTCGATGAAGGAGGACCACCACTGGTAGCAGCACCTCCTGAACTTCCAGGACCACCGGGACCGCGAGGGGGACCACCGGGACGACGCAACTTGTGGTGCTCAATAAATAAGCTGCACAAGAACCCAGCACCCATCAGGGGGATCGAGACCCTAAAAGCCGACCGAAGAGCCTCCATATACGCCTCCAAGATCTGCCGCTCAACGACAGGACCAAACGAGGGGGCCAAATAAGAGTTCTGAATTACTGCTACGACCTCGGGGTGGATTGCAATAATAGGTTCCAGATGCTTATGAACCCCATTGTTGAAGACCGTTCCGACAATCGCCACACCCATCACTGAGCCGACAGTGCGGAAGAATGTTGTGTTGGCAGTGGCGACGGCGATGTCCTTCATGTGGACTGCAGATTGGATGGCGACCAAGACGGTCTGCAGGCAAAGACCGAGACCGAGACCGATGACCAGCATGAATCCGATCTGGGAACCCCGGTTGGAGTCGACCTGGAGGAGGGTGATGAGACCAATGCCAGTGGTAGCGATGATGAGCCCAGCCCAGATGAAGGGACGGTAATGGCCCCATCTGGAGATCATGTTTCCGGACGATATGGAAGAAATCACCAAGCCGGCGACGAGGGGAAGCATCTCGAGCCCGGCGGTTGTGGCGGACTCTTGGCGGACGATCTGGAAGTAGAGAGGCATGAAGAACATGATACCAAAGAAACCAGTGCCCAAGAAGAAAGACGCACCAAAGACAGCGACATTAGTGCGGCTCTTGAAGAGGCGGAAGGGGATGATGGGTTCTGGGGCTTGCTTCCATTCGATCATGCAGAACACGAAAAGAATAGCAAAACCACCACAAAAGAGGCCAATGATGAGACTCGAGTTCCAGGGGTGCGTCGACCCGCCCCAGTTCAAGGCCAAGAGGACGAGGGTCAGACCAATGATCAGAGTGATCGCGCCTAGGGCATCGATACGCTTAACCTTCTCCTTGAACGAACCCTTGACATGAGGCAAGTGTAGTAGCTTGACAATGACGGCAAGGGTAATCACCCCAATGGGTATATTGATGAAGAACGCCCAACGCCAGGAGGCATGATCAGTAAAGACACCGCCGAGGAGGGGACCGATGACGGACGAAACCGCAAAGACACCACCAAACAAGCCTTGGTACTTGCCGCGGTCGCGCAGCGAGACCAAGCCCGTGACGATGATCATGGCGGTTGACATGATGCCGCCAGCACCGATACCAGCGATGCCGCGAGAGACGATCAGCATGGTCATGTTCTGGGAGGCACCGCAGAGGGCAGAGCCGATCAGAAAGACGACGATCGCGAAGAGGTAGGTGGTCTTGCGACCAAAGATGTCTGAGAACCGGCCGTAGCTATTACGTTTGTTGAATACGTGGATATGAGGTGTTAGTGGTTGGTTAGTTGTTTTCGTTGGTGAGGTTTTGCCAGAAGCGTTGCTCGGATAAATAGCAGCTACGCTCAACAGAAAAAACAAGCAAAAAATTGACCCTTGAAAATTACAGAGGCTGAACGGTGGTGGATGTCAACAGGTAAGTGGTACCGACCCAAGGGATCTCGCCCAGAGAATCAAAATCGTTCGCAATCTTGGTGGTGCAGACCGCGACGATGGTTTGATCAAGCGACGACATGAGGAGGCCCAGCATGAGACCAATCAGGACGAGAATGAGTTCCTTGAAGGGCGGTGTCACCACTCCATTATCGCCACCCATTTGGTTTGGTGCATCGATCTCGATTTTGGAGCCTGGAGAGAGTGGTTGTGGTGGTGGTGTTGGACTGTCGAGGGTCGCCTTTTCGGGTATATCGGGGATGGTGATGACCGAGTCTGACGGGGTTGTGGACGACGCGGGTTTATCCATGGTTGTGTTGGGCGCGAAACAAGGTATGCGGTTAATGATGCGCGCTTGAAAAATGAATGGAAAGAAAGAAGGGAGATAAAGGATATGCGTTGTGTGTGTGTGGAGAAGGGGAAAAAACGAATGCAAGGGGACAGGGGATCGAGAAAAATAGGTCTTCTGTTCAGAACGGAAAGGTAAAAACTAATAAAAAAAGGATGGCGACGATACCCCTTTTTATACTCTTTCTCACACCCTTCACAACCTGCCTTTCATGGGTTTTCCATACCTTGGCAATGGCTTCTCTGTCCGTGCCATGTTATCCTCCCAAAAAATAATGCGCTTTAGAACTGATATTCAACAGAAAGAGGAAACAGCGTGAAGTAAACTCCTTGACGCCTCGCCAAGACAATAAACCAACGCGCAGCATGGTTCACTTCTAGTGCCTGTTCACTTTGGTTTGCACCCATTCTTCCATCTTTCCCCTTATCCACTTGCATTGACCAATTGATTGACAAGCGGGCGAGTAGCATTCGAAGCAAAAATAAGCATTTGGTATCGCAAAGCCTATTTGTGCCTCAATGAGCACCATTTCTCGAAAAAGGAAATTTTCAAAGGCCACACTTCTTTTTTCGTGCTGTCAATATGGGAGTTGTTCTCTCTTGTTCAGATGGACAAAAAAACTCGTAGCGTAATTGAATGAAAGTCAGTCCTTAGTTCCCCGTGCCGCGGTTTACTTCCTTTTCATAATAAAAAATGAACGCCCCTGAAAAGACACAGCCTAGGAAGGGACAACCGCGTCGACACAATGACGGATGGGATATGGTGTTCCTTCTGGCCCCTCTATAGATCTCTTTCCTGTCATCACCGAACCACATTGAGCACAAGCAACTCATTTCCGTCCTCTCGTCCCTCTTTAGCCAATTGCACAGTTTCATGCATGTCTTCCTCCCAAATTCTCTTGCACACTTGTATGTGTGTGGTGAAGAACTGAGATGGGCTGCGTATACCATTTTTGCCCCGTGCGCACAATTTTCTCTGGTCTCTTACTAGGCTCGACTCCGCCCCTCAGAGAAGTTGACATGGGGCTTGCCTCGGACCCTTCTCCTGGGGGTCTCTTACCTAAAAAGCGAAAACTTCTGGAAGACTTTGTCTTGGCAATTGGGCATGCGCAAGATGTCGAGCTCGGACATATGGCCGACAATGAGTTAGCTTTACCGAAATTGCACACGCACCAATAGGATCTTGATCACGGAAGAAAAGAGGACCCATGTGTGTTTTTGTTTGTTTGTGGTCAGAGAGAGGAGGATTATGCAGTCATCCATTCGCCTTTTGATTGTTTACTCGGTAAAAACAAGGGAAAGTACACATGTTCAATCAACGCGTTCCGCTGGAGTTCTATGCATAAGAATTTCTGGTCACCGCACTGCACAAAGCGAGATAAATAATGAAACGATCAGCAATGTAAACAAAGTACCTAGGCGCTGTACCTCAGAGGCGCATCCCAATTGCGAAGAAAGAAAGCGCAAGGAAGCCAAAAACCTTGAACGAGTAACAAAGTGCAAAAACAGATCAAATTCTCCTACAAGCGCCTTCCGGTAGGCAGATCTGCAACAGCGGTGGCAAAATAGGACATGGCATTCACCTTGAGGCTACAGCAAAAAAAATCGAAGGTTTAATGGCATACCGCGATGCTAAAGCTCAAATGGCCATGTTGATGTACTTGTACTGGGTGTACTCATCCAAACCCTGACGGGCTCCCTCACGGCCGATTCCTGACTCCTTGACCTAAGCGCGCAGACATTTTTGCGGAGATAAAAAAAATTAGCTTTCTGTTCCGACCGCTCAAAATTAATTTCGTTCGTCATATCAGCAACAGCCAAAGGAGACTTACGCCACCAAAAGGCGCCACTTCTGAAGAGATGGCTCCAGTGTTCACACCGACCATGCCCACCTGCAAGTTCTCAGCAACTCTCCAACACCTCGACACGTCCTTGCTGAAAAAGTACCCTGAAAGTCCAAATCGCGTGTTGTTGGCAAGTTCCAGAACCTCGTCCTCAGTTTCAAAGCTGAAGATACCCGCAACAGGGCCGAACGTCTCCTCGGTAGCGATCCGCATGTTGTTGTTCATGTCGGTCAGGACTGTTGGCGGATAAAAGTATCCATGTGTGTTTTCGCTCTCCTTGCCTCCTGTCAACAGCTTGGCTCCATGGTTGAGAGCGTCGTGGACATGTGAGCGAACCTTCTCCACAGATGCCTTATTAATCAATGGTCCATGAGTCGTATTGGCCTCCATTCCTGATCCAACACGAAACTTCTCGACCTTCTCCCGCAAGCGCTCGCCAAAGACATCCTTGATCGACGAGTGCACATAGAATCGGTTAACACAAATACAGGTCTGACCGCTCGAACGGAACTTGGCCAGCACAGCAGCTAATGGCAATGAAGAAAGATTACGTCAGAACGTGGTAGATGATCGTCACAGCGGATCAAATAAGTTCTTGAGCCTGCTTTTATGTACCATCAACAGCCTTGTCGATGTCAGCATCTTCAAAGACAATGAACGCGGCATTGCCTCCCAGCTCGAGCGAAACCTTCTTGACTGTATCAGCACTCTGTTTCAACAATAGCTTTCCGACAGCTGTAGATCCTGTGAACGAGATTCCTGAAACATCTTGACTTTCGCAAATGTGCTTTCCAATGGCTTTGGTGTTATGGTGTGTTGTTACAAGTCCGATGACACCCTTTGGAACTCCAGCTCGCCTTCCGAGTTCATAGAGCGCGACAGCTGAGAGGGGTGTCTCTGAAGCAGGCTTGGCCACCACGGTGCATCCAACAGCCAAAGCTGCTCCCAACTTGCGAGTGATCATGGCGTTGGGGAAATCTATGACAAATCGTAACGCGAGCAGTCAGTGTTAAGTTCATGTAAGGATAGAGACCAACGAAAACATGGTTGGCAGGTAAACGTACTCCATGGTGTGATGATGCCGACAACTCCGATAGGCTGGCGGATAGCAAGCATCCTCTGCTGCCGGTTAGGGCTGGGGATCACCTCTCCATAAAGACGTTTGGCTTCCTCAGCGAACCATTCGAAGAAGCTTGCACTAAACAAAGTGATTGACATGTCTCATTAGAGTCTACACACGATCAAGCTCAAAAGAGCTCGTCTGACGGTATAAGATGACACGCTTACCCATAGCGGACTTCGCCCAGCGCATCGGCCAATGGTTTGCCGTTCTCCCAGGTAATGATCTTGGCCAAGTCTTGCTCGTTCTCAATAATCAAGTTGTACCAGTTGCGCAAGATAGTGCTTCGTTCCTATTATGTAAGGATGAATCTTGTTAGCGCATGACGTCAAGCAGGGATCATTTCTCCAAATGGTTGCTTACTTTGGCGGTGGTCTTGCTCCACGATGAGAATGCTTGCTTGGCAGCTTGGATAGCCCTATCAGTCTCTTCGATGCCCATGTCAGGGAAACGAGCAATCTCAGTTCCATTTGCTGGATCTAGTAGACAATCAACAAAACTTCGATGTTAACGGCTATGTGTGACACCGTGTGCTTTTTCTCCAAAAAAAAGTAAAACAAGCGGTACCATAGACGGGAAAATGCTTCCCAGAGTTCGAGGTAGTGATGAATTCATTGTCGATAAAACCGGCAGTTGTGATCAAGGTGGGGTCATTCAGCTGGCTCTTGATGTTTGCGAAAGAGTTGGCAGCCGAGGAGAGGAAGCGAGGGTTTTGAATAGAGGACAAGAGCAACGAGGCGCGTGGGAAGTTGGATAGCGCGGCCTGGGAGGTCCTTCTGGCAGCGAGTGAAGTTGTGGATGTGCTGAGTCTCTTGGTGAGAAGTCCTGGTCGTAGCATGTTGAAGTAGGTTATGGTTGTGGTCGTGGTGGAATGGGTAAAGGTGTTGAATGAAGAAGGAGGAAGAATGAAATGAGAGGAGAAACGAGAGAAAGGGAAACGAGGAGCGCGAACCACCAGCGTCGGTGCGTGTGCCGAAAGGGTCTGAAATTAGCAGTCCCCGCGATCAATGCCGCCACTGAATGGCCAGTGATGGGTAAGGTAGTAAGCCCTTTAAGTCAATCTATGTAGGGGCATGCGGGCGTATGCGGGCAGGCGATGGTGGGGTGCATTGTAGATTGCCCAGCCAGGCAATTGCCAGTCAGTCCTATGGTCGAGACCAAAAGTCGATGGATATTTCATTTCGAGGTGTATGTATCCATCCAGATGGAAAATGAGAGCAAGCTAACAAGGTTCGGTACGGGACTTGCTTCCCCACGGTGCGTTCCTCGCCCAAGTCATTCAACAGAGTCAGTCCACTTTTATTTATTATTTTACTCCTCTCCTCACTCTTCCCTCTTCTCTTGTCCCTTTCTTTGCCCCCTTCTCCTCATCCCTACCCTTCTTGTCCCTCTCCTTCGCTCATCACTCTCACTCTCTCCACTCCTTTTAGTCATTCATTCGTCCTCACCCTCCTTACTTTTTACCACCTTTCACTTACATTACTCAAAACTGCACACTTTCAGTACCTTTTTTTTTTTTTTTTTGAATGGCCACACCCCTCTCTCCAGTCATTGACTGTACCGACTTTGTGGCAGCAGAAGGCCGTTATGAGCTCCTCCAGGACATGTATCTGGAGCAGGTCCTACCCCACCCAGTGATCCCCACCCACGTCTCGTCTGTCTCTGTCAAGTACAAGGATTACTTCAACAACATCAACAACGCAGCCCACAATGGTGCAAGAGCCCATCATGGCAAACAGACCAGCGCCGACTCGACTCTATCAAACTCGAATATCGATCATCTCGAGGAGCGACTCAAGGATTTCAATCTCAGGGATGAACGGTCTGGCGATACCGACGATGCCTCTGCCCGGGCCAACGTTGCTGCTGGTGGCGATACCCACTCTAAGAACTTTCATGGTAACCTTGTCGACCTGCCCCTCTACCAGGACGACTTGAGCGAATACAAGACTCCCCGTAGTGGCATAATGTCTCCAGGACTCCCTCACGTCCAAACACCTGGCCCTCCACCATTGAAGGATTCGAGCGGCTCAAACCGACAATCAGACCCCTACGCTCAGTATGGACCACCTCCCTCGATGCCCCATCAGTATCAGCAACACCAAGAAAAGCCCTCTAGTTTCAGGTCTTTGAGCAGAGCCAACAGCCATTATTCACAGGACGAAGGCTCACAATCCTCATCGGCTGCAGGCAGTTCAGCAGGATTCTCGTCCCTCTTTAGCGGCAAGCGCAAGAAGCCCAAGAACAACATTACTAAGACCAATTCGACATTTGTCTCCAAGATTACAACTAACGAGAACTTGGCCAAGATCCTGGCGAACCGAGTGAACGAGGATCTCTACATCTTCTGGAACACAGGAAGGACCTTTACCTGGAGCGACTTGAACCAGAAACCAAATGTAAGCAATTTTTTTTCTTCTTGGGAATGATTTTTTGTGTGTGGAATGTTGACCTGGAGAACTGTGGGGCGATGGAGGAAAGAGGAATGGCAATCACAAACACACAAACAACTTACCAACAATTCCCACATCATGTGCTTATGCCTGCAGGAACCATTGTCACACATCGCCTTCTCAAAATCCTTCCCGACTTCACACGATGTCAACGTCTTGACAAGGAGCTGCGACCATCTGGATGTGATCATTGGCTTCTCAACTGGCGATATCATGTGGTTTGATCCTCTCTGCAACAAGTATTACCGACTCAACAAGCAGGTACAGTTTCTTGTCTACTATGCACTGGGTTAAGAGTCAAGATGTTTGGGCTTTATCGCTAACCTTCGTGTATCCATTCTCCTCTGTAGGGTATTATCAAGGACAGCCCGGTGACGATGATCAAGTGGCTCCCTGGATCGGAGAGTCAGTTTATGGTTGCGTTCCAGGATGGAAGTATGGTGATCATGGACAAAGAGAGAGACGATCAGCAATTCACGGCCCATCCTCCTACCAGTGACACAATGTAGGCCCTATGGGCGTTATCATGCATGATGTGGCCTACCTTCAACTTCTCTAGATGCACAGTGCTAATTCATGTCGTATTTGTGATATTAATTTCATATCAGGTTTCATGTTACCCATCCAAAACACGGCAAGCATAACCCCATTTCTCACTGGCAGGTCAGCAAGAAGCCTCTCACAGGTAAAGTCTATTTGTTTGACTCACCTGCTCGCCATGTCCCATGTACTCGTTTCCCTTCATTCGATATTGACATTCTACTTACTCTACCCGAACATCAGCGTTTGCTTTCTCCCCGGATCTTCAACATGTGGCGGTGGTTGCGATGGACGGAGCATTGCGGATAATTGATTTCCACCAGGAAAGGTTGCTGGACACCTTTTCCGCCTACTTTGGAGCCCTTACTTGTGTCTGCTGGAGTCCGGATGGAAAATACATCTTGGTAAGGGCGAAGTTAATGAAGTTGCTGTGCCTCGATTGCATTTGAGATGAAGTGTCGAAATCATGAAATTATTGGAACTAATTATAGACCATTTTAACATCTCATCTACTTAGACTGGAGGTCAGGATGATCTGGTGACGATTTGGTCGTTCAAGGACCAACGCATCGTGGCACGCTGTCAGGGACATCAGTCCTATGTCACAGGAGTTGCCTTTGACCCATGGAGATGCGACGAACGCAACTATAGATTCGGAAGTGTTGGCGAAGACGCCAAGCTTCTGCTCTGGGACTTTAGTGTCGGCGCACTTCACAAGCCCAAGGCTGTAAGTTACCTAATTTTACGGCCTGATGTCTCTTGTATTTGGCGCAGTCATGAGGAAAGTGATAACTAATGTCTGTTTTTTATTTTCTATTTTTGTTCTCTGAAACGTAGGCTGTGATGCAGAGGAGAGGAAGTACGGCGACGGTCTCAGGAATGGCAGCGGCGGCAGGAGGATCTGGAAGTTACAAGCCGGGACATGGCAAGAAGGGAAGCATCAACAGTTTACGCGGTATTGGCGGTCACAGCTTGTTCTCGGGACATCACCCTAACAAGTCGTCAGTCTCACAGGTGGTAGCACCCGTCATCGCGGAGGAACCAGCGTTAGAACATGCCAACGGAAACGGCGACACTTTATCGACGACATCCTCAACCCGGCATAGCAGCGTGCACGAGAATGGTAGCTCCCAACAACATCCTCGTCAGCCTTCGCACGTCAAGGACGCTGAGAATGTATCAATTGGAGATGCGTCTTCAACTCGCTCGTCGGGCCATTCATCGATCTTGACGTCGGATGGTGGTAACGGTGGGCGCGCAGCTTCTACCCTTGGCGTTGTTTCGGGAGCAGCATCAACCATGAGTTCGGCAACCGCCGTTACTTCACAGGAGACTGTCGATGCAGGTTCATCGAGCCCCGTGTACAAGAAAGTCGCCCACGCTCGTACACTGCCCCACCTCAGCCTTAAACTCACCAACTCGTTCAACTCTGACAACAGTAACGGGCAACATCAAGATGACCGTCAATCGCTAAAATCGGGACATGGATTTTCGTCGCTCTTCCGTCATCAGCACAAGGCTCATGGAGGAGTAGCGCAGGGTATGCAGGCGGTTAGACCTCCCGAGCCTCGGTCGCATGTGGCCATGTTACAACCTCTGATGGCGAAGGGGATCCATCAGGAACCGTTGGCGGGGGTTACGTTTCGTGAAGATGCTATCATGACGAGTGATCGACGCGGGCATGTTAAGGTCTGGAAGCGGCCTCCTCCGCTTCCTCACCAACAGCCACCACCACCAGCGCAGCAGTCCTAGAAGAGGATATAATTGTTGTTTACTAAAGAACCCGGGTGTGTAGTTTGATGGAGAATGATATATTTGTAAGGGCGGATCAAAAAATTCAATTGGCTATTTGTTGTTGTTTGTAATTGTGGGGTAAAGTCAATTGTTGCGACAGAAATAACATGTGGAAGCGTGTTTTTAAGTCATGAGAGAGTGTGCTTTAGTACTTTGTTTTATTCGTTAATGGTACAATTCGATGAGGTCTTGGCGTTTGTAGGGTGTTGTTGGTGTTTGTTTATCTAAGCAAAGAAGTGGGTGTTGACCCGACTCTCCTGGTGAACCAACATCTCCTGAGACTTGAACTGGTTCAACTCCAACTTGATCCTTTGAGCAATCGCGGGTGTCAATCTGTGGGCAGTAATATTGGGGTCCGACGTCCTATCATATTGCTCCGGCGTCCAGGTCTCGTGGATCATGGGTGGAGCCGTCGAGAAGTGGAATTGGCGACTGGAACGTGGAGGTGTTGGAGGGGACTGGGAGGGTGAGATGGAGGACCAGGATGTGGGCGAGGGATTGCCGCCGCTTCCGTTTCCACTGCAGCTACCACTGGATTTGCTGGTGGAGTATTGCAGGGGTGGTGGGGGCTGCATGCTGTTGGTACTGCTGACACCGGTGTAGGCCAGGGTTGGGTGCTGGACCGAGGTGTAGCACAGGTGTGAAGGGAGGGGCTGTTGCATGTTGTACTGGTATGGGTAAGGTGGGTACTGGTATGACTGTTGTTGTTGTGGTTGTTGTGGGTGGGTGTGATATTGTTCATGGAAGACTTGGGATCCAGCATGGGGGGTCATAAACTGCTGTTGTTGTTGTTGATGTTGTTGTTGTTGTTGTTGTTGTTGTTGTTGTTGGTAGTGATGATGATGTTGGTGGTGGTGGTCAGGAGCGTATTGCATCTGATGATGGTGGTGATGCTGTTGTTGATGCTGTTGTTGTTGGGTTCGTTGGAACTGCTGGTAGTGCAACTGCTGTTGAAGCTGGAGCTGTTGCTGCTGTTGGTGGTTTGCAAAGATCGCTTGCTGGCGATTGCCGTTGGCAGCGATGGCTTGGGGGTAGGCCGAAGGCGAGGAAGGACATGGGTGGTCCGACATCAGGGTATGGTCGACAGAGAGACGGGCCACGGGTGCAGATTTGGGAGGTGGGGGCAACGAGATGGAGGGGGTCACGACCATCGAGTTGCGGCGACTATTGGCTTCATAAGAGCTCCGACGGTTGTTGGTCGTGGCGTCATAGGAACTGCGACGGTGGGGGTTGCCGATAGCGGCAGCAGTGCCGGAGTAGTTCTGTTGTTGCCTAGGGGTCGATGCAGACGGGAGTTTGGGGGACGCGTCCTTTGATGGTGAGCCGCTGGAGCAGGAAATATAAGAGTCGCGTCGACGCGAACCAGTAGGGGAAAAGGTGAAAGACCCCTCAGCAACTGCTCCACGTGAGGTGCAGGGGGAGATGTTCACCAGTGGATAGTTGGGTGGATCGTTGGCTTGAGGCGTCATGGGCTTTGTCAACAAGGGGTTGATGCGTGGTGTTTGAGGAGCGGTGGAGCTGTCGTACTGGATATAACCTCCGTGGTACTGGAGCTGTTGCTGTTGCTGTTGCTGTTGCTGTTGCTGTTGCTGTTGCTGTTGGAGTTGTTGCTGTTGCTGTTGCTGTTGGTGCTGGTCAAGAGTGTAGAGATCAGGGTGAATGTCATACTCTTCTGAGCTAGAGTACCGGACAGAGAGACGTTGCTTGCGATCGACTTGAGGGTAGTGGCCTTGCTGACTAGCCTGGCGACCAGCAATACTGCTCTGGCGACGGTGGCGAGTAGGCCCAGTGTATGAGTGCTCCTCCGAATTACGTCTGCTACCGCCGTTGTTGTTATTGACGACAGGTTCTTGTGAAAGGTTGACCAAGGGCTCACTCTGGTGATGTTGGAGACGACGACCAGAGTTGGAGATGGATCCCTGATGGCCGTGAACCAGTAACTTTCGGACCGATGGAGCCCTGACAAGTCGGTGGGCCAAAGCCGACCGGAGGGGCTTGGCAGAAGATACAATCGTGGTAGTAGGGGCGTTCTCAGGGCTGGTACTCTTCTTACTCTTGTTCTTCTTACTCTGCTTGCCAAAGACACCCTGGATCTTGGACATAGTCGTTGCGCCAGAGCTAGTCTCGCTCTCTGTAGCCTTGATCAACGACTCGGCAGCAGCAGCAGCAGCCTGGGCAGAGACACGGTCCTTGTCCCATGGAGGAGCCGCAAATTTGGCTTGGAGCTGTGGACCCGTCTCCAGATCATTCAAAGAATGCCTCCTTTGGAACGCAATAGAGCCTTGTTGTTGACGACCAGCGTCAGTCAGAGGGCTCTCGACATTAGGGACAGACGACGATCGCTGCTGCTTCTTCTTGTTGGACGCAGCCATGGCATCTGCATTGCGGGCATTGAAGAAGGAGGTGATGCTGGCAAACGAAAGGCGCTTCTTGGACGTCCTGCTTGAAGTCGGCTCCAGGCTCATACGCTTCTCCGCGGGCTTGGATGGTCCAATGGGAGCAGGGGACACCGTCAAGCGGTTGATCTCGACGGGCGAGAGAGGATGCCCATATGGGACTCCATCCGCGATCGCGGTAGATGGCCCAATGATTAAGGGAGATGTCGCATGCTTGGGTTTGGGGGAGCCCGAAGGAGACATCTCTGGCGATGTGGAAGGGGTGCATGGACTGTGGCCTCCTCCTTGGCCGACCGACACGGACTCGCCTGAGCTAGATGAGGAGACAGAGCCACGGTGCTCAATCAGATGCGAAGCAGGAGGAGGGCATAGTTCGCCTGCTGCACCAAGCCCAACACCGATACCAGCACCACCGCGACCATTCCGCAGAAGACCCCCTTGGACATCATTTTCGCCATCGTGCGAGGAGGGGGACATGGACGTGGACATGATATCCTCCAGCGTTTGTATTGAACAGTGATGGTGGTGGTGGTGATGGAGGATGTCGACGTCTTGGTCCTTGGACGAGAAACTACCATTGCTGCTGTTACCATTGCTGCTACCAGTGTCGTTGCCGTTGCTACTGCCATTCATGGTCTGCTTAATAAAGACCTTACGGATCTTGGACGCCAAGGATGTCTTTTTGCGGATGGTCTTGTGAGGGACGACACCCACCTGGGTCTGTATGGAGAGCAGCGCAGGGGCTGATTGTGCAAAGTCGGATGAGGGGACGGTGGAGGAAGAAGGGGGTGCCAGTGAGAGCCAGCTCTCGCTTGTGGAAGAGGGATTAGAAGCGGAAGAGAATGAAGAAGGGAGTGAAGAGGGGGAAGAAAGAGATGTTCTGCGAACGTTATTGTTGTTGTTGTCGAAGGAAAGACGTGGTTCGGGATCGAGTTGGAAGGGATGGACTGATTCTTGGTCAGTTGAGAGTCTTGGACCATTGGTCAATGCGACGGCGCCAGAGACAATGACTTGATCCGTCACCATGGTCAATGGTCTGAAGAGAGTGTTGTGGTAAGCAGATAGATGGATTTGCTCAAGCCCTGTTGTGTCGGCTGAAGGGTGACGACTGCTTGTTGCGTTGCTTGTCATGGGGCTATCGTTGTCGGATGGGGCAGTAGTGAGCAACCAAGCTGGTGTTTTTTTTGTTTTTGTTGTTTGGTTGTTTTCCGAGGGTGAATATACGCAAGTGAGTGAGAGAAGGAGATGAGTGAATTGGGAGATTAAAGTCGAGAAGAGTGGATAGGATGAGTATTAGGGAATGGAGGAAGACGAAGAGGCGGTAAAAGAAGGTTGTTTTTGGTTAGCGAGGGAGAGAAGAGAGCTGGAGACGGAACGCTTTGACCAAAACGACAAGCAAATAAGAAAAGAAAGACCAAAGAAGAAAAAAATAAATGCAATTAAAAACACGACATTCCAGGGCCGAAAAAACTCTCTTCAAGCCATCCAGCTCTCGCGCTTTTTTTTCGTTTTGGGTCCCTCCTGTCTAGAAATATAAGCAAATTATTTATCCAGTCAACTTACATTCGGCATACTCCATGGACGACATGGGCCTGAGCTTCTTTGTGGTCATGTCAATCAATGCCATGGACAGGAGAGTGCCTTCGTCACTCATCGCTGCAGCATCCAAACTCCCATATCGAAGATTGTCCCGTCCGACAGGCGGGATCACACATGCTGTATGAACCTGCTGCCCCGCGTTTGTTGTTGCTGGTATTGCTGTTGCTGTAGGCTTGGATGCAGAAGTAGATGTTGAATCGCATGAAGATGTGACTGTGGTTGTGGTCTTGGCTTTCGTCGTGTTCGTGGTCGACATTGCTGTGGTTGTGTTGTTGTTGAATTCCTTGCTTTCACTTTCACCCTTGATATCTCCGTTTTCCTCTGCTACAACCTCCTTCTTCACCTCCTCTTCTTTTCCCTCCTTCTTATTGTCGTCCAGCTGTTGCTTGTCTTGCATTTGTTTCTGTTGCTGATCCTTCTGCTGCGTTTCCTCTTCCCTTGTGATTGTAGAAACAACAGGAGCAAATGATACCTTGTTCTCAGGGGTGATGGATATGAAGGGTGTTGTTGAAGTTGGAACAGGAACAGGAGAGTTGCTGCTGCTAAGAGTCGAGGTTGGCGGGGGTGCCACGAAGGATGACGGCAACGAAGTAGAAGAACAAGGCAAGAGGGAGGAAGGCGCTGCTGAATCCAAGGGGGCGGTTGTTGCAAGGATCGTAGATTGAGGAGGAGGAGTAGGAGTAGGAATTGGCCGTGTTGTTTCAACCAAAGGTGTCGTTTGCTTCTGTTGTTTTTGTTGTTGGTACTGTTGGTGTTGTGGTTTGGGTTGTGAGATTAAGTTGGAGAGGGAACTCAAAGTGTCCTCTGCAAATCCCTGATCTGCTCGACTCCCCTGAATGTGATGGTTTGACGTAAAGACGGATGGGAAGTGAAGACGAGATGACTGACCACCATTACCACCACCCAATCGAGCAAGGTGGGTGTTACTATCGATACGGGGGACAGATGAAGAATCCGAGGCTGAGGCTGAGGCTTGATAGAGCGAAGTGATGGCTGCGCTGACTCTACCACTGATTGCAGGGCCCGTGGGGGAAAGAGGAGAGGGAGAAGAGGTGGATGAAGGGAAAGATGTTGAAGGTGTAGTGGAATAAGAAGAGGAAGAGAAGGATGCAGGGATCGGCGAGACGAGATCGGTCTCCGCACGAATCGGCTGGTTGAGTTGCTGGAGATACTTCAATGATGGCGCGACTAGACGCGCGGATGTTCGATTGGGTTGAGTAGATGATGGTGTGGAAGGAGCCTGGAACCTGGGTCCTTCAGTCTGTCGACACAGCTGCTGTTGCTGCTGTTGGCTGGAGAGAGAAGGTTTCTGGGATCCGGGAGAGATCAAGTCGGCCATTATGTCAAAATTAAGAAGGTGGATACGTATGACGAGAGAGAGACAGACAGGGTCAGAGGGAGAGAGAGAAGACTTAAAAAAAGGGAGAATGAAATGGGTTTGACTATCCCAGATGGATACCAAGGAGCATAGAACAATGGAAGAAAGTAAAAGATAGATCTGAAGGAGCTATAGATTAGAACACAGATCGATGGGGAAGGCACTTGTGGAGGGGAAGGGTTCGATCAGATCTTTGGGATAGGAACAAAATGAAAGGGTGGAAGAAAAGAAAAAAAAGGGAGCGGAGAGGATTGAGGAGGATGCGGATGTGGATGCGGAATGGTAGGGATGCCGGCTTGGTGTTGTGTGTGGGTGTGTGTCTTCCGTGTGGTTTTTTTCGGGGTATATTCAGGCACCTGGCGACAAGCACATCAAGGTCACAAAACAGTGGAGACGAGAAAAGTGAGAAGGGAAGGTTATGGCACGACAGGAAAGAAAAGAACTGAAATGGGAAACAAACAAAAAAAACCAGAAAGATGAAAGAAAGAAGAACAAAAAAGGAGCTTGACAGAATCTGTGTATGGCTGGTTGATGAGGTGGCAACTGCTTTGAGCTGAGGTCACAAAGAAAGCTCCCAGGCGAACAAACAAGAAATCCCACTTCATCAGTATCCCCAGGCAAGCAGCGGTCAGGGCGCGCCTTGTTTCAAAATCAAATCGAGGTTTGCTGCTTCAGCTTCCTCCCTCACTCTTCTATCTCTCTCAGCAGACAATAACAGGCAGAAGGACGGAGAAGGGGCTCATTCATCCATTGTCCGGACATTTAAGGGGGCGAGAGTCCTGTCTAAGGATGGCAACACAACAAATTGGAAGGAGGAGGATATGGATATCTCCTCCTCCTCCTCTTCCCCCTTCCCCCTTGTTCTCCTGTTTTTCTGCCTGACTTGACGCTTCTTTCGTATTTGACTGTTCACCATCCCGGTTGTCGCTCTCTGCTCTCGCGAGGGCGACCGACAGACAGTTGTGTACGTGCTCTGAATAAAACAACCAAGCGACAGTTGTCTATGCTTTGTATTCCAAAAAAAGGTCTTCGTCCATGGTTGAATGCTCTACAAGTCAAATTCTCAGGGGACGAGGCCCAGTGAGGTGTTTACCAAGACAGTGAGAAGGGGCATCAAGAGCAAATAAAGAAGAGCAAATGGCAAGGACCTCAGGGCAAGCAATTAGCAATATATAGAGGATGCGAGAATTGAGCTTAGATACGCTTATGTTGAAGGGTAATGTGGGGTGCTATCTTAAGCAGCACTAAAATAAGGATTGAGGAAGCCATGATAGCAAAAAAGGGGAAGAAGAGAAGAGAGGGGGAAGGCGAATAATGAAAAAGGTGAGAGAGAGAGGGGGGGGGAATCAAGAAGGACCATTGTCTCTTGTTTTCACCTCCTGCCAACGTGTGTATTGGTAATGCCCTTGACTATACCTGACTGGTTTAGAAAACAAGGATAATGAAGTGAGGAAGTAATCTTTTTGTTATGGGCACAGGGAGTTAAAAATGATATTATTTATTTTTCATACAAGTTTCTTTTAGGCGATGCGCAGGTCGCCATCAGCGAAATACCGAAGCTGGTGCTGAGTTGACTAACTTTGTTTTGCAGAAGCCAACAAGCGAAGATCAGGTACCATTGGAACATTGAAAACCAGTTTTTTTGCATGGAATGAAATAGTGGCATGAATACCCGTGTCTCCATGTCATTTTTACAGGCTGCATGGCAATTTGCCAATGCTTTGAACACGGCACGAAAAATGGTTCCAACTCGTTGAACGAGAGGAAGTGCAACTGGGGCACGCTAAGGGAATCGACCAATGCCCAGAGCCGAACTGATCGACAGTGATGGCGATCGACCCTACCGGGATTCTGGAGACGCGACAAACATGGGGGGCACAGCACACGCAAAAGGCGCGCTGAAGAGGGAGCAAAAAGAGAGCGAACAGTATGTTAGGTAGCATGAGGAAGGGTGCATTAGCAAAGGCTATTATGTCCTCTCAACCCCATTTTCAGCTGCACGAACTTGTTCGTTCTCCACTCGTGCCTTTGGATTCAGCCTCTCTCCTCATCCTTCCCTTCTTCCTCTTCACTTCGCCTTACCATTCGCTGCATTCCATGTTGATCTCTACCCCCTGCCTCCAGATACTGCTCACCTTCTCTCCTCGCCTTTCCCCTGTCAAGCCTTCTTCGATAGCACTGAGGTCAATTGGTTCCCCTTGGACTCCTTTCTATTTGTCCTTCGTTCCTCTTTGCCTCCCCCCTGTTCTTATTTTGAAATAAAACTCCGGGCTGCTGACCATTCATCCAGCGTGCTTCTCCTTCATCCTCCTCTTGTTTTCTCCCGCGTTATCATTGCTGTCCTTGGGGGGTTTTTTTATATTTGGTTTATGCAACGTACATTTGCTAATTCAAGCATGATATGAAGACAGATGGGTGATGCAAATGAACCGAAAGAAAAATAGTAACTTAGGCAGAGTAGGTTTGAGCAAGGGCCGAAGAACAGGAGGACACTGGCTACTACTGTTTCTTTCTTGTGTTCCATTTTGGGTGCGGGAAGGAATGATATACGAAAAAACACCCAAAAATATTCCTCGGAGGAGAGAGGTAGAGTGAGAAAAGGGTTTGCTTGTTTGTTTAGTCTTGTCATGCAAGTTGGCGGTGTCTTTGTGTATGCGTGTGTTTACATGAATGAAGTGTATGTCGTTGGGTGATGGGAATACAGACACTCCTTTCATCTTCTCTGTGCTCGTTACTTCTTTGCCTTGCTGCCTGTCAACAACAATGTCCCACAACCAAAATTGTGCATGTACTGCTTTACCCCTGATCCCCCCTTGTACCCTCTCCCCTTGCTCTTTCCCTCTCGCCCCCCCCTTCTCTCATGCAACGAACGCTTTCGCCTTCATTCTTTGCTCTCTCTTGCTCTCTCCTTGTCCGGTGATCTCTTGACCTTTTCCGTTTCTTCTATTTGTACTTCCACTTTCAACTTCTACTTCTACTTCTACTTCTACTTCTACTTCTACTTCTGCTCCTTTCCTTTCCTTTTTTCTCTTTTCTTTCCTTTGCTTTCCTTTCCTTTCCTTTCCTCCTCATCACCACATTTATCATTCCATACCAACATCTGCTGCCTGTCGATCACTGCACCCCTCAGCCATCGTCTTCCTTTCTGCTCCTTAGCTCACCCCCACTCTCTCTGACAAACCAACAACCGGCTCACCGCGAATACATTCGTAGCTCAGACTTCCCATCCAACTTGCACAGCAACAAAAACACCTCTTTCAGAATGATATCGACTTCTGCAGCAACGATGCCCGGCAACAGCATCCCCCCATACATCCAACAACTCACCGAAGACATGACCACACTCACAATGGTAAAACAGGGGATGGTGCTATACATCCTGCACGTGTATGGTCGTGTGGTGTTGTGTGCCTGCTTGACGAGTGTCCGTGTCTCAAGATTGAACGAGTAACTAATTACCAAAAAAATGACTATTCCCGTTGACTGGGGAAAAAAAATGAAAAAACATAGACGATAGCAGTGTCACCTGAAGGGACACAGCTCCGTGAGAACCTTGTTACGCGTGTCCAGGGTATCATGGATGCAGAGTGGCCCAAGGAAGTCAGGATCGAGGCCTTCGGGTGAGTGAGAGAAAGGAGCCGATGAATGAATGAATGAATGTCGTATGCCCTCTTGAGAACAAGAGGCGAATGAGTGGCGGGAAAATACAACAGAAACCAGCACAACTCACTGTCGCTCACCCCCTGGACAAACGTACTGAAATGGACCCTCCCCAAGAGAGGACTGACGCTTCTATCCTTCCCCCTGAATACAATTCTAACAATAGGTCATTCGCATCAGGACTCGGCACTGATTCCAGTGATCTGGATCTCGTCATTCTCCCTGCATTGCGCGACCAGGACCAGGACCCAGGAACCCCCGCCCGGTACCAGGACCTCTTTGTCCTCAAGACTCTATTCCAGCGCTGTACGTTCAATCTTGACTTGACGTTGCTGAGATTTGGTTGGGGTGTATGAAATGATAAACAAACTAACGCCGTTTTTCCCCCTCTGTCACCCTTGGTTCCCGGTCTCCTTCCATCCATTCCTTCATCTGCTCTCTCGCATGGATGCCCACCGTTGCTCAATGCTCTCGTTGGTTCGTTCCACGCTATTTCTCAACACGTCTTTTTTTTTGAATGCTCTGCATGCATGTGCACAAAATCATCTCATATTTTGCTCTTTGCCCTCCAACCTTCGGCTGCGTTGTCTCTCTCCACCCGCTGGCTACATTACCAATGTTGCATATGATAACTCATCGTCCTCTGATACGTCCGTTCTCCAGACAGCATGAAGGACGTTGAGGTTATCCAGAATGCCCGGGTGCCCATCCTCAAGTTCACCGACCACAAGACAGGTATCAAAGTCGACCTCAACTATGGCCACTACCCCAGCCTCTACAACACCCGTCTCATCGAGTCATATGTCAGGATCGACGATCGCGTTCGGACGTTCCTCTACGTTCTCAAGGCCTTTGTCAAGGCGCGCGGAATCAACTCGCCACCCCTGGGCTCCCTTAGCAGCTACTGCTACACCCTTATGGCGATCTCGTATTTCCAGTCATTTCTGATCCCAGTCCTGCCCTGCCTGCAGGATCCACACCTCATCCCTCACAACGTGCCCAACCCAGGAGTATTTGGATCGACTCGTCTCGTCAATGTTGCCTTCACGGACCCATCCAGGATCCGACCCTGTCTCCCTCGCAACAGCATGACGCTCGGGGAGCTGTTCATTGGATTCCTGGAATACTACGGGAGCAAGTTTGAGTACAACAAGTCGTGCGTGAGTGTCCGGTGCGGCAGCGTCATCTCGAGGGACGAATGCCCAACTTCCTGGGCGCGACACGAGTTTGTGGTCGAAGATCCGTTTCTCCTCGACCTAAACGCTGCAGGAGCCAGGAAGGACATGATGAATATTATCCGACATGAATTCCAGGCAGCAACGCAGGCACTGAAGGATGATCGTGGACTGAGTGCCATCCTCACTACGCGGCAACCCTACCGCGTCCGAGAATAGGAGCTTAATTTCTGTTTCTCCCCTCATGCAGGATTATGTCTGAAAAAAACATACAAATCATACATACATTAGCGAAAATGAAAATGAAAATAAAACAACAATAATAGCCAAATGTATCTCTTGCAACACTATTTTGTGAGAACGCATGAGAAGTTGATCGCACAATTGCGTACCTGTCGTGGATAGGACTGTGTGTATGCCCGTACTTCATAGGCAGGGTGGCATATGATGTTCCTGGCCCAACATTGAGGTTCGTGAGCGTATGGAAGTACCTGTCACGTAGTGGTTTGGAATACGACTATAAATCTTGAGCAAAGTTCAAAGTCTAGTGGACGCAGAAAAGGTCATGTATGTTCCCATTCCATACAACAACACAGGAAAAAAATAACCAACTGGCGAAATGTGGAATGCCAAGTGTTATTGATAGTCCCTGAAAATCGTGCCGCAAAAGATATAATGTCCGAGGGAAGGATTGCTCTTTCTTCCCCACACCCCATCTTTCTCCTCCCTCCTCTTGTCCTAATCTTCCACCCTTCTTCTCGCTTTTAACAACTAACAAAAAACAATCATTATGCTCGCCAAATTTGCATTCGCTCTTCTCGCTGCTTCTTCCCTCGGGTTTCTCGCATCCCAGGCAGATGCAAAGAAGTACTCCCAGGGTATGTCTCCGTTCTTTGCGCGTAAGGACGATTCTCCTAAGGCTCTAAAACTTTACTCTTCTCAACATTTTTCATCCTTTTTCATGTAAAACATAGCGTACGATTGCTACATTGTCATAGGAAAGATCCAGCGCTGTTACGACGGATCGGCCAAGGATCTAACAAGGTGCTCAATCTCGTCTCGCTTGCCCTCTGACCAGACTTATTACGCGCCTCGGTCAATTGGTGGACAGACGTATCCCTTTGGCACGTCGGTGGTGACTCTGCAGACTGTCGATGGCACCTATGAGAAGGTTGATGTTGCGACCTTCTTTGGTGTCTGCGAGGGTCAATGATAGATTTTTTAGATGATTTTAAAACTTTATCGTTCAGGAATGCAAAATACACGTGACGTCCCTAAGCCACATAAGCAAACAGATTCGCATCGCTCCCCGTTTCGGGGATATGGATGGAGTGAAAGGGAAAGGCATCTATCATTCATCACTCCCTACTCTCTAATATTCATAACACACAATGGCTGGTGGTCGCTACCCTTATCCCAAGCACGTCTGGTACGTCCTGGGTTCATTGCCTATTCTCCACACGCAGCATCACCAATATCGACACCCTTTCTGCAGGACCATCAACAAACGGACCTACAACTCCCATTTCCGGCCTTTCCATCACACCTCGGAGTTTTCACGCCCGAATTACCGAAATTCATCACAACAGGATAATCAGCATAGAAACTACAGGAGGGACTGAAAGACGCGAGGTCTAGAGGGCAAGATACGCAGCAAAAAGGCATAATCGTCTTTTTCTATGCGCTCGCTCGTTCCATGGACCACGGACCACGCTCACTTCTTGACCGACAGCAAACACCGGATATACAGGACACTTCGGACGATGACACCAGTTAACATTCCGGACAAGTGTTCGAGCAGCTCCACGTTACTCATCCTACCTTGTATGCTACCTGTTGTATGCGTGTAGGTCCCCTACTGGTGGTTGGTGGACTCAGCCTACCAACTGGAAGTCTAACACTGCCGTTGCCGTCGGTATCACTGCCACCATCGTCGCCGCTGCCTGGAAGTACTCTGCTGAGAACGAGGTATCTTTCCCTAGTCATCTTTTTTCAGGACCATTTCGGATACATGCAGAAAAGCAATATCTCAGTGGACACCCACAGGAAAGAAGGGGCCAATCGTCGCCCCTACGCTGAACAATGGATCGCGGTAGTAATATGTTTTTCTTTTCTTTTTCATGGTGATAGGAGCGCCACACTCGCCCCAAGGGCTTCATCCCCTCGTCGTTGGTACGGATCGCAATCAATTGAACTCTTCACTTCATATACTCGCTGCGCTTGGCTCATCCTACATTGTCATACCTGGACCAACCTGATCTACTCAAAGATACCTTCGGAATACGCAAACTAACCATGTCACGCTTCCGTTTTCGATTTTAAATTTAATCTCATAGTGGGCTAAGGAGTTCAAGGACGGCGAGGTCTACGGAAAGAAGTAAACGAACAATTGACAGGATGCAACATGAATGCGGAGAGGAATTGTCAAATAGAAATCTCTCCCAACAAACGCCAACACACACCCTCTCCAAACAGGAAATACCAACAAAAATAAACACCCTCTCCACGTATATCTTTTTAGGCGTGTGCTAATGTGTGATCGGGAGCGGATGACTGTACATTCTTTGACAGGAGAATACATCTTGGCGCAACATGTCACGATAAACTTAGGCGTGATTTCAGTTATTTTATTCTGGCGGCAAGATAAAAGGAAAGAACGAAAGGGATTATGGACCCTTCGATATATTACAACTTGGATTTGGGAGGCCCCTCGAGGAGGACTCTGAGGTCCTTCCTTAAGATCTTGCCGGCGGCAGACTTGGGAACCAAATCAATGAACCTAACCCCACCACGGAGTTTCTTGTGCGCCGCAACCTTGGACGCAACATACTCCACAACCTGCTCCTCCGTCAACGCCTTGCCCTCGGGGCTCGACTGGTTCTTGACAACAAACGCCAGAGGAACCTCTGTCGCCTGTTCCTTGTTCTCGACACCAATCACGGCCGCGTCCAGGATCTGTGGATGGGTCAAGAGGATGGCCTCGAGTTCTGCGGGCGCGACTTGGAACCCTTTGTACTTGATCAGTTCCTTCAACCGGTCGACTACAAAAAAGTTGCCCCGGGTATCGACCACGGCCACGTCGCCCGTATGTAACCAGCCCTCACTGTCGATCGTCTCCTTCGTCGCCTTTTCATTGTTGCGGTACCCCTTCATCACATTCAACCCACGGATCCAAATCTCTCCGCGCTCCCCAGGAGCAGCATCCTTGCCAGTCTCGGAGTCGACGAGTCGAACTTCTTGGTTGGGGAGCATCTTGCCGGCAGATCCGTGGACCATATCGTTGTAAAGACCGACATGGGTTCCGGGGGAGGCTTCCGACATGCCGTAAGCTTGACGGAAGGCAATGGCAGGATATTTCTCCAGGAGGGCTTCGATCAGTTCTCGGGAACAAGGGGCCGCACCAACGGTTATTTGGCGGACGTGGGAGAGGTCGTATTTTGCGACTAGGGGGGATTTCACGAGCATCAGGACTTGAGGCGGGACTAGGTTCAGGGTCTTGACTATTTGTTTAGTTGTTTTGTTCAAAATGATACGAGGGGTGTTAGTTGCTTGTAATGCCCTCGCTTTGTTTCCTTTTGTGTTCGAACACTCATCGATGGTTCGTGGGATCTTACTCTTGTAGTCCTGGATGATCTTAAGAAAGTCCTCGGGGTTGAACTTTTGCATAACGATATTTTGAAGGCCCTGTTTTTTACCAAGGAGAAATCGTAAACAGACATGTTAGGAGACAATCGAGAAACAATAGTAAACATGTGTCCGTGATCCCACACTCTAAAGTGAACTTACGCTGTGGGCTCCACACATCAAGTGGAGTTGGATACTGTACCTGTGGTGGGAAGAAAGGAAAGTAAGAAAAAGAAAGTGCAATGAGTGAGAAAAAAAATGCAAGTAAAATGCTCAACTCCACCTCCTACATTCTCTCTATCATCCACGCCCACTCTTCCAGCAATTACAAGACCCCCCGCCCTTCATTATTGTCACTGTTTCGTTTTTGTCCGAATAACAACTTACATGTGGTACATGGGCAAGACACTCAGAGCAACATTATCATGGGCCTTCAACTCTCCATCACACGCAACGACCTGAGCAGCATTGACTGCAAAATTCAAATGCGACAACTCAACGCCTTTACTCCGCCCCGTCGTCCCACTCGAATAACAAATCAACGCTGTCGTCTCCTTGCACTCCTTGGCATCCAACACCACCGGCTTGACCAATTGACTTTCGGGCGTCTCTACGGGTGGCAACAAACTGGTATAGGGCCTGAATCCATCCACAATCTGATCTCCATACAAAAAGATCCTCTCCTCCGGCAACCCGACCTTCTTGGCACCGGCCCGCGCAGTAACCAACAGTTCCGGATGAGTCACCATCGCAGTCGCGCCAGAATCCTGCAACTGGTACGCCAGCTCGTCCGCATTATACGCCGAGTTGACGGTAGTGGTAATACCAGCAAAGACGAGGGGTCCAAACATGGTGACCGAATAATCGACCTGATTGAACGAGAACAACGCCAAAACGTCTCCACGTTTGAAACCCAGAGAGTGTTGGAGGGCCGTGGCCCAGCGACGGATATCATGTCTCCATTGCCCAAAGGTGAGGGTTTGTTTTGTGATCCCGTCGATGAGGATTGGGTATTCGTCAGGGGTGTTGTTGGGGTTGGAGATTGCGAAACTATAGGCGTTCATGTAGGGGACCGGCTGGTCGGGAAGGTGAGACCTGTAAATCGTCATGGCTTGGTTGTGTTTTTTGTGTGTGGAGTGGAGAATTGAGGCAGGTGTGGTCGGAGTATGAGTTGGTTGTGGAGAAATTGAGTTGAAGGGAAAGAGGAGGAGGGTTTAAAAGAGAGAGAGGACAAGAAAAAGAAAGTGGAAGAAAAAAATGGAAAGAAAAAAGAGGAAGGAGAAAGGTAACTGCAAAGGGACAGAGATAAACAAGGTAAACACATCTTTCTGTGCTCATCGTATCCCCCCCCCCCCCTTCTAAACCGAGATAGGGAAGAGTCTCGGATCCACCAAACCAACCGACCAACTCTCCAGAATGCAACAACCAAAACAGAATCCAAACAGACGCTCATTCCCCTGTTCTCTTCTCCATTCATCACTCACCACTCTAAAATATACACAAATGGTCGGCCATCCCCCCCTGAACTAAAACAAAGAAAACACAATCACCAGTTACATTCCCATCCAATTTCTCGTTTTCCGGGTTATTTGAGGGCGTGGGAGTGTCGAAGTCAAAGAGTGTCTAGTCTTCTTACTTTTCTTCCGTTATTGGTTGTTCAATGATACCCAAAAGCAAAGGAACGGCTAAAACGAGCCGGTTCAACTCTCGATCGATCCCGCGAAAGGAAAGTATTCTTTTATGTGTCAGCAATTACCACCGGATACAAACCCCACCTCCATTGATGTTCTTTCGATAAAGATTGGCGCCCTCGCGTCCTCTACAAAAGCCCTTCCTTGATTCCTTGCCTTCTTTCGTTCGTTAAAAAAAAACATTTGGTTGGTCATAGGGTCCTTCGAATCTTGTTTGCTCTCTCGTCTTCGGCTGGGGATCGAAACTTTACTTTTTCCCTCTCTCGGCTCACAGCGTTCCATTCCTACCTCTCCACAAATCAAGAGCATAAACTGAGCGAAGGCGGGGCGCAAAGTATGAAGATATGGATGTATTATGCGAGATATGGTACGAGAATATATTAAGAGATATCTAGAAAACACAAAACGCGCAATCATACTCTCTTAAGGCGCGCTTTTGTAGGGATGAAAATAGCCCCAACTAGCGAACAAGACGGATCTCCAGCATGAGGATGCAGAGGTTGATTGCTGCAAATCCGCCTTACTTACTCCATCTGGTTTCCGAAAAGAACCCCAACAGTCAAAAAGACAACCAATCCTAAAACACTCGACCCTCCAAGCGCAGTCCAGGTCTGAACACCGCGGTTCATATTGCCAGAGTTTCCAAAGATACCAGGAGGCAGGGCCGTGATCTGGGAGCTTCCGGAACCAGCAGTAGGAGTGGACGAGGTCGAGGTAGCAATGGTCTGGTTGTACTTCTTGGGGAACTCGGCCGTGCAGTTGCGAGCGTTGCATTTGCTGTAGCATCCGTTGTCGGCCTGAGGGCAGACCTTGATACATTGCTGGACGTCGGCTACACATTCAAAATATGGGATCGTGTAAGTGTATTCTATACAAATAGAAAGAGGTTCAAGGAAGTAGGAGAGAGCGAATCATATTGGTTGTGTTAGTATCAGAAGAGCAATTGGGTGGTCGTTCCATGCAGAAAAAAAGGGTTGGTACCATATAAGCGCCTATTTTCTTATGATTGCTTACCGGTCGTGTTGGGGACAATGCCTCCCTTACACTCGCAAGAGTAGAGCAATGACTGGATGTCGCATCTGTTGTCGAGGGTCTCGCCTCCATTGGTCAACTCCTGACAGACGTTGGTGCTATGATCGTTGAAACGCATTTGATTAGCTCTTTGGTTTTGGGCGAAGCAGTCGCGCTGTAACTGAATCCACTACAGTACTTGATCTGAGGAAAATAAACACAAACAACGGGTGTTGTTGACTCTTACCAGAAACCGACTTGGTTTTGGCACCATGTCAACTTGGTGCTATTATCAACCGTCATAGCTATACAACAGGTTCAAAATATAATAGTCGGCTGTGAGTATGTGAGTATGTGCGCACATCAAGTCTATTATAAACGACAAGGACTGGAGAGACGGGAATAGAGAGTGAAAGAGCTTCCATCTAGTCGAGGGGAGCTTACGATCAAAAGCAGAGACGCAGGCAAGAGTAGCCATGACTGCCAACACTGCAAAGGCGCGCGAAGTGAAGAATCCGATCATGATACCGATGGGTTAACGTCGAAGAGGAAGAGGAGGAGTAGGACGAGGAAAAGTGAATGAGAGGAAGGCAGAACTGAGCGGAGGGGATGAGCTGTGGTTGGTTTCCTTGTGTTCGAATAGGGTAAGGAACGAAACTAAAAGAAAGAAGAGAGGAAGAAGGAAGAGAAAGAAGAGGAAGAGGAGGAAAAAAGAGAAGGGTAAAAGGCGGCGCTGTCATCTGAGTCGGTGCCTCTCTTGCATTCTTCACACTCGCGAGTCCATTTGAGAGCATTCCTTTTGCTCTTCAGTGGTGGCGGGTGCGAATTATCAAAACCTCAGCATGGTGTGTATCAGCAGCAGAGTAATAATAACAGCTAAACACGGCGAGATAAACAACCCCTTCTTCTTCTTGGGGACAGGATGTTGCCAAAAGCAAGGGACGGTGCGAGGAGGCAGCAGCTAGCAAAAGGGGCCAAAGAGACAAAAGAAAACAAGAAAGAGAGGGGGAAACATGGACACCAAGACGAAAGGGGGTTAGCCCCGCTCTTATCCGCCCTTACTCATCCCATTCATACTCCCAAAAAGCAACACCACCAGTCAACAGAGGCAGCACCCGGGACTGCCGCGAGCGTGCCGACTCTCCCTCTATCGGCGAGACGAAAAGAGGCATATGAGAATAACGAAGGGGGTGAAAGGGGGTGTGCAGAACAGGACGAGACAGAATACAATCAACATTGAAAAGATATCTTGGAAAATCAGAGGCAGCCAGGCTGGACTACGTCCACTTGACATGGCAGAAAAGGTTAAGCACAAGACATAGAGAGGAAGAAGAAGGGCGGTAGCCAATGACAATGGCTGCTGCTGCCCTCTCGATACCCAGGGCATCTTGGACCATGCTCCCCTCATCCATTATCATCAAAATCGTCATGTGGGTGGATGGACCCAAAAAGCGGGGAGAGAATGCCGCGTTTTCAACAAAGCAAACTCCTGCTCATTCTTGATCAGCAAAAGAACATCCAAGCATACAAATGCGCTAATTGCCTTTTTTGCATGATTTTAATGGAGGACGGAATGAATGGATAGTCTCTTCGGTCTTGTCGCGGTCCTTTTTCATCTTGCATGTTGCTTGTTTGTTGATTTTTTGTGTTGAATTTATTCACATTCCTCGCCGCTGCCAGAGACATTAGTCCTCGGATAGCCTCCCATCGCCCATCCACCACCTTAGCGAGAACGACGACCTCGCTTTTTGGAATCGGACTCAGTGCGTTGCTTCTTGGGACTACTAGAGGAAGCTTTCTATATGAGAACCCATTACAACAGGGAAAAGTCAGTCAAACTTGGTCAATATACAAGACAACATGCAATGTCGAGGCAATAGTCACTAAAACAGGCCCAATAACAGACAAAGGCGCACCTTCATCGACATAGTTGTCGTATCCCATGTGCATGCTGTAGTCCGACTCGTCCATGGGGTAGCCAGACTGTTCAGGTCCATGAGATCCCTGCTAACAATGTGAAACAAGAACGATGCAAAATTTGTTCAGCATCAACCTATCGATTGGTGTGGATGCAACCAGCGCGGATAAAAAAAACTTAGTACCTTGTTGAAGAAAGCAGGCATGGATGAGATAGCTTGGTCCATGGCACTGAGCTTGGCTGTAATGGCAGTTGCCTTCTGGATTTGGGTGTTGATCATGTCCATGGTAATGGTGTTATTGTGCTGGTTGGGGTCGTCTAGGAACGAAACCATTCCTCCTGCGTGTTCATGGCTGATAGTTGCAAAGATGGCGCCCGACTCGATCATGCGAACGATAAAGCCTTCAACACGACGTGCACCATCTGGTTCAGATCCGAGACCGATCAGGGACGTAATGTTCTCAATCGAGAGTGTCAGATATGTGCGAGTGAGGTCCTGAATGTTGCGGCGATGCAGGGCCTCCATGCACTGCTTGGCCAGACCAAAGTTCTTGTCCCGGACGAAAGTAGGCTTGGCCTTCTCCAACTCGGTCTTGATGGCACTATTCGACTTTTTCTCGTAAGCAGTAGCGAAATCTGCGTATGCTACACACTGCACCTTGATGGTCCTTTGGACAGCGGAAGCAATGTACTTGGGCAATGGCAACACCTATAATAGCGCGGAGTGAGCATTTAATATATTTTGTTGGTTACACATCCAGCATGCATGCATGTATAGCTTTGTTACTTACTCTTCCGTATTGAAGCAAGCTCGACAGAACGTACTTCTTGTGAGCCTCGATCTGGATAGCACTGGCCACCTCAGCTGGCGCAGAGACAGCCTAGAACGGCATATATAGTTGTAGTTATTAGCAATGTGTTGGCATAGCATTGCCAGCAAGAAAGTAAACGTTAAGTAATTAGTTTGCTCACCAGCTTGAAAAACTCGACCGCACGCTCAAACTTCTTCAAGAAGGCGTAGATCATTCCTCCATAGTAATGGTACAGCAAAAAGTCCTTGTAGTTGATGTGTGTTTGCTAATATTGAGGAGTATGATAACATAGAGCGCCACTGTTTAGTAAAGGTCCTGATGAAGTGTGTCCTGACAATAGAAATTATGATTTTCCTGATTCCTGTTCCTCACCTGTGGCTTCACGTCGGAAATGTCGTTGTCGAGAATGGGAAGAATGTCCTTGACGGATTGAGCCAACAAGCATGTCTATTGAAACACGTTCAAAAAAAATGGAACAGCATGTTAGCGCCAGCGCACGACAAAATGGTACGACGTTGAGGCTTTCACCGATGTTATCGTAGTACCTTGGCCAGGAGAGGGTGGATCATTGTAAGTTGTCCTGGCGAAGCCTGAAGTCTCTGGATGAAGACGGCGAGTGGCTTGATGGCGATGATGGGCTAGAGAAATTAAACCGGTAAATAAAGTCAAAAATCCATGTCAGCGTCAGCGAAGTTGCAAGCCGTTGTTTCGATTAGCATAACGATGCCGATATCCTGTGCTCGATATCTACCTGGCGTGTCTCGGTCGCCACCTTCACCAGTGCCTCAGCAAAGCTCATTGCTATAAAGGTAAACCAAAAGGCAAGAGAAAGTTGCCCGTTAGTTTTCAGTCGAAGCTGACGCGTATGTTTCTATGAGTTGCCGCAGCGCCACCAGCAAAGTCATTGTGTCCCAACGACTCACCCTTGTGAGACGCCAAGCGGACCTGCTCGCCATCGCAAGTTGTCACAAACGCCCAAACTTTTGCGAGTAACGCGTGGTCGAATCCATGCGAAGCCTTGCACCGGTGCACCCTGAAGCATTAGAGCAAAAGTAGCAGTTAGAAACCATGTTGCCTTTGTTCATCCATTCCTACTCAACCACAGTCAAATGTGAGTTCCTTGTGGGAAAAAAAGTTTGACAGATTCCTCCGCTATGCTGACGGTGCTACAAGTAGACCATAATATCGTCGGTTATGCCTAAAGTCGCTTACAAAAAGTAGAGGTAGGCAAAGGAATGGGTTGCTGGGTCGAGAGCGTCGAGGGGGTCAGCTTGGCCATTGGATTGGGCGGCGAAGACAGGGTCGTTGAGGTTGTTGAGGTAAGGAGCGAGGGTCTTCGTGACCGCGGTGATGTCGGTCGCAGCCTGGATCTTGGAGATGATTTCGTCGAAGGAAGGGTCACTTGGCGCCATTGTGTGGAGTGTGTTGCTGTTGTGCGTTGAAGGTCGGGGAAGGAGGTAGGAAAAAAGAAAAGGAAAGAATGGGCAAAGGACGACAGGGGTCTGAATAACGGCGCGCGTTGTCCTTCCTCTGTGCCCCCTCTGGTCGAGGTCCGACATGGACTAGAAAGGCGTGACAGAAACAGTCACCTTTTTATTGCATGTCGTGGGGGTCGAAGCTGAGCGGTGCGCGTGTCATTTTTTTTTGTTCTTTGTTCTTTTGTATCTGCCATCCACATAAAATCCTGCTTGCCTTCCTCCCCATCCCTTTTTTCCCACTTTACTTTCACCTTCACCACCTTCTCCACCTCGTTCCTTCACACCAAACACTCACACTCACACAATTCACACCATGTCCGACTCGCATTCCTCCTCAGAAACCGTTGCCACCCTCAAGCTGCTACTTATCGGAAGCAGTGGCACTGGAAAGAGTTCTCTCCTCATGCGCTTTGTCGACGGCGTTTTCCTTGCTCCCGACGAGATCTCCGCCACCATCGGAGTCGATTTCAAGGTCAAGGTCATCGACGTCGAGGGCAAAAAGTACAAGCTGACCATCTGGGTACGTCGACACATCGTCTTTGCTCTCGAGCTCGTTCTTGTCATTCTTCACCTCTCCCTTTCCTTGGCTCTTCACTTCGCCCATATCCTCGGCTACCTATTATATTTCCAGTCAACAAGAACAGTCGCAATGAAACAACTTTTCTTCTCCTGGGCGCCACTGTCTTCAACTCGCGGTTCTGACTGTGGTAGTCGCCAGAAGATTATCGAGAGACTAACGTCAAATTGGTTGTCATTGTCGTGCAACTGATAGGATACTGCTGGACAGGAACGTTTCAGAACTCTCACTTCCTCCTACTATAGAGGTGCACAGGGCGTGATTCTTGGCAAGTACAACTTCTGATTCTTAGGTGATATCATCACGAGAATGTTAATTTCTGAGTGAGGACGACCCTATTAATCGCATTTTTTTATTTTCCCCATGGTCTTTGACAGTGTACGATGTCAGCAACAGAGATTCGTTCAACGATCTTCAGACCTGGTTCAACGAGCTCGACACATATTGTTCCAGCAAGGAAGTCGTTCGCATGATTGTTGGAAACAAAGTTGACAAGGTACGGGTGGAGGCGAACATGATAATGAAGGATTATAACATGACTTCTTTGGTTTGATATGACGTTGGAATCTGTAAGACTGACCACATGAAAATCTTTTTTTGCTTTTGTACACACACATCACTTTATTGCAACGTGGTAAATTTACCATTGGATGGCCGTATCGGCAAACAGGAGTCCAGCAGAGAAGTCAGCCGGCAGGAGGGGCAAGAGTTTGCTCGCAAGTTGCAGACTCTTTTTGTCGAGTGCAGTGCAAAGACCAAGCTCGGAGTTCAACAGGCGTTTGACGAATTGGTGCAGCAGATCATCGACACCCCCAGCCTGTGGCAAAAGCAGGCACCCGCCAATGTCCGTCTCCAGCCAAACACTGAAACCCAAGAGTACTCTGGTTGTGCCTGCTAAACTCATCTCGTGGCACAGGCCAACAACTTATCACGTCAATAAACATTACCTTTTTCTATGATGCTGTTTCAACTAAGTCAGTGCGTGCAAAGTTAGTAGGCGGAAATGGGTTTGGGCGTTTGGTTGGTTGGTGGCGGTGCGTGTCAGCCGTAGACTCTGTGACGCTTTGGGACAACTGTCCGCTTCACGTAAAAGGAAACGGTATGTGTGTCTGCGAGTGTCCGCGTGTGGACCTCCTTTTCAGACAGCAAAGAAGCAATTATCATGCCTGCGTGCCTACCTGTGCAAGGTGGATAAAAAGGATGCGGCCGCCAGTTGTGTCGCTTTCAAGTGCTCTGAAAGGTCACAGAGCAGCGCATGGAAGGCATATTGAGCCTGTATTAAGCCTGTGGACTTCATCCGCTGCTGGATATTTCCATCCATACTCGCATGGACGTCTGTCGACTTCATTCCTGTCAAGGGTAGCAACAGCAAGAGTAAGGACGGTATGAGATGGCCGTAAAGCGACACTAGAGATATGTAGAGAGAAAGAGAGAGAGAGATAGAGAGAGTCTGTGCTCCCAGGCGACACCATTCTACATGGCTCGTCTGTGAGGATCTGTGCTGAAAAGTGAATGGATAGAGATAGGACCATAGGGAACCACTTGGGTGCAGCAAATGCGACTGTGGATTATTCCAAAGTAGTATTTAAGGACGGCTGCGACGTGGGTAGGAATTTCATTATCTTTTCTCATCTCTCCCCTACTCACCCACACACACACACACAAAGTACGTTCTGCCCTCATCATCATCGTCGTCGTTCGTTCTCCTGCCTATTGTTGTTTTTGTGTCGTGGCACCTCTTCGTCTTTCTCCTGGTCTCTCTACCCTTCACTTCTCCACACACACATGCACACGCCTTGCAGTCATCTTGTATTCTCTTCACACGCCCGCCATCACCGTGTCACGGTTACTGGACTTCTGGCTATCTTTTTGGGATTTGTCGACTTAGGTTGAACTGATGCGCGGCCTTCCTTGGGTGTTTAGCTTTGTCTGTTCTCTCTCCTCTCTCGCCTTCCATCATCTCCATTCTGTTAACAACGCTTTGTCGTTCTGTCGCTCCCCCTCTCAGGGCCATTCGTTCCAGTCCTCTCTCTCTCACACACACTCTGCCTCCTTTTTTGACTCTTTCCCCCTCCTCTACGACTGTTGGACGCGTGTGCTAGTTGCATTTCTCACGGTCGATAAGGACGCGTTTGAAAGCCTTTGTGATCAGAATACAACCAACTAACCATCTTTTTACTGTCTTTTTTCTTTTCGCCTTCTGTTTGCTTCCGTTGTATCGCCTCGTTATCAGAATGGTAAGTTTCGGTGTCGAGAAGCAGCACTTTTTTTCAACCTCAGATGATAATACATTACAATATGAGCACCTCTTTTTTTTAATTCTGCTCCTGCCTGCAGGAACTAGAAATAGCTTTTCTAACACAATCTCTCACTTTTTTTATCATTGGTGCTCATTCTCACTCTCTCTCACTTTCACTTACACTTACACTTTATAGGAAGACGAAGTTGCTGCCCTTGTTATTGATAACGGTTCCGGTATGTGCAAGGCCGGTTTCGCCGGCGATGATGCTCCCCGCGCCGTTTTCCCCTCGGTAAGTCCAACAGCAGCAGCACTCAAAAGGAAAAAAAAAAGTTGTGACGTGAGAAATGTTCGTGGACGAAAGTTACAAGTTGACCCCTGAAGCCCAAAAGAAAAGTGAAAAAGAATGTTGGCTTCCACTCGACTCGTCGACGTGCAAGAGTTCTCACCAGGGAAAACACCACTCGATGATAACAAAACAGACCCGACTCACGTTATTCTTGATATTTCTTTGTATGGATTCATTAGATCGTTGGTCGCCCTCGTCACCAGGGTGTCATGGTCGGTATGGGTCAGAAGGACTCCTATGTCGGTGATGAGGCTCAGTCCAAGCGTGGTATTCTCACTTTGAAATACCCCATCGAGCACGGTATTGTCACCAACTGGGACGACATGGAGAAGATCTGGCATCACACCTTCTACAACGAGCTCCGCGTTGCTCCCGAGGAGCACCCCGTCCTCTTGACCGAGGCTCCCCTCAACCCCAAGAACAACCGCGAAAAGATGACCCAGATCATGTTCGAGACCTTCAACGCCCCCGCCTTCTACGTCTCCATCCAGGCCGTCCTCTCCCTCTATGCTTCCGGTCGTACCACCGGTATTGTCCTCGACTCTGGTGATGGTGTCAGTCACACCGTCCCCATCTACGAGGGTTACGCTCTTCCTCACGCCATTCTCCGTCTCGATCTCGCTGGCCGTGACTTGACCGACTACCTCATGAAGATCCTCATGGAGCGTGGTTACTCCTTCTCTACCTCTGCCGAGCGTGAAATCGTTCGTGACATCAAGGAGAAGCTCTGCTATGTTGCTCTCGACTTTGAGCAGGAGATGCAGACTGCTGCCTCTTCCTCTGCCCTCGAGAAGTCGTACGAGCTTCCCGACGGTCAGGTCATCACCATTGGTAACGAGCGTTTCCGTGCCCCTGAGGCCCTCTTCCAGCCCTCGCTCTTGGGTCTCGAAGGTGTCGGTATTCACGAGACTACCTACAACTCTATCATGAAGGGAGATGTCGATATCCGTCGTGACTTGTACGGAAACATTGTCATGTCTGGCGGTACCACCATGTACCCCGGTATTGCCGACCGCATGCAGAAGGAGATCACCACCTTGGCCCCCAGCTCGATGAAGGTCAAGATTGTTGCTCCCCCAGAGCGCAAGTACTCTGTCTGGATCGGAGGATCCATCTTGGCTTCCCTCTCTACCTTCCAGCAGATGTGGATCTCCAAGATGGAGTACGACGAGTCTGGTCCCTCCATCGTCCACCGCAAGTGCTTCTAAGTATCTGGCGGCCAGGATTAGCACCTTTTTGTCGAATAGCGATTCAACGTCAATACCTTTTTTCTTTTTTCTTCACAAGAATAAACCTTGTCCTACAATTTGCCCTGCTCGATTGCTCCTCTCTTTTCTTTGAATAAGTGTCCATCCATATCATCCTCACCGTGTCACTCCTTATGAACTATGGATTCTATGGTTTACTCTTGTGAACTTTCGTCAACTGTAACACTTGCGATCATTTAGCTTTCCGTGACTGGTTCATGGCAGGTCTTGGAGATCTGGAAGGGGAGTCCCATTCCAGCCTTGAGCGAGTGTTTGTCTCCCTTCGCTACTCCTCTTGTGCCATTTCATCACTCTATTGTCTTGATTTGACTCCATACACACCCTCACGCTCACAGACACCGTCCTTTCCTCCGCGTTACTTTCCCTCTACTTCCCCCAGGACTAATCGGAAAAGAAAAACAACAACAAACAACATCCACTCGTGAACAGGACTGGTGAGTGGAGTGTAGAAATGCACAAATTTTTGTTTGTTTCGCGCTTTTGGCATTGCTATTCTATTTTTTGTTCCTTACCTTCTTCTGAGCTCATCTCCCTTGGGTCAACAACGGCTGCCATCACACACACCACTCCGACATTACCACTTTCTCGATCTACCAGGACTGGGAAACGAGACCAGACTACATCCTCACCGGTCGACACACACAGATTCATCCGTTTAGCAGACGAATTCAATTCAGTCCTGAACGACTGCAACCAGCAGGACGCGATCAGTTTCGTCTTTATTTTACTACTCCAAAACGCCGATAATACGCAGCGCCCTCCCCTCTGTTCTTGATCTATGGATTCAGCAGACTCAGCCACAGGGACAAGGAGCTCACGTTCCAGACGCCAGGCACCCGCACCGACTTCACCCCCCTCCATCCTCCGTGCCTCTCTTTCGAGACAACCTTCCAAGAGTGTTACTGATAACAAGGCTGATCAGGATATAGAAATGACCCCCGCCTCGCCACCCCGGCCAAGGAGGGGCAACACCCGCGGGTCGAGTGTCTCGTCTGCCTCCACAGCCAAAGAAGAATCGAACACGAGGAGCAAACGGACCAACAACACCTCGACTCGACAGACTGGTGCCAGGGCTGCCACGGAGGAAAGAGACGAGAATGACCAGGACGATGATCAAGTCTTGGATAGTCCTGGGCGGCCTACGCGTTCAAGGAGAGGGACCACAACGGCAGCATCCCACAACGCCACCGTAGTCGCAGAGCCTGAGGTGGCCATCGAAGATGAAGAACTCTCTGTCGACAAGGACGACGCTGATGTGGTAGAGGAGGTCGAGGAAGTCGAAGGAGATGGAGAGGAGATTGAAGGCGAGATCGAGGAAGCAGGAGAAGCCAAGATCACTAAGGATGGAGAACTTCTCGGAGGTAAGATTATTTTATTTTATTTGGCCGATCAACTGCGAATACTTTGTTGCAGGGCTGTCAGTGTCACAGAAACATGCGCAACGAATACACCCGGTCTAAAAGAAAGTTTTCGATTTCCTTCTAGGGCGTGAATACAAGTGCAGGAACTTCAAACTTCCAACAAGAGGCGACCGGATCTACATGATGTCCATGGATGCAGCGCGAGTTCTTGGCTTCAGGGACAGCTACCTCTTCTTCCTAAAGAACCCCCAATTGGTGCGCGTTAACACAACAGTAGAGGAGAGGACATGGATGATTGAAAAGGGCATGCTGATGGCCAACTTCAAGTCAAAGCTCATCGCTGTCGTGACCGCTCGATCGCTTTTCAAGTCATTCGGGTACAAGATCATCAAAAAGGGCAGGAGTCGTGTGGACGACTACTATGAATCGCGTGCGACAGACGATGGTATGGCGGATGACTCTGAGGACGATACCGCATCGAAGGCAGAAGAGGATGGATCAACAGGTGCTAACGGGAACGGACCCAACTCAGAGGACACCCATGGTCATGCAGGAGGAAAGAGAAAACACACGTTGCTGCAACAGGAGGAATCGGCTCGCCAAGTAACGGACCTGAACTGGCTGTATGAGAGCGCAATGGCTGTCCGGACACTGAACGGACAGTTGAAGGAGTTGCGGAAAGAGAACCCAAAGTTCCTGGACCCTCATACCAACATCGAGCAGATTCCTTTGGCAACGCAGCCTGAGCGATGCAATGTCGCCGTGGCACCAAAACCAAAGAGTGAGGAGCAGGATGCGAGCTCGATAACTTTCCCACTGCCGACGGTTTTGTCCATACCTCGATCCATTGGCCCTTTGGTGGATGCTGTCGTCAAAGTCGAGATTAAAGGAGCAACACCTGCACCACCTCTCATCGACGATCCTGCTGTTTGGGCAGTCATCCCAGAGGACATCCGCAGAGCGTTAGAGGTAGCAGAGTCAGCAAAGTCTAAGGAGAACGAAGGCGACGAGGATCTCACAAAATTTCCTTTGTCGCTATTGGAAGGGCAATATCAGGCAGCCTTTCCTGTGTACGTAGCAAGGCGGTCGTTTGATTATTATTTTTTCGGTGAGCATTTATCGAAAAAAACCATTGTACTTTATGCTAACCAGTGTCGGTTGGTTTCTACATTAGTCACCAAGCCCGCTTCCAGCAGCCGTATAGAGTGGTATTGCCAGCAGGCATGTCTGGCCATGCGCAATACCTTCACCACCTTAACATTATGCAATCAGGAGGATTGACAGGACCGTTAATGGAACAGGCAACATTACCAGGAGCAACTTCAGCACATGATATTAGACTCATCCAGTGGCAACAACAGCAGCAGCAACAAGCGCAACAGCAACAGCAACAGCAGCAACTTCAGCAGCAGCAACAAAAGGCACTTCAACAGGCGAAGCTTCAGCAGCAACAGCAAGAACTTCAGGCGGCTACCAAGAAGGCGGATTCGCCAGCTGTATGTCACTCTATTTTGATATGTATGCACCTAATACCTTTTCTTGGAGGAGAGAGACTAACTAAACACGATTTTCCATGGTATCTACAAACATAGGCCCAGTCGACTAGCGTCATGTGTGGAGCGCCGCTGAAAACTGGATTGGGATACTGTCAGCGGTTGGTCAGTACACAAGGCGAACACTGCCCGAACCACCGCGGAACCAACTCGAGTCTGCCAGGAACGCCATCCATCAACGGAAAACCATCTGTAAGAATTTTCTCAATGTCACCAAAAAGAATTGAAGGGATAATGAAAACGTCCATCGCCTGACACATTATATATCATGATAATATTTAGGCAAGCACTTGTGTGGAGTGCAACTCGACTTCTGCACCCACAGACGCCGTCCCTAAGGACAGACCACTTCCCTGTACCTTGACGCATCTCAACAAGTGCAAAACATGCACCAAGAACTATCACCCGCTCTGTTTGCAGTTGGATACGCCCAGGATCGTTTCAGCTATCGGATCATATCCTTGGCAATGCAACGACTGCAAGCTGTGTGTAGTGTGTCAGGAGGCGGGAGATGAGGCGTCGTTGTTGATCTGTGATGATTGCGATCGTGGCTGGCATATGAGTTGTTGTGACCCTGCTATCGAGGAAGTTCCTCAAGGTAATGTTTACCATATATCTGCCGCGTCAAGCATCCAACTCTGACTAAGTGTGTCTTTGAACCTTTCTTCATCTTCTCACATTGACATGTTCATATACTCACTATCATATAGACGATTGGGTGTGCTCATTCTGTGCGCAGTGTCACTCTTGCCGAGGAACCGAAGATCCGTCTACTCGATACAAGCATGCAGTCTCCAACCCCGGTGGATCCAACAAGTACCAAACCTACCTCACCACGTTTTGGTAAGTCTCCAGGATGATTTTTTTTTTTGGCGCAGAGTCCCCAATTCAATGAGGCTGAGCTAACGCCACCAAAAAAAATTGTTTTACGCATCTCTACAAATAGCTCTGCTTGTCACGAGAACTTTTCTCAGGGCCGGTTCTGTCCAGTGTGTGTGCGAACATACAAGGGCGATGGTGGCGAGGACGATCAATCGGATGTGGCGGGAGAGGATGACAACAACATGGTGTGCTGTGATGAATGTAATCGATGGGTGCATATGGACTGCGATGACCAACTGACAGAGGAGAAAGTTGAGGAAATGGGCACAGACGAGAGCCTCAAGTACACATGTCCTCCGTGTGCAGGCAAGGTGGCGACTTTGAAACCGGGTGCTGGGCCTCCATCAGCGATTGCTAATGTGTCTTCAGAGATAGCAATGCTTAGTCTCCGGGGTCAAGCTCCTCCACTGGCCAAGGCATGTGGGACACTTGGGGGCAAGATACTTGTTCGTGGATTGGTCGAGCACCAGGGTAAGAAGATTGGAGCGCCCGAAATTGTGGCCGCGGGTGTTGAATACGACCGGCGGTTGGTGATGGAGATTGCGGCCCTGAAAGAAAAGGCGGAGTCCAAGCAGCGGGGGAAGCAAGGTGGTGCTGGTAGTCGTGGAGGTCGTGGTGGTCGTGGTGGCCGTGGTGGCCGTGGTGGTCGTAGTGGTCGTGGTCGTGGCCGTCCATCGACCAAGAGTAGAAGTCCTGTCCGCCGGGCGTCAATTGCATCCTCGACGTCTTCATCCCTTTCATCTCTGTCGGGATCTGTTGATAGTTAGAAACCTTGTTTTCCCTCACCCTTGTTTGTTTTCCTTTCGTTTTTTTTTTCCCTGTGTGATTCTGCTTTTTTTCTTTTTTTCTTTTTTTTTTTTTCTTTTGCGGTGGAGACCTAATTGTTAGTAGAGTGAATAAATACCTCCTAGCAAAAAAAAAGAATACGGTTCGCAAAGAGAAAGGAAAGAAAGGAGAGTATGAAGCATGATGTGCAATGCACACACACATCCAAGCAGACCATACCGAAGAAAGAGAAAGCAAGGGTGGCCAATCAAGAGCCAAAAGGGAATGACGGGAGTAAGTGTAGGAGCAGGAGGTTAAACCTCAGTAAAGTAAGGGATGAGGGTGAGAAAAGAAAGGGCGAGAGGGCTAGTCGGTCGGAGGTACGACAGAGGCGCGGAGGGATCTGAACTCTGAAGAGCTTAAGGGAGATATGGCCATGGTTGTGATTGTTTTGCCTTGGGATGGGGATGGTTCGAGGTCGAAGGGACAATGGACAATTTACTTTGTACGCCTGAGACAAAAGGGAGTTGAGTTTCGCAAGGTTTTGCACAAGAGCTTCCCTCCCTCCGAAGATGCTCCCCCGATTCATCGACAAGGGCTGTTTTCATTATTAGCAGTTTATTATTAGCCGAAGGAGCGAAAAGGGAATGAGGAGAGGAAGAATGGGGTGGCGATGACAGGGGCAACCAAGAAAGAAAAAGAGGACCTGACAGTTTGGAATATCGGAAATGGTTTCATTTTGTGTGTTTTTGCGTTGTTCACAGGCTCATGATGTTGTTGATGATGGGTGGAGTGGCGGAAGGAGATGAGTAGGATAATACGTACGAAGAGTGCAAATGACGAAGGAATAAGCTAATCCTACTCTGAGAGAGACAGCAGACATGGAGAACATTCATATCTAAAGGGGGAGTGACGGTGGTCATGGTATCTTGCGTGAGAAATGCATATGGCATGTGTATTGTGGGCCTTTGTGCACATAGCATTTGTATGGTCTCTTTTTTGTCTCTCCTTTCATTTGAATTCATTCTGCTTTTCCCTCTCCTCCTCCTTCTGCATTCCGACATTGACATACACATTCTCTTGTTCATTCATTCCGGGCATCCCACTTTCGAACTCTTCTACGCACAGTCCAGCCTTCACTCCCTTCTCTCAGGCACAAAGGAACACAAACACAAGAGCACAGACACCCTCCAGGCATCCAGGCACAGATTAACTCTAAAAAAAACCTTCATTCAACAACATATCACTCGCTCGAAACCAGAAGCCCAAAAAAACGATGGCGTCTCTATTATCTTCCAGTAGTGCCCAGAACCCTCCACGGCAGACCTTCTTGTCCAAAAAGCCACCTCTGCTGCCTCGACAGTCGACAGTCGATGTCCTCTCGTTCACTCACATCATTGCCGATCGACTTTTGCCTGGCCAGAACGTCTGGGATTATTTCTCACCTCCACCTGCAGCAACCGCCTCAGCCGCCTCACCTTCTGATGACACAACCAGAAGCAACAGCAACAGTGCCACAGTTAATGCAGTTTTACCGCCATTATCACCGACGTCTCCTGGTCCACAAGGAGTTTCGATGGGAGCCATGATGATGTTGTCGCCGACTTCGCCCATGTCCCCAACGTTTGGACAGTTTTCAGAAGGAAGCTCAGGAGGAGGTGGAGGTGGAGGTTGTGAGGGTAATGGGAAGACAGCAGCAGCAACTGAGAGTTTGAGCAGCAAGCGTAACAGTATCGCCTCATCCATCATGCAAGAAAGGACAGACCACAACAGGACAAACACCCTTGAAAGTAACAATGACAGCAACAACGCCAACAGCAACCACAAGGCAGATTCCAGTTTACCCCCACTCTCCAACAACATCGCATCATCGTCCGCTTTACTCTCGTCGCTTTCAGCAACTACAGTGGCAACTGCGGATCTTCCACCAGCACCACCACTAGCCAAGCCAATGACAACAACCTGGTCTACCGCTGCTGCTACTACTACGACATCCTCGGCTACTGCATCAACCAGCGGCGGCAACAGCAATGGCAGCAGCGGGAGCAACGACAGAGCAGACATGGAGACCCCCAAGCTTCACAAGCGGCGCTCGCTTGCCCAGTCGCTCAAGGATGGGATGTTTAGCTTAACCCAACTGCTCTCCCCTTCATCCTCAGTAACCGCCTCTAGACTACCGAGTCCTATGACCAACTCTGCATCAACAACGAATTCTGCTGCTGCAGCATCGGTAGCAACAACAGGACCCCCTCATTACAACATTTTAGTCCTGGGATCGGATTCGGCCCCCTTGGCCAGCACACTCTACAAGATGTCGGGCCTTTTGCCGAGTGCGACCAAGATCCGACATTACCAGGAGATCTCAGGGTTCTTTGTGGCCTACTTCCGGTCAAATGGGTCTTTTTCTTGCTCGCCTACCATGACCCCGACCACACCTACTGCCCCTACGATGCCTGTGACCGCTCGGTCTTCTACTTCTTCTGCGTCTTCGTCTGTTGTTGGGCCAGCGGCTGCGTCGGCTCTGATTGAGAGGGAGGGGATGGATGAGGTCAAAAGTCGAAGGGAATCGATCCAAGATTCTGAGAATGATGATCTGGCAGAGACGAGGACACTTTCTCAACCAGCCGAAGAAGGTGGTGATGGGGTTGAAGTTGAGGAAGATCCGATTATGAAACTGATATCTGCACGATCGAGTGAGGAGACGTTGCTTCAACTCAAGATCTCGTCTGGCGGTCCCGGCGGTAAAGGCGATGATTTGAGTAGCAGTGGTGGCAGCACTGCTCACAGCGTGGCCGACATGGACCGCGAAGAGATCTTGCTCAGTGATGACGAAGGATCCACCGCCGCTGAAAGAGATGAATCTGAACTCGAAACCGAAACTGAGACCGAGGAACAAATCAACGCATCCGCAAACGCCAGTCTCTCCGTCCACGCCTTCTCCCTCGACACCACCTGGCCCGTGCCCCGAACCCTGGCCCAAACCTTTTGGTTCCCTCACGCACACGGGATAATCTACATTGTCGACGCGACCCGCAAGAATGACCCTCGAGGAATCGACCATCTCCTCAATGCGCGGCAATTCTTGGCGTCTTTGATTGCGGACCCGCATTTCAAGAGGAAGGACATCCCGGTGGTAGTGTTTGCCAACAAGGCTGGTTTGGACCCCGAGACGTGTTATCGAGTGGACGAGATTGCAGGGATTTTGGGATGCGAGGATTGGGACCTTGGTGCTGGAAGTGATAGTGAGGGGAAGGGTAGGAGGAGTAGTGGAGAAGTGGCGTCATCATCAGCAAGAACTGGAAAAGGATTGGTGGAAGGCGGGCTGGTGGAGGTGGATGCGTCAGGAGCTGTCAAAACTCGGCCCTGGTGTGTCAAGAGCACGAGATGTGACGGTGCAGGCGATGGGTTGCGAGAATCGGTCGAGTGGCTTAAGAGTCGTATGGGCGAGACCTGGAGGCCATAAAACCATATCAACAATAATGTCCGCTTGTAATTATTCCCTCCCAAACCGCCTCTATTCAAAGTAAAGTGTTTCTTTTTACTGTTTTACAAAGCGATGGGTATACTTTAACTGGGAGAAAGGTGAGGATGTGGATGGGGTATTGAATCTTTGACACTATTGGCAGAGGCAGAGATCGATCTTATAGTTTTGGTGGAGCGTGCTGGATCAGGGGTGAGCTTAGGTTTCTTGACTTCCTTCTCTTCCATTTCTCTGATATCGACATCAAGCCTGTGTTTCGGTGTCGGCTCGGCGATCAAGCCCTCTTTCTGGATCGCAGTCGTCCTGTCCTGCTCGGGCCTTTTGATATCGCTACTCTGTTTTCGATTTTTGAATTTCCTTGCGTCCGTCGAGGATCCGTCCTGTTTAGGTTTCTCGGTCATCTTCGGATTCTCCTCGGACGACTCCCTTGGCCTCTTTGTCTTTTCTTCCACGATGACGACTTTTGGCTCCTTGGCATTATCCTCTTCCTGTATTTTTTCCTGCTGGACGGTTGCTGATACCATGTTACAAAGGAATGGATGGCCGATGACCTCTTCTGCAGACAGCCGGCGATCTTCCTTGTCCGTCAAATTGACGATGAGCTCTTTGCCTATGGTGATGGCGTCAAGACTATGTTACATTGCCACAAGTCCAAAAAAAAGTTAGTTCAACTGAGGGCCGGTATGTCGATCAAATTCAAGTACAACCAAAGACATGCGCAAATAAAACAGTATATGTTAATTTACTTGGTACACGGTAGCATGTTGTACATCAATTGTCGGAGTATCACGCCAAGGGAATACAAATCCACGGCTGATCCATACTCTTTCTTTCCATTGTTTTCCAACATTTCTGGCGCCTGGTATGCCCGGGTACCACAGGGTCCACTATCATCCATGGGCACAAGAAAAAAAAAAAAAAAAAAAAAAAAAACATATATTAGTCTTTTCTAGCCTCCAAAAAAAACCCAAAAGCACAAAATAAACAAAACGCACCACGCTTTTTTTTTCTTACCGGAGTTTTCGCCCATCCTTCATGTATCCAACCAATCCAAAATCCGCCAACTTGACGATCATTTGGGAAGCCGTGCCCGAAACCAGGACGTTTTCGGGTTTGATGTCTCTATGCACAAAGTTTTTTCCATGCAAAAAATTCAATCCACTTGAGGCACCGAGGATGACTTTTTGAACTTCTAAGAGAGTTGCGCGCTTTCTGATGATATCTAGGACGTTCTATGTTGTTGTTGGGGGGTTTTTTTGAAACCGTTTTCAAAATGAGAAGAAAAAAATTCATTAGTCGAGTGTGGTACTTTTTGGCGCGTTCTTGCCCCTTGAGCTATCTTCTGCGTGAAAGCTCTGAGAGAGAAAGTGACAAAGTACCTTTGGCATCCATTCGAGACGCAGGCAGAGGTGATCGCCCTGTCGAAATTCTCCGAAAAACTGAACCACATTGGGGTGAGCAGACCGTTTCAAAAACCTTGCCTCGGAACGAATCTAATTATCATTCACACATCCCACCCCCCGCAAAAAAAAAAAAAAAAAAAAAAAAAAAAAAAAGAGTGTAAGAGACACGACATTTTTCTATTGAGACTGCGTGAGATTGTCTAATAGAAAAAGCCAAAAAAAAAAAAAAAAAAAAAAAGATGTCGTGCTCCGTACCTGGCGATCTCTTTCAATGCTAACACCAGCTTTCTGTGCTTTGATCGCAAAAACTCCAGCCCCATCCATAACCTTGAATACTGATCCAAAACCTCCCTAGCAAAGAAAAATGATTCAGTTAGTTAAATGTTTACATTCTTGCGGGAAAATACTAGGCGCGGTAGGACAGAACCAATTGCTTGATTTGTTGAACCTACAGCCGACACAAAGCTTTCAACGACAAATTTCAGACCGTCGTGGATATATGTCTACAAATCACAATACAATAAACATAACGCGTTAGAGTGAGTTGATGATTTATCCTGATGTGAACATAACATATTCCCTTACTATTCTTTGAAAAAGAAAAAAGTCTGTGAGTTTTGGAATCTTACTGTGTACGGGTGTATATACCCTGGGTACTTTTTAAACTTGTCGGCGATCGTGACATTCGAGAGGGTCGTTAGATCCTGGGGGTGACTTTGGTTCGGCGAAGAAACAGACGCCGATGGAACTTTAGGTTGGTCCTCTCGCTGCTGGTGCTGTTGCGGGTGAGACAAGTTTTTGGCACTGCCGATTTCGTGGTTTGGTGCTTTCGTCGGGGAGACCATGACTTGAGCGGATATTGCCGTTCTATTTTTTGGTTGGGGTTGGTCCAATTGGTGTTGGTGCTGGTGCTGCCGTTGTTCAATTGAGCAGTTCTCTGAATCCTGAACGATATCGACCGGGATTATAATTTCCGTAGGCGTCGTTTTTTTACCCATTGGTGGAGCTTGTTCCTCCTGCTGTTGGTTTGGCTGTTGTTGTTCCGATACTGTGTCCGCTCCTCCACCTTGGTCGATATTTGAAGGGACTATGAGTTCCGTTGGCGTTGTCGACACATTTGTTTTGGGTTGAGAATGAGTCGCCATTGTTAAAAGTGCCCACTCAGCAGGAATCGAAGTGAATGAGGACGATGGGAAAACAGCACAAAGAAACTCAAAAGAAAAAGTGCTGCGACTTTCAAAGGGTGGCAAAGCGCTCTTTCTTTTTCCTTTCTATGAAACGTCACATTCAGGGGCTATGAAGAGAATTAGTGTTCGCATTATTCGGGCGAAGTCTGGGAAACCCTCCGGGTCCCAGGGTTTTTTGAGTGGGGCTGCGGCGTTTGATTAGCTTTGGTAATGGTGCGAAAGGGAAAAGTGGTTGTGGATGTATCTTTTGCTGTCCGGATCATAATGGTTATTTAACACTCGAACCATTCGTGTCAGTCTCATCAAAGAGACTCACAGGTAGACTTGACCCATGGGCGGAATGATGGTTGTGGGCGCATCACGTACACCATATTGTACGTGAATATACCTTCTGACACTTTCTGCCCCCTCACACATCATTTCATCCACACCATCCATCATCATCGTCCGGCCCTCGTCAAGACAATCAAGCCCCACTGGTCGCCTTTGCCGTCGCCTCCACGTCGCTTCCACGTCGTTCTACTCCTGACGAATCGTCTCGTCGCAATATACACATAACGGCGACAAGCCAAGTCCCACTACATCCGATCCACACCACTCGTTAAACGAAACTGCACCTGTCCTGATGATGCCCACTACAGTGTGCATTGCTCCAACAAGCAAAGCAACAGAAACTAAAAGGAAAGTCGACCTAAGCTTATCGTTGTCTTTACTCTTTTCAAGGAAAAGTGCGTCAAACAAGAAAGTGGGGCCCCCAAACGAGAGGAAGAAGAAGAGAACTGAGAAAAAGGTGCTAGTATGGGGTGTAGGGGAGGGGGCGCTCAATACACAAATCAACCACAGGCTTTTGGTTTCATTCCGTGAGGATCCAGTACTAATCGTTCCGGAAGCCCCCCCACCTAGCCCTTCATGGACTTTGGTGGGGGTGTGTGTACGGTCGACCTTGATGTTCTCCCGTCCTTACCTCTTGCACTTTCTTCGGAAGTCAAAACCGGTGTCGGTATTCTTCATTCCTGGATTTCTGGCGGCGGCTGATGCCTTGGTTTCTTTTTATTTGTGTTTTGCCCCTTCCTTCCCTTTTATTGGTGTCTTTTCTTGTTTTTCTTTGAACAGTTTTTCCTTTTGCTCGCTCTGGAGATGGCGATAAACGAAAGGTTGATGCTAAGGAGGAGGTGATGTTCTTTTAAGGGAATGTTATCTAACCCTTCTATTTTTTTTATTTGTTGTGGTAGAGAACATGGTATCCTTTTTTGCGAGTGTTGGACGGAGAGACTTTGTGTAGCATAACTAGAACAAACTAGATGAATAAATTGTTTTCGATATTGGTCATTGGAGTTGTTGGTTTGGCATTGGCAAACTCGCTGCATTCTCTTGTCGCAGGTAGCATGCGAGCGGAGCAAATTGTTCTTTCTGAAGAGTGTTGCGTGTTATATTAGGGTAATAGGTAAAGTAGTATGCTTGTTGGAGTTGGAAAAGAACCTATGTAGATAATGATAGAGAGGAGAGATGTTTCCGCCAAATGCTAGGGGAAGGGTAGGTATTGTATATGAATGAAATTAAATGCAAGATAAATGAGAGAGGATTTTCAGACACCAGCCAAGGTGCGGAGATGGATTGCGTTCTGGGCACCGGTCTCGGCGACCATGCTTGAGAAGACAGAGTCTGGGTTGCTTAGCAAGTTGTAGGGGGTATCGTATTCAGCGACCTGTCCCTGGTGCATCACCAAGATTCTATTTTTTTTGTCATATTGGTAAATAAAGAACACGCATGGAATTGGTTAGTGAACTTGTCCATTTCTTTGTCACCAATATTGACACCGAGGGAAAATAAAAAAGTGGATGGGAAGGACTTACCGGTCGTAGTCAATGATGGTGTTGATGCGATGGGCAACTGTGACGACGGTAGAATGCGCAAAGTCGATGCGGATAGCCTTCTGGATAAGAGCATCTGTGGCCATGTCGACACTTGCCGTAGCTTCGTCAAGGACGACGACGTTAGACTTGGCGAGGAGAGCGCGCGAGAGACAGACCAGCTGTCGCTGACCAACACTTAAATTCTCACCCTGGGCAGACACCATCGCGTCCAATCCACCTTCCTGCGACTGGACATATGCCTTCAAATCACTCGTCTCCAAGACTTGCCACAACTCTTGCTCGGTATGCTGAGAAAGTGGATCCAAGTTGTATCGGAAGGTCCCCTGGAACAGGACGGGGTCTTGAGGGATAATGGCAATCTTGGGTCGTAAGTCTCCAGTTCCTAAAGTAGTCGTGTCGATTCCATCAATAAGGATCTGGCCCGCATCAAGTTCGCTCAATAGGAACAAGGCCTGGATCAACGACGATTTGCCAGCTCCGGTTCTGCCGACGACGCCGACCTTGTGTCCAGCCTGGATATCAAACGAAATGTCGCGCAAGACACGAGGTAACTCGGGACGGTACCGCATCGAAACATTCTTGAAGGAGACGGCTCCCTGGCTAGGCCAGTCTGCTGGAGGCTTATTCTCGGGCCGTTCGACCGGCCGCTCCTGTTCCAGGTTGTTGACATAGTGAACCAAGCGCTCAGCAGAGTTCATGTTGTTCTCGAGGGTTGACAGACGCTGAACACCCCAGTTGAGATCTCCAGAGATACGGGACAAGTAGCTGAGAATGAGACCCGCGGAAGCAGGGTTAATACTGAACCGCGTAGCGGTGATGAGGACGACGACCGAGAAGGTGGTAAGAGCTCCCAAGATGTTAACGCGCAAGGAGAGCCATCTAGCTCCAAGCTGGTACATGTAGTAAGGTCGGTTGTTGAGGTCGATTCGATACTCGTTCTTGAGGATCGCCTTGGGGACGACGTTGTAGGCCTTCAAGGTTCCCAGACCGGTCAGTGACTCGGAAAAGTAGGCGTAAAGGTACGAGCGCATGTTGGAATCGAGACGTTTGACTTCACGAGATGTTACACGGTAGTAGATCGAGAGGCAGTAATAGAGGGAGATGATGGGTACAATCGCCAAAGTCATCCAGGGAAACACGACGATGATAAGGATAAAGGTACCCGCCAGCGTGACGACTGTGATCGTAAACTCGTACATGGTGCTCCACAGGACGTTATCAAGCGTATCCACATCCCTGCTGAATCTGTAAGGGATTAGACAATGACAAAGAAAGAGTGTTAATAATAGCTAAATATATACAAGGGCACCTTCTGGCTCTATAGCTGAAAGAAAAGTACCTGTTGATGATGCGACCCAAGGGAGTGGTGTCGAAGAAGGCAAGAGGAGAGTAGAGGACTCTCTCGAAAGCGGCGTCATGCATGACATTGGCTGTCTTGACGATCGTGTAGGACATCATGATGGCGGCGAAAAAGACAAAAACCAACTGAGAAAGAGCGAATCCAAGGTAGGCACCAATGTAATGAGACGTGGTGAACGCAAATCTGTCCTCACTCCACCAACTGACCCATTGAGTACCCCTACAAAACGTGAAGTAAAAAAAACACATATTGTTAGCCACTTGTTCTTTGTATGATATTACTTTATGCCCAACTCAACACGCCTAGTGAGGAACTTACATGACGTTGGCAAGTTGCTGGAGAGCAAAGAGACCAAATGTGATGGCCCAGAGGTGTGCTCCGGAAGCCTTGAGATACCCTCCGTAGACGTTGCCCTTGACGGCGCCTGATTCGCGTTCCTCCTCCGACATGAGCTTTTGCGCCGTCTCAGTCTTCTTCTCCAGCGACTTTCTCTCCACTGCATCCGCCTCCTTGTCGTAGATGTCTGCTTTGCCCTTCTCGCCGACGGACAGGACCTCGCCCTGGATCTCAGCCTTGTCGGACCGAATGTCATCAAAGTTGGCATCTGCTGCAGCCTCGTCCTCCTCGGCCTGGACACCACCGTACTGAGCCATCAAAGCACAGAACTCCCCCTCCTGGGAAATCAGGTCCTTGTACGCTCCCTCCTCTGCGATACGTCCGTTCTTCAAGCATATCACATAGTCGACATCGGGCAAGACATGGAGTTGGTGAGTGGCGATGATCCTTGTCCGTCCTTTGAGCTCTGTCAAAACACAGTCCTGCCAGAGACGCTTGCCGACATGAGCATCAACAGCCGAGAGTGGGTCGTCCATGATCACAGTACCAGCGTTGAAGTAAACACTGCGAGCCAAAGAAAGACGAGCCTTTTGACCACCCGACAGGTTCACGCCACGCTCTCCGATTTCGGTCTCGTCGCCAAAGGGGAACAACTTCAGATCGGCTTCCAAACTACAGGCCTTGACAACTCGATGGTAACGCTCCTCATCAAAGGGGGTGTCGAATAAAATGTTGTCACGAATGGTTGCGTTCTGGATCCAGGCTGTCTGCGATGCATAACTGATGTTGGTTCCCCGAACAACGTGACCATCCGTCAACGTCATGTTTCCGATCATGGCCTGCAACAGCGACGATTTGCCACTACCAACTGGACCGACAACTGCGACCAAGGCACCGCGTGGGATCCTGAGGTTAATCTTGTCGAGATACGCTGCCATCTCTGATTCCTCTTCATCCTCTCTTCCTTTAGTAGTCTTGGCTTGTCCACTTCCATCGCTCAGGTTGGACTGAGCAGGAACGAGAGTATCGATCGACTCTGTATCCGAGGGCAACTGATCCCATGCAAAACTAGCATTGTCCATACTGAGGGCGTACTCGTGCGAGGGCTCTGGAGGAGGGATAGGGCTGGAATCCTCGGCAAGCAAGAAGGCCTGGATACGCTTCAGAGCAATGTAGGCATCGACCGTGACCGTGTAAGCGGAGGGGAGGACCATAAGTGGGGTGCGGAGGACGGTGAAGTAAGCAAGAGCGGGGAAAATGATGGCAGCCTCGAGCTGATGTCCGGTTGCGCCATAGAGAATAAACGTCAGTGCCGAAGCCATCACAGGCAGAGACTATGTATGCATGAAAAAATAAATGTGATAAATAATGTTAGACACGGCAATAGGAAGCAGATTTTCGTATCAAAGATCCATGACTGAGATTACTTACGGCAGAAGTGGCAGCGATGGCTCCGCGGATGTAAAGTAGACGAGCAACGTTTGCAAGCTCGCCCTTGCGGATCTCCGAGAGCTTCTCGAGGAACCTAAGGAGGAAGATGGAACAAATATTGTTAACTAATGGTCGGTACAGCTAGATAAGCGCTTGGACTTGTGTCGGAAAATGGCCCTCATCGACTTACTGAGACTCCCAGCTGAAGAACTTGATAACCTTGATACCTTGAAGGATCTCGGAGGTAAGGCGGATACGTTTATCTGTGAACTGGGAAGCTCTCTTGCGGACAGGTCCTAGTCTCGACATGGCCCAGGCCTGGATAGGATTGGCGAGGATGAGAAGCGCAGCTCCGAGTAGAGCGGGGGGTCCCATTAGGTGGATCAGCAACCCGATGACGACGACGGTATAGATAGGGACAGAGACGACGAGCATCATGGAGAGCAGGGCGGTATCGATACGACTGGTGTCGGTTGACATCAGGTTGACGACGCTTCCGTCGGGATAGATGAGGTGGGAACGGGCAGAGAGGGTGGTTGCCTTGCGGTAGACCATGTTGATGAGGGCTGCGCGGAGATAGATGCCCATCTTGACGGAGCCCAAATTCCAACGTTGGTAGCAGATGTTTGTTGTGAGGGCGAGGGCGACCATTCCGACGGCGAGACCGTATCCGTGCCAGGCGGGTGGAGGGGAGGAGGTATTTGAGGCATTGACGAAGTTGATGATCTGTTGTAGAGTGGAGTGGTAAAAAAGAAAGAGTAGGGGTGATGCGAGTGAGTGTGGGTAAATTGCCACGCGATGACGTTTGTGACTGGTCAGTTAAACTCAACGAAAGAACCACCATGGGAAATTAAGCGCACAAAGGCAACAAAAAATAGCTCTAAGCCTAATAAAGTGCAGATGTGCTCCCTGAAGAAAAAGAACGCCCCGGAAGGAGGTGGTCTCGGCGCACACCATCAATGAAGAAACGAAGAGGGCGAATGTATGCATACACATACGCACTCTCACCGCCAATCAAATCGAGTAACCGAGTACATTCCGGAGGGTGTTACTGTACCTGTTGAAGGACAAGAGGATTACTGATCTGGCAAGCATCTGTTTGGGTTTTTTGTTCGCAAAGAAGCATGCCATTGCGGAACACAATTGAAGGAAGGTGAAGAGAGAAGGAGGAAGAGAAGAAAAGAGGGCATGAGTGGACGTGAACAAAAGGCAAGACATCGAGTCAATTTTTATGGTCATGTTCTGGATCTGAGCCAAAGAAAAGGGAGGACATCGTTCTATTTTTTTTCTTTGTCTTTGTCTTTGTCTTTGTGTGCATAATATTTGTTTTTGTTTTGTTTTTTTCATCTTCTAATCTGAGAGGTAGTTTTACCCGGATGGGCTTGACTTTTACACAATAATGACAAACCAAACACAAAACAGCAAACAAATAAAAGCATCCATTAGTTTACCTCCCAACTCCATGCCAATGATACAGGAATAATACCTCCTCCAAAAGGTAATCACAACAGCCCTCAATAGCGAAGGCTCCTTGCCCTTCCTATTCGCACGCTGCTTCTCGGCAATCCAGTTCTCCGTCAACGCATGGCCCAGAAAACCGGCCTTGTCACGGTCGAGCATCTCGTACAGATCGTCCTCCTCGATTCGCTTCTTGTAACCGCGCCAGAAGAACCCGTTGAGCCACCAGAGAGAGACCCTGCTGGGTAACCAGGCAGTGTTCTCGGGCGAGTATGGACCCTTTTTGAAGATCCGTTGAATCCCTCCGAACTCGTCATCTTCTTCTGTATCATCAACCTTCTTTGATAATGATCCCTCGTCCCCGTTCTTCTCTGGCGCTGCCTTCCCCAGACCTGGAATTGCAGGATCTGGTGAAGGGGTTGTCAAAGTAGAATTAGGGGAAGGAAGACTATCTACTTGGACTGTGGTACTTGTTTTTTCGTTCATGGGGCAAACAATGAGAATATGAAAAGCGTGAGTGAAAATGAGAAGCTAAAAAAAAATAGTTGGTTCTAAAGTAGTGTGGAAGGGGAGGGTGAATGAGTGAATTCAACAAGGGGATGATGGCGTAAAGTGCAGAGGAGGAGGGGAGAAAGGTAGGGGTAAAGAGAAGGAAGAAGGGGGGGAAACGACAGAGGAGGAGGGATTGAGCCCTCTTTTATTCTCTTCTGCCACTGTTTTCATTTGACACCCGAGGTGGATGTTTGCCTCTTTTGGCAGCTTGAGAGGGAGGAGTGAAAGGAAGGAGCTGCCTGTGAAAAAATAAAGTTGCCCTCTTATTACTCTTCCTTGTCTTCCTGTTTTCTATTCCACCCTTCTCAATGAAAGGCTGCATGGTCCAACAGCCAATTGCGATGGATTCTTGACATACATCCGCACTGATGGATGCCTCGTTTGGTGCTGTTAACAGTATCATTGCGCTCCCCCAAAAAGGTGTGTATTTTCCCGACTCTCTTATGTTGATTTTGAGGAAGAACTCTTATGGACTCTGACAGGCTGACTGGCTCGGACCCCAATCGTCAACCCCTGTCCTGTGCCTGACTCTGGACCTGGGTTGAGATCTGGTTGGTCCGGATAAACACGCCTGATGTCCGTAAACAGTAAAGAACAACAAACACAAACACAACAACACCACAACCACACACACATACAATAAGTTCTCTTGCGCCTAGCCTCCCCAATATCACACACAAAATAAGACGCCATGGATGGACCTTCTTGTGTACTTATAAAACACAAATAGACCTTGTTCGTCCACGTCTCTGATGAACAACAAGTGATGACCGCATTCATGTTGCACAACAGAACACTCGTTCTCTGCCCCTTGTCCAGATCACCCTTTTCCACAGGTTACCCTCTCTTTACCTTCGGTTGTCTATTTACCCTTGGCCTGTTCTCAACCCCTAGTGGATCGCAGTGTCATTTCAAAGACCCTGCGCAGCAACGCAGAGTTCTGCATATTGGATGTACACCACCGTTTGTTCTTTTTTTTTTGTTAGCCTCTCACCCACTCACTCTCGCAATCTCGCACTCTCTCCCCTCTCAGATCCGAAAACTGCGAGTGAAGGGCGAGGGTTCTGCTCACTGGCAACACGCTTATCAGTGCCGCGCGCGTTCATGGTTGATATGTGTTCTGTTCATCATGACTCACCCGCGCACGTCAAACGAGACTCAGACAGTCTGTCTCACAAATGGAATCGATCTAGGCAACTCTTGTCTCAATTAAAGTAATAAAGAATGGCTGTGGCTGCAAATGCCTGTCTACCTGCTTCGCTCGCACCAGGGTTTCTTAGGGCATGGCTCTCGATCACAGAGAAAGGGCAAAATGGTTTATCCCCCTTTTCCCGTGGACGACTACATACATGAGCAAAGCAAAAAAATGTTTAAGAGTTGTAACTTGTGGAGGATCTGGGCCCACTCGGTTATGGTGTAGAGGGGCCCCCTATTCAGTTTAGCCGTGTTTACCCTTGGCACGAACACCAACGTGTCGCATCACCGATTGACCACTCAAGCATGTATACAGCTATAGCGGAATATCTAAGCTAGGAAGATAGGAAAAAACAATAACGCGTTCTTGTCCATAATATGCCCTAGTCAACTATCCTTGCAAGACCCTCCGGGGATATGACATTGCCTTTTTTATTTTTGGATACCCTTCGCTCACTCTCCTCCTTCTAACAATATCTCTTGCTCAGGCACTAGCCGAGAAATGAGGGCCCCTTCTTTTTAGCATTAACAAGAGAAAGAAAAAATGTATTGCTCAAGATACGGCTATATAGGATACATGCCACAAAAAGTTATTAATTGCCTCCCCTCTCCCTTCCTCCATGCGACCAACGAAGAAAAAAAAAAAAAAAAAAAAAGCTAAGAGTTTAACTCAAACCCACATGCCCGCCCTTTCCCCCTCCCTACCTCCTTAGGAGAATGCAAATATCTCAAGAATACAAGAGTCATTCTTCTCCTTGTCCCTCCTTGTGCCTATCCTTCCCCCTAAAAAATGATTGAGAGAGGGGAAAAGTGAGAGGAAGAAAGAGTGGGAGAGAGAGAGTTGTCCGGTGCCCAAGGTTGCACAGGGCCATACAAAAAAACAACGTATTATTCAGTCTTTCTAGGAGACACGAACGAACGCAGGAGGCAAATTGGATTTGATAAAGAAGCCTTGTTTCTTTGTGAGTAAGTATCCCTTTGGGTTGCCAGGGGAATATAAAAAAATGCGGGAGAGCGTGAAAGAAAAGACGACAGAGAAGGGGCACAGAAAGAAAAAAAAAAGCAAGGGAGGATCATGGAGGGGATGAAAGGAAAAGACAAGGAGCAGGCAAAGTGCGTCTTTGTCGATTCGTACAGGAGGATCGCAGGAGCCAGGAGCGAGAGCGTGTTAGATCGTTTAGGTTCAATTTGAGAAATTGGAAAAAAGGAGGAAGATGGGCAGATCATACATGAGAGCAGTCTGTTCTTTTGTACGCTATGTCAGCTTTCGGACATGTTCAAAGGATTGGACAAACAAATTAGATACGTTAGTGTTCGCAATGGTAGCCCATGCTGTTACGTCTGTGATGGTTATTGACAATAGCCGACCGATAGAATGCCAGATGGATGGAGACAAGGTGAAAGGCGAAGAATGACAAGGGAGACAGAGGAAGAGATAGAAAGGAAAAAAATTAGTAGAGATGGGCGATAACCACACTAAGAGAGAGAGAGAGCCACACGATAGAACGGCTGAATGGAGTTGCCTAGTTACGAACCGTATCCTAACTAGCTCGCCACCTCTTGACAAGGAGATCCGCTTATTTGTTTCACGGTTATGTTCAGTCAGTTGGGTTCAGGTGGAGCTCCCAACGGAAGATCACAGTTAACGTTATCCAAGCACAGAGCAAAACCTTGACCACAAAGAAAAGCGCGCACGCTAAACCGGCAAGCGTGCAACGTGTTTTATTCCTCCTTATTCGGACTAACAGACAGTTTCTCGTTCTTGTTTATGTCTATTGTGTTTAGATATCAGCGACATGTCAAGTAGGATAAGGAAATGGAGCATGCAAATACGAACTCTCAGTATACAACAACACTCGCACGCGAGTCCAACACAACAAGGGCCACGGACAAAAATAAGGGGACACCTCCTGCTCGCGTTGACTTTCAATTGCTTGCCAAAGAATACTTTTCAACTTTACGTAGGGAGAGAGAGAGAGATGACCCAATCAGTCCGGATGTGTCTTGGTTGTCGAATACAGCGACTGGTCCGAAACTGAGCGACGGATCAAGGGACATCCTGCATGCATGCTATACAAGTAGCTACCACCAACAATCACGCAAAACAAAAAAACGAAATACACGGACCTAGCAACCGTAGTTCTCCATCAAGCTAGTGGGCAAAATGGTGCTACTAAACGAATCAAAAGCATGCCATCGAGGCATCTTTGTGTCCAACAGCGAAAAGTTGGACGAGTGCGCACCCGAAGAAGAGAAGAACGGAAAAAGACAAATAAAGTTGTCGTCGCCCCGTGTTCTTCGTGTCCCCTTTGCTCTCTGGCCATTCCACCCCCTTACTACCTTCTATTATTTTTTTGTGTGCCGCACCCCTCTTCTTTTGCCTATATGCCCTCTCCCCTTGTTTTTTCGTCCTTGTATCTATCTCCCATCCTTAGACCACCATCTGCTGCTACACTAGTTGCACCAGGTTACTAGCGTATATCCACAAACATGTCTATGGCGTTCGTTCGTTCGGTCGTTCCATGTCCGCTGCCCTGAGCGTTTGTTGTCCTACTGGTCCATCGATTTGAGAGCCATTTTTTCTCCTTCTGTCCTGCCTCATTGCTGCTAAACAGACACCTCCTGCGATCATAACCCCCTTGCTTTACTTTTACTTTTACTCGCTTACTTACTTACTTACTTTCCTCTATCTTTCTCGCTCTCATACTGTCTCCTCAGTAGCTCCTTCTCATACTCGGTTCCCAGGCAGAAGCTCCGACTAGGAAGTAAGCAAAGAAAAAAAAAGGAGGGAACCTTGTATAAATACCAGACCATACCCCGCCTCCAAAAAAAGTTCTTCAGCGATCACTTCCAGCTTCATTCCACTCCACAACAACAACAAACACCCAAACCCATTCCCAACTACCCAACCCAACCACCTACCTCTTCGCTCCCCTTCCTACACAACCTTTCCCTAACCCTTCACCACCCACCCCAACCTCACTTAATCAACATGAAGTTCACATCCGCCATCATTGCCCTCTCTGCCGTCGCCGCCTTGGTCCAGGCCGGAGCTCCTTCGCTCCCTCTCACAGACGCCGCTAAGCTACCCGGTAGCCCTGTCAATCTCTCTACCAAGCGCGGTCTCCCTATCGTTGCTGCCCCTCCCGGCGCCGCTCAGGCTATCAACACTGCCACTGAGCCTATCATTAATGAAGTTGGTAGTGTCGTCCCTTTCGGAACTGCTCCTACGGTCGAAAAGCGCGGTGCCAAGGCCAACGTCAATGTTGATGCCAAGATTGAGGCTGAGATTCAGGCCGCCGTCAAGCTTATCCTCAATGCCGTCGCTGACATCGAGGTCAAGGCTGAACTTGTTGCTCAGGTTCTTGCCAAGGTCAAGGCCAACTTGAAGGTCGTCGTTGATGCTGCTCTTGAAGCTAAGCTCAAGGGTACGTTATTTGGGGTGAACTGTCGAACATCTGGCTGTGCATTCCTTGTACTCCACTGTTCTCTACATTTTCTCGACGTATTCACCTAATCGTATATTTAATCATTCTGCTTCTATTCAACGAAATTAGCTGCAATCACGGCCATCGTTGATGCCCATGTCAACCTCAATGTCCTCGCTGACATCAAAGCCAAGGTCGACGCCAAGGTCGAGGCTGCCCTCGGCCTTGTTGTCAAGGCCGATGTTGATGTCGTCGCCAAGGTTGCTGCCAAGGTCACAGCCGATATTACCGCTGATATTGCCGTCCAGCTCAAGGCTATCGTTGCTGCCATCAATGTTGATGTCAAGGGTATCAAGGCTATCATTAAGGCCAACGCAAACGTCCTCGCCCTTGCCAATGTTAACGCAATTGTCAAGCTCAACCTGGATATCCAGGCCGTGATCAAGGCCCTCCTCAACGTCGTCATCAAAGCTAAGATCGATGCCGCCGTCAACGTCGCCCTCGGCATCAATGCCAAGGTCAATGTCAACTAAAAAAAAAAAGACTTTACCTCCGCGCTTCCTCAGCGGGACATGACAAGCAGCAGCACCACAAGTACTAGCATTTTTTTATATCTAGCACACCCTCATCTATCTTATTTAATGGTCGCATTTCCCAACCTTTTTCTCCATCTGTGCGTTTTCTCGCGCATTGACCTGTATTAAAAATAATACCTTACAAACAATTACAATCTAAGTTTGTCTCTTTATTTCATGTGCCAGCGAATTGAAATCCTTTCAGTGGAAGTATGAACTCATATTGTGCCTGAGCAGATCAGACGTTTTTTTCATCACGTTTGACAAGTGAAATCGAAGATGTGGCCGTGCCACCCTTTTTTTTCTCGGTCTGTGCGTTCCGTTGGACGAAAAAAAAAAGAACCCCTTTCAACGCGTTTTTCTTTTTCTCTGATTGATATGATCACTGATCATGTTAAACTTATGACGATTTTCGTTCTTTGGGTGGATGAAGGCGTGGCGAGTTGTGTCCTTAAGGCTCTGCAATCGGTCCGGTCATCAAGTTTTTGGAGGACATCAAGCACAATCGAGCCCAACATAATCAAAATCTTCACATGAAATAAAAAACATATCCTTTCCCATCGCCCATCGTTCTTATCACTTATCCTCCTAGCAAAGACCTCACGTCTCAGTGATTGGCACCTTGTGCGATGGTGCAAAAAATATATGTATGTGTATGAGTGTCAATGTGTAGTGTCCAGTCTGAGCCCCTTGCCCCACCCTCCGCTCTTTTTGTGTCTCTTGTCTCTTCTCTACCACAATCCTCCCTTTACTGCCTCTCAACTACCTAAACAATGAAAGATTTTTTTGGTTTGAGGGACGGATGTCAATGGGGATGGGGCTGATTGGTTGTTGCATTCGAGGGCATGTCAGTTTCGGCTTATTCTTTTCTTTTTTTTTGCCTGTTCGCGAACGATGCCCGACTTCGTTTCTGTTCCAACGTCTGTTATGGTTCGAACCATTCATTGGATATGGCACACACTCAAGATAAAAATCATCATAGCAAGAAGATGAGGCTTGGTGACTCAAGTCAGTAAGCAAGCAATACATGTTAGATTGAACCCGGAAGACGTTTCTTATCGTGGTAGGCAGTTGAATATAAGCATTCCTTACGTTTTTTTTCTGTCTCTATTCGTGGTATTTTGCTGAACCTGTCCGCTAGCGAAAATGAAATAACGGGGTGCATCTGTCGAGGGGAAGCTAATCAGGGGAGTAAGGATGGGAAAGGTAAGGGGGGCAAAAGAGACACCAGAAGTAAATATAAATTTTGTGTTCAACCCATCGGCCCCCTTCTCACCTGCCTACCCCGTTTTTCTTTCTCTCTTTTTCGCTCCATCTCCTTATTGCCTACCCCTCTCCCACATTCGCCCTTTATCTTTCTTTTTCTCTTTTTTGCATGTCGCCAATGTGGGTCAAAATGGTGTGTATATTGGCCGAAACATCAAACGCCACACTTCCGCTTCCCCTCCCCTCAACTCGGCCGCTTTCCTCCCCTCAACTCGGCCGCTTCCCTCCCCTCAATTCGGCCCCTCCCTCATTCCTTCTGCTTCTTGTATCACCCTTTCTCGCATTGCTCCCCCCCCCCCCCCCCTCTCTCTCTCTCTCGCTCTTGCAACCTTTCAACCAAACTCGCTTCACATTCTCAAAGATCGTGGTCCAGACTTGGACTTTAGAAGGGGCTCTATCTGGATGCCAAAGGAATGCGCGAGTAACACGAACCCAGGTACTAGTCCCAAAAAAAAAAAGGGAGAAGAGCAACCTTTGCATAAATACCAGACCATGTCCCGCTCAAAAAAAAGTTCTTCAGCGATCTCTTCCAGCTTCACAACTCCACTCCACTCCACAACAACACCCCAACCCAACCCAACCTAATCCAACCCACTCGCCTCTTTTCGCTCCCATTCCTCACAATACCCCTTCCAATCAAAATGAAGTTCATCTCTGCAATCGTCGCCTTCTCTGCCATCGCCGCCTTGGTCCAGGCCGTACCTGTTGTGAACTCTGCCGCAATTACAGAAACCGCTCAGAAAGCCACTGGAAACCCCATAGGCACCGCTCAGGAAGCCACTGGAAACCCCATAGGCACCGCTGAGAAGATCATTGGCCTCGCTGCCAAGCGCAGCCTCCAGGCTCCTGGTCTTTCCTCCGAGTCAGGTCTGACCAAGCCTCTTTCCGTCTCCCAACCCAGAGATGTCGTCAAGCGCGATGTCAAGGCCAATGCTAATGCTGATGTCGAGATTAAGGCCAAGATCAACGCCATCATCAACGCTTACATCCATGCTCTCGTCGACGTCAAGGTCAAGGTCAACTTGGCTGCCAAGGTCCTCGCCGCGATCAAAGCCAAGGTGGGCGTTCAAATCACTAATAAGCTGGAGCTCGAGATCTTGGGTAAGTTGTTCACCGCCAGGATGATGGTGACCCGACTCTGTGTGCTCCTCCTTTGTGTTCTTACTTGTGACACATTCATTCCAGCGCGCGTGCCCATTCTAACCCTTGCCACGTTTTGTCAACTTCTTGTAAATAGCTGCCATCAAGCTCGCCATCAATGCCCACGTCAACGTCAAGGCCATCGCTGGCATTAATGCCGAGATCGATGCTATCCTCAAGCTCGTTGCCAATGCCAACGTCAACGCTGTCGTTGATGTCGCCGCCAAGGCTGTTGTCGATATCGACGCTCTGATTGCCCTCAAGGTCGAGGCTATTGTTGCCAAGGTCAACGTCAGTGCCCTCGTCAACGTCAAGGCCGCCATCAATGTCGCCATCAAGGCCGCCATCAAGGCCAACATCAAGGCCGACGTCGACCTCTACGTCCTCGCCCTTGCCAAGATCGAGGCGGCCATTGTCAACGTCAAGTTGGACGTCAACGCCTTGGTCAAGGTTGCCCTTGTCGATATCCACGCTCTTGTTAACATCAAGACCGATATCCAGGCCCTCGTTGACCTCAAGCTCAACGCCAGCGCCAAGGTCAACTAAATCCAAGACGACCCTCTACGTCCGCGCTTCCCCAAGCGAGGCATGCAAGCAGCAGTTTTAACTAGCGTGATTTATCTATAATAATAATATCTTATCTATTTACTTCCTATGATCCGATTACCTTCCTCCTCCTCCTCTACTTGATTGTATTCCTGAAAATAACTGTGTTCAAACTTACTACCATATCATTTTCCTTGAACATAACCTTGGGGGGTCGATCTCTCCCATCTTATTCCGCCTGTTTGTGGAGCCCTCATTTTCTTAGGTTTACTTTTCCTGACGCGGTGATTGGCTAAAAGAAGTCGTGTAGAGAGATACTACCAGAAAAAAGCCCTCCGTTAAACAACACAGCCTTGCCCTTGAACGTATACATAAAGCTTCCTCCAAGATAATTCCTTCTGAGAAACGCGTGCAGGCGTAGTAAGGGGAGGGGGAAGTCTGTCTTCTCATACAGCCAAATATACAAAGACCACTGGAAAGAGAAAAGAAAACAAGGAGAGAAAAAGCGGATGGGATGTATGGAAGGAGAGTGAGAGGTGTGTGTGTGTGTGATATGAGCTGGCTGGTACCCTTCTGCTTCTTGACAAGGAGGGCGTTTGGGCAATGAGAGCAAAATAACGATATGGGAAGGAGTAAGCCCTCTGAGCATTCATTTCAACAACCCTTCTCCTCAAACAAATGCTAATGAAAAAAATAATCAACAACCAAGACCACGACCTCTCTTTCCCAAACGAAGGAAGAACAAAAGCGGCAAGCAATACAAGATACAAGCCTTTCCGTGTTCTTTGTAATGCATAAACAATAGTGGGGCTGGGGATGGGTGCATGTATTATTTCACTTCAAGGACATGTGTGTTTATGTGAGTTTTTGCTAAAGTCTGTAAAGATTAAAAAAAAAATGCAAGGGTTAATCAACAACAAAGGAAGGGAATGCACCTTGAACAAGACAACCCAGACAAGAAAAATAAAGTTTTGATGATGGTCTCAAACCAATTTGTCTCTCTCATCAACAAAATGCAGTTGTTCTATCGATTCTTTTTGATACCACGTTTACTTTTTTGCTATTCAATCGTTGAATATATTGGGGCCACACAGCATTGGGGTGAGTTGTGTAGAGACAGCGTTTGCTTTGCTTGCCTCATCTAGACTTATCGGTTTGGTTTGTAGTCACCAATGCCTTTCTTTGTGGTGATATGTTTTCTGTTTGTTTATTGTTTATTGTTTATTGTTTATTGTTTTGTAGTTTTTTTTTGGTCAGAAGCTATGCCGGGATGGGAAGAGGGACTAGGAATTGAATGGGTGAGGGGGTTAGGGAGTGGTCAAAGGGGAAACGGAGAGATTGAGAGAGAATCGGAGAGAGGGAAACAAATACACACAAAGAAAAGCAAAAGAGAAAAAAAAGGACAAGGGCGGACGACGCACACCCGCGCATACATACAGAAACTGTAAGAAGCAAAATAAGGAAAACAAAATGAGAGAGACAACCTTCCTTCGCCCTCTCCACATTGAGGGAAAAAAGCAAAGTGCTTAGGACAGAAAGAAAAAAAGAAGCAGGCAAAAAAAAGGGATGCAAAAGGGCACTGCGGGAAAAACAAACAGGAAACGGCGCGCGAGGTATATTGGGACTTATGTGGTAGTTGTTGGTGGTTGATGTTGTTGTTGTTTTGTGTTGCAAGGTAAAAATGTTGCAAGAAAAGTCCTCAGATGTGTGTGCTGTTCCTGGTGGTCATTAATGGTTGGTTCATTGTTACATTCCATGTCCACTGTGTGTTCCTGTCGGCCATTTTCGTTCGTTCAATCCAACGAAACAAATTCCTCCTTTTTGAGCCGACGCCTGTTGGGTGTGATCCAGGGGCGAAAGAGTACGGTTAATCCCTATTGGTCACCAAGAAAAAAAGAAATGAATTCGATAAGTCAGTACTTCAGTAGCAAAACGTGGGGTTCGCAACAGCAGCGTCCTATTCAATTCCGCCGTTTTCTTTTTTTGTCGTCTGTGTTGTCTTTGTTTGTGTTGTGTTGGATTGTTTTGGATTTTGTAATACGGCGCTGTGTCTGTCTGCTTGTCTGCTTCCTTTTCATTTGTGTCAACCGGGCTTTTGATGCTATGGAGTTGACACTATTTTTCGTTTTGCGCGCATGGATATGGGGTGTATTATGCGATATGAGGGCAACGAAAGGAGGAGAACGTGACAAGATTTCATCACTCCACCACATCCCTTTTTTTTTTTTGCGATATTTCGCCATCTATCCACTCCACCAGAAATAGGATCTTGATAGAACGACGAATAAAAGGGCCTGGTCGCACAAAAGTCAAGAATAGACCCTCCCCCAATAAATGAACAAGCAGAAAAAAAGGTTCAAGGTGAAAAGGGTGGAGCGGAATTTCGGTCTAGAAGCCCAATGTATGTTCGAGGGTATCCAGGTTGGTTGGTTGGTTGAGTGTTATGTTGGTCGGTCGGGGGAACAGGATCAAATACACACACACCGATTGATTCCACTTTCCTCGAAGAAAGAAAGAAAACGTCCAAGAACCCAGGTAATAATACGCAATGGAAGATGTGTGCAACTGGATACAGGTCGAGAGGTTTGCGTACCTGTAATGACCGTTGGGGTTATCGTTGTAGACTTCGCTGCTCCGGACGGTCTTGGTGTCCTTGCGGGAGAGGGCCCGCTTAAACGATTTCGCCCGGCTGATGCTGCCGCTCTCGCTACCGACCTGGTTGTGGGTATAGATGCCATCCTTGTAGTTCGAGTCGTAATATTCCTTGTCCCGCTGCTCAAACTCGGGTGTCAGGGCTGCGCGGCGCTTGGTGTATTTTCCAATCTTCCAGATTTCATAGTTGCGCATCAACTTGTCCATGAGTCCCATGATGATTTATGTAGTTTTGTGTGTTGAAGGGGTGGGAGTGTGAGTGAGGCGGAGGAATGTAACTGGACGGAGACTAGATGAGGAGTCGAGTGACAAAAGGAGAAAAGAGAGAAGAGAGAAGAAGAATGAATAGGGGAGGTCTGAGCAAGATTGTGTGTCAGGGAGGAGCGATGGCAGGAAAGGGGGTAGACCAGCAGGAAATGGAAGGCAGGAGAGATGACGAAGTGGGCAGTAAGACGTACGGGAGAGACGTAGGGGTGGTGGTTGTGGTAGTTAGGGACGATGGTAGGACGAAGGAGGAATTAATAGGAGGGAGGGTGAACGGGTGAGAGAGTGAAGGAAGGAAAGAAGGAGAGGGGGAGTGTGGGTGTGGGGTGGGTGAGAGTAAGAGTGTGAGAGAGGGTGATCGCTGGAAAGATGAAGAGAAGAAGATGGAGGGAAAGAGGAGAAAAGAGAAACAATCAATACCATGGGATACAATACAGCCCGTCGAATCATGTCTCGTTGGTTGACCTTTATCCTTTGTCTTTGCCGTTTGAACACGCATTCCCCCATTGGTGTATGTGGTGTGTTTCTTGCTCTCTCTCTCTCTCTCCTCTTCTCTCCTTCTGTTCTTTGCGACTCAGCACACACACACACACACACACCCTTCTTTGTCTCTCATCCATCTCTTACCCAACCCAAGACACACTTGTACCTGAAAAATAGCACACTCCACGGGTTTATTACTGAGAATAGTCTGTCAGTATGTCTCATCTACTCCGAGGGCTACCTGACCCACAAAAATAAACAAAGGGGACCTTCCTTGACTGCAGGGGGATGATGATAAAAAAAGTTGTGCATCAACAAGCAACCAGGCAAGGGTCAACAAGGGTCAGCACAACATCAACAACAGATGCAAGAGCGCTATTTTGGATTCTATCCTTCCCCCCCCAAAACAAACCATTGGGAGCACTTTTTTTTCCTGATGGGAGCCCCCATCGCCTCGCCCTTTCTACCCTCTTGTACACATCCTTGAAGGAACCACACGACAATCTATCTCTCTTCTCTCTTTCTCTCTTATCATGAACAACTATAATAACAACAACAAAGTTAGTATAATATCACAACAACGCAGATAGAACACCAGGACAGACAGACAAAAAGGCAACAGAAAATTTGAGCAGAGTGTCGTGAATGGGTTTCTCTGTTTGGGCGCTGGATCGATAACGATGGCGAATGAGGAGTATGGTGTGTGAAAGAGAGGAGACGTTATTCTTCTTCGTCTTCACCTGTTGCATCTGTTGACGTTGAGCAATGCTCACTTTTTTTTTTTTTTTTAAATTTTCTCTGAGGTACAAGCCCTCGGCTCTCTCTTCTTTTGCCTCTTCCACTCCTTCACCAAAGGAAGTCTGTCCCGTATCTCAGTAAGTACGTACCCTTGTTCACTGCATAGTGCCAACCCTGTAGAAAAACCAAAAAAAAAAAATGAAGGCCTGAGTGGAGAAATTTAATCTCGACCCCTTAACCTTCGATTTGATTGTGGCCAACCAACCGCTGCAACGTCAATGTTGCTTCAGGGCACAGGAAAAAGAGTCATCTCGTGAAATTGAAAGAAGCAACAAATGTAGTGAGAGCACCATTGCAAGGAGTTCATCTATTCTATTACTTCTCCACACTCTCGTTTTCATCTTTTTTTTCCTTTCATCTTTTTTTTTCTTCTACTCTTCTTTACTTCTTTTGAACGACCCATTCCTCCTCTCGGTCCTCCTTACCTCGACACCACCACTCCGCCCACCTCGACCGTCGTCTCATCTCCAGCAAGGATCACCTGCCAACCAACAACGACTTACACAGGACATACCAGGACCATATAGCCAGTAGACCATCATACAACATCAACAATGAGGGTGCTATTGCTATTGAGCGTGCTACTCGGACTGTTGGCAACGATGGTTATCGCAGCAGGCGCAGATTACTACAAGGTCCTGGGTCTGGGCCGTAGCGCGACCGTGAAGGAGATCAAGAAACAGTACAAGGTCCTCTCCAAGAAGTACCACCCCGACAAGAACCCTGGCAACCAGGAAGCTGCCGACAAGTTTGTTGAGGTCGCTGCAGGTACATTCTTCTTCTTGTTTTTATTGTGTCATTTGCAGCAATCAGGGAAGAAAAGAAAGAAGGAGAAGTTGACAAGACGGAGTCCGGATAAATATCAATCGATGGTCGTTCCTGTAATTTATCATATTTTTTGGGCGATCGTTGAATGACGAGCAAGATATCTTACGCATGGTACCTTACCGCTTTTCTCTCACTAACATCGCCTGTTCTCCAAACCGCCTACAATGTAGCATACGAGGTTCTTTCGGACAAGGAAAAGAAGGGCATCTACGACCGCTACGGAGAAGAAGGTCTGAAGCAGCAGCAACAGCAGGGCCATGGCGGATTCCACGACCCCTTCGACATCTTTTCTCAATTCTTTGGAGGTGGCGGATCACGTCATGCACATGCCGAACAGGAACGTCGTGGACCCGAGATCCGCATGGAGCTCGAAGTGACACTTGAAGAGTTGTATTCTGGAAAATCGATCGAGATCGAGGTCTCGAAACAGATTGTTTGTCCCCATTGCTCTGGATCGGGTGCTCGTTCTTCGGATGATGTTGTCACCTGCTCTGGATGTCAGGGTCAGGGTGCCAAGATTGTCAAGCATATGTTGGCCCCTGGCATGTTCCAGCAGTTCCGTCAAACGTACGTACTTCTTTTTCGTGTCTCCTACTGCGATTGTCTTATGCGGGCCTGTTTATGACGAAAATAGATATTAACCGTCCGTATTACGTTCCAAATTATTGTCCAATAGCTGCGACCAGTGCGGAGGAAAGGGAAAGACGATCAAGGCGCACTGCCCCGTCTGCCACGGCACCAAAGTCCAGCGCGGCTCAGAACAGTTAACCATCGTCATTGAACCCGGTCTGGCCGATGGCTCAACCATTGTCTTTGACCGGGAAGGAGACGAAGGTCCCGAGGTGGCCGCCGGAGACGTTGTCTTTGAAGTCCGCACCCGCCCACACGCCACCTTCGAGAGACGTCAGGATGCCCTCTACACCTATGTCGCCATCACCCTCGAGGAGGCCCTGCTGGGTTTCGACATCGAGATCAAGCACCTGGATGGTAGAGCTGTCAAATTGACCCGCGGGCAGGATGTGACGCCTTTCGGCTTTGTCCAGACTTTGCAGGGGCAGGGTATGCCTATCAAGGGATCTCGTGGGGACTTTGGGGATATGTTTGTGGAGTACAAGGTGGTTTTCCCTGAGAAGCTGTCCAAGGACCAGCGTCGGTTGTTGGCATTGGCGTTTGATGTGAAGGCGCCCTTTGATGAGACCCTTGGTGGTGCTCCCGTGCATCAGCAGCAGGTTCTTCACGACGAAATGTAACAGAACCCTCCTTATACACAGAGTGTCGCACAGAGAGAGGTTCGGAGGATGGCCTTGCGGACCAAGCATTTTTATTATCGATAGACGTGAAGAAGCATTTGCTTCTTCAAACCCATATAAAAAAAAACGACGCCTTTGATTTTCGATAGAACAATGATATCTGTTTATTTTTCGTCTATATTCAAAAAGGTGAACATCAAAAGGTTTACCACATGTCGCACTTGGTGTCTGGGTTCATGCCGGAGCGAGCCTTGCAGTTAAAGACCTCTGCGAAATGGGGCGAGTTCTGGACAGCACCGTTGACACGCCACTTGGCCGGGGCGTGAGGGTCCGTCCTCAGCTAATAAAAAACAGCAGTGAGAAAAACGAAGCACAGTCAGAAAATAATAATTCCTTATGTCTATGGCAAACACAACACATCTTACAAATCCACCCAAAAAACTTACAGATTCAATGGCTTTAGCAGGCCGGCGTTGCGAGCACCAAACGCGCGCAAAGGCCATATAATATAACTGATCACGCGAATAATCCTCCAACCCGGAAAGCAAATGGTTCTTGAACTTGTTCCCATGAGGGTCTGACTTGAACCTTGCCGCCCATGCCTCATATGATCGCTTCAGTCCACCATTGTCGGCCAGGTTCTCGCCCAGAGTCAGCTTGCCGTTGACGTGGTTCTCGCGGCCCTGGGGGTCCTTGACGGTGAAATTGCCGTATTGGTCGATGAAGCATTGGGAACGGGTTTTGAATTCTTCGAGAGTTGAATTGGACCACCAGTCGGCCAGACGGCCGTGGGCGTCGTAGAGCCGACCTTCGTTGTCGAATGCATGCTATCGAGATCATACATATGAATGCGGTTGGTTAGTGCCACGGATAGGCGTTACGGTCAAGAGTACGTGAAAGAAAACCGCCTTGAATAGACTTACGGAGAGCTCATGTCCAGCGACGACTCCGATACCGCCATAGTTCAGGTACTCTGGGTTATCACCATGGAAAAAGGGCTGTTGGAGGATACCCGCAGGGAAGACAATCTCGTTGGCACTCGGGTTGTAGTAGGCATTGACAGTTTGGGGACTCATCAACCACTTGGCCTTGTCAACAGGCTTGCCAAGTTCGCCCAGAGTCTGATTGGTCTGCCAAGTCTTCGACCGAATCTGGTTCCCGAAAAAGTCGGCCTTGTCGATCCCCAGATCCTTAAAGTAGTCCTCCAACGAATCCGCAGACCGGACATCGGGCGATTCGAGAGAGTAGCCAATCTTTTGGATCAACAGATCGATCTTCTCGGTCGCGTTCAAGAGCGTCGGGTGGTCGAGCCATTCCAGCTGGTTGAGTCCTTTGACGAACGAGCCCCGAAGAGAGGTGACGATACTGTCGGCCATCTCCTTGCTGTCGCCCTGGAACATCTTCTCGATAAAGTAATGTCCTGCCATGGCTCCCAAAGAGTTATCAACCACATCGATACAGGTCTCCCAACGAGGCGTCACCAGATCAGCAGAGACGCCCTGGAGGGCGGCCTTCAATTGCTGCATGGGCTTGCGTAACTCCACAGCAAGACCAGATGACAAGGTCTTGATCAGTCTCCAGGCGAAATAGTTCTGGAGTGTCATGGCGGGGGCATCCTTGAGGAGGGCGTTAAGTTTCTCGAGGTACTCGGGTGACGAGACAATGATGGGGTTGGGCACCTCGGATCCTGACGTCAACAGCTTCTCCAGAACCAACGACCAGTCGATCGCCGGGATCAGCTCCGTGATCTCGCTGAGGGTACGAGGGTTATAGGTCAGCTCCGAGTTGTCCAGATCCTCTTGCTCGCTCGAGATCGCCGCCAACAGCTTCTCAAACTCGACCACATTCTTGGCGACCTCGGCCCAGTCCACAACGGGAGGCTTGTTCGATTTCGATATAGCAGAAGCCGCATCCTCGCCGTCCGTGGTTGGGGTGCCCATCACAATCGCAAACATGTCCTCGACAGTTTTTTGATAGATATTGACAATCTTTTCCTCCTGGTAGTACTCCTTCGAGGGCAAGCCGAGTCCATTCTCACCCAGTTTGAACACATTGTCGTCTGGGTTCTTGGGGTCCGCATCGACATCGAAATCAACCATCGTCGTGACTCCGACCCATGCCAGCTGGGTAATCGCCAACGCCAACTCTTCCCTCTGCGCTTTGGCAGCGGCCGGTCCAGCATTTCCACGCTTGTCCAAATTGTGATGCTCTTCCGAAGCTAGCGTATCCTCCACCCCTGGCAGCTCATCATCCACAGAAACATGGAGCGGTATCTTTTCATCTGACCCGTTGCCCTGTATCTCTCCTACAAACATCTCCTCACCATCATCAACATTATCCTCCTGTCCCAACTGCTGCAACTTTTGTCGGTTAATCGATGCAGACTGGAATCCAAAGTTGACATCCCGTAAATGAGCCATCGCAGCCGACACTGACGACGCAGGCGCCTCTGTATCAAGGATGCTGAACGTCGCCGGGAAGACCTTGATCATCTTCTGGACCAGATCTGCCAACGGTTTGACTCCAATCTCCGACATCTTCTTCTCATCCATGCAGCTCTCAAAGAGCGACTGGAGCTTGACCAGGTTGCGTTTCGCGGCGTCATCTTTGCCTCGCTGCACATTGTTGGTCGCTGGCGAAAGAATCGACCGAATCACCTCCTAAAATATGTTTTTGAAGTTATTAACGACAAGCGGCGCAGGCAGAGAGACAGGGTTAGCACCTGTTTAATTGCACCCCCCTGAAACGTGTTTCATGAGAAGCGCGAGCGTCGTCGACTTCTGGCTGTTTCTCCCTTGCATATCATCTTGGCATAGTTATAAAAACAGATAAAAATGAGAACACTTGCCTGGTTGTGCTTGCTGACTAGGTTGAAGTACCCAATCTGGGCCTTGTCATCAGGAATAGTCTCTCGATCCACAAATCCTCCACCTACAAGTTTGCGAAATAGCCGGGAAGACGTAGATGAAGAAGATGAAGACATCAAGGAGGTTTTTTTTTTCCAATGTTAGATTGTGAGCCCTTTTCTTCCATATAACGAAGTCCCCTTGAAAATCATGCCAATCTCCCGCTCGTCCAGTGGGAGTAAAATGTGTGCGGTAAAGTAGTTGGAAAAAAGGGAAAAGGGTGTGTTTCCCATACAGCGGCTGAGTATGGATAGGGGTAGAGTGGAGTGTGTGACATTACATGTGAAGGTGAAAAAGTCGGAGCAGGGATCAATCTCGGGCTTTAAGTCCCTGAGGATGTCCGCTGCGACGATGGTGCACTCCCGCGATGTGCAAATTCCCTATGTCCAAAGAACAAAATAAGGTTGATTCGTCACCATGAGAACAATATCAATGGTCAATGGTCAATGGTCAGTTGTCAATGGATTAAATCATATGAATAGACCGATGAACATTTGAATGAAAATAGAAAAGAGGCTTACGTTCTTGCCGCTCAAGGGAATAGAGTCTCTGGCACGAACATACGCACAGAGAAACCCCACGGCAAGGAGGAGACACAGACCAGCAAAAGCCATCGAGTACTTTTCAGTTTTGGTGTACTTGTTCTGGAAGGCGTACAATGCTTGGCGACAAGGTAAACAGCAGCAGTTGAGAATCCGCTTCAATCCCGTAGGGCGATCTCGTCCGGAGAACCGTTGTGCGTCAAGACTGCTGTTGCCCGGTAGACTACTACTTCCGGGGGGTGGTGGGCCTCGACGGCGGTATCCGGCTCCGGTGTTTTGGTACCCGTTGGCGTTTGGGTCTGGTCCAAGGATGTCCTCTGTTTCTTCTGACCAGTGTCGCGGGTTGTTGCTGTTGTTGTTGTTGTTGTTGTTGTTGAGGTTAGGGTTGTGGCGAGGTAAGGAAGTAGGCTGTTGACCTGCGAGAAGAGGAGTTGTGTCTGAGGACGCCATCTTGTCCTTTTTTTATCTTTTTTACTTCCTTGGGAATGAGGGGTTCTTTGAAGGAGGAGGGCAAGGGGGTGAGATGGTGCCTTGTAGGTTTGGTGATGCTGCAGGAGTAGAGTAGAGTCCAAGGAAGGGGTGCGTTACTGTTGTTCAATTATAGAGAAAGAGAGAGAGAGGTATGTTGTTGAGCAAGGGTGGGATGGGAATAAAGAGTATGAACAAGAACGTGGAACGAGTCTTGTTGGGAGCAATTACGCTGGCGTGTGATATTGCCACGAAAGACAAGTTATGAGGTTGTCAATGAAAGGCGTATGCGTGAGTGTACGAGTGCGAGGGAGTGGGATTGCGTGAGTGAGTTAGAGAGGAAAGGTGGAAGGGAGAAAAAAGAAAAGAGAAAAAATATAAATGCCAAGATGATGCGTTGTGTTCTGTGTGGATCCCTGCGTCGCAGCCTTTTTTTAGAGTCGTCGCAAAATTAAGGCGGCTCCCGTGATCTGGATGCGATCCAGACCAATACGAGACACTTAATGATCATCATTACATACCTCGTACTGTCCCCCTTCTCCATCATGGTGTCTTCATTAGATTACTGCGCTATGCTTGGCATTTCGTGCCAATCTGCACATTGCCTTTTTGCACGAAAGGGTTCATTCGTTAACGTGTCGTGTAGTATGTTTGAAAGGGCAAATGAGAGGACAGGACTTCAAGGGAGGCAATCACGTTGACGCGTGTAAAAAAGTGGTTCCTCGCTTAGGCTATTCATCGACCTCAATAGAAACTCCTGTCTACGAAAGGTTTATCCCTCCTCCTCCTCCTCCTCCTCCTTCTCCTTTCCTTCCTCTTTCACTCTTCTCCAGACTTGATATCAGAACCAGTGCAAACGCTAGGGCCATGGACGTGGATAAGGAAGACTTGAATAACTCCCCATACATGTGTATCACGCGGCAAATCAGTGGAGAATGGACACGAATTAGAAACAGGAGAAGCACCTCTCCTTTCTCACGAACCTCCGTGATTTTTTTCACTTGTTGTTCCCTCTCCATGCCGCCTGAAGGCCATTCGATGTTCGTCTCCCATCTTTCCCGCTCCCCATTCGAAAAGGGTAAACAAAATCTGAGCCAAAGGTTGTCCAGCAATAAACAAATCAATGGCTTTGCCCAATACTGATCCCTCCGAAGACCCTGTGCAACGCGACTCCCTTGCTCCATCAATGATGATTGTTTGATGGCATCTCGGAGTTGCGAATGTGTTTCGTCCCCTTTTTGATTTTACGCGTGTGTACTGTGCTCCTTTCCAAATGGCCCTCTTTTTAGCAAAGATGCATGCAGGGTATGGATCAACAGGAAGCAATGGTGACTATGAGTAGTCTCACTGATCAATGCGAATCCATTCTCCCGAGATCGAAAGAGGAGCAAGCGAGGGAGACAAATAGAAAGAGAGAAGTTAATTATGTGTACAATGTATACATGTGTGTGTGTGTGTGTGTGTGTGTGTGTGTGAGCAGTGCCAGTGAGTACCTTACAGGTTGCGATGACCAAGACATTTTTTGATGTTTCTATTTCCCTTTTTACTTTTGCTTCCTTCATGTTTCTTCTTCATCTTTCTTCATTATCTGTCTTCCCTTTCCTTCATCTTCATCACCACCCACTCGTCTTCATCTCTTTTCTGCCCTTTTTGTTGTATATTACACGTCTTTTGTAGTTCTTGCCGCCAATCATCCTCCTTCTTTCCCTTACTACTCCCTTCCTCTTGACCCTTGTTTGCTTGCCTTAGCCACCCTTGTTTTCGCTATTTGCAACTCTCCATCCTCGCTACTATTCTCTCCCTTTCTCTCGTCGTCAAAGAAGTACTTCACCCTTCCTTTTCATAAATACCCTGCAGAGGAGAACAAGCGGACGCCTACGTCGCCTCACTCTCTCACTCAACTCGACACTCTATTCTCCTACCTTCTCCCACCACGACTACACCCTCCACTTCCGACATGTCAACATTTTCAGCAACAGACAATGGGGGCGATGACTACCGAGCATGGGTGTACACATTCGCCTCGGCATTAGCCTGTGTCCTTGGAGGTAAACACAAGCACTGACTCGCACACAACCTCCTTTCCCCTGCGTGTGCTTTCGTCTGATGCTGTTATCGATGCTCCTTCTGCCTTGTTGTTATCTATTTGTTTGTGCTTCCCAAGCATCCCCCTCTCCCATATGCATGAATGCCTTCCGTTTATTAATAAACAGTCTGTGGCATTATCCTCGTATTGTTTACAGCATACATGCATACTCATACCCTTCGTTGCCTTTCTCTGATTTGGATCTTCAAATAGCTGGATTGATATTCATCGACACGATTGTAAAGAAAATTCTCGGAAGAGATGTCCGAATCTTGCAAAACCACAAGTTCCTGGCAGGATCGCTCGGTCTGGGGTCCGGTGTCATGGTAAATAAATCCAACTCTTCTCTGTTCACACTTATCATCACGGCGCAGCTTGGAAAACGAGAACATCGAGGTCAGGAGGATGAAGTTGGACGTGGACACTTGTGGACAAAAACTCTTATGAGACTGCAGTTGCAAAAGCGGCAAAGATGTGCTGACAAACAGAACGACAGGAAACATGACCCGTGTGGATTCAGGACATGCAAGCCCAAAAAGGGTGAAGGACCTGTTTTATTCCCCGAGTTCGAGAGAAAACTCTCTCGATTTGTGTTTGGTCCAGTCATTGCTGTTGCAGTTTTCCACAAGCTGGAGCACAATGATATCAACAAACAAAAGACAAACAAACCAATACGCACAACATGAACGCGCTAGAAATGGTGTCGATTGTCAGTCAGACGAAAAGGAAAACGCAATTTCATTCCACGTTCACCCATGTCCTCCTTTTCACCATCTTCCATTCTTTTGCTTTTGACCTCCCCTCCCCCCAAATCAAATCAAAAGAGGGTTGGAAAAAAAAAGCGCGAGTAAGAAATATTAGCTTGTAACCCTTGCATGAAATTCTATTACGTTACTAATCCTTGTCGTTACGTTTCTTCTGCATTGTCTTTCTTAAAAAACCCCCACCTGCTCTAAAATCAAAAACTCCATAATAATAGATCTTTTCAAGTTTCTACAATTTACTGCCCGAGGCTAAGGAACAGCTCTCGTCGGACCTCTCGATCTTTGCAGGACATGCAGACGCCTTTCTGATGCTGTTCTATTTTTCGGGGGTCGGCGTCATGTCTTTGATTCATTGGATCATGCACCGCTTCGAGTCTCCGACCTCGACCTCGCCCGGAATTGAGAATACGAGGGCGATTCACCAGTTTATGCAGCGTGAGGCTGAAGCGACTGCTGCAGTCAAGGCAGGAAAGTATGACTCGTTACTACCACATTTCTCGATAAGATCTATGCCGTCTTCGGGATCGGCCGCGCCTCATGGACACGGACATGGACATGGGCGGACAGGGTTAGGAGCAGGAGGGCCAGTTGGCGGTGCCGCGTCTTCATCCTCGACAGTAACGCCTCACCCAAACCACAATCACACATGCGAGGGCTGTATCCACGAAGACTCTGACGAGGATGACGGGGAGAGAAATGACGAGACTGAGGAGGAACGATACAACGACTCAGAGTACGTCGACGACGAGGTCACCTCGCTGCTCAACAATGCCTTTCTGCAGATCGGAAAGACCCCCAACAGTCGGATGGATGATGATACCCCTCACCAGCACATGCGGCAGCACCGAAACCGCAACGGGATCCCGGCGGCCTACGATGATGATGAGGGCCATGCGGAGGATAACGACGGGGATGGGGATGATGACCAGAGTATTGAGGTTGTGATCACGGATCAAAAGGACAAGATTCTTCGTCGCCCTCAGCGCCGTGCCGCTACTGCTGTCGTTGACAGGAGCAACAGTGATTTGGAACTCGATCAAGACCTGGACCTGGACTTGGATGATATTGAGGATGGCCGACCTGGTCTGCACGGTCCTGAAAAGTTGTGGTCAGCTCAGCAGAAACCCTTTGCCCCCGTCAACAAGAAGAAGAAAGCCGTCGCTGCCAATGCAGGAGGAGACAGTGGTCATGTCGGTCGGAAACACAAGGGACGCAAGCTCACCAAGGAGTGTCGTCTGGACCACACCATCGATCACAAACACAACAAGAATGCCGCCTCGCAGCAAACACCGCCCAGCTCTGGAGGATCCGGTCATCGATTCTTCCGTCCATACCATCACCAACAACAACAACAACCACAGCAACAGCAACCGCCTAGCTATGGATCCATGTCCTCAGCAAACGGAGTCACCAACAACAACACCCTCCCACGATCAAGAGAACAACAGGCAACACACCTTCGTCGGACATCGTTCCCAAGACTCAAGGGTGTATCGTCGTCGTCTTCGAACAAAATAGAGTACTCGACCCACGATAATCTGGACCATGCGATTGCTGACGACCGCGAGCACGCGGACTTGACTGAAATCGGTATCCAGACCGCTCTCACCATCGCCATCCACAAGTTCCCTGGTGAGTTTTCTTACTTTACTTACTCTTTTCTATCAAACCACATGTACATATTTTTTTTTCTCCTTCGCTTCGAGTTGCACGCAAGTGTTTTCTAACAACGTGTTTCTTCTCCATTTCTTATTCTCATCTCCATATAATCCAGAGGGCCTGATCACATTCCTATCAACAACAGCAGACCCCTGCCTCGGCCTCTCAGTCTTCATGGCAATCGCAGTCCACAACCTAATCGAGGGTTACCTCATCGCTTTCCCCCTCTACATTGGCCTCCACTCCCGCTCAAAGGCCTTTGCCCTCGCTGCCGCCCTTGGCGGGTTCTCACAACCCCTGGGCGCCATCCTTGGCTGGTTTATCCTCCGAAAAGTCGCAAGTATGGGATGGCAGGTCTCGGCGACCGGTTGTATTTACGCCATGGTTGCTGGGATGATGAGCTCGATTGTTGTGAATGGTATGTGGCCTCAGGCTGTCAAATGTGTCGGCAGGAACCCGACCAAGGTGGTCCAGTATTGCTTCTTTGCGGGCATTGCTATCATGGGTATTTGCCAAACCGTCATGGGTTCTCAGTGCGATTTCTAAACCCCCCCCCCCTTCCTGTCTCGCTTCAATGTTCTGTTCATTGTCCTTTTTTTTTTTTCTTCTGTTTCCATCCCGTTGTAAAATAAATTATTCTTCTTTTGTACACTAACAACCTTAGTTGATCTGGGATGAACGGTCCAAATGACGTCGGTCCCTCCGTTTCACAGTTTTTTTTTTTATTCAAGACTTTTTCACTATCGTACAGATCTCGTATGGGTTCTCTCTCAAATAGTACATTGGATTGGAGGAAGAGAAGAAAGAAGAAAGAGGGGAGTAGATGGAGCGCGTGAAGTGGTCTTTTCTGATTCCGGACGAGCCGTAGCCTTTCTCTGCCATTCAACTGGTGGGCGGCGCCCAAACGATAAAAGAAGCTACGCTGGGAGAAAGTGCGGCTCCATTCGCGCCTATCGTTTGTTGTTGTCTACAGAAAGTAGTGGATGGTATCCTAAAAAAAAAACAGCAATACAACATTCAAAATTGAACGTAAGAAACGTGACGCTAACGATCCTTGTGAACAATGCATTCAAAACAAAATAAGGAATAAAATAAAAAGGTACCTGAACTGGATCGATGCTACCGTTAGAACCACTAACAACTCCCGCAAACGTCATCGCGCCGTTCGCGCCGCTACCGCCTCCAACTCCAGCACCATTAGACCCACCAGCGTTACTAAACAAGCCCGTCGGCACACCATTCGAGAACAATGCCCGTTGAGTTTCTGCAGAAGTAGGCCTCTCGTTCTCTGGTGCGGCCTCAAAGACATTAAAGTGTCGCTCGCCCTCGACACCAATCTCTAGAATGGACGCTAGGTTCCCGCATCGGTAGCAATAGTTGGGCGCCGACCAGACTGTTGAGAGTTGATCATCGAACAGGACCTGGAACCCCTCCATACAGAGTTGATGTGCCCTTAGAATATGGTCCATCCTGTTTTCATGCAAGAACTTTTCGACCACCATGCTTCCAAACGTGTATCCCGCTCCTCTGTTTCATCCCGCAACGTAGGTATGGAGCGAAAAAAGGCAGTTAGTGAAGGAACTGACTGGTACTGCAAAGATGCTTTGGAGATGTAAAAATGTGCCTGCGTACAAGCGTGTTCCTTACCTAGGCGACACTGCAAATTCTTCCCGTCCTGGATCTGGGTCTGACCATACCAAATCTGCCATAGGTCCCTCATGCGGAATTTCTATGTTACGAAAGACGCGACAAACAGTTAGTCACGGTGTGCTCACAAGTCGAATGAAAGGTCCTTGGTTACTTGGTTCAACGTCGCAGTGGACAGTCACCTTTGAATCGGTCAATGACCTTGATTTGGTCTATCGTGTGAATGGACGGCGACAACCCTATAGATATAACCCAAGTTGCGAATCACGACAGTCGTTAATATTCTCAGGTTGAATAATTAGCTCCGCAATACCAGCGCTCAACTTCCTCAATTCTCCTAGTCTTCACATCTCCTTCCTTGTCATATCCTGACAGATAATCTTCTTTACCTCCATGGACACAAAAGATCATGTTGTCAATGACAACAGACAGAGTCAAGTAGTCAAAAAGATCCGTAAAGTAATGCCAGACATCCGATGTCCCGTATTTTTTCATACACTCCGTGTAGAACCCGTATGTCTAGTTGAAAATTGGAGATAATAACGATTGCGCATTAGGTACAGCTATGAATACACTCGTTTTGCTGCTTAGTCTTGAAAGGAGTTGATGCTTACAGAAGTAACGGCGCGCGACTCATGGTTGCCACGGACGAGTTGGACTCTGTCTGGGTAGCGTAGTTTCAGACACGTCAAGATCGAGATGGTTTCGACACTGTACAATCCCCGATCCACATAATCGCCTATTTCACACGAACGACGCGTCAGCCGGCCAAAAAAAATGAAGAAACGCGTTAATGATAGGGTGTCCTTGTAGAAGTCCTTTCCTCCCTGTCACAGTCATTCAGAACAAAAGACGAAGCAAAAAAAAAAAAAAAAAAAAAAAAAAAGGCGCGCAGAAACGCCAGGTTGATAATGACCCCAACATACCTAAGAAGAGATAGTTCGTGTCTGGACAGTACCCGCCTATCTTGAATATCTCTAATAGATCATAAAACTGACTGATATATATCGAGCAGTAGAGTAACATTGACTATTAGCGCAACCTTCTCAACCTTTTTTTTCCTCACCCACAAGAGGCCCCCCATCACTTGTCCCACCACCACCACCTCTGTATGCTTGCATGCGCCCTTTCATTCGCAACAAATAAAATGCAATAGTCGTTACCCATGAATGTCTCCAACAACAGTGACGGGCGCTTTGATATGGACGACGTTACTCTCGGACATGAGCAGCTCCTTGGTCTTCTCACAGATCTCCTTGATCACCGACTCGGCCAGGAGTTGCCGTTGGAAGAGAGATTCTATGCATGCGTCCAGGTCCAGTACCATTTAGCTTCCTTTTTTTTGTTGTTTGCTGAGGGAAGTGAGTGAGCGAGGAGAATTGCGTTGGGCTGAATGTGTGAAGTGGTGGTGAAGTAAAAGGTCGATGGGTGCACTGTACTGCAAAAGGAGGAGAGGAGAGAGGAGAGAGAGGAAGGCTAGTTAGAATGTCAAGCAGGGGTAGGGAATGAGAAGAAGTAGGTGGTGAGAGGAAGGAAGGAATAAAGGAAGGATAGAAAAAAGAGTCAAAAAGCGCAGGAGGTGATTTGTGCCCTACTTTCCTTTCCTTGCCTTGCCTTGCCTAGCACTTCAAGGGGGGAAGAAAGTATATTTGTCACACAGGTCACATTGGACACCTACTCGCCATACTCACTACAACACATGTCTTTCTTCCTGGGCACACTGCCAACGTTGCTGTTGTGCATCACCATGAATTGGATCAAAAGAAATCCCCACTGCAATGCAGAACGTCACTTCAGCTGGCATGACCGGTGCCTCTCTCCATATAAAGTCACAACCAACAACCAATATCGAAAGGGAAAAAAAAGAGCGCGTGTTTTTATTCAAGAAGAAAGGGATCTGTTGACAGTGCTTGACATTGTTGTTATCGACGATGACGAAGACAAAAGGGATTCCATCGCTTAATCGATGAAGTACTCCAAGGGGGTGTCCTTGTCCCAGATGGCGCACTCGGGGGTGGTCAAGAGCGAGTAGAAAGTGATCTCCCCACTGTTCGACTTGTGGGCGCGAGCGTGGATGTACTTCCCGTCACCCAAGTGGATCTTGCCGAAGTAGTTGCTATAAGTGGAGTGATGAGGAGTATCATTTTAGCAACCAACGTGCCAAAAAAAAAAAAAAAAGTCGCGCGGGAAGGAAGGGGAAGGGAGAGCATTGAGAGCGGAACGGTAAAAAAAAGTTTTGTGTCGGGAAAGTAACAAAAAAGAAATAACGACACGACCAAAAACAACAAGGAAGAGTTGAGAACAGCAAAAACAACGAATGCGTTGTTGTTGTCCCTGTTGGTTTGAAAGAGTGTGACAAAAGAGTGACGAAACTTACCGGCCAAAGGCAACATCCTCGTAGGCATAGAGGACGGGGGTGTACTCGGTAATGTGCTTCACTAGATATGATGAAGCAAAAAAAAAGAGGGAAGGGATAGTGAGGACGCGAAAGGATAAAGGCAACAGGGGCACCACCAAGGCTGGCAAGTGAGTGAGAACGTGTTGGAGTGTGGGCGTGTGGGCGTGTGAGAAAAAGATGCGAAGGAGCTTTGCATTGTCCACAAACGCTCAACGCGCTTACTTCGCCCTTCGTCTCTCTCTCTCACGCACACTCTTTTCCGCGGCAATGTTTCTCAAGTGTCGTCGTCCATCCATCCTCGTCGAGTGGGTTGGGTTGGACTGGGTTGGTTGGTTGGGTATGTCCTCTCACGTTGTGTTGTTGTCCCTGTAAAAGTGTGGAAGTCAGTTCTTACACTTGTCCATCTCGTGGAGGCCGTGGCGGTCATCGTCGCGGTTGATACGGTGGATCTCCTTAAGGACAGCCTCCTTGACGGTCTCGAAGACTATTATTCAGTTGAAGGAACAGAGTGTGAGAAAAATAAATACGCGTTTCTTCACGTTGTAAAGACAAAGAGTTGAATAAAGAACTTGAAAGAAGGAAGAGGGGCAGTAAGCGTACTAGTCTCGGCTTCGTCGTCGGCAGGGATGGGCTTGGTCATGCTATTGTGGTGGACGTCAGACATGGCGAATGTGTTGTTGGTGGTGGTGAAGGGGAGAGGGGTGGTGAGATGATGAATGGGAAAAAGAAGAAGAATATGCCAAATTCCTCGGTTGAGGCTATTTGTACCAGCAGTTGAACGGAGGCTTGCCTGCCCTGCCTTGTTATGCGCCCGAGTGTACAACGCCGTGTATGCTTGCTTACCTACTGCATGACTTGTCTTGACTCTGCCTTCAACTGCTGTTCCTGGTCTTCTTGGATGAATGCGATTTTGGGTCAGATGAGCCCACATCCAATTGACCCTTCCACGCACCCCACTGCCCATTTGTCTTCTTTCTTTCTTCTAGATCTTTATTTACAAGCGACGCTATTCCGGGAGATATTCCTCAAGAGCCAAGAGTTATGTAAGGCACCAATGCCAGACGAACCCCTGTCCTCCGCGAGTAGTCGCCTCCATCAACGTCGACATGTCGCACATAAACGTGCTCACCGTCTTGATCTTCTGGTCCTCCATATCCTTCCGCACCTTGGGCTCCAACACCTCGATCGCCTCCAGGTACTTCTCATCCCCATAGATATGCCACCCAATCTGCAAACACTTCAAGTAGTCCGTCATATCATACCCCTTCAGGTTCTCCACCGGCCAACCCTCCCCTCCCGCCAACGCAAACGGCAACATGAAGTCAATCGCCTTCTTGATCGATTGCCCCTGGGGTCCCTCATAGAACCACATATCCACCCCCAAGTCATCCCCCCATCGAGCCAATGTCATCAATGCTTGCAGGTTGAACACCGAATAGTACCACGACGTCTTGCGCTCCATTTCCTCTGGCTGCTCTCCTCTGGCCGTGATCTGGGGGTCGATACGAGTGTGCAATGCCTGCAAAGCCACCTCGCGTGCGTCGTCGACTCGGCCCAGGAACAGGTAGATGCCGATGATCTGGACATCAAAGTATGTGCCGTGGTTGTTGTTGCCCTTGCGCTCGACCTTGGCCAACGTTGACGTCTCGAGCCATCGCACATACCGAGTAAACCACTCCTGCAACTGAGGGATCAAATCCTGAGGCCACGTCGGTTCCTGTTTCAAATAGTGCAACGCGTCAAACACCCTATTCAAGTTGATGGAGTATGAGAAAGTATCCGTTAGTAAACACACTTCTTAATTGTCTCCTTGGGCGCGCTTGTAATAAAGTCAAAAGGCACAATCCTCGTAGTATGTTCATTAAGTGCAACTACTGCGGCGAAACAAAAAGGAAAATAAACGTACCGGAAGATGGTAAACATGTCAAGAACACCAGTCCTCGCCCCCAACTTCTCCCCCTTCCTCAAAGACCCATAATTAAAATTCGGATTCATATACGTCGCCTCGTCCAAAAACCATTCCTTCAACCGCATCGCACACTTGTCCGCAAACTCCTTCCTCCCAGTGAAATGGTACGCCATCCCCATCATATGGACCTCCCGGATCATGGTCCTCAACAGACGGTAATCCCGCACGGTCTCAATCTCCGGGTTGACATGTCCATCGATCCGTTTGTAGGGCAGTCCACCGGGCTTGTCCTTGTTGGGCCAAAAGTATTTCGAGAGGGAGAGGTAGTCGTGGATGTCGTTCGAGGGCGCCATTTGGTTCTTATTGGTCACGGAGTAGACTTCGGTCGATGCCAGGGCTAGCTCGGCTTCGCGAACCATCAAGGCGATAGCATACTCGCGCTCGCGACGGACGGCACTTAACATCTGGGCATAGCTGACGGGGGACGCCTTTCGGGCGCGGGCTGCAATCGCAAGCGCGGTTTCTGTTGTCTCGCCTTGGTCACCAGGGTTGACCACATTGCCATCGTCATCGACCTGCACTTGTTGTTCCGACTCTCCTTCAGCACCGCCACCAGACTCACCATTCCCTCCCTCGTCTCCTCCTGCTAAAGATGGATTGGACTCCAGCTGAATGGGCGGTGCTTGCTGTGCGGGCTGTTGAATGGGATACTCCTGTCCATATTGCACTCCCCTGACTGGCACAGGAGGCGGTGGCCTTCTACCACCATGTGCACCAGTATTATCATCTGGCAAGACTGGGTTAGGAAGATCCTCATACGGATCGTGTTCCTGATGCTTGACCTTTGGAAAGCCCGACGCAGAATCTGGTTTATTAAGCCCCAACACGGTCGAGAGGACAATGTAGACAAAGAGACAGGACCCCGAGAAGAGAATAACGCGACGGAGAGTGACCCTGCCGATGGGTGAGGCGCCAGAGCCGCCTCCTCCTCCTGTAGGTGAGTTGCCTAGACTGATGCCGCCGCCTCCTAAACTGGAGAGGATGGGCTTGTCCTTGAACTGTGGGCCAGAGTGTGACGGCAGCACTGAGCTATTGCGCATTGCCATCGTGTGTATGTTTGCGCGCGCGTGTGTGTGTATGTGGGTGGGTGGGTGGGTGGGTGAGAATGCAAGTCTTTTAGAGATTGGTGCTGTGTTAGTTTAGTGGCAAAAGGACAATAATGTGGAGAGGATCTAGGATATGAATGTAAAATGAATGGCTGGAAGTGATATGAATGAGAGTGTCCTGAAGTGCAAGTGAAATGAGAGTGATAGTGCAATGGTGAAAGGGTAAGTGAGAAGAAGAAAAACAAAAACAAGAGGGGGAGTAGAAAAAAGAATAAGAGTAGAGGAAAAGAGGAAGACAGAAATAGGGAGGAAAAGAAGGAGACCCAAAAATGTAAGAATCTGAAAAAAGAAAGGGGACAAGACTAACTCGGTGTGTGGAATGATCCCACAATGGTCCTTCTTGATTCCTTAGATTGTTATTATCCATCCAAAAGACCACAAGGGGTCAGCAACTCTACTATTTTGCCACTCTTTCCTTCCCTCCTTCTCTCCCTTTGACCAGACTTCGCAAACAAGTGCTAAGAAGAATTGCGCATCATTCCCTTCCCCTCTTTCAGGCAAACAACTGACCCCTTTGGACCCTTTCCTCCATCTATTCCTGTTCTTTCTGTCCCTTTTTTTTGGTCGCCCCAACACGCCTCACGCCTCACAACAAACATAGAGCAAAATATAAGCTCCATCAAGGTTTGTGGCTGTACAAGAGTAGTATTTTTATTTTTGGTATCGTTTGTTCAGTGTTGTATGTGCAAGATAGATGGGCTTTGCAGCAAAAAAAAAAAAAAGTACACTTCTCTAATCGATCCACTTGGCACCAATAGCATAGGCAACAAAGGCAATCTTGTCGGTCGTCTCGGCGATGCGCTTGGAGATAGGCTTACCAGCACCGTGGCCAGCCTTGGTCTCAATGCGGATCACAAGTGGCCTGTCGGTCAAGGGTCCCGCAGTGTGCTGCAATTCCGCAATATGCTTGAACGAGTGCAAAGGCACAACACGGTCATCGTGATCAGAGGTGAATAGTGCAACAGCAGGGTAGGGCTTGTCCTTGCGAACGTTGTGAAGGGGAGAGTATTTGAGCAAGGTCTGGAAGTCCTCGGGCTTGTCATCGGGGAATCCATAGTCCGACTGCCAGGCGTGTCCAATGGTGAACTTGTGGAAGCGCAACATGTCCAAAACACCGACATCTCCAATGACGGCTCCAAAGAGCTCGGGGGCTTGGTTGACACAGGCAGCAACAAGGAGTCCTCCGTTTGATCCACCATGAATGGCCACACGCGAGGCCTTCGTGTAGTTCTCCTTGATCAAGTACTTGGCGGCGTACTGGAAGTCGTCAAAGACGTTCTGCTTGTTGTGGACCGTGCCGGCCTTGTGCCACTCCTCTCCGTACTCTCCACCACCGCGAAGGTTGGCGACTGCGACAACACCGCCAAGGTTCTGGACAAAGACAATGAACGAGGGGCTGTAGCTGGCCTGGAGAGGGATGTTGAATCCACCGTATCCGTACAAGTAGGCAGGGTTGTCGCCGTTGAGGACGAGGCCCTTCTTGTGAGTGATGAACATGGGGATCTTGGTGCCGTCCTTGCTCTCGTAGAAGACCTGCTTGGTCTCGAACAGGGTGTTGTCAAAGTTCTTGACCTGGGACTCGCGGAAGATCGACAGACGCTTGGCCTCGTCCTCGACCTCAAAGCTGTAGCGATAGATGGTTCCGGGGGTCAGGTACGAGAGGAAGTAGAAGAAGAACTCCTTGTCGACGCGGCGACCGTTGACTCCAGAGACGGTTCCGACGGGGGTCTCGATCTGGCGGATGAAGGCACCAGTCTTGAGGTCGTGGATAACCAGGACTCCCTTAACATCGCGCATGTAGTCCAATACCAAGTAGTCGCCGTTGACAACAGTCGCGCCGCTCAACACATCCTCCGACTCGGCAACAACGTCAGTGAATCCCTATGTTGTCATATAATAAAATAGCAGAGCATTAGTAATCAAGCTTAATGAAGAGTCTTGCAATGACGAATCCTCTGTTTCATGATGAATCCTTCGTTCTTACCTCCTCGGGTTTGGTCAAATCGTACTTGACAACCTTGTCGCGAGGAGCGTCCTTGTTGGTGGTGAAGTAGAAGACAGTTTCGTCGTTGGCCAAGCTATTTAAAAGTCGACAATAATAAGGAGCAATTATTAGGAACTTGACTTTTCCTCACATGCGCAATACGCAATAATCAAATAGTGTGAGTCTTTCCAAGAAAAAAAAGTGCATACTAGCTGTAGTGGGCCTTGAAGTTATCAACGACCTTGGTCCACTTGTGGTCCTTGGGGACGATGCTGCCAGTTTCCTCGAGGTTGGCGATGTAGAGCATGTTGACGTTCTCGCAGTCGCGGGTGATGCCCAAGAGGAGGTACTTGCCATCGTCCGAGATCTCGGCGCCGGGAGAGTGGAGGGGGTTCTCGGTATCCAAGTAGACGAGGACATCCTCGGACTGAGGGGTTCCGATCTTGTGGTAGTACCTATTGAGACAGGTCATTGATGCCTCATGTCAGTTGGAGGGTTCTTTGACGTGTCATTTGTCCATGCGATTAGGAGGAAAGAAGCCAAAAAAAAAAAAAAAAAAAAAGCAATAGTTACAATCTCTTGTTGATGTTGACGCCAGTCTCGGTACCGGCCTTCTCGGCATCGACGTCAGGCTTCTCGTAGCTCTACAAAGGTAACAGCAATAAAAGGAAGAAGCAATTAAGTGAGCATTGCGAAGTGAGAAACAGGGATGGATGGTTACGAAAGTGTCACGCGGCACATTCAAGAAACGAACTCCGAAGAGGAACACAAAAGATGTCTTCTTGGGCATCGCCAATTAATTTTTTAGCCTCGATTTCATATCCTATCCCGCATCACATTTTCACATCATATCCTTTTGTCCATTTTGTCAATAAGCAAATAACAATAGAAACAAATGAAAATACGAAACTTACTCCATAGTAGAAGCCCTTGTCATCATGGGTGAACGAAATATTCGTAAACTTGGCCCACTCGACCACATCCTCGAGCTTGTTGCCCTTGTTATCCATCACATAAATGGTCACCCAATCCGATCCAGACTTGGCAATCGCATATCCATACAACAATCCCGATTTCGAAAACGCATGGGTTGAAAGGGCAGCAGTGCCATCGGCCTCGAGAGTGTTGGGGTCGAGGAAGACGCGGGGCTCGGAGTCGATGGTGTCCTGTTGGTAGAGCACGCTCTGGGCCTGGAGACCGGTATTGCGGGAGAAGTAGTAGTAGTCGCCACGCTTGTAGGGGGCCGAGAAGCGTTCGTAGTTGTACAATTCCGTCAAGCTAATGTTGTTAGTGGTGGTGGGGGAATGCGTGGGAAAGAAATCAAAATCGTTGTCAGGATCCAGTTCAACTTGAATACGCCAAGAACAAATAATACAACGTGGCACCCATGGCAACAATGAATGAAAGAACAATGAAGAAAGACATACCGCTCGTTGAACTTGGTCTTGCCGTCAAACTTGTTCATGTACTCGGCAGAGAGCTCGTTCTGGGCATCGATAAAAGCCTCGGTCTCCTTGCCATGGGGGTCCTCAAGCCAGCGGTAAGGGTCGGCAACCGAGGTGCCGTGCTGCTCATAGGAGAAGTCGGTACGGCGGACCTGAGGGTAGGTAATCTTACCGTCCAGGGATGTTGTGCGAGCGTCGGTGTTGACCATGACTTGGGTGTGTTGTTGGGTCGAGGGGTGGTGAAAAGTTAAAGGGGTGAGGGTGATGGCGATAAAAGAAGAAATGAGAAAAGAACAAAAGAACAGAAAAGAAGGAGCCCTATTTATTAGAGAAGGGTACCCCCTCTAACCCATTGTCCAGCCAATCATTCAATTCATCACGAAAATCGTGCAATTCACGAACGAGAGTGATGAAACAGGCACACACATACACAAGGAAAACGGAATCAACGCGAAGAAACACACGTCGCTCTCAACGCTTGCTCATGGGATCATGCATCGACGAATCATATCAGCCACTGGAGAAAGAAAAAAATTGATGGGGGGTAAAGGGCACCAAAAGACAATGGATGACACACACACACAAGATGAGAACCATAAAAGGCGCTCAAAATCCAATTTTCTTTCGTGGTGCCCCATCACGGATTCCGGCGTGAGCCCTCCCAACACCAAACCAAAAACCATCTTGTCAAAAAAGGAAACGTCGTTCTCAGGACCATCGTTCGGTTTCTTTTTTCTCTTTGTCGACAACAAAAAAAGGTTCATTCATCCGGAGGGGGGAATGAGGCGTAACTGCTGTACATTCGCTCACGTAAAGCGTTTCAAAGTAGTTCGCTGGCAAAGCACAAAAGGAAAATGGCGAGAGTGAGCGTAAACGAAGGCGACATGACATAAAAAAGGCTACAGCCCAATCGTGAAGGCAGTGCTACCATGGATAAACCCATAGCTGCATACACTATGGAGTCGCGGCTCAATTACGACCATACGTTCTTCGTGATGACAATGTTGTGATAGTAGTGTAGACTGTCGCCTGCTTTGCCTTCACCCTCACCTGTGCCATCATCAGTTATCCCTTGCACCAACACCAGTCCTACCGGCGCCATCACTACCAACTTGGCCATCATCTGTGCCAACACCACACACCTACCTTGCCCTTTCCTGTCGTTTCTACACCTGCCGCCGCTCTTCCTTCTTGCTAGCCCCCTTGCCCTTCTTGATTACCCCTGCTGATACATAGCAATAGCTTGTAGCGCGCCGTGAATATGAATATCATAGTCAGACGATTCCTGCTGCCTGGTTCAAAGTGAAGAAAATATATGTTGTTTATTTGATGAAGACAGATGACACGCATATAGATTCACTTGGATGGCCAGAGGACTGAATGTGTATGGTGAGTGGGATGTGAGAAATAAAATAAAGGTAAGAGTCCTGCGAGTGCATCATCCTGACACGTTTAATGAATGGAAGTACCGGTAGTGGTGGCGGTGTCGAGCCCCGAGGCGGCGGCGGAAACCCTGGCCCTAGCACGGTCCAAATGTGAATCAATCTGACCACGGTGCTGAGCCAAGAAAGGGCGCAAGATCCTCGTGTAAACAACCGTAGCACCCTATTTTTTTGCATGAATAAATTTGTTCGCAAGTTAGTGCCACCGGAATTGCGACTTTTTCCTTCTTTTCCCGCGGGAGGAGGATATCCGTAAAGTAGAAAGACAGGTTTGTTGTTTTTCATGGTCGATGTTGGTGGGCTTTTGGACTTTTGGGAGACATATTTACGTTGAAAGTGGGCAGCATCAACCAGAGGAGAAGGACCGTCTTGAGGAAGAAGTAGAAGGGGAACCAGTACAACAAGACATCCGTGAACGACTCCAAGATGGACACGAATCCGTAAACAGTCCTGTGAAGGTGATAGGTAACAGTAACAAAGAGAAGAGATGAGCTCCTACAGGAGTTAGGTATCTTGTGCACCATTACGCCATTTATCCGATAAACATCATGATTGCTTGACCCGCATCTAAGACTGTTGTTACCAGTAAGTCAACCTACACGTTAAAAAGGCACGAACAAAAGCGAGAATAAAAAGGCAAAGTTAGTTATCAATTAAGACTTCCTTGCCTGCTGTCAGGCAAAGACGCCGCCTATACTTTAACATGTACTACCCACAAGACACCAAACCACCACAACCCACCACCAAATCGCCACAACCCACCACCAAGCAGGCACCGAAACACTGCCTGCCCAGCTCAAGCCAAGGCTACGACCTTGAGCACTCCAATAAGGTACATACGCCCCCTATAACACGATAGTGTCAACTTACCACTGCGTATCATCGTCTTGGCCCTGAGACTCGAGGGCCTTGAAAGACCTGTAGGAAGGATAGACCCAGCCGAGGATGTTGGAGAGGAGCTTTCCTGCAAAGTTGAAAAAGATCATAGTGATGAAGAACGCGCCACCGCCCAGAGCCAGGTAGGTCTTGGGAAGTCCTGTTGCTGCCTGGAACTGATTGAGTTGAGGGACCTTGCTCAGCTCTTTATCCAACTGAGCATGGTAAAGACGTGCTATTTGGGAATGGCGGTGATGTGCGTGTGAACGTTTGAGAGTATCGGGTCAGCGCACTGTCTCAGTAGTAAGGTGCATAAATAACTTTGGGCGATTTTACTCTGTTCGCGCAAGTCTGGAGCAAGCTGTTGTACCTTTGGCTTGAATGTTCTCCATGGTGAATGAATGAATGGATGAATGAATGAATGTAAGTGTGAGAGTGGAATGAAAAGGGGAATGAAGAGAAGAGAAAGAAAAAGCAAAAAATGACCAGAGAGATAAACAACCAAGCGCTTTTCCTTCATGCGGCTGCGAGTTGGCTCGGACCTCTTTCCGCAATTCCTTCGCTTCTTTTCCTTCCACCCAGCGATTGAGTGATGTCATGCCTTCGCAGTGTGTCCTTTGTTCAAAGAAAATAAAGACTAACTAAACTACTTCACATGCCATTCCTACGAACAGCAGTCATGATCTGCTGCTGTTGTTGTTGCTAAGCTTCCACCCACACGACACCTAGCAAAACGAGAGATCACAATGGGAGTCTTGCTTGTCCTTTTCCGTAGTTCGAGCTTATTCCTGGATTCGAGTGAAGCTGCGACCTCCTCGTGGCTTGTCGTTCAACTTGGGGTTGTTTTTCGTCAACATCTCCTTGCCCATCTTTGCAAAGTCAAAGTCACAGTCGTGCTTCGACGTGTCCTTGTGTGAATCGCAGAAGACGAAATCTAGAAGGCATAAAATGAATAGAACGGATGAATAAGTATTCTTTCAACTCGGATAACAACGTAGTCAGTTTCAATTGAGCAGAATGCTGGTAATGGCGTCTTACCACATCGGCACTTGTTAATTGTCTGCTTTGCAAGAGGGATCTATTGTTGGTGAACGAGTTGCCGGTAAAATGGCGTCAGTCAAATGTGGCGTTTTCATGCCAGCTGCAGCAACGGTTACTGTCACACCATCCTGTGTCCAGCACTCCCCCAATTCTTTTCAAACAGACAACACGGACCCACTCTATCCGTAATTTGGGTTTCGACAATCAAAAATCCAGGTCCATATATGAGAAAAAAGTCTTATAAATACCTTGGCACGGCACATGTAGCAGCGGCCCTTGTTTACTTGAGGTGGACGCTCACCCGGTGCGAGACCCTCCAAAGCATCCGAGGCAATCGAAGTAGGCGTGCTGACACCGCTGCCTGAAGAGGGTGTAGGAGTCGAAGAGGCTGGGATGATGGGCGAGGCGACTGCATTGGCAGAATTGGAAGCGACTGTCGGTACAGGTGCCTGGACAGGTGTGGATGCGTCAGATGAGGAAGAAGTAGGGGGTGTCGAGAGAACCGAAGGAGCGGGTGCCTGAGAAGGCTGGGCGAGCTTTCCCGTGAATCCCGAAGTGGTCACAGTGGCGGAGGCTGCAGCCTGAGATGCGTTGTTCTTTTGGTTCAATTCCTTGAAGCACTTTGAGCACATGTTGTTGTTTATGGGGTTTCTATCAGGTCAAGAGTGATGGAAAGTATGAGTGATGGTGATAGAACGTACAACGTCGACCACACGAGGATATATGGTAGTATGAAAAGGTTCACTCTTCTGGAGAAGCAAAAAGGGGACGAAGAGGTAGAACGTGTGTATGTGTGTCTGTAAATCACAAGCATATGTCTTTGTTGTGCAGGCCACACAAAGAGTTACAAAAAGGGGGAGGAGGAGTGAAGGGGTCGCAAAATACAAAGGGGTGCAACATGGTTGGCATGCTGGAGCAAGCACAAAAACACACACTTGGTTTTCGCCCGAGTGTTTTCTTTTGCTCAGCTCATAGTTTAGTATGTCAGGTTGACACACAGACAGGAGGGACGACAAGAAGGATAGGGCGGCAAAAAAAATAAAATTAGAATCCAGGCCATATGGCATCACCCACAAGACACCAACAAAAGGGAGAGAAGAGTTGTTCATGGGGTGAATGAAGGAGAGAAAGAAGGTTGGAGGCCATGGCAGGACCCAACATTCAAATTCAAAAATAAAAGAGAAAGGCGAACGTGCCCAATATGTATAGCAGGTATTTGTGGGACCATGAAAATAAGTAGGCGAGAGTGAGGGCGGGCTTACCCGTAGAAGCCGCATCCGTTTGCGCAGGTGATGGGCAGGTTCTGAGCGTTTTGTGCATTATTGTCTTCCATGGTGGTTGTTGTGGTTGTTGTGTTTGTGTGTGTGAGTGAGTGAGTGTGTGTGCAGGTGTAGGAGAAAGGAGGAAGAAGGATAAGATGTTTTCCTACTCCTGTATTAGTGTTGAACGAGAGTGAGTGTTGTTGCTGAGGGACAGAATGTGAATGTGAGGCAGGGAATGAGAGAGAGAGAGAGAAGAGGGTGTGAATGTGGATGTGTGGCAGAGGAGAGGAGAGAGGGAAGAAGAGTAGTTATGAGAAGAGAGAAGGGGAGTATGAGGAGGAGGAAGAAGAAGAAAAGGTTGAAAATATTTTTTTTTGGCTTTGTTGCCAGCAAAGCCGCGCGTGGTTCGTCCTGTTCTGCTTGAAACACTTACTCTCGTTCTTTATTTCTCACTGTGTCTCCTACACATACAACACATTCATACACACACACGGGTGGACAACAACAGCTCTCTATTTCAAGGCACGGCACCAAAGAGAGCACGCGAAGCAGGGAGACAAGAAGGAGGAATACAAATGAGCAAGCAGCAGTGCAGGGGTTTATTATTATTATGATTATCGACAATGGGCTATGGTACAAAGGAGGATCTATATCTCTACCTCACACACACACACACACACTCATCTTGCAGGCTGTGATGTGACCCATGGTGTTGCAAAGGCAAAGTTAAACAAAAAAAGGTTGCTGATTGGTTCCCTTGCTACAACACTCCACCACTCTCTTCCTCAACTCCTCGATGGACAAAGCGCTGTTGCTCGTACTACCACAAATCACACTTCTTGTCGGGGTTCATCGGCGCCTTAGCCTTGCACTTGAAGGCCTCGGCAAAGCCCACAGAGTTCTGGACAGCACCGTTGATCCTCCATTTGGCCGGACTATGCGGATCCGTTCTCATCTGGCGAATCGCAGATTCGGGTCTCTGTTTGCTACACCAGGGACGAGCAAACGAAATAAAGAACAACTGTTCAGCCGTCAATCCCTCCAACCCGGGGAGCTGGTAATTATTGTATCGACGTCCTGCTGGGTCAGAGTTGTAACGACCTCTCCAGGTGTCAAAGGATTGTTTGAGGCCACCATTGTCGGCAATGTTCTCGCCTAACGTCAATTGGCCGTTGACGTTGTAATCCTTCCCGTCCGATCCCTTGACAGTGAAGTTACCGTATTGGTCGATGAAGCATTGTGCCTTCTTGTTAAATGCCTCTGTCGTCGAGTTTGACCACCACTAGAAGATGAATTGACAACGAAGAAAGAAATAATAAGATTTCTGGCAATAGTGACACCCCACCTGTACATCCCATGAGAAACGATCAAGGTAAGCCCCCAGAAACTTACATTGGCAAGGCGTCCCAGGGCATCGAATTGGTGACCCTTGTTGTCAAAGCCGTGCTAATGAAAGTGAAAAAAAGGCATGGTTTATGTCAGCAAAAGGCAAAAAGGTCAACAAATAAAAAGGAGAAAAGAACGCGTGGTTTGACTTCATACCCTCTCCCCTTTCTTTTCCCTCCCTAGTAACTCAGATCAAAAATACACCTGATAACCTTACCGTGATTTCATGGCCTGCAACGACACCGATGCCTCCCCAGTTGATGTACTCTGGGTTCTCAACATGGAAAAAGGGCGGCTGCAAGATTCCGGCGGGAAAGACAATCTGGTTCTCGGTCGGGCTGTAGTAGGCATTCACTGTCTGGGGCGACATGTGCATCTTCTTCTTGTTGACAGGCTTGTCGAGCTCATTAAAGTACTTCTCTGCGCCCCACACATTCACCCTCAGCTGGTTGCCGAAATAATCTTTGGGATCGACCTTGTAGTCCTGGTAGTAGACTTCGACGTTTTTGGAGGATCCGACATTGGGAGAGTTGGTTGAGAAGCCCGTCAATTGGACAATCGCCTCCATCTTCTTGATCGCCCCCTTGGTGGTCGCATCGTCCAGCCAGTTGAGGTTCGGAAAGGACTTGAGGTATGTCTCCCGGAGAGACTCGATCATATCGCGGACCTGGGTGCGACTGTTGCCCTTGAACAAGTCCGAGATAAAGTACTGTCCGGCCATGTCGCCCAGCTGCGAGTTCACCACCGCAACACAGGTCTTCCAGCGATCGGGAACAACATCCGCAGAGACACCTGACAGAGCAGCGTTCAAGGCGCGCAGGGGCTGACGGTACGGGAGGTTCAAACTTCCGGCGAACTCGCGAATGACTATCCAGGAGATGTAGTTCTGGATTGTCTTTGGAGATGTCTTTTGGAGGAGACCTTCGAGACGCTCCTGGAAGCCGGGAGAGTTGACGACGATGATGTCGGGTATATCAGCCTTCTCGGGCAAGATAATCTGGACAATCAGGCGCCAGTCAATCGACGGGGTCATCGCTCGGATCTGGTCTAGCGTCCTGGGGTTGTAGCTCTTCTCGGGGTCACGTCTCTCCGTCCTGTCAGTCGCGATGCCAGCGAGTAGCTTCTCGAACGCAACCACGCCCTTGGCGGCCTCCTCCCACTCGGACGAAACTACGACTTCGATCTTGGTGCTGGTTCCATTGTTGATCTCGAGACCCTTGCCCTGCATCAGCTCGAACATACGTGCGACAGTCGTCTGGTATACGGTCGTGATCCGCTCATCCAGATAGTACTCCTTGGAAGGGAGGCCTAACCCTCCCTCACTCAAATCCATTAGATGACGTGTGGGATCCTTAACATCGGTCGACACACCAAACGAGCTAAAGGAATCCAATCCAATCCTATTCAGATGTGCCAACGTTGTTGAGAGTGCCATTCTGTCCAGTGTGGTGTCAGTGGCGGTAGCAGGGAACAAGTCGAGAATAGTCTTGAGTTGGTCCACGACAGGTTGGCGTCCGACTTTGGCGATCTGTTCTTCATCCATGCAACTGGCGTAAAGGTCCTTGAGCTTTTGAAGATTGCGTCCTGCAGCGATTTTGTCATCGATAACCTCCAACTGTGGGTCGCTCTCCGGAGAAACGATGGATCGAATAACATGCTATTGTTTTATATATTCCCCGTCAGTGGTATGGGCTGCTGTTGTGAGCGCATTGCACGGTCTCATTCGACAACACAAGTTTCTTTAACAGAATGAGATTACGGAGTAGAAAACGTACGTTGTTCTGATCGGCGACAATGCGAAAGTATCCGATCGACTCCTTGTCAGCCGGAATCTCCTCGCGTTCCCAAAATCCACCGCCTGTATAAAAAAGAAACCCATCAAAAGAAAAAAAAGCACATGTCAGCATCATCCTTCTTCATCTTCCTTCATCGCTTTCGCTTCCCTTGTGTCAACTGCTGTCACGTACAAGTATAGGCACTAAAGTCTTCGCAGGGGTCGACGGTGGGGTTCATGTCGCGGATAATAGAGGCTGCTGTCTGGGCGCACTGTGATGATGTGCACACGTCCTACAAAAAGAGTTATCAAATTGAAAAAATGAGTTTCGTTGTAGGAGTGAATGCCGATCTATCAATTTTCCAGAGTCACAAAAGAGGAGACGTACATTGTTGCCCAGTGTAGAGGGGGCTGCATGAACGACTTGCAGTGCCATGCCGATCGCCATGAGCCAGTACATCTTTGAGGGGGCCATCTTGTGCACTAGTAGATAGCGAATAATAATAAAAAAAGAGTTGATCTAGCAACCGGAAGGATGTGGAAAATGGATATTCAAAAGTGAAGGGGGATTGGAAACGTTGTGTGATAGCAAGTAAGAGAGCGAAGCTGGTCTTTATAGTTGACTGGCCAGTCGTTGTTAAAACGAAAAAAATAAAATAGCAATGTAACGTATTTGTTCGACTGTAACATTAAGGATGGATTGGAAGCGGCTTTGACAGCATACGATGCATCAAACCCGCCTCGCAGGTAAAAAACATTTCGCCTAAAGGAGAAAAAAGAAGGTTTATAGCGCGTTGTTGGCTGTGTTGAAAATCACAAGTGCATCGCTTGACGTGGAGGTGGAAGGGAGAGACCACTGACAATAGTACCATGGGATTGGACTGAACTCGAACTGACAGTGAACAACGAAACGCATTACCCCTGGTGACCTAGAGTTTACTGTGCGTTGTATCTATCAGCACCATTTCTTGATTTTACCTTTGGGGTGGTCAAAGAGTCCTATCGCTCGCATTACCACGTTGACCAACTGGCAGAGGGATCGTCAAATTTCTTGACATGCGTTGAAGGTCTAAAAAATGAGAAAAAAAGCTCTCGCCCAGACACACTTTTGTAGGCTCCACCCACTATTACTAACTGAGACAAGTTGTGTCAGTCCATGGGTTTGTTTTGTTTGTTCGTTTGCGCGAAGAACAGGCATGGTCAGTTGTACCATGCCACCAATGCCCATTTTCGATTCCGTTTACGCGGTTTTTCATTTCCGTTTACGCGGGTTTCAATAACCACGATCTTGGGTGGCTTGACTGCTGATGGTGGTTTGCATTTTATGCTCAACTGCGATTCATGCAACAAATGTAGTATACATTTGTTGGTTCTGTTCTTTCCTTTCCTTGAAAGCTCAAATAAGTGCAAGAAAGAGAATAGGGCAGCCCGCTCGGCCCAGACTACCAAGCCTTGCAGAAACAAGCTTCTTGGTCACCTCAGATACCGAGACCCCATAGACATCATCAACCCCTCATTTCTCACCCCGCTCATCATCCCCAGCTTGAATTTGATATTAATAAGAGAGAGGGGGTATTAAGGCTGGCCAGATAGAACCCCCCTGCCCGGTCCACCACCCCCTCCCAACTCTCTCATGCCAAATGAATGACACAAAAGAGGAGAGAAAAAAGGAAGTAGTCAACAGACAGGGTAATGGGTTACCGACACAATAGCGCCTTCCAAATATTAGAGGTTTCGGCCCCTGATCTTTCACAGGGGATCTATATTATCCTTACTCGGTAGTCGAGGCATGAAGAGAACCTCATGGCTGCAGATGTGCGATCGTTTTTATGAAGGCGCAAATCTGACAAAATTTTCACCGAACCACTTTTGATCGCACTTGCTAGGTATATAACAAAAAACGCATTTTACTATCGGGTAACGCGACATCAAAGAATACTATGGATCCAACCCCCAGAACTGAACTTGGTCCTCGACAGCTGTCCAGATCCCATGCTGTCCAGGCGCGAACTGAAGACAACCGACGCTTCCATTAACCTTCAAATCACGAATCCTATCACCAGTACTCAAAGACCACAACGAGATCCGCTGGTCGATATTCTCAGCCGCCAAAAGTGTCTCTCCCGCATTGATGTCAAACAGCGTCTTTGAGAACTGGTCCTGGATTGGTCCACGAAAGTCCATTACAGGCTTCGCAAACGTACCCTCCGGCGAAGCCCCAGTCGGCTGGCTGCTACCCACGAATCGGGTGTCCCACATAAGGATTTCTCCGTTCATGGCCGACGTGACGAGGTAGTGGTCCCCGACTCGTTTCATACCCAGAACCGACGACTCCTTATGACCAATTCCTCGAAACAACGCTGTTGACCGCTTGTCCTTCTTGGACTCTGCTATTGCTAGTGCTGCCACATTAGGCTGTGAAAGATCAAAGATTCGGACCCGTCCGTTCCTGCAGCCAGCATAGACAAGATTCTGTCGTCCCAGAGGTGGCTCCATCGCAACTGAGAAGACATCACTACCAGTCCATAGTGAAGTAACAGTAGGTCTGCCTGATTTCCAATCCTGCAGCGCAATAACAGCCTTGTCTGCTCCGATCACTATCCTGTCCGCGGCGAGTTCGCTTGTCCATACATTCGACTTCTTGGGCGAGTACTCTAGTACAGCATGCCACGGCCCACTCTCGCCCGTTATAGATCCTGAACTCGTGTCTGCAAAGCTCTTTTGCACTCTGAGGACTCCCGATCGACCCATGTTCCCTAGATTTGTCGTTCTATAAAAGTAGCCCAGTGTGAGTTGGTATTTTCCGGATGAATGAAAACACATCCTTGTGCATGCAAACAGCGATTCTGCCACCTACACTAGATACTGGTCTCGTGTGACATGAAGCGACGTGAGTTCAGACGTTTCTCGCGAATCAAGCCGCATCCATTGAGAATGTGTATCTAAGGGACTGCTCGAAAAGTGATGCCGCCAGAGTTCTCCTCGTGATGTGCTCACATACAAGTCCTGCTTTTCAGAATCAACCTAAGAGGGACGAGTAGTCTTGCGTGAGTCGGTCATGTCATAGACAGTCTCCATCAAAGGATATAAGAACATATTGACTCTTACTACCTGCAGATGAGTATAAACGGCGCCATTTTCTGCAAGAACCGGTTCTGCTCGCTTGCTCCTGCGCCACTGCTTGACCATCAATTCATGCATGTGGCTAAATAAATACAAAATCATTTTATGTTTAGTGCGCCTTACAGCAGTAGCCAAAGCGAGTCGCAGTTGATCGAGACAGAGACAAATGTTAGCTCGTACCATAGCTGCCTACGAGGGCTTCCGGCTAACCCAAGCCGCCGATCCTGAAGAAACCAATCCAAGCGGCCATATCGTGTCGTCGATGTAGGAAATCGAGTGCTGGTGTATTTCTTGATAGGTTCGAGTGTTGGCTAATAGTCACCCGAAGGATAAGTACAGTTAGAATTAATAAATGACACGGAGCTCGCATGTTTCTGCGGCGACACAGGTACCGAGATCTGTCAGTACCTTCTTAGAGGACTTTTCCTTGATGCTCTGCTGGCTGAACGCGAACTGGCCACCAAGGGTATGGTTTGCCGTGATCTTGAAGTACTTTTTCTTTTCAAGGTCATAGTAGAATCCCGGTATATCTCTGACAACTGGGTCCTGCGAGGCTGAGCTTGCTGCAGGTTCAAGTGCAACTACAACAGCTCGGATCACTGGTGCGGCCTGGTTGATTCTCTCTCCATGGTGCTGGTTTTGGTGCTGTTGCGTCCTTGCTTGTGCTTGGTGTTGTTGCTGGTGCTGTCTTGGTTGATGTGTAATATGATTATGATTTAGACGTGGGCGTTGAAGTTGAGATTGAAAATGGCGTTGGGATTGATGTTGCTGGATTTGCCTTGGTTGTTGCCTTTGGGGTTGGTGGTGTGGGTGCTGGCTTGGCCGAGTATCTTCGTTTGAGGACCGAGGGCGTTTTGCTCCTGTTGACCTAAACTGCCCGTTATAGTGTTGTTGGTTGTTGACAGGTCTGTGAGGAATACGGTTACTCTGTTGACTTGAACTCTCCCCGTTTTCGGTGGTGTTCTCCCGTGGCCCTCGCGGTCTCCATTCCTTTCGCTTGTTTGACATGGCCGTAGTAGAAGGGATCTCGCCTTGAAAATAATTGAACAGGATTTTTTCTTCGATCATTTTGAGTTCAGCAAAGAAGGCTGAGAAAACGAGTCACAGGCGGGCTTTTGATTCAGCCATTACGACCTGCCACGTCGTCCTGCTGATGAACCATCACTTTTCCCTTCTTTTCTTTCTTCACACACACACATCACTTCTATACACCATGCTGGGAAAGAAGATCGTCTTGGGCGCATTCGCAACCATCCTCTCATTCGTCGCAACCGTCGCTGCCGACAGCGTCCTCGCCCTCACCCCCAAGGACTTTGACAAGGCACGTTTCCGTTTCTTCACTCTGTAACTGACGCGCTGAACATTGAAGTGGAAGTGCACAAGGAATTATTTCCTAACGGTTCACTCTTTCCTGCACACATGTATCGAATAGACCCTTGGATCCACTCCTGCCCTTGTCGAGTTCTACGCTCCCTGGTGCGGACACTGCAAGGTAAGGAACAGACTTAAAGTGTGGATTGTGTTTGGTTCTCTTGGAGCAAGGAATGAGTGTCTGCGCACGCAATGACTAATCGACCTTTTTGCTTCGCTTCTTTTCACTGCTAGAACCTCGCTCCTGTAAGCATACGGGACAATTTATCGAGGAGATACATCTGAGAATGCTACTGGCGTGCTTTCTTTGCTGCTACTATCAGCTCAGGAACCAGATTGGATATCATTACGATTGCGACCAATGGTCCCCCCCCCTTTACCTGGGGCTTGCGTTTGAACGTCATCACTCAACTCGCCCATTTTTCTTATCTCCTACAATCATTGAATCTCAGATCTACGAGGAACTTGGACAGGCTTTCAGCGGCAAGGAAGAGCAGGTCTTGATCGCCAAGGTCGATGCTGATGCTCACCGTGAGCTCGGATCCCGCTACGACGTCAAGGGTTTCCCCACCCTCAAGTGGTTCCCCAAGGGTGTCAACGGCGACCCCGAGGATTACTCTGGTGGACGTGACCTTGACTCCTTGACTGCCTTTGTCACCAAGAAGTCTGGTGTCAAGTCGTCGATCGTCAAGGTTATCCCCTCTGTTACCGTTTTGACTGATGCCACCTTTGATTCTGAGGTCTTGGCCAGCGGAAAGAACGTCCTTGTTGAGTTTTATGCCCCTTGGTGCGGACACTGCAAGAACTTGGGTACGTCTTTTTCATTCAGACAGTATGTCTAGGCTTTGTTCCGAGGAATACCCATTGCAGGGAGACTAACGCTGAAAAATCCTCGTTGATGTTATTAGCCCCTACTTATGAGAAGGTTGCTGAGGATTTCCTTAACGACAAGAAGACTGTTACCATTGCCAACCTCGATGCCACTGTCGACACTGCCTCTGCTGAGAAGTACGGCGTCAAGGGTTTCCCCACCATCAAGTTCTTTGCTGCCGACGGCACTGTCGAGGACTACAACGGAGGGCGCTCCGAGCAGGACTTTATCGACTTTATCAACAAGAAGGCTGGCACTCAGCGTGTTGCTGGAGGCTCCTTGAATGCCGAGGCTGGTCGTATTGCCGAGTTGGACACTCTTGCCGAGAAGTTCTCCAAGGCCTCGTCCAAGGATGAGAAGAAGGCCATCAGCGACGAGGCCATTACCCTTGCTGCCTCGTTGGCCAGCACCAACTCGAGCGCCAAGTACTACACCCGCTTCTTTGAGAAGACCCTTGCCACGCCTGCCTACCCCGTCACCGAGGCTGCTCGTCTTGCCAAGATCATCAAGAACAAGTCTGTCAACCGTGCTCGTTTGGATGAGTTCTCGATCCGCCACAACATTATCTCGGCCTTCTCCTCGGCCCCTGCCGCGAAGGATGAGCTGTAAAGCAGTTTTTTTCTTCATCTCCTTTAACAAAACAGCGATATTTTTACCATTGCAGATATCAAACATCTCTAAAGTCTGTGCATCCATTTAGTGGCGTCCATGATCGCTATCTTGATCGCGCATAAAAAAACAATGCAACGGTGATGATTGAAAACATAAGATTATGATAATAGGAAAGGGAGTCTTTGATAATAGCTGTAAGGGTGGTATATGTGGGGGTGTTTTTTGAGTAACATAAGTCGTTCAGAGGAAGAAGGAACCGATGGCGGCGGTAATAACGGCAACGCCAGCAGAGAAGGCCATCTTGGAGGCCGAGTTCTCGTTCTTGGCGGCAGTCAAGTCGGTCACGGTAGGAGCAACAACATCAGCGGTCGTAGTGGTGGCGGCGGCGGTAGGAGCGACAACGTCAGCAGTAGCACTGGCAGTTCCAACAACACCTTCACCCTCACCAACGGCGCCAGTAGTCGAAGGAGTAGTAGGAGGAGGAGCAACGCCGTTGATTGTAAACTGAGCCGAGTAAGACTGCAAAGGAACAGTGTTCACATGAATCGAATAAGTGGTTCCCGTAACAATATTCTCAGGGATAAAAACCGTCGCAGTCTTGGACTTCAGACAGTTAAGAGTTCCCAAAGCACGAATACCGGGGACGCGGACTTGTTCAGTGTCGGAACCACGACCAGAGTTCACGTAAAGGACGATGGAGAGGGATTCGTTGTTGCCGGGCTTGCAGGCGTTGGTCCAGGAGACGATTTCGTTCTTGCCGGCTGTCCAGACGGTGGGGGAGATGGGGGAGCTGTAGAAGAGACGGCCTTCGTCTGAGGAAGAGGACTGGGCTGCGACGGAGGCGGCGGAGAGGGCCAGGGTTGCGGCGATGAGAGTGGTGGACTTCATTTTGGTGTAAAGGGATTTGGCGGTTGGATAAGTGTGTGGGTGATTAAGTGACAAGAGGTTAAGAGGAAAGGAGGGTGATCAGTTTCTTATATATAGGCCATAGAAGGATCAGAAGTGCCAGAGAAAGGAACAACCTTGGAGCTTAAAGGGAAGGAGGAAGACAAAGCTCTATTCTCGAAATTCCTTTTTGACGTAATCTCGTATGGGGGACTCATCTGAGACCACTTCACGTTTCCCGACGTGATCGTCTTTGCCTGAATAACAATAGTCCGCATAGAGAAGCCAGGGATGGCAGAAGAAACAGGTCGACAGCGCCTTGGGCCCCCTTCTTCCTTACTTTGCCTCAAACTCCACAACAATGTTCCTTTGTATTTAGTACCTTACCGAGACTGAAGGATGTCCATTTATTTCTTCGGGATGATTGTGAAGAAGAGCCCCTAGGTTGTTGAGCTCGTTCTTTAATCGACAACGTTATATAGATCGTTATTTTCAATCTTGCACGGACCGACCATCGGGTCAAGGAGAAGAAGATGAGAGCTGTCCCTTCCTTTAATTCGTGCAATGACAGCGACCCACATGTCTTCCAGATATGAAATACACGAAAAACTTTGATCCGGCGACCCTAGTTTTCAGAAACAGGACCTAGAAACCAAAAATACCAGAGGTCAAAGTCGTGTTCCGGAATATAATTGAAAGTGAGAGATATAAGAGTAGCACTCGATCACTTTTAGCGCGAATCGCGTTCATTGATCAGTCGGTCTACAGAGGCTTTCTAGCAATAGTTGGTGAAGAACCAAGTCGTTGTCCATTGACATCCTACCAAACTTGCCACCTCACTTCAATATGCTTACCAACATAAAGCGCATCATTCCACTCTGTCTGGCCGTGGCATTTATGGTCTCGCTGGCTGTTACCGTCTGGGTAGAACGATCACATCCTCAGGTGCGATCCGGGCTCCTGGCAGAGGCTCCGCAGGATACCGAAGCTCTTCCGCTACCATCGTGGCTGGCTGGTGGTGGTGGTGGTGTTGAAGGCAGATCCGGACGTTTATTAAACAAGCGATGGCACGGTGACGACTGCTGCGATGACGACTGTTGCGAGGACGTCTGCTGCGATGATGACTGTTGCGGCGACGACTGCGATGATGATTATTAACCCGATGGTCCCTCTTGTCCTTGTTCCCTCTGAGCGGTTTCCTGTGAGGTTCTGGACGCTTCTATCTCCAGCTTCTTCACATCAGCCCATACTCCAGCATTGTGTAGCATCCTGGACGCGGTTGTTCCCTCGAGCCGTAAAACTACCAAGATAAAAATTGAAAAAGCCAAGAGATGAGGGTTAATTTGACATGTGGGCGTTGTTTGTGCTTGCTCAGCCATTTGTCGTCAGCGGATTTGATAGTTTCATTCACAGCCAAGCCTTGACAGGCAGCCGACCATCTTTTTCTTCTTTCTTTCTTCATACCTTTCCTTTACTCTCTCTCTCTTACACTTCACGCCTTTCTCACCCTCCCTTTCTTCACGCAACATTCTCATACTCCTACTCCTCTTACTCATTTCCAAGTTCACCACATTCCACTTGACCTCAACGCACATACAGACATACACCATGACACTCGCCTCCATGTACAAAACGGACTATATCCAAACATGCGACCAGCACTCTCAGACCAACCTCAACTCCTCCTGGTTCAACGATAAGGGTGTGTTCAACCGTCTATTCCTTCAACTTTGTCTCTCTACCATATGAAAAGGGAAGGGGCGAGAGGAACCTCTCCTTCCCCTTTTACTCCGCACACTTTCTTGGCTCTCTTGTCCTCCTTTTCTGGCTGTAGTTTTTTCCGTTCTTGTCGCCCAGGAACAATAACTCAACCTACCTTTAACAATGACCTCCACTTTCTTTCCATAGGAGCATGGATGACCAATGTGATCATTGTCTGTCTTATAAAATTCTTTTTCGGCATTGTCCCCGGCATGTCGCCAGAACTGGCCTGGACCATGACCACACTCACCTACAACGTAGTAAGTTTCCTGGGGTTTGCTAAAAAATATTTTTTTTGTCGTGTGAGAGACTCATTGGTCGTGTGCGCCCTCTTGCTCTGCTCCGCTCCCGAGTACGTGAGGAGAAGAGGCATGGGTGCCACTATCCACTCCCCCTTCCATCATTCTATTCCACAACTCCACATGCTCCCGTTACTAACCAACCATTCATCCTCTCTCCTCTACTCTCTTTCCACAATGTGCTGCCAATTGTCTACAATTACTTGTTGTAAATGACTAAAAGGGAAGCTACATTATGCTCCATGCAGTGACGGGTGTACCGTTCGAGTTCACCCAAGGCGCATACGACGGCATCACTCTTTGGGAGCAGATTGACGGGGGCGACCAATTTACCGCCACGCGAAAGTACCTCACAACTGTGCCCATTGTCCTGTAAGTTGTCTTTCCCTCTTTCTTGCTCTCCCACTACTTCTGTCCTCGGTCTTACTTTTTTGTTCATTTTGCTCTTCAGCTTGTGACCTCTTCCCCTTTTTTCCGCCCTTGTCCTTTGTCCAAGTGTCGTTGCTGTCTTTCCTGTCTTTGCGAGGACATGAAGGACAACAAAACCTGCGCCCCTATCCTCTGTCTCTCTTGACGACTCTCAATCTCCACAAACATCACCTCACAAGACTGGAAAGGAGGGAAAAAAGGACAACAACCAACCAACACACGGACCTACTCTTCTGTTCTTGTGGACAACAACAGTTTGCTTTCTTTTCGTTTGGTCTGGACATCTTCTAATTCGGTTTACCATCAGTGACCAACAAACGGCAGAGAGAATCAGGGGAACTCGCTTGTTCGACCTTTGAGGTCCAAGCGAGGAATAAGGATGACAGTGCCAATGCACCTATCGACTGAAGAATAATATCAGGTTCGTTGTATCTCACTCGTATCTCTTCTTTGCCATCAATCCATAGGTTCTTGTTAAGCACACATTACACGCACTACGCGCCGTTCGCGTTCTCTGTCAACTTGGTGGTGACGGTCATCAACCTCATTGCCAAGCTGCCCGTCATGCACCAGGTCCGACTATTTGACATCAACCAGAAGGTCGAGTCCAACTAAGTCTGTCTCTCGACTCTCATCACGTCGAGCAGGAAAAATGTCCCCCAAAAAATCATACCCTCATACTGTACATACTCCTCTCCTGGGCGAAGCAACGCGCCATTGATCAAATGCATTTAAAAATGTGTGTCGGATTGGTTCAATCTCTCATGGAAAGACACAAAAACATGGCCAAAACAACAAGCAGCTCGTAATAAACGCCTTTTCAACCATACAAGTGTTTTGTTTTTTGTTTTTTTTCTCGTTTATTTCAACCGAAAAAAGAATTGATCCGCAGAGAAACGAAGAGAGAATGGTTGTTTTTTAAGAAAAGGCTGGAGAAAGCAGAATAGCTTAGTAGAAGTAACCCAAAACCTTTCCTCCGGTGTGGCGACGACGAGCCTCCTCGTGGTCCATGATACCGGCCGAGGTGGTGAGGATGATGTAACCGAACTGGCGGGAAGGCAAGAGACGGGCAATCCACTTCTCGATCTCGTTCAACTTGATGTTGAAACGGGGGGAGATGACACCGGTCTTGTTGATGCGTCCAATGAGCTGGACGACGATCTTGCCGGAGCGGTGGTCATCGATCTCCTCGAACTCGCCAATGTAGCCTGTTATTATGGATTTTTTTTTCAATTGGAAGGAAGGAGGTAAAAAAAAAAATGTCAGGAACCAATGTAGCGGGGGAAAACAATAAGCTTTCAGATCAACAATTTCTTTCGCCAGGTGAGGAGATTGACCGTACCGTGCTTCTGCATCAACGACAAGAACTTGACGATGACCTTGGAGGAAGGACGGATCAAGACCTGGCGCTTGCCACGCTTCTCAGCGTTGTTGATGTTGTTGAGGCAGTCGTTCAAGACGGAGATGCGGACCATTTTGATATGCTTCTATAGGAGAAAAACGACGATAGTAAACAAAAAACAGCGAAATGATAAGTATAAACTGAATACCAATAACTCGTATGAGTGTCGCCTGCTTCATCTCTTCCTCATTTTTTTTATGCCTCCCTCAGCAATCCTCTACTCCTTGTCACATTTCCACGCGTGAAAAATAAGGCAAAGGGTAGGGACCGTCCGAAAGCGACAGAGAAAAAAAACTGGAGAAGAAAGCAAGGATTCATAAAGCAAAAATGGTCGTTGTCCAGGCCAGTCCGCGATGTATCACCACCAGTTACGTCCAGACGCGAGCGCACCCCCACAGAGAAACAAGAGCAAGGAAAAGGGGTCGTCCGTTTTTGAGAACGTCTGAATGGTCCCCCCTTCCTTTCCTATGCTATCTCCTTTGGGGGACACTGTCTTTGGTAACCGGTAGGTGAGGGCAGTTCTGACGGTAGTTGGACAGGAAAAGAAAAAGTGGCAGGGGTTTTGTTGACGATGAGGTGTAGCCGCTGGTGGATGGTTGATGGGTGTGTCGTTCCGGAGTTTGCTGAAACAGTAGATTCTCGTCCATGCTGCCCCCAAGATCTGCATCGAGATCTGCATAGATCGCCAAAAAGCCTCCAGATCCCGATGGCGCCGGAGTAGTTATAATTGACGATGGGTTCTAGGCAGAACAATGGTTGATTTGGAGCGTCGATGGATGGGTGGTGGTTCTGGTTGTGTTGGATATCCTGATCGATGGATCCATGGTTGTCTTGGATGTTCCCCTCAATGTATGCTTGTCTGAATGATTTTTTCAGCAGCCGCACCTTTGGGGTAAAAAGTAGAAAGGGAGTTCTCTCACCGCCGCAGGCGCACGCTCTAGATAACCATATATTAAAGTCACGTGCCACATTTCTTCACCCTGCCAACTCCTCCCAAAGACTCGCAGGCAGCTTTTGGCTAGTTCCTCTCGCACCACCTTACTCACTTCACGAACCCTTTTTCTTATTTATTCTTGATGCTGCGCGCTGCATTCTCTTCCTTCAAACCATCCTTCACAAAGGCATCCTTCTCCACAATGACCAACACAACAAAGCCCTGTAAACTCGCCCTCATCCAGTTGGCCGTCTCCGCCGATAAGGACGCCAACCTCGCCAATGCCCGCACTCATGTTCTAGAAGCTGCCTCCAAGGGCGCCAACCTCATTGTCCTCCCAGTACGCTCTTTCCTCCCTTTTGGTCTCTTCCTTGCTCCTCTTTGCACCTTTGCTTCTTTGTACTCACGCCTGCCGGCACACACACGCTGACCTTTTTTACTCTATACGTTTGGGAAAGTAGGAGTGCTTCAATTCGCCTTATGGAACTGGCTACTTCCCCGAATATGCCGAGACTCTTGCGGACGGTCCTTCTGTCAAGTCACTCTCCGCTATGGCCAAAGTACGTTCAATTAAGACATATCCGTTTTGATTGCATACCACAACCTACGCACTTGTGCATTGAGCACAGTCCGAGTATCATCAACTTGGGGCCACACCCCCCCCCCCCCCCCACCACCACCAATTGTGAACGTTATTCTTCCCTTTTCTTGCCGATTGACAGGCTTTTTGCTCCTTGCCGATGCATTGCCGCTACCACTTTGAATAGGACGCCAAGGCATACTTGATCGGAGGCTCGATCCCAGAACGCGACCCAACCGATGAAAAGATCTACAACACCTGCACGGTCTACAACCCTGAAGGAAAACTCATTGCCACCCACCGTAAAGTCCATCTCTTTGACATTGATGTCCCTGGCAAGATTCGTTTCCAGGAGAGTGAGACCCTGACTGCCGGTCGTCAGTTGACTCATGTCGACACAGGTACGCTTTATTTCGAGAAGGATTTTTGTTGGTTCTTGTCTTTTTTTACCCTACAAAATAATTTTGTTTTCTCTCACGGTTTATATTTTCCCTGCATGTACCCTTTTTTCTGTCATTGACGATCTCGTTACTCACAACTCGCCATAATACTGGCTTGCGTGCTTTTGTGTATTTTTGCTTGTTGTAGATTTTGGAAAGATTGGGGTGGGTATCTGTTACGACATTCGTTTCCCTGAGCCAGCCATGATCGCCGCCCGTCAAGGTAACATCCTTTTTTTCTTTCATGCCTTTCAACCCTTGATCAATTGATGAACCTAGTCCCACGCCTAACACAGCCGTTCGTGCATTTCCCTCTTCCTCTACCTCTACCGAACGATGATAACCACTCAGGATGCTTCGCGATGATCTACCCAGGAGCATTCAACTTGACAACGGGACCATTGCACTGGGAGCTGCTCCAGCGCGCAAGAGCCGTCGACAATCAGATGTATGTTGCTGCCTGCTCGCCTGCTCGTGACCTCAAGGCTTCTTACCATGCCTGGGGTCACTCGACTATTGTCGGCCCCGCAGGAAATGTCATTGAGAGCATGGACGAGAACCAGGGCATCATCTACGCCGACCTTGGTATGTTTTTTTTTTTTTTTGTTCTGAGTCGATACGGATTGCAAATGTTCTGTGCATTCAATTGGATACTAAATTTCAATGCATATTTGCATGTCGGCTATGAAAATTAGATCTGAAGGCGATGGCAGAGTTCCGTCAGAACATCCCTTTGACCACTCAGCGTCGCTTCGACTTGTATGCAGATATCTCCAAAGTCCAGCCTTGAACAGCTTCCCCGTCCCCCCCTCTCTCCTCCTTGAATCATGGAGCTTTTATATCCTTCCATTAAAAACTCACTCTTCTACATTATGCAAGGAAGGACATTTGTTCGCTAATAATGGGTTGTTTTCTTTAATTTGTACAAGGACTTTTTTGTTTCTTTTTTCCTTCTTTGTCTTCTGTGGCTCACGCCAGGATAAACATCGAAAAGAAAAAGAAATGATAAGGTATGGATTGAAGGGTTGTGTGTGTTGGAAACTATGTGCGATAAAAAAAAATAGAAAATGACAAATGGCAACAAAGAGTGGTAATAAGAAAAGAGAATGGGGGTGGGACAACGAGAAGAGAAGGAAAAAAAATGTCTATGTTCCTCTCTCCTCCTTGTTCATTAGAGGATTAACAGGCCAAGACGACGAAAGGGTTTACTGGTGGTAAGTCGACTCGGCACCACCGCGCCAGGAGCGAACACCGCCCTGGAGACCGACGTTGTCGGATCCAATAAGCTGCTCGTGAACCTTCTCAATGGACTTGAAGTAGTTGACGGTCTTGACGTGGAGCTCGAGGGTGGCGTCCTCGTCGCAGACGACCATGCCGCGGGGATGGAGCTGGATGGCAGAAACGGTCCACATGTGGTTGACGCCCTCCTCGATGCACTTGGCCAAGGCCAAGGCCTTGTGGGCACCGGTGATAATAATGCAGACCTCGCGGGCATCCATGACAGTGCTAGAGTTGTAAGGAAAGATTGGAAAAGAGTTATGGTTAGATAACATTGCTCACTTGTGCAACGGGAGATAGGAAGTCAGGGAGGGCAGAAATGGGAAGGCGGAGATTGATGGCGTTGATGGTTCGCTTTTTTGTTTTGTTGTTCTTATTTTTTGATGAGCTGGGGGGCGAACAAGGAAGGGCGGGTTGTAGCTTCCTGCAAGGTTGTCGATCAGATTATGCTTTCTCCATCTTGGTTGGTGAGATCCGAACAAACTGACAACTGATTGAGAGAGCGTTGCTTCCATCTGATACAAGTCCCGCACCATGCATGGGTTGTCGTTGAATTGTCGTCGCTGGTGCTTTTGTTGGTGGAAGCATTGTCGAAAATTTTCTGGGACGGGACGGACGAGCAAGAAGCAGCAATGAAAGGGACCGTGGGGCAGAAAAAAAAATAGAGCGCACACAGAAATAAAGAACGAAGCACAGAGCGCAAAATAGGCAAAAAGCAAAGCAGAGATACACAAGTCAAAAGTAACACTTACGCAACACCGACGGTCAAGGCCAGGTTGGGGACCTTGGTGATGTCGTTATCGAAGAAGCGGGCGTTGGCGACGATGGTGTCGTAGGCAAGGGTCTTGACACGGGTGCGGGAGTTGAGGGAGGAGCCGGGCTCGTTGAAGGCAATGTGACCATCGGGACCGATACCGCCCAAGAAGAGCTCGATACCACCAACGGAGGCGATCTTCTCCTCGTAGCGCTGGCACTCGAGGTCCAAGTCGGTTGCGTTTCCATCGAGGATGTGGACGTTCTCGGGGACGATGTCAACGTGCTTGAAGAGGTTGCTCCACATGAACGAGTGGTAAGACTCGGGGTGATCTCTATTGAATGTGAACGGATCATTAGCAGAGGTGAAGGAAGAAGAGGGAAGAGAGTTAGAGTAGATGGTCAGTCGGAGCTCGTACTTTAGCATTTGTCATGGACACATCCTTGTTGCCATTGTTGCTTGTCCAAGAAGAATCCTTTCTTTCATCCTTGTCCTCTTGATTCCTAGAGTGAGGACACGTTGGTTGGCGGAGTGGATGTTTGTCTGTCTGTCTGTCTGCTACTGTTGTTGTTGAGTGAAGCAAGCCAGATGCCTTCTTATGGGATTCCAGGCCCCAGAGGGAGATGGTGTCGCATGTCTGACATCACATACCCCGAGCCCCCTCTTGTTTAAGACTCGCGAGACAGCCTGGCGACTCCCGTATGTGTGTCTGTCGAGTATTTTCTCTTTTTCTTCGACGGAATGGCGAGCAAACGAGAAAGGAAAATTGATCCACTTTCCTTTTTTTCATTGCTTCGGTTGCATCGCCCTCTTTCAAGTTCACACCCCGAAATAAACGAGAAAAAAATGGCGGCATATCTGAACCACACGAAACAGAAAGAACATGTATGCATGTTGACAATATTTTACCTGGGCAATCCGACGTATTCATCCATGTTGAAGGTGATGATGTGCTGGAAGGAGAGCTCGCCGGCTTGGTGGAACTTGACCAAGTTTCTGTAGACACCAACGGGGGACGAACCGGTGGGGAGTCCGAGAACGAAGGGCTTGGTGGCGGTGGGAGCGAACTCCTTGATGCGCTCCTTGACATACTTGGCTATTAAATGGTGAATACGAGAAAAAAAACAAGGCGTGGGTAAGTCTTCTTGTTACATTCAGAGTGGCATGATCATGCAAACAAATTGGTGATACGAAGTACAGGATAACACCCTTATTAAGTGTTGAATGTATTTGTATGTCCATCATGATGCTGATGGTGGTAATGGCGTCGATGGGATGCAGAAAAGTGTTGGGAGGGGGAGAGAGAGGAGCGAAGTGGAAAGTAGAGAGAGAGGGAGAGAGAGAGAGAGAGATACTTACCAACGTGGTAGGAGACAGCCTCAAAGTCCTTGCGAATGACCAATCTCATTGTGTATGTGTGTTGTGGGTGGGGTGGGTGGGGATGTGTGTGTGAAAGGGTTGGGGGATGAGAGATAAAAGAGAGAAAGAGAGAGAGAGAGAGAAAGAGAGAAGAAGAAAGAAAAAGAAGGGAAATTGAAGAGTTGAAATAGAATTTGGGAAATGGAACAGGGAGTGTCGTCAACGGGCAGCAGAGAAAAGGAAAAGAAAGAAAATTTTGTGGAGACATCACATCACATCACACATACACACCCATCAACTGCATCCGATTCAACACAATTGATCAGTAAACAAAAAGGTATTATCGTTATTGAATCAACTCTCTCATCCAACCTAATCCTCGGCCGTTTTGGTTTCTCCCTTTCTCCTTTTCGTTCTCCTTTCTCTTCTTTTCTTCTTTTCCTCTCTCCCAGTCTCTTTTCTTTTAGTGGTCATCGCTTTTCTCCACGATGCATCGTGATGCCATCATTATTGTTTCTTCGGTCTGTTTCGTCTCCTTTGCATTCTTTCTCGCTCCCCATTCTCTTTCTCATCCTTTAACACTACAACTTGTCACTTCGACATGGTCAGCTATCAGCAGTGATCTTCTTCTCCAAGAATAAGAATCAAGAAAGAGGAGGAGGATTGCCGGTCTAGGCGATTTGTTTGCGAACATGTCAACCAGCAAAGAATGAAAGTAGGAACGAAGAACAAAAGGGACTCGGCTTTCGAGACATGGGTCCGGAAGACTAAATGGGCGCGAGTAAGAAGAAGAAGAAGAAGAAGGCTCAAAAGAGCGAAGAGGTGCAAGTAGAATTCAAGCCGAGACCAAAGTGGACAGGCAGACAGACGAGACAAGACACGGCAAGCAAGTGTGTTGTTCCCTGTTCTTCTCCCCATACTTTTATGAGGATGTGTACCTTTTCCTTCTTCGTTCTCCGTCTCGAGCCCCCTCGTTTTGTCTGGTGTTGACAAGATATCTTCAAGATCAGAGGCCTCCCATTGGACGATGGGATGGAACAGGTGTGAACCTTGTTCCTCCCTCACCCTGCTCTCTCTCTGCCTCTCATCCTCTTCTTCTTTTCCTTCCTCTGACTTCCATTGCCTTTACTCAATCTCAGTTCAATAAGTAATAGGCTCCTTTTCCTCTCTCGCTCTCACTCACTCTCTCTCTGACTCTTTTTTAATCGGCTTTTTGTTACTTGTGTCTATTTGTTTTTGCGTACCTGTTTGCTATCATCATCCTGCTGCTTGCTGGGCGAGTGGGTGAATGGGTCAGAAGTGGCGTAAAGTTGAAAAAAGAACAACAGAACGATACGAGCATAGACCATCATCATCGATGGCACACAAACAATAGACCAGTACGAATAAACAAAACAAAACCATTCAACCGAGCACACGGAGCCCCCACTGGTTCCTTTCTCGGACCCCGGTTGGGTCTCTGTGCCTTGTTTACTCAGTTAAGAAGCATGGCAGCTTCACTGACCAGACCACATCCACCAAACGAAACAGAAATCATTTAAATACACTCCCACACCAACATGCCATAGAGGAGTGAAGGTTCCATTTTCAGTTTCCACTTCTCCCCCGCTCACTTCCGTCATGGAATAGAAGGAAAGAAAAAGAATATGAGGATGAGTAAGTTGTCCTCGAGCGAAAAGAGGAGGAAGAATAATTGGATGACATTGCACGCTCGGAAAGATCCCATAATTGTGGGTAAAAAGATAACAAAATGAAGGAAGAAAAAAAGAGGCGGCAACATGCACTGGCCAGGCTGCAAGTATGTTCGTGAGCCAGAGATAACGAATTCGTTCAAGATCTTACCCCTTAATATACCACATATATTCCCACATGTGTGATGAGCATTGGTAGGAGAAGGTTGTTGGGGAACCCCTGGGTGGGAAGGCATCATTAGAACGAAAGAAGTCGGAGCCTCATTTTCTTATTATACTAGGTTGCCCATCTGTACCACAACCATAGTTTACTCACTATCATCGCGAAGATTACCAAGAAGGGTGTTCTCTTTTCTACGCAACCTCGCTCCCTTTTTTTGGTGGCAAAAGTGACAATGTGGCAAAAAAATGACAGTGTGCTTTTGCCCAAGGTGACTTCATCCTGCCTGACGAGGGAATTGGTGGCGTCCCACGGGAAGCGACATTCTCCCTTCCGCGGGAAAAGCGACGGAAAGAAAATAATGCATAAGAAACCTCAGCCTGAGGCATGGGAAGACTTGTGGTTTTCTGGTTTGCTCATCTTTTTCTCTTTCCTTCTCTTACGCCCACGGATTCACCATCTTCTTCGCACACTTTTCTTTTCTCACTCCACACACACGCACACATTCACACACTCACATTCACATTCACACTTGCATTCACATCCACATCTCCATCCCCTGTCTAACGAAAGAAACATCTCAAATGGAAAACTCAAACCTCGGTAAGCTCCCTTTTTCTCTTTCTTTGTCAACATACTGCCATTTGGTTCGAACTGAATGCACTGGCCGACAAACTAAATGTCATTTGTTTTTCCATGAACTTTTTCTTGTTATAGACGAGTTCTACACAGCTGAAGGCACCTCAGAAGAAGAGTGGAAGCGCGTGTACGACCTGAGATACTGCACTATTCTTGTCCCTTTTGAAGACAACCACTCTAACGGACAGCCAGAAGTGAAACACGATAGTCTTACCGCACAGACTGAACAGGAGGTAAAGAGGGAACAAGAGGAGCAACAAGACACGGAGGAACAAGTGTCAGTCAAGATGTCTTCTATTGTGACAAAAACGACGACTATAACGACACAAACGACGATCACTTCGGAACATGTCCACCTGGCCACTCCAAGAGCTACGCCAGCAAGGTACACCACCTTGTTATTCTATGTCACTATCAAGTTGTAGTTGTCGTTCAACTGCAGAGAGAGTGGTACTATATTCATTCTTACACCAAATCTAACCGTTTTTTATTCTTAGACCAGGGCCAGTCGCAGCACAGAGCCCCAGTTCGACTTCCACACCACAGGCTAGGAAGCAAGACCAGGATGGTGACAGTGATGACAGTGATGATCAAAACGACAGCATGATGACGGAAGATCACTGTAGTTTGACGGAAGGAGATCCATTGTCAAGATATCTTACTGCGGAAACTCACCTTGGCTCGACGTCGTTCGGTTCAAGCCACAAAAATGTCGACATGGATATGTCTAGATGGGATGATGATGATGAGACGGAGGACTTTCATGATGCGACGTCGGGTATTGAGTCGAACGAGAACGATGAGACGATAAACAGTCTCCAGATCAGTCAGCACGATTCATCACATCAGTACAATAGCGTCGACGACAGCGCTGATTACTCCTCAGCACACTCTGGGAACAAGCGACCACGACACTGGGAACTCTCTCCTTCCCACCGACTCTTGCACACCGTGGGTCCTCACCCGTCAAAGCGTATTACCCTCTCAGCTTCGTCATCAGGATCATACGGAGCTGACGGTATCACTTCCCACGGTTTGCTCAGACCACGATCTTTCTCTCCAAGTCTCTCGCCATCGCCTTCGATTTGGGTCACACCACCTATGGATCTTAGCGCAGAATATTCAGAGAGAGCCGGCTCTGGCGCTCCAGATGCGCCTGCACATCATCCCTGGATTGCGACTGTACCCACTTTCTGGAAGAAACAGGACTGGAAGGTGCTGGAAGACGTCTACGATGAACTTAGTGGAGAAAACATGGCGGAATCAGAACTCGGACAGGTAGTCGATCGGTTCCTTGCTAACCAGGAAAGCTTTGCAGAGGGGAAATCCGAGTGGTCAAGGTACACACAGCACAAAACACGTCCTTCACTTCTGTGAGAAAATGATCGATGCAGTAAGCATAATTTTTGGCACGGCCCTCTTCTCACGCATTTGATTTGTCTTTTCATCTCTGCTTATTAGGGAGTTTGTTCTCTTGCGATGTGTTGCATTGCATCGAGTACGAGTCCAGGAAACACCAGATGCAACCAGCCAAGAGCTGTATTCTCCAACAATGTCTTCGAGAACTGTAAGTCTCGCTATTCCCCACAGGCGCCTTATCCGTCTTTCAAGTTAGTCTCACATCAATACTCATCGTACTAATCAACCTTCAATATTATTAGCGTTCGTGGCGTGGATCTTCTCCTAGTTTCGAGAGCCGTATTGGTGCTGCGAGACGCTCGGTGTCGCCCTACCCGGTCGGATTGACGCGTAGAACCGGATCTACTCCTGCTTGGTCCTCAGAGTCAGCCTCGCCAAAGTCCATTGCTGACTTTGTGGACGAGAGACGAGCAGATCGAGCTCGTCAGCAGCAGCGGACGGCTGATCAAGGATATATCAAGTCGGTCTTCAAACATCGATTCGCAGCAGGGCTCAAGACAGTCGGCGAATTGCTTCCGTTCTGGAAGGATGTTGAAAAAGGACACACAGATGTCAAGGAGGAGGTTGTGGTGCCCCTGGTACCAAGCGGTAGAGCACATTCCGTGATTGCAGCGTTTGAGAGCCAGGCTGCGCAGGCGCAAGAACGGCAGAACAGTCTCCCAGCGCGATCACGATCTGGATCGGTGATGTCGATAACCGGTGGTTGGAACTACGAGTCGATGGGTAGATCATTGTCTCCTGCCCCCTCGAGTGTTGCTGATTTGATCAGCCGAGGCCATGCCGCACGCGTTGCTTCCGCCTCTGCGTCTGTCACTGCCGCCAATGGTTCCCTCACTCAGACATCCGACTGAGCAGAGGGGCAAAGGATGCAAGGGATTTCATTTTTGGTTTTTTTTTGCAATGTAGTTGTAACATGTCTGTACCATAAATTCGCCAAAACGTGGCTTGCTCTGTTTGCAGGAAATAAACTCATTTTTCTCGTTTTCGCTTTTTTTTTTTTCTGGTTGCCTCTCTCCCCTGTAGTCATGGAACACATCAACACTGTCTGTAGGAACGAGGGTTACCCGATCACGGTCGAGAACAGCCCCCAATTCGGGAACCATGCCATCGCCTCGCGCGACATTCCTCAAGGCGAGGGTCTCCTCAGGGTACTCATTCCTCCCCAGCCATTTCACTCACCCCCACACTCTTCTCTCATTCGTACATGGCGGGAATATGTTTCAGTAAACCCGCGCTAATTTTTAATAACCTTTTCCACGACACCCGTTAGGCTATCCCTTATGCAGCAGAAGTATTCGACAGCTACAAAAAACGCATGTGTCAAGTCTGTCTCCTCTACCACAATCGCGGCTCCTTCACCCATCGATGCCAAGATTGTGACCAAGTCTATTTCTGTTCCGTCGCCTGTAAAACCGTCGCCATGGACCCTCGGATGGGATGTCATTTGAAAGTGTGTAGGGCGTTGAGGAGATTGGCGACTTGGAATTCGGATCGGCACGCAAAGAGTATGATTAAGCTGCTGGTGCAGGTTTTGCTGCGTCATTGGAGAGAGAGGCAGGGGATCCCGACGGTGTATCAGAGTCGGAGGGCTTTGGAGATGCGAGAGCAGCAGGAGAACAAGGAGAAGGAGGAACACAAATTGGAGCTGGGGACGACGGATGTTGATGGTGTTTCGACAGAAGCTGTCACCAAACTCCTTGGAGAAACAACCCTTACAACCACAACAACACCTACCACACCACCAACATCACAATCACCACCACCACTCTCCTTAAACGCTCCCCAGGAACAGGACGAGGATGAGGACCGGACCCAGGAACCAATCGAGAATGACTTCTACGACGTCCTCCGCCTCCAATCGCATTTCGAGGACTGGGATGACGAGGACCAAAAGGATTGGAACAAACAGTCCCAGATCGTCCTCACGCTCCTCGAGATGGCAGGCCTCACCGAGATGGCGTCCGAGCCCGGTGGTCCCCTGCGTACGTTAACCAGCCTTGATGTGAAGCGGCTTATCAGTGCGTTGGAGAGTAATGCGTTTGGGATGTTTGATCGCGCCAAGAAGAAGGCTATCTGCTTCGGTCGAGGTAAGGAAAGGATGATTACTATTGTGGTACTTCTTGGAAATGCGGTTATGTTACTACGCGTTTCGCGAATACGACTGACAATTGGCCATTTTTCTCACATGTGATGAATAGCGATTTACCCGATAGCATCGTTCTTCAACCACTCATGCGACTGTAACTCAGCAGCTGTGCAGGCTGACGGATCGGCAGAGGAAATAACAGGAGAAGCCGTCTTGAGACTGATCGAGCAAGAAGAGATCAACAAGAAGGAAGCACCTCAAGCATTATCATCGTTATCGACTTCAGGATCTGAGAGCGAGACTGGCACATCGACACCTGCGGGACCAGGAACAGGAACAGCAACGCCTGCTGAAGAGGAAGAAGGATCTGAAACGACTACACTGACCGAGGAAGTAGACCCGTATGCCTCCCGAGTAGGAGAGTTCCGGATGATGACCTTTTTCTCCATCTGTGACATTCCAAAAGGTTCGCTCTTGTTTACACTTCACCCCCTTGTTATCGTGTAACGTCAACTGAGCTTGCTCCGCAATTCTCAAAACTGTATCCTTCACTAATTAATTGTCCTATTCACTTCTTGTTTTTCTTGGTCCCACACCAACAACAAACTAAGGTAAAGACATTACAATCTCATATATCGACACCGAAATGCCACTTCAAGCTCGGCGCCTAGCACTCCTGTCCGACTACCACTTCCACTGCTGCTGCGAAAGGTGCATCCGAGAAGAAAAATCGGGTGCACCAAAAGTCGCAAAACCCATCAAGAAAAAGGGTGGGCAACCAAAGCCAAAATCCAAGCGCAAGTGATACCTTTGTTCACAAAATAAAAAGTATTTAATTGCACTTTGCAGCGAAGTTAGGCTACGGCCAATATGGGGCATTGATAACGAGAAAAGAAAAAAGAAAAAAATATTGGTCTTGCAGTTCTTGATATAAAAAGTTGCTGTCCGCTTGCTTGAATTGCTTTGCTTACTCCTCGTCAGACTCCTCGTCAGAGTCGCTCTCGGCCTCAGCCAACCAGCGGAGGAAGGGCTCAACACGTGCGCGGACATCCTTCGCCTCTTCACGGCTGACGTACTTCTTGCTGGGCTTCTCACCCCACTTCAAGATAATCTCCTCCTCGATAATGTCGTTGTCGTAGAAAGCCTTCAAGACGTGAGGAGCCTTCAACATCAAGGTCTTGGAGGCGATCAAGACACGCTCCATGCCTCCGAGCAAAGCCTTCTGGTCCTTCTCAGTGGTGACAAACTATTCCATTCAAACCCATAATTAACCGACGTTAGCAACCGATGCTTCGACTGAACTCGCACAACATAGATGGAAGAAAAACATGAAAAAGAGCATACCTTGCGCAAGAGAGAAGTTCGGGCCTTGATCTCACGAGACATATCGTCGGTGAAGATGCACTGGATAAGAACAGTGACAGCGCGGGACTTGCCAGTGATTCCGAGCTCCTCGGTCTTGGCAATAATCTCGGCATCAGTGGCCTTGGGGCTCTCCTCCAAGTAGATTCCAAAGAGTTCATAGGGGTTCTCGCCATCCTCGTCATCCTCGTCGTCGTCCAAGGTCATCTGAGTCTTGACGCTGCCCTCCAACTCTTTCATGCGAGCAGCGGCTCCCTCAGCCGAGGTGTCGACAGACCAATCATCGCCCAAAGCAGACTTGAAGTTATCGGCGTCGGGGATAGCAGCAGCCTCCTCCTTGATCTTCTTGGTGAAGTCGTCATCCCGATCCTCTTCTTCTTCCTCCTCAGGGGTCGCGGTGCCGTTCTTCTTGCTCTTCTTGTCAGCCTTGTCAGCCTTACCCTTCTTTCCATATGCGCTGTTGACAGGTGGGTTCTTGACAATGTAGGTGGCCAACTTGTGGATGTTCTCGCCCTTGTTGCGACGACCACAGGCGTTACAGTACATTTGGATAAGGCCAGCCTTGTCGACAATGATGTCCGTCTCGGGGTTACCGCACGAGGGGCAGAGGACGAACTTTTGAATGAATCCGTTCAACAACGACTGCAACTTGGTAGCATCGTGGGCACCGTTAACAATGTAGCGGTCGGTCTTCTCGTCAATCTTGACCTGGGCACCGAGCTCGCAACCAAAGTACTTGGTGGGGTCTAATTATCAAAGAACAATGCAGATTAGTACCAATTTTCAACTCCTGCCACTGCTAAACGACGTTCCCCACGCATCGTCTTGTCTTCAAGCACCTACAGGCAGTGGGACGGCTGAGCGCACGAGCAATGTCAGCCATGTTGGGGATCACGGTCTTGATTCCGTTTCCCTTGCCCTCGATCTACGTAATAGGAAAAAAAGGTTGCAAATACAACAGGTGTGCTGATTAGTCAACCGGGTCAAAAAAGTCTGTCCGCAGTAAAAAAATAGCCATTGGCGCAGAATAATAAAAAATTCAGCATAGATCTGCTCATAGTTGCTACATCTCAAAACTGTGATGTGAAGTAAAGGAGAGCCCGTAAAAACCCGCAAAGTACATGTATGTATACACACAAAAATAAAAGAAACATGTTTCTGACTCATTATGACAAAGAAATGAGCTTTTACCTTGGAGACCAGCTTGGGCATCTTGTAACGGTAGAAAGCATCGTCGCTTTGACCTCCAATGTTGAGATTAGCCATGTTGGGTGGGTAGTTGAAAGTGTAAAGTGGGAGTTAAGATAGTAGTGTCGAGACTTCTAGCGAGGATACGAGTATCTGGTGAATGCGACGTTTTGGGCAAAAGCGTGGGGGTGAAGCGTGTTGAGAGAGAGAGGTTCAATAAGGCCGAACGGAGTTGTGTAACTTCAGGAAGAGACAACTAAGAGGTGGGTTTTTCTAAATGAGTGAGGCGAATCAGTGATTGCTGGGTGGAAACAAGGCATAAGAATGCTTGGGGTTGGGAAGGAGCGGGAGGAGGTTGTTTTTTTTCCTGTCAAGAGAAAAGAGAACGAAAAGGACGTTGTGTTGGGTGGGGATGGTGTGCTTTTGATGTGGACTGGTGTGTGGAGCGTTGTGGATGGTTTGGAGAAGAAGAGAAAAGGAGAGAGAGAAAAAACCCCGTCCTTTACAAAGGGTTGAGCCACGGGAAAACAACGGTGGCTTAGTGATATAGGACCCCTTAATATTCATTTTCATGTCCTAGTTTCTGCACTCCCTAGCGAAATTACTCCAATGTGTCACCTCATTGTCTCAATGCATGATATGGTACGAGCCTCTGCATTTTCTATCTGACATCGACGCAAACATAAAGTAAGCTCATTGCATTCGAGAAGTCGCGTCAAACTCGCAATCATGATTGACAACAAATGAAATACGCCCACTCACGATAGTAAATACAAAATGGGGCAACAACAACACCTAACAAGCAGGAGAGTCGTTTTTTTAAATGCTGCAGAGAATAGACGCTGCAGTATGAAAGGAAACCGGCGGCATTCGTTTGTGTTTTGGTGGCAAAATCACTCAGGAAAATCACACAAGTACCAGAAGCGCCGTTCCCCAATCTAACAGCATTTCAATTGCACCTTGGCCCATGTACATGCTGCGGTAAGGTTGGACTTTTAGTGCCTGAGTGATTTTATATGCGTTTATTGTGTCGTCCAAAGAATGTGCTTTACAAAAATCAAACACGTATTTGTATCCAAGGCTCACTTTTCTGTTGACTTGTTGTTTATTTTTATACCGAAAGGCGAGGGGAATACTTTCTTTTGTTGATGTTGATGCTGTTGTTGTGGTGGTGATGCCAAGCAAGCACACCAGCTCTTGTCAGAGCAACGAAAGGTTGGACATGAAAGGTGAGTCAAAGTGAACGAATTCTTCATTCTTCCATTCCCTTCGAAAACACGTTGCTGTAGACTGCGGCCTTCACTCTATCTACCCTCTTTCATTTCTATGGCCCTTTTTTATACCCTGAAGCCACTGACTGTCAACCAACGAGATGTCGATGCCATCCTCAACACCCAAATCGGTGATGGACGTAGTTTGCGTCCAGTCTTTGTCTTGACAGACTTCGGTTTTTTTTTGTCCCCATCCTCATCTCCCTCATCAGTTTTGTCCCTTGTCTGTTCCCAAGGTTGTCGACTCTCCTCTCCTTTCCCCTGCTTTTTTTTTTTTCAAATGAGAGCAGCAGCTAGCATATGGACTAAGAGGAAGACGATTGGACGAATTAGAGGAATCATAACCCAACGCAATTAATTTGTGAACCGCAGCGGACGTTGTTTACTTTTGAGTACTGCATGAGTGGCAGTGGTGGTGGCAAAAAGAAAGGACCCCGAAATAAGGTAGCGGCGTGTCTGTGTTTGCACATTAGTTATTTCAGAGTCCGCACAAGCTTGTTGACAGACAAACGGAGAAAGGGGAAAAGGCAGAGGAGATGAAATGCCAGGGATGGAAAGAAACGACAGATGGTGTGTTTTCTGTGTGAGAGCAAAAAAGGACGTCCGTCTATGTATACCGCCTATTTCACTCTTTCCTATGCCGTTATTGATTTTTTTGCCACCTCCTCCGATCAAGGGCCTGTCTACAGTACTCACTTTGCTGGGGTCCTGCGGAGAAAAAAACATGTAGGGAACAAGCTGCAGGTATAAAAGACCCCTCCCTTCATTCCGGCCTTCTTTTTTCTGCTTTTGTTTTCCACTCCTTCTCCACCTATCCACCTTTCCACCTTTCCACCTTCCGACCTATACCCTTCCTCCCCCTATCCTCACACCCAATTCATAATGCGCTCATTCACCAAAGTCACCTCGTTCGTCGCCGCCGTCGTCGCAGCCTTGGCTGTCTTGGCTCCTTCCACCGTCCAAGCTCAGGAGGGTGTCGCTTTCTACGACAAGAGAACTTTGGCTGCCAACCCCTTCAAGGTTTCTGGATACCAGCCTCTCATGATGCTGGCCGAGGGGCCTTACCCTTCTGCTGATACCGGTCTTGAAAAGAGAGCCATCGGGACCTGCGACCCTGGATACAATGTCTGCACGTAAGTCATGATATATTACTACTACATATTCGAGCGGTGGTGTCAACCGCTACAATTATCTCGTGAATGAAATGACCTGATTTTTGATGACTTCTTTCGTATTTTGTTTCCCTCAATGCCCTGTATCCTTCTTAGTGCCGCTGGAGGATACTGCTGCCAAACTGGATCACTCTGCTCTCCTACCTCTCGTCTCTGCTGCCCCACTACAGCTCCCTATATCTGTGGTGGAACCGAGTGCTGCCTTGTAAGTCTACCCTTTCACAAACCCTCCCCTCCACCTTCTCTCACCAAGTTTCTGCAGGTTGTTGGTACCTTCTTTTTTGTCCAAGATGAACCAAACGCCGTCATGACACCCTGACTGACAAGCACGCATTGACCCCTCTAATATTTTTAGTACAAGAGCTGCAACGCCGCTGGAGGCTGCGGTTGCCCTCTCACCCAAACCTCGTGCGGCGACAGCTGCTGCTCCAACGGATGTGACAAGACCGGCCAGTTCTGTGCCTGCAAGGCCGATACTCCCGTTGACTGTGGTGGTAGGCTCCTCCTTTCCTTCCTCACTTCCTTTCTTCTTCCATTCATACATTTATCCAAGCCATGTCATCCCTCCTTCTTTTCTTCTGCCTTCTACCTTCCCATCCTCCTTACCTTTCATTTTATCAGCCGCTGAAAAATAATCTTTTCATGTTTGCAACCACAATTGTCAAGGCGCAAACAAAGCAAACAACCTCGTTAACATAAACGATGCTGTTTCTCTTCTACATTAGGAATGTACTGCTGCTCCATCGGCATGTCGTGCAGTGCCGGAAGCAGATGCGCCGCCACGACCACTACCTCTGGCTTTGGAAACTTCCCTACCAACATTGGTGGATCTCTCAGTAGTGCTGGTTCTGTCAAGCAGGCTTCTGCTCCCTTTGCCGCCGCCATGGCTGCCGCTGCTATCGTCTTTGGCGCATAATCTGGGTAACAAGGACAAAGTTGATTTTTTTTTCGTTCTTTGGCCTTCTTGGGATGAAAAAGAAACCCGGGTTTCGTTTATTTAGGAAGATTGTTTATAGTAGTTTATAAAAACAACGAGCCATTTTTTTTTTGAACGTCTTCATGTCTTCAAGCAGCACGCTTTTCTTTTGGGGGGTGGGGGTGTTGCGCTTAATAGAGAGGAGAGTGAGAATGAATGGGAAATGTCATTTCTATGTTCGATAATGAATAAACCACAAGCCAACGAAAAGCATGCGCTATCGTTCAAACAGGCAGGTAAAAAAAAAAAAAAAAAGCACGAAGCAGTATTTTATGTGAAATTGTCGCCCAGCGACGTAAAGTTTTTTTTTTATTGTATGGAAAAGGACGGTATATCTTTGTATGTTCGCTTGCCGCAGGCAAGGAAAAGTGATAATAGTTGTACAGAAATTGTATGTAATAAGGATGAGAGTTCCAGCTCAATGGCGAGGGAGTGCTTCAAGAAAAAAAAATCCTCGGAGTTAAGAGAGGAATTTAGCACGCACCGCCATCCTTCCAGACACCCCAGGTGTTGCTGGCATCAGGGGTCTCGTTCTGGGTCCACCAGGAGTTGGTGAAGAGGTGGCCGGCATAGGTGACCTTGGTGGTGGTGGCGTAGGCGGTAGCGCTGTTCCAGGCGGCAACACCGCCGCAGATGCCGGAGGGAGTGGTGGTGACGGGACCCGAGGAGGTGGTGGTGGTAGTGGTGGTGATGGGGGCCTTGGTGGTGGTGGTGGCGGTGGCGGTAGGGGTAGGGACGGTGGTGACGACGGGGCAGTTGGAGGTGCAGTGGATGTTCTGGAGGACGTTGATCAACTCGTTGTTGTAATCGTACGACATATCCCAGAGCATGACTCCACGGACACCGGCGGTCTTGGCATAGTTGACCTTGATGGTCAAGGACTGGGGATCATCGTAGGAAATGAAGGTGTTGGCACCAGTTCCGTACAACCAGGGGGTCTGGGTGGCATCGTCCCAGTAGCGGGTCCAGCCGGTGGTGGGGGTAGTGACGCCTCCGGTCAAGATGCTGCCACGGATCTCCTTCCACTTCCACATGCCAGAGTAGACTGATCCTTCGTTGCAGAAGAAGTTGATGTCGTTGCGGTCAGCTGGGCCACCCTTGGGGGTGACGTTGGTCTTGTTGACGTACATCGAGACGGGCTGAGTGTTCATGTTGACCGTGGTGGTGACCGAGCGACCGTAGAAGGCAGTGCCGACGACAATCTTGGAGAGAGGGAAGCCACCGTCCTTCCAGGCATTAATACCCTGGGTGAACGAATACTGATCGGCCTTGCCGACGGGTCCGTTGTTGAAGGGGGCGTTGGGGCCTGTGGTAGCACTCCAGGAGCCCATGATATCGTAGGCCATGATGGAGACCCAGTCAAAGTAGGTGGCGAAGGCAGAGACATCAGCCAGAGGCTTGCCGTCGGTGCCATCGAAGGGCTGGACGCGGACAGCGGCGGTCAAGAGCTTGCGGTCGTTGGGGAACTCCAAGTCGAGCTGGGCACGGAGCTCGCGGAGGAGGACGAGGTAGTTGGCAGAGTCGTTGGGCGAGACGGTGTTGCAGATGGCACCGGGACGGCCGGGGTACTCCCAGTCGAGGTCGATACCGTGCATGTTCCAGCCATCGGGGGTGTCGGCGTAATCGGGGAGGGTGTTGTTGCGGACAAAGACCAAGGCGTTGTTGATGAAGGTCTTGCGGAGACCGGCATCGGCGGCAATGGTCGAAAGGGTCTGAGAACCGGTCCAGCCTCCGATGGACATCAGAATTGGGACACCATACTCGTTACCGCGCTTGACGAGAGCCTTGATGTTGTTTCCATCGTAGTAACGGTCAAAGAAGATGTCGGTGGCCAAGGCGTTGCGCTTGGCAGTGACACCGAAACCGCTATTGAAGAGAGGAGTGGGATGAAAATGTGTGCGTGTGTGTGGGTTAGAATTCGTATCTTGATTCGCTCATGGGAAATGGAAATGTGGTGTCCGAGCGCTCATTTGAGAAATGTCGATTGACAACGTTGGTACAGGAGAGTACAAGAGTCGGAGTGTGCAGGATGGAGTGGGAGATACTTACTAGTTGATGTGGGTGTACTTGGTCATGTCGAGGGACGCGACTGGGACATCACCCCATGGGACCCAGTATCCGAGGACGACGTTGGACTTGGCAGCGCGCTTGACTGGGGCGGGGGCAGCCGAGGCGACTGCGATGGCTGTGGCAGCCAAAGCGAGGAGTGAGATTCTCATGATTGGGAGTGGGATTTAAGGAGGTATGGAGAAAGGAGGAGAGAGAGAAAGAGAGAGAGAGAGGAGAGGTTGAGAGAAGAAGATGAGGATGAGGATGAGGATGAAGAAAAAGAAGAATTTGGGGGAATGTTCGAACGCTTTTATAATGTTTTTTTTGTCTTGGGTCCTTGATGTCGAGGAGAATGGGCGAGTAGGAGTTGTGAGCGTGAAAACGAAGGGGACGAGATTGGTTGTTCCTTTGGAACGAGAGGAAGTGACGAGGAATAGGTGATGAATGAATGAATGAATGAATGAGAGAGTGAGTGAGTAGAAGGATGGATATTCTATTCAAGAGGAACATGCCTTCAGGGGCTATGGTTCACATATCGGGTATCGTATGGATGGGAGAGGGCCAAGGAACGACCGATGTGGAATCGATTCAGAGCAAGATGGAATAGGCGGGCGTGGATGCTATTCAATGGAAGTCGCTGAGGAACCCATACCACTCAGCTTAATAACAACCATCCATTCAATTCAAGTGTACTTTTACTTACTTTCTTTGCAATGTCTCCAATCAGCGTTTTTTATCGGATGGTTTCTTTTGTTGTTGTTGTTTGCCGATGACATGTATTGTCTTTTTTCCTTGTTGCATATTGCCGATTATCAGCACACAACACTCACGCAGCTAACCAAGCTCCCCTAGAATGGACAGGTTTCCGTGGGTAGACAACAGACAAGGTTTCGTTTTATCGCCAATGGAGGAGAGAGAGATGTCGATTGAAATGAGGTGTGAGTGGGCAGAGTAAAGTTGTGAGCAAAAGCAGGGTTTCGACAAGGACAGAGAGAGGACACAAAGCCCTTGATTATGCAGCCTTGATATCCCCTCGCCTCCTCACCCTTCTTTTTGATCGATTGATATCCAACAGGTCAATAGGGTCGAACCCACTGTATTTGTTGTCTGTTTATTTGTTTATTTTATTATCGGCTTTTCACATCGGTATTGAACAGGGAGACAAGAAATATGCCCATGTTAATGCTATATCATCACTTGCATGTATTTAATGTGAGCACTATGGGACATGGAGATGGAAAAGGGTAATGTGATCCTTTTTCCCGTGGGTCAAGTTTGCCAGCCAGCCCATGGCTCTCTTTCCCTCTTGGTTTTGTTTACTATACCGATTGGCGCTTTTTTCCTACCTTTTGTGCATTGTCACGCCCCATCCAATTCTCTTTTCTTTCTCCTTTTCCTTGACATTTTTAGTCCTTAACGCGTCCACAGCGACAACAACAGCAACACGAAGTATGTAACAGGGTGTATATTTACTTGTTTTCCTTTGCCCCTCTGGCTCTGGGTAAGAGTAAGTCAACAAGACAACAGGCACACACGAACGAAGCTAACCCTAATCAGCGCATAATCTCGAAAGCTTGATTGTCGACGCATCATTTTGATTGGAAGAGGGGTTCTTTCGTTTTTTTTACCCCACGGGTTTGTGTGTTGTTTTTATTGCTTGCCCATGGGGCATTCGATTGTTTTGCTGTCCTCCTTCGTGCATACAGGACATGGGTTTGACCCTTTTTCACCAGACCCTGAACTCTCTCTTGTCTTATTCAGCAAAAGGAGCCACGAGCGCCATCCCTCCTCATCTCCTCTTTCTCAATCCCGCTGCACCTCTATGCTACCTCAGTCCTATCATCGGTCATCATCATCCAACAGATATTTTATTTCTTTCCAGGTCATTGAAATCACTATGCATAATCGATAAAGTGAACCATGGCGCCCCCACCTCCCAAGCTACTTGCTAAACTTCTTTGGGCGTGCGAAAAAGTTACCCGGCAGACTATCGATGGAGTCTTTTACGCCTAACAACCTAAAGTGGTCATACGACTTCTTTTCTATGATCGAAACAAACTCTACGACCATCTGAATAGGTAGTTCGCTTTGAGGTTCAGAAAGGCTGAGCCGAACCCACTTACCCTCACCTTGTCTGGGCCATTAAGTGGGCTATGGTTAAGTGTGCATTCGAGCCAAGTTTTTATCCTAGTCCAATGGAACAACTTTTCGCGATAGAAACGACACTAAAAAACTCACACACCACTTCATCGCCGTCTCCGTATCGGCTTTTTTTTTTGTTATCTGGCGTCGGATTTATCCTTTGCCCCTTCTTTGCCATCAACATTGCGCGCTTGGTCTCCTCTTCCCGCTCGTTCCTCTTCTTCTTCTCGGCCTAACGATCAAGATTATGCCGCCTTTCTCGCTATCATCGACTATCAGGGAGTTATCGCAAAACAAAAGGACCATTATCAGTCCGTAAACAAATGCAAGTGCCTCCTCCTTGCGTTCACAATCCATTCTTCATCCTCTTTCTCCATTTTTTTTCTCATCATTATCGCCCATCAAAATTGTAAATAAAGACACAATCTCGGTACGGAAGGATATACCCATGCCCCCATGCTAGGTCCGTTAATTCTCAAAGGTACAATCGCAATTAGGGGATGGCAGGGAGTGAATCAGTGATGTAGAAAGGTTGGAAGGATGAGAAGTGAAAGGAAATGGGGACAAGGGACAGGGGGGAGTGAAGGGAGAGAAAAGAGAGACGGGGTCAACTACAACAAACAAAACGGACCCACGTTAAAGTTTGGGTCCAGGTTGATGGATTGGAGTGTGAAGATGATTTTGATAATGGGAATTGCGATCAAAAAACAACAAACGACAACGGCAACAACAACAACAACAAAAGCAAGAAAAAATAATACAATAAGGATGAAGGCTCTTGGACCAGACTAGCCCTTTGTGCCTCCTTCCGCCTTTTAATGGTATTGAATGGTGAGAGAGGAGGGAGGCGTTTGTTTAGTCGAAGTAGCGGTCGTTATTATTGAGACTGTCTGTTATTTCGTGTCTATTCTAACCCGATTGGCGTAGATGTAGCCCATCAGTACCATCAGGACGTATGTCCGTTCCTGAATTTTAATCAAATGCAGATGCAGTAAAACCAATAAGCTAACGACTGATTTCATAGATCTCGTTCCTGAATTATTCTGATGGAATGAATGAATGCCAGGAGGGGAGAGAAGCTACTGACCCTGCCCTGCCCTTTTTCTTTAAACCATTTGCATGCCCTCGTCAAATCACGAATGGTTCGGCCTTTTGAACTCTCTTTCCCCTTGTCTCTTGTGATCACTCTAACAAACTCTTTTTATCTCATCCAATCGGCCAATCATCGCGCTTGCCAATCATGCTTTCCCTCCCCTCTCGTCCGTTTGTTGTCGCTTCATTTTTTTTTTCACTCTCATCTATGAGGAATAAACAGTGAATGCCCTGCATATATTTTTCGTAATATAAGTGAAGGAGCGAGACCCTGGACCATTAGATTAAACAAGCCATCGTAACAAACAAAACCATTGATTACGGCCGATTACCGCTTCGCGGACGACAATAACAAACAAACAAACACGCAAGCAAAACGATAAACAATGAGGTGAGGATGAGGGAAGATTTCTCGGAGACAAGGGTAGCATCAACAGACGACGAAAATAACAGAAAATAGAACGACAAGAAAGGTCCTAACCTCCTCTCTAGTTTGTAATCGGCATCGCGATCAAAATAGCGATCATGATAATGAAAAGAAAAACTATCCGTGTTACCTTTCTACACCCCACCCTTTTTCTATTCTCCTTGTCCCATGTGCATATCACTGTACGGCGCGGAATATCCGTGGATACATTTTTCCTATTTTTTCCCTAGTAATCTCGCTATCGATTAACGACGTATTCATGCATGCCTTTTTTTTTTCTTTCATTTACTTTGTGCGATGTACAGTACAGAAAATACTGGCAGCTTGCGGTATACAAAAAAAAACCACCAACTATCAGCCCGGAATCTGACCATCGTCGCCTGCCAAGACCGTGGCCGCGCCGTCCTTGTACCCCTCAATTTTAAAGTACTTTTGGGAGCCCCCATTCCATTTTCTTCCTCGTCCGCCTTGGGATAATGCCCAGAGCCAGAAGCATGCTGAATCGTCAACTTCATCCCCTGCGTCGACACCTGTCCCACCAACTCAATCGCACCATCATCGCGTCCACAACGGAGAAGAGGCATGGCCGCACAGGGCTCGGGAGGACTATTCGAGGTCGTCGGTCGGGACATGTAATATGGATCTGCATCAACTCGGCAACAGAAGCCTCCCCCTCCAAGAAGTGTAGTCATTCGGACAGAAAAGTTCCAACGAATGGTGTCGTCACAGTTGTTGTAGTCGTTGTTGTCATTGGTGTTAGGGATGCCGGTGCGGCAGTGCGGCGGTGGCGAGTTATTCGGAACTGCTTGACCATCACCCCCCGCGGCCTTGCGTTGCACTGGCGGCATTCTTGGTAGGGAGTTCGATTGGGTCGAGGAGAGAGTAGTTTGCGAGTGCAACATTGACCAGGTACCTCTTTTTGACGGCGGGAGTAGAGCCAGGTGACAAAGACGACAACGACGATGATGTAGACGGCGACGACGGGATCCCAACAATTAGCATCTGATGCGTCTCTCGCCCGAGGCATCAACACCTCCAAGCGACTCCAGCTCACGCACCTTATCCTCCGAAACCCCACCCTCACTCGCTTCCTTCTTCAAATGCTTCGAGATTCGGTTATAGTCAAGACAACCTTGGCTTTAGCATGCACGACCTCAAACCCAAGTGTCTGCAGAGCTCCACCCTAAAGGATATTGGGTTCAAGACAATACCTGCCTCGACGGTCGAGGACCAACTTTCTGACGAGGTCCTTTGTCGAGAGACCGATTGGGGGTGACAAGACCTTTGGTTTCTTGTCAGGCTGGTTATAGTCAGTAGGGTCATTTTGGGGGACGATCGGGCGCTAGTGGAGGGAGAGGGTCTCGTGGGTGATGGACGTCAACTGGTGAGCCTGGATATATCGGAGGAGTTGAATGGGGGATGGGCCAATGGATTGGTCGGGTTGGTAGTCGAACCCGATCCTCTGAAAGTAGAGCTGCAGCTGTTCATGGGTAAGTAATTCCTTTGTTTCTTCAAAAGAATGTAGAATATAATCTGAGGAATGTGGAGCCAAACACTGAAGAGTGGTGGAGCTGAATAAGTTGTGGGAGGCTGAGAAGAACGCGTACGGAGGGAGTCATTATAGGCGACCAAATAAAGTACGCGCAATACTTGGGTCGTTGGTCGGAGGGGTTGTGTAAGGTTATCGCGATAGCAAACCCCAATTGCTCTTAAGATATATGAGTTGATTGATGGGCTATAGTGTGGACCTTACCTGGCTTGCCATTGAGTATGCACTGCATGAATAAAGGCTTGCGTAAACTGATGTGCAGCAGTACGATATATGAATGACTCCTGGGAAAGAAAGAGCTATTGGCTATGTAGTTGATATCCTGGGGAACAACATCGATTGGTGACCTGTGGTGACTGCTTTTGCAACACCATGTTTTTATTTTTTCGAAGGACCTTTTTTTTTCTTTTTCTCTCACTAACCTACTACTCTCGAACACCAAGGACAGACATAGCAAGGATGGCGCCACCAAAGAAGCAAAAGATGCCCAGCATGAAGGAGCTCCAGGACCTCCTCGCAACCCTGGATGCTGAAGGAGGACTCGCAATTGGAGGCGGCGATGGTAAATATTTAATTGGCACATTTACGATATCATTGTTGAGAGGATAGGAAGAGAGCAAGCGCAGGACATAAGAAGAGCACGAGAGGAAGGAGAGAGCTACACGGCTGCTGAGAAAGTGTGGTATACGGACGCGAGTACAGGCGTAGCAGAAAAGCGAAAGACCATTGTCAACTAACACGATGACCTTTTGCGACCTACAACTGATACACATAGAACCCGCAAACCTGGACGACCTCTATGAGGACTCTTACTTCCACGCGATCCTCCACAACAACGTCAAGCAGGACTCTTTCTCCATCCCCAGCACCCCAACCTCAACTTCCGACGATACCACCACCACAACTACTCCCCCAACACCAACCACCCTAACCTTCGAAACCCTAATCCTCCCCCAGGAATGCGCCTGGGGCGACGACCACGAATCCCTCGGCCGCCAACTCCTCGTCCGCCCCGGCTACCAATCCGTCCTCTCCGCCATCACCTCCGCCTCCTCCTCTTCCTCAACATCACAACAAACAATTTACATGGCAACAGGCGGTTCAGGAATCGGGAAATCCAGTCTTGCCTACTTTCTCGTCCACAAGCTGCACGTCGCCGGCCACAACGTTGTCATCAGCGACCCCATGTTCACAAACGCCCTCCTCGACAACCAATATTATTCCTCTTACTCCCCCCACCTCGAGGAACACCTCTCCATCCACACCGCCATCTCCGCTCCTCCCTCTTCTTCAAAAACAAAGAAGCCCACATGGTGGATCTGCGACGACGGGTTCCTTCCAATCAAGGGAACCAACTGCCACGTTATCGTCACGGGGTCAACAGCCACCACGGCCGACAGGGACACGGATACCATCCGCAAGAAGAACAAGCTTGTTCAACCGGTCCAGTTCCAGGTCCCCAAATGGTCTCTCGACGAAATCAAGGCCGGTCTTTTGGTCTCTCTGTCGTCTACGAGTAAGGATTCGCCCCCAATGACAAAGGAGCAGGAAGCCGTTATCGAGTCATTGTTCAAAAAGTTCAAGGGAAACCCCAAGAAAACGTTTGCGTGGGTCAAGGAAAACTGGACAGGAGGAAGAGGAGAAGAGTCCACAACAACCAAGACGTCAAAATCCAAATCCAACAAACCCAAACGCTCCTAAACGCCTCCACGACCATGCATACACTTGCATTAATTCTGTACAACACAATTTTGGCACAAAGCAATAAACGATGGAAATTAGCATAAATAGTTATTATTTTTGTCATATATAATGGAAATGGTGGACAGGGGGATCATAAAACTTCTCTCTAAGATTGGCTACTGTTGTTGTTGGATCGGCGGCCAAAGCGTCTCGACGATGCCGAAGAAGTGCCTGATGCCGAGGATAGGTTTCCGTTCTCGATGCGAAGGTTGGGCGAGACCAGGCGGATCTGGGCTCCATCGCGTTCCATATCATCATCACCTCCTGCAGTGCTGGCCAGGAGCAGGCAGGGCAAGCAACATCCCGAGCAGCACAACAGGATGGAGAGGACAATGAAGACGGGAATCAAGACATGCGACACGGCATAAGCATGGCCGTCCAATCTTGCTGCCAAAAGTCCGATCAGAGCGTACGAGAGAGATCCTACAATCGCAAAGACTACGCCTCCAGCGACCATGAGCGACTGTCCCTGCTGCTTCATTTCGAGGTTCTGCATCTGAGAGAAGGTCCTGTATCCAATGATGATCTGGAGAAGGTACTTGATGCCGACCAAGTACAGGGGGATAAAGACGACGCCCCAGGAGCAAGTGATCTTGTCGTCGATGCGGAGCATAATCAAAACTGCCTGAACAATTCGGATCACATTCCACCAGAGCGATGAGAACACAATCGTCAATTTGCCCTTGCCAGTGACATCAGCCTGTCCAGCGACCTTGAGGGCCATGAAGGTGTAGAGGAGAGACGAGAGTAACATGATCGCCTCCAGAACAAAGTAAGGTGCAAAAATAGCTGGCCCCGAGATGCTGGAAGTGTCGTTGGCTCTCTTGACGATCAAGACCTGGAATGCGGTCAACAGGGCAACAATGAACAAGGAAAATAGGCCTCCCCTGACCTTGGCGCTCTTCTTCTCCTTCAGCTTTTGAGCCTTGCGCTCATCCTGACTGCCTCCTCTCGATGCGCCATCCTCGTTATCCTCGTGGTCCTCGTCATCGTCATCGTCCGATTCGACTGGTCGAAGAAGCTGACTGATGACCATAAAGGCCAGAGTTGCATCCAGAATCCAGAGAGGAATAAAGACGACCGAGTAGTTCCAGTTGACTTTGCCGTCGACCCGCACAGTCAAGAAGCTGAAGAAGATAATGGCGAGAACGAAAATAATCGAGGCAGCAAGGAAGAGCGAGCAAAGAAGACTCTCGATCTCAATCAACTGTGCTCCGATCTCTGTGCCTGCCATCTGTACTCCCATCATGCCGTATTTGTCGTAAACCTGGCGTTTCTTGGGATCGCCTATAAAAGAATGAATTGGTACATCATGCTCATAGAGGTTAGTCAACTCGTCGTATCAACAATGGTACTTGGTTTACTACTGTTGTTGATGCTGTCGGAGACGACACATGTAACTGGTGCAAGTAAAATAGATTGAAAGTGCTCTCGAACAACACCAAAACAAAATAAGAGTCCTAAGAGAGCATCCTCAATTAACAACAGCAAAAGCAGACAAAACAAACATCCGACATGCCATATCCAGCAAGAGTTCATCTTTCTTCCTCATATTTCTCTCTCTGTCTGTTTGTCTTCCATGTGTCCATCGTGTCCATCCCGAGTATCCCGCAGTGTGTCGTTGTCGATTTCAAATATTCAGTCGAAAAATATTGCCTCTCCTGAAGATTGAATGTGAAGGCTGTTGCTGGATGATGACACAAGGCAAAGCAAGGCAAGGCAAGGCAAGGCAAGGGCGTAGAACATACTCAGGACTTCATAGGCTGCGGCGATATCTCGGAACTAGAAAGTGAAAATAGGCGGATCAACCAACGGAATCCAAAATGGTTAGAAACATGACGATAAAAAAAAGCCTGGGGTTCAGGCTGGCCAGGAGACGGACTGTCGAATGTTGTCATTCTTCGAACAATGAACACAGTTGTAAAGAAACGACAAGAAAATAATACGAGGAAGACCGAGTATCTACAGTCATCCATGGCTGTTAGACCCTAACTTACTCTTGTTTCATGGTCTGGCACCTCGGCGACGTTGACCTTGTCAGGGTGATATCTCAGAGCCAACCGTCTAAGCAAAGGAAGTCAAAGAAAAAAAATTGTTGCGCCGTCCAGTCAGTTGATGTTATTTTTGAAGGCAACAGTGAGTGGAATTGAGTCATTCCTGGAATTCCGATTCGATCGATGTTGCTGTTGGTTTGTTGTCACAGTTGGCAAAGTCCAGTCTTTCTTCGAATGTGAATGTGAGGCGGCAAGGGATCCAGTGTGTCTGACGATATAAAAAAAGTGGGGCGAGCTGTTCGTTGGTTGGAGAGCTGAGGTTTGCTGGAGGTAAGAATGGCAAGTGTAGTACCTGTATGCCTTTTTGATTTCGTCCTGGGTGGCGGTCTTTGGCACCCCCAGTGCCTCGTACAGGTGGACGGTGTTGCGATCCATCCTGTGTGAATGAGTGGTTGTTGCGGGGAGGAAGGAAGAAAGAGAGAGTGCAAAGTGTTTTGCTGTTGGTTGGTGGTTGGTGATGTGTGAGTTCACAGAGAGAAAATTGAAAAAGGGTAAAAAAAAAGGGCGGGATAAATTGCGTGCAAGGGGTGAGTGGATTGAAAGAAGGAGAGAGGAGAAAGGAAAATTCGGCACAGTGCGAGGGCGTGAATAAAAACGGAGATGGAGAGAGAGAGAAGGAAGGGCAGGTGAAAGGGGGTTAAAGAGAAATAAAAGAGTCGTTGATGTCGTTGTCGTTGTAGTTGTCGTTGATGTTGATGTGATTGTTGATGAGAGAAAAGTGAGTGTGGAAGGGGGGATGAGAGAGAGAGTGAGTGAGAGAACCAAAGAAGTGAAAAAAAGAGCGTTGGAGAGAAACATTATCCCCTAGTTTGTTTGTGGTGCAAATTTGCACATTTTTTTCGATTTATCCAGGTTTCCAATAAAACGGGTTAGAAGACTACGTCGTGGGAGTGTCCTTGTCGTCTTCGTCACATTACATCACTCTCGAATTCAGCTCTTTTTTTCTCATCATCATCCCGCAACCCATTACCTTTTTTTTCTCACACATCGACTTCACCCTACTCACTCATGGACTCCAGTCTCGAGTTCCTCGGTTCCTTTGACGTTTCTGACTCTCAAGGCACCGTAGTAGCATCTGCGGAGGAGGTTGACGAGGCACAGGAGGAGGAGGAGTTGTTGTTTTCGGTCCGTTGTCGTACTCGACCAACGCCTGGTACAGATAGCTCTGGGGACGAGGAGGAGGAGAAGGCAGGAGATGAAGGGGTGATAGATGCTTCAGCTCCACCGACAAAGAAAATCTTCTCCGACCCAGTATTGACGGATTTGGCAGACAACACTAACGCATATGCAGCATCAAAAGGAGCCGGCACAGGAGAGGGATCGCGCCAGTGGGTAAAGACCACACCTGACGAACTGCGCACATTCCTCGGCATCATTGTCTACATGGGCGTGTTCAGGCAGAACTCTGTCTCTGAGTATTGGTCAACCTTCCCTGAATGTCCTCAACACAACATCACTACCTTCATGTCCCTCGTCCGCTTCGAACAACTGAAGCGTTTTTTTCATGTCTCCAACCCCAACGAGCCTGAGCAACATTGGTTCTCAAAAGTAGAGCCTGTGATAGATAGGTGCTTCGCTTCCTTTTCTTTTATTTAACGAAGAGAGTTACCACTCTTGCCCTCTGCTAGGCTATAAAAGCTAACTGCGACAATCGCCAGACCCACTTCAGGTTCTTACCGTGTTCTGGATGGACAATAGACCTGTCTCCATACTCTTCACCGTCCATGCCCTCAGCCTCGGCGACAACGACTGATCCGTTGTCCAAGATCGCAGACGCCCTCGAGAGACAAGCGCCAGCGCAAAGTCAGTGCGGGCTGCTCATAAAGGACGTTCCATGGCGTTACTTCCCATCCCAAAATCATCGATGACAACAACCACCACATGAACGGAGTCGACATTGCCGACCAGTTATGCAGCTACTATTCGACTCAGCTCAGGACTTATCGCGCATGGGCTCCGATCTTCTTCTGATTACTGGATACAACAATCATCAATGCGTACCTTATCAACAAACTCTTCGGCTCTTCCATGCATCAAAGGGAGTTCCGATAGTTCCTGGCTAAGGATCTGATAGTGTCCGCCAAATGTCGCGACACCCCTACCTAAGTATCCCCTTATGTCTCGAAAAAATTCAAGGGACCAAACGATGAATTACTGAACTACTCATGACTGGCTGCATCCTGTGCAGATAAAATAAACGAGAAGGCATAACACAAGCATATCCTCAACCCACCCAGCGAATCTGCTCTCTCTGCAAGGTCTTCTTTGCACCAAGAATGATTTAGGAGTATCATACGCGCCCTGAGTTTTAGAAAGGGTCCTGTGCCCGCGCCGATAGCGTTGCATCTCAGTGTCTGTCCACTGAGGCTGAAATGCATGGGATTGGTGCGAAAGAACCATCCTACCCCTTAATTCGCTCACCCCTAGCTCATAGCTCTGATGGTCACGGTGACTGAGTGAGCGGCTGAGGCTGAGTGAATAAAGACCACTAGCTTCTTTTTCACCGTTCTGCATCGCCTCGTGTCCCTTTCATTTAAACTGCCCCCTTCTCCCCCTTCTCCTAAACTGCCCCCCTTCTCAATTGAGCTTCAACAGACCTATGTAAGGCCGATGTTGAAAGTGATTGCGACCCGTGCTATTGAGAGAATCTATGAAATCAGACTCGCGCTAACCATCAACCTTCAATTGTGAATTACTTAGAATTACAGCAATGGGCATCACAAATCTCACCGGGTGGATCAAGGCGACAGACGGAGTGGAGGAAGATCTAACCAAGAAGAGATGTGAAGTAGATTTTGCGTCGATGTTTTTTGCGTTGGTGAACTCGCTGAGTTTCCATAAAACAGTGCAGTTCGCTGCAAAGTCCGCCCGATGTCAATTATCTACTCACACAACAACATCGACACAGCAGGCTTCATCCGGCCCAGAGCGAGCAGCCGACGTCGATGGCGCGGGCATGTCTACTCACACAACAACATCTACACGGCAGGCTTCATCCAGCCCAAAACGAGCAGCCGACGTCGACGATGCGGACACCGCCGACACTGCTTCCTCTAACAAACGCCTCCGACCCCTCCAAATCAGCTCCGGGTCGTCGACTCTCGTTGAAGACATGCAGCGATTGCTGGCAACACAGCCATCCCAGATTCGGTTCGACGAGAGCGGCGCTCTGACCACAATCTGCGCCCAGGAAAAGGTCATTGTAAGTACCATAAATCATACCATCTGGAGAAAGCTAAATGGATTGTACTGATCTGGAAAAAAGTTAAATGATTCATGCTATCTGGAGAAAAGCTAAATTGCTGTGACCAAAATAATAATTCGCTGTTTCCAATAGGATTTTCGATCTGTCGGAGCCGCAATTGAGAAGATTCTCTCCTCACGATTGTCTAAGGACATTACAATGCTCCATATGGATGGTCTACGATCAATGGAGAAGGAATGGGCGCACGGCAAACGAGATCAGGCGCTGTCCAAGCAGTTGGAAACACTTGAACGAGATTACACGGAGGGCAAGCTGCACAACAAAAGACAGCTATACAAACGCCTGAAGGCGTCGTACCGAGCACCACCGGAGGCATTGCGCGCCGTTTCGGAAGTACTGCGTCAGAGTGGATGGACGATTTGCCAATGTCTCAACCAAAGCGACACGTGCATTGCGCGGACAGTCAACAACGCTGCCGTACCCGGAGATATCCGAGTTATCACCAAGGACTCCGATCTCATGGCATTCGAGTCAATCATGTCCGTCACCATGCCAGTCAAGAACACTTGGACTACTTTCCACAAAGATGAGCTTCTGAACGAGCATGGCCTTCCGACCCCTGTACATCTAACGCTTGCCGCTCTGGTATCGAACAACGACTACACCAACGGAGTTTTTTCCTATGGCTTGACATCCAATGTCGATACGATCCGTCAGTTCAAGATGACAGGTCTTGATGGAACGGTTGGCCAAGATCGAGTGGAGGTGGTTCGGATCTATGTTAGGCGCTACCTTGACATAATACACCAAAAGGCCCGTACAATCAAGGACTCAGCCACCCAAAGCGCACGTCGTCGACTGCGATGCAATCCTAACCCAACGGTGAAGGCACACGACAAGGATCTGAGGAGGATCGAAACGGCCGATCGACAGCTGCGTGTAGATGTGACAGAATTCGGCCATGCTCTCAAGACATTCGTGCTTTGCGAGGAAACCACTCTGGACAACAACAGGATCAGCCCGGCGGCCGATACACACACACGACTGATGGCCATAATTAAGGAAACAGAATTCAACAAAGCCTACAATGATTGGCGTCGCTTTTCCGCGAGTCGGACGGGATCGTTGCCGCCTGGGCTGCTAGTAGATCCAGCTTCTCAGGGGGCGGCGACAGACGCAGAGGCAACGCCACCACCACTCCCAACGGCACCCAAGGCAGGATCAGCACCATATCCGCAAGCTACATCAGCGGGATCACCTTCCATCAGGCAGACGCATGGCCCAGCCGAACATCCACCATCGCACAAGCAAAAGATTAAAAAACAACGCCGACATGGTTCACGTGCCCTCCAGCGGCGACGACAGAAGTGGCGTCGTTCCAGGTATGTCTTTTCTCCTGGTATTTTTCTCCGCCTTGTCCAGCTATATACATATATTTCCACCTTAACACAACTCATTGCAAAATCGCATCTAGATTCCGCTCGCGCACAGACGTGCAAGATCGCTATGTGCCGAACACTGTTTTCCTAGAAAAGGCCAGCCCTGTTGATGTCGTGGAACTTTCAGGATTGAAGCCGTCGACCCCCCGTCCTTCAAAGCCCAAGGAGCAATCCCCCCGTATCAACCAAGTGCCTGCCCCCGCTGCCAAGAAGAAAAAGAAAAAACTCCTTGGCGAACCTAAAGGAATAGCTGGACCCAAGGCCTTGAAGAGAGCGTTCCAGTCTGTTTTCGCAACGGTCACGCTCACGACTGGATCCCTGCAAGGCTGCCTAGGAAGATCAACCAATCTGTCGAAAGCAGAGGTTGCGCAGCTAACCCAACACGTGAGTTCGGCAGTCTCTACCGTCAATAGCGCCAAACACATTGTGTACAAGCTTATCGAGATGCGCATTCTACAGCCGCTGATCGAGACTGGACTGAACCAGGCAGAGGATGGACCGGACGAGAGCTTCCTGGAGAAGATCCTGGATTCCGATTGGGCGGAAAGGTTTGTCCAAAACCTACTGTCCTTCGTCTTGAGGAATTCCATTGTCCCCCAAGGACGTCCACCCGCGTCGGACAAGAGCAAGGATGCTGTCGCTGAAGCAATCTCGACGTTTAACGAGTTCAAGAAGACGCTGTGCCCAGGGTTCAAAGCCCTCAACTCAACGGATCTGGCTTTGAGTAATATCATCGCGGAACTTGCACCCAAGATCTGCCTAGATCAAAAACTGCATTACAGGAGAATACCGGAGACTCTTAGAACAAAGGTACCATCTATCCATATCCATTCAGTTTGTCAAATATTTTCAATGGGGTGTAAAACATATATTAACACTCCTTTTGTTTATGCAATGCCAGCTCTCCAAGCTGTCCATTGATTGCGATGGTCTTCCTGAAATAGATCAAGATGACACCGACGCTGGTGGTGATGCCGGGGCTGCTGACGTTAACGAGGGTGTGGACGACGACGACGCCCTCAAGCGATCCAAGAAGATCATTTTCAAGCCGGGTCATATTCAACTCTGCTGGCGATATTTCCTCCTCTTATCATCATCCAAGCGGCCCCGGTTCTGCACCCAGGCCAAAATGAGCGATTCCTTCATCGACATCAACGAGGAAGCGTTGGTTGCGCTTCTCTGGGGAGAGAAGGCAGCTCAGTTGGACAACGTATGGGAGGACACCCGCTACACTCACAACTGGGCAGCGGCAAAACAGCGTTCTTCGTACGGAGAGGTGATCAAAGAACTATTCATCGGTGACCGAGATGTCATCAAGGAAGCCAGGAATAAGCAGCAGACGACATACGGGAAGAGGACAACAACCATGGCTGAGCGTGAGGAGGCCCATCCACACATCTACGGACAGTTAGAGCTCGCACGGTATTTGACGAATAAGGTCAATTTTTTCCGAGAACGGCACAACGCCTCCCTCACGGCCCCGACACCACCGTTGCCATCATCAACGTCATCGTCATCGACGACCTCCACCCCACCGCCTCTTCCCACCCCACGTCAGCAGCCGCGTTCTTACCGCTACGCCCTCAACAACTATATCAGGACGGATGGCCACCAGCTGCAGATTCTCGCGTATGACCTTACAAAACCCCGCCAATCCCCAAATTACAGTGAGTTTCTTTCTAGGATCGAGAAGCTTTATCCAACGCGGCAGCATCTTATCGACGCGTTTGGCGACGACCTGGATTCAGTCATTGTCGTCGGTATTGATCCCGGAGAGGTAGTGAGTGGTGCATTTTGTTTGACACTTCCCGGTGGAAAAGTCATCAATCTGCTGATCAAGAGGGCCTCCCTATACCAGCCTACTCTGGCCTTCCGAGATTGGGAACAGCATTGGAAAAGGCGACACCCAACAGCTGGTCCAGGCGATGTTGTCGACTCATCCCTTTGGACACGGATTACCGACCTGGACAAGCTCACCACTCTCCCGTCTGTCCACGACCTAGAGAATTCTCTCCCTCAACGAACTACGACACCTCGTTGGATGCTTTGACGGCAGCTCACAAGAAGTACTACGAGCAGGAACCGCTGATCCACGGGATTTACGCGTCAAGAGAATGGAAGGTAGCGGTTCACGAGCACAGAATGGCGAAAATGTCGGAGTTGGATCTGGCCGTCGCTGGCGTTTTGCGGATGGTGGATGAGGCATGTGAGGGCGTACCCGTCCACCAAAGAAAAGTTTTTTTTGCCCTGGGGAATGGAACCTTCCGGTCTGGCTTTAATCTCTCTTCGGTGCACACCACGTTTCTCAGACGTCTTTTACAGCAGGTACGAAAGGCAAAAAAAAATTGTGAAAGGCATGGTTGTATCTTTTTGTCTTGATTGTGTGCACTCATGATGCCATGGCAAATCTATGGAACACAATTTTATTATTCCTGCACCGATAGAGTGCTGCGCTCGGATACAAGGCTGCCCTGGTCGACGAGTATCTTACTTCCACCATGTGTCCAACATGTGTGGTTGAGAACCGAGCCACCCGCCTCGCCAAGCCGTCGATGAGGACATGCGCCTGTGTTGAGTGCACTCGGTGGATTCACCGAGATGGAGTGGGGGCGCACAACATCGCTTTGATCGGAGAACAGTACCTCAAGTCTCTAGGACGGCCCGAGCCCCTTGCAAGACCCCCAAACAAACCTAACCTCTATAGATAGAAACTATAGTTTACATTATCCCCTTCTACGGATTAAGGGATAGAATATTAAAGAGTGTGGCGGGCTGTCAGGGCGGGGAATCAAATAGGTCCTGGATAGTACGTCATGCCTTTGGTCCAAGAATAAGAAAAGAAAAGGAAGTATCCATCATCCATAGGACGCATAGGTATGACATGGCTATGAACGTGGCTATGACCACACGGGATGATTACGAGCATACTATACAATACTACGCATCAAAGAACATCGACAATGCAACAGGACAACTCCAAAAGGCGGTTAAAAAACTTACCGGGGCAATAGAGGTAATAGGGGTAAAGTCAGTGCAATAAATAGTCCAGGATGATTAATGCGAGTTAAGAGTAACAGACAGTGCTTCCCCTGTCCAAGCAATCAAGGCAACGCGCGTGATAAAGGATGGAGCAAACGATCGAAAAAGAGTATCAGTCGAGGCAATCGAGGCGAGCCGTTCATGCCTCGCTTTCTACACCCCCAACCTTCTTTCTTCTCCCACACATCCTCCTACATCAACTCTCCTTCTCTCTTCGCTTCTCCTTCTCTTCGCCATCCCAATTCACCACTTTCGCCTCACACACACACATCCACACATCCACAACAATCTTCTCATAACCGCAAGAACAATTGAAAAAATGTCCACTGTCGATCTATCAAAGGCCCTCGGCTACAAAAGTCCTCCAACAAAGGTCGTCTTCAATACCCGCGACTACCTCCTCTACGCCCTCTCCATCGGCATCCACTCCGAAGAACTCCAATTCCTCTACGAGAACCACCCCCAATTCGCCGCCTTCCCCACCTACCCCCTCGTCCTAGCATTCAAACGAGACAACAACGGCGTCTCAGTCTACGACGGAGCCGGATCAGATGCCATCCCGGGCATTCCACCCTTTGACCCCAATACTGTCGTTCATGGTGAACAGTCCTTGGAGGTTCATCGCCCTTTGCCGGTGGAGGGCGCGGAGGGGTTTGAGTTGCAGAGTACGGTGACAGGGGTGTACGATAAGGGGAAGGGGATGGTCATCGAACGAACAGCTCAGTTGGTTGATCCGAAGGATGTTTCGAGACCCTATGCGACGATGATGGGGTCTGCGTTTGTGAGAGGGAGTGGTGGATGGGGAGGACCGCGTGGACCTGCGGATAGTGCTTCTGGTGGGAAGAAATCAGAGTCGTTGGATCCTCCTAAGGATAGAACCCCTGACCGTGTCTCTGAGGACTCGACACATGCTGACCAGGCCATCCTCTACCGTCTCTCTGGGTAAATCCTTGTTGTCCCTTTGTTTCTCTTGTTTGCATAACCCACAAACAACGGACGGTCAAGGAATGTCCCAAATTACACCACCCTAACGTCCATAACCCTTTATCGTCCTCCAAAACAGCGACTACAACCCGCTCCATATCGACCCCGAGATTGCCCCAATGGTGGGACTTGAACGCCCGATCCTCCACGGTCTCTGCACTTACGGTCACTCAGCCCACGCAATCCTCAAAACGTACGGAGGATCTGACCCGCGCGCTTTCAAGTCCATCACGGGTCGTTTCTCGGCCCCTGTCCTCCCTGGTGACACCCTTGTCACCAAGATGTGGAACGTTCCTACTACTCCTGAGAACAAAGGGCAGACAAGGATCCTCTTCCAGACATACGCCAAAGAGCGGAACCTGCTTGTCATCCACAGTGGATGTGTCATCCTCCAGGACCCTTCACCCCAGACACACAGCAAGTTATGAAAATAAAGAAAAAGGGATATCGCGTTGTCGAATTTTTATTCCGGTGGTGTTGAGATATTTACAGCTTGCTGTCGTTGGCGGCAGCGACCTTGGCGTAGAAGGCGCCAAGGAGATCGACGGCCTCCAAACCGGCCTTGAACTGCTCAGCGTTAGTCCAGTCGCCACGTCCTAATGATGATTGCCATTCAAAACGAGTACACGTTAGTTCCCTTTCTTCAGAAAATAAGCTGGGACAACACAGCCGAATGAACATGCGAATTCTGCACAATGTCCTATCCTTGTCTGATCATCGTGTAAATCCTGGCATTTGTCACCCTCTTCCTTGAGTCTTACCTCCGGTCCAGCCGTGGTGCATATTGTCAAAGCGCTGGTGGACAGACTCGACAGGGAAGCCCTTGGTGTTGATGCGCTCAATAACAGGGACCTATTGTCATGAGAAAAAAATAGTTCAAAATAACGCCATCGTCACAAAAAAAAAAAAAAAAAAAGCGAACCCAGTCTAGTCCAACATTTATCCGACCAACCAACAACAATAACGTACCAAATCAGCCTCATCCTTAGAAGGCAAGAAGATCAAGGGAGTCTTGACATCCTTGGTAGTCTCCAATGAGATGAACGAAGGGTGAGGACCACCAGCCGACAAGAAGGGGGTTCCCTCCTCTGAGACAATCTTGACAGCCATCAAGACACCCCAGCACTGTCCAACGAGCGAGAACGAAGTGCATCCAGCCTTGCGCAAGTCCTCAACAGCAGCCAGGGCAACCTGGAGGATGTGGTTCTTCTGGTAATCGCCATACTGACCGATCCAGCCCATCACCTTGCTACCCTCGCCCATGTACTCTGGGGGGATGCCGCCCTCGGGGAAGAACTCGGGGACCGACAGCTGGAATCCTCCATGCGACTCGGCAATTCTCTATTGGAAGATTGCGCAAGAAAGATTAATAGGGTGTTACGTTTGTTGGTAAAGGCAGTGGATTTTTGTTCCTCTCTTTTCACAACGTTCGCTACTGCCTTGACGGGGGAAAAAAATCTTTGGGGCAAGGAGCAAATGAAAAAAAAGTCCGCGTTCCATATGGATTTTTCCTGTCAGCAGCTGCTTTCTCCGATTCCTGTCATCCTTCCCTTGAACAACACAAAACGACAAAGGAGAAAGGAGAAAAACGTACGTCGAAGAACTGGTTGGTGGTGGGGTGGTAGCTAAAGATATCGTAGATGGCGACGATTCCACGCTTGGAGTCCTTAGGTCCGGTGAGGTAGGTCTTGCGCTTCTGACCGGCAATCTCGGTCGAGAGGGTGACGAACTCGCCCTTGTCGTGCCAGTGTGCGTTCTCGACGGCGGGGGTGTTGCAGCAAGCAGCGACCAAAGACATTTTTTTGTTGTAGTTGGGTGGGTGGCGGTGTGTGGAAGAAGATGGGAGGTGGATGAAAAAGAAAAGAAGAGAGGGAATTTTCGCCTTTTATTTGTGATGAAAACTCAATTCGTGTTTTTTTTTTTTTTTCTTTTTTCGTGTCGTCTTCGTCCGTCGGAGACAGATTCAACTGTCACACCCAGTAACCGTTCTCCCATCACCCATGCTTACCCCTCGCGAAGGGGTTTCCCAGCAGCTCACCGTCCCCCTGACGCGACGAAACGACCGATCACTGCGCATTGCTTGACAAATCCAACCTTGCTTGCTCGTATCTTCACCACCTCTCATCTCCCTCAACCATACTTTTCAATTGATACGCACGCTCTTACCTTTTTATTCATTTTTTCGTTGTGCTTACAAACGTTTTTCCATCCTTCGATAATCATAACTCTTTTAAACCTCATTTCTCCCCTTTTCCCCCTTCCCTCGCCTCGTCTCTTATTATACTTTCTTCGTATCAGGGTACCCAACGAAATCCAAAACAGGCAAACCTCCCCCCCGCGCGGTTTCTGGGCGCGAAGAGTGAAAATGGCGAGACCAGAGCATATTGGCAAACAAAGTATCATCCCGTTCCATCAAGACTTGATTTGTCAACAAAGCCGCGCAGACCGACAGACCAAAACAGAAAAAGCATGCGCTCTTCTACTCTCGCGTCTGCTCTATTGGTCCGCTATTCCACTACGGCCATGAACGCCCACCTTGGACACATCTATGAAGGATGTCTAATTGATATTGATCTATCGTCTATCCTAGAGTACTCAATAGGGTCAACTGTACGCTATGCGATCTATCCCCCCCCCCTTTACGCGTAAACCAAGATGACATACCATAAAGGTTAGCCCTTTTTCGCGTTCTTTCTTTTCCCCCTTCGCCGCCAAGTTTTTTTGCGCAGCAAACCATGAACTACAGTGCTGGTTGGTAACGTTCAATGCCTGACTTGACTGTGCGTTGCTTACGTTCACTGGCCTCTACTCCGCAGCTTCATTTGCCCCATGAACGTGCACGCCCACCATGGTGTGCAACTGTAAAGGGATTAGGGTGACAAATGGTCTATCATCTATCTTTGAGTTATATTCTTTACCACTGGGTCACAATTGCGCCAAATTCGTCCTTTCGTCGCGTATTTCATTTCTCCGTAGTTTGTCCGCAGTCAACTTGGAAGGAGATGTAGGCATATTCTTCAACCAAGACCCCAAAGATTGATTTTTCCTATCCATCATTTACGTGAAATAATGTGTATTTTGATTGTACGGAAATTATAAACAAATCTATGAAAACAAACTACTTGGCGGTGGCGGTTAACTTGAAGGTGTCAGAGTTAGTATCCAACCAGCTCGAGACACGCTCGTAGACGGCAAAGGTAACAGCCTGACCGGGGGCAACACGGAGGACACGAGGTGTGACACCCTTGTAAAAGGCTCTCCAACCCTCGTTCTTCAGAATGGCGCCATTGACCTCTTTGAAACGAGCCCAGCCGCCGAGACCCTCGGGGTTGGGGGTCCTTTGGATACGGGTCTTGACAATATCAATAGGGTTGTTGACAAGGGGTCCCATGGCTCCCGAGATGCATCCAATGATGGCAGCCTGGTATCCGGGCAACTCCTTGATGTCCTGGGTGCGCTGGAGGTAGCCCTTCAGAAAGTGGTATGTCGGGAAGTTGGCAGCCTGGTTCGAGGCCTGACGCAGTGAGGTCAGACCGACTCCGCGGTACAGTGCTCCAAAACCTTCCTCGCGGACGACGGTGTAGGCGCAGTGGCCGGCGTTGCGGTACTTGGGGATGTCGAGGGGGTCAGCCATCGAGTGACGCTGTGCCTGAAGACGAATTTTGACCACATCCATGGGTGTCACCACCAACACTGCCTCGGTCACACCAGCCAACAGACCAGCTACATTCATTAGGTTACATTTTTTTCAGGAGGCAAATCATGTTAGTTCCTAGTGTATGCAATTAGACGTGTGCTTTCTTCGTTTCTCTGATGCTTTCTATCATGTAATTGATCCACTCCCTTGAGTAAAAAGTACAACATCGCGCTTTCGCTAAAGAATAGTGTGGCAAAACTTACCCCAGAGGTTGTTGAGCTTCCAGGGAGTGCCGTTCTTGTCGATCATGAAGTCCTTGTAGAACTGGAAGGTCGTGAAACGGATAGCCATCTTAGGGACAATACCCGCTGTGACGGCACCGAGACCCTTGTACAAAGCTAATGGCGACTCCTTCTGAACAATCTTCATTCCGACTCCCACAAACGACAACTTGGCTCCCTAATGGTCATAACGACATGTGCGAGAAGAGAAAATGAATGTGCATCGATGGTTAGTTTTGAACGAAAGAAGTAGGTAGGAAGGTAGTGGTAGTGCATTGCTGTTTTTCTCCCTGTCCTCTCGTCTTCGTCGTCATTGTCGTCATTGACACACCCAAAAGTCAGCTTGGAATGGTATCGGCAATAGCAGCTCTCTGCCCTTTCCTTTCTTTCATTTTCTTTGCCTGCAAGTTGTCCTTGGCCTCCTTCGCCCTCCTCTTTCATTCGAAACCAATTCTTTCACCTATTGCGCTGACTCATTCAACTGCTGCAAGGCAAAAAAAAAAAAAAGCACTCCCTGTCGTTCTACGCTCACTCTTCACTTGAATGCAAAGTAATTCCAGCTCTTGTACTACACACACTTCTTGTCCACACTCTCCCTCCAAAATATGTGTGTTCATGGCACTCCATACTGCTTAACTGCAGGAAGCAACTCCCAGAACTCAAAATAATAATGACTCCTTCCCTTCCCACATGTCATGGAGTAGGCGGGTGCCCAGAATATCCAGCTTGCTTGTCGTTGTCCCCCCTCACACATGAGCATAAATAAGGTCTGCTGAGTTCCCAGTCCAGGTCAAGTCCCGCCTCGCTCAATTCCTGCTTGTCGTGAAGAGATGTCTCATGTCAACCTCCCCTTCCATCCATTCCAGTCTGCTCATTGCACGTTTCCATTGTCTCCATGCCAGAAAAAGTCGGAGAGTGTTGTCGTTGTATATTAACCCCCTTGCCACACTGCAAAGTGACAAAAACAAAAAAAAAAAAAAAGAAACGTAAAGTACACACATGCACACACAAGCAACTCAACACACACAACAACAACAACAACCAACTGTCCAAGAAAGGCACAGATGATGCCATCCCATAGAGATAAAGAACTTACAGCAGCGTTCCTGGGGATGCTCTTGGCGAGTTGCATACGGACTTTGATGGTGTCGAGAGGGTGGCAGATCAGGGCCTCCATGAAACCGGCGGTACCACCAGCGATCAAGTTGGTGAGAGGCGACTTCTTTTCCCTTGCTGCCATGGCTGTATATTATGTGTTGGTGTAGCTGGTCGCTTGGTAGGTAGAGTGGAGAGTGAGCGAGAGGTGAGTGGGGAGGATAGTTGAGGAAAGAGGTTGGAAAGTGAGAAAAAGTAAGAAAAAGAAGAAAAGAAGAAATGGGAGGAAGTAATAAAGAAAATTGATCCAGATCAAAGCACATGTTCTTCAAAAATAACATCTCATCGCCACAGACACACAGACGAACCCGCTTTACAGGACGAGGACGCCTCTCCCCTCTAATGCACTCCTGAGCGAGACGAGACCCGCATCATCATCATTCTGGTCGCAACGGATACGTATTTTTCTTAGCCTTCTTAACATCGACCCATATTCTTCTTGCGTTTATACCACATCTTCGTCATGACATAATGACCGAACCGTGTCTGTTTAGAACCCTGGGCCTGACTTGAACCTGACCGGAGATTTATTAGGTGTATCCGTGGATTCGTCTCCCACGCATTAACAGTCCCAATTTCTTCAATTCGATCATCCCCGCATCAACACTGTTACTCGCTCAGCATAACCAGCCGGGGCTTGGATGCTTCGCCAACAAGCCATTGCATTGTGAGCCCTTTAACAACGAACGACCATTGATTGTTACATCCCTCAAATGCAACCATAGTTCTCCTCCTCATCCTCGCTTATGAATAACGATTTGAGTCTGACCAAGCAAGAAACACACAAAAGAGTCAGAAAAAAACCCCGATTTTTCTGTCCAAGAAGAGATGGGCGATGTAGAACCCTATTGGCTCCATCGAGCGAATGCCCTTCACGAAATCCAATTGGCTCGTCTCTTCTGTATTCCATGTCCTCCACAAGCACCTATGTTTCCCCGTAAATTGTCACATGTCACACGAAAAACAATGAAGTAAGTTCAAATAACAACGGCGACGACAGAACAGAGTCATCGTTAACTTCGATCTCTGGTTTATCATTTGTCTTTACCCAACGTGACCTTGACTGAGAGCTGCTGAGAGCTGCAACGCCCAATGCTAGAAAGTTGAAAGTAAAAGACGCGCTTTGTTCAAAAGTTGTGTTCCTTTTTTCATTGTGTGCTGTGTTATTGGTTGTTCGACTAGACTTGGGCAGTGATCTGGAGATGTGGTGATTCCAGTAGTACCAAAAAGACTATCGTAGAGAACTAAAAGCGCAAGAGCTTGAATGTGCAAAATGTGCAAGCGGGGAGGGAAGGGGAGAAGGGTAGGCAGGGTTCAAATCCTGTTTGGAAGCAAGAAAGTACAAAGAAAAAAAAAAGGGTGTGATCCCCGTCGCATGAACAAGACGTCCAACTGGAGAACGACTCTCCTTTCCTTTACGAGGATCCGGTGGCCCGCTGAGCGGCGGCCTGGGCCTGCTCAGCCCCTTGCTGGACGTTGCCGCGGACATCGCGCTTGGATGCCGATCCCCAGACGAGTCCAACCACGTAGCAGGTGAACATGTAGCCTGCATACATCACCAGCCCAAACAGCCCCAACGCCGCCGATACCAAGCAGACCACCCCCAACGCCGGCAACAAGAACGCCGATGCGAACATCGCGAATCCTCCCTAAGATATTGTTTGAGATACGTCAAAATAGAACTCATATGTAGTTAGTTGACGGGTATGAGATTGACAGAAAATAAAGAAGTCAACAAGTCAATAAAGAAGGCAAAAGTATTAACCCATACCTCGATGATGGTAACCCCGATACCGCCAACGATAAGGCACCCCAATGTGACAACGCCCATGAACCCCGCGAAGCAAGCCAAGGGGATCGCGCTCAGCACTGCAAACGTCATCAACGTGATCTTGACCAACAGACTGGAGGACTGGTACTTTTGACGGGTGTAGTTGAAAGCGGGCATGATGTAGTTCTGGACGGGGCCTGAATGGCGGACGGCCGAGACGGTGTCCCGGGTCGTTTCGGAGACCTTGAGCGAGGCGTCCGTCATGATGTCGCGAGCTGAGGATGCGGTGCTTGCCATATTCGTTTTTGTTTTAGTATGGGGGTTGGTGAGAGGAGTAAGGAAGTTGGTGGGCGTGTAGAGTGATCAGGTTTTGCGAGGTGTGGTGGATTTGTGAGGTGTAGAAGAGAGAGAAGTGGTTGCTGCGATGCAAGGCGAGAAAAGACAGAAAAGTGGACAGGAAGAGAGAGATGGGCAAGGTGCTGGAGGGAGGGTATAGTTGGCGAAGGAAGACTGCTGCCAAGCGTGTCAAGCCTTATGTCAGTGCCTTCCCATCAATCAGCTTAGCTCCATCACCTCTCAACAATAGAAAGACGAGAGGTGGCGAGTTAAATGCATTGTACACACCATTCCTCCTTCTTCGCTCTATGGACACCGGGAATTGATCGGATCAGCGTATCGCACCGGGAGACGCAGCATAGGTGTCATTTAAATAAACATAGGTGTAGTTCTTTCATTGCCCTCAGTCTCATGAAAAGATAAACGATGGTAACTATGATAGCCCGCCAATCTTCTTGTCGAGACCAATGAACCCGCCTCGATTGCCGCGTCTCGTAAACTGCTTCCAGTTGGTCTTTAGCCGATTGTACACCTGCTCCATCAGCAACTGCTGGGCATCACCTGATTGGATCGACGTCAGTACCGATGTCATCTGTATCATCCTCAACGCCGTATCCGATACCGAGATCGAAGCATCCAGATCCACAAACAGCTTGGCAAACACCCCTATGAGAAAAAGGTAATGATAGCGACGATCAGTACGCGTGTGTGAAGGAGGCTGATCAGAGCGTGAGGATGGCCAAGTCAGAGCATGTGAAGAAAAAGAGCAAAGGCATACCATCGAGGCGATCGACCATTGGCAAGATGACTTGGTCTCTAAAGGCGGCTAAAGCCATAGTGCGCACGTTCTCTGGCTCGGAATCATCATGGTGGCGGTCCAAATCAACCAATCCGGACCTTGGGCTTGCTCCCGTCAATCCTCCCCCGCCACCCCCGCCAATATCCATCATGCTGTTGTTCCCGCTGTGGTGACTGGCTGCTGAACTGGCGACTTGGACCTTCCGTGTCATATTTCTTGCGTGGTATGTCTTGAGCTCGATCTGCAGTGGGAGAAAAACGCCCTCAAAGTATGGCAGGACCGTGCCAAAGAAGAACGACCATCCTTCGACCAAACGCGAGACCAGTTTCTCATCAGGCACATCACCCAGTTTGGCGTTCAGTGTCAGCATACCGTTCTTGAGAAGCTCGTTGATCTCGTCGCACAGCGTGAACGCGTTCCGTGTTGTCAAGCAGCGCCTAAGTATATAGAAAACGGTGTGCGGATGAAATTATAATGCAGCCGTTAGTGCACCATCCTTCTCTTGATATACAGACCACAAACTTCGCTTAAAAATAGACATACCGGACGAGTTCGTTAAGGTCCTCGATGGCCCCTGTCAGTCCTTGTCCATTGAAAAGTGTCAGCACCTTGATACACAAGGCTTGCCAGACATCCTCCGTTGCGTGACCCTGGGACATCTCCCTGGCCATCACCTTGGCATCCAGACTCGAGTGGTTGTTCCTGGACATCGTCGGCGAAGTCATATAGTGGCCACTACCCGTCATTGGACTCGAGATGTTGCCGCTTGATGTCGAATAGGTCCTCTCCATAATCAAAGAGTGACCTCCAGGCGAAAGCTGCTGCTGATGATGTTTCCGGGTATTGATGGACGACAAGGGTCCGCCGCCACCGCTTCCAGTGCTACCACCCGATTTCTTGTTTTTGCCGCTGCTGATAGACATGTCTCCATGAGATTTGGCACCGCGTTTGGAGCCGGGGTATAATTTCATGCCTGCGCCAGGGAGAGTCTCGGTCAGGAAGCTGCTGGCAGACATGCCTCCAAAGGAGTGCTTCTCCTTCTTAGGCTTCTGCGCTGGTTGAGGTTGTTGCAGTGTTGATACTGACTGCTGATGGATTAGAGTCGTTTGTGTGTGCTGTGAACTTGGCGAAGGTTGGGTGAGTTGAACTGGGGAAGACAGACTTGCAGGCGATGTGAGTCCTCCTGTGCTGCTGGTCATACTGGTAGAAACGATGGGTGGGATCTGAGGCCGTGTGGGAGGCGAGTTCCAGCATGAGGAGGTATCGCCAGTGGGAGACTCTGCTTCGCCCTGGCCGCCGGTGGTGATGTCATTCGGGCTGGTGAGATAATTCGACCCATGGCTCCCTGCAAGCAACGTCGGGTGTGCCTGAGGGGTAACATTAGCCGACGGTCGTCCTGCACACCCTAAATCTCCTGCTGCTCCTGCTAGACCGCCATCGTTGATCAAAGTATGAGCGGTGCTGTTTGCTTGATGTGTATAGAGGGAATACTGGCCATTGCTCTCGCTCGGCGTCCTGCTGTTCATGGCTAGGCTATGATGGCTGTTGCTGCTCTGCGTGCTGCTATGGTTCCTGCTATGAGTTCGGCTCTGTGTCCTGCTGCTGGGGCTCATCGAGTGCAGCCCTCCGTCGACGTTGTGGCTCCGAAGTGTCATCCCCAAGACAGATTCGCCCAAGGGGTTCTGCAAGAGCTGTTGGTGAATGGGCAAGGAGCCTGCTGATGAAAGAGAGGAGGCCGAGGTCGAGTTGAGACTGTTAGGAGACCCCTGAGCGAGCAGCAGCTCATTGCCATTGCCTGGTGTGATGGCCAAAGTTGTTTCCCGAATCCCTGGCACTGATGCTAGCGAGTCGACTGACGCGGAGACGGACCCTTGGCTCGAGAATGACTTTGCTCCTGGGTTCATGGCCGTTGTATATTGGTGGTTGCTGTTGTTGGTATAGCAACTGTTGCAATGAAAGGAGGCCATGTCCCTGACTTTTTATGCGTTTGAGGCTCAAGTCACGTGTACTATCCCTTCACCTAGTTCTCAAAGTTGTCTGCCTTATTATTCTCGACCATGGTATAGACGCTCATGCTGTCGTCGAGTGCATACACCATATCCTATAGATGAATCCAGCACGAGCGTATGACCTGCAAGAAGGTATAGCGATGTAGTAGAGAGGTAAGTTGATAGCTCCTCAAGTCCTTGCAACTAGTACGAGTCCCAAAATCTTGTCCATGGTTTTTTTCCTCGTCAGTTCAAAACTTCAAACTGCTGCCTCCAGAGTAATAGACCAGCACTCCAAATGAGAGTAAGCTCCTGAAAGGTTTATTAATATGCGAATGTCCTGTTTTTATGCGCCCAGGTTTTCTCTAAACGACGCTCAAAGTGCGTCGGCTGGTGACCAAAAATGCAAAACGTTCCTGCTCGGCGGTGGCAACAGCCTTTTGGTCGTTTTGAAGATAGGTATCCAGATCAGCCTGAGATGCGATCACATAGTGGACCGTTATGTATGTCTTTGCATTGCCTTCCTCTGACAACCAGTGAAGTCCATCTATATAGCAGTAAAGAAGCAGAGAGCGAACGAGGTTAGTTGTGGCGTGCGAGAGGAACGAAAATGGTGCAAGTTAGAATTTCTCTTTTGGTTTTGTGCGACACCTCCACGCAACTCCAGAGAGAAAAAAAAAATGAGTGGGGTTGTTGGGGCAATCCGAATGAAGAGGACGTACATGGCTTGGGCTGACGAAAGATCATGGATGAAATGAACCCTGGAATAGTGGCGACTTGAGTCTAGCAACAATGCAACGAGTAATAATTATGAGGTTGAATGAATGATCAGGTTATTATTGTTGTTCATTGTTTGAATGGATGTGATCAGGTCAAGTTGCTGCAGTGTGCGAGAAAGGTCTACCTTTGTGAACTGGTGGAGCCACTCGATGTAATCATCGACCTTTTCTCTGGGGACTGAAAGGTTGACCTCGTAGACCAAGGTACCGGGGCTGTAGCTGTGAGGGATGGACATGCTGTGTGAGAGTTAGGATAAAGGTGTGTGGCTAGAGGAGAACAAGCATGGAACTGTGCTTTTCTTCTGGAAGAAAAATAAAAAAAGCGTTGGTGTGACGTTCAAAAAAGACGCCACCAAAAAATCATGGTTGATCCTTCACACTTGTGCTCTGGTAAAGTTCGCATTCTCCTCCTAATCCTTGTCCTCGTCGCAGCTCATACAATTGCCTCCAGCAACAATGCCACACGAGCGCCGTCGAAGCCATGAAAACCATGGCAGCCAGCATAAGATAAGAAGGGCACGTTTGTAAGGCATCAAAATCGTCAAAAATGGAGTAACACGTATGAAAAAAAAATCTTGTCAACCATTGAGAAAAGCACTAAAATTTAACAACTGTAGGTTACATCGCAAGTCTGTGTTCTGCACAGCAACATGGTCAGGCAAAGTACCCTTCATTGGGCTCGCCCTACCGTGGCAGCAGGATGTATCATCTCGCTCAGCATATCCAGGAGGCATCAAGTCCAGCATATGGGAGTGCCCATTCTTCATTACACAACGTTATCCCTTTGGTGGCATCTGCGTGATAGGGACGTTGAATGGAAGGATGCTAGCGCCTCTTAGACGCCATCGGACTTAGTGCAGCATTTGTAGCCAGGCATGACATCCTGATCGAAAGACGCGTGAAGGAATGTGGCTAAAATAATGTGTTTTTTTCACTTCATTTTTTCTTGCCATGACTTGTAAACAGGTTGTCAGGGACGATGGGAATGTAAATCAGGAAATGGGACGCACACACAGGATACCTGTTGGAGAGCATGGTCAGGATACCCATAGGAGTTTGGGAGATTGCCCTGTTACCAATATAACAAATGTGTTACTTTATTTTGCTATTGATGCCCTAGGCACTTCTCTTGAACTCTTTGAAAGGTACCAAAAAGATGAATGTGAGATATACCCTGAAATGCCAGCTATCAAAAGTCGATGCCTGGCTATTTCATTTGTAAACTAGCCGCGATAGAGTACACTAAGACATTGTTTAATAAGCCACAAAGAAGTGCTCAGGACAGGGCCTGACTCTAGAAATTGACGACAAATGGCTCAGATTTGTCCATGTGGACAAATGTCAAATGAAGAGAGGAGAGGGACGGGATGACTTCCAATTCATGCGTCGTGTCGCAGAAACGGATTGGTTGGATCATCCCCTCTCCGAACCCTCTTACTCTCTCCCTCTCTTTCTCCACCCTGTTCCACTTCTTGTCAGACGAACAAGCAATTCGCATAAACCTGCCCTTTCTCTTCCCTGGCATGGATGAACCCGTGCCGCATTAGCGCAGGCTGTTGCAAGTGAGAGCGTGAGATGGAAATGAATTCTGCCTGATTGATTGTCGGAATTAAAGTGAACACAACCTTGTTGTGCAGCAAAATAAAAAGGACGTTGGACCTGCGCTACATGCCAAGATGTACAAGTACAGTGAATCTCTCCATGACTTCACTACAACACGCCATGCTCATGTCCCCATGCCATGCACTGCGGCGGGCTATTTGAATTGACCCGATAGCACCAGAATATTTTAGAGCGCATGGGCAAAGCAACAAAAAAAAAATAGCTCGGAAAAAAACAAACGATTTGTAATGCGCTCAAAGGTAACTAACCTGCCCCTCCTTGTCTTTTGCCCCTTTGGTTGTGCGCTAGGCCAGGTCCAACGTCAATAAATAAGAACCCGGTATGTCTTTCGGGTTGCCTTTTACTCGTTTTGCTTTGCATATTTGTCACCAGTAAGGACATCAATCAATGCGGTCAGTCGGGACTGATGTGAAGAAGAATGTAACGGTTGTATGTCTGATAAAAGAACAAGAAAGCGTTAAGGGCTGCGAAAAAGGAGTATGGGGAAAGTGATGGCGGCGCTGGTGTACTTTTACTGCTTGTTTCTGTATCTGTCGACGTCGTCATTGGATATGGCGGAAGTGAAATGTCCTTTTTCACGCATAGGACAGTAAGGAGAAGAATTATGATCCAGGTTCTGTTTTTTGATGCGGTCAGGAGCAGTAGTGCATCAGCACCAGCATCAACCTTTCCTGTCGGCGCTTTGTCGAGATCAATGAAAGGTAAGATGTTCAGAAAATGAAAAAGTTTATCAAAGTAGCCTTGTTCCAAGTGTTCCTGATACACATTCAATTGGAAGTGAGGATGTAAAGAACACTTTCAAAGACGATCTCACTTGAACCCTGCTTGCTTTTGTTTCTCGCTAAAAGGTGATTATCAATCCTGGAATGGTTCCCTTCATTTCGTTGTCGCTGTGGCTGAGAAATGAGCATCATGCTCAGGAGAGAGGATGAGTAAGGGAGGAGCAAAAGTGCAAAGTAAAAGAGCCACCTGGTGGAAGTAGGTGATCACGCTTGTCCCATCTGATCGGTGTGTGTCTTTGATGGTCGACGATATGGTGTTTCAGTACAGTAGTCCATCAGGAAAAAAAATATCCAATGCACTCATCGAATGAGCGGATGAGCGGAAAGGATAAAATACTTAAATAAACAATGTAATATTGAGCGGAGAAGAGAAAAAGAGAGGAGCAATTGACCAAGGAGTCATCGATGATGGCGTTGATGATGACGGACGGGCCAAGAGGGTCAAGAGAAAGAAAAGAAAATAGATGCAGGCGGCAAAAGGGATGGTCCTCGGAGAGAGAATAGGAGAGGGAGAGTGAGGGCGTGTCATCGACAACGTACACAAAAAAGGCAATAGCGTTTTCTGTGCGGACTTGTCCTGTCCAATTGGAGCATGGGCGAAATGCCGCTGCGTATATAAGGGCGGCCTGCCTTGCAACTTTTCCCTCTTCAACTCCAACTCCAACTCCAACTCCAACTTCACCTCCCCACTCTCTCCTTCTCCACAACACAATCTTGATTTTTTGGTTTCACCCCGAACCTGTCTGTCCAACAGCCTTCTCTTTTATTCTCCCCATTCCGTTTCTGCATCTCTCTTTTCTTCTTCTTTCTCTCTCTCTCTCTCCATTCCCTTCGTCATTCCTTTTCTTGTTCTCACTTTCAACTAGACTACTCTTCAACCAAGGACAACCTGTTAAATAAGAGGACACTCTTCTCGCCTTCGTTTTTCCTTTCTTTCACTTTAATACCCTTGCACACAACAATCTCACAACACCACACCATATACCTGCACAGCTAGTGTCCTACAAAACAGCCACACACACACACACACACCAAACCACCTCTTATACATACATCTCAACATGGTCAAGCTTCGTGTCAGCGTCGGAGGATCGTACACCGATCTCGCCATCATCAACCCTAACGACGAACGTCACCCTTTCGAGTTCGAGACACCAGAGTTCAAGGGCCGTGCTGTTATCCGCATCAAGGACTTTGGTAAGCATAGCAAAGAACAGTAACAACGGAAGGCTGCACTCCACCCCTTTTTTGTTCTCAATCGAAAAGAGGATTCCAATACCATGCATCTTTGTTACCGGGTCAACTTTGACCGGTCGCAGGGATGAACAGTTCAGCCAGATTATTTTGGGTCTTTTTAGCTGTGCTATGATGACACGGTGCAACGTGGACACGGACAGTTGACTAATTACCGCTTTATTTTATCCTTTCCCTCCACTTGCTCTTAGTTGGCATCACGAATGACGGATCTGCGCCTATCTACTCTAACGAATACTTCAAGGGACACAACCGCAAGTTCTCCATCCAGGTAAGACAAACTGTCCTAATCTACTACGTATACAACAGCAGTTACTTTACCATCGATGACAAATATAACAGTACTACCGTTTTTGGATACAGCGTCACTCTTATCATGATCCCTCCTCTAACTATTCTTCTTTCTGCATTCTTTTCTCTTAGGTTGAAGGACGTTTCAAGCGCGAGTGGGACGGCGAACAGGTCTACTTCGGAACAGATTTTGACCGGTCGGTTGAACTTCCTCACGGATTTGAGACAATGCTCCGGGTCGCCAGATACATCGACCCTGTCGTCAAGACCTCCCTCACCATGGACGGCCAGCCCTGGATTCTCTCTCCTCTCGTCTCGTCCATCAACACTCTGGCCGCATGGAGACCCCAGGATGCCATCCTGCCCTCACCACCCCTTACCCCTCGCCAGACTGCAGACATGGCCCACGCCCTCAACATGAGCGAGTCGAGCCCCATGTGGGGCTTCTTGGGCAAGCTCAAGCGTGGTAACCGCAGCTCTGCCGCCAGTGTCAGCAGCCATACCTCCCACGATGTCTATGGCAGCCAGCCCGCCTCAACCAACAACTCGAACGATCATTTGGAGGACAGCCAGCACAACCACGGCAGCGGAAACTCTTCCTTGTCTTCCTCCTCGTCCTCGTCTGACTGGCCTAATGGCTCCAACCCCACCATCGCAGCGACTGAGAATGCTTTTGACGACTCTGGAATGCCACTTGGTCAATGGCGCCCACACGTGGAGGAGGACACTGCATTCTTTATGAAAAAGGCCATGACAACTGCCCAGCGTCGCAAGTATTTCCAAACAGAGGTGGCACGGAAGCTGTTTGTGTTCAAGACCGACCTTGTCCACGGATTCGAGTTCTATTCTCCACACATGGACTTCAACACGTTCGACATCCACATGGGTCTGAGCATGAACATCCGCAAGTACCTCGCTGGCCAACCTGTCCGTTACACTTGCCGAACCTTGTCAGGCGATGTTGTCTTCTGGGCAGTGCAGTTTGAGCTCGTCGATTAAGCGTTCATCTTCCTTGTTTCCTGTTTGTTCTTTTGTACACCACACTCTCCCCTTCGCTTTGTATTTTTACGTCCTTTCCCTTTACTCCCCTCTCCAACCGCTAATAGTCCATCATAATAATAAAAACAAATAAACAACGAAAAACACGCTCAGAGTGATCATATAAAACGCAACCAAAAGGACTACGGCTTCTCTTCTTGACATTGGTCATGGAAGAAAGATTAGAAATGGACAATTCAAAGAGAGAGTGAACTCAGTACAGTAGGGTAATGCTGCTTCACAACCGTCAGACTCCCAATACAAATACAAAAGGGCTTTGAGGATGAGAGCGGCGGTATGGAGGAGAAGGAGAAAGTCTGGGTGACACAAGTAGGCCCCTTCTCCACTCCTTCTGCGTGCATTCATGCATAGTTTGTATGTGTGTATGCGATTGATCAACGCAAATATGCCATTATTATCCCCAATGTTTTTTGTTCATGTTCGCTTTACTCTTCTCTCAACCAAGGAAAAGTCGATAGCAAAGATAGCAAAGGCGGGGCGAGTCACTTGAGTCTGACCTCTGTACGCTTACTCTGTGCATTGGGCGTAAACCAGCAGGACGAAGAAAGGTATGCAAAGGATGCAGAGGCCCACTCTTTCGCACCATTGAGAGCAATTTTTTTTCTTTCTCGTTAACCCTCTTTTTCGTTTCCTTGCAAGTCCTTGGCTCATTTAGTTCCGACCCAGCAACAGAGGCACGCGAAAACGTCGGGTCGGCTAAGCTTACCCATGCGAAGGAGGTGACATTGCTACCGCTAGATTTCATGATCTTCAAAAGCTGGTTGTTGTTCTCCAAGTCCAAGGGTAAAGATGTTGAGGTTGATTAGGTTGATGAACAATTTAAGGCTTGTTTATTGCAGAATAGGGAAGGAAAGGAGAAAAGGGAGACGATGGAGGAGGGTGGATGACAATACCGCAAATGCACACGCCTCTTCGACCTGCTCTCTTGCCCCTGGCATCACCACACGGACGTAGACAGGAGTGTCAACAGACGTGACAACACTATCGTCTACCCCCCCTTGTTCTTTTTTGTTGGTGGTTGTTGTTGACGATGTCTATGTCAAACCTCCGAGGGGTCAAAGTGCATCATGAAAAGCAACAGTGAACGGGAATAAGAGTTAGAGTGATGGGGGAAAGGGGGAGAACAAACAAATCGGTTGTTTGTTTTTCTATTTGTTTGTTTGTTCTAATGTGTGTGTGTGCGCTTTGCACGGGTCATCTGCCTCCTCCTCCGTGCCCTGCTGTCCATCATTCATATTTCCCATCTTTTTTTTTTTTTTGTTCCCCACTTCTCTCGTTTCCAATTGTCCATCTATCTCTCCCCTCCCCTGCTTTCGCCCTTGTGTTTGTCTGTCCTTCGCTACCCGGTGTGTCCTCCTTTTTTTTCTTCTCCACTCCTCTTCCGTTTCCTTCTCTTTCTTATTCAAAAAGACCTCTCCACCGCCGTTGCCACCACCACCACCACCACCAAGACAGACACCCAAGACAACAAGAAAACAACCACCGCAACGGCCACAACAACTTACAGCTCTCAACAAACTCCGCCATGGACATTGTCTCGCGCTTCCCCGTCGAGATTGCACACCAGGTTCTCAGCAACCTCGACATTCAGGATGTCGCTGCTTGCCAACAGGTACATTCCAAATTCAAACAACAACAGTAACAACGACACCAACACCAGAACAACTACAGCAAGCCTTTTCCAACATTTTTTTTTGTTCAGTCAAGTAAACAAAGGCGTTACAATAGACACCATTCTAACTTTTGTGCTTTTGCTCTGTTTATTGTTGTCCTATACAACATAGGTCTCTCGACAATGGTACTGGATCGCAATCGACCCGTTGGTGTGGAAGAGCGTCTTTCTGGAACGCGAAAAGACCTTTGCGATCCCAACAGGATTATACCCGTTTCCAACAAAGGGCAAAGGAGTAGTACAGCAATCATCAGCGGCACAGTCGACCTTGGCAACACCAGCTACCACCAGCGACAGCAGCAACTCTTCTTCATCATCGACTTTTTCCTCGTCGTCGTCCTTTTCGTCACTCTCTTCTGTTTCTTTCTCTGGATTGAAGTCTCGGTTGACAGGAGCCATTACTACTGCTACATCTGCGACAGCATCAGCAACGACAACGCCAGCAGCAGCAGCAGCACAGTCAGCAGCAACGGCTAACGGAACAACAAGTACCGCCAACACCTCACCTAATACCGACGACAGTGTGATCATGTCAACGATGCGAGATCGGGACTGGAAAAAAGAATGCCGGACACGCATCATGACGGATCGCAACTGGGCCCGAGGACATATCCAGGCAGTTTTTACACTCAAGTTGCATAAGGGCGCAATTGCACGGCTGCGCATCAAGTCTGGCAAGTTGCTTTCGGCCGACATGTTTGGGCAGGTGGCTCTCTGGGACACGACGACGTATAAGTGCGACGGCGTGATTGAGGCTGCAGTGGGACCTATCCAGCTCTTGGACTTTAGTATAGCGGCCATGGTCATGACCGTGATCTCCAAGTCTGGGTAAGTTCTTTTCATTTACTTTGCTTTGTTTGGGGTGACCCAAGAGCAAGAGCGAGAGAATCAAAAATTGCGCCCAATGGCCAAAGTGAGGGAGACTATCATTTTTTTCTTTTTTATGACATCGTTTCTTTCTTGCATTCCCATGCGGAGATCTGAATCCTCGGCTGGGATCAACCGCGACACAAACAACAACAACAACAACAACAACAACAACAAACAATGAACTCAGTTCCTCCTTGGTATGGCAGACACACAGACAGACACACACACTCACACTTCAACCCTTGCTTATCCATCCCACGCTATGTCATTCTCCTCTACCCCTCACGTTCCGATACTAGGGTTTGCCGGATCTGGGATATCAAGTCAAAGAGGCTCATCCACAGCTCAACTGCAACCTATGTGACATGCATGACCATGAACGACGAATACCTGATCATGGGCAGCAAAGATGGAGAGATCCAGGTCATCGACTTTATGACTGGACAGATCGTCGCATCCACAGGCATCTTTCCTGGCGAAACAGTAAGGCACTTCGTTTTTTTGTTCAATTGACAAACTTGTGCCACAAGGAGATTCATAGCAACGGATATAAAGCTGACTCGTTTACTTCTATATCTTTATGACAAAATAGCTGCAGGACATATACATTCAGAACAACACGCTGATTATTGCGACAGACCACCATATCCGAATTCTATCAATTGACACGTTGGAGCTTCTCTTGACCAGCCCGCTGCCAATCCCACCCACGACGCACGCCTACTGCTGCGTCTTTCATATTCGATCGCTCATTCTCTTGACGGACGAGCACCTTCTTCACATTGAATGGGAGCCGCTCTACAGTCACAAGGACGATCGACTCCTTACAGATACCCGGTTCGAACTGCCACCTAATTTGACTAAGGCACCCTTGATCCACAGAACCAAGATCCCACCTATATTGACGATTACTTCGATTGCGATTGGAGGCAAGCACCCTCACGTGCTGACCACCAATGCTGATCGCCCCTCGTTGAACGACGCTATTCGAGTCTGTCCCGCGATTCCTCGACATCACTTCTATGGCAACCCCGGTGACGAGTTTGTTGAAGCGAGCAGGAGCAGGAGCAGGAGCAGGAAGAGCCAACCGATTCGACGCGATGATGTGCCACGAATGCCTTTGGAGGATGATGACGAGGAGGAAGAAGAAGAGGAAATGGAGGATGATGAGTTGGACTTGGGTCTGGACGGATCAGAGGCAGAGGGTATTGTGTTGACGAGTCAGGTTGATGCTATAAACGACTACCTCAAGGTGTGTGGACTCAAACCGTCATTTATGGATGTTGACGAGGATGTGATTGTAGTTGGCACGAGCAAGGGCGATATTGTTGTTCTGCATATGATGCCTCAAGATTAGTGCCATAGCCATTTTTCTTCTCTCCCCTCTCCCCTCTCCCCTCTCCCCTCAACTTCAAAAAAAAAACACAGTGTACTTTTACGTCTTCCTCCGATGGGTACAATTATGTTTATGAAGAACAAGGATGGGTTTATTTCCTGTTTGAAGAACGAGTCGAGCGAGCTCTTTTGTTTGTGGTAGAGTCATCTTCCTTGGTATCTTTGGTTTCCTTGGATTTGAAAGGTGCCACTGTTGGTGTATCGTCCGCCTTCCTCTTGTTGCCAGGTGCTTTAGCAGGAGTAGGAGCTGGCGTAGAAGAAGAAGAGTGTTGAGGGAGATTGAACTTTTCGGTCATCATGTCAGCCCAAAGGGCCAATTCGACCAAGTGAGGCGAGTCGACTTTACTACCGGCCTTCTTGAGCTGGGCAGCCTTGTCGATGACCTTTGCGGCGAATTTGAGATAGTAGGCGAGGGTGTATGCGATCTTGCCCAGTCCTGGAACCGAGTCGACAGATTCGTCTGCCATAAATGGCACCTTGTCTGGTGCTCCTGCACATAGGATCGCTAATTTTTGATATAGTGGCGATAACAAGGGCAGGTGTCAAGAATTGGGGGTGGGGGGTGGTCCAGAACGTGTCGAGAAAAAAAAACGTTGCGGAAAAGAACCTCACTGAATCGGGGTATCTGTTCATTCATGCAGGCTGTTACTAGTCCAAATTCCGCTCGTAATTAATTTCTTTTTTTTTTTTTTCTTCTTCGCCATGCGGACAAAAATGATATCATTTCCTTGGCCACGAGTTATTCATTTTACGTGTACTGAAATGATACGTGATAGGTAAAAAGGAAAAACAAAAAAAAGTATGTTTACCTGAGGCGGTGGCGGGCCCGACACCTTTGAGCTCAGACATTTTGGAGATGGCGGCTTTGAGGTCGTTTTTTGACGAGATGATATCAAAGGCTTCTTGGCTGGTGCGACGGATGACTGCGTCGGCGTGTTCCGCCACCATTTTCGCTAATGCCGGACGATATTTTCCGCGCTGTTTTTTTTTTTTTTTTTTTTTTTTTTTTGTAGATGATTGAGAAACAAGCAGCATGCAAAACAAAAAGATCAGTAAAATATCTTGCTGTGTTAAGAAGGAGATCTGAGAGATAGAAAGAAAGGGAACGAGAGCCAAAAAAAAAATAAAAAAATAAAAAAAAAATATATAGATCTCTTTTCTTTTTGCTCGTGGCTCATTTATTGTTTGTTTCGATGAGTGTGTGGAAGTGGTTGAGAGTGCGGGTGCGGATTTGGGATGGGGCCAATTGCCAAAGATCCAGAAGATAAACAGACACGCGTTTCTTTTCCAACAAATACACTTTTTTGTCATGATGTCTTACTTTGAGTTTCCAGGCGACAAGCTTAACAATCTCCTCATGGTTGATAAAGCATGGTGAGCGCGTGGCGAGGATGGCAGGGAATTCGGTTTGGTACCACTTGTCGAGAGCAATGATGGATTGGTCGGTTTTGGTGGCGGCCAGGGCCTTGAAGGCTTCTGGGTAGAGTGCCAGGGCCGAGTTCCACACTGCTGCGTCTGTGCTGTTGAAGAGCATCCTGTAGCTTTTGTTAATTTCTTATTGTTTGGGTGCTGTGTGAAGAATGATGAGGATGGGGAATAGGATGAGAGAAGGAGGATGGTCGAGGTGAAAAAAGAGATGGAAAGAGATGAGGGAAAGAATGTGATGGAGTGATCGTTGCAAGAATACGAAGCGGTGAAGTGACTCTCTCTTTTATGCCTTTAGTATTGGGTGCGCACAGGTCGCGCGGGAAGCGTTGTGCACGTCGCGGGAAGAAAAAAAAAAAGGTGTCGGCATCAGGTCAGTTGCCCTTGATCGTCAAAATGAAACAAGGAGGAGTCAATGCACACAACCCTCCCTGTTGCTACACCTCTCCTTCTTCGTCTGCTCAATGGCGTTTCTAACCTCCCGGAAAGGTGCTAATTTGCCCAGTCAGACAAAGTCTTGAGCCACGCGAGATGGCTCGAATGAAGAAGTAAGAGAGAAGCAAGGGAAGCGAGGGGGATAAGCACATGTGTTCTGTCTGCAAGGTGGATTGAGTTTGTATCTGAACTCCAATTATCCATCCTGGGTCCCCCTTCATTAATGCAGTCGGTTTTCCTCTTTGCAGCCATGATCAGTGGCCATGGGGTACCCTGGTTGAATTGCATTCTACTCCACCTCCGTCCGTGGTGACATGAGTCGCAATGGGTAGGGAGGGAGTGAACAGTGTACCCCCTTTTTGAGTGAAATATCGCCTTCCCTTGACACATTCCCTCTGCTGTTGTCCGTTCAACGGTGTCTCAAATCATCAGGATCACCGTCAATTTTTCTTTCCTCTTGTTCCTCTTGTTCGTCTTCCTTCCTCTTCACCTCCCTCTTCTTCTTCTTCCTCTCGTTTGCGCTCTTTTCCCTTTTCCTTTTTCCTTTTCCCCTTATCCCTTCCGCCCCACACCCTCATTCTCTCTTTCATCCAATCCACTCTTCCATTCAACCCACTCCACCTATTCCATTCACCCTCACCTCTCATCACTTTCACACTCATCCAAACTTACTCACATTTCCTCATTCATTCATTTCTCTTTCTCTCACTCTTCATATTCATTCTCCAGCACCACTCACCCATTCCATTCTACCTCTCAGTCTCTCTCTCTCTCTCTCTCTCTCTCTCTCTCTCTCTCTCTCTCTCTCTCTCTCTCTCTCTCTCTCTCTCTCTCTCTCTCTCTCTCACTTCACCACCACTGGAAGCAACAAACCCGGACAGCCAGCCTCTTCATGCCCAGTCCACCCTGCCTTCCGACCACCACAACAACAACGACTGCCAACGAACAACACCGATCCAACAACAACCTTGAACTCTTCGTCCTCTCAAAGTAAATATATTTATTTCATCCTTGTTATGAATCACACCCTTATCCACACGTTTCCCTCTTCCTACTCTTCTTTTTTCTTTTTTTAATACTATATCTCAGAGAATGGGAGTGTTTTGTATGTACGTGTGTTCATATCTCACGACATCGATCCGCATCAATACCTCCCCCCCCCACCCAAAAAAAAAAAAAAAAAAAAAAAAAAAAAAACGTTGTGTTGTGCGAGTAATGGACAGTGTCTGGCAGCAGGGTTGCCGAGAAGGGGGGTCAGTCAGGTAGGACGAGGGAATTCATTTTACATACAGACTGTTTTCATATGGGACGGAGAACCGTTGCAAAAAACAAGAAAGGAAGAAAACTGAGCCCACGAAAGAGAAATGAAGGCGAGCTTGGACTGGGACTCCTTTCTTTTTGGCTGTTGACCCTGGTCCTGTGTGTTTTTTTTTGTGTGCCCAACGGGAAGATGGATGAAAGGGGAAGGAGGGAAGAAGGGAAGAAGGACAGAGAGGTGAGAGAGAGAAAGGGAGAGGGAAGTACGATGGGAAAGGGAAAGGGAAAGGGAAAGGGAAAGGGAAAGGGAAAGGGAAAGGGAAGGGGAAAAGGAAAAAAAAAAGAAAAAAGGGAAAGGGAAGGAGGGGAAACGATGACAACGAACAAGAAAAAAAGAGGAGGAAGAAGGGGGATGTGGACACATACACATTCACTGACACGGACACATACACAGACCACATACACATTCATACACAAGAAAGTCATTACGTGCAGTGTGTGTGTATGGAAGAGATGGAAGAAAGCGAGAGATATCTAGTGAAGAAGGAAGGATATCAACACAGAAAAAAGAGGAGGGGAGGGTAAAGAGGAGGGGAGGGTAAAGAGATGTGCCACTTGCACAGACACAGACACAGGCAGAGACACATGGCGGAATACAGGAGTTAAAGACAAGACTAGCATGAATGCGATAGATACAGCGATGAACGAAAGGCGATGAGGATGAGCATCCACAACATACAACACTACAACAGAACAGGACGATGGGATGGACAGTGGAGTCAACAGCAAGTGTCTGGGATGAGGAATGTTGTATTCGTATTTGATAGAAACAATGAGTGCACTCGTTTGGGAAAGAAAAGAAAGAATGACTAAAAAAAACAGCGTGGCAAAAAACAGCGAGGGGCAAACAAAAGGTGAGGTAATTGGCGGTTGGAAGTGATTGGAAGGTGTGAGACATGAGAGAGACACTGATCAGCACAACGGACGTTTTATGATCTTTCTTTCTCTCAACGGATATACTTTTGACACAAGAGAGAAGAATAAAGGACAGCAACGGACTCCTCTTTTTTTTCATTTTATATTTCATTTGGAGAGAAAAGTGATAATGACCGTTGCGGGGTCATTATTTTATTACGATTTATTTTTATTTTTTCCAATGTTTATTTTCTTCTTCCTTCGCACTTCGCTGTTTGATTTTCTTTTTTTCAACACCTCTTCTCCTTTCTTCTTTCCTTCCCTCTTTTCCTTTCCCTTTTTCTCTCTCTCTTTCTCTCTTTGCCCCTGTCCGTCTGATTGCCACTCCTTTCCCTTCCCTCCTCTTCCTCTCCATTTGCCACGACCCCTTCCTCTTCTCTTCCCATCCACCTCACTCTCATTCATTCACACCCTGCCAACGAACGACCTCCTCCTCAACATTCACTCAGTTCAGTTCGACCCAAACTCACTCCTACTTTCATTCCGCTCCTCCTCCTTTCACACCTACGCTCTCTGCAGCAGTGTTCTTGTGATCAGTCTCCCCTGTGAACAACAAACAGGAACAAGACTCTTGGGACAACATCAACGACGTAAATACAACAACTCTTGTTTCACGCGTTTCCTTCCAACTCTCTTCTTCTACTGCCACTTTCACTCCCACTACTACTCTTATACGCCTTACTCCTTACTTGCCAACCTCCAACCGTCAATTGTGCTCCCCACTGTACCCTGTCGCATACCAACTTCCTTCCAACCGACCCAGCCAACCGACCTTCTCAACTCTTTGGAAGTTACTGTCTCTCCTACCTTCTCCCATTCCTACTGTATGCGACAAAGACAAGAACAACAACTTGCCACAGAGGCGGTGATTAGCCCATCCGTTCCATACCACCCCCGTCTTCACCTCATTCCATACCCCCTTCCTCTCCTCAACACACACACGCTCGTTCTCCTTTTTTTCATTTTAATAATATTATTATTGTTTGTTTGTGTTTGTATTGATTGCCTCTCTCTCAGCGTGTTGCTTGGCCGGCCTGGCCTTCTGTTTATTATTTTTACGAGAAAGAGAGAGATGTGTACAGTCAGTCATATTCAATTGAGTTATCTTCCTTCTCCTCCCCTCTTTCCTTCGTCCTCTCCTCCATCTGTCCTGACCTCCTCATATCGTATCCGCTCACACATCCTTTCCCTTCTTTTCTTTTTAACCTTTTTGTCTCCTCCTTTGTAACTGGCAACTAACAAAAACCCCTTCTTTCCCCTCATTTTTTTATTTCTTACGCTCTCGTCCTTCCAGGTCCACTTGCTCGACCCTCGAAACACTTTGATATCTATTTATTTCTTCCTTCGTCTCGTCTCTTTGCTGCTGCCTCTATCTCCGGCTTACTCAACTCCCAACAACCACCCACCATCTATTACTTGCAGTTACAGGACACAAGGAAGGATCAGCTGCAGCCAAAAACGACAAGATAAAAAATAACCAGCAAACAACCAAAAAACAAGCGTGCAACAAGAACAATAGCGTACAATAAGGACACCAAGACAGGACACACGGCCCACCTCTCATTTTTCTTCCTTTCTCTCTTTCTTCACTCCTTTACTTCTCTCTCACTCACACACACACATTCTACTCTCCGTACCACTTTCAGTTCTCCTTTCTCCTCAACGCCAAGCATCCCTGTCTGCCACAACTACAACAACACCAGTAAAAGTTCAATTGCACCAACAGCAGGAAGCATATCTCGCCATGGACCCAACAGAGTATTTGGTCTTGCTTGTCGACCCGGCCTGCATTGATACGCCCTCTCTCCCTCCACTTACTCCCACCTCGGCCATCGACACCCATAGCAACACCTCGTCCCATTCCCTATCCTCATCCACCTCCACCTCTACTTCGACATCGACCATCAACTCCCATACCACTTCTGCATCCTCAACACATCTGTCCCCTCCACGAAAAGCATTCAGAACACCACGTTCTAAATCCAAATCAGCTTCCGCTTCCCGTTCCCGTTCAGAGTCTCGGTCAAGTGATGAATCGGGTCATTTGTCCTCAATATTGCGACTTGCAGGACTCAAAGGTACAGTGACCAACTTTTTGTTCCTTTTTGTTACCACCAACCTCCCTCTCAAGAGGCCCGGTGGTCGGTTCGTTTGGTCGGGAAAAGAGGTACATCAGCAACAATAACGAACCTCGACAGCAACAGCAGCAAGCAACAAGCAGCAAGACAACGACAACAACCAAAATTGGTTTGTAGTAATATGAAAAAAACGTGCGGCGTGTTTCTTTATCACTCGCTCTTTTACTCCCATACACGCACACATGCAGTCCCTTTTTTGGGTCCTTTTTTTTTGCCTCACCACGATCCCCTTCCCCTTTCTCTCCCACTCTGCGTGTGCGCGCGTGTGCGCGCGTGTGCTTCCCCTCTATTTTTACACCTTGGAGGTGTTCTCCTCACTCTTTATTGGTCTTTGCCTCGCGCTTCAGACCGCGTTCTTTGACCCTACACTTGAACAAGCTGCCAGTGGATCTGATTGCAAAGAATATGAAAAAGATACAACGGCAAATACACCGAACGTGGAGACAATCTGGATTTGGCAAATCGCTCGGGCACCTCAAAGGAAAAGGCGAGAGCGAGGGCATTGACAAAAAGGCGCAAGGGACGGGAACGAGGCAAAGGCGACCAGGATGGACATGATCATGTTTTTTATCGCTCTCAATTGTTATTTTATTTTCGTCTCGTCCTCCTTCCTGAGACTATTTACACCTCCTTTTTTTCGTGTGTATGGGGTACACCTCGGGCGATTGTGAGCGACCCTTTTTTTCCTTCTTCTCTCCTCCCTTTCATCCTTCATCTTTCGAACAGGCGGACAGGCAATACGGGGGAACAGATTTGGGATCAAATTAGGATGTGCGGTGATAAAGGAAAGGAAGAGAGAAAAACAATTGAGCAAAGTATCACCTTTCGTTTGTTCGTTTGTTCTGTTTGTTAGTTCGAATATTCCTAGCTCAGGCGAGAGGAAGTGGGGAGGAGTGTGCTCCGCGCCATGCTGCAAGCAGGTTGTAGTGTGGTGGAAGAAAAAGGAGACAAATCTGTGGCGTGTTGGGGAGTGCCCGTTTCCCCTTTCCATTTTGTTGGTGTTTGTGTTGAAGTGGTTCGACTTACCTTTGTAAGCAAGTGAAAAAAGGGAGATGAGAATGGATGGGGAAGTGAAGGCGACTAGGCACCAAGAGTGAAGGATTGTTCCTACCCCTATTCTTGATATTCTTTTTCATTCTACCCTATCAGCAACGCATGGGCTCCTCCACCGTGCCTGCATCTCAGTAGTACTCAATGTGGTTTTTTTTTGTATTTCTTCTTCCTTTTCGTACCTTCTTCCAATGTCAAAAACGTGGCAAGGAGTGTGAAAAAAGTCCAGGGGTTAGTGGGGCGTACTATTGCAATATCGATTGATTTTTAATGTACCCCTTGCGGTGACTAACATGGTTCCATCTTTGCTCGGTCCCCCTTGTGTTTTATCATAATAGTCTTGACGGTTGCAAACTATGAGGCGGCACTGGCCCACCTTGACCGGCGTCCACCCACAGAAACCCGACCTATGATACTATTGGTGGACGTTGACACCGACCTCGACTTGACCTCTCCTCATTCACCAGGATCCTACTCTACCCGGCAGGCAACCTCCAGGACCAGCAACCTCCGCAACGGACATTTGGGAGTATCCGCAGATCATCGTTCTCAAGGAAATGGTCAGTCCCACCTTCGGGCGACCAGCGACAGCACTCTCCCTAACGGAACGCGGAATCACAGTAGTCGGCACGGACAGAATGGACACGCCAAGCGGAATGGTGCTAAAGGCGCGAACTGCGGGCAGGAGTTTTTGGAATGCATCTTGCAGAACGTTGCCAACGGCACTCTTCGCCATGTCGTCCCTGTTGGTGAGTCATTTGAAGTGGCATTCTTTTGTCGGTGTTCTCAAGGCAGGAACAAAGCGGTAGACCAAGATCAAGACAAGGGCCAACATCCCTCAACATTTTTTTTTGTTCTGTCTGTTTGTTTCATGTAGCCTTAAGTTCGGCCAAATCACAGGACAAGATCTTACAACTTTTCAATCTCGGCGTGGCAGACGTACTTCTCAAGCCTCTCGAGGAGCAGGCAGCTCGGACACTGTTCTTGGTGAGTGTCCACGAGAAGTTATACAAATAATGCATGAAGCATTCCATGGAGGTGGTCGACCAATAGCTTTACTGACCCTGTTCATCATTTTTTTTTCCCCGCTAGAATGTCCACCGTTACAGCAAATACAGGACCGCGGTTACTATCCCGAGATACGCGACCCAAAAGAACACGCTCACGCTCGAGAGTCACGATAGGTTGCGGAATGTGTTCTTGAAGGATCAATGGCAAGTTCGAACGGGATCAAGTGCTGTTACATTTTGCATGTCCGACAAGGACTTGGTATCGTGCCAAAAGCGATGTCTATCCCGCTAACCTGGATTCCCTTCATTAATTCTCCGATTTTGTTAGGCTATCCGACATCTTGGTGAACCATTACTGCCCAACGCCAACAAAGGTGTCCCTGCGGGATTTCCCTTCCATGTCGTCAGCCGCAGCTAAGGAGCGCGTGGATCATCTCAAGAGGCGACTTCTTTCTTGGGATTTCCACCCTCATGACCTTTGCCAGGATGATCTGATGCGCTGCGTTGTCATTGTGATACAGGAGGTCATGAAGTTGGACGGCTTGGGCGACCTCAACATCCCAGATCGTAAGTGGCGTCACTTTGTAGTTGTAACTATTATCGTAAGATGCATTGCAGATTGGACCATGGCATTAACACGACGATATTTTGTGCTTATTGTTTTATTTTCTTTGTTGTTTGTTTTGGCTCGGCTTGATATTAGATCTGCTCCATCGATTCGTCATTGGACTGCGCGACTCTTACCACCGATCCAACCCATACCACAACTTTGCGCATGCTGTCGATGTCCTTCAAGCGACGTTTTATTTCCTCTGCAGGATGGGCAAGCTCCCAAGCTCTGGATATGGCTATCCTCCAATTGCCACCATCCCAAACGGGGATGCAACTGGAGTTCCCAATGGAGATGCGGACCTTGATGGCTCCATTACTGAAGCCCAAGAGACTGATTCCTCGGCAAATATACCCACCGACAACTCTTCTGCCGATAGGGATGTTCCACTAGCTATCCACGTATCGGACTTCCTTCGTCCTGAAGATATTTTCGCTCTTCTAGTAGCGAGCATTGGTCACGATGTCGGTCATCCTGGAGTCAACAACATGTTCTTGGTATGGCTCCATGTATATTGAAAACATGTCTGTCACCACTGCGCTCTGTGCTTAGCAGCGGAACACGCGACTGACCGTTCACTTATTATTTTCTGCATAATAGGTGAACGCACATACTCCTTTGGCTCAGGTTTACAACGACCGCTCAGTGCTTGAGAGTTTCCACTCGATGGCGCTATTCCAGGTTATGAAGAAGCACGGTTTTGAATGCTTTGATGTCGATTCGCAGAACCGCAAGTTCATGGGTACGTGTAACCGAAACATCAGAACAGACTTTTGTCCAGATTCAAAAACCGCGAATAACGCGCCTGTTTGAACATTCACTAATAAGCATTCAACTTTCTTGATGTTTGTCACCTTTTTACAGAGTTCCGAAAGTGTGTTGTAAGCACGATTTTGGCGACGGACATGGGACTTCACTTTGATTATGTTGGCAAGATCAAAGAGCAAACAGAACGTTTGCGCCTTCGCAATTTGCCTGGTGGTGACATCCCCAAGCCCAACCAGGCAAGCATTGATGAGCAAGAACGCCTGGTGCTCTGCGGAAGTTTGATCAAGTGCGCAGATATCAGCAACGCTGTAAGTGTTTAACAAGTTTCTTTCACAATGGAACGGAGAGGTGAATCTTATTTGTATGACACTAACGGCTATACTCTTTTTTACAACTTGCAACCATTTAGTCGAGACCATTCCATGTCGCGGAGCGCTGGTCGTCGGTACTTTTGCAAGAGATGTGCAACCAGGCTGACATTGAGAAGGAGATGGCTGTGGCATCAGGATCCCAATCTGTTCCTGCAGGATCGACCAAAAGTCTTGCCAACGATCGTGGTATGCAGATCGATTCTCAATTGGGCTTCATCCATGGCTTCGCTATGCCCCTGTTCAGCAGCGTAAAGGAGATGATTCCAGGTATGTTTAGCTTCCCCTTTTCAAAAAAAACGTTGTATGTTGTGCGTACATTTTCCATGTTTGTTGCTGTATACTGATGGACTTATTTTTCTCCTTCTGCGCTATTAGAAATGGGATACTGTGTTGATTTGCTCCAGGCCAATCACAAGATTTGGGAGGATCGCAAAACAGAGTATCTTAAGAATGGCGGAGGATCCTTCTTGTCTTCCCTGGTCTCCAGGCCTGTCACTGTCTCTGTTCCAGTGGTAGAGGACGATACCCCCACAATCCCTGCCTCTCCCAAGCGGTCAGGATATCACGGAAGGGCCAAGAGTGCTACTGGAAGGGCTGGTCAGACAGCCACGAACGCCTCAAAGGAAGGACCGATTCCAACTTTGCCAAGGAGAACACCGACAGGATCAGGAGACCTTGCTATTCCTGTTAAGTTGGGTAACTTGAGGCGATCACCCAGTGCCAATACTACCAGTACCAGTGGATCAGAGATGACGAATGGCAGCAGCGGCAGCTCCATTCCTCGGCCCAGAACGAGGACCAAGGCTGCAACATCTGAAGGAGAAGTGAACGCGGAGAGTTATGGACAGGCTACTGGTCGTCAAGGAGCTCAGGGGACATCAGCAAGGTCGTCGTCTGGTAATCCCAGACTGGAGGGCCGTCATCGATCGGCTACTACTCGCGAACAGAGCTCGCGATCTCGGTCTGTGACGACTGCGCCTTCGTTGCCCCTTGCAGCAGCATCAGCAACGGTGACGGCGTCTTCTGATTCTGGAAGAACCAGATCTAAAATGAGTTTTGGGAAGTCGGACAGCCGACCGGATTCACCAAGGAGTCAACATGAACACTCCCAGTCACAGCAACCCAATGGCCATCCCGGTGGTGGATCCTCGAAGCCAAACTCCCGTACACCAAAATCACCAGGCCGTCGGTCGCACCATCGAGGACCAGGCTCAAAGTCCAAGCAGGAAAAGACAATTGTGCTTGGATTTGGAGGAATGACAGGTGGTGGTGACGGATTGGATCACCCAGAGCCTATTGCGTTGGGCTCACCTCTTGCGATCCCACCTCCAGCCTTGGCCGCTGCTGCTTCCTCACAGCCCGGGACTGACTCAATGACGACCCTCTCTGAGTCTTCGATTCTGATTCTTTCGTCGTCGTCGTCTCAATCCAACTTGGTATTGCCTACATCTTCTTCTACAAGCACGGGTTCGTCCCGGATCGCACAGAGTACTTCACGGTCATCCAGCAAGATTATGTCCAGCCCAACCCAGCGTTCGTCGCTGCCCTCGCCTCCAAATGTGGTTCAAAACTCTGTAGGCGATAGACGTTAGAGTGTCACTTAACCCATTTCCCCGCACCCAAAAAAAAAAAAAAAAAAAAAAAAATCCTCGCCTTTTTATCTATCAAACAAAAGCATTCCCCTCCCCTCCCCCCCTCCTTTTTCCTTTGTCATTTTGTTTTTGTTTTCATCCTCATGTACTTTTCGCTTTCATGTATCATGTCCCTTATGTCCTTCATTATTGTTCATTTTTTTTCTTCTTTTGTTGTTATGTTTGTTGCATGAAAATAAATGGGTGCTGTTGTTATTTTGTTGTTTTTTTAACAAATGATTTTTTTTTTTGGGTCTAACTGAAAGTGAAATGAGGTGAATGAACGATGGATGATGATATGTGTTTCTGATTGTGTGTGAACACGATGGAGGGGGGATGCGTTACAAAGGCGGGGTATGTGTGTGTCTTTAGCTGAGGGTGAGTGAGGCCAAGTGAGGGGCGAAGCGAGATGGTAGGGCGACAAGGGTGTGTGGTGTTGTTTTGGTTTTTTGTTGGATGATCACAGTACAGATAGCATTTCTTGGTCGCCGTCATAATCTTCTTCGTCGTCGTCGTCGTCGTCGTCGTCGTCTTCATCGTCGTCTTCTTCGTCTTCGTCGTCGCTCCTGGAGGACCGTGAGTGGGTGCGTTGCTTTTGAGCGGCAGGAATGGAAGATGAAGAAATGGATGTTGAGGTGAATGTAGAGGTCATCTGGATATCTAAAGGCGATGCGCCAGAGAGCGGGTGGATGGTGGGTGTCGAGGTTGAGGTTGAGGATGCTGATGAGGATGTTGATGAAGGAGCCATGGAGGACATCATGTTGGCGGCGATGGTGCTGGACCGTCGGCTGACTGTGGGTGTCGAGTCGTCGTCCTCGTCGTCATCACTACCATCCTTTGACGAGGCATTCTGGCGCTGCTGCTGGCTGGTAGAGGAGGAGGTGGTTGGACCATTAGCCTGCGTGGACGCAACCCCAATGGTGGCCTTCCTACCATCCCTACTACCACCATTGCCACCGCCACCAGGCTGGTTCCCGATCCGTGCAGCCTCAACAGCCACAGCACTCTGCTCCGCAATCTTGGCAGCCATATGTGCAACCTCCAACTCTCTCCTGGTCGCCTGATCCAACATCTCCTCCGACATTTTCCACCCCTCCATATCCGGTACTCCTCCTCCTGCTGCTGCTGCTGCACCACTCTCAAACCACTGCCGACAAGCCTGTTGGAAGTATTCCTGCTGGGCTTGCATCCTTGCAATCGTTAAATCCCTCTGTGCCATTTCAGCCTTAAGTGAACAGATGTAATCAAAGGATTTCTTGAGGAGAAAGACTTTTGAGGGGGCCTTGTCGACAATGTTGGGGATCATATGGCGCAGGTCGTCGAAACAGTGTTTAAGCGAGTCGCGCCGTTTTTGCTCGGCCGCTTTGTGGGATGTGCGGCGGAGTTCGATCCCGGAGTGAAGGTCTGTGTTGTATGATAATCCGAGAGCACTGGAGCAGGGGGAGGGGAGGGGGAAAGGTGTTTTTGTGGGGAATAGAAGAAAAAGTGTTAGAGAAAGTCGATTGTCTTGTGGTTTGAACGCACTCCTTGCCGCGGTAGTAGAGGATTAAAGGAGACTACGACAAGGAAGACTTACGTGTGGTCACCGTCCAAGATGTTCTGGTAGTTGGATTTGGACGCGAGGCGGGCCATGGCTTCTGTCGTAGAGACTATAAAAAAAAAAGGAGTTCAAATGACTTTCTTAGCAATCAAAAAATATCAAGAAAATGACAACACTCTTGAAAGGAAGAAGTAAACGTACCACCAGGCAACCAGGGTTTCAAGCTAGGAGAGACCAAAAGAGACTGGCCCCGAGAAGTCGAGACCAAGATTTGTTGACCGGTCAAACTACCACGATGATGAAGAGGCGGTTGAGGCATCAAGGTCGGCTTGAGAGCAGGCGAGATCAGGGTTGCGAATCCACCGGCAGGCATGGCTGAAATTACAGTCGTAGCTGTGGTTCCGGGAGTCCGAGGAGCCAATACTCCGGCGTTTGTGGAGCCTTTGTTTTTGCTGCTTCCGCCTCCACTTCTCCTGGACCCTCCTGAAGAGGAACGGGAGGAAGATCCTGATCCGCCGGCGGAGGCTTTGGATTTCTCGGTGGATTTTGCGGCGATTGAGCGGGTGGACTTTGTGGTGGCCGTGGTTGTAGGGGCAGTGGCGCTGGGACTGGAGCTGCTAGGGTTGCCAATATTGTTGCTGTTGGCGGGGGCAAGGGCGGCGTTGGTGTTGATGTTGTTGAAAGTTGACTTTGGGGACGAAGTTGGTGTCGACTCTGATCCAGATCCGGCCCCAGAAAGCTTCATCAGCGATGCGGGTGTGACGGGCGCAAGGGCGAACTTGGGTGTCAGCGTGCCGGTTAAGGATGGCGAGGCTGTGTCCTGGGACTGACCCATCACCGTGTCAGCCGAAGCTCCCATGCTTGGCGTAGTAGTTGCCGCAATGGGCATAGGAGCCGATGCAATAGTGGCAGCCGCCAAGGGAGCCGCAGATCCTGTAGGACGCAACATGGACCCAATAGGAGCAAAGTGGTTATGTTGTTGCTGCTGGAGTTGTTGGGGTGGGTGGATCGACAGCTGATATTGTTGCTGTTGCTGCTGCATATGGACGGGCTGGGAGATCTGAAGCTGACGGTGTGTCTGGATATGGTTCTGCGTCTGTTGTTGTGGCAAGGTCATGGGCGGTGGCATCATCGATGAAGCCGGAAGCGAAAACATGGCTGGCGAGGCTGGCATCATCGAGAGCTGATTCATACCGCCGACCAAATGAGGCGATGGCGACGGCTGCGATTGAGGCTGGGGTGTGCCGTTGATGGTCGATGTCATAATCGGCGAAGGTGTGATACGATGGTTGCCGCCCGAAAAATGCATCCCCATGGGCGAGGCGGGTGCTGGGACCAATGAAGATGGTCGTGATGTCCGACTTGTGCTGGCACTGACAACTGGCTTCCGAACGCCAGTTTGTGACAGGGGTGTGCTGGTCAAAGGACCCAACGCTGGTGAGCTCTTGGACATGAGTCGAATCGGTCCGCCGCCTCCAACAATGCTCGCGGTCGCATTGGCCGCAGCAGCGACGGTTACTGGGGTTGATGCTGCAGTGCGAGACCCAACTCCATTAGCGGCAGAATGCTCGACAGTCGGTCGACGTTTCAACCCAGGTCGTTGACCGTTTGCCACGTCTCGAGCGTGCTTTGTGCCAATTCCTTGATGGATTTGCTGTTGTTGCTGTTGAATGTCGCTCGACAAGAATTGTTGTTGCTGCTGTGCCTGAAAGTTCTGAAGCTGTTGCTGCTGAATCTGGTGGGCCTGTTGGAACTGCATCGGCAATGCGCTAAAGCCCTGGCCGTTCGTGAAGGAAATATAGTCCATCTGGGAGTTGCGATGAGGTCCAATGGCGGGCGAAGTGAGTGGCGTGAACCCGTCACCTGACGACATGGATTGAGGCAAGTTTGGGTATGGGTTGGCTGGTGTCAACTCTGGCGACAGCATTGGCGTGCCCTGAATGAAGCTCTGTTTTTTGGAAGAATAGATTCGACAATTGTGTGAGTAAGCAAGGCTTATATTATTTGCTTTGACCATGCTTGTAGCCCCCTTTGAGAATGTGCGCGCGAAAAGAGAGAAAAAAAGTACCATGGGTCTGAGCTGCTCCGTGGAGTCGGCGGCTTCTTCATCAAACTGTTCAGGCATGGTCATCGCCGCCTCGACACTATTATCGGGCTGGATGCCCATGGGTGACATGTACTGGTATTGGGAATAGTCGGCCGCCGCCGCCGTGTAATAGTCGCTACCAGTAGGCTTCAGTAAGTTCTGTCTTACGGCGGCGCCGCCATCCTTGTGCTGATGGTGTGCTTGCTGGGCATGAGTCTGCGCCTGAGCTTGGGCCTGAAGCTGAGCCTGGGTTTGCGGTAACTGCTGAAGCTGGTGTTGCTGTTGCTGGCGGAGCTGTTGCTGTTGACGCTGCTGTTGTTGCTGGAGTAACAACTGCTGCTGCTGGTGCTGTTGCTGAAGCTGTTGAAGGGACGCCGCACTACGGGTTCCGTTATTGGTGTTGTTGCTGGTATTATTAATCTTATCCGGGTGGGTCTGGAAGACAGGGGTGGTGGAAGCTGATCCGGTTCCAGTAGGGTTCATCATCTCCATAGTCATGGCTGCTGGGTGGAAGTCATAAGGGCCCGACGAAGTCGTCACCACCGGGTTACTGGTATCATGTTGCTGGTTGTTGTTATTGCTGGATTGATTCTCGGAGGAGTGGGGGCTCTGGGAGGGATCGTCACGGAGGAGGAGATTTTGAAGCTTTTGCTGCTCTTGTTGGTGTTGCTGTTTTTGTTGGCGTTGCTGGTGCTGGTGTTGTTGGTGGAGAAGCTGTTGTTGCTGTTGCTGCTGTTGGAGGTGTTGTTGGACCTGGCTGGCCTGCGTGGCGTCGAAGGCAAAGTCGCTGAGCGACAGTTCTAGACCGGCTTGGTCCAGATAAAATGAAGTGTTGTCGAAATTGTTGGTCATGATGGTCAGTTGGGGATATATGTGCGAGTGAGGATGGACGGAGAAAAAGGGAGAGAAGAAGGATCGATGGACAGTGTAGCTGATGAAAGAGGAGGAGGAATAAAACACGTCAAAGAAGAAAGGGACGAGGTAAGTTGAGCCTGACAGTTCTGTAAGGGTCGAAAAATGGCGTCGTACGAAACTAAAGAGGGTGGAAGGAAGGAAGGAAGTAGGGGGGTGATAATAGAGGATACTCGTTGAAGGCGAGGGGATGAGGAAGGAAAGGTCGGTAATGAAGAGAGAGAGAGAGAGAGAGAGAGAGAGAGAGAGATAGAGAAGGAACCTTCTTGTTGATTTGGTTCTGAGGTCCTGATAAAGTTTTCTGTTTCGTGGGTGGGAAGTGTCTGGCTGTGTGTCAATTAAAGAGTGACCGCACAGAGTGCAGAATGAGACCGCGTGGCGATGTCCGAGGATGGGACAGGGACAGGTAGAGTCAACCAAAAAGAAGAAAACAAAGAAAGGGGATCGGGGAAAGGGTGTAAGGTCAGTTAGTTTGCTTCACTTTGTTTTTGCTGTAAACCCTTGTGAAAAAACAAACAACAACAATAGAGTGAGCTCTCGAGTCGGAATGAGGTTTCCTCTCTTTATTCCTTATGTCAATGGGCAAGAGAACGAATTGAATGGCACAAACTCAATCACCATCCGAAAAAGTGAATGAAGAAGAAAAAAAAAAGGTTCGGATTGCCTTACCTTTGTCTGATTTGTATCCCTAGATTGTTGAAATGAAATGCTTTTTTTCTTTGTCGAAGGAGAGGTGCAAGGGGTGAAGGTATTTTGGGTATGTATGTGTGGGCACAATGCAAAAATCAATAATAGAATGTCAGTCAATTGGATGGGTGTGGATATGCAAAGAGGGGAAGAGAGCGAGGATGAAGATTGTTCTTTCGAGGAAGAGTGATGATAAGGAGACGAAAGAGTCAAGAGATAGGGAAAGAGGAAGAAGAGGTATTGCAACAGAGTAGTGGCAAACGAAAAACGAAAAAAAAGAGGAGGCAGCCCTTTTTATGTGCTTAAAATGTCTTGCTTTGATTACTTTGGCTGTACAAGTAACAATACAAGTAAGAGAGGTCAAGGCCAAGGACAAGATGAGGAGAAAGCTGAGGGAGGTATTGTGATGGACAAGGAGGAGACGAAGGAAGAGTGGGCGGTGAGGAGACAAGCAGCCATCAAAAAATATATGTATGGGAGTGGAAGAGAGTAGTAAAAAGTGTGGATAACGAAGAGAGAAGAGAGAAGAAAGAAAAGAAGAGGAGAGGAGGGACGGAGGGCTAAAGAAAGAATTGGAGCGGAAAGCAAAAGAGAATGGGAAAAGTCGGTTCTAGCCTCAGTCAGTCAATCCATCCACACTCCATGCACACACTCACATACCCCTCCTCCTCGCTTTCTTCTTCCTCTTCTTCTTCTTCCTCAGCTTACTTTCTCTTCTCATCCTTTCTGACTCCTGGCGCGGGCCTCTACGGACCACAACAGCGGTCGACCCTCCGTTGTTGTTGTCATTTTGTCGATTCAGTGCCGAAGAAAACGGTCGTCCCGACATTCGTTTTTACTTCACTTCAAAAACGCCAAAAAGAAAATACTTCGTTACGAAACCCCAAAATGTCAAAAAACGGGAGAGACAAAAAGGATGATCCTCCACCTCATGTTCCATCCACTGCTCTCTTCGGTACCTTGCTCCACCGTCTGCTGGATGACACTCAAAGAACGGGTCAAGGCGGCCGTCCCTTTCTGACCTGGCGCTCCTCCGTTGTACCTTCTTTGTTTTTCATTATTTTTTTGATCCAAGGGCTCATGTCTGTCATATCGGCTTCCGATACAACAACTTACATCCTCTGTTCTCTGTGCCCCCTTTTTTATTTTCCATCTCTTTCCTCTCTCTTTGTGCTTGCGTCCATCCACAGGCAGGTCCTCTCTTTTACAAACAAATACAAAAAAACGGTTCCTCTAGAAGCAAGTCGCGTCCCTCACGTTTTACTGCTGTGCGTTCTGATTGGCTAATGTTCTGTAGAACACAGTCACACAGACCTTGATGTTTTTTAGACTCAATTTTGCCTGTGAATTCTTTTTTTATGGTTTGACAGGGTGGCAGCAAAATGACAGAGAGACAGAGAGAGAGACAAAGCGCCGAGCGGATCCAAGATGGCGATCTTTGGGGGTCGCGCCCTGGTTTTCGTCGATTCAAAGCCTATCAGGGATATATATCACATACCTGCTACATACTAGCACCGATCTGCTACTACTAGTGTAAAGTCATACCAATTCCCTTGACAAAAGAGTCCATCCTTATCCAATCCAAGATCATCCCGCTTCAGTGGCAGCTGTCGGAAAAAAAAGTCCTTCTCCTTTCCGCTCAAGACGGCTATTTTGCTGCCGTATCTGCTTCTGCGCCTGCATCTGTTGACTACCGTAACAGTCAAACAAACAAAAAACAAACAGGCACTGCCGTTATAGGTAGGTAGGACAGTACACGTCATGTCTCGGGGTTGACTTGCATACATATCGTTGTGTATTCTCTAAATAGGAGACACAAACTGCAGGAGGCTTATATTTTGTTGCTTTGTTAGAAACGAGACATTTTTTTTGGTTTTGTTTGTTTCGCGTTCCTAACTTTTTTTTTGAGCATTGCGGTCATCAAGGAACAACGATGTTTGCCACGCGAACGGCACGAATCGCCAAGAAATCAAGCTAACCTTTCAACACCGAAAAAATGCGTCGTGCTTTAAACAAACAAGAAAAGCACAAACAGAAAGGATGGCAACAAATGAGCGTGTTTGATACCTGATTGATATGCTTTGGAAACATTTAACCACCCCCTTGACGCTTTTTGTCCCTTTGGATTACTTATTTGTGCAGTCTAAAGGTTCTGTTTTAATGAGTTTGTGTACTTGTTATGTGATATCGTGAAAAAAAAATGTTGAAAAAGCTTTTTTCTTCCTTGCATTCCCGCTGCATCCATCCCATCTGTCTTCCTTCTGCCACCCCCTTCCTCCTGCTCTCGATCCCGCCCAATAAATATGACAGGTGGGTCGATCTTTTAGCGTCTTGGACGCTCTCTGACCACCATCTTGTTGGGGTGTTTCCTAGTCTTGCCTCCCTTGGCAAGAGTTCCCCAGGGACTCCTTGGGTCCTTTCCACCTGTGCAACAAAGAATTCAAATGGCGACAGAGAATATACGAGTTAATACATCGGATTCGTCATATCCGCACGTTCCACAATCAAAAAATAACACGAAATACACATTAAACAGAAAAACATGCGTCTGCGTCTGGTCTAGTATCGCTCTTACCCTTTGTCTTTCCCTTTCCTCCTCCGTGAGGATGGTCGCAGGCGTTTTGTGCAACACCACTAAGAATAGAAAAACATTCACACAGTGGTCAATAACTCACTCTTAGTGCTTGAAATGAATTCGTGACCGTAAGAGATTGTCACCTTCTGCCAAAAAAAAAAAGGTGTCGCGACAAAAAAAAAAGATAGAAACATACCGAACGCTAGGGCGGATACCCATCCAGCGGCTACGACCAGCCTTTCCGAGACTCTCGTGCATGTTTCCAGGGTTGGAGACAACTCCAATAGTGGCGCAAACGTCGACGGGGAACTTGCGGACCTCACCGCTCGAAAGACGAATAATGGCGTGTCCAGTCTCGCCGGTCGAAAGCAATTGAGCATAGGTTCCTGCAGAGCGAGCGACCTGAGCGGGTCCGTTGCGCTTCATTCCAATTGCGTGGATGATGGTTCCTGTGGGGATGCGGCTCAGGGGCAAGCAGTTGCCCTTGTCGATGGGGAGGGTGGTAGTGATGCCGTTCTTTGTCTGGTTCCATGAAGACTTGTCCAAGAAAGAGTGAATGACCGATCCTGGCTGGAGGTCGTGGGGTGCCAAGATATAAGACTGTCTGCCGGTGGTTTGGTTCTTCAATAAGGCGATCCAAGCTGTCCTGCCTGGATCGTATTCGATTCTCTCCACCAACTGTGCACCCGACTCACGACGGTACCAGTCCACAATACGGAGACGACGCTTGTGTCCGCCTCCACGGTGACGGACTGTGATGCGACCAGTGTTGTTCCTGCCGGCAGTCGAACGCTTGGCAATCGTCAAAGCACGAACGGGCTTGCCCTTCCAAAGGTGATCACGGGGCACACGCTTAAGCCAACGACGACCTGGCGAAGAGGGAGTATAGGTCTTGAACTGAGGGGTGGCGGACGAAGAAGTAGGCGAAGCAGTGGCGGTCGCGGTGGCATAGGTGCGGGTGGCGGCGGCCTTGTTGAGGCTGTTCCTGAAAGAGACCGTCGAGAGCGAACGGCCCTGCATCAAGAGAGTGGTTTGCTTGGTGGTGGGGGTGATCATCCTTGCGACTCCTAACGACGCCGCCGAGGCGGGTCTCCACAGTGACCGTGCAAGCCCAGAGAGCATGTTGTATAGTGGCGGCTGTGATGGGTGTTGGTGAAGGTGAGAAATGCTTCGAAGCGATTCGCCGGAGATGCAGGGGTTGACTTGGTTCAACACAATCTGTTTACAAGTTTTGTGACTGTGACATCTATCGCACGTGATGAATCAGGCACTGAATGGATATAATGGTTCCAGGATGCTGGGGAAATAAGTGTCTGGAAATAATGAATCATTTTCTTCCCACGGCTCCTCGGCTGATTCACCTTTTTTTCTCACTTAACATCTTGTTTTCTCTCTCCATCTCCACTCCCCCATCCACCCATATACCTCATCACTCAACCATGGCCTCCCTCCTCACTCTCACTGCTAGACGTGCCCCCCTCAGACTCGGTCGTGCCGTTACTTCAGTTTCTAGCCAAATCCGCAACATTTCCTCCTCTCCTATTGACCGTATGGTTGTTTCTTCCTACAAATCTGCTTTGTCCTCTTCAACAATCATTACTGCCGTGACCCTTGACAAGAAAGTAAAAACAAGCCAATGTGCTAACGAATAAGCCATCCATTTCTTTTTCCTTCGTTCCCATGCCCAAATAGCATCCGTTGGATTGACTGGTACAAACCATGCGACCCTGCCCTTTAATCGTTGTGTCACTTTAAAGAAATATGTATCTTTCAGGCACATGGATCACAAAGACCTCAGTGCTGGTATCATTATGTCTCGTTTCTGACGCCTCTCGTTCTCACGCTCACTTCCTTAGACGACCAGAAGGAACTCCAGAGCCTCGCTCGCACCTTTGCCGACAATGAGTTCGCCCCCAAGATGCAAGAGGTATGTACATGCTAAACCTACAGCCCGTCCCCTATGCGCACATCCTCGTTCACACGATGCGGAGAAGAAATTTCTCAAGAGTTTAATTCCATTTTGCCACTCTTCAACGCTGTTCTTAGTGGGATGAGAAGCAGTACTTCCCCGTTGATGTTCTCCGCAAGGGTGCTGAGCTTGGATTCGGAGGACTTTATACCCGTGAGGATGTCGGTGGCTCCGGTCTCGGTCGCTTGGATACTTCCGTCATCTTTGAGGCCTTGTCGACCGGATGTGTCTCCACCACTGCCTACATCTCTATCCACAAGTAAGAACTTTGGTGTATGATTTCAAGTGTGCTAGCCGTCCGTAAGTTGATTTTACCTTTATTGCTTGGAACTAATCGTTACTGCTGTTATTTTTCATTCGTTAGCATGTGTGCCTGGATGATCGGTAACGATATCGCAATTTTTTTATTTTGAGATCGATAGGTCTAGCAGGGAATGAGATGAATGGATTTACTATGGATCCAAGAATGAACCTGAACTCACTCCGTTTTATTCACTTTCCCACCATGTATAGACTCTTATGGAAGCGAGGAGCAGCGTCAAAAGTACCTCCCCAAATTGACGAGCATGGAGCATTTTGCTTCCTACTGCTTGACTGAGCCCGGCGCAGGATCAGATGCCGCCGGGCTCTCAACCACCGCCGTCAAGAAGGGCTCCCACTACGTCTTGAACGGAAGCAAGGCCTTTATCTCCGGAGGAGGATCATCGGATGTGTATGTGATCATGGCTCGCACAGGAGGACCAGGACCCAAGGGCATCTCTTGCTTCATTGTCGAGAAGGGCTTTAAGGGCTTGAGCTTTGGAAAGAAAGAGGACAAGCTTGGATGGAACTCGCAGGAGACCAGGGCTGTCATTATGGAGGACTGTGAGGTCCCCGTCGAGAACCTGGTTGGTGCTGAGGGCCAAGGTTTCTCCATTGCCATGAAGGGTCTCAACGGCGGTCGCGTCAACATCGGTACGTGTCCATTCTGTGTTTCTAATATGTACTAATACAATGGTGTATAGTAAGAGATATTAACCTTTCAGTTTACGTTCCAAATAAATAATAGGTTCATGCAGTTTGGGTGCTGCTCAGGCTTCGTTGGACGCTGCTTTGGAGCACGTCAAGGTCCGCAAGCAGTTCAACCAGCCCCTTTCCAACTTCCAGAACACTCAGTTCAAGCTCGCTGACATGGCCACCAGCCTGCTCTCATCCAGACTGATGATCCGTCAAGCTGCGGCCATGTTGGATCAGGACCACCCCAGCGTTGCCAGCTTCTGCGCGATGGCCAAGCTCCATGCCACGGACGAGTGCTTCCAGATCTGCGACGATAGCTTGCAGTTGCACGGAGGTTACGGCTACCTGAAGGATTACAAGGTCAACGTCTATCTCCGTGATTCGCGTGTCCACCGTATCCTTGAGGGCACTAACGAAATCATGCGCCTGGTTGCTTCCCGCTCCCTCTTGGCCGAGTAAGATGTAGTCTAGTCTGATAGACGGAGTTGTTTTGCAACACAACGCAAACAACGAAGCAAGCATAGAAATGATAGACTTGTTATATATACCTTGGATCATCCATGAACGTTTATTACGGTGTTTGAAATTGACCATGGGTGGCATGGGAGAAAAGAGAGAAGGGTCTGTGTGTAGAGCACGTTCTGTTTTTAATCGACCACAACACCGCGTGGTTCAGTTCAGTTCAGGGTGCGTGTATGTGTGGGGGGACGAGATGGATGATCGAGAGTGAGAAATGGTCCAAGTGAACCAATCAACCTAACACATCCACTACATTTTGCCCCTCTCTCCTCGTTTTGCGTTTCATGTGTATTGGGCGTTTTACTTTAATACATGGGCACTCATTGTCAGCCTGACCATTTGAACCCATGCCTTTTTGTTTCTTCCCAACCGCCGCTTTTTTTTTTGGCAATGCATGTCTTCTCTCTGGTTACCAGGACTTCGATTAACTGATCACATTCTTTGTAATGCCTCCTCAGAATAAATGAACAAAAGAAACAAAGAAAGAAAGAAAAAAGGGGTGGCGGCCCTTTTCTTTTCATTTCGCATCATCAACAGCAACAACGATCATTGACAGAACACATGTGGGCTGTGCCCTTTTTTATTTTGAAGATATCGTAGATATCCACGCCTATTAATAAATCATGGACATCATACCATTGTTGCTTAACCGCTTTTTTTTTCTCTCACTTTTCTTTCTGGAGGAGAGAGAGGCGAAGGGGGTTGGGATAATAGAATTGTTCTTCTCCTTGATGATGTTTTTGTTGTTGTTGCTGGTGTCATCCCTCCCGCCAATAGTTTAGAAAGGGAAAAGGCACAGGGTCGGACCACCCGCACCCGACTCGTTCTTTTTATTCCACTTTTTATTTCCCTATTTTATTTTTTATTTTTTTTTAGCCCCTACAGTGGTATCTCCACCGCAGGGGTCTATTTATCCTTTTTTCACTTCTGAGAGTGAGACGGAGGAAGAGGAGTGTGTGTATATGAGAGCAAAGAAAAGAAAGACTTAATTGCTCTCAATGGTTTGCATAGGCGCATTAGACACATTTTATTGTGATTTTTTTTGATTGTCCATTTGTCACCACCCACTCTTTGGGCCACAACTTTGATGGGAGTGGGTGGGTGTGTTCCTCGTGCTTCAAACGTGGGTTATCAATCATATCCGTTGTTGTTTCCCTTTCCACTCCTATTAATTTTTTCTATTCCTCCTTCCTTTCACCCACCTTCCCTCCTTCCCTCCTTCCTCCTCTTTCCGTCTTTGCACACACACACAACTCCTATTCCCTCCCAATAGCTCACTCTTTGTCTTCCCTTTTTGTCCCCGTTTGCTCCTTTTGTCTCTCTTTCTTTGTCACTCTTCACTCTCTGCTCCCCCGTACTGTTCTTTCAATCTTCCCTTCGCCCTTCTACCTTTTCTCTCCTGCTTCTACCCTGCCTCACCACTCACCCTTCCATCTTTTTCTTCTTCCCCCCCTCCCCCCTCCCTCCCCCCGCCACGCCGAATGCAGACCTCCTCTGACCATTGCCCCCCGAGTCCGTCGTCGTCCTCTTCCTCCTCCATAACCATCATTGCCACTCCCCCACCTACTTATTCCTCTACTCATCTTCCCTCCAAGCTAAAGTCGTTGTTCAAGTTCAACAACACCAGCGACCCATCCGTAAGTATTCTGTTCCTCGCTACTCTATTCCAGCTCGCTACGCACATACTCTCTTTTCCGCGCACGCCCACGTACCCAGCCTTCCTCGCTTACATATCGCAATATGAGAGTTAATAATAAGCAGCCAGCCAACAGGGCACTCTTTCTTTTCTCTGCGAAATGAAATTACCGTTGGCCAGTTCTCCGTCTCTCTCTGAACTGGGGTATCATCTGTGTGTCAAAAAAAGAGCTTCTTTCCGTACCCTTTCTTCTTTTCCTCCTCTTTTCCTTCCCTTCCCTCCCTTTCTTCCATTCCATTCAGCCATCTTCCTCATCCGTCTCTCATCATCTTCCACCTCCCGTCATCATCTTTTCTTTCCTGTTCTTTCCCTCCATCATCCTTCATCTGTCTCTCTCCCTCTCTCCACTCACTCCTTTTATATACATCCGTTTTTTTTTTGTTTTTTTCTGTTCTCCTTTCCTTCTTTTTTACCTTCTCCATTCATCATCTCCACAGACATACACACACACACACATACACTATCCACACACTACTCCATCATATTCCTTACACCCTCACCCTCACTTTCTCAGTCCCACACCACTCCTCCTCCTCCTGACACAGCCCTTTCACTGCCTCGTCAGGCCCAATTGCCGTCTCCCCCCGTCCAATGTCCTTTGTAAATATCTTTCTCTCGTCCAACACTCCTATATTTACTGCTGCTTGAGCTGCGCTTAGTTCTCCTCTCTCTCGTCTCTTCTCTCAGCTCTGACCAAAGTGTGGACCTCACCTTTTTTTTCTGTTCTTTTATGCCGATTACTCGATTCTAATTCCTCTTCCTCTACTTCCTGCTCACCTTTTTTCACCCCCTACCATCCTCCCATCTATTACCATCTAACAGTTCCTTAGGCGAGTTGCCTCTACGCCCAATACAAAGGCTGCCCTCGACGACGCAATCAACAACACCCAGAACAAAACGTCCGACCCAAACGGCTCACCAGTACTCGCCAAGTCCAACAGCTCGATCCACTCTACCATGACCACCTCCTCCATGACCACAACCGCCACTGGCACAACCGTCGGTAACGGCTCATCACTCAACGGCGGTCTTCATCTCAACATTCCAAAGAGCCCCAACGGATCAGCTCTGGACCTCAGGAGAGGCGCCTTCCGTCGAACTTACTCTTCCAACTCGATCAAGAAAAAGACGATCGAGGTCACACCGAGCAGCTTTGTCAAAATCCGTTTGTTGGGCAAGGGCGATGTGGGAAAAGTCTATCTGGTCCGCCAAAAGGATACCGACCGCCTTTACGCAATGAAAGGTAAAGATAGCCGGACAGACTATCGATCTTTTGTTTTCGCTATCCCGCTGTTGACAAAAGGTTTTCAATGCCATGGTGCAATTACTTGGCTCAATGGCTCTCGACAGTACTTTGTTTCAACGCCAAGCTGCGATGATGATGACAATGTTTGCTGTTATGGACACAGCTCAGGATATATATGAGAACTGCTATGTTTTTATACCAGACTGTGTCATTTTGTGCTGACTCTCCTTTTCCCCTTTGTCTTTCTGTCTTTCGTTATATGTCTATTAGTTCTTTCAAAGAAGGAGATGATCAAGCGCAACAAAATCAAGCGAGCTTTTGCAGAGCAGGAGATTCTCGCCACCTCCAACCATCCATTCATTGTCACGTTATACCACTCTTTCCAGTCGGAGGACTATCTGTACCTTTGCATGGAGTATTGCATGGGAGGCGAGTTCTTTCGAGGCAAGTCAAGTGCCCGATTTTGTTTTGTTTTTGTTTTTTTTTCGACTCTTTGGATAACAGGCTGGGTGTGTGAGCGTGTACGTACGTTGGTTGGGACTTGGACGAAATTGGCCTAACCAGAGTGTCTGTTTTCGGATGTTGTCCATTTGTAGCATTGCAAACAAGACCAGGGAAATATCTCCAGGAGGAAGACGCCAAGTTTTATGCTGCCGAGGTTATTGCCGCATTGGAATACTTGCACTTGATGGGATTCATTTACCGTGATCTGAAGCCAGAGAGTACGTCTTGCACCCTTGCTTTTTTCGACAATGGCCCTTTCATGCCACCGGATCTTATTATCTTGCTCAGTTGGCACTGCCGTAATTGATTATGACTAACGGAAACTCGCTATTTCTTCGTAGACATTCTGTTGCATCAGACCGGCCATATTATGTTGACTGATTTCGATCTTTCAAAGCAGTCTTCGCCAGCAGGAGAGCCAACAGTGGTCAAGACCGGATCGCCTTCGATGCCCCCAGCTATTGACACAAAGTCATGTATCGCAAACTTGAGGACAAACAGTTTTGTCGGCACAGAAGGTAAATTTTATTCTGGAAAGAGATGGAGAAATTGCTCAATGGTTCACATTTTTTATTTTGCGTTTCTCTTTATTTATAAGCAACCATGTGGACAGCCAATTAAGATCATCTCTTTTTGTCATTTTCTTCAATCAGAATATATTGCGCCAGAGGTTATCAAAGGATGTGGACATACTTCAGCAGTGGATTGGTGGACGCTTGGAATTCTGATGTATGAAATGTTGTTTGGAGTGACACCCTTCAAGGGCAAGGACAGGAATGCGACCTTTCAATCGATTTTGCATACAGATGTGCAGTTCCCGGACCACCCAGGGGCTCAACCAATCTCATCGCTCTGTAAATCGGTGATCCGCAAGCTACTGATCAAGGACGACCAACTCCGGTTAGGCTCCAAGGCGGGTGCAAGCGATGTCAAGTCGCACCCTTTCTTCAAGACGACCAACTGGGCCCTGCTGAGACATCTCCCTCCCCCCATCATACCCCAGACCTCCTTTGGCGCGGACGCGATCAACTTTCGACAGATGCATGAGTCTGTCAGCTTGGATATCGAGGGTGAAGAGCTGGTTCATCAGCACCCCGGAGCCAAGAATCCTTTTGCCAACTTTAGCTCAGGTAATTTAGAGGAGATACTATGCAGTTACTTCTATGCGTCATGCTCTGGCGCCCAGTTATTTGGGTTGGCATTTGGGATGAGAAAATGAAAAGAGGACCATGGCACTAACGACATCACTACTTTCTCTGTTCTGCTCTTTCTCTCATTAGTCACTCTGCATCATGACGGAGATGATGACATGTAATCTTGTACCACTTACTTTCCACCATTTTTGCACAATTAAAAAAAAACTCCATTGATACACTTTAAGAGAGGGCGACAACGGCGATGACAACAAAACAAGCACAAATAGACACCCACAAGGTACGCATACAACGCCGAGGCGGGCGGGTGAGCCAGGCGGGCGCGAGCATGAATGAGTGGAAGGATACACATGCGTGTGAGCACCAAAAAAAAACAACCACACGCAACAGCTTTGCGTTCACGGAGGTTAATAAGGTTGTTCATGAGCAAACTCAACCCACAGAGATTAAGGTTTTATTAGCGATGTGGTTGACGAGTACTTTGCCAAGGCCGAAAATGCCGAGATGGTGGATCCTGTTGCCGGTTTGCTGTTCTTCCCTGCGGCTGCTGCAGCAACAGCGGCTCTTGCTCTTCGCGCCTTCTCGATCGGATCCAGATCTTCATCATCATCCTCACTCGTCTCCTCGTTTTCCTCTTCTTCGCCCGTATCGTCTTCCTCCTCATCCGACGGGCTCTCTCCAATCTCGCTCTCACTCTCACCTCCCTCCTCTGCATCATCACCATCGTCCTCCTTTGAATCACTCTCGGTAGCAGGCCCCAAGAACCGATCCAGATCTTCCCTCTCTCTCATCTCGTCATCCCCATAATCGTCCTGATACCCCAACAACGACGATGGGTTCGCAAGCACCGCTTTCGAGATCTCGTCTTCCCCAAGTTTCGGACGCCTCAATGCCGCAGCCGTAGTCGCCGTCCTTGCCGCCAATGTCGTCGCCTGAGTGGACACAAAGTCACGTCTCGACGAAGCAGATTCCAGATCCTGGTGATTAGCACCCAAAGTCTTGACTACCTCGACAGATTCAAGATCGATCTCAGCCTCGGCTAACTTCCACAGATCCTGCTGCCTCTCTTCCTGGGTCCGTCGGAACTGTGCCATATCCGTCTCGAATTGGTTCTGGTAAAGCCGCAATTTTCTCGCAGCCTCTTCCTTCTGGAATTGCTCACTCCTCATCGACAGTAACTCTGCCTTATCCCACAATTCCTTCCTAGAAAATTACATGGAGGAATGAAAGAAGAAAGACGCAATGTTAGCAAGGTGATTGGGAAAGACGTGCAATTAACGTGTCCTGAAAAAAAAGAGAAGGATGAAAGGAAAATTCGATGCGACTCTGTAATGTCTTTTACCTCTGGGACTCCATGTATCTGTCGAGTTCATTGACTTGAGACTTCTTCCAGTCAGCCAAGGTAAGAACTTCTGCATCCACTTCTAACATCTCGATCGCGCTCTCTAGCCCAACCAGTTTTTGTTGGATGCTCTCTAGTAATAACGTCAAATAAAAATCAATGGTTAGTTCGGAGCTGTCATTCATCATAAATTAGTTGGAAAAAAAAATAATTGTTGCGAATAAAGATAGAAAGAGGCTACGTACCAGTTATAGACATGATCTCACCGAGACTCTGATCCAATTGCTTAATATCCTTGGCTTCTTCGACTAATTGCTCCGAGGTTGTGGCATGACGAAGGCATAGCTCCAGTACTCTCTGCAGAATTTCATCCGCATCCTAATTATACAAACACATGAAATGCAGAGAAAAATATGAGTAAACTAATGAGCGACTAAAAGGTTGAACAGTGAAACGGTTTGCATGATACCAAGTATTGAAAACTTACATCGGCACGCTCAGAGTTTCTGGTGGTATGGTTGTGGATCTCTGTCCAAGAGTCCTGGTATCTAATATCAACCACAGTTGTACCCCCATACAAATTCCAGTCAGCAAAATTCTTCCTCAATCCTTTCGTAATATAAACCTCCTCAACCAGCCAATGCGACCTTGGGTTACCTTTGAGCCATCTGTTCAACTTCTGGCATCCGCTTCGCACGCTCCAAGGCAAGATCCTGCTGTGCCCGAATCTTGGCCAACAACGCTGCCGTCTCCTTTGAAGCCTCCTCCGTTTTGACCCCCGTTTTCAATCCACTCTCTGTCCTAGCTATTGCCCGCCTACCAAACTTTCCTCCTGCTCCTGTCGTCGTCGACCGGCGTATCGAATCCGCATCGCTCTCCATTCCACCTCTCACATCATTATCAGCAATAGCACCAGAAGAAGAATCATCCTGCCCATTCCAAGCCCAAACACGACTCCGACTCGCCTGCCCTCCATCCCTCCCACTCAAATAAGGTCCTGTCCCACCTCCAGAAGCGCCGCTCATATGTCCCGTCAATCCAAGTCCACCAGCCAACTGTCCCAATCCCAACCCACTCCCTAAACTCTTGATTGACTCTGTCACAGACTCAGCAATCGACCCCTGCCGGTGGACGGATGTCGCTTTCCCTGTACCTATACTACCCCCCGGTGTAGACGTCGACGTTGCCCCACCGCTCTGTCGCCTGTTGGTTAAGGAGGGTGGGAGGAAGGAAGACCACGACCCAGACTCCGACCTATCCTGCGTGGCAAGAGTACCAGTAGTGCCCGTGCTGCTGACAGTACTCGACCGATTAGATCCTCGCCCTTGTCCAGGTCCTGATTCATTAAAATCTGGTTCACCTTCTGGACTCATGGTTCGTATGGAGTCCTGCTGTTGTCCCTGCTGTTGGCGGTGGTGGTGATGGTGTTGTTGTGAATCGATAGGGTTATTCGCCAAGACTGTTCTTAGACTTTCGACACCAGACTTCATTGCCTGCAGTCTAGATGGACATCAAGACCAAAGGGTATAAATATGTGTCAATTGTAACCAGGAAAATAATAGTCCGCGATGATATCATGCGGGCAAAAAACATGGACAGGTTGTAGATTGTTCATATGAGTAACAAAACAAAAAAGAAAAAAAAACGCACAATGAGCTTTACCCTTGCTGGCTCCTTGCGCGGAGTTCATCCTGGCCAAGACTACAAAAGCATCAATTGAAAGATAAGTGCGATAAAGAAAGAAAAAAAAAGAGGCTGTGTCAGTGTGCGAACTTGAAAGTCTTGGCATATAACGCACTACCTGAAAAGAAAAGGCACGCCCTTTCAACAACAACATTGCGTCAGAGTGTTGACAACAGAGAAGCTCATTACAAAGTATTCCGAAGAGAGTCTGACGTGTTGAAGATGTTCTTGAACATGCTGGGCGGTGCATGTACGTATGAAAGAAAGAAGAAAAAAGGTTGTGAATGAGAAATGAAATGAAAAGAAAAGGGTTACTGGTGAACACATGAACAAGCGTACTGTACTGAAACAAAGCCACATCAAACTCCTTTCTTCTCTTTCGACATTTACAAGCCGTTTTTCATTTTTTACAGGTTTTTTTATTCTTTTGTTTCTTTGTTCAATGAAAAGTGGTGGTATTTGTGGATGAGAGCTGTGCAAGTATCCAAAAGAAAAGTATGAGAAGGAAAGACTGTTTATGCATAGATGTATGAGTGGCCAGAAGCCGCTGCCTTTTCTGCTGCCGTTTTAGCATTGTCCTCCTCAATAAACCGTCTCTCCTCCTCAGAAAGCTCAAACGGTTCGTCGTCGACTTGCACTGGCACCTGCAAGTTCGATGTAGGATAGAGTACGGCAGAATCTGCTGCAAAGTGACCGTTGCTCGAGCTGTAGTCGTTACTGCTGCTGCTGTTGCTGTTGCTGTTGCTGTTCAGGCTCGAGCGAAGCTGGCCATAATCGGGGTCGGACAATGTCTGGTCCTGATGCAGAGGCGAGGGCTGGTGGGGTGTGCGGCGAGGAAGATAGGATGAAACTGTGCGAATCTGTCCCTTGTTCTGTACATGTGCGCCTACGGGTCTGGGGTAACCATTGGCTGCTGGCGCGGATGCGGGAGCACGGTGTGCAGCTCCTGCCTGTTGCTTTTGCTGCTGTGCTGTCCATTCGGCAACCTTCTGGCGGTGGTCAGCCATAAGGGCGTCAATGCTCTTCAACAATCCAAGAACGACCTCGGCGTGCTGCTTGCGGATGGGATCCTCCGAGCACAGAGCGCGTGCCTTGGCAGCCCTAATTTGTCTGTCCATGTCGCCCTCCGTCACTGGCTTGGTCGTTGGGGGGTGGGAGATGACCTTGCCTTGTGGCTCCTCCAAGTGAGTTTGTGCCAACTGACGAGTCATAGCGTCCAATGGATCCAAAGGCTCCGATGCAGCAGCCGCAGCAGCAGCCGCAGCAGCCTGTCTAGCCTTGGCCTTTTGAATCAATCCTCCAAACTTGCTCGACGAGTTGGGTGTTGCCGAAGATTGGGCCAAATCGTTCTCCTCTGACTGTGCGGTAGCTTCCTGGTCCTGATCCTGAATCTGTTCATCGTCAACATCTTCGGTCTCAATCTCTGGCAAGGGTGCGTTTGGAACAGCCGGTGCGTTGAGCATCATCAGTTCAGGATCCATGCCCGCGTAAGCTGAGCGTGGTGTCTTCTTCTCCGCCTGTGGCTTCACCATCATCATCATACCGCCCGCTTCCGCAGCGAGCTTCTCCTGCTTGGCCTTGGTCTGAGTGCTCATGTCGGCATAGGTGCGCTCAACCTTGACAACAACCGTGGGCACAAATGTCTCCTCGTTCTCGGTCTTGATGGTAGGAGAGATGTTGTTGCCTCTAGGAGAGATGTTGCTGTTCCTGACATTGTTCATGGTGTGGGTGTGGGCCTGGTAGGGATTGGTGGCCTGCTGGATGCTGTTCTGGAATGGCATGGCTTTAACAACTCCAGGTCTTGAGACTTGTCCAGACGCCGGGATCTCCCAAGGCAAACCTGCAGTTCCGTATGGCACAGAAGGAACCGTAGCACCAACAACGAATGGATCTTCGGGGAGAAGGTTGCTATAAATCGACTCTCCAGTAGAAGAAACAGAAGAGCTGGGATATCCGGCCCCGTTGAGATTGCCGCCGTTGTTATAGTTCATGTTGTCGTTGTTACTGAGTCCAGAGTTGTAGTTGGGGACGACTCCTGAAAAGCTGGCATCCAGAGCAATCGGATTCTGCTTTTGCTCAGGGAACAAGGTTTCGAAGGTCTGAGGCTGGAAGACCTCTCCACTGACATCCTCGAACAATGTCGAGCAGAACTGGTTGAATTGGTTGAATTGGCTCCAGTCGTTCACATCGGGCAAGGAGGTGAGCAGGCGGTCGGGGGTCAAGGGGTTAACTTCCAAGATGGCCGAAAGCGCATTCAAACGCCCCATCATATCTAAAAGTAACAACAAGATGATGAACATGGTCAGCTGTGATTACACATACAATAAAAAACGTGTCATACCACCACCGCCACCATCACCACCACCCAAACTCGTGTCGTGTTCGAATAACGCAAAAAACACTGAAGTAGGTTCGTCTTTTCTTAGAAATTACAAAATGCGTTTTGTCCTGGTGTATTTACCTTCATTGTAGGAAGGATCCAGACGCTTCTTCTTTGCCTCTAGGGCAAAGGATCCGAGAGTGTCGGATAGGACCTCGTCAAAACCATCGCGCGAGCGCTTAGCGCTGACGGGGGAAATCATGTTCTCATAGCCATGGTTGGGGAAGGCGCCGTAGTACGCTCCAGAAACGTCGACGGTTGGTCTTGCAAACTGTTGGTTGCTGCTGTCGACTAAATCAGGCGTACTGAAGAGATCGGAGTGTGGGAAAGGCGAAGCTTTGCAAGCAAATGGACATGAAGCGTGTGTATAAGAAGGCCAAAAAAAGTTAGAAAAAGGAAAATAGTAAGGAAGAAGAAAAAAACCTGCGGATAGCATATGTGTAGGCAAGAAGGCGGATGAATATGATTCGAGCATTGAAAATATCGTTTTAGTCACTTACAGTGGCCAGGATTGGCCCAGTGCTCGTTCGAGTCGGCCATACTTGCGGGCGAGAGGGGCATAGAATAGGGCGATTGAGCAGAGAGGGTTGAGGATGCGATTGAGGGTGATCGATCGAGATAGGAGGGAGGAGTGAGGGGTTGGTAGTTTTGGTCATTGTTTGGCTGGAGGTGTGCGGGCATACCCAGCGAGGGGACGACACCGTCTCCGTCCTGGTGGGTCTTTTCATGCTTCTTGAGATCTTGGGGTCGCTTAAAGCCCTTTCTGCAAATCTATTTTTCCCATTAAAAAAAATGCCAAGAGAAACAAAATAAATAGAGAGAGGAGTAAGTGTCAGTGTCTCATGAGGGCTGTGGTCCGACCGACAAAATCGACTAGAGGGAAGTGAGTGTTGTCTTGGCAAAACGGGCATCCGACCTGGTTGCCAAGAACGAGCACGAAACAAACAATACATGTGGAATAAAAAGATAAAACGCAATTGCATCTTAACAACAATCCCAATTGCATGTATAAAAAATGCTGCAGGGGGGTGTGTGGGTATAGGGAGATAACACAAAAAAGCAAAAACAAAGAAAGACGGCGCTTACGTCGCAGTGGTAGGGCTTGGAGGCAACGTGGACTCGCAAGTGGGAGGTGATATGGTCTCGCTTTGCAAACGTGGGCACAGAGCACTTGTCCCAGCGACAGGTCAAGCACAGGTTGTGGTGAGCCTTGCGGCCGACATGGTCGTCCCTCAAGTGCTCGTAGAGCATCTCGGCGTCGTCAAAGTTCTTGAGACATGAGTCCCACTGACAGATGTAGTCGTCCGAGAAGATGAAAGACTGAGGAGAGGGGACGCTGTCCATTGGAGTGAGAACAATTAAAAGTGGAGAATGTGTTTTCGAGGGAAGTCGTCAGCGGGCTATTTATCTCGTTGCGCTGTGTTTTGCTGCTGTTGTTGTATATATGGCAAGTTGTTGTTGTTGCTGCTGTGTGTTTACAAGGAGTGGATTTCGAAGATAAGGGTGGTGGCGCTTGTTCGTAGTAACGAGGGGAAAAGGACGTTTCGACAAAGACAACAGAAGAGGAGATAAAGAGAGAAGTAAAAGGTGACGAATGAAAATCGAAAAGTAACAGTGAGAAAAGGCGGCCCTCTTATGTGTGTCTGTCGGACATTTAGGTTGTGCAGGTGGGACTGTTAGTTAGTAGGTTAGCCGGTGGAGGGTGGAGGAGGGGGAGGTCTTGGCTCAAGGAAATGCCAAGCCAATTTACTCACACTCTTACTCCACTCACACTCAATTCAATTCATATCACGCATTCCTGCATTACGCTCATCCGTCATGGGCAATTGTCCTCCGATAATATCAGCAAACGAACGCCCAGCCGTCCTTCTTCATCATCATCATTCAAGTCTCCCCGTCTACCCTTCCTTCACTGCTCCTTCTCTTTCTCCTCGGTGTCCGCCCAGCCTCTTTGCCTCTTGGCTGCTGCTGCTGCTTATGATGTTACCTGTTGGCACCCTCTCTTTATCCTTCGCACACCTTGTTCCCATCATCGACTCTTGCCCAAACGGCGGAACCCTCCCATCACCACCGTTCAATCCTTTCCTCCTCGTCTTAATTTCTCAACCTCTTCAACAAAGCCTTTTTCCCATCCATGCGTTGTGCTATCGACGGCCCATTCTGCTGTGCAACGGCGGGAAAAGAGACTTTCTATCTACTCACACGCCCGCACACCGTTTCCTTCCCACATCCTCTCCCATCTGTGGCTAAGCGCCCAGCCCGCTCCGCCTCTCCTTCTACTTTCACATATTTTTTTTCTTGCTACTATTTCTACCTTTATTAACTGCTCTTTTGGTGAAATGGACAACAGCCCTCTCTTTGTCTCTCTCTCATTCATTCTCTCACTCCGATGCTCGCTCGTCCCTCCATGCGGCCTATTCAGCCCTCCAATGCCGTTTCTTTTTTTTTTCATTCTAAAGTCTTGGCTTTGTCACCCTTCCTTCCTGCTTCTCCGTTGTTCCTGTCCCTTCATTGTTCCTTCTCCTCTTTGATCCTCCCGCCTAAGCGATCTTTGATCGGGCTGTTGGAAAATTAGAGGTGTGAGACGAGCACGAGTTTCAAAGGAGACAATGATGGAAAAGAAGAAAAAGGGAAGGACGGAAAGAAGCAAGGGGTTTCTTGCCCACCGTCCTTCCTCTTGCCACATGAACACAACACATTGTTCCGTTAATACCAAACAAAGACACGAACAACAACAACAACAAAAAAACGAGGCTGTGTTGCTTGCAGCGTGTATTTTTAGAAAAGCCTCGAAACCACAGACAAGGCATCTTGTCAGTTCCTGTTGATGTTGTTCTTTGCCCTGAAATGATTGTTTAAGAAAGAGGCGCGAACTGTGCCTCGAGACAATGCAACAAAGTCCGGAGACGTTTGTCAATTGTATTGAGCTAGTACTACGATGGCGAGTATCTTTGCACGAAATCATCGTTCAATCAAAATGACACCAATACTTATCAGTCTCAGGAACCGATCATCAGAGTAAACTCACTAATTCATCTCCTTTGGCGAAATTTAACCACAGCAAAAAGAATAACATACGTTTCTTTATTTTTCATTGGGGGGTCTTTCAATCGAGCCGCTTTTAGTTTCATCGATGCTCCCATGCTGCTTCATCAACGCAATATCAACTGAGCTCAGTCCAACAACATCCTGTAAGTTAGCATGTGCTAGGCAAAGCTCCTTGGCTCCCGCACTCCAAAGCAGCCGCAACTGATAATCACCCTTCTCCTCCGTTAGCTTCCAGAGCCGCAGTTTGCCATACGCCCTGGTCCCAACATACAAGCACTCGGAGCTCTGTCCCCATCGGAACCGGAAAGTGACTCCAACATGGCATCTAAAAACTCGAATCCATTCGCCCGCTACCCAAGCCGATACTCTCAACACCCCCGTCTTGCCTCCAGTCACGTAGAGCCTACCGTTGGGTGAAAACGAACAGCAATTGAGCCCTTGATCAATGTGCTTTGGATTCGTTTTCCCTCGCAGCTCGCTCGTCTGTGTGTTCCATGCTTGGAGGATCCCATCATCTACAGAAGCCGAAATCACCTCTCGTTCGTCAGGGGCAAAAACCACTCGATGGACTTGAGAAAAGTGGTTCATGACAAGGAGATGCGCTCCGGAATGAGAACACCATAGGCGAACGGTCATATCGTTACCGCCAGAGGCGATCAGGTTCCCGCTGGGAGAATAAGCCACGTCGTTGACAGCGAACGAATGGCCAATCAAAACCAATTCAGGCTTGCCAGTTTGGGTATCCCAGATTCGAATAGTCCCATCCCAGCTGGCTGAGGCAACCCGACGGCTGCTCGGAGAGAAAGAAACCGCCCAAACATGACCTAAATGGCCCGTCAAGACATGTAACGGTGATCCTGCCCGAGCGCACCATAACCGCACAGTTGAGTCCGAGCTAGCAGATGCGATCCGTTTGCCGCATGGTGAAAATGTCACTTCATTGACCGACTCTGTATGTCCAGACAGAAGAAGACCGTCTGATGTGCCGGACAAGGTCTCAAGGAGCTCCACCACGCCGTCCCTCTTGCCAATCCCCACCTGCTTGCCATCCGGCGAGACGTCAAGGCAAACATACCCCTCCGTGCGACTGCTTGAAAACGCATCCGACAACAACTCATGAACCTTCCAAAGTCGAACGGTTCCGTCCTTTCCACCAGAAGCAATGCAATCGCCGGTGGGAGAATAGACAACACTGCCGACAGCGGATTGGTGGCCAGAAAAAGTGCTGAGGAGCACTTTGTTGAGGGGATCCCACAGACGAACTCGTCCATCCAGACCACAGGAGGCAATCTGGTTACCGTCAGGGGAGAACGTCAAATATGTAACGGGCGAAATGTGGCCCAACAGACGGCTGGAAACCCCGAAGGTATGTGCGTCCCACAACAGAATCGAACCGTCCTCGCTGCAGGTTCCGATTAGGCGTCCATTGGGAGAATAGGTCACGGAAATGACGGCACTGGATTGACTGTTCAAGACTGCGATTTGTCGTCCAGCCGGAATGTCCCATATTCGTACCGTTGTATCCATACTGCACGACGCAAGTCGAGGACAGGTTGGTGAAAAGGCGACTCCAGTAGCAACCAGGGAATGGCCACTGAGAATGTGTAGGATCGTGCCAGTCAGTGCCGACCAGGTCCGCACTGTTTTGTCGAAGCTTGTGGTCGCGACCATGGCTCCATTCGGTGAGTAGACAATGCTGGACAATGGTCCTGTATGGCCGGTCAAGACGATCCTGATATCGCCTGTCAAGATGTCGCCCAGCTCCACCGTGCCGTTCGGGCGACTCTTGGCTAGCTCGTAGTTGGTTGGCGAAATAGCGATGGCCTGTCCACCACGATGGCTGGCCAAATAGGTCCACGTTGTAGCATCGTAAATGTTGATCTTAAACCCCTTGAACGACACGGCAAGCTTCCCGTCAGACGAAAAGACGCAACGATAGACTTCATCTTCCAGCTTGAGATAAGGGAGCTCTCCGAACCGCGCTCCAGACAAAACAGCCTTGCGGAGGTTGGCTTGTCGAAGCCACGTCTTGCCTAAATTGGTGTCGCTCAAATCGGCACCTTCCAAATTCGTGGCGTCAAACTCTCCTTCGCGAAGATCGGCTCCTGCAATCTTGATGCCACTCAGATCGGCACCGTTGAACCGGATTCCAGCCTTGACCAAGATCGTGATAGCGTTCGCTGCCGCCTGTCCCGCCTGCACCTGCGTGTCGATCTTGGACTGCTCCACAATGTCGAGAAGTTGGCACCGGAAGGAAGGATCCTGCTCGACTCGCTCGGCCAAGAACTGGACTACTGATGGCTCACCGATGATGCTCCTCCGACCCAGGGCAGATTGTAGGGTGTGAATCGGCCGTCGTGGGTCGTACATCATTGCAGCATCGTTATAGTCGAGTGGGTCGTAGATCGTCCTTGAATAAAAGTATTCCTGGAGAGACCGGTGAATGAATCGATAGTCGCCGCCAGACCTCGTCACTGTACTGGATTCTCGAAGCAACTTGGCCTGACCGTCAGGGCTGAAGAACTCGGCTTTCCATGAGTCTCTGTCGCGGAGGTGGGTGTATTGGACGACCGGATGGCCTGCCTGCTTCCTGAAGATCGCCTCCGCAAGGGACTTTTGGAACCGGAGACTATGACCCACAAAATCATCTTCCACTAGCAGGTCAAACTCAGATCGCTCCATGTCATTCAATGCGCTGTTCTCTAATCTCGCCCGGCTGACCGCCAGCCATTGCGTGACGAACCCATCGTAAAGCTCGACACGTATAAGGCTCTTCTTGAAGTCGACGACATGAGGCAGCGCTTCCAGTGAGAGCGATAGGAGGAAGGGATTTGATACCAGCTCCATCAAGTTTGGAATCTCGACCAGCTTGTGCATGTACTCATCCTTTGTCCATGATGGGTGGTCGTCCTGAACCATGCAATTCGCAGGCAAACGTCTGACATACAGATCGACATACTGCTCAATCTGGCTCCTCGAGAAAGGCACAATGACTGCCTCCTGGAAGAGGTCGGATTTCGTGCGATGGTAGTGGTTAGCAGACTGAGGTTGGAACCGAGGGCGATAATCGGAGTTCAGGCACTGACTGCGGCAGCTGATGATGAGTTTAACCTTCCACTGTCCTGGTTGGTTGAGTCGGTTGGTTGTGTAGAGATTAGTCTTGAGCTGGCTCTCGTCGTATCCGTCGCAAATGACAATGAACTGTCGGTTCTGTCTGAGCTGCTGGATCTGGGCGTCGGAAAATCGATGCCGTTGCAGTTGTTTTTCGATGAGGTCCTGAGAGGGGTTGACGATAGTGGGAAGGTTGATATGAAGAGGGATAGGTCCATACGCCCCGTATTCCATCCAAAGATTGCGCTCAAGCTCCAAGGTGAAGGTTGACTTGCCAGCTCCTGAATCTCCGAGCAATAACAACACCTGCCGATGACTGCTCAAGAACTCCAGCGCGCTCTCCATGAGCGGGAATAGAGTGTCGTTCGAGGAATGAAAGGTTGGCTTGGCTTGAGGCGGGATGTACGGAACATTTTCTTGCTCCCGTAGTCGTTCAATCTTCAGTCTGTGCAGGTCATACTCGACATCGGGGATCGCCTGGGCTCGGTTGAGGAGAGGTGACCACGAAGGAATAGGCAACCGGACCATTATCGGGTAAGGATTGGGAGGACGTGCCATGACATCACGGTAGACAGTCTGCTTAGAAGCATTGCCTTCCTTCTCTAGACCAAGGAGTATTCGTCGAGTGTGGCCAGAGAAGGCAGGGTCGGAAAACGACGAGACTTGGCGCAGGATATCCAGAATCCAGCTGTCAATTCCTTCGTCCAGTCCAAGAAGGGAGCCGTCCTTGTAAAGCTCAGCAAGAAAATCGATAGCGTTTCGACGAACACCATCCTCCCAGCATCGATCGATCGCAATCTCGCCAAGGACCAAACAAACACCTCGCTGGAACTCGATAGCTTGACGGCAAGGAGCCTCAAAGAACAGACGACTGAAATCAGCCAGACGGCCATTCCGAATGTGTTCTTGAGCCTCACGCAAAGCTGTGTACCAGGGAAGCCTTCCGCCAGAAAGGACACCCCACTTTGTGCTAGCCCAAGGTCCTTGAACGTTATCGCCTACCGACTGAGCGCCGCCAATCGCCTTGAAGCCAATGTCGAGAGCATTCACAGTATCGCCATGGGGCCTCTCAACTTCACCTGATATCCCGTAATTGCCCTGCTTGCACACACTCGCGACCCCAAGACGACCCATGGTGTTGTTTCCTGCATGCCGCAAAACAAACTGGCAACGTGGCTCGTCAATCGGAACATGAAGCAGACCCTGAAGGGCATAGGTTGCCTGGTGTCTGAGATATGGATCCGAGCTCTTTGACAGTCCTTCCAAGAGTGCCAGCAGGTATGCCTGGTCCACGACGCGCCCCAGATCCTGAACCTTGCACTCAACCATGCCATCGAGAAGAGTCGATAATGCGAGGGTCAAGCAATAGATGTGCTTGGTGGGATGTTGATGGATATCATGAAGACGAGTCCGAATTGCAGTCAGGATCCTGAGAAGGTCGTTGGAAAGGATGTAACCTGGCTCGGCACATTGAACAAGTTGGATCGAACCCTGAAGTAGATCGACGTCCAGCAATGTCGCGTTCTCGAATCTGGCAACCAGGCTGTTAAGCAACTTGCGATAGTGCTCCAGACTGAGAAAAGAGCCAAGGATTACGACCTCAGCTATTGTTGTTGAGCTCGTGACATTGCTCGCCAAAAACTCCTCAACGACCTTGGTAGTCAGCGAACGGACCCGACTCTGCTCGTCCTCTTCAGGAAGAATAGCAGTACCTTGTTGAGAAGGACCCAGATGTTCGTAGACGCTTCCGGCAGTCGATGCAGGGGACAAACTCTTGCGGAGCAAACTGTTGAAGTACGCAAGTTGAGATGTGGACTCAAACCGACCGCCTGGGGGCGGTAGGGTTGTCGAAAGCGAAGGGGCGGCAATGTTTTGAGGAAAAATGGATAATCGAGACTGCTCAGGTGCCACAAGCACTGGGAAGATGTTGTTGGGATCGATGCGGCTCTGGGTGAAGGTGACTTGATATTCCTGGGGAGAGGATATGGAGATCCGTTCTTGCTTCACAACTGTAGACATCGCACGTTCTTGGTTGTAGATGGCTGATGGTTGCACCTTCTTTGTAGGCTGCTCGAATTGACTGAAAGGCGATTCATTGATACGCTTTGATCCCAACCGAATAGCTGACGGGATTGTCGGGTAAGAGTTGTCAGATGTCCCCTCGAGCTTTGAGCTTGTCATGGTGTTGCAAATCCTATCGGATTGCATAGCAAAGAAAAAAAAAGTAAGTTGCTGGCGCGCAGTACTAGCCATAGTATCATTTGAGTAACAGCGCTGTGAGTTGAAATATACTCGTGGTGCTGATTGCTTAAAAGGAGTGCAGGAACGCACAGTCAGAGACAGCTGGGTGTGAGGGCTTGCTGCTAGGCTTGGCGTAGGTGGTGAGAGTTGCGATCCTTTCGACAAAAGTCAGACACCTATGATACGGAAAAGCGGTTAGAGGGTTGCCAGTGAGAGTGACTCAGTATTTTCGGAGCAGTCAGCTTGTATGGGTCGTACGAGTGCAGACCTGTTAGTACAGTAGGTGTGACCAAACAGACGAGGAATGGAAGGAATGCAAGAGTGATGGAACGATGGTAGCTTGTCGAATGAGGGGTTGGGGATCAAGAACGATGATGAGAGAGCAAAGGAATGGCAGTGGGAGTGTTGCTGTGACGAGAGAAAGAAAAAAGCCCTCTCCAAACATTTCTTTTCTTTTGGATTTTGGACTTTGATCGAGTAGGTTCTCCTTCGCCAAATGTCAAAACATATCCACACCATGCCACAAGCTTACTTAAGACAGGAAACAATCTATTGGACAATTGGAAAAGAGCAATTAAGGTACACCCTGTCTCTCCTATCAGTCACAACGTGGTCAGCTTTGGGAGGTATGTGATAGATTAATGGTGTTTATTACAGGACAGGGGCTCAAAGGACATGGCCAAACGGAAAGAATTCAAGACGATTGACAACCTATTACATCCTAGCCAGTGACAAGGCTTGGTTGTGACCAATGGTGGTAGTCTTCTTAAGGAGTCTCTCGACATCAGCGGATATCACGGTAGAGGTCATGTTGGCATCCGAGGCATTGATTTGGAGCGAGGAGCGGGGGGTCTGAGTAGGGGTGCTGACAGCCGAGGCGATCTTGTTCTTGGAGATCTTGAAAAGCGACATGGTAGTGGTTTTGGGACAGGTGTTGAGGAGTTGGGTTGAGAGTGCTAGTGTATGTTGTGATGAGAGAGTTGGTTGTAGTATTGCTTGTCGGGCTTGGCTTGGCTGGCTTGGCTGGCTTGGCTGGCTTGGCTTGCTCTGCTTGACTTGAGTGCGTTTGATGGAGAACAAAGAAAATGGGGGATCGTTAGTAGCTTTTATATCAATTCGCGTCCCTTTGTCTGTACGTCAATCGACCACTGCTGCATACACCTCCTACAAAGACGAGCAGCATGTTCATTTGATGCCGTTTGCTGAACAATTGACAATTGTACGCGCCGCACTCAAAAATTAAGGATTTGATTATTCATCAATGACACCCTCGGATGACACCCTCGATGATACTTTGTTTTCTAAACGAAATAAGAAACGAATGAGGACGCCGTGTGCTGGGTAAGGCTAGCTCTACCATCCTGCAGCATGGCGCAGTTGCTCAGCACCTCTGCCGTCTTAGGTCTGAGGGAGTGCTTCAGTACTATGGGCGTGAGTCATGGGTGGTACCATAGTTCCTTTATTATTGTCTCTGTCTGCGCACTATGAGCTTATTTGCCGCTGGATCACCAAAGGATGAAAATTGTTGGCAATCATGAACAATAGCGAGAATTGACAAACTCTTCCGCCGTTGACTATCTCGCTGCTTGTCCTGTCACTCGCCCTTCTTATCACCTATATTACCACAACACAAAGCAACAACACTTAGTCTTTTGGTAGCAATGGGTCGACAGACGTCTACGATCCCAAGTACATCTCTCCGACGATAAAAAAGGGCAGCAGCGAGATGATTGTTCCTGGTTCGAAATAAAAATTGTCTGTCCCCCGACTGTGTTGTTGATCTTTTACTCCCTCTTCATTTCAGCTGTACTCTCTCTTATTCATTATTTCTGTGGACATTCGAAAAGACAATTCGGATCATGAGCAGGATACAGGATATGTTTGTTTGTCTGTAATGACAGAAATAGTTTATTATGATGATGAAGAATGCCGAGTGTTGTACAGTGAATGAATGAATATGCTGGAGGTTGGAGGGGTATGCGAGGCTACTCGCATCCGAATCAAATAAAAGAACATTGTCCTCCAAACAGCAACAACGACGATGTGTAATAGCGAGTGTGTCTTGATGAGAGGGAGGGAGCAGGACTTGAAAGAGATCCGGACGAGACGAGAGGAAGCCGATCGAGTCGGAATAGAGGCAGAGAGTGTATAGCAGAGGGTGCTTTTTACATTCTAGACATGGAAAGAGCCTGCATGTGTCCCATGTTGGCCTTGACGAAGTGGGCCTCGAGGGCCTCGGGGGTCATGGCAGTGTTCTTGTTGACGGCGGCAAGGTCGGCGCCGGTGAGGTGGATCGAGGTACGAGGGGTCTGCGAGGGGGTGTTGGCAGCCGAGGTGGTCTTGTTCTTCTTGGAGGAGGAGAAGGTTCCGTTAAGCTTGAAGAAGGTCATTGTGGATGTGTTGTGTTGTGTTGTGGGGTGGAAGTGGGAGTGGTTGTTTGATTTGGTTTGGTTTGTTTGGTTGTTTGTGATGATGAAGTAGAGAAAAGAAGAAAAGAGGGGAATGCTTCAAGAGTATTTATATGAAGTGGCTCCCCGCAGACAATTTTCATTACAAAGGCACGACCCACCCTCTCTTTCTCCAATTGCCTCAAAGCAACCCAACAAAAGTGGTCTCTCGCCGTGTAAACCCATAAACAGCAACCCTTTGCTCCCTCTTATGGTTATTCTTTGTTCATTCATTCCGCATATTAATCCGTCTCTCTTTGTTTACACAATACACTTTCACTCATTCCAGGCCCCGCACGGTTCAAGTTCAGGTTCGAGCGCAGCCTGAAAAAGTCAATCATGTCTGGTTTATTTTTACTCATCTCACAGAGTTGTCCCCCGTCGTCGTCGTCAAACACAACATGCCACCCTGTTCCTGTTCCTCACAGGATGGAGTGAAGTAAAGAGTTTCAAAATGAATGGACGGCCAAGAGGCAGAGAGGCAAGCCGTGGGAGAGTAAATGGACAGGAGGGGTCGTGGGAGAGTAAAGTACTGCGATTGAATGGACAACCTGATCGGATCGTTTGTTTATGGGACGACTGACCCCTGTCCCCTCTGTTTGTTTGTTTGTTTGTCAGGAGTTGCGGACAGACCACCAACAACCTTCACTCTCACTCTCTGTCGTTAGAGATTGGAACGTTTGTTATTTTAGGATTAACAGCAACACCTACTGCAACCTTGCGCCTACTCCTTCTTGACATAAGGATAAGCGACAAATACAGTCTTGCCGTCAAGGCACGGAGGAACACTACTCTTTCCCCTCTTATGTCTGCCGTCTGGGTTCACTGTCCGCCGTTCTGTGTTTGTTCGTTTCTACTCGCGCTCTGTTACGCTCTGTTACACTCTGTTAAACCGCCATCCTTCCAATGCCTTCTCTCAAGAACCTTCCAGGCGCCTCCACCCGATTCGCAGCTTTCCCTTGACTATGAACTGCGGTCACCCCATACTTTCTCAGTCACATCCTCAGCCTATTTGTGCTTGACACGTCTACGCTCGTTCAATCCAAAAATATCGACCGTTGAGGCATTTGTTCACAACAATAAGCACCCACCGCAGTTCTCATGATATTCTTCAAGTATGCCCTTACAAAAAGGGTAATTAGCCAATAGTTCCCAGGTCGTTCCACTGCTCCAACCGTTCAACGGCAGCTACTCCCCAGCTAAAACAGCTAAACAGGCAAAAGAAGGGTACTGAAGAAATGAAGTGATCAGACCCTCTTTTAGGAACCATTCTCATTTTTATTCTACAAGGCAGCGCTGTCACTAGAATCTTCCAACCCAGCCCTTGAACGTTGCCCTCTTGCGGCGAGGGATTCGCTCGAGAGAAGAAAAGAGTTTATTTATCTGAGTGAATAAATAGAGTATACCGTTCTATCGCCATGAATGATGATTGAAGTGGGTTGAACGACCCCTGGAGTTATTTTTCAATCGGAGATTTTTCTTTTGGCTGCCGCTTGAAAAATGGAAAGATTTTTTCAGTCTGGCAAGTTCTACAAAAGTCTAGTCTGAGGTGGTGCAAGGTGGTGTAAGTAAAGGCAAACAAGGCTGGGGTCAGGAACAAGGAAGGACTCTTTTGGTTAGAGGAAGGAGGGGTAATAATGAGCATGAAGGTAGTGGTTGTGGAGTGTGAATAATTGGCTCATGGAGTGGGATGTACTGAACAGAAAGGGACTGGGGCAACTGCGGGAAGTCAGCTTGCTTACGCTGTGTACGTGTATGCTGATGAGAACTACTTTTTCGTGGTTTGTTTGCCACCAATTACCTGAGCTGTGCCCAGATGAGCAAAGATAGCATCATCAATGGTTCATCGTGGGACAAAACGAGATCGATTGACTGGTCGACATTCAACAGTGGCAACACCTTTTTATTTCCCTTGGCCATCTCTCCTTTTCATTGTCATTCTTGTTCCCAGTCAGCTCCTCCTTGCCTTCTTTCTTTCCCCTCTAATCATCTCATCTTGCTTGCTTGCTGAGTTCATCGACAATCTACAATCAAATGGACTTGCTCAGAACCAACAATGTGAGCATCACAACCTCAGTCTCTTTTTTCAATATCAAGAATGGTTTGAATTGACACGCTTGCTCTAACAACCAGCCTTTTCTTGAGCGGCTTCAATGTCAACCACGTATATGGCGAACCCATACCCTCGCACTCTCAAGTCTCGACACTTCCTAAAAGGAGCCTTCCTTTGACTACCTACCTCCAGATAGCCGAGTGGAGTTTCCAGAAATATCCCCAAGGGCTCAAGCTTTTCCTGTTTCTAATTTGCATGGTCAAGCAGACTCCTCGCCACAAGGCATCCTTTTGAGATCAGAGTCGTGTCGGAGACTGACCAGCCTCTTATTGCACTACCCCAATTTCATTCTCATCTCTCATCCTTCCCATTCCTCCTACCCTTACCCATGTCTCTTGCACGTTTTCAATTATCGCGCGTGTTGGCTCTTACGCATTCTCTCTCTCTTTTTGATGCCCACTCAGTGCTGCTTGTTTCGCTTACAGCTATTTGTTGCAAATATTCAAGTGGAGCTTGAGGTGAAAAAGATATATATGCATTGCACATTGTTATCACCATTGAACTTGTCCTTTTCATGCCCAAATACAGCGCGTCCGTGTGCGGACTGAGAATCCAGTGTCAGTCAATCAAGCCAAGCCAAGTTTCTCAGCACTGGTGCTGGGATAGTGTGGTGGAGGTTGGTTGGTGGGGTTGCTAAACTCAACTGCGGTTATCCTCACCAAGTCCGTCCTACTCTTTGGGGTATGGCACTATATTTGGGTAGGCAGACACGGATACCCTCTTCGTCCCTCGTTCTGGGACCCGACATACCCGGCAACCGTATAAATATCACACCCCATCCACCACATCATCCACAACTCACTTTTCAAACAGCAACTAGAACCGACTTCTCCTTCTACCTCCTCCTCACATAACAACACACAAAATGAACATCTTCAAAAAGTCCAACAAGAACAAGACCGCCTCGGCTGCCAACACCCCTGGCCAGACCCCCATCCAGACCCCTCGCGTCTCGTTGGAAGAATCCCGCCCTGTCGACATGGCCTCCAAGCAGCAGATGAAGCAGGCCCAGGACGCTGAAATGCTCCACAATCTCATGACCAAGGCCATGTCTGGCGGTCGCTTTGGCCCCTATATCCTCTAAAGGACTCCTGTCCTTGTCTGTCTCCCCTCTGTCTCCCCTTTGTCCGCTGATCAAGTTCATCCCAAACTCATGGTCCAAGTCCCTTCCACTCATTACACATATACCAAGCAAGCCAAGAAGCAATCGTTCCTTGCTGCTCCTCCTACCTCTTGTACCATACTCTCTCCTCGTCTTCAGCACCAAACATCATATCATCGAATAATAAACTCAATAGTCGCCTCATACAAGCGCGCTCCACATTCGTTCTACTCTATGCAACAGTAAAGTGTACGTGCAGTACATACACTGGTACTCATATCGGACAGACCACCAAACACAAACAAAGACGCGCGATTTAAATATCGATATGGCCATTAGAGTACTGGATCATTGCCATGCACCCCTTTCTCCTCGAGATCGAGCGCGAAACCAAGTTGGACCTGATCCTTTCTTTCTCTCTCTCTCTCTTTTTCTCCCTCGTTCCATTTTGACGTTCTGTCCTTCTTTTCAGCATAATCCCCCGCCCCGCCCGCAGTGAGAATAAACAAAGGAAAGAGAAAGGAGGAAAGGAAGAGTTCTTTTTAGACATCCTCCCCATTTCTCTTCTCTCGGGCGGAGTAAAGGCTTATTTTTTGGCACTGTTCATGGTCGAATATGGAAACGATGCCTTGTTGACCTTTCAGACAAGAGAACTGAAGGGAAAGAGAGTTCAATTGTGTCCCATTCATTCATTCATCCCCTCATAACATCATACAGTAACACGTACTCACTCACTTTACCCGCCTTTTTCTTTCAGCCAAGTCTATTATTATTTTGCTTACCCTTTGTGGCAAACAAACGCGGATATGCCTCGATCTGTCCATTCTCCTTCCAGTGCCCTGACCAACTGAAGCAGACCTTCATTTAGACATCATCAACAACTGCGGTCAGGCCCTGGCCAGCCTCTGTTCACCTTGACCTCCACCTGTATAAATAAACGGTGCCTCGCCCACATTCCTCACTCACAAACCACAACATCATCCAGCTCAACAGCAACAGCAACAAACCAACAAAACCACAACCACCAAACAACACAAACATACCAAAGATGCCTTCCTTCTTCAAGTCCTCGTCCTCCAAGAACCAGACCGCCTCGGCCGCCAACACCCCTGCCACCAGCCCCGCCCAGACCCCCCGCAACTCGATCCACGAGCATCGCATCCACCAGGGCGTCAAGATGACCCACGACGAGGCCCTACTTTTCGTCCTCAACAAAACCATGTCCAACGCCGCCACCGGTCCCTACATCCGCTAAGCGCAGGCCTCTTCAAATCTCCCCTCCCTACTCGTCGAGCGACTTGTTCATACCACCCCATACCAACACCACACCATTGCATTTTAACGGCTTGCGCCTTATACCTCTCTCCAGCATAACTTCATCCAGCATCTGTACCATACCATTACCCATCCACACCACAAATAAACTATTAGTCAACAAAAAACAACACGCATACGCGTGTCTTTACAATGAAGAGCCAAATGTCGATCTAGACGCTGCGAGATAGTTGAGCGAACGACAAGGACAAATACGGTTGTTTCTGTGTACCTGGGGATGAAGGGCCCACAGAATGCTTGTCTTGACTAAGAAGAAGAAAAAAGAAGAAAAAAGAAGAAAAAAAAAGAGAGAGAGAGAAACAAGAGAGAGAGAGAGAGGATACCCTTTGGAGTGAGAAGTGGTTGCATTCCTTCTTGGCAATCCTATGCACAAATTATTATGAATTATTGCAACGGTTCCTCCCTTTCTTTGAAGGAAGAGAAGGAAAGGAAGGAACTCTATTCCAGATCTTGGAATACACCCTTGTCCACTCCTTTTGTCCATAGACATACATAGGCACCCTCCCTCCCTGCGCACATAGATCGACAACAGGAAGGGCCAGCAATATAACAAGCGCATGTCCCAACTCTGTGGTTGCTTTATGCATTGACCAAGTTGTATGTGGTTTGATGATCTTCTGTCTTTTATGTGGCTTTGTTTATCCCCCTCGCACTCATTCGAGATCGTCCTGTTTTTAGGTCAACAGGCTGTATGGAGAAACAGTTGACCGACCCAGCTCGCATGACCCTTGCTCCTTGCTGTTACTCGTCGTTCGCCAGGTAGTCGTTTCGTTCGTCAGATACCAAAGCCAATGCCGCTACATAAAGGGAAGAGTAATGGAAACAGAAAAGGCGCCGAAGAGTCTCAGTCCGACACCTTGATCATTCGCGAGAACAACGTGAATATGATGAGAGGTCGTTCTTGCATGGGACAAACCGGCATTGCTCTGGAATCACGACTGGTCTATGTCCCTCTCATTCTCTATGCAACAGGGATCCGTGCTTTGGTCGGTGCTTCAATGCATGGCCGCACTCAGCAACACAAAACCAAAGCCGATTACACATTGCATTGAACCATTGGCAACAAACAGAGTCGATTAAAGTATGGTCAACCCTTCCTCTGCCTCTCCTGTCAGTCAGCTCTTCCCTCCCCTCAATTGACCATCCCTTTCTTCTCTCTGAGGGTCCCCTTTTTGTTGTTATTCTGTATCCTTTGGATGACAATTGGAGCTCTTGAGGAACATACATCGGGTCTGTTTGGTTTTAGAGAAACAGAACAGAGAAAAGACGTGAGTGAGATTCGAGATGCCCATCTCTTATCATTATTTGTTCATTCCATGACTGACCTTTTTCCTGATAGCAAACATTTGTCCGTTCCCTTAGGGATCGTTATGACGATGTGCAACCTCTCAACTCTGGGGAAAAAACGGATATGGAGAGAGACGAGAGGAGGGAACAAACAAGAAGGGAAGGGAAGAGAAGGGAGGAAGGGAAAGGGGAAGAAAAGAAGGGAGGACAGACCGTACTATGATCGCAGGTCACCTTCCCTCACATTTCCTATTCACACTCTCGCGCAATGTCCATTTCTATGTGGCCATGAGCATTACTCCACATACCCTTCACCTTTGTTAATATGTTAGGCAACCTAACAGCTTTTCTTCTTCTTTCGTTCTCTTCTCTTTCTCCTTCTTTCTACTTTCGTCCTTACTTCTTGCCGTTCTCTTTCCTTCTCCTGTTCCTCTCCTTCTTTTGTTCATCCTCTTTTTGCTTTCCTTGAAGAGTGCTCTCCTCATCTCACCACCTGCCCTCCTCACCTCCACTATCCCTTCTCCACTCCTATCTCTCTAGTGTCTCTCTCCTGTCCTCAACTCGATCTTTCAACTACTTACAAGCATTCCTCTGAACACAAGGATCCTCTACACTCCTCATTTTATGAACCTGCACTGAACGCACCTTCACGATCCCCTATTTTCTTCACCCCCGCTCAACCGGTAAACATGCCTCCTTCTCCTTCGACTCCTTTTACAAGAACCTCCTTAACTTCACGGAGGTTGTGTCCGTTCTTATTCTAACGCACATTCCTTCCCTTTTGTCTATCGTTCTCCTGCATCATAGTCGACTGTAACTAGGCCTCCTCGCGAACACATCATCAATACGATCTCTGTGAGCAAACAGTAGTCAACACAACAACAAACTTCAACAACAAGGACGCAACAAAACAGCACCTCGTTCTATGATGCTCTCTTCGCACCACGGCAAGTCTGTTCCTTCTCCTTCTCCCTCTACCGTCTCCATCGACAACTCTCGACCATACTTCAACAACGGCGTCACCCACAATCGCAGAACAAGCAACAACAATGACAGCTTTGGAACCAAATTTCTCAAGGACGAGTTGTCGTCGATCGAGCCCACGGACGCCATGGACATTCACCAATTGATGCTCCAAAAGTCCAACTTGAAGAACAGCAGCAATGCCTGTCAACAGACACCCAGGAAGCAGTTTGTCAATACTGGAAACAAGGCCGTCACTCAACAGCAACAGATTGACAACTCACTAGCAGGGCTAGAAAACGCCACGTCTTCTAATTCTTCCCCAAAACGACTCCAGTGCACCGACCTCTTTATCGCAACAGAACTGCTCCACCAACACCAACAGCACGGCGGTTCGTCCCTCGTTCGTCCAGCGCCAATGCAACAGCAACAACGACAACAACATCCTCATAGCGTCCGATCTGCCGTCCCTGACAACGACTTTCTTTGGAACACGCCTCCAGCAAACTGCAAGATGCCCAACCCAAACCTCTCAAGGAGGGCCTCATTGACTGCCGTCATGATGTCCCCTCCATCTGGTGTGGGGCTGGTCAAGTCTACCGCCAACCATGGAATCTTTTCGTCTAGAGACTTCGTCATGAGTGAGAGCGTCAAGGAGCCCGATATGTCCAAGCAGAAGGCTGTCCAAAAGAGAATCAACAATCTCAGCGGCCCAAGCAGGAGGCATTCTGTGCCCAATCTCTCAGCCGCTCGTCAAGCCAACTCCAACAGCAACACCAATAACAACGCCAACAGTGCAACGAACGCGCCTTTTCCGCGGATGACGACAGGCGCATTCGGCATGCCTGGAGCAGCAATGGACGGATCGTACGTCCCGACACCAACCGACTCTGCATTCCATGGCTCTATCAGTGGCGACCATCACAATCAGTTCCCCGACTTTTCTACCTCGACCACCCACGCCATAACCCCACATCTCCCGCCCACACCCGCCGAGGCCTATTTCGCCTCTGGTGTCCATCCATTCGACCTTCTTCCTGGAAGTGCAGGAGCTGCTGACGCCTGGTTAAACAATGGCGCCGCAGGAATGCCGCCAGTCCCTCCACCCATGTCAACTGCAACAAAGTCCGCCACCATTCAGTATCTTCAGCAGCTCCAGCAATCCATGATCTGCCCTGACAGCCAAAGTTTCCCTAATCTTGCTCAACAGCAACCACAATCAAAGCAGCAGAGGACTCCACAAACAGGACCACAGTCGCGACGCGGGTCAAAGGCCAAAGTCAAGCGTAGAGTCGGCAGCGTCCCAGCCCCCGCCCCACCAATGCTCCAATCCTACATGCCAACAGACATGAACTGGTCTCTGCCTCCATCAGATCAACAGCTCCTCGCTAATAGTGTCTGCCAACAACAGCAGTTCAACAACTCCGACGTCTCAGCTTCTCTTCCACCAACACCAACGCCTTCAACCACCCCACGCACGTTTTACCATGGCCCTGCTCCTTGCGGCAACCCAGAGCCTCTGTACGAATATCTGGCATCCCCTACAGTTGTGCCCGGTCTAGAGATCATTGGACACGACTTTTACGGCAACTATGTCCAGATCCTTCCTATTTGCCCCGACACGACCTGCAGCATGAACCAGGATCCCGTTTACCTCAATCTCCTGCAGGCTATCTACGCCCATACTATCCCGTTCTTGGATCTTGCACCTGGATCAGAGGAGGAGACCCAGCTTCTGAACAATGGCACGCCTTCGGCGATCGCCACCCAGTCGATTCAACCTCCCTTCAAGAACTTGTTGCCACTCAACGGCACTGCTGGTCAGAACAGTGATATCTACAGCGCTCAACTAATTTCGTCTGGGTCGCACACCACGCTGGGCCAGCATTCGACGTTGACGCCTTCGGTGTCTTCGCCTTCATTCCAACAGTTGTCAGCCAATAGAAACAACACCAACAACTCTGAGTCTAGCAAGCTTCTTCGCCGGGCTTCGATGGCTTCTATCAGCTCCAGCAACGGCAACGCTGCCTCCAACAGCCGCCGCTCCAGCGTCGTGTCGAACCTCAGTCTGAGCAACCCAGCGAGGAAGAAGAAGAACGCGCCGAGGACGCACCCTTACAAATCGACCAGCTCGTTCAAAGAGGACAACCCCATGGTCACAGAGGCCATTCTAACGCAGGTCGGAGGACTCGGTGGAATCGGCAATAGCGCAACTGTCAGCGCAACGGATCCTCGTCATAAAGTCGCCGAGAAGATGGTTCACATGGACGAGGCCGAATATGCTGCACATTACTCCAAGCACCAGCAGGTCATGAACAAGTCTGCATCGACAACGGCGCTCTGTCTTGCTCAGACCTTGGTGACCTCTATGAGCGGTAGTTCCTTGGGACCCCTCAATCCTAGTTCGTTGATGTCGTCCTCCGTCACAGCACCGTCGATCGCCAATGCGATGACGAGCAGCAGCATCGGGAATGGATCTATCTCCAACAACGCGTCTTCGTCCTCGCCTTTGGATTCGATCGTGGCTGCCGACTTTATCAGAGCCCTCTCCGAATGCAGCGGTACCATGAACGACTTGGGCCTTCAAGGCGAAGGCATGCAGCCCGCTGCGGCCGAAATTAGTCTGTCCGAGCGCGACATCTTAAGCCTTGAGAACTTGATGATGATGGACAGCAATTCTGCAGCTGCCGTTCAAGCAGCTGCCGCGACCGCTTGGCCCAACTGGTTCGATCTCAGCCAGCTGGAAAAGGATGTCTGTGAAGCTGGGTTAGGTCACCAAGCGTCCGCCTTTTCGTCTGCGTCTTGCTCCATGGCCAACTTGCCCCTCTCGACCTCTTCGACCTTGACTTCTTTTGCGAACCACCACAACCGCAACAACAACTCTGCAAGGGATGCGTTAACAACCAACTTATTGCTCAGTTCAAGCACCGATCTTGCCATGATGGACGATCTGTTTGAGGACAACAGTAAACAGCAGCAGCAGTCTCAAGTCTTCAAGGGTTCGCTTGGCAGCAGTGACCAAGACACCGAGATGACTATGGTTTCCATGTCTCCAGCCACAAAACTGAACCACGTCAACAGCACCAGCCAAGTCCTTGTCTTTGACCAGGTCTCAACCTCTCCTCTCCAACAAGGCTCTTCCTCCCACCGAGGCATTAGTCCCTCGGGTGAATCAACTACATCCTTCTCCTCTCGCGCCAGCACCGACGCGACCGTCAACACCTCCGGCAACAACGACGACAGAGAGCCCAAGGCCCCAATCGCCAACGACCTGACACTCCCTTACACGTCATCGCTGTTAACAGTCCTCCCCTTCTCTGCCCATCACTCACATCCCATCTTCCCGACCCGAGGCAACCGCCGCTCAGGCTGGTACCGATCCAAGTCGGTGGCGTCTCAGGGCCTGAGCCAGATCACCGGAGTCGATTATACGACCACGTGCTGGTACGACGTCGAGCGGCTCCAGGACGTGGTCCGTGACTCGATCTCCTTCCAGGAATCGAGTGGATTGAAGTCCTTGGAGGACCTGACTGAACCCGGTCCTTCAAGTGCCACCAAGAACTAAACTAGTTACCTTACCACCTTTTTTTCTGTCCACGCCACAACATATTATTACTCAAAAGTACTACTAAACACTTGTTCATAATTCTTTCTTATAAACCATCGATGTATTAATTATTTACAGTTGTTTTTATTCTTTTTGAAGTGAGTGGGGCTTATGGTATCAGAAAGTTAAGGAATGAAAAGGATCCGCGAAATATAACGAGCACTTAAAGACGAGCCATGAACTCAGAGCTGGCACCCTTGGCACGGACAGACTCGACCTCCTCCTCAGAGACCTCACGAGCCTCGATGGCGGGGTTGTAGCCGACACGCTTGCGCGAGTCGACGTACTTGGGGGAAGAGCCCAATTCGTTGGCCTTCTTGTAGAGCGAGATGACGACGGCACCGCCGAGACCGACGTTGTGCTGAAGGGCATACTTGCAGTTGGGGACCTGGCGCTCACCGCACCAGCCGCGAAGCTGCCAGACCAACTCGGAGCACTGAGCCAAACCAGTGGCACCGAGGGGGTGACCCTTGGAGATCAAACCGCCCGAGGGGTTGACGACGTACTTGCCTCCGTAGGAGACATCGTTGGTGTCGATCAACTTGTGGGCCTCACCGGGCTTGCAGAGTCCGAGGGCATCGTAGGTGATCAACTCGTTGGCAGAGAAGCAGTCGTGCAACTCAACGACCTGGACATCTGTGGGTTTAATTCCAGCCTTGGAGAAGACTTCGGCAGCAGCGCGACGGGTCATGTCGGCACCAGCCAACTCGATCGAGGACTCGTTGAAGAGCTTAGGCGAGTCGGTGGCCATGGACTGGGCGACCATCTCGACGGCCTGATCCTGCAAGTTGTGCTCACGAACAAACTTCTCCGAGGCCAAGATGGCACAGGCAGAGCCATCCGAGGTGGGGCAGCACTGGAGCTTGGTGAGGGGGCCAAAGACTTTGTTGGACTTTTCAATCTGCTCCAAGGTGTAGATGTCACGGAACTGGGAGTAAGGGTTCAAGGCGGAGTGGCGATGGTTCTTCTCGGCAATCTTGGCCATGTGAGTGGGGGTGGCGCCGTACTTTTCGCAGTACTCGATACCGGCGTTACCAAAGATCTGGGCAGCAAAGGGGCCGGCGCTGATGCCACGGGTCTCGCTCATCATAGAGACGGTCTTGTCCAAGGGGTTGGTGCGGTCCTCGAACTTGGATCCGAGCGAACCAGCCTCCATTTTTTCGAAACCGAGGGCCATGGTGCAGTCGGCAACACCGTACTCGATGGCCTGGCGAGCCAAGTAGAGTGCAGTCGATCCAGTGGAACAGTTGTTGTTAACGTTGATGATGGGGATCTACAATGTTGTTTGAAGGTAACGTTAGTTTTTGTTGATTTTTCTCGGTTCGGGTATATGTTGGCACTTCGCAGTTGTTGCAAGGACGTCAAAGAAAGGCAGAATTCATTACCTGGTGCATTCCGAGCTGGTACAAGGTGCGCTGACCGCAAGTAGAATCGCCATAGCAGTATCCGACAGCAGCCTACGGGTTGGAAAGGGAAAAAAAGCATTAATGTGCTTTGAATTAGCCTTTTGATCGAAAAGGGGGGGAGGAAAGTGGGGCGGGAGAAACGGATGAATAAATATGCGAGCCGGGTAGGCACAAACGAGGAGGGTGTGGGAAAAAGAGGTTGTTCCATACTTGCTGGACCTTGTCGTAGGTGATACCGGCATCCAAGAGGGCTTTGGTAGCAGCCTCACGACCCATATCTATAATGTTTTCAAAACGAGAGTTGCTTGCTTGTCAGTTCACAGTGTTTACTTCTCTCAGGACATTGTAAAATCAATGACGGGTTGAGCGGAGATCGATCCATATGGAGAAAGAAGAAACGTACCGGGATAGTCTCTCAAGTCTCTGGGTTTGATGAACTTGGTCATGCCGACACCAATGATGTAAACTTTCTGGGTAGGGGCCATTTTTAATGATATATGTATGTGTTGGGTGTAAGATGGGGAGGGTGTGTGGAGAAGTGGATTCGGATGGAGAAAGAAGAAAAGAAGAAGCGAATGGGGTTCTTTTTATTTGAATAAGTTGTCGAGCCGCGTGTTAATGAATGCGCCTTGTCTCTTTGTCTCTTTACACGTGACGCATGTTGAGCCGAACAGACGAACATCAAGAAGGACTCGACTTGCAACAAATTCTCGTTGGTGTGCACAAACACATACAAACAAACACAAAGGAAAGTGGCACAGTTCTAGTTTAATCGATCAGCAAAGTGCGTAGAGCAACAAGAACAAAATATTCTCGTTCTTGACCGTATCAATCGGTCTCCGGCACCCCAAAGACAACGGCTCTGCCTTCATCGTATCGATGCCCAGGTCGTGTGCGTATAGATGTTGTTTTGTTGTTTATCGTTGTTCTTATGGTTGTATGTGCCTGACCACAACAACAATCCGATCAGCCGAAAACACTAACAATCTATCTACATACACCATTGATAAACCGTGCCGGATTGTTTTTCTCGTTTTGATGTTGTTGTAAGCAAAACGTACTGTGCACACAAACAACAACAACCTATTGCTTTATGGCAAGCGAGTTTTCATTTTCCGACGTCTTCTCTTCGGGTCAGATTTGACTTCCCCACACCCTAAAAAAAAGGTGACAATTCCATGGCAGAGTGTCGTTCATTCTTTAAAATGAATGAGATTCGAACACTTCTTTTCCCAATCTTTCCTTCATTCTTTTTCTTTTTTGCTGCTGACGACAATTTCCTCCTGCCTGGTCGCTCAAAGAAACAGGCCTTGTTCTCACCAAACGCGTCGCCCTTTCCCACGGCTCAACAAATATCAGTTATTTAGTGGCGTCATTTGACAACAGGACAGGAAGGATGCATATGAGACAAAGGACAGGATGTGTACAAGTTGTGCAGCAATGGTGCAGATATCGTTTTAATGTAGCACTCAAGTACGTGTTGGAGGAGCAAAGCAGACAACGGTCGTGATCTCATAAAAGTCCTCCTCGACATCGCCAGCAAGCTCAATAAAAGCCAGCATTTGATCGTGGAAATACTGAACAGCATTGGCGGGCATGCCGGGGTAACTGCAGAGGATTCCAAACGTCCAGAGCCACTTCTCGATACCTCCACGCAAGAACGACTTCCAGCAGGACTCGAAGGGGTACGCCTCGGGCTTGAATGCTCCCAGTTCGATCAGCCGATCCCAGTACTTCTTCAACGCAGTCTGGGCATGGGTTTTGAAGACTGCGACGGGTACATCGGAGATGATGGTCTGGCCCAGATCCGTGGTGGGCTCCCAGATGCAGACCTCGGACCAGTCGAACATGCAAATAGATGATGCTTCTGTGGCGGATGAGCGGTCCAGAATCATATTGGCGGCGTGAAAGTCTCCGTGAGTTAGCGTAAAGGGCATGGTCTTATCCTGTAACCGCTTCTGAAGACGCTCCCACGAGGCTCGCTTGAATGCATTGTCCATAACCTTGACAAACTTGTCAGAGTACTTGACATCAAACTTGCCGCTCGCAGACATGGCCTTGCCCTTCTTCCATGCGACGTCTCCGGCCTGGACGGCCCACTCCCAGCCGACACGGTTCGAGCCCTTGTACCACCCTGTCGACTTAAGCCAATCCAGCTTGAACAAACTCTGGTCGTTCCAGTGTTGAGCGTGCATATCTGCGGCGGTCAAAAACATCTGGTCGAGCATGTCAGCGGACGGTGGGAGACTAGCACGATCGATCGAATCGGGCACACCCCAGATCTGGTTTCCAAAGACAAAGTTGACATCGACGGGGGGTTTCCTGGAAGAGTTGTTAGCACCTTGAGCGAGTTCCTCTGTCCGACGCTTCTTGATATCCTCCATCACGACAACGTATTCGCCGAGCCAGATTGATCCATGCGTGTAATAAATCTTGGGCAAGAGAGTCGATGGCAGGAGGCTCTTGGCGACATCAGATCCGTAAAAGATGACCTCCCGAGAACTTCCCGAGATGATGTTGGCTAGACGACTTGACCGACTGTCGGTACTCCGCTTCATGATAAGGTGTACTTGATGGGTGTCGTTTTTGTCCTTGCTGCCGGGGAGGGTATAGGTGACCAAGATCCTTGTCATGACGCCAGCAAGTCCACGGTTGCCGTCGAGACCGAGGAAGTCAGCGCTGGTAACGGTTGCGCCGTGGGGGATGCTTCCTTTGGCCTGGAGGGTGGCTGTCAACCAGGGGATGGACATCTCGGTGTCGCCTGGGTAGGGGGCATGTCCTGATCCTGTGGTGCTTGAGTAGAGGGTTGCGAGGAAGAACTGACGGGCGTTTGCATAGGCCTGAGCTACAGCGGATTGCAGCGAGAGCAGGCGGAATGTAAGGGGAGAGTAAGGGGTTGTTGTTATGAGTGTTGTTGTCGTTGTTGTTGATGCCATGGCTGGGTATTAGTCGTGTTGAAGGAGAGGTTTGTTTTGGTTTTTTTATTTCCAAATACCTATTTATTTGACCAAAATCCGCAGTTAGAAAAATCTCGTAATCGGGCGAGTTGCAGTCACAGCCCCTTGATCGTCATTGATCAAGTTAAAAACAAACAAGAGCAATAGAAAAAAAAGGCGGCGTGTGCTTCATCTCCAATGCGTCCATTACCCGCAGCTGGAACTGGACGACGATCAATTGCAGCCGTATGCATCCACGTCAACAACTATCTCGACCTGCATCCAAACTATAACTGGATATGACCTATGCTCGCCTTTTCATAATAGGCGAGTGTACATAAGCTTACACTCATATCAGAGGGACGTGTCAATATTCATGAGGGGACTTCCTCTGATGGATGAAGGGTGGGGCAATGCGAATCGTGCGAGAGACAGGCGTTAGGTATGAAAGAAAACTAGAAAACACTAATAAAGAAAAAGATGGTGGAGGATGAACAGGCCTAAGAAGAGCACAATGAAATGAACGTGTGTTTTCATATTCCCAAGGCGTGGTTCACCCTGTTGTTATCATATAGACAGTCTTGTTTAAGTCACATACCAAATGGTTACTGTTTGCATAGTAAGTGTTCTCATGTCGCGTGCTACTATCGTGTTCTTGTCAATCAACAAAAGATACTAGCGCTGAGCCCCTCCCATCTAATGTCCGTCCGTTTGTTCGTTCTCATTCCAATGTCTTATCTTCTCGATCCATCTCAGGAACCAACACGTTTATCGTTCTCTTCGTTCTTGTCATGGCGATCTTTCCTTCTTTTCACACTCTCTTTGCCCCGCACATTCCAGACCGACTTCTTTTGCTTCTGCACTGTCATGGACCAGCAGCTGCCTCTTGTTAGCCCCAGGACGAAAAGGCCAGCGAAGAAGTGCCTCCTGGGTTCCTCCGTCTCCCCGGTTCTTTCCTAAGATGTTCGGGCTGTTATTGGTTGCGGTGAATGAACGGCTCGGAATGAAAAAATGACCAGCGAGCAAATCACGCCACGGCGGTGTTCATAAGTCCAAGAAGCAATCTCTTCGTAAACTGCCACGCCTCCCAGATGCGGTTCAGTGTCTTGCCCTGGGCTCAGCCTGCCTGACGACCAGAGATAGCGAGCCAGCCTGTCGTTCCTTATCTGAGGCCTTTTCACTTGCGGTACAGTCGATGACAAAAGAAAGCTTATTAACACCTCATTACAGTACAACGTTGTCATTTTTAGTCGTTTTGATATCCCGCACGGAGCACGGAATGTCCGACGATTGGGTTCTTTCTTGTCGTTGCACTGGCCACCTTATCAACAGCTGCCAGCCAGGATAAGGATTCCAGCTCGATTAGCATAAATACTCGACGTTTCCCAACCACTTTTGTTTTTTTTCTTTCTTCTTTTCTCATCTCAACCACCAAGTCTCAAGGCCTCCCTCTCTCTCTCTCTCTCTCTCTTCAAGAAACCAACCAAGCACTCACTCTCCTACTACTCTTTCACCACCACAACACAACACAAAACATCAATGTCGTCCATCAAGATCACCTCCAAGACCACGACCGCCACTACCAGCGCCTCCAACACCCCCTCAGGCTCCCGCCGCAACTCCCTCACTTTCGGCTCTCGCCCCACCTCCGTCGCCCACAAGACCCTCCAAGAGATCCGCGACGAAATGATGACCATCATGATGTCCAAGGGCATGTTCACTTCTCCCTCTCAGCCCTTCGTCTTGTAAGCGCTTGGCCCCCTCCCTTGCGCATACATACTCTTTGCCTAATTACTCCATTGGAGCATACAGCAAGACTTTTTTTTCCTTCTTAAAAGAAAATCGATTCGTCCCGAGCAGAACTAGGGAAGCTGCAAGCAACGACACACCACCCCCTTCCTCCTCCGTCCAACATTCCTCTCACCCCTCGCTCACTTCTCCAAATGGATGAGCTGAGGTAGTGACAAGGACAACCTCATCCCACCATCCCCCACCCCCTTTTTTTTTCGAAAGGGTGCTCGGTCGGGCCGACAACCCGACAACGACCTCCAAGTCCTTTTCCTCCTTCCCAGATTGCGCTTTTCGTCGAGATTTAGCCCTCTCTCTCTCTCTCTCCCCTTGTCAGATGTTGGCGAGATAACCCCTCACCCTCTTCTCCCTCTCTCTCTCCTTCTGTCGCTTTCATATGAAGGAGAACAAAATACCACCACCACCCCCTGTTAACACCTCCACGCATTAACGATAGGTTCTCATTCTCATTCCCCTCCTCCTCTCTCTCTCTCTCTCTTTTTCATGCAATTGCAAGAACGAAATAATGTAGAAGCCTTCAAATAAACTAAAAATCGATATGAAAAAAAAACCAAACTTTTTACTTTATGTATGATGTATGTATGGTGCATGTATGGTTGATACGCTAGTTCCGAACTGTTAGACTATGGTAGGGTATGTATGGTGTGCGGTGTTATATACAGAATTATGGGTGTTTACAAGGGTAAGTAGTGTCATACTTTTGACGGATGAATAATAAACAAGAGAAAAAAAAAAGAGCATGTACGACTAGATAAATTGAAAGATCGAAAAAAACAAAAAGAAAAAAGAAAAAAGTAACAAACACAAAATTTAGTGGGCGATCAAGGGCTGAAATTCGTATTGAGACTTGGGCACCAGCATGAACGCAATGTGTTCACAAGGGTCGGCAAGCTCTGCCGCGACCTCCTGTTCTTGAATCATCTTCAAGTGGTCCGCCGGCAGGATCTCTTGAGCTTCCACCGCCAGGGGTGAGAGATACTCCTGTGGCACTTGCTCGTCCTGCAATTCCTCCGAGAGAGCAGGGTGGTCAGAGGAAGAAGACGAAAGACCAGGAGTCGTGCTGCGAGACTTTGGTCTGGACGAGGGTCGACGACGCATATCGTTGCGATCCAACGACAAAATCGCAACAATCTGTTGACGCATCGACTCGTGCTCTTCCAGATTCAGAACCGACGTGGGGGCCGCTGACGAAATGACCACCGTCGAATCGATGTCGACAAGCGCACCAGTAACCACAGGGACCGCCGTCGTCTCCTTGTTCTCGCTATTGCTTCCAGTGTCAGCCTTGGTATCCGCACTGCTGCGGGCACTGTGGGCGGAGCTGCTGCTGGCCGTGGTGGGGCTGGGGGTGCTCGAGAAGTCCAAACCGCGGCCATTCGCAAACCTGAGAGAGTTGCGGTGGGGGCGATACGGCAAGTCGAGCACAGTCGTGATCGGGGCTGAGCTGCGATCGTCCTTCTTGGCCCCCATCATCGAAGCTGAGGAAGGTGCGCGTGTCGACTTGGATCGGAACAACGTCACGGTCCTGTGGACGGGGACACGCTCGGTCGTCAATGACCGCCGGGGGTGACCCTCCTGTGGGCGACCGCTTAACTTGGAGATCTCGGTCGATCCTCCGGTGGGTCCTGTGGGAAGCTGCTTAAAGTCATACAAGTGACCACGCTGCTTGTGTTGTTGCTGTGAAGGGCGAGAGCCCAGGCTGTGACGTCCAAGAGGATAGTCGGCCACCGCGTCGCCTGTAGAACCAGCATACGAGTTGGGACGGGAGGAACTGCGGGAGAACCGAGTCGAGCATCGACGTGCCAAGGATTTGAGGGAGGGGCCAAAGTGATCCTTGATCAGCTTCTTGGGAATGGGAGAAGGCGACGATGCACCACCCGTCGTGACCGAGGGAGACAAAGTAGCCTTGGGGGAGAACGAGAAGAATGTTGAGGATGATGCAGTTGCTGCGGATATGTTCGAGGTCGTGGTAATAGTGCGTCCGTAGGAATGGATTCCCAGACCTTGAGTCAAGATGTTGTCATCGACAGTATTGCTGCTGGTTGTGGAGTTATTGTTCGCAGCGGTGATGGTAGACATTGGACGAATGGAGCGGCTTGTGCGGTTGGTTGCGTCCTTTTTAGCACGACCGATTTTTTTGACGGCCGAAAGGGTGCTGGTCCGGCAGAGACCAAGAACTCGCGAAGTCTCCGCAGAAAGCATTGAGGGGCCAGCGAGCCGGTTGAGGGACCCAGTCCTGGCGACAGAAGACGAGGGATCCTGGCGGGGCTGCCAGAGCTGAGTCAACGGCTTGTTCTGGGTGCAGTGTCCTCGACATTGCTTGCGATCTGACTGGAGTCGCTCGATGAGATCCTCCTCCTCGGCCTGGAGACGCAGGTAGTAATTGTGGCGTTCCCAGGCAAGTTCTTCTGCGGACCGCTGAGGGGGTTCGTGGTAGGCCAGGGGCTCTTCTGCAAAGGGATGGATGGGGGCTTCTGAATACTGTTGTGGAGTTGTGGTGGCTGTGGTGGCGTGGAGGGGCTGATAATTTTGGCGATGCCAGTTGAGCTCGTGTTGCATTTGCTCTTCGTAGGAGATCGCCATTGTCGGTGTAACCGGTGAGGTCGTAGGGTTCATCAAGGAGAGACAACGACGGTGACCTTGAGGAAGGTTGTTGGTTCTTGAGGTTGATGCGGTGGAATGGTTGGCTTGAGGGAGAAGGTGTCGATAGGCGCTGTGAGATGAAGAGGCGATGGCGCTTGGATGGAGGAGGTACTGATCGTGTTGTTGTGAGACAGTGATGACATAGTGATCTTCCATCTGGTTCGTGTCGCGGTAATCGTCGCAGTCGACGGGGTCGATAGTCTGTTGGCTGAGCCATGCTGTGACATACTCGTTGCGGATCTGCTTGTTAGAGGTGGTAGGGGTGAGGGTAGTGGACGTGGACGTGGACGTGGATTGAGTGTGGACGACCATGGTGGTGGTTGTAGTTGTTGAGAGGGAGGAGGAAGCAAAGAGACGAGATGAAGAAGTGGGAAGGTTGGCTGAGGCGATTGCTTTTATACCCAATGATGTATTTTTAACTTTGTCGTCGATAGAATCAGGGACGCATGTGGCACTGTCCTCCCTGTAATGATAATGAGAAGGAGAAGGGGAAGGGCAATCCGTTGAACCCAATCGTTGTTGTTGTTTGTCTTGTTGATGCTGATAATGATGGCGTCGACGACGCTGACTGTGTTTGCGATTGTTGTCGTGCGACCCTTGGGTAACAATGCTTTTCTGTCGGAGATGCTGATATCTGCTTCTACTCTGCAGGAGGCTGAGGAGGATGATGGTGATCGATATCGAGAGCAATGTTGTAATTGCGGTCGAGGGCTTGGATGAACGGCGGGCTCGGATCTTCTTGGACGATCTCTTTTTGACAGATGAGGGAGTCGAGGAGGATGCAGTGGAGGAGAGAATCAAGGAACGAGAATGAGGGGAAATGGACGATGGAGGTGGTGGTGGTGGTGGTGTTGTTGTTGTTGTTGTTGTTGTTGTGTGCTCGAGTAAGGCTAGTGAGGATGTTACTGTCAATGCGTCTTCTTCACACTTTGGAAATGGTGACAGCACGGTCGAGCTAAGGATAGTTGGTGCGGTTGAGGCAGAAGAGGATTGAGATTGGTGCGAGGAAGAGGTCGAGGAGGAAGAGGAGAAGGAGGTAGAAGATGACGAGGCAGTCGAGACGTTCCTGATCAATGCATTTAACTATCTTGTGCGAATGTGGGAGAGAGAGAGAGAGAGAGAGAGAGAGAGAGAGAGAGAGAGAGAGAGAGAGAGAGAGAGAGAGAGAGAGAGAGAGAGAGAGAGAGAGAGAGAGAGTGACGACGGAAGAGGGTAAATCACAATGACGATTTGCCAGTGTAAAGAAGAGGGCGTGAGAGAAAGAGAGAGGGCACGTTTGAAGGTTAGGGAAAGAAAAGGCCACGGGGGAAATGAAGTGGGTAGGATAGGTGGTGTCGATCAAAGAGTGACGCGGGCAGACGTTGGGGAGAAAAAAAAAGCAAAGACAACAAAAGTGTGAAGGAGGTCAATGAGGACAAAGGACGGGGATGATAAGAAGAGACAGACATGCATGGTTAGTATTGAGATTTTTTTTTTTGCTGCGACAACTCGATCTGATGTGCTGATTACGAAAGGGAACCCTTGTGCTCTCTTCTTACTCGCTCTGTTTCTTTCTTTCTCTTTTCCGGACTAAGTTTCCTGTCATAGCGGGAAAAAATATAGAGTGATCTGCAATGCAAAAACACGAGAGAAAGAGGGAAAAGGAACGGAGAAAAGGAAAAACGACAAAAAAAAAAAAAAGAGCGCTTTGGTTACCTTGGTCGCAGCAGCGGTCTTTGCATGACGGTGCACTTGGGACTGTTCTTGCGCTTGTAGGACCATGGACAGGGCCGCTTCTCTGGGGTGTTTTGATTGAGCCAACCTCGACGAATCGAACAGCGCAAGCGTGAAGAAGAGGCTGTATCGCGCCACGATTGGGCAGAGGACGTTGGACATGCTTATGATTGTGAGAGGGGTGGAATGAGGTGATCTTCTCTTTCTCTCTCTCTTTCTCTCTCACACACTCTCCGAGGAGCAGCAGGAAGAAAAAACAAGGGAGTAAAGATGAAGAACGGGACGAATTCGCGGCTGTGTACAATCAGTGCTTTACTTAAGCAAAAGGGAGAGAGGTGGGGCTGCGTGTGCGTGTGGGGAAAATGCTGGTGGTGGTAGGCGGGCAAAGGGCGAGAGGGTGATCGAGATAGTGTGGAAAAAAGCAAATGTTTAGACCCACACCGAGTCGACTAGCGGTATGGACGTTGACACAGGGGAAGATGGCGAGTGAGTGTTGTGGTGAATGTCCTGTAGAAAGTGGGTGAGTGATCGAGTGGGTTGAACAGGAGTGTAAAGCAGTGGGTAAGTGAGTGAATGTGATGATAATGAGTAATGATATGACAAAGGGGAGAGAAAGAGAATTAGGGTGCGTGTTTGGTGAGAAAAAGGTTTAAGGAGAGAGAGAGAGGATGATGATGGAGGAGGGGTCGAATGTAACGTTCAAAATGTTGGACACAAAAGAAAGGAATGATAATGATATCGTATTTTACAAGTGAGAGAAGAAAGAAGGCGCAATGAACCAGGGCGAGATAAAGGGAGGACGGGAGACAAGAGAAAGAAAAAGTACAAAAACAGGGGGTGATGGAGGGCTGGATTGGCCTCTTTATATACCTCGTCGTCAAGAGGTAAGCACGCAGGAAAAGAGAAGCGGGGATAGACCAAGCTGCAAGCAGGTTGGGTCTGAATGGATAAGAAAGCAAAACAAAACAAGAGAAAAAAAAAGAAAAAAAAAGAATATGGCATGCACGGAAATTAAAACACAGAAACAAAAAGAAACAAAAAAAGAGGACAGAAGAAAAAGAAGGAAAGGAAGGGAAGAACGAAGATGTCATGGCATGGCTATGGAAGTAGGAAGGACGAGGGTTGACAAATTTATTTCTTCTGATTGCCTATGCTACTGCTTCGTTTCGTTTGTTGTAGAAAAGAGAAGACAAATACGAATGTCGGCAATCGAGCCTTGCTAACAGGGATAAAATGCAAGATTCGCTTGCATCTTGCAGAATGAAAAAAAAAAAGGTGAAGGGGGCTGTGAGATGCGACATGAGGAAGGGAGAAGGGCGGCCTGGAATCTGCTTTGAAAAGCAAGGTATCACGAAAGAGAAAAAAATATCTCATGCTGTAGGATGATGATGTGGTTCGAGTGGAAAGTGGGAAGTTTATACGATGGGAGTGGAGCGGGGAAGACGGGGGGGGGAAGAGAAATATCGCGTGAAAAAGAAAAAAAAACTTCAAGGAGCAGGAACCAGACAGACCAGACAAGACAATTCAATGTCATCTAGACAAGCCAGGTTAGCCAAACAACAGCATAAACAAGAAAAACAAAAACAAAAAAAAAACATATGCGAGCGACGACGTAGTTGGTATAACCATGCAGAAACGGGGTTTCGCCTCTCTCCTCGGTGAAGGATGGACGAACCCCAACCCAACGGATATTTTGACAGGTCGTGATTGGTCTTTTCTCAAATGCTGAATGCTGCAAGACTTTTGATAGGGCAATGTTTTACCAGGATGAGGATTAGAACCAAAAAAAAAAAAAAAAAAAAAAAAAGGCAATACAGGGAGGGCAAGGGATCAGGAGCAGGGACAGGAAGATCAGGAGCAAACGGTAAAAAATACAAGCGAATAAAAAATAAAATAAAAAAAGAGATATATAGATAAAGCAAGATTCGGTCCATGCGCAGGAATGGACTTGCTTCCTCGGCAGAAAGACAGACATACAGGCAGGGAGAGAAGCAAGGAGAAAACACCATTTTGATGAGCACCAAAGAACAAAAAAATGTTTTGAAGTGATCGAACCACGCCTTAACGCTAATCTGGAGCGTAATCAATAAGAGCAACATAAGCAAAGTACCCAAAAACACATAATCGTGGCGAACGCTTGGCAAGAGGACAAGAGGAGGCTGGGCCAGACCAAAGGAATATTCTTTTTCAGATTCACGTTGCCCTTTCAAGGCACGATCAAAAGAACCCTTTTGCTCGAGCGGAATAAAACAAAGTGTCCAACTCTCCCGACCCGTGCGACGGCGCAGCTGTGCAAGGGCAAGAGGAGAGGGCTTCTCCGAGGAGAAAAATCAACTTCGCATTCCCTGACAGCCACAGTCAAGGCACGGAGGCAAGGACTAAATGCTTCTTAGTACGTAGGGGGTGGCAAGAGAAAGGAGTAATGCGCCGATTCTTGTCCTATCAGATTCGCATTAACAAAGAAGATAGTCCCTTGCAGCGTTCACACAGTCCACTATTGTTTATTATCCTTTTCGAAATGCAAAAAAAGGAAAAAAAAAAAGAAAAAAATGAAAGAGAGCTGGCGTCGTCTTTTTGTATGGAATCCTAATGCATAGTGGCTTGAATAATCTCGTCTATTCGTCCGTCACTCCTCTAGACTTCAGTTGCACCACACCTTTGGCCTAATGTTGAATGCACGCTCCTTGTCGACAAACGATGGGAAGATGACAAGTGCGACCTTCCCCTCGGGGTTGCTCTTCAACGACGTGCCCATGTTCTCCTCGTCAAAAGCTGTGCCCAAAGCGACCGTCTCGGGACTGATGACTGACTCAAGAGCAGTCATGGCTACTGAAAGCTCGAACGCCTTGTTGCAAAGGTCCTTGAGCTTGGGCAGTTCGTTGGCGTTGGTGTAAACCTTGGTCACCAGCTCCGAAAGCTCGGTCGCAACCGCGTTGACCTCCTCCTCCTGACGGGTCTTGGTGGCGGGATCCTGTGTGATCATGACGCAGAGCTGTTGTCTCCAGCGCACGGCAAGCTTCTCGTTGCGGTCGTGCATCCAGTCGTAGATGTCCTTGAAGCCCTCGTTGAAGCTGAAGATGCAGCTTAGGGCCTTGCCAAAGAAGCGAGTCACGAGTGTCGACATAATTACTGATTCCATGTACAGGTTCAGATGGAATGCCTCCAGCTTGTCTGCGGGGATGGGGAAGCCCTCGAGGAGACCCGAGTTCTTGAAATGCTCAATCACAACCTCCCTGTTCAAGTTGACGGACCGACTGCCCTGGGCCTTTCGGACCAAATGTTCGATAGAGGCCTTGAGTTGAGTCAGGCGGTCGATGATGGTGGAGTGGTCGTCATCGGTTGCACGAATGAGCCTGACGTGCTCAAGGTAGTTCTTGGACATGACCTCGTAATCTCTCTCGCGCTTCTGAAGTTTCTGTTGGGTGTCGATGAGCTGTCTGTGAAGGTCCTGGGTATAGCCGATGGCGCGGCTATACTCGCCCTCGATGCGGTGCTTCTCGGTGACGATCTCGTCAAGACTTGCTTCCAGGATGTTGTTGCGCATCTGGAGTTCCTCAATTCTATCCCGAACCTGTCTTGCTTGCCTTGCCTCCTCCGACTGTGTTCCGTTTTCCTTGAGATCGTCGTCAGAGAAGGCTAATGTCATCCGATGCGCGTATACATGGTTACATGGTTCTTGGTCAGCTTATGTCTTTCTTCCGTATTGGTGGCAATGCATGGTGGCCTTTTCCTCCCTGCCACTCTTCAAGCGATTTTTCTTTACGTTCTCGTTTTCTTCTCGCATTTCTTGCTTTTTGTCTCTTTCCTCTCGCCATCAGAAGCACGCAATTATGGTGTCTTCTCAGTTCACCAGTGTCCTCAACCGTACTTGCTCTCCAGTCGTGAGGGTTTACCATCCTTTCTCCTCAGACTTGAGCTTGTACCATTACTTGTTCTTCAGTCCTGAGTTTTGGAGGCCGTGAGACCTCTTCTCTCTCTCTCTCTCTCTCTCTCTCTCTCTCTCTCTCTCTCTCTCTCTCTCTCTCTCTCTCTCTATCTATCTCTCACACACACTCTTTAATCGCCTTTTCCACCTTCTCATTTTCCCGCCTTTTCACTCTTTTCTTGCCTTTTCTCGTTTCTCTCGAAACAGGTGCATACAGTTATGGGTTAGTCTGCCGTGCGTCCTGTATTGTACTTTGCTCTCCTGTCATGAGTTATGGTGGCTATGCATCCAGTAACTTTTCCTTCTTTTCCGTTCTCTCTCTTTCTCTCTCTGCGCTCTCGTATTCTGTTGTCTCGTGTGGAATGCAGCATGACGAGTTCTAGATGGCACGAATACATACCTTGGTCTTGATCACTGTCCTCCTCGATGGACTCCTCGATGGACAAGCTCATTTCCTCAATGGGTGTTCCTGTGGCGAAAGTCATGTCGACATCGTCGGTAGAGTTGACGGCAGCGGCAATAGCAGCGGTAATACTAGGGACGGCAGAAGTTGCGACTGTAGTAGTAGCAGGAGTAATAGTGGTAGGGGAAGTAGGAATAGAAACAGCAGGAGTAGGGGCAGGAGCAGCAACGGCAGGAGTAGGGGCAGGTGCAGCGGTAGTGGCAGCATCAGCCTTTGGCGTGATAGGAGTCTCCTGTACCTGTCCATTGGTGGTGGTGGTGACGACGGGAGCCGCAGCGACGTCAACCTTTGGTTCCGGTTTGATACCGAGTTTAGCGGTTTCGGCGGTGGGTGAGGGTTCAGGGCCGTCCTTTGGGGCGGTGGTGGCGCTGAAGTCTGGGTCCTTGTAGAAGTCCCTGTTGGCCTCTTGCGTGAGTGTTGTGGGCGACGCGGGTGTGGGCGACGCGGATGTGGCCGCGGGGGGAATGTTAGGCTTTGGGGTCGTCATTAGCAATGAGCAGGAAGGGAAGGTGTTGGTTATTTGTCTTGAATTTGGCGAAGGTGAAGAGAAGAGAGGAGAAGAGAGGAGAAGAGAAGAAAAGAGAAGAAAGAGGGATGGAAAGGGATGAAAACGAAAAAGAAGTCGGTGGGAAAATAAAAGGACAAGGAAAGTTGATGGCGAGGAAGGAAGGGAAGGTAAAAGGGAAGCGACTGGCTGCTGAAAGTAGGAAACAGGGACACAGCCAAAGAGTCAGCCATCTGCCTGTTAGCCAGTCAAAAAGTGAACAAACACTAATAATAACAACAGTAGGGGCCATGTCACGGCGTCTCCCTTCTTGTGCATTCTGGCATTAGAGCTGCAATATCAACGAACGAACGAACGACACCCCGCCTGGTTCCCCTCTGACTTCTCAGATGGACCGAGTGTCTACCAGCAAGAGGTCTAGTCCTTTCTTCCGCGCATTGTTCCCATTACTCTTTTCTCTTTTTTTTTTTTTTTTTTTTTACTTCTACTTCTTGTAGTCATATGAATGAGGGAAAGGGGCTGTTGTTGCCGCAGAACAACAAAGGCAAGCAGGCTTTCTCTTCTTTTCTCATCTTTTCCTGTCCATGGGGAAGGTGCGCACATCAAAACATCTATCTCTCTAACGCAGTCATCTATCCTCCCATGCCATTTATGTTGTGTATGCTTGTTGATGCTGTTGTTGTTCCCTTTTTGCTCCTTCCCCCTTTGCTCTCTTCTGTCTCCTCGCCATCGATTTTTCTTCGCCCTTTTCTTCGTCGCTCCCGAACGGCGTGGCCATCTTGTCCTTGTGCCACCAGGCAGACACGCATACGCACTCACAGTCGACAACGCTGTTTGTTTTGTCACTCCCTGCCTTCCCCTCCATCCTTTTGTCTCGAGCCTTGACAGATGTCCATCCGTCTTGACTCCTTCTCTTTCAAATAAACAACCGACATCCCCCTGGAAAGATTGTCCGTCGAGGCAAGGGCATAGATAACACACTTCAGCGACCTTGTAATTATTAGGCTTTGCCACCCAATGTCATCGAACATGAAAAGTCTTCTCTTTTTCCTTTTTACTTCGTCTTTCCATTTGTTGTTGCTGTTGTTGCGAGTATTTGTGCACAGCCCATTCAGGCTCGAGGATGTCATTTTGGCTCTTGCCTTTTTTTTATTTACGGTTCTCTCTGCCCCTGCTCGACCTTCGCCCCTCATGGAAATCCTCTTCCACTCTCGCACTTGGGATGAGGATGGCAAGTGCAGCTGCCCCACTGTCGTTTGTGTTGTAGTGTGTCAGCCTGTGTTTTCCTGAGCGTATTTTAGTGGGTGTGTGGATAGATTGATGTCTCCCTTTTGTCCAATACCCTATTTTCAATCTCTCCTTTTCTTCCTTCCTGCTCTTTCTCTTCTTCTTTTCTTTCTTTTCTCTTCCTTCCCTTCCCTCTCTCTCTCTCTCTCTCACTCACTCACTCTAACTCTGCTCAGCCCACCTCCACAAACACTCTCACACCCTCACACTCTCACTCGCCTTCCTTTCTTCCGTCCATACATTTACACACGCCTAATCACCTCGCCGTTTTCGTCTTCATTAATATTTATTGATTGTTGTCCACCATGCAACATCAAGCCTTCAACCCCAGGGACTACCCTATCGTCATGGCCATCGACTTTGGCACCACCTTCTCGTACGCAGCTCTCTTTTATTCTTACCACTGAGACCTATTGGCTTTTTTTTTATTTTTTGATTCTCCAACCAAGCGTCCTTTGTTCGCTTCGTTCGTTCGCTCGTTGGTCATTTACCCTTTGACTTGTCTCGGGCAGTGCGAAATAGAATTGGCTAGGCCTCACCACCCCGCCACCTCCTGGGCCTTCGGATCCTAATATTAACTTTTTTCTTTTTACCTCTCCTTCTACCCCTGCCCATTATATGAAAATAGAGGATGCGCCTATGCCTATGCTCAGGATGACAAGGAGGTCATCGATATCACATCATGGTAAGGATCAGCAACAACAACAATAACAAAGAGAACTAGCAGTGCCATACATTCATTGATTCATATCGCCGCGGAAACAAGAGTCATTTCTCTTTACCTCTGCGCCGTGTTACGCATCACATCTTTCAGCTTGAGCAGTCGAAAAATTAATTGTGAATGCGCGTGCCCTCGCCGCTTTTCTTCATTTATTTCTAACGTGTGCAAACCATACATAGGCCAAAGCAGAGCATTCAGTATCCAAAGACCCCTACCCTGAACCTCTACAAGAAGGATGACCCCGAGCACAAGCTGGTCACTTGGGGTTGGAAGGCAAAGCTGGAGACTCTCAGACCCTCGGCCAGGCACCACACCTTGCTCTACCAGTACAAACTCCACCTGGACGAAAACATGCAAAACGCGCCCCTGGAGGTCGACATCACCGTCCTCGAAGCCATCTCCCACTACCTCGAGGCCTTCCACGAGTACGTCGTCGGCGAGATCATGCGTGGATTCGCCAAGAACTTTCAGCGCGACCACTTTAGATACTGTCTCACCGTGCCAGCAATGTGGTCCGACAGAGCCAAGAACGTCATGCGTCAAGCCGCCGTTAAAGCTGGCCTCATCAAGGAGAGCGACCATCCCGACCGACTCATGTTGATCTCTGAGCCCGAAGCTGCCGCCCTGTATTGCGAGCGCAAATGCGACCAATTCGATCTCGGACATGGCGACCGCTTCATGATTTGCGACGCTGGTGGAGGAACTGTCGATTTGATCGTCTTTGAGATTGCAGTGACAAGTGCTGGACGTCGACTCTCGGAGGTGACCAAGGGTCACGGTGCCTCCTGCGGTTCCGTCTTCCTCGATCGCCACATGCGTCGTCTCCTGGATCAAAAGTTTGGTCACCACACCGCCAACTTCCCGGCCAACATTATTCCCAACTTGGTCGACACCTTTGCTGACGCGATCAAGCCTCAGTTTGACGGTATCGAGGATCAGTTCTTGTTGCTCCCCGCCAACAGGTGCTTTGAAGATTTGGAGGATCCCGAGGCCATTGGTATCGATGATGGCTACCTGGTGTTGACAGCGGCGGAGTTGAAGGAGCATGTCTTTGAACCTGTCGTCAAAGATGTTCTTTCGTTAATTCAGGAGCAGCTGACGCAGGCTGGAAACTGCTCGGCCATCTTCTTGGTCGGAGGATTCGGATCTTCGAGCTATCTCTACAGCCGTGTCAAAGCCCAGTTCAGCTCACAGGTCGGACTCATTTCCATTCCTCCTCGTCCCGAGTTGGCCGTTGTCCGTGGGGCTGTTTGCGTAGGATTGAATCCTCGTGTCGTCACCTCGCGTATTGCTCGTCGTTGCTACGGTATTTCCTCGGATCAGCCTTTCGAGAAGGGCAAAGATCCTTTAGCGAAGCGCAAGTTCGAGGTCAACGGTGTCTGGTGCATTGACCGTTTCTCGCCCTATGTCCGAAAGGGCCACAAAGTCAACGTGGACGAATGTATTTCGCGCGAGTTCTCGTTCACAAAGTACTCGGAGGCACCAGAAGACTACAACATTGCCCTGTATGCTACCGATATGGATGGAGACCCACCACGCTACACAACTGACGTTGGTGTGTCCAAGCTCGCGGATATCCCTATTCCATGCCCGCACGCACCCTCGTCTCGCCTAGGATCCATGGTAGGTCTTTTATTTTGCTCATTGTTTTTTATGATAGGAAATAAATGTGTTTACTGACGCACTTTGTGATCTTTTCTACAAATCGTCCAATAGGTCAAGGTCAAGGTGAACATGCATGTCGGATTGAACGAGATTAAGGCCGAGGCTGTTGTTGGCGACAAGGTCTACAGTACCATCCTGCAGTTCGACGCTGTCGACACTTTCTAAATTATCTATTTATTCACCCACGCCAAGTTATACAGTTTTTTTTAAATAAACCGCCACCAAGTCACCTACTTGTGACGTGGCAAAGATCACGTGTGGACAACCTTCTTTCGCCTTCGCTCCACCTAAAAGGGCCAACCTGCCATAGGCATCATCTTTTGCCTTCGCCCATCAGCCATACTTTTTCATTCGTTTAATTCCTTACACTTGTATATTATCGCAGGTGAGGCCTCGTTGTCTTAGCAGGGCCCTTTCATCCGTTCAGGGAGGTGCTCTCCTTCAACTTCGTCTTTTGAAATGCGGCACATCTTGATACTCGACATTTCCTTATTTTTTTGACTTTATTAGTGTGAACCGGAGACTCCACACGGATAGCCAACTATGAGCAGCTTCTTTGGTACTTCTAGCCCAGGCTCCGGCTCCAATGCCAATGGATCATCCTCGAACAGCGGCAGTGGCGGTGGCGGCGGAGGCAGTGGCGGTGGTGGCTGGGGTAGTTTTCTTAAGCAAGGATTGTCGTCAATAGAGTCCAAAATCGACATGGTCCTCGACATCCAAGTCCCCATCCCTGGTGGAGCCACGGGTACCTTGACGTCGTTTTCGCCTCACGCCAATATCTTGCCGTCAAGCATCACTGGTGCCCCTACAACCAAGGACACACCTCCGAAACGACAGGCTTCACCTCTGACCTCATCGACAGCAGCCCAAGGCGACTCACGGAACTCTCAGGAAGTGAACAGCGACGACGAACGTGGCAAGAAATCAACGGCTCGTAGAAAAACCAGCACGCAGGACTTGCGAAAATCTGTGGTTGGTGCAAAGGCTTTGCAGGATGATTCTAGCAGGCGGAGCAGTAGTCAGAGTGAAGATATGGTCACGGTTGATCCCTTTACAGGCATGGTGACGACGGCCCCTGGTGTCAAGCGCATGTCGACGCCTCCCGTCAGTTCAGGAATGAGTTCAAGTGCCGCAGCTGCAGCTGCAGCCAACAGGGAACGTCTGGAGCAGCGGATGAGAGGTATCTTCAAGAAGCCGACGGACTCTCCTCCGACAACTCCTCCGCCCTCAAAGAGAGCCTCGCCTTCGCCTTCGGCCAGGAAATCGGATTCCACAGACCTTGACCGCAAAGACGACGACTCGACACAGCAGGACGATGTGGAGAAAACAGAGAGCAAAGTCACCCCAGCCAAAGTCGAAAAGCCTGCACAGGAAGGCGATGCAGAAAACTCGTCAGCGACCCATGAGGACAAATCCGAACAGGAACCAAAAACAACAGCGCCAGCAGCACCAACAGCAGACGACGCCGAAACCACTAAACCAACTAGCGCCGACAACGATGCTGGCAACGACGCCGACAACGATAACCTGGAGAAGGCTGCAGGCGATGCTGTGGATGAGCAGGAACCGGTCAAGAAGTCACCTGACTCTGTGGTGACAAAGGACGATGCAGATGTCGATCCTACGCCAGAGGCAGAGGTCAAGACTTCCACGGAGAGCATCAAGGCACCCAAGCCCGAAACTACCACTGAGAGTTCGAATGACCAACCTCACACAATTGAGGACGTGGAGCTACCAGGAACGCCAAAGCAGGAGGACACGCAGGAGAACACTCAAGACGAAACCCTAGCAGAGGTAGACGTCTCAGCTACACTTTTTGAGCAAACTTCAACTCACACCTCCTCTGAGGATGATATCGCCATCCCCATCTCAAACGATCGACCTGATACCCCGCTCAGTACTACTGAGTCTGACCAAGCAATAACGGACGCTGTCAAGATTGAACCAATCACAACCCCATCGCCCACCAAAGACACTGATCAAACCGAAGCAGAAACAAAAAACGTTCCCTCCCCTGCCGACGTAAACCCTCTCAAGAGGGTCCTGGACCAACGTGAGGAGCAGCTTTTCAAGGTCATGCAAGAACAATCGACACTCATTGAGAAGCTTCGCGACCTGGAAGATGCCAAGGCTGCAGAGGATGCCCGGAATGCGGTCAAGCTTGCTGGACTAGAGAAGATGATCGAGACGCAGAAGAAGGAGCTGGAGGTGGCCAGAGGGTCCAACCTTGTCAGCCAGCCAAAGTCGATCCAGAAGACCTTGGAGGAGCAGCGTGGACTCTTGGAGGAGAAGGACGAGCAGATTCGAGGATTACTGGCAGAAGGTAATTCTATCATGTACCTGGACTTGGGGGCATTATTTTGGCGAAAGTTAGAAGCCGATTTTTTTTATTTACATTGATTATATTTGCATGAATAGGCGAGGTCCTTTCCAAGAAGGAGTTCAAGCATCTGACGACCATCAAGACGTTGCGGATGAAAACTATCGAAATGGAGAAGATTCAGATGGACACCCAGAAAAAGATGGACAAGGTCGTCACAGAATGCACTGAGGCTCAGTCCAAGGTGACCAGGCTAACCGACGAGAACAAGCAACTCCAAGGTACGAGCTAACTTCGAAGATACCTAACCTCGATCTTGTGGTATGTAAGCTTCCAAAGAGGCCTAACGCAATGCTATATGTATATTTGAGGAAAATAGAATCGGTCAGGTCGTTGCACGACATCAATCAGCGCCAGAACAAGCAGGCGACAAAAGTCGAGGCTGAATTGATTCAACTCCGAGAGGACAAGGCAAACCTTCAGATGGGACTGGACCGTGCTTGGCAGGAACTAGCCGAGGCCCGCAAGGCATCGGCAGAGTTGTCTAGTCAGACACACGCGGCCGCATTGGAGCGGGAGATGAAGATGAACGAAGACTTGCACGAACAGCTGGATTCTCTCAAAGCCCAACATGCAGCCGTTGAGTCGAATTTTCGCCAGGATATCCAAGAGCTTCGCGTGTCGTTGTCCAACCGCGAGGAGCTCGCAGGCGAGAAGGAGGATCAGCTCTACATGGAAATCAGGAGCCTGCAGGTACGTCTGGAGCAGAAGGATCACGATTCTTATGAGCTCCAGGAGACCTTAGATGAAGCCCGTCGACCCCTTCTCCATCAGATTGAAATTCTCCAAAACCAACAAGGAGTGGCAAACAGGAACTGGGACAAGGTCGAGAAGAGCTTGGCACGACGCATTTCTGAGGCTGAGGAGAACACTACGAAGGCACAGGAGCGTGAACGAGCAGCTCGCGATAGGCTTGACGAAGTGGTAAGCACAACAAATTAGTTTTTTTTTGGCGCCAAATAATTTAGGTTCGCTGCTTGTGCTTTGACACTAATCCCTATACTTGCATTTGCACGTACAGAAATCGCAAATCAACGCTCTGGAAGCACGCTTGGAGACGTTGAGGATCGCAGACACACAGCTGCGGTCTGATATGAACACCAACAAGCGAGCCTTGGCAGAGAAGGAGGATGCAGCACGTCAGGCACAAGCAGAGTTGAGTCGCGAGCGTCTGAACCGTGAGCGGGCTGTTGAGGAAGCCAAGGAGGATGTCGAGCGGAAATGGCACCAGCAACAGCATGCCGAGGTCGAGAAGCTCAAGGCTCAGATCCAGCAGCTTCAACAACAGCGCCCTAATACTCACTCTGGCGGCGACGGCGATTTGCTGAGCGCTACATCGGATTCTATTCATGCTCGGAGACCTTCGTCTTCGTCGGTTGTATCTGTCAATTCTCCAATGTTAGGTGGAGGAGGTGCAATGGCGGCCAAGATGGCTGGTGCTCTGGGCAGGACCAGTTTTGAGTCAATAACTAGTCCCACTAGCCTGGATGGTATGGCACCTTCGTTGTCTCGCAGTAGTTCGTCACATACCATGGCGGGTATCGGTGCAGGACCAGGAACGCCTACGATGGGACTCATGGGACTTGGTGGCGGTGGTGGCAGCAGTGCTGGACAGGCCGTTGCTATGGAACGACTGAACGCGATGGTCCGTCAACTTGAGGGTCAAGTCACCTTCTTGGCTGAACAAGTTCGCTCCGCCAATAGGAACAAAGGTAACATAGGCCTTTTGTTGTATTTGCTTAATTTACTGGAGTTATCTCGCAATCATGAGTCTGAGAACTAACACGGTGTATCTATGATGCATAGATGAACTGTCGGACGAGCTGGTCAAGGTAACGATGGAGCTGGAGGAGCTTCAGGGCGCAGCGTCCAAGGTACCAAGTCTGGAACAGGAGTTGACATTGCTGAAGGATCGCCATAGAGCAGCACTGGAGATGCTGGGCGAGAAGACGGAGGAGGTGCAAGAGCTGAGAGCGGATATCCTTGATGTGAAGGAGGCCTACCGCGACCAGATCAATGAACTACTCGCGCAACTGGAGAAATTGAGAAAGGCCAATGCTGCTCATTAGATTCCTTTTTTTTTAAAAATATTATCAATACACGTTACTTGTACAAAGCAGCGTTGAGAAAATGATTTGGGTTTGTGGTGATGAAGTGTATTTATTTGGGTAATGGTATGGTACAGATGCTGGATGAAGTTATGCTGGAGAGAGGTATAAGGCGCAAGCCGTTAAAATGCAATGGTGTGGTGTTGGTATGGGGTGGTATGAACAAGTCGCTCGACGAGTAGGGAGGGGAGACTTGAAGAGGCCTGCGCTTAGCGGATGTAGGGACCGGTGGCGGCGTTGGACATGGTTTTGTTGAGGACGAAAAGTAGGGCCTCGTCGTGGGTCATCTTGACGCCCTGGTGGATGCGATGCTCGTGGATCGAGTTGCGGGGGGTCTGGGCGGGGCTGGTGGCAGGGGTGTTGGCGGCCGAGGCGGTCTGGTTCTTGGAGGACGAGGACTTGAAGAAGGAAGGCATCTTTGGTATGTTTGTGTTGTTTGGTGGTTGTGGTTTTGTTGGTTTGTTGCTGTTGAGCTGGATGATGTTGTGGTTTGTGAGTGAGGAGAAGAGAGGAATGTGGGCGAGGCACCGTTTATTTATACAGGTGGAGGTCAAGGTGAACAGAGGCTGGCCAGGGCCTGACCGCAGTTGTTGATGATGTCTAAATGAAGGTCTGCTTCAGTTGGTCAGGGCACTGGAAGGAGAATGGACAGATCGAGGCATATCCGCGTTTGTTTGCCACAAAGGGTAAGCAAAATAATAATAGACTTGGCTGAAAGAAAAAGGCGGGTAAAGTGAGTGAGTACGTGTTACTGTATGATGTTATGAGGGGATGAATGAATGAATGAATGGGACACAATTGAACTCTCTTTCCCCTCAGTTCTCTTGTCTGAAAGGTCAACAAGGCATCGTTTCCATATTCGACCATGAACAGTGCCAAAAAATAAGCCTTTACTCCGCCCGAGAGAAGAGAAATGGGGAGGATGTCTAAAAAGAACTCTTCCTTTCCTTGTTTATTCTCACTGCGGGCGGGGCGGGGGATTATGCTGAAAAGAAGGACAGGACGTCAAAATGGAACGAGGGAGAAAAAGGGAGAAAAAGAGAGAGAGAGAGAAAGAAAGGATCGGGTCCAACTTGGCTTCGCGCTCGATCTCGAGGAGAAAGGGGTGCATGGCAATGATCCAGTACTCTAATGGCCAAATCGCGCGTCTTTGTTTGTGTTTGGTGGTCTGTCCGATATGAGTACCAGTGTATGTACTGCACGTACACTTTACTGTTGCATAGAGTGGAACGAATGTGGAGCGCGCTTGTATGAGGCGACTATTGAGTTTATTATTCGATGATATGATGTTTGGTGCTGAAGACGAGGTGAGAGTATGGTACAAGAGGTAGGAGGAGCAGCAAGGAACGATGGCTTCTTGGCTTGCTTGGTATATGTGTAATGAGTGGAAGGGACTTGGACCATGAGTTTGGGATGAACTTGATCAGCGGACAAAGGGGAGACAGAGGGGAGACAGACAAGGACAGGAGTCCTTTAGAGGATATAGGGGCCAAAGCGACCGCCAGACATGGCCTTGGTCATGAGATTGTGGAGCATTTCAGCGTCCTGAGCCTGCTTCATCTGCTGCTTGGAGGCCATGTCGACAGGGCGGGATTCTTCCAACGAGACGCGAGGGGTCTGGATGGGGGTCTGGCCAGGGGTGTTGGCAGCCGAGGCGGTCTTGTTCTTCTTGGACTTTTTGAAGATGTTCATTTTGTGTGTTGTTATGTGAGGAGGAGGTAGAAGGAGAAGTCGGTTCTAGTTGCTGTTTGAAAAGTGAGTTGTGGATGATGTGGTGGATGGGGTGTGATATTTATACGGTTGCCGGGTATGTCGGGTCCCAGAACGAGGGACGAAGAGGGTATCCGTGTCTGCCTACCCAAATATAGTGCCATACCCCAAAGAGTAGGACGGACTTGGTGAGGATAACCGCAGTTGAGTTTAGCAACCCCACCAACCAACCAACCTCCACCACACTATCCCAGCACCAGTGCTGAGAAACTTGGCTTGGCTTGATTGACTGACACTGGATTCTCAGTCCGCACACGGACGCGCTGTATTTGGGCATGAAAAGGACAAGTTCAATGGTGATAACAATGTGCAATGCATATATATCTTTTTCACCTCAAGCTCCACTTGAATATTTGCAACAAATAGCTGTAAGCGAAACAAGCAGCACTGAGTGGGCATCAAAAAGAGAGAGAGAATGCGAAAGAGCCAACGCGCGCGATAACTGAAAACGTGCAAGAGACATGGGTAAGGGTAGGAGGAATGGGAAGGATGAGAGATGAGAATGAAATTGGGGTAGTGCAATAAGAGGCTGGTCAGTCTCCGACACGACTCTGATCTCAAAAGGATGCCTTGTGGCGAGGAGTCTGCTTGACCATGCAAATTAGAAACAGGAAAAGCTTGAGCCCTTGGGGATATTTCTGGAAACTCCACTCGGCTATCTGGAGGTAGGTAGTCAAAGGAAGGCTCCTTTTAGGAAGTGTCGAGACTTGAGAGTGCGAGGGTATGGGTTCGCCATGTACGTGGTTGACATTGAAGCCGCTCAAGAAAAGGCTGGTTGTTAGAGCAAGCGTGTCAATTCAAACCATTCTTGATATTGAAAAAAGAGACTGAGGTTGTGATGCTCACGTTGTTGGTTCTGAGCAAGTCCATTTGAGTGTAGATTGTCGATGAACTCAGCAAGCAAGCAAGATGAGATGATTAGAGGGGAAAGAAAGAAGGCAAGGAGGAGCTGACTGGGAACAAGAATGACAATGAAAAGGAGAGATGGCCAAGGGAAATAAAAAGGTGTTGCCACTGTTGAATGTCGACCAGTCAATCGATCTCGTTTTGTCCCACGATGAACCATTGATGATGCTATCTTTGCTCATCTGGGCACAGCTCAGGTAATTGGTGGCAAACAAACCACGAAAAAGTAGTTCTCATCAGCATACACGTACACAGCGTAAGCAAGCTGACTTCCCGCAGTTGCCCCAGTCCCTTTCTGTTCAGTACATCCCACTCCATGAGCCAATTATTCACACTCCACAACCACTACCTTCATGCTCATTATTACCCCTCCTTCCTCTAACCAAAAGAGTCCTTCCTTGTTCCTGACCCCAGCCTTGTTTGCCTTTACTTACACCACCTTGCACCACCTCAGACTAGACTTTTGTAGAACTTGCCAGACTGAAAAAATCTTTCCATTTTTCAAGCGGCAGCCAAAAGAAAAATCTCCGATTGAAAAATAACTCCAGGGGTCGTTCAACCCACTTCAATCATCATTCATGGCGATAGAACGGTATACTCTATTTATTCACTCAGATAAATAAACTCTTTTCTTCTCTCGAGCGAATCCCTCGCCGCAAGAGGGCAACGTTCAAGGGCTGGGTTGGAAGATTCTAGTGACAGTGCTGCCTTGTAGAATAAAAATGAGAATGGTTCCTAAAAGAGGGTCTGATCACTTCATTTCTTCAGTACCCTTCTTTTGCCTGTTTAGCTGTTTTAGCTGGGGAGTAGCTGCCGTTGAACGGTTGGAGCAGTGGAACGACCTGGGAACCATTGGCTAATTACCCTTTTTGTAAGGGCATAGTTGAAGAATATCATGAGAACTGCGGTGGGTGCTTATTGTTGTGAACAAATGCCTCAACGGTCGATATTTTTGGATTGAACGAGCGTAGACGTGTCAAGCACAAATAGGCTGAGGATGTGACCGAGAAAGTATGGGGTGACCGCAGTTCATAGTCAAGGGAAAGGTGCGAATCGGGTGGAGGCGCCTGGAAGGTTCTTGAGAGAAGGCACTGGAAGGATGGCGGTTTAACAGAGTGTAACAGAGCGTAACAGAGCGCGAGTAGAAACGAACAAACACAGAACGGCGGACAGTGAACCCAGACGGCAGACATAAGAGGGGAAAGAGTAGTGTTCCTCCGTGCCTTGACGGCAAGACTGTATTTGTCGCTTATCCTTATGTCAAGAAGGAGTAGGCGCAAGGTTGCAGTAGGTGTTGCTGTTAATCCTAAAATAACAAACGTTCCAATCTCTAACGACAGAGAGTGAGAGTGAAGGTTGTTGGTGGTCTGTCCGCAACTCCTGACAAACAAACAAACAAACAGAGGGGACAGGGGTCAGTCGTCCCATAAACAAACGATCCGATCAGGTTGTCCATTCAATCGCAGTACTTTACTCTCCCACGACCCCTCCTGTCCATTTACTCTCCCACGGCTTGCCTCTCTGCCTCTTGGCCGTCCATTCATTTTGAAACTCTTTACTTCACTCCATCCTGTGAGGAACAGGAACAGGGTGGCATGTTGTGTTTGACGACGACGACGGGGGACAACTCTGTGAGATGAGTAAAAATAAACCAGACATGATTGACTTTTTCAGGCTGCGCTCGAACCTGAACTTGAACCGTGCGGGGCCTGGAATGAGTGAAAGTGTATTGTGTAAACAAAGAGAGACGGATTAATATGCGGAATGAATGAACAAAGAATAACCATAAGAGGGAGAAAAGGGTTGCTGTTTATGGGTTTACACGGCGAGAGACCACTTTTGTTGGGTTGCTTTGAGGCAATTGGAGAAAGAGAGGGTGGGTCGTGCCTTTGTAATGAAAATTGTCTGCGGGGAGCCACTTCATATAAATACTCTTGAAGCATTCCCCTCTTTTCTTCTTTTCTCTACTTCATCATCACAAACAACCAAACAAATCAAACCAAATCAAACAACCACTTCCACTTCCACCCCACCCCACAACACAACACACATCCACAATGACCTTCTTCAAGCTTAACGGAACCTTCTCCTCCTCCAAGAAGAACAAGACCGCCTCGGCTGCCAACACCCCCTCGCAGACCCCTCGTACCTCGGTCCACCTCACCGGCGCTGACCTTGCCGCCGTCAACAAGAACACTGCCATGACCCCCGAGGCCCTCGAGGCCCACTTCGTCAAGGCCAACATGGGACACATGCAGGCTCTTTCCATGTCTAGAATGTAAAAAGCACCCTCTGCTATACACTCTCTGCCTCTATTCCGACTCGATCGGCTTCCTCTCGTCTCGTCCGGATCTCTTTCAAGTCCTGCTCCCTCCCTCTCATCAAGACACACTCGCTATTACACATCGTCGTTGTTGCTGTTTGGAGGATAATTTTCTTTTATTTGATTCGGATGCGAGTAGCCTCGCATACCCCTCCAACCTCCAGCATATTCATTCATTCACTGTACAACACTCGGCATTCTTCATCATCATAATAAACCATTTCTGTCATTACAGACAAACAAACATATCCTGTATCCTGCTCATGATCCGAATTGTCTTTTCGAATGTCCACAGAAATAATGAATAAGAGAGAGTACAGCTGAAATGAAGAGGGAGTAAAAGATCAACAACACAGTCGGAGGACAGACAATTTTTATTTCGATCCAGGAACAATCATCTCGCTGCTGCCCTTTTTTATCGTCGGAGAGATGTACTTGGGATCGTAGACGTCTGTCGACCCATTGCTACCAAAAGACTAGGTGTTGTTGCTTTGTGTTGTGGTAATATAGGTGATAAGAAGGGCGAGTGACAGGACAAGCAGCGAGATAGTCAACGGCGGAAGAGTTTGTCAATTCTCGCTATTGTTCATGATTGCCAACAATTTTCATCCTTTGGTGATCCAGCGGCAAATAAGCTCATAGTGCGCAGACAGAGACAGTAATAAAGGAACTATGGTACCACCCATGACTCACGCCCATAGTACTGAAGCACTCCCTCAGACCTAAGACGGCAGAGGTGCTGAGCAACTGCGCCATGCTGCAGGATGGTAGAGCTAGCCATACCCAGCACACGGCGTCCTCATTCGTTTCTTATTTCGTTTAGAAAACAAAGTATCATCGAGGGTGTCATCCGAGGGTGTCATTGATGAATAATCAAATCCTTAATTTTTGAGTGCGGCGCGTACAATTGTCAATTGTTCAGCAAACGGCATCAAATGAACATGCTGCTCGTCTTTGTAGGAGGTGTATGCAGCAGTGGTCGATTGACATACAGACAAAGGGACGCGAATTGATATAAAAGCTACTAACGATCCCCCATTTTCTTTGTTCTCCATCAAACGCACTCAACTCAAGCAGAGCAAGCCAAGCCAGCCAAGCCAGCCAAGCCAGCCAAGCCCGACAAGCAATACTACAACCAACTCTCTCATCACAACATACACTAGCACTCTCAACCCAACTCCTCAACACCTTTCCCAAAACCACTACCATGTCGCTTTTCAAGATCTCCAAGAACAAGATCGCCTCGGCTGTCAGCACCCCTACTCAGACCCCCCGCTCCTCGCTCCAAATCAATGCCTCGGATGCCAACATGACCTCTACCGTGATATCCGCTGATGTCGAGAGACTCCTTAAGAAGACTACCACCATTGGTCACAACCAGGCCTTGTCGCTGGCTAGGATGTAATAGGTTGTCAATCGTCTTACCCTCTGGCATGAATGCCACCTAGCATACTCAGACACTCTACCCATATCGTTTTATTTCCCTGTAGCATCACAACTAATACCTCCTCAATAATAAATTGTAATTCTCCCTCAAGACATATTGCATTGGTTAGCCGACTTCTCTTGACATGCATGTCTTGAAGAGTAAGTTCTAGCCGTTAACAATGAAAACCTGAGATGACACTGTTCACTTTGGTGTCCCAAGTTACCAGAACAACAAATCGTCTTCTGAGGTACATCCCGAGTATAGCCTTCGAAGTATAACACGTAGTACACAGCATTGTCGTCGTTGCATGATTTCTTGTTGGCTTCCATTTGCACAAGTCAAATTCAGAATTGTGGGCGATTTATTGTGGAGAGAAAGGGGGGATAAATCAGCATTTAAGCGCGAGCCTGGTGAACGGAGGCAGCAATGCGGTCCAAATCACGCTGACCATCGACGGTGATCTTGCGTCCACTATTGTTCAAAAAGAAACAGAAAAAGGGGTAAGGAAATTAGTCTCAATGATACTCAAATGGCATGTGCAAAGGATAGTGGTGCAGAATACACTCTTGAGCAAGAAGCAGAAAGTAGGGAAAGTGGACGTACCCGTTCTCATCAGCCTCCAAGACGTTAATCTTCTCCAAGGCCTGGAGGACCTTGCGAGCAATGGAGCCGGAGGACTTGACGTGGTGGGAGGGGCGGGAACCGCGGTTGCAGGTGCCACCGTGGAGCTTCTTGAGGGCACCGACACCGACGCCGCGGCGGAGGTAGATGTGGCGGGCAACGGAAGCTATTTTAGCATTAGAGATAACGAACAACCATTAGTTGACTGCAGACGAGAGGGCGCAGCTGAGGGGGATTTCCTGATGTAGATGTTGCTGGTGTGGAATAGAGTAGTTGTCTACGGACGAAGACACTTCCAGTATGAGTTATTGGAAGAGCAAGCAGTCGAGGCTTTGCTGAAAACACAGAGAAAGGCGGCGAGGGTACTGAAGTCTGATAGTTGTGATATGTTGGTCTGTGTTGTATGGGCGAGTGCAGCTTCAGCCGTCCGAGCCAAAGAGCCTATGGTAGGTCAGGCGTAGGGCCAGGTGGTGTGTCCAGTTTTGTTGCCAAAAAGTGCTCGAGCGAGAGAGAAAAAGGGGAGGGGCGGTGTCGAGGTTGCAAGTATGAGGTGGGTGAAGGAGGCTCAAAGTGTCTCTTCCTCTGCTGTGTGAATCCCGCAAAAAAAATTCTCATTCCGCCGCTGTTGAGAGATGATCCTGACTCGAAAACAAAAGATTTGATGTTGGTGATCCCTCCATTGAGTTCTGAAGTTGTAGTCGAAAAAGCCCTTTTTGTTTTCTGTCCACGACGGTCGAGTAGCTGAGTCCTGGTGGTTGGTGTGCTTGAAGGTCTTGATGTTATTACCAGCGCGGACGTAGAACCAGTCGGGATCATAAGGAGCCAACTCCTTGCTGGTGCCGGTCTTGACAAGATCGACCCACTTGGGGATCTCGAGCTTGCCGGAGCTAAGTTTTTCAGTAAAAAAACAAAAAAGGGCGATGAGTAATCCATCATCCTTCTTTCTGGTTGATGATTCATTCCCCTTGCAGTCGTCTGAATCCTAAGGTGGTCGAAAGCGATGTGTCATTCCATCATCTAAATGATCGAATTCAGACCCTTTTCGAGGGATTGACCCATGTCTTTTTTGAATCCTTAATCCTGAATCGTAGGTTCTCCCCTCCACACTGATGGTCCCTTCTCGCCTTTTCTTTCTTCGTCTTTGCTAGTTGAGTTGCCGTTGGGCGGGTGGGTGGTAATAAGGAATACTCACCGCTTGAGGTAAGCGGCGTAAGCACGGTTGAAGTCGTGAGCGTTGATGTCCTGCACGGTAACCGAGTAGAGGGCAGCCATTTTAACGAATTGTGAAAGGATTCAACAAAAAAGATATCAAAATCCGTTTTATCGTCGGATCCATCCATCCACTTAAGGGCTTTCACATCTGAATTCTGATTGGTCCACCGATTTTCTTATTAATTTATCACCGTATCTATTCTGATCGCATGCACTGTAACATTGCTTCAGTCCCTTTTCGCTTGCATCACAGGTGGCAATGAAAAAACGCGTACTTCGAACCGAGCATATTTCGGCAGAACCTATGATGACCATCGGCACATCGAGAAGAAACACGCGTTATATAGTCCTACCAGTTACAACGGACATTTATTCACCCGCGGGATCCTTTCTCCCGTTGCGCCTATTTTTTTGCTGTCTCCTCTGTTCGTGCCAACACAAAATCCACACTAAACGACTGTCCTAGACACATTGATGCTTATTTCTCCTCAATTCTTAATTCCCTGCCTTCTTTACCCTCTTTTTTTTCACCCGTTCTTCTTGCCATTTACCTTTTCGCGATGTAGTAGCTTAATGGTTTTAACCAGCATGTGAGGAAAACGTTTTTCTTTAAGCCTCTCAGTTTCCGCGGATCCAAGTTGCAAGTTTTGTCGTCTCTTTCTGTCTTTTTTTCAGTGCTACAGGTGGTGAAAGCACGAGCGGGTAAACAAAGAACACATCGAGTTAAAGTAAGGTGAGACTTGAAAGACGAGATGGATCACAGACACACAAAAAGCAATGTGAAGCAAGAATGAAAGCAGTGCAGCTACTGTTTGAACTTATTGCTAACGCGACATATTGTTGATGCCTTGTATGTGATCATTGAGTCTCTTACGTGAAGATGATGCAGGATAGCGACCCTCGAAAACAAATCACTCTCAACTTTCTCCAGTGTGTGATCAGAAGTGGTGATTTGTTTGTGATGTCGACCAAAGACAGGGGCGAGGTTGGATACCCGTACCTCGTCTGAAAGAATTGCCATATTCCACTCTTGCGTACATACAGTCCTATCCTTACTGTGAAATGAAACCGAGTGATTCTTGCACTGTGCGGGTGTCATACGAGAGACGCGAAAGAAAATCATCGACAGAGGGCTGCAAAAAACCCCGAGGGATCGACACCTTTGCTGCGCCGGGGAAAAGTAGGATCTGGTTCTTTCATTTGAACCTCTCCTTGAACAGAGATCCACCCTCTCCTGTTCTCTCCTCAGGTATATCTTCGCATCATGCTGAACTGACAAATCTGACTTTTCCACTCCTGTATCGGGAACTATTCTGCCGTCTCGTTTGTGTCCTGACTGTTCCAACGAGCCTTAATCAACTAAAACTGTAAGCAATTCTTTTTATTCGACGCACCGAACCAACTTCTTTATGCCCAATAGAGTCGCCAATTAAAGTTCAAGCTTGTCGCATGGACATTTTTTTTTCTTTGTAGATGTTTATCCTTTCTTCACTTTCTCCCTCCATATGCGTCCACAGCGCAGACACCTATACTCTTCCAATTTGCAACAAACATCACCAGCATCAACAAAAGAAAGAAAAATATCTCCCGGGCAGAACGAATACCCGCTTGCTCTCGTTTTGCTGTTTAGATGGGTGTGTGTTGTTTATACCAGTGGTTGCTAACTCTCATTGACGTTGTTCTCTTGTTCAATTGCTTCATTGAGTAGGTTGAAACATCCCTGGTTGAAAAATCAAAGTCATGATATAGGGCGGCCATTCCCGCTCAACCTTTCTTCTTTTCGTCTTTTGATTTTCCTCTCTCTTTCCTACTGTGTTCCGTCTCTTTGCCTGCCTCCCCTTCCTCGCTCTTCCTTTGATCCTTCGTTCATTTATTCTTACATCCTTATTACCTCCATTCCATTCGTCATCACTCATACCCTGTTTCAACCATTAATATTTACTCTCATCGTGCTCAGCCAACACACACTTCACTTACACACACAGACGTCATGGCTGACAAACAAGAATGCGTAGAGCACTTGGACGATCCCTCCCCCAGAACCACCGGTTCAGACCACTCTGGCTCTGCAACCGACATCGGAGGACCCATTGGTGGTGGAGAGTTGTCACCGTCAAAGTTGGAGAGGACAACGAGTATGGACCACCAGAACACGGCTCAGGCTTCGCTGGATGTTGAGATGGCCAAAGCCCACATCTCCACGTCCGAACCTCCATCCAGACGATGGATCGTTCTTGCCACTGCCACACTTGGTGCTCTATTTGTATCCCTCCAGGGTTCTGCCCTTATTGTCGCGCTGCCGGATCTCATGAGGGAACTTGATGTAAGTTTTTGAGAGTTCACTCGTTCTTTTTTTTCCACTTACGTCTTCCCCGCCACATCTTCCCCTCCACAACTCTTCTCTTGGCGCTCTGTTTCATTTCCACATCTTCGTCGGATAATTGCCATCTCATTCTGGATAAACATGGCCAACCCAATGCTTACTTTTTTGTTACGTTCGCCTGGGCGTTGTGTTTATTAGATCGATTTTGCCACGATCATTTGGGTGTTGTTGACATATACACTGGCCATCACAGCAACTGTTCCTCTACTTGGCTACGTTGGCGATGCAGGCCTCAAGGGTATTCGGTACGTCCTCTCTCATTCCTTGTCTCTTGCTTTAGTCTCTTCCAGCACACGCGTTCAACTCCCTTCATACCTCATGCTCATTCCTTCTCTCTCACCAACTCCGAACTTTGATATGGTTTAGATGCCGCATGTTCAATATCGGCTTCTTTGTCTTTACCCTGGGCTCCCTTCTCTGCGGCCTCGCTCAAAAAAAATACAACGGTTACGATCTCCTCGGCTACCGTGTGGTCCAAGGTCTCGGAGGCGCCCTCCTCTTCTCCAACTGCTTCGCCATCGTGGCCGATAAATTCTACCCCTACAACCAAGTCGGACTCGCCAGTGGTATCATCAACATTGCCTTTGCGGCCGGAACGATTCTGGGACCCGTCATTGGAGGAGCGACGGTCAAAGCTAGCTGGAAATGGGTCTTCTTCTTCAACCTACCGTTTGGAGCGCTCGGCACACTGGCTGGATTCCTGTTCTGCCATGACACCGTCTTTTCTCATGTCGAGTATGCGTCGTTCAGGAAGCTGGTTCCTACGTTCGACTACATTGGATTCATCAGTCTGACGGGCACGTTGGTCCTCTTGTTTGTGGTAGTCGTCAGTGCCTTGTTCCCCAACGGCAAGGTCTCGGAGAACTCTTCGCTGATCGGCATGGGTGTCGCGATGGGTGTCCTCTTTATTATATTCATCATCCAACAGGCGTTCGTCCGCGGCGGCAAGCGTTATAACCCCGCCAAGGCTCCCTTCATTGACTTTAACCTATTCAAGAACTGGGTCTTCAACAACACGGTCGTCCTCGGCGGTCTTGCCGGTGGTGTCGCCCGTACCAATTTGACCTTTTCCTACATCTTCTTCTTCCAAGGACCCTACAGCAAGGACCCCCTTATGGCTGGTATTTTGCTGATCCCCTTTGGACTGGGCATCATGATCGCTGGTATGCCTGCCGGTCGTTTGGCGGACGTAATTGGATTCCGCTACCTCTGCACTGCCGGACTTGCCCTGGCTTCGCTCGCAACCCTGATTATGCCCTTGGTGATCAAGCCCGAAACCAACACCTGGGTGATCTCTGCGCTCCTCCTTGTCAGCGGACTCGGCTGGGGTCTCTACCAGTCGCCCTCAGCCTCGATCTCGATGCTTTGTATCCTCCCCCAGCAGCGGTCTGCCTCATCGTCCCTCCGTATCATGTTCACCATGCTGTCCCAGATGATCGCCATTGTCATCTGCTTCAAGATCATCATCTCGGGTATGCCGCCAGAAGCCGTCCAGGAGCTATTCATCTACGGCGGAGGTATTGATGCAATGTACCTGCCCTCGTTCATGCATGGCTGGAAGATTGTCTGCTGGATCACTTTCGTAATCACGCTTGTCTGCTGTGTTTGCTCCTGGGGTCTACCCATCCGGCCTGTCCTGGCCAACACTGAGCCGAACTTGGATGCTGCTAGCGTTGCTGATATCGAGGAGGCAAAATAAACAATAATAAACGCCGACGCCATTCTTTTTCTAATGCCACTGTCAACCAGGCCCCTCGTCATTTCTCCTTAATGCATTGCAAAAAAGTACAATATGTTTCATTTTGAGTGCTCGCATTGACAGTTCAAGAACCATGTCGCAGTGATCTGACCACTCTGTGTGAGATTTTTTATTAAGTAGTTGTAAAAATAATAATACGAAATGGGCAGGTTGCTATGACTTGTGGGTGTCAGCGAAAGCGCAAATGCACACCCCTCCTTTTCCCCCAAGAAGAGGCTCTCTTCTCAAACACTTTGGGCTGGTGCAGGAACAGCAGGGTCAGAAGGAGAAGCAGCAGCTGCTGCCTCCTTCGCACGGGCTGCTTTCACCATATTCCTATAATCTTCTGGGTCGAGTCCGCGACGGTGGTGGAACAGCTGTCGTCGGTAACCCATAGGTGGAGTTGTGTTGCTGGTGGTTGTGCTCGAACCGAGTCTGAAGTTATCGTCGGTGGATGGAGCGGCGGTGACGACGGTGGCGATGGTTGTGGATGTGAGTGTTAGGATGGTAATTGCCATGCATAAGGTGGAGATTGTCAACTTCATGTTGAGGAAAAAAAATATAGAATGTTCCTTTTGGTTCTCGCGTTTGTGTTTTGGATGGTGTTGTTGTTGGTGATTTGGTGGACGCAAAAATCGTTGAATAAAGAAGAGATGGAAGGAAAGGAAGAAAGGAAGAATGGTACAATATATGAGAGTGACATAAAAAAAGAGAGTTGGTTCACTAAAGACCCGCGGAGCTGTGTGATATCAAGGAGGTACTTTCTCGATATTATCTTTATTATATCTCCCCTTCGATCTGGCGTACTAGCCTATTAAATTAGTGTTCTCTTCGTAGGTTTAGACGGCAACTAAGCGAAGGGGCTCTTGGTCGCAATAAGCTTAGAAAACAAAACGCTTCTGTCTCCTTGCTTGAACGATATGGTGCAGACTTATTTGTTCAGCCTCCTTTTTTCGTATATGCTCGCTAATCTTTGTGCTTTGCATTTATATCAGTGCTTATACAGTGTAGACACTACAATCCTTGGGTGTAACTTGACGCGCTGCTGCACATACCACAACGCTTGAAGAATCAGATACTAAGTGTGAAATATCAGAAACCAAAAAAGGCCAGCTAGCTTGACGCATAGGGATCAAAAGTCGCGAAATTATTTTGAAACTCCACGCGTTGCACTGATAGAATGAATTGATCAAACTAGCGCGATTAATCAGGTCGCCATGGCTTACCTGCGCCCATTACCGCATCTCCCAAGCTTCTGAATGTAAAATACATATTCGAACACGCCCCAACGTCATCAGTGCCTTGCCTCGTCCCCCATATCCAGTCTCATGAAGCTATACTTTTTGTTTTCCTCGGATTGATCGTGTTATGAACCAGCAAGGGCTCAACCTCCCTGCAGTTCAATCATTTCAGGAGGTGTTGCAAGGTTCTCCTTCGAGCAGTTTTAATTCCATGACCTTTTGCTACACATAATGGCTCAGCTTTCTCTATTGTTCGGTGTATATGTCTTCACGGTCATGGATGATCGAGATGAAAGCGAAGAAGGAGCGGTGTTCTTCTTGGCATGGGATGAAATAGAAGTAGATTTTGAACTTTACAATGCACCTCTTCGAAGAATAACCGAGAGCCGATAGGCAGGACCAAGAGCAGACAAAAAAGACATAAAAGGAAGCAGGCCTTCGCTGATTGATTCTCCTCATCCGCTTTTTAACGAATCCACATACACATGCACAACCACACTCTTCGGTCAACAGCAACCACGAAACGAATCCCTATTAACGACGTCTCTTTTCATATCTTATTGGTGTCTTCACACACACCTTATTTTTCTATTCACAAATAACACCATGAAATTCATCGGTGCCCTCGCAGCAGCTCTTTCCATCTTTGTTGCAACATCCCTGGCAGCTCCCGCATCCATCAACCACAACAATGGTCTCGTCGACTCTCTCGCCAGCACCGGCGCCCTGCCTCTCGGAAACACCCTCGGAGGAGCAGGAGGTGCCATCAACGGCCTTAGTACCCGCTCGACCTCGCAAAACATTGGAAAATCCATGATCCCAATGACCAAACGCAACAACAACCTCCACGTCAACGCGATCCTGGACGCGATCCTTGAATCAAACACAAAAATAATTGTAAAGGCGCTCGCAAAGCTCAAACTTGACCTTTGTTCCGACATCCACGCAAAAATCAAAGTCCTCGCCACCGGTTTACTCACCACCAACCTCGACATCCTCATCCCCAAGATCTCGGCAAAAGTCAATGCCGAGACTAACGCCGCCATCAACACTAAAGTCGAACTCGATACCCAGTCCCTGGTCAAGGACAAGATCCGACAGCATGGATTGCATGCGATTCACAAGCATTGTCCGCATGCGGATGATCGGTGTCTGCGCAAGCATGCCCGTGAGATTGTCGAGTGTGTCGAGCGAGCGGTTCGGGGGGATGTGTTGCACCTGTTTGTGGCGCTCAAGGCTAACCTGATGGCGCACGTCCGCGCAAAGATTGCAGTCGTAGTGAGGGATTTAGGCGTGAACCTGTTGGTGGAACAGATTCATGTCCAGGGATTTGTCGATGCGGTCGCAGAGTTGGACGCGCATTTCGATATGTGCTCTCATGTCATTGTCAAGGGCTTGCATGTTGAGGTCAAGCCTCATGCCGTTTCCTCCATCAAGTCCATCTGTCGTTCCCGTTAATGTTTTAGCCGCGATGAGCTTTTGATTCAGATTGGAAGAGGAGCGGGTGAGGCCAAGTCCATACGCCATTTTTTTTTTTTTTTTTTCGTTCCATGTTTATTCTGCACCCGCCTCAGTTTTTTTTTTTTTTTTTACTGCTCTGTCCTGCCATGTGCTCTAGCATGTAATTTGCATTTGATGTTCTTTTGTCATGACCAATCAATTTCACGCCTCTCTTTTACTTCTTTCTTACCTCAGTCCTAGCATTCAATAAACGAAATGATATACATATTTTTCCAGTTGTCTTTATTTACAGCTGAAAGCAAGCAATGGGTCGGGTATGGAGGATGGGTGGGTGGACTATGGTACATGTACAGGGCGTGAAAAGGAAGGAGAGAGCGATGCGAAAAAAGCAAAATATAAACAAAACAAAGCCAGCGCAAAGGCCAAAAAAAAAAAAAAAAAAAAAAAAAAAAAGAGAGAATGAAAGCTTTGGTGAAGACGGAGGACAAAGTTCGCAATCACAGTACAAAGAAGAAAGAAAGAGTGGTGTGGCATAAGCGCGTTGGGGGTTTGCACAGCGCCCATGCTTGTTTTGCGGGAGGTTCTGCCTCACCATCCGTTTTTGATGTCAATGGCAGGACGGGCCAACTTACGACCCTTTTCCATCCACTTTTCGTCCGACTCTTGTAACTGGCTCTGGAGTTCCTTTGTGAACCAACTAATTTAATTAAATGAAAGCGTAATTAAGGAGGAAATTTCGCGAGTTAGTGAAATGAACAGGACCCCGTCCCTTTTAACCCGACGAAACACGGTAGCAACAAACAAACGTCCTGATGAAGAATTAAAAAAAAAAAAGCAAAGCGGCAAACTTACACAATGACATGATTGTCATCGCTGCAGGAGGCCATTATCCCAGGGTGGACAATGTTACTGGCCATGCATCCAGTATGTTTGGAGTGCTCATCCAGGATACTGATCAAGTCGCCCGTCTCGACATCCCACAGATGCAGCTTGCCGTTCTCTGAGCCTGAGCACAGAATCTCTTCGTTGGGGCCAATAAACGTGGGTACGATTATGAAGGCATCATTCTCCAACGTCTCGGCTTCGAACGCACGGATGTAGGTCATCGTCTTGAGATCGTATAATGCTATATGTGGTGGGCGATGGATTTCCTTGTCGTTCTATATGCACAAAAATTATGGAAGAGAAGCGTTAGATGCTTCGGCTCAAACAATTGATATTATCAAATGTACAACACAATGCAATGCAAGAGTTTACTCACCCGCACTGTAACGGCTGCATAACGGCCTTGATGTGACACATTCACGGTTGTCGTTCGTTGGGGTTGGGCACCAAGGCTCCTAAAGAGTCAAAGGAATTAATCGTTTAGACAGTTGTCGAGCAACCTGCAGCATTCTATCGGATTTCTGGCAGCCGTCGTCGCTCCTTTCTGGTTACCTTATCGTGTGGGTCTCTCCAAATGAGTGAATGTCGAGGGTCAGGCTCGAAGTCAGGACAGCAAAGTCGTTCGTTCCAGGAATGTTCCTAACAAACTTGCCCGCCTGATCCTTTTCGACCGTGTACTCCTGGGTGATATCGCCCTTGAGGTTCTACAAAAGCATGAAGCCAATTCAATTGAACCATGTTAGCGCAGGCTTTTTCTTTACGGACAGCCTTTCTTCGATGAACAAGTCGACTGAGGACTTTCTCCTGGACAAAAACTCAAATTGAAAAACAACTTACATAAATGGTGACTTTGCCTCTGTCGTCAGTGTAAAGAAAGCGCTTACTGTCAGGGAACCAGGCAACATCCGAAACTATGGTGGTGCCGGTGCTGTCTTGGGAGGGTCTGGTGAAGAGGAACTCGCCTGACTCGATCTCAACGACCTGCAGCTCGTAGATGAAATCTTTATGCCAACCATCATATCCGAGGTTGAGTAGCAAATACTTGCTGTCGGGGGACCAGCTGACATGACTGATTGAACGTTTGAAGTTGATGGTCCTGAAGATGCTTGGCTCTGGAGTCTATTTCCGTAAGAAAGTGGCAACGAGAGTTAGGTGGGGCAAAGGAAACAAAGATGGTTCTGAGGTAAGCATGAAGGAAGGGGATGAGATTTCTTGTTCGATCGCGTTTTTACGCTCACAACGAACGAATCAGCGCTTTCTTTTCAATTGCTGTCTGGTTCGGTTTATATTTTGTGTTTACACACAGAACAAATAAACAATGCAAAACAATGCAGCCACAAAGACGCAATTAGACATTTGGGTCCCCTTTTTCCATCTTGCATTTTTTTTTTTTTACTGATCCAAGTAGGGCACGCTTAAACTTGAACACCCTCAATGGCTTATTGATGCATGAATGAAAAACTAACGGACTCCATTCAGTCTGGCAACGCAACCCGCTCCAAATCCACACCCCATTCAGATTTCATCAGCAAATAGATAAAGAGAAGGAAATTTGTGGAGGGTCAAGAGCATGGAGCCCGCTCCTCGGAATAAAAATACAAAAAAATAATAAGTTGAGCATCTGCACCAGCAGAACGAGACACAATCTGGTTGCCTGTTATGGGCTGCTTTGGTGTCCAGCTTGCTTTGGGCGTCCCAGTGTCCAAGAAGGACCTTAAAGATCTGGGCGTCGTTGTTATTTCCATCTCGGCGATATCGGGCAATTATGTCGCAGACGCCAGATAATAATAAACAATTGGGAGAGATAGCCAGGTCGGTTTGAATTGAACAGCCTATGAGAGTTTTTCAGATTCTATTGATTCAGCAGCTCACTTGGCAACCATCGACCACTCGATCCTCTCCTTTTCTTTTCTTTTTTCTCAGTGATCGAAAGGAGGACAAGCCCTTTCTTTTTAGAACTCCATCTCTTATTCACCACCGCCTATGCAACCTGTGCTTGCCTTGTGCTGTGATACAATTCCCTCTCTTTCTCTGCTCTCCCTCCCCACATCATCAGCAGCAAGGAAAGTGGACAAACCGTCTCTTCCTAATCATCGATACCCAATAGAAAGAATCGCTCTCTTGTTTTTCTTTCCTCTCACCTCTCCCCAAACAAGCAGACGAGCAACACAAAAAGAACATCATCCACAGAGGGAAAAGGGTGAGAAAAAAGTAATCTAAGGAAGAAAAAAAAATAAAAAATAATAATACAAGCAAACCCAAAATCCAATATGGGACAGCAAACCGAATACAGAAAGGGACAGGGAGGAGGGGATGGGTTAATGGTATTACCATGAGGTCCTGCCAGATGATAACAACTTGATCCAGACCAACTGAGGCGAGGTATTGCCCCGACGGCGAAAAGTGGACGAACCAGCACTCATCCATATGGAACGTCAACCGATGGCGAACCTCGCTTGGGACGAGATTTTGCAGGGCATCCCGGCGCTGGCCCTCAAGGCACTGGTAGGCGCTATCCCGTTCGCGTAGCTGGTTGTGGGTCTCTTCCATGATGTTCGAAATGCTGTTGCTTCGCGCGCTGGAGCAGTACGAGCACGAGGGGAGCATGGGCCCTGCCAAGGCCATGTCCTGGTCGTGTCCTCCATGCTGGGTATTATCGAGCTCGTGATGGTGAAGATGGTGGTGGTGGCCGAGTGGACAAGGCTGTGGGGAAGTTTTTGAGGACCAGGATGCGTCGGAGGGATCGATGGGACTGTAGACTGTGGCGATGCTAGAGGGGCGGGTGTAATGGTTTCTGTCAGTGGTTGGGGAAGTTAAGGAGGAGGAATTGGGTGTGGCAAGGGAGGTGGAGGCAAAGAAGTCGGCGAGGTCCTTCTCGACGTCCTGGTCGTCTTCTTTGATAAAGGGGTATGCGGCGGAGAGAGCGTTTGTGTTGATCTTTGGGTGGTATCTTGCCGAGGGAGACCGTTGAGGGGATGACATGGACTGTTTGCGGGGAGGTGGGGAGAGTGACATTGTTGTTTGTTGTAGAGGTATAGGTGTGAGGGTGTATGTAAGGGTCAGCAAGGGTTGTGGAGAGGATGAAGGTGAGTATTGAATTGGCGAATGAAGAAGGACAGGAGAAAGGAAAGGGAAGGGTATATGAGTTCGTGCCAGACGAGTGACAAGGAAGGGCGGAGGAAGGTGGAGGTAAAAAGAGAAGAAAGGAGGAGAGAAGGAAAAGACAACAGGAAGGAGATAACAAAAAAAAAAAGAAAGAATGGTCGGATGGGTTGCTAGGTCACTTGGACGACAGAGTTGGAGTCGAGTGGTTGAGTTGAGTGTGAAAAATGACAAAACATACAAACAAAAAAGAAGGGAGCAACCGTGCGAACCTGATTATGAATAATGATTATGAATACTGATTATGAACGCCAGAGTAGAATCCCATTCATCTCTCTCGGTCTATCCCTCCTCTTGTACCCCTAATGTCCCACCTGCCGTACCCTGTTCCCTGTCGATAAACATCTGATCGTGCTGTGATAAATAACACGCAGCCAAATTGGATGCATCCTCTTCCTCATTTATTCCCATCGGCCATCGACAACAAACACAAAAACTCTTGCATCCGATTGTTTCTCTGCCGTCGTTCGCTGTTTTTGAGTTCATCGATTGTTTTCATTATTTCGCATAATCATTTTGAGTTCTCTTTTCCTTCTTTGCGGGCTTGTCCTCTTTGTTGTTCTCATGAAGAGCACCGTTTCCACGGACAATCACATTCATTGCACCAACAACAACAACAACAACAACAACAACAACAACAAAAGGAATAACCAAAACACAAACCAAAAACTAACCACCGCACCGCATTGCATCCTGTTAGTACGTAGCGCGCGCGTGCGAGGCGACAGGAATGTATCATCTGTTGTTTCTTCTTTCCTACTGAGCAATGCAAAAAGAAAACGAAAAACCATACGGGATAGAAAAAGAACATTAAACAAAACGACATTCAAGAAGTCATGCATTCAACAGCCGCTTCAGCGAAGCATCGCAATGTGTCTTTCTTGTTTTGCAGGTGCTGCAGATGGCGTGTGCCCTCTTTGTATGTTCAGGGTGCTAAAGCTAGTAATAGAGTCTAGTTGGGAGGGGCCACTTTACTTTGTGCTATTCAGTCGTCCATCTATCTGCTTTAACGACGGTCATGGTGATGGTCGGAGGGCACTTCCGAGGAAGAGCATGATGGGATGGATGTGAGTTTCCTTTTTTCCTTTTTCTCTTCAAGCCTGCTTATTCGCTCTCAATCGTTGTTTGTTCTCACAGCAATGGTATTTTTCGTGTCCGACGGAACACAGGAACAGGCAGAATACTGCAGCAAGGACCGGGCCAAAATACAAAACTATACCCGGACCGACCGACCATCGGCCACTACATCGATGCCTCTGAACCGTGTATCTACTCGATCAAAAGCGTCCTCCTTCCACATTGGTGCGAGCGCCCGGCCTTGCCTTTTTTCTTTTGTGCTCTCTCTTTTTCACTGTTGGTCTTCTTCCCTGTCTCTCGCATAAACTTGCGTGTTCAAATGACGGGGAAGGTTATGCCTCTCTCTTCCTCTCTTTCTCATCCACCCTCCATCGCATCCTGGGCGCGAAACCCTATGCATAAGCTATACAAAGACTGAGGAACATGGACACTCTATTTGCCTCCCCTTCAAAGGCGCCTTGCTCCGCTTATCTATCACAAAAGCAAACTTTGTATCAGTCAACTCCTTGGAGCGCTGTTCCTTTATTCATCTTTGCTTCGCATTTTGTGTGTTACTCGACCGAGTGTTGTTGATGCTGCTGACATGGTTTGGAGACTAGTCCAATGCTGGAAATTTTGGGTTTACGGGAAAAAAAAGGTGTTGCACGACATCGTTCGTCCTCTTCGGCCTCCACCCCACCTAAACAGGCGGCTTGCATTCATACTTCACACCCAGCCAGCTTGTCGGTCTGGCCGTCAGTCCTGGTCTTGGCCCTTTTGCTCACATGAACGAGTAAAAAGAGAGAGAAGGAAAAATACAAGAGCGGACAAAAACAGCCTTGACTGAAGAACATGAGAGAGGGAAAGAAGGAAGGAGAAGGAAGGGAGAAAGGGTGTTTGCGTTCTTTTCCCCCCGAGAAAAAAAAAACTTGTGTAACCATAACACACACAACAAAAACTGGGTGCAACAAGAAACAAAAACAAAACACACAAAAGCAGCATGTCTTGGCTCATCATGTTCCTCTCTCTCACTTTGCCCCTGGTGCTCTTCAAAACAATCACACCACTTAATGCAAAACTCATAACGAACTCGCAACTTGCCTGGGCGTCTTCCGATATCCGTGCAGGCCATCGGTGCAATTGAGACAAATGCGAACTTTCTTCCTCTCTTCAATTTTCCTTGTGCTTCCCTTCTTCCTTTCGAACTTCGTGAACTATTATGGCTAGTGTTCATAAAGCAAGCACGACAGACGGCTCGAACACAACATCTTTCAATCCTTCAAGACAGTTTGCGTTGTGAGCACACGTTGTTGGACCGAGGCCCGCTTGAATATTTGTTTTATGTGTTCGCATGCACCCATGGGATGGGCTGTTGCGTTCTTTCTCTCTCGTTCTCTCTCTCTCTCCGTCTGTCGTTGGCATGAACGAACCAAAACACAACAACAGCAAAAATCATGCCCTGCATGAGATGATGGACTGGACCAGTCCACATACGCTCCGCTTTGTGATTTTGTTGTTGATAATGTTTGCTGTTATTGCTAATGCTTTTGCCGCCGTTCTTGAGATATGGACTACGGAATTACATATATTTAGTGGCGATGGGAGGGTTGCCAGGATCTAGCGACCTCCTCAACAGTCTTGCCGCGCGTCTCTGGGATAATCCTGTTGATCGCGACGGTGAGCAGGCCGAGGATAACAAAGAACACGTAAAAGACATTACCGCCCCACCATTCCTGCAGCTTGAGGAACATGACCGAGACAATAAAGTTGGTAGTCCAGTTGACCGACAATGCATAGGCCGACGCACTCGCCACCGCCACCGTATCGACCACCTCGGGTATAATCAGGAACGGGATTGGGCCTAGACCAATCGCGTACGTCGCCACAAAGGCGATGATGGAAAACGCCGACAGTTTGGGAATCTCATAGTTGAGTGACCAGGCCAACAGGAATGAACTGCAACCCATCGCTACCGCGGACCCCATCAACAACGTGCGTCGTCCGGCCTTGTCCATCACATACGCCGCAATTAGGGTCATGATCACGTTCACAATCGAGATGTAGACTGTGATCATCGCGCCCGACGAAGGCAGGATTTGCGACATGATTGCCGTCGAGTAAAAGATGACGCCGTTGATACCCGACAGCTGCTGCGAAAGCTGCACAAGCGTGAGGACGATAAGAGGACGGCGGTAGCGGGGCATGGTCACAAACTCGGCCACCGAGAGACCTCCTGAACCATGTGTCGCGCTGATGGTACTGTCATCTCCAGAGATTCCAGCACCGTCAACCAACAGAGGGTCGCTGGCGTCGCTCAGCAGTGGGTTAGCACCCAAGGAACCTTCCTCCTCGGCGACAATAGCACGCTCGTCCTGTCGGGTCCAATCACGAATCTCCTTGGCCACATCCTGACGGCCACGCAAGATCTGGAGGGATCGCTTGGCCTTGGCAGCGCCACCGGATTGAAGAGCTAGGTAGCGAGGGGATTCTTGGCAGAAGGGGAGGGCAAAGACCTGAACGACCGCAAGTCCTGCTCCTGCCAGCAAGATGGTGCGCCATTGTGTCTCTGTCGAGTAGTACAATCCCAGCACCTGCGAGAACAGAATACCCACCACAATTCCCAGCTGGTTCATCACACCTGTTTGTTGATATTATAGAAGTGAGGGGGTGGTTGCCTTTTTGTTAATTCTGCTGCAAAGCATCAAACGCGTAATAGCATACGGCGACAACAAAGTGCACCATGCGCGACTGCCAAGTAACGTACCTAGGGTACCGCGAAGCTCAGCGGGCGAGATCTCAGCCAGGTACATGGGGACAATGACCGTCACGGCGCCACATCCAATACCAATCAAGAACCTGCCCAGAATCATAGCCCCATACGACGACGCCATACCCATCGCCAATGAACCCAACACAAGCGGCACATTATTGACCATCAACGCTCCACGGCGTCCCAACTGGTTCGCGAGTCGCGACCCTACAAACAACGACCCAATAAGTCCTCCTAGAGTCAAAGTCGCGACTAGGACAGACCATTCTACATTGGTCATTGGGATACATGTCGGGAGCGAGCCGTCCTTCTCAAGGACAGGGAGTACTGCTTCAAAACCAGCAGAGGAGAGAGCGCTGGGCGGCTCGGAGGGCTCGGGGCAAGTGGTGATGACCTTTTGGGGTGAGTTGAGTTCGCCAATGTGATGGCCGTACTGGAAGGAACCCAGCACGACTGTGAGGGCGTTGAGAATGAGGGCCGCAGTGGCCATTTGTTGAACAAGTTTTTGTTTGTTGTAAAAAGGTGATTGGTTTGTTCTGTTGGTCTTATTTGTTGAGTGGTTGTTCGTGGATGTAGATGATCTTGGTGCAGGCAAAGGAGGTGTTGGTTGTGGACGGAAAAGGACAGTTGGGGTCGTCGAGACAAAGGAAGGAAAGCCACAGACCAGAGGGCAAGTGAAAAAATCAAGTCGCACGCTCAGGGGGAGCGAATAGCAATTTGCGTGTTTATGCCACCCCTTGAAGACGAACAAGTGACCCATCCACGCTTTGACCATTTTCCCACTTTGAAAAGACAAGTGTAGAGTATGAGAAATACATGTTTGTTTTTATGATCCAGGGCTAGATGTGTGAAAAAGAATGTGGACATGAGAGGAGGAAGTCGTCCCTGCTGGTCTGCCAGCATGGGAAGGAATAGGAAAGGAAGAGTAGAGAGGTAGAGAAAATAAAAAGAGCTAGCTAGGTGTTTAAACCAAACCAGCCTTCTCCATGGCAGCGCGCATAAGGACTCCCAACTTGGCGGGGGACTGCGAGACAATGACACCGGCGCTCTCGAGGGCCTTGATCTTGTCATCAGCACCTCCCTTGCCTCCAGCAATAATGGCTCCGGCGTGACCCATGCGGCGACCGGGGGGAGCAGTGCGTCCGGCAATGAACGAGACGACGGGCTTGGGCTGCTCGCGGGTCAAGTTGTACTGCTTCAAGAACTCGGCGGCCTCCTCTTCGGCGCTACCTCCGATCTCTCCGATCATGATGATACCCTCGGTGTTGGGGTCATCCAAGAACAAGGTCAAGCAGTCAATGAAGTTGGTTCCGTTGAAGGGGTCACCACCGATACCGATGCAAAGGGACTGACCAAGACCGACCTCGGTGGTCTGGTTGACAGCCTCGTAGGTAAGAGTACCGGAGCGGGAGACGATACCTATCATATCAATAAAAGGCGCGTTAGTCACGGGGTTGATAAATATTATTCAACGAGTATTTGACAGTCAACTTCAAGCAGACTGAGTGGACATACCGATCTTTCCGACCCTGTGGATGTGGCCGGGCATGATACCGATCTTGCAGGCATTGGGGGCAATGATACCGGGGCAGTTGGGTCCGATCAAGCGGGTCTTATCCTGGGACTTCATGGCTTGAACAACCTATTGGATTGCAATGGAATGGGAGTAATAGTGAGTATCAATCGGAGGGACGAGAGAACATGAACATATCAATAGAGTAACATATGACCGGTCGCACTTACGCGAACCATATCCTGCTGGGGAATACCCTCAGTGATGGCAACGACCAAGGGAATCTCGGCCTCAATGGCCTCCAAGATGGCACCGGCAGCCATGGGGGGAGGAACGTAGATGACGGAAGCATCGGGCTTGACCTCACGGGCAGCCTCGGCGATGGTGTTGAAGACGGGGAGACCCAAGTGAGTCTGGCCACCCTTCTTGGGGGAGACACCTCCGACCATGTTGGTACCGTACTCAATGGCCTGCTTGGAGTGGAAGGTACCCTATTATTGTTCAATAAAAGAAAGGAATAGAGAGTTGAGTATAAGGAATGAAAAGGATGATTACGGTAAAATCCTCCCCACAAAGAATGCCATTTCCAAAAGGAAATCGTGCTCTCGTTTGAAGAGAACTTAATCCTTGTCTCGACCAAAGGCGTTATGGGGGAAAACCCTGGGGTAGAGGCGATCTCGCAAAGCGACGGGAGATCGGTGCAACAGATCATACAATCACAAAAGACTGTCGCCCGGATGGCTATCATGCCCAGGTGTCTTTTCGGGCATAGTTCATCCAGAGTCCCTCAGCCCAAAGATCACGCTGCTAGTTAACAGACTTCAAGAAAAACCATGCTTGTCCATGGGCAGTTGTCCTGAGAGAAGTGCACGCCAGATTGCCACTGTCCAGTGTATCAATTGTTGACGTCTTGTCGCTTCCAGGGTGATTCTCGCCGGCAAAAAAAAGTTGTTTTACACCTTGCAACAATCCCAAACTGCTTACAAGTAAGAGATAGGGTGTGGAAACAAAAAAAGGGGAGTGTCAATTTTTACCTGCTTGCCGGTGAATCCCTGGCAGACAACCTTGGTGTTCTTGTTGATCAACATGTTCTTGATGGTCTTGTCGTAACCGGTGCCCTGGGGCACGGAGCTGAACATGCGCTGGGCGGCTAATTTTATGCAATTGGATGTTCAAAGAAGTCCTGGTTAGTTTGTTGTGTATGCGAAAAACACAAAGTCGCGGCCGAGCCGTTCGCGTTGTTTGAAGGATAAAAAGGAAAGGGTATTCCGCGTTCCGAATAAACACACTCAGTTCCGCTTTGTTCAGATAAGAAGGGTGCAAGCAAAAACAATGGCAATCAAAAGCGTTGGGGAGGGGGAAGGTCATCGTCCTTGTTGCGTGCAATGAGATCGGTGGGAGGTTTGATGCAAGACTTGCAGTTCCTCCGTGTGTCTCCGTGAGTGAGGGGGTTGAGTTTGCACGCCTCCTGGTCAGCCGCCGTTTGTTGATAGGCGAGCCTCGTTTTCCCGAGAGGGTGTCCCTGAACGAGAGTCAGTCTTCCTGCAACTTTGGTTCCAGTCATCACAGCATCGTGCCGTTGTATTTTTCCCACAGTGCAAGGCAGCCGTAATTAGAAGGCGGTAGGCCCGAATCGGATTTCAGTTTTGCTCATCGCGGGTTGTTGTTGTCGTTTGGTGATTATTTATTTTCGGGTACGATGTTATTTTTTTTCAGGCACGCAGTAGAGAGACACAGGACTCATAAGATGGATGAACGTGAACATCGTTGTGTCTCAAGAGAGATGGAAAAGAGGAGAACTTGCCTTTGCTGGCAGAGGCCACGTTTCTCAAGGAGGCAAGCATTGTTGGTGGTTGTTTGTGGTTGATGGGGGAGTGAGAATAACAAGAAGAAGAGGGGAAAAAAAGAACCCGCTCCTCGCAACGAAAGGTGTCAACAGAAATCCAACAACACGTACACAAAACACCCACTCCCATTTCAACCCGTACGTGGCTCCTCTCGCTGGAGTTTGAAAAAAATGAAATTGGCTGACCCCTCCTCCCCAGAAAAATAACGCGCCAGCCTGGACAACTTCAACACCGCTCCTCCTTCTTCTCACTTTTCGATGGCAGGGTTCTTCTTTTTTTTCACCACGGCGCCGTGCCATTGCTGCCAGGGACCATGTCGTCTACAGCAATCCCTCTAGGCGTGGACCTTAAAGCAATTGAAGCTACCGGACAGAAAAAAAAAAAAGAAAGACACATAAACACGCCCCGATGTCGCGTTACTTCCGCTACAAACAGCCGGGTGATCAATCCCCCAGGCAGGAACCCGGAAAGTGAGGAAGATAGGAAGCCAGGCCAGCCGCCAACTGTCGTCATGGGTTCAGGAGGCGGAGGCAAGTCTTTTTTTGGTCTTTCTTGCAGTGTTGTTACTCAAAGCGAGACACTATGGGCGCGCGTCTCTTCCCCCAATCACACATTTTTTTGTCCTTCATACGTCACACACGCGCTTGAAGCCTTCGGCGAGATCGTACTTTTGCTCACTCCTATTTTCGTCCTTCCATTTTTTTCCTTTTTCTCTTTCAACCAACTTTCCCTTTACACAAAAACCCACCATATCAACCATGTTGCGCACCATCACCGCCACCAACGCCGTCCGCACCTTCAAGCCCGTCCAGGCCGCCACCGCTGCCCGCGCCTACAGCACCGGCTTCGACAGCAAGGAGAAGGCCGAGGAGGCCAGGTACATTCGCGCCAAGGTACAGTCTTGTTCCGATTTCGAATCTTCTTCCCATGGAAAAAACCAAAAAATAACTCCCACCCGGGTTCATCTAATCCGGTCTTTTTTGGAGTGCTGCTTTTCTTTCTCCAAGTCTACCCTCGCAGTTCACTATTCGGGTTCTGTTGAAAGAGATAACAGGACGCGATAAACCGGATCGACACTATTCAATCTCCTGGGGAAAATCGGACACGACGCTAACTCCTTTCTCAATTCGTTTCCTTTCTTGTGTTTTCACTGTCAATAGGAGCAGGAGCAGATCAAGAAGTTGAAGGAGGAGCTCGCTCGCAAGGAGAAGGAGATCGAGGATCTCAAGAAGACCAAGAAGTAAATACGCTTCCTCCTCACCCGATGCTCGACTTCTCCCAAAACAGTCCAAGGACGCACAAGCACTCCTGCAAGGACCCTCATAACAACTTTTAACAAACACAACTTTGGTGCACCACACTCAACGATGTAAATAAAACCCAAAAGATCCATTTTACTTCCTTGCCTCTCTTTGCAGAGAACGTCTACGTCACATAGTTCGATCGACAAGCTACCCTTAATAAATATGTGGCCGCCAAGTTGGAGGCTACCTTCTCAACTTTTGAACATGGCCACACCTCTCTCTTCACCTCCAATACCATTTGGTAATAACCGACTTCTGAGGGCGACCATGAATGCCACACTGCCACACATTTACCACACATTCGACCTTTGCACACTCATTTAATAACATGTGGACATGCACTCGGTTGGGGTTGTGTATGCTGAGTGTGCGGGGCTTCTCCCTCACGACAGAGGAACACGGTGGTGAAGGCAACCGACATACAAACGATGAGCAGAAATAGACGATGTCGAAGACACGGACGGGGATCGAGAGTAGAACAAAAGAAAAGCAAGCGACAAAGAAGAAGGCAAGGAGAAGCAGGGATACACAGTCAGGGTGCTGAACAAGGATGCAGCATCCTTCTATCACCACAGCGGCACCCTTTCTTTTTCTGTCAACTACTCCTTCCCTTCCATCCGAACCAAGACGGGCCAAGACAAAACAAAGGACAGACGAACAGACGACTCGTTTTCTCTTTTCGACAACCAACTGACCGACTTTCTTTTCTCTCTCTTTCTCTTCCTTCCTTTTCTCCTTCACCCATACGCTGTCTGCTCTACCCCTTGTGCCGTCCCCTTTTCCTTTCTCCTTCTGTCTGTCTCTCTTCACCCCTCACCCAACGACCCTTACTTTCTTCCCTCCTTTCGACCGACCCGTCAACTCATTCACAGACGACACTCGCCCCTCCTTCTCTCTTCTCTGTTTTCATTACTCACTTCTCTCTCTCCCTCTCTCTGCCTTCATCACCACCACCGCCACTACCACCACTACAACAGCAACGAAAAATCCTCAAAAAACTTCCCAGGCTATTCCCCAAGATATCTCACGGAGGCTGCCAGATCGTTTAATCATCGACCCACCATTTCTCGACCACACGATCCATGGCCGCCCACACATTCGCTCCCGAGGACGCCCTGCCTCCACCAAAGTCAGCCGTCATCTACAGCAGAGACGGCAGAAAGAGGAGTCTCAACATCGATATGACCAAGCACTTTGCACCATCCCTTCACGACCACTCGATGCCCCCACCGCACCCTGCCCTTGCCTCTGCAGGAACAGGAGCAACACCACCAGGAGCCGCCCGTGATGGCTCTTCTTCAGAGATTCCTCAAGGACACAAAGGATCCTCCTCCCCCAGCAACCACAACGGCCTCCTCTTTGGCAGCATCAACGCCTCACACAAGAAAAAGAAAAAGAAACGCTCCAAGAAGAAGGCACTGGAAAGGATCGAGGAGTCAGAGCAACGGAGAGGAGGACAAAACCACTCGCACCAGCATCAACATCAACATCACGCCGACTGCCAGCACGACCATGCACACCACCATCATCACGACTCGGAACACCATCATCACGACGACGAAGACGAGGACGACGAGGATTTTTACTCGGACGAGGAGGTCTATGATCCCGAGACGCCTTCTATGGCTTATGCTTCAGGAGCAGGCGCAGCTAGCTCTGGAGGTTCAACTCACCCAGGCGCATCAACAACAGCCGCAGCATCCACCAGCCAAAGCGCCGGATCGACCGCCTCCAAAAAGAAGAAGAAGAAAAAGAAAAAGTCGACCACCGCTAACCCACTGCCATCTTTTGCCAGTAACGCCTACAACCAGCACAACCACAACCACAACCACAACCACAGCCATCCCAACAGCTCCAAGGCGATGGTTCCTTCTGGGCACCGCAACGGACATGAGCATGGATCGATGACCAAGCACTCTCACGACAGCCATGCCCAAAACGACGGATTCTGGCACTACTCGGACGCAGAGGAGCGTCAGCGGATCCGCGAGTTTTGGTTCCAATTGCGGGAAGAGGAGCGTAGATCTCTAGTTCGAGTCGAGAAGGAAGCTGTCCTGAAAAAGATGAAAGAGCAGCAGCGACACTCCTGCTCATGCTCTCTCTGCGGGCGGAAGCGGTAAGCATTGTCACTCTGGACCGACGAGGAGACTATCTCGCAGGAGTGTTCTCTTTCTATTTTTTTTTCTGATCGGATTCAGATCTGCTGATCTCTAAACACCTCTTATTGATCGCTGATGTCGAAATAGAACTGCGATTGAGGAGGAGCTGGAGCTTTTGTACGACGCCTACTACGACGAACTGGAGCAATATGCCAATCAGCAACAGCCATCGGATGGACACGCCCTCACATATGGTCAACATGCCCCAGCCTTTGAGGATGACGAGCTATCGGACGAATCCAGGGGCTCGGACGAGGAGGATGACGAGGACGACGAAGATGAAGACGAAGATGACGATGAGGACGATGACGACGAAGACGAGGAAGAAGATGATGAGTATGAGGACGAGGATGACGAGGAAGAGTATGAGGACGAAATCAGCAATCGCCAGGCGCCCTTCCCATACCGTAGTGGCTTCCCCAACACACTTCAGGCCAAAGGTACGAAGTCACTAATTTCGAGCTTGATGTGCACGCATTCGGTCAATTGATCCTGACCCTTTTCGCCTTGTTCAACTACACATAGGCAACATCCTGACAGTCGCGGAGGATCTACTTGAAAATGACGGCAAAAAGTTCCTCGAGATGATGGATAGGCTTGCCGACCGCAAAGTTCAAAGAGACGACGACTTGATGGACAACCGGGGTGTCTACGAAGAATACGATGATGAAGACGATGGTGAATTCGAAGACGACGGCCCTGAAGAGGTAATATGCTAGGGACACAATTGTACAAGTCATGCAGGGAATTCATGCGGGAATGAATACTTATTTGTACCAAGGTTCCATTTTATCAATATTGACCATGGCTATCACCTATTTTACTCGATTTTAGGATGCACTGACAAAAGAGCAGCGGATGGAAGAGGGACGGCGCATGTTCCAGGCCTTTGCTGCACGAATGTTTGAGCAACGTGTCTTGAGTGCATATCGAGAAAAAGTCGCTCAGGAAAGACAGGAGCGCCTTTTGGCAGAACTAGAAGAGGAGTCACGTCAGGAGCAGCTTCGCGAGGAAAGGAAAGAACGAGAAAAAGAAAAGAAGCGTGACAAGAAGAGGTAACCTTTGTTCTGTTGTCTAGCGGCGCGAATATATTGTTGATTCAGGTCACCACGCAACTTAGTGCATCTAGACTAACGTCATGTTCTCTTTGCATTTATCCTTAACTAGACTGCAGCGCCAACAAAAGGAGGAAGAAAGAGCAGCGAAGGAGGCCCAGCGGTTAGCAGAAGAGAAGCGGGTTCAGGAGGAACGCGAGCGCAAGCAGGAGGCCGATCGGAAACGGAGAGACGAAGAACGGCGAGTCAAGGAGGAGGAGAAGAGGCTACGAGAGGAGGAGCGCATCAAAAAGGAGGAAGAGCGGAAACGCAAGGCCAAGGAAGACAAAGCTCGTGAAGCCGAGAAGGAGCGCAGGCGGAAGGAGGAGCAGCTGGTCAAGGAGAAGGAAGAACAACTTGCCAAGGAGAGGGAGGAGGAACTTGCCAAGGAGAGGGAGGAGCAGCTTGTCAAGGAGAAAGAAGAGCAAGCCAAGAGGGCGGAGGATGCACGGCGGCAGGAGCGCGAGGCGTACCTGAAGCAGCAGCTCGCCTTGGAGCAATTGCGACAAGAAGAGTTGCGGTTGCAAGAACAGCTGGCTAAGCAGGAGCTGGCCTTGGAACTCGAACTCCAGCAGGAAGAAGAGCGACAACGAGGAGCCCTTGCAACTACGATGGCTGCCACGACCACCAATACCTCAGCCGCTCAGGATACCATTCCTCAATCTCCCTCCCCCAAATCGTCATCACCCACTACAGGACTCACTAATGCCATTGGCGAATCACAGAGTGGATCGCCCAAGGTCTCTCCTTCACCATTACCAGGTGGTGTCGGTGAGACTTTGAAAGACCAATCTGCTTTGGCACAAGGCCTATCGACCTCAGTTCACAACCCCTTGTGGTCCAACTCATACCCAGCCCAGTCAAATCCACAGGCTCATGTTCAGTCCCAACACTCTCTTGCGCACCAGCACTCTATGTTCCAACAGCCTGTTCAACATGGCCTGTTCCGACCACCGACACACTTTGGTCATATTGGAGGCGAGCATGACGCATTTTCGTCGCGTATCGGCCATTCAGCTGGTCGCGGCGGTTTCTTGGCAGGACCCTCACACCCGAGCCATTCACCCTTCCAAGTGGCCCCGCAGCACCCGTCATCCTCCAGCCAGGTTCCTCAGTCGATGGGTGGTCTGCGGTCACCAGGCCTAGGTCCCATTGGGTACGGCCAAAACAACACTTCAACCAAGCAAATGATGACACTCATGAACACCAACTCATCAGCAGCTCACGACCTACCGAACAAATCCGGCTCGCCTTTGCACAGCCCTTCAAGTCTTGGAGCTATCGGGACGCCTATCAACTCGTTTGGCCCCATCTCACCAATTGGCCACGCCAGGAGGACATCCACGCCACATGGACCTACAACGGACGCGATCAAGCCCATCCAGCGTCCAGTACCTATTGGAAGGCCAAAAGATTCTGCACAGAATGCGAGTGCTGGAATCATCTCCAGCAGTTTCGATGGTCTGACATTGGGACTTTCCGGCCTCGCTGTTGGTGCCGAAATCGAGAGACGATCTAGATCGCCTCCCCTGAACCTTACCGGCGGATCTGCTCTGGATTTGGATGGCGTGGTTCTTGGAAACAAGGATACATTGCGGTTGACGAATGGAGGAAGTGAGAGCCATTCGTTCTCAAACGATGCGACTGCATCTACAGGACTGCGGCAACTAGATCCATCGGAGCCTCTGCAGAGCCTCAGCCCTTCGAACCCAGGCTCGTTCTTCACCAACTCGTTCTTTGGAGGCCGAATGAACGGTCATGGTAAGACGCGATACCCTGAACATTCGATATCAGACATCGCCCCCATGTTATCTCTCAACCACGTAGCTAACGTTCTCAGTTTCCTTGATAGTCCCTTTTATGTCAACAGGAGATTTTTCGACCTATGGCCAGCAACAGCCTGGACATGGATCGGCCCCATCTGCCACACACTTCATGTCCCCCTATGCGATGAACATCTCATCGCCACCACAAAACCAGCTTCAACATCTCCAGCAACAGCAGCAGCGCACATCTCAACAGCAACAGCAGCAGCAACAGCAGCAATTGTATCTGCAACAGCAACAGCAGCAGCAGTACATGCAGGAGTTGCATTTACAGCAACAACAACACCAACTCCAGCAGCACCAGATTCAGCAACAACAGCACCAGTTGGGTTTGAGCTCTCCACCCTTGAATGGATCCCATACTTGGGGACGAACGAACTTTATGCGGCCGCCTCACATGAACGGTGGTGGGGCTAATGTCTCGTCCACCATGGGCTTGTCTTCGCCCCCCTCAAGGGCCCTATCGCCGCCACCAGCTCTCAGCAACAGTGGAAACGTCAGCAATGGCCAACACAGTCCCCTGATGCCGATCAGGCCACCCAACGGAGGAGCAAACAGTCATATGCATCAACAACACTCGTCTCATGGATTTAACCACTTCCCAAGTCATGACTTGGGATTGTCTGTGGGGTCGGGTCGCAAGTCTGTGAGCCATTTGCCGACGATGCGGATGCATGGTGGAATGGATGGAATTGACACGAGTCTCTTGTCTCCGAGGAACAACAGCGTCAGTGGAGTCGGACAGGCAATGGATAGCGACCGACATCCGAAGGGATTCTCGAGTGGATTCGGAGCCCATCTCTTGCAGCAGAAACAGCAACAACAACAGCAGCAGCATCATCCTCATCAATTTCACCAACAGCATCCTTTGGGGTCGATTGGCGATGTTGGAGGTCCAACAGGCGGAGCCGTAGGTGGCGGCGGTGGAGCGCCTTGAGAGACGACTTAATCGTTATAATTTTCTTATCATCGCCTTCCACATTTCCATTTGTTTCTCCCATTTGCCACTTGCCTTAGTTGTTGTTTTCTCTTGTCCCTCTTTTTGTTTCTGTAGCACCCACGTCCCATTCCCTTATCATCCATTTATCCCAATAATGTACAAACACAGCACCAAAGTAATGATAAATAATATATATATTGATATATTTTAAAAGTGGTATGCTTCGCGATATGATTTTGTTCGTTTTTTTTTTTTTTTTTTTTTTCCTTACAAGGTCTCGTCGCCGTACATCTTGCCGTACCGTCCAAGTGCCCAAATGGTAAAAATATGCTTATAGTTTCCATAAGAGATTGAGCAAGAGTGGTTAAAGATTCCCTCAATAGCCTCCTGCTTCCACTGTCCATCAGGCTGCTGACGCCTCATAAGCATCCGGATACCGCGCTGGATCGCGGCCTTGTCAGGGCAGCGAGCCGCCAAAAGTGCCATGAGGGCCCAAGAAGTCTGAACGACTTGAGTCTCCTCGTGCTCGACGTAGCGGTGCTGTTCACAGGACTTGTAGGACTCGCCCCAGCCGCCGTCCTCGCGCTGCTTGGAGAGGAGGAACTCGCAGGCGCGGCGGACGGGGTCCGAGTTGTCGTAGTATTGGCCGACGCTTGAGAGGGATTCGCAGGCGAACATGGTTGCGTAGGTGAAGCAGATTGCCCAGGAGCCGTACCAGGATCCGTCCGCGCGTTGGTCTGACAGGATAAAATTGACTGCACGGTCGATCGTGGCGCTATATAATTTTGGAAGGTGTAGTAGGAGATCAGTGTCCAAGTCATTTTTTTTTCTTTTTCATGGAAGCGCGACGTTGACAAGTCATGGAACATATTTCTCTCTCTCTCTCTCTCTCTCTCTCTCTCTCTCTCTATTTCTCTCTTAGTTTTTGCCAAAGGAGAAAGAAGAACTTACTCGATCTCATCGCGGCGGTAGTTGGGGCGCTGATCACGGAAGTAGGAGAGTCCGAGGACACAGGCGGTGGAGCACTCGGGGTAGCAGTACTCGATCATGATGTTTCCAAAGACCTCGGCGGGGTTGATCCACTCCAACCAGGCGGGGCCACGGACACTCTCGTATGAGGCGAATCCTCCGCTCGAGTTTTGCATCCCCAACACAATATCGACTGCCTCCTCCATCCTCTTCACCGAGACCAAGTCCTCCGTGTAGCTATTACCATAAATAAAATAAGAAAAATAGCGCGGTTAAAATATGAGTGTTGTACGAATGGTTGCCACCACTTTTCGCGCTCGGTTGATCATTTAGGAAATCAGGATCCGTTTTCCTTACCTGAGCTTGCCCTGGAGGAGAAGGACGGCTTTGAGACCTTCAGCGGTGCAATCCGAGACGGTGTAACCCTGGTGCTTGTTACTGAAAGCCCAAGCACCCATGGTGGGGTCACGATAACCCTCCTTCATAAAAGGAGGGTTCTTTCGGATCTGCTGGACATCCAAGAAGGTAAGGACACGCTTCATCGACTCGTGGTTTTGCTTCTCATGCGCCAATCCCGACTCGATGACTCCCTGGGTCAACAACGCAGTGTCCCACAACTGTGAGCCGTTTGTTCCGTTCATCATCATTCCCTCGCTCGACATCCTACATTTGTACACAAGTTTAACGTTAGTACGCTGTCTGTGTAGCGTGGCATAGCATTCAAAGAGAAGTCTTTTGTCGATTATAATAAGTAAGCAGTCCAAGTAAACGTACCACATGAAATCGATGTTGTATTTGACATGCTTCTTGAAAGCCTCCGATTCCTTGCCCTCCTCATAATACGTCGACAACATGTTCATAACCTTGTTGACAGGTCCAATATCCAAATAATGCGTGTTCTCATCCTCGTACTTGACCTGGGCATAAGCAGCTCTCAAAGCCGCCTTCCTGACCATCGATCGCGAAGTAACCTTCTCCGCAATAACCAACCCCCCATTCAAAAAGTTCAGCAGACGTGTATGAGGGTAGTACTCATCAGCTTTGCAGATGTTGTTGCGTTGCTGGTACCAGGGGATGGACTCGTAAGGCTGGGTGTAGATTTCCTCACGCAGCTTGCGGGTGAGGTCGTTGAGGGGGAAGGTGGCACGACGGCCGTAGAGGTAACTCATGGGAATGTAGACGTTACGGGTGTGGCACCAGTAGCGACCGGGGTGGATGGGGAGGATGTGGGGCAAGAGCCAGAGCTCTGGGGGAACGGGGTTCATACCCTCCCAGTCGTATACTCCCAATGTTGCCATCCAGAACTTTCCCCATGATGGCGATCCCGTTGCTCCTCCTATATTTAACAACGAATAAGGAAGTAGGTGTTAGATTGGGCATGTGGGTTGTTTTCTCAAATGGAGGAGGAGGAGGAACATCGCTTTCGCTTGGAATGTAAGGGAGTTGTTCGTCATACCGAGCTTGTGGAGGGTGCCCCGGGCACGGACACAGACGGGGTGCTCGGCATCGACGCCCAAGAGACGAAGCGCAATGTAATTCAATGCCGTTCCAAACACCGTCGAGTGACCCTCAATGTGCCTAGTAGACAAGATATGTAACATAAGTACATTAGGAACACATGCCAGAAAGCATACCTCTTGAAGCAGACTTTACAATTCTTTGAAAGAAAACTTACAAGCCCCATCCGCCGTCGTCCTTGTGGGCACGGTTGAAGAGGTATTGGATGATCTCCTGAGCCCATCCGTTGGGCATCTTCTCGCCGGTGATGTAATAAGTGATCACAAGACCGGGAAGCAAGAACATGGGTCCACCATACTCTCCAGACCAGAAGCCTTCCTCGTTTTGGAGACGCTTAAAGAATTCGTATCCGTTCCTGGCTGCCTCCTGAGCCGTCTTTGGCTTTGTCAACTCTGGTGCATCCTATATCAATCATATTGGGGATCAAAGTAAGAAAGGTCAGTATGGGTGGGGGTATGTGAGAGTCAAATGCTGCTGTCAAAGAGAGAAGGATTGAAGAGGAGAGATGGCATGTAGTGTTTACCAGCTTGAGGCCGAGCCAGTACTTTTCAATGTCAGTCTGGGGGTTGGCCTTGTGCTCCTCTTCACTGAGGTAGTGCCAGATCTGTCTGCCGTCGTCGGCCCTCAGGCGCCAGCGGGTCCTGTCTGTCGGGGTGTGGACGTTTGTCTGGTTGATAGTTGCCCCTGTCATGTGCAGTTATTTGTGAGGGAGTGAGTGGGTGAGTGGGGGTGGGGGGTATAGGAGACGTGAAAGTGAGAGTCGGGGAGAGTGGAGAGTGGAGAGCGGAGAGGGATGGGTGAATGGAGGAAAGAGAAGGGTGATGAATGAGCGAGATTCCGGGGCAAACAAAGACCAGTCGCCAGTATTTAAAGGCAATTGATCAATCAATCAGGCACAGAGTTATTATTTTTTTTTGGCGGGGCTGCAAACGTCAAAGGCGAAGTGGCCTGATTTTTTTTCTGGTTGGGTTCTCACAAAGGGCAAATCATTTTTGCACGCCCCTATGCTCAATATTAATATATGCGATAGTCGCACAGGCAGGGAACGAGACAAACACAAGAGCGCACGGAACCTGTTGGCCCACAAACCCACTTCCTACGACTGAGAACGTGAAAGGGAGCGAATCGCAGACACAGGCCCAGCATGTCAATTGGCATGGCTTGTAAGCTTCCCCTTTTTTCCTATAAAAAATGGAAGTGGGCTGATCTATGTCTTCTTACCCCGACCTTGACCCTTCTCTATAATCAGATCCATTCTCTGCGTCAAAGGGGGATCTTCAGCCGAGCCGGACAGCAAACAAACAAGCCATAAAAACAACAAACAAAGAAGCAGCCTTTTGTTAACTGGCAACATGAGATCCCGACACCCTTCTTATCCTTTTATGCCATCGAACGATTCCTTTTATTCGCTCCGCGGTTATCGACTCCAAAAATATCGATGCGACACGACTTCTGCCCTTTTCTACGCCTTCCAGAGCAAGACGCGTCCATCGACGGTATAGATAGCCAACACGTTCGATAACGGATGCGAAGCCATTCCAATCACCTCGCTGTCCGCAATGGGGATCGACTTGATCACCTTTGCAGTATCCGAATAAAAACAGTGCACCTGGCTATTCTCGGCTAGACAGTACACAATCTCCGCCTGGGGTGATAACGCCACAGCCACATAATCCGTCAGCGGTACGCCCAACCCTTCCTTCCTCGCCGAATCAGTTCCTGCTGCTGCCTTGGCCACCGTCGCGTCCTTGACCGCGCCCTCGGTCAGACTCTCGGGTGATGTGAACTTGCGGATCGGTGCGCCGTCCATGGTCAACAGATAGGCTGTGGGGGATTTCAGACAGACGAGGACTTGGTTGGGTTTGGGGAAGGGTATGCTCGAGTTCACAGTCAGACCTGCCGCGCCTGCCATTGTGCCTGTACCGTCGTGCGGTGAGAAAGATCTTATGCAGCCCGCTGTCCTGTAATCCCAAATCTATATATTCATCGTTCGCAAAAATAACACGTAGTTTAGCAACGGTGGAATAAGATTCGGAGTCGATCATAGTATCTGTGTGTTGAGATGTTTGGGGTTACCTTGATAGTGCCATCTGAACTGGAGGTGATAACCTGAGTACCATCGAGAGAAAAGGATGCATGGTTCACAAACGAAGTATGTCCTCTAAACTCTCTGAGCATCTTGCCCGACTTCAATCCATGCAACCTACCGTCGGAGAGAAGAATGAGCGAAAGGGGTGTTAATAAAAGGCTCACAGCAAAGACAAGATTCACATGACAACACAAATCCAGCATGAACATGTTACCTAACAACCAGATCAAAGGACGCGCTGAGGATCTGGGTACCATCCGGCGAAAAGCAGACAGATGTGACACCTCCTTGATGAGCAGGCGAGTATCGTCGAAGACATTGTCCTGTTTGAATCTTCCAGACTTTGATTTTTCCGTCCTGTGCTCCTGACGCCAACATCTCGCTGTCCTTGCTGAAACCCAAACAAAGAACTGCTGACTCCATAGCCATCAAATTGTCCTATTGTTATTAGATTGTAAATGATGTTAGCACTATGTCACACATAGTATTGGGGAGACTGTCAACACAAAGTCTACTCGTTACCTCGGCCTGATATTTGAGATCCTTGCGAAGCTTAGCCGTGAGGTAGTTCCAGATCTCAATAAAACCATCCGCGCTTCCTGTGACAAGATATTGACCGTTTGGGGAAAATGCAACACATTCTGCATGCTGATTCTTGGGGAACTATGATATCATACAAACAAGGCCAGAATGATACTGTCAGCCAGTTACCAGCAGCCAAACAAACATTTAGGTATTAGAATGAGTCAAGTAGTAGTTACCTTGATGGTGTTGTAGCATTTTGAAGGAACATCGTCGGTCTCTGCCTGAACAACAGGCACGGTACCTCTGAAGAGGTCATATGCAGAATCGGGTGGCAACATTCCCTGTTGCTCTTGAAACTTCAGCGCCTGTCCAAGAAGAGTCATCAGTCTCGAGGGTGCCACGACAGTGACCTCACTGGACAGTGCCTGAGCAATGATTTGTCTCCGCTTTTCCTTCGACACGCCGTTGGGGTATGCCTCCTTGGGATCAAACTGCGAACGCGAAAGCACATGCTCCAGATGCAAGTATCGATCCGGAAACTGATCCCGAAGTAGTTGAGTAGGGTTGGTCTGACGCAGCAGTGTCCTTGCTGTTCCAATCTCCTTAAGTTCTACAAGCTCGATGACAATCTGAATTGCATATGGTGACGTTAGTTGCGCTCCATGTTGGGATTCAAGCGATCCTATCATTTGCAACGTTATAATACTTTACCTGCTCATAAAGGTCCATGAGCTTCTTCTCGGGAATCTTTAGCTGGGAGACGATACGGAGAACATTATCCCAGTGGCCTTGCAAAATCTCGGACGAAAATGCCTCGACACTCTCCACGGTGTTCATCGCCACGGTCGTTTCCTCCTGCAATGATCAATCGATAATAATGCAAATGAAAAAGGAAAAGGAAAAAAAAATATCATTAGCAAATTAATTCCCGAAACTCGTCAAGGAGTAAAAAGTATTGCTATGGTGTTTTAGCTTACCTGAAGAGTCGCAAGAGTCCTGAGGAGGTTGTTTTCCTTCAAGAACTGTTGGATAAGGCGAATCACACTATGGGTTGAATAAAAGGCGGTTGGTTCAAGGGAATATTTTTTCTCCTGTGAGTTTTGCTTGTTGTATGTTTTTCAAGTCTTGTGTTTATGTTTGCTGTCACCTTTTCATTCCAAGAGGCGAATGCTGATGGTGCGTGGACGTACTCGCTAGATTCGATTTCCATGGTGTTCGTGTTTGCCGACGACATTGTGTACTTGTGATTTTGCTGATCCCTTCGAGGTGATCCTGTGTGGAGTGAAGAGAGGTGAACTGGAGGCTGGGTGTTTGTTCTCGTTGCCACGAAATCGAGTGGTGAAGGGAGATGGATCTGTGCCATGTGCAATTACGAAAACTCGTCGTAGTAAAGATGTGCAATTAGAGAAACAAGCGGCGTCATTGTGCCCGTGTATGACTTTTTTTTTTTTCCTTCGACAGTGCTCTCCCGCCTTCTTGCCTCGCTCTCGTTTCTTATTTTTTGTTTCTTTACTCTTCTCCATCGACATAACCCTTACACACACTGAAGCACCCATCACATACACCAAGTACAATTCATATCATACACCTCAACAACAAACAACAACAGCACGCAACTCACTACTCATCATGTCTCAAGCTAACGACGCCGCAGGCCCTGCTGCCAGCAACATGAAGCCAGTCCAAGTCAAGCTGGTCCTCCTTGGTAATTGAGCACCACCTCTCTGGCTCCTTTTATTCTCTCTCTCTCTCTCTCTCTCCTTCTCTCCTTCACCTATCTCGCCCACTTTCAGGACACCACCCAGTGAGCAACATAGTCAAGACAGTGCCTGTTTACTATGTCCAAGGAAGCAGTCTAAACAACCAGCCAGGATCGAATGAGATTCGCAATGGAGTGGCGCACAGTGCAACAGAGCGGTCGGGCTTGGCATGCTCTGCACCAAGTTGACCTTCTCAATCGACTCTATTTTCATGCTGAGGGAATCAACCCGTCAAAAGTCGACACTTTGTGCTCCTCCTCGGGACTGTCACCAATAACAACGAAAATAATATCAAAAGGTGTGCTTTTTGTACTCACAGGAGCCTCGTCATAAGGACCTACTCTGTCCAACCCGACACTCTTCTTTTTGTACTATTCCCAGGTGCCAGTGTAACGTGGCTCACTCTTTGGAGGCGATAAGAGACAGAGAATTCATGTGAAGTGACGGAGTGAATTAGTGCCGAGGTGGGGGAAGGGGTGTCAGACAGGGAAAAGAACAAGCAAAGAAGGTGTTCATTTCAATATGAACTGCATGTCTGTGCTTCTATCGAGGCCAGTGGTCGGAAGGGGTATGGTGGCAGGAAGCAGACCGCATAATGTACGACCTCTGTGGATGTAACCGATGACGAACATGGGACGAAAAAGCGAGAAAAAAGAATGGTTTTTGGATACACAAAAAAAGGCCACAAACTAAACACAACAAAATCTCATATCAAACACCATCTTGGGTACATGGGTCTTCAGGAGTGGAGCGATAACATGACTTGGACTTGCAGCGACACAGTCCAACAACATCATTTTATATTAACATTGACAACAACAAAACAACAGGGAACTAAAAGGGCAAGGGCCATTGGGAATCTGTATTTATATACATAGAGGGATGCAGATGCGCATGTGGGGAGATAGGCGGTTGTCAGAAACCATTCCGCGCACCCTTCCTTATGTCGACAACCCATGGGCCATGCAGACACAAATGAATGGCCATTTGGTGGTGACCCGTGCGGTGCTGAATAAATATTCTAACCCAAGGACAACAACTCTACTTTTTTTTTGTTCTAATCATAGGCGAGGCCGCTGTTGGAAAGTCGAGTCTTGTTCTTCGATTTGTGAACGACGAGTTCCAGCTCAACAAGGAGCCAACCATCGGAGGTGAGTTCGAGATTGGATAAAAAAAAACGGGCGTAGCGTGGCATGGTGTGCGTGCGTGCGTGCGTGCGTGCGTGCCTGTCTGTGACTAATTCAACTCTTCGATCGACATCTGACTGACTCTCCTTCACGTCTCCCTTTTTTTCTTATCACATTTTCATCTGCTGCTACTGCCTACCCCCCTTTTCATGTACAAAATGACATGCATGGTCGTCAATAGCCGCCTTCTTGACCCAGAAGTGCCGCCTGGAAGATAAGGTCATCAAGTTCGAGATCTGGGATACCGGTATGGATTTGCGTTCTGTTTACAACCCTGCAGTCATGAGGATGCTCACTCTCATTCTTGTTTTTCAGCGTTTTGCTCATCATCATTATCCCGTCGTTTATTATTTTCTTCCGCTCTTAGCTGGACAAGAGCGTTTCCACTCGTTGGCGCCCATGTACTACAGAAACGCACAGGCTGCTGTAATCGTCTACGATGTCACCAAGGCTGTAAGTGTCCATCATGACTTTGAAATAAGCCGATTTTCTCATAAAACCTATTACTGCGTAAACTTGATTCTTGAACGACGAAACCACACGACGGCCTAACTTGAAAAAACTAACAATGTTTGTGCTTTCAATATTTTTTCTTACTATTCCAGTCATCACTGGAGAAGGCCAAGTCGTGGGTGAAGGAGTTGCAGCGTCAGGCCAACCCCAACATTGTAATTGCACTGACAGGAAACAAGGTTGATTTGGTTGCCAACCGCAAGAGCCGGACTCACAACGACGGCGAGGTTGACGAGGATGGCGAGCAGGACGCGCAGGAGATTGATGAGGATGAAGAGGACGATGAGGACTATGCTATTACTCGCCAGGTCCCTACTGAGGAGGCCAGCGCTTATGCTCAGGAATCTGGATTGTTGTTCTTTGAGACGTCGGCCAAGAACGGCCAGGGAGTCGCAGAGGTGTTCACAGAGATTGCCAAGAAGATTCCTTTGGAGCACATTCTTTCGTCGAGCCGAGGCGCACGCGCAGGAGGAGTCAACGGCAGCAATGGCCGCGTGGACCTTCAGAACGGTGCCAATGGGCAGCGTCTCGGAGGTCAGCAGGAGAAGGGTGGCTGTGCCTGTTAAACGCCCTTTAACGTTTCTGTCGACATTTCTTTCACATTCTCTCTATCTATATCATTTTGGACTCTTGGGCTTAGCACACTGCCCCTGCCACTGCCCCTGCCACTGCCCCTCCCTTTTCTCACACACCCTCTCTTGTTTCCGGCACTGATCACAAGTTTGTGGCATTTCGATCGACACCGCCTCCTTTTTTTTCTCTTATTTTTCACATAGCCCTTGTATTCTCTACCATGACGACTTTTCGTACGCCTGTTGTTTGCGTTTTAGCCCATGGGTCTCCTCGGAGGTGAAAATGCACAACAACTCTCATTACATAGCAACGCAAGCAAAGCCAACAAAACGAATAAAACAATATCACCGCAAAATAGAGAAGGTATGGCCAGGATGTTGAGAATGACCTGGGGCAGGATGAAGGCACGGGTTGTAAAAGTGAAATGAGTGGGTGATTGACCCTTCCGGTAAGGCCAGGCCGCCCAAAAAAAAAAAAAGGCAAGTAAGCAAATAAACAGACAAACGAAACAAACAAATGACGATGAAAATGGAGGGAGAAGGAAGGAAGGACATGAAAAAATGAAAAGGCGAAAGGGGGCTAAAATGATGTTGGATGCAGTAGTGCAAAAAGAAAAAGAAAAAAGTGGCGGTAGATTTTGAAGAGCCATAGGCTGGTCTCCGATGAGTAAGTCAGTAAGAAGGTGTGTGATGCGAGCTTGTTGGGAGCAATGGAAGGCGAGCCATCATTGTTAGGCTCGATTAAAGTGATCAAAGCTACATTAGACGTGAATAATGCATATGAAATAAAATAAAAAAAAAAAAAAAAAAAAAAAAAAAAGAAGGGCCAGGGGCAGGGACCGGATCCAATGGAGAGAGCGATAGGGTTCACTTTATTAATTGCCTTGATTCGTCTCGGACATATTCATTTTGCTTGTGTGGGCGCCAGAGAGTGGCGATGTTTGAGAAGTACACCGAGTGGGAGGGGTGGCACTTTTTTTTTTTTTTTTTTTTTTTTTTTCATGGCAGCGACGAAAAATAAGGATGGGGGGAAGGGAGGGGTTTACGAGTGGATTGATATCTGTGTGTATGCGTGTATTGAGTAAGCGAGCAGCATGGCTGTCTGTTTGTCTGTCCATCTGTCAGAATGGGCTGACCTCTGTCATCATGTCAGCTCCTCTGGTTCGCTGCATGGCAAATGTTTATTTTGTCGTTGTTTGCTCGTTTGTTGCTCGTCCTTGTTTTATGGCTGCCACCGATATTCCTTTGTGCGCCCTTCTTTTCCTTTTCTTTCGCTCCCTCTTCTTTCCTTTCTTCTTTCTCTTCTCTTCTTCTTCTTCTTCTTCTTCTTTCCTGTTCTCCTTCTCATAAGGCAAACCCTCATCTCCCTTCCTCTCTCTTCACGTACTCACTCCCTCCACACCCTCCACATCTTTAACGTTCACTCCTCCTTTTCACTCCACTTTACTTCATACTCAACACTGCATATTCATTCGCTCTCGCCTCACCCACCCACCCTCAACTCACATTCCCATACACCAACATACTCTTTCATATACACCTACAACAGAAATGATTAAGAACATCGGAAAGCTCAAGCAGGTACATCAATCAACAACCAACCGCCATTTTCATTCCATTCAGCCTCCTACCCCAGCTTGTGCCTTCTTTCCCCGCCCCTGCTTTTAGTCCCTTTTTTTATTTGGCTGTGGGTCAGCAGCCGATTACGCTACCTGTTATGCAGCCCCAAGCAAAGACCAGAAAAAAAAGAAGAGGAATGGCGAAAACTCCCAGCACACCTGCAGACCACAGACAGACCACAGACAACCACTCACCTTCATACATACGCACCGGCGGGCAGACAGACAGACAAGCAGCCCACGAAACGACACACAATTCAACAAACGCTTTGGACAATGATCTTGTTTCATCACACCATTCAACTCTTCCATTCTCATTTCAACGTTGTTGTCGATACTGTCTTGTGGTCTCTAGTCCCTTTGTTCTATCTCTGCACTATATATTATATGTGTGTACGATCCTTTTGTTAAAAATAGTCTAATCCTCCGTATATTAACGTGGACGCCCCAACGCCTTGCTCCTCTGGCTCTCTTTTTTTTTACGCTTTTTCTATTTTCTCTATGTGCTTGTTCTTTACGAACGTTACGGCCGAACGCATACATAGTGGACCGGAGAGAAGATGGGCGGCAAGGGTCCTAAGTCTCGCATGGATGAAGACTTTCACAACCTAACAAGCGAAACAGAGGCCAAGCGGGTTGCCCTCGAGAAGCTCAACGATACCTCCCAAGCCTACCTCAAGGCCATCAGTAAGTAAATCGCCTGTCAATCACGCTGTTCCTGAGACCCATTTTCACACATTCATTCCGTCCGTCCCTTCGCCCCCCTTTCACCTTCCAGTTCTTTTTCATTCCTCCCTCTCCCTCTCTCTCTCTCTCTCTCTCTCTCTCTCTCTCTCTCTCTCTCTCTCTTCATTCACCTATCCTGCAACAACATGTGTCATGTATTGGTGGTGCACTTGTCCTCCTTTTTCCCATTTTTCTTCCATTGTCTGTTGACAATCTCGGAGCAGAGTTGATTTTTGCACACAGTTGGATAGCTCTTTCTCCGTCCTTTCACTCTTGATGGGACTGTCTACATGATCATCCAGCTGGCTGGATGGCAACTTCCAGTTCCCCCTTTTTTATGCGAAGGTGTTGTGAGATCCGTGTAGACCAACCACAATGGTGGCAGGCAGATAGAAAAGGAGGAAGTTAAAAAGGTGATGGCGTGGTGCCATTGTCGTGTTGCCATTTGACTCTTTTCTTTTCCCACATGTTACTGTTCCAATGTCGCCCATAACATTTGAGTTTTCGTTCGCTAATGCAACTGAACGAGTCTAAATTCACACAGACACGATGCATGCATTCTTCGATACCTGAAAGAGTATCGAAAAGGGCCAGAGTCAGATGGAGAGAGAGAGAGAGAGAGAGAGGAACTGAGCAAAACGAGGCCAAAATCAATGAGCAGGTTCATCTTTCACGATCGCTAGAAAGAGACTGAAAGAGGGGCAATAATGAAGTGTGTATAAAAAATCAAGAGCGTGCGTGAGGGAGTGGAGTCATAAGAGGAACCAACCAACGCTGCTCTATGGTTTCTTGCTTCTTTGCTGTCGTTTATTTCCTTAGCCTTTCTCTTCGATAGAGAGGGAGAAGAAGGATACGACCAGTGAGCAAACAATAACATGAGCATTCATGAGCACTTTTCTTTTTTCGTGTTCTTTATTTACAGTACAGGCGTTGTTTCTCTATGTGTCTTTTTTCTATGCTTTTCTGCATTGTGTCTCTTCAATGTTGATATTTTTTGCTCTTCGCTTCTCTTCCCTCTCATTTTTCCAAGTGCAGAGTGTTGTTGCTGTTTGTTGTTTATGGTCGGGGGTAAAATATGGTAAAAGGAAAAATGAAAAAAGAACAAAAGGAACAAGCAAAAGTAGAACCAGAACAACGAGAGCGAACGAATGAACAAAGCCTGGCCTCCTACTTTATGTTTCTCTGCGCCCCACATTATATATTACATATATTAATCCAGCGTTCCGGGCATTCACTCAAGTCCGTCTCATTGGGCAACCTTTTTTTCATTTTGTTCCCGCCAATTTCAATCAAAAAGAAAACTCTATTTGACTCACCTCGATGGGTTGGGGGAACTGAACAAGAGTGGGCTTTTGCCTTGCTTACTCTTTCGCGATCCTAATCAGTCTTTAACTCATCTCTTCGTAATTTCATTAATAGGCAAACGCGTAGAGGGAGATGACAAGCACAAGGGCCTCGCCATCGAGACGTTCGGCAAGAGTATGTCGTCGCAGAGTTACACCATTCGTGAAGGCTCCCCTTATCGGACAGCACTGCAGCGGATGGGCGATGCCCATCAAAACATTGGCGCCGCTCAGTCTGAACTGGTAATGATTCCAATGGCTCTGATGCTTTACTATTCTGGTCATGTTCAATTTGTCATACGACTCGACCAAAAATATTCTTAGTACTCATCATGTTGTGATGTGATACATCCTTTTTTCAATGCTTAGATTACACGGTTCGAGAGCTCGTATTTGGATAGTCTGGAAAAGTCTCAGGCACAGATGAAAGAGTACCAAACGCTGCAAAAAAAGCTGCAGTCGAGGCGACAGGACTATGACGCAAAGCTGGCCAAGGTTCAAAAGGCGAAAAAGGAAAAGCCGGAATGGGAGGAGGAGATGCAGGCCGCCAAGGCCAAGTACGAGGAAACAAGAGAGAATGTCCTCAACCTGATGACCACAATTAATGAATCGCAGGTAAGAAAGAAACGCACGCACACAAGTTCAGCACGGTTCGCCATATCAACAACAACAATTGTTTATTTTGTTTGTTTATTGTAGCATGGTTGAGAGGACAATTATTAATATTGCCATTTTACGTGACGCTGACCGTTTAGGAGGATAACATGACCAGCCTAAAGTCGTACCACGAGGCCCAGCTAGCCTACGCCCACAGGATGGTGGAAATTCTGGAAGCAATTCCAGAGAGCACCTTCCAACTCTCTCCCAACGGATCGCGTGCTTCACTCTATACCAGCAACGGCAATGGGAACTCAAACGGGAACGGAGCCACGAAAAAGTGGGGGCGACAGGACTCACTCGAACCCGAGGATGACCGCTCGATGTACTCGGACGACCAGTCCAGCACCCACTCAATACCCAATGGACGCCACCCCCTTGACAGAGCACCCTCTACTGCTGACTTGCGCCGGAATAACAACAACCAGACGAACGCAGAGTTGAGCCGGTCCATGTCCCACCTCACACCCAACGCAGCACAGACGCGAAAAAATAGTGGGGGCAACGGAAGCGTCCGGTCGAATGGATTTATGGCTCCTCCTCCACCTGTGCCTCCAAGCCGAGGTCGAACCCAGAAGCAGGTCCGAGCCCTTTACAATTTTGACGCGACTGCCGAAGGAGAGCTCTCCCTCCAGAAAGGCGACATTGTTCGGATCGTGGAGGAGATTGACGAGGGCTGGTGGGAGGGCGAGCTGGTTGACTCGCACGGTGTTCGACATGCAGGCATGTTCCCATCCAACTACTGCGAGGAGGTCTTAAGCGACTCTGGATCGACTCATCGCCAGGGATCGATCAACTCTCAGTCTTCTGACCCAGGTCGATACGTAGACGAGGATGAGGCTGCGTACTATGAACGCGAGACCGAGCCCACCGTCCATTATGACGAACCCGAGGAGGAGATTATTCAGGCGCCAGTACCAAGGCGGGCACCTCCACCTCCTACGAGACAGCCCTCCACGCTTGCGCCACCAGTACCATCATGCAACGGAGCTGCCGCTAACGGATACAATGGCGGCGCGTCTACGCTTGCAGTAGCACGTGCTACTCCTCCTCAGAGTCGCCCTACATCGACAGTGGCAGTGCCCAACCTGAACCGGGCTTCGACCATTGGTACGAGGATGCCACCTCCACCTCCTCCTACACGCCGTGCTGCTGCGGATTCGATGCGACACAGTGCAGTGTTTTCCAGCGGAGCGAGCACGCCAGGAGTGATGTCTCCTCCACTAGTGATGCCTGGAGGCGGATCAGGACCCTCGCCACCCCCTACTGCAGTTCCAGCAACACCTTCGGCCTCGTCGATGATGGGTTATATTCCCAAGGATTACTTTTCCACTCAGACGCCTGGCCCAGCAGAGGCCGAGATGGGACCGTGTCGCGATTGTCAATGTACCGACTTTTCGCCCAATGTGTTCAAACGCGGCAGCTGTAACAACTGCTTCCATATCCATTAGTTAGCTTTTTTACCCTTCTACTAGTTTCATCGTAATACGTAATGGTGCCACCAATTCTTTCTCGCTTATGTTGCTGTCTCTATGCGTTTCAGGGTATTAAGTAAGCGTTTTTAGCACGATGCTGAGTATCAAACGTCTTGTAAACTCTAGAAGAAATGAGGTGCAAAACAGTAGGCATGTAAACTCTGGCATAAAAAACGGGTTCGTCGTTCCTATGCCCGTGCCTGTTTCTGTGCCTGCGCCTGTGAGAGTGAGAGTGAGAGTGAGAGTGAGAGTGAGAATGAGTGAGAGAAACAAGAAAAAGGGGGCAAGGACAGGATCAGACGGGTGATCACCTTCTTGCAAAGTTTTTTGTCTCTCCGACCTATGTTTTGCATGGGGCCGAAAATAATGAGAGTGTAGACATAAAGAATAAGGGGCTGACTGGATGGTCACGATCTCTTCTTGCGTAAACGAACTTTGTTTCCCATTGTTCAAGCGTCATGATGCTGCAGGCGTCAGTCAGTAACCTTGGCGGCTGTTCTGCGCACAGGAAACTGACGAGGAATGGTAAAGAAAGGAATGAATAAGAGTAGCATTGACAAATTGACAAGGGCATTGGCAACTGTTTAAACTCGCCTCCTAGATTTTCTAGCGCCTTCTTTTAGAAAGAAATGATCAACTGTGGATCCTCAGTGTGGTCCATCGCGTCATTGCCTTAGCTTTTAGGCCCGTTTAGGATGGCACAAGGTCCATTCATCCGAAAGGTACGAGTGGTATGAGCATGGGGTGGCTGGGCTTTTTTCCTTTTGCGATTGAAGTGAGGCAAGAAGTAACGAGCACAGCTGACAGTTGCGTTGTGCTCAACAGACATCGTTCCGTAGGGTTGACTTGTGTACTTTTTAATGCACCGCCTGCTATTCAATGGGTGTGGGTATATATGCGAGTAAGTATTTAGAGACACCTTCGGGGCGCGGTCAGGATTGGAAAGAGAAACGCGGGACTCGTATTATTTGTCATGCGGGGGATTAGGGTGAGTATATGAGTGTTCAGGGCAAGAAAGAATATTATCGCGATATTCGAAGGACAATGTTGAAATGCGCAAAGCGATAACGAAGGACGAACAGGTCAAGGGGTATATGTGTGTTGACCGTCATCGTGTGTTCCAACATGCTTGGACTTGTTGTGATTGTTGTGTGTTGCACTGACTTGAGGCCAGCTACATAAAAGGAAGCTCAGGTGCGCCTTGTTGATTTACTTTTTCTCCTCCTCTCGTTCCTTTTTTTCTAACTACATACTTCACTTTTCTCATTCTCTTCTGCTTGCTCTCTACCCAACATCCACACCTCATTAATTATTATTGTCTAGTCAGTTCTATCTTACCTGCCCTCTTTTGCATGTTGTGCTAGTATACCACACTTTCCACCTCGTCACCTCTGCTTTTTTTGTCTTTCGAAAGCCTTGCTTTCCTATAGTGAAAGAACTTTTTTCTTCATCCATCATCCTACACCCTTTCCTCTTAATCCTTGTTCCTTTTTCCGTCCACTCTCTCTTTCTCTTTCTCTTTCATTCCACCCAACTACACTCTCCTCTTCTAAACAATACCAACCTCCTATCAGCAACCATGGGATTCTGTCATCGTTGTGGCGATCTCGTCCACGGAGCCAACTGTCTGAAGTGTGGCGGCCGTTCTGTCAGTACGTTCTTCTTCCTTCGCCTTTTACACTTTATCACACGCGCACACACACAATCGTTTGTTCTCTTGTAGTCCTCCTTCTTTCCTTTGGTCAAATGAATGTGAATGAATGGCAACAAGTGAGAAACTTGACAAACCCCACGAAATGAGGGGAGCCAAAACTTTCTCAGGACACGCGTAGGTTATTTTCTACAAGAAGTCTCACCCCACAACTCTCTCTCCGCTTGCCTCTCTCCATCGTTTCATTTCCTTTAGTGTCTGTCACAAGTGGGCTCCCATCGACAAACTCGAGAAACGACCCTTGGATCAGCGCGTAAGACACCTTTTAAACCCTTGGCTCTTTTCTTTTTTTGCCTCCATCATCTAACGTGCGCCTTCTTTTTGCGTGGAGTCGATGCGCTCTTATGAATATGTCAGGGGTTACAGCAAGGCAGGCTAGAGGTTCTCTACCCTTTGTGCTTGTTAGGATGAAAAAGACGGGTCATGTTGTTCACGTGGAGGAAGAGGGGGAGGGAGATCAAAAAGTCAAAAGGGAAGGCGAGGAAGGGGGGGTTGGAGTAGAATTGAGGTCCGATCTATAGTCGAATATGTATCTCTTTTTTTTAGGGAGATGCAGCAGTGCTTCTCTGTGTGTGTGCCTGTTTGTCATCTTGTTCTTGGTGCCTGTGTTGTGGAGTGGAGTGTCAACAGTAACAACAACAACAACAACAACAACAACAACAACAACGACAGCAAACAAACAAGACAAATAAATCGACAGGTGACAAAATAAATACTTCAGGGACGAAGACAATGACAACAATGCCGTGGGCGAAAGACTAAAGTCAGGGGTGAAGCAAAAGGGGTTTTAAAGGCGCTCTTTTTTATTATGACATACACATCGGGCTTGTCACAGAGAGAACGAGCGAGTAGAAGAAAAATAACCTGACCATGACAGACATTGTTCTCCGGAACTCGTGTGTTGCATTCAAAAATAGATATCAAAATATCCTGGAGGGAGGAGGAAACATGTCCAAGCCCTCGAAGCGCATGTCCCTGCCAGCATCTGTCCTCTCTAGCTCCAGTCCTGCTGCTTCCTCTCCTATCGCAAGCAGGCCGCAGCCGTTGGTTCTCCAGAAGCACTGTCATGGCTGTAGCAAGCAGATCCATCAGGTAAAATATGTCAATAGGAGAGGTGCCAAGTTAAAAATGGCAAGGTAGTCAACTGAGCATACATCTTCGACCCCTGACTAAAACAGCATCATGGTGTGCCATTCTGCCACCCCTGTAAAAAACTAATAATAATAGGCCAAGGTCTTTGTCGAGCCTGGCAGGCCTACGATTATCTACTGCGAAAAGTGTTACATTGAAAAGTTCACCAAGGGAAACTGCCCATCTTGCTACAAGCCCGTCCTCACAAAGTCTGATCCATATGTGACCCACAACAGGCGATCCTGGCATACAGTAAGTATTCAATGCTAAAGAAGCAATTGAGAGATAAAAGGAGACCAATTCATAACCACATCCAATGGGCGAATACTATGGAATATGTATTACCCTTGACTCGATGGTTGCGATGGTTGCGATGGTTGCAATTGTTCCAATGTTTCATGCACCTATCGCTCTTTGTCCTGAAAGAAAAAAATAATGGGAGTATTAATGTCACAATCTTTTTGTATTTCTTATCGCTAGGCTTGCTTTGCCTGCTTCAAATGCCGTCTGAACTTGTCGACGAAACCAATGGTAGATTTGAAAGGACGCCCTTGCTGCGAGGAATGCTTGATGGCACAGGCAGGAGCAGAGCAACAGAGTCCTGTGCAGGAAGGCGAAAGGACATTCGGAGATAGTCTCACTCCAGCAGATCGATCCCTCAGCAGCTCACCCACACCATCGCCTCTTCGTTATCCAAACGGTTTGAGGGCTTCGACTAATGACCTTGACGACACATTGGACCTGACCAAACGACTCCAGCTAAACACCTCGCCTCGAGATCTCAACACGGATTATAACCTTGGCCAGACCAACTCACCTCTCTCTGCTCAAAGCTACTCCAGCCAGTCATCATTCGGAGCACCCTTCAAGGCAAGCGCCTCTAGCGGACACACCAGCGGGACTTCTTCGACACATTCCAGTCTGGGTCGTAACAAGCTCCCCGAGCAAAGCCCATCTTCTACGGTCAGTCTTTTGAAGAGCGAGCAGAGTCTGTCGGTAGGAGGTCCACTCTTTTCGTATCAGAGACCTGGATCTGCACTGTCGATTCACTCCTACACCAGCTCCAGACCAGAATCACCTGCACAGCATGGCCAAGACCACAGCTTCAATTCTACAGATGATCTGGACTCCAGTCTCCGGGACAAGGGATCGAGTAAAAATGAGGCAGAATGGAATAGCAGGTCAGAGTCGACTGTCCATGGACTGCGTCGATCGAGATCACCGTCTTTGAGTGGTCTAGACAGCTTGGATACGGGGCTCTCTCGGCCTCAGACCAACGGAGGATCTAAGTATGAGCAGAACGCTCTGCCCAACAACACGCTTCCCGGAACTCCCTTCAGCAAACTCTCGTCGTTGGATGCTTACCCAGCCTCGGTTAAGGTGGATCCCGTAGTCCTTGAAGCCCAGCCTAAACAGCAGGTTCAACAGGCTCAGCAGGCATCAATTCCTCCCATCGGTCGCTCTCGCTCGCGCTCCACTGTGGCACCGTCTTCCATGGGAATGGTGAGGGCAAGAACGGAAGCATGGATGAACCAGGCTCAATCAGCTACCTCTCCACCTCTCAAGGCACCTGGTTCGCAATTTATTATTCCCGGTCGCACAAGCGGATTTGGTAGCGAAAGTAGGAACGTTTCATCCTTCAACGTATCTCTCAGGCAGTCGAACGTCAATCTCTCCGAAAAGGATGTTAAAGGCCCCAAAGCAACAGTTGCACCATTGGAAGCTGAACCGAACCGACCTACGCTACATCGTCATGGACGCCAGCGATCCAACACTGTGGGCGAGGCGATCAGCTCCCCTACTGTCAAGGTGGATACTCCTTTGTCCAGTCCTGCTCAACAACGCGCTGCCGGCTCCATCCCCGAAGGACATTGTCACAAGTGTTTTGAACGTGTTACCGAGAACGGAATCCGTCTGCAGAATGGAGACCGCTACCACATCGGGTGCTTCCTCTGTAACGGATGCAAGCAGGTTTTTACCGAGTCGGAGTTCCACATTGTCTACGGTCGGCCTTACCATCCTAATGTACGTTGCCTTTCGATAGTGTTTGTATTTTATCATAGCAAGGTATTCTTGCGCTTGTATCCAACTAACATGCTTTGCCTCTAATTTTTCTTTATTAGTGCGTATCTATGGCTGGACCATCCAGCATGATGGGAGTGGTGACAAAGTGCCAGCAATGCCACAAGGTGATCGGCAGTAAGGCTATCCGGTTTGCCGGTCAGTCCTTCCACCCTCAATGCTTCACCTGCACTCATTGCAGCAAGGTACTTCAGAGCACTAGCAAGTTTTTTGAGGTCGACGGACGGGTCGAGTGCGACCAATGCTGTGAAGAACGAGACCGAGTCAGACTTGCTCCCAAGATTGTCCCAGTTGCGCGAACGGCCGATCACTTCCCGGCGGCACCCTCCATGGTAGCCTCTGGTCCTGGGCTGATGGCGACGACTGTTGTAGGCTCGTCGCATGACGGTCTTTCGCGATCTGGATCAGGCTATGGGTCTCCTATGAGTGCCAATGCCAGCGGTACTTCCTCACCCTTGAGATCGCCAGGATCGCCAGTATTCTCGTACTCGTCGTCAGCGAACCTTCTTTCAGACTCGCGTGATCAGTTCGACGGAGGAAGTGAGCACGGGGGCATGGCATCGCCTGTGCTGATGATGGCGTCTCCAGCAGCTGTCCGGTCGACCCCACCTCCATTGACATCGTTGTTCAGCACAAGAACACGACCCCTGCCCAAGTTTGGAGGTGTGATGACCTGTCCTCGGTGCCAACAGGCCGTGGGAGTGATGGATCAGGTTCCAGGCCCTAAGGGCGAGAAGTGGCATAAGAGGTGTTTGAATTGCAAGGAGTGCAAGAAGGTCTTGGACTCGAGCGCTCTTACCCGAGGAGAGGGCGAGGCCTTTTGCCGCGGATGCTTCGTAAGTCCTTTTTGTCGAGTTTTATTCTCGATGGTTACGTGTATGATAATGATAATAATAGAAAGAGAACCTTGGTCTAACTTGTTTGCGCTTTTCTCTCTTTTCATCTTTAGAACAAAACGCGCGTTCGCGTTTGAAGATACATAGACTGCGACGACACGAGTCATCACGTAAAATAAATAACAGAAGGATACACGTCACGTCATCGTTTTCCGGACGCGCGATGGAGACGCGATTGCGTTGCTGTTGGTTCCTTTCTTTCCTTTATTTCCCGAGTGAGGTGAGGTAAGGCTACGGAGAGGAGCTAAAAAGAGAGTGAGTGAGCGGATGCCTATAGATTCATAGTGCAATAGCCACGCCTTTGTGTAAGCACTTTGCATGTTATTTTCTCCAGTGCCTCGAGATAGAGCATGCATAAAATGAGAGATTGAGATTGAGAGACGCGTGTTGCTTTTCGGTGCTCTCACCAGCGACAATGTATTTTTACACTTCTTTGTTTACCTTTTCTTGCTTATCCCTTTTTTTTTCTACTCCATCCCACCAACCCATTCACCACTTCCTTCCTTCCACTCCACGACATTGTAATACCTCCTTCGCGCCACCTCGCTACTTCGTTTCTTCTGTATCCTCCCCCTTTTTTGACCTGTTCTTGTAGCTTCCTATAAGCTGTTCTTGGTCCCACCGCCCATCAACCCATTCGACCCATCCACGGCTTTTTTTTCTCCTCTCTCTGTCTCCCCCTTTTTTCACCTTCTGGCTCTCTCTCCTTCCCTCTCCTCTCTCATCACTCGCGCTCACCACTCCAACAAAGAGCACCCATTCCACGCCTGTCACCCACCCCGCCCGACTCGCGTCCTTTTCCTGTCTCCTGTTTCCTCTTTGCCGCAAAGCCCCTTTATCATTTTCCCCTCACTCTCTACTCTTCACGAACTCCACTCTCTCATTACATCACACCACCATCACACGTACGTGTGGACACGCCACAGCTAATATCATTAACAGAGAGAGATTATATTATGAGCAACTTAAACAACGCGACAGGAAACACTGCCGACTCCGTCGCGGCTGTTGTTGAACAGACAGACATGGCCAATACCACATCAGCTCCGTCTTCCATCACCACCACCGCCGCCACTACAAGCAACTTCAACAATGATGCCAGTAGCGGTGGCAGCCGTGACATATTTGCCAATGACGCGCTTCTCCTTGGTCTACATCCAACAACAGCAGCAACAACAACAGCAGCAGCATTGACACCGACGCCACCAACGGCAATACCTCTTCAGCTCACTTCGCTACCAACAGAAGCAATAGCACCCTCAACAGCAACATCTGTTTTGGCATCAACCCTTCCGACCGGGATCAGCGCCACTACCATCGACAACACCACCTTCGACCCAAACATCCTCGCTTCATTCGCCTCCGCAGTTCCATCAGGCTTTCCTACTGCTGTTCCTGCAACCATGCCGTCCATTGGGTTTCCACCAATGCCTCTTTCCGCCGCAACTTCGTCAGTTCCTCTTGGCAACGATGTTTCCTTCACCTCTATCCCTCCACAACTACCCCAAGACGCTCTTCAAGCGTCGACTATCCTGCCTGGATCCTTTCTACCTGCCCAGCAGCAGCAACAACCGTTACCACCCACGTTCAATGTGTCCATCCCGTTGACTGTGCCTTCTATCACCACGACAAACACCGCGTCACCTGTGCAACCACCGCCGGTACATCAGCAACAGCAACAGCAGTCGTCGCAAGTCGCCGCACTGTCCGCGTCTGCCAAATTCTTGCAAGAGCAATTGGACGCGCAAAAGGCCACTGTGGCTTCTAACACAGGTGGGGCGTCACCAGGCCAAAACAAGCAACCTCACTCCCAGCGCGCTGCGTTGGCCAAAAAACAGCAGCAGCAGCAGCAGGACAAGCCCCCACAACCACAACAGCCTCCACAGTCAACTCTCCCAACGACACAGCAACAGCAACAGCAGCCAGGGTTAACGGATGAGCCGACCCCGCAAATTTCCACGGACCTACTGGCGATGGTCGCAGCAGGGACAGCCGTCCCTCCACCAGGCAGGCCACCCTTGTCGAGTTCCCAACAGCTGCAGCATGATCTTCAACAGCTCCAGCTTCACAGGGAGCGACAAGCGGCCGCAGAAGCAGAGGTAGCTGCCTCGACGAACGAAGTCGGTACCTCCGTCACGGCCCCCATAGCAGGCCTCGCTGTTCCCAATACTACAGCCAACACCAACACCAGTCTGGACGCCAAACTGAATGCTTCACAGGTTCCAACGATCGATGCTCAGACTCGCGCCTTGAAGGCGCTTTTGAGCAAGGGTGACACTCTTATTCCAGGAACACAGATCCAAATATCAGACGAAATGATCAACAAAGCACTGACGAGTCTTGGAGCATCTGGCGCGATTGCAGACCTTGCGGCGCTGAAAGGTATACTGCCTGACATGGCTCACAGCATCGCTGAGAAACCCAACACAGGATCGACAGAGACCAGCATTACTCCACAAGGCGCCACAACCGCCACTACCGCCACTGCCGCCACTACCAACAATAACAGTGGCAAAGCGGATGCCACTGCAATGAGTGGCGGGGCAACACCTGCAGCCACCAGCGCACCACCCCAAATTTTCAAGGCGACATACTCTGGCGTGCCGGTCTTTGAGATGATCTGCAGAGGCGTCGCGGTCATGCGCCGTCGCTCGGATTCGTATCTGAACGCGACCCAGATCTTGAAAGTGGCCGAGTTTGACAAGCCTCAGAGGACGCGTATTCTGGAGAGAGAGGTGCAGAAAGGAGAGCATGAGAAGGTGCAAGGAGGATATGGAAAGTACCAAGGTATGTCTGTCTGTCTGATATGCAACTTCTCTTTACCGCGGCACATAATGTCTTTTGAACGGAGTGCTTGTTTATGTTACTAACACGCTTTTCTCGCTTAACACTTATGATTGTAGGCACATGGGTACCGTATGAGCGTGGTGTTCAATTATGTCAGGAATACAACGTCATGGATGTTCTTCAGCCCTTGCTTGGATATGAAATACGTGCAAACAGTCCTCCTCTGGCGCCCAAGCACGTAACTGCAGCGACCAATCGACCTCGGAAACCCAAGGAGCCGCGTGTGCCAGGAGCCCCAAAAATCAAGAAACCCAAAACTCCGCGAGCACCCAAGCATGGAGCGCAGGGGTCAGCAGCTGGTTCGCAACAGGATACACCTATGGCGATGGAAGGCGAGGTGGACGAGAACACAAGTGCTTCCGAAATGGAGGACGAGGAAATGCCCAGTCGCGCAGGTATGTCTTTTACTGGTCACATTTGCTGCGATTCTTCTCAGAGTCTCAACCCTTGACTTTGATGTCCTGACAACCCATTTCATCTACCAACTGCAATTGCTCACGCTGGCTTCTTTTTTTGACACCCCTACCTGTCTTTAGGCAGTGAAGCGAGTATGGATGAGACGATGAGTATATTGTCAGCGCAGAGCAGATCACCAACGCCATCACCACTTCTTAGATCTCGAGGTGCGGATCATTCGTCGAGCGATATCTCAGACAACGACACCTATTCCCCAGGACGACGACGCCAACGATCCTCTGAGCGGTCTCCTCGATCACGAAAGAAGCAGAACAGTCGACCTGGAGATGAGCTCTTCATTGGCTACCATGGCGGACACGATAGACAGTCTTCCCAGCAGCAGTCTGGTTACCCTAGTCCAGGTGGACGGTCTCGGCGACGCGAACTTTTGGATCAGGACGTAGAGATGCGGTCACGAGATGAAGCGCATTCGCCCAGCCTTCGACATGCATCACCTAGCCGGCGTCGTGTAGGACAGAGCAGTTCACGCACCAAGGCACAAGGAGAGGAATCGTGGCAAGACAGCCAAACATCCAGGGTGACTGCTTCCGAATCGACACAGAGCCAGTACGCCGAAACACTCCTTGAATACTTTGTCACGGACCAGACGACCCTACCCTCGATCCTGACCCACCCTCCGCCTGATCTGGATTTCGACCTCATCATTGACGAGGAGGGACACACACCCCTGCATTGGGCAGTCGCCATGGCACGGATCAAGATTGTCAAGCTCCTTGTGCAACACGGCGCCGACATCTACAGAGTCAACAACCAGGGCCAAACAGCTCTCATGCGGTCAGTTTTGTTCGCCAACAACTTCGACATGAAGACGTTCGCCTCACTACTGGAGATTCTTCAAAAGACCATCTTTACGATCGACAAGAATGACCAGACTGTCTTCCACCACGTTGCAGCAACAGCGGGCATGCGCGGGAAGGTGCACGCGTCTCGGTACTATATGGAATGTCTCCTGGACAAACTGGCTCTTCACCCCTCTGAGTTGGCGTCGATCATCAATGTGCAGGATGTGGCAGGGGACACGGCGTTGATCATTGCGGCGAGGATTGGTAACAAGAAGGTCGTCCGATTGCTTTTGGAGGCTGGAGCGGACGCAAAGATTCGAAACAAGTCTGGTCGAAATGCGGATGAATTTTTGCAAGAGGCAGAGAATCAAGCTTCTGGTTCGTCCTCGACTCTGCTTCCTTCTCTGCAACCTTCACCGTCCACAACGGCTCACTCGCAGCAGCAGCAGCAACAACAACAACAGCAACAGCAACAACCTCATTCGTCTCAAGGAAGCCCCTACCCCTATCACCAAGCTCAGTTCGGTAACAACAGCACCAGCAGCAACAATAATAGCGCCGCCAACAGCAGCAGTGGTAACACTGCACACAGTCAACGCATGAGCCATACTATGGGTCAACAAGCCCACCACTTGCCTGGTACCATGCCCGTCTCTGCGTCGCCATCGACACCACGCGTGCACGGTCATTTGTCGCCCCACCCACAAGGCCATTCGACCCCGACGATGCGATCCGCCACACCCCCAGCACCAAGGCATGGCGGGTACACTCCGTCGATGGATCGGCCGACTAGCGCTGGTTTCCAAGAATATTCGTCGTCGTCGTCCTCATCGAGAAACCCCTTTCAACCCCAATCTGGACCATCCTTGCCCTCTGTTGGACAGTCGTTTGGTCATTCTCGACCAAGTCCCATCCACGATCCCTCGTCCTTATCTCGTGGAGGCAGTGGCGGTCAAGGCGGTCTCGCACCGATAGACGGAACGAGACCTGTAGAATTGGGACCTACAGCAAGCCTGTCGGGTAGCGGCAGCGGTCTGGGTGGTAGCGGCGGCGTACGAGCGTCACAAAGGATGATCCCTGCAGTGACCGAGCTGTTTGAGCACCTGACGCAGTCGTATGAGAAAGACTTGTATGAGAAAGAGCAAGACTTGTTGGATGCACGCAATCTGCTGCACAGTATCCAGTCGGAGGTGCAGGAGGGTCATCGTACGATGGACGAGCTCCGCAACAAGACGATGTACTTGGGTCAGGCAGAGGACCAGATCCGGACGCTGGAAGGTATGATTCGACAGGAGATTAATCTTCGGCAGCGGCTGAGGATTGAGGACCTGGTAACTCAGGAGGAAAACCGATTGAGGCGTGAGAGGGAAATGGAGAAGGAGCGGACCGGACATGGACCGGTGGACGGTGGACGTGTGTTGGCGATGGAAAGAGAGGCTATGGAGTTGAGGGTCAGTCTCTCGCAGATGCAGCAGTCGCGTAAAGAACAGGTGGAGCAGATTGTTCAGCTCAAGAGTCAGCAGGGCAAGAGGCGCCAAGAGTACAAGCGGCTGATTGCGCTGTGCTGTAATGTATCTATTGACGAGGTCGATGGACTTTTAGGACCGTTGCTCAACACCCTCGGTAACGAAGACGGCGTCGCTTAGGAGTGCGCTTCCTCTTGTAATAAATAGGGTCAACTTTGGTGGCTTTTTTTCTTGGTCATTTTGCCACTAAAAATCTGGGGTTTTTTTTGGTTGCTCTTTTGTTTCTTCCCATTCATTCCACGCGACCTTTTTCTTCACACAACACACACACAATGGACGAGGATGACTTTGACAGGAACAGCGAGGGGGACCGCGGCTACCGGAACAACAGCAACGAAAAGAGCCGGCGGCAGTTGGAGAAACGACCAGCTCGTCGGGTCGAGGATGATTTCGACGACGATGAGTTGTTTGCAGAGATGCGGACAGATGCAGGAGACAAGGAGCGGCGCAGGACTCAGGCTCAGGGTCAAAGCAAGAAGCCGCATAAAGGAACTGGTGGTTCTGGAGCTGAAACGCGTCGTGCTCGAGTGGAGGAGGAGGATGATGATATGGACGAGGATGAAGAAGAGCGTGGGCCTACCTTCCGTCTTGTATGTCCAAAACATTGAGCTGTCGTGGGCTTTCGTTATCGCACTTCGTTTTTTTTTTTTTTTTTTTTTTTTTTTTTTTTGGACGTTTTATGCCAAGGAGCAGAGTAACAACTACCAAAACAACTGGTGAGAACAGGATGTTGACGCGCCTCTACTTTCGATCTACGTTTGTTTGCGATTACTCATAGGAAACGTTGCATGGCGTCTTTAAGGATGTCTGGACAGATCCAGCGACACGAGGTAAAAAAAAACGAACGATAAGACAAGGTTGTAAGCAAGCCGATGAAAATGAAAGGTGCTATGCATCTCTTTTCATATTCGCAATTATCTCTTGTATCCTCATCCAACAACTATCGAGAGACGACAAGATGGGAAAAGAGGATGGGAGGTTTGTTGATACCAGCCATGTTTCCCTTTTTTAATCTTTTTGTTTGGCTTCTCCCTTTTTTTACCGCGAGAATGTAATAGTGCAGAGAGACGCATTGGAGATGTCGGGCGAGTTTTTGAGGCTGTTTACGATCGAGGCGTTGCATCGAACGGCAGCGTATCAGCGGGAACAGGAGGATGAGGAGCTGAAGGATGTTGAGACGTTGGTTGAGCTTGATTCATTAGAAGCTATCGCCCCTCAGCTTGTCATGGATTTCTAGAGCAGAGAGGCTGCTATATAGAATGAGGATGGGATGATGTAACATGTCTCCCTTTCTTTTGCTGCCCAGCCCTCTTTCACGGCTACGACAATGAATGGCTTTTTTCAGGAAGACAACGATTGTGACGCGCGACAAGAAGTGATGTGGGGAAGGGGGAAATGAAGGGTAGGAGGAGGAGGAGACATATCTCGTCAGCCGTGAATGTGGAGGTCTGTGTGGTTCCACCGACTGAGGGTCATTGAGGCAGGGGAGAAGGGGGGGGGGGGGGGAATGGAGGGAGAAGAAGGGCAACATGCAACAACCCCCAACAACACCACCATCCGAGGCCAAAAAGGACACCGATATTGACACAAGTCAACATGCAAAGCAAACAAGCAAACAAGCAAACAAGTGAGCAGGCCAACAAGCAACCCTGTGCACACAGATACACATTGAGATACATACTGCAGCAAAAAAAATAAAAAATCCCAACCGTCCCTTCTTGTTCATGCTGCTTGTTTGTCATACTTACAACCCTGGTTGTTGTTGTTTGTGGGGGTGAACCAACATTGTTATGTCATGACAAACAGGAAACGCCAAGGCTGTTAACACCGGTAAAAAAAAAGAAAACGTGGGCGCAACCTTTTTCCATTTTCACTTCCCTTCCGTCCTCTTCCTCCTCCTCTTCCTCTCCTCCTCTTCCTCCTCTTCCACCTTCTCTACCCATCACACACCCCCAACATACCTCACCCCACCTCACTCTCCCATTCATCCCTTCCCCTTTTCCCCTTCAATAACCCCATCACTACATACACACACATGCCGATGGGAAGACGACTCTCGCTACTCTGTTGCCCATGCTTGCCTCGCAAGCAGCGGGACAATCTCTCCTCAAGGTCCCTCTACCCCGACCAGGACTCGTCCGGCCACGACGACTACAGCGACGAAGACGACTATTATCCCTCCCATGCACGACTCGAATCCCTCGCCCCTTCTTCTTCCTCTTCATCACAACCCTACAGCAACAACAATAGCCCCTGGCCGTCCGGTCTCTCTAACGGTCGCTTTTCGAAACAGTCTTCTCGTGGTAGTCACCAACGGAAACCTAATCCGTTCAGGACTCCCTACCACGACGATAATGACGAGGAAGGTGATGGTAGAGAGGCGGGCGATGGTGCCAGTAATGGTGGCGGTAGTGGAGGAGGAGTAATTAGGGACAAGGGTGTAGGGATTACGAGCTTTGCACCCTATCGAGATGATAGCGGCAGCGACAATGGTGGGAGTGGTTCGGGTGCAGAGGCAGAGGGCGAGGAAAGGGAGGATCGTCGTTTAAGGAGAGAGCTAAGGATGGGTGGCAGTGGCGAACCGAAGGATGAGAGCACTAGCAATGATCATGGTCATGGCGGGAGCGCCCTTCAGAACCCGACGAGAGTTCACGCCAAGATGGATGTTTCGCCTTACAGGATCTTTGACTCGTCGTCGTCAACAACGACGACAACGACACGCGTGCGGTCGGCACGTCCTCCCAGGAACCCACAAGGGAAGATGCGGTGGCATGACGGGGATATCAGCAGCGATAATGAGGACGGGGAAGTCGATGCGGAAGAGGTTATCGATGTCGATGCACTCATCGCTGAACAGGTATGTGGTGTTCTCCCTTTTTCGTGCAATAGTTCTCTTTCAACTTCACTGCCCTCTTGCTTCCATTTCCTTTCACTCCTCCTTCCTCGCTCTCTTGGCAGATCCATTGATGCAAACCGCATTTGTCATTACATACAGGCACACTTTCTGTTGCCAAGATATTTCGGCTAGAGCTCTTTCATTTCTTCCCTCCTTCCTTTCCCCACTCGCTTGGCATGTGGTTCCATTTAGCGGTCTGTAGGGGTTGTGGTACACAGTTACTTGCATATGTGATGGTAACACGCTCCTTCTATTGCCTGTCATCTTTTCAAATTCATTAGGAGCGGATCACACGCGAACTGGCGGCTCAAGAGGAAGCATTGCGTCGGGAGGAGGAGGCTGCGATCTTGTCCAAGAGACTTGCAGCTATCCGAGCAGCCGAGAAGCGTGGATTGCTTCGGTTTGAAGGCGATCGACTTGTGATTCCTAATAGCGATAGCAACAACAACATGACGAGTACCATCACCAAGAGCAAGAGCATTACTATTCCATCTCAGAGTCGGACAGTTCAGGAGCATGACGGCGAAGGAAAGCAGCAACGACTTGCGAGGGAGAGGACGACATCTTCGGGGGCATCTTCGTTTGTTGGAGGGGTTGATGCGTTTAATCAGGAGCTCAAGATGATGGATCTGGATATGAGCGCGTCCCGGAGCACCGAGAAGACTGCTGCTCGACCATCCACAATCACCACCACTACCTCAACATCCACTTCGAGATCAACCTCGACCTCAACGTCTACGAATACTGGTCCTAGTCTGCGCGGAGCCGTCTCTACAGGAGTTTCGACATCTATGTCCACCAGCACTAACTCAACACCGACGGTGGCCATCAACCCTCGGGAGGTGTTCAACAACATTACGTCGTTCTTGAAGAAGGTCGACGGTGTCATTGCTGGGGAGAGTGATTCTTCGGACGAGGCAACGATTTCGGATCAGGAGCAGGTTCTTGGCAAGGGCCGTGCCAAACTTGCACGGGGACCGCAGGAGAGTCGTGTTCATGGACCAGAGGAGACAGGAGCGTTGAAATCCAAGGTGGTGGTTGCGGGAACTGTTGAGGCACCTACTGTTCAGAGAGCAGCGACACCGGTTCCATTCGATGCGGCTAATCAGGGGGAGGATGACGACAACAATGAGCAGCCTTACCCAGAAGACCCCTTCAACACTCAGACCAGCGATCCTCTCGACGACAACAACAACAGCAGGAGTAGACGTGATCCCCATGCATCCAAGGAACGCATCACTCCTGATTCGCCTGGCGCCGAGAAAAAGGAGACGGCGGGCGAGACCAAACATAAAGCCGCAGCATTACCAGAACCAGCATCGCCGGTTTCTCCAGTGTCACCTATTTACGGACACCTGTCAGAATCAGTTGCCGCGGTGGTGCCCGAGCGTGTCTTTAGCACCTTCACGTCGCTCTTCAATTCAGGATCGAGCTTCATGGGTCTGTGGGGCACAGGTGGCGTTGGTGCTGGAGGTGCTGGTGACGACGATGATGATGGTAGAGGCACCAATGGAGGCGTCGCAGCGGACGGTCGCCGGTTATCGGACCTGAAGTATGGCGATCCCAAGAAGCATCGATTCAACTACCAGGATCATCATAATACTTTGGCTACTGGAGCATCTACTGCCAAGCGTGTTGACGACGACGACAATAGCAGTATTGACGACTATGACTTTTAAACCTATACCTACTTTTTTACATACTTTTTATACCTCCTCCTCCTTTGGCATTCAATAATAATTATTTTTATCAATGACATGATAAATTTGCTCCGCAAAAGTCTCAATCGTGCTTCGTAGGTATTTGTGTACTGCACAATGAATGCGCTCGTCTTTGTGCTCGCTTAATGGTATTTTCTTCTCGTTGGAGAAGTAAATTATGCACGATGCATAAGATTTTTCCGTCTTGAGAAGTGGGCCAGAGGAACGACTTTGTGCAACCATGGGTCATAGAGTTTTGCTTTTTGTCTGTCTGCTGACCTAGAGAGGTCAAGAGACAAAATCTCCCGTACGTTTTCTCTTTGACGGGATCTCCTTCCTTCTCGCCCTCTTTCTCTTTCCCACCCTCCCGCGATAGAAAGCAGGTTGATGGTTTCTCCCCTCGTTTTCTCCTTTTGCCATGGGGATCCAAGATATCTTCCGTGATGTTCAAAAAAAAGAGTGCAGGCGCCAAGATATTTGTAGAAAAAAAAATCGTATTATTCTATATCATGAAAAAAAAACTGCCTTTGTGTTGATTCCTTCGCGTGTTGTTGGTGCTTTTTTTTTGCTGTCCTGTCCTGCATTTTGATATATTGTGTGCTGTTCATTCGCCAATTGCTATTCGGACTAACATTGTTGCTTTGTTAGTTTGTTGATCCCACTAGTATCCAGCGACTCGACTGAGGGGCTCTTCCAGATGCCTCGTCAAGGCTTCAGATTTGGCCTTGAGGATCCCCAATTCGACGTCGTCCCGGGCGACCAGGCAAAGGATCATTGTGCTAACAATCGTGATCGCCACCTTTCCTTCCTATATAAGTTTTGATAGATGTTTGGTAAACACATGTCCATTAGAAAAAGGCAGCAGACAGGATGACAGACATCATAGCGGCAAAAAAAAAAAAGAAAGGTGAGAGCACCTTTTTTTTTTTTTGTCGTTGTTGTTGCTTATTTCCTCTCTCACTTTATCTTTTTGGAGGATCTCGTTCTTTTCGTTGCTGTCGTATGTACGTTTCTGTCTACTTTTCCTATCTCGTTCAAGTCCGTGGGTGGTGATATCCCATCCTTGTCTCTCCTATCTTTATCCCATGCCCAAAGTCCTGGATGTAACCCTGTCATGCTCTCGCATGTCCTGTCTCCTAGCTTGTCCTGTCTCCTACCATGTCCTGCTGACTACCTTGCAGTCCTGTCCTATGTCTTGCCCAGTCCCTTTGCTCTGTTTCAATTCCCACTTATTGCTTTCCTGTCACTACTACCACCCCGTCCTCGTCGTTACTATTCTTCTTTACCTCACATTCGAGCATAAGGAAAGATAATGGTCCGACTTCTGGCTTGCAATGCTTTGAGTAAATAGTCCAGATGTTCGAGGCGATGGCTCCATAGATGCGTGCGTCCCGATCCGACTGTGCTGCAAATGCCAACAACGATCCTTCTGGGTTCAGTAATCTATTGTGTATAAGCCAAAACAAAAAAAAAAAAAAAAAAAAGCTTAGACAATGTCAGTGTTTTTGTGAGATGGTTCCCCTCCCCCCTTTTTCTTTTTAGAGTGATGTTCTGGCATGGACGACATTTCGTTATGGGGGGGGGGGGGGGGGTCGGGGTGGAAGAAAGTGGGAGGTTTTTTACATTGTGGCCTTGACGCCGCCTGTGGTTGCTTGTTGCAGAACTTGTGAGATAAGTTTTGGCTTGAGCATCTTTTTTTGTCTGCTCTTTGTTTTGGGTGTGTGGGCTTGTGGGGGTGTTCGGGTATAGGTCGTAAGCTTTGGTTTGTCGTATGTGTGTGTGTGTGTGTGTGTGTGTGTGTGTGTGTGAATGAGAAGTAGGCGTGGAGAAAAGAATGACGAAGAGAGACGTTGGAAAAAAAAGGCTCAGAAATTGGGCGAGCCAGATGCCTGCCCCGAGTCACATGATGCACGCGTTTCGTAGTCCTAGACCCACTTTCACGCCCTCCCTCTTCCCCCCCCCCCCCCCCACTCGCGACTTCCTTACCTCCTGTTCGTTCTTTCTCAATTGTGTTTGTGAAAGATGGGCATGGCTGGTCAGATTAACTGGTATCCGGAGAAAGTGGCACAGCTGCAGTTGAGACTCAGAGTTGCTGAGGCCGACTCTTGGCTTAAGCGTCGATGAGTACTTGGTTCGCTTGCCACAAAATAACACCCTGAAAAGAAGAAATGAATTAAGAACCGGGTGAGCTTCCTTGTATTGTTCAGGGTCGCCGATGACAATAGGCAATAAACATTCTGTAAGTTAAGACAGCCCAGGGCAAGTCGTGTGGGTTAATGCGATTGGCAGACGTGTTGACTGAACGAATATTGGCAGCGAGCGCTAAGTTCGGCTGATAGGAATGTTGAAGTTGATGAGCTTCAATACTACCATGGAAGCTGTCAAGGTTGTAGTGAGAGGCGAGGATAAAGTCCGTTTTTTACCACCAAAGAACTCTGTTGCCTCGATGTCTGAGAAACTGGTATGACGAAAGTTGCTTCAATGCGTGAATTCTAGGCATCAAGATGGCGAAGCAAACTGCTTGCATTCAATTTGCTAGGAGAAACACTTGGCAACCATGTCTCTACACAAAAACTAGGGCTGACATATTTTCGACTTTGACAAGTTTCTAGATAGAAGACATGCTGATGATCATTGGTGCGACTCTGAAGAAAGGGGTAGGGGATGACAATTGCGGATCGGATACTCCACAGAGAATGATTGGCGTTCACTGCAATTGCTAAGCCCTTGCTATTTTTTTTCGATTGCATTAAAGCGTATGCGCATTGGGAGGGACGGACAAAAATGATATCCATGCATTTGCAATGAAGGGGGAGAGACCATTGGCAGTGAGCGGGATATTTTTTTTGGGATATGCATCCGAAAGGGATCACCTTCCAACTCAAGGAACCCGTAGGAGTAAGGAAAAGGGGGAGGGAGGGAGGGAACGGATGAAAGGAAAAGGGTGAGCAATGGCAAAGCACAGGTCACGCGTCGTTGTCTCAGTAGATGTAAAAGTACTGAACAAACAGAAGAGAGACATACAACGTTGGTAGGAGAGTAAATGTGTCTAGGGGTCACTGTAGATAGAATCATAGAACGGCAGGAAGGATCCGGCATGTGAAATCAATGTGAATCCATAGATGCGCGATTTATTATGTTGCGATAATAGTCAGATCGACGATAGCTAGACAAGTTCGCTCATAGAAGTGTAGGAAGGAGTGGCGAGATTGTTGGTGGAATCCATTGGTAACCATCCATCCAAACAGATCCATGTTCCTGGATTGTTTTTCGTACTCCACCCTTCCATCGAAAGATCCTCTTCAAGGTCCCAAACTCCATTTTCCTATTCTTCTTATCTTTCTTTTGCACCCTTCCTTTCCTCATGCTCTTCTCAAACCCACGTTGCTGACTTGTCCGCATGTCTGAAGGATTGGAAGAAAGGTGCGTGGACAGGATGATTGGTCAAAAAGAACACAAAAGAACACAGACCGCCTCCTCTTTCCTCTTTCTAGACCCCATGCATCTCTCTTTCTTGTCTTTACCAGGTACTGCTCTTTTTTTGATATTCATCTCCTACTGCTTGCCTGTAACTCTCGAACGTGAACAACTCTCGTGTCCATATATTTTTATTTCTCGGTATTCTTGTCTATGTCGACAACCTTATTTGCTTTTAACCCTTCTCAACCTTCTCTGCCTTCTCTTCATTCTAGCCAACAAGGGGAATAGATGCCCAACAAAGGGCTCTGTTGTTCCAACCAGATCCATCCTTTCAAACACACCCACCAAAGTCCAATTCTGTTTCGTTTTCCTTCGTTGAAAAAAAAAATTAAATCTTTGTTGGTGTTGTGGTCGACTGAGCAAATTTGCGCTTTCCGTTGCCAAGGTTCTTTTCGCCATGGTTTGTGATTGTTACGTGCATGATTTGAGGTTTGATGTCGCTTTGTTGTTATTTGTTGTCTGGTTTTTTATTTTTTGCCCGACAGTTTGGAAGCTTTCGAAGAAACGAAAGTGACACACGCAAAGACGAAAAAAAGAAAAAGAATTGTCGACTGCAAAGCGCCTTGAACAGGCGTCTGCAAAGGAAGTTGAGCCAGTGGCAAAGGAGATCGGAGGAAAGTGGGTATGTGCGAAAAGGCAAAAAAAGGAAGGGAGTGATAATGATCGAAAATGATCAACCCGCTCAGGCAAGGTAAAGGCGTTTTGTTATTTATGAGTTGGCAATATGTAAGCGGGAAGGCATACCTGGCAATTGCTTGTGAATTTAAAGGGAGGAGCGCATTTGGAGTTGAACATGAGAAGAGTCTCTCTATTTCAAGAATAGAAAGAGCACCAAGCCTAGCGCATGATGAGTAAAGTGGAAGAGCGACATAAATGACTGGAGGTCATTGAGCCCCACGTAGAAAATAGACTCCAATCAAAACCAAAATTGAATTTTGGACTTTTGGAAGAACGGCGGTCTCACCTCAGAGCAGAAAATAGAGGGGGGCGTGGTTGTGGAGGGCGAGGATGATAGGTCACACTCTCTGCACCGCATGCTTATTTTTGCAACAAATGAAATCTCTTTGACGAGCAAGCCTTCTCGTCTTTCCGATTGAGCTACTCAACACCCACCACTTTCTTTATTTTCGTAAACCTTGACATCAAGATTACGTTTGTCGCTTCATTTATGGAGAGCAATACTTCCGTCTTACCGAGATTAAGATGACATGCAAAACAAATATACGACAAATAGAATAAGGGAGATGAGCATTGTGCAGTGTAGCTAGAACCACTACCGGCCCTTTCATCATGCCTTGTTGTCGGGTCAACAAAACAACAAATGGGAAGGACAGCAAAAGGAGTGCGTGCATAAAATAAACTAAACAATTCCCGGTAAAAAACTCTTGTAGCTTTGGGATCGATCCGTTTACTTTCATGAGCCATAAACAAACTATGACATGAGGTGAAATGGTAAAGTGAACAAGATAAGCAAGACAACAGTTTGGTGGATCGAGGAGGGGGTTTTTCGTCTTGTATGAAAAGTATTTCTCGCGCATCGTGTTAGCAGAGTCCCCTTTATTTTTTCTTGTTCATGGACGACGGTGGAAGGTCGATAGAGGACGGTGGATGGATCTGGCAGTTCAAACTCTTCTCAAGGGAGAGAATAAGTTATCTGGACAGGGTTTTTTGGTCTGGGGTCATTAAGATGCAAGCTTGAAATTATCTAGGTTTTCCTGTTTCCAAGCGATAAAGATTCTGGATATTGTCTATGGAAGAATGTCAATTTTCTTCCTTGTGTACCCTAGCCCTGACTTTGCTTTTTTGTTCCTTTTGACAAGGATCCATATCCACACACAGCTCGCCCCTGTTTCTCGTTCTCCGTGGCAAAATAGTTCATGCAACCTACCGCTTAAAACGATGTCTATAGAAATAAATAAAGAAGCGCATTTGTTTGGTGCTGTACGACGTTCTCAGGAACATGCAGGCAGAACAGTGTCGAGAATATAAAAAAAAAGCTCATTCGTGTCAAAAGAAGGCAACGATTTCCCGCAGAACAAATGGAAGAAACGAAACCCTTCGGCATTTTGCAAGCAGGCGTTGATGAGAACATTGACTGTTGGTATTTTGTGATAGGCCTTATCCAATTTGAGTATCGTTGTCGGTTTAGACATCCGAGAAGGAGAGCTTGTGTAGAAAGGTTCGTTTGAAAGAGGAAAGGATATGATCTGTGGTGAGGTGTGCGCTGCCGGTTAAATGGGCTGACTTGTGAATGGGCACAGGGGCCACGAATGATCAGGACGGGAAAAAAAGGGTAGAAGATTCTTGCCCTTCCATGCTTGTGAAAGAAAAAAAATCTAAAAAGTAGTGCTCACATATTCTGGCCTTTCTTTTTTACTCGTACTTCCAGCTCCAGGGGTCCACCTACACACCAGTACTCTACATTAGCACGCCGTTGGTCAATAAGGGGTCACCTGAAGAACAAGGCAGGGGCCCTTTGGGTTCACTGGATGAAGTACTCGATTCAATTAATTATTAGTATTATTGTGTTGTACTGTAGTTCTCGGCCTTCTGCCGGCAGGGCCTACCTGTCCTCCTTTTCCAATCGGCTTTCGCCATTATTTCCCAAGGCGAAAAAAAAGTCAATAGTCGGACGAAATTCACTCATGTCTTTCGCTCACTTCAAGATAGTCCAACTTGGCTCCTTTGTTTATCTGTAGCTGTGACTCTTTGTGTTGACGTATTGCTTTTCTTTTATTCTTCTGACTGCAGACACTTGCATACGGTCACTAATGCTCGTCCTTTTCCTTTGTCTATGAAAGACCTGTCTGCTGTAAGGGCAGACAGAACCCTTTGACCAATTGTTCTCCCTTCAGCCTTCGCTTTCTTCGCCAGTGAAAAACCAAATTTATAAAAAAGCTAATGTGGTGAGCGATATATCTCTCAAAAAAGAAAATGAGAAACACCCTTTTTATTTCCATCCTTCCTCGAATTCCATCATAATCAAGGAAGGGGTCGTCAGGCTTGCTGCCGGGGCGAGAGGCGAGAGGCGATAGGAGCGAGGGGGTTGAGGCGAGGAGCGCAAAAGAGAGGGGGGGGGGGGAATTTTTTGTTCGCAGAGGCTAGTATCCTTCCCCCAATATCGCATTTCTCAAGACATCATCATTATTGAATTGTGGGACAATTCAATGACGGCGGATGACAAGGGGGAGGGAGAACTAAGAGGGGCTGGTGCTGCACGTTATTTTGAGAGATAGGGTGGCTAGATGGAATGAATCAGAGGGAACAGGGTGTTCCTTTTGCATACATGAGTGTGAATATTGAAGTCCATTTTTCCATTGTGGTGAGTTGGTTGTTGTTGTGCAACCCCATCACCAGCATGGAAGGCTTCCATTTTCTATTGGATTCTTCTTTTTTTCTTTTCCGTCTCCTTCTTACTCTTCTCTCTTTTCTCTTTTCTTTGGACTCCATCTCTGTAAGCATTTTCTTCCTCGCTTATAATAACCCCGCGCCGCCCCTCTTTTTTTTTCTTTTTCTTTGCCAGGCCTCTTCTCCCTTCTCTATTTCTCTTCTTCCCTTCACGCTCTTCCTCCTTTACCTCTCTCTATCTCTCACTCACTCTCTCTACCCTTTACCCTTTATCCTTTCCTCTTCTTCGCCACTCCCTCTCCCCTCTCTCTTCTTTATTACTGTTTATCCACCAGGGTCCTAACGTCGTCACCATCCTCCTCCCTTCACCCGTCTTCCCTCCCTTCTATCTCTGTCCTCACTCTCACTCTCACCTCACCTCCCCCTTCCACAGAGTCTGACATAACAAACACAAAGTCACACCTCCCCGCGACTCTTCCCTGACAGACTCTGTCCTTATACCACACCATGGACAAGTCCGAGCTCGAACTCGAGTCGACACCCTCAACAACCGCCGTCGCTCCCCAGTACACCACCCACGCCGACTCCCGCCCCAACAACAACGGCCCCTTCTCTTTCACCCCCAATGAGCTTATGGACCTCTATGATCCCAAGGCCCCAGAAAAGCTAGACGAATACGGTGGTGTCGACTCTATTCTCGCTGGCCTTCACGCCAACCCTACCAAGGGTCTCTCCACCCCACACAACAAACCCCTCGCCTCCGTTGTTACATCGGACGAGAAGGTCGTCGAGGACCAACCCACAGCTGATCAGTCCGTCACTTTTGAGGATCGCGAGCAGCACTTTGGTCGCAATGTCCTCCCCAAGCGCAAACCCAAGACCATCTTTCAGTTAATGTGGATGGCCCTTCAGGAGAAGATTCTGGTGAGTGATCTCTTGACACTTTCACTCCTTTTCTTTCCTCTCTCTCCCTTGCATCCTTATCTATCACTCTGAGTATCCCTTTATGCTCATCCCTATGGGGATCATGAGCGGTTACCGGGGTTCTCTCTCTCCCTTTTTTCTCTTTTCTTATTGTACTGTGTGGATGTGTGGATGTGTGGATGCGGCGCCCCTTTACTTCGATTCCCAGCCTTCACTAGTCAGACCGGCCCCCTCCTCTCCTCTCATCACTGTAGCCCCTCTCTCTTTGTCTCTCCCCTGAGCACCACTTATTGTTTGGATCGGGTTCAGATGGATATTTATTCGTTAATTCTTCAACTTTAGTCTCTCCAATGAGACCGAGACTCTAGTACCTTTTTTTTTTTTTTTTTCTTTTTTCGTTATCCTTATCCCCTTCCTCTCGATCGTCTTCTGGTCTTGGTTTTATTTTACTTGCCCCTGTTTCCTTAGACAGGCCGTGACTACCGTTTCCCAGATAGACAGTGATGTCTCAATCTGCGCGTGTCTGATTGGCCCTTTTCTTCTTGTCCTATGTGTTTAAAATAACTCTAGCCATGCATACAATAGTAACCCTAACTAACCACGCCCATTCATACCATTGCATCTCGCCAACAGATCCTGCTTTTGATTGCTGCCGTCATCTCTGTTGCCCTCGGTATCTACGAGGACTATGGTATGGAACACAAGGCAACTGACCGCTACGACAGAAACTACAACAAAATCAACAACGGTGACGCCAAGATCTCTTGGGTCGAAGGTGTCGCTATTCTCTTCGCCGTCATGATCGTCGTCCTCGTCGGCTCTGTCAACGATTACCAGAAGGAAGCCCAGTTCCGCAAGCTCAACGCCAAGAAGGAAGATCGCGAGGTCAAGGCCCTCCGCAACGGTGAAACCGTCCTCATCTCCGTCTACGACATCGTCGTCGGTGACGTCCTTCACCTCGAGCCTGGTGATGTCATCTCCGCCGATGGTATCTATCTCGGAGGACACAACCTCAAGTGTGACGAGTCTGCCATGACCGGAGAGTCGGATGCCGTCAAGAAGGTTACCCACGAGGAGTACAAGAGACTTGAGGAGGCCGAGCACGCCTCTGCCCACGAGAACGCACCTCTCCACCTCAACCACGAAGGTATCGAGGTCATCAAGGAGCAGTCCCATGCCCTCCACGGTGTCGATCCTTTCATCATCTCTGGTTCCAAAGTCCTCGAGGGTGTCGGTCTTTACTTCGTTACCGGTGTTGGCGAGAACAGTTTCCACGGCAGGACCATGATGTCGCTCCGTACCGAGGCCGAGGATACCCCTCTTCAGACCAAGCTGAACGGCTTGGCTGAGCAGATTGCAAAGTTGGGCAGTTTGGCTGCCTTGATCATGTTGATTGTCCTTTTCATCCGCTTCTTCGTCACCTTCAAGGATGGTGTCCCCGCAGGCAGCGATATCGCCACCAAGCTAGTTGACATTCTCATTGCCTGTGTCACCGTCGTCGTCGTCGCCGTCCCTGAGGGTCTTCCCTTGGCCGTCACCTTGGCTCTTGCCTTTGCCACCACCCGCATGTTGAAGGACAACAACCTGGTCCGTGTCCTCGCTGCTTGCGAGACCATGGGTAACGCCACCACCATTTGCTCTGATAAGACTGGAACCTTGACCCAGAACCGGTATGTTGTCACATTTACTCTCATGCAAGGATGCTTGTCATTTATTAGTCTATCCTCGCCTATCCCTTGAACACATACTAATGCACGCTGTTCCTTTTTGTTCTCTTGTCTCGTTCATAGCATGACTATTGTTGCTGGAACCTTGGGATTGAAGACCCGTTTCGTTGCCGACTCTGCCGAGGGCGATGCCAACAAGCGCGCCAGCAGCGCCATCAACAAGAACGCTGTTGCTATCAGCCAGTTGGTTAGCAGCATCCCTGCTCCCGTCACCCAGCTGATGCACGAGGCCATTGCCATCAACTCCTCTGCCTTCGAGAGCGAGGATGACAAGGGCAACTTGTCCTTCATCGGATCCAAGACCGAGGTTGCTTTGCTCGACTTTTCCAAGAAAATCGGTGGTGCCGACTACCGCCAGCTTCGCGATGCTTCCCCCATTGTTCACCTGTACCCTTTCTCTTCCGAGCGCAAGTCCATGGCCACCATTGTCCAGATGGGCCCCAACAAGTTCCGCCTTCACGCCAAGGGTGCCTCCGAAATTATCATGAAGCGCTGCGACAAGGTTCTCCAGATCTCTTCCGCTGCTGACCAGGCTTCATCGTCCGAGAAGGATGGCGAGGTCACTCAGTTGGAACTCAACGGTGAACTCCAGACCCAGATCCACAAGACCATCATCTCCTATGCCACCCAATCCCTCCGTACCATTGGTATTGCCTACCGTGATTTCGAGTCCTGGCCTCCAGCCAACGTCCAGCTCAACGATGATGGCGAGGTTCCTTTCTCTGCTGTTGCCGAGGATGGTCTTACCTTGATCGGTGTTGTTGGTATCGAGGATCCCCTTCGTGATGGTGTCCCCGAGGCCGTTCTTGCCTGCCAGCGCGCTGGTGTCTTTGTCCGCATGGTTACCGGTGATAATATCCTCACTGCAAAGTCAATTGCCACCCAATGCGGTATCTACACCCAAGGTGGTATTATTATGGAAGGCCCCAAGTTCCGTGCCCTCAGCGAAGAGGAAATGGACGCTGTCATCCCCCGTCTCCAGGTCTTGGCCCGCTCCAGTCCCGAGGACAAGAAGATTCTCGTCGGTCGTCTCAAGGCCCAGGGTGAGATCGTTGCTGTTACCGGTGACGGCACCAATGATGGTCCCGCTCTCAAGTTGTCTGACGTCGGTTTCTCGATGGGCATTGCTGGTACGGAGGTTGCCAAGGAAGCCTCGTCTATTATTCTGATGGACGATAACTTCTCTAGCATTGTCAAGGCCATCCTCTGGGGTCGCGCCGTCAACGATGCCGTCAAGAAGTTCCTGCAATTCCAGTTGACTGTCAATGTCACCGCTGTCATCCTCACCCTTGTCACCGCCGTCGTCTCTAAGGATCAACAGCCCGTCATGTCTGCTGTCCAGCTTCTCTGGGTCAACTTGATTATGGATACCCTTGCCGCTCTTGCCCTTGCCACCGACCCGCCCACCTTGGATCTCTTGGACCGCCAGCCCGAGGCCCGCACTGCCCCTTTGATCACGTTCACTATGTGGAAGATGATTCTAGGCCAGTCTGTTTTGCAGCTTGTCATCGTCTTTGTCCTGGAGTACGCTGGTATGAGCATCCTCAACTATAACCAAGTCCCTGACAATGTTGCCGCTATCATCGACGCCGCCACCACCGAACAAACAAAGATCGACATCAAGAATGCCTACCTTGGATTCAGGGGACAGGAAGTTTCCACCATGGTCTTCAACACCTTTGTCTTCCTGCAGATCTTCAACGAGGTCAACTGCCGTCGCTTGGATAACCGCCTCAACATCTTTGCTGGTATTCTCAAGAACACCTACTTCATGGTCATCTTTGTCATCATGGTCGTCTTCCAGGTCATCATTGTCGAGTTTGGTGGCGCGGCCTTCAAGACCGAGAAGCTCGACGGCCCTCAGTGGGCTATCTGTGTCATCCTCGGCCTTCTGTCTCTCCCTGTCGGTGTCATTATCCGCTTGATTCCCGACGAGCTCTTTGGTGGACTCAAGGACTGGGTCAACAACGCCCATGCCAAAGATGGTCGCCTCCCAGCCTTTGACGCTTACCCCGGCAAGCAGGAAGTGGGTCGTGCCAACTCAATCCCTGCCTCCATCACCTCGAACCGCACTAACTCGATCTCGAGCGGCAGCAACGTCTACCCCGGCCGCGAGGGTCTTGTCTGGAATTCTGCTATCACCAAGGCTCGCTCCGAGCTCTCGGTCTTCAAGTCAATCCGCGGTGGCCGTCTCTCGACCGACTCTGAGAGAAGCAACAGTGCCATCCACGCCGCGGCCGTTGTCCCCTCGCTGGTTGCCACTTCGGTCGGCGCTGGCTGGGCCCCCAACCGTGGCCGGTCGACTCCTGGCAACTCTTCGAGCCAGGTCAATCTTAGCAATTCGAGTCCACGCAACAGCATGACTGGATCTCGCCGTGGAACTGGTCAGAGCATGGTCCGTCCTGCTACACCCCTTGCATCCGGTGCTGTAAATACCTCCACTTCATCTTAATTATCCATCTAGTCCATCATATATTTTCATGTCAACCGTAATATCTAAAAAGTAATGTCTTCTAATAATGAAACAAATATGACAAACAATACGATCGTGCCCGTTCGCTTGCAATGAATGCTTGGGGTAACTGCACATGTTGAAGGGCAACAAAAGTTGTTAACCCGATCGTAGTTCATTAAGGGTAACTAACCTCGAAATTATCATCGCGACGCGTGCTTTTTTGCTTTCTCTGTTTGTTTTTTACCACCCTCTTTTTTTCGCCACACCACCATCATCAACTCTCCAGACAACAACAACAACCGCGACAACAACAACAATCGACAAAAGCGAATAATACACTACTACCATGCCGCAAGATAATATGAACCGTCGCAAGTCTAGGATAGGACCTGGCCTGAAACGGTCCATCGGCGCTGGAGGAGGATCATCCTCAGCTCCTGCTCAGGTCGACATCACCACCCACACTCTCTTCAGTTCCCTCAGGCACGATCATCAGCACCACCACCAACAACAACAGCAACAACAATATGACGCGCATCCATTACGACGATCACAACACTACTATTCCCAGGATGCGTCATCCGATCATCATCATCACTATAACAACAGCAGTAGTCAACCATCACACACAGCCCTAACACCCATGCAACCGATTTCAAAAGGACTGGAAGACCCGGTCGAACGACTTTGCTTTGCAGTCGACCAACTCGTCGAAAAGATGGCTGTTGTGGCCGATATTCATGCCGGCCTTGCCAACTTTAACGAGTCCTTTGGGTCACTGCTTTATGGTCTCAAGATGACAGCAATCAACGTGGAATGGACCGAGGTAAAAAAAAAATCTTGCCTTAATATCGTTGGACATGCATGCCTTGAACATAATCCTTGGAAAGAATGACGTCGAGGCATTCGACTGACGCCTGGATTTTGTTTTTCTTTTTGATATCATTTAGGCACCCACGAAGAGGTCATTCGAGAGACAGGAACAGCGGGAAGCAGAGGCGATTATATTGCAGCAGCAGCAGGAGGAGCTGGAAAACATTCGTCGGCAACAGATTCTGGAAAAGGAGCGTGAAGTGGAGCGTCAGCGCCAGGAGGTCGAACGACTGGAGGCAGAACGGGCGAGAGCCTCGATGGCAAGTCTTAACAGTGGCGGCAACCAAGGTAGCAGTGGCAACAGCCATGGGTCTCGTCTGAAGAGGCCAGGAGCTTCCACAGCAGCGGCTGCAGGAACCTCACGGATTCCACCGAGACGCATCCAAGGAACTTTACGGTCTAACCAAGGAGCAAATGCAGGCGCTTCAAGATCCGGTAGTGGAGGAGTGCGCAAGCTGGCCGGAAAACTTGTGATGAAACGGATGGCTGAACGGTTACCACTTCGGTATCGCGACGAGGTAATTATTTCCGGGGATATGCTTGTAAAGAGAGATGAATGGACATTGAAAGGAAGGATGCTTGCAAAAAGTCTTGTTTATTTTCTAACACATGGTTTTCTTACCTGCAAAACAATGACAACAACATTCCACAGCCTCATCGGGCACCAATTGAGGCTATTATGCGTTCGCTGTCAGAGAACATTGAAGGCCAAACCCTCCCTGACCTGGTGGCTGTTGCAGGAGTGGCCCGTCATCGATGCAACGAGTACCTGGGCGTGCTTATTCACGCAAAGGAGGTTATCAAGACGAGTCAAAAGGGAGTTGTGTTTTCTCTGAATCCAGACCGATACCCCAGTCGGTAAAAGGATGGACAAGGGAGAGTGTGAGCGACATGATGACACCACCTTCACCTTCCGCCCTCACCACTTACAACAAACAACACGACAGCAAAAATTTCAACAAAGTGATCGACTCGACAGGAGGACCACGTGGAGGAGTGCGAAGCTGTCGCTCTCCCTCCTGTGTGTTGAACTGTGGAGACCAGGGATGCGCGTGTTTTTTGTATGTGAGAGCCTGGAGCTACTACTCACACAACACGACCGTGAGGCAGGATACGACAATTCTTTTTTTTTATTTTTTTTTTATTTGCTTCCTACTTGTACTTTAGACAAATAATAAACAAAGACCCAGACACCAAAGGAACAAGAAAGTAGCATCGATACCAACCGGGATGAGAAATCAAGGGCAAATTTTATTTTCAAGGGGGAAGGATACGAAGGAAGGAAGAGACACACACACACCCACACACACTCACTCACTCACAACAGGAGTCGCAGGGACCATTTGGAATCCTTTACATTTGTCGCCGTTGCCCAGGATGGCCTGGGCAGCCTAATCGTGGCGGCGGCAAGTCGGATCCAACAAGTGGCGAAAAGTCGGATCCAACAGATGGCGAAAAGGAGGAGCGAGGAACAAGCGGAAGAAGAACACGACGACGAAAAAAAGTAAAGAGAGGGGGAATAGTGTCCCTATATCATCAGCTCGTGTATGTGTTTGAGTAAGAGTATACGGGAGTTGTTTTCTCCTGAAGTTCTATGCGTGCATAAAACTGTGTCAACTCCTCCTCTTCCCCTGTGTTTGTCCGATGTATTTTTACACATTTGGCGCCATTTTTTTCTCCTTTGTGTGTGTTGTTTCTCACAGGCTGCCTTCCTTCTTTCTGCTTCTTCCTTTACCGTTCCTTATCGCCGTCATTCATTCTCATTCATTCTCATTCATTCTCATTCATTCTCATTCATAGCAGCGCAATCTCCTTCTCCCATCCCTTTCCCCCCTTCCCTGCTGTCTTCACATAGCTCGCTCTCTCCTCCTTCTAAACCCCTCCACTCAGAAAAAGGGGCAGCATCAACACGACAATAGGCGTCACTTTACACTTCGCACCTTCTTCCCATCAGCTCCTCCTTCTCTACAGCGACAAAAAACGTTAAAAAAAAAGGCGCAGAGTGAAGGGTGTCGGTCACAGGCACCACCACCGCCAGCACTATTACCACCATCCACCCATACCACACATATCGCAATGGCTCGACCTTGGCGACACTCCTGGGCTCGACGCTGCCTAGTGTTATTCATATCCTTCCAGCTCCTAGCTTCACTCCCACCTTCCTATCGGGACCATAGCCACAGCAACCCAAACTTTCACGTCAATGCTGCTCCCGCCACCACTACCCAACTACGTAACACCAACTTTGACCGGCGACACAGTCTTCACCAAAGACATCTTCACACCGGCAACAGCATCTATAATAATGTCGAGGAAGCGGAAGACCAAGGAACAATACCATATAGGCGGAGGGAGATTGTCCAGGATGTTATGGACTATGACGAGGGCGACAGCAAAAACACCAACGACGACAGCAGCATCGATGGCTTCTCCGATGACGCGGGCACTAGCGACAGCAACAGCCCACTGACCAACAGTAGAACAACAGCAATAACAGCCACGGTCCAACAACTCAAAGTAGCCTCAGAATTGTGCAACTCGGACGTTCCATTGTTACTCGGTCCAGACTGGAATGGCACCTTTTCGACCAATTCGGCCGATGGAGCCTACCCGTCCCTGAATCGGGCCTGCACTTTTACAATGCGAGCCATGACAAATAGTTCTGGTCGACCTGTGCCCTATGTGGTTGCACTCACTTTTTCGACACCCATTCAGCTGGTCTGCGGGTAAGTGTGAAAGACACACAAGAGGTCTCCCTGGTTAAGCCTGAATGGGAGGAGAGAAGGGAAGAAAAGAAGTGGACAAACAAACAACAAGCAAAGTGTAACGGGCATAAGCGTGTAGCAATGAGGGTCTGGACAATCAAGGCAAATGATGCGGAAAAGCAGAGCATGGTTGCTTGAACTTTAATGAAGTTCCGATTGATTGACCGCTGCAAAAAAAAAAGGCGGGACAGGGACAGGAACAGGGGTCAGGGTCCAGAGCAGGGAAAGTGTCAGGGACAGTAGTGACTGACAGCCGCTCATTGCTTTTGGATATCTGCAACAATTGAACTTGCTTAGGACGGACTACCTGACACTCTACGATGGACCTGACGAATCAGCACCCATCCTGGCAAAGATCTGTGGCAACATCAGGCCGGACAACCTGACCTTTTATTCAACAGGGCCCGTGCTCACCGCCATCTTTTCCACTCAGGAGTCTTCGCCTGGTTCCTTTGGCTTCTCCGCCGTCTGGTACTCCATAGGTATGTACACATAGCCGTCATCGTTATTGTTGTAGCCTGTTGTTTGTTTGTCTATCGATCCATATGGACTAACGCTAACTATTTGCACCGTATCCATGACACATCAGCACCTTGCACAGTGTGCACCACCAGTGGTCGGGGAACGTGCAGCAACAGCAACACTTGCATTTGCAACACTCAATACACTGGAGCTGTCTGTGAGACCGGTAAGGAGGTCGTGGTAGTGAGATAATGCGAAGTTCTTTTTTCCAAGGAGTCGTTCCGGCTCTTCCATCGATTAACACGTCTAATATGTAACCACTTCTACTGTCAACAATAGAGACGGCGGGATCCAAGGATTTTACACCACGATCCCAACATGCGATGGCGTATGATCCCAAGAAGGACATGGTCTATATTATGGGCGGAGCAAGCTTCAGAGATCCCTTCATGAATGATCTCCTCACTTACTCCTTTGGTAAGCAAAACTATCTAACTCCAGGCGCAACGGTACCATGTAAGCGAACATCGGTCTAAACCCTTTTTATTATCGTTATCGGATTCACATTTAGTTTCGAACAGGTGGAACAAGATCGTCACTGTTAGGAGTCCTGATCCTCGGTACGGCCATTTCGCCTTCATGCATGACGACAACTTGTACATTTATGGCGGACGTACGATCATTGGAGGCCTTGCGGACATTTGGAAGTTTGACGGGAAGGCCTGGCTGCCACAACTAGCCAGTAACCCTGAAAGGCTGCCAGCGGGGCGAATTGGGTCAGCCAATGTCGTGGTTACGAGCCACAATATTACCAAGCTCTATGTCTTTGGGGGCTTGACTCCATCCGGTGCGACATCTCGAGAGCTGAGCATCTATGATCTAGGTACATTTGTCTTGGCTGATACGGGAGCACATGGCTGGTGAATGACGCTGGCTATTACGCGCCGCCGAGTTTAGTCGTGCAGCAACTAACATTCCTTTGTTACGTTGGCATGCTCTACTTAGCTACAAACAGGTGGACTAAAATGGATCACCAAAACTCGGTTGGACTTTCAGGAGCGACGGCGGTGTATCACCAGGCAACTAATTCGATCTACTACTTTGGAGGTATGGTCAACCAGACGACTCGCAACGTCATCACATACCAGTATCGCATCTATCAGGAGCTTTGGTACGCACTGGCGCCACGGATTGATCCTCTCACGGCAACACCAGTTTCTTACTGGAATGTCACAGACACCCCTGCACTAAATATCACCGCTTCGGACGATGACGGCGACTCTGATTCAGGGCAGAACTCGGCAGTGCAAATTCTTCCACCAGTGATGTATGACCCGTTGACAACCATTTGGACACCGGCTGGGGTCGTTGGCGACGACACTGTAGTCATGTATGGTGGCATGAGACCCTATGGACCAGGTGTCAACGAACGCGAGCAGTCTTGCTTTGCCTCCAGCTTTGCCATTTATGATCTCTGTAAGAACTGGATCTACGAACAAGTGGCTGCACGAGATGTTTTTTGGGGTCAGGACAAAGGAGCTCATTACTGACTGAATTGCTTTACTATCATATCTTACCCATGTAGCATGTCAGAATTGGATGTCGTATGATGTGTCCCAGTTGGATAGCGTTCTCAAAGGCCGAGTTAATCATACCATGGTGATAAGGCCACCTGGCGCTCCTGGAGGAAGCAAGACGGCGTATACTGCGTACATCTTTGGAGGGTTTGATGGAACCGATCGTGCTGACATGCTGAATGCAACCCTGACCATCCCAACTACAACCCCTGGTGCTATCAACAACTGTCGAGGTAAGTTTCTCGTTAAAATTGCAATCAATACATGAAAGGACACTTGCTGCTATAACTCATTCTAACCCATTGTCGTGCCATTGTCTGGATACGGTTTATAGCACTGCGGTGGTGCAATCTCTACGACGACTGCCAGTATTGTCCCACAAACTACTGCTCCTACATCAACGGACTTTGCCTATTTGACACGGACAAAGGCAAAAACGCACAGGTCTTGGCGGGAAACTCGAATGATGTGCCTAAGAATGGAACAATACAGGATTTGCTCCGCCAACAACCTCAGCTCAAGGGACAGGTTCAAAATTCAGATATCTGCCCATCTCGGACTGCACTCGATCTAACCAACCCTTATTCGGGAACCATCCAGTCGGGACAAGAGATTTCCTTCAGGGTCTACATCGACTCTGCCGACTTGAATATCCAGTACGAGATCAGGACTCTCCCTACGTCAGCGTTGGAGTTCAAATCACTGAACGTCTGGGAGGGGTTCATGAACATGTACTGGCGGGCGGACCATGCATTGACGGGCGACTCTTGGAACACCACAGCCTCCGATCCCTCGGCCCTTGATCTGCCCACAATGTCTAGTAACTCGAGCGACGGTCCTGTAATTGGACCTGGAGGTTTGCTGAACACGAGTGAGCTGATGAACCGATGGACAAAGTACTCGGGCCTGGATAATAATCCTTCCACCTCCGCCATTCAAGGCGACACGTCCTACATCTACTTTTTGGCCTCGGATCCACGTCGGTTTGTAGGATACTATGTCTTTTCGCTGACGAACTACAACCCGACGTCACTCTCCTTCTCGGTGACAGTGACGCTGTTGAATCACCCAACGTCAGTCGACAAGCCTCCCGGAGCACGGTTCAACATGGCGACGTTGGGGTTTTTCATGCTTGGATTTATCCTTGCAGTTGTGCTGTTGATTCTCACGGCGCGCAAGATTCGTCAGCTGGTCGAGGACAGGGACGCGTCGCACCGTATGGCGGAGATGCAGTTGTTGGTAGACGAGGATGATGGCAGGCGTCGAAACAACCGAGGCGGACTCAATGGTGGGATGTCCTTGACCCAGATGGATGGGTCAATCTTGCTGAAGAAGCCTCTATACCGGATCGTTGTCGGAGTTCAGGATATGGGCAAGGAGGTGTTTGGGATTTCGAGATCGAATCTGCGACATCGACATGTTCGTGGCGATGGGTCACCTGGAGGCATGAAGGGTCAAGGCAGGCCTGATTCTAAGAGTAAAGGAACGACTACAGCAACAGCAGCTTTGCCTCGATCATTGTCGCATTCGACTGACGTTCAATCCATCGTTAAAGTGCAGGATCCAACATCACCGCCACGAGAGAAACGCTCGCGCGTTCGATCGGATTTTATTCGAGACATTGGATCAACACCGCTGCCGTTGACGGCCGCTGAGGAATCAATGATGGAGAAGGAGGCAAGTGCTCTCGCGAGATCATTATCCTTTGTCGACTCAGCCTCCACTCCTGATCGCGCGAACGTGACTGGGATTAACTCGAGCGACAAGGATCGGAACAGGACTGGAGCTCCTCAGAGCTCGCTCCGGGCCAAAAGTGAGCCTTCTCTCATCCGGCAGGCTAGCATTCGGAACGAACAACAAAACAACAGGGATTCATCAAATCAGGACACAACCCCGCAACGCGCCTCCAACAACCTTGCCGAGCCAGCATTGCAACGCGGATGGTCGCTGAGGAGTCTTGGGAGGAACTCTTCGCTCTCGCGATCGTACAGCCATCGATCCATGACGACCACGGCCGAGGAGCGAGAAGGCTTGACAAATCAGCAGGCCAGTATCGAAGAGGAGGATCCAGCAGCTGGTAACGGTGGAGTTTCGAGTAGGGGTTCGTTCGACAGTGAGCAGGAGATTGTCGATCTGGGCAAACTTTTGTCTCCAACGGATCTGTTGCAGCAGCGTCAAGAACAGATCGAGAAACGTTCTCGGGAGGAAGAGGAATCTCGGTGGCGACAGCGACGGCGACGGAATCCTACCAAAGTGCAACCGATTTCGGTTGAACCTCTACCGTTCCATTCTGGTCTTGTGCCGCGGACCATGACGCATTTCAAGAAATATCGCCGAAACCTTGCTAAGCAACAGCGGCGACAACAACAAGTGCAGCAGCAGCAGCAGCAGCAACAGCGGCAACAGCGGCAACAATATCGAGGACAAGAGCAAGGACATCAACCTTCCATGTCGAGGCAGCAGTCGAACGAGTCATTTGGATCGAAACGGCGCTCGCCTATACCTCCCACTCATCTGGAGCCACTGGGTCAACATCAAGTCCGAGCTACAAAGTCGCAAGGATCGCTACGGGAAGTTTGCAAGGTGGCGTCTCGGATGGCTTCAAGGAGTCATGGCGACATCTTTCCGAGGAACACAGATGTGGAGGCAGATGATGTGGCGGTGGTAGAGTCAGGGCCAAAGTCTTTGGTGGAGAGGAAGTCCTTGCCGCAGCTCGGATGGAGCGGGAAGGATGAGCAGCTTGAGGATTTGGAGGCGGCCATTGAGTTGAGACAGCTGTCTGTTTCTGCGCGTGGTGGTGGTGGTGGTGGTGGTGGTGGGGGTAGTAGTGGCAGCGGCGTTGGGGTTAGTGTTGCCGGTCAAGGACTTGATACGGCTGAGCGCATTGTGGATGACGAATATAGTGACGAGGGTCTAGGTGGAGGTGGACCATTAGGATCACCGTTTTCGTCGCCTGTCCAAGAGCGGGCCAATAAGCTGCAAGTTCAACAGTCGGACCAGCCTCGTCCAGGACAGCAGGATGCGCGTGATAGTGGTGGTGGTGGTGGTCAGAAGCAGAAGAGACTGATCAAGATGAGAGGTCGTCAGGAGTATGAGCCCGGCCCGCTGTTGGCGATGAATTTCTTGATTGTCTTTCCTGGTGATTCAGGATCCAGGAAGGTCAGTCAACAGGGCGGCGGCGGTGGTACCAAAGCCAGTCATGGGGCAGAGGCGGGAGTTGTAGAGGAAGCGGATGTGGAAGTGGAAGTGGAAGTGGACGAGGTGGTAGTGGTAGAGAAGGACGATAATGGAGATACCCTGTACAATAGCGAGAAGCGGTTGCCGCCGATGGCGATTGGGACGGTGTTTGTGCCGGACCCGGTCCGGTGGTGGGCCTACAAGGCCAAACAACAGCTGGATCGACAAAAGTTTGAGCGGCAACTGCGGAGGATGCATAACAAGCAGAGCAGGAGCAAGGATAAGGATAAGTTGCATGTTTATCAGCAGCAGCAGCAGGGGGAGGAGGGGGAGGTCAAGTCAGCGTCGGTGTCTAAAGGTCGGCGAGGGTCGTGATGGGATGGATGGTGGGAGGTAGGAGGTTGGGACGGTGTTACATGTACCATACCTAATAGTAAACCATTCGCGTCTCCTTTTTTTTTTATATTGAACATTGTCATTGCGAACTCTTCAGCTTATCAATAGTAGGTTGATTTATTATTCGAGTATGTACAAAAACTATGAGGATGCTTTTCAGTGAAGCTTAGAGAGCACTATTGCTACCGGCACCGCTGCTGGAGGGAAAGGTGTCGACGGCGACAGTTTGTGGAGGGTACGGATCTGAAGCTGGAGCAGGATAAGTCGGGCAAGGCTGCTGGAGCTGCAACGGCTGCGCTGATTGTGGAAAGGGTGGGGGCAGGTAGGCCTGTTGTGGTTGGTAGGCTTGTTGGTAGGCCATTTGGGGTGTTTTCTGGTCACCCTGGACTTGTTGGTACTGCATTTGAGGCGTGGGCTGGCCTTGTTGGTACTGAGGTTGGGGAGTAGCCTGGTAGTACCGTTGCTGAGCCTGGTCGTAGCCGTTATTGTTGTCGTTCATCTGGTAAGACGTCATCTCTGGCTGCTGCTGCTGCTGCTGATAGGTACCGTCTTGATAGACATTAGCAGGACCTGGAGCAGAGGTGGGTGCTGCAGAAGTCATGTAAGCAGACGAGGTGGACGGAGGGACATAGTTCGGGTCGGTAATGTTACTGTTCGAGATTCCATGGGAGGATTTGGACCTTTTGGTGGAGGGGACGACGGTAGTTTGGCCGGCAGTGTCGAGGGTGTTGGTGGTGAGGACGGGGCGGCCCAAGAGTTGGAAGACTTCTAGGAACATAATTAGGACCCAGAAGCCAGCCATTATTCCTGCGGTGATTAGTGCGCCGTACAGGGCTACATTGATGAGAACGTGGGAGAATGAAAGTGAACTGGTAAGTACAGTAAAAGCTGAAGGGACTTGGACTTTGAAACACCAGCGTACGATGACGACGAAAAGCTTACAGCTAAAGTTCTTGTTTGAGCGACAGGAATCAATGCTGTCCTCCAAAAGCGTGCACGCCTTATTCAGCCCCAACCCAATCTCACCACACATCGCAAACGACAGCAACGCCAACAGACCCGAAAAGAACACCACCGACAACGACAACCCCGTCGGCGAGAACTCGTCCTTCCTATGCAAGACCATACACAAGAAGATCAAGAACATTAAAGAGAAACCCGCGGTGATGGCGGCGGCGATGATGGGGAAGAGACAGAAGCCATTGTTATAGACCACCACGTCGCCATCCATGGTCACGTAGAGGAGACAGACGTTGTTGAGGTAGCGATCGAATGTGATTTTGCCGTTGACGCTGACGAGGCCCATGACGATGAGGGAGCAGAGGAGGGTGCAGAGGAGGCAGATTAGGATTAGGATTTGGCGGATCCTTGCTGCGCTTGTGCCGGACATTTTAGGGTTATTTTGGTTTGTTTTGTTTAATGGGAAGGGTGGGGAGTGGGAAGTGAAGGAAGAAGGGTAGATGGGGAACAATAAGAAGGTGTCAGGAGAAGAAAACCAAGGAGAATAAAAAGAGAGAATGAGCAAGAGATAAAAAAAATGACGGATGGTGAGAGATTGTCTAATGAAAAGAGTGCCCAACCCAACACTACACACTCGCCCTACCGCGTAACTTGCATTGGCGCTCAACATGTCTCAGCCTTCGTCATCATCCCATCCATGGCCACCCAATAATACGTATTCTGGTCCAAATGACTCGTTGCTTCATTATTCCAGTGCACTCTAAAAAAAATAAGAAAAAAAGTCGTTTCGCATTTGAACCTTGCTATCATGTCAGCAGCCTTTATGATGGCTAAAACGTCCCTGAGAGCTGGTAGGCAAGTCGGGGTTGGTGATATCAAAAATAGTTGGAGGGAGAGTACTGACACGATTCCTACGGTAGGGAAGAAGTAGGCCTTGGTCCTTGGATGATTTTTGCGACTTTGCCACCATAAAAAAAATCTTTCTTCTTTCCAGTGTTGCTTCAACTGCGGCGACTTTTGTTGGCCCTCGTTTTCATCTGGCGTACGTCGGTCTTGGTCCTCAGACTAATGTTTTCGACTGCGGGTCTGTGTGTCTGCTGCGTGTCTGTGTGTCTGCGCTCAGGTTTATATGCCTGGGATATGCAATTGAGTTTGCGAAATGGAGAGAAGAGGTTTATGGAGTGAAGACATACATGATTGCCGCAAGCCGTCCTGAGAATGAACGTGAGCCCAGTGGAGGAGACATACATGTCCATGTCATTCGGAGAGTGGTGCAAAAGGCGTGATGGAAGTAAGACAGCGTGAGGGTCAGAGCACTCGTGTGTGCCTTTCCCCCCTCTCTCTCCCCCTTTCCTTGTGTGTCTGCCTCGCCTCCTTCTCTCGGGTGTCGTTTCTGTCGTCGTATTTGCCCTTGTGTCTCCGAGGACTCGCTTTCACACTTGTTTGACTCTGTCCCCTTCTTTCTCTTTTTTCTTTCTTTCTTCTTTTTATACTTACACATGCACACACCCTGCTTCTCATTCTCTCTTTCTTCTTCACTCCACTCTTTCTTCTTCACTCCGCTCTTTGCACACATTCACACATCAACTTTCTTTCCCACTCCTACTCTCACATTCACTCCTTTCTTTTCTTTCAAAGCTACGCCCATTCAAAACAACTTCGCCAGGCAGACAACCTTTACTTTACTCTAACCAAACCATACCATGACCCATTCGACGACGGCTCGCACAGCTGCACAGGCGGAAGAGCAGGCCAGCTACCTCGCCAGTATGTACCCTCCATGGACTCTCTTACACATGCTGCTCCAGCACCACAAACCCCTTCTATCGACCTCACTTCTCGAGGCACTCCTCGACAACCCCTTCTCCTCGCCTTTGCCCGCTGTCACAACCTCTACCACTGTAATACCTTCTTCCTTGTCCGCCAATCCTTTGCCGTCACACTTCCCGGCCACGCCATGGTCAGAGAGCACGTCAGAGCCCACCCATTCGCTTCGACGCCCAAGGGCAAAACTGTCAAGGTACTTGATCCAACGACTCCACTTTGGATACTATGGAAACAAAAGCCTCTTCTCCGAGTCTGCCGTCCGCTACCTGACTGCGCGAGCTCGGCTCGAGTACGGTTACTTTGCCATCCGGGGTCGAGCCTTCTGGAACGTCAGCCAGGAAGACATCGACAGCCATCAACCACCACCAGAAGAGGACGAAAGGGGCGACAAAGAGGTCCGGGACAAAAAGTCAAAAGGATCCTCATCCTCAAGAGCACAACAATCACACCAACAACAGCAACAGTCTGGCCAAAGTGCAGGATCAGAAGGCGTTGATCCAACAGCAAACAAGGACGACGACCTCGCCGCCCTAACCAACTCGGAGTCATCGACTAGTCTGGGACGTCAACAGGGACACGGCGTAGGAGGAACGAGCGCTGATAGCAAAACAGAGCAACTCAACAAACAGGATCAGCAACAAAAGATGGCCAAGGCACATCGGAGGTGTGAGGCGCGGGAGGAAATACTACTTATGATGGAGGTCACTCGATTCTGCGAACGCAACTTGCCTAGCAATTTCACGTTAGAGTCGCTCTCACCAGCTTTGCCCCTCTTTGGACGGCTCGAGACAGGGATCTACTGGCGACAGGTTGCCTTTACAAAGTGGATCAATTCGGTCGAGGGTCTGAGCAATGCACAGTTGGCCAGGATACCCCCTTCACCGTTTCTTTGTCGGCGGGTCGATGCAGCCTGGATGGAGCACATGGAGCAATTGCCAACGAACGAGACACCTATCCTTTTGCCGAGTCAAAAATCCAGAAACCGAGTCCAGCAGGAACTACACTGTGCACAGGACGATGCTCGCCTGTTCCAGATTGCCTCGGGGATCTTTGAGGGACTTGCGACTCATCCTAGAAAGTCCAGGAAACCAGCTCGACCGCTCATCGACGGACCATTCAAACTCTCCCTGGATATTCTTAAGAGTCTAATCGTCGACTATGGGTATCTGCCCTTGCCCGAGGACGACATGCAACGAAAGATTCATTACAGAGGCGGCGACAGGATTCCAACAGGGGATCAGGAGTCGTTCCCGAGTGATGGATCCCATGTGGTCAACAGGCGGGGTCTGAAGGGTGAGGGGACGTCCATTTGGTACTTTTATGATCTCCAACGTATCGAGATCATCGTGGTCTACTTGATGTTCCGAGCACCGGAGGTTTTGAACTGGATGTTTGAGCGTGGATTCGAGTTAGAGCCACCATTGGGACCAGGAGGACCAACCTTTTCTCGAACGCTTCTGTTGCAGTGCTGCTTGCCTGGATGTCATGCGATGGTCCGCCATATCTACCGATCGTCTCCAACGGCCGCCTTCATGAGCCCAATCATTATCATCAGTCGAGTGAACGAAGAGCTCCTGGGCCTTGGCAACAAACCTAGACACGTCGAGTTCCAGAGACAGGACTTTGTCGAGGCACTCAAAGGGGTCCCAGCAGTTTACCTGGCGGATTCTCTCGCCATCCTCATAGGCGTCGGCATGGACACCACGGTAGTTCAGGATCGACTCACGGAACTATTACAAATCTCGGGAGGTCCCGCATCTTTGGATGTTGAAAAATCTGTCTTGAGCATGCTGGTAGGTGTCTCATGATTTCTTGGAGCGAGCGCTGATATTGCATAATAGAAAAACGCTGAACTTTTTACTGATAACGCATCGTTTGGTTGTTCACAATGACAATAGCACAAGCAAGCGAGCAAGCCATCGCCCTCTGGACTGAACAACGATCCGCTGCTAGCAATGCTGGATATTCGGCTGGAGCCTACGGAGACATCGCGAGGAGACGGCTACATGAACCCCCAATTGCTTCAACGAGTTTCGGGTGCAGATTTAGTGAACAAGGCAATCCAGGAGGCCTTTGCTGTGCAGATGGATATGTCCAGAGTCCGAGATCGGCAATGGAAGACGGCTTTTGAGGAGATCCTTATTGAGTTTGAAACAGGGTCATGGCGGGTGCATCCTAACGTGTCCGAGTGGATCCTGGATAACTTGGATTCGTCCCAGGCGGCTTTCAATGTTTGCTTTGATCATGCCCTGATCGAGGCCCTGGCGGGTATCCTAGAGTGGAACGAAGCACAAGTGGTCAGGTTGAGGGATTGGGTCCAGCACCAGGAGAACGAGGCCGAGATGAAATGCATCCCGGCGGGTAGCCGATGGGCGGAGGTCAAAAGGCGACTGTTGACTGTCTCAGGGGATCTTTTGGGTGGAAGCAGGGATGGGATGGAGGGTATTCAGTACGAAAGTGTGTCAAGGCATGGAACGTCACCAGAGAGCTGGATTGGGCTCAATATCGAGTGGACAACCAACGAGGAGGTGGACCAGACTACCGAGGAGATTGTTGCCAGCATGCCTCAGGGGAGCGAGTTGGTCAGGGTGAGCCAAGATGGCCATTTGATGTTGGATAATGGATGTCTTGATCAAAGGCTTTTGTTCTGCGATCCTTTGTCAGGCGAGTTCCCCGCGTTGAACACCAATGGTAACGTGCACGAGTTTCTGAGGAGGGATGCTATCGTGGAGGAGAAGCATCTGATTTGGTTGGCGCTCGGACTGGTGACAGAGTCCTTCCAAGGAGAGCGGGTTGTTGAGGTTCGGCAGCACGGACAGAGTGAAGAGACAACCATTCCGTCAGGTCGTTCTGTGCTGTCCAAAATGGTGTGCTCGCCTGAGGCGTACCAGTTGGTGTGGATGGTGGTCGTGGCATATCTCCGACAGACGGCGACATTGACGGATGAGAGAAGTAGCACTCCTGTGGCGACGACGTCGACGACATTGGCAGGGTGGACAAACGATTCTCTGTCGTGGATAAGCTTAGAGGAAGGGGAGGAGCAACGGTCGAAGCGCGAATATGATCGTGGCAACAGTTCTGTACGATCAGCCACCCCAACACCCTCGCACGGATCGTTTACGTCGTGGGTGTCGAAGGTCAGGGCGTTGAAGCTGTTGTTGACGGACCGACTGGGACTGGATGCGTGGCTGATGATTGAGATACTGAGAGAGATTGAAGGCGACCTTGAGGACGCAGCGATTATCGAGGACCTGGATAGCAGCGACCAGGACGACAGCGACAATGATAGCGAAGATGACGACGAGGCCTAATCTTTTACTTTTGGAACAGCCAATAGAAATGTTCATATAAAAAGAAGCAACGAACGAGAGAGTCCTTGACACCTGCACCACCTCTCCCTTCTCTCTTCTGCTTCTCCCTCTTTCTCTCCTCTGTCGTACTGTAATTCTCCATCCTTCGTCGTCTCCTTTTTACCCCATGTAAACATATAAACCTGTTCTCTGAGGGAATAGGTCATGTGCTCCTCGTGCTTGTGCTTTTCTTCACTTTTATCGACTCTCCGTCAAACTCATCTTTTTCGTTATCCTTTCCTTCTTCCTTCCATCCCTCTCTCCCACCACCTCATCTTCCTCTACTAGAGCATCACCTTCCTATCAGCAACCCTAATCCATCTGCAACCATGAAGATCTACGCCATCTACGTCGTCCACAACAACATCAAGCCCGCCAAGGCCATCGTCGACGCCAAGGACTTGACCAGTTTTGGCTTCTTCCAGCGCTCCAGGTAGGGCTCCTCCCACCTCCTTCCATTCCCTTCTACGTCTGCCTTCTTGTCCCCCTGCCCTGTCTGTCTGTCTGTCTGTCTGCCTGTGTGTTTGTCTCGTGAGTGTGCCCACCTCCTTCACACACACACACTCTCATTCCCTCACCTGAGGTCACGCCAAGACAGTTCGGCAAAAAAAAAAAAAAAAAAAAAAAAAGACAAAACGATGACAACACACATTCAGCATATGAACATTTTAGTATTCCTCTATTAGACTACGTGGCAAGTTGCTAACTGCCGTTTACAACTTTTCTGTATGTCGACTCTTGAACACTGCATCATACTAATATTAGCATCGGAGAGTTCATGACCTTCATGGCCCAGACCATTGCTGAGAAGACTCAGCCCGGTCAACGTCAAAGCATTGAAGAGTCCAGTAAGTTTTTTTTTTTTCTTGTATCGAACAAGTCTAAACTTATGAGACTGAGCTAGAAAAAAAAAGAGTTGACTTTATTTGCGATAGAAGGAAAAACAAGACCTTACTTGGTTTTATTCAATCACTCACTCCTTCTTCTCTTCCTCTCTCGCTCTCTACCCCCTTTCTTCAACTTTTTAGACTATGTGGGCCATGTGTATGCTAGAGCAGAGGGCGTTGCAGGAGTCGTGATCACGGACAAGGAATACCCCCCTCGCGTGGCATTTTCGCTTCTCAACAAGATCCTGGACGAGTTCACAACTCGGTTCCCTAACAACCAGCTCTGGACACCCGAGCAGTGCTCGTACCCGGAATTGCAGCAGTACATTGTGACCTACCAGGATCCCAAGCAGGGCGACACTATTATGAAGGTCCAGCGCGAGTTGGACGAGACCAAGATCATCCTTCATAAGACCATCGAGTCTGTCCTGGAGCGTGGCGAGAAGATGGAGAGCCTTGTCGAGCGCTCGGATGTACTCTCGAGTCAGTCCAAGATGTTCTACAAGACTGCCAAGAAGCAGAATGCATGCTGTATCATCTGCTAAGCTGGATTGAAAGATAAACAGGATCCCTCCGACTTTCTCTTTGTCGCATACAAACAGGCAGGGATAGTACGGATGGAGGGCTGTCAACTTTCGCTAGCAATGGAGCAGGATCAATCATGGGGAGCCGAGGAGTAATAATTGACCAGGAGAAATACCGATGAGGCGACTCTATACTTTGTAATAAACGAGAACAACCAAGACGAGCAACACTTCAAGTGTGTATGGTGTTTATGGGATTTCTGTGACGATCACATGAATTGCTACCATGCACGCAGTGCCTCCTTCCTTTCCTCTAAAACTGACCTGTGGGTGTGGAGAAAACCATTGACCCGGGAATAAGAATAAGCCGCCACCAAAACATCCGATCGGATATCTGCGCAGGGCAAAAGTACGAAAAGCCACGTCGTCCATTAGAACGTCTACACTTTCTCTCCCCTCTTTCTGTCGATCCATTAAAAGCCCTCCCTTGTAGTGGAATGAACCAGAAACATAAAAGGGACCATTATCCACATTTTCTCTTGTAACACGTGTAGATGGGCCTCTCTCGTTGGATCCCGATCGCTCTGTTCGCTGAGGAAAAAAATTGCCTTATTCGAACGCTCTTCCACTCCCTTCCACGGGTGAAGTCGCTGTTCTTTTTTTGTTTGTTCACAACATGGAACAAATGAACAACCACCAACCCGGTCCACACAAAACACTCACAAGTTAGCACGCTTGAACTCAATGTTTTTTTGTTGGGTAACAAAAAAAAGATGCCCCTCTATTATGTATATTTTATGAATTGGTTAAGAAAATGGCAAAGCTACCAAAAAGTTTACAGCGCAGTTTAGTACTGGGCAGACATGGACTGGCAGGCCTTGAGCTGCTCAAGGTACCACTGGCAAGCAGACATGTCGTTGCCGTTGGTCTCGAGGCACTTTGTGAAGGCCTTGGCGTCGGTCTCGCAGGAGGCGCCGGTGGAGGCGGGGACGGCGGCGTTTTGGTACATGGGCTGCTGCTGGTACTGCTGGTACTGGGGGGCCTGCTGCTGCTGCTGCTGGGCCTCAGGGGCAGACTCGGATGAGCCGGAGCCGCTGAACATCGACTGTGTTTTTGGTATGCAGAGGGTAGGAGGAGGAGGAAAAGGTTAGTCACTGAGCTCCTTTTTTTTTCAGGAACGCAAAAATAAACTACTGCTGCAAGGCTGAAAAGTCGAAAGGTGTGTGCAGGACGGAAAGTGTGAAAAGTGTGTGGGTGAAGAGTGAAAGAGGACTTACGGTGAGACCGGCACCGAGAGTGTGACCGACGGCGGAACCGACGGCAACACCGGCAGCGGTGGTAGCCATCTGGGCGAACATGCCAGGCTGCTGGGGGGCAGGGTGGCCCATGGCCGAGGGCTGTGCGGGAGGGGCGGTCATTTGTTGGGGAGGGGCCTGGCGAACGGGGGCGGGGGGAGGAGCCTGGCGGACGGGCATGGTCGAAGCCTTGCGGGTCTGCTGAGCGGGGGCAGCGCGGGAACGTTGACGGGCCATTTTATGTTATATGTAAAAAGGGGTGAGTGAGAGGGGAGAGAAAGTGAATTGAATGAATGGAAGGAATCCGTTTATGAAGTTGATCGGCCTGATCTAGTCCGAGCAAAAAAAACGTATCAGATTTTTTAGCGATCGCATGCGTTAATAGAGCTATTTCTCGGCGAAGCGGGTGTTGGTGGCAAAATCCAATTTCTTGCCTCCTTCCACTTTTTTTTTGCCACTCTCAACACTTTTGCTACCTTGCCTCACACCCACCCACTCATGGCCCATGTCGCGACTGACAAGAAAGGACAACGACATCTTGCGCAAACAGGAATGGCGCCTCTTGTTTGTCCCCGGCACCGGCACCTCATCAGCATCCTCAGCAGCAGCAGCACAGGGGTCTGCATCCCAACCTAATTCTCAAACCGGAAACACAGTTCCAGAAGACTACGCTTCGGACACCTTCCTCGTCAAGGCGTTCTTCTCGGAGACAGAAAAATACTATGTTGTCATGCTCACCAATCTCAAGCAGACCTGGTATGAGAAGCTGGAGCACTATGCTATTCGGGAACGCTCCAAGGTTTGTCAACCGTCTTTCGTTCCTTCCAGTACGCGTCGCCACCATTGGGTATTCATGCTATGTACGAGCGATTAACCTCACACATGCTCATGGCTGTTGTGATACTAGCTCATTCGCAGTTTTGCGTACGAGGAAGATGCGCAGTTGGAGGCTCTGCTGTTGTCCCTGTCGACTGTCATCGCAACCGCTCATGACGCTCCAGCATCAGCTTCAAAGACGTCCGTCACACCTTCAAAGCAGATTCTTCAAGGGCGTCACGGCAAGGTAAGAAGTCTTTGTTCGTGTCATAACTAATCATGACTACACTGATTGCTAGCATTCACACTTCAATAATGTTTTATGATTGTTCTAGCTGTATATGATTGTGGGATTCGAGTTCGGTTTGGCAACAATGTACTGGAAGTTCAAGCTATCGCCTATGATTGCGTCGACCTCTGATGTGTCCCGTACCCTCGCCCTCAAGACTGCCGCCACGTTTTCTCAGTCACCACTATTCCCGACCAATCTATCTCAATTGATTGACGACGTCAATGATGGTGGTTCAGGATCAAATGCGAAGGTGGACGCGAATGGCGCGAACAAACGTGGACGGCGCACGTTTCTCGAGGACAGCGAGGACGAATACGATGACAAGCAGCCATGGGATTTTGCTCCAGAGGATGAAGATGGCGAGTTGGATGAGGATCAAAGGAATGCGGATGGAGTTTCTGTCCTATTTGATCACTTGGTCCTGCCGCTCATCGCACTGAACAACGCATATCGGAAACAGGCCCGAACATTGGAGGCTGTGATCAAGAACAAGGAGAGTGAGGTTGTGGAGGCTTTGGAGATGCTGGAACAACATGGAATCGGATACCATAACCGCAGGAGGGCTACTGAGCGATTCGACAAGGCCCGTGTTGAAACCAAGCTTCAAGGGGTAACTATTTGTTCTGACTGCCTGGCACACTATTTAAAACTGATGCCATTTCAGAGTTACTTATTATCGTTTTGCTGATGCTACTAGGATGTCGAGCATTTGGTGATTCCTCAACTCGTGGGTCCAAAAGAACTCTTTTCAGATAAGAGAGTGGCCGCTCTATGCTCTATCGTATCTCGGAATGCAGGTGAACATGGTACGGTCTCTAGTTACAAGTTGCAAAGCGCTCTTCGAAAGTAGATGCATCACAATGGACACTAACCTACCATTGTTTTCAAACCGATATGTATATGTAGCAAACCCATCTCAGTCACTGCTGGAGAGGAACATGGCCTCACAGGAAGCAGGATCGTCGCAGTCCAGTCGGAGAATTGCTGGTGGAGAGTCCATGTCGCTCTTGAGGGATGTCGGTGCCTCGGCGCCAACACCAACTATCATTCCAGCTGCAGATCGAAATACTGGAAATGCTGATGGCGGAGCAAATTTGAAGGCAAGCATTCTCCCTTTGTTTTTGCCCTCACATATATGGAAGCCACTCATTCTCATCCTATGCTTTTGAAGATTATAAGAATACTAACGACATACCATTTCCGTTTTTCATGTCAATAGGCTATCAAAGAAGCAGAGGAACTGGAAAGAAGACGCGTATTGCAAGAGCAATTGGACAAGGAGAAAGCCGTGAAGGAACGGAGTCGCAAGAAGAAAAAGCTGTTCTAGCGTAGATACAAATAGAAAATCGGTGCGCAATTTTATGAACGGGCGCCGTACCCTTAAGATGTTTGAGTTCGGGATCTGATCACTAACTTCGTCTTTGACGCATGGCCCCTCCTTCTCTTCCTTCGCTCCACACCCATTCTTCCTTCTCCCACACACTATAACGAAACAATACTTCATGTCGCTCCGCAGTCTCATTCCCATGGCCCGCATGGCCACCCGCACCTCTACCACTCCTCGCATTGCATCGATGACTCAGCTTCGGTTCAACAGCACTGTTGTTTCCTCCACCCCACCTGCCTCGCTCAACGAGGGCGAGAAGCACCTCTACTCCAAGCTCTTTGAAAAGTTCCAGCCCACCAAGCTCATCGTCGAGGATATCTCTGGTAAATTACAAGAGGAAAATGCAAGAGGCAATGATCGCTACATGCAGCGTCAATGCTCGGTACCCCTCCCCCTTCCTCCTTTTTTTTTTTTTTCTTTTACAGCAATATTTATCCAGCTTTTTTTTTTTGTCTGACTAATCCTCAACATTTGGAATACTATTTTAATAGGTGGATGCGGATCGATGTACCAAGTCGAGGTTATAAGCTCAGCATTCAAGGATTTGAACATGGTCAAGCAGCACCGTCTTGTCAACGAGACGCTGAAGGAGGAAATCAAGGGCATGCATGGAATTCGCTTGACTACCAAGGCTACCGCATAAGACTGTATACCTACACCCTCACTCTTTCACTCCTCTCCTAGCAAATAATAAATAATTAGAACATAGACATATTCACACATTCGGGAAGGGTGCATGAGAGACTCCCCCCTCCCCCGTTCAGGCTGCCTCGAAGCATTGAGCAAACGTATTCTGAAAGTTGCTTTCAGGATAGGGGTACATAAAAGAGATACGGTAGGCGATCCAAACCCCCCAGAAGATTTCACACGTTCCCAAGACATCAGAGTAAACCAGCAAATCTCAGCGTTTTTGAACCGGGCGTACGATGACCTTGTCCATGTTATTAAATTCCACAACTATACAGGGCAGCATAGGCAGAAGGAGGTTTCTGTAGTCCGCTGAAGACAGAGCGAAGTACAGGGAAGAGTCAAAAAGGCGACAAGAAGCTCAACACAGCAGAGCCTAAGAAAATGTGCTCGTGGCTGGGGATGAAGGCATTGTATTGCAGCTTTCTAGGAGCCGGATACGAAGGGTGACGTCGTTAGTCGTGGGAGTGATAACGCCAGGAGACGTGGATAGCAGCTTTACCGCTATTGCTATCAGTGAGAGTGGTCAAGGAGGATCTCGGTATGTGGTGGAGTGGGATATAATAAAGAGAGAAAAATGGAGCAAGGGGTGGGATGCGATCTTGCAAGTCACTCACTTTTTTTTTTTACGAATTTTTTTTTTTTTTTTTTTTTTTACAAGGACATTCTACGGGAGTGCCGAGGCTTTCGCAAACTGTCTAATTAAATGTCCTGAGCATACCCTGGCCGGTTCCTGACCCGCCTGATGGCATCGTGGTCGTCGTCCCAATTACTCCGGGAGGATCCAGAACTGACTTTCACAGACGGTGTACTTGTCGTCGTCGTTGTCGTGGTTGTTGTCGACGTTGATGTCATATGTGTAGGTATAGGTGTAGTAGCGGTCAAATCGGCACCGTGCCCAGAGGAGGGCGGGTTTGACACTCGATGGCTGACAGAACTCTGGACACTGGCGCCACTGTTTGCTCTCGAGAGCCCCACTGGTCGATTCTGAGACGACGACGATGACGATGTCCTGGCCTTCTCCTTCTCACGCTCTCGTTGACGCTGTCTCTCCTCCTGGTCCTGGTCCTGCTGCTGCAGCTCTTCCAGTCGTCGCACCAACGAGTCCGAGACCAAGTGGCCTGTCGACGACGTTGCGGGTGACAGCCCATAGATCGCGTGGTCACCCTGCTGGCTGCCACCAGCGCCGCCCACCATCGCTGCAGTTGCAGCGGCCAAAACTGATGAGATGTCGTTCCCATCATCTAATAGGCTGCGATATGTCGACGTCCGTGACCGAATCGATGCTCTGTCGTCCTCGAACCCATGGCCAAGGTCATGCGGATGTCCAGCGCGGTGAGCCGATGAAGACGAGCTGGGAGGGAGTTGGTGTGAATGTGATGTCGAAAAATATTGGTGCTGCGCCGACGCGATCGAGGCCGAAGGCGATGTCACAGGGATCGACATGATGCTAAACCCCTTGAATCCGTTCAGAGCCGGGTTGGACAAAATCGTGTTGGTGGGCACTATTGTGGCTGCCATTGGAGATGACGGTCCTGATCCAAAATCGGATAAGTGTGTCGATGATGTAGTCGAGGACGACTTGCCGCTGAGACCATGGCCAAATCCTTCATGAACTCCTCCTTGGCAGCTCTGGTCGTCGTGTCCTCCATGACTGCCACTGCTGTTAGATCGTGTGTTGGATGAGAACGAGACATGGCCGGAAGAAGAAGTAGGAGCGGTGGCGTTCCCTGTGAGGCTGCCAGACGACCCTAACTGCTCCTGTTGCTGTCGCTGATAATGCTGGTTGCTGCGCGGCAAAGGCGCCGGCATCAGCTTGACATCGACCCCCTTCGTGCTAGGGCTACGTGAGCTGCCAGAGGTTCGGCTGGTCAAACTGCCGGTCGTTTTCGCTCCCCCCGACTCGGTTCCAGATCCAGATCCGCGATTTGTTCGATCATTAGGGCCATGAGTTGCTGATCGTCTAAGTGGATGCGGGGCATCGTCACTATCCATTGTGGAGGGCCGTTCCCGACCCTCATCCAAATCTTGACCATCTAAGTCAAACCCACTGCCGTCATCATCGCCATTGTTATCGTACACATCCGGCATAGCCATCGCATGACCGGTCGGCTCAGAGGTCGAAAGTTGGATCGGCGTTTGGTTGGGAATAGAGGACGATAAAAGCGTAATGTCAGGGACAATGATTCCTCCGATGTCCGATCCTGTACTCAAAACAGACTCTGCTCTCGAGCGCCTTCCGTCTGGGATGCTATTGTGACCTGCACTGTTGGGTCCAGAGCTGAGGCCGCTGGAGGCGACGATTTCACGCGTGGGCAAGAGACCGAGTCCAGCATCCAAAAGTCCATGCCCAGACCGCTGTCGTCTATGGCCTCGTGAGGAAGAACCCGGAGGTGCTCCCTGGCTGTAATCGTTGTCATGATGGCGCGAGCTTCTTCCGACTACAACCGTGTTTCCTGCCGCGGTGGAGCTGGCACTTTGTCCTGACCGGTTGGAAGGCGACAAGAGGTTCTTGGCAAGCATGAATACAGAACCTTCAAGACTAGGACTGGGCTCCGCGATGCTGCCTTGTTGCTGGCCATAGAATCGTCCTGGGGAGGGAATAGGCGATATTGTCGATGGTGTGTAGACGCCCTGAAAATCCTCTTCGTCAATCTCCTCGTTGTTCCGTGACCGACTGTAGGCTTGCTCGGCTGTTAACTCGGAACCATCGTCCAGCTCACGTTGGTCCTCATCATCGCCCAGACTCTTCCGTGAAGAGTGATCAAACTCCAAGAGGTGGTCTCCGTCCGTTTCCCCAGTCCCATCCTCCGACGGTGCTTGCTCATTCTCAGCCTCCTCCTCTTCCTCCTCCTCCTCTTCGGAATCATCGTCCCGATCATGTGGCAATGAAAGACGAGACTTTGCCGCTGCCAACTTGCGCCCCATAACACCGAGAGGTCGGCTCCGTGGAACACCTACTGGACGATGTGTACGTAGAGGCTTGACGACCCGCGTCTCCAAAGCCTTTCCTTTGCTTAACACCGGTGCGCCCAAAAGTGGATGACCCCCCTGAACAATCGTGCTGGGACTGCTCCCGCTACCACTGCTGCTACTACTGCTTCCACTGCTCTGCGACGACAGAGAAAGACGTCCTCCATTTCCGAGATCTTTAAGGCTGAACCGCTTCATGATGTTGGTTAAGGAGGCTGTTGAACCGGCAGCAGCGTAAGGACTACTCTTGTGGCCCTTTGAGAAATGGCTGGATGAGGCTGACGGCGAGGTCGGAGACTTCATAGGCGGGGTGATCTCTCCTTGGTAGTGAGAGAGGACGTCCTTAATCAACAATGATGGTCTTCGTTTCGGGTTGTGTTCCATCTTGGACGGTGGAGACGACGGAGAGGCGTGAGATACTGGCGAATGTGATGAACCTAAAGGATCCGACGGTTGCTGCGATTGGGTATATTGAGAGGACAAAGTGCTAGAGTCGCCTTGTATTTCCTGCAAAGAAAACTGTTCGCGTGTTCCAGAGATAGCTCCCCCTTGTGAGCGCTGCTGAGGGTTGGATCGTAGTTGGTCAGGGCCTTCGGAGGTGTCGATGGTGAGAACGTGAGGCGGGCGGCGCATTCGCGGATCAGGATACTCAAGCGACCCTCCGGCGCTGCTTGCGAGTGACGCTGTGGTAACAGCCTGAGCCAGTGCCCTGTGCTTCGCCTCTTCCTTCTCTTGCTCCTTCTTCGCCTCTGCCTCAAAGAATGCAGCCATTTTGGTTCGCTCAATGTTGGCCAGTCGCTTCAGCCGCTGGAACTCATCCTCGTAGCGATTGACGTCGTACAGCGAGTCATGGATGAAACCCTTCATGTCCTGCTCAGTCCAAGTCGAAGCTGGTGGGATTTTGTTGTCTGAGGGAGCAGGTGTTGGTGCTGTCGTTTCATTTTCATCGTTCTGCTTTTCCTCCTCTGATCCATGAATGGCTGCCTTCGCTAATGAGGCCTCATTCTGCTCCGAGTGCAACTTTTGGCTTGTGCCAACCTACATGATCGAAGAAGTCGATTAGCTACAAATTGGTTTTGTAAAAGAAGACCTATGCGCGAGTATTATAGACATTCAACTCACCAGCGAGGCATCCGCTTTTACAATATCCTGGAATTGCACCGAAGGTTCCGTTTGTATGTACAAGTTGTAGTAGACGTAGATGTTGTCCTCAAAGTCCACGTAGAACAAACATGGCTCGTTTCGACCAGGTGTCACAGCGTATTGACCTATGTCGCAAGAAGGTATAATGTAAGCGATAGGCGTCGTTGGTAGCAAACATCAACGGTACACTTAAGCTCATAACGGTACATATTATTACCTGCTCCAAAGGCACAGACACGAGCATCGAAATCATACTGTGCAGTGTTGAACTCCTGGTCGATGAAGAACGTGATGCCGCTCCATGAACAGCCTACAAACATGTCGTTCTTCTGGAATCTCGATCCATATGGCTCGGAGATCAGTAGTGACGGCGTAGAAGTCCTTGGTTTCCTCGACTTGGGTCGTTCACAATGGCGGGCACTGTCGTGGCCTTCATCACTGTACTCTCCATGATCAGCCAGCGTCTCGCCATCTTCGCTGTCGTGGTATCCGGCTTCGTCATCGTCGTCGTCGTCGTCTCCGCGATCAGAATAAATTTCTTCCGCATATCGACTGCTGGTCCTGCCATAGCTCGGGCGAGATTTTCTAGGTTCCCGCGCCTTCCGCTCCAAAAACTCCTTGCCAAAGTTGAGCTTAGAGAACCCAAAAATCTTGTGAGTCGAATCAAGATCGTGGACCTTGACTGTGTTGTTCTCGAGATCGTGCAATGCAAACGCGCCTAGAGCCAGAAGGGAAGGAATGTTAGAGCTCGCATACATCAATTATTTCCTGCATCAAATTGCTTTCGTATATTAAACTGTACCATCCATGGACATCAAACCAATGATATCCTTCTTTTCTCCGTCAACATAGTGGGTGCCACACACGATATCGGTAGCCACATCGCCACTTCCGGCCCCACGAGTCGGAGTATCCGGTCCTGACACATTCAACAAGTTAGATGGGCTCCTCTGGATCTGAGTGATAGGCTCCGACATGTTTCCTGCGTGGTCCACCATCACAAACTTGAGTCCAGGTTGGGCGACAAGTAGAATCGGCAGTCCAGAATGTGTGTCTTTGGTGACTGATAGGCAGTGGATCTACAACAACAAGCGCACGGTTGTTAGCACATATGTAATACAACACATCGACTTTGACGGCAATAAATGAGCTCTCTCGTTACCTGTCCATCTAGTGCCCATCTCTTCTTCTCCGCAAGTGCTAAGCGTGCCGAAGGTTCATTGCCATCTTGCGCCTCAGATTGGCCTTGACCAGAACCAGAACCAACCCCTGCGCCTGATGGTCCACCGTTATACTGTCGTCCAACTGAAGACATTGAAGGGTAGTGAATCACCGCTTCGCGTCTATCTTCTGAGGGCGAAAGAAGGCCACTGCTGTCTAACGTTGACACGCTGCTTGTGCGACTGAGAAGTTTGGCCAGATTCAAGGGTTGGTTCTGAGGATGAGTAGGTCCTGTAGGTGAAGCAGTCTTTCCGGACTGGAGGGCGTATGAATGCAATATCCGATCCGTTCTCGCCAACACAAGCTCGTTCAGTCCATCGCCGTCTAAACAATTATTTCCAAAAGGCTGCTAGTTAGTTTTCAGACCTCATTTTCCCCAGCTTGCAGTGATACTTGCAACAAGTCATTATATGTACCGATATCAGCAATATACGCGCGGTTGATGTTGACAGGGACTGGAAGGATCAAATTCGCTCGCTCAAGCACTCGCCGACCTCCAATGTGGCGCACCTGAGTTTTCCCGAATGTGTTGTGTCGAGTACTCGTGGAGGGCCTTTTTGAGTTTGCGTCCTTTCCTGAAGATAGCGGGGTGGTATTTGTTGGCATGTGTTGTGGTTTGAGAAGAGGAGTTCCCGTGGGAGAGTTCGCTGCGCTGTTTCCTCCAATAGACCGAGGGCCGTGACCAGGCACAATGGAGCCGTATATCGACGTAGCTGAAGATGTGGGTGGAGTCCCGATCAGATTTGCTATCACAGCCGATGTCCTCGCTGCTGGTCCAGACCCTGAGTACATCTCTGAGCCGCGCCTCGCTCCCGCTCCGTTTCCTTGAATACTGCCGACTTGTGAATGAACTGGAGTCGCGCCTGACACATGATGATTGCCAGCGACAGAGGACGATGACGATCCATGCGGTGTATTCTGAGGTGCCGGTGGTAATGGTGGGGTTCCGTGGTTTGGATGACTAGTAGAGTGACTCCGGTGGGGATTATGAATGTCGGGGACTGGTCGTATGTTGGGTGTGGCGGGGATGTTTGAATGTGTGCTTTGTCCAAGTTGGTTGTTGCCGGGTGCCAGTGAGTTAGAGTAAGAACCATGAGCAGGAGTTAAAGAATATATACTGGAGGTGTTGCGAGATCCTGGCCCTGCCAACATTCCCCCTGGCGACTGGGCGGCGCCAGTCGACGACTGATATCCGTGGTCATCATCAAGTTCTGTAATGTCAAAGATATGACAGAGTCCCTCCGCGCTCAGCACGACAATCGAGTTCTTGCCACAATTCCTGATATCGCCAATCGCCACCGCAGTAATCTAGAAGACGAACATGACGTGGTATGAGTTATTCTGGCTGTTTACCCTATGATACGAATAAAGCTATTGTAAGCCTTGTACTGTACGCACCGTGCCGAGTCCTTTGCAAGTGAGCCAGGGTAAGCCTTCCGGGTTATTTCCTTTGAAAATGAAGAGTTCTCCAACCAAGTTTCCGATCACAAACGCGTTGTCCTATATCAACGTATTTGATGAATGTCATGGGTGTTAGCAGACACCTCTCAACGCTCCTCGTCCGTAGAACGGGCAAAGCACTTTTTTTTGGAGCTCAGCAAGGAACACGCAGTCTTTGATGCTTACGCCGTGACCATCGACATCTCCGATGGCAAAAGCAGTGGGTGAGATGTTGCCGCTGACATGCCACCGCAGCTTTTGGACGAGGGACACCTGGCGTGCTGTGGGCATCGTTTGAACCGAGAATGCGGTTGAGAGGACGAGTTGTCAATGGGTAATGAAAGTTTGAAGAACGGGGTAGGAAAAAACCGCCTAAGGTCTTTTTATATGAACACGTCACGTGCACTAGCGTGCCACCATTGCGGGATGCACCACGCTCCCACTGTGGTCCCTTTCGCGTAGTATGCAACGAGCAGATCTAACGAAAACACTATCCACAGGGCAACGCGGACCAGAACTTTCACCGCTGTTTGTTTTTGTTAGTCAGTGTGCTTCATGCCTGTGGATAAAAGTACCCTCATAACTTTCGTATCTTCACAGAAGAGATGCCAGCCGACTTCTTGTGAATCCAGTGGGATTTGCTTAAGAGCACTAGTTGAAGACATTTCTTAAGGGGACGTTATTGGGAATCATCAGCACCCCAACGTCACTGCCGAAACGAGAATTTTTTTTGATACACCCCACTGTGGCCAGGAGAAGAAAAGAAAATCTCATACAAAAAACCAAAAATACGACCAAAAAAACAACAACTCTCGCTCCCTCTTCGCCATCGCTGCCATCTGGAGAGCATAATAGCTACGGATCCCATTCATCATCATCATCCCGACCTTAATCCATTGTTTGAGATCTCATTCTTTTCATCATTCCTCTTTTAATGACCCATCCCTGAATCCGCACTCATTCCTTCGTTATTCCTAGCTGAAAATCCCCATCACTTCTTTTTTTTTTTCTCTTTCCCCAACCCACTCACACTCACCCTCTCCCAAAAAATCTTTTTTCTTGGCTTCTTTTTTTTTCCATTTGACTAATCACGTACGTCACATATACGTACACAACACAACACACATCACATATATCCATCGGTGCACCCTCTCAAGAACACACACGCAACCATGAAGAACGTGGGGGCTCGCTTTCGAAACCGAAAGATAAACAACAAGCAGCTGCTCCATGTCTACCGCGCTGTCGATATCCCTGACCTCGATGAGACCCTCAACCTCCAACGCAGCATCCCTCAGACGGAAACCGGTGTCGACAAGGAAGAAGAAACGGTATGTATATCTCCCCTCTGACATGCTACATGTGTTGCTTGGCAGGGCGGCTATTTTTTGGTGTCAGCCTGTTTGTGTTTTTCCCGCCAAAAAAAAATGTTCATTTATTGGCACAACTTCACAGTCAAAGGACAAGTGATGGTTGTGCTTCTTAGCCTGCACACCAGAAGTCATCATCATCAGTCATCATCATCATCTCGACAGCAATATGAGTAGAGACCCCCCTTTCCCTCTCGCTCTTACTCTCTCCCTTTATCCCCCTACTTCCGACACCAAGCTGAGAGCTGCTCTCTTCGCCCCGCCCCCTCTCCCCTCTCCCCCTCTCCTCCCCCCCGAGCGTGGTCACGTTTTATCAAACACGCACTAGTTAGCTGACTGACGCCTCTTCATATCTGATTCACGAATGACATACAATAGGAGCACCACTTGCAAGCTGCCATCTCTGCGTCCAATCTTTCAACTACCACAGGCGAAGCCAAGGCCCTGTATATTCCCACTCCAGATGCCAGCCGGAAAATCGACAACTACCGCGACTTTTACAGTCGTGCCTTCACAGAGCCCTCGACTCTGATCCGGTTCTCTTCAACGGTTGAAGACTGTGTTGGCTGCCCTTACAATATGGATGATGAGGATGACAAATGGCTCAAAGAGTTCAACGAGAAGCGGGACAAAGACGACATGCTGGACGAGGACCACTACGAGTTGATCATGTGGCAGTTTGAAAAAATCACAAACGAGCGCGTCCCATACCTTCAACTGGTAAGTGCCGCTCGATGACTCTGCTACTTTTAATGACATAATCCAATCATTAGATCCCACCTCTAACGCTTCTTGCGTGCTTCATTCACTGTGATTCAATGTACATAGGATAGCGGCCAGATCCCGCCACTCGATGACCTGACGGCAACATTCACAGGACCACAACTTTTGCCTCTCAAGAAGGTTGCTACATCTGTCTACCCATGGTGGAGCGACAGAAGGACAAAGAGAGGCGGCAAGGTCATCACGCCCCAGCTAAAGGCAGGTTTTTCTTCTATCTTGAATGCTGTGAAGTACAACCATATATATTAATCTCCGCAAATGAGCTGTCATGCCCTGTGCCCCACACTAACCATGGCCCTTGCTATTAATCTCCGACTCTATAGTTTGAGGAAGTGGTGCGCAATGAGTCTGACCCATACCTTTGCTTCCGTCGTCGCGAATCCAAACCCATCCGCAAGACCAGACGTACCGACCAGCAGTCGATCGAGAAACTCCGAAAGCTCCGCATGGAGATGGAGAGTGCCCGCAGTCTGCTCGAGATGGTCTCTCGTCGCGAGAAGGTCCGCAAGGAGTCGTTGGTCCTCGAGCATATGATCTTTGACCAACGCTGCAAGGTCCGCGAGTACAGGAAGAACCTCGGCATCAAGGACGACGACGATGATATCCAGAGCCAAAAGGTTTGTCTTCGATTCCTCTTTTCTCCTTGTATGCTCTTTCACGACAAATGAATTATTATATTGGTTCTAACTGGTTTCTATTACACTGTTATTTCCCGCTGTACAAATAGAAAAAGATCAGAAAGGTTGGAGAGACCAGTGCTACCATCCGCATCCCTCTCAACTTCAAGGATCGCGAGGCCATCTCTGCTCAAGAAGACTCTAGAAAGGATCGCTCAGCACTCTCCAGCATCGAGTCAGAATTGGCCAAGCGCAGAGAGGACGACGTCGGTTGGGAGGACCTCACAGACGTATGTGTACAATCTGCATTTGGTTATCTTTGTGCTGCCACCCCTTATGTTACATTCATACTAACCATTCTCCTCTTATCTCCATGTGATTTACAGAACCCATACCAGCCTTTCTTGGTCCCATACGCACAGCAGTGCTTCAAGATCCTTCCCCAGCAGAGAAACGGCAAATACGTCTCGTTCAGGAAGCGCATGGGTCGTGGCGGTCGCCTTCATATCGATCGTCAGTACGCCCGGCCAAGGTCATCGTCATACCGGGACCCATACCAGAAAGACCCTTATGGGATGTACGATGGTGTCAACACGTTCGACAAGTTCCGTTTTGACGATGACTCTTTTGATCAAGAGGACGTGATCGATGATGTCCGTGACGCGATGATCCGGTACCGTTGTACCCTTTTATCCGAGACCGACCTCCGGAGCCTGTCGACCTCGTCTCGCCACCACTTTATCCCGATCACGCACGGCGGGCATCCTCAGTAACTGGACTCTCCACCTCCTTTCTGGACGCTTCTTCGTCCTTTTTTTTCATGACTCACTCCTCTGTTCCTCTATTTTTTTGACCCGACAGCGACATTGTTTCCTATACTTCATATTTGCTACACTACCCTGCTCTCTTTCTTTTCTCTTTTTCCATCATTTTTTCTTGCGCTCTTTCTTCCACCGACTTGCACATATTTCCATTCATTAATCCACACAAAAAATTATTGTACTTTTAGTATTCCACATGTACCACAAAACAAAGAAATGAGAAGAAACAAGAAAAGAAAAAAAAAAAAAAAAAAGAGAGTGGAAACATCTGGCGTTATGAGTCCTTGTAGCATGTATGTTCCGTCGCGTCGTCCAGTTTTTTTTTTTGTAAATTATTTCCCCCTTTTCGTAATAAAAAAAACTATGCATTGGAGTTTACTACCCTCTCTCTCTCTCTCTCTCTCATATGATGGTATAGCTTTTACGTGTCGTTTTTAATTATGATGAGGAGAGGGTTATATTATGTTCTACTTCTTCTTAGGGGTAAGGTCGTTGGCAATCTTGACCCAGACGTTATCGGGATGTCTGGCAGAGACGGGGTCCTGATCGAGATGGACAGTGGCAGCATAGAACTGAGAGTCGTACTCGAGGGGGACGGTGCTGTTGGCATGGGCATACAACTCACCCATGGGCAAGTTGGCCGTACCCATAATGGGCAACTGAATAGGGGCAGTCTTGCCGGGAGCCTTGTACTTGATCATGGACAAGTCAGCAACGATCGAGCCAACCTCAGTCACGAATCCACCAGGGAAGGAGAAGTACGAAAGGGGTCTTTTGGCGATTCCACCAATAGCATAGGTCTTTACATTCTGGGTGATGGCAAAACGGGTGGCGATCATGGAGCAAGCAGAGCCACAGAAGCCGTTGGTGATGATGGCCATGTTCTGGGGCTTGAACTTGAGCTCCTGGCCCTTCTTGAGGGGGAGGAAGGACCACTTGAAGGGGAAGTAGGAACGTTGGGAGAAGGTGACGGTGGTAGAGCCACGCTTCTGGCGGACGTCCTTGGTGAACATGGAGGTATCCTTGAAGCGCTGGTTAGTTGCTGCAGAGACATACTGGGTGGCGTCGAGCATCGAGTGGGCAGTGTGGACCTTGATCGCCCGACGGGAGGCATCCTGGATCATCTTGTTGGTCTTGATATCCTGGACAAAGTAAGGGTCGGCCTTGGGGAAGAGAAGGCGGTTGATGTAGTAGGCAAAGTCGATGAGACCACCACCGTTGTTGGTCATGTCAAAGATCAACTTGGTGCAACCCTGGGACTGGAGCTTCTGGAGACCCTTGGCAAAGTTGAGGTACTCATCTGAATCATACTCGTGCTCCTCAGTGTCCTCGGTCGCAATGACTGCAACACAGGCGTCCTTGACCTTGCTGCCCGTCAGGCGGTAGAAGGCAGAGGTACGAGTCGTAGCGACCAGCTTGGCCTGAGTGATGACAGGGGGGGTCTTGGGCTCGCCGTTGCGGCCGTTGGACTGGCCTGGCTTGGGTTGAGTGATCTTTCCGCGCTCGCGGAAGGTCGTGAGAGCGGGGGCGGTTTCGCCGGCACCCTTCTTGGAACTGGCAGCAAGGGTTCTTGCGGCGGCGGTAGAAGGCGAGCGGCTGTTGCTATGGCTGTTGTAATCGGCGCCCGAGTTCTGGCACTGGACTTCCCAGTACGACTTTGTGTTGGTAAAAGTGCTGTACTCGTAGTAGTCACTGGGGCGAATAACCCAAGGCACAGTCAAAGTCTGAACGGGGCCCTTGGCGCATTGGATGGTGTACTTGAGCGACTCACCGGAGGGGAGCTCATAGCGGTTGGCGAAACCACCAGGGCTGGAATACCACTCATCGTACCAGGAGGTGCTGGCCAAGGCATCGTTGAGACGGACACCGGGGTCCTTGGAGATGGCCGAGACACGATCAGTAAAATCCTGGATGGCCTTGAGGGCAGGCTGGCCGTCGATGGTCTGGACAACACAGTCGGTAAGGGAAGAAGGGTTGCTGGGGAGACCCTTCTTACCGATGGTAGTGTCGACGTAGAAGACGCGAACGTCTTGCTTGCCGTTGACGACAGGGGCGTAGAGCGAGAGGGGCTGCATGAACCTGGCAGTCATGTAGCAGAAGTCTATTTTCGAATGAATGTGTGCGCCCAAAATCGTATTAGCGCCCAGAACAGCCAGACCAATGAAAACAAAATTCCGAAAATTGGGATGGTGCAAGGGGGGGGGAACATAATCGATCGGGTGAAGGGAAGGAACTACTTACTCCTGTAGTTGACATGGCCATCGTTGAAAGAAGCAGCCAGACGAGTAACAGCCAACTGGAACTCATAATCATTCGCCCACTTCTTCTTACGGATCGCATTCAACTCCTTCAACGCATCCACAGGTGCAGTGTTCAAAGGAGAACCAGCGACTTTGGTAGGGCCAACCTTCGCCTGATCAATAAAGACGAAGAAATTGCTGTACGTGTTCTCGAGCGCGGTGAGCACCTTGGCGGCAACATCGGGATTGTACTTGTGGTTGTTGAAGCAGCGCTTGACCACATCGTACGTCAGATGGGGGTCGGTGTTGGATCCTTGTTTGGCGAGCTCTGCGCAAGGGTCTTTGTTGACGGGTTTGGGCGCTGCGTCGGAGGATGTAGCCATGCAGATCGCGGCGGCGATGGTGAGGAGAGAGGTCACTTTCATGATGGGTTAGGTATCTATTATATGTAGGTTGAGTTGTCGAAGAGGTATGCTGCTAGGATGCGGAGTCGAGTTTGTGTATGAAGGGAAGGGGCTTTGCAATTGAAGGTCTGCGATGTGTGGGGGCGGATGATCCCTGGAAAGGGCTGGAAGGGGTCGCTTCTTTGCGACTTGGAGGGGAGGATGATAAAGAGAGAAAGGAGGAAGGGAACCAAGGGGGTGTGGATCCACGAAAAGCCTTTGGAGGAGGAGGAGAAAGAAGGAGATGAAAAGAAATGGTAGGGGTTGCGACAAAAAAAAAAAAAAACCGGGCGTCGTCTTGGCTCCCCATGCATCCTTTTAAATGATCCTGGCCCAACTGGAGGTAAATAAAGTTCGGGTTCTATTTTTTTTTCTGACATTGGGTGTGGACAATTGGCAGTAGGAGTACTTTAGTCTGGCTTCCCATTGAACCATCGCTGTCTGCACACTCCCATGTATCGGGGTCAGAGGTAAAGATATTCATCGCACGAGTGAGTTTTTTTTTCTTTTCCTTCAATCCATACATTATTGCTCTCAAACCTACTGTGCACTCACCTGTTCTCAGTTCACCAATTGTGCCTTAAACTACATGCAAACAAACTAGACTGACTGAACCAACCTCCTGCAAATAGCCCGTGAGCAGTGAACAGCAACAGGGAAAAAGAATGTACAGTTCTCCCCGGTAAGTTATTATTTTCGTCGTGGTTTATTACCTGAATCATATGCCATGTTCCCACCTGGCCGGCCATTATTGGTTTTTTTTTTTTTGTTCCTCTCCTAGGTGCACTTTACAAACCATCTTTTGTGTCCACTTCATTTCATCTAACGCCCAAATGGCCACCTTTGCCATCTAGTTTTCCTTATCCATCTGGACATTGGGGTATAATAAGTACATGCATAGGCTGACATGAGCCAATAACGAGTAGAAAGAAGGTGGAGTATCAATTCTCTTCCTGTGAGTGAGGGACAAAAAGTACAAAAAAGGCGTCTAATGGCACCCACCCACTTGGATGTGCATGCAAAGGGTTACGGCGGTTCAAAATACATTCATCAGCCGAAATTACTATTTTATTCAGACAGGGAGTAAAAGAGGATGAAAGAGGTACCAACGTGAACTTTGGAGTGGACGAGAGCTGTCTGGCATGTTTGTAAAGGAATGAACGAATGCGTTGCATACACAGCGAAAAATGCTCACATTTTTCTCTCCCTCTCTTTGGTTTGCATTATTTTCGAGAATCAGATAAAAAAAAACCTGGAACAGTACTCAAGCCCCGATAAAGGTCATCCTTTTCGTGAGAAGGGATAAAACAAACAACCAACGAAAGGCCAGTCCAGGGTCAAGTATTACTCACGACTTTGTTTTTGTTTTGTTTTGTTTTGTTTTCGAGATGGGCAACATCCCTTCCGCTATGACAACGACGTGGTTTTGATCTGGCTGACAACAGACCCTCCCCGGCAGCCGAAAAAGCAAAGAACTCGTCCCACGGGTTGTTATGTCCAGCAGTCAAGGTTTGGCCACTGTCAATCTTTTTTAGTGCCTGTTTTCATATGAGCGACATTAGTTCGCTTATCAGATTGTCCAGATCTATTTTAATAAAAGGGTTCTACCGGATCCCGACCACTCTCTCTCTTTTGGTCTGGAGCCCACAAAAAGACCCAACTTGGTTGCCCCACATAACTGGCCATCCGACGGATCATGAATCGAGAACCCAATGAAAGAAAACAACAAGCCCAATAGCCCTCAGCAACGAATATGTATTGTTTGTGTGTTCTGCATGCCTGTCCATTTGTCCATCTTCTCGCATGCAATCTATTGAGGAAGTTCGAACTTGGCGCCTTTGAGAACCCTATGAGATACATGCAACGCATACGACGAGCAATTGAGAAATAGGGGTGAACAAAAAATTAGGAGTGAGTGAGTAATCTGCTTTCTTTGGAGACCTCGAGTATTCTTGAACCCATGCCCTCACTCCTTTCTTTCTTTTCGTCAACCATATTCGCAAGCAAACTGCAACAGCAAAACGGACCCTTGTTAGTTTACATACTTTGTAAAGTAGATGTAGAAAAAGTCGCAGTAGAGTCCAGTCTGCACAGCTCCCGCAATCCAGACAATCCAGTCGACGTAGTACTCAGTCCTGTACCGATAGATCCAATTGACGAGGTAGAGTCCACGATATGTTCCCAATGCAAAGAGGTAGTGGGTGGTGATGACTTCGGCCTCGCCGGTTTTGGTGAGCATGAAGAGTTGTGGTAGGATCGCCACTGCTTCGAGATAGATCGAAAATGTCCAGAGTACCTAGAAGGCACAATGTACCGTAAAGACGTGTGGTAGCAGTGAGTGTGTATATCCATATGGTGGTTGTCTCCGTTACAGAAGGAGGATGAAACCCTGTGCTCACTGTGATATGCCTCCCGAAGTACTTGGTATGTTTTTTCTTCTCTCTCCATCTCTCTCTCTCTCACTCGGACTCTCCCACACAGCTCCCGCTAGGCATTCGTGAAGTCGTAATTGACCTCCGTCGAGATATTCACTGCCTGACGGTCCCCTCCCCATCCCTAGCTAAACACTTTTTACCTCCTGGACTGTAAACGCATAATTGGCGATTAGCGCTAAAGCAGCGACACCACCGACGACATATTGGACTTTGAAGGTATCAAGACGAGGATCGTTGGTTGCTTTGAACGTGAACTTCATCAGGTACACAATGTACAACGAGGACGCGATAAAGAAGACCTTCATGGTGGTGTTGTAGAGAGATTGGAAATTGGCAAACAGATCCGTATAGCGCGTCAAGAACACCGTTGCGTAGAGTGCTTGCGTCTTGAGCGAGATGCCTATTAGACCGAGAGGTAGAGAGAAGGGAAGGTAAGACGAGAGAACGAAGTGATGGGTCATTGACCCTCCTCTATTCCCGGTTGTGATTCCAGTGATTCCTGAGTTCTCCATTGCTGTAGTCTGCTCTTTTTTTTTTTTTTTTTGGGCCTAGACAAGAGCACCAACCTGAGACGGAACGCGTCTTCTGTATTTTGAGTAATAGGATAAATATCGATGCCAGGTGCATCAGGTCCGCGGCGAGTCGGAACAGATTCATGGCCAGGTGTCGACTGCAAACAGATCACTGGTTGGGTGGTGAAGTGTATATGTGTTGTCGAGCAGTGATGGAGTGGACGGTAAAAGGAGAAAAGGAAGGGGGGAAGGCAGCAAAGGAAGGAGGACGAGGGGGCAGAGGATAGGGGGAAAAGGTCCGGGTCGCATAGACAGCGTAGGAAGACTTCACAAACATGCCTCACTTACTCTCTGACGACCATAAGCAGCTTGGCGCCATCCTGCGTCATCGATCAGGCTCCATGTCGGATCCCTTCTTTTTCAACATGTTGTCCTGCTAACCAAAATATCGTATTCATTCTCGCCGCCACCATAGTCGACCAAGTGTCATAGTTACAACACACATGAAAGACATCACTTCAAAAATGACCATTCAAAGAGTCTCCTCTCTTTTCCGAGCCATTTATTACAATTTTCGGGGAGGTAATGCTAAAAGGATAGCAGGTGCTTTACAGAGGCTTGGCAACCTGAGCGGGAGCGACCTTCTTACCATCCTGGAAGTGCGAAAGGAGAAAAAAAGAACATGAGAACGACGTCAGTTACAGGCAATAAGGTAGCACATAGAAAAAAAATGAGTTGTTTCTGAAATGTCAATGTTTGCACTCATACCTTGAAGCGGAAGCGTGGTGGGGGAGCACGGCTGCGACGGCCGACATGGGAACGAACACGGACAATGTGGGCGTGGACAGCGCAGGAGATGCAGTAGTGGATCTTGATGTAGAACTTGGGGAGGGTGTACTCTATTCATCCGTAATATGAAAAGAAAGAGCGTAAGTGGCAGGTTTATAACTGATAAGCTCTGTCGAGACCACTTGAGCCTGTTCCTGAATGGACTTTTGGGAGACAATCAAGATATGTAGGTGCATCTTTGTTGTTGAACAGTCGTAGGTATTTTCTCTCCATAAGCCGCCCTTGCACACAAAGACATGTCCACTCTCCAGCCGCAAAGAAAATAACGACTCCTGCAGCCTTGCAAAACTGATCCACTTGATCCTGTATGGGTATCCCGTGGAAGCGCCTCTCCATGAGTGTCTTGGGTGGTGATCCTTACCCTTGTAGACAAGAGCCTCAGTGATATCACGGACGGCAGCCAACTCGACCATAGGGCGGACGGTGTAACGCTTGATGGCCTTGTCCTTGGGGACGCAGCGGGAGCAGTTGGAGCAGCGGACGGGCTTAACGTGGCCACGACCGGTCTTGTTGCGTCCGTGGTTTCTTCTCTTGACGGTCTGTTTGAGTGAAAAGTAAAACGATGCCGAAAGAGGTTGATAGGTAAGTACTGGGGTTCCAAAGATGTGTGTTTGAGTGTGCGAAAAGAGCGGTGCTCGGTCCTGTTTGGAAAAGGTTGGTGCTGTGCTGAAGAAGCGGGATCGTCCTAGGGGATCGATCCACTTTCCTGTCCCGAGTACACACAGGGTCCCATCAAGAAAACGATCGCTTCCTGTCATAGAACGGTAGCACCCTGGTTTCCCTTCCAGAGCTCCCGAGGCACATCGATAGTTCGTCCTGGGTAAACCGTAGCTCCCTTACGACAAGGATGCAAGATCATTAAGCCAACCAAGGTCCGATGATAGATTCCTCCTGCCCTGCCGGTTCTTTATGTGCCAAGTCCCTCATCGATGTTCGATGTAGGAACCAGTACTCCTGTGTCATATTATTTTGACGATGGGTTCCAGACAGAGGGTTCATGCCGACTTCGTGAGATGTTGGTCATGCATAGTTGAAGGGTGTTTGATAGAGTCCTGCTACAAAAAAAAGTAGCTGATAATGGTGGATAATGACGGATGAAGGGATGTTGGGTTTTGGGTGTATCGATGGATGCCGATGGGTTCGATGAGTCGATGGATCGATGGTTGGTGGGATCGGATGTGTGTGTTGGCCATGTTGTCCCATATGAAATCCCGTAGTAAACGCCCTCTGGTCTGAGTTCAGTATACTTTCCATGATGGGAAGTTGAAAGGGAGAGCTTCCGCCACACCCCCCGCCAGTCGCATATCAATGAAATTTCCAATTGCCTGCATCCACGCGCCCCTTAACCCTCCTTTCCAACCACTCCTCCTTCGAGCAGAATCAAGCACTCACACGTAGAAGAAAAGTATGGAGGACTACAAGAGAGGAACCATTAAACTGTTACTATCGTATATCATACCCATGGTTGCAAGAGGTTCCATCGACACACAAAGCCGTGGCAATATAAGAGAGAATAAGTTCCCACGATACCTCCCCCACTTCTAGCCATTCATGCTGCTCTTAATTGTCTATATGGTTTATCGTGTCCATCTCTAGCTTTTGTCAAGCCTAGATAGCCACTGATTGTACCATCTTCTGTTGCTGTTGATGCTGTTGTTGTTGATGCTGTTGTCCGTTCATGCCAAATGCTGTTCTCCTCCAAAAGAAGACGTGGAACGTTAGCTTAGGTTGTCTGGCTGTCAACATCGTCATCATCATCGCCATCATCGTCCACCGCCTTGTGCTCACTTTTTGCCTTCTCCTCTCTCTTTTTCTCGCATGCAAACAACACAAGCAGACCAAAAAAGGGCTGAAAAGGCTCATTGTGCGCTGTCAAGACCCGCCGTTTTTTGCATAAAGTTGCAGGGGTGGTGCGTTTTTTGTGCGAGGGGCGTGTTTATGCATGGATTGGACAACAAAGAAACAGCTTCCCGCCATAATCGCCAACATCATTTGACCAACGCTCGGAGAAACAAAGAGAGGTTGAAGGGTGGGAGAACAGGAGAGTGTGTGTGTTAGTGAAAAGGTGTTGCCGGATAGATAGACCCAGATTCGTGTCGGGGGAATGAACCTTTTTCTTTTGGTGTGGGCAGTAGAGGTGGCACTGGAAGAACAACAATTCATGTGGTTTCCATGGCCGAGGATGATCCCCAATGCATATCTTGAAGAGGGATACACATTTTGATGATGGAACAAGGTAGAACGAAGAAGGACATAGGGCGGTGTCGATTCTGGTCTTGACCGGGGGTTGTGTGCATGCAATCTGCCCTACCGTCCTACCCTGCACCGCACAGAAGGTCCTCTTCGTGTGTGAAGGAATATTATTCAGCGGAAAAAGAAAACAAAAACGGACAGGGTACTACAGCAATGCACATGTACGTCAACAGGAACAGGAAAGGGCGTCCCCACATCCTCATCTACACTGGGAATTCTTTTCTTGCCTTCGTGTCGTGTCGTGTCGTAGTGCGTTTTGCTCGTCTGCATGTGGCATCTCTCCCTCTCTCCCCCGAGGAAAACGGAAAGTGTTCGTCGCACTTTTGTTGTGGTCGATCGAGAATTGTTTTTTTGCCGCTTTGGATGCGCCTTTTTTTTGTTTTGCTGCTTAGCAAAAAGGAACAGAAAAAGGCAAATACTTAATGGCCAGTGTGCTGATTTTTTTTTGGGCTTGTACCAAACCCCTTGGCATTAGCATGGGGCAATGCAAAGGTTGAGCAAGGAGAAAGAACAGGGAAAGAAAACAAGAAAGGGAGGACGGGCCAATTGCCAATTGCCAATTGCTTTATCTTTTACATCCCTCCTTTCACACTCTTATTTCTGTCTATCCGTTGTTGTTTGTCATTCTGGAGAATTCACTCACACGCCTCTTGCCTTGTCTGCTCCAAGCGCGACAACTCATATCCGATCGACCGTACACGTTTCACAACCCCTCATTGCAACAAGCGGTGATCCAAAATCCAAAAGAAAAAATGATGCATGGTGCAGCTTCCTTTTGCGAAAGGAATACAAACCTGCAATCATATTTTTTTCCTTCCTTCTCTCACTCCCTCTCTCCTCTTTCCTCTCTGACTCTTGCTGCTAGGCTGGCGCCTTTTTGTCAATGTTTTGTTTGTTTTGTTCTCCTGTCTGACAACAAAAAAAAAGAGGAGCAGCAATTACTTTTTTTTTTTTTTTTTTTGTGCAAGTGGACTCAGGACCATTGAGGCTAATAATATTTAAGTGGCCAGGGGAACGGACCATGGATACCATTGGGATGCTGTAAGTCGTGATCGTGATTAGACAAGGAATTGAAAGGAGGGGCACAAATGATGCATCCAACTGCAAATTACGAGACACGAAAGGGTGAAGCGTAAGCACCGCAAAAAGTAAAGATAACGCACTCAGGCACAATAAGCACAAGCATGGGACAACAAAACATGGATCAGGGCAATTGTCGGAGGAGGCAGCTGTTTGCAACCTTTTTTTTTGTTTCCACGAATGAATGAATGTAACAAGACCCTGATAAGTCGATCTGCTGCAGTAATAACAAAGCAACGAACCGACGGAAAGAAGCAAACGTACAAGGAGTAATGTATGCACCATGACTCCTGCCCCATGGGAGACTGCAAGGGGCACAAGATAGAAAGAGAAAGGGAAAAAGGGGCGCTGTCATCATCGATGTCGCATTTCAGTTCTCTCTCAGCCTCAGCAACAAAACACACAGAGGGAGAGGAGAGAGAGAAGGAAGAAATAGGGGAATGGACCCATGGGTTGTCGGGGTGACCATTATCATATGCCAATGTGTGCCAATGCTCACCAGACAGAGACAGACGGTCAAAACACAAACAAGGAATAATATGTACGTTCGACATATTCAGGCCAATTTATTCCCTCGGAATAGAATAGGTCCGCCCGACATATGAGATAATGTTGCGACCCTTTTTTAGCATGCCATGGTATGGCATGGCATGGACAGTGCCTCAGAGCCTAATCACTTATTTACCTATGTCGAGGCCAATCCCTTCCGAAGGGTCTCTGAGATAGAAGATGATAATAGCGATTAGGAAAACAGCAACATCATGCGATTGAACAAGCGATTGAATCGTATGAAAAAAAAAAAAAAAAATGGCGGATGATAGGATAGCAACCAGGATATGTTCATTTAACTCTGTCTTTTGAGCATTCTTTGACTAAACTAAACTAAGAAAGAAGGCCGACCTGACCTAACAACCACCACCCACCCAACCAGCTACTTGCCCACACTCTCACACTGTCTGCAACCACCTGTCAACCAGCCAGCTCGTCAACTTGCCTGCCTGCCCACCTGCCTGTGAAAATGACAAAAACAAACAGACCCCCTGCCGCCATCTCTTTTTTTCTTTCATTCCCTTTTTTTAACCCGCCATCACTTATTCTCTTCTCTTTCTCTCTTTCTCTCTTTCTCTCTTCCTCTTTCTCTTTTCTATTTCTATTCCTTCTGCTCCCTATTTTCCTTCTTTGCATACCTCCACCCACCCCCTCGATACCCACACACACACTCTCTTCTCTCTCTTCTCTCCCCCTATACCCTTCGCTACTTCTTTTCCTCTCTTCTCAACTCGTTCTCGCTCACACCACCAGCACCTCCTTCTCCTCGTCATTCGCACACACATCCGAATCCCTCAACTCTTCTCTTGAATCCAAAAAAAAGGTGAGAAACTAACCTACTTGCTTTCCTCTCCTTCACCTTCCCCACCCCTAAACTCAACTCTCGCTCATACTCCTGTCAGCACCTTCAACACCCATACAACCATTCCGCCCCTCAACGATAACGCAATCGAAACAAGCGATGGTACAAAGTGCGGCAAAACAGGGGTAGTGGCTGGGAACGGACAGATGGACAAACACCCTATCTGTGCACATGCATACCATGGTCCATGGTTCATTGGTCCACATCTATCCGTTCCTCTCTTACACACTCTACCCTTACCTTCCCTCCGTATGATAAGAAAGCAACAACAACACAGACAAACACACGACACAGGTCAAGGGTGATTGATACATCGCCCTCTCCCAGCCTCAAATTTCGTCTTTCTCCCCATCCCTTCCCGTTCCACATCCCCGTCGTTGGCTATCCTCTTCCCACCTTGCCCCCTTCCCTGTGTCTGGTCTTCTACCTTTTCCTTGCCTGTTTTCCCTTACCTTTTTCTTTCCAGTTCCGTCATTTCCCCTCAGCTCTCCTTTCCTCCTCTCTCCCTTTTCGCCCTTTTCTTTTTTTCTCTTGCCCCTTCATCGATGGTGGTTCAGGGTGGTGATGATATTCGTGATAATGCATTCTCATATGACAGTGGCATTGAGCGGGGTGTGCTATTCGAAACAGGAACCAGCGACTTTTACAGAGGTGGACGCCCCGAGCGCTCATTTGCCTCCGTCGCGCTCTCTTGGCTTATCGGTAGACAAAACAGGTGTTTAGCTTGATGATGGTCCAAGAGCATTATTTCAGTATGGCAATCGATCGAAACAAAACAAGACAAGTGGTGCAAACAGGCTGTTCACCTTCCCTATGGCGCCACTATCTTGTTATTCTTCTCCCCCGTCCCCCTTCACTGAACAAATCCCTACCATCATCATCATCATCCTTCACCCGGCTCCCTGCGATTGGTTAGAGTACCACGCGACTGAGACCACTAAAGTTGGTGCCTGATGGATCCCCTCACTCTCCCATCACTTCTGTTTCCTTGCAATCAATCAATCCCGCTGATCCCGTCAGTCGCGGCCATATTTGATAGTTGGAGAGATTCATACCGCGGATATAATTATCTCTGTCCGTGGTCTGACTGACATATGAAAGAAGGTGACCCGCCTACTACTGTCTACGGTTGCCATGCTCCATCTTTTTTGGGGGGACCTACAGCGCACAAGGATGACACGGCTTCATCCTTATGACGGCCCCCGCATTTCCCCTTTTTGTCGCTTTGGCTCTTGTACCTTACCTCTTCCCTCCTTTCACTATTGTCACTGCTCCACTCATTGTCATTCTATCTTACGTGTTGAAGACAAACACATAGCGATAAGAGTAACCCCTCTTTTGGTTTTAGTCTTCCAAAACAGTATAAATCTGTTGCACCTTCGCTAACTGCTTCTCTCTCTCTTTCTTTCTCTCCTCGTACTTCGCCATCTCTCTTTATTTGCTTCCCCTTTCCTTCTCTATCTTCTCTCTTTCTTTCTCTCTTTTAGTCAGAAATAGAACACAGCAAACCAACCCAGAGACCTCCACTCTTCATACAAATACCCCCTACTTACTACCATGTCACTATCCCAAGAGATCACACCAGCCATGCAGTCCCCCAGCTCCCCTTCCCTTTCTACTTCATCCACCACATCCCCAGCATCACTATCAACATCCACGACAACACCTGCGCCCCTATCACCCGCACTAGCATCCACATCCACATCCACATCCCCAGCATCAGTACCAGCATCAGTACCAGCATCAGTACCAGCATCAGTACCAGCATCAGTACCAGGATCAACACCAGCATCAACACCAGCATCAGCAGCTGCAGCTGCAGCAACCACAAAGAATGGCCTCTATCAATCATATCACTCGCAGATCGAGAACCTCAAGCGCCTCCCCATCCCCTACAGTGACATCTACCATGCATTATCTGCACATGAGACCATCCCTCTGAGAAACCTCCACGAACGGTTCTGCAGCGCCGCAGCAAACCTGACCACCTGGCTCGAGACTTCAGAGATGGCCGTCTTTGCCCTCGAGTTGGACGTTGGTCAAGAAGGCGCCACCGATAAGGGTGATGTCGGCCAGATGGATGTTATCATGAACCGGTTCCAACCCAACATTGAGATGCTGGTTGAGCTCCAAGAGAGGATCGAGTCCCGCGTCAAGGCCGCTTCGACTGTCGAGCTCCAAGACATCTCCCCCCAGCAGATCGAGCAAGATTTGCAGCAAACAACACAGAACATCAAGTCGAGCTGGGCCTCTCTCAAGCAGATGCTCGAGAAAGTCAAGGGTGATCTCGCAGGCGCAAGACTCCGGGCTGAGCTCATGACTCAAATGGACAATGTACTCACGGACATTGGAGACATCTGCACCAGCATTGATGCGTACAACAACGAGCGCAGCGCCATGACCTCAGACGAAGAAGGTTTCCTCCCAAGCAAGGTCGGTCACAGCCAAGCTGACGCCCAGGCCAAGCAGCGCAGCTTGGATACCCTCGCCCAGGTCGACTCCCGCATCGAGATCTTGATTGCCCGGGTCGACTTTTTGGATAACCGCGTCGGATCCCTCCCAACAGATGAAGCCGGTCTGGGCAACGAGTCCAAGGATGCCCTCCAGAACCGGTATCAACAGGTCCTTTGCCGCTGGGACGACCTCAAGTTCCGTCGCGAGCGTGTCAGCGAGGAACTGAAAGAGGACAAGTGGCTCGAAGTCTTTGAGCAGGTAGCGGAGCAAGTCGAGTCGATGATGGAGTCGATGGAGAGGGCCATCATTCACTGCCAGGGACTCTTGGACCAGATCAAGGGCATGGTACGCCAGAAGGTTGTCCCTGACGCTCCCATCGACCGCGAACATCTTTACAGTATCTTCAAGTCATTCGAGGCCAAGCAAAAGTACTACGCCCCAGCCGTCAACAAGATGCTTGACATGTTGGAGAGCGGTATCGAGAGCCGCACCTCGCGCAACATGGATGTCATCTCTCGTCACCAGTCCATGAACCTCAAGTGGGACCAGCTCCAAGATGGCCTCGAGAGAGTCGATATGGAGTTGGATGATGTCGAGAGACTCCTCGATATCCTCGACGACTCTAGGACCCCTTACCTCCCCAAGCTCCCTCTCAAGAAGGCCGAAACGCCAACTCCCGCAAACAAGCGTACTCCTGCCACTGGTGCCAACAAGCCCGGTGCCTGGAAGTCACCAAATGCTCAGCCAACGACGATGCAGCAGAGGCAACAGCAGGCGCAACAGCAAAAGTTGAGTGCACAAAGGCTTCAGCAACAGCAACAGCAGCAGCAGCAGAATGCCCAGCGTGGAAGACGTCCACCACCCTCGAAATCGATGCGGTCGCCCTCGCCTTCGCCAGGTCGTTCCCGAACTCGCTCCCCCATGGGTGGCTATTCCCACCGCCCTTGGTCGCCTGCCAACTCCAACAGTGCCTTGTCCCAGTCCGGTCTCTTGTCGCCCAATGGATTGAACAGCTACCGCTCTCTGAGTCCCAGCCCCTCGAGATCCCCTTCTAGGTATCGCTCTCGTCCATGGTACGTTTTGCATCATGCGTGCTTTCCTCCCTTTTCACTTTGGCCGTTAATTAACCCACTATTTATTTGATTTTCCTTATTCTCCGATATTAGGTGCCCATCGGTCTCAGTGACGTCGCCTGGCATCCCAGGTCTCCCGCAGTCCCTCTCTGCGGCAGCGACGTACCTTCCTCGTCCTGTCTCGAGCGTTGGCCAGAACCGCGGCGAGTCGCCAGTTCCACCAGGTCGTGCTGGATCGAGGAGTGCAGCCAGCACTCCTTCGATGTTAAAGGCCCCTAACCAGTTCAAGCCTGTGTTCTCGCCTGCTGGCAGCATCAGCAAGCTTTCGACCGGCATTCACTCGACGCTCGCATCGCCTGCACCTTCAACAACGAATGGTGCCCGCAAGACCCAGTTGCCCATGCCCTCTTCAAGGCCACCAAGCCAGCAGCGATCCACCATGAGCCCATCTCCTCAGCTCCAACGGCCACAGTCTCGCGGCTATGGCCGTGACGCACCCTCGCCTGTCCAAAACAACTACGCGGCAGGCTCAACAGCCTCCAACAGGTTGTCGACATCTAGTGCGTCGTCCCTTTCGAGCCGTCAGAGGCAGTTCAGCTCCAACACCAACGGTCAGGCCTACCATGGCTACGGCCAGGAGGGTCGTTCTTCAGGAACGGCTCATCTGACATCTCGTCAGAACCAGCACAGTTACTACGAGGATAGCACGTACAGCTCGCGCCCAAGCTCAGTTTCCGGATCGACATCAAGTCTTGGACGTGATCCCTACAACCACTACCAGTCGTATGGGGAGCCTACCAGCCCTTCAGCCTCGTCGAATTCTTCGGTCACGTCGGCGTCGCGCTATCACCAGCAACATTATGGCCGTGACCAACATGCTCTCCCCGAGCTTATGGACAAGATGAAGGTCAACGATGTCAAGCCCTATGTCGCTGCCCGGGGTGACGAACTGGATGAAGAGTTTGCGCGTGTCCTGAACGCCAACCCCATTCAGATGCAGGTTCACCGTCTCGGTGAGGGCAAGTACTACTTTGGCGGTCGCATCGAGGATCAGAACCTTGTTGGCGGAAAGCTCTACCTCTGCCGATTGATGGAGTACGGTCGCGTCGGCGCCGGCGAGGAGGACTCTGGTGTGTCGAGCGGAGGCAGCCACAGTGGCACGGATGATGGCCTTCACTCTACCAATGGCCGCCAGTCGAACCGTCGCAACCCCTCGGGTCTGGCGACCATTTATTCTGCAGGAAGCCTTGCAAGTCTGCAGGCTGAGGAGAACACCCGTCGCGATAGCAAGAAGCGCCCTAGGAAGGTCCTTGTCCGTGTTGGTGGTGGTTGGCAGGACTTGGATATCTTCCTGTTGGACCATTGCTAAACGACAACGTTGTTCGCAACTATTAGCAGCAAGTTTTTTTTTTTTTTTTTTTTTTTTTTAATGGCTTTAGGCCTTTGTTCATAACACTTCAAGTTGTATCCTACCTTTTGTTCCACCGTCCTCTTCTCCCCTTTTCTCCCTTTGCGATACCCTTCTTCCCTTCCCTTTTCACAAAAAACAACAATCAAACAAAAAAGATGTAAAAAAGTAAAAAGTCAAAAAGAATAAAAAAGGAATACCCCCATTCATGTGTCTAACCTACTTTGTTTTTACTTTTATGCTTGGGCAAAGGCCTGACTATTGCTGGTTGAAGGGGTCAAGAATGCTTTTTACATTCAACTAAAGCAAGCCATTCCCAACGACACTGTACGTGTAGTGCGAAGCAAGCAGAGCCGTTACGTAGATCATACACAAGCATGCTTTTATCTACATTGGCATGGGGACAATGAGCATATCGATGCATAGCCGTAATATGCGTGTCTTTAGTACAGTAGTCAGTGGATAATAGAAAGCAGTGAGGGTAAGAAGAGGACTAAAGTGGCAGTTGACGACGATGATGATGTCTTTTTCTTTCCTCTTCATGTGGTTGCCGTGTCATATTCGCGCATTTGGAGGAAGGAAACAAAAAGGATTGACATGAAGACAACCGTTTTTTTTCTGCTGCTCTGTCTCCCTTCCTTTCCCCTTCTCTTCGTCGAGCACACCATTCTCTTATTGTTCGCTGTGCTTCGCCTCCGCTCGCCCAATCGCTATTCAGTACCACCTTCATCGTCTTCAACCGTTCTCTCAGTAAACACCTCACTCTCACCTTCTATTATCAATTCGTCACCATTCACTCAGCGCCTTCTCTCACCTTGACTGCACATCGTATCTCCCATTCTCTCCCTCCAACAGACTCGACGAGATACAGGACACAGTTTCACACTACCACCGCCACAACTTTCTACCGTCTTCTCCTCCCTATTCCCTATCATTGCATGACATTATTCCACAGACAAACAGGACAACTCCGAGCATGGGCCCGCAGAACCCTCTGGTGCATCATCGTTATAGGATCCCTCTGCGCAATCGTCATCCCCATCTTCTCCATCTACCGCAAAGAAGGTGATAATACCCGGTCCGTCGTCGAAGTCCCGCCCCAGGGGGTTTCGCATACAGGAGATTATATTCATGTCCTGGGGAGTGTGGCTAGCGTTGACTTTGAGGATAAGAGCTTTCGAGTACATTTTGAGTTTACGCCGCATGGGACTCTGGCTGGGGATGATGGCGTTCTGACGGCTGCGATTGCGGTGTCGTTGTTTTATACGACTTTGACGTTTCCTGATTCTCAGATCATGTATGTTCTAGTGAAGGGAAGGAAAAGAAGAATAGTATAGTATACATGCTTTCCGCACAAGGGCAGTCGCACTTAACACTAATTCTCATTATGTACCTTGTTCATGTACTTTTTTATTCCTTCATTCATCAACACCATAAGGCGGTCAGTAGATGTAACAATGCCTTACACCCATGGTGCAACAATCGACTACCCCTTCGACGCTTACAAGTCCTACTTTGAAATCCTCGCGAACAAGGACAAGGAACGTCTCCACAAGATCCCCATTTCCCTCACCTTCCTCGGAAAACTCCAATCCGTCGAATTCATCCCCACCGTCCGCGTCGAGACAGACGACCTGTACAAGATTGCGATCGAGATCTTTACACGCCGGTCGCCGACGACGATCGGGTTCAGTCTGTTTATTGTATTGATAATGTGGATGTTGAGTATTGCAATTGGGATTATTGCGATTCAGGTGATTAGAAAGTATCGGGTGACGGATGAGCATGTGTTGACGTTGGGGATTACGACCTTGTTTGCTTTGCCGGCGCTGAGGGAGACTCAGCCGGGTATACCGTCGATTGGCTGTGCCGCCGATGTTCTTGGCTTTTACTGGTAAGTTCAGCATCGATATATGAATATGCACAAAACACAAACTATAAAGCTAATTAATATCAACAAACGCCTTCGCCCACTCATTCGCATTGTATAACAGGAACATGGCAATCATCGCGATCTCTTCAATAATGATCCTCATGGCGTCCGCCCTTCGCTGGAAAGAACCCTCGATCGAGCGCGAGATCGAACTCGTCCACAAACAACACGATTTCCAATCAAAACTCATCTCGGAAATGGCCATCCCCATGCCCTTCCCCATCACGGGCGGTCCCTTTTCGGATTACCAGGTCAAGAAGATGCGGATTCCCTTTATGATGAGCCATCATCACCAGTACCAACGTCAGAAAGGGGATAATGAGGGGGTTGATTCGAAATCGACACCGTCTTCGTTGAGGTCGCCGCTTTATAATGAAGAAGGACATGAGTACCATCACGAGCCGTTTCAGGAAGGGTATTTCTTTACGGAGGATCCGGATCATCTGGATATTATTCTTTTGCGGCAGCACCAGAAACAACAGAAGCAGCAGCAGGAGGAAGAGTGTTGGCGAAACGGGGCTGTGTTTGGAGTTGAGCAACCACGACCTCAGGATTTGGTCGCAAATGGAGGCGTGGAACACCAGGGACAACAACAACAGCAACACCAGAATCGCACGTCTGTCTGCCTATCAGTAACAGCATCCTCAACAACAACATCCATCTCCACTGCCACTTCGTCTTCACCTCCATCACCTAGAAGCAATGCAACGCCACAAACACGACACGATTTCATTGATAAACACCACCATCGCCACAACCCGATCCCAACATTGACTTCGCCTTCATCTCCACCATCCCACTCTTTCAACCCCGAGCAGCAAATTCAAGGCCTTGAGATCCACAGAGCAGTCCTTGACCAATCCGCCTCTGACGACAACCAGGACACTACGCCCTCCTTGCCTTACACAGTCTCGCCTATACACTGGGACTCGACAAGTCCCGCCACCTCGCGGTGGATGTTCGATGTCCCGCCATCATATCATATGCCTGTCCCGCCTCTACCGCTTCTACCGGTATCGCTCCCGCCATTGCCAGCAAGAGGAGCAGGAGCAAGAGCAGAAGCAGTAGCAAGAGCAGGGAATTCGAATCACGCCGCCGCCGAAATACAACATGCACATCACTATCTTTACCCAACGTCAAGTTCTACATCCACTTCTACATCCACTTCTACATCCACAAGCTATAAAGCAAAAATTACAATAAAAAACTAACTAAACTAACTACGCCCAATAAGAAAAAAAAAAGGGGGGAGAGAAGGAGATTTTGTGAGCATGTGCATGCGCATGTGCATGTACAATGTGCAATGTGCAGACTGGACCCTTATCATCCTTTTTCTTCCGACCCATGCAGACATGCTATTATGTTACACTTTGTCTAAACACATGGTGATGGTTGACACAAAAGAAGGGAGGGTCGGAGAGCAGTGCACAGGTAACCGTCTGTCGGTTTGTGTTGTGTTGTTTACTGTGTCACAAGGTGAATGGCGTGTGCATGGGTTACATGAGAGATCGTGATAGCGATTTATTTTGCATGTGAATGAATGCGTATAAAAGTCATTACGGAAAGGGGTGAGAGAGAGAGAGAGAGAGTGAGTGAGAGAGAGTGAGTGAGAGTGAGTGAGTGAGAGTGAGAGAGATAGAGAGAGTGAGAAGTTGTTACATGACCATGCGCATGTCTGTATTGTTGTTGTTCAATCGCGCTAGCAGGGGAAAGGAGAAACAATAGTCAACGAAGGAGATGACACTCTTGGGTGCACATCTGTGTAACCTCAAACGGTGTTACGAAACAGCGCATATGTTTTACCAACCGACTGCATCCACCTCTGCGTGGAGGAGATCCTATGAGAGCTCGTCCATTGCAGCATTGAGGAAGGTCTGGAATAAACGGCCTTTGGACGAAATCATCCTGGTGGGTTTCTTTTTTGAGGAATCGGTGGGGTGACGGAGGAGGGGTAAGTTCCTTCGTTCCTTAATTGGGGGCTAAGACTGTTGTTATTTCTTCCACTGTATGCATGCATGACTGGAGAATATTCGGCGGAGGCGATAGAGAAGACGTCAGAGTGCGGTTCAAGGATCTGGGGCAGGCCAAGGTAATGGCCAGATTGGTGAACGTTCTCGTCACCGGGCTCGTGGTGGTCAGAAGGGCCACTTGCGGTGGCTGTGGCGGCGGTGGTGCCAAAATGGTCCACAGAAATGTAACAGCGAAGTTTGGAAGGAGGAGTGACCAAAGGCGCCTGAGAGAATTTATCGCAAGGACCGCTGAACCTGACCCAATGATGTGAAGACCTCTGGGTCGCCGGCGGTGGGGGTAGAGGGACGGCTGTTATCGTCAACTTGCAAGTAAGAATTGCGGTGAATACGGTGATCGACTGGCGATAATAACGACGATGGGACTCGAGATGGACCGGCAGCCGTAGCAAGACATTCACGGAAGAGCTTCTACAAACCATGGATGCAATCAGCAGCGACAGGGGTACAATGCTCCCTGGATCCAGAGGTCAATCGATTAGGATAGATATCGGCATAGACAGCCTTGCGGACAGACTCACGGACAGTCCACTATGCGGTACGGGCGTTGAGGCGGTAGAGGGGCACGAGGAGGTATATGCATATTGGGAGACCCATTCGAAGGACTGGATCACAAGCTCGACGAAGCTGAAGCGGACGAAACCAAGTTTGAAACTCTTGTTGTTGGGGATGTTCTTCTCCTCGGCTTGATGGCGCTCGTCAGACGTGGTGCTGCTGCTCTTCATCATCTGCTGCCACTTCAAATAGGATCAATTACACGAAGAAGATATGAAGGAGAGAATGAATCGCACCAAGCCCACTCACACATCCAATATTGGGATGTGCATCTCTCTTTACCCCATCGGAAAACGAAAAGAACGCCATTCGACCACCGACTCGGTTCACCCTCTTCTCAGCCTATATCTCTCTCATACACACACACAACACACTCTTCCCTCTTTTCATTTTTCTTCATTTCGCGTATCGCCGATGGGAACTGTCGACGCGTCGTTCATTCTTATTCATGCACGTATGCCTCTGTCTTCGCTTCCCTCCCTCTTCCTCTCTCTGGTCTCGCTAATCCCCTACACAGAGACGGAACAGAACAAAGGTAGAATTGTCATAAACAGCTACAGCTAACCTATGCTACGTACAGACACCCTACACCCCAAGCGCTGTACAATCAAGTACCAGCTTCTGGCTAAGTCTACATGGGCATCCATACACAAGTCCACAAGGACAAACAAATACCCATTGTTGTTTTCTATTTCCGAGGCGATTGCTTATTATTCTTCCCTTCAGAGACACACATATCGCCTATGCGGAGACAAGGCGTATGTGACGAGAACGAGTGTTGTTTATTTGACAACTCAAGAGTGACGATGGGATTAAACAGTGGGAAGAAGAAAAGAGCGTTCATGCGTATGTTATATGTACTAATTCTATTTGTGCTTGGGGAAGGGTGAAACGGCAGAAGGATTGTTCAGCTCCTCTGTATACATCTGCGCAACCTCCAATGGAGTCACGAACCACCGCAACTGCTTGGCCAACGGACTACATTCAACCGCATCCACCTCAGCCTTCAACCCATCCCATGACAGCTCTTTCAAAGCATCCAACAAGATCTGACGGTCCTTGGGTTTGATGTGTCGTTCGGGTGAAAAGATACTGGGTTTTTTGGCTCTCGACATCATGATACCATTGCCGCTGGACTCGACGTCTGTCGAGATGGAAGAGGAAGCAAAGGAGGAGACCGAGGAGGCGTAGGGTTCATTGGAGTAGATCCTTATTGCGGCGGGGTTGAGGATGTTCATGATGCTATTGTTGATGTTTCGGTTGTAGTCGTGTGCTGTGACGGGCAGGGAGCTGAGAGCGGTTTCGTAATCGGAACTGGGGCGCACGCCGCTGCCAGTGTCGGAGGAGAGAGAGGAGACATCTGAGTGGGGCTCATTGATCTGGGGTAGACCGTGGGTGTGGCCAGGGTGGTGGACGTCTTCGTCATCGTGGTGGTCCATGACTCTACCGTTACTGGCGCCAATAGTGCCTGGTTGAGAACAAGCGGCATTCTGCTCAGAGCGACCAAAGGCGCCGGTGATTAATCTCCTCAATGACCGTTGGGCCTGTCCTAGAGTCGAAAAGACCTCAGACTGGGAGTTACGGCGGTTATTACTGGCGACGGGAAAAGATGTGTTCTGGTCGAGGTAAAGACCACCACGCTGGGGTTGATCATCTGACGAAGAGACACGAGTCGAAGACGATGCTGGGGGAGACGCCCATAGCCAAGTAGGAGTGATCCGCTCACGGAAGAGCTTCTGTAAACCATAAATGCAGTCGATGGCGGCAGGGATACAAAGACCTCTAGATCCGCAGATCAAGTTCTTGGGTGCAACATCGGCGCAGACAGCCTTGCGGACGGCTTCGCGGACAGACCACTCTCCAGAGTTGGCGTCGAGGCGGTAGAGAGGGATGAGGAGGTAGCCGTACTGAGCGACCCACTTGAGCGACTGGACCACAAACTCGACGTCCTTGTCCTTGGAAAAATAGGTGAAACTAAAGCGGACAAACCCGGGCTTGAGACTCTTGTTGCTGAGGTTCTGCTGGTGAATGTTCCGGGGCTGATCGTTGTCGCCGCCCTCGTCGTCAGTCGTGGTGGTGTTGTTGTTGTTGGTAGTGTAACCAGGACGGGATCCTTCTTCTTGCTCACCCATCAACAGCTTCCAGAAGGCAGCCTCCTTGTCGGCATCAAACTTGAGCAGTTGTGAGGCATAAGGACCAGCGCACATGCATCCACCGCGCATCTCGATTCCAAAGAAATCGTTCATAATGGTACTCAAGAGCGCATAATGGATCTGGAGAGGCGTTTGACCGTCGTGGCTCAGGAATTTTGGCACAGCAATAGTCAGACTGAAGACTGCAACACGGTCCAAGTCAGACGAGCCAAGGACTCGGATCGCTTGATTTAGGTTTGGAGACAAGAGTCTCGCAAGCACTCTCTTGGCCAGCTTGTACTCCTTCTGAAGGATCCAGGCTGGGTCAGCAATCTCTTGTAGACGGAAAACAAGCCCTGTTCGGATGGTCGCAGGGATGTTGGGGGTACCAGCCTCCTCGCGGGCAAGGATGTTGTTGCTGTACTTGTGCTGGCCCTTGATGACCATATCCACAGTGCCACCACCGGGGGTCGCAGGGATGAACTCGTTCCGACTGGTCGCACTGTGTCGCTCCGCCCACGAAAAAATTTCGACTCGAGCGACCAAAACACCGGACGCACCGGGTCCGCCCAGGAACTTGTGGGTCGATATAAAAACACCGTCCTTGTAGGCCAGATTCCTGGTGTCACCCTTAAGATTGGAGGGAGGGGGGTTCATGTCGATGGTGGTGTATGGACCGACACCAGCAAAGTCGTAAAAGGCAAATCCGTCGTACTTATGGAGAAGTTCAGAGATAGCCACTGTGTCATTCTATTTGTTAACAAAATGTATGTGGGTTAAAATGGTGTTAGAGTTTTGTGTCAAGAACACGAACACGCAAAAAAAAAAAAAGTTCCAAGGATAGGCACTAGAGAAGGAGAGCAAGAGGGAACACGTTCGTGTGTACGAGAAAGAAAGCTTGGAGGCAGTGTTGGTGTGAAATAGTAGTTGACTTACAAGGACACCGGTCAAGTTACTGCCGGCAGAGAAAGTACCCAACTTGAGGGGACGGTCTTGGTGAAGGATCAATTGCTCCTCCAAAAAGACAAGGTCCAGCCGGTGGTCACTGTTTTCGGGAATGACAACAACATCGGCGCAGCAGTCGCGCCAGGGCAGGAGGTTGGAGTGGTGTTCTTGGATGGAGAGAAAGACGATTGGGCGGTGCTCGGAGGGGATTCGTGAGAATGTTTGCGAGGAGGAGGAGGGGCTTGGGCTCGACGCAGCAGCGCATGACGAGAGTAGAGCGCATGCTGCTTCTGAGTGCCGTGCTGAGGTGGCTTGGTGTGATGTAAATTGGGCGGTGCTCAAACTATCGCCGTTGCTAGTCTTGGACATCGATGCGGCCCTACGGACCCAATAAGCTTCGTCTTCGAGTCTAAAAACACTGCGGATCTTGTGAACGCCAGAGGTGGCGCCAGACCTGTTTGTTATAATGGCGTATACAATACGGAAAAACAAAAGGCTTACGATTAGCAAACTATCGCAGGATTCGCGGAGGATTACAAACGCATGCATTGACATTCAAACTCATTTTCGAGAGAGGCCTTAAAATAAATAGGAAGAACGGACTACATGCAGGTACGATCGATGAGAGTAAGCAAAAGAAAAAAAAAGTAAGAACGACAGACAGAGTTCTCTTTGTAGTGAGTTTGCTTACCCGCTAAAGATGACGGCAGCATGGTGCTCATGCCCTTCAGTCGCAATTGCGTTGGTACACCGACGGATGGTTTCGCGGGCATGTTTAACGGACTGGGATGTGAATTTTGATGTGGAGGTGGTGGAGGTGTGGGTGTTGGCATAGAATGGCAAAACAGTTTGGCGCATGATGTTCTCGAAGAGGTTGAGGGCCTTGGAGGAGGCAAAGTGGTCGAGGTAGATGGATTTCTTATTGCCGAAGAGAGGGTTAGCGATGTAGGGTGCTGAAATGAGGTCGCGCTGGATGGTGTGAAGGAACCGTTGGTGGTCTTTGTCGCGCATGCGCTCCAATGCGGCCAATTGCTCTCTGGGATCCATGTTTTTAGCTGTGTGTATGTAAGTGTAGAGCGATACTTTGATTCGGTATAGCGATTAAAGAGAAAGAAGGTATAGGTGAGGCTGAGCAGTTGTCCGTCGGAGTGTGGGTCAGGTGGATCGGGTGATAGCTATGCGTGATGTAGTGAAGGGGGTATGCGTGATGGAAGGAGTATGACGATGCTGCTATACAAGAGAGAGGGTGAAGAGATGGGAAGAGGAATAGAATAGAGGAGCGAAGGAAGAGACAAAGAAGTATGAGCTGAGGGCAACACCCTGTTTTTATACATTTTTGCATGGTAGGTCTTTGCCACCCCATGGCACTGAACTGATATGGATTTTGATATTTCCCTGAGACATCCGCGATCGACGTTGCAGAGACACAGACATACTCTATCAATACTGAATTGACTGGACCGGATTGAGTCTATCTTTTATCCCCTGCGCCAGAACTGTACTAGGACAAGCGGCATTTTACGCAGTTGTAATCTTCTACTCTTCGCCAAACCAATTGCCAAGCCAAGGATCATGACCATCCATAATCGATTAACCCTTCCATCCCAACTCACTCAGCCGCAAGTGGATGCCTGCTTGATCACCTGCCTGCATTATCCCACACAACACAAGCCTCGAGTCTCTCTTTTTTCTACCTTCTCTCTAACCCATCCTTCTTTTTTTCTGTGAGCAAATCGTTTCCCACATTGCTGTATTTTTTTCATTCTTCAGAACAAAAAACAAACCTAACGAGGATCTATTATATCCATCCGGTCGTCAGTTTTGTAACCCCCCCACCCTGTTTTTTTTCTTTGTTCTCGTTATTATATACCCTTGTAACCTCACCAGTGCTGGCATTTTGGTCTGCGGACTGAACCAGAAAGGGGTTTGACGCTTCAGGTTTTTCTTGTAGGGTTTACTTCCACATATGAATACAAAAACATACTCTTCATCATGGTATAAGCCCCCGCGTTCTTCTCCTGTCCTGTCCTGTCCTTTGCCATCTCATAACTTCGGGAATTAAGAAAATGAAGTTTAGGAAACAGGATAAAACAACAACACAGCACATTCATCTAAAGGTCACAAAAACATAGGATGAGAGAGAAAGAGTGAGAAAGAAAACGCCAAAAGCAAAAAAAAACAACATCGGAATAAGAATTTTGTATCGTAACAAAAACAAGAGAAAAGTAGAAAAAATGAAAAAAAAGACGAAAATAAGAGCAAAAAGTAGAAACGCCTCCTCTCTCTCCTAGACGTCTCCGCCATCTTGTCATTTTGTCACAGGAATGTGACATAGCCTCCCCTTTTTTCCTATTATCGTGTCGAAGAGAATGAATGGCGACGTAGACTTGCCAAGCTCTTCTTCTACCCCTCATCTTCGCCAGGGCGAGTACATTTTTTTTATGATTCATTTGTTTCTCGCCATCTGATGTCATCACTCATTGTAAAAAAAGTCCCAGGAGGTAATTCTGGGAAACTTGTTGGGCTATTGTAAACTTCCTCGGAGAAAAACAAAACAAAAAACGAGAGAGGAAAGAATGAACCAATGTGACCCAAGGTAGACGAAAGTGGGCTGGAATGATATGTTTGTTGTAGACTCCTTTTTTTAATGCCGATTGGGGAGTGTGTGCTTTGAACTTGTGAGCTGTGCTTTACCTTGCGAAGGAATATCCGTTCTCCGGGGGCTGATGAGATATCAGTAAGGTAAAAGGTAATCGGTCTTAGTCGCGGAGAAAAAACGAATGATGTAGAGAATGAGATGGTGTTGCCCAATTTACCTAGTGCTGCACTATTATTCGTAGAGAACAGAAGAAGGGGGAAAGTGAAGAACTATATGTATTTTTTCTGCTTGTTTACCCCGTCGTAAGAAAGAGGCAGAAAGGGAAGCTCTTTTCGCGAATTGAAGGGTGGAAGCAAAAGTCGAACAAGAAACCAAAAAGGAAAAAATCTCGTAGGAGACATAAAGGGGTGCAGAGCAGGGTGAACAATGCTTCTGCTATGCAACACGAAGGGAAAGGGGATTCAACGGAGCAAATGGAGGGGCTTGATAGTGCAAAGAGTAGACAGAGTTACAGTCGGACAGGAGAGCAAGCATAGTGGAATATGGCTTGGATGCAAGATGGATAATAAAAAGTCAATTGCATATGTTTTGTTTTTATCCATTGGAGCAACTCAGCTCTTCTCTTGGCCACTTGGAAGAGAAACAGAATGGGCAGAAACAGGACAACAGTGCAGATGCTGCCCAGATTTTTTTGTTAATTTTGTCGACTTTGACTACTTTTGGCAATTTCATGCATCCCTTATTATTTTTTTGACCCTCGGTAACAATGCTTCACTTATCTGCCTATACATACCCGCAACCGCCTATTTGTAGCTGGAACGTGGCGTCTTCGCAGCTAGGGTTCATGTTCCTGCGTTGTTGCGTTCCTCATTCAACCATTATCCTTTCGACTTGGTCAACTGGCTGGGCATGACTTGGAACATCAAAAATAAATGAGACTCAATTGTGTTGGTTCCCTCTTTTAGGTTCCTTGCCAATGACCAAAAGCCAAGAGCCAGGGACATACTTGTCCTCACGCTTCAATTCATGGGATTGAGAGTTATGAATGCTGTCCCCTCACCCTGTTAACACCTTAAACATTTAAGAATACCCATTCTCAAGAAAATAATAGAAAGAAACAAGGATAGTCTACACGTTTATTACAGGATGGGTCAGAGAGGATGCGATTAAAAAAGATAAGGAGGGATTAATGGAATACAAGGGAAAAGAAGTAAGTCTATGGATGGATGGATGGAAGTGGGTGCGGAATGTCAAGGAAGAAAATAAAGAAAGATGACTAAAAGGGATGACGGCAGAAGGGGCATAAAGAAAATGAAAGATTGGATTTAGATAAGTCGCTTCTCGTTCTTCTCATAACCAACGAGAGGAGCCGCTTGACGGTTCCTTGGCCTGCCAGCAATGCTTCGGATGGTGTTGTATTCCTGAGGACGGTTGATGATGGTGAGGATATAATGGGCAAGATCCTTGCGTGTCAGGACCTTGACTTTGTTAGTCTTGGGAAGAGCTTCAGAGCTCACGTAGTACTTCTGAGAAAGATCGCCGTCCTTCAGCGTAATGGGACGGACAATGGTCCAATCCAAGAACTGAGAGTCGCGCTGGATGATATCCTCCTGGAGTACCTTATCCTTGAGGATGCCAGTCATAAATACACGCGAGAACAGCCTGCACGTGTTGATGAGGTAGTTGCGAAGCCCGAGGCAGCCATACGATGTCACAACGATCAATCTTCTCACGCCTAATGAAACGTAATTGAACAAAGGGCATTTGCATTTTGGTTAGCTACTACTCAGCGCAGAGGCATCAAGTTGGCTTGTGCATGTGTGCATTCAAGGTCTCAGCAGATACACAAATCAGAGCTAAGAGACATACCATGCTTCTTCAACGCGTTGTTGAGGACCACTTGCGAATGTGAGCCGATAGTGGCATCATTGGTCATGAGCCTAGCCTATGTCGCGACAATTGGATGTAAATTGAGGAGTGAGTAAAGAGGCGAAATTATGTAATTTCCATTGCGCAAGCCAATCGCATATCTTCAATTGAAAAACACACAATGACATACCCCAATCACGTTGACAACAACATCCTGACCCTCAACGCAACGGTCTAGGTCGGCTTGGGATGTCGGCGAGCCCCTGACAATGAGGAGGTTCTGGTTCTTGCGAAGCGTGGAGTCCTCGAGCAGCAATTTATCATCCCGCACAAACGCCGTAACTCTATAGTTTCTCTCAAGCCCTTGTCTGACAACCTCCAGCCCGGTTCGACCGTTGGCTCCCAAAACTAAAAGGAAAGTAAATAAAAATGGCGCCAGAATATGCAAAGGTGATCAGTACAACAACATTGGTGCATTTTAGGCGGCAAACGGGTGTGACAGATATGGGTCGAGAAGCTGCGGACCCCATATGTCCTTGAGCACAAAAACGCTTAGTACTGTACTACAATACTGAGCACAAGCGACAGAGGCGTAATAACGATTGCGCAAACAGAATTGAAAAAGAGGGTGCATGATGGGTGCGTAATCCAATGGCTCTCATAGAGTATGCGTCACTTTGTTAGATAGAACATCATTCGTTCCACGATCGAATACACAGTGGACGGCGTCAGGGAGAGGGGAAGGGTGCCATCATTTGACCATTGTGACGAGCCTCCATTTGTGGGTGACCAGCTGTCGTTCTGGGCGCAGAGTGGATGGCGGCAATAGAACATTAACAGACACAAGGTGTGCGATTGAGGAATGTGGGAAGGGACGTTTTTGTTTTCAAAGAGTCTCACTTACCCAGCAAGTATTTGCCATTGCCATTGCCATTGCCAGAGTCTCCTGAGAGTGAGAAGGAGCTCATCGACTCCATCAGGTCCTGGTCGACATCGTCCTTGGAGTCCCAGCTGGTCAGCTCAGAAGGGGCGGTGAGGGTAGGCGAATGCAGGGTATCCATCAAAGAGTCCCAGCCGTGAGATCTTGCCGAGTTTTCATCGCTGTCGTAGCCAGACTGGTCGTTGGCGGTGGTGGTGTTGTTGTTGCGGTGGTTCTTTGGGGAGGCCGACTGAGGTCCGCCAGACCAGGGTCGGAGGTCATACATCGACTTTGTGTTGCTCTTCAGACTCAGAGAACGCACTCGGTCTGGGTTTGACCGGGAGGAGCTGGAGGTTGTTGTTGAAGAAGCCGAGGAGAGGAGCTCCTGCTGATGTGATGACAAAGGGTCGACATGGTAGAACTGGCTCGACTGGAATTGAGGGTTGTTACCGTCGTGGAAGGAGAGAGGGTGGATGGGGAGGGATCGCTGCTTATCCTTGTCGCCGTCGAGGCTATGTTCTTGCTGTGCCTTGTACATCTGCTTGTAGTCGCTCCTCCGTTGTTTCCGCTCAGCCTTTTGCTGTTGACGCTCGAGCTTGTCCTGCTTGGCCTTTTCCTGGGCCTCGATCTGTTGTTGCTGGAGCATGATAATGATCTGCTCGCGACGCTGACGGGCAGCAGCGCGGGCCTCCTTTTTCTGGTCTCCCTGTTGGGGGGTTGTCCGTTGGAAATGTTCAGAGTCGACAAAGAAGGGCTCATGGGTATGGTCGTGAGGGATTTGGTCAACGGTGGATGGTGGAGGGAGGGTAGGGACAGAAGGGACGGCGGGGATCTGTTGAGTGTATGGGTATTCAGATGAGATATAGAAGTTGTCCCTGGCTCGCTTAGTGTCAGCAGCCATGCTCAATGCGCGTTGCATGCGATAGGGAGGGGTGGTGGAGCGAGCTTGAACCATTGTTGATCAGTTCAGGTTGGTTAGCGAAGGAGTGACGTGAATGAGAATGAATGAATGAATATGAATGTACGGTGATGAATGTATGAATGTATGAATGTATGAAAGAGAAGGAAGGAGAGCGAATGTGATGAATGAGGATGAGGATGAGAATGAGAGTGACAGGGACGGATGAGAGAAAGATGGGAAGGAGAAAAAGAAAAAAAGAGGAGAAAGTGAGAGATGGAAGAAGAGAGGCAAACGAGAAAGAAGAGTCCTGAGCCAGTGCAACGGTCAGATTTTGTTAGCTTTGGCTGCTGGACTGACTTGCATCTCACCCCACACTCACTTGTTGCCGTTTTGTTGTTATTTTGTTAGTGTGGAATGGGAAAATGGATCCCAGGACAAATGAACCTACTGTACATAAACCCATTGCCACTCCGATTCTCTTTCTGTATCTTTTTCTGCTCCCTGACATGCTCTCTCTCTCTCTCCCTCTCTCTCACTCTCTTTCTCTCTGTCTGTCTCAAAGGGGAGTGTCAATGCGGGACCCATTGACCCTCTTCCTGTGTTATGATATGAATGAACAAATGAGAACCAATGAACAGAATGGCTAACATATCCTTCTGCTCCTTGCTACAAAACAGAAACAAATGTAAAAAAGAAACAAACAAACAAGCAAAGCAAAGCAAGATGAGCAAAACGGAAAACGTGGCTCTATTCATAGAGCACCACCCCCAGCATCCTTCCCTTTAAAGTTGTCAATGCCGACCACAGGTCCTAATCAATTTTCGATTGAGAAAAAAGAAATAAAATAAAACGAGAGCAATTTCATTTTCCTATTCGTTTTCCCTGTCCCCTTCACCCTCTAGTCCCTTCGGTATATCCCTGTTTGTTTGCCTTGCAGCGAACCATACAGGGACCTCGTCCATCCACATGGCTCCATCTCCACACTTTCATAGCCACCATGGACCTGTCGACAGACGGTGTGACAAGGTGGTAACCACATTACGGCCAGACTTATTTCTCTCCCCCTTTTCTCTTTTGGACCTCGATCAAGCAGAAAAGTGCCCCTCCTACTGCTCTCGTGCAAAAGCAAAGCAAACAACAATTGTGAAGAAAACGGCCATCCGATGTGTCTTCATCAAAGGCGCGCCAGATTTCCTCCGATTTACGCTTACGAAACTTGTTCACGCTAATGACGATGTCTTTTGTTTGTTGTTGCCTTTTTATTTGTCTCTCAGCTCGCTTCTTTTTTTTGTTTTTTGTTTTTGTTGTTGTTGTTGTTGTTGTTGTTGCTGCTGTAGGTGACCAGATGTATATGCGTTGTTGTTGGGCGAATGGCTCATGCGATGACCGGATGTTGCATTTTGTTGTTATTTCTATCGTCTCTCCGATCCATCCTCCGATCCTTCGAGCCTCTTCATCAAGCACACTGTAGTAAAAGAGACAGTTAGAAACAAACGGCGGAGACAGTTTCTTACATGGCATTTTCTATCTCTCGATTCGGATAGTCAATTACTTCTCTCTACAAGCAAACGAGGACCCAAACAAACAAACAAGCAAACAAACAAACAAACAAACAACCAAACAAACAAGGCGGCTGCCTCTTCCTCTAGCCCCATTGTCTCTCTGTCAATTTCCGAACCAGGCAGGTGCCCTTTTCTTGCCTTGCCCCATCACTTTTATATCTCTCGCGCTGTAGTAGTCAAAGGTAAAACCATCACCCGCTCCTGAATTTTTCTAACGGTGTAGGTGAAGTTGATCACGGACCGAGAGAATTCTGTCTGAGGGCAGATGGACTCAACCGGAGATAATGAATGGATCGATCAAAGGAAGGCTCGATGATGGTTGATCAATGGTCAAAAAAGAGGGGTACCAGGAAGCAGGAAGGGAACTATGTTGAAGGGCAGGCACGCCTTCATTGCCCTTGACCTTGCACACGTACACAGCAGGGTGTCCGTACAACGTCCTCTCATTGAAAAAGGTTGTCTATGGCGGAGAAGCAAACATGAACGAGCCACCCAACCGGCGTCGCACACACACACACTGCAGGCCCCTTTTTAGTATCATATTTCCCTCTTTTTCCTCTTTTCTTCTTCACACGTTCATTCCAAACACAACAAAACACATTCATTCATGGCTCCCAGAAAACGGAAACAGGGTCAAAAGCAGACTCGCTCCAACGCCACCAACGGACACGCACACACCAACGGAAACGGAAATAACAACAACAGTAACAATGACAGCGATGGTAACGCTCATTCCCATAACGACAGCAACAACAACCCGTCCTCACACGACGGATTCACAGGCGAGGTCAAGGAGGCTCTGGATAAATTGACAAACGTCTTGCCCAAGAATGCGAAGGTCGAGGTCAGACACCCAAGCCTCAGCCGAAACCCTTCCATCACTAACTACCTTCGCCAAACACTCTTCGTGAACGATGTCGACGTCCAGGACCACAAGAAGCACGTCCCTGCCGGGACGCGCCGTCGGGTGGTCCTGTTGCTTGGTATCATTATCGGGATGGGTCTGGCAACTGTCTTGATGCGCCAATCCAAGGATGCAGCTTACATGGAAGCATTCTCGCATTACTTTCAGGACTTTGATCTGGCCTCAATGGTCCCCTCAGGAATGATCCCTGACGAGTTTATTGGCAACGTCTCGGCCATGTTCAGACCAGAGATCTTGACAGAGGAAGAGTTCTATCCTGGCGAGGAACTCCGTGAAGAGCTCGGATACAAGCCAAAGTATCCAGTAAGTAGAAGGAGGGAATGGATAAATAACAGCCCGACATCGCATGATGCGGTGTTTTTTTTGCAAGAATTTGTAGTTGATCCTGCATAACTGTCATTGTATTTTTGTTTTACTTTACTAATCGGCCGACCTCGTAACCGCTCCTTGACGCGTACTTTTATAGGTCATCATGATCCCCGGAATTGTCTCTACTGGTCTCGAGTCATGGTCAACAACAAACAAAAGCTGTTCTCAAAAGTACTTTCGCAAGCGCATGTGGGGCACTACCAGTAAGTCTTGACATTATCGTCATAATTTCAATTTTTTGGTTTTGGCAAGACAGTAGGAGCATGGGTAAGGACAATTTGAACTTATCGGCATTTGTGCGCATGTTTTTGCTTATCTTGCCATTCACTCTTAGCCATGTTCAAGGCTGTACTCCTGGATAAGGAGTGCTGGATCTCCAATTTGAGATTGGATCCCAAAACAGGTCTTGACCCAGAGGGCGTTCGTCTGCGTGCTGCCCAGGGTCTTGAGGCAGCCGACTACTTGTTTCAGGGGTAGGTCCATACGACATTATTATCTTTTTTTCTTTTTTTCTTTGTTCCGATGCGTATTGTCGCTTATTCATGTGAAATGCGGACAAAACAAAATATTTTGGTCGTGAATTTAGCCATCATGACGACATCGAACACAAACTACAAATACTTTGTGCCTGAAATCAGTTCGCTATGTAACTAACCGAGTGTTTACATTCTCTTCTCTGACGTTGTTAATAGTTACTGGGTGTGGGCGCCCATCATCAAGGTAAACGGTGTGCCGTATTGCATGTTTGCTGTGTACGTTGGGTCGCTTGACGATTGGTACTAACCCACCGTTATTCTCCCTGTCGTTGTTGTAGAATCTAGCGGCTATTGGATATGACAACAACAACATGTACCTGGCGTCATACGACTGGAGGCTTTCCTTTGCCAATCTGGAGAACCGCGACAACTACTTTTCACGTCTCAAATCCAGCTTGGAGCTCTCACTCAAGGTGACTGGAGAAAAGAGCGTCTTGCTGGCTCACTCGATGGGATCTAATGTCATGTTCTACTTCTTCAAGTGGGTTGAGTCGGACAAAGGCGGCAAGGGAGGTCCCAACTGGGTTAATGACCATGTCCACACCTTTGTCAACATTGCTGGTCCAATGCTCGGAGTGCCTAAGACCTTGGCAGCTGTCTTGTCAGGCGAGGTGCGTGATACCGCTCAATTGGGTGTTGTCAGTGCGTACGTCCTGGAAAAGTTCTTTTCGAGACGTGAGCGTGCCGATCTGTTCAGGAGCTGGGGAGGTCTGTCGAGTATGATTCCCAAGGGAGGAAACCGCATCTGGGGAACTATCAATGGAGCTCCCGATGACGGTACACACGACGAGGAGGAGACGGTCATGAATGAGAAGATTGCCAGGAGCGAGGAAACTCCTGGAGCGACAACCAAGGGAAGTTATGGCGAGCAATCGCCTACTTTTGGAGCAATGCTGGCGTTTGCAGAGGGATCAAACATGAAGAACCATGGCATGGACGAGAGTATGGGGCTTTTGTCCAAGATGGCGGGAGACGATTACAACGAGATGCTGGCCCATAACTATACCGTTGGCGCTTCGGTCACTCAAAAGCAAATGGACAAGACTACCAAGGACCCTGCCAGCTGGACCAACCCATTGGAGGCCACGCTTCCCTATGCGCCCAAGATGAAGATCTACTGTCTCTATGGAGTCGGCAAGTCTACTGAGAGGAGTTACACCTACAACCGTGTCAGTGATCTCGCTCCTCAGATCTTTGACCAGAGACCAGGCAATGTTTCGGACGAGACTGGACAAGTCCCCAACATTTACATCGACACCTCTGTCCACGACGACAAGCTTGGAATCAGCTACGGTGTCCACCAAGGCGACGGGTAATCATCAATTGATTGTCGATTTGTTTCTCCTTCCTGCGAATGATGTTTTTCTTTGTACTCATCTCTATGCCATTCATTCTCCAATCTCATTGTTACTTGATAGTGATGGAACGGTGCCGTTAATGTCAACGGGATACATGTGCGTGGATGGGTGGAGCAAGAAGCTGTACAATCCAGCTGGTGTAAAGGTGATCACTCGCGAATTTACACACCGGAGCAGTCTCTCGCCAGTCGATATTCGTGGAGGCAAGCGGACGGCGGATCATGTGGACATCCTCGGCAACTACCAAGTGACAAGGGATCTTTTGGCGATCGTTGCAGGTCGCGATGGCGATGGTCTCGAGGAGCAGATCTACTCCAAGATCAAGGAATACTCTGCCAATGTCGACATCTAAGTCCTGTAGATAATAAACTTGCATTCAAAAACAATAATATTTCACATTTTTCATTTTTACTTTTCGTTGTCATTTCTGTCGCCAACGGTCGCTTCGCCCCTGAGAACAAAGCTAGAAGTGACGTGGAATTACTGGGTTGCTCCCAATAGTTTTTGTTCTATGTCATAGCCATTGCTCATCTTTCTTCATCTTCCACCTCCACCTTCTCCATCGTCATCCACTCTCCAATCTTCATACTGTCTTGCATACTTGACGGCTTGGACCCCCCTTACAACCTAGACACAAACCCAACAAGTCGCTCTTTTATATAACAGAATGAAGACCCATTCTGTTTGCTTTCCCATCTTGGCAACACTTGCCCTCAGCGTCGCAGTGACCAGAGCTAACGTGAACAACAACAACATTCCCCGTGGCGTCTCTCCCTCCAGTAACGTTTCTTCCATCAATTGATAAGGAGAATCCATGTCCAATTGACAGAGGTTGGCTTTGAACGAGCTTGACTAAAGAAGTGATGGCCGTTTTTTTTGTATTGTTCAATTTCACGCTGGTTTTTTTTAGACGCCAAATTGTATGTGCCTGACAGCGGCAGCAACTGGAGCTGTCTTGATGGGTCCAAGACGATCCCCTTCTCGGCTGTCAATGACGATTATTGCGATTGCGTCGATGGTTCTGACGAGCCTGGTAAGTCATCCCTTTCGTTCCTCGGTAATAAATGAACATAATCGCCAGTTGAAATCAGGGGAACAATGAAAATTAACATGTCTGTGCTCCCCCTAACTTCCCCTTCCTTCAGGCACATCGGCATGCGGAACAGGGCGGTTTTATTGCGCCAACATTGGCCACACTCCCTCAAGTATCAAGACCTCAAGGGTTAACGACGGTGTCTGTGATGAGGAGTGCTGCGATGGCTCGGATGAGTATGACGGTCAGACTCACTGCCCTAATATCTGTGATAAGGTTGGAGCCAAGGCCAGGGAAGAGAACGACCGTATCCAATCGATCCAGAATGAGGGTGCTCGGTTACGTAGAGGGTTCATCAAGTACGGAAAGGCCAACAAGGTTTCGTTGACTAATGAGCTCGAGACTCTGAAGGGTCAGGTCGACAAGGTCCAGGAGACACTTAGCGATGCCAGAGGTATGTTTTTCTTCGCTGGACTGTGTTGTATCCCAATATGCTTCTGATGGTGCATTGTGCGGAGCAAAATGGGAAAGATATTGACTGATATGGGCTAACTTTCACTTCTACCTATTCGTGCCATGCGAACTGATAGCTAAACTGGATGCGGCTAATGAGGCACAGGATGCTTATTTGGAGGGCAGCAAGAGCGAGCGTGAGGCGGCGCGTAAACAACAGTTGGAGCCCATCATCCAAGAACAGACCAAGCGTCTCAAGTATGCCACTGAGGTCAGAGACACGTTGAAGCTCACCCTTCAAAATCTCAAGGAGAAGCACAACAAGAACTATCACGATCTTGCAGTCAAAGGCACTGTCTCTGGATTCGACGAGTACATTGTTGCACAGGGCGAGAAGACAGAGACTGCAAAGGAAGACTCGGATATTTCGTCGGATCGCCAGTTTGATGCGTTGGTGGACGAGACATCTGTGGTCCTGAGGGATATTGGAACCTTGCACGATCTCTTGGATGGCATGAAGCGAGACTACAACACCGAGTACAACGATGAGGCGGTGTTGACTGCTGTCAAGGTCACGGAGGACTTTGAAGTAACCTGGGACTCGAGCAGACTGGACTTTGTTGATGTCGAGCATTTGGTTCTTCCTGAAGAGTTGCCAGTCGACAACCCTGAGGCCGAGAAGTTCAAAGATGGTAAGGGCTTACGCTTTGAAGACGACATATATTGGTGGCGTTTCTCTTTAAGTTCAACCCAAAGGAATACTTACATGGCGTTTTTTATTTCTTTTATTCACGACATGTTAGAAACGGATTTGGCTCAGGAGGCATTTAACGACGCGAGCGAGAAGGAGAGCAAGGTCCGAGAAGGCATTCGGGATATTGAGCGCAAGCTAAATATGGATTTCGGACCTGACGAGACTTTTGCTCAGCTTGCCGATAACTGCTTCGACTTTAAGGATTCCGAGTAAGTGGGGAGAGCCGTCCTAGCAGATGCAATCTGAGACTTTGCGGGAGTAGGTGTCTTGGCGCTTCAATTTACTTACTTTACTCCTTTGTTTCGTTTGTAGGTACACTTACTCAATCTGTCTGTTTGGTGATGCTAACCAGAGTTCACACTCCAGCACGCACCTTGGGTAAGACCCCTTCTTTGCCTTCAGCTAATACTATTGATCACATCAAGTATCGCATCTCGATATTCACCCATCCTTTCACCTTGTCAAATCCTATCACCAATAGCAAATTCTCGGGATGGGAAGGGGACAGCTATGATATCCAGATGTACACAGGAGGCGCGAAATGCTGGAACGGACCTGAACGATCGGTCAAGTTGGTGATGTCCTGTGGTACCAAGACCGAGATTGTCTCTGTGGCGGAGCCTGAGAAGTGCGAGTACTTGTTTAAGCTCCAGACACCTGCTGTCTGCCCAGTCCCCGAGGATGAAGTTGAAGATGAGGGAGATGCTGAGGAGCAGGAACAGGAGCAGAGTGTGGAAGGAGTTCAGCCGGAAGGAGAGGAGCATATCCAGAAGCACGATGAGTTGTAATAGACATTGACAACGTATTAAACGTGAGAAAGATTCACATGTGTTGTAACTTTACGTCGACGCAAAGATGACTTACGGGTGGCTACTGTGGCTTTGGTCATCCAGGCTAATTATTTAAAGGGCCTTGGCAAGTAAGATTATAATTTTATAATCTTATTGTTCTGCTTCTTCCTCAAACAATGCTCAAAGGTAACAACGTTGTGGCTTTGGCTGTCCAGGCTAACTATTTAAAGGGTCTCGGTAAGTAAGATTATAACTTATAATCTTACTGTTCCGTTTCTTCCTCAACCTTTAACAAATAAACAGCGCCACTCAGTTGAACTGGTCGTGCACAAAGACAGGAAACAACGCCGCCATTCTCTTCCCCCTCCCCCTCCATTAACTTCACAGGACTCTAAATCGCCATGGCCAGAAACGAAGAAAAGGCGCAGTACGTTACACTCAGCGGCTTTACATCGACAGTATTATTGCAATTAGTATTCCCTCACCTCTGTACAGTGGAGATCAGCATGAAACTAACATCACATGTTTTCTCCATGAATAAAAAAGATCTATGCTGTATCGCTTTCGCGAGGCAAAGAATGCAGAGCTAGGCGGGTCAAAAGTACAGCAGCGCCGACCCTTCCGGGTGTCAGAGGTCACCTCCTTAACCGAGGCCGAGAAGTGGCGTCGGAACACTATTGGCGACATCTCTAAAAAGATGAGCAAGATTCAAGACAGTACGTTTCCTTGTTGGTTTTGTTTGTTGTTTCATGGACGGCGCACACCTACTTGACCTGCCTTTACATTTTTTTTAATCGTAATACTGGCACGGCAAGGACTTGCTTGATTGGTTTTTGCTAATCAACTGTTGTTTCCGTACTTTGTATATGTAGGCAGCATATCCGACTTTCAGATTCGCGACTTGAACGACGAGATCAACAAATTGATGCGTGAGAAGTATCGTTGGGAGCAGCAGATCGTGGATCTTGGCGGTATCGACTACAGGGTAATTACCACAGGACAAATGAGTAACCTTGGATCCTGACAGGAATTTCATATACATGGATCAACTGACACGTTTCTTCAATTGTTCACAATCGGTATATTAGATAACTGGCCCTAAGACGTTGGACGCACAAGGCAAGGAAGTCCCCGGTGCTCGTGGATACAAATATTTCGGGCGCGCAAAGGACCTCCCAGGTGTCAAGGAACTCTTCCAGCCCAAACGTAAGCATTACCTTTGATTGTGTCTTCCTACACCAGATAACGATATCGTCCTTCCGAACATTTTCAATTAACATCCCCGCCTTGGCTACTTTATCGTATTAGCATTGACGCTGAAGGAAAAGACTAGGGCAGAACTTCACCGCAACGTTGATGCCGATTACTACGGATACAGAGACGAGGAGGATGGCACGCTTCTGGAGTTTGAAGAAGAGCATGAGCACATTGGTACGTGAACTAGTATCATGCGACTGTTTTTCATATTCTTCGAATGTGTTGTATTTTTAGTCTCAAATATCCCGATTTTAACTCAATCATCGACTTTTTGTTCTATCACAGCGATGGAAAAGGCATTGGAGCAGGCAGAGGAGGCGGACGAGGACGCAATGGAGGTGGATGGACAGCAGGGCGAGAGACCTCAGGCTCTGGGTATATTGCATGTGCCCTCGCAAAAGGAAGTGGAAGAGTACCTCGTCAAGAGGAGGAAGCAGGCTATTCTGGACCGCTACGTGAACGAGGACTTGGTCAAGACCGCATAATGACCCCAAATCACGTCCGATTCAACATGCCACCCACCCTCCACTTTACTCCCGTTCCTTCTACCGATGAACACACACACACACAACACAAAAAAAAATGTACAATAATATTGCAACCTCATCACAATCAGTTTGTTCGAGGATCGTTGTTTTGGATTTCATATCAAATTGTCTATTTCATTATCTCAAGATGTGTTGCTTTTGTTTTTGAATCTTTTGGGGTCAGCGTTAAAAGGATTTAGGGAAAACAAGAAAGGAAAAACTATACAGTTGGAGGAGTGGTGGAGGATGATGCAGGAGGAGGAGGAGGAGGAGAGTCGGTAGTGGGTGCAGATGTAGAGCCGTTAGCGTACTGCTCGTCCTGGGCAGTGACCTCAGTTCCCAAGAGCTCGTGTAACTTGTCCTGGAAGGGGCGTTTGCCAAGGAGACGCTCCATATCTGCGCGGTTCAAGACCTCTTTCTCCATCAACAGCTTGGCAACCTTCTCGACATCGGCACGCTTCTCGGTCAAAAGGTTGGTCGTCTTGCGGAATGCCTTGCCGATCAATGACCGCACCTGGTTATCGATCAGCTGGCCAGTCTGCTCACTGTAGGGCTTGGTGAACTGGTTCTCTTTATCGGGGTTGCCGTATGACAGGGGTCCAAGCTCAGTGTCCATTCCGTAGGTGGCCACTAATTGTTTTTAAACAATTTGCGGTCGAAATTAGTCTTTGAGTTGATTCACAACTTTCAATCGTATGAACAGAGTAGCAAAGAAGAGTAACATACCTTGGGCATAGGCCATCTTGGTGACCTTTTGGAGATCATCCTGAGCACCAGTGGTGATGGTGCCGAAAAAGATATGCTCAGAAACACGTCCGCCAAGAGTCATGCACATGCGGTCCATGAGCTGCTGAGTCGAGTACAAGTACTGGTCCTTGGGCAAGTACTGGGCATATCCGAGAGCGCCAACTCCGCGAGGGATGATAGAAACCTTCAACAAGGGATCGGCGTGCTCCAAGTACCATCCTGCAACAGCATGACCAGCCTCGTGGTAGGCAACAGTCTTCTTCTCCTCGGGCGACAACACCTTGGACTTCTTCTCCAAACCAACAATGACGCGCTCAATCGCAGCCTCAAAGTCAGCCTCGACCACAGTCTCCTTGTTGTGTCTAGCCGCAATGAGAGCAGCCTCGTTACAGACGTTGTGGATATCAGCTCCAGAGAATCCAGGGGTAAGAGCTGCCAGCTTCTGTGCCAGTCTGGGAATATCCTCTTCAGTCTTGATGGGTCTCAAGTGAACCTTGAAAATGTCGCCTCTGCCCTTGATGTCGGGACGGTCAATGGCAATGTGGCGATCGAAACGACCAGGTCTCATCAAGGCATCGTCCAAAACATCGGGTCTGTTGGTTCCTGCCAAGACAACAACGTGCTCATGCGATCCGAAACCGTCCATCTCGACCAACAGCTGGTTCAAGGTGCTCTCACGCTCGTCGTTACCGCCAAACTGACCACCCTTTCCACGAGCCTTTCCGATGGCATCAATCTCGTCGACAAAGATAATACAAGGAGCATGCTTCTTAGCGCTGGCAAAGAGATCGCGGACACGAGACGCTCCGACACCGACAAACATCTCCACGAATTCTGATCCTGAAACGCTCAAGAAGGGGACGCCGGCCTCACCGGCAGTAGCCTTGGCCAAAAGCGTCTTTCCTGTTCCGGGAGGTCCACTGAGAATAGCGCCCTTAGGGATCTTGGCACCCAGTTTCTCGTAAGCGGCAGGGTTCTTCAAGAACTTGACAAATTCCATAATCTCAACCTTGGCCTCGTCCATTCCTGCAACATCCTTGAACTTGACGGTAATGTCAGTCTCCTGGTTGAACAGCTTGGCCTTGGACTTGCCGACGCCAAAGATGCCCTGTCCTGCTCCTCCGCCTCCCTTCTTGGCCATGTAGACGAGAACACCGACCAACAACAGGGTAGGTGCAAAGTGAATCAGGGTGCCTAGAACGTTGACCTCATCCCTGTAAGAGACTGGGATGCGCTCCGATCCAGGAATTCCAAGCTCTGACTGTGCCTCATCCAACTTGCGCTCAAAAGCCTCAACCGATCCAATGCTGAATGTGTAGGTCGTTCCGTGGGGCTGACCCAAAGTACCAGGGATCTGGCCGGGGGCATCACCGCGCAAGAAGACCTTGACTCTGTTCCTGTTCAAGACAACGAGACGATCCACCAATCCGCGATCCAAGAAGGTCGATCTGAACTCCTGCCAGGTGATCTCGCGGGTGTTGTCCGATGGCGACATGGCCTTGTAGAGAACGTAAGTGGTGAAGGCAATAGGGAGGACGGTGTTGGGGTTAAACTTCATCTGATAGAACTGGCCCTCTGGAGGAGGAACAGGCTTGCGGTTAGGAGGACGCTGGCTTCCGCCTTGGTTGTTGCTGCTGTTTCCTTTGTTCTGGCTGCTGCGCTCAGAGTTGTGGTTCTCGTGAGGGGTGTTGTTGTTGGAAGAACCCTTTTGACCGCTGCTGCCACTATTTCCGCTGTTTCCTGACTTTGAAGCCTGCTGTTGTCCGCTGTTCTCGGCCTTCTTGGCAGCATCGCGGAGGACCTTTCCAAAAAAGTTCTCGAAACCCTTGGGGACGCTGTCGGGTTTGTTCTCGCCAAGGGGCTGCTTGTCAGCCGAGTAGAATCGTGTTTGGATGCGATGTTGGTGGAGTCCAGATCGGGACGAGTTGAAGCTGGAAGTGGAGGAGATGTGGTTGAGACGGTGCAGAGAGAAGGGAGCTCTGCTGCAGCCCTTGGAGGCTGTTGCCTTCAAGGGAGACGCCCTGGCTAGGAAGGCGCTCATGATGTGAATGTGGGTAGGAATGAGAAGTGAAAAAGCACAAAGACTGAAATGAGAGCCAACATTCGGGGGTTTTAAAAACGATCTGTGTAAAACAGAAAGATCGGAAAGGCAACGTCATCGGTAACGGAACATTTCATTTTATTCAAAAAGGAAATAAAAAGGGACGAGAGAGTTATGACCGGGAGCGGGTGCGACGTCTGCGGGATGATCGACGGCGGCGACGGTCTTCCTCAGAGTCTGAGGACGACGAAGAGTCGCTTCCTGACGAGGAGTCTGTGTCCGAGTCTGTATCTGATCCTGACGAGGAAGAATCCGAGTCCGAGTCCGAGTCTGAGCTCTCTACATCCTGCTGCTGCGCCATGATCGACTTGGGCGCATTCTACACGTTCGAAACAAAAAGGATTTCATCAGCATTTCTGTTCAGAGGAGTAACACAAAAAAGCGCTCAAAGAAGAGAGACATACCTTCAAATGTTCACGGAGTTCAGTGGTCAGTGCACCAAGACCAATACTGGTGAAAAAGTTGATGGCGAAACGGGTGCTCTTGGGGTTGTCCTTGGGGAACAGGCCAGAGAACCACTCGGCACAGTATGGGTCCTTGACACGCTCGTTCAGCTTCTTCAATCCAAGAGACTCGACCAAATCCTGAAACAGGATCTTAATGAAAATACGAGAACTGCTAGTCGTCTCCTCCTCGTTCAAGTGGATCACACTCAATACATCCCAGGGCAGCGCATCCGTCGACATCAGATGGCCAAAGTACTTGGCAACGTTGCGCAGTGGGTTCGTCTCCAAACGATGGATCGTCTCGTAGTTGGTTGCGAAACACTCCTTGAATGCCTCCGACCAGTCCCGGTTGATCTTTGAGAAACGCTCACCGACCAATCCGTAAAACTTTTCGTATGTACGCTCCTGAGAACAACACTCAATCACCATATTGCACAGCTCAATCTAAAAATCGAGGAAAGAGGAGAAAGGTATGAATACCTGCAACGAGAATTGAAAACCAGGAAGAACGCTATCCACGACATTGACCAGGAGATTGTATAGCTTACCTGCTGTCCTTGCTCCAGCTTGATCAACATCAGCTTGTGACAACATTCCTCAAAGTTGAGGGAACTCTTGATCGTCAGATAGATGGTCTTGCGGAGGTTAACCAGGTTGGTGTTGGTCCTGTCTTGAATCTCCATCTTCTTCTGAAGGGCCTCTCTGCTCTCTTCTCCGTCTTCCTCGTCCTCATCCGATTCGTCTGATCCAGATTCATCTGAATCGTCATCCTCGCCCAAGATCTCAGCCTTGATTGCGACGTATTTCTCCTCGTTCTCCAGGTATTCAGGATCAAACTTGAACACATCTACATAATGGCAAGCGTACAGGGAGATAGTTAATGAATGAAAATATTCCTTGTTGTGCAAGCAGACGTCGTTCAAAATGCAAATTGATACTTACTCAGGCCCTCCATGACATCCAGATCTTCCTCATCAAGTTCCAGAGTGTGAGTGATCTGTTCATCATCATCGACCAGATCGAGGTCGTTTCCGATGGGTGGGTTGTCCTTGTACTTGTCCTTACGGATCTGGAATAGGACCTCGATCATGTACTGTGTACGTTTTTCGATCTTGCCCTCGTGAAGAATGTTGCGGAGTCTCTCGAATACACCCTCGTTGGCTCCTGACGCTTCCTGCGAAAGGAAAGATCCCACCTCTTTCATGAATCCAACTGAAATTTCGATAGAGTCCTCCGTGGGCTGACCGAGGAGCAAGAAGAGGACCTTCAGGGCCAAGATCTCGTGCGCCACCCACTGGTTCGTCAAATGGGCGATAAAAGTTGTGGTTGCCAAACACGTCGCCTTGTCGTTTCGTTTGTACGCCTTCCTGAACTGAACAATGAGGCGGGTGATAAGAAGCTCTCCAACCTGGGGGAGCTTTGTGTTGACGACTGCTACAACAGCAGCATAGACAGGTGTGAATGGCATCGATGCTGCCTGAGCCTTCATGATCGATTTGCAGAACAGTCCACGCCCGCGGACTAAGTTCTCTCCAAACAATTCCGGAATGATAGCTTTGATGTTGGCAGCCGTCACCTATAAGTGTTCCGTTGCAAGATGATTGGTGAGTCCATGTAACAAGAGCATGATATTGCATGTAGGCTCAACATCATCCAGTAAGAGTCATACCTTGTTGATGAGACCGTTGATACTCTTCTTGAGCGCCTCCCAGGCTATCCTCTGATACTCTTTTGAAGACTTGTCTGTAATCTGCTCCTGCATCATGCGAAGACGTGCTGGTGGGATATATGCGCCTCCTGTACGCGTCAGCGTCAGAGTCTTCATCTCCTCCGTCGGATCCTGTCTTGGTCTTGGTGCTGCTGGCGCCCTCTCCTCCATCTGTCTCTCGCGCTCCCTGCGACGCTCCTGATTCACATCGTAAATACCGCGAGGAGGTGGAGGTCCACGTCCACGAGGTCGCTCATTCGATCTATCTGTGTTGCGGTCTCTAGAGTGATTTCTGCGGCGATCCCTCGAGTCGTCCCTTCGACTTTTGTCAACATGGCTAGTCGATGTATCGTCCTTCCTGCTGTCGCGTTTTGGCGAACCCTCGGGCGAATCTGCCTTTCTCTTGTTGGGTCTCCTGGGAGACGGTGTGCGAGAGGGTGTGCGAGAGGGGGACCGAGATCTGCTCATGGACCGACTCACTAATCTTCCGCTGCTCCTCGACCTGCTCCTTGACCTAACGTTGTACGATGGGAGGCGCGGTTATTATACCTTTCTTTATGAATCCCTGCCATTCAACATCACTGACAACCATGTTGTCACAAGAGACCTGGTTCAAAAAGTTAAGCGTGCAATGTTACCTGTCTCGTCCTGAACTCGATTCTGGCTTGACGATGACGCTCTGGACCTCCATGGATGTTTAAAGTGTTTGATGGTTGAGGAAGAGAAGTGGCACTCTTTTGTTCATTGATCAGTCGAACAAAATCGACCTCAGGGTGACGTGAATTGCTTGGATTTAGCTTAATCAGGGGGATATAACTAATTTCCCAATTTAGCAAATGAATGCTTTTTGCCACCATGTTGCCAGCGCTTTGCCCTGAGAACCTAGTGGACTTGTTGCACACCTTGGAGACCAAAAGATGGAGCATAATGGCGAAGGAGAATATGGAGATGCCATCTGCGACTTCATAAGAGCCTGATCTGCATTATTGTTAGGTCTATCTGCCTTCGGACTTACAGGTATTCAGTGACCACCTGTTCGCTAGGCAGCGGTACCAGGAGCGCTTTGCAGGCGATCGGACACCCTTTGAGCGAAGCGCGTTTACTCTGCTTTTCAGAATAGTCATTAGATAGCGATGAATGATGCAGCTACTGATAAAGCCATAAGGAGTAAAGGCAACGACGACGCGTCGAGTTATGTTTAGCCTAGGGATTTTCCTAGGCGAAGCTGTTTATAGTCGGTCGAATGGTATCTACATACCATGCGGTTTCCTGTCTTTCTTTTGTAACAGCGGTTTTCAACTGTTTTTAATATTAATGACCATGCTCGCCACCCTCCAAATCAACGAGTGCACTTGAGCAAAGCGGCTGACTGGCGGACGGACAAAAGTATATGTATGTGAGATAGGACTGGTGGCTTGGTTTGATTTTCTTTTTTTCTGACTTGAGTTCAAAGTTGCTTCTTATTCCCTCTTTCGCCTCCCTCATCACAACCCTCCCTGTCTGCATTCAACCGCACACAACACCCATTCATTTCCCACCCACACCTTCAACACAGTTCACTTTCTTTCCTTTGCTTCAACTGACAACACTCGCCTGAAACAACTCTATCCTCGTACACACAAATCCCTTGTAATACCCTCGTGAGTACTCCACCTGCGCTGTTCACTTCTTTTTACGCGTCAATAGTTGAACCGTAGGAAAACATAATAACAGTCAAAAAAGAGATCACCTTCAACTGACATTACTCCTCCGAACTCGACCGTTGCCATTAGCATCCGATTCAAACGACAGTATGGACAGTGAAGTGGTATGTTTCCCTACTGTTTAATTTTCAGCATGACCCATCACCCATCACCCTCCCATCCGGAACAGGTCCTTCAACTACGCTGTCACAGTCCTGCTCACATTTTGCGCTTTTTTTTTTTGGTTGTTGCGATATTCAATTAGACAATGGCCCACGTCTCTGATGATGAGGTCATGCACAGTGTAAGTTGACCAAACAGCGCCATTGAAGCAGCGCTTACCGCCTGTACTCTGAAACCCTTCGTACTCATCCAATCTCGCTTTAAATCCATATTACTCTTCTCTTCCAGGGCGAAGAGACTACGACAGCCACCAAGATCACAAAGAAAGAGCAGGAGAAGATCGAAAAGGCTGAGCGCAAGGTCCAGCGAGACAACCAGCGCGACCTGATCCGGCAACAAAAGGAGAACTTTGAAAATGACACTGCCAAGATGGAGAAGGAGAAGGTATGGCCACATTTGCAAATTCGAGATGCTTTCTCCATATTGAAGATCGAATTTCAAGGCTGACTAGAAATTACGTCTCCACCACATAGCTCGTCGATACATCCAACCGCATTTCATACCTTCTTGGCCAGACAGGTACGTACATCGAAGATGGATCCTGATCGTTTTTGACGTAACAAGTATACGTCTAGACTTTGATTTGCTTTATTGAACTAACGATCAACGACCTTTGTCACAATAGAGCTGTTCAAGCATTTCATCGATCTGAAGAAGGCCAAGGATCCCGAGTTCGCAAAACTATTGCAGGAGCGTGGCACTGAGCAGAGGGAGAAAGCGAAGGGCCCCAGGGGTTCCCGCCAGGGTCGCAAGACCGAGAAGGAGGAGGATCAGGAACTCTTGAACGACGAGGAGAACGAGGACGACGACAGCTCATTTGTCTTTACAGAGTCGCCCGCATGTAAGGATCGTGAATCGCCAGTATGGTTACGAGGCATGATGCCTGTTAGCTTCATACCTTTTCTAACCCAACTATTCATACGCTTTGTCCGCCTCAATCTGCTCTAGATATCAAGAACGGAACTCTCCGCGACTATCAGATCCAGGGTTTAAACTGGATGATCTCACTTTACAAGAACGGCATCAACGGAATCCTCGCTGATGAGATGGTACGTCTATGGGAGTGGATCTTTTCCGTCAAGGGATGTTCATATTGGCAGAGAGTTGTCTCTAACACACTTGATTTGGTTCCATTGTTTCATAGGGTTTGGGAAAGACACTTCAGACGATCTCGTTCCTTGGATATCTTAAGCACGTCCAGGGCGTCAATGGACCTCATCTGGTGATTGTTCCCAAGTCAACACTTCACAACTGGAAGAGCGAGTTCAACAAGTGGCTTCCCGACGCCAACGTCTTCCTTTTGCACGCCAACAAAGAAGAGCGTGTAAGTTGTTCAGCCCCAAAACAGCGTCATTTCACCCTTATTTTTTGTTCGAATTGAATCAAAACTAATATTATGGATAACGCAATTTTTTTTTAAATCTTAGGGCGATATGATTCAATCAACACTCTTGACTCAGGAGTTTGACGTTTGCTTGACTTCTTACGACATCTGTCTTCTCGAGAAGACTCACCTCAAGAAGTTCGCCTGGCAGTACATTGTCATTGACGAGGCCCACCGAATCAAGAACGAAAACTCTCAGCTCTCGCAGATCATCCGTGCCTTCAACTCCAAGAACCGTCTCTTGATCACCGGAACTCCTCTTCAGAACAACTTGCACGAACTTTGGGCGCTTCTCAACTTCTTGCTTCCCGACGTTTTCAGCTCTTCCGAGGACTTTGATTCCTGGTTCGAGAACCAGGGCGGCGACCAGGATAAGGTTGTTCAGCAGCTGCACAAGGTGTTGCGTCCTTTCTTGTTGCGTCGCATCAAGTCTGATGTCGAGAAGAGTCTGTTGCCTAAGAAGGAGATCAACTTGTACGTCGGTCTCACCCCCATGCAGCGTCAGTGGTACCAGCGTATTCTGGAGAAGGATATCGATGCAGTCAATGGAGCAACCGGCAACAAGCGTGAAGGAAAGACCCGACTCTTGAACATTGTGATGCAGTTGCGCAAGTGCTGCAACCATCCCTACCTCTTCGACGGCGCAGAACCTGGTCCTCCCTACACCACAGAGCAGCACATTATTGACAATGCAGGAAAGATGGTCGTGCTGGACAAGTTGTTGAAGCGCATGAAGGAGCAAGGATCGCGCGTCTTGTTGTTCTCTCAAATGAGTCGTGTCCTGGACATTCTCGAGGATTACTGCGTTTTCCGTGGATACGGTAAGTTTCCTTGAAACGGTATTCTTGTGACAATTACACCGAGTAAGACTTCGAAGTTCTCACTCTTGACTTTATTTACTGCATCAATTATAGAATACTGTCGCATTGACGGTCAGACCAACCACGAGGACAGAGTGACGGCAATCGACGAATACAACAAGCCCGACAGCTCCAAGTTCATCTTTCTGTTGACAACCAGAGCTGGAGGACTCGGAATCAACCTGGTTACAGCCGATATTGTTATTCTCTACGACAGCGACTGGAACCCCCAGGTCGATCTTCAGGCTCAGGATCGTGCCCATCGTATCGGACAGAAGAAGCAGGTCTATGTTTTTAGATTTGTAACAGAGGTAAGAAGGCATTTGCAACTTGAGCATATGTCTTACACCTCTAAATGACATTGGATCAAAGGATTGTGGACTAACATAATTTGTATCTCTTTGCATGATTAGAACGGTATCGAGGAGAAGGTGTTGGAACGTGCGGCACAAAAGCTTCGTCTGGACCAACTTGTCATTCAGCAGGGACGCATGTCTCAGCAACAAAAGGTGGCAAACAAGGATGAGCTCTTGACCATGATTCAACACGGTGCGTCAGATGTCTTCAAGGGCACTTCCGATAACTTCGCCTACGACCCTGATATCGAGCAGATTCTTCGTCGCGGAGAGGAGAAGACTTCAGAACTCAACGAAAAGTACTCGAACGTCGGTATTGAGGATTTGGCCAAGTTCACGAACGCTGAGGGAAGTGCTTACGACTGGCAGGGCGAAGACTGGAGCAACAAGCGCAAGGCTGACGGAAGTCTGCTCTGGATCACACCTGCCAAGCGTGAGCGTAAGGCCAATTATGCCGTGGATGACTACTACAGAGATGCTCTCCGTGTTGCGCCCAAGCAACCTTCTGTGAAGGCACCTCGTCCTCCAAAAGCGCTCAACATCAACGACTTCCAGTTCTACCCAGAGCGCTTGAGTGAGCTCCAGGAGAAGGAGATCCTCTACTACCGCAAGTCGATCAACTACCGTGCCCTCAAGCCTGTCGGAAACGAGGCCGCCAACATGACCGAGGAGGAGCTTGAGGAGCATCAGCAACACGAGCAGGCCTTGATTGATACTTCTGAGCAATTGACTGAGGACGAAATTGCAGAGAAGGAGAAGCTTTTGGAAGAGGTACGTTTTTTTAGGTCATATTGATGTTGTGAGTACGTTTTATGTGGTGTTGAGGTAGATTCTAACGCAGTTCGTGCTACTAAACTTTGTCAATAGGGTTTCGAGAACTGGAGCAAGCGCGACTTTATCGCTTTCTACAAAGCATGCGAGAAGTTCGGTCGCAACTCGCTGACTGATATTGCCAACGATATTGAGGGTAAGACGTTGGCTGAGGTCAAGGCTTACTCGAAGGTGTTCTGGAAGCGTTACACCGAAATTGCAGGTAAAGCAAGCATGCATTTTTATATGACACCACTGGAGGTTTTGTCCGTAGTTATCATACGAACTGCCACTGACTCATATGCACATTATGACATGTAGATCATGAGCGTATCATTGCCGCGATCGAGAAGGGTGAGAGCAAGCTCCAGAAGCAGTCGGATATTCAGGACCAGTTGAGAGCTGTCATCCAGCGCCATCGCCAACCACTCCAGCAACTCAAGATCACATACAACCAGACAAAAACCAAGAACTTCACAGAGGAGGAGGACCGGTTCTTGATTGTGACCTTGGAACGTCTTGGTTATGGCACAGACGATGTGTATGATAGGATCAGGGATGAAATCCGCAAGAGTCCCATGTTCCGGTTTGATTGGTTCTTAAAGAGCAGAACCACGTTGGAACTGTCCAGACGTTGTGCTTATCTCATCAAGTGCCTCATCGCCGACGACAAGACCGAAGAACCCGCCAAAGTCGTAAGTCTACTTGTTTGTTACTTCTGCTGCTATTTTGCCCTTTTGATGTGAGAATCACGCCAACTCACTCTTTGTTCGCTGTTTGGCCTATTAGAAGAAGGAAGATACGCCAGTGAAGAAGACCAAGAGCGTTTCGTCGGCCAAGGGATCGCCAGCAGCATCGCTCAAGGCGTCACCGGCGACGTCGAGGAAAGGATCGCCAGCTGTCTCCAGCAAGTCGTCTCCTGCTCCCAAGGCATCCACAGCTTCCTCGAACTCTCGCTCAAGTAGAAGACGCTAACCAGCCTCGAGGTCTTCTCTTTTCCCGCACCACCACAAATTAAAAATCGACAATAAGACCTTTACTTTGCTATATTTTGTCTTCTCTTCTCTCACCTCTTTCATTCATCAGCACACAATAGATTACTTGCTTATTCCGCTCAAGTAGAGCACCATTAAAAATGATTAGCTTTTCGTTTGATCGATTGTATGGTTAGTTTATTGTGGGAAAAAATGAATTTTGTCCGCCGGTTCAAGGATCGGCCATGGCTTGGACATGTAGCTTTAAAGTGATGTCAAACAAACTGCGGACGGAATCGCGGTACTGTTTGAAGTGCGTCTGGATCGCGGGTATTTGGTCCGGTTGAGCTGCGAATGCCGTCAGTAGCACAGGTGAAGAGTCTACTGTGGACTCATCCTGGTGCCAGTACGAGACCTCGACCATGGCGCGGATCTCAGCCTCGCTTGCTGGTAACCGACCTAGGATATCTAGTATCACGGCCAGGTCTTGTTCTGAAATCATGACTGATTTTGTTTGTCCTGTTGTAGTGGGACACAGAAGGTCGATGGATCGTTGGATTAAAGCTGCTTGGGGGTGCGATTCGACAGCTGTTGAGGACCAGAGGAGGACATAGCCTTGGAGGGACATTTCTGGAGACCGAGCGTCTCTTGTGATCAATCGACATTCCAGTCCCTGTCCTCCTATGGATGTTTGACTTGTCTTCATTGAAAGAGTCTTGTAGGCGGGGTGGTGCATGACTTGTGGAACGAGGACGTTATGGAAGAATGCGGTGGTCATGGCGGGGGTGGGCAGTTGGAGGAGGAGGCAGGGTTTGAGACCTGCGAGGAGGAATGCGAATTCTCCGTAGTGCAGTGAGCAGTCTTCTAATTGGGTGCTGGTGCTTATGGCCCCTTCTTGGGAATGTATCCAGGCGCTTTCTGCGATACGGAAGGCTCTGTAGAGGTCTTGTACGGCGGTTGCGGTTGCGGTTGCGGTTCCTTCCATTGCGTCAAGGTGGGTTTGTTGGATAGGAGGAAGGTTGGAGCTCGGATCGTGTTTTTGTTGTGTTCAAGCCCAAGAGAAAATTATCTTCCAAAGTTAAGGGCTATATGGTGTGGGGCTTCTCTTCATTCAGGAACACAGCGCCCTGATCGACAAAGCCCCACTTAATCACTTTTTTTTTATAAGTTCTACAGAAGGGTCGCATCAGTGCACAGAACAACAAAAAAGCAATAGCTAAGCGCGTGGCAAGACGAAGAGAACATGGCCTGGCTAACAGGATGACAAATAGCAGCAGGTCTGAAGGAAAAATACTGAATAAAAACGCGAAAGTTGAAAGGAGATGTCGCCATCTTTTCAGATGATCACAAAAAATGAAAAATAAGGGCAGAAATGAGTAAGGGAGCTGAGTCTTGCGGCGTTTCAATAAGACCATCCGCGCAAAAGAAAGCAAGGAACGACAGAAGGGTATGTGTGAGTGTTGATGGTTCGGTGCTTGCGTGTCAACTGTAGTTGAACAAAATTGGTGGTGGTTGAATAGGTGAGCGGACCTTTGTTTTTTTCTCTTATTCTTTGTGTTGAGTTGATTCTCCATGTTCTGAAATATCATTGTGATGCTATGGGGCCGATCAAAAGATGAAGATGCTGAGATGAGATGAGCTGGATCCTGAGCTTCTTGTCAATTCAGGAACAAGTCCCCTTTGTGTTTGTGTGTGTTGGTGGTTGAACACTAAAACTAACACTAAAAAGAGGATTTATTTTCATGAATGGCCGTTGCGTGAAACGAGGTGTGGAGGAGGAAAGTCTGGTGGGGAAGTGCAACGCGGCAGTGCAAACCAGGGGACAGCGATGAGAGACCAAAAGGGGAGGTCCTGGAGGAGAACGTTGGGTTGTTGACCCCTCTAAGGTTTTACTTTTTAGAGGAGAGTTCTAAAAGAGGAGAAGGAGAGTACAAAAACGGCGAACGACCTTTCCCAAACTCTGTGTCCCTTCCTTACCCCACACATTTTTTCTCAATTGGATTCATTTCAATCCGCAGAAATGCAGGATGTATTCTTTTTCAGGTGTAAACACGTTGGGGTTGGGGATGGTTTTACATTCTTTGTTGTGTTCTTCTCCTCACGCCATCATCGGTATGCATGGGTGGCATACATAGAGACAAACGTGGCCACAGGGACATCAGCAATGGTTTCCAAGGGCAGGTCAACAAAGAGTGACCCCACTATCGCTTCAATTTGCTTGGGTGATCGTGCTCTCTCTTTCTCTTACTCCCCTGCTTCTCTTCAATACCCCGCCCCCTTTCTCATTGTGTCTTCGACTCCCGCGGCCCAGACAAAAACAAAAAGCAAGCCCACGATGGGCCAATCCAAAGGCGTTGCAACAGCGGCGGACCTCGGATTTCCCTTGCTTCTATTCAATCGCCTTCTTTTTCTTACTTTGTCATTTTTTGTGTTCAATTGTATAACAAAGACCTATTCTGTTGTTCCCTGTGTGCTCTGGTCGTCGAGTTGTTTTTGTTCGGTCGACTTGAATTTTTTCCAGGTCGCCTTGATCTGTCTGCTCTGACCGACCAACCCCACAATTTTCTCACGGTACGAAGCAAAATTTATCTGTTATTTCTGACTGAATGACTGACACACAAGAGACATAATCCGTGGACATTCATAAAGGATAGTTGGGTCTGTGGTATGAAATCAAAAAGGTTCCCTTGCCACGATATAGGGAGGACAGAAGGTGAAGAAAGTATATAGCAAATGGGCAAGGAAGGGAAGGAAAAGGTGAAGAAGAGTGGAAGAAAGGGAGGTGTAGTGCACTAATTCAAAAGAAATCACCCAGCTAGGTCAAAAAGTCGATCAACTACATTCCTTCAATGTCGGTGAGGCGCTGGTGGTCAGCAGTAAGACAAGCGAAAAGGCAGGATGAGTTATTTGTCCTGACCTCCAGGAGACGTACGAAGCAAAAACCAGGGAAGAAGCGAAGGCTGAATGGGTGAATGATAAACAGTGAGTTGACCCTTCAGGGACAAGAACGTTATTTTTGTTGCGCTCTTTTTTTTCGCAATTCAAATCAAACAAATGCTCAGCATTTCACAGAGGGTAGAGGCGTGGAAAAAAAACTGGCGGAAGTCCTTTTTGGGACCATGTTTGGCGAACTTCTGAGGGAGAAATATTGCTTTTGCACTGTAAGAGATGAGATGGGAGCTGGAGTTTGGAGTGGAGAAAGAGTTGACCCGCGAACTGAGAGAGAGAGAGAGAGAGAGAGAGAGAGAGAGAGAGAGAGAGAGAGAGAGAGAGAGAGAGAGAGGTAGAGAGAGGGGAGGGGTATGAACCAGTTGGTACCAAACGTAACATTGACTGGTTGAAAATAAAATAAATAAAAAACGTGGGGCAGGATAAATGGCTGGCCGGTTAGAAACAGCCAGGGTCAAAAGGGAGAGAAAGAAATGATCATCGTCGATGTTAATGCCCTCCATTGGCATGGATGAACTTTTTTGTCGATGTCTTTACTTTATGGCCGGGATTGGATCGACTCGGTGATGATAACTATATTGATGGCCATTCAGAGATCCAAAAAGAGAAGAAAGAGTCTACTTGGGGCGAATGGGAAGAAGCATTTGGACGATTTGATTCAAATGTATGAAATTGAGACAGGGACTGCAGAGGATCAGCAGGATGAGAAGAGCAGCAGCATGTGCCGTGCCTGAAAGAGAGAGAGAGGAGTGCGATGACAATGGTATCAGATTTGTAACATACCATGGATGAGATGGATCAATGGTTATTAAGGCCTTTGGCTAGCCTTGACTTAACTTGACTTGACTTGAGTTGACTTGACTTGAGTTGACTTGGCTTGACTTGGCTTGAGCAGCGAGTAAGTGGAATGGGCTGGACTAGAAGAGCAAGACAATGTGAGCTGAGCGATTTTTGATCAAGATGAGGTGGAGCAGGTAAGCAGGTTACAGTGGGTGGCTGCCCTGAGTCTGGCCGTTTTTCTGTTCCTTCCTTTATATTTAATTCGTCCGCTTCTGCTTTTCTCTTCTTTTCTTCTTTTCAATCTCGTCACCCCCTCTCCCTCTCTCTCCACCCCCTACCCCCTATATACACACCTCCAGTCATGGTTGCTGCTGCCATCCTCCGTAGAACCCCTGGGTAAGTGCTCTCCAAGATCGCCATCGCCACTCTTGATATCGACCACTCCTCGCATTTGATCAGCATTCGCGCGTCAACCAAAACGGGGATGGATCATCGGTCTCATATTAGCACCCTCACAAGTTTGAGCTTGTTCCCCTTGCACTCGCCCTACTCACCTTACCCCTTCGCCATCAACAACTCGCGCAATCACAAGTCGTGATCAAGTGATGAGCACACCTAATCAGACAGGAGCGATGAAGATGACTGACTGGACCAACAATAACTAACAAACATATGTCTAATGTACTTGGCGGATCATAAAATAGCTCTTTGGCCTCAGCTATCCGCCTTCACCGCACTGCTGCTATCGCCACCCCCATTGCCCGCTTCATGAGCACCCATGTTACCAACGCTGCCTGCGAGGACAACGAGCCTGGTTTCTTGGGTTCCGTTGAGACTTTCTACGATCGCGTATGTGTTTTTCTTTTTATTTGATGACTGACTTACTGACGTACTTTTATTTTTGACTGGGCGCGGGAAAAATGAGACGAGTGAAGGAGGAGAAGAGGAAAGGCATGACAAGCAGAACGGGATCAATTGGATGCAGGAATAAGCCAAGGAAGAGAATGGACGGGTGTGTGTATATATGTGGCGTACAAATAAGAAGAGGAGGGAGTGGGTTAGGATGGATCTGATCGTTCATCTTTCAGTGGAGGACCATTCTTATTTCCAACAGAACAAGTCAACAACATGGACCTGCTATTACTCAACGATGAAAAAGTAAAAATAAAGGAAGAAAGTTCGGGAGTAAACAGAGCATTCGTTCATTCAATATCACGGTGTTGAACGATGGAGACATTTACCAGAACAATCGAACAAGAAGAATACCAATGCTTACTTACCGTTCTCCGTTACCCTTCCTTGTTACGATGCAATAGGCTGCCAAGATCAGTGGAGTCTCTGACAAGTCCTTGACCGCCATCAAGGCCGTTGACGCCGTCTTGAGCGTCAAGTTCCCCGTCGAGATCGACGCCGACACTCACATCATCATCGAGGGTTACCGTGCCCAGCACTCCCGCCATCGCCTTCCCTGCAAGGGAGGTATCCGTTTCTCGGATGAGGTCGACCTCCAGGAGGTCGAGGCCTTGGCTTCCTTGATGACCTACAAGTGCGCTGTCGTCGATGTTCCCTTCGGAGGTGCCAAGGGAGGCGTCAAGCTCAACCCTAAGAAGTTCACCCCCGCTCAGCTCGAGCGCATCACCCGTCGTTACACCATGGAGCTCTGCCAGAAGAACTTCATCGGACCCGGTGTCGATGTCCCCGCTCCCGATGTTGGAACCGGTCCCCGTGAGATGTCCTGGATCATGGATACCTACCGCCAGTTCAACCCTCAGGATGTCAACGCTGCTGGATGTGTCACCGGCAAGCCCATCTCCCAGGGAGGTGTCCGTGGTCGTAACGAGGCCACTGGTCTCGGTGTCTACTATGGTGTCCGCGAGTTCTTGCAGTTCCCCGAGGTCCAGAAGATGACTGGACTTGACGGCAACATTGCTGGCAAGACCGTCATTGTCCAAGGATTCGGAAACGTCGGTTACTGGGCTGCCAAGTTCTTCCAGAACAACGGTGCCAAGATCATCGGTATTGGTGAGCACGATGTCTCTGCCTACGACCCCAACGGTATCGACGTTGAGGCCATCTTCAAGCACCGTGCCGAGAAGGGTACTTTCCGTGGCTTCGGTAACGCCGAGATCATTGACGGATCCATCAAGGTCATGGAGCGCGAGTGCGATATCTTGATCCCCGCCGCCCTCGAGCGTCAGATCGGTCTCAAGAACGTCAAGAACATCAAGGCCAAGATCATTGGTGAGGCTGCCAACGGACCCATTACCCCCGATGCCCACGACTACCTCGTTTCCCAGGGCAAGGTTGTCATCCCCGACTTGTTGTTGAATGCCGGAGGTGTCACTGTCTCGTACTTTGAGTGGCTCAAGAACTTGTCCCACGTCCGTTTCGGTCGTATGTCCCGCAAGTGGGAGGAGGCTGGCAAGTCCAAGCTCTTGACTCTCGTCGAGGAGAACGCCGGTCGTCAGTTGACCCCCCAGGAGCGTCGCGCTGTTATCCACGGAGCTGAGGAGCACGAGCTCGTCTACTCTGGTCTTGAGGACACTATGATCGGTGCCTGCGAGGAGACTCGTGCCACCGCTGCTTTGAAGAACACTGACTTCCGTACCGCTGCCCTCGTCAACGCCATCCAGAAGATTTCGACTGTCACCACTCAGTCTGGCCAGATGTTCTTGTAAACAGCTTTTCTATTCCTTTTCTCTTTTTCTTTCCATTTTCTGTTCTTGTACGATAGACAACCCCCTCCATTCATTCATTATTTAAAAGTAAAAAACATTTACAAAACACTTCTTTCTCCTTTTCAATGCGTGTACTTTTCAGACGCGTTCCTTGGTGTTCGTTCCCTTGAATTGATTTGAGACAGCAGCCATGGGGAACAATAAGCGGATGTGGCTTATCCCTATGATACCCTGTGTCACGGGATATTGACACTTTCTTTCCATCACGACGATCACCCATCCAGCTCCTCTCACTCCACAGCACCACTCATCATCTCCCCTTCCCTCTCATCTTCCCGCCACTTCGATCCTCATTCTCCCTCTTCATTGACCTTTTCCCTCTCACCTTTCCCTTTCCTCTTGCCCGATCTCCCTCTCCCCCACTCAAAACAAAAAATGACCCACGATACCTCTGCCTCTACCGCCAACAAGAACTCCTTCTCTGGCTTTGGAAGCTTCTCCACCTCAAAGATGATCAACTCGACCTCCACCACCGCCTCCTCTGCCACTACCGCTGCTGGCGCCGCCGCCAACACCAAGGACGAGTACGACGGTCAGTACGAACACGACGGCGAGCAGGCTCGCGAGGGAGTCGAGGGACTCGACGCTGACTCTCCCTTGACCCTTCGTGCCTTGGTCTCCACCAAGGAGGCCGGTGTTATTATCGGCAAGGCTGGAAAGAATGTTGCTGATCTCCGTGACCAAACCGGTGTCAAGGCTGGTGTCTCCAAGGTCGTCCAGGGAGTCCACGATCGTGTCTTGACTGTCTCTGGCTCTATCGAGGGCGTTGCCAAGGTGAGATATCAGGAGTAGATCAAACACAGGATATTCATGATCAGGGTCAGGGAGAAGGATTCCAAGCACTATGTACCAAAAACCACAACAACCCCACAACAAGTGTGCCACCAAAGTGGAGAAATAGGCGCAGATATGGAGTGGAAAACTAAAGGCGGCGCACAAGGAAAGGAGTGACAACAGTGAGAACAAAAGAGTTGTTAAGACGCGCTGCAGTTTTGGTTTTGTTCTGAGCATCTCTTCCACGTGCCTGGTGCAAATGAATGCAAACAAGAAGCAGGGTCTTTTTTTTAAAAAAAAACCCGTGGTGCTCTCGCATAACCTTCTGGCTACCTGCTGCAAGGAGTGGAGTGTTTTGGTCGATCGCGTGTTTCTTCTGCACTCATGGGAGAAAGAAAATGAAAGCAGCACTAATTATCTTATGGTTCTATCACTTCTATATATATTAGGCGTTCTCGTTGATTGCTCAAACTCTCTTGGAGAACCCCATCACCTCTTCGCCTCCCACCACCCCCGTCAACCCTCTTCGTCCCGTTGCCCAGACCTCGTCTGTTCGTCTCCTGATCTCTCACAACCTGATGGGCACCATCATCGGTCGTCAGGGATTGAAGATCAAGCACATTCAGGACACCTCCTCTGCCCGCATGGTCGCCTCCAAGGACATGCTCCCCCAATCGACTGAGCGTGTTGTTGAGATCCAGGGATCCATTGATGCTATCCGCATTGCCATCTACGAGATTGGCAAGTGCTTGGTCGACGACTGGGAGCGTGGCGTCGGCACTGTCCTCTATAACCCCTCGGCCCCTCGTGCTGCTGGCTCTGGACCTGCCTACACCGCTACCGCCCCTACCACCGGAGCCCGCACCAACACTACCTCTAACAGCAACAGCAACAGCGGAAGCTACACTTCGCGCACAGGCAACGGATCCGACTTTACTCGCCCCCGCCCCGAGGCCTTCAGCCAGAACAACGCCAACCTTCGCACCCAGGAGATTTCTATTCCCGCCGACATGGTTGGATGCATCATCGGCAAGGGTGGATCGAAGATTTCGGAGATTCGTCGTTTGTCCGGATCGCGCATCTCGATCGCCAAGGTCCCCCACGATGATTCTGGCGAGCGCATGTTTACGATTGTCGGCACCTTGGAGGCCAACGAGAAGGCGTTGTACTTGCTCTATGGTCAGTTGGAGGCTGAGAAGGACAAGCGCCTGAACATGGCCGAGGACCACGTCGAGGAGGACGAGGAGTAAAAAAAACAACGGGTTGTACCATTGATGACCGTCCTTTTAAGTTTCACCCTTTCACTTCCAAGGACAATCCTGCAACGATTCTCTTATTTTCTTCTGTAGTTTTTTTTTTTTTTACGTTTTTTTGTGTTTGTGTTTTATGTTTGTTTGTTTTCTACTTGCTTTAATTGCCGATACTTTTTTCAAAAAGCCTTTGTCCGTATTACCTTTCCCTAAGCGCACCATAGTGCGTGTACAAACCGCTATATTGCACATACTTTTATTACCATAGTCTCACATACATACCTTTCTTTCATCCATTTGTTTGTTATCATGCTCTGGAATGAAAGAAGTGATGAAGAAAATATATAAAGGAACCTTTTCCTGCGCACTACAACTCGACCGCAGGGCTGGCTGTGTATGTACCACGTAGAAAGAAGAGAGCCGGTGATTTCGGACCTTGAGCGAGCGAGAGAGAGAGAGGGGGAAGAGAGAAGAGAGAATAGAGAATAGAGAAGAGAGAAGAGAGAAGAGAGAAGAGAAGAGGGTCAGAGGAGTGTCGGATGGTGATGCTTACCACATGGCATCTAATGATGTGTACCATTTTTTTTCCTCCGCCCTGTTTGAAAGTTCAGCGGGAGGAGATGAAAGGCGAGCCTCGAACAATTGAAAGACAAAAGGATAAAAAGAGGCACCCTAACCCAGGCTCAGTCATAAATGGGTGGACCATGTCTTTGTTTTAAAAAAACATACAGTTCATTACACCAGTACATGTCCGGGCAGAAGATGTATATCTCGAGACCCATGAGAGCATTTTTCAAGTATTGGTATTAATAGCTGCCAACCTCCCCTTTTCCTCTCTTTTCACCCCTCGAAAGGACTTTACTCAGGCGACGACCAAAGCAAGAATCGCAGAACTGTAATAATAACGAAGAAAAAGTCTCCGCTCGTCTCTCCGCCCCTCAGCTGTATTTCTTGTCAGTGGGGGTTGGGGGGGGGGGGGTGGTTTCGTTGTCTCCTTACTTTTTTTTGTTTCCCCCATTCCAGCACCCTGCGCTTCTTCCTTCCCCTAGCAAGCAGAAGCACACGACACAGTTACTTCGCAATTGCTCGTTTTAGACGAGTCCAGTTGAAGTTTGACCCGGTCGGATTCTGCAGCAAATAGCCGAGTAGGCATAGTCCAAAAAAAAGTGTCTGGGCTGGGGTTTTTTGGCTGATGTGATTCAATTATTATGCGATTCTTTCTGTATCATCGGCTTGCAAAGCGACACGAACCACTTGGTTTTAGGCGGTGGTGGATGACCAGGAAAGAAGGAAGGGCATGGAGACAAAGAAAGCAAGGGAGGATGCAATTAAGAGTATGAGGATGCGTGTGTAGGGTGAGGATTGGCGTTTGATATGGATGTGATATGTGATTGTTGCAGCTGCAAGCAAGCAAGCATTAGAAAGTTGCACAAGGTCGGCAAACCTTCCAGCGATTCTTGAAAGGATTTTAATGTTTATTTTTATCTGTTTTACAGTGGACAAAAGGGCGCTCTGCTTCCTTCAACCCTCACGCGACTCTTTTGCTTCGGTGTCTTATTCTTCCTCTTCACTTCGCACCCCCCTCTTTCCCTTTCTTCTCTTTCTTCTCTTTACCACTTCTTTCCTTTCCTCCAATCCTTCTCCTTCGCCCCCTCTTGTCATCTTCCTTTGTCACTCCTTCTTTCTCCTTTTGTTGGATTCATCACACTCTCATCATCACCTCACACCCTTCACACATACATACATACATACATACCAGCACACTCACATTGTAGAGTAGTTGAAATACAACCAATGCGTCTCCCTTCCCTGCACAGCCGCCCAGAGGCTACCTCTTCTTCACCGGCAGCACCATCAAAACAACGTCGTCAACAATCAACACTCTCCCTCAAGACCGCCCTCTTCCTCACCACCGCTGCCCTCTGCTCGCTTCTCCCCTCAGTCATCGCCCAGGCCACCACCCCCGAACAGATCACCTACAGCTTCCTCGACGAAGAAGGCAACCCAATCGGCCAGTCCAACCCTCTCCCCAAGGTCAAATGTACTCCCCTCGCACTCAACGGTCAAACCTACGCCTCCATCCAAACATCCGACGGCCGCTCTGCTCTGAACCTCTATAGCGATGCAATGTGCCAGATCGGCGTTGCATCGTCCGTTGGAGAGTGGACCAACGTCTCCCCAACTGACGGCATCGTTGCTGTCCGTTGGGAGGGCGCAGCCCCTGCTGACCGCCCCACTGGCAACGTCAGCCTCGTTACCTTTGATAAGGGTTTGGAGGCCCAGCCCTACAACCCTGTGGACGACAACGGCACCTCCAAAAAGGAACCCGTCTGGGTCATGAATCCCTCTAAGGGTCGCGTTGTTGTCGGCCTCGTGGCGGCCATTTTGGTCATCGGAGTCGCCATCGGTATCTATCAGGTCTATGTTGCCGCCCAGTACAAGCCCCCACCAAAGAAGCCCAAGAAGCCCAAGACTGGATTGAACATCAAGAAGATCAAGAAGAAGGACGCTTTCTACAGAAAGCCCGCCCACACCACCGAGAACGGAGCCGCCTTCCAGCGACTCGAGAACGATAGCCCCGAGCCTTATGCAGGAGCAGGAGGTCGTCAGCCAGCGCTGGCCATGACGGAGCGGTCGAGAGATAGCCAGCACTCTGAGGCGGCAACGTTTGTGGATTGGAACAACCAGAGCCAGCAGAGATCCTCGCCCCTGAGCAGCGGCAAGGGATTCCAGGATGGATTGAATTCCGTTTCTATCGACATGCAAGGCAACAACAACAATAACAACAACAACGTCTCGCCCTTTGCCAACTCTTTCTCGCCAGACCTAATGCATTTTGACAACTCGGGAGGACGGGGTTATGGTCAGCAACAACAGGGCCATAACCAGCAGTACAGAGGCCGTGGAGGAGAGGTGCTTGTGCCCATGGATACGTTGGACAGCCACAATCAACATGGCAACAACCAGTACAACAACAACAACCGGTCTGCTGTCCGCCGCACCAGCAGTTCCCGCTCTCGCTAAATGTGTCCTCTGAACCGTTCCCATCGCCAATAACGAGTGATTCCGGGAGGGTTTCCCCTAGGACGAGCACAATAGCGTGTGTATCTTTCTACCATTTTTTTTAGCATTTTTAATATATATCCTCATTCTGCTTTTTGTGCTCTTGTCTGTTGGAGGTTGTTGGATAAGGGGCGATGTGGTGAACAGTGTACGCATATTTTGCTGGATGCAGCTGCAGTTGTAGTGAAATGGGAGCGCGTAGGGATGCGAGCGTAGGTCAAGACGCGAAGGACTGGCAAATATACTGGATAGAAAAGTGGCAAAAGGGTGTAGGTTACAAGGAAGATAAGAGACGATTCTTGTGTATGTGAGATAGGGATAAGGGATCAGCCTTGTAACTTTTTTTTGCAATGCGCTGTTTGTGTTGCTCAGCCGCGCAGAAGAAGGCGAGGAAGCTGTTGTTGCATGGCATGAAAAGGGTGAAAGAAAAGCGCACCGCCCTTTTTTTTTTGTTGTTGTTGTTATTACCAGGACATTAGGGGTCAATGTAGCAACAGACAAGTGAACTGAGGAAAGGAGCAAGCTGGCAACACAAAGAATTCACACAGCCGCACAAATCCGACTCGCCCAAAAATATGCCCAGGAGAGTCCGTGAAAAGAAGAAAGGTTGCAGGCATGTCTATGAATAGCAATTGAAGGGGGGGAAAGGCCATGCCCTAGAAGATTGCCGAGGAACAAACAAACTGCTGGAGTGGAGTGTGCGAGCGGGTACTTTTTTTTTTATCTTTTTGATGGTAGTATGTGGATGAGTCGAGAGAAGAAGACTGAGGTTGGATCGCAAAGGGTTTTGTTCGTCTTGGGCTCCTTTTTGTGCACTGTTTTTGTAACTTATGACAGCTCAGCCTGTGTTTGACAACACTGTAATCTAAGGCTGATCGTTCCTTTTTTTTTTTGGTTGAAAGAATTGAAAGAGTGAAAGAATGTACGAGGATGAAGAGAGTAATGAAGCGTTTGTGTGGAGAACAGTAAGCAGTAAAGAGGCGCACGCTGTTCTGTCGGATTGATGTGTTCTTTTTTACTTGTGCTGATCTGGCTCAAGTTCTGTTGTGGTGGCGTACAGGGACCCCGAGCGTACAGTACTGCAGTATTTTTCGTTATCTGTGTCTGGCACTGCTGTAAGCCGCTCAACTCTTTTCTGCTAAATCGCTTCGCTTTCCTTCTTTTCTTTTTTTGTTCTTTTTTTCTTTTTCTCCTTTCCTTTCTTCATCCTCACTATCTCACACTCTTCCCTCTCCTCTACTCTCTCGTCCTTTCTGCCTGCCTGCTTGCACTGCAGTCCTGCTGCTCGCCCTCAACACTTACACTCGGCACTCCTTTCTCCTCGTCTCGTCTCTTCTTGTACCAACAACAACAGCAACGTCTTCAACAACACCTGCACACCAGGCAGTGGTCTACCCATCCACCCTTTTAGACATTGATTGATGACGATGACAACCCAGACTGCCGCTCCTACCCCCTCGGCCGCCTTTGCCAGGCGGACACTCGAAGAGACCGCCGTCCAACTCGAGACCAGCACCATCAGCGGCTTGACCACCCTCGAAGCCAACAACCGTCGCGCCCGCTATGGCCTCAACGAGTTCGAGGTCGAGGACGATGAACCCATCTACCTCAAGTTCTTCAAGTCCTTCTACGAGAACCCGCTGATCCTCCTCCTCCTCGCCTCTGCAATCGTCTCCCTCGCCATGGGCCAGCGCGATGACGCCATCAGCATCACCCTCGTACGTTCTCTTTTTTTTCTTTGAATTGACATTGGGTGTGCTGTGAAATGCCATGCATTGCTCGACGGCTGTTTATGATTACACTTTCGTTTCTCGACGATGGCCAAGACTTGTTTCTGGACCAAGTGTTGATGGGACCTTTTTTCTGCGGGTCTACTCTTGGATGTCCACATGGACACCCTTTTCTCTTAACCGAGTTTTACAATGGCTGATCTCTGTTCTTCGCCGTTTGTCATTGTCGTTGTTGTTCATCGTTCATAGGCCATTCTTATTGTCGTCACAGGTAAAGCATCCAATCGCCTTGTTTATTGTTCGGACAACCCCAACCCCTGCAACGACAACAACGACGACGACGATATGATTACAGCTGCCATTGGAGTGCGCTTTGGTTCAGATCTCAAGGAGGATTTGCCAACAATGTGATCCAGGACCGAATGGCAAAGGGTCTGATATGGGTTCTCTACCCTGTCTTTTTTTTACCATTCGATCGTTTCTTCAAATCGGCCAACTCCTACTTCTAAGGACACAATACGACACATCCACCAGCTACAGTGGATCGATTCTTTTACCCGACGAAATGGACTGAAAGAGGGCGAGAACAAAAGGAAGGAAACAGAAAAAGAGAAATGAGGGTGTGCGCGACTTTTGCGACGTGGTTGTCGTTTGAGCATCTCAAGGAGGTTGCGGGACAGAGCTTTTTTTTCTTTGTATCGTTGTCCTCAGGATCCCTTTGTTACCTCCTTTGCCTCATATTATTGCTATCCCCTTCGCAATTGACCACACCAAAGGGGAGGACAAACCCCTCTGTTCAGGAAATATGCTTCATGCCATAGGAGCCACAAAAAGGAACAAAAAACGAACTGGACCAACGAGACAACGACAGCAATCCTAATTCTCCCACAACATCAACAGCACAACTTGAGGAGCCTTTTCGTCCTTCTTACCCACGTCGATTTGCTCTTTGTGCAGCGATGTGCTGACAAGTGGCCATTTCTTCATCCGCTGGCACAACAGAAATGGAAGACGTTAGCATTGGGGAGAAGGAGCGCTCCTTTATTTTCTTTTTCCTTCGCTTCTTCCACCCCTTTTGATGGCCCCCTACGCTTATTCTTGCACAAGTCCAGCTGGAAAAAGAAAAAGAAAACAAGGAGACAACGGGATTAGCATTGGGCAAAAAAAAACAGAGATGAAGAGAAGGGACCCTGTCTCTTTCTCACACATACACACACATGTAGACTCTTTCTGCACGCACTATCCAACCCCCTATGCACACATTCCAAACCATTGGTCATTGACTGGTGAAATCATTCACACACACACTTACCCTTTTATCTCCTCTTTCTCCACCTTTGTTATCGGGTTTTAGTTGCGTTTGTCCAAGAATACCGATCAGAAAAGTCATTAGAGGCCTTGAACAAGTTGGTTCCCCACCACTGCCATGTTATTCGGTAAGCCAAGATACATCGATTTGATTTGTGTATTGGAATCCTCTCCGACTGGTTGTGATTGGATTCGATTACAAGTTGGATGATTACCCAGGCTGCAGGGCAAGGAAGGGTGGTGTATTTTTTACCCAGCCAGAGGTGGACAAGACTAGACCCAGGCTGGGAAAACTCGTTTTTGTTTTTATTCTTCGTTTCTGGTCGTTCTCTTTAGAGCACATTCAAATGCAGACAGAGGGAGATAGAGAGAGATATACGCGTGGACAAATACAGGGACCTGAGCCCTGTCATTTCATTCGTCCCGCTCGACTCTGTGCTCACCTTTATTTATCGTATCTTGGCCGGCTGAAGAAAAAAAATTCCAATTGAACTTTTTTTTTTCTTTTTCTGCGATCCACTAACCTTGTTCGCATCTCCTATTTTCTCATTTTGTCCCGTTCACCCTTTTTTCCCTCCCATTCGTGCCTATTATAGTGATGATACTCAGAGCGCAACTCTGGCCAGCCAGCTGGTTCCTGGTGATTTGGTCAAGTTTGGAATTGGTGACAGGATCCCTGCTGACTGCAGACTGGTCTCTGCGGTCGATCTGGAGATTGACGAGTCCAACCTGACGGGTGAGAACAAGCCCTGCCGCAAGGTCATTGGGGCTATCACAGGAAACGAGTACACCGAGTTGTCGATCACGGAGCGCAAGAACATCGCGTACATGGGAACATTGGTCAGAAACGGTCATGGAACTGGTATTGTCGTCGGTACTTCAAAGGAGACCGAGTTTGGGGTCGTCTTCTGCATGATGCAGGAGGTCGAGATCCGCAAGACGCCCCTTCAATTGAGCATGGATGAGCTTGGAAAAAAGCTGTCGATGCTGTCGTTCATTATCATCGGTGTTATTGTCTTAATCGGATTGTTCCAAGGAAAGCACTGGTTGGAGATGATGACCATTGGTGTCAGTTTGGCTGTCGCTGCCATCCCTGAGGGTTTGCCCATTGTCGTCACAGTGACCTTGGCTCTTGGTGTCCTGAGAATGGCCAACCGCAAGGCCATCATCAAGAAGTTGCCTAGCGTCGAGACCCTTGGCTCTGTCAACGTCGTCTGCGCCGATAAGACTGGTACGTTTATTGCCTGTTTGTATTCTGTTCGTTGCATTCAAGTAATGAAGAATTGAGAACTGACCCCACATGTTGACTTTTATCTCACAATAGGTACTTTGACAATGAACCAAATGACTGTGACCAAGATCTTTACTTTGGCCGAGGGATTCCCCGTGGATGTGGACCAGGCCAAGAACGTCGATGTTGATCTTCACCCAGGAATGCGTCGCCTCATGCAGGTCGGAAACCTTTGCAACAACGCCTTTATGGATGACCATTCCAAGTGGATCGGCCAACCTACTGATATTGCCTTGATCGAGGTCTTGCGCGGATTGAGCATCTCGGATGAGCGTCCTGTAAGTTCAAGTTGCCTTGACATTTTTACTGAGAGGTGTGTTATCTACGATATGGATCATGAACTAACACATTATTTACGATTTTGCTATAGCTGTTTGAGCGCATTTCCGAGTTCCCTTTCAACTCTGAGCAAAAGTATATGCATGTCCGTTGTGCACCTTTGCCCGGCGGCAATGTTGGTAACAAGCCGACTGCCGAACACGCCATCGATCCTACCAACGCCGCTGTCAGCCAATCTGGATCACTCGGAACCTACTACTTCAAGGGAGCTATCGAGCCCGTCTTAGAGCGCTGTGTCAATTACTACAGGAGCGAGGGCAGTCAACTGCCTTTCGATATTGAGGCAAAGGACAAGGTTTTGGCTCAGGCTAACGATATGGCAACCCATGGACTTCGTGTTTTGGCAATGGCCTACGGAAACGATCTCGACCGCTTAACCTTTGTTGGTATTGTGGCCATGCATGACCCTCCTCGCCCAGGTGTCGAGGACAGCATCCGGACTTTGGTTGGCAGTGGTGTCAAGGTCATCATGATTACTGGAGATGCTGGTAAGCCATTTGCTTCATGTGCAGTTCTTGTGCCTACATCACACTTTTCGTGAAGCCTTCGTTGGGTGTTGAACCAACAAGTCATTCTCTTTATGTCAACCATATAATAGATGCTACCGCATTGTCGATTGCCCGTCGCCTTGGATTCCCTATTAACCCCGGCAAGGCATCTTGCCTGACTGGTGCCGAAATTGAGAGCATGACTGAGAGGCAATTGCAGGACGCCGTTGGTCACGTCAGTGTCTTTGCGCGTACCACTCCCAAGCACAAGATGGCTATTGTCTCTGCTTTCCAGGCCAAGGGATGCATCGTTGCCATGACAGGAGATGGTGTCAACGATGCCCCCGCTCTGAAGCTTGCTGATATCGGTATCTCCATGGGTCGCAGTGGAACTGATGTCGCCAAGGAGGCTGCTGACATGATTCTTGTCGACGATGACTTTTCTACCATCCTTGGTGCCGTTGAGGAAGGTTCGTTTCCCCTTTGTAATTGCGCTCGGTGTCTCAAGCTGGTTATTCGTCTATCAACAACATTGTAAGCTAACTATCTCTCATTTTCTTGTTGTTGACAGGCAAATCGATCTTTTACAACATTCAGAACTTCTTGACCTTCCAGCTGAGCACAAGTGTGGCCGCTTTGACTTTGATTGCCATGGCAACCTTGTTTGGATTGAACAACCCCCTCAACGCCATGCAGATTCTTTGGATCAGTAAGTTTTGACTCGTATTCACGATAGTTTTCAAACATCCGATCGTTTGCTCATACATATCAGGGTGCTAACCTTTCTCTTTTTTTTGTTGCACCCCAAAAGATATTTTAATGGATGGCCCACCTGCACAGTCGTTGGGTGTCGAGCCAGTGGATGACGATGTGATGAAGAAGCCCCCACGCGCCCGCGATGCTGCAATCTTGACTCCTCTCCTTCTCCGCCGTGTCTTGACCTCGGCCATGATCATTGTTGCCGGCACCATGTTTGTCTATGTCCACGAGATGACCGACGGCGCCGTGACCGCTCGCGATACGACCATGACGTTCACGACGTTTGTGTTCTTTGACATGTTCAACGCTCTTGCCTGCCGGTCCGAAAAGAAGTCAATCTTCAGTATCGGATTCACTACAAACAAGATGTTCAATTTCAGTGTCTTGGGCTCGATTATTGGCCAGTTCCTGGTCATCTACATGCCTTTCTTCCAGACCGTCTTCCAGACCGAGGCGTTGACGTTCACGGATCTGTTGGGGATCACTCTGTTGACAAGTTCTGTGTTCTGGGCTGAGGAGGCGCGCAAGTTCTTTGGAAATGGCCGGAATAATGAAAAGATACATGGCCGGAATGCTGGGCAGGGTTTCCGCCGGGTGGAGACTGAAGAAGGCGAGGCCTTTGAGATCGTATAGATTTATCGCCTCACATGGCTTTCTTTTTTTTCCGCTTTCTTTTTTCATTTCATATCCATAAGCAAAAACACCCCGCAAACAAATTATCACTAATAGAACTACTTTAAACATTCAGAAAATATGGCGTTATTTATTTGTATTGAATGGTATGATATAGAACAAAAAGAAAGAAGATAGCGGAGTGGAGACTACGAAGTCTCGTACTTGAAGCGGATGACGCCTGGACTGTCGGGGTCGGTGACAGCACCGCGAAGCTTTTGGAACCATTGGTTTCCCCAGGCGTGCATCCGCTGGTTCAGCTGCTGCTCGAATTGGGCCATCCCCTGGGTGATCGTCTCGGAGAGGTATGAAAAGTCTGGGGCCCCAGAGGTCGTGGTGCTGTCGGATGGTTCCTGCTGGCCTCTCGATGATGATGGTGCTGAGGTGGACGTAGGAGAGCTGCCGCTGGTACTACTACTTCTGCTGGCGGTGGCGGGGTGGTGGTGGTGGTGGTGGTGGTGGTTGTCTGAATGAGACCTGGATCGAAGACGGTCGAGTCCGCGTCCTTGCCATTGCTCCTGGTCTTGTCCTTGCTGGCTTTGACTCTGGCCGCGGCGAGAATGTCCACGGCCCCAGGGACCGATTCCGCGCTCATGTCCACGCGTTGCGATTCCACGCATGAAACCGCGTAATGCATCCACACCCTTATTTCTTCCGCCGTTACCTGCGCTACCGCCAGCGCCACCACGTCCCCCACGCCCTCGCGGAGTAAACCCAGTCATGCCCCGTCCATTGTGACCGCCTCTCAAGAAGCCAAATCCACGGGCTGAAGGTTGATATGCTTCATCAACATTCTCTTCCTGGTACTCTCCTGCTTCTTCCTGAGCTTGGTACTCCTCCTCCTCCTCCTCCTCCTCCTCCTCTTCCTCCTGATTCTCATGTGCTTCATCGCCATCCTCCATCACTTCCTCATCTCGTTCCCTACTTCCTCCTCCTCCTCCTACCCCATCAGTCTGAGAACCGGCCCGTCCAATCTGCTCAGCAGCCCTCTTCTGATTGTCTTGGGCACGAATCCTATTTTCTCTCGACCGGAACTGGTTTTCTTCATCCCGGAGCATGTCTTCCTGTTCGCGGATCATTCGCTCTAGGTCTTGGAACGTCTCTTCCTGTTCCCGGATCGAGATGCCGTTGTCTCTTGCTGACTGAGAGTTGTCTGAGGTGGGTACAGAGCGAGTGCGGGTGTGATGGGTGGAAGTGGGGTCGAGGTGCATTGAATTTTGTCCGCCTGCCCTTGCTCCTGCTTCTGATGGTAGAAGGTCCTCTTCACGGGGCGCGGAGGGCGCAGAGTCGAGGGTCTTGCGGTCGCTAAAGTTGTACCTGGTCAAGTCTTCTCCTAATGAGTCGTAGATACCGGTGGCGGCTTTGTTGTCCTTGTTGTGTTTTGAAGATACTGTTGGTGTTGAGATCGATTCTGTTGTTACCGATCCTGAAGCTGGCACGGATGACGACGAAGATCCTGCGGTATGGGGGTGCATGGCGAATCGAGGATCCATTCTTATATTCCACGACCCACGTCCAAACCCTCTCCCTTGTAATGACGGACCACCAAACCCTCCATGACCTCGAAAGCCTCCTCGAAACTGGCGATGCGCCTCCCGTTCAGCTTCTTGATACAATGCCTCCCTCGCCGACTGCGAACGTGTCCGATCCTCCTCGATTTGTGTCTGCGTCAAGGCAGAGTCAACCCCCTTATCGACCGAGTAGTGCAAGGATGAGTTCTTCCAGTTGAGGTCATGATTCTGCGGTTTGAAATCCCGAATCGCTTGGAGGGCATAGTCGGGATCGGATTGGACCATTGTGAGGACCTTGATGGAGTCCCAGTCTCCGCGAACGGAAGGATGGGTCCCTTGTGCGACTTGTTTGACACCGGGAGCTCGACTTTCGATCAAATCTCCTGATCCCGTTCCTGTTCTTGTTCCTGTTCCTGCTCGTCCAGCTGACCGACCTTGAGAGGTGTTCTCCATGGATCCACAGGACCGTGTCAAAAGAAAAACGATGGCCGGTATCAAGGCTGGGATAGCTGCAACACCGATCCAAGGGATCTTGCAGATCAACCACGCACCCAGGACGAATCCATAGAGTTCTGTCTGGTACCGATCGAGCCAGGCCTTTTCCTCCCAGGGCTTGAATTGGACTCGTGCCAGGTAAGGTTGTAAGAGTTCGTAGAGGAACCAGTCTTGGAGGTAGATTGTCTGGACGACCCAGACGGGTCCTGCGGCACGGTTGTTTCCAGATCCAAGAAGAAACGCCAATATGAGGGTCAATTTCCAAAAGAAGGCAGTCTGCTTGGACTTTATATAGAAATAAGACGCCAGCAAAGCCAGAGCTGCGCTGGGATAATAAAACACAGACGCCGTCCGACCATGAACGAGCCAGTTAAGCAACTTGAGCTCGATGTGTGCCTTTACCATCCTCCGCAAGAAGCCTTTAAGCTGGACAAAGTATCTCGGAGACGGTTTAGCGACAATATCGGAGCGGTTGGTGCAATTCAACGACCGGACGGTGGAGGTGAAGAGCTGGTCCCATCGTTTCGGAAAGAGATATCTGTATAAAAGAATGTATGGAAAGAAGAGCGGTGTGTGTGCCAGGGGCCCTCCTCCAGAGGAACGGGCGGGGAGGAAGGTGGAAGTGGCGAAGGAGATGAAGGAGAGGGTGGTGTGGAGGGCGAGGCAGCGGAGGGAGAGTTTGAGAAGGGTTCGTTTTGTGGACGACTCTGTTGTTGAGGTGGAGAGGGAGCGGAAGGATTCGAGGAGGAGCTCGAGGCCGGTGATGAGGCTTGACAGCCAATCACGGATGGGGTCTACGCTGTCCTGTTCCTCCTTGTTGTTGGTGGTGGTGCTGTTGGAGGTGGAGGTGGAGGCGGATGTTGTATTGACCTGTGGTGGTGGAGGCGGTTGCGGTTGCGGCGGCGGCGGCATGTGTGCGCCGTTGTATGCTATGGCAGTGTGATGGTTATTTTTGTGATATTGTGATGGTTCAATTGATGCGGTGTTTATTGGATGTGTATGAGAACGAGGAAAAGAGTGGTGGAAGGGGAGTGAAAGGAGGATGAAGTGGAGAAAAGAAAGAGGCGAAGTGGGGAAGAACAAGCGACACACAAAAAGGGAAAAAAGGAAGACTTGGCATGAACGTCAATTTGACTTTAGCAGTCCCACGAATGTTGAGGATGGTATATATTTTAATCCAGGTTAAGCAATATTACCCGTTGTTATTTGAACACGTATTTAAATATTCTCTCTGCTCGTGGTTCAGCTTACGTGCCTTCGCCCTTCCTTGCACTCAATGGCTGGTCATCATCACCCTACCCTATTATTACTTGCCCGTGACCGATACTCTCTCTCGCGTCAAACGTTCTCATGGTTCGCGAGACTCTGAAAAGAGAAAGATCACCCCTTCACGCCCCCCTAAATGACCCCCAATTCAACGTGACTTTGAACTTTTGACCAAGCCCAACCGCAAGCACGAAAAAAAAGGGCGTCCGTCCCTTCCCTTCTCACGAGCCCATTCTCTCCTCTCTTTCTTCCCATTCCTTTTTCACTTCTAAAACTCCACTCACCCATTCACTACAATTCATCCTTCTCACCTTCCGCTCTCAACTACATCGCCATTCAACAACACCATGGCCTCGATTCCAATCCCAAGACGTTTCAGGACAATCATCTACATCCCCTCTCGCTCAGACGGAACAATGCTCGAGGTCTGTCTATCAATTCCCACGAGCTCCTCCTCCAAACCTCAGGCCTACACCGGCGTCGTGATTGCTCACCCTTACGGACCTCTGGGCGGCTCCTACAACAATAACGTGGTCGGCGCTCTCCTCCAGTGGTTCGAGACCTCGTCCCTCGCCGCCCCAACCACTTTATCGACTAAGAAATCGAAAAAGGGAGCAGCGGGGAAGAGGAATAGTACTGGGGCAAGGAAAGGTGGTCTTGATCAGGATACTGGTAATGCCGGTGCTGCTGCTTCGCCTACATCTGCCAAGTCGGCTGGAGGTGGCGCTCAGGCCGAGTCCTTGGCCTGTGTCATCTGTGCTTTCAATTTTCGGTAGGAAGAGAATGTCCGGATTGTCAGTTTGAGTTTGAACAAAAAGAAGAAAGAAAAAACGTGTTCTCAACAATTTCTACGTTGTTCGTACAACTCACATGTCGAGGGTCGAAAGCTATGCAAGCTAAACACGCTCTCTTCTTTCCCCAAAAATAAATATAGAGGATGTGGCAAGTCCAAGGGCAGGACGTCCTGGTTCGGAGAGGCAGAACGCGAGGATTATCAGACCGTCGTCGATTTCCTTCAGAGCGGGTCGCGCACAGGCACTAGTACCAGCCACCTCAGCAATAACCCTGAGCAACGCGACTCGGGCACAGGGTCTCCTGCGTCTAATCGAGCTGTCTTTGACGAAACTGGACGCGAAATCGATTCACCACGGCTCCCCTTCCTCTCTCGGTTCATCCTCAGTGTAACATCACTTTCCCTTTAGCTAGTCGCGTGTTCCTTTTGAATGGCGATTGTATTTTCATGGAACTCACACGTCACGCCGTTACTCAAAAATAACTTATAGGGCTTCTCGTATGGAGGTATGATTGCGTCGAGTATTCCTCCACCATTGAGGAACCCTGCAGATCCGGCGAGCGCCCATCTGCCAACGACGTATATCCTGATCAGCTATCCTGCAGGAGTTGCCTGGTTTCTGACATCTGGGGCTCAAGGTGGCTTCTACAAGCGCGCCAGGACTATTCTCCTAGGAGAACAACCTCCCGGAGACGCGACTGCCGCAACGAAAAATGACGCAGAGACAACAACAGCTACCGAGACAGATACAGATGCAGGAGAAGCTGCACAGTCCAAGACGTCCACGATCGAGGCTTACTTTATCACAGGCGCGAATGACCAATTCACGAGTCCGAAGACACTGCTTAATTGGCTAAAGACAAACGCAGGTCTGAACCCTCCCAACAACTTGACTAGTGGGTCTTGGGCGTTGACGCGACCGGATGGGGCGATTCATGTCGATGTTGTGAAGGGCGTGGATCATTTCTGGCTGGACCGTGAACAGGAGCTGGTGGATCGTTTGCAGGCTTGGTGGAGCGATACCCATTCCGTCTAGGCAGTTCTCCTCGAGATCGCGTATACAGCTCCAGCAAAGTGTTGCAATATTTACAATATATAACTTGCATGTCAGGACTCTTGAACGTAAATACTCTTGACACTCCCCTCGTTCCAGTTCCAAGTCATGACACTTCAGCTCTCGGCACACTAGCGACAAGCTTGTGGAAATCAGTATGAACAACAAGGTTAAACAAGTGATGATGGTGGGAGGGAGAGGGCACCAAAAGTGGAGGGAAGAAGGGGCGTAGTGGGGGTAAGGGTTTGTTAGTATTCCTCAGAGGACGCGTTGCCATGCCATCGGTGTGTTAATTTTCAAGTCCGTCTCTCTGTCTGTATATCTCTCTTGCTGTAGGGGTGGCATTAGATTAGTAACGGCAGCAAAAAGACAGGAGCGCAATGTAGGGGTGAGGGGGAAGATGAGAAAGGCGGGCCGAGCTCATAGTTGCGTGTGTAATGCGCGTTTTTTTATTTGTTTCCGGAAGAGATGATACACCGTTGCCGATGATGCAACCACTCAAGTCGCTCCCTCACATCGCTCTAATTACATACAACGGTCGGACCTTGGAAAAGGAAAGACAGAGAAAGGACACACGACATGCAAAAAAGGGTCATATGCTCATGAAGGTTATACCTTGTCTTTGAGTGTATGAGTGCGCGTTTCTGGGAATGACCTTTCAGTCTCAGAAGTTCGGAAACCGGCGCCTGAGAATAAAGAAGAAAAAAAGGCGAACATGGAAGGAGTTAGACTAAATTATGAAGCTGGATAAACTCATTTTCACACGACATACCTCAGCCAGGGGAAATGAAGAAAGTCGACGGACAATGAAGGGAGAAAGTAGGATAGAAAAGCCAGAATGAGATAAAGAACATACCTGCATGCGTTTTTTTGCGGAGATTGCGAGAAAAAAAACAACAGTGAATGGAGTTTGCTGTAGTTCCAGGCTGTAATGTTTGTTTTGAACACTTTATGTAGCAAGGCTAACCCCCTTCCATCCCTGGCATACATACTCAAAAATTCCTCCAAGGCAAGCGCCGTTTCTAATCCACCCGCCTTGTCTCTTTTAAACCCCAGTCAAACAGGCACATGAACAAGATGGAAGTTCAACCCATGCATACGTACTTTCTTTTCTCTCTCTCTCTGAGTTTTTGTTTTTTTTAATGCTCTTGTCTTGCTTAATGCTGCAGCTTTGCAGCAATTTTTTTTCACCGTCTTGACTTTATATACGAGAGCGTGAGCGCAGCAAGGAGGGAGAGGGAAGGTCGAAGAACAACAATAAAAAAAAAACAAGAAAAGTGGGTGATCGAAATGGAAAACAAGGAAATGCGACAGGCTTGCGCAGAGTAGATGTGAGATGTTGAACAATTGAGAAGGAGAAAAGAGCAAACAGCCACGCACTGTTGATTGTGCTCAGTGAGCAACAAGGTAAACAAAACAACAAAAACGTTTGTCCAGCTGGCAAAATTGTGACAAGCCTGTTCCCGCTGGCTGGCTGGCTGACTGACTGGCTGACCCGGCGGAGAAATACTTTATTCTCAAGCAGGATTTTTCTTGGCAATGGCTGTGAGGGTGTTTTTTTGTACTCTTCTTCACAACCAATATCCATAAGGGGTGTGTCAACAAATCAACACAAAAAGGTGGGCACATCATTTCCGAGGGGGATAATGTATACACAGGCAGAAGAGCCAGGGCCAGGGCCAGGGTCAGGGCCAGGACCCACGGCAAAAAAAAAAAAAAAAAAAAAAAAAAAAGGGAGTGGATTGGAAAGCAGTAGAGATCGAAAGAGGAAAGAGAGAGAATAGAGTTGGGGACGGAGGAGAGAGAGAAAGGGCCGGGAGTGAGGCGGATCCTAGTCGCCATGCCAATTATTTCTATTTACGAACAAAAAATGAAAAAAAAGTTGCGATCAAGGTATGAGAGCAATTGGCTGGACACAGAAAGAAAAAAAAAAAAAAGGACGCATACCTTTCCTTTCTTTTGGCCCGACTAACCAAGTAATCCCTCGAGCTGAACGTCCACCAAGGACCGATCAATTAGGCTATCGCCGTTGATGAAGAAACAAAACGGAAAAAAGCGAAATGAAGGGGGAGATAAAGAGAGAGAGTTGGAGAAGAGAGGAGAGAAAGTACCGGTACTAAAGCTATTGTTTACCCGCAACAAAATTGGATGCATGCGAAAAGAAAAGATGAGAGGATTCGACATGGGTGGACAATTGAAGGGAGCCTACCATGTGGGAAGGACTTCCCGCTCCTCCATGCAATGCAGATACTGTTGTCTTTATAATTTAGAAATTGGTCAACCAGCATCCTTGCCGTTGGGAAGTGTCGATTTTCAGGCACGTTTGAGAAGAAAGGGATGCTCGGACAAACGGACAAATCGAGCTGATGAGATTTAGGAAATTGGTCGCGCTGATCTGGTGCAAAGGTGAGACAAAGAAGGTCGTCCGTCGGCCTGGTCCCTGATAGTAAAAAGTGATCTGGTGCCTGAAAATAATGACTGATTGCTCTGTTTGACACTAGCAGAAACCAATCTACTGTGGGTCGGGGATCAATCCACTCAGCGACATCAGACAAAACAGCCAGACCGGCGGCGCATGATGTTTACAGCCGTAGTTTTTTGCATGACGGCGCATTTAACAGGTATGCTAATGATGACAATGTTGTTGTGCTTGTTGTTGGTGAAGAATGGCTTTCATGCGCGCGCGGTGAGACGAGACTGGGTGTGTGGGTGGCAATGACTTCTCTTCTCTCTCCTCAACACACTTGCCCTGGCCCCCTCCCTCCCTGTGGGCTGAAGGAAGAGAGTGGAGAGGGATACAAACATAGATATAAACAACAACAACAAAGAGCGTTGTTTTTTCAGTCTAAAGATTTGTAACTTTGGTGAATTGGGCCTTCTCCTCGTCCTTATCATGTTGCTTGTCAGCCTTGCTAGCGCTGAAAAAAGAAAAAAAAGTAGCGTGCATGCCTGGTCCCTTTTTTTAGAGACAGGTATTTTGTGGTGTTTTTTTTACCCTCCCGCCCCTTTCACTCTTTCTTCGTTTTCTATCTCCACTCTTCACTCCTCTTTCTTCACCTCCACTCTTGCGCTCTTCTCTCCTCCTCCTTCTTCTGCTTCCTTCTTCTTCCTTTTTTTGCTTCCTCTTCCTACTCCATCTCATGTCACTCCTCATTCATTGCTAGCAATGGCTCATGCATTCCTCCTCTTCTTAATACTTGTTCCCCTTCCATAATTTTTGTGTTTTCAACTCTTTCCATTCTATTTTATTTTAGTCCGCCCTTCTTCACCACTCGTCATAATAACCATGTTGCTCTTTCAAAGCACAACTCCCTCCTCCTCACACTTCTCCCCAGCAACAACAATAGCAACAACATCGAAACGAACAAGTCGACCTCCCACACCTCCAGTCGAAGAACAGACTAGCACCAAATCATCATCGACACTGATTACACTATCACATAGCCACCACTCGTTCCTGCAATCCCCTACACACGTCCGCTCCAATTCCTCTTCCTCCCTCTCTTCCTCCTCGCATAACCGACCTCACCACTACCAACATCATCAACACCACGACAGCCATCATCAGCCACTTTCTAAAGACGCGTTGTCTGCTGGATCCGAGTCTGATAATAGCAGCAGGAACAGGAACTCCACCAATAGCAGCCACTATTCATCCCTCGCCCACTTTTTCAGCCCTTCTTCCTCGGCCTCGGCGATATCCCCCTCATCTTCATCCTATCATCACCACCTCCTCCCCGAGACAACCAACAAAGCTGAGGAGAAGAAGAAGGAGGGTTTGGAAACCAAGGAAACCGAGGAAGGAGACAGCGGGAACATCATGTCGTTCGCATCAGGATACAGTCTTTACCAGCAACAGCAACAATATTCGATCCCGGCAACGATCGCTAAGCCCGTGGCCATCTATCCTCAGGAGCTGCAACCCTGCCGAAAGAGATACTCTCCTCGGCATAATACACCCAACAATGGAGTAGCAGGGGGAGTAGGAGGAGGGGTGGTCGGTACTGGATCGTCATCTTCATATCTGTCGTATGCCTCGGCCCTTGCAGCTACTATTGAACAGCTTCAACTGCAGCAGCAACAGAACTACCAGCAGATGCAACTACGTAAGAATGACCCACTATCCCTCCAAAATTTCGACCGACATCGAGGCACAACTTCCAACATCACAGACCATACCAACAGTGGCAACTATATCCATGAGCACCAAAAAGAACAACACCGACAGAAATATGAACGTAATCGTCATCGTAATCGGAGCTCCTTCGACTCTCCCCCGTCTCCTTGTACGACCGCCTCGGACGCGCTCTTGTCGTCGTCTTCATCGACTTGTCACTGCTCTTCTCCTCCTTCCTCCAACTCGACGTGCGGGAAAAGCGGCGGCAGTACCAACTCTACCAACAGCAACAGCAACATTGTCGCGGTCCCCTCGACAGAAACTACGAGTATGTCTCATTGCTCCCCCGTCTTGTCTCGGACCCTGACCAAAGCCTACTCCTCGTCATCAGCAGCAACGCTATTCTCAGAAGACGCAGCCTTAGAAACAACAACAGCATCATCAACAGAAGCAACAGCCGTCGCCTCCCCTGTTGATGCAAGGCCATCACCCCCTATATCGTTTTCCTCCCCTCCTTCCTCTTCCTCGTCTTCCTCATCATCCTTCAGCCTTGAGCACGCGTCGACTGTAGGAGTGGTGGTACAAACATCTCATTCCAGAGCGTCATCTATGGTCGGGTCGACTTCTTCCGCTGACCCTGCCTTGTTGTCTTCGTCGTTGTGGTTGGAGAACAGCGGTGATAACAGTAGCAGTAGCGGCAATGAGAAGGAATGCTATGACAGTAGCTCTATTGGATTCTTGTCTCGCTCGCCCTCACCACCAGCACCCTTACATCGTCTGTCTCTCCAACAGCAACAGCAACAACAACATTCCAGTGCCCCCTCGTCCTCGTCGCCTCGCCTTTCGTCTCGCCAATCACATCTTCACCAACAACCTCGGGATACTACTGCAAGACAAGCGTTGAAATCTGACAAACACGGGTCGTTGGATTATCAGGGGCAACAGCAGCAATGTCATTCTTCGTGTTGTCAGCCGGGGGGGAGGAACAGCGCCAGGCGAACCCAAAGTCCCCCAAGTCAGGGTCAGGGACAAGGACAGGGGGACGAACGGTGGTCAGACGTGCAGGCACAAAGTGCCCGTCCAACGGCTTCTATATTGACCTCTCCACCATCCTCTCCAACCTCGTCATCGTCATCGTCCTTGAACCACAACCATCGTCATCATCATCTTCGACTTCCTCAACAAACAAACCCGCACTACCCACACCACCGCCGCCACCCCTCCTCTCCCGCATCTCTCGGCAGCGTGTCCACCTTCTCCAACAAAAATTCATACAATAGCTACTACCCCGGAACCTCATCGCGCTCGACTTCCTCAGCCTCCAGATCAGCAACCCGCCGTCCAAAATCCGCTCTCGCAACCACATCCCCCACATCAACAGCAGCAGGAGCCCTGGTGGCGTCGAGCTCGGTAAAGGAGCCGTCCCCCAGTTCTACACAAGCAATTGCACAGAGCTCAAGCCGTTACATCCACTTCATCTGGCTCCCACTCCTCCTACTCCTGATCCTCGCCATCGGTGGCCAGACCTCCTCCACCTTCGACTCCACTGTCAGCTACATCTAATCCCCTCCCTCCTCCCCTATTTTCTTCTCCACCCACCCCCCACTCCCGCCTCTTTTTGTTTTTCTTTTTGGCATGTTTTTCTTTTAGTTATCGTTTCTTTCATAATCTTAGCATACCCTAGCCCATCCCCTCTTGTCCATAGTCCCATCTCATCCCCCAATCTAATAGTAATCGTAATCCTAATAACAGTTCTTATTCTTAAAAAACCATTGATAACCATGAACAACGAGAACCTGTGAATGGGGGTCATCATGAGTGAACTAACAAACAAACAAACAAACAAACAAACAACTAAACAAACACAAACGAAAAGAAACAAGCCTGGACCTGAAAAGGTTCAAAGTCCCCTCAGTTCCCCCCATGAACACAAATTACATCATTCCTTCTTTAACGTTTGCCATGTTTTTATCTAAGCAGGAAAGGCAATGACCTCGTGAATAACGGCTACATGAATAAAGAAAGGAATGTGAGGAGAAATAGTAAAAGGGAGTAAAAAAACAAAAAGAAAACAAATGAACAAGAATAACCACTCTTTGTCTAGAACAGTCCACGCTTCTGGACCTTGGTGCCGTCTTGAGGACCAGCGTTCAGTCCAACCTCGAGCTCCTTCTGGATCTCAGCGTGGCGCTTCTTCAGGTCCTCAACCTCGTCCAACTTGGCCTGCAAGGACTTAATCTCGTTCTCAACCGACTGACGCTCCTCTGCTGTTCCGATGGTCGAGAACTCCCAGTGGCCGTGGTCGCCCGTCAACTTGAGCAAGTGCAAGTGGTACTTGAACAGTGCAGGACGATGCGAGATTGTAATAAGGGTAATACCCTCATCTTTGGCGTGGTTGTACATCAATCCCTCAACATCCGAACTGACCGCAGACGTGCACTCGTCCAAAATGGCGAACTTGGGCTTGTGATAGAACAATCTTGCCATGTTCATCTATGCATGCGGATAAAAATAGTCAAGATAGAAAACAACACATTGTCAGAGAATGATGCAAACAAACAAACAAAAACGTAGTCGAGAGACGCGTTTAGGCGCACATATAAACACTTACTCTTTGCTTCTCTCCGCCAGAAAAGACGTCTTTCCACTCCTTGACAGTGTCCCAGCCTCCCTCGCGATCAGGGATGTAGGCCAAGTGAACATGCTTCAAGATGGTCATCAACTCCTCTTCTGTCCGGCCGGCCTTGATCATGTCGGCGTGCGAGTGAGGGTAGATAACCTGGTCTCTCAACGATCCAATCGACAAGTAGGCGCGCTGAGGGATGTAAAAGATGTCCTTGGGGCTGGGGCGGGAGACCTCGCCACGGAAGACGGGCCAAAGACCGCTGACAAGACGAGCGAACCCAGTCTTACCAACACCGTTGGGTCCAGTGACGAGCATGTGGTCGCCGGGCTTGACATCAACGTTCAAGTTACGCACCAATTCCTCGCCTCCGTTAGCGTTTCCGGGAGAAGGAGTCACGATGGGCACACCGACAAACTTGATACCCTCGTAACCATAGTTCATGACGCCGCGAATGTCAGCCATCGAGTAGAACTCAGCCTCGGCATCGCCGTCCTGGGAAGAGGCCGAAGATCCAGCAGCAGCAGTCTTAGGGGCAGGTCCCTCGAACTCACCGGCCTGGAGCTGGTGAAGGACAGAGATCAAGTTGTAGACACGAAGAGTCGAACCGGCCAACTCGGACATTTCCTTGTAAGAGTACATCATACGTCCACCAGCATCGGCCAACGACATCATCAGACTATATAAGTAAAGGAAACGCGAGAAACTGTTGGTCGTAGTTCGCCTTTGAACATGAAAAAAGTTGCTCGCAGAGATAATCCTTACCGCTTGCTGGTGATAAAGCCCTTGGTACGGGCACCAACCACCTTGTCTCCACTGGCAATATCCTTGACAGAGTCAACACCTCCCAAGGCAGGGAAGAAGACGGGCAAGGCACAGAGGGTCAAACCAACAGCAGACCAGCAGTACTTGATGATAAAGTCCTCGAACATGTTGTAGGCGATACGGATCTTGTAGATCGAGTTGATGTGACGGATCAAGCGCTTGTAGGTCCTGGTCAAGATCGAGTGCTCCAAGTCAGCTCCGTTGTAGAAAGCAACCTCCTCGGCGTTGGTGATCAGACGAGTGTGAGCAGAGCGGAAGTCACCCTATGAATGTTCAATGGCACCAGGTTAGTACCCTGGTTTGCCGATCAAATCCTTGGCATTGCGCACATGCAAAAATGACGCGAAAGTGAGAGCTATGAAAAGAACTTGCCTCCAACTTGGCCTCGACGGCGGCCAATTTACCAAAGGCAGGGGTGACCATGCGGAGCAAGAAGGCGGTGACAACATAGGAGACAAAGAGTCCACCCATTCCAGAGACACCGATAGAGCGCATCAGCTGGTAGTTGAAGATGATGGTATCCAGGATGGGCTTGCCCAAGTTGGAGTAGAGTCCTGCCAAAGAATCACAGAACTTGGCGACATCGGTGGTGATGTATTGGTCAACGCCCTCAATGCGGTCGTCCAAGTTCAATGCCCTGTAGTAGGTGACCTGGTCGTTGAGGTACAGGTCGTGGACGTAGCGAGTCAAGCGTGTACGGAATGCGATTGACAGCTTGGATTGCAGGTAGCGAATCTATATGTCACACCAGTCAAAACGGACAGTGTATAGGTTAGATTGCTTACTCTATCACAAGGTATAGACGCATATCTCTTGGCATTGCGGGTTTGAGTGAGGATATGGATGTGTGTATGCAATTCCGTCGTCTTTGCTGTCGTTGGCGTGAGTGCACATCGGGCGAGTTCAACCGGCTGAATGATTTTTTTTTGCTGGTCGTTAGTTTCGTTGATCGTGTCCCAATGCTGCTTTGCAATCATAAATCGATCGACGACGCACAAAATCATGGCGGCTGCCCGGAGACAACTCTCCGAATGTGTTCGATCCAAGCTCCCTACCCCACCTTTTACAACCCTTCTTGTTTCGCCCTTCATTTTTGCTCTTGCTGCACCTCATGTTCTCTTGGCCACGTTTGCTGCCCCAATGGTTCCTTTTTTGTCGTTTTTCGCTTATTCCTGCTGACATAACTGAGTTGGGGCGATGTCGATATGGTCGAACGAACTGGCTGAGTGATCAATTGAGGGAAAGGACATGTGGATTGAATGCAATTGACGTGAAGGCATGGTTCTGTATCCACTTGCCATGCTGTTGGTATAGGTGGCGGGAAGGGCGATGGCGAACCAGTATCCCAAACCGCGAATGAACCCCTTGCCATTGCCGGCGATCTATGTCAAAGAAGAGAAGGACAATTTTGCATATGCAAATGAAGGAAGCCAGGGTCAGTTGATAATGATGAAAAGACAGTAGACCAAGATCATAACCATGATGTGGTAGTGCTAATGCTTGAAGCCATGATCCGCCGAGACACGAAAAAAGCCATATGCTCACCAAGTCCTTGACAATAGCTCCGTCAAGACGGGCAACGACAACACTGAGGTAGGTACGGAGAACCAAGAAGGTGGTATGAAGGACCAGGATCATAGTTTCCTTGCAGTGCAGCCTGGGGATCAAGATCTTGAAGATGGACTCGATCTGGCGGAAGAACTCCTTGTTGACGCCGACCTTAACCGAGGACTTTGCAGAGGAAGCAGACGATCCGGCCGAGGCGACCTTGGATGGTGGGAAGTACTTGCGGTTGCGTGCAAACGTCTCTGGTGTAGTGTGCTTGATGGGTTTCGAGGTCTTTTTAGGCGCAACAACCTTGCCCTCCTTCACATTGGAGCTACTGCTGCTGGTACCCTCAGTCGAGACCTTGGAAGCAGCGGCGGCCTTCTTGGCCTTTGCCTGCTTGTTGCTCAGATAGCGTCCGATAACGACGGCAATGAAGCTGACAAGGGCGACTGCAGGGAGAGGACGAGCACGGGCTGATTTTTTGGTGTGAACGGCATCAAGGACCGCGTTGATCTGCTGAGGCAGGTCTTTTGAATGAGCGACCATGTTGGTGTTGCAAATATGTCGTTGTTGTGATGGGAAGGTGTGAAGAAAGGGTCGATGGAATATGTTGCTTACGTGGTAGGTGTAGGGGGGTGGCTGGAGGGATGAGGAAGGGGCGAAGGAGAGGAGAGGTCGGAGGATAGATTAGGGATGGAGATGCAAAAAGTAGGAAGAGGAAGAAACAATTAAAACAAAGAGGAAGATGGAGAGTGTGTACAGGAGAGGTTGTTGAAGGGACGATGGGAGAGGGTCGCACGGTCAACAAAAAAGTCGGAGAGGATGGAGAGGGGATAGAGAAGGGAGGATGGGGAAGAGGGATGGAAGAAGAAGAAGAAGAAGAAGGAGAAGGAGAAGGAGAAGAAGAAGAAGAGAGAAAAGGAAGCACGAGAAGGAGTCAGCAACGAATAATATCAAAAGAAGGAAGGTGGAGAAAGACAAAGACAAAGAAGAAATATCCACGGCAAAAGAAAGGCCGAAAAATGACTGAGGGGCACACGGATCTGGTAATCGAAGTTGAGGCACAGAAAAGACTCTTACAAACACAGACAGCCAACCCCGCACTTCTCACTTCTTCTCATCGTGCACAATGACCCGTCGCTCTCATTCGATGGAGACACACGAGGCAAAACAGCAACGAGAGTGCTTTTCTTCTTTCAATCATTCCTGTTGGCTGCCCTGCCTTTTGCACTTTGCGTGTGTCCATGGGCTGACTGGCAAGCCTGTTTGTGTACCTCTAGCTGGAGGGAGAGATCTCTGTCAGTGGCTCGCAGTCACTGTGAACCTTATTACATACTGATGTGTCCACACCCACGTGAAAGCCATCTGTCTCTTGTAGCAGCGCTTAACTAGTCTTCACTGCAGAGAACATCAACAAACTGCATCAACAATAATAATAATACACGCCACATCGTGTACTCGCAGTGTACTGTGTACATCCGTACATCCCTGCCTTTTCTTCGATTCGATAAGGCCCTTCGCACGAAGGACATGGATCCGCCGTGAGAAAGAGCTTTTTTCAAGGACAAAAACATGCCGATCATTGTACGTAGAGTCTCCAGCTCAGCTCGGACATTTTTTCTCAAGCGATGATGTTAAACACGCAAAAAAGGATATTACATTACGACAATAAAAACCATGGTGTCGGAAATATGACAGGATGGCGCGTAAAACAAAAGCTCTCTCTATTCTTCATCGTTCATGGTCTCTCCAGAACCAGCTTGGCCCAACAGATCCTCTTTACTGTACTCTGGCTCAGCTTCAACTTCTGCCTCAGAACTCTTATCCCCCTGGAAAAGCGTCTCAACATACCGATGCATATTCTCATCAAGACCAGCCTCCTCCTCCTCCGCAACAACCTCATCTTCGGTCATCTTCACCATCTCATCCGTCAATGCCTCACCACTCGCTTTCTCAGCCTCTTCAATCCTATCTCGGATCTCTTCCTCAGCCTCCTCGTTCAAAATCTCTTCCTCGCGTTCCTCACGTAATTCCTCCATCGCATCCTCAAGGACTTCCTCGGCTTCCTCAACGCGAGCCTTGGCCTCGGTTTCGATCTCGGAAATGGCTCCAACCTCTTCGAGTTGTTTCAACAGCCCTTGCTCGGTACCATCTTCCTTCTCTGATCCCTGCTCGTCGTCCTCCTCTTGGATCGACTCGGCCTCCTTCTCGTCAGACCAGTCATCATTCGTCGACGTGGCAACATCATCCTCAACAGTGGTCGCCTTGGGCGTATCATCAATGATATTTCCTTCGTCATCCTCCGTGACCTTGGGCTGCGCAGACTTGGACTCCAAAAGCGCGTCCTCGTAAGGGCCAGCTGTCAGAGGATCACGACCAACTAGCATGTCCATTTCGGTCGTGGATCGGGCAGTAGACGTCGAGGGGGTGAGGCATGTGTCTGACGCGCCGTTCTCTTGGTGACAGTCAGCTGTCGAGACACTACTGGCCTCCGCCGACATCTCCTTTTCGCCCCGAAGATAATCCATCACAGGCAACCGTCTATCCAACTGTAAACATTAAAAAAAAAAAAAAAAAAAAAAAAAAAAAAGTTCAAAAATCGCTTAATGCGTTTAGTACATACAAAACATCAAATTTGGTGGCGTAGAGTCGTGTCTATTTTTTTTTCTTGTTGTTCTGCAACAGTGAAAAACATTGCATGTTGTATTATCATCATCGCAGAAAGAAAAGAAAACGAACCTTGACACGTTCAACAAAAGAGTTCAACCATGGGAAGGTCTTGACGGGTCCTTCCTCACGAGCAGGCAACGGCATCATGATCTCGGTATCATCCGCCAAAGCACTCCCCTTCTTGTTCTTGCGGAACGCACTCTCGGCCTGGAAGGCAGTGCGGTCATCAAGACTACCGGCCTGTGGGTTGGGGAGGGCCACATAGTAGAATAGGATGAGCATTAAGAGCGATCCGCTGATGAAGGTTCTTTTCGAGGACAAGATGCGGCCTCGACCGCTGATTCCACTGGACCAAAGCACCATTTTAGTGTGTTTGGTTGATTTTTTTTGCTTGTGAGATGAAAGTGGAAGGGAGAAGATATGGATGAGGGAGACGGAGAAGGAGAAAGGGCTTAAAATATTAGGCGGGGGGAAGATTGTTGTGTAGGGTAGAGGGATAAAAACGTAGAAACGTGGGTGCGAGAGAGGAAGAAAGTGGGATGAGTGATTTGCAAGGAGCATGTAGTGAGAAACAATCGTATCAATGCAAGACCTTAATTTTTTTTTCTCGTTTTTCGAAACGCTGAGACCGTTTGGGAAAAAGAAAAGATAGTTCTCTCTCCCGTTCATCACTGAACATACTGAAAAACATCGCCGAACTTCATCCAACAGACGAAAAAAAATGCACAACGTCTGTTCCACATTTGTCTATTCCTTAATCCCATCCAAAGTTCTCTTTGTAAAAACTCAGCTTGTTGTTTGTCGGTGTGGAGGGGGGAGAATGGAAGAGGTAAATGCTCTAACTATGGCTGAGTACCGGAGCTCCTCCTTTCCAGGGCCTCCTTCATCAATCGGATCGGGGTAGCAAAGGACTCGATGATCTCCATGGCATCCTCCTGTGTGCCATACTGCTCCGTTGCCTCCATCTGCTTGTGTAGATCGGCAATCGCTCGCAACACCTCCAACATCAAATCGCGAGGTGACCGCTCCTCCACATGTTGTTGGATTTGTTGTTGTAAGGACACCGCGTGTGAATGCGGCTGTAGGACTTGAACCCCTTCCATAGCAGTCGGTGACTCCATCAACGCGTCAACAGCGCCTTGGTGACTCGTTTCAGTTGCTCCTGATCCTGCATCCTGGAGGTTTGCGTGCGTGCGACTACTGTTGTAGAGCATGCTCGCCACGGTCGCAACCGTGCTGGCTGTGACTTCAGCCGCGTCATGATTTGCCTGTGCTGCACTACCCGCATTCGATCCTAGTCCTTGTGAACTATTAGTGGCGTCCAAGCTTGCACTCGCCACCAGCGACAGTGCCGCCATATCCTGAGCAGTGCCTTGTTCCCGAATGACCCGCGATATAGATTCGGTGTTAAGCAAGGGCTCGCTTATTGCAAGCACCTGGTGTTGTAGTTGGTTGTGTGTTGTAGTATGAGTTGTTCCAGGTGCCGCTAGCGTGTGGACGGCTATCGTTTGATTGTCGTGACTGTTGTTGGCGGCGTGCAGATTGTCAGACACACCAAAGCCGTGTCCTGAACCGTTGGGCTGTGTGCTTTCCAGTGTGATCTGCCAGGTCGATGTTTGTGGGACATGGGACGACTCCATGCCTGTACCCTGCTTCTGGTTCTGGCCGGTCGAGCTGTGAGCTTCCCGCGATGACGATGATGATGACTGCTGAGCTGACTGAGGCGATGATGGTTGGGAGAGTCGCTGGGCTAGTGTTGTCTTATCTTCGAACCGAAGGACGTTGCCGCCTCGAGTGACCCGATCCGAAATTGGCGTAGTTGTTAACTTTGGGCTGTTCTTGTTCTTGATCTGCCTCGAGGTGTTGGCGAAGAGAGCATAACATGAAGGCAAAAGGATCTTGATGTTTTGCTTCGTCGCCGGGTGAAGCTATGGGTTCGTTAGACCGTCATCAGCAAAAGCGAATTTGTTAGAAAATCAAAGAAAGTGTAACGAATTCACCATGGTTAAATATACAGGCTCTCAACAGCTCAGTAAGCAGCACATACCTCGTCCAACATTGCAGATCCCGAGTTCATCAAGTTTTTGACAGTTTTCCAGTCAAGTCCTTCACGAACACGCTCCTTGATCCATGCCTTGAGATCTTGCGGCAATCTCTGTGCCTTGATGTCCTCCATCACATCCGGCACATGGCCTTCGTGCCTCCAAGAGTACTCGATCAGCACTTCGTTCTCGTGGAACTGTTTCCGCATTTTGATAAAAGCGGGACAGTTGCACTTGATACTCCCGTTCCGTTTTCGTTTCTTGCTAGGATCAATGTTGGGATTCTTGCGGTCGCGATACTGTCCTGCATGGTCACACTGGAACTCTCGCGTCCATTCGCTTGCTGTCGGTCCACGAGCAAATGCTATATAGTTGATATGGATGGATGACCAGCGGTATACAGTAATTAATTACTCTGCGCATGGACAAGCCTTTGCTGGAACTCACACAAGCTATGCAAACATGAAGATAATATATTATGCGATGTGTTCTTACTTTGCTTGTCGCGGTGGCGGTGCCGCACCATATTCCAGCGACAAAAAGTCTTCTCTTGGTCAAGCCATGTCTCCCAGTCATCGGCTGGCCATTTGAAGATCGCAGGACACTTGTCATAACGCTCTCCGCTTCCTGAGCTGCTGCCCTCTTGATTCAGAGTATTCGTAGCTGGAATTGTAGGGTTGGCGCTGCTGCTACTGCTCCTGTCGCTGCCGTCCATGTTTGACGAAGGTCCTGCAGACGATGACGAGGAGGTAGACGCAAGACCAGCCCCTGCCGCGATGGCAGCGACTGCCGCAACAGAAGGCGCCGATGCTGTAGAAGTCACCGAGTCTGTAACAGCAGACTTGGAGGCAGCGACAACAGCCTCTGCCACGACCGAATCCAGACTCTCCAGAGATGCCAGAGTGGCGGCCGTTGCAGCAGCAGCGACGGCGGCAGCGGCGGCGGCGGCAGTAGTCGTTGAGTCGGTGGATTGGTCGTGACTGCTCTGCAGGACATGGGAGGCGACCTGATGGTCTGTAAGATCGTGATGATGGAGGAGGCTGCCTGTTGTGGCAGGAGCAGCGTGTTGAAGGTTCAGTTGCCCGCTGGCATTGCTGGCAAGGGTCGTCTGAAGGGCTGATCCGTTAGCGCTACCATTTGAAAGCGCGTCTTGGTCCAGAGTGTCATGGGCAGAGTGGAGTGAGAGATGCTGGAACTGCTGCCGTTGCTGCTGTTGCTCTCGTTGCTCCTGTTGCTCTTGTTGCTCCTGCTGCTGTTGTTGGTGTTGCTGCTGTTGTTGGTGTTGCTGCTGTTGCTGCTGTTGCTGCAACACCGCGATTGCCTGTTCCTGTTGAAGGTCGTTAGGATCCATTGCCGTGAAGTGGTGATAACGAAAAGAAGAGAAAGCATTCCTTTATTTCCTACGCTCAAACACCCCGTAAGAAAATCAGCTCTTGAAGTTGGATGCACACATACCCCCTTCGACATATCCACGGGCAAGAACACGTAAAAAGAGCGCGGCCCAGACGAGGAATCCACATAGAATGGCGTTTATTATTTTATGTCTCGAACACGCCAGTGGCCATCCTTGGTGGTGGACGATACGCTTCAGGGAGGAACTTGAGCTGGTATTTGTTAAATGCAAACTTTCCTCGCTTGGCCAGGGGAACAGCGTGACTAGTCTCGGTCGCAGTTGACGGTGCTGGAGAGCCGAACGAAGCCGGACATTGGCTGTCACTGTTGCTGCTGGGGGCATCGTGCAATCCTGAAACTTGAAGTCCTCCATAGTCATCACTGGCTTGGTGACGATGTTGTGAGGCCGATGTCCCAGAGGAGACACCTAATCCTAGTCCCAGAGCTGAAAGTCGCTTGACGAATGGTGGGTTCTTGTTCTGGGTGGCAGCCGTTGATGTAGTGAGCTGTTGCTGATAGTATGCGGACTGCTGCGATGACCATGAAGGAGTGGATTGATGCATCCTTATTGCTACTCGTGCATGTGGGAGGGTGGGGCTGTGTACAGCGGCCGTCTGGATTGATGGCTCGTTCGAAGAGCACTGGTGAGTCGAAGAAGCGCCTAGAGAATCCAAGCCAAGGGATCGCGCCAATCGAACTGCTAGCACAGGCTCGTCGAATGATCCAGGAAATGACTGGTAGCCTTCATTGGCATGGTTTGCTGGCCTAGGTAGATGCGAGATAGGGATGCTGGTAGGCAAGGTATGGTTATTTTGGCTATCATATAAATGGAGCGCCGATCGACGACCACCTTCGGCCTGGCTTGGATCATTGCCCAGTGTGACGACGGGGGCAAGTGCTGGCCCTGTGGAGGACCGCATGAGTTTCATCGGAGGCAGCTGAGGTCCCAAAGTACCAGACTGCGCCGGTGAATCGCTCGAGCTTGACTCCTCCTCCACCAATATTCCGTCATCGCTAGACTCCAGCTCGCCGTTACTGTCGTCATCCCGGCTCTCCTGGTGGACGTTCCCTTCAGAGAGTATAACAGAGTCTTGCCTGGTGTTGATGGAGCTTTGTTCAGCCATGTCGTGACCATGGCCTGTTGCCATTCCACCTTGGATTGAAGAGCTTGTTGGCAGAGACGACTGAGAAGAATTGGGGATCAACGAGCGGACATAGGTGAGGGCATCGGACATGTCCTGGGGAGGGTGAGACTCTTGCCGAGTTGAAGAGGTGGAACCAAACGCTGACCCGGCTTGCTGTTGGGGCTCTGGTGATCCAAATGCTGAGATCCAGAGGAGGTCTTTGGCAAACGCTCCAAGCTTTAGGTTTCTCTCCACGTTCTTGATCCGCACCCCAATCTCGCTCCGCATAGCATCCAAGATCGCCTTCCAATCGCCACCTCGCTGCTCTGCGTTGCTGACCTCTAGACCATGGCACGCACGGAGGATGTTCACCTGGGAAAGGGTAATGGACATTGAGGTTCTGTCCTTGGCGCTCTTGCACGAGACGACATGACTTGTCACCCACAAGGACGACAACGGCAAAGCGGTGAATGCCTCTGCAGTATCCGGTATCTCCTCCTCGAAAGCAACGCCAACTCCACAACTTTCATGGTTTGATGCGGTCCAATGATTTGTAGATGCACGAAACTTTGAACTCTCTGTATGTAGAGCAATTGGCATCTTGATCTGACCAAGGGCTCGCGTGAGGGCCTCGGCGCACTCCAGGATATCCGTGTTCTTGTGCCCCTTGGAACTGAAGAGGCGCGACGACCCATACTCCATCATAGAGCCCAAGATTCCCGATGAGGCCCCAGACTCCGTTTCCTCCAACGTCCTTGACTCCAGAGCGTTCAGTGTACTCTGCGACGGGTATGAGAGCTGCACGTCGGATGACTCTGGCGGCGACATAGCAGAGATTCCTGAGGTGGGTGCTGATCTTGTTTCGTCAGAGTGCCCCAAGACCGACCTCTCCAGCTGGTCCAAGAGTTGCGCCACCAGAGACTCGCCATCCCAAAGCTCTGCTCTTGATGGCGACACCATGTCCCAGTCAGAATCAAGATTGGACAACTGAGATGCTGACGAGAGACCTGCCAGACCCCTCCGGATGGTGTGACGACCAGAGGTGTTCGCCTTTGCTCGATCGTAACCTTGAGGGGCCGCCTCCTGGGACTGGGACTGCCAGGCTTGATAGCGGGTGACGTAGTGTTGCATGTACCGGAGACCTTCCTCGTTGATCGATTGCTGAAGTGGTGACCGTCCTGTCAGGTTGGACAAGGTTTGCATTTCGTTGATGCCTTGGGAGAAGAAGACTGGGTAGACATGTATTTTGGAGGTGCCTGCCTTCAGCGGCTCTGGAAGCAGTGAGAACTGTAGCGGGTCCAATCCGAAACTCAACGTGATGCGACCGCGCCGACCCGATATTTGAATAGTTGTATCTTCAGCTTCCTCCACATCCGCTGTCCTCGTTGCCCCCCAAGTAGAGCTGTGTTCCGTCGACAATATCGGTGGTGACTGGGGGAGCATGTGGAAACCGATAGTGACATTCTCCCGCAAGTCCGCGACCGCTTGAACATAATCCAGAAGCATCCCAAGCTCGTTCCCCTGTGTCGAAAGCAGACTTTCGATCTGAACCAGCCATCCTAGGTTGACCAACTGATCCCAAAAGACTGCATTGTAGGTCTTGACCCGAGGAAAGTCCTCCAGCGGATGTTTTGCGGAGGATCGACCTAGACGTCCTGTTGTAGAGCTTGTTGACGATGCATTTGAGAGAGTCGATCGCAGGGATGGGCGCCGTTTTGCCGACTGCCCATTGAGTAGTCGGAAGCTACTAGATCGTCTCTTGGTGGAATATTGCGGTGCGTCGTGTTCGCTGGATCGCTCCTCATCGATAAAGTCCATGCCATTGAATCCTGATTGTCTCATATCCGGGTTACTCTCCAGCAGTACCGGCGCCATATTCGTCCACCAGTCCTCTAGAATAGCCAGAAATGAGGTCGCCATCGTCGCCATCAGCTGAGAAAATGAGCACTCCCTCGTCCTCTTCTCCATCATCCAATCTGCACCAGCCACCAAGGTCGCGTCCGTCATGAGACACTCGTGCTGAATCGCAATGTCGATGAATCCTCGTAAGTCTACTGTACACCGCACGACGTCCTTGACCAAACCCTTGCAACGGTCCAACCAGCGAGAAAAGTTTTCGTGGGTTTGGTCCTGTTCCTGATCGCCAGAGTGTCCAAGGTCGATCCCTTTCAACCTGACAATAAGGCTCTCGATTTCGCAGCAAACGGACCGAGCAGTGCCCTCCGTGGAAAGTGGCGTGAGGTACTCTTGTAAAAGGACCGTGCCCAAGGAAACGATCTCGCTGTTGAGGAACGTGATCTCCTTGAGAAGCGCAAGACATCGAGCTCTGTCAATGGCCTCAGTGGAGGTTACCAATGCAATGAATTCGCTGGAGCAGCTGTCCAAGACGTCCTGAAGAGCTCGGAAATCGCGCTTGAGGTCGAATCCTTTCTCCTGCTTGTCCCAGAAGGCACCAAAAGACGGAGCTTTGCCCAGCCTCGAGCCACCAGAACCTCGAGAGAATCCTGTACTGTGCGCTGCTGCCGCCCCGGCTGTCGTGGTCTGATAGTTTGTTTCTAGGTATAAAAAGATGGGGATATCATATCAGTCATCTATGAAATCATGTTCTGAATTGCTTTCGCCAGGTCTAAAAATGGATGTTCATAAACGTACGATATCCATCGTCATGGACAAGAAGCTCCTGCACGCAACAGTTCAGTGGGGCCCATTGAACGGACTCGTCCTTCTTCTCGGGGCTCCTGCGGAACGGTCCCTGGCCGACCTCTATGTTTTCCTTCAGCTTCTGCTCCATCTTGGCGACCATGTTCTGATAATAAACCTCTATGTTCCTGTGGGCGCTGATCTGCTGTCGTAGTAGTTTCTGAAGGTGAGAATCCTCCTCCGAAAGCCCAGATTGTCGAGCCTTAGTCGATTTGGCCACTTGCTCTCTGTTGGATGAGCTCGGCCGCGTGGCACCTCTCCGTAACGTCTCCATAAAGCTAACACCACGTGTGATAGGATTTGGACGATGGTCGAGCGGTACTGCTTGAACAAGGTCGGATAGAGACGTGTCAGGCTCCTTCTCGAGTTCCTCTAGCATTCGCTTCTCATCTTGGGCCAGGAATTGGAGCAACTTTATGGGCAAAGCGAACGCCAGCGGTGACTCGTACAGATGCTCGCGACCGTAGAGCGGGGTCCCTCGGACAGAGTGTCCATAGTATGTTTGAGAGAATAAAGGTCCGACACGACGCTTCTCTGCAATAGCCTTCAAAAGTGGCACCTTGGGGTATGTCTATTATGTTGGTGTTGGAAGGTGGACATAGGTTGAGTGTGCTGATTATCAAAATCGTGTTTTGCTGAGATACAATGTAAAGTGTCAAGAGAGACAGAAAACCGATGCATGACATACCTCCTCTACAACCACTCCAAGAGTGGCTACGGTGTGCTTGCTTCTCCTTTTCCCTGAATCAGGGAGCATTGGGATCTCCATTAGGGGTGCTGAAAATCGCACACCGTTGTCGGAGATGACCTTGTGGGTGGAATTGCCTGAACCAACCACAAAATGCTCAATCGCGACGGAGGTCTCTGCCCAAGGGAGCAAGCCGTCAAGTGCAGGGAATGCTTCGAGAACTTTGGGACTTGTGTTGGGGGGAGGGACGACCAGAAGGGTAAACCCGATGACGAGAAAGTTCTCCTGTATCTGTAGAGGCAATGATTTGACAAAGTGGCTCTCCAGTCGACCCTATAGCAACAAAATCAATTGACCCCAGGTCAGCTTTAGCTTTGTATGACTTACCATGATCCCAAGACAATGCTCTTTTTTGTTGGAGAACAGTTACAGCAAACATTATTTCTTTCTCTATCTCTCTCTCTCTGTCTCTTACCTTCCCCAATGATAGGAACTCTGTCCGGCACTGCTCTACCCAGGTCTCACGACCATCCGGCAATTGTACGAGGGCAGTCAGCACAAGAACGAGGTGGAGCCTGGCCTTGATCAATTTCTCGTGATGCTGCTCTGGATCGACAGCGATGGATACCCTCAATTGAACAGGTGGTTGCGGGGTAAAAGCTGACGTGGAAAGTCCAGGCGTGTCGAGTGAGAGGCGAGGAAGAGTCTCAGAGTCGTACGTGGCCAGTGCGGGTCCAGAGTCCGCCAGTGGGCTCAAAATACCCGAGTCGAGCGACTTCATTGCTGGACTGACCGGAGACGAATCAAGGACTACGATGGGAGCCAGTGTTGAAGCATTCTTAGGTTGAAGGGCAGTCGGGTGGGGGCGATGTTGTTGATGCTGTTGGTGTTGGTGGTTGGGGGTTGCGTGATGAGCCATGCCTCGTTTACGCAAGCGTCAGAGGAAAGAGCTGGGAGGAGGAAAGAAAAGTGAAAAATGAAAAGTATGCGTGGGCGTTTTTTTTTTCTTATTTCAATGGTACAGTACCCCTTTTATTTTTTTTTGGGCAGCATCAGCTGTCGTCTGTTGAGTTGTTGGCCTGTCTGTTTTTCTAGGTAATTATTCATGTCTACTCACTCTGCCCTGGTCAAAGAAGCGCGGCTGTAGTGGACATGGTCTGTTTTATCATGACCTGTTCTATGTTTGCTGTTGGTGCTGTGCAATTAGACTCTATTCTGGGGGTTGGAAAAAGGCTATCAATAAGCTTCTTGGCAGCGAGAAACACATGACACATGATGTAGCTGGGCGGGATAGAGTGTGGAAACGAGATATACTGGGTGTGTACCTGCATGTATCGACCGTGGTTAATGCATTCTTGCCCAATGGGCTAAAGCGGCGAGCGAGAGGGCAGTCCTACGGGATGGTCGATGCAGCCACGGTACAGAAGATTTCTCGTTTGAAGTTGTTTTTTATTGGCGTGTAGTAGATAAGAGAAAGATGAAGGAGAAGAGAAGAGAAAGACGCGTGTGTGTGTGTGGGTGGTGGTGGGTGTTGTGAATTGTGGCTTAGGGTGGTACTCCATCTTACCTATCGCGCGAGTGGCACGAACAGAACGTGAGTGAGTGAGTGAGTGAGTGGGTGTGCGTTGATGTTTGAGTTGTGTCAAACAGGTCCAGTAGCAAAGCAGCAAAGAAAAAGTTGTTTTTTATCCTTTTTGTCCGTTTGCGTGTGAGTGCTGTCAGTAGGGATGTGCTCTCTTTCTGTCTCTCTCTGTCTCTCTCTGTCTCTCTCCGTCTGTTCTCGTGTTTTTTCCCTTTGGCCCTTTCTCTTTCTCTCTTTCCCTTTCCTTTTTCTTTTTTCTTTTTCCCTCTCTTTCCTTCTTTCCCTCTCCTCCCTTTCTTCCTTCTTCTCCCTCCCCTCCCTCCTCCCTTCCCTCCCCTTTCCTCTCCCTTTCTCCTCTCCTCCGCCGGATTCCCGTCCACCAGCGCAAGGAATACAAATACAACCAACGCACACACACACACACACACCACACACACACACACACGCACAACCAACCAACCAACCAACCAACCAACCCCAATCCTCTCCATCCGCACACTCACTCACCCACCACACCGTAAGTCATCTTCACCTCAATACTCTCAGCTGCAACACCACCTACCTATTTGTCTGTTGCCGTCATCTCTTTCTCATCCCACGTCCAAAAAAGAAAAGAAGAAAGAAAAAAAAAAGGACTCGATTTTGCTCTGCCACTATGGTCTATGCTCCATGGCCCATGCTCTTTCTCTTTCCACACAGACTCAACTCAGACACGGGCACTCTCGCACACTCTCTCTCAGACATACACACGTACACTCACACAGACACACAGGTCTCAGCCTCTAACCCGTTTCTTTCTATCTTCTTCTGTCGCGCATATATCAATATTTCTTTGCTTTTGCATCTCTTTAGACCACTCAACTTCGTCAAAAAAAGAACGCAATCCAGCACAAAATATCCGACTCATCCTAAAATAAGACGCGACATCCCTCTTCGTGTCCGCATCTCCAGTCAACCGCACACAAAAGTGGTCGCATACAACAACAACAGCAACAACAACAACAACCAACAAAAGCACCAATAGCAACAACAAACCAGTGTCGAGTGAAAGCACACACACATACACAGAGAGAGCGACACAGCATCCACCATCTGCATCCCAACAAGTGTCTCTCAGGACTGAAAACCCCAAAAAGGACTCATGTTTGCCTCGTCGACTGCATCCCAGTCCCCCATCCATCGGTCGCTTCCGCAGGCCTATGCAGAGATCTTGAACGACCTCAATCAAAAAGTGATTTCTGCCCAGCCCCAGGATGTTCTCCAGTTTTGCGCCAACTACTTCAACGCAAAGCTGGAAGAACAACGCGTTCGCTTCTTGGCCACAGGTAAGGCTCACTTCTCTCTTCAGGCTCTGTCTGTATCTTGCTCTCGCTCTCTGTTTCTCTCAATGACTGCCATTGTCCGACTCTTCTTTTGTCTTTTATTCCGATTACTTTTTCTTTTGAGTCTGGTTATTGTTGAGGAGGAAAGAGGAACCGACTGGTTTGAACAATGGATTGGTTGTGCGTCTGGCGCTTTTTGGGAAGAATCCCGGACCCTTTTGCAAAATGATGGACAGGTTATAAACACGTTGATTGAGCCATTGTGAAACGGGAGGAGAAGGTATCCACACAAAAACGTCCCGTGGACGAGTTTTGAGTTGGGTTGGACGTTGGCCTTGACCATGGCCATGTCTTTGCTTTTGGGTTTTGTTTGTTTGTTTGAAGGGCTGGTGAGGAAAAGAAGGAGGATGAAGGACCTATGGCAAGTGGAGAACGTGCTGCTCAATGGCAGTTGCCTCCTATCTTCAATTCCTCGTGGCCACAGGGCCCACCATCGTTGAACGGAATGGGAAGAGAGGGGGGCAAAAGAAGGGGAGAGGGAAGGAAAGAAGGGAAAGAAGGGAAAGAATCAAGCCACATCTGATGAACCTGCACCCTCTCTCTCTCTCTGCGGGAAAGACGAATGATTGGTGTGTTGCAAAGAATGAGTTCTCCCGACTGACCAAGCCCTTGCCATTATTATTTTCTTTTTCTCATATCTCGCTACTTTTTGGTCTCAAAATTAGCCCGCACTGCTCCACAGCAGAACAGAGATATCCCCCAATTCCTGCCAGCGGTTATCCCCCCCTCTCTGTCCGTCTCGTCGCCCAACATCGGTAGTGCCGCCACCCCTGCAGCGTCGAGTCCCGACCACTCGATGGAGAGCGAAAGTGAGAGCGACGACGACGACGAGGACCAGGAAGACCCCAGCCCACTGCTGATGATGCCCCCCAACTACATGCGTGGCCGTCGCACCTCTGTCAGTGCCGAGAGTATGGTTCCCAGCCACCAGAACTATGTCAAGACAGTCATCCCCAAGACGGACGAACAGCGCCGACGTATCGAGGTTTCGATTTCCAACAACTTTTTGTTCAAGAATCTGGACGAAGATCAGCACGAGGATGTGGTCAACGCCATGACCGAGAAGCGCTTCCAGTGCAAGGACAATGTGATCGAGCAGGGTGCCGTCGGAGATTTCTTTTACGTGGTGGAAACAGGAACGCTGGACGTCTTTGTTGCAAAACATGGCAATCCCGCCGAGAAGGTGTTTGAGTATGGGCCAGGAGGAAGCTTTGGAGAACTCGCACTCATGTACAACGGTCCTCGTGCCGCCACAGTGACAGCAACGTCAGATGTGGTTCTCTGGGCTCTGGACCGTGTTACCTTCCGCCGAATCCTCATGGAGAACACCTCTCGCAAGAGGCGCATGTACGAGGCCTTCCTGGAGACCGTCCCCCTTCTTGTATCCTTGGAGCCCTACGAGCGTCACAAAATTGCCGACGCATTAGAGTCTGTGTACTTTACCGACGGCCAGGCGGTTGTGAAGCAAGGCGACCAAGGCGACAACTTTTTTATTATCGAATCTGGAGAGGCTACCGTTACAAAGTGCAACGATGAGGGTGTAGAGTTCCCCATGCCAGGACTTGGACCCGGTCAATACTTTGGAGGTATGTTGGCCATCTTTTCTAATTGTATAACAGATGCGATCTCATAGATTGTTATGGATGAGAGCGCTCCACAGAGATCCAGTCTATTTATCAGGCATCTCCCCTCCTTGTCTAATTGAAATTGATAGAGCTGGCCCTTTTGAATGACATGCCACGAGCTGCGACCGTTCGGGCAAAAGGAAGGCTAAAGTGCGCGACCTTGGGCAAGCGTGCCTTTGTTCGTTTGCTTGGACCCGTTGTCGAGATCATCAAGCGGAACAGCGATAATTACCAAACAATTGAGCAGCAGATCCAACAACAGCAGCTTTTGCAGGATCAGCAACAACAACAGCACCAGCAGCCACAGGCAACGGAAGCGGCCCCTCCTCATCCCCAGGAATAGGCCCACCACCGATGAAGACAACCGCTTTGGTCCCACGCACCGGAGGCAAGATAGTTTTTTAGTTGTTTGTTGCAGGATCTGCTCTGGGATTATTATTTTTCTCTTTCTCCCTGCCCAGAAACTTTGGAAACGGAATACAACGACCATCACTTCTACCCATCCTCTTCTTCATCTCTTTTTTTCGTCTTATGCTTGCTCTTATTTCTTACTCTCACTTCACCTTAGTATTATTATTATTGTCCATAAAGCAAAAAACAAACGATAGATAAGTTTGACTATTTTTTATTTCTTTGATCTGTGAACACTCTTGCAAAGGTAAAGGATGGCCATCTATTGCGAGCAAAAAAACAAACAGAACAGAGAGCCGATACTGTTAGTTTTTTTTCTTTCACTTGACATGCATAGCTGCATCGCTGGATTATCCAATGGTTTGTGGTGTGTATCATCAGTCTATAGGAGCTCTACTACGATCTCCGTTCCGTTAGAATCCTCATAATTAATCGGATGTCCCTAACAAATAGTCATCATTTGATACAAGGTGCGCATTGGTGTGCCCTTTGGATGTAAAAAGATATTAGGTGTGAAGGAAAAAAAAGACTTACACATTGTGTGGATACTTGGACGGAAAACTTTGAAGATAGGGAAGTGGTGGGCAGGGGATTGGGGAGGAGGAGGGGGGAAGGAAAGTGGAGAGAGAGATGAAGAAAGTGTGAGACGAAGAAAAAGAAAAGTTTTCAGCCTCCCTTTTGTTTTCGCGATTTTTTTTTTTCCAATTCTCCCCGCTGCAAATACCTCCTTGTTAGATTCCTTTACGTCACCTGCACGGGTGAAAATCGCGGCCTTGCAATTAACTTCCAATCATGAACGCGTCCCTGCATAGAAATTTACATGCACACAACGCGGGACAGGGGAAACTCTTTCGTTAAGCCTAGACAAAAAGTCATAGGCTTCTTCAAAAGAGGAACCCAGGTCGTGACAATTGAACAACCTTTACCTTCTCCTCCAAAAAAAAAAAAAGAGTTGGGTCAGGAAGTTATGGAACGATCGGTGTTTTGAGGATACACCTTATTTTCTTTTTTATCTCTGTTTTTTATCGGCAGAAAGAAAAAGGGTTCTTCTCTTGTTTTGTTTTTTGAGGTAGCGATTTTTTTTTCTTTACAGTGATTATCATGCTAGTACTGCCGGGACAGGTTGGGTCGGGTTTCTGCGATATACGGGGGTGCCGTGATTGTTTGGGCTACTTTGAGGAAGAAAACCAACACGGCAAGAGAACTTTGTCAAATGGAAATGGGTGTAGCTCTGTTATTTTTTCTCTCTCTCACACACACACACACACAATCTTTCGTTATCGCTAATAAGAGAGAACATACAAAAATAAGACGTGCTCTTCTTATTGAAAAGAGAACTCAAGCTTTGTAGCCGTAGGAACTAAAGGGATGGGAAAGGGGTGCGGAGTAGGTAAGGAAGAATGAAGCGAAGAAAGGAGAAGGAGAGGGTGAAGGGAGGTGACTGGAAGCGATTCAAGGGGACACAGAGAGGTCAGAAAAAAAAAAGACAATGTGTGCTTACTTAGTTTTCCTTATTGTCCATCTGGACCCCCCTTTCTATTCCATCTCGTCCTGTTTCTGCCATTACTAAGTAGAAAAGACAAGCTTGGTGCCACCAGAAGAAGGCACTTTTGGAGTGTGAGGAACAGCCGATTGCCTCCATGCTATGACAATCCTTTGATAGATGCGATACTTCTTGTCTCCTATGGGGACCTCCGTGTACAATCCTTCTTTAGTTAGTACTACTTTCTATGGATCTGTGGACGCGCATATATCCTTGGTTGCAAGAAGATCATAAGCAGTCGAAGAGGAGAAGGGGTGATAATGATGGAGAGATGCATGGATGCGGACACTTAGAACGTCAACAAGCAGGCTCATTATCCTAAAATGAAGGAAACGAGACCTCCGTGGAGAAGTAGAAGAGAAGGAAGGTCTGTGAGAGCAACAAGAAGGGGGTAGAGTATCAAGCGGATTTTTTTATAATTCCTTCCTTGCTCTCCCTTTCAATGAAGGACATCCTCCTTAAGCTGCAAAAATAATATGTTGTCTCTTGGGTGCGCACATCCAAAGGGGATAATAAAATGCATGAGAGTAACACACCAAACGGACAACCTTGCCGGCAGACCTATAGCATGGAGACCTTTTCCCCTCCCTCTCCTCCTTCCTTGTAGATTACTTTTTGGATCTCTTAGCACATATGATAGAAGCGAAGCAAAACAAACAAACTAGCATGGAAGCAACACCTAAACAACTAGTCTCAAACGTTTCAATGTGTGGGATTACTATCAAACCTTTGAGCACGTCTGTCTTTAAACCTTCAGGTTAACTTATCCGGAAGGACAACGCAGAGGATGCACACTCCCACATTCAAAATATATACGTACTTTCGAAAGCCCCAATGAGTGGGGGCCAGCATGATGGAAGTATAAAAATGGCCACCATCGCCACTCTTTTTGAAACTCATCTTCGCACTCACCAACGCATCTCTTGCATCCTCAGCCCAGCACCAGCACCAGCACCGCTCTCCCATTATCAACAAAACACACCTTCACCCCCACTCTATCAACATGAAGATCATCTCCATCGCCGCTGCTGTCCTCGCTGTTGCCATTGCAGCTGTCCAAGCTGTCCCTGTTCCTGATGGCGGCCTCGTCAACGCTATCATCAAGGACAACAAAGTCAATGCCAAGGTGCCTATCGATGTCGATGCCCACAATCTCAAGGTCTTAAGCTCCAAGCGTGGTCTCGTCAACGCTGTCGTCAAGGACAACAAAGTCGATGTCAAGGTGCCTGTCAAAGTCGACGCCCACAATGCCAATATTCTCAAGCGCCACACTGTCAACACGGAAGTCAAGAAAAACAAAGTCAATGTCAAGGCGCCTATCGATGTCGATGCCCATAATATCAAGGTCTTAAGCTCCAAGCGTGGTCTCGTCAACGCTGTCGTCAAGGACAACAAAGTCGATGTCAAGGTGCCTGTCAAAGTCGACGCCCACAATGCCAAGATTCTCAAGCGCCACACTGTCAACACGGAAGTCAAGAACAACAAAGTCAATGTCAAGGCGCCTATCGATGTCGATGCCCACAATATCAAGGTCTTAAGCTCCAAGCGTGGTCTCGTCAACGCTGTCGTCAAGGACAACAAAGTCGATGTCAAGGTGCCTGTCAAAGTCGACGCCCACAATGCCAAGGTTCTCAAGCGCCACACTGTCAACACGGAAGTCAAGAACAACAAAGTCAATGTCAATGCGCCTATCGATGTCGATGCCCACAATCTCAAGGTCCTGTAAGTAACCTTCGCTGTTCTATACCATTTTCTCATACCCTCAGAAACCTGAGTGTTACCGTTACCCTAGTTAGCTTTCAAGCATCATCATCTCTTCATTTGCCTAGCAGTCATAATAATAATAAGAAGAATATGAGAACCTACATCCTGGGCTACTCGATTGTTTTTGTTTGACCTTCGGCTGTCGAGTCTTCTCCACTTCGCCCACGTTTTAATTGAGAAGGGCAACCTATGTATTTGCAATTTTGATGTGACGTAGAAAGTGTTTTTTCGGAAGGGTTGTCCAGATCATCTCTTCTCAGTTCTCACTAACATACATTCAACAAGCACCATGTCGTCGGAGGATATTGTCTATCACGCCAAAGCCCCCATCAAAGAGGGTCTCCAGGCCGGAACCATCGGTGCCGGAATCGGTCTTCTCGTCTCTGCCGTCCAGAACTCTATCGGAACACACTCTCACGGAGCCACCGGTGTTGTTGCACGAACTGGAAGCACCATCGGAGTCTTTGGTAAACCAACTCTCCACCCATATCTCTCTCCCTTCGACCCGCTCCCTTTGCATTTGTCTTCGACATCGACACCGACACCACCCTCAGCATCTACTCCGATCAAGCAAACATTGTCGTTCAGCATTCGGGAGATCTCAGGAACAGCAGACCCGCCTTTCCAGCAATCGACTCATTTACTTCTCGGAGATCCCTCGGAGATTCGGTGCGAGCTAACAGGAGGGGCTGAATCAACTCGATCTCAAGTCCGGGACGGCATATGATTTCTATAGACTTCCATCTTTGCACCTGGAGTGCTTATCTTTTGTCCAGAACGGCCCAATGGTTCGCTTCAGGAGTTCAGGATAGTCAACGAACATCACGGATCTTTTCATCTTTTCCGCGCTATTGGACAATACTATCTCCGGAGGCGGCCACTAACCCGCTTTTTTTTGCATCTCTTCCCTCGACAAATGATCAGCCGCTATGGCCGGTGTCTTTGCTGCTACTGATGCTGCTGTTGCCAACATTCGCGAGACCAAGGATGCCTGGAACTCTGTTGCTGCCGGATGCGGCGCAGGATTGGTTGCTGGTGGATTCCAGCGCAACGCTCAGACCATGGTTTTCGGATGCTTGGGTATGGGTGCTATGATGGGCGCCTTTGATCTCAGTGGATCATCTCTCAAGGTAATTTTTCAGCCGTTATTGCACGCAGAGGTGCACATAGCTGCGTCGATTGTTTGATCTGTACACTATCTTATCCTGGCACTCACAATCGTCTTTGCACCTTTCCAATGCAACTGTAGGGCAAGTACGCTGACATGACCGAAGATCAGAAGGCGCAATGGAGAAAGAGCCAATTGGACACCAAGTAAAAAGCGAATAATTTGTAGGACGAGTTCTCGTCAATGTCACCTTCCCCCTCACCTTCCCCCTCACCTTCACCGCACCAAATCTCCACTCTCGAAACAATATGCCATATTCCAGCCCCGAAGACAATCAACAACAACATACATAGAACGCCAGAAACGGACTGGAGGCATAAAAACACGCAAATACCATCAAAAAACAAAGAAGCATATGTGTTTTCCAGAAGGAATATAGGAATATTGTTCTTGCGACAAGCAATGGGTGCAAACAGACAGATAGCCCGCCTGCGCGTTATATGGAATGGGTCACGTGGAGAAAGCCTTTCTATGGTTTCTTTTTTCTCTCGAAAACGTTCTCTTTTCCTGCACCTCTTCCTTCGTTCCTTCCCCTCCTTTCATCTCTCTGCACCCCTTTGCCGATCTCCCTACTTTTATTATTATTACTTCCTCGGTCACTCAGTTCAGTCGCCTCTCCCCAAGGAAACTCATCCTCGCCATCGCCAGGTTCTCCCAAGAGGCAACCATCAAGAAGAAAGCGTACGACAAAAAAAAAAAAAAAAAACTCAGGAACCAGGCACGAAGATGTCGTTTAAGTAACCAGACTTCTCACTCTGGTCTTCATTCACTGAAAAAAGTCGTCTAACCTTCTTGACTGTTCCTTCGACACATGTATGCACCTCTTGTAGACAAAGATGAATGACGAAAAGAAAGTAGAGGACCTTCTCAAGAGGTTAGAGAAGGAGAACGAAATCCTCAATGCGACCCGTAATATCCGCAAGATCCAGCAGAGCGACGCTGCTAGGGCTTCGTGTGATGTCACCATCGAAGAGTGCCAGCAGCGTATCGACTACTTCCAGAACGAGGTCAACAGGCTGTTGTCAAGGCTCATGGACAACCCCCCAGGATCCGCTACAGGAGTAGCCTCGGTCAAGCCCACTAGCTCCACCTCGAGCCAGTCAGAGACTGGTCGTCCTGAACTCTCTCACAGCCGACAGCCATCTGTCTCGAGCGTCAATGCCTCGCAAGAGAGCACTGTTGCCAACAGCAAGCCTCTTTCAACAGTTGGTAAGCATTGTAGAGAAACTTGACTCGTGCTATCATGCGGATTTGTTTATTTTTTCTTCCATCCATTTTCTGTGTATCTCTGGGCTGTAACCAGTAGCGGCTGTAATATGAACACGCCACAAAAAGGAAGGACATAGCCTATGATTGATTGATTCGACGACTCACATTATTTTCTAACTGTCCACTCGTCAATCTAGACCTCCTCAAGTCATCGAGGACTATTACTACCAACAAGGTCGTCTACAAGATGCATGAGTTGGCCTACAAGTTGGAGGTCGAGAAGAAGGTCAAGCTGGCTTCGCAAAAGATGGAGCAATTGGGCGTGTCTGCCAAGGACGAGAACGAGGAGAGCAACGAAAAGATTGTGCTGTTGAAGCGTGCTCTTCAAAAGTACCAGGGACTTTACATCCCTGGAGAAGGTAAGCTTGTCAAAAGGTTTTTGACGAAGCCATGGGGTACTTGCCGAAAGTTCTGCAGTCCGATGCTCAAAATACAAACTTTCTCACGCTCATGTCACAACAACTCTTTTTTGTTATGTATGGATAGCTGAGGATGCTTCGACACCCGGGTCAGCTATGCGAAGACCGATGACTGGAATGCTCAACATTCGTATCACTGGAATCAAGAACCAGAACAACGCCCCCACTCGTAACTCTCGCCCCCCGGAGTCCATGGCAGTAATCAAAATCGACGGTGTGATCAAGGGAAAGACAAGGATGGCTCGCAATGGATCTATGGGAATTCGATGGAACGAAGACTTTTCGATCTCTGTCACCAAGGCCAGTGAGATCGAGATCACTGTCTACGACCGACCTGAATATACCTCTGTCCCTATCGGCATGTTCTGGCTGAAGATCTCGGATTTGGTGGAGGAGTTGCGCAGAATGAAGGTCGAGGCAGACAATGATGCGGTCTGGGCAGCAGCGAGCGTCCAGGACCTGGCTGTTAAGAGCCCAGGCTCGCGCCACAACTCTACATCCCACGGCAGCGACAATGCAGGAGCTAATGTCGATGGGGTCGAATCCTTCTGGGACCTAGAACCAGTTGGACAAATCGGACTCAAGTTCAACTTTGGTATGAAACCAGCAACTGACTCACTTATTTTTATACATCTTAAGGTTCTCATGATTTGACTAACCGCTTGCTGTATCTTGGTGCATGTTGTCTTTTAGTCAAGGATGTCGCTGTCCGCAAGCGTCAGTCCAGACTGGGTCGTCAAGGAGCTGTCCGTAAGCGCAAGGAAGACATTCAGGAGGTCCAAGGACACAAGTTTGCTGCCCAAAAGTTCTACCAGATCATGTGCTGTGCACTTTGCAATGAACTTTTTACTGGCAGGGGCTCCCAATGCGAAGGTGAGGATTGAGTCGATACGTTTGTTGTGTTGAATTGGATGACCAATCGCACGTTTTGTTGTCCAAGGCAAAGTATCTAACTCATTTCACAACATTGTCCCCTCCTCACCACAATGTCCCTGCATGCATAGACTGCAGTTTTGCTTGCCATCCTCGTTGCGCCGAAAAGGTGTTCACCAAGTGTATTTCATCCAACACTGCAGACGATCCTGATGAGGCCAAGTTGAATCACCGCATTCCTCACCGCTTTGAAACCTTCACCAACTTGTCTCCAAACTGGTGCTACCATTGCGGACACATGCTCACATTTGGACGCCGACACAAGATGTGTTCAGGTATTATTTTGTTTTCCATGCTCGCTTTGAATTTCCAAGTTGTTCTTAGAAACCAACCCTGCTCACATGTACGCGTCTATTCAACCTTTTAGAGTGCCCTGTTTTCGCTCACGAAGGGTGCAGTGACCTTATTCCCAACCTTTGTGGCATGCCCGCTGAAACCGCGAACAAGCTCCTTGAGGAGATTCGTCGCCGTAACCAACAGGCCAAGACCCAGCAGAAGCCTGTATCGACTAGCCCACAGTACGCACCCCCTACAGCAGAAGAGATGCAGGCTCAGGTAGCCGAGCAGGCTCGTCTGGAGGAAAAGATGCAGCAGATGAAGTTGGAACAGCAACAACAGCAGCAGCAACTTCAACAAGAACAGGAGCAAGAGGAACAAAAGCGACAGCTGCAGGAGGCCGAGCAGAAAAAGCAGGAAGTACAGAAGCAGCAGCTCTTGCAAAAGCAGCAGGCCTACCAGTTGCAACAACAGCAGCAGTACCAGCAGCAGTTGCAGCAGCAAGAACAGGAGTCTGCTTCGCCAACCACCCATCAACAGCAGGAGCCTGTTCGCGACAACGACATGTTCCGTAGAGAGCAACAGCGTCTGGAGATGCTGCGATTGGAGCAGGAGCGCGCCCAGCAATATCAGCAGCAACATCAACAGCAACAGCAGTACCAACAGCAGCAACAGTACCAGCAGCAACAACCATACCAGCAACAGCAATACCAGCAGCAACAATACCAGCAGCAGCCTCAACCTCAACAGGCCCAGCAGCGCCCTCATCCCATGATGCCCATTCCTCATACCCCCACTCTCAAGATTGTCAACAAACCATCCGCTCAGCCTTCCCGCAAGTACGGCATGGACGATTTCCATTTCATTGCCGTCTTGGGTAGAGGAAACTTTGGAAAGGTCATGCTTGCCGAAGACAAGAAGGGAGGCGAGCTCTATGCTGTCAAGGCCCTCAAGAAGGACTCCATTGTCCAACATGACGAAGTCGAAAGGTAGGGCGCGACAAGTTTATTTCTATGACTTTTTTTTCTGCGATCATCACCTCTTCCTTTGTTTAACAGTACCAATTGTTTTCTCTTTCAATAGTGCCAAGTCGGAGAAGAGGATTTTCCAAGTGGCCAACAAGGAGCGCCACCCTTTCTTGACAACCTTGCACTCGACCTTCCAGACAAACACCCGCCTTTACTTTGTGATGGAGTATGTTAGAGGAGGCGATTTGATGATGCACATCCAGAAGGATAGACGCTTCGGAGAGCGCCGCGCCAAATTCTATGGATGCGAAGTCTTGCTGGCGCTCCAGTACTTCCACCAGAATAACATTGTCTACCGGTAAGTTCTCCTTTCTTTTTCGAACTTCCGCAATGCGTTTCTGTAACATGATCTGGCGCCTTTTTTTCGCACACGAATTTAACATTATTTCATACTTCATCATCTTACAGTGATCTCAAATTGGACAACATCTTGTTGACAATGGACGGCCATATCAAGATTGCCGACTATGGTCTGTGCAAGGAGAACATGGGCTATGGAGTCACGACAAGAACCATCTGTGGTACTCCCGAGTTCATGGCTCCCGAGATCTTGGAAGAGGTACCCTATGATCGTGCTGTCGACTGGTGGGCATATGGAGTCTTAATGTACGAGATGTTGTTGGGGCGCGCTCCCTTCTCGGGAGAGGAGGAGGACGAGATTTATGACGCTATTATGGACGATGAGCCTCTCTTCCCTCACGGGTTTGGTCGTAACGAGCAGGCCCTTCTCCAATCGGTAAGTCTTGCCCTTTTTTTTCTTCCTGACGTTTTGGTAATCATCGCACGCATTCGACGTAATTAACATTCGTTAACCATTAACCCGTTTCTTTCATCGTCGCCCAATAGCTGTTGGTGAAGGTTCCTCACCTGCGTCTCGGATCAGGACCTGGAGATGCAGAGGAGATCAAGGCACACGCCTACTTCCGCGACGTCAACTTTGACGATGTCTACCACAAGCGTATCACCCCACCATTCTTGCCCATGATCACCTCTGCCAAGGATGTGTCTAACTTTGACCCCGAGTTCACGAGAGAAAACACGTCCGAGACCCCTACGGATTACCGACTCAACCATGTAGAGCAAGGGTTCTTCAAGGGCTTCTCTTACTCCAACCCTTGGCTCCAGGCCTAGTTTTGCATTTCCTTCATTTTGTTTAACTTATATATATATCTCTAGAAAGCTTTTCGATAAACATCATTTCTTTTTTCAGTCATGTTGTTCGATGCTTGTCATCATTTTATTATTTTCTAATCCGATCGCAGCGCAGTTAGGACATCGGTGTGTCGAAGCTTGCTTGCGAGCAACTGCAAGAAATCCATAGCGCCCGTGTCTGGCTGCGGGTGCTTGTCTAAATAGATAATCACAATTGAGACATGCTGGTCTGCTCGAGCAACGTAATAGGTACACCCGATCTTGCGGTCATAAAAATACTGGCTTCGGAACTGACGGAGGATACTAGAACTCCCTTGCATGATCGAAATGATGTTTGGCCAATGGTCTTTTGGTGGTTCCTATTACAGCATAACAAGGAATAAAATTCAGTTGAAGTTGGGTGAGTGAGTACCTAGAAGACACTGCAGAGAGCCTAGGAATGGCGAACCGTGGCGTAAAAAAAAACCAGACAGGTACAACACGTACTGGAGGATAACTGTAAATACATGGAAACGAGTTCAACCCGGTAGGAGCTTCATAGGGCGCGTTTGCACTGACGAATCCAGATGTAGAAAACCGGACATCGCGCGATATTTCGTATACCAAAGAGATACTATGAGCGCCAGCCTTTTTCCTGAACGTCCTTATCCTAGGTCGACAAAGAGTGGGAAAAAAATATCTCCAGCAGGTCAGATGCGTAACAGGAGCCATCAACCCCCTCCCCGCGAAATAGGTAATTAATTACGCGCTTGAATACCATTTTCTGACAAGTACTTACATTCCGTGCATATCAGGGTCCATACCAGCCCAAAGACTCCGCTCATCTCCTCCCATAGCCTGCTCTTTTTCCAAAAGGCTATCCATAAAGTAAATCGTCATCTTTGATTTCTCACTCGTGATCCATCGGTGCAACCACAACAGATGGTTCGGCTGCAAGTTGAACTTTGCCTTGACCGCAGATTTCGATTTCTCGTCAACGCTCGCAAAGATGTTGTATTGTCGCCAGGTGGTCTCCTCGGGTCGGTGATAGGATTTCTCAGAGTATTCCTGTTCGAGTGAGAGGCGACGCCATTCGGAGAGGGCGACGCAGGCGAGATGGAGGTGAATGGCGGATTTCTGGAGATCGTACTCGGCTATGGCGCGGTCGATCAGGAGGCTGTGGCGGAGGAGTTGGATCTCGCATTCGATGCCTAGTCCCAAGACTGAGTTTTGGATTTCGACTGTTCCCGTTCCGTAGAGTTGGAGAACACGCTCTGTCTCTGGGAGGATGCCCTTGACGTCGATGTCGACTGTAGACATCGAGAGCATTCTATAGCTATTGGGTATATGCATCCAAAATAAAAAACGGTAACTTAGTTATGCCATGCTGAAAATAGTGATATCACTACCTGACCCAGACTTCGATTTTGCAACCGCCCGCACTTACATTCCAATGAGAGCCATACGAAGACTACACAACTCCCGAAGAATCGTATAAAGAACAACATGATCCGCCGCCGACTGGTCCTCGCGTCCATAGTAGCTGCCCTGTCCCGCATGGTGGCCATAAGTCGGTGACGTATTACTTGGTATATAATCTCGTCCATTTCCTCCGCTTCCACCGCTGCCGCCTCCAATGAAGTTGTTGGCGATATGCTGATGTATACTGGGTTGACTCACCTCGGACATGTTCAAGGCCGGAGAGCTGTTCCCTGAAGACCCCTGCTGTTGCCGAGTGATGATCGCCCTGCTGCCACCGCCGCCACTGTGTTCCGTTTCGCCGGAACCATAAATCTCAATGCTGATATCCCGATACGATAGAGTCTCTCGCTCAATCTCGGCCAGTAGGTCGCTGTACAAATGGTACAAGTGCTATGGCGGGGTAGACCAGACGATCAGTTTGAAAGACAGAGAGAGGCGGGTCAGCTATCTAGCTCTCATGAGAAGATATCGACAAATATGAAAAACGGGTGGGATATGACATACGTCTTCTCTACGGAACATCTTGGGCTTGAGGAACTGCATTGAACTGTAGACGCCCTCGCATTGGATGACTTTGGAACATATCGACACTGCGGAAGGGTATGCCTAGGTATTTGTATATATTTATGTTTATCAGCACGCGTCAAGAAGATCCCTCGCCAAGTAGAGTGTCTCTCATCTTCCAATGAGCAAAAACAAAAACCATGAACAAATCGAACCATCACAAACAACAAAAGTAAAACAGAGGAGGGGGGGACAAGCAAGCTACCTTGATGCGCATGAGGTGTTTGTTGGCGCAGACATAGTCGAATGACCCCAGAGCCTTGATGAACTCTGCACAGTCTCTTGAAAACATAAAAAGAAGAGGAATTAAGCGAAAGGAAAAAAAAAAATGGTCCTCAACTCAAGCGTGGAACTTTCAAGAGTAGCAGCGGACAAAAAGTCAAAAAGCCGGCAGCAGTGTTGAGATTGGCAAAAGTTAATTCCCAGTCCGGGGATCGAACCCGGGCCTTGTCGGTGAGAGCGACAAATCCTGACCACTGGACCAACTAGGAAATTGCTTATTGTAAAGCATGATTATGGCACATTTATCAACTCAAGAGACGCCACCATCTGCGACGTACAACTTGGTGGCGTTTTCCCCCCCAAAAAAAAAAAAAAAAAAAAAAAAAAACGACGTCTACGGTCTTCCGAAGACAGTCCTTCACAAGTTTGTTGGCTACCTGGAGGCGCAGGCCTTGGAGCTGATCTGGAAACCTCGGTGCTCCGCGACGATCGCGTGGGAGCAGACCCAGGGTATCTCTGCCAAGGACAAGACATCCAAATATACAGGCCCCCGAGGTGACTGGAGTCAAGGATACGGTTACATCACGCACGATGGTTTCTGTCCGTGTGGCGCTTCGCTAGCCACACATGATGAAGGAAGGTGCCCTGGAGCGACCAAGGACCCACGCGCTGCTGACGAGCGGTTGTTGGAGACTTTGTTAGGAAGGTGGAGTTGTCAATGATGGAGAGGATGGGAAGAATCCCCTTTATTCGTATCTAGTTTTGCTTTCTTCCGTTTAAGCTGTGAAGAGCAGCGATAGTTGTTAAGCAGAGCCAGGTTCCGGACCGGACTACAACTAGTGGATGGCCCACTAAAGAGTTTAACCTAAAGCCCCTTTACTTCCAAATGCCTCGTTTGTGTTTTTGTCAGAGAAATTAAATTGTGTTAAAAAAAAAAAGCTCCGAAGGCACTGTTGTAATGCTTTGCTGAAGGGGTTTGAGAATGAGAATGAAAGGACGAAGTTTATTAAGAAAGAACCTATGCCAAAACTATTTTGAGCGTGAAAATGGTGGGCAAGTATGAGCCTAGTGGAAAAGACATAGAGAGAAGAAATAAGAGCAAGTAGTGATAGCAACACCGAGGGAGGAGAGCGAGTCCATTTTCCTCCCCTTCAAGATCGACGCGATCACTAGAAGAAAAGGGAAAGATAGAGACGGAGCAAATAAATACAATGCCAGCGTGCAAGCAGAACGGCGATGCCAATAGCATATTGTTTTATGTTTCTTTGTCGTTTCCCTGGTCTGGCGTGGTCATGGCTGGAACGGCGGAGGTGCCTCTCTCTCTCGTCTTTGGTTACATCAATGCTTGCGGGGTCCTTCGGTCTCCGAAAATCTACAAGTTAGCTGCACTAGGAAAGCGGGCGTTATAAAGTAGCTCCGGGAGAAAGGCAGCAACAATCTGCCTACCGGCAAAAAATCGACCTCCCAGTGTCTGCACTGCATTCGTAGCTGACTGGACGCTATCAAACTTCAAGAAAATATCGCCCTGAGAAAGTATGCAAAAATAGTCGCGTTAGTGAGCGCCCACTGGATAGTTCGGATTCATTCATGACGGCCGACCGGGTTGCAGACGTACCATTGTATCCTGTTGAACGTGGATGTGGACGACGGGTCCACTCTTCTCGGCCTCTTCTTTGACATCTTCTTCCAGTTCTTGAGCCCACTCTGGTTCAGTTTTGCTATAGTAAAGTACAGGCAGATAAGGAGAGGATATTAGATTTGGTGCGCTCATGACAGCGTGTTGTTTTTGATGGACGAAAAAGTAATACAAGTTCTTACTCTTCCTCAGTGAACATGTTCTTCAAAAGAACCGCGCGCGATGGCATGACGACGGGGAGTTGCCTAGGTGGACTGTCAAACGAATATTCACATTAGTCATATGTAACAATGGCGTTTCGAGACCTTAAGAATCGTCTTTACAAGAGGAAGAGATCTGACTTACACAAATGAAGGAATGGGAGTGGGGGCAACTGCTGTAGGAGGAGCGGCACCGCCCATAGTACTATCGCCTCTGGCAAGTTTCTGCATGAGTTCTGCACGAGACTGCGAAGTCATTGCATATCCGGCAGTGTCTATTGCCACAAAATGAATCGGTGTGGTTAGGCGACAATCCTTTACAAGAACCTCTGCTATACCCTATGAAGCCTTCCTGACAACTTACCGCTGTCATCCATGCTGATAGTGTTGTTGATCTGGCCATTGTTGTACTGGTAGCCGTTGTTGGAACCCGTGGTTGTTTGGTTCTGAGTGCTTCCCTTCTCAGTCACAAGTCCAACCTTGATCTAAAACGTTAGAGGAAAGAGGTAAGGCGCTTGCTATATGGCTTTCGTGAACACGATAATGCAATGGGGTCTTGGGTAGACAGAAGGAAGACAATAAAACGTACTGTTCTGTTAGCCAAGACGTAGCCGTTCATGCGCTCCATAGCCTGCTTGGCGTGTTCGGCCTCCTTGTATCTAATATACGCAGTAACGAGGACGTTAGTTTCATGAGAATAAATACCATGCGGTGGATGGCAGAGCATATCACATTGTCGTAAATAAGCTTACTGAACAAAAGCGAATCCCTTGGATTTTCCGGTCTCTGCATCTCTGTGAAGTTTGATAAATTCGATGGGTCCAAATGGCTCAAGAACCTGCTTCAGGTCCTCCTCGGTCAAGTCAAAGTTCACTGATCCAACATAAAGACGATGCTGTGAAAGGTCCACGGGAGGAGTCTGAGGCGCAGCCTCAGTGACAGCGTCTTGACTATATGAATGGCGATATCGAAAAATGTGAGTAGGGTTGCTTATGAATTGACTCTGCCTGGCACAACATTCAGTTGAGAAATGTCCACTTACGCTTGGGAAGCTGCCTGGAGCGCCAACCTGTTCTTCTCTGATTCCGTATGTTTGGCGATAACGGGAATGCCCAGCAATTTCTCACCAGTCAAGGCGATCGCCTTGGCAACCGAGTCCTCGTCATAGAACTCCACGTATCCCACACTAAGTGAGTGTATATCAAATAATTGCGTGTTAGTTTGTATAATACCAGGTAGTAAAGTCAGTAACCAAAAAAAGTATGTAAAAGTGGCTTACCCCTTCGATCTTCCTGTGTTACGATCTTCGATGATCCGAGCAGCGCGCACTTTTCCGGCCTGGGAGAAGAAAGACTCCAGTTCAGACGAGCGAAGACGAGCAGAGAGTTGCATTACAAAGACAGTTCTTCTGTCACAGGTAGCCTCATCTGCAGGTGGGGAGGGGGATCTTCTGCGACGATAAAATCTATAAAAGACAATAAAGAGTGTGACGCAGATTAGTACGATGCATTGCTTCGTTCCAAGAACTTGTGTACCAGAGTCAATAACGACGACATTACTCACCCTCCACCACCGAAGCCCCTTGGACTCCGGCTCCTGCGAACGACGCGCTCACGGGATCGACTTCTTCTGCGGTCTCTGTCGTAGCGGTCGTTGTGATGCCCTCGACCGTCTCTATAATCCCTGTAGTCCCTTTCCCTGTCTCTGTGCTCCCTGTGATCCCTGTACTCTCCAAAGGATCTGTGGTCTCGTGAGTGTCGAGGAGAGCGGGATCGTGAGCGGTGACGGCGTCTGCTGCCTGATCTCTCCTCTCGTTCCTTCGATCTCGAATAAGGCTGTTCATGGCTACGGGGCGATCTAGATCCACGGTAAGGGTCAACAGAGGGGACTCTTTCACGGCTAAAGGTTCGACAAGGGAAGAAAGACTGATTCCGTTAACGCATGTTTTTTTATTCTGTGGTGAAAAAAGAGTCGACTGATATACATCAACTGAACATGATGGTTTTGTTGAGGAGTAGCGTACCTCTTTGAATCTCTGCGAGAGGGCTCAACCTCCGTGGAGGATCGTTGAGGGTCCTATATACAATGGCGCAGATTAAGGAGATGGCTCAGTGCTTAGTCAGTTGTTGTTTGATTGATTGTTTAAGAATGGAGGCGTAGATAGATTGTTTTTGGCTACCTGTGGGGGGAAGGGTGCGTCGATGGGTTCGGTTGTTTCGTAGTCCATTTCTGTGAGTCGATCTGTGCTTGAATGCAGGTGCAGGGTGCAGATGTGTTTGTGAGGGATGGATGGTTGTTGAGAAAGGAGGAGTTGAAGCGGCAAAGTGCAAAAATTCATTATTTCTTTGCCCGCTCCGACCAAGCCACCTTCCCAGCCCTGGTCTTCAAACTCCTTCCCTTCTCCTTCCCCATTCTTTTTCTTCCTTATTCGTTTACCAACCCATTCGCGAGCTATGCTGGCGACGATCCATTCCCTTCGCCGTGTGGCACCGACCCTCAGGACGGCCTCTACGGCCACCTGTGTGCGACTTCTAGCGACACAGGCGGCAAAAGCAAGACAGAGTGACGAGGACTATGTTTCCAAAACGAGGCGAATCTTTCACGACCACCGACCTGCCCTCCCCCGATTTGTCGTCCAGGGCGAAACTGTCACCCCAATCCTCAGCCCATCCAAATTTTACAACGAGATGAAGGTATTTGGAGTCTGAATGGATACCTGACGGGATCGAGGTCTCGTTACAGTATCTATGTAATTGACTAACATGGTCTATTGACATTGGGTAAATCGATGCTAGGATCATATCAAGAAAGCGCAAAAATCAATCACCCTGGCAGCTTTGTATCTGGGACACACTGAAAACGATCTTGTAAGATCCCATCCATTTGGACGCTTTTTGTACATCATTAGATACTTTTTGGCACTATAGCTAAAACAATACACGTCGCTGCTGTAATAGGTCGAGGCGCTATCGGAGGCATTGCGGAGTCGACCTGGCTTGAAGGTCAACTTGCTTCTTGACTCGCTCAGAGGGACGCGAGATTCCGGAAAAGGTAGCTCGGCATCTTTGCTCTACCCGTTGCTCAAGGCGTATCCGAATCAGGTCCGAATTTCGATGTACCACACACCCGATCTCAGCGGACTGTTGAAGCAAGTCATGCCACCACGATTCAACGAAGGCATTGGGCTTATGCATATGAAGGTCTATGCATTTGATGACACCTTGATCATGAGCGGGTAAGACGCGCCTTGAATCCAATTAAAAGTGTGTGCTGTTTACAGCGGTATCGCATATGTACGCTAATGCCTAACATCGCCTTTTTTCACATCTAGTGCCAATATGAGTCATGATTACTTTACCAATCGCCAGGATCGGTACGTGATGTTCAAGAACAAGGACATCAGCGAATATTACTGCGATCTTGTCAAGGTGGTCTCCGATCTGTCTTATGGGTTGCAGCACAAAGGTGATACTTTCCAATTGGAGATCGGCGACGGTGTCCCGGATCCGGTAGAGCAGAGCAAGGCCTTCAAAAAGCATGCCACCAAGACTGTACGGGCATTCATGAAAAAGTGGGCAACTGTTCAGCAATCACCAAAGGACGCTTCTTATGACACGACCCTGCATCCTCTCATTCAAATGGGTCCTCTTGGTATTCGACAGGACGAAAGAGTCACACTCTCCGTACTGGATCATGTCCTTCACGATCAGGAACTGGAGGGCTCAGCCAAAGTCTTTATCACATCTGGATACTTCAACTTTGAGAAGCGCTATAGCCAATCGATCATCCACGCCAAAGCAGCCAACGTCGGTCTTATCGCTGCCTCCCCCGAGGTACAAACACAATAACTTTGGAGGCTTGTATGACATAGCTACAAGAGTTTCCGTCGTACTATCGACTCACTGATGCTTGGTCATTCTCATCTTATAGGCCAATGGATTTTTCAACTCTGCCGGTATCTCTAAGTACATTCCGCCAGCGTATACACTCATCGAGCAGCGTTTCTTTAACGACGCCAAAGCAGCTGGGAATGGCGAGCGGATAAAAATCGAGGAGTACGCGCGCAAAGGATGGACATATCACGCCAAAGGTAATATCAGGTTCGCTGACTTGCACGAACTTAGGTCGGGCGCGTGTTTATGCTTTACCCTTTCACTCATATTCCCGTGTGCAAATAATCTACTGTAGGTCTATGGGTGTATCCACCACACTCTGACCTTCCAGTGATGACTACGATTGGATCCCCTAACTTTGGCTACCGGTCAATTGTTCGAGATTTGGAGGCTCAGCTGTTTCTTGTTACTTCCAACCTTGGGCTGAGAAAGAGTCTTCATGAGGTATGTCTGCTGCAGTTTCGTGTTGTTGTTGTCTTCCAAGGGGAAAAAACACCTGTTTTTCTAACAATAAAGGTGTTGTTCACACTGGATTCTATTATACATTTAGGAGCTGGGCAGTTTGCGCAAGTATTCTTACCCGGTGACAGAGGAGACATTCAAGGTACCGGAGCGACAGGTGCCAGTGTGGGTTGGGAGTGCCAGTCGGGCTATCCGTACAATGCTGTGATCAGTCAATGCTAGATCAGTCACATGATATTAGAGTGAAGTAAAGAGAAAAAAAAGCAGTCTTTTTTTTTTGTGTGTGTATGAGTGTGTTGGCATTCGTTGGATCTATGCGCGCTCCTTTTCATTCACACCTCACAAAACACCATCGTCCCCGCCTCTCGATCAACACTCACGCGTATACTCACACATTCACCCACTCACAACAAACACACAACATACATACACCCTCCATCATGGCTCAAAGCGACAACAACACCCTCGCAGTTCCCGCCGAAGAGAGCAAATACGTTACCGTCTTCAACGATCCCGTCAACTTCAACGCCAAACACCCTCTCCACAGCTCATGGACCCTCTGGTTCGACAACCCCGGAAAGAAGTCCAATGCTAACAACTGGGAGCAGTCGCTCAAGGAACTCATCACCTTCGACACCGTCGAGGACTTTTGGGGGTAAGAGCCACATCCACCATTTCGGCATTTCAAAAGTCTTTGTTTTGCTTCACTTGCTGTTGTCTTTGCTAGTATTTTTTTGTCCGGGAGTTGTATTTTTTTGGACGCCCAGTCCTCGCTATCTTTCCTCCCCTTCTCCTGTTATTCGTCAGCTGCGGATACAATGCGACTGATCCCCTCTCGCCGCAGTCGATGGCGAGGGAACATGTGTACCCCCTTCAGCGGTCCTGCGTTCTTGTGTTTTTACGCATATATTGGTGCGAACGAACCTGTCGTGATACCTGGTTGTCGCGGCCAACTCCCCAACTGACATGGTTGCCTTCATGTCCAAAGTAACTAATATATGGTCCATTTCTTCGGTTCTCTGTATTAGTGTTTACAACAACATCATGAAGACTTGCGACCTCGCCATCAGCTCCAACTACCATCTTTTCAAGCAGGGAATCAAGCCAATGTGGGAGGATCCCGCCAACAAGCGCGGAGGAAAGTGGAGCATCCAGTTGCCCCGCAACAAGACCATAAGCGAAATTGACAACATTTGGCTTTTCACCGTAAGCTGACGTTCCTGAAAACGCCTGATAATGGATCCTTTTCCCTAGATGTCGTATTTTCTTTCCGCACTCTGAAGTAAGGATGTTTAATCTGAAGCTTTGATTCCTCTACTAAACCATTAGATGCTTGCCTGCATCGGCGAGGCCTTTGAGTACGAGAACGAGGTTTGCGGAACTGTCGTGTCGGTTCGTAAGGCGTTCTTCAGGATAGCCGTCTGGACACGGTCATCCGACAACCAGGACATGGCTTTGAGCATTGGGTACGCAGAGTCACACAAGCTTTTCTTCTTTCTGTGCACGAATGACTACTTTGTGCCAACAACGGTTCTAACACCTTCATTGCTCGAACCCACTTTTAGACGTACTCTCAAGAAGGCCGCCAACATCCACGGCACCATGGAGTTCCAGAGCCATCACGATTCTTCCTCGAACGCGGGCAAGGCCTGGACCGTCTAAGAGAATTCCTTTCGAGGGGGATCTTTTGACGAACGTATGCCGCTTCGCAAACCGAGTGCTTCTTGTTTGATAACATCACTCTCCTCCCATCTCATCCCTTCACACCGTTACTTTTTGCGTGCTTGCTATTTAGCACTCCATCCACTCCTTCATCATCGTCAGGTTCTTTGTATCTCTCGTTGTTTTCATCGTCGCTCTACCACTCTACTGGCACACACTCTCTTCGCTAAGCGATCTTTCTTTTTACTTATACACTCTCACAAGCACACTCTCTCTTTTTACTCACCATCAATTTCATTTTGCACTCATACACCTATCTTCACATACTTTTTTTTTGCCCATTGTTTTTTAGTTTCTCTTTTATTTTCTTGTACTATTCATTTTCCTTTTTTTTTCTAAGATAGAACACATCTTTTCATGGCCATTTTTTTTCTCTCTCTCTCAAGTTTGATACCTCGAGCAGGTCGATTAAGAGTGAAGCACAGACACCAGCAGACTAACATCTGCCGATAAAAAGGAACGACGAAGGGGAGGCAGACGATTGATGCGTATTTGTTATCGCCGAGCCATTGATAACAATAAAAGTTTGCATATTACTATTGAATTGGTGTCAACTAAGAGTGTTTAGGCATCAGGCAGTAGCCGTTTCCCGGCGTTGAACGAGCTCCAACTTCAAAGCTTCTAACGTTGACTCCAGCTCGGCTAGCTTCTCCCTTTCCGCCAGCAGGTTGAATTCTTCCCGACTGGCGCTTTCCTCTGCCTCGACGGAGAGTTGGTTGAGACGAAGGTACTCTTCCAGTGCCGCGTTCGCCTCCTGATCGCGTTGTCTAGTAGCAACATGGAGAATAGATCAAACAATTAATTAGCGGGTGTATTTTCTTGCGTAGTTCGAGGCATTCAATGAAAGTATTTGCTTCATACTTTTCAAGTTCCATGGCTTGGTGTTCCAGGCCTTCGAATTCATGAGTGTGCGACCGGATCCTGCGCTCATACACCTTATCAAACTGAAGGATCTAAAAAGCAATGTAATCATCAACGACAAATATCATTAGACTCCCGCATCACCCCTGACCGCCCTTTTACTTTCAATTTGATCCACAGCGGAATAGTAAATAAAGGAGGCAAGTATCATACCAGTTCATCGGCGTTCCGTTCATCGATCATGAAGGACGTCTTGCTCTCGGCAGTCATGCTTTCAAGCTGGGCTATCCTGTCCTCGTTCTCCATGACTTTGGCTCGCTTCTTCTCAATCTCTTCTGGCGAAAAGGATCTCTTAAGCTCCTCTATGATCTCAACACAAGACTGCTCGATCCCCTGGATCTCTTCATATTCCACCAGCAACTTGGCCTTCTCCATCTGAGTAATCTCAAGAGGCTCCCGCTCTGTCTCTTCTCGGTCCTGCAAGATCTCCTCTCGATTCTGCTTCAGATCCTCGATCCGGTTCTGGATCTCTACCAGCTGCCCCTCCTTGCTTGCCAGGTCCTCGGACAACTGTCGGACTAGCTCCCAAAGCTCTTGAAGCCGACCGCTGTTGGCAAGACTGGTTTCCTGTAGCTCATCCATAGCACTCTTGAGTTCCCGAGTCCTGGCATCGGCGACCTGAACCACTGCTTCGTGTTTCTCTTTGACGGCGGTCAGTTCCTGTTGAAGCGACTGGGTGATTTGTTCGAGTTGGTCATGAGAGGCCCGGTGTTGTTCAATTGATATCTCGAGGTTTTTGATCCGCTCCACAACCTTGGTCTCGACAGGTTGCATATCTGAAAGTTGGATCTTTGCGCTGGATGTGGATCGGTTGAGGAGAGTGGTGGAATCTGGGTACGCCGGTGTCGTGCTGTCGGTAACATCTCGTTTGCCCTGCTTGTCCTTGGGTGTGTTGTTTGAGCTGTTTTTGTCGTTGGTATTGTTGTTATTTGTTCCTCTATTCAAGTTTACCTGGAAAGGACAAACTATTAATTACATGGACATTTATAAAGGTGCCAATGGTTGTTATTGAAACGATAGTCTTGCTTGTGGTACCGTATCAAATAAGGCGTACCAGGTGTGGAGACGGGAGAGCAGAAGATGGGGTCGCTCCTCGTGATGTTGGAGTTGTCTTGACTCGCGCGGATGTAGGGGTCTTAGGCGTCTGTTGAGAAGGATTCCGAGGTGATTCGGTGGCTATCCTCCTGGATGTATTATCAGGAGTTCTGTCGGTGTTCGTGTTGTTGTTTGAATAGGTAGTGTTGTGATTTGTATTACTGCTGTTATTGATATTATTGGTATTATTGTTATTGTTGTTGTTATTGTTGTTGTTGTTGTTGTTGTTGTTGTTGTTGTTGTTGTTGTTGCTGCCATTCTTGCCCATGGCACTGCTGTTGTTGTTGCGGTTCATGGCTGATGTGTGTAGAACGGAGAGAGAGAGAAATGGTGGCAAACACAATCGCCCAGTTCGTGTTATTTATCAAACCCAAGTCGTGACTGACAACTTGGACAAGGCAAGTTCTCTTTTTTCTTATTTTCACATTGACCCCCTTTTCTTCACCTTTCCCACCTTCCCTTATCTTCTCACTCCTCCTCCTCCTCCTCGCCCCTCTCTCTTCCTTGGACGCAAGGAGACCGCCCTTTCTCTTGTCATTCGGAACTTCAATCGCACCCACCACCAACAGCCACCAGACAAGCCCACCAAGAGACGCAAGGGAACCTAACAACTAACACCTACAATAGCAACAACAACAGCAAGAAAAAAAAAAAGCTGCCGCAGGAGCATAGCTTTCTCGACCTTCTCCCAACCTTTTCCCACTCGCCACTACTACCACCCACTACCGTCATGGGGAACGCACCGTCGCAGCCTGGGAACGAGTCCAACGAGGCTGCTGATTCAGTCGATGCCGTCACCTTCACTAACGGCCCATATCAAAAGCACCCTCAGCAACCATACCAACAACAACAACAACAACAGCACCAGCAGCACCAGCAACAACAGAACCAGCAATACCGTCAGCATGACTCTACCCATCTCCAACAACCAAGTTACATGACCTCCTCTCACCAACGGCAAGCTTCGTCGCCCGGTACTTTCACTCATTCCTCGCCTCCCCAGGGATCTATTCACCCTTCAACAATACCTATCGCTTCTGTCCCCGTTGACGCTGCCCACCGGCGCTTCCCCTCTGTCCGAGAGCAGTATCTGAATGATTCACCCGCGGGTTCATCGCCTCTCGACAGTGATTCATCATATCCACATGTTCTCGCTGGCGGGCATTCTTTGGGCGATCCGTCAGCCCATCCACCGCGGTCCTCTCACAGCCCCAAGGGTGGGCTCCCAGGAGGCGGACCCCGGAGAAGGGCATCGTCCCTGGTGAGCGGGCAAGCCTACGGCCAGTACGCCGACACCTTCAACGAACAGGCCCTCGTAGCCTCAGCAGCACAACAGGACAAGTTGGAACAGAGATTGCACACATCCGATGGACGACCCAGTTATCGAAATTCAGCTCGTGTTTCGAGGGCCTTTGAGTTGGAGCCTCTAAAGAGCCTGGACAATGCACATGACGGTAATTGTTTGATAATGAATGGCACAACGTGGGCCATCCATGTGTTGTATTGCATGCTTTGTTTTCTTGTTTGTTGTTGTTATGTTTTGGAACGGGCGCTAATACTTTGTTTGTTTTTTTGCTCTCTCTCTTTCTCTGTCTCGCCGATTATCGGCATACTAGATTCCAAGGATGGAAACGTACCCACGATCATTACATGGAGTCAGGGAGGCACCAATGTCTATGTGACCGGAACGTTCAACAACTGGAAGCAGAAAGTACGACTCAACAAAAGGCAAGTTCACTCACCTACCCAACAATTTTTTCCTCTCTTGTTCAATCCTGTTACACCAGTAAAGGATGGTTTGAACAACCGCCCTGCACTCTCTTTTACCTTATTTTCTAATCAAATGCAGCTCTTGCTATCACGTTGCTTATCACGCTGGATGTTTTGGCCGATTTTGCTTTATGACTACATAGCACGAGTGACTTTTCGACAATATTGAACCTACCACCAGGCACTCATCGGATCAAGTTCATTGTGGACGACGAGTGGAAATGTTCGACAGAACTTTCGGCCGCAACGGACGCAGAAGGAAACTTGGTCAACTTTTTGGAAGTCGACGACGAAGAACAAGACGAGCTGGAAGGGGGTTATGGTAATGATCTTTTATTCACATCGACAGTGGATATTTTCTTTTATTTTCTTGTCCCTTGCGCAAAGATCATGCGTACTTTTTTGCCAGGTGGGCTAATGAACATGAATCACGCCATTTCATCGTCTTGCGCTTAGACACACCCATCAATGGGTCGCCAGTGGGATCATACACGGATCACATCCCTGCTTATGCGCTCTCGGGCGACTCGACACCAAGTACATCAGGAAGTGATGGACTGTTGCCTCTCACGGCTATCTCCGCGAACGACGGTCACGGCAGTCCTCGATCGCAAGGATCGCCAACAGCAAAGGGTTCACCTTCAAGTGCTTCGTCTTCGTCCTCAAAGATGTTTGACTCGACTTCATCCATCTCGAACGAGCCACCTCCAGGACTGCCCCCACATCTGGAGAAGGTCATTCTCAACAATGTGCCCTCAAAGGAAGACAACTCAGTCCTGCCTGTTCCTGACCATGTTGTCCTGAACCACTTGTACGCGTGTTCGGTCAAGGAGGGTGTACTGAGTATCAGTGTTACTGCTCGGTACAGGAAAAAGTACATCACGACGGTTTTCATCAAGCCTGTCGTAACGGACGCCTAAGCGGGCGCTTTTTTCTTTCTTTTTCTTTTTCTTTCTTTTTTCTTTTGCTTTTTTCTTTTTTTTTCTTATTTTTTTTTCGGTTTCAAACAAGGAATTTTTTGTGTTCAGGCCACCAGCACCACAATAGCGGATCATTAAAAAAAAATCCTATGTTCTTGGAACAGAGAACACCGCATCCACCATTCACTGCTTTAATTATGAACAGATATGATATCAAACGGTGTGGCTCAGGGCCTCCATGTTGGCTTCAAGCAGCAGAGCGCGGATTCTGGATCGGTACTCGTTGACGACCTGTTCAGGCTTTGACGACCATTCAATCTCCACAGTTTCCTCGTCGTCCTTCTTTTCTGACTTGCACGAGTTGCTCTTGTTTGATTGGCATGACCCTTCGCCTCCTTTGCCTCCTTTGCCTCCGCAGCAACCCGTGGAGGGCATAGATGACCCTGCAGCAGCTGGCTCTGCTTCAGATCCTGCATCCACATCCACATCCTTATTTTGACAACACGACGATCCTCCTGATCCTTCGGCACTTCCTCCACAACAACCACCATCGCCCTTCTTCTTCTCCTTGTTGTTAGAATCAGGCGACGATGATGATCCACGTCCGTCGTCAAAGTAGGCTTTATCAAACACCTTTGCGATATCCAGCTCAACCAACTCCTTAACCACCTGCGCCGCTCTTGTGATCCACTCCTCCTTGTCCTCAATCTGGCTCAATTGTGCTGTTGGTGATGAGCGGATATACTCCAGCAATGGGCTAAGCAAAGAAGAAAAAAAAAAAAAAAAACAAGTATAAAAAGAGTTGGGGTGTCAGATACTTCAGGTCAAGGACATTCGAGCGGGACGAAAAACAAACATCTTTGTTCGTACCTGATCAAGCCTCGCAGTCTTCCCAACTCATGGCCATACTGAACACCCTCTGACCAACCCTGATTAAACCCCTGCTGGAGCGTCCCTTCCTTCCCTTCCTCAATCCCCTCCCTATACCCCGTCTAAATGTACCAAAAAAAAAAAAGTCTGTCATTAGGGAGAGAAAAAAAAAATGGCCTCAGAGAACCCAAAAAATATTGAACAGCAAAAAAATATGGGGGGTTTTTTTTTGGTAAGAGGAGTTCCTTACGTTTCCAAAGTTCTCGTGGAGTCGGTTCCATTCCCTTTGGGCGATCGCACGGTCATAGGAAACATCGTCGTCATTTCCCCAGACATCGTCATTAGCACCGCCTTCGTCCTCCCATACATCCACCGAAGAATGATCGTGGTGTTCTGGATCTGACATTGTCTTTGTTTTGTAGTTGTGTGTTTTTGTTGAATGAGAGGGAGAAAGAGGGATTGCAGTTCAGAAAAAGTGATCACTAAGCTGGGCGTTTTTTTCTGTACCAAGGAGCAAGTCACAGAGTCAAAGCTCCGCCCATTCTCGACATCGATTAAGACAGTGGCAAGAATGCGCAGTGAATGAAAAAAATTGGCTATCTGAACAAGGTACAGAGGCGGTTTATTTAAGAGTGCAAAGACCAAACAAAAGAAGAACTTCTAATTCCTCCAAAGTGCTTAGCAATTAGAGAGAGAGCGCGAGAGGAAGGTGTCCTTTGTCCATTGAGTTTTATGTTGCTGTTTGTTGTTATTGTTGTTGTCGTTGCTGTCATTGTCGTTGCTGCTGCTGCCGCTGTCCAGGTGGTGATGATTGCACCCCTGTTTAAAGCTCCAGGCCAGGTGCATCGTCATCGTCTGAAAATGACTCCACCGAGCTCATATCGTCGTCCGAGGAGCTCTCCTCTGTCGAATAGTCAGCTGCCTCCTTGGTTGCATAGCGAGACACGTATTCTATGCAAACAAAAAAACGGTATACGCACAAATGATCAGTCAGATGTCTGCATTTTTTTCTTTTTTTCAAATCCAAGTCATCTCATTCTCATCCTCACTCCACACGACAATGCGATTCGTCTTTCACTCAGATCATGAGTCGCTCGATTTCTGTTGGTTCATCATCACACACTGATGCACCTACCCTTGACCTTGAGCTCATAGCCTGCTGCTTCACGCATCAACATGGCGGCAGCCTCTCCGTTCAAAGGGTCCGTTGGGTTGGGGTAGCGCAACAGCTGAGGCAGGAAGACCTCAAAAATATTGATCATGTCTACATTCATATTGGAATAACAAACAACAAAATCAAAGAATTAGTATCTGCGTATAATATCAGTGAAAAGGAAGGCCGGGACAATGAAGATTGAGGTCTGAAAACACCGAGAAACACAAAGTGTTCTACAAGGGGAAATAGAAAAAGGGTTCGGAAGAAAGCAAAACAAAACAACAAGAGTCCCTAACTTTAGGGACACAGCTTTGTTGTTGTTGTTGTTGTCGTCGTGGTGTTTCTCCTTTTTCCTGCCTGTTTTTCCCTGCTATTCCTGCTTTTCCTGCAACACTTGTGTTTTGGGTAATGGGAGGGCGGTCTACAAACATACCAAACATTGGACTCCATGTCTGGTTGATGACATCCAGGCACACCGATCCGCTCCTAATGAATGCAATGAGGCAATATCAATATGGATAAGGTATCAGTACAATAGGGCCACATTTGCCGATTGTTCCGCATCGATACAGGAGTTAGGGACAAGAACGAAGGCCGATCGAAAAGGATTTTAGGATGAACAAGGAAAGACAAAAAGGGTGCAGGACTAAGGGGGTTTGGAGGGATGGTGCACTGAAGTGGAGTGGATGGTAGTGTGGCCTATGTTCTATGTTTGTATCCCAAGAAAAATACAAAGGAGTTCTCCTGAACTTTGAACAGACCATACAAAGGGCAGGGCCGGAGATAAAAGCGCACATTCCCCTCCCTAGTGAACGCATATGCAGCACAGTGAGAAAGAGACACTTACAGCTCGTCGATATTTGGGTGGAAGATCTTGTTCATGAATCCAATCGAGGGCGACTTGTAGGGATATTGATCGGGCAGCTCAACATGCACCTTCCAGATTCCTCCGGCAAAGGGAGCTATAACAATGGAGTATGAGACAAAGGAGACGAATGATGCGACCGTGTGAGTATTAACAAACGAGGAAGTAATTCAGCAGAACTGGGAATAATCGCCAGTTGATGTTTTCTTCCTGCCCTCTGTTGCCTTTCAAAGAAAACCACAGTAAATCAATCTCAACAGATTGCGCCTGTTTGTATCTTGTATCCTTACTGTCGGAAGGGCCGTGGAAACGAACATAGAACTCTTGCATGTTGTCGTTGACCAAGGTGACCTCGTAGTCACTCATCAACCTAAAGCATGAGCATGATGCGCCAAATGAAGCCAAAAAAAAGTGAGTCAGTGGAAAGTGCATTGCGTTGGGGAGAAGGAGAGAGAGTTGTGTCTGTAGGATGGGATTCGTTCGAACAAAAGACAGGTGGGAGTGAAGAAGAATGACTTTTACAGCTTCATGACATCGGTTTCGATTCGTCTGCGGGGTGAGGACATTGTGGATGTGCGAGTGGATGTGGGATTGGTTGTTCTTAGGTGTGGTGTTGTTGGTTGTTGGAGGGTTGTTTGTTGAGGTGGGTTGTGGTGGTGTCTGTGGTGGGGTGTCCTTTGTGGAAGTACGTATTGGGCGTTGTGCTGTTGAAAGAAGAAGGAAGAGGAGAGAAGAAGGAGGAGGAGAGAAGAAGGAAGAGGAGAGAAGCGAGGAAGAGAGGAAGAGAAGAAGAGAAGAAGAGAAGAGGGCAGGAGAAGAAAGAAAAAGAAAAGAGCAAAGGAGGGCGAGAACAAATAGGATTTGATGAGTTGCACCTTGTGACCAAACAAACACTACAAACAGACACCGACAATCAAGCGAGAGCCTCGCGTTCATTTGATTCGCAAAAGGAACAAACTCCCTGACCGAAGGAAGGACTCATATATATTATACACACACACACACAAAGGAACTTCACCATTGCGTGCCTTCTACGTTGTTTTCATCCAAACAGTTTATTACTACGGGGCATACGGGTCAAATAGATAATGCGCACACCCATGACTTTCCATTTACTTGGCAGCAAGCTCGGCACCAATACGGTAGGTGAGAATCTACGAAAAAGGCGATTGCAAAAAAAAACCAAACATGTGTCAGCGAATGTTCCTCCTCATAATCCACGGATTGTCATGCAACCACACTCTTTCTCTTTCTCTGTCTCTCTCTCTCTCCTTCGTTACCTTGTTCCAGTCGAGCTTCGTGCGAGTGTAAGGCAGGGCACGGCGGAGACCATTGAAGGTGCTTTCTGCCAGATCGTGATAGCTCTCGTTCAACGCCTGCTGGTACTTTGACTCAGCTGCTCCAATGAAATCTATAAGCGCCTTCGCGATCACCTTGAGCTAGTTATCGTTTTGTTTCGATCATCAACGTTAGAGCGCTGTAGAGGGGTCTTGGACGATAGAAGAAACGCTCTGTCAACTGTCAATAGGAAATAAACAGAATGTAAGCCTTACAGGTTCTGAAGCGCCCTTGGTCAACTTGTCGTCCAACTCCTTGGCAGTCTCCAATTGAACGTTTCCATCTTCATAGTAGTGAACCTTGCACTTCATTGTGCCCTTGATCTCGCTTGTGGCAACATCCAATGTCCAGACTGATCTCCAGCGTCCATTCCTAACATATCATAGAGAAACATTGTCAGTCGCCTGTTTTTCAATTGTGTACACATCGAATAAATTGCCCCACTCGTGGTTTCAGCTACTCACCAGTAGTTGGATGGGCTGTACTTGTTGTGAACGATAGCAATGGTGACAACGCCCTTTGAGCCATAGACAGCAAAAACACCCTCGGCGTACCGATCGGCAACATACGCCTCAATATCACTCTCAACTGCCTTGCGGAGCTCCTCAACTTCCTCATCAATCGTGTGACTCTCCAGATCGGATGCTGTCTGACGAAGATGATCCAGCTTGAATGTCTGGTTGGTCTTGGGATCCAAGAACCGGTCTCCTTCAATATGACCGTGCTTAGAGACAATGACCTATATTGTATACCCACGAGGAAAACGAGTTAGAATACTGACGGATCTATGAAATGCAAAGTTGAGCCACAGCTCGTCCGAGGGGGGGGGGTTGTACCTTGCCCTCGATGCCAGGCACCTCGACAGTCGCCAATTCCTCAATGTTGTATTCCTCGAGTGCGGCCAAGATACCTCCATCCATCAGTTCGTCGTCTCCCACCAAAGCGCGAACATCTAAAATAGTGTCGTAAAATAAGGAAACCGCGTCTTTGTCAGTTTCGAATTGTTTCAAGGCACTGATGGGGACTTTAAAGTGCATTTGTCCTTTGATTGAACTCCATGGCTCATCTGTTTCTTACCGTTGAAGACATCGTTGATTTCGCCTGTTCAGTCGAGTCCGGCAGAGTAAAGATGACATAATGTAAGGAAGAAAAAGAACAACCATGCGACGTTAGTCAAGGTGCTGCTGGTGATGGAGACCCTCCTGAGAAAGAGAGTGGGGTGTGTCGTTGTCCTTTGTAGCTCAGTTCGGACCTGGAGGAGCGGCCTTGAGGAATTTGGAGGCAATCTTAATCTTTTCTTCGTTGGTGGCCATGGTATACTGTTGATATGTGATGGTGGTTGATGTGTTGGTAGTCGGTTGAAGAAAGAAAATGGAGAGATGAAGAGAAGCGAATGGGCTTTCAGGGACACAGGGCGCATCTTGACTTCAACGTCACAAACAGATTTTTGTCTAGTGTCGGTTATGTTAAAAATAATTGGTCCTCAATGCCATGACCATGATTAGGATATGCAAGCAGTTGTAGTCGTGAGTCTCAAGGTCTTCGGCCATTTAATGCGTAAAAAAACAAGGCAAATTGGAAGGATGCGTGAAGTGATGGGAAGGGAAAAAAAAAGGACTGAAGGCGATGGAGCAGCTATTTTATTCAACAGTTTAGTTGGCGGCGCGGCGACGGTCACGCTCCTCGGCAATGGTGAGCTTAACACCCTTGTTCTTGGGGAGAGAGACCCAAGGCTTGTTACCCTCACCAATGACGAAGACGTTGGAGAGACGGGTAGCGAACTGGCGGTCGAGGACATCCTTGATGTGGACGATATCGAAACCTCCGACGTGACGCTCACGGTGGGTGATGACACCGACACGGCCAGTGTTACGACCACCGGTGACCATGGCGACGTTGCCGACCTCGAACTTGATGTACTCGTTGAACTTGCCAGTCTCCAAGTCAAGCTTGACGGTGTCGTTGACCTTGATCAAGGGGTCGGGGTAACGGAGGGTGCGACCGTCGTGGGTGACGACGAAGGGGATACCCTTGGCACCGAGCTGGACCTTCTTGACCTTGCACAGCTTGTACTTGGCCTCCTCGGCGGTGATACGGTGGACGGTGAAGCGACCCTTGGTATCGTAGACGAGACGGAAGTTCTCACCAGTCTTCTCGATGGTAATGGCATCCATGAATCCAGCGGGGAAGGTAGAGTCGGTACGGACCTTGTTGTCAACCTTGACAAGACGCTGCATAAGGATGGACTGAACCTCCTTACCGTTGAGGGCGTACTTCAGACGGTTGCGCATCAAGATGACGAGGGGCAAGCACTCACGGAGCTTGTGAGGACCGGCGGTAGGTCTGGGGGCCTACAAAATGACAAGTAGTAACATTGAAAGCAGTGGTCAGTGTCCGAGTCAATAAGGCCTTTGGCGAAAATGGAAAGTGATAGTGGAAGAGTCCTGGTGCTGTCCTGTTACTGCATGAACAATGTGTTGAAGGAGGTGTTGCTCGCTCTGTCTGCGTTGACAGACCAACACTTCCTTCAACTCGGTACTGATCATTCCATTCTCGTGGGTGCTCGAGGTCGATAGGTTCCCAAGAAGAGCTGTTGGTGTTGCGGCGAAAAGCTCCTCGCAAAAAGTCGATGGAGTTGCGTTGGTGTGTGTGCGTTGTGTGTCGGTGAGAAATAGTGCAAACGATTTTGAGAGAACGAGTACAATCTCTCGCCCAGACAAAAACTTTGTGCCCGCACCATCTTCCTGCAGTTGTGTGTCAGTTGAGCCATATGCTTGCAGTCCGGAACAGGACCGCTTGCTCAACTATCGTGTCAGCGGTATATCCTGAACGTAATTTAGTCTTGGCTTCTATCTGAAGCTGACATCCTGATAGTGGGGTTGTTATAGTGGTAGGTTGTCTCCTGAGTCGCCATATTCCTTTTTGTCGCAAACACCCGAGTGTGCTGGTCGTGTTGCTCTCCATTGTACTGAATCAGGGCGCTGTGCCGACAAGCACAACGCTCGACTTGAGGAAGAAAAAGAGTCGTGATTGACATACATAGGTGCCGGTGAGCTTGTCCAGCATCCAGTGCTTGGGGGCATTGAGGCGCTTCAAGTGCTTTTTGGGTCCACGAGCCTAAATCGCGCCAACAGAGAAGGAGCAATAAAAAAAGATGTTAGCTTCCACACCTTTGATGCACAGCGTGATCTCCTGTGTCCCGTCTATTTTTTTTTCCTTCTTGCAAAACGTCTATCGACAGATGTTGAGTTCGCCCCTTGTTCAGAACTCATCCTTCCTATCCAACGGCTGCTTCGAAAGGTCTTATTGCTGGCTATTCCCGGTCTCTTACGACAGCCTGATCGCCATCGTTTGACTCAGTCAGATCCCTTCTCTTGGGTAAACTGATGCCGTCCTGATGTTGACCCTATTTCTTCTGCACCTCCGGTCATGACTCCGGATATGATGTTGGGGTGCCATAAGGTTGGTGGACGACGGATATGTTGACGGATCGATCGATGGTTTCCGGGGGTGATGTGGTGATCGATGGATGGGTCGTGCGCTCTGTGCCATGGCACCCTCCAATCCATGCCTGTGCTTGGTCTTGGCCACACAGTCACAATACCATTTTTCTGAAGTGATGTTAAAGGGGGATCTTTCTGTGCCAGACACACCCACACTTTAACTGGCCCGCAATTCGGAGGCTTAGCAAATGAATCAAATCTATTTCACGAGAAAAACTATCAAAGCCAACAAAAAAAACCTAGACGACAGACACGGTCTCTGGACCATTGGAGAGGTCAATCGAGGACGTCGAGTAGACAGAGAATCCGCTCTGGACTGGGGATCCACTTCGGAGGTACACCGAGTTTCCCTTGTCGCCAGTGCCGCTCTCCGCCGCCTCATCCTCATCCGACCATTCGTACTGCTCGCCGAAGCCGCCAATCATACTCTCCTCGTCATAGTCGGCATCGTCCGCATCGACGTGCATAAACTCAATAATGACTTCCTTCCCAGGAGACCGAGCATGAGAATTACTATCTTGTTGCGGTATAAAATCCTCTGAACCCTCAACGCGCACTTCAATCGTCGACAGCTCCGGCTGTGATCTCTTTTGCCTAAGAGAAGGAGACAGAGACGACGCGGGAAGCGATGAGCCTGCCTCGATGGACTTGCCGTTGGTATTGTCCTCTAGAGAACCTTGTGCCGCGTCTAGGGACGCCTGATGCATGGACGATGATTGCTGATGTTGCTGCTGTTGCGATAGTTCCGAAGGGTTATGGTTGGGTGGTAAAGGTATAGCCTGAGGATGCGCTTGCTGCTGTTGGTGCTGATGCTGCATCTCAGTCTCCTGCTCGATCACTCCAAGGTACCAGAACATCATGTTGGAAATCAAAACTTGCTCGTGAAGCGGTCGCCTTGGGTTGGCAAGCTTGACGTGAGATAGCCTGTAGATCGCCCGCTCTGTGTTGATCGGCATGCGGCAAGGGTCAATCTCAAAGCCATCGTTCAACAGGGCATTCCGTTGAGGACCACGGCTTGTTGCAGGTGTAAGGGGACCTGACACTGCTGGCTGTGGTTTGGTGGACGTTTTTCCGGTTCTTGAGAATAAGAGGGACAGAGTGGACGGTTTCTTGGTTGTAGCCTTGGAGGTTGGCGCTGAAGGTAAGGCCGCCGCTGCAGCGTCACGCTTGGGTTGCAACTTGGGGTCCATTTGTACTTCGCCGTCTCTCTCTTTGCCTCGAAGCCACGACCATGTTGACGACTTTTTGGAGGCAGAAGAAGGAGGTGAAGGAGTTGCGGAAGGCAAGGGTTGCTTTGGTTGAGGCTGTCTAGCTGGTTGAGAGGGCACTGGGGTCCGTTCAACGGCTGGTCTTGACTGATGTGAGGGATGCTGGAGTAGGTTTTGAGTCAACTTGACAGGAGGAGGAATAGGATAGGTAACCGTCGAAATAACAGCGCCTGTGTAGGCCGACAGGTCCGGATGCTCTGCCGGAGAACTATGAGCAGCTAATGATGACGTAACCGAAAGTTTAGACACTCCTTCGATCTCCTGCCGTTGCTGCTCCAACAGCTCTGGCTCAACGTAGGTCGTTATCGTAGGCTTTGAGGGATCGCGGAGCGTGGACACAAATCGCTTCAATGGTTTGGATTCAGTAGGCTGAGCAGCCGTGTCAAGATCATCCGATGAGTGGTCGGCTGAAGTCAAAGTAACAGTTGGAGTGTCTGATGACAGAGGCAGTGGACCTGGATCAACAAGGGTCACTGCAGGGTATTCGCCATTCTCATCCGTCGACTGTCGCAACCGAGAAACGTCGTTTTTGTCGTACGAAGCTGTCGAGTTTCGTCGAATCTTTGTCCTAGCACTCCTTCGCAAGAGTGAAGGTCCACTCCGTTGCAATCCACCAGTCCTCCTCACAGTCGCAAGATCCTCTTCAACTGACCCTTCATCAGATGTGGCTATTAAGAAAATTTTAATTTGTAGCCGGTTAATGTGATGACTTGGGGCGTATTCTCTATCCATACCGTGCACACACAACGAAAAAAGAGAAAAGAACCTACCATGAGACAGTACGTTTCGTGTGTGGCTAAGTGATCGTCGGAGCGAAGTTTTCGTCTTCAATGGAGGCTCGCCCATCTGCTCCAATGGGGCAGAAAAGACACCAGACAAAAAGTCTGTGTTCGTCTCGGCGTTATATTCACGCATGCCTTCCTTCGATTCCTGAACTGGATCTAGACTTCTGGGTGCAGGAGCTCTTTCTTCGTCCTCTTCATCCAGCTCTGGGTTGTACTCGGCCGAGAGGACAGACCGACGTCTGTTTACAGATGACTTTCTGACGGCGAGAAAGGTACTTTGTCCGGTCGAATCAACGCCATGCTTATGTAGCCAGTTGTTGTACGCATTGGGCGCAATCTCTGGGTGCATATGGAACGGGACCTATGAGCACCAATTAGGGGCCGTGGTTAATTAAATTGGCATTGTTTTTTAACGGACCCGCATCATACTATGTCCCCCTTCTACAATAACTAATAATAAATATTCATTGGATACTTACCCAGAATAAATGGGACGGATCTTCGGCCTCGATCTGGACTTCCTTGATGTCCCCTGGGTCCTCGTTGTGCCCTAGCTCTTCGTGCGAGGAGGCTAATGTTGGTAGCGGGGATGGTGAGTGGTCTGAATCCGCACTCCTCCCTGGGAGAGAGGAAAATGACTCAGCTGACCCGCTGTCGGAGCCGGGACTCTGGTCAAGGGGGCTATATGGGGCTGTGGTGATAGATGAGGTCGGTGAAGATGGGGACGAGGACGGGGATGAGGAGGAAGGGGACAAGGACAATGCGGACAATGCGGACGATGCGGACGAAGTTGGCGAGGGTGAAGGCTCTTGTTGCTGCTTGGTGTCGTTGAGGAGGCTGCCTTCAGGGGTATCCTCGTCATAGTGATAGTGATCTCGAGGGCTTGGATTGCCAAAGCCACGATCTTGTCTATGCTCTTCGACTGTACTAGACTGAAACCAAGTAAGGAAAGCGAAATAGAACCAACCCATGATGCAATCGATGCGTGAGCAATTATGAGCGGTAAGGTTGCAAAAGAGAATCGGTGCGTTATTGAACGTTGGAGGTGTGAAATGAGATATGATCCATATGGACCCTGTTCCCAACAACCCGCCCACTTTATCATCATGCAAGGTGGTCTACTCTGCATCAACAACAGCTGAAACCGGAATATCACTCCAAAAGGTCCCCCACTGTCATTTTACATCCTAACGCCAGACCTTTTTTTTTTTTTTTTTGTTTTTGTTTCGTTCTCCTTGTCTATCTGAGTTCATCATAATTACCTGGTCGTCTCGATCCTGCAGAACACTCGAGTCGAACATGAATCCATCAAGCGCAATGATCTCGCGTTTGGACCGCGTTGATGTGTGGCTGCCTAGCGTGGCTACTGCAGATGCTTCTGGCAGAGCATCGATATCATTACCGCCTCTTTGTGAAAGGTCGAGATCGATTGCTTGAAAGGGAACCTGGCTGTTAGAGCTGTTGGCGTTCTCCAATAGCGCAACAGTCGATTGGATATGACGATCGTCCTTGAGCATCGGCATTCAGGCACGAAAGGAGAAGGAGAAGGAGACGAAGAGGAAGGAAAGGGTCGGACAACGTTCCTTGTAGGTTTACACCCTGAAAGACACGTCAATAAGTCCAATGGGTAGGCGGTGAAGAGCTGTTTCTTGTTTGTCTTATACAAGCAACGACAACAGTTTGCTCCAGTTACTGTTGGTTTGGCTAGTAATACCTAAAGTGAGCAAAAAAAAAGAGAACAGGACAGGAGTGAGAACTCGTTTATGCGGGATTTATTCTCCTCCCCCAAAAGCTCCCACACCATGGAACACAAAACTCCCCCTTGCCCCACTCCTGACATCGACCGACTCCTCATTTGCACACAAAAACACCAAACGGAGTGCTCTTCATTGCAGCAGGCTGAATAATGCAAGGTTGGTGCCCGGTCACTATTTCCAGGTAGGGCTCAAAGGCTCTCTTATATTCAAAAAAGGGTGGCAAAGAAGGTTCAGCAGCAGCCATTCCTTGTATTTTTTTTTTTTGTGTTCCTTTCCCATTCTTGTGTGTTTTTCTTCGGTGTAGGGTGTGGTTGGTTGCGTGTTGCATGTATATGGGATTATATGTGGGTGGGTGAGGGTGGGTGAGGGTGAGTGGATGAGTGGGTGGAAAAGTTAGTAATATGGAAGGGGCGGTGCTGGTAGTCGTACCGATGTTTCAATAGACAAGGGGTGAGCAGAAGAGTGGTTTTGGGGTGTTGGAAGGCAGTTGCAACCGACGAACAGGGGTGAGAGATGTGAGAGTATGAGTTATGCGTGTAAAGTGAGAGTATGGTAAGAGTATAGGTGAGAGTAGATGTAGAGAATGGAGGGGAATGGCTGAAGAAGGAGACGAAGGAGGAGATGGGCTGATGTCAGGGAAAAAAAAAACCAACGGAGAGAAAGGCGGTAAGGAAGAGAAGAGGAGGGTTGTATATGTTGTTGGTGATTACCTTCAATGGTTGAAGGGCACAGTAAGAAAAGAAGGGTGAGGAGTGAGTGAGTTGGAGTAAGAAGTGGGTGAGTACTGAGGAACGAGTAAATAGAAAGAGAAAGAGAGAGAGGAAAAGTGAGAGAAAAAGAATTGAAGAGACAGAGAGAGAGAAGAGACACACAGAGATAGAGAGAGAGAGAGAGAGAGAGAAAGAGAGAGAGAGAGAGAAAGAGAGAGAGAGAGAGAGAGAAAGAGAGAGAGAGAGAGAGAGAGAAAGAGAGAGAGAGAAAGAGAGAGAGAGAAAAAGAGAGAGAGATAGTGAGATAGCGAGAGAGAGAACGGTGAAAAATATGCCATCGTAAACGCTGATGTTACAGCGGTTAAATCTCCCCCCCTATTATTTTCTTTTCTTTCCGCTGTCTCAACACACTCTGCCCTGCAAACGCACTACCGGCCCTTTTTATCCAACCATTGAATGGCTGGGTGCCATCCTATTCTGACCACAACAATGCATCCGAGGCATGACTTAGTTAGTTTATATTTATGCGGTCGTGTCTGCTTGATATTTTGTTTCTACGAAGATGGACCGTGGTGGCGATAGAGTCGCACTCCCAACAGACAAACAGCAATCAGCGCTCCCGCGACCCCCATCGCCGTCAGATAGCGCTTCATCCGCACCGTACTTGAATTAGCGTCCAGAAACCCGGCCGGCGTTGCAATCGACGGGCACATTGCTACCGCTGTCAAAATATTGAATAGGTCCGCCATCTGCCGCGACTTGACTGATATACTAATAGGCGCCGCCAGCCCAAGGTGTCGGCAGTACACATCCGGCTGGACCTCGTTCCTTTGGAGCACCAAGTCCGAATCACTTTTTGTCGCCACAAACACACTAGGCATGTGTTCCAAGTGGTATTTTTTCTATTCTCGACAATATTTCCGTCCCAGGGAATAACATTTGGGCAAAAAATAAAAATAATAAAAGGGAAAAAGTGAGAAAAAAAATCAACAGCCAGTGCCAAATCCAAATCCAAATCCAATGCAAGTTGCATGGACGCACACGCCACACAAAAGAAAAGAAGGATACTTCGATTGCAAAACAGAACGATGCTTGTGTAAGCATAAAGCATTCACTTACCCTAAGGTTCACAACATACGAAAACGAATTCACGTCGCTTGAATCAAACACAAAGCACAACAGGTCGCACTTGTCCAGCCGCTTCTTGTTCTGGAGTACCTCAGCCTCATACTGTGTGCCAAACTCCTCCATCTATTTCCAGTCCAAAGAGTGAGTGAGAGGGAGTGATCGCAAAGTTAGAAACTCCACCGCGCAATTTACCTAAACACACTATTGTCACCAGAGTGAACAAATAGAAAAATATTCTTTTGACTGCCAAACGTACCACTAGATATTTCTCGGCGCCTTTAATCTCCACCGAGTTGACAACTGCAAAGGGCCGAGCAGTTGGTTCGTACTGGTCCGAGAACGGCTTGTCCAAGAAACCACGAAGTAACGAAGTCTAGCCATAGTTTCAATAACAGCAATAGCAAGTGGATTCAGTCGATTTCTCCACATTGTTCTTTGAAGGATTCCATGTTCTGTTTCTGTCTAAACACGCGCGTTCATAGGTGCGTGCGTGCGTGCTCAGCATAGCAAGCGTTTTGTATTTGCTTACCTTGCCAGACTTCGGAGCTCCAAATACATAACAGAGAAAGACGTTCCTTTGGACCTTGCCCTTTCGCCGATCGATCTTTCTAGGCCGGGTCACCTTGATAGCCGTTGTGGTATCTCCTTCAAATCCAAGGTAAGCCAGGTATCTCAAAGTCAACTGGTAGTCCAGCATAGTTGTCATACTAATTTCACATGATATGAAGTAGAGATGATGGCGAAAAGTCGTTGTCAGTACTCGAGATCCTCTTCTATCCTTCGTCAGTAGGCCGGTATCATGAAGACATACCTCCATTGAGCCAAGAATCCTTGCAGGGTAACGGCTCCAAGCTCCGTGGTAATGGTCGTTTGAGGAAACGCCGTATGTGCCCATGGGTTTCCTGGAGAAGTCTTAAACAGTGCCTCCAGCTCGCTCTTCTTCAGCGCACTATCCTTGTCCTATTTGAGAAAGGAGACGTCTCAGAATGCAGCACATCATAGCAAGTATGTACAAGAACGAAATGGCGTTGACCAAGAACATCCATTCATCCGAGCTGTACCTTGTCAAACACCTGGAAGAGTTCTGTGAAGAACTGGTATCCTTTAGGGCTCAATTCCACCGAGCAATCGATAGGAATTTCAACTCTAGGATCAGAAAGGCAAGACGTCCATGTGAGCCCATGTTCCGCTGTCCATTGTCCTTGCACAGATAATCAATCAACCTTACTGAACCCAGCACAAAACGCAGGAACGGCTCGTACCTTGGGCACAAGAAACTTTCCCGTAATGTCAGGTCGTCGCCGTATCCAAATTGTCGTAGCACTGTCCATGTCGTCTCCAGTCGGCCTCGCTGGATGAAAAGCGTATGAAGAAACAGAAACCCTACGCAAAAAAAAAAAAAAAAACGCGTGTCAGACCAGCTCAGTACATAATTTGCTAACCCCCCAGTTTCGGATTCGTTCTCTGCATTCGCAGTGGCCTTACCGACTTCTGTCAGTCCAATTTCGTTAACGCCTTCTGTCTCATGCTCCTTGACCACCTCCTTCACAGCCTCCAATTCCTGCAGCTGTAGAGGCGCGTTGAAGCACTTCCGCTAAGATATTAAAGTAATAATTTGTCAATATACATAGTCGGCTCCCGTGATATTCCTGAGAGACGCCAGCGCCGTCGTGTTTATGTTGTTTGTCCCATACCTGGAATTCATTGAGCTCCGCGTCATCCAGAACGCCATCCTTGTCGAGATCGCAAAGGTTGAAGATACGCTGCAGAGCGTCGACACATGCGGGCTTTAAGACATGTTCCCGAGAATCATACAATGGCGCTGTTGGGTGAAGAACGGCCTTCTGCGCAAAGTAAAATACTTCTGAGACGTTGAGGGGTTGCTTGGCCGAACACTCAACACAGGTTTCTACTTCCTACTCGTGGATTAATAAAGGAAGATGCACTTAGTAGTCAGGAGGAGGAATATTCTATCGTACTTGAAATTCGCCAAGCCAACACGTCCACAACCTGTGAAACCGTTCGTAGACGCAATCAAAGTACCTTGAAGTCGTTCATGATGGGCACGACCTCATCCTCCAGACGCTTGTTAGACACATCATCACCTCTCAGATCGATTTTGTTTCCAACAAGGACAACTGGGACCTAAAATATAAAGCATTCGTTCGGACCAAACCGGTGCAAGCGGATCAAATCAATGTCAGCCTAATTCTTTCTGCAGCCCTGTCATTTCCTGCGATATTCCTGTACAGTCGTTTTGAGCTCCTTACGTTGACGCCAAGTGAGCGGATGTATGGAAGCCAGTGACCGCTGAGTCGATTGAAGGTTGCTGGCTCGTCGATGGCATACACGATACAGATAACATGAGCTTTCCTGATCTCTGTTTCCAATGTGTCCCTGTACTCTGGTCTGGCTGCAGAGATTATCAAGCAAAGCAATGTATGTTAGTCGACCAACAGCCCATTTGTATGTTTTTGGCATCTTGCCCATGCATCAAAAGCGTGATTCAAACAAGAAAAAAAAGGTTAAGAAAAAACATGTACTTGATGTATCCACAATGTGGGTAGTAACATTGTCAGGAGTAACCTCTGGTGGGATGGTCACCTCTGGGATAACATGTTGGACCTGATAAAAAAAAACATGTCGATAGTGTGAGTCTTGGCAGGCTTGAGGTAACTCTAGCATTGTCGCTGTAGCATCATGTCCTTCAGTTTCGGCTCAGCATGTCGTGCTTACATTGGCTACAAAGGACTCTTTGATGAGGCTGGTGATCAGGGTGCTTTTTCCGACACCATCTATAGGAACAAATGGAAGACGGAGTAATTGAAAGTAAGGAACGGGACAAAAGTAGCAGCCAGACTGTAAAAGGCGCGGTTGTGTCCTGAGTCCATGATGAAACTGTACCATCACCCAGGAGAAGGATGCGGACGTCTCTTCTCATTCTATGCGAAATTCACGTCGGTCTTTGGGTTGAAGCGTAAGTCTTGTGAGGGAGAGAAAGAAAGTGTCAAGCACAAAAAAGACGCCTTCAATTTTTCAACCCTTTTCACTTTGTGGCCACTGCACGTGATCAAACGTGCATCCCGAGTATTGTGTTCAATGCATGCACAGGTTTTGATAATGTACAAATGGGTGGTGTATTTAATCGGACTCTTCATCGGCAACTACATCTAAGGTATCTTGTGCAAGGGTCACTTCGAGATCTGCCATATCTGGATCGGCCAGCTTTTGGGCCACGTGCTCAGAGAGCGTGAACGACCTCGAGTTGCGACGAGAACTACGGTGCTTCATGAATGCACCCACAGCTCCAAGGTATCCTTCGTGACGAAGGAAAAGGGCCTTGATAGCTCCTTTGGACCAGAAGTTAATGGCGTACGACAACGTGTTCATGGTAATTGGGTGACCTATGGCACGATCCAAGAAAGCACACAAAAGGAGAAATACAGGTGAATACGACGACTCCTTCCCTTCAAGGTGGACTTTTGGAAGCAATATAATAAAAATGAATGCCTTACCTCGGATGAAGCATCCTCCGAAATAAATTTTGCTCAGTCCGTGCGCCTTGGCATTCAGGTATGCAATCTGTCCAATGTTGTTACTAAATAATTGACAAGGATGAAAGTCCTGTTAGCAACAAACTCATTACCCATGTCTTCTCCAGTCGGTTAGCCAGCCAGCCATATCCCTGACATATCGCGTTAAGACCAATTTGCAACAGGCAATGTGTTTTCTTCTTACCTGACCATGTAGAGAAGCGACCTAGAGATGTCTTCCGGCTTGAATTGGCGCTTATCAACGTTCTTCTTAAAGACCTTGCCCATGGAGGAAGCGATTGTGGTCGATTTGAGTCCTACTTTGGAGTAGTCGCTACCGTAGATATCTCCGACCAGCATATCAACGTTCCTGTTGTCTCCTTCCTGGCTTGCTTCCAACATTTCTAATGCAAAAGAGATTGCGTAGTGATTTAATAAAGTATCCATGTGTGTATAGCTGGATGGGTACTTGCCAATGCTGAGAATTGAATGCCATACCATCAAACGTCTTTGCGCCTGTCAATAATGAGAGTAGTCCCCAAAGAGTTCCTCCTCCTAACTACTCGAATAACAAGAAAAATGTAACAGAGTGGCTAGTTAATAATCTTGTCTTTTAGCCACTCTTGTATTGTGTGTTTGAACAAGTCGAGATCACTTACGGACGTTCCGCTGATTCTCTCGAAGGTTGTGGCACTTGTCACCTTCAGAATGCTAAAATAGCGATTAAAGACAACGGAGGGGGTGGCTAACGATCAGATCCGTGTTCAAAGAGAACGCCAAGCAACGATTGCAAGGTCCTGTCCGTAACGACGTTTTCATCATAGCATCCAGCTGGAGTAAGGGTTATAGTATTCGTAGTACCTGACTCCTGATCCAATGTTAACAAGCTAACGAATCAAAGTAGAAAGGAGGAGGTGGTGTTAGGCGTCATGGGAACAATTTTTAATTGTTGGGTGGCTCGTTCATACCGGCACGAAAGTGCGTACACCAGTTGTGGACAGGAAGAAGTGATGCTTGTCGATTGGAGTTCGTTTTTGTGGAAACGTACCATGTATGGGAAAGGGTCCTCAGGGGTCTCCTCGAAACACATTGGGTCAGTTTCGCTGTAGGTGAAGACCTCAAAGGGGATTTCGGTGATCAAAAAGTTGAGACCTTCCAGAATTAAACGATGCAGAGGAAATCAGGATGACAGCCAGGGTTAGAAACGGCCAGGTCGACCTCAACAACAACAACAAGAAGTATGAACGGTCCGAACCCCACGAACAGCGAACACAGAGACACGACATCAGGTAACGAACAATGAATGAGCAATTGAACTTCTTGGTTCAGACAAACGCACCTGTGATCAAGCACTCCATCTCGTCTTCGCGCTGAATGTTGACCTTGAGAGTCTCCCTGAGTCGCTCATAGTACAAGTGTGCTCCTCCTCCTGTGGCCTTAATGACAAACTCGTGTCCGGGTCTGTTCGCCCTTGATTCCTCCAGCAGCCGGCTGATGAAGGCAATGCATTCGTCGATCTTTTCCGTCTCAAACTTGCGAAAGTTCAGACGGCCGCCCTTCGTGCCGGGTATACGAGAAAAGTAAACGACCTTGGCAAGCGATCCGCCGACCTGGGAATATTAGAAAGAGTAATAGGGCAGATAGAAAAGACAGGCTCAATTGAGTTAGACAATGGTTCACACTGTCACTTTGCACCGACTGGATCGTCAACCGAGTCAGAACGGTTCTTCCGGCATTGGAAGCAGGTGGGTGAACAAGAGCCGATCCATGCGGAAGTAGCCAGTAGGGTAACTGCAAGGCGATAAGCGGGACTAATTGACTGATAATATAACAACAGAGGCTACAGAAGGGGTTTCACTTACGTCGACGGAGATCTGGGAGACATGTTCTGTGTTTGGGAGCTGAATGTCTCTTGCCTCGCCTTGGACGATGAGTTCTTCATCGCAGATGGATGCGCCGATCAAGTTCATGGTCATGTTGTCCCTGCTTCGCTGTTTTTTTAGAGATGATTTGTCAGAAGGTAATGTCCAGCAGAGTGTTCTTTGTCGTTATTGTTAATCGAGGTTACGGGGCAAGCGAGGGAGGTCGAGACGAGCGGCGGCGAAGAGGCTAAGGTTGTGGGAGAAGAGAGAGAGAAGAGAAGAGAAGAGAAGAGAAGGGAAAGGAAAAAAAGAGAAGAGGGAAGAGGGAAGGAAGGTTTGGGACTGAACTCAACTCAACGGAAAAAGAATAAAAAGGTGGGGAAAAGCAGAGAAAGTCAAGAGGGCAGCGAACTAAAATGATAAGGGACGGAATTGGCGAATAGACGGAGTGGCCGCTCCCGAATCAGATCATGTCATCCTCTGGCATTCAGTGTAGTTTTTATCCTTTCCTGCCCTGCCCCACAGGCAACTTTAGAGAGTAGTGAGGCGATCTCACCTCAGCCGATGCCGATGCGAAGTCGATTGCTGGTCTACATAGTAGATTACTTTCACACGGCTGGCTCTCCGAGACAGTCATTGATATGTGTGTGTACTGGTACATGTACTGTATACATCGAGATATAGGTAGGTAGTGGGATAGATACTCGATGGTACACTTACCATTGACTTTACTTCTGATTCTACTTTGGCTTCGGGCGGTTGGAGTCAGGAGAAGAAGGGGTGCAGAAGACACCACCCAAGAAATGATTTCATCAATTGTGCCTGTCTTGTCTCTCTCTAGCCTTGCCTGACTGTCCATCAATTTGGTAGCACACGAACTCGTCTAATTTTTTCTTCTTCCTTGCCCTTCACTGCTCCCAGTCGTCACCTCGTCCTCCCTCAGCACATACTCCTCGATCGCCATTCACAAAAAACAGATCTAGACGCTTGACACTCACTCACTCACACACTCACACCCCACACTCACAATACAACCATAGCAATGGCCGAGGTACTCGACACACACACACACACACACACACACACACACACGCACACAAACACTCAAACCCACCAATCATCTCCACTAACTGAGACGATGGATAACGAAAACAAAAGCACACAAAAATAACACGGCGTTTGTTTGTCGCGTTCTATATCTAAAAAAAAGGCACTTCATGGCGCCCTTACGTCCCACAACAACCACTCACATCAACACATCCATGCTCATTCACGCTCTTCACTTCCACCTTCTCATCTAACGACCCATGCCCGCCTTTTCTTTTTCACCTCGTTAAACAAACATAACCTTCTTTGACAGGAACTCGTTGTTCACTTTGAGAAGCTCTTGACAAGGTGAGTTCGAATGTCTAGCAACGAACTCCTTGCTGTAGTGCATCATCCACTTTACAGGATTCAACATCATAGCCCCGAAGTGCAGTAAAAGAAACAACAATGAGCGATGCAACCAATCGATCGTTTCGGAGGATTGTTCTTGTTACCAAAGTTGAACAAATTACTGACACAGTCTGTGCCCGACTCTTTCGCTTTCTTCAATAAGGGTGGATGGATTGGTGTCTGCTGTGGTAACAGACCGCGACGGTGTTGTTCTTCTGAGAGGTAAAACAACGGCAACAAACTACGTCTTCTACTCCAGTAATTGACGCTGTTAGCGTGAAGCCTTTTTTGTGGTGACAATTGAAAAGTGGTGAACTAACTTTCCTGTTTTTATGTTCCGACACCCATCTAGCCAATGCACCCAATTGCTCACCTCCTTTCACAGAGTCGGCCTTGGGATGCACATTTGCACTGGCGAGTGACCAGGTAAACTCCACGAGGCATTTTTATTTATTCAAGGACACATCTGACGGCCATTTGCATTGGGCTTCAACCCTGGTTCTGAATGCTGATAAGTTCTGCTCGTTTTGTACATGTTGGATTAATTAGGCTTCGAAGCTCGGACTGAAAAAGAACAAGTCGATTGTCAGTGTCTATGGCTCCTACCAGCTGGTTCAGTTCAACCACTCGTCCCTTATTACCACATTCGTTGCCAACAGCAATGCCAACACTGGTGGGTTGTGGATATCACTGTCAGCGATTTTTATGCTTTTGCAGGATGTTTTGTCCGCGTGATGCATTGGCCATTATACTTTTTATATTGCCGGCTTCCTAACTATGGTGCATGTTGTCTTTGATCCTCTCGCCCATTTAGGATTGCTGCTAGAACTCGGGAGTGAGCTGGAAAGTGTCACACAGGTCATTGCCACTGCCTTGCATGAGAGGCACAGCGGCGCATTGTAGAGTTGAGTTGCCACCAAAACATGAAACTAAAGGCGTCGATTCGATTGTTTTGTCTATTGGGAATAAAACAACCAGCACTACAAAAAAGTCAAGCTTTCTGCTCAGCCCAGAAGATATGTGCCCCTTAATCACTGAGACATGCTTGCCGCGAAAATTATTTCTCTTTCCTCGTATTCCTTTTTCTTTTCCCTTCAAAGACATCCGCACCTTCACAACCACCTTTCAATTCTCTGCCATTCATCTGATGTCAAACTTTTCATACACAACCGGCTTCCCCATCTTCTGTGTCGGGTTCACACGCGACGACGACGTTGTTCTCGCAGGCGGAGGAGGTATATCAAAGTCCGGAGTCAAGAACAAAATTGTAAGGCAGTACCTACATTCCAGCAACCCCAACAAAAAAACGGAAAACTCTCTCGCCATGGCCACCTCGAACGGAATGACTTTGTTGTCATCTTGCACCACTGAATGAGTTTCAGCGGTGCACCAGTTGGTGGCAAACAGGAAGCTTTTTTCTCTATGCTCGAATGATATTCACCTCGAGGTACTCTTTAACTTCTGCGGTTTATGAACGATAGGCTATTTACAAGGTCGAGACTGCAGGAAAGACGCTGAAGCCTGTGGTCGAAAGGGAGCTGAGTCGCGACGAGGATGCCCCCATGTCCATCAGTGTCCACCCAACTGTACGTTCAAAGGAAAACATGTTTTGTTTGCTCCTCCTTTTTTGCGCTCTCAAACCTCCCCATTATCTTAATGTGATCAAGGCCTCCCAACATGTGCCAACGACATTTTTTGTTGCTCTGAGCACTTCGTTGTTGTTGTTTATTTTCATCCTTGTATTCTGGGTACATTTGTGCTTCACCGATGTGCTGACCGTAGCCACATGTTTTGGCATTTGATCACAAACATAGGAATCTGCTTTGGCCTTTGGAATTAACAGCGCCACCAACAAGGTCGAGGCAGGAGAGAACGAGAACTGCAGGATCTTCCAGTACTCCGAGGAGAGGTAGCCACAAACTACTCCATGCACTCCTGCATCATTTTTTTAATGGGAGAAAGGCCTGGAATCGATCTAACATTTACTTACACGTTGCATTTTCGAAAGGATCGAACCTGTCCACAACAAAGGAACTTTGGCGAGCAGGAACTCAGATGACTACCAGGTGCGACACACGGATATTGTCATGGATTTTTATCTGTGAATTTTGATATTGAGCGACCTTACAAGGAGCGAGATTCTGTCCAGTTTTGTACCGGTTTGATAACTTACGGACGCGTTTAATATCTCGTTTATAGAAAGTGACACGTTTCAACAAGGACGGAAGTGTGCTGGCTACTGGAGGAACCGATGGTGTGGTAAGGGGTCCTACCGTATTGCGACACGACAAGTAATTGAGAACACGTAATCGTGTAGGAATAACTAACGTCCTGTTCATCACATTTATCTATAACTTGTACGTGTAGATCGCATTGTTGAATTACCCCTCGCTCACCCCTGTGATTCCCATTACCCAGTTCAAAGGACATGAGATTCTGGATATTGACTTTTCAGCAGACGGAGCACACGTAAGTGATTTTACAACGACAAAAGATCAATACCAAAGAATATAGCCGCCCGCACAATATCTCATCAGGAACGTTCGTGATTTGCCTGTCGCAATAGATCGCCGCAGTGTCTGCAATGAACCTCTGGATTATTTCAGCCGAGACTGGTCGTGTCCTGGAAGTAATCACCAACCCTGTTTTGAACAAGAAGAAACCCTTTGTCTTCAGGACTTGCCGTTTCGGCCGTGGCACCTTTTCCAACATTCTCTACACTGTTGTTAATGGAGACAGGAGCCAAAAGCCATTCGTTTGTATGTGGGACGCCACCAAATGGACACGTATTCGCACTCTGACCGTCGGGCCTAAGCCCATCACAACTTGCACCATCAGGTAAGCAACGTCAATAATTTACGGGAAGGACGACATTTTGGTGGTGGAAAGAAGTTGGGTTGAGTGGAGAAAAATTCACCACAACCAATCTATTAAATTGCAATTCCTTTTATATTAGCCCGGACGGAAAATTGATCGCGTTCAGTTCCTCGGATATGGGTCTCCGGATCTGCAGTAGCAAGTCGTTGCAGGTCTTGATGACTGTCTCCAATGTTCATACTCTCCCCGTCACCTCCTTGGCATTCAACAGCGACTCGTCCTTGCTTGTCAGTGGATCCGTTGATGGTACCTGTCGCGTTGTCTCTGTACCAAAAACCTTCCCCAAAAGTAAGTCATTACCGATACCAATGACTTGACAACGCGTCGAAAGTTGCACTCTCGGCAAAATTTAAAATGGAATACGCGCTTGCACTCATGTACTTATGTTCCTCACTATTGTTTTTTTTATTCTTGTAGACAATAACTTTGTGATGTTGATCTTGGCATTGTTGTTCCTCTTCCTGGCCGGATTTGTTCATGTCTACCAGAACAACCTGATTGCTTAAACAACAACCCACACGTCTCTTGCACAACAAAAAAAACCTCTCACGCTCCTACCCCTCATTGACCCTCCCTCTCTTTCCAACCCGACACCCTTTCTATTGCGTTATGCCCCTCCCTCTCCTCTTCCCTTCCCTTTCCTGCATTTCCCCACCCCTCAGGAATGTGTATCCTTGCTGGGATTCCAATGACATAGCAGACAGGACTAATCCCCTACCCCAACAACAAGCAACATCACACATTTACTCACAAGTCATAACATAAATCTCATAAAATTTGTTGCGACCTGCAAAGTGCAAGGCCTGAAGTTCTTATTAAGACATGGATAGATGATAGCAATTGGATTAGAGAGGAAGAAAAAACGAACAGAGTAGATGGTATTACAAGGACTAATGTACAGAAAGAAAATGGTGCTTGCGAAACGTTCATCGTAGAGGCGATTGGCAGTAAAGAGTAAAGCAGGTCACAGGGCCAGTAGGTGTAAGAATGACCAACAGTTGAGACTCGTGACCTTCCTATTGGCTGCTGGTCTGCCAGGAGGAAGAGGAAGGAGCAGGCGTGTACTCGCGCTCACGGAAGAGGGCGACCAGAGGGATATGGTCCGACGGAAAATATTGGCTTGGTAGCGCCGTCGGCAAGGTGGCGCGTATCGGGGTTGAATCATCCTTCTTGATTGGTGTTTTTGTAAGAGTAGAGGTTTCTGTCGACAGAGTGTCCGAGGGAAAGAGCTTGGAAAAGTCGAGTCCCTGGTGACTCGTCTTCTTCTTAAGGGCTCTCTTGGCCGCACGTTTTCCTCGAGTCAAAGACAATGGGGAAGACATCGAGTCTAGTGAGGATGACGAGGACGGGGATGAAACCAAGTCCTGTTCCAGCTCCGAGTCCAAATCTGAAGAGCTCATATTGGCAGTACTCGTGCTACCCATCGACGACCCTTCCAATCCCGACGACTTTGTATTATTAGCAGCAGCCCAAACGGGATCCACCTCAAAATGATCCATGAATCCGACCAGACCCAACGACGACGGATCGTACAACAAATAATCAATCGTACCCTGAAAGTGACGCGTGGCGTTGGTGAACGGTAAGATCGAAGACTTGTAGCTGTCGGCCAAGCCCAGTCGGTGGTAGAAATATTTGCTGTGAGCCCGTGTGAAGCGCCCAAAGTCGTTCCCGCCAAAATGACAAGTGTCGACCTGACCGGACTTTAGGAACCGGACCACAGAGCTGTCGGGCAATGAATTGAAGTCGCCTGCCAAGATTGTGGGAATGTGTTGAACGGATTGACTGCTGTTGTTGTTATTGCCTGAAGATGCTTGTGATGTCGCTGTTGTTTTATGGTGTCCGTTGAATGAAGTCGATCCCGACGATAGCTTGGCCATGGCTTCTGCTTTGAGTTCTTCCAACTTGGAGGTCAAGATAGCAGTCTGCAGCATCTTAGCATCTGGGAAAGCTGGGTCGGCCAAAAGATGTGTTGTTGCGACTTGAACTTGACGTTTGGTGCGCTTGTTCTCAAAGAGTGCGACGATAGCAAGGTTGTGGAAAAGATTAAAGCGAATAGCGGTGTCGCGGGCCATTGACGGCCGCTTGACATTGTTGTCGTCAAGCTCCACTTGGTTGAAACGGAGGACGTGTTCGTTGATAAGCTTGAATCGACTGTTAAAGTTGAAAGGGGAGAAGCACACAGGAGGTGATGATGGTGTTGCGTGTGAATGTGAAAGGAGAAATCGGATCGCCAAGGGAATGGATTGTGTGGAAAAAAGAAAGGAGGCATGTGCGTGAGTAAGCATGATTTGTGCTCCTGAGCGTGGGGTGGAAAATCGTCCGTCAGTCGATCGGTGTGGGAACGATAGGACGAATGAATCCATCAACGTGTTTCCTGTCGCGGCTCTATCTCGTACAACGAAAAAAAAATCCCTTAAAAGATCTTACCTATCGCGGTAGAAGATGGCACAGCCATCCCTCATCTCGTACACGTTCATCTTGTAAGCATGAATCGACCTGAACCCAAGGCGGGTCATGTGTGGGCAAAAATACTCTTCATAATCCCGCAACTCCAGCTCCTAAACATTGCATAAAACAAAAGGACAATCAATACATGTCAAACAATTGACATTTGACAAAGTTACTGTTTTTGGAACGGATCGCACCACAAATGGTTCCTTGAACCGAGTCGCCGTTGTTCCATACCTGTAGACAGACAATATCGGCGTCGGTGAATGCGATTTGGTTCAAAATGGCTTCTCTGCGGTAGGCCCATTCCAAGAAGACGGGCTCACAGTCAGCATCCAGTCGCAAGGGGTGGCAAAGTCTAGGCGAAAGGAGGTTCCAGGACATAACCACATACGATTCTAGGAGGTTGGGGGGGGAGCAGATGAGAGAAAAATAGAAGAAAAGTTATTGTTAGCATAGCATGCAGCTTAGGAGAAGTATTACACGGGTTGACCATTCGCCCTTCCTTGCCGGAGCGGTTGTTTGTTCATTTGTCCTTTAGTCCTTACTTGCATCCATTGACATGGGGCCTGTTGATTCGTAGATCCACTCTCGCTTGGGCAGAGCGATTAAAATATCATCTAAAAGATGGATAGCAACAACAAAACACTCTGGTCAGTTAGTCATGATTTTCCGGTTGGACTGACACTCTCGTTCGACTCGACTCAAAGGTCATCCCGCAGTCAGCGAGTTACGCCACAAACCAAAACAATTGAACCATGTCAACACTACTAAAAAAAAGATAAACGTGCTTGTACTTGACCGACTTACCAGCGAGGGAAGAAGAAACATCTTCATAAAGCCATCCGCGGGGTATGACACTGCTCAGCATGAACAAAGAGAGAGAGTTTTTTGCGTCGTTACAGCGTGTTCTTGGGACAGACTTGGAGTTGGCACTAAGGGCGGCCAAAATGAAAAAAAAATAGGGACTGAAGGGAGCTCAAAATAATACCAACCTGAGTGGGATCGGGGGTTCCGTAGGACCCAAGTCAGGGTTGTGGGGGTCATCCTCCTCCATGACAGGAGACGTCAAGTCAACGAGAGGCATCGCTTGGAGCTGAGTCATTCGCTTGGCCTGGTATGCCTGTGTTCTGGCCCGTCGTCGCTGGCCCTTGCCCTGGCGGGTTGATTGTTGCTGCTGTTGTTGTTGTCCCTGGACCTTCTGAGTCTGTGTCAGTCCCTGAGTATGCTGCAGCTGTCCCTTGTCACTTCGTTTTTTGTTGTCGGAGCAATATCGGGCATGGGGGACAAGGGGCTGGGAGAGGAGCAAGGCAGTGTTCTTGTCAAAGGGGCTGCTGCCCAAACCATCAAAGTGGAGTTGGTCCTGGTCGGACTTGAGGCTGGCAAGGCGCTTCTGACCAGGAGGAGGGGACCAGGCAGCAGCCTCTGACAGCGAAGGCCAGGAGGATTCGTAACCAGAGTCGCCGGAACTCTCACCAAGAGACGGGTTGGTGGGGGCAAAGTGGGCGGACTGGATGTTGATGGGGGCGGTCGCTGGTGGTGCGACCATCTCTTGTGTGGAGGAGGAGAAGGTGGTTGTGGTGGTGGTTGCCATTCTTTAGTTTTTTGTCCCTGTGAAACCAAGAGTGTTGGGCAATTGTGATGAGAGGAGTCGGAGTGGGAAGCCTGGAAGAAGGATGGAGAGGTGGGGATGAAGGAAAGAGGATGGTGGTAGGTGCGAAGGGAAGGAGGAAGGAGGAAGGAGGAGGGGAAGGAGAAGAAGAAAGAAGGAAAGAAGGAGGGAAGAAGGAAGAAGGGTGGGGAAGTAAGGGATACACAAGGAACGGGAACGGACTGACTACTAACTAATTGACTATCAAGAATTGAATTCAGTCGGGACTGAGCAAAAAAGGGAACCATCCTTCCTCACTTACACGCACATTGGCACAAAAAGGGGGGTGGGGCAAAGAACGGACCGCTGCTGGCAGCAATGGTCGTCAATGGGCCATAGAATTGACGGAACCGCAATATATAAGAATAGAAGATGCACCTGTAAGAGAGAAGGAGAGGAAAGGAGGAAAAGGAGGTACGGTAGGGGAAAAGAGGGGGCCAACTCTCTCTGCTTCGCGTCAATTTTCTAATGATACCTAGAAAAGTACCTGTAACATGAGTCCTAATGGATGAAAGTGGTCATAGCCAATAATGCCAATGGGAGAAGTAGAGAGAGTGAAAGAAAGAATGAGAACGACCATGTCGTTGATACCACACACACGCATTCGTGAATTGATATCTGTCCTTGACCTTGTCGCTCGTTCGATGTGACTGTCCGCCAAGTCACATGCCCAGTCGACTTCTTGTGCCCCCCTCTGTTCTCCTTTTCTTCCTTTCGACATTCTCTCTTTTCTTCTCGCACTCACACCTCTTCGACCCATCTCTCTTGACCCACCCCACTCATACATATCCTCACACTCACGCCTTTACTTCGCACTCATACTCATACAACACTCACTCAATGTTCAGAAACGCAAACCCATTTGACGAGATCGTCAGTACGTCCTTCTTGCTCTTAGCCATTCTTTGACTCTTTGATGCCTAGGTGTTCCTAAAACAACACAGCACTTGACACCCTTGCCCTGCACCCTCCCTTTTCTTCACAATAGCCTCCGCAACTAGCGAAACGTTGACTTCAGAGGACTGGGACGCCATCCTCACTATCTGCGAAAAGGTCAACCGCGCCGGAGACAACTCGTAAGTCATTGCACTTGAGGTCAAGACACTACAGGCTGAGGGTGGCATGAAAACTGCCATGCAGAACAAAGCAACGTCAGGCTGACAAACAACCTGCCATTGCATCAACATAGGGGACGGGACTGTTTGGCTGCTATTCAGAAACGACTCACCAACAAGAACGCCAATGTGATTCTCTATTCCCTCACTGTAAGTGACCTTCCATCGGCAAACTAACTTATTTATTCTTGACGTTCTCGGCAATTCTTCGGCTTTACTTAAACCACAACTCTTGCCTTCCTTACTACGTAGCTTTGCGAGTCTCTCGCCAAGAACTGTGGTCTGAAAGCACAGCGTGAGATTTCTTCCCGCGCGTTTACTGCGCTCCTTGTCAGGATCCTGAATGAAAAGGTACACGTTACTTGACAAAGGAAAAAAAATTGGCTCGCCGAGGGAAAAAGCATTCACACCACAAGGCTCACACGATTTCATCGTCCTTCTTGTTTTTTGGGTTACGTCAAGACTACCCACCCCGCCGTGCGACAGAGGATATTGGAACTCATTCAACAATGGGCGTTCGAATTCCGTGCAGACCCATCCCTCGGTATCATGGACGAAACCTATCAGCAGCTGCGTTCTCAGTCAAAGTTCAAGTTCCCATCACCCCAAAAGCCAAAGAAGGAGCTCAAGGTACATTGCGGGACTCATCCATTCAAGAAAGTGACTCGAACAAGGAAGATGTATCGGCAACAATACCCATCATCTGATTGTATTTCTTTGGATTATCATAGAGCGAGGCCGACAAGCGCAAGGAGGAAGAGGAGCTTCAGTTGGCGCTTGCACTTTCATTGTCCGCAAGCGAGCATGCTGCTGAAAGAGTAAGTTGGTTGGATAAACGCAGATGAGATGGTTTGCAAAACGAATCAAGCAAGCGGGGGACATTGGATTCACCATTCGTCGTTTTCTGTGTATCTAGAAATCAAGTTCGAGACCAGCACAACATCCTGAAACCGAGGCTGCACCAGTCAAACGGGTGCGCGCACTTTACGATTTCGAGCCAACGGAGAGTGGAGAGCTTGGATTCCAAAAGGACGATGTCATTATTGTCCTGGCAACATCATACCAAGACTGGTGGAAGGGCGAGCTTTTTGGACGTCAGGGTATTTTCCCTGTCAACTATGTCGAAGAGATCAAGGAGGGCGAGCCCACCGCCAACGGAGGAGATGGCGAGGACGAGGCTCGTGTTTTGCAGGAAGCCAAGAACATTGACGGACTGATCCAGATGCTGCAAGGTGTTGATCCTCGACGAGACAACTTTTCAGACAACGATACCCTCCAGGTAAACAGGCTCATCCTTATGGTATCTCTCTGTATTTGTTAAAGCAAATGCTAAACAAGCCTTACATCGACATTTCTGAACTCATATAGGATGCATACAATAACGTTCTGGGAATCCGTCCCAAGTTGGTCGAGATGATTAAGAAGCACGGCGAGAAGAAGAACGAGATGATGCTTTTGAACGAGAAGCTGACAAGAGCTCGGTCAACATATGAAAAGATGATGGAGCAGTCAATCGCCAAGTACAGTCAGCAGGCCTACACCAACAACAACCAGTCTCAGCAACCCTACACGCCTGTGCAGTCATTTGCTCCCACCCAGTACGGTCAAGATGGACAAGCTGGACCCAACTACTCTACTGCGCCCTACCAGACGCAATACGCACCCACTTCCATTCAGGGCCAGGCACCGGCAGCCCCTTACCAGCAGGATTCTCAGTACGCCCCTTACACTCCTCAATTGACCCAACAGCAGCCAGTTCAGCCCCAGATTCAGCAGCAGCCCACTTTTGATCAGGCCTATGCCCAACAGCTCCCTCCTCAATCGCAGGCCCCCGTCGACTACAGCCAGCAGCCTCAGCAGCAGTACCAGCAGCAATCTCAGCCCCAACAGCAACAACAGCAGTCATTGCCTCCTGTCCAGAGCTACCAGGGATACCAGCAGCAGCCTATTCAGGGCAATGACTTTTCGAACCAGCAGCAACAGCAACAGCAACAGCCCATTGCCTATGGACAACAAACCAACGGATATGTTCCTCAACCTCAGGTTGCCGGAGTGCCTATGTATCAATAGTCCTCGTCTTTTTTTTGAGCGGCACATATTAAAAAACTATCAATGGAAATTTTGCCAGGAAGGTTTGTATATTAGGCTCTACTATGGAGTAGTTGCGGCTACAGTTGTAGAGCTGAGTACTGGATCTTGAAGGAGATCAGTCATCTTTTGCATCCGCTTGTGAAAGTTGTTGGCCATGTCCGATTTACCCATATCCGTGTAGACTTGACAAAGTTTGCACCACGTTTGAATCAACCCTGCCACAGCTTGACGATGTTCCTCTGTCGGTCCTGGAGACAAAGACGAAGTAGCAGTAGTATCATTGGATGATGAATCAGAGGACACCACCGTCTTATTCCTCCGGTTGTGATTGTTCTTGTTAGCCTTTTGAACGCGCCACGAAAAAGGTCCTGCTGCAGCGTCCTGAAGGGTTGCAAGGTGTTGGAGACTAGCTTCTGCCTGGATTAAATCATTGGCCTGGATACAGCCGTCGGCCAAGGCCATCCAGGCATCGATTTTGAGGGCGTCGATCAGAGTCCGTTGAGTGGGTGTCCAAGTGGTTGTGGTTGCGGAAGGGAGGTTGTCGAGGAGGGAGCATGACTGGGCGAGGAGTGGGAGGGGGGACTTGTTGTGGTGGGAGTTTTCTTTTGCAAGTGCTGCGTGGATCTGGAGTTTTAGGAGTGTGTCTGTGAAGAGCTGTTGTTGTGCTTCCTGGTCGTTTTGTGGGGTCATTGCCATTTGTGTTTTAATGAAGGGTGATTGCTTGAGGGTTAGCTGAGGAAAAAGGTGTGTGTCCTGGTCAAAAGGACTGGCGAGATGTGGAGAATTTAGTAAGCGCATACGATCCAATAATCTCCGGTGAAGTAACCCATATTTTTCAACCCGCACCCTTCCTTGATCGTGATGCATTTCTGTTTCCAACATCCTCACTCTCTCTCCCCTCTACACAACACATCAAAAATGCGTGCCTGGTCTACTCCCTTCCTTCGCCCCATGGCTCCCTTCCTGGCCGGAGGTGCCGTCACCTTCTACCTCATCAACGCCGCTCAGGAGGCCGCTTTGAAGAGTACGTTCCTCCTTTCATCACCCGAAAATCCAAGGATTAAGTAGTTCTTTGCCCGATGCCTCCCGAGGACTGTTCACGATGAACAAAAACCGACATAGCAAGAGGAAGCGACACAGGCAGCCGAGCACCAATATTCAGGAACCAGTATATATTCTACATGGTTCCTTCTTTCCTTCGCGGATGGAAGTGAACTGCTATATTTTGGTGTGCCTAGATACCGTTCATATCAGGAGACGCACCTGCTATCAGCAACCCCATCAACAGTGCCCTATCAGATCACCATCACAAACCACAACCATCATCAACACTTGAATATCGCAAATGAACGGGAGGAATACAAAGCTAACAGAGCCATTACTTCAATTTCTATCATTCTACTACCATATAGGCGAGCCCTTCAAGAGCGATCCCCGCAACCCCAACTGTAAGACTCCTTGACGTTTTCTCTCTAGCGATCTGTCCTTACGATATGTGACAACAATGAATTTTTGACAGTACAGTTTCCTAACAACACAATCCCTTTTTTTTTGCCCTGCCATCTGAATAGTCACTGGCAAGAAGGAAGAGAAGCACTAAATTGCAGGATAATCTCGCACGAATAAGTTCTCTCAGGGACAGGATATACAAGTGACCAACCGTCATACACAACAGCCTCATTTGAAGGATCATCACCAGCGAGGAATAGGTGCAACTTCAGCTTTCCTAGCCTTACAGCAACACGGACAGACGGACTACTCACTTACTTTTCGCCGAAGGTCTTTTTCAATGAAAGCAACCACCCCATTAAAAATCAATTACCCACACCTACTTCAATTCACGTCAGGACTTGACAAAAGTAAATATGATCAGAACTATTTGTGCGGTGTGAGTCTGTAGGCCCTCCTTGATTATTATTTTTTTGGGTGTAGAGCCAACTACATATGTAACATGCGCGATGCGAGGTGTGAGTCTTTTTACGATGAGCGGCGAATATGCAAGCAGCAATCGAGATTCAAAGACACAGATATCTAATCGGGGTAGGAAGTAAGAAAGAAAATGATAATGCCGGTCTTTTATTACAAGTGGTGCGTGTGTTGTTACAATGCTTGATGAAGTTTTTGATGTTGATAAAAAAGGCCTACAAAGGAGTAGAGTGCAAATGAGTGTGGTGTGGTATGGTTTAGGAAGGGATAGGCAAGGACGCACCCCCTCAAAAGATAGTCGCGCCCGAGAGAAAAAAAAAACCTCCTATGATCGAGTACACTACACGAACGCGGAGATGCCGAAAAGAGAGATTGAGGCATTTTTTTTTTTACGCGGCGACAGCGGGTCTTGAGGTGGTGTTGAGGATATCCAACCCCTGGAGCTCCTTTTGGTGGCATTGGATAAACTGAGTAACGTCCTCTTCGGTGACGAACAGGCTGTACTTGAGAAGACCAAGGAAGGATCGCTCCATGGTGTTGATATCCTTGAGGGTATACAGACCGTTGGTGATTCTTGAAAAGAGGCGGTTCAGACCTACACAGTCTTCGTCCAAGAACTATTTTTTTTTGTGGGTACGATTGAAAAGAGAGGAGACGTTGTTAGAGTGGAGTGGATATGATGGGCGGATGGGCAACGGATAATCAGTTGTGATGGAAGGTCCATTGATAAGGTCTGGACAAGACAATGCATGACCAGACAAGCTGACACTGTACCGCCCGATGGATACATGCACATGGACTGAGATATCTTCGTGCAAGGGCTGTTTTCAATTTCCTACCCCATCCCTTTACTGTCACAATAACGCCGGATGGGGGTGGATAGCATTGAGTTGAAATGAGGTAGCCATTGAGTTCTTGTCTTGTACATGGCATAGCCTGCCCCTAGCGCTCTTTTTACACCTTGTCCGTTTCGCCCATCCGTCCCGACGTCCGGATGATCGCTCACTCCCTGCCCTACACGGCTACACTCCCCTTTTTCCATTTTTTCAGTTTTGAGTTTCATGAATTCCATATTCCCATTTTCATATCCAGCCTCAATCCCCATGAGATGCGATTAACTGAGCGAGTACAGTAGTGCTTTTAAAGTGCCATTGTTGTCGATTGCTCACTCTCTCTCAAAAAAAAAGCAGAGTATCAAGTGAGCCAATTGCCATGTGTTGCGCGCCAATACCAACCAGCCCGCAGCACCTGTTTTCCTGTCGTGACTTGCCCGTCGGTGATGTTGTTGAGAGCTCAATTATTAACACTTTTATGGTATTCATTTGTAACAAAAACCACATCCGACTCTCATCCTCGGCCTCTCTCTCTCTCTCTCCCAGATAATAATGGTAGCAAACCATTCATCCACCATCGACCATGCCCTTCCATCTTGTTATTCAATTCCATCCCGCAACTTTTTTTTGGAGCGATCGGTCTTCCAATCACAATGCCCTCCACCCCTTGCATCCATTCGTTCATTTTTTCTGTAACAGCTAATAAGTTATTACAAAGAGCATTCCCCCTGATGGATTACACAACCCCCCCCCTTTTTTTCCCTACCGCTCCATAAACCTATGGATGTGATGGTTAGAGGGGGGGGGGTACGAGGATCTACATCTCAGCAATTCAATTCCCTCATTGCAACAAATTACCTTCTTGACGACGAGCAAGGCCGACAACATGATCTTGAAGGGCGTATCTGGATCGCCTCGGGCCATGGTACTCAGCACCTTCTTGAGTCGATCCACATAGATGAGCGAAATCACCAGGGCCAGTTCAGTCACCGCCGCCTGGACACATATGTTTCTCAGAAAGAGTATCAGCCCCTGCTGGTTGGCGTCCTCGGCTGAGGCAGAGAGTTGGAGGCATTTCTGGTGATGGAGTTGTTGTTGTTGTTCGAGGAGGGCTTTTGTCGTCGTTTCCGAGGAATTCGTCGTAGGTATTGAGGGTGTTGTTAATGTCAAGTCGTTGTTGTCGTTATTGGAGGATGATAATAATAATAGCGAACTTGTGAGGAATGTAGGCGCCCTCGGAGGACATTGAAGGACGGAAAGGACCGATCCGGCGGCAAGGGCTAAATAATATGGTACGGTTCAGAGTAAAATGAATACACGGAAATGAATACTTGCTTATGAATACCACATGGTCCGACTGTGTATCTCTTGCCATGTTTTTTCATTTTATTCTTATTGTGTTTGTTGTTCATTTATTTTCTCGGATGTCGGATGTCATGGACATGAGGGACAGAGGAGCAATATCCGGATATCAATCAAGTGGCAGGGAAAATGAAAAGAATAGGATCAGGTGGGAGGAAGTGGAGGAGGAGAGATCAATTAAAAATGACCCATCGCTCCGCTTCCTCCGCAGATCACACGCACACATTGTACACAATAAAGAATTGCAATAATAGCCCAAATGTTGCCAAGAGGATCCAACAGTGCCGAGATGGAAACATGACGAAGGAGAGGGGAAGAGGTGGGTGTTGGCAATGAAAATAAAGAAAATTGAGGATTGACAATACGGGGGAGAGATGAACGAGGGGTGGAGGAGGCAGTAAGAGTATCATCATTGGCGAGCGAGCGTAAACCGCGTGTCGTGTCTGGGCTAGCGCCAACCTGTCAGCCAGTCAAACGTATACTGTCTTAGACCACGAAACATAAAGCAAAAGAAAAAGGAGAACAAACGGCCAAAGGCAATACGGTGTAAAGACTCGCGCACAACCCAACAAACAACCGTGCTAGGACCGAAAAGAAAAATAGGCTTGTTGTCCGTGTGTCCCCTTTTTTCTGTTGGTTTGTTGTGTGCAACCAAGTAATATATACATAAGTGGACGAGTAGGGTGTTTGTGATAGATAACAAACCTCCGAAGAAGATGGCTAAGAAGCGCTCCTCTATCCCTATACCCGCCCGGGTTGATATCCCCACCTTCATCGTCGTCACACACCCGCAGTCAATTTTTTCAGGCACCCGTTCTTATCTTCCGGAAAGTTAGAGGATCACATCACAATTTTCATGGACACGTCTGTCTCTTGATTGAAGAGTAGAAAAAGGAGACAGTGGAATAGCAATTGAAGCGAGAGAGGGAAGCCTTACAGAGTAGTGCCTCGGGACATGGGGCACCCTTTTCGGATAGATCAGAGTTTGAAGCTGGTTCTACTACCATCTTGGGATATGATGCCATGTTGCGTTGAATTATGATGTTCTTGTTGTTGATGGTTGGTTGGGTGGGGACGAGGATCGGTTTGTTGTTGTTTGTTTGTGGAACAGTCGATTATGGCTTGCAGCTTGGGATTAGAGAGAGAATAGGAAGGCAATTAAAAAAGGGGAAGGAAGGGAGAACGAGGGAAGGATGATTTTTGTTGTTGAAGGAAAGAATAATGCAGCAGAGGTGAAACTACGGTGGAGGGAGGGAGATATAAAATGGAGGAAAGGTGGAGTGTGGAGGGGTATGAATGCTGGATGATGAAGGGTGAAGAGGAAAGGTATCAAGGATGATGAAGAAGGTTGAGCGAAGAGGGAAGGAAGGAGAATGGGCGAAATGGGAATGAGGGAAGTTGATATGAAGGAAGAGAAAGAGAGGAAGAAGAAAGCGAAATAAGGAAGAGAGAAAAAGAAGAGGAATATCAATTCATTGAAGGTTACTTTGTTTATCCTTGTCGGAGAGAGAGGGGAGGAAAGGGGATTGCACCCTTGTTTGGGGTGCGAGGCTGCTCACCATGTCACAAACACAAACAGCAAAAAAAATATCGGTGTCGGCAAGGGCAAGAGAAACAAGTAATGGCCGATTGCTGTTTGATCCTCTTCGCTCCTCAGTCCTCCCTCTATCTCTCTCCTCTTCCTCTCCTCTCTCAGAGGTATCGCCACTCCCTTCCCTTTCCCATACCATCTTGGGACACTCAACAAATGCCTTTTTTTTTGTTATTTGAAAAACGGAGTTGATGGTATGGCCTGGATGTTGATTGGTCCGTTTCCCTTTTTTGTTTCCCTTGGCCTTGGAGAGGGTGCAGACAGGGCAAGGAAAATCTTAGCGAAAAAGGAATTGCGTGGCACGCTCTGCTTTGCCTTTTCTTTTCCCTATCCCCTTTTTCCCATTCTCCTCCTTCTCGCACTCCACCTCCATATCCCACCCCCCTGCCTCCGCTTCCAGCTCGCCTCCAACCCCCCCTACCCTGTCTGATTCGTCACTCCATCAAGCGCCTGTGTGTGGTTTGAGCTGGAGAAAAAGATGTAGAAGGGGAAAGGCTATAAGAAGGCTGCAGGAGTGAGAAATCGATGGGAGGTGGAAAGACTGGATCGATGATTTTTCGTGTGGATGAATTTTTCTACCTTGCTTTATTCTTTGTCTAGGCCAATTGGGTGAATGGAAATATGATCGACGTGGACGAGCTAGAAGGGAGAGGAGTGTCAAAGGAGAGGGAAGGAGAAAGACGTGAGAAGAGAGAACCAATGTGCATCCAGATCGTCTATGGCCCTGTTCCTACTAATACGAGACGCTAGAACAAAAGATAGGTTAGAAGGAATCTCACCAGCGCTTGGATCGACGCTAGCGTACTTTGAACAAAAGGTTCCAATGAGGTGAGATGCTTCTGTTGTCCTACATTCGAGAAGGCATTGATAAAAAAAAGGGGATCCGCATAGCATGCTCGATGCAAGCTTTCTTTCTCTTCTTGTTTTTCCGCGGTGCTTTTGTTGCTTTGATCAATGGCATGAACGGAAAGCAAGGCAAAACGAAGCTAAACAAAATTATCCCACGATCTGCCCTGCAGGGCTGGAAAAAAAAGGAGTGTTGCAGGAATAGCCCGTGAGAGTATGTCTCTGATAGAACATGAAGCAAACGACTTTGCAAAAGGCAGAATTTATTTTTGGGTGTTATGGTCGTTGCGGGCAGTGGTGGCAGTGGTGCTGGCCAAGGGACCCTGATCCTCAATCTCGGCAAAACACCCTTTTGAAGTAGGGATGGTGGCATTGTCAACGGAGAAATGGCCAAAAAGGGCCAAATTAAAATCTATCTTGAGTAGATAAGCGGCACTGTATCTATGCCTCGTAGCCATGACGCTTAAGGAAAGCCTTGAGGTTCACGCTGCAATAGTCGAACGGGGTCTGGCCCTCGCCGTTCTGTCTATCAAGATCCGCACCTGCCTCCAACAACGCCAACGCCGTCTCGCCATGCTCATCCTGGCATGCCAAATGCCTATATCAAAAAGACACGTATCAAACAAGCGTGTGTTAATGGGAGCTGAGATTGTTCTTGGAGGTGAGCTCAATGGAAGGCGATTAAAGAGGGAAAAAAAGATATTTACAAGGGTGTGTTGCGCACAGTGTCTGGAGTGTTGATCCGGGATCTCTTCTCGATCAAGAGCTTTGTCAAGGGCGTGTATCCGCGCACTGCCGCGCGATGGCTATTTCAGCCAATTAAAAACAGGTACGCGTTTTGACTATGTTAGCATTCACTCATCGACTGCCTGATAACATTTTGATTTGCAAACAGAAAGAAGCCATGTTACATACAGTGGTGTTTGCTTGTTGTCGTCATCCAGCTTGGGATCAGCACCCTTGTCGAGAAGGATCCGAGCCACATCCAAATGGTTCTTGGAAGATGCATAGTGCCTATCGCAAAATAATCGAGTACGAAGTCAATTGAGTTTGTTCTGTCCATAATCAATAGCCAAGAGCCAAAATTGAAAACCTGTGGTCATTCATGTCTTACTTACAGTGGCGTGGTGCCGGTTTCTGTCTTTGCATTGACATTGGCACCTTTGTTCAAGAGAAGTGTCGTGATATCGACGTTACCAACGGAGGCTACATAGTATCGATCGAAAGAAGCACAATGTGAGCAACTGTTTCAGAATGAGCTCTTGATATTCGCGCCAGGGGATCAGGAGGGCCTTTAGTTCCTACCTGCAATGTGAAGTGGGGTCCACCCAGACTAGAACACGAGCATCATCTCGTCAGTAAAACAGAAATCGGTGTCTAATCAACATCATGACAACCATTCAACGCGTGCATCACGCTCACTCACCTCGTCCTGTTCATTCACAGGCGCGCCCAGTTGGATCAAATACTCAACAATATCCAATCGCTTGCCAGACACTATTAAGATGATCGACGAATTGATATCAGAAACGTGTAATGCCTTCGCTGTTGTCCCGATGGTCAAATAAAATTCCACTTACCAGCCCAGTGCAAAGGCTGTCTTTCGTCCTCGTCCTTGCTAGTGAGGGCAGCCTTGTCCTGCTCGAGCAATTGCTTGACCAAGCCAAACTGGCCCTCCAATGCTGCTGTGTGGATCGACATGTTGGTGTTCTGCGTGACGATTGTTGCTGATGGTGATGTGATGGTGATCTCTTTTGTTGGAGAGGCTGATTGATTCGTTACAGTCAGATCGCGGTGGGTGTTATTCAGGAATGAATGAGGGCGTGTGTGTGCGTACAATGCGTAAACATACATGAAGTGCAGAGCCGAGTGCTACTGAACGCGTGGCACTAGTGTGACTGTCCTCAAATCTTTTGCCGCCATTTTTCAGTCGCCTTCTTGTACTTTCGCTCTCCTTTCTTTTGTTTGCTTCTTCCTCCGCTCACTTTCGGCAATAGACCCTTCCTGCATGGTCCACCCTCCTCCTCTCCGTCGATATGTCATCTTCCAACATCGTCACCGCCGACGACTTTGATCTACTCCTCGGAGGCCTCGAGTCCTTCTACAATGCCCAGCCCGCCACGACATCTCGTGTGACCACAGCAGTCGTCGCTTCTCCTGAAAGCACTCACGCCCAGCTTCCCACAGTACACCAATCACACGACGAACAACAACAACTGCAGCAGCACCAACAGCAGCAGTCTTCTCCGCGGCCCCAACTGCCTGTTCTTGACTATCCAAGGTCAGAAGTTTGTCCTTCAACGACTCTCCTAGTAACAGCAGCTACAGCGGCAACTGAGAGTTGTCCTCCTGATCAACAAGCTTCTTTGAGCACTCTCACTCACGTCACCTTAATCCAAAGCCCTGATCGTGACTTGTCTCGTCCAGACTCAGCGCATGGAACAGCCGATCAGTCTATCTGGGGTGCCTCGACAACGACACTAGCGATATCCACCAAAGCCACGACTAAGAGTATTCAGTCTCCACCACTTTGCACAAACGCCGCCGAGTTTATCGCCAACAACATTTGGCACATTCCTGCTCCTGCACCAACAAGTCTCCGCAACAAGGACAGCCAGTTAGTTGCCTCCACGCATTTGCTTGGACCATCAACAGGAGCACCTCATACAATCAGGCACCGATCAGTTGATTCTCACCCAACACAGGATCATCATGTCGAACACAAGCAACCAAGCAGGTGTTCTACCGTGCCCAAAGAGGACGGGGCCTTGAACGGGTACAGCAGACACCATAGACGCTTCAGGTCTGATCCATATACCCCGGCCGATCTGTTGCCAGGTGCCGATGATTGTCGTGCTTCTCCAGCCGCTCTCGAGGTGCTGCTAGATGGACCCCACGAGACGGTCTTGACGGAGAAGGAGAAACGTGCGTTGATCGAATATGGACGAGCCATCGGAAACAGTGGAACTGGGCCTCTTCGCCATTACCATGGAAACAATAACACCAACAACCGCAGTAATAACAAGTACAGTCAACAACAGAAAGAAAAACACGCCAACATCGACATGTCACTCCAAAGGACAGGAGAAAGAGACTACCGATCCAAAATCACCTACAGCCGAGACTTCCTGATGTCTTTCAGAGCCTTCGATGTGCCTCCGAAGGGTATCGATAGGATCCACTGGATTCAACAGAATCCGACGCTAGATCATCCTCAGAAGGCTGCTGGACCGAGGATGGCAAGACCCCAGCCTGCCTTCCAAGAGCCTCGCGGCGATTATCAAGGTGCAGGAAATTATGACCCGGATATGGGACATCGCCAGTCTGGACGTGGAGGTGGCTTCAGGAAGGAAGGCGCCTTCAGAGATGTTGGCTTTGGACGAGAGATTGGCTTGAGAGGAGAAAGGGGACAGAGCACCGCCATTGGAAACGGTCCTTCCAGAGAGGGAGCACAGGGTACATCCAGGGGGGGTGTTGGTTTCAGAGGTGAAAGAGGACAGGGTACGTTCAGGGGAGAAGGCACCTTTAGAGGAGATGTAGCCTCTAATGAAGACGAAAGATTCAGAAGAGGTAGCGGCTTCGGCGCACCCAATTTCCCTCCACCTCTTCGACCACCTTCGGTTCCACCAGTGCCCAGACTTCATTTCCAGCAGTCTTCTGCCACTGCTACAGGAGGATTGAGGTATGTCTCTATCTGGAGTTATGATTCTGCTGCAACACCTCTCTTATGTGCTCCTTACCTGACAGCGTTGCTCAAACATATTTTATATTCCCATGGGTAACAGTGGAAGCGTGTTCAGCTTCAAGACCAGAGGGCCTCTTGGACCGCCGGCAGCACCACGATCAGGTTCCCAGATGAGAGGTTTCAAGTCTCGCACGACTCTTTGAATTGACTTGCGATGTCGGGCTGAACAGGATGGCGCGAATCTTTTGCTTGGATAGCTATAACTCGGCGAACGATATACAACACGCGGCTATTTGCTAGTTTGCTCTGGTTGTAGCTTCAGTACCAGCGCACACGATTAAAACCCTCTCTTTCTTTCCTCTCTGCCCTGCACATTGATGTAACGGTGTCAGTGTTGTTGTTTCTTTCTTACTTGTTTTTGCCCCCATTTCTCTGTGAATGTGTGCGTTAATGATCACCTAGAAAAGAGAGAAAAATTATGAGGATCGGCCGTTTTTTGTTGTTGTCATTGTCGCTGTAGCTGCCTTGATGAGAAGAAAAAAATGTGCATTTTGTACGCCCTTGTGGGTGGAAGAGGGAACACCACGACTATTACGATTCGCGCAATGGTCAAGGGAACATTTATCTCCAGAAAGTTACGGTTCCGAGATGAAGAACATGAGAGTAGGGCTTCTGGCGTTAAGAATTCGCGCGATGGATAGACACGCAGGATGCGTTTTGATTGAGGCAAGCTGGGCTGTGTTGATCCCTTTGACGCGAATACCCCTCGACTTCACTTCTTCTTTCTATCTTCATTTTCTTTCGCCTTTTACTTTTGCTGTGCTACACACGTACATTTTTTCTATCTTACTATCCAGATTATCCTACCATCTCATGCTTCGACTTCCGTGCGACTCAAGGCTCTCCATTCCCAGCCACACATCCAACACTCGAGTCGTCATGGAAGAAGGCATAATAACCAACGCCCGCCGTTGGCCAATCCACCCAACGAATTTAACGCCAGTGTGACGTGTTTTCCTTGGCATAAGAGGTGGCCAAAGATCAGTTGCCTATCACACCTTTTTTCTCTCCATTCCCACGAAGAACGACATGACGCGTGTCGCCAACACTCCCTCGAATCGTCCAGAGGTCATCCAGTCGCTCATCGACGGCGTCGATCGCTACAACCCCGACAATGTCTCCATCCTCGAGGAGTACCTTGCCACCCAATGCTCCAACCGGGAAGTCGATGTCATGGCCAACCTTGCCATCCTCAAACTGTATGCATGAACTATTTTTTAAGCTTTCTTTTTGCTAGAGCTTGATCGACTTGGACAAGGCGGACATACAAATCCACCAAAGGAATCGAGTGAGGGATACGAGGCGACCCTCAATACCATACAGTACGAAGAACAACTTTACTTATCACTCTTCTCAATCCGTCAATTTCCTCTATAGGTACCAGTTCAACCCACACTTGATCAATGACCAGGTCGTCAACAACATTCTAGTCAAGGCTCTGACAACATTACCGGAGCCAGACTTCAACTTGTGTCTGTACTTGCTTAACGAGCAGATGGTGACCGAAGAGCCTGTCGTTCGGCTGATCACACTCCGCGATTTGATTGAGCAGACTCGGTTCAAGGACTTTTGGAACGTTTACGAAGGTGGCGATGAGATCTACAAGGAGCTGACCGCTGAAGTCCTTGGATTCGAGGATTCTATCCGTAAAAGTAAGAACGACCCTTCTCTTTTTAGGCGTGTAAATAACTCGCACGTTGGTTGTGGTACATGTTCATTAATTGGCGTGGTTATTATTTCCTGGTGGTGGTGGATGGTTAGATATTGTAAATGCGGTGGCGATGACTTTTCAGTCGATCGAGGCACCCATTTTGAAGGGATACTTGCACCTAAAGGACCAAGCATTCTCGGACTTTGTCAAAGCGCAAGGCTGGACTGAGGCTAATGGTGTTGTTTCGATCCCCATCAACAAGGATAATGAGGCCAAGACGACTGTTCTGACCGAGAACATCAAGTTTGAGCGTACGTAGGAAGTTGTTTCTTGTGATTTATTCTGGCATGTTTATTTTATGCGACCATTTGTTTTTGTATTAACACTATGTTGTAATCTCGGTATGATGGGTTATGAATAGAATTGACAAAGATCATTGGACACTCGAACGATTAAGACAGAGGAGCAGACATTGGTGTTATCGACAAAAGACGCACTCAAGAGCTCAGTGTAGGAATAAAGGAATACAATATCGGGAGTTCCTGTAAGTATGGTGTGCATGTATTAGATTTTGTGGATGGGAAACTATGCTTTGAGCTTTTTTACTCTGTGTGTTCACCATGTATGTAAGTACAATGGCGACGTTTCTACGAATGGTAGCGAAAACACCATACAAGAGGAGGAAGGGGAGTGAGGAAATGGGAGAGAATATATGTATGTATGTATGTGCACTGAAAGAAGTGAGAGCCACCAGCCTTTCTGATATGCATACAATCCAGGAAGCTGCATCAAGGGGACAAACTAGGCATTGAAGAGTCCAACGACGAACGTAACACAGACGGCGGTCCAGAGAACAGAATGGATTGGAAACAAGGAGAAGACCTGTCTAACCGAGAAGAAGGCCGTATTAGCCGAAGATTTGACCGGTCCGTCGGGATGCACATATTGATCCCAGAAATGACTGTCGATCACGTCGTCCACCGGTGCAGCTGCTGGCAAGACCTTTCCATAAGTCGTGTCCTGGATAATAATGATCGATTGTGGGGCCTTTGGTAAGGTCGTTGCGGGTGCACCGCCGCCGCCGCTTCCTCCTCCTGGAGCGGAGGAGGTGACAGTGATGGTCATGGTGGTTGTTGTGCCGTTGATGACGCTGACGGTTGTGATGACTGTTGGCTGAGGAGGGGCCGCAGATATGGTGGCGGCACCGCCGTTATTGTTACTACCGCCGCCATTGGAGGAAGAGGAAGATGTTATGGTTGGTTTGGCGTTGGCATCGGTCCTTGCGGCGTCTCCTCCTCCCGATTGTCCTGCTGAGTTGTCAGTAGGAGTACTGCCGTTGCTGCCGTTAGCTGGTTGTGGCGCGGGGGGTTGTTGTTGTGGGGTTGCGGCGACAGTGGAGAAGAGGAAGAAGATAGTCAGGACGAGCAGGGATAGAGTCAGGAGTGACCTGGAGGGTTTGTAACGTCGAGGTCGAATGATACGCGACGAGGGCTTTGAATGCTTTTGTTCCATTGATGCTGTAGTGGTAGTTGCTGTGGGTGGTAGTACTGAGGTGTTTGCAGCAGTACAATGGTGTCCGTGGGTATTTGGTGACGACATTATTGGCTGCTTGGGAGAATGGAGAGAAAGAGAAAGAGGATGGAGTGCTCCTTGGAACCGACTGGTGAACGGAAAACAGATAAGAGAGAGAAGGACGGAGGCGCCAAGATGGATAATGGGTAAAGTAGAGAGAGAGAGAGAGAGAGAGAGAGATGGGAACTGTAACTGGCGAAGGCAGGAACGACGAGTAAAAAGCGATTGGTGCGCTGTCCGACTAACTGGCCAAATCGAACTTGCAACTGGTAGCTGGTTGCGTGGTTGCGTGGTTGCCTGGCCGAACTCCGCTCTGGCTTCTTTGCTTCGAGAGGATAAACACACACAAGCAAACAGACACCAACAAGCACAAAACAAATAAACAAACAAGCGAGGGCAGAGAATAGTATCGTCCCCCCACTCGTCTCATTGCCAAATCGTCTCTTCGTTCTTTCCTTCTTCATTCTCCTTGGACCAGATGGGTTTCTTGAAGAATGCATGGCTATCTTTAAACTATACGCTCACTCCCTTTCTTTCTCTCACTCTCTCTCCTTCTCTCTTCCCCTTGATATGTCTGCCCTTTTTTATTTGTGTGTGTCCATTTCCTCTGTCATTTTTCATCCCCCGCCTCCTTCCTTCTCCAGGTCAACCTCCTTTCGCCTTTATTTGTAGCATACTAACGTGTGTGTGCGGGTTATTATCTCCTTGGATGTAAGGGAGCGGATAAGTGACCACAGCCAGCATCAAATGAGTCTCATGCCCTTCTAACTATCAGTCCTTTTCTTGATGATTCTGCTAGAGGTCACTTCTTACATGTATCTATTTAAACGCGTATGGTGAATGGTTAGACATGCATGTGTATTTGTATATATTGCTCGCATCTACATCTACACTCCCTAAGATGAGCATCCAATCATCATCCACCCTCGCCTGTGAAACCCAACAACAACGCGTCCGCTTGGCTTTTGAGCCTGCGCCACCCCATCTATCTTCTCACGCACTTTTATTCGAGGGTACTAGACCAGGTTACCCTGTCCACTACTATGGAGACTAGGAATGTGTGTTTGTTTTTTATTTGTTGATACTGTTGCCCTTCCATTGTCTGCATTCGATTCCCAACCGACGAGTCGTAGAACATGAGGATACAGCAAGTACACTACCCACCCCCCACTCTCACCCTATTCTTCCGCCACTCTCTCTCCCTTCCCTCATTTTTGTTGCTAAGAGGAAGGGGAGTCAACAAACGGTATAGCAATAGCACCACATTGTTCCTAGACACGTTGAAGAAGAATAAAGTAGCCATAGGTGACAAACAACTACGGACAATAGAGCGCTCCATTGAGCGAATGAGGGTTAGGAGGCATGAACTAATCTCCTTCCTTCCTTTCTTCATCTTGCTCTATCGTTTATCATCATTTATCCTCCCTGTTCCAGGTAAAGAATCCCAAGCAAGAGAGGGGTAAAGTAATTTTGGCTTCGATCTCAACGAATAGGCTCCCCAAGTCCTTGGGCAGAGTGAGAGAGATGAGGCTGGCAGGCATCAATTGACTTAAGACGGATGGATTGATAATAATTGTTAGAAGATAGAAACGTCCTATACCGCATCATACCATGGTCAGGGTGAAGTACTTTGAATGGCGCTGATATCATTCGTCCATCTCCGTCTGCACATTTTGAGCTGCATATCCTTCTAATTTGGTTTCTTTTCGTAAGTGTCCCTTTCCCCTTGAATCTGCACGCCCAGCCTTTTCAGTCTGTCACTTCCATGACGGTGTATGGGAGCCTCCAAGAGTTCATTACTCTTCTTATTGTATCATGTAATCCATGCTCAGCGACACAGACGACAAAAAAAAGTGCTCGCTGTTGGCATTGTCCCAGGCGATTCGGTAGCCAAATTCACTGATATCGAAGGAGGTCAGTTTCACTGAAGCTATTGTTCCTGTTCGTGAGTTCAGAAACATTTTGAGCAAAGGCTTTCTTCTTCACCTCTCCTCTTTGCTCGGATAGTTTTTTTTTTCCTTCTTCTATCCTTGTTGGTTTGAATTGTCATTTGTGGAGTAGAAGTTTTTTTGTTCCTTTTCTTTACTCAATTATATTGTGGTGGCAGCTACGTATAGTTACCCAGGAAGAGGTGAAAGCGGGAATGAGATAGAGATAACCATGAATAACGGTGCGTAATTACTTAGTAACCAAACTTCTTACCAACTACGACTTACAATTCCACATTGTCATAGCCAGTTCAAGACGCCGTGGCTAGCTCACTAGTAGATAACAAATCTCGTGAGATCACTGACCTTGCTTGATACAATGTATGCACACAAGCGCGTCAAACAAATTCCGTATGCAAGATGACCCCATGAAGCAAGAGGAGTCTTACGAGGAGCAGAGGGAACTGAACGTACAATCTGAATATGTTTTGAGGCAATCAGCGCAGTGTTGTAGGTGCAGCCGATGATGCCCCATTGATAGTCATAAAAGACGCGCCGACGTGAGGTATGTGCAACAAGTATAAATAAAAGTAGTGTGTGTGTAGGTTAAGGAGGGAAAGAGATAAAGGAAAGCCGAAAGAGGAATGATTCGAGACTGAGAGAGGACAACCACATCGACACGGCATGGTTGATGCAAGGTAGGCAAATACACCTCTCATCTCTCTTTCACTATCACTCGGTCTGTCTCTTGTGTGGGTTATTCATACTTGCTTGTATTAGTAGCTCTGTCTCTGTTTCTGTGTTTTTTTTTGTTTTTTTTGTTTTTTTTGCTTTGCGCTATGCAGTTTCGAATGATGAATGAGTGCTGTTATTCGTGTCGTTGATTTTGGAGAAGAAAATCTCTTTCCATGCTAGCCGCCAATATATCCCGATTGTCCCTTTCCTTTCGGGTCGCTGTTGGTTCTCTCACACTCTCATTATCTACCTTTCTCAATTCCCCGGACAGTGGGAACTAAACGACTGGAACAATAAGGACAAAGTGGATAATGAAGGAGTAATTGAAAACAATGGGACACTAAAGAGCAACGAACAAAAAAAACAAAGAATGGGAATGAAATGAACGGCAGCATATGGATGTATGATTGAAATGACAGCATTTCAACGAATGGAGCATTGAGCGATGATGGTCAATCAGAGATAGATCCTGAGTGAACTCTGCTCTTTCTACCTCTCCTTCACTTGCTCGCTCTTACCCTTCTCAGTATCTTTCAGTGTTTTCATCTGTCGGCTTCTTATGGAGGATCAGGAAGTGGAGTCGCCTCCTCGTTTTTCTATTACTTTCTTGTGCGTTCATTTCGGATTTTTTTGTGTTCATACCAACACCATCCATTCATTTGTCCATCCTTCGCCATCCCTTTCTCCCTTTCTTTCTCTTGCCCCTTCTCCTTTTGCCTTCCTCTCTCTTCACTGGCCTCTTCTTTCGTTACTTCATTGTTCTTTGCGTCTAGCCACACTTGAGTTGGATAAGGACAAAGAAAAAGAAGCTATCGGACAGGAAAGACACTCAGTCGACCGACACTCCTTCTTCTATTGAATCCATCCAGATAGACATTCCTGTCAACAACAATCAACAACAAGATCCTCTCTCCAACTCTAATTATCATATCGTCATTGGGGCCACTCTCCCTTCCACTCTTTCTGTCCCTTCTCTTTACCATCCGTCTCTCACTCACACACGTTTCTTTCAACTGCTTATTTCTACAAGCTCATCCTCCACTCCTGCTGCTCACCCTACCTATGCTTATCCTCTGTCATCCATCTGTGCTTACCACTTCCTACTGCGATTCATTTTGTGATTTCAGCTCTGTCTCTTGCTATCCCTTTTGACCCTTCTCCCATCCCTCTCCACTCCTCATCATCATCTTCCTCCAATCCCCCCTCTCTTCTCTTTCTTCTGGTAACCACCTCGCGTTGTGTCACTCCTTCTCGTGGTTTCTCTATAGTCTGCTGGCGCCGGACTCTTCTACCTATATATAGTGCAGTACTCCATTCTCTCCTGCCCCTTCTCTCTCCTTCTGCTTTGCCCTGCCTTTTGCTATTTCTACTGCTTCCAACACTTGTACTTAAGCATCCCCTTTGCAACAAACACAACAAAGAAAGGTATGTATCGTAGAGTAGTTGACCGACGCGTATCTTTTCACCTCGTCCATCCCTTCAATATGCACAAAATGTTGCTTACCAATGAGAACTTTTTGAACTAAAGAGGGTGATGTAGTTTGCCGAAGCTCAAGTGCAGGATAGGGTATCTATCATCACACATGAAGAGAGAGAAATACCCTACAAATTTGATCACGAAGGGCTCCTCAAAAGATCAGGGTATCATTGATCAGTGGCAGCGGTGATTGGACAAAACGCTCTTGAAGAATAGAGGTCCGCCCATGAAAGGGCCATTCACATTGGCAGCGCCCCACTTCGCGTCATCCACGATGCACTTATACAAACACACATCCCCCTTTTTTATGCGTATGTGCTATATGGCTGGGCAAAGAGGGTTGTTGTGTTTGGTATTTGCATTTAGGGCTACAGAAGGATGGGATTGAATAAGGATAGAGTGAATTGGCCAATGGGGCTAACTGGTCGATGGTGGTGGTACTGGTATGTGCTGGTTATGCACTGACTGACTCGAGAGAGCAGTGGGTCTTTGGACACACATGCTCGACTACGATGGATATATGCTGGATATGCTGGACATGCTCGATATGCTGGACATGCGCGATATGCTGGAAAGTCCCCTTCTTCCCTTTCCCTTTTTCCTTCCCTAACTATTCATTCACAAATACATTCGCGTCGATTGAATACACTTATGCACACATGAACCCCCTTTCGTCTCTTTTTTTTTCTTGTGTTTACCTTTTCTCGCCCCCTTTGTCTCGCACATTCTCCCCTGTGTCCATTGTTTTGCTCTTCCTCTCTTCCCTTCTCTCCGCTCTGTCACCTTCCCTTCCCATGGTCAGAAGCACATCCTTCCTTGCCTCGCTAGCACTCTCTTTTCGCTTTTCGCTTGGACTCCCCACCCCTCTTTTTTTGTCTCTTTCTCCGAATACTATCCATGAGTACGCAGAGAACATATATTTTGTCACTTTTCTCGCGCTCTTTTCCAATCTGACCCAAAGAAGGATTGTTCCTGGCCCAACCACATCTTCGACCTTCAAGAAGCTCTTGGGCTGAACTGAGCAACAAAAAAAGAGTACAGAATAGAAAAAAAAAGACAAAAACCTAGACAAGCAAGGCGCCCTTGTTGAGCGTGCAGTGATTTCTTTTCTTGCATTGGAAGCAAGATGACAGAGAAAGGAATAGTAAATGAGGCTGAATTTGATAGGACAGGACAGGATACATGGAAGAGGAGGAAGGTAAAAAAGAGGGTCGTAGCGGGTTCATTGACGGTTCCCAATTGCCGACTTTTGTTGTTGTCCCTCCGTTTTTGCCACACGCAGTTATGCTGTGTTTCCTTTTTTCTTCTTTTGTTGCTGGTTTGTTTGTTCCCTTATTGTATCTTCCCATTCAATTGAATTGACCATTGACCATCCATGGTATGTGTATGTTTGTTTATGTATCTACTCTTTGCTAGTGTCAATGGTAGGTTAATGCTTTTTTTCCCTTCACGTCGTGATCCCATCCTGCCATCCATACACAACAATGCCTTGTCTTTCGGTTACCAAAACGACCCCTTTTTCCATTCGAAGTTGCTTAAATAACTTTCTCTCCTTGTCCCATCGCCATTGTTCTCTTCTTTCCTCTTCATTCCTTGTTCCTTCGACAACTTCACTCGCATTCAACATTTATCATAATCTCTCCTCCTTTCTTTCTCTTGTCCTTCAATTCTCTCCTCTTTCTTGACTCTCAACCCTCAATTCACTTAATATATCGACCCAATATCTCGGCAAGGCGCATATCCAACCCCTCTTCACTCATCCACCCTCATACTCACTCACTCACTACCAATTATCCTCTTGCAGCAAACCAACGCCCACTCATAATTACATACCAACATCTCCCACTCCATCAACCCTACAGAATCACGGCTCTCCTGCTCTTATTTCCTCGGCACCCCTTCGCCTTCTTAACAACCCTTAAACCCTTGTAGCCCACCCCCGCTCGGGGCAACCAGTGTATGTACAACATTCCTCTTTCCTTTCTATTGTTCTAGTGTTGCACAAGAGATTGACTCGAATGAATGCTCGCATGGCATGCAGAAAAGGAGGGTGGTGTTGGGTATTGAGTGGCTTGTGGTGGCAAACAGCAACACCAACAGTAGCAACAACATGTAACAAAAGAGCAGACATTACTCTTGGGTGGGTGGGTGAGCAAACAGGCCCCGTGAGATATAACATAACATAATACAACAGCTTCGATCAGACCTAGAGCGAGAGAAAGGCGTGTTGAGGAGGGCGAGATTCAATAGACGTGGTGGCTATTCATTCCCGTCTTTCCTTACCTTGTTCGAGTGAGTGTTGCTCCTATCGTCCCATTGCATTCATTTCAACGCAATTATACCCATTTCCTCCAATCCTCCTCTCTATTACTCTGAAAGAAGCGAGGTGCTCGTACGTGTTTACAAAAACACCTCCTTTTGGACCCAGTTTGCCTCTCTCCCCCTTCTATATCTCTCATATCGTCCCGTGTATGTCTATAAAGTATCTCGCTCTGGCTCTTTTTCTGTCCTTGCTTAGTGTTGAAAGTGCTTTGCTTGGCTCTCTCCTTGTCTGTCTCCTTTCCAACGCATGCCCATCGGATCCCATTGACTCCTGAAAAATCCATTTTAATCCACGTTGAGAGGCTACTGTATAAGCAAGCGTGCTGTTGTTGTTATGTTGTTCCTGTTGACGTCTGACCTTGGATGGTATGGATGGGATGGACAACTTACACTTTCACTTGTACTTGCAATTCAATTCAAACGAAGGCACTCTTTCAATCCAAACAATTAAACACTTCACACATAACAATCAAATAACATGCATGCAACGCACACGCGCATAGCCCGCACAAGGATACTAATCTTTACTCTCTCTCTCTCTTTCTCTCTTTCTGGCCTGTCCTGACTTTTCAATGTGTCCCTAGTTTTTTAAATAACTCCACTCCTGAAAGGCAGCTTTCGTTGACACTTTCTGTTAAGAACCTATTATTTTCCCTTTCGCATCATCATCTCCTCTCTTCTTCCTCTTCCTCCTTCGCTCTTTTCCTTTTCCTTTTGCACCCTTTTTTGCCTTTCCTTTTCTCTTCTTCATTTCATCATTCATCCATTCACCCCACTCTCTCTATATCTCTCTCTTCCTCCATTCATCCTCTCCTCTTCCTCCTCCTTTATTCTCGCCAGACAACTCCAACAATTACCCTTAGCAGGCAACTTCTACCTTCCTCTGGTATATACCCGGCCACTCCGACAGGCATTGATCCTTCTCACTCTTCCATCCTCCTCTTCCTCCTCCTCACACACATACACATAACACCATGAATGGTATCATTCGGATTGATTCCCACCAGGGACTCACCATGACCATGAAGAAAAAGCCAACGGCATCACCCACCAAGGGCCATCACCTCTCCAGATCATCCCGGCCAACGCTCAACAACCCTCCAGTCAGCACCCTAGTCATGCTTCCCTCACTCGTCAGTAATGCCATGACCAGCACGGTAGGATGGGCCAAGGGTGAGACCGACAACCTGTTGGAGCTGGAATACAAGGAAGAAATCTTTCAATACATGAAGCAAATGGAGGTATGTAAACGGCCAAGAAAGAGCAACTATTTTTTTTTGTACGCCCATCCCCATTCGAATGATCCCTGTTCTCCTCCTTCTCCTTCTCCCCTTCTCCTTTTACCCGAAGATAAGAGGGACTTGATCTCCTCTACAACAAATCCGCTCCATCGACAACTAGAACCGCCAGCAGAACCATTGCAACCAATGGTGTTTACTATCCGGCATTTATTTTTCCTTTTTTTATTTTTACATATTACCATTTGCCTTTAAGCACGTAAAAGCCCCGCTTGTATAAAGCATGTCCATCCATCCTTCTCTTTCCCCTCGCACCCCCTCATCGTCCGTCTCGCTCCCCTTTTGTCTCCCCCTTTCTCCTTGTTTAAGTCCAATGCCAAACAAACAAAGGATGGGAATCATTCTTTATGCTAATGCCCAAGGAAAACCAAAAAATGCGCACCTTCTGACCATAACACACACTCTCTCTCTCGTTCCCTTTTTTCTTGCCTTATTCATCCTGTCACTCCTTCCTACCGCATTCTCATCACTCCCGTCCTTTGTTATTTTCCCTTTTACCGTGGATGATCTGCCATATGACGAAAATGACCATCCCTACAACATACACACACACAAACACACGACAACATCGCCCCTCCTCTCCTTTTCACCAAAATTATGACGACGCCAATTGACCCTAAAACAGAAAGAGACAATGGCCGTACCTGAACACATGGACCTTCAACCCGAACTCACCTGGGACTTGAGGCCGCTCCTGGTCGATTTCTTGATCGAGATACACAACCACTTCAACCTCCAACCCGAGACGCTCTACTTGGCCATGAACATGATGGACCGGTACCTCTCCAAACGCGTCGTCTACAAGAAGCACTACCAACTCGTCGGTATGACTTCTCTCTGGATCAGCAGCAAATACGAGGACTCGAAAGAAAAACTTCCCTCGGTCTCACAACTCTGCAAGCTGTGCAGCAACACCTACGACGAGGCGGCTTTCATTACGATGGAGCGACATATCCTCAAGACGCTCGATTACAGTCTAGGACACCCCACCGCAGAGGCCTTTCTGAAGAAGGATTTGGAGATGGCGGGGCAGGAAGATCAGGTCTTGAAGCACGTTGCCCAATTCTTGATGGAGCTTACCATGTTCCAGCGGTGCTTCCTTTCCTTTGGGTCCTCTACCGTCGCTGCCAGCGCCCTCTTCCTTGCACGCAGCATTTGCCGAAAGCAGATCGTGGTAAATTATTCATATCTTTTTTTTACCCTTTATCCCTTGAGATTGACTTGCTGCCCGTGCAATGGTTAGCTAAACGTGCATTATTTTATCTCCATCAATCCATCCAATAATAGGTGCCTAATGACCCCAACGTGTTTGCATGCATCCAATACCTCGACAACAGCTTGACCAACGTGTCCAAGACCGTGCACGAAAAGTACGCTCGTTCACGTCTGTCACAGGCAAGCATTGTTGTCAAGGAGTGGGTCGATAACGGTGGCCGTGCCCTGATCCAACCCATCTCCACCACGGAATGCTCCAATCCCCTTTGGACTCTCTCCAACATGCTCTGGCAACCACCATCGCCTATCCCTTCAACCTTCCCCACCTCCACCTCCACACAAGGAACTAACCCAGCAGAGTGCCAGACTGGGTACAGTAGCAGCAACAGTAACAACCACACTGGCTACAACGCACAGACTCAGCAGCAGCAATTAGCACAGCCACAAAAGCAGCCACCAGTTCAGCCACAGCCACAACACCATCACAACCACCATCATGCTCAACAGCAACAGCCACCACAACCACAGCAGCAACAACAGCAGCAGCAGCAGACACACCGCTCGCAACAACCTCACCAGATGCATTCTGGTCGCCACCACAGCCATTCGGCCTCCTCTTCAATACATTCCCAGTACGCCCCTCCAAACCATCATCACCACCAACAGCAGCAGCATCACCAAAGGACAGGATCGAGCGTCTCTGCACACCATGTTGCCTATGCAGCGTTGCCACAACAGCCCCAACCAGCCGTCATTACTCACCAGACGACGTATGATATCCGGCCGGCGGGGTCTGATTGTGGGGCACGATGGGTAGACATCAACGTGGACATGTAGTTTGCCTCTTCTTCCCGCTTCAAATGAAAACGGAAAGTCGGGGGGTTTTTTTCTTTAGTACCTTTTCTCTACCTGTACATTAATAATATACCCTAATGACCCCCCACCAACCTACTACTCTCCTCAAACCTTTCTTTTTTCTATTGTGTGTGCCCTCTCCCCCACCCTCAACCGCCGTCGCAAAAGCGATACTACTCTTAAGTTTCCAACCATCTGGTGTCACAACCAAGCAAACAAAATAAAAAAAAAAACACAAATTAGGAAAAAATGCATTGGTATATGTAATAAGTGAATGTAGTGTCGACCCTGTTTAAACATTAGGCGACAGCTTGACGTTTGCCACCAACTTTAAGCTTAAGCAAGAAGAGCATACAGGCACCAACTGCCATAACCCCTCCAATGAACCCCACGGCACCTCGGTAGCCCTTATCAGAGTTAGGCGCAACTCCATCAACCATATCCCCTCCGAGACTAGCCAAGATCGCAGTCGCGATAGGCGTGCCCAACAATGACCCCAACCCATTGACTCCAAACGTGATCCCCACCAGGATGGTCAACGAACCGGTACCAAACTGCTCAGCCAGGACGGGCGCCAAGAGGGAGATGAATCCACCGCCCATGAGTCCATAGAGGATGACATAGACTAGGAGGACAGGGAGGGTCGTCGCAAACATCCAGATCACAAGGGTGGTCAGAGCACTAGCGCCGACGCAGAATACGGTTAGGTTGACCAGTCCGAATCGGTCCCCAAAGATTCCGCCAGCGAATCGACCAAAGAAGGAGGCGCCGTTCAAGAATGAGTTCAGCATTGCTCCTTGACCGCGTGTGAGGTTATGATCTACCGCATAGGCTATTGAGTTGAAAAGGTTGAGAGAGATGAGAGAAAGGAGCATGGATAGATAAAGAAGGTTAGATAAGTTAGAAGGGATGGTTGCGGATCAAATTAAGGGTAAGTCATGAGAAGCAATGGAAGACCATAAACCGCCAGTCAGGCAGTAGAAGCAAAAAGAAACTTACAGGGCAAGAGGTTAAGAGGTGAGAAGTAACCAAAGGAAGTCAGCAAGACTCCCGAGAGGAGGAGTAAGAAGGCTGGTTTCCGCATGGTCTCAATATCCTTCATCGAGACATTGACAGCCTGGGCACCCTTGGGCGAGAATTGGCGGATCAGGATGGCACAAATGATCATCGAGCACCAGACAATGATTCCCAGAACACGGAGACACCAGCGGTGGCCGATCGACGCGTTCAGCCTCTCGATCAGGACCGAAAAGACAAGGCCTCCGACGCCCGATCCAGAGATGGCGATACCAGAGGCCATGCCGCGACGGATGACGAACCATTGGGAGGGGGCGGACAAGACACAGGGGTTTGCCATTGCAGCTCCCAGCTAGAAGGAGGAAGTGGTTCCACAGCAAGACGATAGATAGGATAAGATTAGATCGATGAGTGGGGTGGGGTGATGCGTTCGTCGAGAATAGCTGAAAAGCTTTTCATGGCCAAACACTGGATAGCTTGACATGGGGTGACTTACACCGTAGAGGATACCTTGGGTAAGGTACAGGTGCCAGACCTAGGGTAAGGGTGGGGCGGGGATCAGAGGTGGAGAAAAAAAAAGTGGGTCAGGATCAGGGTATGCAGAATGAAGTAACTGTTTGGTGTCCTAAATAGGGAGTCATCCAATCGCAGTACAAATTTGCAGATCCAAACGAGAAAAAGGCCGGGGCGGAGCATGAAGAGACAAATTGGCTTTTTTGTGTCGTACCTGAGTGGCAAAGGAGGCACCCACACATCCTCCAGCAACAAAGAATGAACCCATGAAGATCATCTTGCGGTACCCGATTTTGGCCGCAAACAGCGAGAAGACTCCGCCCACAATATACATGAATCCAAACGCCAACGTTCCAATCCAAGACACTGCAGATGTCTGGCCTGGAAACACCTCGTCCTTGTACAGCTGCTGGAAGATGCCCCAGGAGAACATAATCCCCAGCATCGAAAAGTTGTTGAGGAAGCAGGCTCCGACGACCACCCATCCGTATCCACCATCGGGTGGTGCCATATTGGTATTGCTGCTGGGTGCTTCCTCGATTTCGGTGGATGTGGAGACTGTGGGCGTTTGAGTGAAGGATCCGACGGCAGCTTTTTCAGGATCGATCTGTCCTGCTGTTACTCCTGCTGATGATACTCCCTGAAGGACTGTAGATCCGGATGAGGTTGAGCGGGAATGTGTTTTTTCATTGTCTGAGTGCTCTTGGATGGCTTGACTTGTTGGCGCTGCTCCTGTTGTTGTTGGATCCATGGCCAACTCTTCCTCTCAAAGTAATTGTATGAATTAAGTGATTTCTGAAGGGGGTTACAACAGGTGTATGTACGTAGTTGAAAGGTCAAAAGGTTTTGGACTTGAAGAGAATGCGATTGCGAATGAGCGAAGGATGAGAGAAATGGAATGACCGAAAGAGGTACTGAAGGAAAGGAGAAAGAAAAAAGGACAGGAGAAAAAGAAAAAAACCTTCCAGCGGCCTTTTATACTTTTTGAAGCGGGCATTGGAGACACAACCTCTCAGAGTCGGCTCACCCATACCATTTAGACCCCGGCCCAAAGACAAATCCCTTTCAACCGCCGACAAACACTAACCGTAACAACCGCAAATCAACCCCTTTTAGCCGACGACTCATTCACCCATCGGTGCCTGTCTTATTGACTAACTAGCAACCTTGCTGAAAATGACATAAAATCCCTCGGTAACAGTTCTTCAAAACAAGTTAATGAACCATGGTCAGCTAAGTCGCCTATCGTCAAGAAGAAAAAAATAATCCGGAAAATACCAAACTGGTCTAGCAGACAACCTCCTGATCCAATCGCCCATTCTTTGTCGTCTCTTCGAACAAATGGGAAAACAATAGTGGAGCAAGCACCCCTCAGTCGCTTCCTTCTAATTCATTCACCCCCGAGTCGTTGTCCCCGCATTGGTTTTATTCACATACGCACAAGCGCATACATACACAATATCCCCGCTTTTCCGGGAGAATGATCAACACATCCCTCTACCGACAACAATGACATGTTAGCTTACTTACATGCGTCTGTTGCATTTTTTTTCTTCCAACCTTGTTTTCCTTTCTTTTCTTGGTGAAGAAACTATTACGACCTTGTGTGAATATGCCGCACAGAAGAAAAAGAAATTGCCGCGCATGAACTTCAATACGATCTGAGTGTGCAACCAAAAAAAAAAAAAAAAAAAGGCGGGGAATTCTGTTGTTTTTCGGGCATAACACAAAACGATGAAGTGAGGTTAGGTACCAACAAAAGCCCATAACGCACCGCGCCACAACGCGTCTTGGTTCATTCATGGCGGAAAAAAAGCATCGTGTACAGATGGACACCTCGCTTCCTCTTTTTGATCAAACAAACTCTGAAGGTTCCACCGCCTAATGAAATTGCAATTCCACTGCGTCATGCGTTTCGTCCGTCCGTGTGATTTTATAGAAAGTAGGAAGATGAAAGAAGAATAACAGAAAGTAAAAGGATATTACTTGCGAAAGGGATTTTGTTCAAAGTGGAAGCAAATGGCTAGGGAAGCGATAGAAAGGAGTATATAGAGACGAGCGGGAAAGCAACCTTGAGACGCGGTTAACCCATTTTATCGTTCGAACGGCGGTAATAAAAAGTTCAGTACACCAAAACAAACGTTGGCAAGTTTACTGTCCGCGCTTGGGGTTGGCGGGTGAGTTCTTCCAGAGACCGGCGACATGCTTGAAGGCCTCCTGTTAGGTTGTATGGCCAAATCGGGAAGCAGAATAACGTGTGAGTTGTTATTGTTATCTAGTCAGCTGGCGAGAGGTCTACACTTCCCGTTTTTTGCTAGTCCTGTGCAGTGAAAATAGCAATAACAGCTACCCACTCTGTAGTTTGTTTCCCGTTCAAGGTCAATCATCTTTAGAGTAGACAGAGTTGGTGGGAAGATGCTCTGATGCCAAAGAATACCCTTTTCTTCCTGCGAGTAACATCTGATCGAGATGGTGTCGGGTGTCCTGGTGTGCTTTTGGGTCGCGTTATTCTTTACCTTGTGGTCAACACCGGGGTTCTTGCTTTTGTACTTGGGGAGCTCCTCCTTCATGAAGGTGTTGTAGGCAGACATCTTCTTCTTCTTGGCAGGCTCGACAGGAGCTACAAGGTGAGGTTCAGAGGCGTGGTGGTAACGTGGAGAGCCAAACAAGCAATATGAAAATTAGTGGCGCGTTTTAGAGTTCTGACTGTACACAAGAAGGGTAGCGTGGGTGGTGGCGCTTACCTGACTTCTTGGCGGTGGTAGCCTTTGGCATTGTTATTGGGCTGTGTGGGTTGATGCGTTGTGATGAGAAGGAGATGAGAGGAGTGGAAAGCAGATGAGCTTGAGAGTGTGCGTAGTGAGATGGAGAGGAGAGAGAGTGAAGAAAGAGAAGGAAGAGGAATAACAAAAAAATGAAAAAAGTGAGGGGAGTTGGGTCCTTATGTGAAATTAGGCTCTGGCTGTCGAGGCTGAAAGATTGTCGCCTCAGATGCTATCATGCTCACTATCATAACCAAACAAACACATCCATCCCATCCCACCCTACCCTTCTAACTTACTTCCTATTGGTAACCTACTCACAAGAGAACTCTTTTTCAACAAACACACTCACCCTATTGCTTCTATGCGCCGTTCGCTTGGCCGACCTCGGTGCTTTTTTGGACTGAATATGTGATGAGAAAGCAATCACGCCTGCTTACCTTTTCCGTATTTCCCTATCTTCACATCCTCCAAACAACCCACTTTCACCCTTCACTTCTGTTTCCCCCCTCCTTGTTCTCGACCCAACCCCTGTCATCTCTCTTTTTGTTGCTGTCGTTGTTGTTGTTGTTTGTTTGGTATTCTACTAGATAATGCAGCAGAGAAAGCACTATGGAATAAGTAGCTTATCTTGCTCCTTCCTTGTCTCATTGTCAATAGGATGGAAACAAAGGCACTGTTCGCCACCCCATCGTTGAATTATGCCAATTTGTTGACTCTTATTCATATTCTATCGATCAATGGGTCCAAAACACAAGGAACAGTGGGAAAAGGAGTTAACCAAGGAAGGAGAAAGGAAGAAGGACAGCCTACTTCTCTCTCTCTTCTCTTTTTCCAACCCTTCTACTTGACGCCTTACTGTTCACAAATGGTCAAAGGAGACTGGGAAAAAATGGGAAGAGGGCCAATAAAGAAAAGAGACAAAAAACAACAACAGAACTGGGCGGTAACAAGGAAAGGTCCCGCCGTAAGAGAAAGGAAAAATGGGGCTATCTATCCGACCCGCACATAAAAGGCCTATATCTTTTGGTGATGGATTTTCACTTATTTGAACCTTCCAAATCTTCAACGCCCATGCCATGTACGTCGTTGGATACCAAGGGACAATGTGCCAATTATATTTTCCCAGCGAGTACGAAGTACATGGTCGTATCCATCGCCAGCCTCCTTGCTATTGTTTTCTCTTCGTTGGCGCTCAGAAAGATTGCGATCGATAGTGAGAGAGAGTGCAACAAGAAGCAACAAACAAGAGTAGGCTCACTAGGACACGCTGACCACCATCTTTTTTCTTTCAGTTAATTCTTCACACGGCCGCTAAACTACTATGGCACATCCGGCAACTGCGTCCAACAAAAAGCAAGGAATTGATGCAGCAAGGGTGGGAAGGAGAAGCTCGATATCCCAGAAAAACCATCTAATAGAGTCCTTCAATCAACGATCGAACTTCAGATACGGCCTCCAAGGTCTTCTCAATAGCCTCTTCTCCCTTGAAAAAGTCCTCTGGCTCCCACGTCGGCACTTGGCCCAGGCCCAGGTATGGGTTCTCGCTGAAGCGGCTCTTCCACGAATCCCGATACATCTACACATGATTCAACATTTTGCAAGAGCAACGCAGACAATATATGAGGCGATAGTGAATGTTGAGTGCGTGATTGAATTATCCTTGTGCCATTTGTTCCGCATAACGGTCCACATTTCTTTTCAACAAAGGCAACACTTACCGACAGTGAGTAAAGCACTTGGCTTGGAGGTTCGTTCAGCGGGTTAATCTGGTATGGCATGAAAGGCATCTCCATAGTCCAGAAGGCCTCCTCGGTCATCTCGATAGTCCACTGGTCGCGCACAATAAGCTTCTTCTTCTCGCGTCGAACATGTCGCAGCTGAACATCATCAGTGTTAGCAAAATGCAGGATGCTGTCTCGTCCACTCCTAGAGCGTGAATTGCAAAAGTTAGCGACCCTTTTGACAAAGTATGCCACGATGACGACGAATAAAAAAATAGTCAATCAACAGACGCTGCCACTTACTCTTTCTGCAAGTGGAGGCTGCGAACGAACTTGGCCTCGAGCGATTGGTCCGAATGCCGCTTTCCAGCAGAGACGGTCCATGCCCACGACAGACGCCTAAAAAGGAGTCATCAAGACGTTTTGGGTTGTTAGTGCCGCAACATACAGTAGTTTCCTGTATCTCGCATAGACACTGCACAAACGTTTGGTGCAACGAAGCTCACCTCTCTGATGAAATGACTCTGATGTCCAAGGGCGTCGTCTGTTGCACGAGGCCATTCCAGAGACCTGCGTTACCGTCGGATCTGAAAGTCACTTCCAGCATGACATTGATCGTCTCCTGCGTCTCTTCGTCTCTTCGCAAGATGTGAAGGAACCACACCTCGTCCGGTTCAACGGCTTGCTCCCCGTTGTCTGGTGGAGTGATCCTTCTCTCCGCTGCTGCAAACGTCCCCGAGGACTTGATGAAGTATGGGCTGAATTCGGACCTCAAGCGACCGTCAGGGATGACAGCGGTGTCCAAATCCGCAATTTCCCACACAGTCTGCTTGGGATAGATCAACAGACCGACTTGACCAATTCTACACATTGGAGTCAGCGCATGAGATGGATTCGTAAGGATACATTCGATGAAGGATATATCTCAAAAGCAGAAACAACAACGGCGCCAAGGGGTTGTTTACATACCGGATGCGCATCTTAACATCGTAGTCCATCAGCTGAACTGCCTCGAGCGAGCCCTCGAGTTCGTGTCTGATCCTGTCAATGTTGCGCTGTGTCATCCTAAACAGCGAAGTGCAGCAGCGATGTTAATGTACATCGTCGAAACACACTCATCTAAGGCGACGAGAAAAGCTCGATTGGAGCAAAAGCCGCGTTGGCGGCGGGTACCTTTCAGAATACTGCATTGGTCGCACATAGGGGCCCATGTCAGGAGCGATGTCTGTGTGTCGTCCGTTTGTCCCTGAAGCTGCATCGCTGTTTCTGTTGCCTGAGTCGATAGCAGACATCCGAAGATCCACTTCCCGAACGTTCCCAAAATCGCCCACCTCCTTGGCCTTCAGATAGCGGATCTTCGTCCCATCTTGCGTGCCGCCGCCCTGCATGCCATGGAACCCTTGGTTGGGCGAGATGTATGGTGCAGGTGGGTTGGGAACAATGTGAATCTGCACAAGCTTTGACGGTTTTTCGAGCACATGGCAAACATTTTCTGGGGGACGGTTCAACTATAGGTCATAAAAGGTGGCTGATGGCATGAGCATTCCATTCCACACATAAGCTGAAGGACGCATCTGTTCAAGTGCTTGTTGTTCGCGTTTTTCTTACAACTTTGATGAGAAAGTTTTTGACTCGGCCCATGGCAGCCATAGTGGTTCCCTCATCCCCGCCGGCTACGTACAAGTTCTAATGACAACGTGGTTATATGTAAGTAGACAGCGCAGTAAGTTACGGTTCAAATCAATCCTACATTCACCTTCTTTGTCGAGGGATGCATGGATTTCATACCAATGCCTTATCAATCCAAATGAATGATTGAAACTCGGCGCGCAAAGCGTCCAGCCTTTCCAACTTGCCACCTAGGTATCGAAAAATGGGTACTTCCTTGGGCCACGCGATGCAGTGTGTGAAGGGAAACTCCTCGGTCGGCTCGCCCAGGTACTTCTGCCGCTCCTGCTGCCGTTTGATCTCCCGATCCTTCTTTTTCTGCTCTGCTGGTGTGAGTTCGCGTTCCGGCCGTGCCCATCCCTTCGTTCGAGTAGCCTTTTGCTTCTTCTCAGCGCGCTATTTCGGTTGGAGCGAATACTCTTGAGTTAGGTCATACAGATATCGAAATAATTACCAGACAAATTTCTTCATTTGTGGGGGAAGACTTACGCCATGGTAGAACTTCTCCATGTGGTCCAATGCCGCCTTGGCGCTCTGGATGTTCTTGTGGGTGCCCCAAAGATCAATTCTCTAGTATATTATGGTAAGAGACTGTGGTGTCAGCACCTGATCACGTACTTTCCACAAAATGCATACTCGATTAAGCTCTGACGAGTGAAAATGATCCACCCTTATTGCTACCTCTTTTTCCCTGTTGTGAACGGCTCGAGTGTCAGTGTTTCTACTAATCCTGACGAGGTGATCTTCCAGGTCGTTAATGTCGGTGTATGGTGGGATCTATTGCCATGACAGCAGTAAAAAAAAAAAAAAAAAAGATTAGACCTGAATATATTCTTATTGTTTCCACCAACTGCATTCATTTGGGGAATGAAAAGGAATAAGCAAAAAGGAATCGATAATGAACGTACAAACCAGTAATCGTCGCATGGCACATGCTCGTTGTTCACTGCAGCCTGAGTGGGTGGAGCAAAGGTGTTCTGCCATTCCTGGGCATCAGCATCATCGTAATCCATGGTTCTTTTTGTTGTGTGGGTGTGGAATGGGGGGGTAGTAGAGTTGGAAGAAGGAGCAAAAAAGAACACAGCGACAAAGGAGAATTTCAAAAAAATGAACCCCATACGCGCCCTAGCAGTCACTTCGTCGTTGTGAAGCGTGGTGTCAGTCTTGTATGCAACAGTCTGTAGTCGTGTTGCCGAGTGGAAGCGTGTCTAACCTGTTCATACTGTATCCACGCGTCCACCTACTATCCTATGCTCTTCAGTACTAGCAGTCCATTTCTCTCTCTACAAGCTCGGGTGCGCGTTAATCCTGGTTTCCCCATCCCCTTGACCCTTTTTCTTTGTCGGCGCCCACAACCCAAATGTGACGGGCAAATTCCTAAAGCTTACTTATCTTTTCTTCTTCCCACAGACACATATAAAAAACAGTTAGGTTGGGCAAGTCGACATTCGCCTTTTTTTCTTTCTTCTGCATTAGAGTGTTCATTGTACATTCCTTCTTTGATCCCGACCCAGCCCTTCCTCATTCGCACTCCTGACACCTCCACGTTGTTTGTGCAGATACCCAGAATAACTCTCACACAAAACACCAAGGGTCTGTCATGATGGCTACTTCTCTTGACCTCCAAACACTAGAACAATACTGTGAGACACTCTACAACCCACCCAACCCTTCAGGGCGGATCCAGGCCGAAAGTCTCCTCAACTATCACTTCCCAACCTTCAGCAATACCAATGGCTACAACGCCAACGGTGCTGGGTCTGAATCAGTGCAAGGTCATAGCCCGAATATCGCCTCTCCTATCGAATCCGCTTTGCTGTGTCGAAACCTGCTCGAAAACTCAACAAACCCCTATGCGCTGATGTAAGTGCTCTCACTGTTGTGTTGGACCAGAGTACGGCCTGCAGCATAATGTGTCCAAAAATGCGAGGATATGTTAATTGACACAACGTTGCTTGTTATTCTGCCCGGCAAAATGCATAGGTTTGCCACGTCACGTCTAAAGACTCTTGTTGATGATCATTTCACCAGCTTCTCAACGGCCGAGCAACACGGTCTTCGTAAGTATATCCCAAACCTTGCTTGTCGGACCAATTCATCAAATTCTTCGTGATTTAACGCTCCCTTGCTCTCATTCTTTATAGGGACGTTTGTTCTTCAATACATCTACGAACATCCGGATCTGCAGCCGTTTATCATATCATCACAGGCACAACTCTTCGCCATCATTACCAAGCTCGGGTGGATCGAAAACCAGGAGTTTCGCGCGCTGCTTGATCAAATCCAAGTCTTTTTCCAGGTATCCTACCCGCTCATCATTGCTGATTGATATCCTGGTCCCACTTTAGGTATTGCCGATATATATGAAAGGTCACTTATAGACGTGTCTTATTGGACACTTACTGCTTTGATAGCAAGGAGTCGGCCACCGCGTTTTGGGGATCCGTCTTTTGACGGCTGTTGCAACAGAAATGAATCTCCCAGGGACCAAGAATGTTGTCAAGCACAGGAAGGCAGCTGTCGGGTTCAGGGATGCTCAACTACTTCCCATCTTCCAAGCAGCCCTTAGCATGCTCCAAAGCGTGCTCCAGAGCCAGCAATCAGGTACACACGGAAGCTTATATTCTATAAGCTACCATTGCTGCTGTCCAAAGTACCTTCTGACTAACAACACTTCAATCTCTTACACTCATCTGATAGATCCTCAAACGGAGAAACTGAAAGAAGCCCTGATGCTCCTGATGAAAGCGTGTCTGGCGTTCGATTTTATCGGAAGTTCGTACGAGGATTCATCGGAAGATATGGGTAGTCTTCAGATTCCAACGACATGGAGGCCTGTCTTTGAAGAGTCGGGATATCTGGACATTCTGTGGGAGAGCTGGAAGACATTCGCCAGTCCTGTCTCTGTTCTGGTCATGGAGTGCCTTTCTCAGGCAGCATCAATTCGGCGATCACTCTTCTCCGGAGACGACTCGCGACATGCTTATATCTATCGGTTCATGCAGGAGATCATGCAGACCCTTACTACTGCTGCGGGACAAAATAAGCTGCAGGATTTGGGCAATTATCACGAGTTCTGTCGGATGCTCTCGCGCTTCAAAATGACATATCAACTTTCGGAGGTCAGCGGTTACAAAGACATTCAGCAATGGCTCTCGGCGGTCGGAGAATTCACAGCTCAGGGATTCTTGTCATGGAAGGTATGGAGGTCGCTATGATCCGTAAACGTCAGCATCTACGATCTCAGGAGAACATGATAAAAGTAAACTAGACTAACCTTACTCTCGTATTCACAGTGGTCACCTAATAGCGTACCTTATCTGTTGACCTTCTGGAACAAGACAGTCGGATCTCTCAGTTCTGTGAAGCATGAGACGGAACTTCAGATCGAGGCCATCACTGTCAATCTGGCTGGGGCGTATCTCAAGTCCTGCCTGGAATGTGTTCACGCCGTTATGGATGGAGATGCGGATGGTAACCAAATATAGCTCATGCAGCGAATTTAGCTTACTTTACATCGAGTGTTCCATTTAACACAGCTTAATATTTTGCACGATAGATCCACTTGAGTCGGAGGAAGCCTTGCTGGTCTCGCTGGACATGTTTGCAAATATTGCACGGACTAAGCATACGGAATCAGGACGTCTGCTGGTGAACGAGTTCAACAACCTTTCAATCAAGTACAGAGAGCTTATTCAGAGAGCAACTTCTATGGGTGGCGCCGCGTCAACTGGATCGACAGACATCAAGGAGAGCTTATTGGTCGTTGAGTTGAAGTTGACGTGGCTGGTGTACCTCATGTCATCCATCATTGGAGCAAGAGTTGTAAGTGTGCTGATCCACCTGATCTGTGTTGGGCAATGGATAGTGTATGCGGACCAAATTCAACTCACCATGTTGTCCTCTTTATTGCTGTAGATGTATCAAAGCACATCGGAGCAAGATCAGATGGATGGCGAGTTTGCTTGCGAGATCCTCGGCTTCATACATCAACTTCAGGTCTGGACAGCACAGCGACCACTCTACTTTGCTTCACCCGACGCTCATTTGCAGATTCAGTCCTCTATCATTTATTTCTATCAGCAATTCCGGGCGACCTATATCGGCGAAGAGTCCTCCAAGGCTGTCAAGGTGTATACTCAGCTCTCTTCCCGTTGGGGTATTAACACGCCAAATCAGGTTTTGAATGTCATCATGGATTCTGCTCTGAATAACCTTCGTTCAATTGGCGATCCTGCCTGGAAGAAACAGGAGGATCTACTTGTGCTTCGGACCCTCAAACTGTTCACGAATCTGGCTTCAGGGTATGTGGCACTGTCGGTTCATTCAGCAGGGCAGATGAAGGCAGGTAAAAGCTCAAGTCAAGTAACCCTTTATTTTCTCGTCGTTGTAACGAATAGGTACAGCTCTGTCAAATACATCCGGAAGCTTGACACGACAAAGGCGCTTCTCAAGAACCACAGTGCGCCTGATTTCAAATTCCTAGACCCTACCAGGAAAAGCTCTGACACTGCCGTTGCACGATGCAGGACCATCTATTACACGATGTTATCGCGTATCTTGTTTGCGGAGGACAATGTCGACGCACAGTTTTGGAGGTTTATTAAGCCGTGGGAGGCAACACTGGATCGTGTTGCTCTCGCTTTCGTAGGAGGCGGTGATCTTGGCGAGGAGGACATCCGGGTAAGAGCACATGGTTAAAATATTTCAGTGGAAAGCTGAGTCTCGATCTAACAAGACAACACCACTAATTACTGCTATTTTTTTTCTCCGTTTGATAGCTCATTCTTTTAGGAATGTTTAAGGACTTGCGCGGGTTCGTGTCGAGTATCACCAACCGGAGGCAGTACAACCTTTTTTACGAGTGGTTCTATCCTGCTTACACACCCATTGTTCTCCGGGCGATTGAAATCTGGCCGCAGAACGAAATTGGAATTGCAATTCTTCGATTCTGGCACGAGTTTGTTACCAATAAGAGCAGCCGTGTTACCTTTGACAGTAGCAGCCCAAACGGGATCTTGCTGTTCCGGGAGACAAGGTGAGCAGAGAGAATGAGGCTATCATGTTCAACCTAGGTCATTTTGTACTTGACGTGGGCTGTCTTTGGAACAGATACCAACATCCGTTGTTACTTTTATCATAGTCACCTTCTGTCTGCATATGGTAGCAATCTTCTGAGTCGGCCTATCACGGATGAGAGCACACGGTGGTCTGAAAAGTAAGCTTCTTGCGTTGTTGCAGAGTGCACTTCTATTGATCAATAGCAAGGATGAAATCGTTGTTAATCACTTGTTCTTACCTCTGTAGGTACAAGGGGATCATGCTTTACTTCAACATCATGTCCGTGTCGTTGTCTGGCAAGTACACCAACTTTGGTGTCTTCAAGCTTTATGGCGACAAAGCCCTGGATCGTGTTCTCGACATCTTTTTCCAGTTGATGCTCGCCATCCCGGTGGCAGACATGATTGTAAGTGTCCACCAATCACTGACATGAACTGCAGAAAAAAAGTGCTTAAGCTGACCAATGTCACTTTCCTTTGTTGCTTCCTTTGCTCTTGCTCTGCACAGGCGTTCCCTAAGCTGGGCGCGTCGTTCTTTAGCGTGATCGACGTGTTTGCGACGGACCATATGACTGGAATGCCAAGCATGCCGCAGCCAGTCCTGGAGTACATTTTCAGGGCGGTAGGCGAGAGTGTCCCGTTGCTGGGCCAAGACTCTTCGTGCTCGACGATGGCCTGCTCAGCGATTGACAAAATCTGCTCTTTTGTCCTCAACTGGCTCATCAAGAACAATACCCGCATTTCGGACAGTGCTGACAGTGCGGACGAGATGTTGGAAACCGATGAAGTCGAGGATCCAGTTCGCATTGCACGAGACCGCCTCTTGTCGACTGGAAGCATCAATGGCGCCGCTGCTGCTGCTGCTGCTGCTGCTGCAAGTGCCGCAGCTGGCGGTAGAGGAAGCGTCGATTTGTCAGGAGGAGCCAGCAGTCTCTTGTCGAAGCGACTTCGAGAGCAACAGCAGCAGGAAGGGGCACATTGGTTGGTCGAGTACGTCTTGAGGAACAAGGATGTCATGAACTACCTCCTTGTTGTCCTTTTCAGCGTCGTTGTCTTTGAGAACCGGAATAACCACTGGGCCCTGAGCCGACCTTTGCTTGGCCTGATCCTGCTGAACAGAGACTTTTTTGCAGAGTACACCAGCCTGTTTGTCCAGGCACAGTTGCCAGATCGACGAGAGCCTCTCCAGAAGCTTGTCCATGGGGTACGTATTTTTTCCATTTTGTATGACACTATCAATGCAGTGCATTAGACCCTTCCACACTGTGATGATATGTTCTTTTTGACTCCATCTCAGTTCACTAATATACCTGTATTGTACGCATGCCGTTATGTTAGCTCATGGAGGGCATCGAAACCAATCTGTCGACGGCCAACAGGGATCGCTTCACAACCAACACCAATGCCTTCCGCCGCGAGTGCTCCCAAATGACACTGATGCCTGTCTCGCCAGACGATTCCGGCATCATGTCCTAAGGTGTCCCACTCACTCACAAGACCTACAGGCGCCTCGCAGTTGAAGGTGGAATCATCACGACAGTCATGTTCATGCGCCAAGCACCACAAATAAATAACAATGGCAATCAAAAAGCAAGCGTGTTTGATATGTATATACAGAAAAAGACTTTAATCGTTCAGTTCGTTGCAAAGTACTAGCTAGGCGCAATCAAAATCGAGAGGGAAGGCATAAGCCTTATTGGCCACCACGGAGACGCAGGACCAAGTGGAGGGTCGACTCCTTCTGGATGTTGTAGTCCGAAAGAGTGCGGCCATCCTCAAGCTGCTTGCCGGCAAAGATCAAACGCTGCTGGTCTGGGGGAATACCCTCCTTGTCTTGAATCTTCTGCTTGACGTTGTCGATGGTGTCGGACGACTCGACCTCCAAGGTGATGGTCTTGCCGGTGAGGGTCTTGACGAAAATCTGCATACCACCACGGAGACGAAGGACCAAGTGGAGAGTGGACTCCTTCTGGATGTTGTAGTCCGAAAGAGTGCGGCCGTCCTCAAGCTGCTTGCCGGCAAAGATCAAACGCTGCTGGTCTGGGGGAATACCCTCCTTGTCTTGAATCTTCTGCTTGACGTTGTCGATGGTGTCGGACGACTCGACCTCCAAGGTGATGGTCTTGCCGGTGAGGGTCTTGACGAAAATCTGCATACCACCACGGAGACGAAGGACCAAGTGGAGAGTGGACTCCTTCTGGATGTTGTAGTCCGAAAGAGTGCGGCCGTCCTCAAGCTGCTTGCCGGCAAAGATCAAACGCTGCTGGTCTGGGGGAATACCCTCCTTGTCTTGAATCTTCTGCTTGACGTTGTCGATGGTGTCGGACGACTCGACCTCCAAGGTGATGGTCTTGCCGGTGAGGGTCTTGACGAAAATCTGCATACCACCACGGAGACGAAGGACCAAGTGGAGAGTGGACTCCTTCTGGATGTTGTAATCCGAAAGAGTGCGGCCGTCCTCAAGCTGCTTGCCGGCAAAGATCAAACGCTGCTGGTCTGGGGGAATACCCTCCTTATCTTGGATCTTCTGCTTGACATTGTCGATAGTGTCGGAGGACTCAACCTCGAGGGTGATGGTCTTGCCGGTGAGGGTCTTGACGAAAATTTGCATGGTGTTTGTTTGTTGGGTTGGGTGCGAGTGTGTTTTGGAAGTGGTTGTGTGTGTAGAGGGGTGGATGAAGGAGAATGGCGTGAAGAAGAAGAAAAGAAAAAGAGATACAATGGGCTTGAGAATCGGCCTTTTTATTTCAAAACTGTCTCTTACTGCGGTGTCTTGGCTTGGCACGGCCCTCAAGCTCTCATTAATGACGTGACTTTTGAGAAGGAAGGACCCAGAACCATTGAATTTGTCATACGGATGATTATTGTTGGTGATTTTTGCCATCTCCATCCATTCGGCGCATCCTTATTGGTCCAGTAAGCCGTATGTGCACTGCCCCCTTGTCATTCCATAAATTGGAAGTGTGTGTGTGGTCCCGTCCTTGTGAGTGGTCCACGGTTTAGACTCTGTTGTAGATATGCCTTTTGGGTTGGAACCTTTCCACACAAAAGGGCAAAAAAAGGGTTGCTGGTTACCCAGCTCAGAGATATCCACCTTATTTGTTCTGCTATTTCTCATTCCACACTTGCAGCAGGGAGAAGGAGGATAAAAGCTTTTGTTAATTCTGCAGGCTTTTGTGGCCCTGAATAGAAAAAAGAAAAAGAAAGAAAAGAAGAAAAGAAAAGAAGAAAAGAAAAGAAAAGAAAAGAAAAGAAAAGAAAAGAAAAGACTTAGGGCGCAGGAAAGAACACAAAGATGCATGATGATGTCAGGCATGGCTTGCACACTGCTGCTGGCTGCTTCAAGAGAAACTGAGAGCAGTCACATCATTTGTCAAGTTTGGGCACAACCTAGAAGTCTAAAAAAAAAAATAGGGTCGGAAGGGCCAACGATGAATACGGCAGATGGATCGTCTGTCTGGAGAAGCGGTGTTGGTGACGAAGGTGACCATGCCATTAAAAAAGTGTACAGCAATACGATGCTATCAGTGAAAGATATATCGTGCTGTCTTGCAGTGATGTCCTATCTATAACTGGTGCCGAGCCAAGCCGAAGATGACTTTACCAATTGCTTTTCAAGGATCCTGGCTAGTCAGTTGTCGTATGCATAATGGATACAAGCTCCTTGACTTTCAAGTCTAATTTGCCAGTCACCGATGCGACAAGTCATGTGATTCAGGGGGGGAGGTGGGCTTTCGCAGGCGTGCATGCCACATATGAATGGATTGGCACTTTGAAGGGACTGGGCAAAAGAAGGTCCATAAGAACGAGAATGTCAGTCCTGCATCTCTTTCTACTTTTTTTTATCCTCAAACGTCACTTTCTCAACCACTTTCCACCACCAACACCACCTATTACATTCACAATGCTTAAGAACTCTACCTGGAGTAAGTCCCTCTGTCAGCACGGCATCCCATTCCCTCTGTTTCATTTATTTTTTCGCACCTTATTCGTTACCCCGTTTACCCCTGGAAAACTGGTGGTGGACCTGGACTGACTTTTTTTTTTCTCACGGCTTTACTTACCCTCTTGAATAGAGCTCGAGGAGACTAACTTGGCCGAGTTTGGAGGCCAGCTCGAGAAGGAGCACCGCAAGGAGGAAGGCTCACTCGAGGAGGCCTGGGGAAAGGAGACCGGCGTCGGTTCCCAGACCGGTCTCTGGATCTGGCGCATTGAGAAGTTCCAGGTCGTCGCTGTCGCCAAGAAGGACTATGGTCACTTTTACAACGGCGACAGCTACATCATTCTCAACGTAACGTCCTCATTCTGTCTTACTCACAATCTGCATGATCTTCCGACAGTCTTTCCAGATAGGAGGGCATGACGTTTTAGCTAATGCTCATGCCGTTTTCTATTCATAAACCTAATAGTCGTACCAGAAGAAAGACTCGGATGTGATTCTTCACGATATTCACTTCTGGCTCGGAAACGACACTAGCCAGGACGAGGCTGGAACCGCTGCCTACAAGACCGTTGAGTTGGATGACTGTATGTTGTTGTCCGTTCATACAGTCAGCATTTTGCAGTTAGTTAATTAACCAATTGACCGATTAGACGCGAACTAATAATCTTCCTCATTTTTCATTGTCCAATGCAGACTTGGATGGCAAGCCCGTTCAGCACCGTGAGGTTGATGGATTCGAGTCAAAGCAATTGTTGTCGTACTTCAAGACCTTCTCGACCCAGAATGGAGGTGTCGAGACTGGATTCCACCACTGGACTGAGCCCGAGTACCCCTCGCGCCTGTTGATTGTCAAGTCTGCCCCCGTCAATGGCGGTCACCGCTCGTCGGTTGTTGTCCGCGAGGTGGCCAACTCGATGATCAACAGTGGTGATGTCTTTATTGTTGATACTGGCAAGGTCCTCTACCAGTGGAATGGAAAGAAGAGCTCTGGTATTGAGAGGGTCAAAGCTGCCGAGTATGCCCATGGCATTGAGGCTGACCGTTCTGGAGATGTCACCGTCGAGACCTTTGGTAAGGGGGAAATCATCCTTTCATTGGAACCAAAAGACCACAGAAAACTGTAAAGAGAGAAAATGTTTGCTAATGTTGTGTTCTCATTTTGTCCCGCGGAATGATGTAAAAATAGACGAGGGCGACCGTGATAGCAAGGTTTTCTGGGCTGCCCTTGGTGGCGAGGTTGAGGTCAAGGATGCTGAGGAGGTCGCTGACGAGCCTGAGTATGTCAAGAAGCTGTACCGGTAAGTCTCCTTCTCCTCCTCCCTGTATTCCCATACATGATTACCCCATCTATTACACAGCGAACGACGTGTGCTTTGGTGCATGGTGAGGTTTCAATGAGCACTTTCGCTGTATTTTTCAACTTTCCCGTTCTGACAAACGTTTTTCCTTTTTTTCATTTCTGCGATAACAAAATACCAAAAAAAAGCCTGAGCAACGCCGGCGGAAAGCTCGAGTTCACAAAGGAGGGATCGGGTCCTGAGGTCAACAGCGGTCTCTTGGATTCGAACGATGTCTTTATTCTGGATGTTCAGCACGAAATCTTTGTGTGGGTCGGAGCCAACGCCAACGCCGTCGAACACAAGAACGGCATCCACTATGCCCAGCAGTACCTCAAGAGAGAGGGTCTCCCTTCTCAGACCCCCATCTCCAAAGTTATGGAGGAGGGCGACCATACCATGTTCGACAATGCCTTGAACCGTTTCTAAAGATGCCATTAGCGAACTATGGCTGTACATATATCATTCTAAAGTAAAAAAAAATCGATGGGTGGAGTGCACCCTACTTTGTTCTTACAAATTGAGCCAAAGATCGCGTGCTTAGAGCCGTTTCCTTCCGAATGTGCGTAAGGACGACGCTCGCTTTTTTTTTTTTTTTTTTTTTTTTTTTTTGGCCTTTGCATTTTTTCCTTTGTTCATCCATCTCTCATTCCACAGAGCACATTCTACTCAACAATGTCTGCCACCATCAACGAATTCTTCCCCTCCCCCAGCCAAAAGTTTGCCGTCGTCGGAGCTTCCTCCAACCGCACAAAGTTTGGCAACAAGGTCCTGCGCTGGTAAGTAGGACCAAGAAAGCAAAAAAGAAGAAAAATATTGATCAATGTTAAAGGTTGTCGCTGACAATGTCCCTCCTCTGTCTCTCTGAAACAGGTACGTCGACAACGGTTACACGGCAGTACCAGTAAACCCCAAAGAAAAGACAATCGAGTCCTTGACCTGTGTCCCTGACCTGTCCTCCCTGCCCGGTGAGCCTTCAGAATATAATGTCTCGATCATTACCCCTCCAGCAGTGACAAAATCCGTCCTGGAGGCCGCTCACAAGAACGGCATCAAACGTGTCTGGTTGCAGCCCGATGTCGAATCTGCAGAAGCGTTGGCATACGCTAAGGAGGTCGGACTTTTGATCATTGCAGGCGGGCCTTGTGTCTTGGTCCATGGCATCCCCAGTTCCCGCGCAAAGTTGTAAAATCATGTAAAGAATGAATAAATGTAAAGAAAATGTTTTATTACAGGTGCACTTAGAACAGCTCAGAAAGTGGGGACATCAACCTCGTTGCTGACCATCTTCATAAGCTTGGTCAGGATACCGCTGTCGTCGCGGAGACCAGAATGCTTGTACTCGTTGGTGATCCAGAGCTTCATACCCTGGATCAGCTTAGCAGTGTTCTCAGAGCACTCGCGGTCAACAAACATGTCGTCGTAATAAACAGCAGCAGCGACAGGGACAGTGTTCTTGGCCAGAACCTCGGGGTTATAGAGCTTGGGCCAGTTGGTGTGCTTGGCCAGAATCTCTGCGCACTCCTTGAGAGGCAGAAGGTACGCATAGTCTTCTAACATCCAGTCGTACATGTGCTCGCCTATTATCACCGTCATCAAAAATGAAAAAGAAAGGATGAGTAATCCTGGCCTTCGATCATTGCGTAATATGCTAGATTAGACAAGGCGGAATAATTACCGGTAAAGTAGACAATCTTGCTAGAGTCATCCTCAAGAGACCCATACTCCTCTACAGAGTATCCAAAGGCGCTCTTGAACTCTCCATTGAGAAGCTTAGAGGCGGTCCAGTTGGAGGCAACGTTGGGTCCGTCGCAGTAGATAGCCTCGTGCAGGATGGCATAGATTGGGGGGATCAAATCCTGTGCAGACTCAATTTCGTGCAAGAAGGCACTCGAAAGAACCTCCTTGCCTTGAATGGTGACGAACGCGCTGAGACAAAGCTGGTGAATTGAGTCCATGCCGCCAGACAAGCCGAATCTTATGCCAAGCTGCTGGAACTTGCGTGGGGTGAGGATACTTCCGTTGGGCGTCTTGACCTCGTTGGTGGCAAGGTACTTCATAATCTTCTTGACGCGCTTAATATCCATGGGGAAGTGCTTATAGTATTGCTCCGTATGATTCATGACGCTCTTGTACGACTTGCGGTAGACAGTCTCCAAGGAATCAACAACAGGTGGGATTCCTCCAGTGATGTACGCCGCCGTGATCGACTCGGGGCTAAGCAATTGATAGTTGAAAATAATTAATTCGAGATACGTTATGCATGCTCGACAAGATTTGATTCAGCCCTGGTAAGAGTTTACTTACAACAAGGAAAGGTAGGTGGTGATGCAGAATCCACCATAACTCTGACCCAAAAGGCTCCACTTCTTCTCCGTGCTGTTGGCTATCCTTGTCAAACAGAACAATGGAATGCGCGGTCAGTCTATTGCCAATAAGGATACCATTTATAATAACACCAATCCAACAAAAACAAGTATATCGTTAAATTACCAAGAAGAGTTTCTCTGATGAGCTCAGAGTCGCGAACAATCGAGTCGGCGCGGAACTGCATAAAATACTCGGCTTGCTCCTGAGGAGTCTTGAACTGGGAGAGGACCTGAACAGTCATCGCAGTCGAAAGGCCTGTTCCACGCTGGTCCAGCAACAACACGTTGAACTTCTTGGCAGCATTTTTGACCCATCCCCTAAAAGTATGATTAGAATTAAATTTTAGCGAGTGGAGCTCTTTCTTGTAAGTTATCACAGTACTTTCCCACGGAAGGAAACGTGTTCCGATTTTGAACAGTACTTACGTGGTATAAGCAGGAGATCCAAATCCGGGACCGCCCTGGAAGTAAATGAGCCAGGGCAACTTGTCTGCATCAGCCTGCTTGTCCACAGCGACAACCTAGATCGCGATCCCACAAAAAAGCATATTCGTCAGATATGTTGTCCCTGAGAAAAATTGAGACCTCACTCAAACACACTACTGTTCACTAAACGAAACCTCAGTTACCCTGCGAGCAAAGACGACAATGGTCTCCTTCTTGGAGGCATCGGTGTGGTAGAGGGGGAGATCAAAGTAGTAATCCTGGGCCTTGAGACCGTTCGCGATAAAGGACTCGACAGGACCGGGACGGAGGTAACCTCCCTTGGAGACTTCTTGGGCAGTCATTTTTTGAAGAGTTGGTGATGGAGATGTCGTTTTTGTTGGTGTTGTTGTTGAGTAGTGGTGGAGTGATGATCTCAGGAACAAGCTTGGAGAACCGGATTGTTTTGGGAGGGACGAAAGAAAATGACGACGGGTGGGATGGATGTGGCGATGGAAGAGAAGAGAAGCAAGACGAGGAACGGAGCTCATTTTCTGAAGTGGGAAAAAGTGTGGGAAAGAGACAACGAAACAAGCGGCTCTGCGGGTCGTCCAATCCGCAAACTAGAGAGAGCTAGAGAGCTAGAAGTGGACGATACCAAATGAGGGTAGGACTCGATCTGCTTAAGGGCCCCCTGATTCCCTCATGGATGCAGCTGAATTCGCCCACATACTGCGAAACTAAAATGATGTCATGTTGACAATAATCGCTGTTGCCGTCATTGATATCGGTTACAGTCGCAGTAAAAAGAGGCCAGGTGCCCACTTCTTTATCCTCTTTTTTCTTTTCTCAATTCTTCTTCAATCCCTTCATCCTCTTTTCTCCACCCTCCTCCCCTCTCCTTCAACAAACCCACAACATAAAAAAGCCATGCTCGAAATCAGCACGCCTTCAAGGAGAACCGTCCTCATCTCCATATCCGCGGTCATCGGTATCACCACAATCTCCTCCCTGGCCTACCTCTTCTACCGCGATAACTACTCTAACGTCACCACCAACCGCAAGTTCCGCGCCCTCCAACGAAACCTCTACGCTCGCCTCCTCCAGATCGAAGATAACCTTGACGATCTCGTCGAGACCGACCTCCGACTGATCCAAATCCGCACAAAGACCCTCCGCACTCACCGTATCCACACAGCCGACGAAGGTGTCAAGCTTCCCTCTTTGGGTCTCATCAATGACCAGGACAAGGCCCAGCTCGGGACAGATATTGAAGAGACCAAGGAGGAATTGATCCGAGAACGTACCCAGGGGTTTGAGGACTTTGCCCGTGTCCGTCAAGGATACAAGCAGCTCGATTTGTTGGTCAAGGCTCTCCATAAGCAGCTGTTGAGACTCCTCGAACGGGCCAATGCAATTGATTTGAGTGAGCTTGCAGAGGTTGGGGATGAGACGGGAGGAATTTCGAACCAGAACGAGTCCGAGATCTTGGTCTTTGAGAAGCTCCGGAAACGCCGTCGATCGACCTTGGCCAAGGTGCAGAGGGTCATTGCTCAATTGGATCGGATCCAGGACAGCTACAAGGCGAGGCTGCACGAGATTAAGGACATTGAGAAGCTGGAGCGCATTGGATTGGAGCCGAGCGATCAAGTCCAACCCACCGTCGAGAGCGAAATGATGAAGGAGGGGGTCACGTTCGCCGATGTCGCCGCTTTGAACATTGAAGAGCCCGAGATCCTGGCACCCACCGAGGATTTGGAGAAGATGAAGCAAGGGATTAGCTTTGCCGACGCTGTTGCCGAGAACCTGCCGAAGGAAGAGGCTGATAAGCGCAAGGTACAGCCTAAGGAAAAGCCTAAAGCTCAGCCTAGCATCGAGACTCCCGCCCCCAAGCCCGCCAAGAAGGTTACCGTTGTCGAGGAGCCAGAGGACAAGGAAACCGCCGTCCTTGCCCCGACCGATGATTTGGGGTTGATGAAGGAGGGTGTCACGTTCGCCGACATCACCAAGGAGAACATTGAGGAGCCTGAAGTCCTTGCTGTTACCGAGGACTTGGAGAAGATGAAGGAAGGAGTCACTTTTGCGGATATCACCAAGGAGAACATCGAGGAACCTGAGGTCTTGGCCCCTACTGAGGATCTCGAGCTGATGAATGAGGGCGTTACGTTTGCCGATATTGCCAAGGAGAACATCAAGGAACCCGAGGTCCTGGCCCCTACCGAGGATCTCAAGAAGATAAAGCAAGGCCTTACTTTTGCCGATGTTGTCGCTGATGAGTGAAGCCAATCATGTACATAGTAGCACACATATAACCTTTCCATAATACATTCATCACAAGAAAATATAATTTTTACATTGTCTTTTAGCGCGTGTAGCGAGCTGGTTTGTAGATGTTGTTCCGTCTAGGTCGATCGCCATGCTCCTCTCTCCTGACAGGTGATGTAGCTCTCGATCTTGAGCCAGCACGTCCCTTCTTGGCGTCTCCACCTTCACTGCCCGACCCATCTTGGCCCTGTGCCCAGAACCGATCGACCTCCTTGCCATAGAATACGAACAACTCTTCGCCAGCCTTGACATCCCGGCTGGTCGTGCAGATCACTTGATTGACGACACTTCCTGTGATGAACGAAATGTTTCCATTGGGGTCCTCGTTCATGAAATGGAATGGGCAGTAAAGTCGCCCGTTAGGGTCACTGTAGGGCATTCCCTTCTCATCGGTCGCGTCCAAGACTGTCCGACGATACATAATCGAGTAGTGGGAAGCTACACCAACGCCATCCTTCAGAGAGTCAAACTCGTTCTCTGTCATCGGCACGCCGAAATAGAATCCAAGAGGGGTGCTGGCAGGCAGATCGATCCTGGCAAACAACCCGTTTCCAGAGTTGGGAATGGTCGACTCAGCTACTCGAACCACATCCATAAGTGAGGTTGGGACAGAGCTCAGATCCAGATCCTCCAGGCGATACTCGTCTACCCTTTGACTCTCTGACTTAGACGAAGGTCCTCCAGCCGACGTCGCCTTTGCCGCTGCCGATGTTGGTGTAGATGGTGTTGTTTCTGACTCCTGACCAGTGACCGAGGCAGGGGTTGAGGGAAGTGATGGCGTTGCTCTGAGCTCCAATTGCTCTAGCTTGTCCACGACCTTTGAATCCTGATCCTGTCCCTGATCTGCTAGTTGAGCAGCGCTCTCCAGTGCTGTATCCGATACAACAGCCGAGTCCAGCTCCGACTTGATCTTCTTGACATTCCGAGAGTCATCCGTCGCATCTTGATCCAGAGGTTCTGGGCTACGCTTCCTTGACCCTACAGATGTGCTGTCGACGGATGGGATCCCTATAAACTCAAACTTCTCAATAGCGAGCTCTATGCTCGATGCAGATGGATCAGCTGCTATGACCGTTTCAGGCGCGTTCAGTTCCAGTGCCGCCAAACGAGCTCTCTCATGAAGTTCAAGCACATCGATGGGTACGGCACCTTCTTTGGGCACACCGAAACACAGCGGCCAATCATGCTTGATCAGCTTCTCCATCCAGCTATCGTACTCCTTGACGGCAGTGTCAAAGTCCCCAGGCTGATACGCGAGTCGGAAATGTGTGCTCCTGCTCCCCTCTGGCTTGAAGGGGATAAAGTACTTGTCGCCGTTGTTTGTTAAGCAAGCCGACGCAGAATTCATTGGAGTCTAAAAATATGGGAGAAATTGGATCAACTATTAGATGGGGGTGAAAACATAACAGCCACATTCTGGTTGTGTTGAGTATTTTTTGTTTACCTTGCCAGTAAAGACTTTGGGAAGGCCCTTCTCGGCACTGAACTTTCGGTCGAGTGCAACTGCTGCAGATATCAGCTCTTGTCTTGCAGCGGTGCGATTGGGCATGGCCCTCAGTGCCAAGAACATCATGTACGGCTGAGTGTGCCACCGAGGCTTGACATTCGACCGCTTGGGAGCAGTGTGTCGCGTGTAGGCTGATCCATCCGTGCCATTCGTTGCTGCCGTTGTATTCGTGTCGGCATTCGTGGAGCTTTCGCTTGTGGTTGCTGTTGCTGTTGTTGCTGTAGCTGTCGTTGTGGTGGTGGTGGTAGTGGCAGTGGTAGTGGTAGGGGTCGTGGTGTCAGCAGCTGCGGTGGTTGTTGAACTTGAAGAAGTTGCAGGGATGGTGGCAACAGCAGGATTTTTTGCAGGTGCAGGGACAGGGGCTGAGGGTACCGATTGCTGTGCTTCCCTTGCGGGAGAGGACCTTGAAGAGCGGCGAGTGGGCGATGAGTGGGTCGTTGCTTGTGTCATTAGAATGGGATGTTTGACCTTGTTTTCCAGTGGTCAAGGTGGGAAGGTGAGAGTGTATTGTGTGTTGAAAGGAGCAAACAAGGGCAAAAAGAAAAGTCGGCGTGACTGCTTTTAGAACTGTGAAGTGAAAAACAGGAGCTATTATTGATTATTGCCTCACGCCTTTTTGTTCCTTTAGCATCCCTCTCTCCCCTCATCAAGCAGCATTCTCTCTCTCTCTCTCTCGCTCTCACATCACACCACACACACTCTCTCTCGCTCTGAGCCACAGCTCATGTCTCAAAAAGTGTACAACTGTTTCTTCTCTGACTGTGGCCTCCAGTTTACCGTCCTCTATGAATGGACAAGTCATATGCGAAAACATGCCGCCGATAGGTACTTGTCTCTCTACCTTCGCTCCCCTCCGTTCTACCTGTAAGACAAAGATACTAATGATGATGGTGTGATGAAGCTTGCTTTTTGTTGTCGCGTCTAAAAAAGTCAAAATAAAGAAACAAAATAAGCTAATTCACAAAACTGCGTGATTCATGTATAGTCCTGCGGAGCAACAGATCTCCAATGTGATGTCTAGCGCAGGCCCGGGAGCAGGAACAGGAGCAGGAACAAGAAGAGGAAGTGCCAGAGCAGAGCAAAGGACGACGGTGGCGAGTCCGAGAATAGGAACAGGATTCACACTCAGGACGGTTGCAGGTGGAACCATGTCAAAGCCAAGAACAAGCTCAATCGCCACTACTTCCGCGCACGACCTGACACGCGACGAGAAGCCCGGTCATGATGATTTTAAGCCATCCTCGTGGCCTCAAGATCGCTCCACTACCAACGCAATGTCCTCGGGTCGACCTTCCACCGCTACACCGATATTCCGCACAACACCTAAAAAAACAGCAACATCTCTGAACAACAGCAACATCAAGATCTCCTCGACACAGGGAAAGCTTCCTTCAACATCATCGACTCAGCTCGACTCCCTTCACTCGCCTACGTCGCGTAAGATAACAAACGTGACCCTCGGTTACAAAGGACCATCAGCAGCACCGTCCTCGGCATCGTCCTCGACATCGTCTACTTCCTCTCTGCCAGCAGCGCAATCACCTCAGGCGGTCTCAAGCCTTCAATCAGGACAGCGACGTGAAAGGAACAGTATACCTTCGTCTAAGCGAGCTCGGAGTCCTTCGCCCTCCCTCTCTGCGTCGTCCAGCTCTACGTCCGCGAAACGGAGGAACATCGAGGAACCGGAAGACTACATTGATATTGAAGGATATGATGACCAAGTCTCTACGACATCATCAACGACAGCACTACCTTCCTCGAGACTAGGGGCCTACCCTTGCGAATGGGTGAAGAGACGGAAAAATTTCATAGAACCGTTCACCCTAGAGGTGGCGCCATGTCAACTGAGCTTTGACACCGAAGCCGAGCTTTTTTCGCACTATGCCTGGCATATTGACCAGCTGGAGATCGATGACGAGTGTCCGGTGACCACATGCCGAATGAAAATCCTGTCCGACGAGCACTTAAAAACGCACTACCAAAAGATGCATCCGGATCTCCCCGTTCCTGCTCGAGAGCCCACAAGTTCGAGCACCGCCACCACCTCCAAATCTACAGGGCGAGCAGCAGCAGCAGCAGCAGCAAGGGCGGGCCGAGCATCACACTCGCCTTCAGAGTTACCAGTCAATCCAACACGAACACGAACCATCACACCAACACCGCCACCACAGCAGAACGCCACACCTACCCCTCCAACACCGACTAAATCACGGAACCAGTCCAAACTGCAGCAGACCAGGATCCTTTCAGAAGGGGACAAGGCAAAGACGACAACCACCCTGCCAATAACGTCTGCCAACAACAACAACGCCACCACCAACCAGTCACACATCAAAACAAAGGCAAGGTTGACCACCACCGCCCATTCGAAGGACGATGAGGATGAGGATAATACACGTCCGATGGCATTTGGTTTCTTTTTCAAGAAGCGACCATAACAGCAACAGTCCGCCATTCACACATCCAGTCTTACTTTTCTTTTTTGAGATTTTTTTTTTTTACTGGTGCAGAGAGTTCATTACGGCAATAATAACAATACTGCTAAAATAAAAAGAATATCTCTACGCCCAAACCTCCTGTCGTGACTCGGCATCTCCAGTAAAGGCATTGTCGGACAAAGGACCCTTCATGGGAGCACCAGTGTGTTGGAGACGAGCAAATGACGCGACCATAGCCTGGAATCCGCCAGGGTATTGCGCCTTGACATGCTCGGGGGTTCCAATAGGCCACAACGAGGAAGAGTCCATCATCGGCAACTTGGCACGCTTCTCGGCATCCAAGCCAGCGGCACCATTCTCGGAGTTCCTGGGAGGGGCCAGGTCCTTGATGCGGCCGTCCAAGTAAGGCGAGATCTTACCCTTGGACTCGATATAGTCCATCAGGGCCTTGTCCAACAGCTCCAATTCGATCTCGTGCCGTCCATCCTTGACCTCGACAATGTTGTCTCCGCCGCTGAGGACGAAATCCAGAGTGCAGACATTGTAGACGGCAGTCTTCTTGATTTCATGCCAGACAAGTTTATGGTCCTGGTACTCGGCCTTGATCAGATGGGGCTGGTCTAAAGGACGGGACGAGTCATGGACGAACCGGAGGCCACTGATCTGGATGTTGGAGGTGACCAGTCGCTGGGACTTCCTGTACCGACCTGCCGAGACCGCCTCGAGGATGTTCAGGATCTCGGAGCCAGTGAACTGGGTCTGGACCAAGCCGTTTCCAAAGGGCGAAGTCGTCATGATCATCTCGATCGTGACGTTTCCAGCGGGCAAGCCAGATCGGATTCCACCACTGTTGATGAACGCAAAGTCTGTCCAGGGGCGACTATTGGCGCTGCCCCCCGAGGTAGGTGTCCGTGCAACCTGAAGCATGGCATCGGCGACAAGGTTACCCATGGTGCACTCTCGCTGCTTGCAGGTGCCCTGATCAAACGAGTCCGAAGCCTCTCCCAAGACAGTCTGGCCCCACTCTTCAAACTCATGTCTCCATCCGTCAATCTCTTTCAGAAGGCGAGGATCTGCAGGGATAGAGTTCTCCACCAGGATGGGTTCGCCCTTCCAGCTCACAATCTTGCCCTCAGGGTTGAATACGATGTCCAGGTGACCAATGTACCTGCCCCAGCAGAATGCCTGTAATAATAAAAGTCGAACCCTAATTATTTTAGTATCCTGTCCCCTTGTGACCATTCAATGCATACATGCATGTACATTTTTTTGAAAAACTCACCTGAACAATCAAAGTGTTTTCGCCCTTCAAGTTCTTGATGATGGTTGGGTAGGGGCCTTGCGAGAGAGGGTTCGAGGGGTCTCCGAGGTACGAATGACTGTGTCCGCCCACAATCAGGTCGACACCGTGGGTGCCGGCAGCCAATTCCATGTCGGGTTCATAGCCGTTATGCGACAAGGCCAAGATGCGCTTGATACCCTTCGCTTCGAGCTCATCGACGTACTTTTGAACAGCGGGGATGGGGTCCGTGAACGAGACAGAGGGGCCAGCATTCGAAATATCGCCCGTAGTCTACAAAACATTTCACGATTTCAGCAACACCATTGGTGTAAGCTACAGTTTTTACACTCTAAAGAAGCAAATAACAAGAGAGCGCTGCAAAATTGACTTACGTTGGTGATGTATCCAATAACAGCGACTCCTAGGTCCTCAAAGATATGATAGGGCTTGACCAACTTGCCAAGCTCAGGGTTCTTTGTGAAGTCAATGTTGGCGCACACGATGGGGAAGTTGAGTTTGGGCCAGTAGCGACCCAGGTTGTCTGGACCATTGTCCCACTCGTGATTGCCGATAGTCCCGAGGTCGTATCCCAACTCATTCATCACCTGCGCAGTGACATTTCCCTACGAGATCGGGAAGGTACAACAAGAGGGAAGGAGGAGGCGTTACAACACACCCTTCTTTCAATGCTTTACAGTCCAATCTGCGAAAGTGGTAGATTGTCAATCGCGGGAGGGAGGGGAGCATGTACCTTGTAGTAGGTGTAAAAGAGAGTACCCTAACAATGCATTCATGCACGAACAAAAACATTGATACAAGGGGGTAAGAAGGAATCCGAGGAGAAACTCATTGAACGATTAGCAAATGATTCAAAGACCATCCAGCACGTTTCCTTTCTTCCTGGGTATTCATCGTGAGAACGAATCCAGTTCAGGACAAATTTAGAACGAGGAGGTGTCTTCTTTAACATACTTGGAACTAAACGTCAGTTGGGAGGAAGTACGTGTGAGAAAAAAAAAGGAAGGGGTCAGTTAGTGCTTCCTGGGCAGCTATACATGGAGCATCAAGTATCCCAACCCAACAATAAGCAAACAAAAGCACTGGAAGACATTATGCCAGAACAAACAAAAAGAAAGATATACCTCGTCACCGCCATCCAGGAGCAAGGAATGCTGATTCGCCTTACGAAGACGGTCAATAACGGTCTTGTGACGAGCAGTGCCTCCATAGCAATTACCACTAGCTCTGTCCTGGTCGGTACAGCTGACTCCGAATTCGTTGGCAGGGTCCACTCTGGCGTGAACGTCGTTAGTATGGATGACCGTCAGGTTCAACCAGCCGTCGTTCGCGACCACAGGTGCGACGTCTCGATGGGTAGATTCTGGCAGGACAAAGGCTGCTGCTGTGGTGGTGACGGCGGCGAGGCAGAAAACTGCTGAGACGACTCCTTGGAGGCGTCGTTGGCCTATTCTCCCAGAGTCGGCGGAGAAGAATCGCATGGAAGGTATGGGTATGAACTGAGGCTTGGTTGGTTGTCTAGTTTGTTGCCTCTTGAGGGAATGTCGTCGTTCTAATTGTTAGTTGACGGGAATGAAGGGAATGAAGTGTGAATGAAAGGAGAAAGTGAGTTGAAAGGAATGGGAAAAAAAGAAGCGTCTGCACAGAGGCTCTGATAACTCCATGGCAGGTTGTGACTTCTCTTCTTTGTAAAGGAGTAGACAAATACGAAGTTTACAAGCACGATTTGGGCTTGTTGAACTTGAGTGGCACTCACAGAAGCATCGGCACATCACACATGCAGCCAACATACTCCGTGAAAACGGTTGGGTGAAAGGAAAGGGGAAGAGGAAGACAAATGACGATGCACAAACCATTGAACGATTGCACTGGAAGAAACACAAATCGCAGAGGATGAAAGAGAGAGAAATAGGGAACGCGTCGTACCTAGGTAGTTTGCTTGCCAGCATGCTCACAGCTCGTCAATCTGTTTTTTCTGCTAGGACTACAATGCCCTTGAGGCGCACGCGTATTTGTCTCTCCCGTGCCAGGTCAACAAATAAACAGCACGAGTCGCATTGTTGATGATTGCTGTCCTCATAGGATTGATTCACAATCGAGACATCTCTCCCTATGTCTTTGTTTCTTGAGTCTCATCTCTTGGATTTGGCCTTTATCATTGTTTTGCCGGTCAACAGAGAATAAAATGAGTGAGGACATCATGTTCCACGAGAAGGAGAGTGATTGTGCTCATGGTTGATATTGCATACGATAAGTTTTTATGATAGTGGCACAAAACATGCCTTCAACACAAATAACAGCAACATCGATCAACAACAACGTCAATGCTAACATTGCCCTCGAAGATGCTAACGCTCACGCCACACACAATCGACACAACGGGATAAAATACTTATTCTACTGTATATCTTTTTTTGGTGCCTAGTACCACTTCTACCCAAGCGCTCGTCGCGTCGGGGACTATCCTAGCAAATGAAGATGAGGGAGGTGATCGTTGCCTGGGCCTGGCTTTCATAAGCGATCATATCAGCTTCAGGTGCGAGCAAAACAATCGGTCACCTCATGTTGTCTAGGCCTTTTGTTCACACAAAAACAACCTCGCCAAAAAAAACTCTATTTTGTCTTTTATTTCCGTATCAATGGCCATCTTGATTGATTGGAAACATCAAGTAGGACAAGTAGGGCCGTTGTGTGAACCACAAAGCAAATAACGGAGAAATAACAAATGATAGTGCGCGTTTGTTCACTGATTGACGGGAGGAAAAGGGGTTACCAAGGACTGACAAGTGGGGGGAAGCATTGTGGGACACAATTTGCATAGGGCATTTGATCTTGAAAGATTGTATGTTCGATGAAAAGATAAGAACAAGAAAGCTGAAAAAAAGGGATGTTCTGCCCATCTCTCAACCGGAAAGGAAATTAAGGGAGAGGCCCAACCACCGTGTAACATGTCCCCTCCATCTTATTCTCGATGGTACCTATACCTTCGATTGAACAACCAGGCCACAAGACACAAGACACACAAGACACAAGACACAGGACACAGGACAGAACAGGCGCAAGAGTGAGCGAGCAGAAAAAAAAGATGAAAATATGAAGACGAAAGACAGGTGCTGCGATCAATGTTTTTGAGCCTTACTTACATGATACATGACATGACAAGGACTCAATGGGATGGAATGGGAAGAGCTTCTCGTAAAGGTTACGAAGCGAAGATAGGAAAAGATGCTCTCAACAAGCTTTTTCCTTCTTCTTCCTGTCGTCAGGAACAATGTACCATCAGGGCGACAAACAACGACGGAGGCGATTTCAACCTCCTACCCACAATCCAGTCGTCGCCAAATTAAGCGGGGCCAGCCCCTCCCCTCTTTCTCTCCTGGCCTCGTGATCAGGCAGCGGCAACCGGAAGACCGTACCGACCTGGGATTCGAGGGTATAAGAGAAAAAAAGTGGGTTTGAACAATGAGAGAGGAAGAGGAGAGAGAGAGAGAGAGAGGGCGGACAAAAAAAATGTCCTTCTGAGCGTTTTCATTATTTTTTTCATGTGGAGCATTTTGACTTGTGTTTCTCTACTCCGCTGAAGACAACGATTGGGTCACCAATCTGCCAGAACTGAACAGCCAGCCTGGCCCATCGATCACTTTTTACGCAGGGCAAGAAAGAAAAATAACTGCATTTGCTGGTCAGAAAGTCAGGTGGTCGCCATGCTCTCTATCTCTTTATCTCTGTCTCTGTCTCTGGCTCAGGGACGAATCCTGACCAGTCAGTTCATCAAAGACCGAGTCCAAGTGGGCGCCTATTTTTTACTGTTGACTTGGGCACAGCCATTCCCCACACAGACCCCAGGGGTGGAAAGAGATGGGTCACCCGCTTAGCGTAGGGTTGGGGTCCCCATGTTTGTCGTTTGTTGAAATTATTCTCCGTATCCTCCCGGCGGGGATGAACAAGTTGGACGTTGTGATACTCCAGAGCTGTGCCAGTGCTAATGGTACTCTCCCTAATTATGAAGTGACCCGTTGAGCAAAAGAGTACATCCTCCCAAGGAGCGAAAAGGCACTTCTTGGTACTGTAGATAGCGAAGGAAACAAGCTAATAATGGGGCCCAGCCTTAGATGAAAAAATGTCCGCTGCAAGGAATATCGCAAAAAAAGAGTATCTTGCACTCATAATATCCGAATGGCCGCGCTGAAGCCCCTTTTTCTTCTTTGCCATCCATCCACGATTGTGATCCTCCCGCACTCACTCAGATAGACCAGATACCTTCTCGAGAATACATGATTGAATATCGATGCTCCGTGTGCTTGACCAGCTCTGAGTGAGCTCCTCTTAAAAAAATGGTCGACAGGTCCCTCCACTCCTACCCTTTTTCAGACATCGATGACTGATGGCTGGCCATTGTTTTTCCAGTACCCTTTTCTAGAGTGTGTTGTGATTTCTGTATCCGTGTGGGGACTTTAGCCAGATGTGCGCTCGGATCCTGCAGCTCCTCTCTCCAAGATCGATGAAAAAACAACGACGACGGGTGATCAGTGATGCGCGGTGCATTGAAAAGTAGGGGGTAGAAAGAATATGAAAGCAAAGAAAGATCGAGAGGGACTCGGCTCTCTTATTTTTTTGTCTGTTTGCTTTTTTGTTTGTTTGTTTATGTTTGCGTTGTTTTGTGGAGTGAATGTGTTGTACCTTTGATGTGATGCAGCAAGATTGCGACGATTGTTTTTTGTTCCGTTTGTATGTGTCGTGCAGGTGCCTGAAGATGTGAATTCAGGGCACAACAAAGTGAGCAGCATAAATGATGTTGGGTTGAGGTGGTTGAAGACAGGACAAAAGAAAAAAAACCCAGGGTGTCGCACAGAGAACAAAAAAAGGAAAGGACTGAGCAAGTGACAAAAAGAGAGATGGCCGAGGAGGATCGTCTTTTTTTGATTGTACTCACTCGACCCAACCCAAACTCGGGTTTACGATTACATCGAGAGACTAACTCTCGAACCAAGGTGAACAGCATGTGGGGAGAGCAATAAGGATGGTTGTGAACACGCCGCAAAAAAAACCACAAGAACGTGAGATGCGGATGAGATTGTTAGTGCAAATAGACATGGTATTGGACCTTGTTGATGTTTAGCATTGGATGACCGAGAAGGTATTGGAGGTACTCCTTCTTACTTATGAACACCGCCCAATAGAATTGAATTCAACCATCGATAGGACTGCCTCTGGGGCCAACTAACAGTAATGAAATGACAATCAGGAATGGTCAGGGCGGGAAGGATGGTGTGGAAGAAGTTCGAGTCCCTGCGTTATTTGATAACTTGGTATGATGGTATGAATGTTCCAGCCTTTACTACATGTTGTTGAATGAATGAGTGGCGGGCAAGAAGGCGAAGATGGTAAGAGTGATATGAAGAGAGCGAGCGCCAGCTGCAATGAGAAAAGAGGGAAAAGGGAAAACTCAAAGTGAAAAACGGCTGCTGAGCAGCAAAGAATGAACAAGATGTATCAATCGCACTTTTGTATCTGTATCTGTGTGTACTTCTCTCTGTCTGACTCTCTGGCTGTCTGTCTGGCCTCACTTTGGATGAATTGAGTGGTGGCAACTCTCTTTCTTTAAAAAAAAACGATGTTCAATCAGACTCTGGAATCACATCCCAACCTTGTTTGTCTCTCTCACTCTCTCTCTTTCTCTCTCTCCCTCTCTCTCTCTCTCTCTCTCTCTTTCTTACACTCAACTCGCTCAGCATCTCGACTCTTCGAATTCATTGTATTCATACGATATACCCCCAAGCTCTCCTTGTAACCTTCTTTTGCCTTCACTCCAATAGTACCAACTCTTTCCTTCTTTTACTTTTTGTTGTTTGTTTCTTCTTCATTTCCTTTTCTCCTTTTCTCCTTCCCTCTTCCTCTCTCAGTCCGTCTCTCCGCCTTCTTCTCTCTCTTTCTTTCTTCCTCTTGTTTTTCCTTTTTCTCCTTCCCTTCCATTCCCATATTTTGCTTCTCCTTGTCCATTCCTCTCGCACTCACACTCTACCTCTGTTACATACTCATCTAATTTAATACCCAATCCCCCCTCCCACAACTCATCCTCCTCACCTGTTTAGATATTCCTTCCTCTCTCACGATCTACATTCATCCATCGCCTCCAGCCTTTGTCACATATCTCACCCTTCCCCTTCACATATACATACACAACTACACACAACATGTTTGGAATGCAAATCAATATGGTCCCAAAGACCGTCATAGTCCTCCCCGAGAAGGAGGCCTCATCGGCCAGCTCGGTCAAGAGTGGCAAGAGTGGTAAAAGCGGAAAGAGCATCGAGGGTCATGCCGACAATCAGAGCACTCACAACAGCACAACAGCATCCAGCAAGTTTGGCGGTCTCTTCAAAAGCAACAGCATCAGGAGTGCAAGCATATCTTCCGGAGTCTCGGGTACACCTTCATCACACCAGCGCGGGATGGGAGCGGTCACCGAGGAGGATTCGAGGCAGCCCTACCAGCCCGAGCCGCTCGATCTGGAGTCATATCGCCAATGTTTGCACTGGTTGCAGCAGACATGCCGGCCGGTGTTTATGAAGGAGCTGACACAGGTGAACGATGTGCCTGTGCCTATTACAGAGGAGAATGCGAAGCACCCGGATCTGATTGGCGAGTCGATGCAGGTTCAGGTCGGCAGCTGGAAGCAGTCCCAGGTGCAGCTGGTGCCTATCGATCGCTGGGGCGATCCCCAGGATGTGCTCCATGAGGTGAGTAAGCTGCACTGATGTTAATTTTGCCCCGTTGACTTCGTTCGTTCGTTCGATCCATCTATCCTTCCTTCATTTTCTGTCCATGGGCGGACCCTTCTATGCCGCGATCTTTCTCTCTTGTACTCTTTCTTTCGTTCTTGATCGATGCTCTCTCTTTTGTTTTTCCCTTTTCCCTTTTATTCCTTTCTTTCTCTTTATCCCCAGGTTCCGCTTACCTGAGCCCTTTTTTCTTCTTGGTCGCTTCTTTTGTATGCCCTGAGAAGACAACAAACCAAATCGATGGAGAATCAGTCATACTTCGTGTTAGCAGTAATGTGTAAACAAAAGCGAGTGTGTGCCAGCGGTTGAAACGCCGCTCATGCAATCACTTCACCTCCTCGCACACAGACTGGCAGTCGGACGCTTGAACTTTCTTTCACATCCGTTGTTGCTCTTCTGCCTTGGTCCCTTATTTTTGTTCTCTCCTATCCTCCAGCTCGTTCAAAAAGTTTTTTTTTTTTTTTTTTTTTTTTCTTTCTGGGCGCGCGCGGTCATGCCTTATTTTGGACTCCATTCCCTCTCTCGTCAGCTTGCCCTGCCTCTTTTCTCTTTCGTCCTTCCTCCTCCGCATTGTGCATGTCAAAAAAAGTGAGGAGCTCTCATTGTTATCCTCTCTCTGTCCAAGAGCCGTTCAGTTAAATTAAAAATATTCGCGCACAAACCCTATGAGGATAAAGACCATTCCACCCAACAACAACGGCCGTAGGGCCAATAGTCAACAGTTGATAGGCAATACCGAGAACACTCGCCCTTCAACGCTCTTGCCATCCCCCCAAAACGCGATCAATATTAACCAACCCAACCTCTTTCATCGAACAATGATATGCATCCATCCTCAATTAGATTCAATCGCTGCACAAGCTTCGCAAGTGCCGACAAATCATCCAACTCTATGGCTACCTCCCCAACACTTCTCCTACAGCAATTCATATCCCAGCCCTGCTCCTTCAACAGCCCAGCTACGGCTCCCTGCGCCAATTCATTGATCACCACTTTGATTCCATTCAATGGCCCGAACGCTTCAAGCTCGCTCTCGACATGGCCCAAGGTCTCCGCTTCCTCGTCTCCCAGGGCGTCCCCTGCACACTCCACTCTGGCAACATTTTGATCGACAGCGAAGGAGTCGCCATTCTCACCGGCTTTGGTAGTCAGAGTGGCCAAATCACCTCTGCTCCTCGCCAGATGACTTCCCAACCTTCATCATCCTCATTACTCGTCTACATGGCACCCGAGCGTCTTCAGAGTCGAGGATCATATTCTCCTGACTGGGGCGTCTACTCACTTGGCATTTTGCTTTGGGAGTTATCGTCGGGACGCATTCCCTTTGACGAGATCATCACCCGCGCCGAGGCCGGTCCTCGTCTCGCCAAGAATATGGAACAACTTTCTTCGGCAATCGCCAAGGGTCTTCGCGAGGAGACCATCCCCGGCACACCCGAGATTTACGAGCAGCTGTTCAAGATGTGCTGGGAGAGTGAAGCTTCATCACGCCCACCACTCGAGGTCGTGGAAGAAACTCTTCAGATGTTGGTTGTGGTCGAGCCTATGGATATGTTGATGTTGCCAGGTGAGGAGATGGGTATGTCCATCTCACCCATCGGTAAGCCGCCGTTTGGTCGTTTTGCCCCGTTGATGTAGCATGGTATATGTGATTCCCTTCCCGTGTACTTACTGTTGCCTTGCATATATTGTTTTTTTTTTTTTTATTTTTATGTATAGTCTCGGAGAGCATCGACGGCGACGCCCTTAGCATCCATACTCGGTCGATGAGCATTCGCTCAGTCTCTCCTGGCCCAAGTCATATCAAGTCAAACTTTGCGCGCCCCACGACGCTGCACGAGGCCGTGAGTGTCTCGAACCCAGATATGACCGAGTGGTACATTCTTTCGGGCCACGACATCAATGGGTACGCGATTGTCCCTACGTTCTCGGCCGAGTGCGAGATTACGCCGATCCAGACCTGTCTCGGCCACTTCTTGCCCACCTCCCTCCCTATCCTCAAGGAACTCCTGGACCACGACTCTGACCTGACTCTCTTGGCCAAGCGATCGTACCAGAACTGTCTCCACATCCTTCTGGACCGTTACCTGCCCATCAAGAACGAAAACGGATCCGCCCACCTGTTCACTGCCATCGATATGCTCCTGGCCGCAGGTGTCGAGGTCAACGCCAAGGATGTGCAGGGCTACACCCCCTTGCATTCGCTGATGAAGAACCCCAAGATCTCGTCCGAGGATGTTAATGAGGTCCTGCTCAAGCTGCTAGCCAAGGGGGCAGACACGGCGGTCGAGGCACCCCGCGACGGCAATGTATTGTCACTGGCTGCCAAGTACTTGCACTTTGAGGCGACGCGCACGATCCTCAGTCGCGATCTTCTTGCCTCGGAGCCCGATTCAATCGAGAGGGCGATTGAGTCGTGTATGACGATGACGGGCCGTGCGACGGACAAGTTTGTCAACCTAAGGACTAAGACCCGCGAGCTCCTCAAGCTGTGGACTGGTACTGCTGGATTGCCAAGAAGGGAAAAGACTGTGCTCCGAATCCTGGCTGATGCCGGACAGGTCGATTCCTCTGGTGCCCGTATGAAGTGCAAGGTTGTTCATCTTGCACCAGAAGCGCAACTGGAGGCTGCCAATGCCTACTACGAGACACATATTAAACGTAGACGCGAGGCCCTCCTGACCAGTTTCTCCTTCCAAGGCATCGCTCGCTAATAACGATACTTTCTTGGTAATAATGACTAAAACTAATAAAAACAAGCTATGTACAACACCTTTCGTTTCTTTCTTCTTGGTCGAATGGCAAAACAAGTCTAGCAAGAAGGTTCTCCTCTCCTTGCATTTCTATTCGCCACTCATTGTAACTGAGCGCCATTGATGGCAACGGTTTTTCATTTGCTGGAGCGGTGGTTAGTGCTCTCATCTTTCATCATCATCGTCGTTACCATCACCGTCAGCATCAGCTCTATGACCACCACCACGACCACCACGCGATTGATAATCTGGCACCGTCCCAACTGTTATCAGAAAAAACAAGCGATGTCACAGGGGTGAAAGAAGACAGACAAGAAATGCAGTGGTGGTGGTTTTTTTTTTCCATCCAGCTGACATCCAAACATCCAGACAGAGAGAGAGAGAGAGGTACATTAAGAGAAAGAGAGAGTAATGAGAAAAAACACTGCCTCATCCGTCCCTGAACAAACTCGACCTTGCGAATTCATGCAAACTCGGGGCATTAGTAGCCTTCCCGCCAAAAACAAATGAAGAACTTGAAGCAGCCGTTGTGCTTTATGATGAACACAACATGACAAACAGCATTAAAGACAAACAAAAGGCATAACTTCAACAACAAACAAGCAACAGCAGCAGCATTCAGACCATGCACCTTTATTTTTATTTTCGATACATTTTTCCTGCATAAATGTAATGTAGGATCGTCGATGAATTTTCTTTCTTTTTGTCTTTTCTTTCTTTCCTCTACTTCGTCATGTCATCGTATCCTCCGGGGGTGAAACACGAATGAGTGGTCTTCTTTCCTTTACACGTACTCTCTATTTCCTTCCACTCTCTTCCTCCCACCACACCCCATACCCCCACACACACTTCCCCTTCCTTCCTCTCCTCTTGTGTTCCGCTTGTGTATCCTTTGTACGCGACACTCTTTGGCCTCTCGCGAAGCTAAATCAACCCTGATCTGTCCGTCCATCCAGCAAAACACACCAACTTTTTCTTTTTCTTCTACTTCTTTCCTCTTCTTCCTTCCTCTTCTTCCTTCATCCCTTCCTCTTGCCCATCCCTTTTTTCTTCTCTCTCTTTCCCTCGCACCCTTTCCGATGGGCAACACGACACTCTTTTCTCCTTGATCCTTTCCTTCCTTTCCTTTCCTTTCTTCTCTTTCCCTTCCACTTCCTTCCACTTCCCTTCCACTTCCCTTCTTCCCCCACCCCAACTCCTCCTCCCTGAACAGTTAGGAACTAAAAAAAGGCGAACGTCTATTTCTTTTTCCTGTAAGAACCGTCTTCCTCTCTTTGTCCTTGTTTTTTTTTTGTCTTCACTCCTCCGCTTCTCTTTTTTCATTTTCATTTTTTTTTCTCACCACCACACAGCGAGTTCTTCAAGCCCCGCCTCTCTCTTTCTCTTTCTCTCTCTCTCTCTCTCTCTCTCTCCTCTCTACTCCTCCTCCTCGCCAAAAAAATAATACCTTCAAACTCACTCACCCTCTCTCACCTTCTTACCAATACTTTACCAGCCGACACACTCTTGTACAACAACAACAACAACTCTCATCACTGCCCTCCTCACTTCCACGCCGGAATCTCTCTCACCCCCCTCAACCCACCGAGGACATGGAAGGGAATACGATCCTCTCCCTGTGCTTCCCCTCCGCACAGGCTGGCGGACCCGTGGACGATGCGATGACTAGGACATTCCAGCTCCTCTGCGAAGACATCACCCAGCAAAACCACTGCCAGGCCAACCTCGACGTCCATGCCAGCAACGACAACACCTTTGGAACAAACTCACATCAATCCTTGGCCGGCGAGAGACTCTCCTCATTTGATACCCGCTGCCCATCCGTGGTGGTCTACAATGTCACGTTGTCTGGAGCCTATTCTGATGTGATGCATGCTCGAGGAGCACTCATGCGCAACAGCCCTCTGAAGGTATGATGAATCTACTCTTACTCTTACCCCCTCTCCCTTCCTTCCCCTTTCCCCCTCTCCCTTTCTTGCCCCGTCTTCCCTTTAAGTTTTTTTTTTTTTTTTTTTTTTTTTTTCTTTGCTCCATTCCTATTTTTTGTTCAGAAAGTTTATTACGTACAAGTGCCATATTATTTTGGTCATCACCCGAGTCACCGTCGATGACAAGATGCCGTAGTCAGCAGCTCAGAAGAAGTTTGACGGGCTGATCAGTTTTTATTCGTTAATATTTTTTTTGTTTGATGTACTTGATTTCTACTGGAGTTGTTTGCGTCTCCTTGACCACACCCCCTGTCCTCACCGTCCTCTTAGACTCGACTTTGTCGTTCACTTTTTCTCGCACTTTTTTATAACCCCTCAAAGGCAGTTCTTTTTCCGTTCTTTTGGGATACTCTACTCTTTTCGTTACTTGCAGACATACGAACGAGTGAGTATGAGTGAGTTTATGATGTGCTTGTGGTTTGTTTACACAAATGCCAGGCGGAGTGGTTTGTTTATTTGACCATGACTGTTTATAATTTCCAACTTTTTTTTATTCTCATTTCGTAATTGACATAACTCAACCTTTTTTTCAGAACCCTGACTCTGAACCGCGCTCTCTCTCGCTCTCTCTTTTGTGGATCGGGGACTCGTTCTCGTCTTCTTATTCGCCCATCGTGTGATTTCCCCTGTGCCTCGGTTGGGTTCACCTGGATCCATCTTTCTCAACGCTTTCCTAACAACCTTGATATTATATATGTCTATTACTTAGCCACGTCTGTCGATCCCTGTCAGCAAGGCCCTGATCACCTCACCAGTACCTCCAGCCGACCAGACGCAACACAGTCGAGAACAGGACAAAGCCAAGGATCAAGACCAGAGCAGCCGCAAGGAGCACAATGGACCCTTGACTACAACCACTACCACCTCTGCCACAGGAACAGATACAACCACTGCTCAATTATCATCACAGGCATCTTCTGATCCCGCCTCGGCGCCAGCAGAATACTCAAACGACGGTCCTTCAGATCTCAATACCCGGAACACTCACTCTCTTCCACCCTTCACCTCGCACTCCAACGGTTCCCACGCATCGCTCGACGCCAGAACGCTGACAGAGGGATCTGCTACAGCGCCAACCGCATTCGCACCCACATTTACTGTCCTGCCTCAGTTCAAGGTAGCTGTGGACAAGATCTCAGCATCAACCAGGACATCCATCGCCTTGTTGTCCAGCCCGATTCACCCGCCCACGGCACCTGGAAAGGCGGTCGCTGCTTTCTCCAGACAGGAAATGGTCGAGTTGGTCGTGACAGGAACATGGGAGAATGCCGAGGCTGCTCGTGCGTTGTTGCTTGTGGCCATTGACACATTGGAGCCTGGTATTATTTCGGATAGCCTGACAGTTGAGCTGAAGTATCAAAACATGATTGGCGGCAGGAAGCGACAGGCACTTCAGGATCTTATGGCGAGCACACGGACCAACATTTACCTGACGTCGCCCTTTGTCCAGACTTCCAACAAGAGTGGCAGCCCTGTCGACCCTCGGTACAACGATATCCACATCACGGGCGAGGCGAAACAAGTTGCCAAGGCCAAGACAGTCCTCCATAATGCTTGTCTCCGAGCGCAGACGGAGTCAATGTCTTGCACTCGCACTGTCAACATTGCCGCACGCAAGCTGGACTGGATGCTGCTCAACCACCGAGAGAAGCTTCGCGCAATCATGACCGACAACGCATCTTTCATTGCTTTTCCTCCTCTGGGCGGCACTTACCCCACCATCTTTGTATATGGCCAGTCGAGCGTGAATGTGGAGAGAACTATCCGTACGGTGATGCAGTTGGTAAGTGATCACGCCTTTGGTCGGATGCCAAAGTAACATGTATGTCTAGCGGGGTCCAAAGGTTTAACTTATGAACCTAACTAACATCACAATGCTGCGAATTTTTTTTTTGGGTGTCAAAATAATAGTCGTGTCATTTCCACTCTGGCTCAATTCTCATGCGGGATATCCCCCATTCGATGCACACGTTACAGTCGCCTGCAGCGCTTGCCGGAATCTGCAAGGTCGTTTCCCAGTCTTCAGGAGCCGAGATTGAATACCGCGCCAACGGCTTTCAGATGTGTGGCAGTGAGGTCCAGGCTAGGAAGGCGATGATGTGTTTGACGAGAGCCGAGATTGTCAAGGCGCTTCCGTCGGAATTCAAGTTTTCGGTCGAGCTGGCGAACGAGCACCGCGAGTTTATCTCTGGCAAGAAGAACGGCAAGATCAACAGAATCATGAAGACGACAGGCGCCAAAATCAAGTTTGACCAGTGCAACGAGTACAACTTTTATGTCGACCTGAGCTCAAGCATCGCTGCCAAGGCGATGGAGGCGCTCGAGTTGCTTCAGGAGGAGCTGCCTGCAGAGATTTCGTTCTTTGTCCCAGAAACATACCACAAGCGGATCATTGGCGTTGGGGGCAAAAACATTCAACGGATCATGAAGAAGTTTGGAGTGTACGTCAAGTTTTCGAACGCTGAGGAGTTTGCAAAACTGGGCGGCTATTACGACAATTTGGACAATGTGGTGGCGCGTACTCCTTCCAAGAACGCTGTGAACTTGGATTTCCTCAAGCAGGCTGTCATGGAACTCGTGAGCCCAAAGGACAAGGACTTTATCTACCAGCATTTGGATATCCCCAAGCATCAACACCTCAACCTGCTTTCGGATCATGCGATTACTCTGAGGGAGATTCACGAGGCTACCAACGCCACCATCTTCTTCCCTGCAAGAGAGCTTGGACGCGATACGGCTTCGATCTATGGACCCGACTCACTCATGCAACAGGCGGTGGCTATGCTTTTGTCTGTGGTCGAGGAGCAGTACGTCTTCCCGGTGCCATATTCCGAGTCCATGGCTAACGCCCTGGCACTGTCAGAGTTCCAGAAGGATGTTGTCGATGTCATCAAGCAGGATTGGAATATCACCCTCATGTCGCCTCCCATCAACACCAAACTCGCTAGTCTGGATACGGCAACGACTCAAGATTCTAACGGCACAGATGACAACGCCGCGTCCAAGTCTGAGGAGAAGAAGGAGTGCGAGGACAGGGCCGCAGAGACCCGCCCAGATCATATTTTCGTCTTTGAGTACACAAGGAACAACGAGGAGCGCCTTCCAAAAGCCAAAGAGAGATTGACACGATACTTGATTAGCCATCACGTCCTTGTCGACGAGGACGAGCTTCTTATCCCAGGACTTCGACCAGACTCTTTTGCCGAGACTTTGGCCCAGTTCCCGAACAGGCGACCAACCTCTCTTGGTCTTGGTGGTAAGTTGTAATCGACATTTGCTTTGTTCGGTAAGACTTTGGGGATGAGTCATTTATAGAACCCATGGACTAATTCCCCGCTATTTCATTTATTGCCCTTCAATTAGACGTCCATCCTCAGACACCCCTAGATTACAGTCTCTTTGACGGCGGACGGGATACGTTTGACAGTCTTGGCAACAGCATGGGAGGGATGAGCTTGGGTTCATCAGACATCAGGTCTATTTTCACCCCTAACACCGGTTCAGTCCTGTCGTCACTGTCCACATCACCCTCAAGATGGCCTGAGCATGGCCGTCATATGAGTGCCTTCCAGAACTCTCCCACGGCACTTGGAGCGACCACTACATCGATGACAGGCACACCTACGTTTGGATTGGGACCTGTGCCCGGCTTGGGTCAAACTACTGGTAGTCCGAGCGCATTCCCAAGGGTGGCCTCCTTGCCAGCCGACCCCTGGGCCACCACAAAGCACCAGCAACAACAGCGACAGTCTCAGTCCCCCGGAGGAGGTTACCTTGGCTCGATTGGCGATTTGCGTTCATCGCCTCAAGGTATATCGACGACTTCTTTGGGCGGATTGCCACAGGGTAGTGGGTATTATTCACCAGGCGGCTACTCGCAGTCACCGCATACCACCATGCACACGCCCGAGACTGCGTACAACAAGGCTTCTGGCTTCCAGATGTCGGGCAACATGACACCTGTCCACCGGTACTCTGGCAGCAACTCTCCCGTCCATGGACCAACAGGAACTCCTGGCAACTATGGAAACATGATGGGTTTGCCAACCTCGAACCAGGCTGGGTCGACGCCAAGACCCTCATCTGGATCTGCAGCCTCTCGCGGCAGCATGCAGTTGTTGGAGGACAAGATGTTGGCAGGTTCGGCCTTCGGAGCAGGATATGGGCCTGCTTTGAATAGTGGAAGCGGAGCACGCACTGGATATCAACAGCAGCCACCTCAGCTGCAACAGTCGCCTCTTCACTCCCAGGCGCCAAACTCGCAGACCTCGTTTGCCGGTCAGCCCTTCCCAACACACCTGCCTGTCCACCACGGCGGCTCTTACCCACAGCAGCGTCAGCGTCATTCGAGCCAAAACAGCGCGGCAAGCCACCATACCATGGGTCTCGGTCATATTGGAGGAGGACCTGGATCTGCAGGCGGAAGCGTCAACAGCGACGAGATTTCGACGGAGGAGGATAGTGACGAGGTCTTTGACGAGATGAGGAATAGGCATAGGATGCACAGCACCCCGACATCGCTTTTCCAGCAGCATAAGCAATTGCAGCAGGGCTATCACTCGAGTGGACTCAGTGCTGGATATGAGGGATACACTTCCCACAACTCTTCGTCGTCCAGCCTTCTCAATCGCCGTGGTTCTGCCGGATCGTCTCACAGTGCTCACCTCCAACAGGCTTTCTTCTCCCAGAAGAATGGCGACTACACGGCTGGTCTTGGAAACGGAGGAATCGATATCTTTGGCCAAGGCTCGCTTGTAAACAGTATGGAGAAGCAGGAGGGCGACCTGAGCGTGGGTGGATCACGCTTGTCCCAAGGAAGGATTGGCCAGAATCGAACTGTTGGAGGCAACACGGGTAATGGTAGCTCGGGATTGCCTGGACTTGGTTCTGAGTTGAGGTTTGAGGAGGACCGTGGCTTTTTCTCGAGCGGTTTTGGTGGAATCATTGGAGACGGGGCCCATGGTTATGGACAGTTGAACGGCTTGGCTCAGGGACAGGGCTTTCTGCCATCTACGACGAACGGAGCCTTTGGAACTCACAACACCAACGCGGCTGTGGGCGGGCCAAGTTTTGGCGGCTTTGGAGAGACAGGTGATGGTCAAGATGCACGCTCGAAGCTCCCATCGACCCCTGGACTCTCGGCCACTGCCGCTCCATTCTACATGGACACTTCGTCGCAGCAGTTCGGAGGCCAAGGTGTGAACCGCACCAGTGATGTCAACCGTACTGTTGGATGGGACCGATAGGTGACTCTTAACCGCAGGCGTGCGCGTTCTTTGACATGAGCAAAGCGATCAGGCTTGCTTTGTCGTGTCTCCCCGTCTACTTGCTTGTCACTTTGTCCTTTCGTGTTCTCTTTTATTCTCATTCGTTTGTTCCTTTCATGTCTTTTTTCTTTTATCTTTTTTGTTTGTACATGGTTTTCTTTTTTTACTTTCAATCATTTCTTACTCAGTCATTTCTTTATGCTCCTTTGCTGTATTGCAATTTTACCCAGCTTGATTTTTTTTTCCTTCTCGTTTTCATTCATTCACACATCTTATTCTCACTTATCGTTCTTCCTCTTTTTTTCTCCCTTCCTTTTGCATTCTCTTTCTGTTTCTCCTTTCGTTTCGGGTTGTACCATAAATGCTTTGGAAAAAAAAAGCTTAGGCACCAAAAAAATGTATTCTTCTACTACTATTACCGTTTGCGTCTCAATTCCTTTGCAGATCCACCTTTTTTTACCCCTTCTGCTTAGCGTCTCGAACCAAACAACCACCAAAAGAACATGCAATAAAAAACACATGCTGCTCAAATCACTTCTTTGTGTATGTCGTTGAGTCAAGAACTGAAAGATGTGATGCGATTTTGCCGTTTTCTCTGTCCCTTGCACTTTTTTTTTTGTGCGCAATTAGATCCATGCGTTGGGTTTGTTGTTTTCGCTGCGACTTTGTTCTTTTGGACTTCCGGGCTTTGAAATAGCTCAAGGGAGATGTGAATAGGAGGGCGGTGCGGGACGAAAAGTGCCTTTTCGCAACGAACATTGCACTAAAAGGATACGTTGCTGCAAAAAATCTTAATGGTGTATGTTTGTTAATGTTCAAAGAGGAGCCTTGGGTTGTATCCAGTTCAAACAGCACCAACAGCCAGCTGGCCCACCCTTATTCCATTGGGTCTGGAATAGTCTTTCTGCTTTCCCACCCTCATCCTGGTTTTTTTTTTTTTTTTTTTTTTTTAGCTTCCGCTCCTCTTTCCTTTCCCTCCTCCTTTTCTTCTTTGTTCTCTCTCTTCTTCTTCCTTTTTCTTCTTCACCCACCCACTCCATTTTCTTCTCCTCTCTTCCTTTCATTCCAAACAGGAATCACACTCCAGTCTCACATAGACTCTCGTCACTCCACTCCACTCCACTCCACCCGCACCCCTCAAATTTTCAAGAGAAAAATTTCTCACCCCTCCAGTCATTTTTCTCTCTCTCTCTCATTCTTCTAAACCTATCTCCACACACACACACCACCAACCAGCCCCAAAAGTCCAACAGTCCAACAGTTCACGGTCCACCACCCCAATTATACAAAGATGAGCTCTTTCTTTGGATACGGGTCCACGGGCCACAGCGATACCAACAACGATGGCAATCCAAGCATCGGCTCTGGAAGTGCATCCAATCGATCCTCCGTAGCCAATCCCCAACCACCACCCCTGCAACAGCATCAATCCACAGCTTCAGATATGACCGTCATCTCGGCTGATGATGTCGTGCCCAATCCAGCAGCTACAAACGAGAAGACCCCGCTTCAGTATCAGGCATATCCTAACAATGGCACCGATGATTATGGCAAGGAGAACCAGGACCAGGATCATGGTCACGACCATGAAGACGACGGGCATGATCATGCACCGGGGGAGAGGTGTTCGTTACCTCCGTTGATCCAGCCGTTGGTGTCGCATGAGAACCATGGAATGGTTGAGAGTTTGGTTGTCAAGGTTATGGATAGTGCCGATGTTACTCAGAAAGTAAGTTGGACATTGCTTTTTTCACTTGTGAGGAGGTGGAAGAGGAAGAACGAGCTTGGAAAGGTGGAGGAGAAACGGAAATGGTGTCAAGTTTTTACCTGGATCTTAGGAGAGAGATCAATGAGAATAACCAGGCACCGATGTGAAAATTGAGTGGATGAACTAATCAAAAAAATAATCTTGTCGTTCGTTTTGTGGTTGTTGTTTGTTTGCTTAGACCGTTTTTTACTTTTGGGACGAGTGGAAGGCGTTTGTGAACCGTGGCAATGTTATTGACCTCGGAATCGGTCAGTGGTTTTCTTTCTCGTACCTCATAAGCTGCTGAAGACAACCGCAGAAGGCAAGAAAACCAGTGTACTTACGTGCCCTTTGCGTTGATGTTCAATGGATAGGTGTTGTGCTGGGAGGTGCATTCAGCGACATCATCGACTCGTTTGTGATTGACATCATGACACCCCCGCTATCGCTCTGGGCTACAGGAACCAACCTTGAGAACTCGTTCATTATTCTCAAACACGGCCGCACTCCCGGCAAAATATACAACACCTACTTGGAAGCACAAGAAGATGGTGCTGTGTAAGTTCTTTTTCCCTCGCTTTTCTGCGTTTGTCATCGCATATTTTCCTCCCTCTTTGCCTGTATCCTGCACGCACCCTGCACAATTTCTCTCCCCTCCCTGCCTCAATCGAACCAACCAACGTACGAGCGGATGTTTTGGACTAATTTGTGCTCAACCAATCCATGTTGTTTTGGAAGGTCGGCCGATAAACGATGTACCTTTGCAGACGTTTTGAGTATTTTTTCTCACTCCGGTCCACTCTTTTTTTTTTTACTTTTGCGACAACAAATACGTAGGACGGAGAACACGGGCCATTTCTTGAAGGCTTGCCTCAACTTTCTTATCATTGCCTTCTTCCTCTTCTGGATCGTCAAAGGCAAGTTTTTTGTTGTTGCTCGTATTCTGTTTGTGCCTGACAATGCTTAGTTTCACTTTGACCTGTCAAGCGAAGGGATCCATTAACATGACAATGTTTATATTTGTTACACTGAACTATCACTCAAACAGCTGTTCACAACATCAGGAAGGAAAAGATCCGCCCGCCACCCAAAGAGAAGGAGTGTGCCTGGTGTAAAGAGAACATTGCCCTAGACGCATTCCGATGCAAGTTCTGTCAGAGCTTTGTCAAGGATATCCCCGGGATCGAAGATGCGGGTGTCGGGATGTTTGTGACGATCAAGCGGCCGAGTGCCAAATACCGACCCTCCATGGATCCGTCTTTTGATCAGAATCATTATGGGCTGGATCACAATGCTCTCACGACTGGGATGGCTGCGGGGGTCATTGCTGCCTCCAAGGAGAGGGATAACAAAAACAGCAATAGCAACAGCAGGAGTAGTAGCAACAACAATATCAGTTCTTCGTCCTCACAACCGCGCTCGCAATCTCACCCGACGTCCAATGGAAATACTGGCAAATCGGCTACCACCGGTCCAACGTCGTCATCGTCATCAGCACCAGTGCCACCGCCACATGCGACCAGATCTGGTTCGACTGTAGGACCGTCGGATGGTAAAAAGATTGCGGCCGGACTAGCTAAAATGGACGGTGCGCAAAAATAATGGACATCTCTCACCTACCTCCTCCGTTATCCGATTTTTTGTGCTTCGCCCGCGATCACCAACTTCTCATACATCACTATATACTTTGCTTCATTTCATAGCCGTTTGTAAAGATTTTCTATTAAAAACACGTTTTTCTATTGTCACTTGTGTGCATCTTTTGGGCGGTTCGATCAACCTAATAAACTGTCTCTACAACCGATCCTGATCCTGGCTCTGTGTGTATATATATCCACCGTGACACCTCCGCGTTCAAACAGTGTCTCATCCTTCCTTCAAAGACGGGCAAGACGATCGCTCTCCTTGACTCTGGCATGAATAGCATCCATAGCATCCAACAGCCTCTGAGTCTCCTTGACAGCCTCTCGCCTCTTGACACGAGCAACGTCAAAGTCCGGTTTACAGGCCACACCATCCAACGCCAACAAAGCCTGCAAAAGGAGCTCCGACAACATTCCATGATAATCGTGCAGTTTCTTGCGGGCGGGGGGCATGGATGACATGACGAAGGGTGCTGGTTTCGAAGCGATGTAGTCCTGGACCTCTTGTTCGTATTTGGATTGGTGCTCCTCGACAAAGTCGCGGGATTTCTGGAGAGAGTTGGTGATCCTGAGGATGAGGGCATATTCTTCTGGGTCACCATTTGTTGTCATCTCTTTGATTTGTTCCGGCTATCGTGATATGGTAGAAGATATGTGATTAATTACCATGGCCATTATGCTGAAGATTTGATTCTCTTTCTGGTTGTCGAATCGATCCCTGCCTTCACGTCTCATTCACCAGTGAAATTGGCGCCACGAATTCTCCCCTTTCGTATTATTGTTCCTCCATCAGAATCTCATGACTTCCTAGCACATTCATTAACCGACCCTCAGAAAAGATAAATGATAACTTACGGTAGGTTTGATACCATGGACAATAATCTTTGCCCCGGCCTTGATCCCAAAACACGACAACGGCGCATTATCATCCTTCATCATCGCCCCCGCATACGAAAGACTCAACCCTCCCAAGGGCACTCCCGTCAGATCTCGACAGATCTCTCGCAACTCCTTCAATTGCACCTGACCCAAAATCCGACCTTCGAAATCAATCAGGTATCGCTCTCCACTCCATCGGATATGGAGGAGCGTTTCCGGGTCATATTGCTCGTGGCTGACGCGGAAGAGCTGTTTGGGCAGGGCGGGGGTTAACCGCCACAGGAAGGAGAGAAAGGACGAAATGGTGGGCGAAGTTTTGTCGGGGTTGAGGGGGCTGGGAGAGCTGGGGGAAGGGGGGGGGGGGGGGAGGTCTACGGATGGTTGAGAAAATTGTGCAAAAGGGGTGGCTGTTAGATACTGAGGTGGCCGTAGATCATCCCATAGGTTGTTGGGGTAGTAGGGTGCCGTGAGGCTATTTTCCTGGGAAGTCTATTTTGCGGTCGGTTTATGAACAAAAAGTCGAGAAGAGCTTGAGACTGTATTGCCATTCCTCAGCGTTTGTATGAATGCTGTTTGTGTGTGTTTGTTGCTGTGGTGGGTGGAGCATGGCTGATGAGATGATGCTGGTTTGGGAACGTAACATCTCGCATCCCAGCTCTTTCCGACATAACACATGGGGTCGCCTTCCCCTCATTGTTGGTTCCTGAAAGAAAGCATCGTTCGTGTCAACTTCCTGAATGCGACATCTTTCCTAGTTTTTCTCCTGTCTGTCGCTGTACCTTGGAGAAGGGCGATAGCTTGAGGGCAGCTTATGTAGGTTTGGAAGGTCGTCCTGGGGTCGGGTGATGGTTGATGGAGGAGCAGGAAAAACGATGGGTGTTCCTATACACCTTTCATTTTGGATGGGTTCGATCCCACGGTGCGATAGCTGATTAAGGGTGTCATTGCTTGAAACCTTCATAAACGTAATATGGATCTGCCATGCCTTTGGCTTCCTGCACTGCTTCTACAGAACAAGGCGAGAGACTAGGGTGGCGCAAGAGAAAGACAACCCTTTCTCACTCACTCAGTCCTCCTCTCAATAAGCCATAAACTTGTCAAAAAGAACAACAAGAAAAAGAAGCCATCAAGCAGTGCCTGTCTTTCATCCTCGAACGGAACTAGTGAGGGCGACGCCACCAATTCCGCTCAAGCCACAATGATTTGCTCTAGTGCCGGATCGCCCAACGTTTTTTACTATCAACTATTTAAATCCTCCTCTCTCTCTCGTGTACTCACGAAACAACACAAGCACGAACGAAATGTATGATGGCGACAGACAGTCTCTCGTACAAACATCTCCGAGTCCAACGACCAGAACCATCATCTTCACCACCAGCCCAAACCTTCTTTTCGATATCACCACCAAAGCGACCTCAGCACCCTTCCATCCACCAAGCCCTCAGCACCAATAATAGGAACCGCCCTTACCGCAGTGGTACTCGTCAGACTCAAGACACTCAGGTCATCTTCGATCCTGAGACAGAATATGACTCGTACCCGCTTCGTTACGGAATGCCAACACCTTCCTGGTCGACTCGGCGGGCACGTCGCCCAGTCGCACAAGCTCTGGAGCAGATGCAACTGATGCGCTACCAAACTGGAACGGGACTTGGCCTCGGCGTTGTTGCAACTTCCAGAAATGACTTGACTCTCTCGGCTCCTCTTCGACACTCTTCCTTGCATCAACAACAACAACAATGTGATGGCGACAAAGCGAACAACGACGAAGGGTATGGTGATCTCAGCAACAGCACCAACAACATCGGCAACGGAAGCGATATATCACTTCAGAATCAAGAAACTCGAGTCCTTAAAAGACGGTCGTACTCTTCGTTTTCGATCCTCCGCTCACTAATGCCACCGCATATTCGTTACAAAGATGGTAGTGATGTGGTGCTACAGGTCGATCGCCGCAACGCCGCTCGACCAGCTAACGACGACTATGGGGAGTGGGATGGTCTTGAGAAAGATCAGGGCTACGGCCAGAGCCAGGGCCAGGGCCTTTTACCAGCAGTGGCAAAGGACAGGAGAAGAAAGAAGCAGGACAGCGCCACCGACACTAGCATGGACTATGACAACGACGACCTCCTGGACCTCGCCCTCGATCTTGAACTCCAACTCGAATTCCACGACGGATGCCTTGACACTGACGAGATGAAACGACTCGACTTCGATATCCTCTACGAGAACACGACCCTCTCCAACCTTCGAGGAGTCCTCAAGTCCCTCGTCACCGTTTGTGTCTCGTCAACAGCAGGCGTTTACTTGCTCTTGCTGACTTACAAGCTGGCTAAGGACCTCTACGTCTTTATCGCGATCCAGGCGATGTTGATTTTGTTGCGCTGGACTTGGATCCTTGTCGCGGTTTGGCCTTGGCGTTTGCTGCTGTGGACGGTTTTGGGGGTCTATCACCTCGTCCTGATGGTGCTGTGGCCAAGCAGGGATACTTTGGCGATGGCTTTCCACATATCGGTGATCTATACTCTCAGGCGGATCAGAAGGAGCACGATGGAGCATTCCTGAAGCGACCAGGCAACCCAAGCAACCTAAGCAAGGGCTCAGCTCGATCTGTCCATGGACGGGGAAAAAAAGAGGTTATACGGCATTGTTTCTTATCACTCTTTCCTTTGATTCCCTCCATCTCCTCAAATCACATTCGTGTGTACTCCTTACCTCGCTCTCTCAGTCTTTCGCATTTTTCACCATTGCATGAAAACCACAATAATCTTTCATATAACTTGCTTGACGCGCCAGACTCAATCGTTTGCTCTCTCTCCCTCTCCATACTTCAAAGCGCAGAATAAAAAATCTACCTTCTTACTCGCTCACACAAAGCCTTTTTTTGCGATCCATCCGAGAGACAACAGCACATCAAAAACATCGGCATTACGAACAAGAGACAAAAAAAAAAAAAAAAAAAAAAAAAGAGTAGAGTCCGTTGTGTGTTATTAAAAATTAGGAATGCAGATGCAATGTGTTTTTTGTAATTAGGGTTTGTCTTGATCTTTCTAAGGAGTGGGTGTACCAAAAGATAAAATGCCCAAGACAAGGGCGGGGCGACAAGGGAGAGGAGTGAAGGTTCAGGAGTGGGACAGTGCGAGAGACGTAGGAAGAGGGAGGAGGGAGAGAACTCATGGGGAATACTGTGGGATGTGGTCGTTCATCGAGGGCGAGGAGTGCCGTTGTTGGTGCTGCTGCTGGTGCTGGAGTCTTAGGTGATGCGACTGTGGTAGTTGAGGTGGCGCAAAAGACTGTTGCTGAGGAGGTTGCTGCGGGTGGGGGTGCTGAGGGTGCTGAGGGTGCTGTGGGTGGGAGACAGGAGAAGCGTGGTGAGGGGGGTGCGGTGAGGACTGCTGTGGAGGCTGTGAAGGGTTGAATGGAGCAGTGTGGAAGCCAGCAGTCCCGCTTGAAGGAGGAGGAGGGACAGGTCCAGATCCGGGAGGTCCCTGGCGCTGGTAAGCGCTGCCTTGTGGCTGATGCTCTGGTCCACGTCGACTCCATTCGCGAGAATCTCCTGGACTGTATTCAGCCTTTCTCTTGGAGGGCACAATGCCTCCATGAATAATTGGCGGCGATGTGATCGAGTCTACTAGAAAGAGCAAAATGCAAAGAAAAGGCTTGTTAATGTTCTGGGCTCTTGGATAAAAGTCATCATTTCAAAACAATGAACAACAGTATATGATGGATTATTACATCTGGGAGTGCTGACTTCAGACAGCTGCTCAATGCGGTCGCGCATCCAAGCAATAGTATGCTCCTGCGAGATCTGAACATTCTGAAGCTCCTGCGCAAACTGTCTCAAGGACATGTATGCGTCCTCGACATAGAACAGCCGACTCTCCAGCTGCTTCACAGTCCGTGGGACAAGATCCTGGGGGTTGGGATGAAGGGTAGGGTCGATTCCATGGGCTCCAGGAAGCGAGTCGCCGCCATGAGCATGATCCAGAGGAGCCAATTGCTTTTGAGATGCAGAAGGCGAGGGGATAGGCAAGGTGGGTCGGCCGGCAGCACCTTGCAGTGATGGTGAAAGCCGGCGGTTAGGATCCTCCTTCTCCATTGGCCCTCCGACTGGTGCGCCTGGACCCCCAGCAAAGGACTGGTTTCGCCGGTGCTGCTCTGCATGTGGGTGATGAACGTGGGATGGCGAAGGATGCTCAGGGCCACCATTCGGGTGACCTTGTGCATGCTCCATGGGCGAGAGTGGGTGCTTTGTCTGGGATCCGCGATGCATCGGCACATTCTCCTCACCCGCTTCAAAACCTGCTGGCGGTGGTGGCAGCTTCTGTGCGTTCCCGTCCAAAGATCCTTGGTGTCGGTGAGAAGGATGTGGGTGCGAGCCAAATGATTCCCCCGGTCCGTGTGGCTGTGGCAGAGGCGGCGAGCGAGACTGTTCGTGTTGGCTGAATGGATGGGGTTGGCGTGGAACCTCCGCCCGTCGAGGGTCGAGTCCTGGAGCACTCTGGCTGCGGAAGTGGCCTCCGCTCACCAAAGGTCCTTGCTTAGGGTCATCACCTTGCTCAGGAAATCCTCCTTCTCGGTTCGGACTATGACCATGTCCCTGGTTCTCTGGTCTTCCGTGACCTCCGACAGGATGAGGTGGACCTTGGCCTGGGTGATGGTGTCCGTGACCAGGACCGTGGACAGGGTTGTACCCATGAGGCGGCCCTTGAGACTTGGGACCGTAAGGGTGGTCGGGTGAGTATGGGCCCTGAGAACCAGGACCTGCGTAAGAGTGCTGTCGCTGATGAGGGTTGGCGTAAGGGTGCTGTGGGTGAGGTGGGCCAGAGTAGTGCTGGTGGTGTGGTAGGTGTCCTTGGTCCCGTCTTCCGTGCTGTGGGTGAGACGGAGGCGCATGCTTCACTCCCTATTGGGTGGCGAAAGCGTACCATTTAAAAGGAGGGTCAGTTGGAGAGCTCATTTTCCTCGGTATTAATGTCACAAATATCTAGGAATACAAAAGAAAGTACCGGCATAGCGAAAAGATGCATTACCAGGTGCTCCTTGTCATCGCGATGCTGCATTGGTTCACCCGGGTGACCAGGTGGCCCTTGTCTGAAGTCTCCCATATGTCTAGGTCCAGGTGGTCTCTGGTCTGGGTGCGGTTGGCGGTGTGGGTGACCCATCGGTCCTGGGTATGGAAAGTGTCCAGGACCCTGAGGTCCACCGTGCATATGGTGACCATGGCGACTGGGATCCTGAGGGTGGTTAGTGCTCTGGGACCGATTGTGACCGCCCAAACCATTGAAGGGTCGGGTCTGGTAGTCCTGCTGGATGTAAGGTCCCTTCTCATCAAACATCACTCGAGAGAATGTAGGCGCAATGTTGATAGAACGAGCTGACTTGCGTTTGATGTTGCTTCGAAGGTGGGGGCGGTCCCGTTGAAAGTCAGGATGGTAGAACTGCCAACGCTGGCTCTCCGGGTTTCGCCTGTTCATTGTGGATTCCTCTATTAAAATGAGCAAATAATAAGAACGGACATTGGACTTGTTAGTATTGCGTTTCAGTCATGTCTCCTTGAAAAAAAATACGTACTCATGGAATGAACATTGGTTGGCCTAAACAAATGAGCTGCGTGTACCTCTGTCGTATCGATAGACTGAAAACATGGAAGAAACACAGAAAAAGTCGCCGAAAGTATGTCGGTTAGTAACCAGAAGAAGACAATGTGATCAGAGATGGATCCATAGAGAACTATTCGAACAAAGAAAGAAAATGGTCTTACTCTTGTGGAATCCGTACACTAATTGAGGCAGAAACGAGTAAGGGATTGTAGTTGGGTTTTTTGTTAGTTCACAACCCATCAAAAGGGACAATCCGTTAGATCTTATGCATCTTAACATAGCACTTACTGTTCAGCTGGCGGACAAAACTCTGCCAGTTGTTATGCTTGAAGAACTTTGGGAGGATAGAGTTGGACAGTTCAATACAGTTGAAGACATAAAACATATCGCCCTCCTTCGCCCATGAGATGAGGTGCTGTATGGACGGGTCCTCGACCATCCTAAAGTGTTAACAAACGAACCAATCATCCAAATCATCCGTTAGATAATCAGGCAAAAACGAGAAGCAGAAAAGAAATGAGTGCCACATCGTTCGAGCACAGCGGACGAGGAGTAATTAGCTTACTTGTAAAGCTTGTCGATAAACATGCTCCTGACCTTGACCAGACTGGGAGATCCATACATGGAGACAACGAGATTATCAGAGCCATCGTCGTTTTTGGAAGAGTTGGTGTCCATGGACTCAGAGCCTTCCTCGTTGTTTCCGTCTTCAGCGTCCTCGCCAGATCCATCCTCGTCCTGCTCCTCTTCGCTCATCATCCCATTCATACTCTCGTCCCTGTACCGGTGCGACTCGTTGCGGTTTCCACCTTCACTGTCACTGCCCCCAATCTGACGTTGTGGGGGGCGGTCGTCCTGAGGGGATGCGGACGAATTGCGTCGACCGGAAGGGTCGTGCTCGCTCTGTCCGGAAAGGTCCTGGTGGCTCCTACCCATAGAACGTGCGCCTTGGTTGGGAAAGGACGGCCTGGATGACTCCCCATAGTTATCCTGAGGACCTGGAGAATTGTCGCGGGAACGGCTTTGGATATCACGCTCGTCGTATTGAACGGTCGATCGAAGAAGACGACCTGACCGACTCCTTCGCAAGGCCTGGGTGTTGGTATGAGAGTCTTGGTCGGGTTCTTTCAGAGAGTGGCGGTGGTCCTGAGAATGATTCTTGGTTTCATCTCCAGGGCCATGGTCGTGGCCTTGCTGGACCTGACCCTCGGGGTCTTCTGATAGTTTGACTGCCAGGGTGGAAGATTCTGGGGCGGCGGCTGCCACTGAGGTTGAGGATGAGTAGGTATCTGCGAAGTTACTGTCGCCTTTGTTGCTTGAGCTACTATCCATAGCAAGTCCAAAGTGGAGTCCTTGTATTTGAATGGCTGTTGAGGATGGATGCATATTAAAAGAAAGACGAAAGAACAAGAAAACCAATCGTTAAGAAAACAAATGAAAATGGCGCACCATAAGAAAATAACAATGTGTAAAAACAAGCCATTAGACAAGTACAAACAAATGCGATGCCACATTAGTTTGGTCCGCCATCATTTCTACAAAGAGTATCCATCCTACCTAACTGAATGGTGTAAAAATTACTGCGCGGGACTAAATATGCACGATCAACAAGATTAAAGGCGAGGAAAGAGATGCAGAGAAAGAGAGAGGAAGCGAGAGAGGGGTCGTATTGTTAGGCTTTTGGGTTACTCAGACGGAGACGGGAGTCCAAACTACCCCCCTGAGATGTGTATGTTCGAGTTTCTGACTTTGTTGTCAAAGGGTCGCGGCGCAACGCTGAATCGGAGCAAGGCTATCGCAACAAGGGGACAAACCCCCAAAAAATGACAAAAATTTTGACAACAAAACAAACGACCATCGGTGGGATACACGTAATAGCCGAAGAACAAAGGGTTCAGTAGTTTTAGACCGCATCAAAATAAGGGAGGATGAGAAGAAGCATCAAACAAGGCGTGCTCTCAAACAAGCAAAATAATGTGAGGATGGGGCACGACCAGCATCGTGTCCATTTTTTTTACGATCGCGCTGGGACGATTGCGGGATGTGAGGGTGATTGATTGTACGGGAGGCATAGAAAGGCTCAAAGTTTTTTTGCCTTCACAACTGAGTTTGATTGTGCGACGTCGAGAAAGGATGCAAGGCTGCATGAAAGAGCTGGGAGAAGGGAACGAGAGGGGTGAAGAAGATTAAGGCGAACCGGAACCACTAACGGACCATATCAACAATGAAAAGTGCGCGATCAAAACCAGCCAGGGTCTGCAATCCGAGGCAATTGAGTCCGTGGAGGTGTAAATGTGCGTGAAGGAGTGGGGTGGAGTGGAGACAACAAAAGGATGGCTCTGCATACATAAAGCCAAGTGCGGAAGAATCTTTGAGAGCAAAGGCGCTCAAACGATGTTGCTGATCTGGTCGAAGGAAATTCAGGGTAGTGTTTGATGATTGTGGGGGAAGACGAATTGCCGAAGTACAAGGTTATGGACCGTGGCCTGAGGGGTCCAGATCTTGAGTACCTCTCACACCTAACTCCTGTTCATTGTTCTTTGTCTTTGTTTCCTTCTCCTCTTGTTGTTGTGCTGTTGTCGCCTTTTGGTGGAGGGAGAGAGATATATGCAAGACGGAAAACAATCAAATAGAAACAACCCGAAATAAGCAAGAGACTTAGACTCACACGCGAACAAGATTCGGTGAAAGGAACAATCGAAAAGGAAGGAGAAAGAATGAAAGGAGAAAGAAAGGAGGAAAGGGGCGTGATAGGGCGTAAAACGAGGGACGTTGTGGTCCATCAATTGAAGGTTGAGAAGTAGTATGAGTGAAGATGAGGGTGGATGGCGAGTGTGTTTGCAGATGCGGAAGAAAAGAGTGGAAATGGAATGAATGCGGGTCGGAAGTGTCACAAAGGCATAATTAAGTATACTTTACTTACCCTTTGATTGTTTAGCCGATCGAGATTGTTTTTGGAGAGAAAACCAAAGGTTCGAGTTAAAGGAGACAAGAGACGTCTAAAAAGTGAACAAATAAATGGAGTGGTTGGTTGAGTGGATGAGTGGGGAAGGCCAAGAAGTTTGTCTCAAAGGGATTTGAATAAGCACGAAAACAAGAGGAACGAAATGGCAGAATGGAATAAAGAAATGTTTGGATGGAGAGCGAGGCCCTCGGGCAATCGTGTCCAGAAGAACGGAGAAATGATCAACAGGCGGAGAAGCGAGGCTTTCCATCGAGGGATAGTCGTGTTTGCAGTGCAATGGTCAAATACGAATGGTCAGGGGAGAAGGCGAAGGGACGAAGGAATGAGGGGATGAGGCGACTAGGCACGAAGGGGTGCGGGTTGATTTTTTCTTCTTGTCGAGAGAGATTTGGTAGAGCATCTGCACTTGCATGCTGGATCATGCCAGTATGCAAGCCTATTGTTCTTATTTGTCTTTTCTTTTCTTTTCTTTCGAATGGTTTGCGTTTGTTGACATTGTGGTGCTTTTGTTGCCACCGTTGCATGTATAGATTGGAGGAGCGAGCGTCAATAGGGGTGGATGGCGCAAGTTTCGAGAGATAACAACATTGGAAAAGGAGTGCAGGAAAGGGAAGAGAGCGAGACAGAGAGGGAAAGCTTGGTCCTTTGCGAAACAGAGTACAACAAAACAAACAGAACAAAAAAAAAAAAAAGGGCGGGAGTGAACCACGGAAGTGTGGAAGGGTGGGTGTGGATGGACATGGATAATCATGCCGATGTGTGGTGTTCCAATTGGAGTTGTACCTGAGAGAAAGGGATGACTTTCTTGATGAAAAGATACTCCTGAGCTATTTGCTGGCTGTTGTGTCCCAATGGAGAAGGGGGGGGAAGAGGTCCAGAAGAAGGAACGACGGAGAGGAAAGAAATAATAAAGATCTGCAAGTGACGACTGTTGCTAACCTATTCGCGAGAGATGGAGGGAGGGAGACGACAGGCCGGGAAGAAGAGAGAGGTTAGTGCGTGTTGTTGTTTGTATCTGTGTATGTGTATGTGCGTATGTGTTGAAGGGTTGGTTGGTTCAGAACAATAATGCATGCTTGAATGAACAACATGCCTAAAAACAAGCAAACAAAAATCAAACACACAAACAAACACAGACAAACAAAACACAAACAAATAAGAAGAAAAGGAATTAAGAACACAAGTCTAGGCGGGTTGTTGTCGTTGTTGTTGAAGGGTGGACCAAGAGCAAAAAATGAAAAGAAGAGACAAAGTAAGGAAGGACCATGAAGAAGAGGAGTGAGGATGGGATTGGACGAATGGGATTGGATAGATGGTGTGGTGACACAGAAACAGGGTGGGTGTGTAAGCCAAAAAAAAATGTACTGTAACGAGGCAATGAAAAATGCTTAAAATGAGAGATGGTAGTACCCTCAATACTCGATGCAATGCTTGATTGATAATGCCAATGATGATAGTGAAGGATGTGTAGGAGAAGAAGCATAGAAATAAAGAGTGCGATGAGAGGATTGGGGCGAAAAGGTGGGAGGATAGAGAGAGAGAAGGAAAAGAAGGAAAGAAGGAAAGAAAGTAAGGAAAAGAAAAGAAAAGAAAAGAAAAGAAAAGAAGAAAAAGTAGAAAAAAAAGAGAGGGAAGAGAAATGTATATATGGGCAATGAATTTATCAGTTGAAAGAGAATAGTATAGAAAAAAAGACTGATTGATTGACTGGGAGTTGTTGTTGTATGAAGTGGATCAATGGTTGCGAGAAGCAATGATTTGACTGAATGGATGTGAATGTATGTATATATAGGCGATAGAATGAGGAACGAAGTGAGCAAAAAAGAATAAAAAAAAGGCCAAAACAGAAAGGGCCTTCCATCAGTCGCCTGCCTGCTTGCTTCCTTCTCTTCTTCGTCGTCGTCTTCTTCTCTCCTGTCTTTCGCTCTTCTTCTCTTCCCCTATGTCAATCAACCCTGTCAGCAAGAGTGTAATGTGTGAGAGCACAGGACGACTCCATGTCTGTGTTTGCGCGTCTGTGTATGGGACTAAAGTGAAAGAGCGGCTGATGGTGGTTGTTTGCATATTCCCATTGAAAAGAAAAAGGTATAGATAAAAATAAAAGCCCGCCAAAAAAAAAGAATAGGATGGCATTGTAATTCATTCAAACAGTAAAGAATAACAACGCTAAACAGACCCATACAACTACGGCATCGCTCTGTCTCTCTTCCTTCTCGCTCTCTCTTCCATCATCCTCTTCTCTGTAAAAAGGGGTCAGAATTGAAGGCGAAAAAAAGAAGGGAACAATCAAACGTCCATGTTGCTGAACAGTAAAGAAAAAACGATGAGCTGATTGAGAAGACATGGGTGATTAGGCGTTGCTTCCTCCAGATTCTGTCGAGGAAGGGAGGTAGGAAGTAGAAGAAGAAAAACAACGACTCACAATGTCGTAGATGGACAGGAGACAGAAGGACGGATTGATGCAATGCTGTCATTCAGTCAGTCTGCCAGTCTGCCAGACATGCCTACAGTCAGACAGACACAAAAATGGAAGTGAAAGACAAATGGACAGATAGACCGCAAGAAGACGAAGAGCAGTAGTCGGATGTCATGAAAAAGGCATATTACCCTCATCTTTCCTCTTTCCTCTTCTCCTAACCCCTTCCTTTCCTCTTCCTCGTCCGCCTCCTACTTCATGCATATTCAACCCCCTACCTCCATTCACCTAGCCATTTCCTAGCAAGTCTCTCAGCATAGTTGTACTCTCTTGTTTTTTTGCGTGCGTGTCTTCATTCCATCAGGCCAATTTTTTTGTCTCCTTCAGTCAGGCACCGCATACTCAGGAAAACAGTAGACGAAAATCTCGGGAGAATATCCCAAATGATTGAGCGGCACAGTGAGCAACAAGACACAAAAAAAGGAGAGGAGAGAAAGAGAGCGTGAAAGAGAAAAAAAGGTGGAGGCGTATGGAGATGAATGGTCAACGGATTGAAGCAGTAAAAAAGAACACGAAAGAAAGAGGGCCAGGAAAAGAAAGGCATGCTCACGCGTCAATTTAACAATCTGATGGCAGTTGAATATGCTCAAAGCAGCAGTCATGAAGACGAGGAGGAAGAAGAACAAAAGAAAAAGGATCAAAGAAGAAAGAAAAGACGAATGCTCGTTGCAACTCTGCATGGATGCGTTGACATACATGTATATGTATGCATGTGCTATGAGTGATGAAGGAAAGAGGAAGGAAAGAGGAAGGAGTAAAATATAAAAAGAAGGAAGGAAGGAAAGAAAAGGAAAAAAAAGGAGAGGGAGAAGGAGAGGGAAAGTGAAGGAAAAGAACCCATTGAATATATATGATTGCTATAAAAGCAAAGCCAAAGGTAAAGCAAAGCCA